GGGAGAAAGGAGAAAGAGGACCTAGTGGCCCCACTGGTTACACTGGAAACACTGGCCAAAAAGGAGACCAAGGATTTACTGGTGAAAGAGGCTTCACTGGACAAAGAGGACCTAGCGGCCCTACTGGCTTTACTGGAAACACTGGTGCAAAGGGTAATAAAGGAGAACAAGGATTCACTGGTGAGAGAGGTTTCACTGGAGAAAGAGGTTTCACGGGCGTCAGGGGACCTTCTGGACCCACCGGTTTTACAGGAAATACAGGTCAAAAAGGAGATCAAGGATTTACTGGTGAAAGAGGCTTTACGGGGCAAATAGGCTTTACTGGAGATATTGGTTTCACTGGTAAGAATTTTATACGATCTGATGTAAACTCATACTGTACATATATAAAAAATTTATAACTATATTTTAGGACCACGTGGAGAGCAAGGTTTTACTGGAAGAGTAGGACCATCAGGACCGACAGGATTTACTGGATCAACTGGTTTACCAGGAGCTACAGGCGAACCTGGACCTGCTGGATCAGATGGACAAAAAGGGGAAATTGGATTTACAGGAAGACCAGGTGATACTGGAGTTGCAGGAGCTCGGGGAGATCAAGGTCCAGAAGGAGTGAAAGGAGAAATTGGTCCTAGAGGATTCCAAGGAGATACTGGATTAAGTGGAATAAAAGGAGATAGGGGTGATCGTGGACCCAGCGGTCCAACAGGATTTACAGGATATACTGGCTTACCTGGTGCCACTGGCCTCATGGGATTCACGGGGCAACGTGGTCCCAGTGGTCCTACAGGATTTACCGGGAATACCGGTCAGAAAGGAAATCGAGGAGACACTGGCAACTCCGGCGAACAGGGTGCAACTGGTATTAGGGGCCCATCAGGTCCGACTGGATTCACTGGTCTCCCTGGATTTACCGGTCCTCAAGGAGAAATTGGCTTTACTGGTTCACCTGGAGCAACTGGTCCGCTTGGACCCCTTGGTCCATCAGGTCCAACAGGATCGACAGGAGCTAGCGGTCGAGCTGGAGCACCTGGCCCTTCAGGTCAAACAGGTGCTACAGGATGGACAGGATTACCAGGACCAACTGGCAGTCGAGGTCCAGTTGGTCCAACAGGACAAACAGGTTTCACTGGAGACACAGGAGCGCCAGGTAAATCTGGAGCAACGGGTGAAACGGGACCTCCTGGTGTGCAGGGTTCAACCGGTCAAACAGGTCCACCCGGAAGAGATGCAATATCCAATGACGAGAGTAAGTGCGATATATTAGCTATAGCTTTAATGAAATTAATATATATTCTTAACTTGTAGTTTTCCGAGATGGTCAACTGTGTAATGATATGGGTTGTCAGGAAAAAGGCGGAATTTGCGAGATTATGACAGTTTATGATAAAAATGCTCCAGGAAGCCAAGTGAATAGATTGAAATACGAGGCAGTTTGCGTTTGTCAATACGATTTTAGCCCCTATAGGCATAGATTAAGAGCAAATCAGACTTGTTACGGTAAGCAAAGTCGTATACTTCTTGCATTTGAATTTAACTATCTACCTTTTCAAAAATATTAGATATTTATATTGATTGAAATTACTTATGATTTCAGATATCAATGAATGTGATTATTTGAATGGTGGATGTGAACAGGATTGTATAGATGAACAAATTGGGTATAGTTGCAACTGCTATAGTGGCTACACGCTTGAAAAGAATTCAAGATCTTGCCGATCATGTTAGTTAGCTACCATATATTTTCGTTTAATTGTAATAACTCTAATTTTGATTTTTATCAGTGTTTGATGGTTCAAGAGGTGGTGTTTCTGGTATGAATTCGACCAATATAACATGCAGTTTCCGAAATGGAGGTTGCGCCCATCGTTGCGTAGATGGGGATAATCCTCACTGTGAATGTGACACAGGTTTTGTAGTTGATAATTCAACTTTTGGCTGTCGAGGTGCGTAAATACATAATCAAGTAAGCTATTTCAACTATTAAATTATAAATAACAACTTGTGAACAGATATCGATGAATGTGCAAACAAACCGTGTAAGAAAAGTTCAGACATTTGTATAAATTCCTATGGATCGTACACTTGTATAAGTTTAGAGGTTTCTGTTACCGGGAATGGTTTAGTTCCAAAGCCTCAAACTTCTCCTTTAAAATCCTCTCCAATACTCGCAAGTTCTGGTAACCTTGGTACCCTGCAGGTGTCACTAGTTGTACTTGTTGCTTGGACTGCAGTAGTTACTTTGGCACTAGTTGTTGTCGCGGTTGTAGTGTTTAGGAAACTTAGAAAGGGCTCACAGTCTGCAGAAGAAAACGAAGATGAAGAGGAGCAGCAACAGGAAGGCGAAATCGATATCGAAACCGCTAATACACCCGAATTGCATTTTGACGTCGACATTTCTCAGTGACGACTAAAAGTGCTGCCATCTTGCCTTCTAATGCCAAACGTTTTTTAGTGCAATTTCTCATCAAATCGTTTTTAGTTTTTCGAACTCTAGATGAAGTGTGCTTGCAAAAGACAAACGAATCAATGTTCATTAGCCAAAGTACTAATCGGAGTTATCATTTAATAAATTAATATTAAACTAAAAATAAGACAATTTTGCGGTCAATCAATGTATTTTACATCAACCTAGCAGCCGAACATGAAAAGAAAAGAATAATTCCTATCATATATATTAAGAGTTAATATATTAATATCTTCTCGGCTCCGGCGATTTATAATTTATCAAAGTAGTCCTCCAAATTAGGCAGGCTCTCCTTCAGACCCTTCCTCTTTCTGGTACTCATAACAATGTCGAATGGCTTAGATTTTCCATCAAGAGGATCGCCTCCCATTACTTGCCAATGATCAAATACACATTGTGGGAAAGCTTGTCCACCAGTTTGAGAACGAAGCTGAGCCGTAAAACCTGAAATAACGAATAAATTATAGCTTGCATGGTTTATCACGTGTGGTCAGTGCTGACTAGCAGCTGCACAGGCTATGGCATATACAAGCATGCGCTCTCACGTAGAGTCGCTGATTATCTATGACACCACAGTAACGAATCAACCTTATGAAAGTTTCGCATAACTACTGTTTGTCGCTTTCCGGTCCCAATTCAGTATTGGTATCCAGGCAGCGTGAGTGTCAAGATTTAATGTTAAATGTTAAGAATAGTATGCTTACCGAATGATTCATTAACAGGTAAATGAGCCTTAACTATAAACATAGGTGTTCCAGCGACACGAGTTTCTTCGAATACATGACCGCGCTTCTTTGTCACTGTTGGGTAAATACCGCCCAAAGCTCCTTCTGGTGCCTGAATTTCAACAAGATAAACAGGTTCCATCAAACGTGGATCAGCGGTCAATTCACAAGCGTATAAACATCTACGAGCTGTTGGGATGATTTGACCACCACCTCTGTGTATAGCATCAGCGTGTAAAGTGACATCGTGAATGTTAAATCGGATTCCTCTCATATTTTCTTCACATAAAACACCTTCTTTCGTTGCCCATTGGAAACCAGCGACGACGCTGTCCTTGATTTCGTTCAAGTATTGAACTCCCTTAGTACAGTCAACAACCATGTTGGGTCCACTTCCATCAGGTCCAAAAGTCCAAATTTTTCTTGCTTCAGTGACATCAAAGCCATACTTGTCGGCCAAAATTCTGGCACGTTCTTTGGCTTCTTGTTTGTGGTTGATATCTCCTTCATCAATTTCTTCGGGAAGTCCATCGGGCAAGGGAGCTGCTCTCATGAACAATCTATTGTGCTTGTTGGGAGATTTTGACAAACAGGTGCGATCTGACTCTTTAATTACTGTTTCTCTGTATGAAACGACTGGTTCAGATTTTTTTAGCGGGATACAAGCGTGATCTTCTTCCAAATCTTTCAAGCAGATTTCCAAGTGAAGTTCACCAGCTCCGGCAACAATGTGTTCTCCGGATTCTTCAATTGAACATTGAACCATAGGATCAGATTTAGCCAAACGTTTTAATCCTTCTACTAATTTTGGTAAATCTCCTGGATTTTTTGGCTCTACGGCTACTCTTACAACAGGAGAAACGCTGAATTTCATGACACGCATGTTGTGGGCTTGCTCAAAAGTTGAGATGGTACCAGTCTTAACCAAAAATTGATCGACTCCGACTAAACCACAAATGTTTCCGCAGGGTACATCTTCAATTGGTTCGACGTATCTTCCCATCATAAGGATGGTACGTTGAATGCTCTTTTTGTACAAGTCAGTTTTTCCGCCAGGTACGAAGTTGGGGCCCATGATTCTGACCTTTTCTCCAGTTTTGCACAAGCCAGAAAATACACGACCAAAAGCATAGAAACGTCCCTTATCGGATGTGGGTACCATCTTAGAGATGTACATCATCAAAGGTCCATTCACATCGCATTTCTTAACAGCGACGGCAACTTCGTCATCAATTGGACCTTCGTACAACAATTCTGTACGGTAAGCTTGTGCAGTAACTGGTGATGGCAAATGGATGGTTATCATCTGCAATAGAGCGTCACCAGCTGGAAGCCATTTTCTCATGACAGTTTTCAATAATTTCTTGTCTTCTAGTTCTTTCTCTTCGACAGTCAATTTTATATTCATTTTTTCAATAAAGCCAAGAGCCTCTTTCTTGGTTTTCTTCGTACAAGAGTGGAAGATAGTGTAGATTGGCTTAAGGATAAATTTACAGAATCCACGTTCGAAACCATCTCCTCCTGACTTGTTCCATTTCTTGTCTTCTCCATTGTAGAATTGATCTCCCCACAATCTCCTCATCAATTTAACATCTTCGATCTTGAATTTAGCGGAGTACATTTCGGCAAACTGTTTCAAAGTAAAAGCCCAACCGTGTAGACCAGAACCAAAACCAACAGTTCCGTTGGATGGGTCAACTTGTACGTTGCCCATGGGACCGTCTTCACTTCCATAAGTAGCAATGATGCAGTTAACGCTTTCAACGATTCTCTGAAAAGTTTGGTACATATCTTCAGCTTCCAATTGAAGTGTCAATAGTGCCAAATCCATCTTGTTCATGAACAAAACTGGCTTAATACGTTCAGCGATAGCTTGACGTAAAACAGTTTCAGTTTGCACACAAACACCTGTAAAAAAAATTATAAGAAAGAATTTTCTCAAAATCATTGAAACCCACCTGATACGCAGTCAACAACAACAAGCGCTCCATCGGTAACACGGAGAGCGGCAGTAACCTCAGATGAAAAGTCAACGTGGCCGGGAGAATCGATAAGATTGATCAAAAAAGCGTTCATTCCTTCTTCTCTTGGTTGTTGGACAAGTTTCAAATCTTTTTCGGGTAATTCGTAGTAAAGGGAGATAGCGCTAAGAAAAAATATGATAAGCTTATGGCACTCTTAACTTTTTATTTTTATTTTACTAACGTTGACTTGATAGTGATACAACGCTCTTGCTCGTCTTTACGGGTGTCAGTGAACCTCGCCTCACCAGCCTTGGAGGCAGCGATAATTCCGGCTTTGGATACAAGGGAATCGGTCAAAGTTGATTTTCCGTGATCGACATGGGCAATAACCGACATGTTACGGATGTTCTTCTTTTTGTCCATAATGGACCGAATTTCGTCAATCGTAAAGTTAACCTGCGCATTAAGTGAATAATTAATTTTTATTGAAAATAGTAAAAATGATCACAATAAGACATGTCAAACATCATATATAGCTTATGGTTTATTTAATAAACTTGAGGTAGTGCGAAGATTCCTAATTACCAAGTCATGGATACTTGTTGAGAAATTTCAATGATCACGCGTGAAGCACTATTTTTATATCCATGAATTTCGCATTAAAATCATTTAAAATTAATCACGAAATTTGGTGATCACATAGCTATTAATACCAGCAACATTTTAATTTAATGTCATACACAACAAAGGCTTACCATGGTAGATGTTTAAGAGTCTTCCGGACAACTGCAAAGCTGTGTGCGTTGCCTCAATGGCGACCTAAGAAAGGAACGAATCACGTGGCGGTAGTCTGACGTCACTAATTTAGCCTGGAATCAAATTCCATATTTTTTTACTATTATATTTTTCGAAGGGGAACAAGTGTGAATCTTAATAAAATATAATTAAAGATTTAGAAAAATTATAACTTACACTCATTTTTATAAAAAGTTTTAATAATTTTATAATAGTTAATTTGTCGAAATATTTCCAAAGAAATAATTTGCATATCAAGATGGCGCATTAGTCGCTCAATCTATACACGAAAAATCCTCTATTATTCGATTTTAATAATATGTTTCATAAACACATGTTTCTCAGCTAACATAAAAATTCAAAATATAACTTTTAATAATTTATAGGTAAGTTGTAATTTAGTACATTCATTTATATCTCCATCAGCTATATATCACAGATATGGACGTTGAAAGTCCTTCTGACCTATTAAATGTACAAAAATTTATGAAAAAAAGTGAAGATGAAGAAAACGATTCTCAGTGTGCAATAGGGGGGGACAATGCTAGTCTCGAAGTTCATTTAGGAGATGATTCCTGTCACGTGAGCGATGTCAGCAGTCTATCTCTTCAAAATATTGCAATAGATGATGATGAGGTTAATTCCGAGGAAGGCAGATTGGGGAGGCGAGATAGCATGGAAAGCACCGATTCTCTTCCTAGAGATGAACCTGCCGATATACGGATTCCTCCACCGTCACCACCATCACCGGCTTCACTCTCACCATCAAGTACCATTAGAAAACGAATTAATGACAGTCCTCCAGCACCAAAATTTTCTCCTGGACTTGCATGTAGAATAATGCCAAAACCTGCACCAGAGATAGAAAACGAATACAACTATGTTAAGTACGCTCGCACCAACGCCAACAATTATGTAGGAATGAGGCTTGCAGATGTATGCAGCAGTCGAGAAGCATCTCCGGAGAAGAGTGTTCCAATGCCTATACATAGAAGTTCACCATGTACACTTAAATTAAATGACGAAGCTCTAACGGAAATACCTCTAACAGTTCAAACTATAAGAACGACATCGAATGGATTAACTAGTAGTGAATCAAACAAAAATTTCACATTATCGCCCGAGCACACTGAATGTGGAGATAGTACTACTGACGCTGAGTCTTTTGTATCGGATGGTGCTGGAACCCATTCTTCTAGTCCTGGTATGCCTAACGTTGAGGATGGATTATCAAGTGGTACTGGGAGTGATATGGAAGAAAATTCACCTACGTTAGATAAATCCCCTAAAGCAGTATTGAGGAGGAAACATTGTGGTTCGATCGACAAGATTTATAAAGGAGAAAATGGTTCGGAAATAAATCCAATTGAACCTGTTTGGGTAATGAGGTGAGTAAATATTAATGAGAGACGATAGATGGCGTTCTATGTTTAGCATATGTTAGATTAAAAAATTTTTTTCCATAACCTCTTAGCAGGCTATGTGGTGTAAAATTTTTATATGTCGAACAAAATCAATTTAGAATTATCGAACGCGTATAGGATAATTATCGATCGGTCAAGAGAGGTGTTTTTTTACGTGTATTATCTCTTCCTTTTTGCTTTCAACCAGTCTTTTATTAGAAAGTTACCCAAGTCAGCGATCCGTTATTGATGTATCTATTGACAATAGGCGATCAATTTCGATTCGTCCTATCGAACCAAAATTAATTAAACGTCACTTTGACTAGTCTTGTAAAATACGTCTTCTGCGTTGCAAGACCGTGGGAAAAGGGAAAGTGAAGAGGGGACTTTTTCTTAGTGTTTCAATAAACTCTAGGAAGCGTTCGAATGAAAAGGACGAAACGTACGTAAGAGTTTGCTGAAGCTTCTAATGCAATTTGGCGTAATACGGTTGAGGAGAGGGCGTTTCGATGAATAATCCCGCAGTTGCGCGCTCGCAGCGCAAGTTGGAGAAGGATAGCGCTTAAATGCTACGGGAAGAAATAGTCGTGACGGATTATTAATCCAGTGGATAATTATTTTAAAAAAAGTCACTGAGAAAAATATGCCTCGGCACGCTCTCATTAAAAGAAAGGACGATACTCGGTGCCGAGTGGTATATTGTCAAGAGGATACGGAAGAGAGAGACATTAAATTGCTTCAAGAACTAACTGAATGTATGATATATTCTCTAACTACCTCCGATGGAAAGCCAGTAGATGAACTTGGTTTAGAAATGCTAACTGCGGTCCTTTATTTAGGGTTAGTTTCTCTTAATTATAAATATAGTTCAAGTGAAACGAGCGGATAACAGCTGCATAGTGATAATCGATAGATGCAAATGAAGTACGTCTATGGAGAATAAAAAGTGTTGAAAAAAACAGACAGCTTATATAATGTACGTTGTTGGAATTGGCATGTAGGTTTTTCGCCTGCGCAGTCCATAAGAAAAAAGCGGGTTGTAGAAAAGTAAGGCGATATAAAACGCTCGTCCCCTTTCTACTTCATTGCAGTTCCGGCAGTCAACTTTACTTTTATTACTATTGGCAACTGGCGCGCGACCGCACCGCTTTTTTTATTACTATATGGGATGGTTTTTGTTACGAGAGAGAAAATGGGTAAAATTGCGTGATGAACCTATCTGACAGTACTTTTTTCAAAGGGTTAGACGACTGTCAAGGAAGTGTATAGGCCGCGAGTCTGGATTAGAAAGCTTCATCTATCTTCGTTCTGTCAGAGTATTAAGTAAAAACGAATCGATTTAGATTAAAATAAATATTCGACAGACATTTTGAAAATATGTCCCTACAGCCCTCCCCATATCCGTTTTTGATACGCAAACTTCCTCTCTTATTCTTATTTATTTTCAATGCCTTTTTTCTAACCATATCCATTGTATCTTTCATTTTTTTTTCTCTTTACTTCTAATATCATTGTTTATATAGTCGGGAACAATATTTTAAGTTCTTGGTATCATTTTACAGGGACACGTACGTTCGCAAAATGCAACGACAAGACGAAATGAGAAAAGTCAGGGATGAAATTGAGAGACAACAAGAAGAAGAATACTATAAAAGGAAACAACAAGGTTTGTTTCAATTATGTGCCTTGTTTAGCTTTTGATTGTTTCGTTATTGAGTTTATTTCTCGCCACTCTACAGCTTCTTTTTTAAGTCACCTGCCGTCTTTATTCATATTGTTACAAACTTTTTCATTCGTAAATTAGAGGAAAAAGCGAAAGGATATGATTATAAGATAGACACTATTAGATAAAACAGATTTACTTTTTCTTTATTCTCTCTTTTTCTACTCTTTTCTTCCCTTTTTGGGAAAATAGGTTTAATTAAAGAGGATGAGGAAATTTCGCCAGGCGATTCCATCAATCTGAAAACTAAACCTAGAGCGAATACGAAAGGTAAGTGACATAGCTTGTACTTTTACGCGCGAATTTGATCGACTATAATTATAGCTGCGTGGTGATGCGTGTTGTTCGGGAAAAAGCTGCACTTTTCTTTTCTAACACGCTAGATGGTGTACGGTGGCACTCACTTATTAATCACAAGATGGCACTAATGTATTTTGCCTGTTTACTTTTTCAAATGATTGCTTGTTGTAGGCCGGTGAGCCATTACAATGTGCACATTAAAGCTTCTTGCACTTGTTACTATTACTACTTAAAACTAGAAAGAAATTATGTGTTCCTCATTTTATCGTCAACCAAGAAGATTGCTCAAGCCAATGGGATATCATAATTTGAGTAGAACACGGAGGAATCGTGTGCTGGACGAATGTATATAAACGTCTCTTATTTATTATAAGTAGTTTTGCACGATTTCGTAGAAGCATGCACTAAAAAATATCTTAATTTCAATAACTTTACTCTTGATTATCGTTTTTATTTTTCTCTTTTTTTTTCTTTCCCGCTGTCAATTCTTCAACTGTTACTTTTTCGCAATCATCTCTTTTACGCTATCACACTGTCACTCTTTACGTCTTTTGTAATGGATTCTATATTCCTATTTGTTGATTTTTGTTGTTTGCGCAGTTTTTTCCAACAATTTCTCTCATATATATATATATAAACTGTATATATATATATATATATTCAACAAACGTAACAATATAAATTCTTTCGTATTTAATAGATTCTTTTGTCTATACATTTAAACTATATATACTTTTCTATTTTATTGTATATTACAATAGTTTTTATAATTACCTTTTATTTTTATTATAAATTACTTTATAGGTGAATTTTTTTTAAATAGATATAAATAGTTTTTTTTTTAAAAAAAAAAAAAGAGCAAAATTCAGTTTGCTTAACTAGTTTAATTAGCTTTGTTAGTAAAAGGAGAAAGAAGGCATTAACGGTTTTATACTTAGGTGACTATTAAATATATCATAGTTTTACCTATCTAAATTGTTAATGCTTTCTTTATAAGCACGAAAGCGCATGATGGCATGACTTTTTCCAATGTGCAGGGGCGTCGGTCGAAGCCTACGAGGAGATGGCCTCAAACAACTATAATTCCCAACGTTTAACATACAATCGATACGCATCGAAAAGTGAATCCTCTATATCGTCCTTAATTAGGCAAAGTGAAGAAGAAGAAGAAGGAAAAGATGGAAATTCGACAGCCTATATTCGCCATCAAGATGGAGGTTGGCTCTAGTGGTTTTAGTTATTGGCTTATAATGCTGCCTCTAGAATTTTATTGTTCACAATTGCCTATAAAACCATATGTAGGAAATAGTTTGACAGTAGCCCGTAAAACTCGTATTATACAGCTCTTAGATAGCCGCTTGTTACACAACGATCTAGTGCCAATCAACTGCGGGAAATTGCTTGATGTAATTTTGCGGAAAAATTTGAACGATTCTCTGATTAACGAAAAACAGCTTTGGAAAGTCACTAGAGAGCCTAAGTAGAAAACCCCAGACTATACAAACGTCTAATAAGTGTGAAGAATAAAGCCTTTGAAGTATGGTATACATTATAAAAAATACCCCGCGGTGTTGAATTATCAAAGTCGCTAACTGTTGTAAAGTTTTACAAGAGAATATTAAATTAAATTTTCGGTCGCTAACGGGCCAAAGACGTAATTCTTTTATATATATATTATTTTTCCTCTGTACAAAAGCAATTTTTTGAAAACACGAAACAAAGTAAAGAAGACTATACAAATAGGAAATTGTATATTATATTAAAAAGAAGAAGAAAAAAACAACAAAATTAAAATAGAGAAGGGTAGAAAGTATAGAAGCAGAAAGAGAAATATGAGGGATGGGGAATTTGGGGAGGGGTAGTAAAAAACGATTTATATGTAAGAAAGGTGCAGCAACTTTTTCAAGAGCTTTTCTCATTTTTTCCAATCATAAAGAGTGTAAGAGAAAAGAGTTCTTTAACAACGCTTTCCGTACAGATTTCGATACAGACGAAGAGACTGACGAGCTATTGGAGAAACAATACGAAAGAAATGAAAAAATCGATATTCCAGAATTGAAAAAACCGATCGTGAATAAAAGCGCTTTGGTTGGTATATACAATAGTTCCTATTCTTTTTCTCTTTTCTTTCGTTTACAAGCTCGTAAATTTCGCACACACACAAAAAAAATGTTGGAAATTGCAGGAAATCAATTGAGACTGATACTGACACTGCAAAAACGTCTAATTCGATATTTTACGCCCCTTACTGATAAGAATATCGCGTGTCATTCACCTATTTAACAGTCTTAATTCATTCTGTACGTCCATATTTACCGAGAAGTCGGGTCGGGGCCTTTGATTAGCATTTATTTATAATTTTTTCTTTTTAGTAAAGAAAAGAAAAAATACGTATATAAATATATACTGCTGATGTATATATTAGTACAATATTTATTTATATACAGTATATCTATTGCATTTATCAATTGTTTGCATGAATGAATAATATAATCTTGTTATTTATAACTAGAGTTTAGACTTTTATTGGATTTTAATAATTCAATAGAATGCTTTTTAATTTTCTCTTTTTATTCCCACGAAACAGGCCCAAAAACGACGAAGTAGAGCAAAAGAAGGTGAGAAGGAGTCATGTAAGCGTTTAATTTGCGTTGGTCCACCTCAATTCCTTTTTTTTTTAAATTGATTCAGTGGTCCATTTGTAGCTAGCGCAACACATTCGTTTACTTGGTTTCCTTATTTTCCCTTTAAATGGGTTTATAATTTCTATTATTAGTTTTATTATTATCACTTAGTAATGGATAGTCAAATTTTACGTCACAGTAGTAAGTAATAGGAATGATGAGAAAAGAGTTTTCCTCTATCTCTCCTCTTTTTTTTTTTTTTTTATTTTGAATGATAAATGCACTTTTTATCCGAGATACCGTTGCTTTTAGTGGCAGCATGAATATTCTAAAGGGCTTATATTTTCCTTCCGTTCCTTTATAAAGTGAAGAAAAAACCCTACTAATTTTAGAATACATAATATAATTAATTTTTCTTTCACCGATTATTAATTAATAATATGTTGTACTGACAAAAGTTATGTTTTTTATTCCGATATTGCTTCCACTCTCGTCTTGTGATAAAAAAAAACATAAATAACACTAACATTTTTGTGGTAAGTTCACTTATTACTTTAAAACTAATGGTGAATTATTATGGTGCGGGTGAAATTAACGATTTTGTCAATTCTATGTAACAAAAACGATTGGGAAAGAAATTTATAGAGGTTACGGTGATTTAACAATTTGATTTGTTATTTTGATAGTATCCTTACCCGATCCTGACGATGATACAGTTCTAATAGAGGGAGTTCTATTTCGAGCTCGTTACCTTGGTTCAACACAACTTATTTCGGAAGGCCAACCGTCCAAATCAATGAGGATGATGCAAGCTCAGGAGGCCGTTGGACGTATAAAGGTATAGATAATAAACGAATTGAAAAATTTTTTAGGTTTCTTCTCCTTTCCTATACGGTATTAATCTAAATATTTCCTCTCTTATTCTCTTCTTTTTCAAGGCATCGGTGAGTGTAATGTGTTGTACGAAAATTTAGACTTGACAAACAAACCTTTTCCTATTTATCATTTTACAATACTGATTGCTATATTTGTATTACAAGCGTCATTCAACATCTATAAATAAAATTTATATATATATATATATATATACAGTATATACAGTATATATAGTATATATATATATATAAACATATTAGTTTATTGACTAATTTCTTTCATAATTTTTGCCTTGTACAAAATGAAAAATGAATTTTGTAATGGTCTCTTGAAAAAAAAATGATTTAATAACTTTATTATCAGATTCAAGGACCAATGCATTTTGGTAAATATTATGAGGTATGGAAAAAATATAAGTATCACCTTCAGTAATACGTTGACGTTTCATACATTTTCTATATATTATAAAATGCACTTTCTCTTGATATTTCATGATAGTATAATTCACTCTCGTTGTTAAATTTACAATAATTATTATTAATGAGTTTGTTCTATAGTTGTCTCATCCAGTCTGTCTTATATTAATAACGGATTTTTTTTTCTGTTAATTATTTCTCTAGGCGCCCGACGGGGAGAATCAGCCTAGTACGGAAGTAGATCTATTCGTATCGACCGAGAAAATTATGGTGCTAAATACTGATTTACAGGTAGTCTTACTTCCATTTATCCATCTCCGGATTTTTTTTGCCTTGTTTTATATTTTAGTTTACTTTACCCTATTTTTTTATTTATTTATTCTTGTTTCCATTCAGGAAATCATGATGGATCACTCCTTGCGTACTATATCTTATATTGCTGATATCGGAGATATAGTGGTTGTTATGGCCAGAAGGAGAACTTTGGCATCCAGTCCAGGAGATGAAACCTTAATTAAGAAGAAGCAGACGAAGATTCTTTGTCATGTGTTCGAAAGTGATGAGGTCAGCCATTTATTTTCTATTCATTTCCCGAACTGGAAATTTCGTTCGCATAGTCATTCGAATTCGATTAGTGGCGTCATCTATATTACTTAGCAAACTCTACCCTTAGGATAGTTCTCGCCACTCTTTATCGAGTAGATCTGCCACAAAAAAAATATAGAGTACACTATGCATAAAGATAATTAACAGTATTGTAATAAGCGTTTATTCAATAAAAATATTATTTTTGTCAACATAACTCATAAGATAAACTCTAAAGACCGTATTATATTCCTTATAAGGAATATATTATATGTTCTTGTTTATCTATTAAACAAAAAAGATAGCGCAACAAGCCATTGATTTGTCGATTATTTCTTAGTTTAGCATTTCGTTTAATGCTGATAACGATCAAGTATTGTTTGTTAATTCCCTACTAAAAGCGGTCAAACTCATTCATTTAGACCTTTTGGAGAGTGGTTTTCTTTATATTACTTAGGTTTTTTTTTGTTTCCTTGGCATTAGTATTCTTTTTAGATGTTATAGAGGAAGCCCTCTTTTTAATTCTTTATTTGAAGGACTGTAATATGACAAGTGAAATTATAAGTAGGCAAAACTGACGTCAGTAAAAGCTTGCATGTTTGTTTTATAGTCGAGCGACGTCTCACAAACCATGCAAGTTATTATTGCAAACATCCCTGCAGAGCTTCTTTCATTTCACCCATTCAGGCATACATACCGGAAAGGAATTAAACGCCCGTTACTTTTTTTTCTCCCGCTTCTACGTATCAAACCGCTTTACACGATAATTACCGACTCTTTTATGTCCAATACACCAATCGCATGGTTAATGATTATCATTGATAGTATCCATTCTCAATCGAATACGCATATAAAACGACAATCAGGCGTCTAGCTCAATTAAAAATCGAATAGTAATAATTAAACTTTCAATGCATGATTGATCGAATGATTCAGGAACGTTGTGTAGCTGCAAGCTTTTTGTTTGACCTGATTAGAGAATCGATGGATTGACAATCAGTTCTCCCCTATCAAACCCGAGGCGCTACTAGAGGTCGTTGTTTTTTCCCGAATATCACTTGTTGCTTCGTTGCGTCCAGAATGTTTAGTCTAAAAAGTAGAATAAAATATGAGAAACTTGAAGCTAACGTCATGGGGGAGTCGTCTCCTATGTCAACGGTTTCTAGTGCGACAAGCGGTAGCTCTTTTGCCGATCCTCACGTTGCTCTGGATTCGGTACTGGAGGTTTGTTAGTTCTTTTAAGGTTGCTAACTAACTTTAATTGTAGTAAAATTCATAAACTTTTTTTTGCATTCTCTTAAACTTGCTTATATTAGTCGACGCCAAAGATATCGTGTCTTACCATCAATTACGGCTCTCTTCTCTTTTTTACGGTGTACAGCTGATTGCTTCTGACATGTGGAATCGATTGATTAGCGAATGATCGATTCCTGGTCGCTGTCGCCAAATTTTTCTCGTTTATTTGATTTGTGCTTGATGCCCAGTATTACGTATGCGCAGTTGGTTGCAAAGCGTTAGGAGAACGTGTTCGAAAATATTCTGCCTTCATTAAAAATTATGGGCGCCACATTAGTTTGTTATTTTTTACAGGCCCAGTTAATAGCACAGTCTATCGGACAAGCTTTTCAAGTAGCCTATATGGAATTTTTAAAAGCAAACGGAATAGAAGATACTAGTCTAATGAAGGAGATGGACTATCAAGAAGTCTTAAATCAGCAAGAAATTTTTGGAGAAGAACTATACATGTTTGCCAATAAGGATATGCAGAAGGAAGTAATAGTCCCTAAGGGTAAAGGAGAATGTCTCGGTGTGGTAATAGTTGAATCAGGCTGGGGATCGATGGTTCCTACGGTTGTTCTAGCAAATATGCTCCCAGGTGGGCCGGCTTCGCGTTGTGGCCTTTTAAATATTGGCGATCAAATTATATCGGTAAATGGCGTCTCTTTAGTCGGTTTACCTATAAGTTCAGCCCAAAATTATATAAAAGTGAGTTTTTCGAATAGTGTTCGCATAGTGAAGAAAAAAAATGATGTGGCTATTCTAAAATTTGACTTACCTAATTTGATTAAATTTCTTTAGGCTACAAAAACGCAAACAGCAGTGAAATTAACGGTTGTTTCTTGTCCACCTGTCGTTGAAGTGTGTATAAAACGTCCCGATGTTAAATATCAGCTTGGTTTTAGCGTCCAAAATGGAGTGGTAAATATCCCTTTGAATAAAAAAATATGATGGATTGAAAATATATACAGCGGCTGATTATTAATGTGATTTGCAGATATGCAGCTTACTACGAGGTGGAATTGCCGAGAGGGGAGGCGTTCGCGTCGGTCATAGAATAATTGAAATAAATAGCACAAGTGTCGTTGCCGTACCTCATGAAAAAATTGTTAATATGCTGGCCACGTCCGTTGGGGAGGTAGTAGACTTTGTTAGAGTCTTAGTAAAATTAATTATCTTCTTTTTCCTTTCTTTCCAAACTCCTTATCCATCTATCACAAACCACCTATACAGATACATATGAAAACGATGCCAACCTCAATATTTAGGCTATTAACTGGTCAAGAAACGCCACATTTTATTTAGTGAAAGTATTTAATCCAACTACGACGAAAGTTTTAAAAAACAAAAAATATAAGATGGTGCTGTCTCGTTACAATATTGCCTTATACACTTGGACGAGCGATAGAAGATGATTTTTGAAGTGTATGTCTAAGTCAAATAAAAACAAATGTTGATTTAGTTTACTTAATATATTTCTTACCACATTTTACCCATCACCCTTGTAACCACACTTTATCACCTGCTCCCCTTTCTCCTATTTCTCTCCCAAGCTCGCCTTCTCCCTCCCTCAAGTCAAATTTTCTTTTTTATTTTATATTTATTTCATAATTTTACTATTTCGTTCCTGCTATAAAATTAAAAAATTCTTTTTGTTTATTTTAATTAATTCTCACTGCCCCCTCCTTATTTATTTTGGTTACAACAAGACCCAAAAAAAAAAACACAAAAAACACAAAAAAAGGAAAAGAAAAGACTATAAATGTGAAAAAAAAACCTTTAAAAATAAACACAGTATTAAAATGTTTAAGAAACTGAAATATTAATACATAATAATGATAACAAATTTGCTTTTTGCCATGAATTAGTATTGCTAATTGAATGTTTATACATGGTATATATATATATTGTATATATATATGCTGTATATTAAGTTGTATTATGTTATGAACAATTCTTTTTTTTTTCGTTGTAAACAACGAAACATGTGTATAGGAAAATGAAGAAGATGATGTCTCTTTGATATTTTTATTTTCTTGCATCTTTTATTTTGTCCGATCATTGTCATTGCTGTTAAAATGTTCGTTGTTGACAATTTATATATATATATATATATATATATATATAATATCTAGTCCATCTTTTAACACAGACAAACTTTTGCAATATATAAGATTATTAAGAAAATATGCAGAATAAAATTGAAATTAAATAAAAGACATGTTTTTAAATATTCAAATTTATTATGAAGGGTTATAGAGAGAAATATGGCAACAGTGAATTAAGGGATGATAAAATATTAGAAAGCTCCATTGAAGGAATGACTAGGAAAAGATATGATGAATTAGAAAAAGAGTTTCAAGAGAATTCTGAAATAGCTAAGAGTTTACATTTGAAAATTAGAAAGATAGATAGAAAATCGTTAGCGAGAGCCTTTTCTAAACAATCTTTGCACAATATACTCTCGTCAATTATTCCTTATTTTGTATCTACTTTCGATGATGAAAGAAAGATATGGGTAAATGAATCGGAAGAGATTGCTTGTGTGTTTCGCTCTTGCGGTATAAATACTCGCTTTAAGAAGGATTGTAGAATATGGTTATACAAAAATAGTTCAAAGACTCTAGATAATCATCTAGATAATTCCAATGTATCGCTTACACTCTTTGATGATATTCAAAAGTATCAGGAGATAACTAATTGCGAAGATTTGATAACGAGTGACGTAACACTTCCTAGTCCACCCAATTCTGACCAAGAAATATCAAATGCAGTGGGAATAGAAAGCTCTCGAAAGCTACCTAAACCCGATTCTGACACTCAATTGGAAACTGGAAAATGGACAGTGACCTGATGTAAACCGACTAATAGACTTCCCTTATTCTATGTAAATGAAAGTGAGGGTAAATAGGTGGGGTAGAGAGAGAGAGAGAGAGAGAGAGAGAGAGAGAGGGGCGGGGCGTCACTATAAACACCAATAATAAATAATAGAAACTATGCAACTAATTCGATTGCGTGACGTAGTATAAATATATCTAATATGCTGTACCTTATACATTCTAAGTATATATGGAATAAGACTGGAACAGAAATTCTATATCCAATTAGATGACGTCACGTCTTTCTTCTTTCTAAACGTATACCATTTTTTTTTTATCTCGGGTAGAACTTTCGAATACAGCTGAACAATCCCTTCAAGTGATAATAATGTCCTTTAATCTTCTTCCTGTGCTTTACCTTACTTTAATGACTAGTACAACTTACGCTTACGGTATTTTACTACTCATCAAAAGCATTTATTTCTAAATAACATAAAGGAAACAGTTAAATTTAAGGCAAAAAGTTTGTTTATATCCGTTTGTTTTTCATTTATTATAGAAATTTATGAAAATGTTGCTGGTGGGGATAATGGTGCTACAGCCTTCTGTTCATCTGTTATAGATCAAGTTGATTACGGCTGCGATAAAGCGATAGATGGAAGATTGATAACAGATTGGGTACCGAATGGTCAAAACTTAGGTGCTTGGATAAAAATACAGTTTAAAACTGTTTATACTCTATATAAACTTGGTATTATGCCTCGATCAACGAAGAACGATCTAAATAAAAAGTTACGATTGGAATTTAGCGATGAGTCTACCCAAGAGGTTTGAAAGGAGAAAAATTTTTTCGATATTATTAGGCCTAATATCTCTTTTTTGTTTTCGTCTTAAAATGAATAAGTATTTCTTCAGGTAGTTCTTGAAAATATGCTGGGAGACACTGATGGAAATAATTGGCAGGAATTTGATTTGAGAGTTGTCTATTCTTCCTGGATAAGTTTGGCAGTGTCGTCCGTTTATACATACGGTAGTAATGGTTACAAAGAAATTCGTGTCTATACGAAACGTTAGTCATTCCATTGATTTTTTATCCCTCCCACTTTGCCTTCTCTTTTCTCCTTAAAACCTAATTTAGCAGAAGAACATAGATAATCGACCTTTTAAATTATTAATTTCTTTTCCTTTTTATCATATCCAGAAAGGGAAGAGATAGATTTAATAGGTAGTAGATTTTATAGATAGATAGATATACAAATATTTAGAGAAGGAGAGAAAAAAGGAAGAGAAGAGAAGAGAAGAGAAGAGAAGAGAAGAGAAAGCTATATATACACATATATTGATATACCATACCCATATCTTCCCCTAATACAATAGTATATTAAAACAGATACGTATGAATACAAAGATTTAAAGGTATGTTTAATAAATTGAATATAAAAGCATAAAATCAGCAAAAGATTTATCGATTTCAATCAAACTTTCTATTTTTTCCTATCACGCTATCCACTTGGGTATATTTTTAAATGAATGATAGATATGTAAAGGAGGGAAACATTGAAACATTCACGTATAAACACTCTTCTATCCTTTTCATTTATTTAAATATCATATGCATAAGTCGAAGAGTTCAGAGCTTAGTCATTATATTGTGCCGGGCTAGATAGATACGAGCCTGCGTATTAAGAATATTCAAAGCCATTGAAGCATTACAAGAAGCGTATTGAATAACCGCACCCTTCACCAACACCCTCGGACTCTGCTGAATCCGCCGGTCGGATCAGGACACGAGCTGTTACGTATTGTTAATTTCATTCGGCGGGAATACCAGAGATGAAGATTATAAGTTTATTGTTTGTGTTTGGATTAAACGCCTCAATTAAATGTCAAGAGGTGACGTTATATTTTAGTCTAGTTATAAAGTTATTACTGAAGATTTCCGTATTTTTGGCACGCCACCCTTTCTGCCCTTCTTTTTCTATTACGCACGATAATATTTTTTGCCACAATTCTCTATTTGATAATTTTCTTTTCTATCTGATTTTCCCTTTTTTATGGTGTCTTTTTCAATATTTTATGCTTAGGCGTCACAAGCGTTCCCTTTCAATTATGAAGAGCTTAAAGAAGTAAAAGACAAGTTAACGTGCCCTCAAGATTATGAAAAGCGGGGTGCAGATTGCTATAAAGTGTTTACTACTAAATTGACGTTCGACGAGGCGGAGGTGATCTGCGAAAGTGGAGGAGGACACTTGACGTCCATTGATGGTGCTACATCGAACGAGTTCATTTCGGAACTAATTCGTAAGAAAGACAGTAATATAGTAAACTACTGGATAGGATACAACCGTCAAAATGTCGACTCGTCTACACCAAAAAAAGCATTTCACGTATCCGGTAAACAAACGGAGACGTCTATCGGATATTGGGGACCGGGTCAACCGAATATTAATAAGGGAGAATGTGTAAAAATTACATATGAAAACAAATTTCCCTTCTGGAATTTTGCTTGGTGTGGCGAGAAACTGCCATTCATATGTATGAAACCAGCCTGTGTTTCGGGTAAAGATCTAATTCATTTGTATACAACAAGTTCAATCCAATTTACTATTTATACTTTCTAGATCAGTTTTACTGTGAGAAAACGGGTAAATGCATCAAGAATGAATATCTCTGCGACGGCTTTGACGACTGTGGCGATAGGTCTGACGAATTGTTAGATAATCAAAAATGCTGTAAATAATTATCAATTCTCTTGTTGAATATCAATTTATCTTTATTATATTCTTTATAGCCGATAGATGCGTCTTTTATAAGAAAGGTACCGAAAGTGGTAATATTGTTTCCGAAGGTTTTCCAACGTCTTATGCTTCGTATAAAGAATGTATTTGGATAATCGAAGCTCCACCAGGAAGAAGAGTTCAATTTAAGGTAAAATAGACGAAATTTACATTCTTATAACGCGCTGTTAAGCCACTGGAATTAATTATTGAACTTTTAATTAATAGTTTAACGATTTACAAACTGAAAGTGGTTTTGACGTCATCGATATTTGGTTAAATGGTAATACATTTGAAAAGTCACGGTTTGCTGCGTCATTATCAGGAGTTAAAAGTGTGGGACAAGTACCAACTTTTATTTCTGAGAACAATTTCATGATTATTCGATTCTCTACCGATGGTTCAATTGGTAACAAAGGTTTCAGTGGAACATGGACGTCAAGTATGTAACAGTTTCTTCTGTTCTATATAATATTGGTAAATACCTTAATATTTCTCCAATATTTTCCATACGAAATAGCTTATAAATGCGAAATGAGAAAAAAGGAGAACTATATGCAAACTGGCGAAGACCTAATTACTTTGGAAGGATCTGACGAAAATAGTTGTATTACTAGCTGTGAAAGTAAAATTAATTGTCATGCGTTCACATTCTACACAACAAAGGGGCGGTGCATTCAACATTCAAAGATTGTTAAGCCTATACCAAATAAATCTAATGATATAACCTCTTTTTGGGTGAAAACTTGTCCTGGCGTTCCTACAACTCAAACAAGTATGATATTGAATTTTCATATAATATTTCTTTAAAATTCTAAGAAATTACATCAGACTTATCCAATTTTTTAGGCCTTGAGTATTTACCCGGAGGTAATGGCGATGTTCCCACGGCGACTGACGAATGGCAATATATCATGTCACCTTTTTATCCGCTCAATTATCCTAGTAACATAAAAATAGATTGGCTAATAAAGGCTTCCCAATTCTCATTAATTACTATTCAAGTAAACGAATAAGCTCTCTTATTTAATAATAAGATATATATGATATTAATAAATGTTTCTATTTCCTTGCAAATCAATATTTAGGTTCTTGATGTGAAGCTTGGCGAAAAAGATCAACTCGTTGTAAAGAATGGAGACAGTGATAGTTCTAAAGTACTAGCAACTTTAGATGCCACATCCAAAGCAAATGATCTAATTATTATTACAACTGTTAATTCGGCTTACATTTATCTTGATTCTAAATCCGAAAAAACGAACGTTGGATTTCAAATAAGATATAAGATAGGTAAAAACTGTTCTCCTCTCTGTTTTTTTGTTGTTTAATCTAAATGAATAAAGTTAATGGAAATATTTCTGTTTTGCTAGGTTGTGATGTTGAGTTGACCGGAAAATCTGGTTCAATACAAACCCCAGGTTTTGGTATTGAAGATTATCCAGCTTTGCAGACTTGTAAATGGCTAATAAAGACTGATAGCCCTATAACAGTCAAATTTCCCTCAGCAGACTTTCGTCTGGGAACTGGAGACTTCTTACAGGTTAATCATCTTTCTAATAAGAGTATATTGTTTCCATTTTTAAATCGTTTGTTTTTATGTAGATTTTTAGAGGAATTACCGATCAAACACAACCTGTGCATTCAGGCAGTGGCTTTTCCGGCTTAAATGCTCCAACTAAACTACAAGTGAATAATGGACAGCTCTTAATTAAATTCACTAGTGATGCTAATATAGAGTCAACAGGCTTTAGTGCTAAATATTCTATAGGTAAATATTACTAATTATTCTCAAATGAATAGGCCTAATTAAACTGTTTTTTTGTAGATTGTCCAGACTATCAAAGAAACGTGGATACATCTATTACATCAGGAACTTATTCAGCAAACTTTGGTTCAAAGTTTACAGTATCCTGCTTAAACGCCGGATATTATTTTTCAGCTGAGGAATTCTTTGAAAAGAGTGCAGTAGAGTTAAGATGCGAAATTGGAGGTAAATGGAACTATAATCGTTTACCGCAATGTGTAAAACGCTATTGTGGTCATGTACCGGATGTTAATAATGGATATATAGAGAAAACAACTGGAGTTGTATTAGGACAAACAGCAACATTTAAGTGTTTTCCCGGTTTTTCCATATCGCCAAATGGTAATGTTAATTGTCAAGCAGATGGCAAATGGAGTTCCTCTCCTAAATGTGAAAGTAAGTAAAAAAGACATTTCCAACTTTTAAGATAAATACTATATATACTTTTATATTTTCAAAAAAAGGTCAAAATTGTCCACCAAGAGGTCCCCCTCCAAACTCTGTTCTGAGTAGAGTACACGGCGAAGGGTTCGAATATGGTACAGTTCTTACTACACAGTGCAATGAAGGGTTTGAATACTATAAAGGAAATCATGTGATTTATTGTAAGAATGGAGGAGAGTGGTCTGGAGAATTAGCTACTTGTAGAAGTATGAAAATTTTTTAATAAATTAAATAAGCGATATTAACATTTTCTTTTTGTCTATTTATAGAAAAGAAATGTCCTGTAACCCAGATACCAAACGCCAGTTCTAATAAACAAACAGCATTTATCGAATTCGAGGACGTTATTACATATACTTGTAAGGAGGGCTTCGAAATTAATGGTACTGCCTCACTTGCGTGTAAAGCTGATCAAACTCTTGGAAGTCTGCCATACTGTCAAGATAAAAATGAATGTTTGGGTTCTCATGGATGTCAACATAAATGTGAAAATTCAATTGGTTCTTATATTTGCAAATGCAGAGATGGCTTTAAACTAAGTGCAAACGATGGCAAAACTTGCTCTAATATTGACGAATGTGCCATAGGTGATAAAGGAGGATGTAGTCAAATATGTACCGACGATCCACAAGGTTCTTATGCTTGCTCATGCTCGTCAGGCTACAGTTTATTTACAACAAATGGACAAAGTGGCTTTACAAAACATCCCTCAGAAACTGGTACTCAACGCGGCGATCTATATCATTATAACCATACTTGTATACGTGAGTCTTTTTCTCTTTCCTTTTCTATGCTTCTAATCTAGAAATAAACTATTTATTAATATTTTCTGGTTTTATTACAGCTAATGAATGCAAGGAAGACATTGGCAACACTATTGCTAACGGAGCTATTCTCAATACAAAGTCTAGATACTATTTTGGAGATGAAGTAGAGTATGAATGTAGCCTTGGATATCAACTGTCTGGTGCTGGTAATAACATTAGGACAAAAAGAACTTGTGGAGAAGATGGAAAATGGAGTGGAAATACACCTACATGCGTTAGAGCTAGATGTGATTCTCTTTCTATTCCGTCTTCGGTAATTAATAGACCATCTGAAGTTAGTACTGGCTCATCTGTTGAATTTGGAATGAAAGTCACTTGGAAATGCGATCTTTCAAGAAAGGGAGAGAAGGGCAAGTTTATTGAAAAGTCCAGAACTTGTTTATGGGACACTGCAAACGGTGACAAAACTAAACAAGCATATAGACTAGTGGGTGATGATCTCGAGTGCGGTATTTTGGATTGTGGTGATCCTGGAGTTCTTATTGGATTTAGCGGTACCAAACCCTCCAATACAGAATATCTTCAAGAGTTTAGGTTTGCTTGCAAAGCTGGCTATCAGAAAACTGGAACTAGTAGCAAAGGTAACGATATCGTAGCCTGTGAAAAGGATGGTCATTGGGGTCTCAATGATTTAAAGTGCTCTGGACCTACTTGTACTGATCCTGGAACTCCTCCTGAAGCTGTTCAACATTCCGTTTCATACGAAGAGGGTCAAGTTGTTACGTATACTTGTAACAGACCCGGTTATAATCCAAAGCCAAGCCAACTGAAATGCGTATTTAATGGCGGTACACCAACCTGGGATGATGCAACAAGTGTTGTTTGCGAGGGTAAGTATCATATTGTAAAGCTTAGCTGACATTTTAATAATATATTCTACTTTAAAAAGATGGAGAAGCGCCTAAATTTACTGACTGCGTAAATGATAAGATAGTAATTATTAATAGACTGGATACTTTGTCGTTGAGTAAACCTCATGTAACCGATAACTCTGGAGCAGTAAAATCGGTTACCATTAAAGCTGGAAGCATTGATATTAATGCCCCAATTAAAGCGGACAGCGACATTACATGGGTTGCTGAAGATTACGAAGGAAATGCGGCCGAGTGCAACGTTAAAATAAAAATTAGAGGTGAAATAGAGTTTTCTTTCATGGCAAACCTTCTAATAGGCGTTTTTCTTTAATATCAATATAGAACGAAGTGTTGTCAGCATATCTGGTTGCCCAGATCATCAGACTGAAACTGTCGTATCAAAGAATGAAGATAGACAAGTGACTACAAAAGGTGCAAATTCAATCATAGGCGCGGTAAAACAATCTAAGGAGCCAAACTTAATTGACGTCAATTATAAAAATATTGGTAAAGTTTTCACTGTTACCATAAAAGCTTGGGATGAGTCGGAAAATATGGCTGAATGTAAATATCAATACTTAATTGAAAGTGGAAAATGCGTAGAATGGTCTTTAAGAGAACCTAAAAATGGTAACAAAAACTGCGCAATAGCACCTGGAGGAACAGTTTGTACTATGACATGTGAGAGTGGTTATGTTTTTCCTGATGGTAAAACAACTCGCGTCTATTCCTGTCAAAGTGGTAATGATTGGGATATTGGAAATGAAGTTCCCGATTGCGTTAGTAAGTATCATCAGCACTTTTCCTTTTTAGCTTTTTTTTTAATTCTTATCTTATACTCTATACACAATAGAACCGAAAGAAGCTACTTATCTTCAAGAAATTCAATTGATTTACAAAGCTTCTACATTCTCCCTTATAAGCGAAAATTGTGCAGCAGAATATTTAAGTGTGATTAGAAGTAAAAAAGCACTGATTGAGAAAACAGCCGATGAGCAAGATCATTGTAGTATTGTAAATGTTAAAATGCCAGATTCGGTTGATGAGGCAATAAAGGGTAGATCTGTAGTTTCTAACTTCTACGTCACTCTCTCATGGTCGATAACACCTTTTGAGACGGTCAAGAGTCGAAAGGACAGATGCGCGTCACTAACCACAGCCTTCCTTCAGACATTAGTCAAGGGAGAAAAAGGTTTTGCTGAGCATTTATTTGAAATTGTTCCCAGCTCAACATCAGGATGCTTAAGATTACTGCTTCAGACGGGAAAGTACGTATTTGTTTCTTTTTCATGGAAAAATATTATTTAACTAAGTTGTCTATTTAATTTTTCAGTCAATTCCAGGAAAGTCATGGATATGTTTGTCCTGTGGGTAAAGCTAAAGAAGACCTATGCAGTAAGTAATAAAGCTGATATTCAGCATTACAATTATAATTGCAAGTTCAATTACGAATTATAATTATTGTTCTATTTCAGTTCCATGTTCTCCTGGGTATCATTCTGTTGCTGGTGAATGCCAGGAATGTCCCAAGGGAACTTTCCAAGAGTCTATAAATAAAGATGAGTGCACAATGTGTCCAAATAACACTTTTACCTATAACTCTGGATCTCTATCACGGGATGATTGTAAACCCGTTTGTGAAAGGGGAATGATATCAAGTTCTAAATTGCCTCCGTGTAGACAGTGTCCTGTTGATACTTATTGGATTAGTCCTGAGAAATGTCAAGCTTGTCCTACAGGAACAGAAACTGAAGGTAGAACAGGAGCAAAGAGTCTGGAAGAATGTCGAGCAAGGTGTAAACCTGGTGAATTTTCTGTAACTGGAAGAGCTCCATGCCGAAAATGCCCCAAAGGGTTCTATCAGAATTTGGACGGGAGTACAACATGCAAAGAATGTCAATCTGATGAAACAACAGCATCAGAAGGAGCTGATGATGCATCTCTCTGCATCTCCTCAAGAGTATGCCAGCCGAGTCCGTGCTTGAATGGAAATTGTAATGTGAAAAATCACAGAGCTATTTGCAACTGTCAGGCTGGTTGGACTGGCGATTTATGCGATCAAAATATTGATGAATGTGCTTCAAATCCTTGTTTCTACGATGGTAAATGCACAGATAAGGTAAACGATTTTGAATGCGAATGTAAGAAACGAATAAAAATTAGCTTTGAAGAAAAATCAAATCAAGCTCCTTCGGATGGAAATGTTCTTGCATATTCTAGCAACCAAGGAGCAACGCGAGAAGGATGTATGCAGACATGTAAAGAAGATTCGTCTTGTACAAATGCCCTTTATCAGACTCTAGATTCGAGATGTATCTTATTTAAAGGTGAAGGAACATCCTTCGTACCTTATCCTAATAGTCTACTATTTATTAAAAAACAAACCGAGTCTGACGCTTATTCTGGAAAGAGATGTGAAATTGAGGCAAACGATTGTTTGAATAATCAATGTGCGAACGGTGGCATGTGTCAAGATTTGGATGGCAATTATAAATGTCTCTGTCTTACAACATCAATCTTTTCTGGACAATTTTGTGAACAGAGTCAAGATATATGTGCCCGTTCACCTTGTCAGAATGGAGGAACATGCGAAAAGCTTAGTAGTTTCCGCCGTAAATGTCTCTGTGTAGACGGATTTATTGGGAAAGATTGTGAAACCAATGTTGACGAGTGCGCTTCAAACCCATGTATGAACGGTGGAACTTGCAGGAATCTCTTAAATCGCTTTGTCTGCGATTGTAATAGTCGCTACTTTGAAGGAGAGCGATGCGAAAAGAGAAAAACTAATCCATGTAATGGGGTTTCTTGTAGTGGTAGAGGACGATGCATCGAGGATTACGAGAATAGCGCTACAAAATGTCTATGTAGCGAGGGATACAGATCTGATTATTTCTGGATGGAGTGGCAAGATACAGATAAACCCGACACCAATGACGATGATGACGAACATTATGTAGCTAATAACGTGTGCTCGGGAACAAAACCTCTTGAAATTAGATGCAGAGACGCTAAATCAAAGAAGACGTGGTCAGAAACTGGAGATGTTTTAATTGTTCCATGTGAGCTTGATGGAGGTCTTGTTTGTCTGAACTCCAATCAAACGAACAATAGAACTTGCAGCAACTATGAAGTTCGTTACAAATGCTCTCTATTAGCTGTTAGAAATGGTATATCAGATTGCGTTGTTGATGACGCTTGTGTTGATGATCCATGTGAAAGAGGAACGTGTAGACCCAGACCGGGAGAAAACCCTCCCTACATTTGCGGCTGTCCAACCGGCTTCTTTGGAGCAAAATGTCAACACGAACAGAATGAATGCGATGTCGAACCATGCATTAATGGCGGGAAGTGTATTGATAAAACTGGAGGGTACATGTGCGAATGCCCAAGCGGATATGAGGGTTTCAACTGTGAAAGGCAGAAAAATTTATGTCAACCAAATCCTTGCAAGGCAGAGTGGACTCAAGAGTGTAAGAATTCAGTAAATGATTATGAATGCGTTTGCAGAGGTGGATATCAGGGCAAAAACTGTACTGAAGAGATAAAAGAATGTGACAGCAATCCTTGTCTAAATGATGCCCCATGCGAAGAAAAGGAAGGAAGCGGTTATAAGTGTAACTGCCCTTCGGGCTACGATGGTTTAAATTGTGAAAAAATGAAAAATAACTGCAACGACGATACATGTAAACGAGATGCTAAATGCTTCAACGTATTTAATACATTCTATTGTGCCTGTAAACCAGGTACTTTTAATGCTATCTGTTCTGATGGGCCAAAATTATGTGAAAATGCAAATCCTTGTTTAAATGGTGGAACATGCTCTATAAAGGATGGTCGAGCTGTATGTAAATGTCCCCCAGCTTTTACTGGTGATGGTTGCGAAAAAGAAAAAGATTATTGTGGAGCAAATAGTATTTGTCAGAATGGAGGAACATGTTCATTAACAAATAACGGATACAATTGTGAATGTCCTAGTGGATTTATGGGGACAAATTGCGAGACTAACATAGACGATTGTAGGAATGTACAGTGTAATGGAGGTCAATGCATAGATGGTGTTAATGAATACTTCTGTCGTTGTACTAATGGTGTTGTGGGATCAAATTGTGGCAAATTAATTGATAGAAACTTTGATATAGCTTTCTTAAGGGCAACAAAGGACAGTAGTGCAGTTTCTCCAGTTCCCTTTAAAATGGAAAAGCGAATGATGTCTTTGGGCGTTTTCGTTCGTTATCTATCCCAAGCTGATACTGGTTTGTTCTTAACTCTCTTCTCATCCGAATCAGAAACAACTAAGGAAATAGATGAGAAATTACTTCATATTGATCATACTGGAGTAACCTTATTCTTTGATGGGGGTGATAGATTTTTACCTTTTGGTGCTAATCATAGAGTTAACGATGGACAATGGCATTATGTAGTTATCACCTTCGATTCAAATAAGGCTGTAGCAAAATTGTTTGTGGATGGAGCTCAGGCAAACATATTGTCAAGTTATAAACCAGATTACGAACTACCGAAGTATGGTATAATCCGTATAGGAGATAAATACGATATGAATAAAAAGGCTTCCGTTAAAAATGAGGGATTATTAGGTTACGTAAGCTTAGTACAATTCTGGAATAGAGAATTAAGTACGAATGAAATTGATGAAGCTCAAAAATTAGGCAACGATAATCCAGCATCATTGATAAATGAAATTACCCTTGATTGGTCTTTGATGAATACCGAAAGTGGTGCTACAAGAATAATTCCATCAGTACGAAAAATAAAGATTTGCCCCTCTGATAAGATAGGAAACGATTGTAGCCAAAATAATGATAAAATAGGTCCTAATGTCGTTAGCTGTCCATCAAATATTGTTAAAACAGGTTCATCTCGTCTAATTAGTGTTACTTGGACTGAACCAACGTTTAATAAAAACACGGAAAAATCATTTAATTACGTAAATGGACAAGTATTCACTGCTGGAGTTTATCAAGTTATATATGTTGCGAGAGATAAGTTGAATAATGTAGCCATCTGTAAGTTCAAGATTTTCATAAGAAGAGACGATTGTAACAATCCCTCTGCTCCTCTTAACGGTATTACACCAACTCGTACTACATACAAAAACCTCTATGTCAACAGTCAACCGTCATGTTCAGCATCTTATTATCCTCTCTTACCTTCACCAATATTCTACACTTGTGGTCCAATCGGTACCTTCAATCTGAAGGATCCATGGCATGAATTTAAATTCCCACCTTGCGGTAGAATCGGCGTAAAATCGTTTACATTAACTGCTTCATGGGGCTACGATCTAACAAGCTGCCAATCAACGGCTACAAATGGATTAAAATCAAAAATTATCGAGGATATAAGAACTTTACATACCAACCAAAAAGGCCAGACAGGACAAGGTTTATGTAATGCCGATAACAATTGCGGAAATGCAGTTGTAACTGTCACATGTAGCGGTAATAGGGCTGATGCTGATATTAGCATTAAAAATTCGCTAAGATATATTGGCAGTACGAGAACAACCATAACTTTAAACAAAGCAGCAATGCAAGATGGTCTCTTTATAACTGATAATGTTGCAGGAGGAAACAAAATCATAACTAGCTCTTTTAAAACTGAAATAGTCATTTCTTGCCCTCAATTTTACCACAAAGTTGACGATGAATGTGTCCAGTGCACAAAAGGATATATGTATGATGAAAGTGATAAGAGTTGCAAGGCCTGTGATATTGGAGAATATAGTGAATCTGACGGTAGCTCCTCTTGTTCAAGATGCGGAACTGGACAAACAACAGCAACGAAGGGTACATCAAATAAGAATAATTGTATTTTATCTTGTTCACCTGGCCAATATTACTCACTATCTGATAGACGTTGTAGACAATGTGAAAAAGGTTATTATCAAGAGGACAGTGGTAAAACTTATTGTCTACCTTGTGTTCTGGGAAAGACAACCAACGGTGACGGAAAGTCAAAAGAAACCGATTGTATTGATCAATGTGAAAGCGGAGAGGCGTTACAATCTGATGGAACCTGCAAGAAATGTCCAATTGGTACCTATAGAAATAAAGCAAGTAAAGAGCTTTCATGCCAGCAATGTCCATCTGGAACAACATCGAAAGAAGAAGGTGCAAAGAGTACGGCTGACTGTAACCGAGTAAAATGTGAACTGGGTTACATTCGAGAGGGTGATAATCCTGGCGTCTGCAAAGCTTGTCCTGTAGGCGAATACAGATCGGATGAAACGAAAGATACCGAATGTGTTAAATGTCCAGACAAAAAAACCACAGAACAAGAGGCTACTATAAATGAGATGTTTTGCAAATTCTTCTGTCCTGCTGGAAAGAGACTTAAATACCAAATCATTAATAATAAAAATGAAACATCATGCGAACCATGTCCTCTTGGAATGTTCAAAACCGAAAATGAACCATTTTCTGAAACTTGTACAAACTGTCCAGGCAACAAGCCTGACACTGCATATGTAGGCGCAACATCAAGAGACCAATGTAGATATGGAAATTGTACAAAGGGCTATAGTTTAGTATTGCATCCAGATAGAAAGGAATGCAAAATATGTCCACTAGGAACATATCAACCCTATGAAGATTTTTCACCCGGAAATAATGAATGCATAAAATGTCCTACCGATAAGACAACTAAGAAACTAGGATCTTCAGCAAAAGAGGATTGCGAGAGCGTTTGTGAAAGTGGATATCAACGAGATATCAGCCAAACTAATTTCATATGTATGAAATGCCCAATTGGAAAATATAAAGATAATACTATTGAAGAAAATGAACCAAAAACTTTCATGAATCCTTTTAGTAACTGTACGGAATGTGACAATGGCATGATAACACCAGAAGAGGCTTCCAAGACTAGGGGTGCATGTACTGTACCACCCTGTAAACCAGGAGAGTATTTAGATACGGACGTAAACCAATGCAAAGTATGTCCCAAAGGAAAATACCAAAGCAAAAAATGGCAAAAGAAATGTTTAGATTGTCCAAAATTTTTCACTACACCATCTACTGGAGCAAAGTCTTCTAGTGACTGCAATACTGTTGCTAGTTCGAAAAAATTTATCTTCAATGTCGTATTTTCTGACACATTTAATAGTCAATTAACAAATCGATCTTCTTCTGACTTCAAAAATTTCGAATTAAGAGTTATCAATATGCTGAAACCCGCCCTATCTTCGTTCAATTCTTTTATGTTTACAAACATTATTAGATTTGAGGAGGGAAGTACAGCGGCTTTTACTGCGACTTATTTTGATACCACCAAATCACCACCTCGTGAAGATGATCTCAAGCTTAAAGTTGATGAAATCTTAAAAAACCCAGAAAATTCAAACCAACTAAAAACGGCATCTATACTTCCTAGGGAGTCAACAGAAAAATGTGACCAAGGACAAGGTTTATCATTTGATGACGGTTGTTATGATTGTCCAAAGGGAACTTATCAGCCTCCTGAGTCTCCTGATACTTGCATAAAATGTAACGATCAATTCGATACAATAAAAGATAAAACTGCGGGCAAACATGATGAGGTTTGTCTAAAAATATGTCCACCAGGTAAAAGGAGAATAGGAACTTCAGACTGTGTTGATTGTGGAATTGGAGAATATAAAGCAAATGCAAACATTATGGACAAATGCGACAAGTGTGAGGACTTAAATACTATAGGTAAACAGATTACGGAAGGACCAGCTGCAACTGGGAGTGGAGCTTGTTTTAGAGAATGTGATTTAGGTGAAGAAAATAATTCGTGTTCAAAATGCAAAGTTGGTTATTTCAAAAGTAATAAGACGAAGAGAAATTGTGAGAAATGTCCGGAGGGCTATACAACGAAAGGAAGCGGAAGCACGAAGATGAAACCTAGCAATGAAGAAGATAGACATGGATGCCATCAAGCTTGCCTCATTCTAGGTGCGGGATATTGTAAGAACCAAGGTAAATGCAATCCGCCAGAAGATTCTGGTGGGTGGAAGCCACCTACTTGCATCTGCGAGGCCGATTATAAAGGTTCAACATGTCAAGATATAAAGGAAGATAACACAGTAAGTTACATTATTGGAGGTACTATTGGAGGAGTTGCTGGGATACTTTTTATAGTTCTAGCTGTTTTGGCTGTTTTGGGTCTTTGTCGTTATCATAAATTCTCGCACAAACCTCTCAAACAAAATATGAACGATGCAAACGATACCAGTGATAAAAAACCTCTTCCTATCACTACTCCTCAAACAATGATGGTGGCTCAGCCAGGCGTCTATAGTCCTATGGGTGTAGGGGGTGCACCGACCAACAGAGCTGGTACCCCATCTGCCACTTTAGTTAATATGACACAAAGTAAGTTCGATAAACAGCATATGTACATACAGTATATCAAACCTTGATTTTTATTATATTAACAGGTAATCCTCCTTATATGTATTATGAGGAAAGAGATTCTAGAGATATGTTCGACATGCAAGATTTCCGAAGTGTCAGCCAAGTAAATGGTAATTATGGTTACGGAGGAGGTTCATCTGCAACATTTTTCGCCAAGTAGAACGAGTATTTTCCTAAACTTTTCGTTCATAAAACTTTTTTAATACTTATTAATTATTTATAATGTTTTGCTATTCACTAAATATCATTTTTTTTATGAATAAAAATTTGAATGTTTATAATCTTTTGATTGATTTTTCCCTATCCTTTAAGTTTAATTCACAAGTTCATAAAGTTAAATTATTAGTTTATAATTATTCGGTAGGTGGCGTGAATGTTTATCAGGTAAACTTAATATACTATGACTTCTTCCATAATTAATAACTATATTTATAGTATCGAAAGTTTTGAATAAACTTGGCTTAGTTCAATAATGTCAATACCGAAAATATATGTTCAGACTGATTATTATACTTTATAGGTCTACTAAACAATTCTTATCTTTGTATTTTAGTTTTTGATAATGAATTTGACATCTTATTCTTTACTATTAACCTGTTGGTAGATCGATAAAAAAGAAAAAACAATGCATTCTCCCTCAGTTAAGGAACGTCTCGCCTTATTCCGGGAAAATCAGTAAGATAATACTAATTATGGATAACCGTTTTAACAAATTAAAGCGCTTATTTAAGAAAAAAAGCCTTCAGCGCTATTGTTTTTACTTGTTTTTAAGGCGATAAGATTTGCGCATGCTGCATATCTTACCGGTCAAAATTCTTGATCAATACTTTTAAAAAAATACTAGTTTCTTTCATATTATAACGTTTTTTCACTTGTGAAATTTTTTAGGAGACATCGTACAACCAGTTTAAATGATAATAATGAAGTTGAGACCCCTAATCTTCCATTAGAGGACACTGAACACGAAACTGATTACGATAAAGAACCAACTGGTATTCGTAAATATATTACGATTAAGCATTATGTCATAATAACTATAATACTTGGATTCATTATAATAACGGATTTCACTATTCGTTTCTCACTCTTAACGACTTTACAAAAGAGGTTCGCTTTCAAAACGGTTTATAATGGTTTAATTATATCCAGTTGCGAAGTAGGCCACTGTATTTTATTAATTGTCATCTCCATTCTCGGAGGAAAGATTCATATTCCCCGAGCTCTATTTCTTGGTTGCCTTGCTTCGGCAGCATCAGCAGTACTTTGGGCTTTGCCCCATTTTATTTACGGACCGGGACCAAAACCGCATCAACCAGAATCATTAAATATATCCGCAACGATACCAAGTTTGCAACATTTAGGCGTTTGCAATAGGGAACTAAATTTTAATTCATCTACCTGCATGGGAGGAAATGAAACAGGAATAACTAATGAATCAGCTGTTGAATCAATGGGACCATTTATATTTTTTGTGCTTTCCCAGTGTATGATTGGTGCCGGCTTGGCACCGTTTGTTACAATTGCTTTCACCTACATCGACGATAACACAGAACCACAAATTTCTTGTATTCTAATTGGACTGGTTATGAGTGTATCGTCTCTTGGAGGCATAGCCGGTTTCCTTATAGGTTCCTTATTCACCAGCTTATACGTTGATCTGGGCCGTAAGTTGATCTCTTAATTATCAAACAATAATGCCGATAAACATATTTACAACAGCTACTCATTTAAAGCCAAGCGATCCAGAATGGATAGGTGCCTATTGGCTGGGCTCACTAGTTCTACAAGGGTTTATGATAATCTTTTCACTTCCGCTCCTCTTCTTTCCCAGGCATCTTAAGAGAAAAACTAGCCACCACTCTAAAAAAGAAAAGAAATTTCAAAGAAGCAATAGTGTAATGAGAAGAATGCGTAAATCACTTCAAAGGCAATTTAGTCTGATGACAGACAAAGGTTTTAGCTATTTTCCCTTTCTTAAATAATCAATTCAACTAATAAGATTAAAAATTTTCCCTTTTCATAAAAGAATTAAATAGAAAAGTGACTATTCCATTATATAAAAATGGTAAAATAATTACTCATTAAAAGAACTAGACACAATTTATTACATTTTATATTACATAGGTACTTATTTTTGTGCAACGATGGGTATGGTATGTGTGTCTTACCTAGCCGCTGGAGTAATGACTTTTCTGCCAGCCTATATAGAGGATCAATTTGGTCTTGGACCCAATATGGCTAACATCATAACTTGTAAAAAAATTTAAATAAATTTCCTGTCATCTTTCATATTATCTATCTAAAATGTGTTCGTCATCCAGCAATTGCTATGGCTAGTTCAGTAGCGGCGGGAACATTTGTTGGAGGCTGGATTGCAGCAGCTAAACAATTGGATACTTTAGGCTCTTCGAAGCTTATTATTACCGGTTGCATTATTGGAGTTGTATGCTTGTTCATATCAATGTTTATGGGCTGTACTCCTTCAGAATTGGGTAACACACCGAGAAAAGATTTGTACGTAATTCTAATAGCATATTTTTTATTAAAGATTTTTTAAACAAGGTTTTTATTGCCTTCAGAACGATGAAACCGTATGACATTTGTCACGCTAACTGTTCCTGCAGTCAAGACTTTCAACCGGTTTGCACACAAGATGATTCAACGATGTATTATTCTCCATGCTACGCAGGCTGTACGAATATTAGCAGTTATATTGAAGCAGATGACAAAGTGAATGTTGTTAGTGCAACGTATAATTAATTATATTCTCTTTACATATAAAAAGTTACCCCTCATAGGTCTATAGCAACTGCTCGTGTGTTGGTGACACTGTAAAAGAATTGAAGAGCGGCTTATGTAAAAGAAAGTGTCCAATGTTAATACCGTATGCAATTGTTATCTTTATTTCAACATTTTCTGTAAACTTAGCAGGTTCACCGATAACCTCTATGATAATAAGGTAAATAGATATATCTTCTATGATAAATGTCATTGTTATCACTCTTAACAGATCCGTGGGCGAAAATCAAAAATCGTTGGCTCTAGGTTTAAACAATATAGCTACGACTTTAGGGGCGACAATGCCGGCTCCAATAATTTATGGTCGTATTATAGATTCTACTTGCAAGCTTTTGTCGTCAGACTGTAATGAATCGGGAGGTTTCTGCTTAAAATATGATTCCAAGAAATTCCGATATCTGCTCCATAGTGTAACAATAGGTTTCATTTCGCTTGGAGTAATATTCGTTTTCCTCGTCTACTTCTTTCAAAGTAGAAAGTTAAAGAACCACGACAAAGGAGAAGATGAAAAGGTAAATAATATGGGACAAGAGCTAGAAGATTTAAGGGGAAAAGCAATTAGTTTAAAGAATTAAAGCATTTATCAATCACTAATTATATTGTGTTAATAGAATCAATTAAGCAAATTTTATTTATGGAATTACCTAACCATCAAGTAAATTTTTAATGTATTTCACATAGCTATCTCTCCGTAATAGAATTTCAGACTACTTAGTGGATGGAACCATTTGGGACATTGTAGATTCCCTTATAACTTAAAGGCAATAATTTGGTTAAAATATCACGATTTATTTTACTCAATCCATTAATTCCATCCAAATATCCTTTCATCTCTTGAGATTTAAAAAAGAAAGATGAGGAGATAAAGAGTAATTTTCTTTTCTCTATTTCCTCATTATTTTATTAATCCATGCTTAACTTTTGCTTAGTTATTCTATAAATGTGTGCTCTATGATGATTTAGTTATTTAGTTTTTACTATAACTATATACTAAAGAATAAAAAAGTATAATATTTTGACTTTTGTGAATTAAGGGCAATGAGAATTTCAAAAACCATTAAACATAAAATATATACAAATTAGATTAGAAAATATCTTTGGTACAGCAAGTAAACCGTCTCCACTCCTCCTACGAGAATAGAAAATGACTGTTTTTTTTTACATAGTTTCAGTTTCAGTCCAATAACCAACTTCTAAACTTCGAAACGACTCTGCTAAAAAAATTTCTTCTTTCATCTTTGTTCTATTAAACCATTCATTGAAATCCTTCGACGCCATTAAAATGTATCTTTATTTTTTCTATATGATAAAAAATCATACATTAAATATATTAAAAAAACACAAAAGAAATAAGAGTCCAACTTGGAAAATACAATTTACGCATGCGCAATATTTCGTCAGTTCCGTTAAACCAATTTTTCTTTAATTGTATTGCTCAGTCTGTAATAGACTTTACTCAAGAACTTTTTTGTAATAAAATATTCATTGCTCATTTAAATAAATAAGCTTCCAAGATAAGCCGAGTTATAAAGTTTTAGGTAGAAAAAGCTTAAGTTATTAAGAAAGCTAAGGTATTTCGGAAGTTCAAACTACAAAAACTACCAGAAACCTCGTGGCGTATATTTTTATGAAAAACTCAAGCTTTAACAACATTGCTATTGCAAACATTTCTTTGCTTTTCATTGTTTTGTTAAAAACTTTTTAGTTTCCCAAAAAAGAAACTGTTTGTAAACCAAAGTTGTTTTTATGTGAAATTAGCACGCCTTACGTAATGACAATTTAAGTTAATCCGCCATTTTTTTCAGTGGTTGACAAAATGGCTAGTCGTGGAATAGGCAGAGGCGGTAGGGGAGCTCTCTTAGAAGCTGCCGCAAAATGCCAACCTCCAATTGGAGGCAGAGGACTTATACGGGGCATTGCAAATCTGAAGCTAGATAGAAGTTCGGAACGTAAGTTTATTTCTTTTATAGAACTAAATATTGCTATATTAATTACGTTATTAGACTCTGATGGAAGAATTAGACTAACCGAATTAAAAGAGGAATCGGCAGTAGGAAAAGTTTTCAAAGAAAAACAAAACATAGAAAGAAGCGACGAAAAATTTGAGAAAAAAATAGAGAGAGATGACAAAGGGGATAGCAAAAACAGGGAAGATATAAAGGATAAGGATGACAAAGAGATAAATCGTCGATATGAACCGAAGATCGAAGGAGGGTCAACAAAACACCATGGTTCAATTGGAACGAGGTAAGTTTAAATGACAATTGCATAATTTAAAAACTGAATAATTGCTTTCATTATTTATAGTGCCAAGATTATCAGTAATCATGTGCGTATAAAAGTTCAGGATTATAGTATCTATCAATATCACGTGTCATTCTCTGTTGATATTCCATCAAAACGAAAGAGATACTATGGAATATCTCAACACCAACAGCAACTTGGACAGTGTATGATATTTGACGGCACCATTTTATTCTTACCTCATGAACTTGATAAAGTATAACAATCTCAAATTTTTCTCTTTGTTAACTGGTTTTTTATTATTAATAATTTTGCAGGAAATAAATCTTGTATCCAACTTTAAAGATGGCTCCAAATGTGACGTGCGCATACGAAAAACTAAATGTTTAAGAGCGCATGAATGCATTCAGGTATATAGGCTGGTTATGCAAAGAGTTACGAATCATTTGCAGTACACTAACATCAATAGGCGTTACTTCAGCGTTGACAAGGCTGCATACTTAAAAGAAGAAAAATTAGAGATATGGCCTGGGTTGGTTGCTGCTGTTCATGAAGAAGAGGACGGTGTCTTTCTAATCTTGGACGTATCGCATAAAGTACTAAGGATTGACACAGTATACAACGTCATTCAAGACCTATTAAAGTCAGTCACGGGAGAGAGAAGTAAAAACGCTCGTGAGGAAATTACTAGAGCTCTATTGGGCCAAGTAGTTATGACAAGATACAATTACAAAACGTATAGAATAGATGATATTAATTTTGATATGACGCCAGAGAGTACTTTTGAGTCGCATGGCAAGCCAATTTCGTTTGTGCAGTACTATGACGAGCATTATGATATTAAAATCAAAGATCTTGGTCAACCTTTACTAACACATATACCTAAGAAGAGTAAAAATGACCCAAATCCTCCAGAAACAATTTTGCTTGTACCAGAACTCTGCCATATTACAGGCCTTACCGACAGACAGAGAACTGACTTCAAGCTAATGAAACGTCTGGCCGAGCATACACGTTTATCACCAACTCGTCGCTATGAAACAATGCAAGTATTTATTTCGAATGTTTACAAAAACGAAAAAGCTATGCAAGAACTACGGGACTGGCATATGCATTTCGACCATAAACCTTTGGAGTTGGAAGGAAGAAGATTGCCGGAGGAGAAACTTATGGTTGGTGACCGCAAAGTTATTACAGCAGGACCTGTAGCAGATTGGAGCAGAGAAATCACTCGATTGCCTATGCTTAAACCGGTGGCATTAAATGTTTGGGTATTATTAGTTACGCAGAGAGATGAGGGTGCTGCAATGCAGTTTTTGAGCACGATAAAATCCGAATGTAAAAACTTAGCTATGAGTATTGCCCAGCCAAAACTTATGAAACTAAAGTCTGATCGTACGTCGGAATACGTAGAGAACATACGTCAATGCTTAGAAGATTATAAAGATACTCAAATGATTATGACCATATTTCCGAATTCAAGAGACGATCGCTATAATGCTATCAAAAAAATTTGCTATTGTGAAAGAGGCATTCCTTCACAATGTTTAAATGCCAGAACGGTCAGTGATCAAAGAAAAGTAAGATCCGTAACTCAAAAAATCCTTATGCAAATGAATGTCAAGTTAAATGGAGAATTATGGGCGGTAAACTTGAGAAAAATGAAAGGAAGTATGTATTGCGGTATTGACGTCTTTCACGATGCTCAAAAACGATCTGTTGCTGGTTTTGTCGCTTCAAGTAGCCTTGACGCAACCAGCTGGTGGAGCAAGGCTTGCATGCAAGCTCATGGTCAAGAAATTATGGATCAACTTCGAAATTGTCTAGAGGATGCTATTAAGAACTTTCATAACAAGACTAACTCTTTACCTACAAGAATTATCATTTATAGAGATGGGGTTGGAGATGGAGCCCTCAGAACCGTTGCTGAACACGAAATATCTCAATTACGACGTGCATTCAAATCATTCCCTGGTTATGATCCCCAGTTTGCATTTATTGTTGTTCAGAAGCGAATAAATCAGAGATTTCTTTTATACGAATCTAGAAGTAAATTTGAAAATCCTGTTCCTGGTACAGTAATCGATCATACCGTCACAAGAAAGGATTATTATGATTTCTTCTTGGTAAGCCAAAACGTTCGCCAAGGAACCGTCAGTCCAACACATTACATAGTGCTAGAGGACACTACAAATTTAAGTCCTGATCAACAACAGCAATTAGCGTACAAAATGACTCACTGCTATTACAATTGGCCAGGAACAGTTAGAGTACCTGCTCCTTGTCAAAATGCTCATAAGCTGGCAGCTATGGTAGGACAGAATCTACGTGCTCTTCCTAAGGAATGTATGAGTCATACTTTGTTTTATTTGTAAATTTGAAAACAAGAATTCTCATTTATTAAGGTAAACATAATTTTGGTTATCATTATTAACAAGATACATAAAACATGCTAAAAATTATAATCAACTTGAATCATTATCCACTTCATTAAAATACCTTTCCTGATAGTTTTTATTGATCTCTGAGATCACGCTCATTATATTTCTTTCTTTGGGAGGTTCTTCCAATTCTAAAGTATGCTCGTATGGAGTAATATTTTTTGCGAATGATGAGACACTAGGCTTATTTTCATTGAGAGCTGGAATATAGTATGTCTTCGACTCTACATTTAATGCCTTTTGAGGTTCAATAGTTTCCATTTCTTCAACAGCTTGGCCAGCTTCAATATCTTCGTCAGATTTATATTCATTTAATTCCCTTTCCAACTCCTCTCTCCTTGCTTCTAAGTCTTCTAAAGATGTTTTTCGAGCTCTTTTCGGTTTAACTTGCTTCTTGGCTTGAGGAAATAATTCCTGAGGGAATGTATTCTTTAATGAAAACCTATTATTGTATTGGGGAGAGTCATAGCGTCTGAACTCATCTCTTGTTCTGCTTGGCGGCGGCGTATTAAAACCAGGGTAATTAATAAATTCGTCATGATCGTATGAAATTGTTGGTCGAATTGTGGGTGTATCAGGTTCATTATGCATAATTAATTCGTTAGAAATATGCTTTGCTTCCTCCACATAACCTGGGGGATAACCAAATATACGCATGCGATAAATCCACATAGGTAGCTCATCAGATCGAAGCCCTAATGCACATCGTAACTCTTCGCTTACCACTCCAGGCTTTGGTCTATGTTTTTCTCCTGATTCGTAGAAGCGAGTCTTAGAGGACGAACTCCTTTGACGTAATTGCAAACTTTTTCTTCTTCTTGTAGTCTCCTCTGCGACTCTTCCATCTCCGAGAGGTGATAGAAAATTACCATTAGAACGCCCATCTTCCACACAGTTCAATGAATCATTAAGTTCTTCTATATCATCCTTTCCAGCCGAAGATTGCGTATTATAAAAGCCATAATGATTAGTGACATAAACTTTTTGAGATTCGTTTCCAGATATATTTATTGTTTCCCTCGCTAGAATCGTAGATATTGCCGAATCAATTTCTTCTCGTAGTGAACTATTTCGTTATAAAAGTACTAGTTATTAACTTAAAGATATATGACTAAAAATTTAGCATTTTACCTTGGTATAGAAGCTCCAAACAGAATAGAACAAAGTGGGGAACTTTTTAAGTTTTTGTGTCTACAGAATCATTTTTTATGTCATGAAATCCTAAAAATCGCGTGAACAACGAAATTCAAATACTCACAATAATTTTTTTGCTTCTAAAATAGGGTTTTCTGAACTTTTATTTTCGCTGAAATTATAGATCTGAAAGAATTTTTTCTAAGATATGTAAGCAATATATACATACTGTTCTCTCGCAGCTTCTTTCAATGAATTATCAATTTGTTCATCCATCGATAATAAGGTATTATTCCATCACATAGGCACAACAGAACAGTTTTCCGCGGACCTGCTCTACCCGTTATTATCGAGCCGAAACTTCCGGTTGTATCCGTGATACTAGTGCAATAAATATAAAGTAAATTCTGAAATGGAGCAACAGATCAAGGCTTGTGTGGACAATGGAACAGAAATTGATTGGGACGCGTGGACTATTGAAAAGCTTCAGAGCCGACTAACTACCCTTGGATTATCCCCTGAGGGGAACAAACTTACCTTAATATTACGGCTACTAGACTACGTTAATAAACATGGTCCTGAATGCTTAGACGAGAATTTTCAGCGCATGGAAATAGTAAGCGATGAAGAATCAGACGAGGAAGAGCACGAAGGAGACTTTGTTATTGAGACGAAAGAAGATGGTGAAGAAATAAAGCGTCCAACTCGATTGCAATTTGCAACTGATTTAATATCTTCAGAGAAATCTCGAACTGTGAGACTCTTCCCCATAACTAGCTCTATGCTAAAAGATCCAGCTTTACAAGAAGTATTTTCTCTCTCAGAAAGTTTTATATTACGATTTTGTCCAGCCGAACCAGGAACGTCAGAATACGAGCAGTCAGCCGACAAAAAAGGGTAAACAAATAGACTACTAATTCCATCTATTGATCAATTAACTTGTATCAATTCAATTATTTAACAAAACAGGATTGCTGAGCTAAGATTTAGAACGTTTCTCGAAGCAGAAACAACTTCGAAAGGTTTGACAAAGAGCCTCTTTGGTGTTACAGTTAAACATTTAAAATCGTCAACAAAAGGAGTAATGCGTTATTGGGATAATCAGTGTAAGTTTAAATATTTATTGGTGAGAAAGGCTTAAGTAACTATTAGAGTAATATTTGACAGACGAAACTGAAAAAAGCGTTCACCCAGAAAGTTATGCAAAAAGAATTAAACAGTCTGGTAGGATTTTCTTTTGTATTTTATAATTTTGAAAGAATATTTTTCATATTTTTTAATAATATTATAATGATTGCTATTATCATTATGACTTAAGTCCGTTCTTTAGAAACTTTTAATAGTTTCTTAAATAAGGCGGTTCTTTATACAATTGAAGTCATAACTTTTTGAAAAACTATTTACAGAGGATGCTGCTATCAGAACGGTTGTTCTCTATTGCAACCAAAATATTGAGAATATTAGCGAAGAAACAATCGCGAAAGCGCTTAATCTTCAAACACCGTTTTCAATATATTTGCCTAGAAACGCCGACAGGCGACCAAAAGGGTAAATTAGCGATCCTTTGTTTTACTTTTAAAAGCCTTTAAAATAGGCTATTACACACATACATATATATATATAGCCAAGTATATACTACATATAGTGTATGTATGTTTATACCTATCTATCGCATTGTTCAATATTCAAGTGACCTTAATTTTTGTTTTTTTTTTCATTAAAAACCAATTTAACAGCTAAAATAGATGATTCTATTTTTTTATTAATTATTTATAATTGTTAAAAGGTCTTTTATACATAGATGACAGTTAAATTTTATTGATATAAATAAAGCTGCCATTTAACTCTCTAGTTAATTTCATTGTTATAGATATAGTTAGCTATAAATATTATATACATTACTAAATCGTTATAGAAGTGTATATACAGTATATATATATATATATATTTAATCTACAGAGATGTATTTAACTAAGCTTGTCTTTCTTTTCAGCTATTTATATGTATCATTTGATTCCTCTAAAGCAGCGAGTGCCTTATATGAAACCATAAGTAAAAATGATATTTTGTTGGATGATGTTCAACTTAAGGTGATATTGAATATTGTACAAGCAAATAAAGGCTATTTAATTTTCTCTTTTATTAGGCAACTTTAATAGATGGCGTTATTATATTAGATGATCAAACATTTGAATTGAAAGTTTCTGGTGATGATGTAAACACAGATGATATTCCATCATCGTTCTCTGCAGCAGGAGGTCTGTTTTTGCTACAAAAAAAAAAAAACAAATAATAATAAAATAAAATGGAAAAAAGTTAATTAAAAACTTGTTGAAGCTCTCAAACACGAAGTATAAATAGTTTTCTTTTAGAAATGCTTCCTCATCCAGAATTGTTATCTGAAAAAAGAAGAGCTAAAATGGAGCAAATGGTACGAAACCTTCATGGAAAATTAAAAGAAATTCAAGGCAAAAAAAACGACGAAACAATTTCCTCAACAAAAAAAGTCTGTGAAGGAATAGATTAAAAATCCTTTTCGTAATATTTTTTTCTTATTAGAAATTAGGTAAACTTCAACAAAAGCTGTTATTGGATAAAGCTTTAAAGATGAATATGGGAACTTGGTCAAATACTAAAAGGGGCAATAAAAAAAAAACCGAAGTTGCTAAACCTAAAATAGCAACATCTAATAAAAATCTTAAAAGCAATACCTGGCAGAAATCGAATAGCGAATCGAAAAATGTTATTAACAAACGAAATAGAAATCATCGGGGTAGAACACCATCTATTGGTGGTTTCAAGCAGCGTTCAAATTGGGGTCAACCAAGATCAACCAGCGGTTTTTACCAAAGCAGAGACAGCTACCCAAGCAAGTACGAGTCTTTTTCTTTCTAGTTTATCAAGTTTATTAGCTAATTTTCCACAACAGTCACCCTGCCATATCTAACTATTCTAATCCAAACTACGGATATTCAACTGTTGGAGCTTACGAAACAAACGGTGCAATTCCAGAACAAGGATTTGGTAGAGGTAGTTTATCAAGCTCTTTAATTCCTTTAAAATATCACAATTTATTGCATTTTATTATTATTATTATAGGATATAACAGCCGACGACCTGCCAATAAATCCTACAACGATTCCCAATATTGGTAATCTAAAGCGTGTGTCAACTGGAAAAAAAAAGATCTCATTTTTTATCGTATAGTTGATTTATCGTTACTTTATTGTGCTTGTTGTTGGTAATTTAGGGATATTTTTTGGTAAGAAAAGAAAGTATTATATGTTCTATGCACACATCAAGAATTGTGAACAGATTTGTTTCGTGAATGCTGGAATACTACTTTATTTTTGAGAAAGAGTCGTTATAGTAGACTTTTATGTTTAACAGTGCTTATTTGTTCTAATAAAACCCTCTCTAGAGTTTAACAAGCTGTCGTCCCGAGTTTTAAAAAGGGAAAAAGGGATATTTATAATCTATTAGTGATTTATACATATACTGTTTGTATACTCTATAATACTTTATAATTAAGTATTGATAGTTTCTATACGCAACGGAAATTTTCTTTCCTTCATCAGTCTGTAGAAAATAGTCAATATTCTCTTCAAAACATGTTTATTGCTAGAAAATGTCAAATGAGAAGGAACATTTCATCATTTGCAAGGTCAAGTGAACTACAAATATGTTTCTCTTCTAAATACTGCAATACAAAAATACTCTTATGATTATGATGATTACGAAGACTCAATCTTCTTAAATGATCAATTAACACAATATTGACAAACTATGCATACGGCTAAGACTAGAAATTCTTGGTTAGGCGTTATTTCTTTTAAACTGAACAAGAAATGTATGGACCACATGAAACGACAAGATATCTGCAGAATTTCAATATATTTCAGCATCAGAAGATAAAGATTAGTGACATCGAGATCAAATATGAAGCGTTTCTAATTGGATGGACACGATGAATGAGTAACAATAGAATGGCCACTATGAGAAGTCGTACCGCTTAATTGAGAGAAACCCGAATGGCAGGATTGGAGTGACGTCATCGAACCCCTAAAAAAAAAATAAAAACATGTATATTATTTAAAAGTCCAACCAAATATGTTAGAATAGAATGGAAGCCTTACCTAAACTTATCGGACGGTAAAAGCTCCGTATAATACATAACCTTACTTTTATTCATTGATAGTAGATCGAATGAATTTTTCGAATCAAAATATTTCCATTGAAGAATATAGCTACCAGGAACGCTAGAAACGTGAGAGCCCTGTAAAAATGAATGAGAAACAGATAATGATAATCTTTTTTTTACGTAATTACAATTGAAGAGAAAGATGTTTATTAGAGAGAATAATTCTAATAGGCTGAATTTGAAAATTTTCCTTTCTCTATTCGTTTTAAAATATATGTATTAGAATTAACATTTTTTAACATTAACATTTCTATTAATAATAGTAATAAATAGCATTAGAATTACCAATATCAGCCTATATCTTTTTATTAAGAAACTATCGAGTTCATTTTCTTGAAATTAATAATATTTATCAAAAATAGACTAACCTGAACGCTATCACCTTCTCTGCAAATGAGAGGTGCCTCTACAATTCTCAGATCTACTCCAACTACCATATGCTTATCAGTGTATTGAGTTGATCCTATACCGCCTACTGCACCACTTACATGGTGTTCGTGAGGTTCTGAACCGGCCAGCGGTAGGGTACTTCTTAATAGGGTAAAGGTGACGTCACCCTTAAGAATATCGAAATCCCAAGTAATCGCGCAGCATTTTTGTGGAACATGAATTAGAACTTCGTGCTGATAATCCTTTTGAATATATGCAATATGGTATAAACCTTTCACGTCGAAGGAGCTTTCATCAGCCGGTGCATCAGATCTTTCTAGTTCTTGTTCCATTTGAGCAGTCCTATAATGATGTTTGGGTACTAGGCCTCCTTCGGGTACATCACACTGTATAAAAGTATTAAGCATATCATTAACCGTAAAAGGTTTAACCTTGAAGAGGTATTTATTTTTTTCTTAAACTTACTAAACATTGGCCACCCAGGAAATCTGGTATAAATTTTTGGTCTATATAGTCTACTAGTCCCCCGCTACCTTGATAGTCATTACCACCGTAGATGAGGAATTTATTGCGTGTGTTCTCGTCGATAAATGGCGAAACCAGCGTCCACAATACAGGAAACACGCGAGGAGCTCTAACAATTAATAAGCGACCCATGGTCTCGGGATAATTAGCTTCGACTACTTCGATAATACGCAAAAGAGCACGGATACCCGGACGCCAGACGTGACGCATAGATAAACCTTCCAGGTCAACTATACAAGTACAATCCCTAAAAATATAAAGGGTTTCTTAAGCATTTCATGAAAAGCTTCTGCGGCTTCTCCATTGATATAGAATTAGTTACACTTACGTTACGGGCCTACCAAGCGCTTTAGTTGCTTCCTCAGCTCTTTTAAGTCCTTCTTCGTTAACGGCCAAAACCTATAGTGGATAATACGCAATAGATTATCGAAAGAAAATGAAATATATATTAAAAACGTGCTAATGAACGTTACACGTCTTTTTTTAATATATCTCTTCAATTATTTCGCAATACCTTGTAAATCATTTAAATAGCCAATAAAAAAGATTACATTTCCTTCAGACGCTTTCTTACAGTAAAATGAAGCAATTAATTTTTAATATCACGTGATCCTCTATAGAGATATTACAATATCGAGAATATATAGCCTGCCCAGCCAACTTCTTACGAATTAATTATAGGATATATAGGGATATAACAAGAATTGCCTCCGATTCTGAATCAATGAACGAGAAGTAATAAGGTAAAAAAAAAAAGAAGTAGAGATAGATAGCTAAATAGACAGATAAAATAAGTAAAGAGTAGAAGAGAAGGGTTTGCAAAAGAGACAAAATTGCTTTTTTTTCTCCTTCTCTATTTTTGTAGTTTGTCAACTAAATGAAAATTGACAAACGTAAAAACATTCGCTTATCTACTAATATGTCCAAAAAAGGGTAAATGATCAAGGAAGAGACACATAATAGACTATAATAATTGCGCAATTTATCTCAATAAACATAAACAAATAAGTTCTTACGTGTCTCAAAATACCATCGACATTTACGCTCTTCAGTAAACCTTTAACATCGATCTGCCCCAACCGCAATACATACAAAGGTCTTCCGTCTGTGTAAACAAAACTTTATCAATATAAACACCAAGTACATATTACACCATTAACGTAAAAAAATTAGGAAAAAAGGAAAGAAATTATAAGGGGAAGGATACAAAAGGAATATAATAATATCTCCCCCGCAGGAAATAGATATCTTCCTTTAGATAGACAGATAAACTAAATGGATAAAGTGTTTGTTACCTTTATCGTGATAGTGCCATCCACCTGAGTAATATTGGGCAATTACTGGTGACGGTTGATAACTGTCTAGGAGTTTATCAACTGAATGTTTTTTTCGAAATGACAGAGAATGGAAAAGCATTTCTCTTGCTTTTTCAACTTGAAAATCACGAGCTTTCAAAAACCGATAAAGATGCACGTCGCTAGGAACCTTGGGAGAAAAATAGAAGCGTTTTTAAATGGAAACCATATAGGAAATAAAATACATTTTGCGACCGTTTACAGTTATATAAATATATATATATACTGTATATAGGGAGAGGGAGAGAGAGAGAGAGAGAGAGAAATTGACATTTAGATTATAGAATACTTTCTAAACATACTTTTCCTTTATCACTGGCCTGCAGCCAACTTCTCAACTGTACTAGTTTACTTTCTTGGTAAGGTGTCAAATCACCTAGTATTCTATGTATGTATTCAGTTTCCAATTTAGGAGCGCAGTTTGACGTCTCTTCTTCATCATCACCTGTATTTTTTGCATTTAAAGTTAAAAAAACCGTCTATAATTAAAAAATATTCTCTACGAAGAGAATAAAAGTGTAAAAGTAAACATCGACTGTAAAAGATGTGTGCTATTTAAGATAAAAGACGACACGATTTTCAGTTCATTAATTAAAGGAGATTTCTTGGAATTAGAATTCCGAGTTCAATGTCAACAGCATTGGTCGCAATGAGAACAATCGATAGCTTTCTTCTTCTGGGTGCACAAAGGTCGCTTACTTTTGTAACACGAAAGAAAGTGACAAAAGCCAGCCTTTGGCATAGAATTACAAATATTACAAACATAATATAACAATCTAGAAATGACCGCTGATATTGTACTTTGATCGAAATATAGTTTGCTATTATAACAATATGCCACAATAGAAAATATTAGGTTTTCCACCATTTTTTTGCAGTATTAAAAGCGTTTAATGGTTACGTAACGGGCGTCACCTGTTTTAACTCATTGATCTTGAATATATTGTTGGTAAATAAAACATATATATTAAAGTGTGAATTACAGAGAGAGGTGGTAAAATTCCAGCTTGTTGGTTCAATGACTGTTAAGTAGGTTATTGAGTCTATTATTTGGTTTAATCCTACGTTGACCCTTACTTCGATCATCTAATCAAATATATAAACTGAAATGGAATACTCTGCGGCTTTTATTTTACTTCTCTTGATATACAAAATCTAAATTCCAAAGAAGTTAATTAGTTCCGGTACTAAGAGAGCCAAGCGAGCAGAGATGGGAGGTACAGCGATACGATAAGTTTAACAGCGAAAAGTAACAAGTCACATTTCTACAAATTCTATTGATTGTTTAGAATACATACCGTTACTATTCAGAGTTCTCCTCGGTGTTGACTCTGTCGATGATAGTGTTGCATCTGATCCTTTAGGAGCTTCAGTCTCCGGCTGCCAAATTGGTAAACGAGTAACGCCTTCATCAATTAACTCTTTAATATAAAACTCTATGATTTCTTTGCCCTGTTGATTATTATTATTATTAAATAATTATCATATTGTTACTGCGTTTCAAAAAAAAAAACATTTTTCATAAAAAAAATCGAAATTATTGATTTTTACCTTTTTAATGTTTGCTGTGTATTGCTTAATGGCTATCTTTTCAACTGTACTCTCAAATCCGAAAAAAGATTTGATTTCAAGACTTGCATCTTGTTCAAAGCACGTCCATTCAGGATTATCTGGATGAACCTAGATTTCGAGATTAACTATTATTATATACTATTGATTTTACGCTTAAATACTTTTTGGAGGGATACTTACAGAATATAAACAATGTTCTACTACTGATATTCTTGATGAAAAACTTTCATTTCTTGCTTCGATTTTTAACGTTCTCGACCTTCTATCTAGGGTATTTTTCTGCATAAAGACCACATGATCCACTCCAACAATCTATCGATAAAAACAGCATCTTTATACTATGATACATCTTATAATACAGCTACGAAAAAGGGTAATTAACCTTCTTTAAGATATATGGAGCGTCGACGTTAAGACGACATCTCCTTTGTACAACGTGTACAGCACCATCTGATGACTTTTGATCATTAATAATATCACTTCCTAAAAATACTGGAATCATTTTGCAGGTGGGAAAACGTTTTTCGTAAGCCTGGAACGACCAGATTAATTACGAATATTAATTGTAAAATCCATGGAAAAATATTAAAATATTCAGAAAAATAGAAAGAATGATAAAGCTTACCGCCATAACTAGTTCAAAGGCGTATTTATACACCCTTACGGGCGATTGATACTGCTGAACCATGGCTAACCGCAGCTTATTTACTGAAAAGAACTGCTACATCAATGTTTATGTATATATCTGCTAGGAAGTAGTTCCTATAGATGGCGCTAAAAGAAAAATTGAAGCGAAAGGGGATTTAATACGCCAGCGAACAATTGGAGGGAAATACGAAAATATTATCGAATTTTACATGGGAAGAGTAATTGTAATTAACAAAAAAAGTTGATTTTAACGAATAACCCTCCGGTTAGAAAGAAGTATAACATGCTTATTAGATTTTCAAATCCTCCTATAAAAATCTTAATTAATTAGTTTAAATCACTAATCGATGAAAATCCTTTTAGTATTCAACTCTTTACAACTCGCCCTCCCCCTACGTCGTACGTCTTTAATATTTTGTATAAATAAATTTACAAAGGAACTTAAAAAATTCCAATTGCCCCAGTATTTTGATATAAAAAAAAACATGAACAGCTTCTATACGCTGAGAGCACTACCCCGTAGGAAATGACCTTGTTTGCGGAAAGCTATTTTGTTTTCTTTATTTAAGCTAATTCAGCAGTACTTTCTGTAGTGTTTTATGAGTTTAAATAATAAAGACATTAATTAATTCATAATGTGTTTTTATAAAAAAAAAAAAAACATAAAGATATTATGATTTATTATTCAAGACAGTTAAAAGTGTTCTCTTTACCGTTATTTATTCATTTATTCAATATTCTATTATTCCCAAAATGGTTTAAATTTCAAATAGTCTTTTAATTTGTTTGGTAGAGGGAGTCTATCAACGTCATAGGTTTCAAAATATTGTCTAATACACAATCGACACAAACTTTGAAGATCTAAAACGTTTGGTGCTTTATAAACTTTTACTCCTGCAACTTGTTGAAAATAAGTTCCATGTTCTCCATAAGGAATTGCTATAATTGTTCCAGTGTTATTGAAAACTGGAAAAATTCCAGTCGGTGATAGTGTTGGCACTTCGGAAAGATAATTAGTCCTAATTGATTGAATAATTGCTAAATCTGTTGATTCGTATATCAATACTTTTGGAAAATTAAAAAACCCATCTTTAATAGTTCTGCCTAGAACCATTGATGATATGTAAGCTCCATCTGGTGACCAAGATATATTGTGCGTAGTTTGATAGTGAGAATAAGGATCGCTTGATTGTATAATTTTATCAGATTTCAAATCAAAGATGATTACAGTGTCCTTCCCGTGTTTGCAATAATTTCCAATAGCAATTCTTCTCCAAGTATACCTTGGATCATATGCTATAAAAGCTCTCACAGAAACATTACTAAACAAATTCTCCCTAATAACAGGCATAGGATTTCCTTTGCAAGATACAACTTTCATAGAACTATTAAATGTATCCCGCGCAAAATTCAAGACGTACATAGCGTTTGGTTTGAGAATGAAAGAAGATAAATCTGGACTAATAAGACAGTCGCATAAGTAATGTTTATAACCTTGAATGTTCTCTTTATGAGTCCCTAAAACCGTACCAGTCTTCATATGTATGACTAGAAATTCAATAAAATAGTCTTTGCAGTTCACTTGTAGAATGCATACTCCTCCACGATATCCCACAACTTGAATAGGTTTAAGAAAATGGGAAGCCGGTTCCGGTACTGAATGTAGTCTGGAATAAAAACTTCGTGGAAGGCGAATTTGAGTAGAATGGAAACATCCTTCTGAGATTACAATTTTCATATAATGTCTATCCAAGACCTGAAAAGAATTTTTAGAATATATATAAATATTGACAATTTATACAATATGCTCCTGTTAATAGATACAATATACAATAGACTGTATTTAAGTAATTCAATATTACTTTTCTCAGAAAAGGAATTCATAAATACAAAATCTTATTCTCTTATGAATAAAAAAGATTTTTTTTTTATAATTAATTTTTCTCTCAACTTCTACAAATTTCGATTAAGATGTTAATCTTTTCATATTCGTAATATCATTAGTCGTCTTGTAAAGAATTATTTATTTTTTTATAGGTATGTTGCTCGATTGTGACTTCAAAAATATTATAACACTTTTAAAAGTTTTAACATAAAAGGCGTCTAATATATTTTCAATTATATGTTTCCCATGTCGATTGTATTTATCAAAATTAAAGCTTGGATTTTATATATTAGTATTTCATATTGTGTAATAAACTTATTAATATTTTAATATAAAACAATTTTCTAGTTTAAGAATTTCATCACGTGGTTTGACGAACATGATATTCTATAATACCATTTCGGAATATTTTATGGCGATATATCTTTATATAAAAAGCAATAGAATCATTTAGGTTCTTCTTCCATTGTTTTAAAATAGCATATATTATATTGAAACAAGAATTATTGACATTATAATACGTATATAAAAAAAAGTAGGAGACTTTTTAGAAGTAGACACACCCATTTTTTTAAATTAATTCAGTTTTTATGTTAAAATGAAAGAATCAAACCTTTTCTGTTGAATCATACTTTACTGAAAAATATCTACCAAATGTACACCACGGTTGCAATCGTCCCTTTATATCGGAAGTATAATCAATTCTTGGTTCAAAACCATACAAAACACTGCTAAATTTCCATGTTTCTACGCTATCGGAAGCTAACATGGTCCATTCTTTCTGATTAGATTCTGATGTTGAATTATCTGATGAAGTTTCCTCATTTCCCTGGCTGCAATCCTTTTTCGTGAAAGAATTTCCCATGTTTTTTCTTCACGTGGTTACTGCCATGATGAATAATTTGCGTTACGACCACAGAGAGCGCTGTCATCGCGTGCAGATTAATTATTCATGAAAGGATGAAAGTTATTCGAAAATCGTATATCTATTTTAAAAATATGCTAATAAATAATTTTTGTACCAAAATATTCCAAATGTCTAAATAAGATGTAATTAATTTTTATTTGTACTTTTTCTAGTTCATTTTTAATGATAAAAAAGTCTGTTATTAATATGAATATGCGCAACATAATTTGTTGTATTCACTACGTAGAAAATATATATTGAGGTGAACAATAATAATTATAATTATATCTAAAAAATCAAGCTAATTTTGAGTCTATTTGTCCTCAAAATATTTAGTGCAAACACATTTTTTTCTGCTAATATGCAATGGATTTTTTTTAAATAAAACATCTGCAAGTTACAGGTCTTTTGAGTTCTTATTAATAAATATGTTTACATATATATTTTTGATCTGAAGGTTGCTCCTCTTTCATTTTAAACATAAAAAGGAAGGACTAATCATAATACACTCTTTCTTAATTAATTATGTAAAAATTCATTAGGACTAACGAAAATAAACTTGCTACAATGAAAATTCTATTACACAAACAAATATTCATATATTTATAAAAATAAAAGCACCTGCGTCTGACAATTTTTTATGTCAAATTACAAGATGACGTCAAAAAATTCGTAGATTATACAACACGAATCTTTTTGACAGATAGTACAGTTTATTGCTTCATAGGGCAATATCGATAAAATAAATGACAAATTTACAAGTTGTAATTGGATGTCTAAGTTGTTTAAGCCAGCTGAAAATGAGTTGGTGACGTGCGGGATTATATTTGGCTTATAGAAAAAATAATAACTGTACCTAATAAGTACATTCACTTTTATTTTATATACCCAAGTCTTTCTATTCATTAAGAGATTAAGTGAGTAAATCTTACTCAGTTTTACCCTTTCCCTTAAATATTAAGCTTTAATCTTCACATAAAAGTTTAAACGTAATAATAACTAGCTTAGTGTTTGCTATGGAATAGAAAGAAATCAATTTCATACTCTTTATATTAATACAAATATAAGAATAGAATGTTCTGAGTGTAGAGAAATTTTAAAGAACTTACATTTAAAATATATTCACATCTTTCCTTTTGTTCTTTTATAACTATAGCCAATTTTCTACAGATCTAATTTTATAAATTATTGCTAAAGTAAGCTATTTATAAATTAATATACAATTTCTGTGCTGTAATAGCCAATAAATGAACCCAAGTAAGCTACCTATCTCCTCAAAGCGTTATATATAGAAATGCACTAGATAGAAAATTGAAATGTCAGTTGAATTTAGCGGAGAATCAAATATGATAAACTTACATTAGACTTGCTTATTTTATTCCATTTAGAAATGATCTTTCGAACAATCTTTACACCGTTTCATTTTTCTTTAATTCATTTTCAATATTTCAAAGCCTGTTAACTTGAAAAAGCTCTAGTCAACTAATACTTTAAAGTAATTTGTTATAGAACATAAAAATTACTTTTCTTTTAATTTTAGTGTTAGTTCTGGAAAGAACTTATCAATTTTGTTCTTTTTCTATTTTATAATAAGGTTCGTGGTCCTTTTAGAATTTTTTAAAGATATTTCAACATTTTGAACGGTACCTTACTTTGACCTTGACAATCATAATTTCGGCTGCACCATAACATGCGGTTTCTCATAATATATACATATTTTATACATTATCTTTGACAACTTGTTACCTTTACATAGTTATTTTTTTTTTACATCACAATTTGACTATTTGTGATTTTTTTTCAAATTGCGCAAGAAAGTAATATTGAGTATTTTGTGACTTTAAGAAGATGAGCCACAAACTGTTTCAATTACATAAACTGGATGCTATTCGTTGCTTTGTAAGAATTTTATTATTCTAATTGTCATTCTTAATTAAGCATTTTTAAAACAGAGATTCTATAGTACTCAATGGTCTTCTAATAGCATACGTACAACTTTCATCGAATACTTTAAAAAATATGACCATGAATATGTTCATTCTTCTTCGGTGTTACCTCGGAAAGGAGATGGAACATATTTCGTTAATGCTGGAATGAATCAAGTATATATCTTCTGTAAATTTAGATTTATTGAGTTGTTAATAATATTTATTTCGATTAGTTCAAATCAAAGTTCCTTGGTACTGTTCAGTCTGATAGTTATTTTTATGATATGAAAAGAGTCGTAAATAGTCAAAAATGTATAAGGGTAGGAGGAAAGCATAATGATCTTGATGAAGTGGGACAAGATTTTCGCCATCACACTTTTTTTGAAATGCTTGGAAGTTGGTCTTTTGGGGATTACTTCAAAGTACTTACATTCATACAATATTTACTAAAATCTATGGATTAGTATAGTAATTTAAAATAATTTTTTAGGAGGAAGCTTGTTTTATGGCCTGGGATTTATTAACTAATGTTTATAAAATTCCTCCTAATCGATTATATGTTACCTATTTTGGTGGAGATGCTGAAATGCAAATACCACCCGATCTACATTGCCTAGAAATATGGAGAAATCTTGGGTATATTTATCTTCATTTTTAAGCTAGCCGTTTAATATAATCTTAATGCACATCGAATTCTCCAGGGTACCGGAGGACAGAATAATTCCATGTGGCAAAATAGATAATTTCTGGGATATGGGTGAAACAGGACCCTGTGGTCCCTGCACAGAAATCCATTATGATTTCATTCCTGATAGAAACGCATCTCATTTAGTTAATGTTGATGATAGAACGATAATTGAATTATGGAATTTGGTTTTCATGCAATATAATAGGTAAATAATTTATTCATGTTGTTTCTTGTTAAAATTTTATCTCTTTTTGATATTAGACAAAAGGACCAAAAGATAGTTCCTCTGCCTCAAAACCATGTAGATACCGGTATGGGTTTAGAACGAATAACTGCTGTTTTACAAGGAGTAACTTCCAACTATGATACTGATTTATTTGTACCAATTTTCAAGGAAATTGCCTCCGTATGAATGCACTTTAATGAATTTTATAGGCACTAATCATTATATTAAATTTTAAGAAAAGCTCAACATCATTATATAACGGAACAATAGGAAAGGACGATATAGGCGGTATAGATACAGCGTATAGAATTGTAGCCGACCATTTACGAATGGCTACGGTTGCAATAAGCGATGGACTTATTCCAGATAGAAAAGATTTAGGGTAGAATACTTTATCATGAATTAACTAAACAATCTCTTTTAAATTATCTTGAAATTCAACAGAAGTAAACTTAGAAACGTGATTTTTCGAGCTGTTAATCAATCATCCAACGTATTAAATTTACCTCAAGGATCCCTATCTTCATTGGTTTATGTTATTGGCGATATATTAGTAAGTTACAAATGTTTCTCTTATAATCTCTATAAAAAAAGAATTCTTAACATTATTTTTATAATATTAATAGGAAGAAGGATTCCCTGAAATAAAGAAGAATATAAAACAAGTTGCGGAAGTAATTGATAATACGGAAGAAGATTATTTAAAAAAGAAAATGATTGGTCAAAAATGTCTTCATAAGGCGATACAAAAATTCAAACCAACTGAATCAAAGTTAACCTGTATAAGCAGCATAAAAAATAGTTAAAATTTAAATTATAAGTTTCTCTTTCTTCTTTTCAAAGGTAAACAAATGATTGATATTCATGAAGGAAATTTTGGTTTTACTGTATCGAGCGATATTTTACATGATATATGCCAAGAATTTGGAATTGACTGTGAATGGGGTAAATTTAATGATTATCTGGACAATAAAAAGGCAAATTATTACGCAATGTTTTTACTTAAGATTTTAAAAATTAATTGTTTAAATTAATTAGAGCTCAACAATTGATAAAAAAAGATCAGGAAAGATAAAGTTACAGCAGAACGATATTATGAAACTAAAAGATCAAAATGTTGAATTAACTGACGATTCTGCAAAATATGATAGAACCCTCATAGATAAATTCTCAAGTAGCATTGTGGGAATTTATAAAAATGAAAATTTTATAGATAAAATAAAAGCCGAGGATGAAGTGTGTGGTTTAATTATGGATAAGTCTTGCTTTTATGCTGAATCAGGAGGTCAAGTTGCAGATTTAGGCTTGATTAAAAGCCGGGTAAAATATTGATTATTATTCTGTTAGGAATATTAACTTATAATGTGTTATTTATTATAAATAGAAAGGCACTTTTAAGGTATTAGATGTTCAAAAAACTCATGACTATGTTTTGCATTATGGAAAAATAATTGATGGAGAATTCTCAGTCAATGATGAAGTTGAATGTCAGCTAGATTTTGTAGGAAAAGTTTTTCCATTAAATAGACAAACTAATTAATTAACACTAATTAAATTGTGCTTCCTTTAGGATAGAAGGAATTCATGCTCTAGAGCTCATACTGCTACTCATATAATAAATTTTGCTCTTAATAAGGCTTTGGGAAACGTTCATCAAAGAGGTTCATATGTTGATGAGGATAGATTGTCGTTTGATTTCTATTGTTCAAAGGTATCTCACAATTTTTTTCTATCAAAATTGATTTATACATTTTTTATTCTTGACTAAAGAGAAAAATTCGCTCAGAGGATTTGGAAGAAATTGAGTCTATCACTAACGACATTTTGAGTAAAGGTTATAACGTCAAAGTTCTGAATGTTCCCTTCAAGGAAGCTTTTGATATGGAAGGAGTAAGGATGCTCCAAGACGAAGATTATCCCTCAACTGTTCGTCTTGTGACAGTTGGAAAAAATATAGACTGTGAAGAGCTGAAGAATGGCTTGGCTGAAGAATATTCTGTAGAGTTGTGTGGTGGAACACACGTTGAAAATACCAGACAAATTGATGATATTGTTATTACAAACATTGAGGGTCAAGCGCAAGGGTTGAAGAGATTAATCGCAGTTACTGGCCAAGCAGCTTCTGAGGTAATTCATAAATAAAAATGATATTTTTCTACGATCTTTTGATATTTAGGCTAGAATAAATGCTGCATCTCTGCTAGAAAGATATAGTAAACTTCAAAAGTTTGTTCTCATAAACAAGGATGTTGAAGCCATCGAAAAGGAGAGATCAGACGTCTTGAAGGTATTTAATTTACACAATAAGAGGAAAGGAAGAGATTTTCTATTAAATAATAAGTCAATGATTTTACTTTTCCTGTATTCACATAAATAGTCGCTCTTTCATGGTCCAACTTTACCGAAAATAACTAGAGACGAAGTAAAAAAGATGCTAGAAGAATTACAACATACAGTTATAAATAAACTTAAGAAGGAGGGAAGGGTAACATCTTTCTTTAAGAAGATCAAAGATCTTGTGAACGCAGCAAATTCTTCTGAAAAACCTTTTGCCGCAGGAGAATTGGAATACAGAAATGCCAGAGATGTTTGTTTCTCCTTCCATTATAGCTTGTCTTTTTTTCTTAAATTTTTATTCATCTTCTATTCATTTTGTAGGTAGTCAAAATATTAGCAGATAAAGAATATAATAAACCAATATTCATATTCTCCAAGTCGAAAAGACCAAATAACCCACAGCAATGCGTTTGTTACGTTCCCCAGGTAAAAAAAGAAAAGAAATAATTGAATATAATAACTACAAAGAAAAGTTACTAACAGTTAAATATCAATTTTTTATAGCATCATAAGTGGTTTACAGCGAGGGAAATATCTCATGAAATTTGTACTGCTGTCAAAGGCGAATGGCGAATTCCTAATAAACACGACCGACGTCAACTAATATTTGTATTAAATTTCGATACTACATGCACCGATAAAGCTATCGAAGTAGTGGAGGAAATATGTCGTAATAAAGGTCGGAATATATACAGGTGAATTGTCTATTGAAAGAACAACATCGTTTTTGTTTCTTTTTATATAAATGTAAGAAAAAATATAGCACTATTTTTATCGTTTCTATTCATATGAATCATTTCATATTTTCTTAACACTTGAATTTTTAAAGGAATAACTTCATATCTTTCTTTTATTCATTGATATTTTAAGCATTTCATAATTCTTTTTCATTTCAATATTGTTTGGCTCTAGGAGTAGCGATTTCTTGTATGCGTTTTCAGCCTTATGGTATTTTTTCCACCTATGATAAAGAATACCCAAATTTCCATAATATTTAGCGGAAGGATTAAGAGATATGGCTTTTAGCATTTGTGTTTCTCCTTCTTCAAATTTTTCACTCTTGCCAAGCATAATAGAGTATTGAAAATAAATAACATCAGAATTTGGAATATGCTTTAGGGCCTCTTTAACAACAGCTTCACCTCTTTCAAAATTTTTTAAATTATCATAAAGAACTATTATATTAAACCAGGCATTCAAATGAGAAGGTTTTTGTTGTGTAGCATTTCCCCAAGCAGCCAGAGCTGATTGGTGATGCTTTGTTTCGGCATACTGTATATAAAAAGTTTAATTGAGTATAACTTATCAATTGCAATATATAAAATAAAACAAATCAACTAACGAGATTTCCTAAATTGTAATAACAATCGGGATAGTACTTTCTGTGTCTCAGAGCATTGCCGAAGGAAAATTCGCTTTCTTTATACTTTTTAAGATTCATTTTAACGATACCCAAATTCATCCAAGCAGCCGCAAACTCTGAACTATTTAATAGTGCAAGTAAAAGTTTAAACGTTTAATAAATATATCTAATTAATAAATGACCGTACTTAATGGTAACAGCCTTTGACAAAAGACTTTCAGCCTCTATAAATTCTCCTTTATCCTTAAGAATATTTGCAAGATTATTCATCGCTTGTTCATAATTCTTATAAAGCCTAAAGCAGAATAAATATTCATATTAGATATAATATAGTATTAACATTGAAACTACCTTATTGCTAATCTATATTCTGAAATTGCGAACGTTAAATTACCAGAATCACCGTGAATTTTAGCAATATTATAATGAACTTTAGCATTTTTAGGGCAAACGTATTTTCCACTCTCAAATAGTGATTTTTCAGTTTTCCATATGATAGCTCTTGAGAAACTTTTAATTCCATTGGATAGAATAAATAAACTTAAGGCAAACCAACATAATTTAGTAAATCTTTTATCAATTTTTTTAAAATTAATCAATTTGATGAATGAATTTATGCTTAATAAACAAAATCCAATGGACGGAATGTATAAATTTCTTTCAGCAATGACAAATCCAACGCGAAAAAGTATGTTGGAAGATGGCAAGAATGGTATTATCATTAAAGTGAGACTTACTACTTCAATTCTATTGCAAAGGAGAAAAAAAATTACTATAAAAAATCTTCTCGACCTATTTTAAGTTATTATTGTTTGTATATTACTTTGGCAATTTTCTTAAAATTTTAATAGAATAAAGTCCAACAACAGCCCAAAATATGCAAACTATTATAAGTCTATTATCAGCCCAATTGAGAATTGGTATACATCCCATTGACCAATCGAAACACAACCAAGAAGGATTTAACAATAACCAAATATTCATAGCGTAAATATAGTTGTAATTAAATATCTATTGAAGAAAAAAGTCGCAACTATTAAAATAATAATTCTATTTACCTAAATAGAAATGATACCAACTCTTAGCAGCGTTCCATTCACAAATGAGTGAGGATTATCATGATATTGAAAAGTGGGAGGTTGATAATTCATAATTCTTAATCTTAAGTATAAAATTAGAATTGTAGAGGCAATTAATACTATAGATCTAATTAACGTTGCATTGTTGAGATTCTTCAAAAGTTTGTAATTACATTTATAAACATAAATAAATTCCATAGCAAAGCAAACAGCCTGAGGGGAATACATGGTACGAAGAAATATTTAGTTTGTTACTATTAATAACAACAATAATAATACTTACCAGTGAAGTTATACCTTGTTCTTTTGCTAGTACAGATAAAACAGTTGAAATTATCACAGGTATAATAAATACGTTGTTTGTCCAACCTGGATTATATTAAAAAGAAATAACACTTAAATTAATTTAAACGCTATAAATGTATACTAACTTTTTATATAAAGGAGTAATGATATCAGATAGAACATTGAACATAATAGATCGGCTCTACCTACAACAGCAGCAATCTGGAATAAAATTTAAAAAAAAAAATTAATTATATCTGCAGATTTTCATCTGCAACAGTTGAAAAATGCTGTGTTTTTTTCCTTACATTCTCAGAGTGCACTGCATGGACGGCGAAGTATATTGAGGCCAATTTTGAAACTAAGTTGTTGTTTGTTAATCTCTGGTATAATCTATAGGTTAGTAAGCAAATGATCGCTTGAAGTAGTATGTTTGGTAGATGAAAATGTATCTTCTGGTAACCGTTACCGAAAAAATACGACCACCTGTTTCAAATAAGATTTATCAAAAGATGTTTCTAATAAGAAAAAAGTGAAAAATATCTTTTGAATAGAAACCTATAGGTTAATACTGTTAGGGGTCTATACGATTTATGACTTCTCTTTGAGCTCATATTCGAACCCCAAAAGTCGTGGTGGAAAATATCAATAAAACTTGAAGATGGTAGAACATCTTTATTGCCCAGTATTGCTTCGCTATCATCAAACACCAAATCTCCATTATAGCTTACGCCAAAGCATAAGATGGTGATTGCTATTAAGGTAATATCATGAAAGAGCATATTCAACTCCGAGTGATAAAATGGTTACAGATAAACTTTAGTAACAGTTTGAAGGAAGATATATAAATAAAATACTGAAAATATCTCTTTAGTAAAATTACAACTGAGATTCACCACTTAAATCACGTACAGTAAAGCTTTGTAGCTTTAGATAGAGCTATTTTATATCCCTAATATAACCGAATGTTGATAAAGCATGATCAAACAGTGTTCTCTTAACAAAGCATCGTCAAATTTTACGATGTCCATATTTGGCGGTTTTAGAATTATTTCATACATTGGTATATTAAATAAGACTTGCCAACGTTTATGATCAAATATTCAGCTTGCCCGTATTTTATTTTAAAGCGACGTACAATTTTCCGAATCATAAATAAAAAAGAGAATAATTTTCTCGGAAAAGGGTTTGAACCATGCATAGAGAAAGAAGGATAGAACAATGAGTTTCTTTCATCAAATCTTGTATTATTTTCCGAAAAAGAGGGTCTTTTTGTTTTCTTTACAGATAATAATTATTAGGTTTTATTTTGTTTTTTCTTTTGTTTTTGGGTAGAAATGTTTTCTCTCTAGTTTGCTCATTGTGAAAAAAAAGACAAAATAAAGAAGAAAAAAAGCAAACCAACGGTATAAATTATGGCAGAAAAAAAAACTAGGTAAACTAAGAATCTACTCTTCTTGGTTTCCTCTCTTTATGAGACGAACGAACGCCAAATAATCGAGTTGACCTCCCTCGATTGGTGCTTCTTTGAAGGTTTGCTTAATTTCGTCCTTGCTGAACAGATCTCCAACATTCATGAGTAAGTCTTTAAAGCTATTTGACAAAATAGAAAAAGTTTGTTTAGAATTATACTATACTAATTCAGATCCTAGCTGCAATTCTCCAGGGGTTTTTAAGCTAACATAAATCTAACGGTATATAAATATACCGCAATACATTGTTTATTATGCAGCGCTATCTATGGGCGGAATTTTTCGCCCTGTTCTAAGTATAACTTTTTTTTATGATATACTAACTATTCTTCAGATAATTTTCCAGTATTTCCCTCGTCAAACATGATAAAGGCGTCCCTCAAGGTTGATTCGGGATCGGTACCGTGCAAATGTTCACCAAATAGAGTTAGAAAATGAGTGAAGTTTAATTGACCAGGACTCTCCTCCAGCATGGCCTTCAACGTTTTCGTATCTGGCTCTCTACCCAATTGTTGGTGAATCGAATTTAGATCGTCCATATCGATTACACCATCTCTGTTCTGATCCATCATGGTAAAGGCCTGAAAAAAGGTTTACATTTGTCAAGTTTGAAACACTTTCATATGCATTTTACCTCTTTGAATTCTTGAATCTGTGCCTGATTAAAGAGGGCAAAAACGTTTGATGTTCCTCTCTTTGCTGGCTTAGCTTCTTTTTTCTCATCTCCAGAATGTTCTTCGATCTCAGATTCTTCTTTCTTTTCCTTCTTCTTCTTCTTCTTCTCTTTCTGTTAAATATTTAAAAATTGAACCAAAAATTAGAAATTAATAAAATATTCATATACAAAAAAATGGGAATGGAAAAGAACTAATGCTATAAATATACACGCAACTATGGCAGGTGTATGTGCAGTTTAATATAAATTACATATTTAGGTCAACAGGCTTGGCAGCTGCAAAGTTTTAGAGTGCCACAGAATAGGTTATGCTATGCAAAAATATTGAAGATAAACGTATTGCAGTTTTACAGATTAGCAATATTATTTGCTATTAAAATAACTTGACAGAACTTGCGCACATTTTACAATTATGAATTTGTTTATTAATCTGGTACAGTCAAAAAATTTATCTAACACTAATGGAAGAAATGTGAAACAATGAAAAGATATGAGAAAAAGGAATAGCTTTCTTACCTTTTCTTCACCCATTATTGCAGTTGAAAAGTTTGTTGTCTGAAAAAATAGAATAATATAAGATATTGCAAGAAAAAGAAATGAAAATTTGAGAAAATACCTCACAGAAAAAGAAGATTAAGTTAAGTTGAAAGACAGTGGTCTGTCTGCTGGACCAACTCCTCAGACTAAACTGTGCAGGCAAACTGGAGAGTATCGTCACGTGACTACTCAAAACACTTGCCGGCGATTCTATATATCGTATTATGGGATTTAGCGCTGGTGTAATTTATCTTTGCGCTCTAATAATAGTTTACAGGCGAAAATTCTCACAACTCCTCTATATCTTTCTCTCCCTCTCTCCTTTTATTTTCATCCATCCTTCATCTCATTCGCATGTAACCTTCATATTTAGTTATATAAAGTATTTTCATATTTCTCGCTCTCTCTCTCTTTCTCTTTCTCTTTCTCTCTCTCTCTCTCTCTCTACAGAAATAAACTATGTTATTATAAAAAAATATTTAAAGATATAAAATTATTGCTTAATTTTTGTCTACATGTGATTCTTACTCATAAACAAAAGACCATAAGTCGTATTAAAAAACAAATAATATAACCTTAAATAAGTCTTATCTATATCGTACAAAAAATTGATTAGTAGTATCTTATAAGTAGACTGATAGTATCGTAATTTCAATTTAAAAATACACTTGAACATATATTTTATAAATGAACGTCATATGCTAAAAAAAGCTTCAAAACGATAAGAGTAAAATTGTAGTGCTTGCACATTAGCATATGAATGCACTAAAAAAAAGAGAGAGAGAGAGAGAGAATAAAGATGAAAAAAAAACTCTGTTCAAGAGTTTTTAATAAATGAAAGTTTTTTGTATTTTGTATGAAAAGATTGAATAAAAGAATATTAAAAAGTTTTGGAGAAGAGATTTTTCCTTTAAAAAGTTCATTCACAATTTCCATCATTCCTTTCTTTGCTTATAAAGTGATTGTACAAGGGTAAACGGTGTACTGTATAACGTATATAAATAAAAATTAGAATACTATCTTGCTTCTCTCTCTCTCTCTATATATATATATATATATACTCTATATATACTAATATATAAATATATTTATTTGTGAACAAAAGCGAAACCAGCACCGCCTTTAAGAATGAATATTATTGGCATATTCCTGTCAATAAAATAGGCCAAGAAATTCTATGGGGCAATATTGTGCACCACCCTTGTCAATTTGTTAAGCTATTTTTGCAATTTTTCTGTAATGTCGTCCAAGAGAAGAAGCGCTAGTACGAACAATCCTCCAGAATTGAACAGAGAAGGGGTTAGCAGTTTCTTTGACTCTTTGATCTTACACCTACAATTAAAAAACTATTTCTCTATAGGGTAATAGCGAGTTAAATCCGTCTTTAAGAATTGATTGTGGCATATCTTCCGTCGTACGTAGTTTACTTCCTTAATGTAAACGATTTAAGCTTTTTCTTCAACACGCTTAGGATTGCGAAGAAGGGCTTACACCGGAATTTGAAGCTAACATTGGATTAGTAGAAGAAGAACAGAATGAAATAACCGAAATTTTTCTTCAGATTGATCAAGAAAAGGAAGAAACACTAGCTAAATTACATTTTTCAGATGTTACTATTGCCTTATTAGTTAATTAACTAATTAATTAATGATTAATTATATTTATTTTATTATTATAGTATGTTAAAACTAATTTTTCTACTGCAAATAATGGCAGTTTCACTGAAAATGCCATAAAACAACCACTAATAGAGAAAAAGCATGAACTGGACAAAACTGTACGTAATCTTTGTTTTTATATTATTAAGAAATATTTTGAATAGTGAAATTCTGTCATTTCTTTGAAGTAGAGATAAAGATTTTTTAGATGTTAATCCATCAGTCTGTTTTTCTTTTTTTCGTCTACAGATTTCTGTGGCCATATTTGTTGCAATTCAAAAATTTATGGGCGATGTTGTTCTAACAAGACCTAATAAAAATGTATGTAGATCCTTGTTATCTTATTATTGAAGAATCGTTATTTCTAATCAGTGACCCTGTTACGAATTTAGACTAATGATCGTGTGCCAATAATGACCAAAGTCTATAGGTCTTTGGAAAGAGCCATTAAAGTATCAAGAAGGGCTAGTGTACAAAACCCAACTAACAACAATAAAGAATCTGTATGTATCTTTTCTCATTTTGATATTTTGCTTTTTTATCTCTCTTATTATCACATAGAAGGAGTATTTGTCGTATAAATTAAAGAAAAGGAATTCTTTCTTAAAAAAGTTCACAAGACAATCGAGTAATACGGATGATAGAGAAGAAAAAGCTAAGAAGAAAGAGAAACTTTTAAGAGAGAAGGTAAATTTACCTACAATATTTATTCATCTCAAAAACATTCTGCTATGTTTTGGTCTGTGTAGTTTGACAATGAACCGACCGACTACCTTTACGACTCCGGACCTGCAGGGGTTATTGCCAACCTGCCTGCTACTGAAATGGAAATACTGCATTTTATTATTGGACATGCCATATTAAGAAAAGATATAAGGTTTGTATTAAGACATTATTTATTTAGTGTCCAATTAGTAATCTTAATAATATAACAGAGATGAATTGTTTTGTCAAGTTTGTAAACAGTTGACAAATAATAAAAAGGCTGATAGCTGCAAAAAAGGATGGGTACTATTATCCTTGATTTCTGGATGTGTTGTCCCATCAGGACGTCTCTTTCGATATATTCGATGTTTTTTAAGAGACGCTCCAAAAGAGTATCATGATTATTCCAAATATACAAGAAAAATAATAAGTAGAACGGCTGCAAACGGTATGAGATATCATCCACCGAATTGGTTGGAATATCAAACATCGTTGGCAAGACAGTACATCGTACTACCAATTACATTCGCTGATGGAAGATTGGAATCTATAGAAGGAGATTCAGCTACCACTTCAGCCGAGTTATGCAATCGTTTGGCTAATAAAATTGGTTTAAAGGATTTCTTTGGATTTTCAATATTTATCCGAGTGTATGATAAAATCTCAAGTCTGGGTAGCGGAATGGATCACGTTATGGATGCAATTTCTGAATGTGAGCAGGTCGTTTTTGGAAGGGGACAAAAGACTGAAGATGCACCTTGGAAAATCTTTTTCAGAAAAGAAATGTTTAGTCCTTGGCATGATCCTTCCTACGATCTCATTGCTACCGAGTTAATATTTGTACAAATAATGAAAGGAATAAGATTGGAGGAGTATAAAGTTAGATCTGAAGAAGAGTTGGCTCGCTACGCTGCTATTCATTATTTTATAGACAATGGATGTGAATTGGATGAGGCTAAATTGTCAAAAAGTTTATCAAAGTACCTTTCAGAGAATTGCCTAAAATGGGGAAGAACACAGGAAGGTTGGACTCAGGCTATCACATCTTCTTTTCACGAAGTCTGTCAAGAGGGAAAGGATACAGGACAATTCAAGCAGGAGATTGTGACTGAAGCCCCAAAAAAATGGGTTTTACAATTTGCAGGTCTATTCGAGGCATTTAGAATTGGAGGACCAAAATTGACAAAAAATGATGTAATTGTTGCTGTAGCTGCAAACGGTTTTTATATATTGGACGAACCATATAAAATCAAAGCAGTTCTATATTATTATAACATCGTTGAAGTATTTGCAAGTAGAGCTGGAAAGGTCAGAGGACAAAGTTTTACTCTAATTACAATCAAAGGAGATGAATGGACATTTATATCACCAAATTCACAAACAATTACGAAACTTATATCAACATTTCTGGATGGTCTTAGAAGGAGATCTAAATACGCTGTTGGCCTACAAGATTTTATTCTCGAGACGAAACAGAGTAAATTCAGTTTTAGCCAAGGAGACGTTATCCAACTGGTAGATGAAGATTCGCAAAGAGAGCATTGGAGTGTTGGAATTAACGAAAAGACAAAAGTTAAAGGATGTTTTCCCTTTGATTCTGTTTACGTTATACCATCTTTAGAAAGACCTCCAGATGAGTTTTTGGTAAGTACGGTTAAAATTGAAATTATATTCTTAACCTATATATTTTACCTTATCTCTAGAATACCTTTGTAAACATGAAACAAGATACATTGTCAAGGCCGAAAAAGAGAGGGGCAGTCGTCCTATCTACAGGAACTATTGGAAGACACAATACGCATGGTTTAGATACAGTGGCTTAACCTATGACAAAGAATATCATTTTAAAAGAAAAACATGCACAACAATAAAATAATAATAACAAACAAGAAACGATATGAGAAAATAGAACATTACTTTTCAATCTTTTCTCTCATTTTTTTTTATTGGTTCATTCAACAATACACCTTAGCTTTTGGGAATAAAATTTTTAATCTTCTCACGTACATAAACTAAATAAACTGTATCAAATATACCGTGTCCTGAATAGATGATCCTATTAATTTACGTAATAGAGAGAATGTCACGCACGTGATGCTTCGATCTTTAACCTCAAGAGTTTTGACTTTTTGTATACATTATTTTTAATCAATTGTCTGATGAAAGTTACAAAGATCATTCGTTAGAAGCGCGCAATTTAACGCGACAACCTTTAAACTGTACCAATCAACTTCTTTGAACTAAAGAAATATTTAACTATATTAAATAGTTATCAAATTTTAAAAATGGCGGATATTAATATTTTAAACGCAATACATTTTTATTTTCTAATGTAAGTACTATAGGCCTTCCTATTAAGAAATGGTACTTGACCTTTTCTTGTGTCGGACGACTGTATTATATATATGGACTTTTTAACTAGTTGATTTCACTTGGATATCTACCAAAGTCGAGCAGCAAGTATATATTTTATTAAATTTAATACTTTACGCAATTTTTTTCAAATAATTTCCGTTAATCTATGTAAATAAAACAACAATATAGAAAAGTTTTCCATATAAAAATAAACAATGGCGGTTAATTTTTTTTATAGCAGAGAGAGAGAAAATGCCTCCAAGGAATTTAAACAAGTACAATGTAGTAACTGAGGATGATGATAAAGATGAGTTAGAAGCTGTGACAACCGATCAGAAAAAAAGTCAGGAAGCACCTCCAATGCAGATTGTATGGAGGAATGTCATCTGGATGATCTACCTTCATTTGGCAGCTGTGTATGGAGCTTATGCAATGTTTTATGTGAAATGGCAAACATGGATTTGGTGTAAGTTGTCAACTCCTTCCTTTCCCTTATTTTTAAAATTAATCTCGGTAATGAACTCTAAAAACACTTATTGCGTGTTTAAAACTTTCCTATCTGATAGCGATTAGAAATTGATTATTCTGTTTAAGGATTTTTTATCATCACTAACATACTTGTAATCTTTTTTGCACGTTTTCAATTAGATTATTATGAATACATCCTTTTTTTTATCTCTTTCAGTTGCTGCAACGTATGCCATGTCAGGTTTAGGAATTACTGCTGGAGCTCATAGATTATGGTCACACAGATCTTATAAGGCTAAACTACCCTTAAGAATCATCTTAGTTATTTGGAATACAATGGCATTCCAAAATGACATTATTGAATGGTCTCGTGATCATAGAGCTCATCACAAATATTCTGAAACAAATGCCGATCCTCATAACGCCAAGAGAGGCTTTTTCTTTTCTCACGTTGGATGGCTACTTGTTAGGAAACATCCTGAAGTCAAAGAAAAAGGAAAGAAAATCAACATGGATGACTTACTTGCAGATCCTCTCCTAAGACTGCAAAGAAAGTAAGTTACATTCTGCAAATATCTCTTTACAGCTAAATCTTAATACTAATATCAATCTATTTGTCAGGTTTTACGTACCTGCCATGATATTTCTCTGCTTTTTCTTCCCAGCCCTCGTAGCCTGGTACTTTTGGGGTGAAAATTGGTGGACTGCCTTTTTCACTGTTGGCATATTGAAATATACTTGTGTTGTAAATGCTACCTGGGCCGTTAATTCGGTTGCTCATTTGTTTGGTAACAAACCATACGACAAGGATATCAATCCCGTTGAGACTTTGGGTGTTGTCGTCGCCGCAATGGGTGAAGGTTATCATAATTACCATCATACTTTCCCTCAAGACTATTCAGCCTCCGAATACGGCTGGGGAAGAAATATTACAACTGCTTTTATCGACTTTTGTGCTCTCATTGGACAAGCATACGGAATGAAGAAAATCAGCCCCGAAATGATTAAAAGAAGAAAAGAACGAACGGGAGATGGATCTTCAGGTTTTGGTTACCTTGATCCTCCAAAGATTCGTTAAAAAAAAAATACGTATTAACGAACTATATCCATTATATTTTGATAATTTAATCGTTTTTTTTTATTATACAAAAAAGCTTGAAATACACTATTTTTCGTTGGCTGGTGACCTTCAACGATAATCTTTATGCGCATAATTAAAAAAGAGACGTTTTTTTTTTATATTTTCATATTTTTTTATATTTGAATTTTTAAATTTGATTCTTTAATTAGAATCTTGTTCTAAAACTCTATTCATTTAATATAGAATCATAAGTTTTCCTGTTGAAATTCTTTTACTAAACTGGCAGCACGTAGAGCACAACCCCAGTGAAGAGTTACGCCATTTCCACCATGACCATAATTGTGTACGATCTATAAAAAGATTTATATCTATAGTTTTTTATATTTTTAAATAATTCTATAACAAACATTAAGCTTTTTTGATCCGATAATTTTAACTTCTTTTTCAAGTCTAACACCGTTCTTTCTATAAGGTCTAATTCCTTTTAAAACCTTTAGAATTTTACATCCATGTAGTTGGGGTAAGAGTTTACAGCAATCTTCGTAAATCATCTTTGTATGTTGTTCGTCTGGAATTCTAGATTCGTCACCTTCAATTAGGGTACCACCCATTATTAATCCGTCGCTCCTTTAAAATTGTGTACATGTTTTGTCAGTTAAACAATAATATTAAAGATGCATTACCTTGGTATAACGTAAGCTGTAGGGGAGGTTATAAAGTATTTCATATGAAGAGCATCAACTTTTATCACTTGGCCACTGTAGCCAACAACGTTATCATCTCCAACCAATTTTCTAGCACCGTATCCTGTACAATGCACTATAACATCGTAGTTGGTTAACTTTTTGGGCAAAAAAAGGCAAAGATTTCATAAGATTTTTGCATAATTCAAAGCAATGAAGGATGGGAGGAAGAGAGGATTTGAAACCAATGGAAACAAGGGGAAACTAACCTCTTCTAGACTATTAAGTTTTCTCTTCTCAAAATTAACTCCCTGTTTTCTCAATCTAAACGTTGTTAAAAGAAATATATCTTAATATGGGATCACAGAAAATGAGTTCCATCATGCGATAAATACTCGTTTGTTAAGTAAGGCAAATATTTAGATCCCTCCAAAACCAAGGTATTGAAAGTCCATCCAGTTTCGTATTCTACTCCAGTTCTTCTCTTAATTTCGTCCTTACTTAGAATGTTGAATCCAACTACAATGTCACTCCAATCAGGCTTCTATTGAAAGTAGTATATCTATAATAATAAGTGATTTAATAAGTTTTTAACTCTATTACTTCAACTTTGTCAGACTCTAAGATCAGCGAGGGACACATAAATGCACCATACTCATGTGCATTAGGCCTAACACTCAGGTCGAATATATAGTTGAAGGTCGTTTTCTGCCATTTACTGGTATAATTAAAAGAAATTAATATTATTATACATATGTATCTACTGTATGTATGTACTAATTTATATATAGATATCTTTCTTTATTAAGAACTAACGATAATTCCTGTTTATCTGGATAGGTTACAAAATGAGGTTCCCATACACCTCCGGCAACATCAGAAGTTGTATCAGGATTAAAAGTGTCAGCAATTATTGTTAATCGTGCGGCTGGTAGTAAATTTTTTATACAAAGTCCTGTTGATAGGCCAATTACTCCTGCTCCAACAATACAAATCTTCATACTTAAGTTTCGATGTATAAAACACTATTTCCCAATTGATTAGATGATCTGTATTAATGGCAAAACATACCTTATATATATATATGTATAGATACAGCATATTTATATACGTATAAAATGAAAGCTTTGTTAATTATCAATACTTGAAAAAAGATAAAAAATCAAGTTAACGCAATCTAGAGCATATTGCATTATGAACAGGCAATGAGACAAAACCGGCAATAGTTATTCCTAGAGAATCAGATACGGTAGCAACACCTAAGCAGAATTCAAGATTCTCTTCCGGTACTTCTTCAGTCATTGAATAGAATGTGTTAACGTAGGCTGCACCACCTAAAAGTCCTTCGTAAGCTATTAGAATCATAACTATCCATACGCTTGGTATAAAATGGAAAAACGTTTGGCATAACAACAAGACAAGATTAACAGTTTGCAAAACAGGCATTAGCCACAAGTATCGGATTCTTATCAAGTTTACAGAAGACCTTGATATAAAAACGCCAGCTTGATAGAGAGCTTGATACCATCGATATTGCTCGCTGAAAGTTAACTTTGAATGAAACTGAAGTAATTCAAATAGGGCTTGATTTATGAAATATTCTGCAAAGTAGACTATTGCCAATGGTAACATATAAGGTAGAATTAAGCCTTTAATAAGACGAGCATTTGTACAAAATAACGAAACAATATTTTCATGAGATTTTCTTTCTTGTCTTATATCATTATCAATGTCATCATCGAAGAGGAATGGAGAGTTTTCAGCAGCATTTTCCTCAGTTGGTAATATTAATGAACTTTCTGCACGATATCTCGAAACGTTATGTAATTTATATAAAAGCAATTCATAAGTTAATAGGAATATAGCGGGCACAACCAGCATAAGCAATAATGTATTCTTAGGTGTTAGACCAGCCGAAAGCAGTCCTACGTAGCTAAGGGCTCCTGCTAAGCCTGCCATTCCCGTTCCTGAACTCCAGGTTGAAACCACTTTTTTATTATAAAAAGATGTCATGCTAAGGAATGTTATTTCACCGAATCCACTGCTTAAACTAGCACAAACAACACCGAATAGACTTAATCCTAAGTTTTTAGAGAGAGCAACGATGATGAATGAACCAGCTGCGAATAAACATACAAGCCGCACTCGTATATTATAGGGAATTTTTTGCATGTAAAATGGTGCTGTCAACTTTATTATTACAGTTGGAAGGATATCTGCCAAGAGAATAGCTCCAGTTGATATTGGATTACAGACAAGATGGTAGCTTGTATTTGTATTGGTTGAATTTGTGTCAATTGCATCAGTTGAATTCTCTTTCGATTCCAAAATATCATGAGCTGCGCTAAGCATTATCACATAGGCAAAATTATTGCATAATCCAAATATCCAAAAACTGACTAAATTCCTAATTAATCGAGAATTATTCCTCAAAAATGATAAATCCATCTTTGTTTAGAAAATTAATTAATTATCGATATTTGTATTTTATCAAATATAAATTTTCCTCGATATTAATTATTAGTAAGCATCGATGTTATACTTTTAAGACATTGGAATTGCAGTTAGTAACTATTTAAGACGATATTATTTTACGTACACTGTTGTCTGCTTTAGTATCGTTTGTCTACTTCTATCTTGAACAACAGATGGCACTTACATTCGGAAGTTATTCTGAGGCATGGATGATGAAATGTTCGACAGTTTAAAGCATTTACCTGAAGTCCAGGAACAAAAACCGAAAAGAAAAGTATGCGATAGATGCAAGTAAGTGGAATGAAATAGTGACTTTCTCTTTTATCATAACAACTATATATTCTATTCTGAGCGATAATATATAGATAGTTGTCAATTTTAGACGTCCCACTTCTGTGTGTTGGTGTTCATTCTTACCAGATCCGAGATTAGAAACCAAGTCAACTGTTTATGTTTGGCAGCATCCGTACGAAGTAGGCTAAACTTTTCATTTGATTTATCTTTTAAAAGACTTTAATTTCGCAGCAAAAAAGACCTTTAAGTACTACCCCCATGCTCAAAGAAGGACTTGGTCCATCGAAATGTCACATATGGATAGGTCGTCATTTAAGCGAAGGAAAATTCCCAAAAGTACGCGAAATTCTTGAAAGTCCTAATACAATTCTACTTTGGCCATCTCCAGATTCTATCGATGTATCTGAACTTGATAAAGATGTACCTTACAATATCATACTTATAGACGGAACTTGGTTTCAAGCTCGATCATTATATAAAAGTCATGAAGATTGTTTCCGAAATATAAGAAAAGTTCAAGTAAGCAGTGATAAATTGAGTAAATACTTGATTAGAACCCAACCTTCCGATAATTGTTTCTCAACTCTTGAAACTGGTGCCTTAACTCTATCAATTCTGCAAAATGAGCCAAAGATTTACGAAGAACTAACTAGACCATTAGATGCTCTTTGTCAATTTCAAATTGATCATGGAGCAACTAAACACGATAGTAAACAAAGTCAAGAAAATCTCTACGAATTGCCGTACGAAGGATATGGTCGCAGGAAAGGAAGTGGTAAACCAAAATGGCTAAGACTATTGAAAGAAACAGCCAGCTTAAAATTAAAAGATCAACCAGATGCTGATGAAAACGAAGATAAAAGTGATGACTTAACGAATTAACTATTAATCACTATTCTTTCCTCTTTTATATCTTTCATTAGTTGACATATAAATCAACATATTTTTTGTTTGTTGATACATTTAACTAAGTTAAAACCAGAAATCAAGCAACAACAAAAACATGCATAAAGACAACGAATTTTTTGTGTTCAAAACAAACTCCAGTCGTTATCATTGAATGCCAAAGCAGCAATCACTTTTTTGATTGTTTAGTCAATTTTTAAGACTTCTTTAGTCAATACTCAAGCTACTTTTTCTCTTCTTTACTGACTTCTTTATATCATAATGATAAATAAAGCGATATCATCAGCTTACACTCTAAAACTACTCCTTCTGTTCTTCTTATATACAGATCAGTGTCTGAAGAAATAATGACAATGCTTTCACTTAATTGCTTCCTTTGCTAATAGATTTAATGCATCCTAATCAACGATTGCTTGCCCTCTTATTTCATCAACAAAATTACTACTGCTTGTCTAGAGTTAGGTAGCGCAAGTTTCAAATTTGTGATCACGTGATCAAGCAGACGACAACGACGAAGTGAAAGCACGTTTATCTTAAATCATCAATTACAAGTTGTTATATTTCATAGATTAATTAGTGTTTGTTAAATAATTGTTTATTATAATTTAATAAATCTAAAATTTATTCTTTTGATAACATTGGTAATTTAAGGAAATAGATAAATTGCGAATTATAATGCCAAGACATAAGAAGCAAGATAAAAAGTTTGACAAATTCAGACAAAGACAAAAGAAAAGAGATGAAAAATATAGTACAGAGAAATTAAGAGAAGCTAGTGATGGTAAGAAATCAATCTATTACAGAATCTTTAATAAAATAAGCCTTAAAATAAAATTATAGATGAGAGTGGTGAGGATGATGAAGAAACAGCAACATTTCCATGTACTCTAGCCATGTGGGATTTGCAACATTGCGATCCCCGAAAGTGTTCTGGAAGAAAACTAGCGCGACTAGGCTATGTGACATGCTTATCCTTAAATCAAAGATTTAATGGTATAGTACTGTCTCCAGTTGGCAGTAAATGCGTTTCTCCGGAAGACAAGTAAGAATACTAAATCCCACGTTCTAAAGATACTACAGATAATAAAAATTATTGTAGAGAGATTATCCTAAACTATGGATTAGCTGTAATTGATTGTTCATGGGCTAAACTTGAGGAAACTCCTTTTTCAAAAATGAGGTCAAATCATCCACGACTTTTACCTTATCTCGTTGCCGCCAACCCTATAAATTATGGAAAACCATATCAACTATCTTGTGCTGAAGCACTAGCAGCTTGTTTGTATATAATAGGTACATAATGTACACTAACGTTTATTTAGAGTAATTTTCATTAATTGTATTTACCTTTTGCAGGATTTAAAGATTCAGCCGAAGAACTATTGCATAAATTTAAATGGGGTCACGGATTTCTTTCTCTGAATGAAGAACTATTAGATTTATATGCTGGTTGTCCCAATAGCGAACAGGTTATCAAAGCTCAAGAGAAATTTTTGGATGATGAGAGGAAGAACGCAATCTCAAATAGAGATTATGATTTGCCGCCATCATAGTAAGAATAGCGATTATGACACGAATACTTAAATTTATTTTCCATTTTCCTAGTTCTTCCGTAGAAGAAAGTGAAGAAGAAGAAGAAGAAGAAGAAGAAAAAGAAGAAGAAAAGAAAGAAATTCCTCCCAAGGAAGAGATAAATGAAGAAGAAAAGCCGAAAACTTCGGACTAGTCGTTAGCTTGTTTGTGAAAATGTAAACAAATATATTTAAGGAGAAAGAGAAGCTGTATTATTAAAATTTAGAAACTCAACAGTTTTTTGTTGTAACATTTAGAAACATTTGAAAAAATTTTGTAGAAAAGTTCGATGTGTGACCAAAAATACGAATACTGAGGTGACTAGAAAGACACGCACAATTACTTTGATATAACCAGCTAGAGAACTCTTGCAAAAATTACATTCTAGAGTTCATCCTTTCCTTGTTTACAATGCCCTCTGATTCCAGAGCCATAACACATTTCTTTTTGTAATTTCTTAAGTGATTTTGGATCCTTTTTCCATATTTTATAAATTTCTACTTCACCCATTTCATCAACAAATCTATTACACATTTCAGCTATTCTACCTGGCCATTTACCTCCTCCTTGCATAACACCTGGTGAATCAGCTGCATCAGTTCCAGGCCCAGAAAGACGTTTAACTTTATTTATTTCTTTTATACCATAGCTGACAAGAAAACAATGAATATATTAATAAATTTTGGGAAACCCTATTTATAAGTAGATAATGAAATATTTACTTGTTAAATGTATCGACAACGCATACTTTTTCAAAAATCTCCAAAATTTCCGACTCCGGTATGTTATACTTCAACTTAGTAAACTTTTTATTCGTTTTTTCAAAGCCCTCGTGCAACTGTAGTTGTTATCGATGTGACAGTTCAATGTTATTAATTATTCATTAGCATAAGACATACCTTAAATGTTATGACTTTGCAAGCGTCACATTTTATAGCGACATTTTTTGTTGGTAAAAAGTTGCTATGCGATTCTTCGTCATCCATTTGAGGTACTGTGAACTTCATAGCAGTTGTCCCGGGGGGCGGTTCAAATTTTTCATCTTCACAATTAATGTTATAAATAAAGCAAAAGGCAAAGAATGCAACTAGTAGTCTCGGCAATATCTCCATGCTGAATGACTGCAGCGTCACGCTTATTCAAATTCGAGAGCACCAACGACTAACAAACGCGTGTCACTTTCTGTTAGTTTGTCTCAACGCATGCGCAGCGCAGCTAGAAAACCGGTATATAAACGCGTTACAAAAAGGAAAAAAAGGACTTCCGTATCCGGAATTTACTCTGTGATCGCGCTATATTGGGAGTGGTGAAAAAGCTAGCCAAGAGGTAAATATAATTATTTTAAAATAATTTTCATGCTTTTAGAACGCTTTCTGTTAGACAAGCTGTTTTAATCAAGTAAAATACTCTATTTGCTAATTTTCAACATCTACATATAGCATTTCAACACTTAATGAACAATAAAGCATAAATACATATAAATTTCCTGCTTTGGTTGACTGCGTCTCTTATTAGTTGGAAATAGTAAAACAATTTACTATCCTACTGACACTAAGAGCGAACTTAAATTTTAATAACTTTATTAATTCTATACGATTACTTCATATAAAGTGGATGAATCATAAACTCAGAGCCTCCTACTCATTGATTTTCCCTTATTTAGGAAGAGTGAGTCATTCGTACATCATCACCAAAAATATACGCTAACCTTGAGATAAACTTGATTAAGACAGCATACTCGCATGATAATTGACAGAATTTTATGTCAGATACAAGTATTTACCTTTGCATGATTAATTTTGAAATTAATAGGCCTTTAATCTGCATCTTTTCTATTTTTTAACGGTTTCAGCGTTTTTATGCTGTATACACTTATATATTTTTTATACATACAATATATATTTGCGTGCGTATGCATAGAATACAAGCGTATGAATGTGTTTTGCGTGCGTGTGCAAATTACTTATTAGACATAAGAAAGAGGTCTAAGCAATCTGTTTTTGCCCTGGGTTTTTGTTTCAATCCCTACTACTATTTATTTTTTCTTTTTTATTACTATTGCTCTTATAGATTAGTAGTTTTTCTTTTAGATTTTTCTTCTTTATCCTTACATCTTCTTATAGTTGAAATTAGCAACGATTTCTTAACAATCTTAACAATTTTTTACTAAAGAAATAAGTTAAAACAAATTAAAGTAAAATTTAGGATATTTTTGGGCAGTACAGATCGGTTAGGCCTTGCCAAAATTGGCTATGTCCTGTTGCTGTAATAGGCCAAGACAGCCATCTCCTGTAGAAGAAGTAGTAGCACATAAAAACGGAAAAGTAAATAAGGAAGTGGCTGAAAATTGTGAGAGTGTAAAAAAATTGGATAATAAAGAAACAGAGGAGATAATTACCGCTGAAAAAATTCAACTCAATTTGAAAGAGTCTAAAGATTTGATAAATGAAATAAATCGTACTTCTACAGCTCTTGAATCGGAATACAACGAAGAAATGGCAAATCGTCTAGAAGATTTAGTTGATCGTTTAGAAAAAGTTACGAATCGATTAGAAAAATTAAATTTTCCCTCAGCAAGCTCATCTGTTCAAGAAGGTAATAATATCTTTCTTTCTATCGAGTGGGGGCGGTAATAGCTTTAAGCAATTAGGCATATTAAGAAAAAAAAGCGTATAAACAACATATTTTACATTTTATTGAGTTTATTTTTATTATTTATTAATATATTGTAATTCTTTTAAACACTAGTTTTTATCCTTTTGGGAAAGTCGTAGTATAAATAGGTAATATAGCAGTTTTACGCTTTATTATACCATTTTTCCATATAAGTAAGTGTTAAAAGAGTATTATCTCCTTTTAAGGTCGTAATTTTATATTGAATTAAGCCTAAAGTTGTTATTTAATCTTTTTAATTTGAACTTTGTACTTTTCTCTTTTTTGTACAGCAGCGAAAGAAATTGTTGTTGCTGTTAATGTTCAAGTCTATGATGCTGAAATTGTTCCTCTTTTGAGAGAATATCAAGATTTAAGTAGTACCATTGGTGGAGATGTTGACCAAATTTCTAGGCGCGTAGCCGATGCCTTTAGGGAGCAAAGAAATGTTATAGAAATTGCTTGCAAGTCGAAGGAGCCGAGTCAAGATGGATTGGCTAAGGTGATGAAGCCTTTGTCTGAAAAGATTCAAGGCGTTATTGCATTTAAGGATATGAATAGGAGATCGCAACATTTCAGCCATTTATCGGCTATTGCGGAAAGTGTAGCTGCTCTAGGTTGGGTCACTGTTAAACCAACGCCTGTTCCATATGTTAAAGAAATGACGGATGCTGGACAATTTTATTTAAATCGGGTTCTAAAAGATTTTAAAGAAAAGTATGAATATTTAAAATTTAACTTGAAGAAATATGGATTTTTACATTCTATATTTACAGAGATACAACTCACGTAGATTGGGTTAAAGCTTGGCTAAAGATTCTAGGTGCACTTCAGGCTTACATTAAGCAAAATTACACAACCGGTTTAACTTGGAATGCTCAGGTTTTTAGTCATCTTGAATATTAACATAAAGTATGATTAATTTAACGTTGAAATGCTTTTATTTAGGGTTGTGATTCAACTACAATACTAAAAGCCGGTCCAGCCGTTAATAATGCAGCTCCACCACCGCCTCCTCCCTCAGTAGGGGTACCACCACCACCGCCTCCTCCACCTCCCATGAGTCTTGAGGCATCTTCGTCTGGAGATCCGGAAGCTAATAGAGGCGCACTGTTCGCCGAGATTAATAAGGGAAGTGCCATAACATCTGGACTGAAAAAAGTAACTGATGATATGAAAACGCACAAGAATCCTAATTTGAAAAATAGACCAGCTGTTGTTAAAGCAAACGTACACACTTCGTCGGCGTTCAAACCAAAGGAAGTAGCTAAAAAACCTCCGTTGAAAGCTTTACAAAACAAAAAGGTGTTTATTGTTTATTATTATTCTTCAAACTTTGATTTACTCTAATACCGTTTCAAATGTTACTTTATAGTGGATAATTGAGAATTTCGAAAACGAGACTATAGTAATCGACAAAACGGAACCAAAGCAATCCGTCTATGTTTACAAGTAAATACTCTTATTTTGTCCACGAGATGTCACTAGTTTTTCGATTTTTTTATACATTTAATATATATCTAAATCTTTTTTAATAGGTGTATCAATTGTAAAATTGATATTAGTGGAAAAGTTAACTCAGTAGTTTTGGACAGTTCGAAAAAGTGTGGTATAGTTTTTGATGAGATTATAGCAACATTTGACGTAATTAACTGTCAAAGTGTCCAAAGTCAGGTAAGATTATAATCATTAATTGTTCGCATATAAGTAATTATTTAATATTTACACTGTAAATAACTTTTATACTGTATATTTATAGATTAGAGTTAAAGCACCAACGGTGAATATTGATAAAACTGATGGATGCCAAGTGTATCTTAGCAGCGACTACAAAAACTCTCGTATCGTGACAGCAAAATCTAGTGAAGTAAATGTATCGATACCGGAAAATAATGGCGATTATGTAAGATTTTATTACCAGTTTTATATTTTCAATATAATTAATTTTATGTACTTTTTATAGAAAGAAACAGCGATTCCCGAACAATTTGTAACTGATTGGGACGGCAGAAAGAATAAGTTTATAACTTCAGTTTCTGACCTAATTTAGAAGAATATTGTGAAAAATAATCCAATTTATCACACACACTAAACGAAAGCAAACTTATATAATCTAATTGTATTTCGTATATCATTTAGTACTTTTACTAAAAAACAAAAAGAATATTTTGCCATATCTACTTTTATATTATTTCTTTTTTTTGTGCTTTATGATCAAATTAACATTTCATTTTCTTTCTTTCTATTTGTTATTTTCAATTTCAAAAGAACTATGCTAATTTTGACATAAAAAGTAAAAAAAAAGTGTCTTCCTGTTTGATATCTAGCTCTTAAGAGACTTTATATAGTTTTTTTTTCATATAATAAATACAATATGAAATATGATTAACAGAAAAAACGTTTTTTTATGCTCTACTGTATAATGTATATAGTATAGAAGCTTCTTGACATCATTTCAGGATAAATGATAAATAAAGAATGTTTAAGTAACATTGTTTTGTGTTTAATCTCATAGTTTATCTTTATATTTTGATATGAAAATGTAAAGTACGTATAAATTACTAAACTGATATATTTATACTATGTATAATGCTTACAAATTATTTACAGTCTTTTTTTAAAAGCTAATTCAATTCAGTAGGAATAAGTATATCACATTTCTTAAAGATAAATGCGGTCGCTATTCCTCCTCCAAACATAAATGGGACAGCGACGAAACTCAACCAAGCTAAAACTCCCATACCACTAAGTCCGTGTCCGCTTGTACAACCACTAGCGAATCGAGCTCCTATTAGCATGATAAAACCTCCAAAATAGGCGGCCGCTTTGTGAACACCAGGTGTTGATGAAAGAGTATCAGAAGCCGCTGCAGAAGACAGAGCTCCAATAATTGCTGAGCAAACGTACAAGACTTGCCACCAGTTGGCAACTCCTAATCTGGCTGATGCCAAATATGGAAATTTTTTTTGCAGATTTTCAGTTACTACCCATTGCGAGACTATCGTAACGTAAGAGCTCGATCCTCCCATAGTATCATTAACAAACAGTACCAAAATCGCTTGTAATAAGCCTATAAGAATTCCACAAACGTATGGTGGCCAAATCTTATATTGAAAGATGTTTTTGCCTTCAGTCTATTTTTTAAGAAAAGGAAAACATGTATTTTATGAGATAATAGATACCTTTACAACTAAAAAGGCCTATAATTAATTTATCAAAACAACACAAGTTTGGTAATGTAATAAATTACATTTTCATTGTTATCTTTAAAATAATTTTCTAGTAATCTCCTAACAACTTACTGTTTCACTGGAATAGTCTTCTCTCCAAGGAATAAAATGCTCCATTAGACCTACGGCAACTCCAAGTAATATAGCCATTGGAAGAGCTAAAGCAATGTAGTTTATATTAAATTGTTCGTGAATCCTGAGTAGGTAGGGAAGAAGAACGAGAGGTAGAGGGGAAGAGTGAGAGAGAGAGAGAGAGAAAGAAAAAAAATTATACAGATATGTTAAATGCATAATATTCAATTGCAAAACTTACAAGTGATGTTCCAGTGGTTTCTTTGGTTTTGTAAATTTTACAATCCAAGGCGCGAATAGGCCATATATCAAAGCACCTGTTAAAGCTCCTAGAAGAGTCATATATGCATTACCAGTCCATGTTCCAACTTGTGACAGAACCATTCCTGGACACTAGTTTAAAAATAAACAAACAAAATCTATTAAATCAAGAGTTTAAGACAATTGTTATTGTTTTATTTGATTTATAGAGTAATTTTAGTATACTTACAGCTCCGCATATTGTCATACCGGAACCCAAAACAAATGCCCCAATTGCACTAGTAAGTATGCTTTTATTTTGAAAACCGCAGTAATAAGCTTTCAAAGCAGTACTAAACTTATCTTTGGTCCACGGCAGCAATGACAGTACGATTAAGACTATTTGACCTATTGTTTAATTAGATTTAATAAGCATTTTGTTGATAGTTATTACCGAAAATTGTATATAAATATATTAGATAATTTATAATTAACTTACCAACAGCAACAGCTGTTAGGAATACTTTAAGCATTATCCATCTCTTAAAGATCATTTGCTGCCTAATGCTGTTCGGTTCGAAAACTGTAAAAACGAAGAAAAACTCAATTATACTGTATATTATCGATTGACTAGGTCAAAGAGAACCTTCTTAATTTTCACCTTGAAATGTGCCTTTGAATGTTAATTACCCTTGGATAATAAGTAAATAGAAATAGTTATTAGATATTTAATTATTTAACGAGTAGCATCTTATCCAATAAATAAACGTTTTAAGTAAAGAGATAAATGGATAAAGTAATTTATAATGACTCTTTACGCTATTAATACATTCCTTTAAAGTTGTTTACCAGCTATCGAATTGAAAAAGAAACTCTTTGCTTAGTTTATTTCTCTGTTTTCTGTATAAATCTTGTAATTTTTTTTTTTTTAAAAAAAAGTTCTTTTACTCGGTAATAGCGCTTGAACTTTTTTTGTATTGAAATGTCATTTTATGGAGCGCCCTTTCACTGAGGCACAGTTTATGAAAGTTGCTCACACTCTTATCTTTGTTATCTTATTAGGAAATATATTAATATTTACCTCTACTTTTCTCCAAACACCATCCGAACACAAATCCTGCACATACACAGGCGAATAGTATCAGAAATATCTGCAAAAGAGACCTCTTTGGTTTCTCCTCTTCTTCTTGAGATTCCAAACTCTTTTTGGAATCAAAGCTACTTTCTGAGTTTATTTTTACAGTTTTCCTCATCCTGAGTTTTTCGTTCCGACTATTAGTAGAACTGCTTTTATCTGCAGTTATATTGATATATTCGTTCGATATTGGTGCCGTCATATTTGCGCATGCGCTCTTCGAAAATAATATCACGTATTACTATTGATCTTCAAAACTTGCAACCTATCCTGGGCGAATTTAAAGTCACGAATGACTGTTAGACCTTAAAATATATAGGACACTTTCACTGTACATGTTTTTACGAATTCCTAAGAAATAAAGTTACGCAATTCCTTTATTAGTAGTATTTTAATACTACTTTAGGAAGGGAGAGGGTAAGGAGCGGACAGAGGGGAAAACATAAAAGTACATTCCTTCCTTTTTAACAACAAATTTCTTTTACATGAATACAAATAGTATATCGTATTCTAAAATTCTCTTTCGCCCATAATCACAATTGCCAATCGAATTTCAAAGGCATAGCTATCTCCATTTAAAACTACGCACTAAAAATCCTTGTCACCTTATTGAAATATTCAATAGGATAAAATATGCATAAAATTTAAAGAGAGACAGAGAGAGAAAGAATGTGAGAGAGAGAGATGACATACATCTCAACCTCTCTCTTTAGTAGAATTAATTTCAAACGGATTAAGCTTATTTAACAATTATAATTAAGACATTATCTATTAACATTACCTTTAGTAGATATTCCTTAGGCATATATAATGTATCAGTGACAGTTAACATCAAATATAAGATACTAGTATATTTTCTTTTAGATAGTAAAGAGATGTTTATCTATCTTCTTCCACTAGTGTACTTTTCTCTCTCTCTCTCTCTATTTATCCATCTGTGCTCGGTACTAGGGAATAGTTTAGAACGTAAATAACGTTCTAAATGTAGTTTAATTCCAACTTATAGATGGTTTCTACAGACTATGCATATAAATTACTTAAGATATTAAAACCGTATTAAATTACGATTACATCTTACATGTTTATATAGTGTATAAACTGCACAAGTACATTCTTTTTGGCCGTGTTACAATATATTATAATAGCTACAAATTAAGAAATGTCCTATATAACAAACTCTTTTACAATAAGGTATTTCCTTTTATGCTAATTATCAGTATATAACTAATATTTTATAATATTAATTATTACTATTTACTGTACGTAATTTATTATTCTTTTCTTATATCTTACATACAATGGAATACACATGTAGGTCGATTAATTCATAAAAAAAAAAAGAAAATAACTAACTAGTTTTCACAAGAGAGAGAATTTTCAACTAATGATCGAATACGTGCGCTAATAGTTTCTGTTGAATGTCAACTTATAAAAGGCTGGTTTATATCAGTGATTGAACATAGATAAGGTAAAAAATTATGTTCAAATAATCTATCAAGTGTGATAATTTATCATTTATTCTCTCCTTTCCTCCTTCTCTTCCCCATTTAAGTTTCTTCTATTATTTTGCTTACACTTCGAAATTATATTGATTATTTGTTTCCGATGTTCAAAAACTTTATTATTAAGCAAAACAGAATGAAAAATAAACAAAAATAGAGAAAAGTTGACAGACTGATTCTTCTCTCTTCAAGATCAAAAAGTATATTTAATATTGTTTTCTAACTAACGCTCATCCCAAAGTCCAGAGAGATATAATATCCAAATTGATTCTTATTGTATAGTTAAGTGTATTAATTATTGATTATAGACTTCCTTTCCCATTTATGGAAGAAAATAAATAATATTGACTAAACCAAGAACAGAGGAGAAAGTAAGTATATCAGCTGGATAAGGGTTTAAAATTACTGTAGAAGCTTCTTGTGACATCAATCATTAAATCTTGAGTACATTCTGGAAGTTCATCTGTAAAAACTCCGGGACTTCCGGAGAAGAGCGTAAAGGGGGGAACAACTGTTTCTGGCGGTAAAATTGTATTGTCTGCTATTGCACAGCAGTCTTTTAGGACGCATCTTCTTCCAATTACACAATTTTTTCCGATATGTACGTAGGAACCAATCTGAGCGGCGTTTATAACACAGTCCTCTTCGATCATAACGTAATCACCGATATGGAGGGGAAAAAAAGCGAAGCCTTTATTATACTTCTTGAATGGAGGTCGAACAACAGTATTTTTTCCTATTACACAGTGTCTTCCAATCCGTACATTAGCTAAATCACCTCGAACTACACAATCTGACATTACTATAGTTTTTCCGTTTAGTACAATATTCTGACTCCCGCATAGAACTGACTGCCGGCTAACCTTATTACCAGAAGCTGTTTCTATATACTCTGCTTTTTTATGAAAGATGGGCTCAAGCTCCATTATGTTTGGTAAAATTTTATTATTATTTTTTTATTAATACGAATCGCTTGAACCGGAGTTGACTTCCGCTTCCGGTTGGATTTAGAAGACAAGCCTTTAGTAGAGATAACCAGCTTCGTAACTATCCTATAGCGTGAAATATTTCTCTTACCAAAGGGCAGATGGCGCTAACGTATCATTAGGGTCATCTGGAAGATGAAAAAAAACGAAATTGTTAAGTGTACAAACAGCACTGTAACAAACCGATAATATAAAGTAACCTATTGTAACCGGAAAATTATTAAAGTATAAAAAAAACTCGATATAGAAAAATCATCTTTCCAAGGTAAAAACATGAGCACAATCCATTAGGACCGTAATGATTGATTCTATATTTGAAATATTATAATAAATGTTTGGGTGAGTTTGCGGAGGAGGTCTTAAGCTAATTCCTGCATTTGGGATTTTAAAGTTAAGATATAATAGTTTTCATTTCCTCTGAGTCAGTGTTGCACGAAACGGCTAATGGTTCTTGTAATAGATAAAATGAGAAGATGTGTTAACTTATACATTACATAGAATAAGATAAAAAAAATATCTCATCTTCATCTCATATCCCTCTTGAATTTCCAAGAAACATAAACTACATATAGAACACCGCAAGATACGATGGAAAGTTTAATTATGTGTTAAATATTTATGATTCTTAGAAATGATTTGCAAGATTGGCAGGATAATTAAACTTAAGTACTAATTGCTTTGATTATAATTGATAAGTTAATAATAAAATAATGAATATTTTAATATTTTCATTATTACATCTATTTATCATATTGACAGATTATATTATTGGGGAAAATGATTTTTCCCTCCCCCCTCCCTCCCTCCTCCTGCTTTTCCACGTCCGTAGAGTATACTGCAAATCCTAAAAATTGATATTTCATTTTTTTACTTTATTAGATCTTAGCAAAAGCGTCCTTTATCATAAAGCTCTTTCGTCTTTTTTTCTCCGTTATTGCTGCTATTAATATATATTTTATACATAGAAAAACTATGTACAATGTAAAATATCGATTATAATTCATGATGATAAAAGGAAAAGAATTGAAAAGAATGAGTGTTCTTCAAGGATAAATAAATTATCTTTTATTTTGCTTATTCTTCTTTTTCTTACAAGTCAAAAAGAAGATTTCAATAAGATAAAAGAATAGCTATTACTTTTAAAGCAGAAATATTGTTTATATCATCTCTTTTTTCGCAGACTAAGGAAGCGTTTAGACGCCTTCTTTTTTGTTTAATGTACAAAATTACCTAAATATATTCCTGTTTAAAAGCAATATTGTCATTTTAAAAAGGTGAAAGAAAGCTTCGGTGAATCTTTTAAAGAATTAAATAGATAGTTTGAAAGGAAGAGAAAAGAGTCGAAGATTAATAAATAGATTATTAAATTATTATATCATAAAATTTATAAGTTGTACATACAAACAAATAAAAATAGACATTTGAGGTCAGAGAACTCTAAATGAACAAAATCAACTTCAAGCTTTTTATCCCTGTTACAATTTCAAGCTATTTGAGGCGTCATTTCATTCATAAATTGGAGGTAGATTTGAGTATGGAAATTTTAACTTTCTTCTGCACGGAGTGCTTGGAGCCGTCATTTTAAAATAAGTCGTAGATACTTTTGGATTTTCAGTAACAATCGGTTTATTTTCGACTTTATTAATTATCTTACGTCTATAGTTTTCTATAATCATTCTAAATCCTTTATCATTGAGGGAAGATCGACTATGATTTATAGTTTCTATGGGTTTTTTTACAACAGCTTCATCTACAGCCGGAATTGAAGGATTAAACATTTTAGGCTTGACGGTCTCAGCTTTTTTGGCTTTTTCTTTCTTCTTTCGTTTCTCCTCCTTATTCTGTTCCTTCTCAGCTTTCAATCTCTGTAGTTCAATTCGTAGACTTGTCATCTCTTGTTTCCATTCAATTTGACTTTTTATTCGACTTCGTTCAATTGATTCTAATTTTTGATTTAACTGATTAATAGGCATTTCTTTGGCATTTCTGATATTGTAACGTGTCATTCCAACTTGAAAATTTCGTCTATGAGATCTATTCACAGTCAAAGCACCTGGTATTTCCAGCTTCAGATCAATTTGCGGAACAAAATCCATTTGTAGAATTTTGGAAAGTGGTGTAAAGCCGACTCAATGTAAACAGATTTACAACAATCGTATAAATAGAAAAGACGTTAATCTGTACACAGAATGAGCGAACGTAATCTGCGTGAATTGAATGCATAAAATTCATATTATTTCCAAATACAAATACTGTTTATTACCAAAGTTTTTTATGAAACTACACAATATTTATATTATAGAATTCATAAAATATAAAATGTTTATTTGAATAGTTTTTACTGATTTTCAGTCATTTCCGTCACTTCCGGTGGAAAATATAGCATCAAATACTTCTCCGGATCTTGACATTTTCCAAATGAAAATATGATATTCTCTATCTGAAGAAGGTGAAAAAAAAACAGAAAAAAACTCTTAAATTTGTAAATAATTTCTTCATAAAGAATTTCTATTAAAGGACCTTATCAGTATTTTGATCTTGATCCATCCATGATCGTATGGCTGCAAGAATCTTCTTGCAAATCTTTTCATCTAATTGTAATGAAGGCATTTGTTATTTAATTAAAAAACAGACTGTTTACAACTAACCAAATTCATCTGAATGAAACATTGGAATAATTAAAGATTTCCAATATTTTTTAACTGCTTTATTCAAGCATATTTCATATAATTTTCCAAAATCGTTTTCTTCATTTTTCCCCTCTTCAGGCTTAACTCTTATAATATCTTATAAAATATTCATATAATTAATGTACAGTATATACGAAAATAAAAAGACTTACAAGAAGACTCGATGTCTATTTTCGATTTATCAACTTTCATCGAACTTACTACTTTTTCGGATTTCCAAGTTTGTTTTAAATTTTTATCGTGATCTCCATAATTAATTATTGCATCGGCTATTACATCATAACTTTCTTTTTGATCGTAAAATATCTTTTCATTTAATTTAGAATTAACAGAATATTTTACAACATCCTCCGTAGGCTGAACTGTTTGATAGGACTCAGACCACTTTTTCAATTCATCTAGAGTACGTCCTCGACTATCTTTTCCTGATTGAATTAAAATAAAAGTACTGATAATTATTGATATTTGGTTATTAAATAATTAACCTGGAAAATAAATGTGTTTCAAGTTTTCATAAATTTCAATATCAATTGAGTTGAAAAGGCAGAAGGTAATCAGTTCTATCTGTGCAGGAGATAAAGGTATAATAATTATTAATTGACAATACATCTAGTAGTTAAATTTTAGGAAATAAACCTCATTATTTTCCTTCAAGTGTTTCTTTGATAATGATAATGCAATTCTCGCTGCTTCTTCATGCGGATATCCATAAATACCAGTTGCGATACAGGGAAAAGCCTTAAAATACAATGAGGAAGAGTAAAGCAAAAACTAGTATTTAAAAGGGGGAGAGGGATAAATTATTAAATTTACTATTGTTTTAATATTATTCTCTTTTGCTAATTTAAAGCAAGTTTCGTAACAGCTCTCCAATTTACTTCTATTTCCATCCATAGGTCCAACAGCATGTATTATATCTAAATATAGTAGTTTTATAAGAAATGTCCATTAAAGAGAATAAAACAAATACGCAATTTTGTAATTACGTTTTGCTGGTCTGTCAAATCCTTGGGTTATTACGGCTTTGCCTGGATCACATCTCTTATGTTTCCTACATTCTTTTTGTAATACTCCATGACCGACTTCCCTGTGTATAGCTCCGTCAACACCCCCTATAAAGAAAGTTAATCATTTTAACAACTGTCTTATAACTTATCACCAGTTAACCTCCTCCTGCCAGTTGACTATTAGCCGCATTTACAATAGCATCAAGAGCAAGTTTCGTTATATCTCCTGTGTAAAAAGCCAATTTTCGGTTGTAAAGTTCATTTTTTGTTTCCCATCTATCTATTTCGTCCTTTTGTTTATAGGTTTTCTTTTTTTCGCTATTACGCTTTTCCATATTTGTATAGTCCGTCGTGTCTGTTTTGCCTATTTGTTAAAGAAGATTTTAGTGTTGTGTTTTTCCCAGAATTTTGGAAATATTTTTAAAGTATTAGTATTTATAAAGCCACCTCTTGAAGCTTCTAGAGCTCGCACAGATCTTACAACATGCGTTGTTACACCAGAAGATGCAATTAAGCGAAACAACCAATTGTTCGTGATATAAGAACATATTTTGCAGAAATTATCCCAAAACTGCATTGCGAATAATTGCAAACCGAAAATAAAAATTGAGGATTTACCAACCTTATACTCGAGAAAGTCGTCTGCTCTGTTACTTGGTTTATACTAGATATTAGTTCGATTATAATAAAAAGGAATACCCACCCTATTTTTTTAAGATATTTTCTCTTTTTTTTTCAAAGACTTGTTAAAGTATTAACATATTATTTTTGGGGAAAAGATATCATTTAATTTTTCCCGAGAAGAAATATTTTCAATGAAATATATATGATCTACAAATATCTAATGTTCTATAAAATTTTGACACTAGATGTCTTCAGTTGCTACAGTCAACTATTGGGAAATACTATATTTTTTCTGCAATAAACATATGTATAGCAAAAATAGCAGAATACTTCATGATAACAAAAGGAAAATCTTACAAACAATAATTGATTTTCAAATTAATCATTTCAGCCAGTGCATGCATAAACAGTGCAATCGCCTCATAAGTAATAAGCGATATTAATGACAGTTTGATTGTTAACAACTTATCAGATGTTCTCTTCTTTTTTGTTTTTTCTGACTGATTTATAAGTAAAAAACAACAAATAAAAAAAATAAATATGCACGATGAACGTTTGATATATTTCTCGACCGAGATATAATACTACAGTTTAAAAAAATATGCTCCAAATATTTCCTAATCGTTTTCTGCTACCCTTTCAATTTCTTGTAGTTCTTCGCCAGACTGAACTTGAAAGGTATAGGTTGGAGATAATTGGGAATTGATTCGTTTATGCTTCATATGACTTTTCAAGTATGATCTTAAGTAAGAAGGTTTATAAATTGGCTTTCGTATAATTGTTCTGGGGCTGAGAGGCGATTTTAACTGTTTTGGAGTGTCTAAAGCCTCTTTTGGGATTCGAATTTTTAAGGGTTCTACTGTTTTTGGTTTTACATCTTCAATACTTGTGTCGTCTAATAGAAAATCTCCGCGTCTGCCATTGCGACGTTGAGCCCTTGTTGTCGTTCCAGCAACGAGGAGTTCATTAGGCAGTTTCCGCTTGGATTTTTTAACTGTTTTCACCTTTTTCCTACTTCCAGAATCAGAATCCTCTTCGTTTTGATCATCTTTTCTAGCCCTGAGGGCAGCAGCCCGTCCAGAATTTGGAAACATGCATCTGCTCATATGCCATGATAGCTTAGTTACAATTACGTTTCGTTCACAGTTCGGGCAAGAAACTTCAGGATACTTTGCATTTACAACTTCATTTCCTAAAAAGTCTTTACTGGAGCGAAACCGAAGATGGCGGATGTCAATAATCGGTTCAATCTCCTCAGCCTCTATCAACTCCTCAGGATTATGAGATGTTCTGAGTTGTTCATCAAATTCAAAGACTAATTCAAAGCATATATCCTCCGCTAGCTCATCAACAAGGCTAATTAAGGAATTGCTTTCGTCTTTTTCGTCATATTCCATGGAGCGAATTTAAAAAAGTGTACGAAACAAGGTTTTAACCGTAGTTTTTTTCGTAAATACGAAAATCTTAGTAAAATCAATCGTTGTATACTTTATTTTCGATGGCCGATACTATTTGACTTTTATCAATATCAACGTGAAAAATTATTAATATGAAGAAATACGCGAAAACTAGAGTTTACGATTTAATGCACAGGTCGGCTGTTTCCGTTTCAATTGCATTTACAGCAGTCTCTTCAATATATTTGGGCTACAGGGGAATTAAATGGTACTTCGGTAAGGTTATCTTTCCACATGAAATCATTTATTACAATAGGGCTACTTTCACAGTAACAAGACCGGCCATGGCGGAGATCGCTAGAATTAGAAAGGAGGAAGAAATAGAACATGAGCAAACTGTGAGAGAGAGGGAATTGTTTGAAGAGCAAAAAAGAGCTGAGAAGACACTTTACTAAGAATGACAGGTGCTGCATTGTGAAGTGTGCAACTGCCGTTGTGAATTAATTATTAAGGCAGGATTGTGTATAATAATCGAAATTTCACCAGAAGAATTTTCAATTCTTTCTCAAAGTAAAGACTTTTGTTAGAGATTTTAATCTGACTGTATTCGAATGTTTGAGCACAAAAATAAAACGTTAAACTTTAAGATTGGTAATGCAATGTAAAGAAAGTAAAACACGTAAAGCGTGCGAGGAATCTAAATTCATTTGTACAATTTAGTTACGACGAAAGGACAACGAAGAGTCACAACATCAATGTAAGACTGGAATGCATTATTGCGCGAGAAACTTGTACAGACACCCGACACACTACTTCTTGTAGGTGGAGAGGCACTGATTTGCATACGTATTTGCCTCGTCACCTAGAGATATATAATTAAATGTATGTCTGCGTGTACATAAACATGCAGAAATGATGTCTACATGCTTATATACAACTATACATATGCAAGTGCATATGTTCAATTTAAATATATTTATATAAGTATATATATAGTTTTATATATATTTATATATTTTTATTATGTCCTTTCTAGACGTCAACAAGGACTTTAACGTAGTTACATGGGAAGAAGCCCGTCTTTCCATTCAGCGTTCCCTCATACCAATTTTCGTCTATACGCTGCACGAGAGTAATCAAATCGCCCTCCCTAAAGCCCAATTCTCCCTCATTTTCTGGCTCGAAATCGAACATCGCTCGGCAACACGGCTGGCGTCCTACAGATTAAAACGTGATTGTATTATAAAGACCATATAAAGTCTAGTTTTAGGCATCACTAGATAGCATCAGCCCTCAAATAACTATCGCATGCTCTAATACTAAACCACATACAGTACACAAAATAATTGTGGCAGTGGTAATATTTTGTTGACAATTGTACTAGTGTTAGTGATGATGAATATAGTAATATTTTCAAAATTTCTAAGGAATCAGACTTTTTCAAAAAATTTTAGATCAAAGATTTTTCTTTGATATATAAAAAATGCACCGAGCCCTATTCATAGTTGCTCCATCCTGCGTCAGAATACAGTGTAGACCATAGAGAGCATAAACAGATGGAATGAAAAAGTCTTGAATTATCTCCTCTTCGTTTATCCTCCGTCAATCAAATGCAAGGGAAGTCAAACCTTATGATAGGAAACTCTTCTTCATATCATCACACTGCTTCCACCACTGGTTTCTTAGAAGATATCTTTTTTTCCTTACGAAGGTCGTGCCATTAATAATCATCGCAATAATTCTTGCAGGACCGCCTTCTTCTGATAAGACGTCTTATTTTGTTTTCTTCTAATATCAATTTTGTTCCGCTGACCATGTCAGTACAGAGTGACAATTGTTGAAAAAGAACTCATAGTTATTAAGTTGTTCCATATATAGATCTGATTATCTTATGTTTAATATTAAAACATGTGCTTTCAGGAAGAGAAATATCCGCCATCACATTTTTTTTGCAGTTGTTATATAAGAAAAATTATTTTTCCAACATTTGAAAAAAATTTGAGCTATTTGACTTTTGCGCACATTACTATATTCATCACTACTAATACTAAAATATATTTATGAACAAATATTATTAAAATCGCGTAAAAAAAAAATTAGATACAAAATTTTAGTATTGCCACAATTTTTTAGCGCACAGTCCATATATATTACATAAAATACGAATAAAGTACCTGGCGCTGGTGGTCCTTGACCAACTGTATAATGTTTGTTTTACAATGACAATCATTTACTTAAATCATTATTTTACTTCTTACCTGGACTCTTAGATGGCGATGTAGGAGTAACAGAGCTATAAGCCGGAGGAGCTGGTGATAAGCTGTATCCACTATTTTCACCAACGGCATCGAAGGCATTGTCATAGTTTTGAATGTTATTTTCAGATACAGCCTAAATAAATACAAATGATCATTTAAATTTAGACTTATAAAGGAATGGGATTTTGTGCGGTACTTTTACTATTTTAGCTAAGTCTATAACACTTTATACTTACAAGCATATTCTATAAAATTTAATTATTTAAAATATCAAACTTTTTAAAAAGAGAATTTTAACGCAAACCTTTTTTGGAACATGTTCACTTCTAGGTCTACTCATAGCATCATTACGTAACCTTTCAACTGTTTCGCTTAAATTCATTAAAATTTCAACTGAATCCTTATGATATGAAAGATAAGCATCAACGAATGCACCCAGTTGTGATATATGCTCCACCTATAAAAAAGCGTAGCCAATGTTTATAATAGAATAGTTATATAATATTAGTAAGGAAATAGTTACATCGTTTTCCAACATATTATACATGGCGGTTTCTGCTAAATCCTTTGATTCACTAAATTTTTGCTCAGCTTGCGTTATTTCTTCCTGGGTGATGTTCGAGCCTAGCAAAAGAGATGGGTAATAGGAAACAAGGTTCTAATAAATGCAACTCATAAACAGTAATTAATCACTATCTAAACAACAAGAACTTCTGATAGACTATTCTCATAAAATAAAATTTAACGCTCTTGTAAGAAAGGGGTGCAGAAAAATGACTGTCCATTCGTCGTTCATGCAACATATCATATCATGCACTTTTTCATTAACCCGACACCCATTAAAACAAGTGCATAAGCAAATTTCGTTAAAAATGTATGGTAAAGAGAAGATAATTGGTTGAACGTAACGAATGATAAATAATAATAGAATTATGCACGTTGAAAGGAAAAAAGCAAACAGCCACCAGACGGCGCTCGGACTCACCAAACGGAATGGGCGATTTAGAACGACTGGAAGAATCGCCTGAATGTCCAGCATGTCAAATGATATATATATTACATACCGTATGAATTATGAACGATAACGAGGAAAATGAATGATAATATCAAGGCCTATCAATGAGGAATGAAATATTTACTGATTAACTAAAAGAATGTTGCAAGAAATGAAATAAAAACGTTGTTAAATTCTGACTATCTATTGGAATAAGCCTTCCACAGAACTTGTTTGTTAAGACAAACAACTATCACTTTGTACTTTTAGTCTTTTGCTAATATAGTCCTATTGTTTGCCTAATCAATTTTCGAATCATTTAAAAATGGGGATAAGAAATTCAGTTTGTCTTTTAGTTTTGCAATTAATGCAGTTTTTATGTTAGTCTGAATCATTCTAATGCTTCTGGTGTCAATATGGCAACTCAGTCGCAATGCATATAATCATGCATTTTTATGATTATCAATTTCTATATATATGTATAATACCTGATGAAATTTCTGAAAAAATGTTATCAAAATTAATAATAGCGAGAACAGGTCAGTTGAGTTTCAATCAGCACAAAGCTATTTCTTAAATGAAGTGCAATAGAAAGATTTTTTTACTGCTTAAAAAAATCATGCGATTCTTCTTAACAAGCGGATAACGCACTACATTAACTTAACATTGAACAAAAATTAGCACCGCGTAGGTCATTAATTAGCGTTATTTAATACTCTATCAACAGGTGGGAGCCTTCATGCTACACCGTAAAAATACTTAAATAGATTGTGTCCAATTGTCTTACCTCCTGAAAATAAAATCACAAATCAGGCGTTGTATACGTAAAGTTCACTAAAACATAATTTTCTTATTTAGATAGTCATATTTCGCATGTCAATCTTATTTTGCGCGTTATTATATTATTTTTGTTATTATATTGTTGTCAGCAAATCTTACTTCATATCACCACACATCCTACTTTTGTGTCAATATGATAAGGCGAAATTCCGAGTCGCCTGGTGGATAGATACAAGTTCAATGCCGAAATAAACTTTGAAGAGTTCAATTGTGTAAATTTTTAAAAGTGTTAAGAGTAAGGAATATTACCTTTCGCCTGCCTTCGTTTCTTACAGTCGTAATCCAATCGTCTTCCAGAGAGCTTTTTGCGATGATGCTAAAAATAAAAAACAAGGAAGTAAGTTATAAATAGCTATACATTAAATGTATATGATTAACGCAAGTCGATCGCCATTCCGCATCAGCGTTATAGATAGCGGAAGTGCGGCGTTTCATATCGATCGATGCGTCGCTCGAATTCAGCAGACTCAAGCTAAACGACGCCGCCATACTCGGCATATTGATAATGTTCCCACGCCGTCAAACTCACGTTCACTTCCTTTAGATCTTTCGTCTGCATATGATGCAGGGGCTCAATAAAATTCTGCTTAACCGCGTCGTCTAGAGCGTATTTAATATCAGCCATTTGTCTTAAACTATCGCCAACTTCGACAAGGACTTTTCCGAAATGTGAATCGTCACCCAAATCACGTCCATGCTTCGTCATACAATCACCCAATTGACCTTCAGGCTGAGGGTAGGGATTGTGCTTAGCTGTTCCACGAAGCTTAGATATCGAATTGACAGCCGATAATTTTGCTCTTGAAGCTGTTAAAAGTAATTAGTAAAGTTATCAATTAAATAAATCAAATGGAACTTAAAATAACAAATGGCAATATTGCTGAGTAGGAAATGTAATACAAGATAATCACAGAACTTTACAAAAAAAAATTACATTTGTTTCCCTATGCCGTCAAGCAAGCCTTCATTTTAAGATGATTAGTAATACAACAAATAAGTTAATTAGTTAGTTAAAAGAATAATACCTGGATTCGGTTGCAATAATTCATGCGTCCTTGACATTAATTCATCCACCAATTTTCCCATTACATCTATTTTCTGTAGGAGCAATCAATACATATTGACCAACTAATTCAAGCACAATCATGTAATTGTACAAACAATAATTCCATAGTGCTGATATTTACGATAAAAAGGTTATCCTATTTATTTAAAAGCAGCGAATAAATCTACAAGTTACTCACTAAGTCATGTAAATAAAAAGACTCATTAATTATTAAAATTAGGTAAATGATATTTTTATCTATACGGATAAATACATATATATTTAATTTACAGTATAAAAAAATACAATTACAATCTAGATGCTTAAATTGTTTGTCTCGTTTCCTATTACTTATAAAAGTGTTGAGTTGATGGCCAATCGTTCACATATCGATTTGCCCTTAACTCTACTGAATTAACTCTGTAGGCAGACTTAGAGTATCAAGTTATGCTTTACAAAGTATTTTAGGACAACCATTTCAAGGAAGATCGGTAACCTCAATACGATATTGTCAAAGTATTTGTAAATGAGTCACATGTTTATGCCTAAAATGACTAATTCTGAAATATATATAAAAACTCAGACTCGTTAATGTTTACAGAAAATACAAAAATGTCTTATAAATGCTATGAAGACATATTCATGTTGAAAATATAGTTTTCCTTGTTAGGCAATCAAATATCATCCTAGACAACATGCTTCCATCAACTTAACCCTCTCTCTTCTACTCCTTACATGAGATGAGGATCGATAATTTGACTAACAAAAATTTCCCGTTAGGAGACGCAATTAAAATGACTAATTTATCGTGACTATTGATAAGCTATAGTAAAAGTAGGCTTACCCTTTCCATTTCTTGAAATTCATAATCAAGCTCCGTTCCTTTAGCACCACCAATCTTCTCGCTCATATACTAAAAAAATGAAAGGCAATCAATTAACTCACTGTCAAAAGACACACTATGCATTAAGGAATATTAATTGATAACAAAGATATTAGCGGGGTTAATAAAAACGTTTTTTTTTTAGAAAAGTAATTTAGGGTAAAATGGTAAAATATGAGGCGTCCATTGGACGCCTACATAGGGAACGCTAACAATGCCAACTGACATTATGTGACTGTAGTATTAATAACTAATAGAGATATTACCTGGTTTGCCTTGTTGATCTGTTTCTTAAATCCTGCTAACGACATTTTGATAAATTTATTTTAGACACTGCCGATGAAAATCTCAATGTAGAAGTCAAATTATCTTTAAAAAATAACGAGGCTCTCTGGCCTCTCGCGATAACTACTTCGATTTGATGACGTCACGACTGATCAGCATTGAATCCTTCGAACTCAGGCGGAAAGTCGTTTATACTCAACGCACGAAGCATTTTTTTGCATACACATATAATTTAATATATAAGGATAGCAATAAGAAAATTTGAAGCAAAACGCTTAAGAAATTTCGTTGAATTTATTTTTTGTAAAAATAGCTGCGCATCTACATGGTATGGTTACAAGTGTCCAATGTTTTTCAAATAGAATAATCAAAATTGGAGCATGGCGCCACACTATAGGCCAAAAAGAAGAGAATGAACATCAAACGCGTTCCCGCCAATTGTATTTAGTTAAATTCTTACGCTAATCGTATTCCAAACTTCAATTTTTTCTAACAATTTTAAGGGATAATATAATTAATAACTGTAAATGTCAGAAGAACAGGAGAAAGATCGTGCTTCACCGTCAATTCGACAAAGTTTGTTTATGTCTTCAAACTAACTTTTTATTTTTTTCACTTATTTATTATTTTAGGTCGGCTACCTTTTCAATCTTTAAATAGCCCAACAAAAAATGAAAAAAAGAGAAAGCATATAAATGATCAAGGCGATAATAAGTCTGATTCAAAAAGACGAAAATCAGGTCTTGAATTTCTTGATCAATTTTTAAAGGGTAAAGCCCAGAGTCAAAACTCGAAAACATCTGTAACTGTGAAAAGTGAAAACGAGCCGACAGATGATTTGAGTTCTAGTGAAATTGAAGAGAGCGATAATGATAATGATAACTTTGACAATGAAGCCGATGTTTCTATACTGTCTGAGGAGCCATCTTTTATTTCAAGGACTGATTCAAACGCCGAAGTTCAAGAAGTTTCATCTACATCCACAGACGTAATGTATATTAGAATTTTGAACTGATAAAATTAAAAAATATATATTTATAGACACCATTAAGGGATAAAAACGATTTAAAAATGAAAAAACGTAAAACGAAGCTTACGGTAAGCTATAAAACGAGAAAGTAACTAAAAGCTATTAAGAATTTTAATATTCTTTCCTTCCAATAGGATGCAGAAAAGGGAGAAAGAGAGAGACAGAAGCAACTTCGTTTGAAAGAAAAAACAGAAAAACAAAGGATGAAAAAAGAGCTAAAGGTATTTGGTATTTTTTATGACTAACGAATAAAATTATTATTCAAAAGGAGAGAAAAGAGGAGGAAAGACTTAAGCTGAAGGAAATGAAACTGGAAGAAAAACGAATGAAGTTGAAAGAAAAAGAAGAGAAAGACATCGAGAGACGACAAAAGAAAGAAGAGAAAGAAGAAGAAAAACGCCAAAGAAAAGAGGCAAAAGAGCGAGCACGAATCCAAAAAGAGGAACAAAATAAGCAAAAGCAGGAAGAAAAGAGACAAATTGAGGAGGAAAAGAAAAAGCTTGAGAACGAAAAAGTAAATTTAATACATCTCATACTGTGACTGTATTGATATATTAATTTTCATTCCAGAAAAAACGCCAGCAAAAATGTCAAGCTGCCTTCCTTGGTTTTTTTTCGAAGGCTCAAAGACCTGAGCAATCATCCGTAAATATCATTTAAATATTTTTTGTGCCCCTGACATTCATTTTTATCTACAGCCTAAGTTTAACAAAGATGAAAGATTTCTACCATTTCAACTTGGGAAAAAGCAAAAATTAGCTCCAATATATCGCACAAATATTAGTTTTTTAGAAGAACGTTTGTCAGAATTGGACTACTTCCTCTCCCATCAGAATAGCAAACATAATTATTTAAAAACTCTGAAAAGTGACACATATCAAATCGGAAAATCAGAGCCAACCTGGACTAAGTACTCTTAATCTTTTCATTTCATTGAAAATTAATTACTTAAATATTTTACAGTAAAGACGGCGACGTTGTACTGGTTGCTGATGAAAAACCTACGTTACCGTGGAGAAAGGCTAAGCTATTTCAGTTTCATGAAAATAATAGACCAGCTTATTATGGTACATTTAAGAAAAAGAGTATAATCGTTACTGCACGTCAACCATTCGGAAAAGATGACGTTAGTTTAAAGTCAAAGTTGAGGAAATATCAATTTTTACATTGCAAAATTTTTCAGAACTTAGATTACACTGTTGATAGTGACGAAGAGTGGGAGGAAGAAGAACCAGGTGAAAGTATTTCGCATAGCGAAGGAGAAGATGACGATGAGAAAGTCGAGGAGGGTGATGATGATGAGGATGACGGATTCTTTGTGCCTCATGGCTATTTGTCTGATGATGAAGGTTGTGAGGAAGATGAGGCTGATGAAAAGGTAGCGTCAAAGATTTCATTGAACCCGAGGTGTTAACACTTTTTACCGTAGCTCAATCCGGAAAAGTTGAAGGCCCGCCAACTGGCTATGGCTCGCAAGTTTGAAGAGGAAATCAAGGAGCAACCTAAAACTCTGAGACCGCTAATAGTAGGATGTTGCTGGAGTAACAGCGCAGAAAAAGTACAAGCAAAATTTCTAAAGATTCTGAAGCAATATACCGTATGGATATTAAATAACACTTCCATCAAGGAAACGTATTAAATGTTGTTAAATATTATCAACTAGGTTGAAATTATAATCGAAACCCCAATTCAACTTGAAAATATCTGCCACTCAACACCATCACATCATGACATGTCGGATTGTGGGGATAGTTCTAGAAAGGGTTCAGCTCTAACTAAGCCTATACCAAAAGAAGGTATTAATTTATTTAGATATTCTGTATATCATTGAATAAATCAATCTATTAATTTAAAACAGCTATGCCACATCTGATACGCTTTCTTCATGGGAATTGGAACAGCCGTGAAGCTATCATTCGGGAATTTAGACAATTTTGGTCCAAAAAAAGTCAAGAAGGTGGAAACGAGAGCGGAACCAATTCCGTTATCTCGAAGCGTCAATTAGAAATTCGAATCAAAGCGATTGCTGCTTATGATAAACGAACGGATTATAAGAATCGATGTTGGTATGTGAAGGAGAGTGTTATAAATGATTATGCAGTGACTGATTTAAAAATACCTAATCCATACGCCAAAGAGATGGAATTGAACAACGTTAAAGAAGTTCGTCGAGTTGACGATTCAAAGAAAACTTAGTTTTGTACTTTGTAACATTTATCGTTTCAATTAAGTTTATTTTAAAAAAAAGTAAGTTTTAAGAGATTTAACAATCTATTGGAGTGTTCCCCTGGCCCTTCAGAAACATGTCAAACTGTCCTCTTTATTTAAGTAGTCGAGTAAATCTTCAACGTATGTCTTTAGCTTCTTCACATTATCGTCGTTGTAAGATTCATAAGGCAAAAAGTCTCCAAATTTTACTACAATACAATGCGTTTGAAGAACTTAATATGCATTAACTTTAGAGAATTTTTATTAATACATGGATTATTTGTTCTACAAATAGATGTATGAAGTCGAATATATTAATAGAAACATACCGAATAATCTCAAAAAGTGAGCAATGCTGTACAATCGCGTCAACTTTACATTGGGATTGGAAGAGATTAGTTCCTCATGTTGCTTTCGTTCCTGTTGATATAATAAATGGGTTGGCAGTAAACTCTCGAAGTATTCTTTTAATCCCTCAGTAACTTCTTTTAATTTATCACTGAAATGGTACAGAATGAGAACTTGAGTATGATAAATTAGAGATAAAATGAACTTACAATGTTTTTTCGTCTGTAATGTTCTCCTTATGGTTGAGATAGATGCTAAATATGTCATCAATAGATTTCACGGCAGGAAGTTTACCTAACTGAATTATAAACAAAAAAAGCATTTTGTGAACATATATTCAGAGTAAATTAAAAATAATCCAACTATATTAACTAGAAACTCTCACGAATTAAATCTTGATGACGAAACTCGTCAACGGGAAATTGGTTTGGCTCTTGAAAGATGAAAAAAGCGCTCTTTTTAAATAAATATAAACCACTATCTGCTGACACACGTCTTATGGTAGAATATACAAAAAAAGGTCAAATGAAGGATATTGTTAGAATTTTTGGTGTCGGACTTTCTTATAAAAAAGATAAAAACACAGAATTAGCAGCACATGGAGAAGTCATGCGATATTTGTAACAGTAGTCAGGCAATTGTACACGAAGTCATTGTACTAAAAAACGTAAAAGCAATATAGGAATTGTATGATACAATGGATGTTTCTCAAACCAAAGAGTTTTAAGGCCCCATTTCAGAGCCAATAAGAGAAAAGAACTGTTTTCTTGGCTCAGAAAGCAATCACACTTTACGAATTAATTGGATTCTTTCTAACATCACTTTTATCCTAAAATAATTCAAAGGCTTTTCAGTGGGTTTCTCTTCAAAAAAACTACTTTTTTCACTGATACAAAATGTTGCAAAAGATTAGATTTAACAGGATAGTAAACAAATGGTTAATTACAAAGCACCAATTGTATGAGCTAGTATGGATTTTTTTAGTAAAGTACAAATTGACCATCAGATTACTGTCTAAAATATTGATTATGAACATAAAAAACTTAAGCGTATGATTATCTATTCCAATTGTTATTTTCTTGTTTTTTTTAAATCCTTTTCCAGTTAATTTGGCGTAATTAAAACCATAGGGAAAACAAGAACATGTTCTTACCGTGCTTTGTTCCACTATCATTTTATATTCCTCTGCTAGTGTTGCTTTTAAGTTATCTGGTATTGAGATATGAAATTTTCCTTTCTCCTCCTTCTTCGTCTGGTGGTTTGTAATTAGAAATTTAGTATAATTATAATAAACTTCTTTAAAGAGAATTATTTACCGGTTTCTTCTTAATTTTAACTTCAATCTTTTTCTTTTTCGCTTCTTTCGAGGCCTAATGAAAGAAAAGACATTGCAAGAATTGACAAGCGCCCCTATTAAATAATCACATCAGGCATAGCAGTCGTCGTTCGTCTCTTCCGACTCGTTTCCGTTACGGCTTTCTCTTCCTCGTGGGGCTCAACTTTCTTTTCTGACAAGAATTATTTCTTCTTTAAAAAGCCGCAATTATGAATTATATTTCGTCACCTTTGGTCTCAGAAGGCTTCTCTTTTGGTTTCCTACTCCTCGATGATCCACTCTTTTTATTACTAATAGTTATTAACAATTTATAAATCAATGATAAAATCTGGTATTTGATTGGTATCTTTTACTAACTCTTGATTCTTTAATAGGGCTTCTCGTTTATTTAAACCTTCTTCATTATACTTTACAATACGACTTTCGGGCACCCACTCGTCCCAGCTTTCAAATTAACTTGAATCTTAACACGATAAATTATTTTTTCCATATTATAAACAAACCTCTTATTCCACCCATTATAATGAACAAAATAATGTATAGTTTTACCATCTTTAGCTTCAAATTTTAAACACTGTTATAGAGAATTTTCTAATATTAATGCTATTGATCAATGTAATAAACACTAACTTTTGCTTCATATAGTAGCTGACCATGGTAACAAAGAAGTTTTTCCCCTGTTTTGAGCGATGATAGAGTGATATCGATAAAAATAAAAATAAATGACTATTTTCACAGGTTTATCGTAAAACATTAAATAATTATATATACAAACCTTTTTGGTATTTCGGCTTCAGCCCCATTGATTCCAAAAACTTAAAAATTAAATAGATTGGTAATTATTTTGTCAATAGGGCCAAGGATGTCGAAAACGACTCCTAGAACAAACAATATCCATAAAGAATGTCTTATATTTGAAAAGTGATTTAATGTTAAAAACGATTCTTTTTGTTCCATGTTTTTTTCCTCTAAACATAAAAATAGCTTATCCTATTAAAATAATCTATTTGTTCGTAATGAACGAATGCTATCCTAATATCTAAATTTTACTTTTGTTCAGTTTTTTGTCGTAAATTGTACAGATGTTCATCGAAGCGAAAATCTAACAGTAAGGTTTTTATAATACTGAGTAGCAATAATTTCATATTGAAGAATAATATGTGTGATGCAGTCTTAAAGGAATAATAAAATATTTTAGGACAAGAGTTTTTATTTTAAACCCGTAAATAACATAAAGGATATAGAAAATATGAAATTTGATATTGTTCATAAATATCTGACTATAGCTTTTGGGCATATAGGTTGTGTTTTAGCTAAATGGCCTCTACATTTTCTCGTTCTGGTTATAATCATATGTGGAGCTTTAAGTGGAGGTGTTGCTTTACTAGATTTTGGTAAGAAGCACGACATCGAACAGCTTTACGCTCCTGAGAACAGTGAAGCCTTAGACGAGAAGGCTAGAATGAGAAGGATCTTTAAAGAGGATGAAAATGGCCTGTTTAATGTTGTTAGATCTTCTGAAATAGGAGAATTGTGCTCCGTCGTTGTTGAATCAAATACTAACGATTCAAATATATTCAAGAGAGAAACAATAGAAGATATACTAAAAATTTATAAGACGATTAAAGATGCGAAAACTGGAGAATATGGTTGGAAAGATGTTTGTGCAAAATGGAAAACCGACTGCGTAGTAAATGCTTATCTAGAAACCTTACTAAACATGAATGCTGCCAATTTTGGTCCAGTATCTTATCCAGCTCATATGAAGCCCATTCCAAATCTACCTCCAGGTCAAGGTTTACCTTTACCAATGGCTGATATTTTTGGCAGTTGTAATGTTATAAATGGTACTATTGTATCATCTGAAGCCTTTCAAATGTTATTTTACCTTAGAAAAAATGTTACATATACAAGAGATTGGGAAAAAGAGATGCTCAACATTGTTGAGAATCTTACAAAATATTATCCTAATTTTAAAATTCAAAGATATTGCTCCCTTTCCATTCCAGAAGAAATGTTGAAGAATACAGAGCATATGATTCCAAAATTCTGTATAGTTATTGGTGCAGTTGCTATTTTGTGTATAATAGCAAATCTAAGTACCGATATAGTCGTGGCTAAACCCTATTTAGGTCTTGCAGCCTTGATTACGTCGATATTAAGTGCTCTATCTGCATTTGGCCTAATTGGATACTGCAATGTAATGTTCACCGATCTGTCTTTCTTATCAGTCTTTCTTGTAATTGGTAATTGTTTTGTTTTTTTTTAAATAGTTCTTATAGGAAAAGCATTTGATAACTTTTACTATTTTTCTCATCTTACCAGGTATTGGAGTGCAAGATTCTTTCGTTATAACAACAGCTTGGAGGAGAACAATAAATGAGCAAAGCGTTCAAGAAAGAATGATGAAAACTATGGAAGAAGCTGGCGTTGCAATAACATTAACTTCAGTCACAAATGTTGTTGCAACAGCAATTGGTATGGTTTACTTTGTTTTTTCCGCAAAAAAGACTAAAACTATTTGTTTATAAATTAGGGGCAATTAGTCCCTTCCTAGCAGTTCGAATACTCTGCCTCTACACTGCAGTGGGCCTGTTGTTTGCTTATATTCTGCAAATTCTGTTTTTCTGTCCATGTCTCGTCTTAGCTGGTCGTTTGGAAAATGAGAATAGAAATAGTATCACATGTCAAATAAGCGACAATTACAAGGATCCATCTCTGGAAGGTGAAACCCCGTCAGGAATTATGATATTTATGAGAGATCAATACTCTAGGATTTTACTGTCAAAACCTTCAATGGTCGTTGTTACAATTGTGTTTATGGCTTATCTTGCACTAGCCATTTATGGTTCAATAGAAAAGATAAAAGAGGGATTGGATGCTGAACGTGTTGTTTCAGATAACTCATACGTAGCTAGCTATTATCAGTCTCTAAGAGAACACTATAGTAACTACACTCACCCAGTTGCTATAGTTTTTGACAAACCACTACCTTATTGGAATCAATCAGTTTACAATAGAATTGAAGAGCTACTTAATAGATTTGAAACGAATGAATATTTCAACGGTGCAAATGTCACTATTTCATGGACTCGATTCCTTAAATTGGGTCTTGCTGCTCAGGGACTTGAATGGCCCAATTCAGAAGCAAGTTTATACATACAACTTCAATTCATGCTCAATTCAGCTACTGCAAAACCTATACTTGACGTTGTTCCTTTGAATTTAGATATACAATTTAAACCTGAATCTGGAGCCATTAGCGCTTCAAGAATGTTTGTTATATCGAAAGGAGTATTAAATGGAACAGCGCGTAAAGAGTTTATGCAAGTTTCCAGAGATATAGTTGCAGATTTCAAAGATCTCAATGTTTTTGTTTATTCAAATATATTTCCTCTGGCTGAGCAGTGGGCGATTGTTGGTAGAGTTGCCCTTCAAAATATGGGTATTGCAGCTGGTGTGATGCTGGTCTTTTCTCTTCTTTTCATACCAAATCTTACTGTCAGTATCATCGTTACTCTGTCAATAGGCTCTATCTGTGTTGGAGTAATCGGATTTATGTCGTGGTGGAATGTCTACATGGACATTGTCGCTACAGTAGGAGGGGTGATGTGCGTTGGTTTTGCTGTAGATTTTAGCGCACATTTAGCTTTTGCTTATGTGACGAACCACTCGAATAAATCGAAAGCAGCTTCGGCTCTGTACGCTGTTGGTCAAGCAGTTATATTAGGCTGCTTATCGACTATACTTTGTGTTATACCCTTAGCAACCAGTAGTACGTATGTCTTAAGGTCTTTCTTCAAAGTCATGTTACTGGTTGCCCTTTTCGGGGCTTTCCATGCCCTTGTTGTACTTCCTGTCATTCTATCAATGGCAGAAATAATTAAACATAAGGAGGGAAACGCTGGAGTGAATAGAACAGATGACTTGAAACTAAAAAAGCAAGAAGAAGTGAAAATAAAGTTTGAAATTCAAGATAAAAAAGCAGGTGAAGACAACTTGGGTATGGAAAAAGAAAGTTAGAATACTATTTCATTTCTCATATTCTGTCTATCTCTCAAGAACTTATTAATCTCAGTGACTGTCCAAAAAATAATAACATATCTCCAATTTATTGTCTTGACAATTTTACTTTCATTTTAACGATATTAAAAGTTTTATTAAAAAAAACGAAATAATGAAAATAGTTATATTCTTTCCTCAAGCGATTGTAACTAGGCGTCGCATTCGCTATCTGAATTCTGGTGCAGGGATAGAGCGATTACATTGTCACATCTACTATCGTCCTTCTCTGCAATAATCTTCTCCTCAAATTCTTCAAGCTCAGTACTTTCCAAGGAAATAACTTGTTTGGCTTTTTCCTCATCCTCATCTAATTTCTCTTCCTTGTCTTTATTTATCGATTCCATTTCATCTCCCTGTTTTTTCTTTTTTTTCTTTCTTCTCTTCTTCCTTTCTACTTCATGATTATTCGCGTTCTCTATTTCTTTATCTTCTGCCTCAACCGGGCTACTCTCTTTGTGGCTGGAGACAGTGCTCTCCTTCTCTATATAAGTATTGTCTTTAAAATCAAAACAATTTTCTTCGTCTTCTTCGTTTTCTCTACTCTCTGACTCTCCTTCCTTACCAACTTCATCGTTGCATATATAATGACTAAAATTAAACAATTGATTAAATAGACTATAGATAACCAACATGGATTAATGAAATTTTTAATTATTAAACCTTTTATGTGGATTAACAGGTGATTCTTTGTACTGTTTTAATTGGCTATTTCTTGAACCACAAAGTTCAACCGTAAACAACGAGTCGAAATGTTGAATTCTTTCTTGTAAGCTCAATTCCTCGTAATTTGGAGGAGCATCACCTGAAGGATTTTCCGTATCATAATTTAATTGCGGAGAATAAACATCCTCTATTCGCTTAGGTTTTCGTCCAAAACGATAGAATAATATTAGTCCAACAAATATTGAAACAACACAACATAATATAACGACTACAATTGTTATATCTCGAGTGGTAAATTTTACATTTTCCGGCTCTTGAAGGGTTTTAAATATCGTACACGCTTTGCCCATGAGACGATTAAAATCGTCGAGAGCAACCACACAAATAGAATATTGAGTTTTCGGAGTCAAATCGATAAGGGTATGACTTGTAACATATTTTGGAACTTGTAAAAGACTAACCGAACCCTCTTCAATTTCTTGAATCTTAATGCTGAACGCAAATATCTATTGAAGAATGAATAAATCAGAAGAGATATGTAAAATATTAATTAATTGTTACCTTATTCATCGATGAACTTCGCCATTTTATATCCACCGATGTCAAATAAGGTTTAATTGTATCTAGCTTTAGGTATACTTTCAAAATTACAGGATTCATTATTGTTGGTTTAGGAGGTATTTTTGTAGATTTTGGACGATATCGATAAGTTGTCGATGGTTGGGGAGTAGTTGTGGAAATATGTTCATTACGACATTTAAAGGGACCATCATCGGACTGACATTTAAGAAGTTCATGAGGTACATCATAGAGTTCCTGATTTCTTAATGATTTAGGTTCAAAGCACTTTAATTTTATGCCAATTTGTCTTTTCCAATTTTTTAACCACTCTAAACTACAGTTACATTCAATCGGATTAAAATCAATAACAAATTTCTTAATCTTCTTTAGTGGTGATAATTCACAACTATAGATCATCCGAATAGCATTCCTAGACAAATCAAGATGAAGTAAGTTATTCGACTGATTCAATTTCTTCGGTATTTCTTGGAGGCCGCAATTTATCATGGATAGACTCTTCAATTTCGGTAATTCAAACCAATTATTGACTGATTCAAATGGATTATTGTCAGCTTTAAGATGATGTAGATTATGTAAAATATGCGTTAAATTCATTGTCTTTAGCTTATTATTCATAATTTGTAATTCTCTAATGAATTTAAATTTTGGAAAATTAATTTTCTTTAATCGGTTGTTATTTAAAAAAATCTTAGTTATGAATTTTGTACCAAACAGAGTTGCTGCCGTAAAGGAAGTAAGGAGATTATTATTCAGATTAAACTCTTTCACTCTGTCGACTTTGCCAAAAATATTTCCGATAGTTTTTAATTTATTAAACGATAAATCCAATTTTTCTAGCCTGGGTAGAGTAAAACTTCCGTTTTCAATTTCCTTTAGTTTGTTATGTGATAGGCCTATTTCATATAACGTACCAATATCTTTGAACACTATATAACTAATTTTTGTAATATGATTATGCGATAATATCAAAGTTCTTAATTCATTGATGCCTTTGAAATTATCTTCATAAATTGCTGTAATTGAATTATTGGCAAGGGATATACAAGAAATTCCAGCCATATGGCGAAAGTTTGTTTCTTCATTCCAAGATAAACCAATCTGATTATTATTCAGATTTAGCTCCTTCAGCCTACTTAATGTAATGTTGGGAATAATTGTTAAGAAATTGTTGCTTACATCTAATTCGTTTACGAGCTCGAGCAAATTTCTTTCGATTAATAAAGATGGTATTGATTTTATACTGGTCGATCTTAATATTAACTGCTGAGGAGTTAAATTTTGCTCTAAAAGATCAGAAGCGTTCAAATTCTTGAAATCGTGATTAGAGCAATCAATCGAAAATGCTAAATAAATAAAGAGTAATCATTAAATATTTCAATTTTATTCTATCTTTACTGTCTACCTCCTCTTCCTCCAGAACATTTACAAAAATTAAAGAGGCAGGTATGTTCTCCAGTAGTTCGTTGATGCGTTGAGAATAATGACAATAGAAAAATTATTTGAACACTACTATATACCTTTGTCATATTATACCACAATTTGGACAAAACGTATGCACATTCAATGACTTCAAAATACCAAATAAACGCATTTTATATCAATTAAAACTTTTGAAATATTATAAGTATATTGTAAATTTACGTTTATTTGAACCAAAAATAGCTAATAGGCCTATATGTAACTATTAATTGGGAATCGAATAACAAACATGTTGTAAGAAATTTTTCATTTAAAGTGTGCTGTATTTTATTTAGCTAACTTATATAAGAGTACTCAGTTTTTCAAGTGTTCTTCAATAGTTTAAAAGGATAGAAGGAAATAAGGATTATCCTTAAATTTATAAATTAGCATAAGTTTCAAATACAGTCTGAGTTATATTATATATTTTCAATTGCTTAAATGCAAAACGGAAATACATTGTTCTGCTTTATGTGTAGTTCCGGGATCAACTATAAATGGTTTTGAGACATGACCAGCTTCAACGCAGAACATCGTGCGATATTCTTCATCGCCAAAATCTGACATTGCCTTCGCCTTTTCCGACCATGGGTTCCAAATAACCGTATCTGGTAGGTTGTGCTTTACCATCTTCAATTGATAAGTGGAAGTTTTAATTAGAGTCTCATTAGGTACATTTTCATAAACTCGGTCAACATTTTCCCCAATTGTTACTACGTCTCTATTTTCTACACCAGTGCCTCCGGCTACCTTATCCAGGAAGGATGCGCCTTTTAAACCGGATATCTCAACGGAAGAGATATCGTTAGTTTTAAAATAGGTATGAAGAAGAAACGTGCAAGGAAATTCTTTGTCGCTGGTATTTTCAATAGAAAATTCTGTTCTTATACACCTCTCCTTTTCAGAGAGAATTATTGTATACGTCAAGCGAAACGGATAACCCCACATGGAACGAATCGCATCATTAGATTCCAAGATGAGTGAGACTCGATAATTACCATCATCATCCTATAAATAGATTGATAACAAAGGTAAGTAGAAATATTTGAATATTGTTTGAAATTACTCTTTTGTTATCTCACTTTGCGAGGTTTGTCGGAAACTGTCCATCGATTTATTCTAGCGAACCCGTGTTGAGGTCCAGCTTCCCAGGGGCCGAAATTAGCTGTAAGACAATAGCATGGTAAACGTTTTCTATTTGAATGGAAAAAACCATATACGAACGAAATACAAGCGGTATTCCACCTCTGATTGCCTTCTTGTTGTCAAATAATGATTTTTCGCTATAAAATAGTCAATGACCTATTAATGAAACTTGAACAGTTTTAATAAAGCATTCACCTCACAAATATCAATTCTTTCCCATCGATCATCCATGAGATAAGAGTTGCACCATATAAATGAACAGTAAAGCTACATTTATCCGAAGCCTTTACAAGGATGACATCTTCTTCATTCCACGCTGTCATTTTGTCACTTTTGTATCAACTGTCCTAACGAGTGTTTAGAAAAAAGACATATATGTAAAAAAGATAGTTCACTATTCAATAAAAATACAATAACATATTGAGAACAACTAATGCCATCTAGATTATTTATTATTTCTTTGCCTTACATAGAATAATTGGTTTAGACTACAAATAGCAAAAATTAATCTTTAAAATGTCAAAGTAAAGAAAAGAAGGTGTATCCAATTTTCAATTGATTGTATATATCTATAAAAATTGATACAAACCTCTAAAATGATGTCTTGACAGTTAAAATTATTGCATAAAAACTCTTAAACTTAGCTTCTGTATATTGTAAAAAAAAAACATAGTATATACAATATATTAACAGTACATTTGCTTAATTTATGCGAGATTTAAGGCATTTAACCAATAAAAATATGAATCATATTAAAAAAAAAAAAGAAAAAAAGAATACTTGCTTTTCATAAAAGAAGAAAACTTTGAACTCGTTTAAGAAAGTCTTTAATATAACTATCAGGTTACAATTTTGTGTAAACTTTACGTCATAATGAAGGTATTAAGGTAACAATGAATAGGGAAAAGTTTCTAAATTACACTAGACAGTGAATAAGTTAACAAGGGAAGTGGAAGGAGAAAAGAAGTGTTATTATTAGAAATTAATCGTTTTTTACTCTTTTTTTTGTGTTTTTGCCATACCAGCTGTCTGTTTGATGATTATCTAATTATGCCATCTCTTTTTTTTTAAATTTATTTAACGATCTGTCTGATTCATTTAATAAAATAAGAGAAAATGTTTAAATGAGATCTATAAACATTTTTATCGTTATTTTATATTTTTAACTATTAGAATCAGATAGAGAGAAGTTTCTATAAAAAGAAAACACATTTTTTAATGTATATGAACAGGTTTCTAATTTTATATATCCGCTTTTATCCTCTTAAAATGACAAGTGTCTGCATAACAGAAGAATTCCGGTTCCGTTGTAACCTATGTATTTTACTGTAGAATAGATTATATAAAAAAAGAAGATGGTCGGGATAAAAGGAAGAGTGGAAACACAAATATTAGATTAAAGGATTAAGTAATTGTAAACCATAATAACTGACAATATGGAAAAAATTATTAAAGAAATCCTTTTTGTCAACAGTGAAATTGAAGGTAAAAAAATGGTTCCATTTTTTCCAACGTGACAAATTGTGAGGATTGAGCTGTAGAAATGAATATGAAAATTGACCCAACCCCTATGACCTATCTTAATTTCGTAAGACAGACGTCCGAGTTAAATGGTCCGTGAGCGTCCTTCTACAAAAAAAAAAGCGAAGTTAGTCGGTAATTTATCAGCTTTTCCGTTTTCCAGGTGCCAATGTCACAAAAAGTCAGACGAAAAAAGCACCTGCGCGATCTTTGTTTTCGGCAGCTGCCCTCCCATCCGATGGAGATGAGTTTTTTTTTTTGTTTTTCAAAGGCTTCTTCTCTTCATCAGATTCACTCTCCTTAAACAGTCTTTATGGTTATGTTTTTTTTGACGCCCAAACTGCAAAAATAACTCATCTGGCCCACCCATCATCCGCTACCCTTTTCCCTTCCCACCTCCCCTTTACGCCCATCTATCTTTTGTCTACGTAAATAATAGACGTCACGGAGGCGTGTATTTATGGCGATTAACTAAACGCCTTATAAAAAGCCAGGTGACGGTGGGCGTTACTTATTCTTGGATACTCCGTTGGCACGCGCCTAGAAAATATGAATACCCAACAGAGATAATTTCAAAACTCTTACAAACAGCCGGAAGTCGGAAATCGTTAACTTCCTGGACAAATATCCCATATAGGGGAAATGATAGACTGAAAGAGAAAGAAAATGATAATAACTTTATTGTACGATAATAATAATTATAATAATAAATTGTTTATAATGTTTATTATTAAAGATAAAAAAGATACGGCCCGCAGAAAATGAAAAGGCTGAAAAAAATACTAATTTTCGGAAAATATTTAATTTTCCGTTATTTTTTTATTCTAAATTCAACAGAATTAAAAATTTATCCAAAAAACAAAAAATAGACAAAAGATAACAAAAAAAAACTATTTCTTTCCATCGTTTTTTATCTTATAATTCTTTTTTTTTATATATTCTTTTTCTATTTAAATGCGCGTGCGCGCCGCCTTTTCAATTTACTTCTTTATTTTCTTTTGCAAAAGTCGAACGGTTGTATAGTCTCTCTATTATATTGGTTTTTTAACAAAAGCCACAAAACTTCTTGAACAGGATCTGTTGTAGAGATAGGAAAGGGAGGCGGATACGAATGGGCGGTGATCGAATATTGGTCAAAAGAGGGAACTTGTTTAAAAAAAGAGTTTAAACTATAAATTTATATATACAATATATATATATATATAAATTTTGATATATATATTCAAAGTTTGAAATCCTGGGTTCTATGTTGAATAGAATTGTAGAATTAATGATAAAACGTTGATATAGAATACTTAGTCACGGAAGCTTTCTGACAACCCGTATATATACTATACAGTACGCACACCATATATATATATATATATATATATATATACTAATACATACGTACTGCATTCATTTTCAAATTACAACAAAAACCGCTAAAAGTATAGATTAGTATGAATAGGCTACAATCTCATTAATATTCCTAAAGTAGATGCGTTCCAGCATAGAGTGTGGCTGATGTTATCGGAGTGTTATTTTTTATTTTCCTATACGCTCGTGTGCTTTTAGCTCTCTATCTATCTCTATCTATGTTTCTTTCTCTCTCCGTCTCTCTTTCTTTCTTTCTCTTTCTCTTTTCTGTCTTCTTTTTTTTTCCATTATGATATTCGCATGTCACTGCGAAAAGTTCAATATACAGACATTGCTTGAATCGATTGATAAACTTTACAATTTCGCTCTCATAAAAAAGAAACAACAAAAACTTTGAATTGAAGGAAATAAAAAAAGCTCGCTCGTGACACTGTTTTACTACAATCTAAAGAATGACCTTTTATGGAACTAACACGACTATTTTATTGTTTCTTACATTGCGACGACGTCTAACAGACGACGCCTTGAAAGCTTTTCTTTTTTTTCTTTATTTCTTTTTACACGTTACACAAGTCAAACGTTCCGTTGAGTTATTTACTCCGAGCTGATGGCGGGAAATAAACACACGAGGTACTCTATTATAGAATTTCCTGTGACGCTTTTATTATTAGCTCTTCTTATGCTTTTCTATGCTCACTCGTTTTTTTGTGAATGTGAAACGGAGGGGAACGAAGCATACGTCATAATTACGTCACTATTAGTCGACCTTAGAGTTGATTAATTATCTAAGTCGACCTCTTCGCGGTTAATATATACGTTAGTTTTTCAATTGGTAAATGAGTAAGAAATTATACGATATCTTCCATCTGACTTGCCGTTAATGTGAAGTATGTGTCGTTTCGCCTCGACTGCCTTTCTTTATCCTTTTTTCTCCTTATAAGACCGACTGTTTCGTATCACTTGGTAAGAGCAATTATAAACGGTTGAAAGAGTTAATAGACAAATATATAAATTTACATAAAAAGGGTGTTTGAATAATACTATAACAATTTTATTTCATTACGATTTTAGGTCTTTTTTTATTACCGAGCTACCGTGAAAGAGCTACCGACAACCTTTTATATCAATTGTAACTTTCCTCCTCTCTCTTTCTTTATCAATATATACCTTTCTCTGTTCTCTTTCGTCTAAATTATGCCCATTAGACGGTAAAAAATAACTACTTATGAATATTTATAAACACCTATACTGTAAAAATAATAATAAAAGCATGATTTAAATAACACAGCATATTAACATTTCGATCAGGATAATTTAATATATACAGTGTAACAGGTGTTAATGATGACATGACTGCAGTACTTACGGGTTTACTGTTTAAAACCGCTATGTGACAGCTGGCGAAAAAAGAAAGTCAGGGGATTAAACTACAATAATAATAATTGTGTTAATATATTCATTAATAATAAAAAAATCTGCGGGAAATGTTTGAATCACATTTTCTAGCTTATTTTTAAATATAGCTATCACATTCGCTCCCCTTCTCTTCCCCTCTTTCAAAAAATCTTTTTTCTTTCTCGTTCTTTTCTAATTGTGTATATCTAAGTAGCTGTAGACGTTAAAAGTCGATTTTTATAGCCTAGTTCTATTATTATGCGGGTCGATTTAGAAACTCGAAGAAAAGTCCTTAGGGCTACTACTGGTCCATTTTTTATAGAGAAAAAATATAGAAATATGATAACAATATCTCTAAAAACAAGAATTTATCTATGTTTTTCATATAAATGACACTTATTGAAAAAGAGAAACAAATAAATTAATTTAGTCAAGTGTAGCGAAATTGTAATATAGTTCTTTTTTCTTGTTCTCCGTTCTTCTTCTCTATCTTCTCTTTTCCTATTGATTTGCATATCCAAATGTCGGAAGGAAGGGATTGTATTCGCCAACATCTCCGGATATGTATCTAAGGGTTGAATATGGTGCGGCAAACAGATCAAGGTTAGTTGTAACGGGAGGTTGCAGCTCCACGTATGAATTTGAACTTTGTGGTGGCGGACTAGTTTTTAGGTTGGTCTGAGCATATGCTGGGCAAAAAGACATCATATCTTCATTTGGTCGCTTATTAGGGAATTGAATGAATTCTGATGGATCGTTAAAGGAGCATAAATCAATCGAGCCGTTAGGGGGATTGTAGGTATTTTCCTGAATTGGATTGAAAATTTGCGGACAATACTGTTCTGCTGGTACGTTATGATTAGTTTGATGCTGGTATTCCGTATATTGAGGCGGATTTTCGTATTGTCGTAATGTTGGATAGGTATGATTCGCAACGTCGAAATCGGCTGGAAAAGTCGGCTCGAAGAACCGAGCAGTATTATGAGGTACACAGTCAAAAGTCGGCGGGAGGGATGTGGGTGGGATTGGTGGTGGAATTGGCTCCGTTGACGCTCTTTTCTTTGGACTATTCATCCTTCTAATAGCCTGTTAAGTCGATGAATAATTAGTTATATTTCCTCTCTTCGGAAGGTTTTTTATAGAAATTGAAACGAGACAATATAAAATCGAAATATAGAAAAGAAAAAGAGCCATCACCAGACGAGGTTGCCTATTCTCCTTTGTCAAACACGATGAACTATGTCTACGTGCCTCGGCGGATGACTTGGCCTCAGGCTGTGGGTGATCATGAATTCCTTTGGCTTGAAAGAAGATGATTCCATTTGATTGTCTCCAAAAGTGTGTTACTGGATAACCACAATGTCCTCGGCAGGCCATCAGCTCCAATCGACCCCCACATCTAGGATTCGGGCAAGTCTTGTCTATTTTCGAAGAGAAACAGATACAAATAATCAATCAGTGTCGTAGCTGGGCGGACTAGACCCGTCTTTTTAATTGATTTTCTCAAAAAAAATCACGCGTCAATTGAATTTTCGCGTGTTTCTCCATTCATTCACCCTTTCCTTTTTATTGCCGGAATGGAATGCGTCAAGCTAATAGGCCTACTCCTCTAAATTTAAAACTCATACTCACTTATCTGCTTCTTTCTTGCCTTATCGCATATGGCTGGTCTCATGTGTACTTTTTCATCATTCTCCAATACACAACGCTTAGAACAAACCAAAACTCCAAGACAACTCTTTTTTAATATATTTACATTATGATTATTGGTATTTCGCATTGCCCATCCCGATGTGTGACGCCTAGCGTCTTCAACATCGGCTGGATAGACATAGCGAGCGTGTCCATTTGGCCACTCTTGAAAAGAATCAAATTCCGAAATCTGAAAAACAAAAAAGAAAAGGATATGGGGATTAAAGTATAAAAGCTGTATTTAAGAAAGAATTTAGGGAACGCGGCATTGTTTAACTCGCCAGTATTACGTCCAGCAGAGAGAGAAGAAGGAGAGGTCTGGGGGTCGGAGACTCGTGACACCTGTTACAAGTTCCCAGCTTACATCACGAGACGCTTCAAAGGCGCACGAAGCGGTGTTAAAACATTAACTTAATAGTATCGCGCTCGCCTAAGTCGATGCTTTCGCGCCTTTCACCCACACATTCAGGCGATTAGAGCCCTGTCCATATACGGATATAATGAAAAGTCAACACGCTCCTGGCTATGCATTAGATGCAAATAAAAGAAGATACCAATGTCCAATTCTACTTTGAAAAACAAAGCGTCCAGATTGGGGCAGGTGCAAAGTTGTTTACTGGCTACTTAGAAGGCTCAACCAAATTAAAAACGTCTTCTTTGTTTTATAACGGCGTTCTATTGACTTTTCGGAAGTTCGATAAGATAAGAGGTGACAACGTTCGTGTTTTGGGTCACGTGTTTATCGAGGCGTCGATTGATAAATAACTCGTAAATGCAACTCCTTTAGCATATTTATTATTTCTTTCTTCAAATATTATCAAACTCAATTTTAAAAAACCGCAAAAACCGCCACTGTGAACTTTATATAATTTACATATTTATACGCCTTTCAACTGCTTCTCGTTAAAGAATCTTTATGTAATAGCTAATTTATGCTGACAGACTAAGCAATTTATCTTACCGTTGGTAAAATATTATCATTAATATCCCATTGGTGACGAGAGTTTAGAACCTCTCGATGAATAGTATTAGGACTAGTTACAGGTTTACAAATTTCATCCGATAAAGTCATCTTTCCGTTACGGTTTACCAGAAGAGTTGCATTTGCCTTTCCATTTTATACTTGGAGTGCTTCCGATCGGAAATCGACCAGTTAACCACGCCCATTACCCTCATTGGACGGGACTTTTAATAGCTGTACGCTGATTGGACCGTGCTAGCATATAATTATAAGATGTAAAACTTTATTTGAAGTGGTATAGAAATATACTTGTTATATTATGTAGACAGGTCGAGAGAGCAAATAAATTATATTTGCAAAGTAAGAGCTTCCCTCCTAAGTACTGGAGGCCGTCTTTAAGTGTTAACACGCGATATAGTCATCTTCTCTTATCGAATATCGAACTTTCGAATTACTAAATTATAAAAGACCAAACAAATATGTCGAACTTCCTATTACATACATATAGTTTCCTTTTTTAATCTAGGTCAAACGATGATAACCTAAGGTGTTATCTTCAACGTTCCATCTTAATGTTTGCACACGCCGGTCGCGTGGGACTTTTAATCGTAAAAGGGAACATGATTTAACGCAATTACATAATCACTTAATTTACGCTTATTCAAATGTTTCGTTCACGATTCTCTCGCCACGAAATACAAGAGGACGCACTCTCTTATGCAATATCGCTAATGGGGCGGGTATTATGTACTTTTACGTACTTTTATTCTATTTGGTCTTTGTCTCTGCACATCAATCGTTAGAATCACATAAGGGTTAAGGATAAGGGAACAGGTATTAAAAAATAAATGCTAATAAATAAATAATTACGTCGGCTACCTGCCATAAGTTTTTGTGAAGTGCTGACAATACAGAAATGATAGAAATCAGTAAAAGATCTTTATTATTGATTTCAAAGATTTTATAAAATATTCTTTTTATTATTTTCGTATATAATAGGTATAATGAATACATTTGTATTCAAATATATTAATTTATATATTATATTAAATCAATATTTCATTACTGATATAGTGAATAATGATATAGACTGGATCTCGTAGGCCTATATCTATTGTTATGTAATATATCTTTTAATCAAGTTTTAGAAGTAGCCTTTACAGTAGAGAAACAATCTAGGTGATAATTCCTTATTTAGTCTTTTTTATCAATATGTTATTTATTAGTGATAATCGAACACACTTTTCTTGGAGATATTTATGATCAATTTCCTGATAGATGCTTTATTGTGATATAATTTTTTTATATAATCTAGACGACCTTAGAAGAGCACGATAATGTGTTGAAAAGTATATCATCGCAACGTTTTACGCGCTTTAGATAAATGATCGTGCCGTACTGTTTAAACTACTACCGCCATCTGTAACTTTAGCCTAATTAATATTTAGTATTTTTAACTCATCTGATCATTTATTTAAAGTTTACATCAATAAAACAATTACAATGACAGATTGTACCATAAACTGGTATAAGTCTGTAACAAAGAGTTAATCTATTAATCTCTTGTTATGTATATTTGATTAAGAATTAAATATCTTAAATCCTTTAATAAGTTGAAAAACAAGTCTTTTATTAAGGCTTCTTTTATTTATAGATCTGATTATTTAATGAAAATAGAAAGCGTAGAAGCATATTGGAATAATCGAAGACTTCCGATAGTAAACCCACATTATGATAAGGCGGGCTAGAAATACAATAAAGTGGACAATTTTTAATTATAAACCTATAAGGATACTGTGGTTGAGAACTTCCGCTTCCCTTTTCTCTTAATGTTCAGTTATTGAGAATTGAACAATGTTTACTATAGTTAAGAAAAGAGTTATTTTCAGAATCTTTCCTTTACAGACACAATTGACGGAAGTTGACTGAGGTAAATAAATGAGATAACCTATAACCTCTTACAAAAGTTGGCTACAAAACTTTTCTAGTCAAAAGAGAGAAAAGATTTATCCTCTCTCTATATAAAAACAGATTAAAAAGTGAAAATTAGAAAATTAGAAAAGCATCACAAACTTTTTGCTTTAACATTTCTTCCGTCCATTTCATCATTTTTCCTTTCTCTCTTATCCATCTAATGTCGAATGCGAAATGGAAAAGTATGTGTTTGAACTTTTGACAACTACCCTTTCTTTTTTTACATATTCATATTTTTAGTATGGAACCCAACTCCTCCATCGGATTCCCTGTTCATTTTTCGGAAAATAACCCGTCACTGTGCTTGGCGCGAAACGCGTGCTACCTTTAACGAACGGCCACTATTCATTACGGGTATTTCTTTCAATCAGATAGACGCTTCGGTAACGCCCTCGTCCAACGAAACTTAAGAAAAATTATATCGAGATAAGCCTTACGCGTCGCTGACGCTTTTCACGTGTCGCTTTCGTTCGGAATTTGGGGAATTAGTGACGCTAGTTTCACCTGAGTCGTTTCGATATTAATTTTATAACGAATTTTATAAAAGTTGGCACGCAAAGTTTATTGTTAAAAGAATAATAATAAAATATTTATTCACCAGCTTAAGTCTTTCTTTGATTGGTGAAGTGTTGGACTGTTTTCTGAATAAAACTGCTTATACCATCTTCTATGTTTGGCAAGCATTTGATCTTCCATTGTACCCGTAAGAACTGGCTTGGACTCATACTTTTTATTATTCCAAATCATAATATCTCTTTCAATTTGAATAGCTTCTCCGAGGAGGAAGAATTTACGAATACACATTGGAACACTCCAATGCATATAAACCTGATGTACAATTTTTTGTTTCATTGGCTCTACTGGGGCTAGGGATTGGAGGTAGCAGCCTTTTCCAAATATGGACGATTCAAAAGTTAAATAGACTATTCCAGGACCTATTTGATTTGCTTGCACTTTCATGTCTAAAACTGGGATGTGGACGCCGAAAAGTTTAAGGCCATGGGTCAAATTTAATTGACCAATATGACCTTCTGGTAACTGCTTCCATTCTCCAGCCCATTCGTGCTTTCCAAATTCCCATATTCTATTATACGTATCTCTCAAATCAACGCCTGCCGCCATAATCGGGCCATGAACTTGTGCAAGATGAGAAATGTCCGCTCCATTTTCGGGAACTTCCTATAGAAATAAATGTGAAAGTACAGAAAAGGAATTTTCACTTGCTATTTGCTTAATATTAGGCCAAGGACGGGCCTCAACTGGGGCAATTCTTTAGGCTACTCAGCATAATATATTCTAAAATTAGATGAGATCTCGTATTCGTGGCCTTAATGAATGGCCAAGTTTAAATGGAACTCTAAGAAAACACGATAAAAAATATTGCGCAATAACTTACTTCTATATGAGCATTGATGTAATGTTCACTTCTACCCCCAAATACGAGTTGTCCTTTTGTAATCTCTTCTATTTCTGGTGGTTGCCATGTTGGTTCAATTCCTTCAGCATGATACCAAACGTAAATAAAACCGTTCAGCTCTAATGTATTATAAGCCTTGACTCTTGCAGTTTCGGGTACTAAACACAAAGAGATTATAACTATACTGTACATTTTCATAGTAAATAATAGCATACTTTTCGAAGAATAGGGAATTTTTTTGCATTTACCATCGTCTCCACTAAACCTCCAACCGTGAAAAGGACATTCAATACAATTATCGAATACTCTTCCACCAATTGCGAAGTTAGCACCTAGATGAGGGCAATAAGCATCAATTACGTGAGCACGTCCATCAGCTCCCCTGAATACAGCTAAATCAAGACCTAGAAAAAAAGTAGAACTTTTAGTTAAGAAATTACCAAGACACTCTGATAAGATAAAGATTTTTATTTGTTACGTAAAGATCACCTAAGATGGAATAGCTTTTTGATTCCCCTTTCTTCAAATCTCTTGATTCGGCAACGGCAAACCAACCATTCGGGTAAACTGGTGGTGGTTTACCCATATTTTTTCGTTTTTGAACAAGATTTGCCATATCCTTCTTGGACATCCTATCTACCTCCCTAATATAGCCGACTTCTTCAATTAATCTAACTCGATTCATCGGTACAAATAATAATTGGTATAGCCATTTTAAAACAACATATAATACTCCAATAATCCCTCCTGTGAGTAAAACGGTAAACATATCAAATTGGACAATCCTCTTCCCAAATGACTTGAATATTTTAATGTAATTAGATAGATTCCAGGTGGATACAGCATCAATCAGCTCATACCCTATGTTAGCAGACACAAGGATAAAAGCGAGAGCGAAGACGATACCATAGAGAAGCTTGGACATTTCTGCACATTTCAGACTTCAGAGTGAAAGAGATTGAGATAAGATAAAGGTCGTTCGATCGGTCAGTCTGACTAAGTCTTTCTCTTAATCGGCCAAAGATTATAAATGATATAGAGGAGTGAAAATATTTTTAATACGACCGCACGTAGTTTTCTACTCCACTTATCTATGCATAGTGATAGACCTAATAGTAGAAGGTATGAGCCTTCTATAAAATGGCCTATAAGTCATTCAAACATGGCATTGATCACGTAGGCAGCTGTGACTATATTACAAGTCTATGCATATTTATTTCTGTTTTATAAATAGTTTTTATGCTTTTATTCAAATTATTCAACAATTTGAACACAATCTAATATAATTGATATTTCTTTCTTAATGCAAATGCTCCTTTGGTACCCATCTGTTGCATCAATCTACTCCAGGTCGCATTACCTAGAGACGCTCGGGCATCGTGTAGGGTTTGCCTTATACGCTCTGATGTTTCTTTTTTGGTTTCCATTGTGGCCATAGCAACTAAGAAATGTTCCCAACAATCTTTATTGATCCACCTAACATTCTTCCCACCGATTATTTTGCATAGGCCTTCAACTAATCGAATTCGATCTTCTTCCCTTGGCCAATCTCTTCTAAGACTTTTACAAATTACTTGAAAAGTATCAGGAGTAGTTAAAAGACTACGAGCTTTTCCCATTTTTGGCCAACGTTCAGAGATTGTTACCAATAGAGACATAGATGAGAAATCTTCCTCTTTTTTTTTGATATTCTCGGTCAGATTTGAAATGAATTCTTCTCCAAAGCAACATTCGTCGATATTGTTTACTACGGATAAAAGCGTCCAATAAGAATTCGATCGAATTTCTTGATTTGAACTTGATGAAAAGTCCTCCAGACACTTTATTAATTCAGAACTATGCTGCTTGACGGCAGACCAGTTGGTCCTTGAGAGATTTCCAACAAAAGCAATGGAAGATTGGAGTATATTTTCGGGATTTTCTTTCTTCAGCGTTCTAATTATACAATTACTAAGTTTATCTGTAATGAGGGATGGGAGAGGTTCGGTAGAGCTTTCCAGACATGCACTAACTGTATCGATAATTGCTATAAATCGATTTTCGTCCTCTTGGTTTGTCCAATTACCATTAAAATCTTGACACAGAAATCGTTGAATTTTAACGACTATACTTTCCCTATAGTTGCTAAAAACTGGTCCACTGAATATAGCAGCAAGACAAATCGGTTGAACGACTAATAACAGTTCTTCAACCGGTACGGAAGTGAGCTGTAGAGATAGAAAATAATCGACAAGTGGCCTTAACAAGGACGATCCTTCATCATCGAATTGAATACCGCATCTGGCGACTAAATGAACGCAGCATTCGAAAAATGTGAATCTTCCACTTCCGTTAAATAAATTTTCAGATTTACGAAGACCACTACTCAATTTCTGAGCGTAGGAACTAATATCTCGATTACCGTATGCGAGCACTGAAGTTAAGGCTCGTAAAGAACTCTCCCTCACTTCGGCACAGTGATCTGACAATAAACTTGGTGATGCTTTCATTAACTTGGTCCACCATTCACTATTTGTCTTTTGGTCCGCCTTACAACAATGCAATGTTTGGAGAGCAAAACAACACCCTGCTTTTAATAGAGGATCGGTAGAAGCTAAAGCTTGACCAGCAGTTGATAAAGCTAAATCGTAGATGTCTTTCATTACTCGTGGCTGGCGGGAAGAGACACTTTGGCAAAAAGCGGCCGTCACTAGAAGAGATGCTTCAGTCTTCTTCCAATCTCTTGACGTTAGTCCAGAAGAGATAGGACCTTTGGCTGCTAAAGCTACATCGGTTTGCAAGAGACTGGCTAAATTCTCGAAGGCTAGGGCTGACCAATTCCTTAAATTACTCAAGTCATTGATGTTTTTTGGCGGTTCAATATCATTTAACGAAATATTAGAATTTATCGTATACTCAACCAAATCATCGGCATACGCTATGTTGTCTATCAATGATGGGATAACTTGATCGAGAACTGATAGAAAAGCACTACTCCATTGGGACAAACACTGCGAAGGTACAGGAGGATTCTGTAATTGCCTTAGATAGTTGACAGCACCCAGGCGAATTTGAAGAATATTACTCTTTAAGCTGTTTGCAATATATAAAGCAACTGGCTTGAAAATTGGCATTAAGTGATCGGCTGCGTGTTCTTGCAATAATCCAATCGATAATGTCAAGTTATTGTGAAGCAGGACGTAAGGATTATTGTCCTCACTTTCCTTTTCTGGAGTATCTATTCGCAGATCTAATAAATTTGGTCCTCTTAGGGACTTCACAATGCTCTTAATCACATGTTCATCGTTAACATTCTTTTGGTATTGATAAGAGAGTAGTCGGAGGGCCAGAGATCGAATTTCTAATGAATAATGCTTGGTAGCGTCGACACAAGCGTCTAAATCGTCTTCTTCCAATTTGCTTCCAGACTGTATATTTTCATAATATTCCTTGAGAATTGGACCGGCGCCTTCCCAATCTTTATTCTTCAATGTACTTAAAGCTACCGGCATGTCGAATTTTCATATAGCACTATTTGTGTAGTATTGTTGACAACATCACTATGCCGACGGCCGATAGATGTCGTCTGATTTTACAACTTTTTTCTCTTTAACAAAGTAAGAGTTAACAAAGCGAGAAAAAAAAAGCAAAATTTGAAAAGGCGGAACGTAAAGCGAAGCGTAAATCATAGCGGAAATAGATAAAATTCATTATTAAAGTACTATAAGTGCCATTTATTAATTGTCCTTAAAAAATGAAAGATTTTTATTACCCCATAAGTAATTTAATATAATAGCGCCATCTTACGGATTTTTCGTCCCCCTCTACCCGCATTTCTTTAAATCATGCTTCTTCTTCTACTTCAAGGCGCGCCATCTGTGTGAACGCGTATAATGAATATTTTTTTGTTAGCATTTTCAATCTCGATCTAAGCAATATAGAATCAACAGCGGCTTAGATGCCACCGAAAAAAAATGGCATATGTCAAAGGTTAAGGCAAGATCCTTAATCTCTAAATGTATCCATTTAATCCTTGATTATTTGCTTTTATTCCACTACGTATTAATGTAATAAGAATATTTTTTCCATATAAATTATTTAAATATAGAACTGGCAAGCTTTCCTTTGTATACTTTTATATACAAAATGCTTTCATAATAAAGCTTTATTACTCTTTCTTTTTAAACTCCTATAGATATATTGGAAAACACGACTAGAGACAAAACAATACTTAGAGTCCGTTAATTTTTTTTTAAGAATAATCTTCTTTTTCTTTCTTTTCTTTTCTTTTCTTTTCTTTTCTTTTCTTTTCTTTTCTTTTCTTTTCTTATTCTTGTTTTCTTTACATCAACTAACGAAATCCACTGTGACCCATCGATGCACTATGTTCCAAGGCTTTCCTGCGCAATTGTGCGATACTAGAGCCTCTCCAGGCGTCGCACTGTAGAAAAGAAATAGAAAGAAAAATGAAATCTAGCGATTTATCACCGACCGAATTGGCTTTCAGCTTGTAATCGAAAATGAAAAACAAAACTAACCACTAGCGACGTTGGATCGGAATGAACGCCTTGAGTGGGTGATGCGCATGACGTCAAATCGGGACATTGCGAGACGACCGGATATTGATTATAAACAGCCGTTGGAGGTGGAGGAGGCATTGGTGATCCACCACAGGTTCCATTCATCGGTGGTAAAGTCGTCTGAAAGGGAGCTGCACCCCACCGAGCATCGGTTGGTGGTGGGGGAGCTGGAAAGATAGAATCGTGCATCGAGAAAGGCGAGAGACCGGCTGAAGGAAGTAAAGCTCCAGGCGTCCTAAAAACGTTGGTTGTCTTCTTGCGCTTCTTCCATTTAGCTCGTCTATTCTGGAACCAAACCTGAAGAAATGGAAAAACTGTTGATAGACAAAATATATAAAACGCCCCAATATCCCCTGGGTCAGATGATGGCCGACGCGGATCAGGCTTGGCAATCAAACTTCAATCTGAAGGCGTTAGCGGAATGGGCGCCATAAATTTGCAGATCGTCCTCGGACGTCGAACGCGGGATTAATTTGACAAGATAATATTTTAAGCGTTGAAAAACACGAAGAGGTGGTGCGTAGACAAACAAAGCGTAAGAATTAAGCGAAGCCATTAACCGTCGCTGACAGCTGATTTGCATACACATTAAATAGCTCATGAATGCGAGGGAAGCGTCCCTTGAGTTGATAACTTCATTGGAATGCCGGCATTAAATACCTTCTCCCGCTCCCTTTCTCACTTCCCTACTTAATTACCTTTTTTCGAGGCGGACGCCACGTGCCAGACACGACGGCAAAGTTTGGGCGCAAAAACTGAGAATATGCCAATTGCAGGGACGGCCCTCGCGTCTTTTGTATTTGCTGCCAGACGCAGTAGGGATTTCAAGTATACTCTTCTTCATTTCACTCATATACATCGCTGCCGATAAGCAATCCTTTGAAATTAAACGCGTCCGCACAAGCGTCATGATAATACAGTGAGAGTACACAAACGTTGGCGTTAATGTTCTTCCATTTGTTTAAGACGGAATTAGTACACATTTTCAACAACTAAAGTCTTTTGACTTTTATACCCTTGGCGTATTTACATAAAAATCTACAACAATAAACGCGCTTATACAAACACTTATTCTTTTATCTTCCCTATGAGCGAATAGGCTTACTTTCCGTATTTTAACAACAATACATAAATATATTAACAAGTATAAATACTATTTATAAACGAGAAATATTTATATAAAATTTATGTAATATATATTGCCAAAGCCGACCGCATTTAAATAATCTTATATAAAGGAAGGGAGGGGGCCAACGCATAATATCGGTATATATACAATAAATATCAGGGAAAGAGAAAGCTAGAATAATGAGTGCAGCAAATGAAAGAGCACCATCCATCACCGGCTGGCCCCACGGTGAATGGCGCAGGGGCGCCAACAGCACGAAAAGTGCACATTATGAGACCACACAGCACGGCACGCACTCGATCCGCAATATTCCATCGATGGAAAATATTACTGCAATTCGGTCGATTTTTCAAGTTGAAAGGTTCAGAAATGCTCACAGTTATTTCTCTTAAATAAAAATCTGTTACTCTTTCCCTTACACAACTATTTAATTATTAAAGACCGACTTTGCTTTGCCCTACTTTTTTTTCTTTCTTTAATAAAATAGTGATTCTGTACAAACCTGAACTCTCGATTCAGTCAGACCGATTCTTAGAGCAATCTCCTCTCTCATAAAAATATCTGGGTAATGAGTCTTTGCAAAACATCTTTCAAGTTCGTTTAATTGCGCCGGTGTAAATCTAGTCCGATGACGTTTCTGTTTTACAGCTTTGTCGCTGTCTGAGTTGTTCTTGCTTTGATCGCATTGCTTGGACGTGTTGTCGGCGTGATCTTCCTTCGCCGGAGCAGCACTTTTCAAAGGCGTTACTGAAACGGAAGAACGTTCCCGATGGGAAAAAGCAACGACTGTTGATAAAAAAACTTACCGTCGTTTGTCATAGTTAGAGAAGGAGTAATGTTGGGTAGAAGTGGTTCAACATGGCGTCCGCCAAACATATGCGTAGCCACCTCCATGACAACTTACATTCACAATTGTACACGGCAGTCCTGATCAGCCAAATATACGGCTCCGGTTGATGAAGGGCAGTGAGCGATGATTGGCTGCGGTGCCTAAGCGTCACACCAATCAGCGTTTAGCTGTATCTTATGAATATTAAATAGTTATCTCGCCGACTCGATAATTCAAGGCGAAACTTTATTTGATTTCGCTCACCTCCCTTATTCTTTTAAGTGACGTCTTCTGGCGTTAAAAAGACGCTGTCAAAGCGCATAAGCGTCAGAATACGAAGCTGTCGACTCATACTGCGCGCATAAGAATGGTTTGATTATGTTTTATTAGGGAGCGAGTACTTTAACAAAATGAGTCTAAATTGTCTAAATATATCCGTAATGAAACGTCTCATCTAGGCATAATCGGCGTAGAGTGGCTTATATTGCTTCGATTCAAGGCCATTTATTCCCACCATACGCTACTTTTTGCTTCATTTCATTTCGTCCAATAAAAAGGAGATAATAAAATTCTTCTTGTCTTTCTACATCAAGTAATTAGCATGCATAAGACACTTATACATTTGCTCTTATATTTAAAAACAAAGTTATTGACCCTTGCACCCGAAGACAATCAGTCAAAAAACTAAATTTCGGTATCGTATGCATATATACGCAACTCCGCACCGCGTGACGGCGACTTTTATTGAAATGATACAATCAAGCAGACGCCATTAAACGCCAGCCTGACTCACGATGGACGCTCTCGTGAACGCCTTAATCGCTATTTTATACGCGTGTATATTTACACACGGGCGTTTTTATATTATCTATATACATATAATTAAACATGTGTAATTATAGGGTGTTCAATAGAGTAAGCGTGATTATCATACATGTCTCATAACCAAAGCACACTTGTATCACTCACAGACAATATCATTATCTTTTAAGGGGTAAACCATTCGAAAGCTTCAGATGGTGACTATAAGTGAAAATACAGAGATTGAAAGAATAAACACTCCCTGACGTCAGCAGACTGCTTCAGACGAAGAGTAAAAGACGCCTTTTAATTAAAAATTTAACGGTGGTCGCCTAGACGCTTAGCGACGTATGACCGGAAACAGGGCTCCGAATGTCCATCAACGTCGTGCTTATCAAGATAAAGGCGTCTCTTCGAATGAGGAAAGCAAGCAAACTGTCAACGCTGATTAGAATACATGCCTATGCACAATTAGAACGTAATCTCTCGCTACAAAATAGCCTCAGCTCGATCAATCAACTTAAATGAAAATAACACGATGGCGTCGGCGATAGCTAATGTAGGCCTAATGCACGAATGTAACGCCTAATGACGCCCGGACGTCGGTCGCTTCCGTTCCACTGATGGCAAGTGACGGCAAATATCTGCATTGTCATTACCTATTGTACATCGTAATGCGTTCGTTGTCGGTTGAAATTTTCTCTCAGTTACCGCGAAGCAAACTCAATTTATAAAGCTCACTTAATGCTAAATTAGCTTCGCAGGTGCGTGTGGCTATCATCATGATCTGCATCACTAAATCGTTCGTACAATCAAACATTCTATAGTTTGCCTACTTCCGTTTTCCATGTTTGCACGCCACGTTCTCGTTCGACTGCACGTGTTGCTTTTATCTTGATGCGCGTCGATTTTCCACTTATACTGTATACAAATATAGTATACTATATTAACAAAAAATGTAATATGTTAATAATAAATAAACTGCCTTAGAAAGCGTGCATACACGCGTCGACTCAACTTAAAGCATTCGCCGCAAATCAGGGCTGTGTTCCTCATAAAATATTCAAGCCGTGTTCTGACGGTGATTGGAAGAAAGCGTGCGTCTCTCGGCGTCACTTTCTCTCCCGCTGTCACTGAACTCTTTAAGTATATAACCTTACAATTGTTAAATTTTTTCTACTCTTTATAAATTATAATCTGCTTAATTAGGCGTCTAATTATAAATACATAAGCCGCATAAAAACAGATCGTTAATCTTTATTTAAAAAATATACGAATAAATGAAAAATCAGTACATTTTTAATTATAAGATTCTCTTTGCTGCTCTTCTGTTTATTTATTTATTTATTATATAAATAATAGGAACATTTCTTATTCTTGTAAAAGATAACACAAATAGTGCTCTTTTTTATCTTGAAAAAAAAAAGAGGCATCTTCGATATCGATCTTTTGGCTAAACTAGCCCCACCGCCTACTCTCCTTGCAGGTCGTCCGCAGAATCAGTATTATGGCATTCTATCATTATCTTTTTAGATGTAGCACCGACGTCGGATATGTATATATTTATAACAAGACGGTATGGAAAATAAACGATATATTCTATAATTCGAACAGAATGTCTGTGTATATACAAAATAAGTGGACACGAACGTGATTCGAATAAGTAAGTAAACTTTATGCGAGAATTTCACCGTTTTCACGCATGACTTCTGTCTATATTATTCTCATTAAAGTAAAATGTTAGTAATTGCTTTTGTATAGAACGACATGCACGCCGTAAACGTCCGAATCGATTTAACGGCATAAAATGAAAAAGTTTCATTACATAACAAAGGGATTAGATGAACTACCATTTGATTTACGCTATTAGCAATTAAACAAAAGAACGTTAAATACGCGTCGTACTCACAAAGACATTCATACAACATTCACGGCCCGTCACAATAGTAACGCCCGCGGGGGACGGTCATGCTACTGCAAAGCGTATGTATATGTATATAAACTATGCTTATAAATAAAAATATAAATAAAAAGATTTGATGGTTTGACGCTTTTTTTCACGCAGAGATGAACGGGTCGATAAGAACAAAGCTTTGACCGTTTGTTTTAAGCAATGGACGCTTTGCAGCGTTTCATTTCCCACCTGCGAACCTCCTATCAAATTTCCTTTATGAGATAGCGATAAATCACCACAAATTTGACGTTATAGTAATCGCGTAAATAATACAAAATGATGCATTAAACGCGTATAAAGTACAAATAAGCATCATATCGACTGCATTAGAGGCGCAGGAACAAGGTATGAAAAGGTGAAATGGAGCGCGATAAGTGTTAGACGGCATCTATCACGACTCTTTCAACTCTCAACGTTGCTTATGGATATTTACATAACCATATACGTAAATATATATGCATACACATTTGCTTATCTAAATGTACGTATATAAAAATATATTTAGATACAGAGGTCTGTATATTTTATATGAATATTCATAATGAAGACATAAGCGTTCACAAGAGGAGGCATTGAGTAGAATCCCCTCTTCCAATATTCTTTTTAAATGGGCTATGTCTATGCCATCTGTCGGCTTCAGCGTAAAAATTCTTCAATACTTATATCTCTTGAAATATCCTTCTCCCAAAACAATCTTTCAACGTCACCATGAGCATATTGACATTTGTCGCCCTTATCACAGGCGTTAAAGATGTTAAGCTTACATAACATATTTGTCGGCAAGTTTCTTTCAACAACGGAAGGTCTCTCCCTTACAAGACACCAGCTGGAGACAGATAGTAATAGAATATTTTCGCTCATTCTCTTATGTCTTAAAAGAAATTTTTCAATATCTTATCTACTTTACCTTGCTTTCGTTGTTTGTGAATTTTTTACCAAAAGACAATTTCTTTTGCAAAAATGATCAACTTTTATAGATTTATAAATACCGCTCCAGCACTTATCGCAGGCTACAGACCAAATAAAGATATTTTCACCTAGTTTTAAACTGTTTAAGTAGGAAAGATGGGGTTCTCGTGAATCAGAACAATTCAATGGAATTAATAAGCCAAATGTATTAACTTGTGTATCTTCTTTATCTTTTTCTTTTCTGTTTATAAATTTTTGGTTTTTTTCATTATTAACTCTGGTAATAGCTGCGAATGTCTTGTCCAGAGTAACCGATGATTTATTACTCTTTACTGTATGAAAAAAATATAATATAGAAGTAATAAAACAGGAATTTTCTTCTTCTTCTCTTTCACACACTATTAATTACTTTTCAAAGTCGATGTGAAGTTTATAATCAAATTTTTCCCCCTTCTTTCTTCTTCCCAGATTGCTAATTCAATTTTTGAATGAGCGAATAAACATTGACTATTACACTCTAAATTATTCGTCCTATTTGTACATAATTTCAATAATCTCTTCTTGAGTGGTATTTCTATTCGAATGTTCTCAAGAATATTTGTTTCTTCATTACGCAAGAAGAAAATATTTCTTTCACAGCAAAGATCTAAAGGTAATTTCGATATTTTTATTTTATTCCAATGTGTATTCTTTTGTACACATTTAGTACAGCCAATATCCAAAATATAAGACATATTATCAATAATAATTCTTCGATTGTTCGATAAAAGAGATTTAGCTATTTTAAAAGTTTAAACGATCTTTTATGTTTATTTAGTATTCTATTTATTTCTAAATATAAACCTTTGGAATTAGTAGTTATTCGATCGTTGTTAACCTTCTTTCCTATATAATATTATAACATGTATTTATTACAAGAAAATTAGATCAATCCTATATTATTTACTAGTTTAATATCCTACCAGTCTTATATGCGATGAAGTTTGTGAAATCATTTATTTTCATTCTACCCTCAATTTCTTCTTTCCAAAGAATGTGTTCTATTTCTGCATGTGTAAAAGCACACTCACTCCTGATTATTGGACACGGTTCATTCTTCAATGACCATGGACAAACTTGAATTTTCGTTACTTCGTTTGGAATGTTTCTAATTTTATTTAAATAACGCCTCTCTTTCCCCTTTAATTTGTTCGCAACGAGTACATCATTCTTACACTTGTGCCTAATGTCCAATATTTCCGTTACTTTATTAAATTCCTCCCTAGAACACTTTTCGCAAGCTGTGTCAAAAAGAAATTGTTTTCCTCGAATTTCGTAACAAGGGTAACCGTGGATTGATGAACACTCTTTCAGAAAAGATTTTTGAAAGTAGTTCGAGTTCGATTGATTTTTATTCTTTATCGATAGATTAACTCTAGCCATAGTCTTACGAAGGTGCGAGGGGTTTCTGGAATTTTTGAATTTGTGCTTCTTTCATATAAACGCGCAATTCGTTATGTTTTTCACACCGGAAATAGAAATAAAATATATCATTTTTTCCTATATTTTACCGTAATATTTTTATGTATATGTATAAAGAGGGTAGTTGTTTAAGTTGTCGTAAAAAATATTTAGTTGAAAAAATATATAAAAAAATTAAGTGCGGGTCTGCAACATGAAAACACACATGTGAAGCGCGTTGTTGTTTATTGAAGTTATATTTATAGTACATGATGAGCTCCCAAAAGGGAAATTTAAAGAAATCAGGACCTCCAAAACATCAGAATAAGACGGCATTTAAAAACTCTATGCATGACACTTCCAAAAAGACAAAAGAGTTAAATTCGATGTCTATATCAGGATGCTGTAAAAAATGCCAAGAAATATTAGAATGGAGAATTAAATATAAAAAGTATAAACCTCTCACTCAACCTAAGAAATGGTAAGCTTAAAATGCTACGACATGGTTTTATTCTAAGATTCTTCTTCGATGCCATTTTCAGCGTGAGATGTAATGAGAAGACTGTTAAAAGAGCTTATTTCATTTCCTGCGACAAATGTATTAAAGAAAGAGAGGAATGCGGAAAATGCGGCAAAAATAAGGAAGATTTATCATTGTTAGTGAACGGATATTTATTTAGATTTATCAATTTTTATTATTTCTTGTCTTTCATTCTCTTAGACCAGAAGAATCGTCACAAGAGGCTTCAAGACAAGAAAGTGAATTACACCAAGAATTGCGCAACTTAACTGAAAGGCAAAGACGTTAGTGTTCATAACTTGTGTGATTTAAATTTATTTAAAACTTATTTAAAACAGGATCTTTTTTTCGAAATGAGGAGAAAGGCAATTTTAAAGAAGAAATTTGCAGCAAATCAACGATTGACCATTGAGAATTGATATTTTAATTGCATTTATAAAAAATGTAATTCGAAAAGCGAAGACAAAAACGTTTTGAACGCTATTCTATGTCGTCGTGCGTTAGTGTAGACAAATCGTCTTCAGTAGTGAACATTCTCATAATAGAATCTATAAATGAGTTTTCTGGTACTCTTTGCGGAGGTGGTAAATTAAAGTAGTTCTGTCCAATTTTATCTAGGTAGCATTTATAAGAAGCATCACGCACTATTGATGGTTCATACTTTTTTAACAAGACTGAAAATGCTAAAAATTTCTGATTTTCAACTGCCAAAAGTAGAAGCCAACAAAAATTCAAGAGAGGTCGTACAAATGGAGGGCCTTTTTCCACTGATGGATGATTAGTTGTATAAGTTTTCAAGACTTCCATGGCTGAAGTCTCATTTTTAAGGCATAGATACTGAAGGACAGCATTTGCAATGAATAGATCACATTCAGAGCGATATCCTTTTTTTAAGTGAAATTCAATTAACATATGCGCACAATCCCTTCCTGAATCACTTGCATGTATGAAGTGGTGGTGTGCTTCATCATAAATCGCCTTTCGCCACAATGTCATTGCAAACAATCTATGTAGTCTAGGATCACCTCTTTGATCCGTTTTCCCACCTGTAGTCCAAATGAGTGCTAATTGCATAAAATTTAAGCGTTCTACATTTTCTTTGCTCATTTTGTCGTGAAGGTTTCCTAATTTTTCTGAGGATGCAATAAAAGAAAGTTAATATGAGTAAAAAATTAGTCAAATAATAGACACCTATAATACAGTTCTCCAATGCGATTTTTTCATTCGTCAAAGTATTGACTAATAATAAAGAGAGGTCGAGACCACTCTCTTGTTGGTCTTTAGAGAGAAGTAAGCTAGCACCGTTATATAGGAGTTCGATTGCATCGCTGGCTCGTTCTTGAGAAATGTATCTGAAAATAATACTTTATTAAACACGGTAAAAATTAGATTTGAAGGCAAATACCTGAACGACAGTGTTTTATACATTTGATGTGCTTCGTAATAATTGCCATTCTCTATGTTTCTTTCAAGTTTTTTGAGAATCCTAGTAACACCACCTCTCTGTCCTGCCATTTTTCGTTTGGTATCTTCGTATATCTCTTTTTTTCTCGAAGACGAATGAAAATTTTCTTGAAAGTCGGCTCTTTTGAAATTTTCAAAATGAAATTTTTTTAAAAACTTCAACAAAATAAATTGATACAAAAAATTTTTTTGAAAATGAAATATTTCCTCCTGATGGGGCCAGATGAAAAAATCTATTCATAGAATTTGTCGTTTCTGCGGAGCTAATATCTAAAGATGCTAAAAAACTATTCCCAAGTACCTTTATTTAGGTTAGTAAAAATAACTGTTTTTTTCTTATAAAATAAAATTATAATAATGTAGAAAAAAATTAATTCACTTTTAGCAGTTACAACGCGGCTGCTGTGTTGTCATGACGCAATCATTACATCCGGTTTCGCGCCTTATTTCATGTTGACACAAGTGCATAGATTGATTGACGGTCGCTTTAGTATGATTTGCAAGTTTGTTTGTTTATTTGGCTGATGTGTACAACTATCATCTAGAATACACAAATTGTTGAACGCCTTGTCATTGATGGAATAATGTTGGTATTATTTTTCAATTGCGCTGCGTATTAAGTAAAAGTACTTTCATTTTTTTATAATATATTGTATGTTTATTCCCAATCTGAAGCATTTATTGTATATGGTTACGAATAATATTCTATATAAATGTGTTTAGACATAGGAAAGTTCAGTTTAAACTTCGTACAGCAAGCTATATATTTTTGTGTGAATGACCGTTGATTGAATCAACAATTCTATTGGCTTTTGTTGCAAATGACTGTATATGTTGATTAGGATTAAAGCAATAATCTGATCAATGATCGGCAGGTTAGTTCGAGTTGTTTAATTGACAATGTTCTTCCTACACTTATGTAGAACAAGATTTTCCCTATCGATTTCGTAATCTGATACAAATCATTCTATAGCAGAATAGGTTGAATTTTCGGCTAAAAGAGTTAATTTTTCTGAATACGATCAGAAGTATAACAGGAATTTAGCTCAATTATTCTACTATTAAATTATTTAGTTTGCTTGCGTGCGCTAAGTGTTAAAGAGTTTTTAATAAAAATTCAAAAGCTGATTTACCTCCTACACAGATATATAGATCACAAAGCGATACTATGGATAGTTATGAAAATCTTGGCCTTGTTGGAGAAGGTTCCTATGGAATGGTGCTAAAATGTAGACAAAAGGAGACAGGTCAATTGGTTGCTATAAAAAAATTTTTAGAAAGTGAAGATGATAAGCAAGTGAAGAAGATAGCTATGAGAGAGATTAAAATGCTAAAGCAACTTCGTCATGAAAATCTAGTCAATTTGATAGAAGTATTTCGTAAGAAAAGTCGACTTTTTCTGGTATTTGAATTTGTTGACCATACTGTTCTCGACGAGCTGGAGAAATATCCTTCTGGCTTAAATGAACAAATAACGAAAGAGGTTCTATGGCAAGTAATTAGAGGAATTGACTTTTGTCACGCCCATAATATTATACATAGAGATGTCAAACCTGAAAATATTCTAGTAAGCAAATTACGCGTGGTTAAGCTATGCGACTTTGGTTTTGCTCGAACGTTGGCCCTATCCCCAGGCGAAGCTTATACGGATTACGTGGCAACACGATGGTATAGGGCGCCAGAATTATTGGTTGGCGATACTAATTATGGTAAAGCCGTTGATATTTGGGCTATAGGTTGTTTATTTATTGAGATGCTTACTGGTGATCCTCTCTTTCCCGGGGAATCTGATATTGATCAACTATACCACATTGTTAAGTGCTTCGGTTAGTCTTTTATCTTTTTTTGAATTTTTCCAATTAATATTCTATTGGGTAGAAGTTTTAAGTCGATGAAAATATCAAAGCAATTTTACCGCTCCATTATTTAGTATTTATTGAATTTTTTTCATTCATTTTTATTCTCTTTTCAAAACGCAGGCAATCTTATTGCGAGGCACAGAGATATATTTCATAAAAATCCCCTCTTCGTTGGTATGAGATTACCGAGTGTTAATGAAGTTGAAAGCCTGGGGAATCGATATCCAAGACTCGATTCGATAGCTTTAGATTTAGTAAAGGTAATTAATTGGCGTTCTCTTGCTTCATTAGGGTGAATTTACAACATTTTTACTCCCTTCCTATACCTACTTTACTTTAATGTACTATAATTGTTACTCTTTTAATTTTTTCCCTTCTCCTAATTTTATAAGCAATGCCTTTGTGTCGACCCGAGTGAGAGACCGACCTGCTCACAACTACTTCGCCATGGATTGTTTATAAAAGATGATTTTGCAACAAAGTTCCCTGAAGAATTAAAGGTATGAATTTTTTAAAACTTATCCGCCCGGCAATTAACCTGCTTTATGAGAGGATTTTAAAATCGATATGCTCTGTGTGGATATTTATATTAGCATATGTCCTTAAAAAATTAATCACTTTCTCAGGCTCGGATCGAAGAAGAAGAGCGCCAGAATCCTCTACCTCGAAAAAGTATAAGAAATAAGTCTGATGGCGATCGGAAGAGGAGAGAAGAAGGAGATAGACCGAGAAGAAAATTACCCGATCCCGAAAAATTAAAGATCAAATCTCATAATGAAATATCGACGACGCCTACGTCATCTGACCCTAAAAATGGTCAAATCAGGTTTATAAATGATTCTTTTGAATATTAATCTTATTGAATAGCTACTGTTTATCGATTATTTCATATGCCTATTCTTTTTGTGCAGACAATATACGGGTGGTAATCCGGCTTGGTAAGGGCAATTCGTTCTTTTAAAAGGCAAAATATTCTCATTAGCTTTGTCACTTTTGTAGGACAATGGAGAAAACCCCACTTAAGAAAGTTCTACCGCAGGGGAGCATTTCAAATAAATTTAAAAAAACGACCAACAATATTCCATTCTCTCAGTTGCAAAGTAGAAAAAATACTGTCCAATTACCTTCCGTTAGGGGAGCCGAAGGTAGGCTCGGTAAATTTTATTCTTTTACAAATACTGAATTCTCCTGAATAAACATTTTATTTTTCCTATCTTTACTTTTCCCTAAATAGGTCCAACTCTTTCCAAGCCCACCCCAATAAAAAACACAACAACAATTAAGAAACCGTCCATGATTGCATCTGTCCCTCATATTGCCAATATAGATCCGTTCCACGACAGTCAGGCGTCTAACGCTGGTGGAGCGTCCAACTTGCCATCCGTTTGAGCATTTACCTAAATGAAATAGCTAAAAACAAATCAAAAAATGCAATGTTTGTTTTTTTTTTTAAATTTCAGTATTAAAAAAATGATATCAAGAAAATAAAAAGGAAGAGAAAAAGAAGAAAAAGATCTTATCTAAAAAAGGGATAATTATTAAGAATTGTGTATTGAGAGTTTTCTGTTTTCTTCCTTTTTTAAGATCTTCTCTTATGCTAATCAGTATTGGCATTCCTAATTTGTATTATTGTAGCTATAAACTACTTTATCACTATTAAAAACAATACAATTTATACATTGTTATTTGTAATTATTGAAGAGTATGTATTATTTGTACATAAAATTTATCTTTTTTATAAGTTACTCTCAAGAGTAGAAGGAATAGAAGATAGAATATCTCTCTGTCTCTGTCTCTCTCTTGCTCTTTCTTTTCTTTCTTTCAAGGTAATAAAAAAATCATTATTAATAAGATGTTTGTAATAAAAAATTTCTGGAATAGGTAATAAACCTAAGCTTAAATATTTACTTAACACCACACAATGCTAATTTATATACAGTGTATGTGAATCATGAATTTATATAGCTATTTATAGTTGAAAGTAGTTTTGAATAGTTTATATAGACAATTGGTGAAAGGATAGAATATCCTTATTCATCATTTTCTATTAGTAGAGATTGGATGTAAGGCTTAAAGATAAAATTATCTATTCAAAGAAGTCACTAATGACACGTAATTACGTGCTATATTTAAAGTATGAGACGAATAGTAATTTGATAGATTGAATAACAAATTTTTTGTTTATAGAAAAATATAATAAAAAGAAAACGGGGGGGGGGAATAATAATAATACTAATTCAATCATAATTCTTCTCTTTAGCAAAAAGACTTCCCTCTTTTTAAATGGAGTTACGAGTAATTATTTGGTGGCGCCAATTGTCTTGTAGATATACTACTGTCTATATACTAATATGTATAATATATTGTATATAAATGATTTACCATTGTTAGTATATTCGACATAAAATAAAATTGTAATATAATTAAGAAATTCCAAGAAATATGAATTAATCCCCTAAATTAATCTCCTGTAAGAATGTAATAACAGGAAATTTCTCTTCAAAGCAAGATAATTAAAGGCAATACAATTTATAATACTTTTAATTGCGGTGCTCTTATTACACCGTTTAATAGAATAATTTTTGACAACGATATTTTAACTATTCATTGAATAAATCTATTAATTACATATATATATATAAATTTATACTGTATATATATACATATATAAATTTTCATTGGATATTTAAAATAAAACGATTCTATAAAAATTAAATAAAGAAAAGGAATAAACAATTATTAAATTAAAAGTTTTGTTTTTGTGCAAAGGGACTTAACAGATGCAACTGAACTATAGCTGATAATCAATGGTTAAAATCACGAACGAGCATGACTAGACTAACACTGAAATATATAATTTTAAAGAGTACTACGAATTGTACATAAGCGTATCCGTTTCCTGTTCGTTCTCCTTAACGATCATATCGTGACACTTGGTACAAACTCGAACTCGTTTATATATTTTTAATTTTGGTATCTCTATCCGACGTTTGCTGCAGTTTTCGCAAAAAATAGCACCGCAACTCCTGCAATGATGTCGCCTTTCATAGAGCGTAAACTTTACGTTGCATTGAGTGCAAGCTTCTGCTTGATCGTCTTTAATCCAATGATCCGATGGTCCTTTTCCTATTTCATTTGGTACAGTCCAACTGTGAACTCTGCCTCTTAAATCCCCCACGTAAATTGTTCGGTGGTCACGTGAAACAGCAATAGCTGTTACTGCAGCTGGTTGCTGATTATCTTTTCTTTCGTAAGCTGTATGCATTGTCAATTTAGATTTGAATATTAACTGCCTTTGCCATTTAAATCCAGTCTTAAGTTCGCCTTTCGGTCGTTTAGAACCAACAATAACAAAATCCCCGGCAGTTGCCGGTGATATATTACCACTATCTGTCGCTTCAGTGGCTTCTTCAGCCAATTCTTCAACTTCCTCTCCATCGTCCTCTTCAGAGCTATGCGCTGTCAATGAGTTAGTAGGTGATTTAATTGGTATGGCTGCGTCTAATAGTTCTGAATCGACAGACATAGGCAAACCACCACTTTCGTATTTAGGAACACTCGATGTTGCATTAGTTGTACTTGAGGATTGGCTATCGTCCGGAAATTGTGCATATTCTAGAGCCCACATTCGAACGACACCGTCATTGTTCCCTGTCATAATTACATTGTTCGTATCCCATTCTCTAGCAGTGGAAATCGCGACGCATAATATTTGCTGTCCTCTTCCTGTAGCAGTATTTACGGAAGCTAAAATTTGACCATTAACTGACCACAAATACAAATATGTGCCTGCGCAAGTGGCTATATCTCCAGTTGCCTCGTTAATACAAACTGACGCTACTGGAGCAGCATGGTTGCGCAATTGTCTTACAAATATTAATCTATTCAAATCCCACAGCATAACGGATCTGTCTCTTGATCCACTAGCTATTATATTATGCGACGACGAAGCCGTAATACAAGTTATAGGTTCTGTATGACCGTACAGAGCCTTCTTTAGAGCTAATTGAGCGTCCTTCCCAGTTGTCATATGCCAAACGCAAACGACACAACTGGTTCCACCCGTAACGAGAGTTTTGTTGTTTGGAGCAGCCGCACAAAGGACTTCTCCACCGCCCGTTTCAACATCTTCCCAAATAGCAATAGGTCTCTCACTATCATAATTCGCAAGTCGAATAGATCTATCTGAAAATCCCCAGGCAACGTATCTTGTAAAAGTTGGCGGTATTAGTATTTTATTCTGTTCGACAGCCAAAACATGACCTTTGTCAAGAGCTACGATTTGGCCCACTCCTGTCTTTACTTGTTTAACAGGATAATTACTTGGTAATAGACTATCTAAATGATGATAGTACAAATGGCCTGCAGTAAAGGTAACTGATGCCGTAGTTAGGTAAGATGCTCCTGGAATAACTTCTGATAGAGGTCGGGGAGGAGCTGCAAACTTCTTTTGAGGATGGGGCCGTTTAAACAGTTGGGATGGTATCTGCCCGAAATTGTTTATAAATGACGTAACTGCGTTTCTTTCCATAGGGTCATCAATCGTATCAATATCAACAGCGCCTTCATAAAAAAGATGATGAAATACATTCATTGCTTCAACTGCTTCATCTCCTTGTTGTTTATAACCAAAGATCAAGTCTATCCAGTGATGTATGTTAGCCGAGACGAAGTCTGATTCAAGAGCTTCTCTGTGCATTCGAACAAATTCTCTTGGGTCGTTTTTCGCCCATGCAGGAAGAGCCACGTCGCCAAGGACCACACCACTCTGCTTAGAGCCTAAATCGAATTTGTTATCGTTCGTCAAGAAATCTGGTAGATAAAAAAACTCTGGAATTAGTTCCTTGACGTCCGCCATGTTGTGTTGGGAAGCTGAAAGCCATCCCTCTTTTATTGAATGGAACATTCTGTCAGGTAAATCGAAATGGCCACCTTGAAGTCTAACAAGGTGCTGAGCGAATGGCTCCATTCTGACTAGATAGGAAGCTACAATCATAGCAGAAGAGTAGTGCGTTCCGTAATGGTATGGTGGGGTATCGCTGTGAGTATCATCCCAGTCTTTGTATCTTTTCTCGAATTGTTGCCATCTTGAAGGGCATTGAGCACCCATTGGTTTTGTAAAATCTCGAAAAGTAGCCGGATTATTCAAGTCTAATTCAGATGAATCATAATCAGCAAGAAGCCAAGGAAACACGGGATATTGCATTAAATCGTTATAGGAGCGACCGGCTAAGGTATTCAAGCACATTAAATATTCAAAATTAGTTACTTCGCCTTGCAACCAGCGCTGAGTGACTGATCTTTCGCCTATTAAGGATGAAATGGCACCTGGCTCTACTTTAGTGCCGGATCTTTGCCCAGAAACTGATTCGGTAGCTGAGTCTGTTAATCTCGTTGCAACGGCTTGTATTTTAGCGAATAAACGTGGTCTAATAGTTTTAGGACAAACTATTAAAGTAGACCTTCCATCAGTACAAAATACTTCAACAGCATTTGGCTGTAGCAGATAGCGTCTTTCGTGAATCTCTTTTATATCATCATATGCAATTTTAACGCATGTTCTTGATGACAATTCTCCAATAGGTTTTGTTCCAGTTTTAGGAACAATTGGTTCAAAGCTTTCAGGTGGTAAACTATCTAAATCAACAATACTTTGGGGCGTTCTCGTCAGTGTGAATCCGTCAATTACATAAAAGTGTTCGCGACCAAATATTATTATGCCTTCATGTGCATCTAAACCCTCCACTCTAGCACATCGAAACATATGTTGCATCTTTTCATTCTTCTCTAATAAACGACGAAGACTTTCATTTTCTGTATCTTTAACTTCACCTTCATCTTCTTCTCCATCAATCAGCATTTTTAGGGGAGAGTTGTCGAAAACAGTGGATGACAAGTGCTCTTCCTGCCTTTTATCGTCTTGCAAAAGTTTCACCTTTTTCCTTTTTTCTTTGTAAAGTTTCGAATCGTATGATGAAGGAGGCCGATGACGGCTCATCGTTGTAGATGTTGGCGTTGAAGAATCAGAGGATGATGAATTGTTTGGAGGTGGATAATGATCATAAAAACGATCATTTGCCATAAGTTTCTTTCTCATTCTAAAAAGTCCTTCGGTTGGATCAAGCATCCATTTATCAAGAGGACATGGACTTGTTGGACCCCATACACCTCTTTCTAGCAGCAGTTCACTTTCTATTGCTTTCCATTCTTCGGTAACGGATTTTGCTACGTTCGCAGCGCTATGTATATACTGTTTAGCTCTCCAATGAATAACATCTTTAACAATTGACATTTGGGTTGATGAATCAACAAAATTATTAGCTAGACGAGGTCCATTAACAACGCTAGTTTTGCTACTTTGTCTTTTCGGTGCTAGATTCTTAAGAACACCTGACCCCATTTTTTGTACCATTTGAAATTTGCTAGTAATTTGATGTTTCTCGTAAGAACTGAAGGCTCCCTTTTGTTCTTTTTCCAAGTAAGATTTCCAGCTTTTGATAGCATTGTCTTTTATGGCATTATATGCTTCAATTGGATTATGTGAAAGAACAAATTTATGTTGTTCTTCTATTACTTGATGTTTAGATGCGTATAATTCGGACCATACTTTCCTAGCTGACTCAACAAGTTCCTTAATCGTACGATCGTCAGCGTTGTTATCAGTTGTCTTTGGTATGAAAAATTTTGATCGACTCTCTGGTCCTGCCATAACTCCTACGTCTGGATGAATTATTAATTCCAATACGCAATAGAAAAAGCATAAAATAGATTCAAAATCGCAATTAACAGGTCCCAAGAGCATCGATTTGTTTACTAGAACTCTATGTAAACTTTCAGTCATTCTTTCTCTCGACTCCTCGCTTTCTACACTTCTCGATAGCTCGTATAGAACACATCTATTTAGACTTTTATATATTCCATCTAAAGACATACCCGAAGAAATCCTTTTACACTGGCAAACAATTGCCGAAACAAAGTCGAATATTTCTGAAGGCTGTCGAATGTATACTTCTCGCCATAAAACGTCCACACTCCTTGCTGCAATATGGAAAACATTCGAGCAAAGGTGACTATAGCTTCCACCGGGTGCTATCGGTATCGGTGACTGATCTCCCAGGACATTAATATTGGCTAAATGCTCACTGACTGAACGAACTAATTCTGTTAAAAATTCACATTTCTGGCTCTTACTAGCATAGTCGGGAACGGCACTATCGATTAAAACGTCAAATACAGACGGCCCTTTATGAGGCAAGGATAAACTGTCCATAATCAATGTTCTCAAAAGGTCTGTGACAAATTTCCGGGCAGGATGAGAGCATAATACCGTAAAGCCTGGCGTTGCTGCTCTTTCTGGGCTCTGAGGATATTGCCTTCGGGCAGGTTCTTCATCATCATGTCTAAGAGGAAATAGAGTGGAGGCCAAAGCACTAAGTGTACCCGGGCAGGACATAAAAAGTTTAGCTATTCCAGGGTGATTATGATACAAGAAAATGAGCAATTGCATTATCGTTATCGGAATGTCTAAACTGGCTTTATCTTCTTCTACGTTTTCAACACTTAATTGAGTTCGTAGAACGACTAGTAAAACAATGCAAGCTTCTCCCCTTACAGGCGCATTTTTAGGAAGGGCAGCGCCAACGGGAATTCCGAGACTGTAGCTATAGATGGTATCCAACTCTAGAGGTTTAGTTGGCATGTCGAATTTTGGTGGATCACCCAGCATTAATGATGAAATAAAAAAATATAACTGTGGAATGTTAGAATGATGGGGCAATAGCTGCTGCAATTGAAGCCAATCTTCCGTGCCTTCTCTTTTTGGCACTTGGGATCCTAATTCATCAAGCCATCCACCGGTTTGGCCACCTTCTTTGTATTTTAGGAATATATTTGGTTGGTTGATCAGTGACATTAATATCCTGACACCAGAAATAACCGTTCCTTCGTACAAATGAGGAGCTAGGAGTAAATGAATCCAGTCGAATCCTAAATTCCGTTGCACGTTATCTCGCATTGCACTCCTATTTTTCGATTGTAGGAGATCAAGAAGAATTTGTAGCAATAGCTGTCTTACTCTAATGTTGTGCATAAATTCGTTGTCGTCAGTTGAAGGCTCTTTTTGCAAATCCTCTTCATTAATTTTTGGATCGCCTGTAAGTGGTGCAGGTAAAGTAGTGACTATGAACTGTCCAACACTCCTTGTAGATGTTGGGTGAAGTAGCAGCAACAACTTCAGTAGGTCAGCCATAGAAAGACTAGTGCTTTTTGGCAGAAGACGGTCGTAACGGAGGCGATGAAGTACTTTTATGACTAGATCGTTTAATAGCTTTTCATTAGATTTATGTTCAATGGACTCGGCAATTAATTCACGCAGGCGATCAAAAAGAGGACGTTGCAAATCGGTGGGTGCTCTTCTCCATATATCTAAATCGCAGAGGAGATGTTCAAAAGCGGCTCTGGAACATTGGACCAAGCCAAGAGCTAAATGAAGAATATGACCATTAAGTAATTCGTGCTTTGAAGAGAGAAGCATAGCTAGTATTTGAAAACCATTAACTCTCTCCATGTGATATTTGGCAGCTGGCACGTGACGCAGGACATTCGCTAATGCCTTCACTGACGCATATAAGCCTTCGACGTCAGTTGCTTGCGCAACGAAACCCAAGAGCAAACCGGCTCCTCCAACAGATAACAAAGTTCTAGCTACTGGCTTCGGAACAAAAGTTCTGACACCTACGTAGCCAACCAAGACTGAACCAAGACTTCTGGCTGAACCCGATAAATGACCAGCGGAATTGTGTAGTATACGAATAGGGGTTGTGTTGTCATTTAGTGATGTATCCAAAAGCTTTGCAATAAATTTTGCATCCAATCTGTTGTATACTTTTCTGATTTTTGCCAAAGTCATCAACGACATAGCATGAGCATGTATACCTAAAGATACTTTATCTTCAACAACTACACCGCTTCCGGCTTGTAAACTACCAACATAGTTAGCTCCAAGATCATATATATTCTGAATAGCAGCTGACGATAAAGCATCATCCACTATATGACAGGGGCCTTGCCTCCAAACTAGTTTAGCAGCCCTACGGTCACAAACAGATGTGCCAATATAGGCATGTATAGAGCAGGATTGTGGAGCAGTTGGGGATATATAATGAAGTTTCCTTGAGGCTACCTGAACGCCGTCAATATAGACAACAACATTGGAATTTTTAAGCATACTTGATCGGTGAAGAACAATACCTATGTGACACCATTGACCACTAAAATCTGGCAACTCTATATGAGCTCCGTCCTGAGATGATGTCGTTCTAATAAATAGTTCTAAGCGGGATTGACATCGTATTTTTTGAAGCAAGATTTTCAAACACTCTTCATCAGTCATTTGTTGCCCTACTTGTGTTTGCCTGGTAATGGTTAATAGTCTAACCGGATGGGAACTGTCGTCAGAAAATTTATCGACACAAAACCAAGATGAAAAAGTTAAACCAGATGTTGGTGGGAAGGTTCTTTCTCCTGTTCCCATACCTCCAAGAACTCGAACCTCGGAATTGACAACAGATTGAGCCAATGGACCTTGAGGAGCTAGACTGGGTATATATAAGCAAGCAAATCCCTCCGAACGCATATCAAACTCGACAAACGATGGGGTAATGTGCGTTGAACCTCTCGGTGTAGTCATCGATACTAGGCACTTTACTCTAGTTATAGGTACAGTTTTTGCATCTAAATCTACATCGATATCTGGTGAACAACAAAGTGGTGAACCTAATCTGAGAAATAGTCTCAAATCTCTGGGAGATAAAGCATGGGCACTTAATCTTTCAAAGATGGATTGTAATGGCAAATGTAGAGGATGCTGTTCGTCTTCCAGTGCACTAGCACAATGAGTCAACAACTCATGACTAAGACCAGCCTCACACATTATCTGCTGATTTCTATCAGAATTCACACTGGTTCTTATTAATTCACAAGCCGTAAACTGTAAAGCAACATTATCAATTGCTGGAACCAAATGTAGCATTGATACAATAGCCCCAGCATGAACAATTCTTTCATCAGTCGAAGATTTTTCGAAAACATCGAAAGCTACATCATATAAGTAACGTAATAGATGTGTTGCCCAAATGATTCTTGATGGTAAGTTTTCGGCAACACTGGTGTGGTCTAAGCTTTTAAATAAATTTGTAAATATTTGAGTGTCTTTAATATTATGTGAATCTGAGAGCTTAATCGGTTGTGTATCGACTTCGGATGAGAAACAGCCCAATAATCGAATTGCTTCCGTTAGACTAGCATATCTAACTTCTGTAGCGAAGAAGCGAGCGTTGGCAGGTTCGTAGCGCATAGCCAAGGTAATGGTGCAAAAGACGGCGTAAAATAAATCTGTTAGATCGTCGTCTTGTAAATTTTGGAATCGAGTGGGTTCACTGAGGCATCCTTCAAGGGCTACTAAAACGGATGTGACATATACGAAGCCATTTACTTTTCTAAATACCGTTCTGACTCGATGCTTCTCTTTCAGCAGTTCAAAAACACATCTTAATACATCAGTACGAATTTTTAAAGATGTTACAGGAGCGGTTTGAAGACATGTCATTAATACATTCATATCTTCCTCCGTTGGGTTAGTTTGAAGAATGACTTTTAAGACATTTAAAGCATCCTTACGTCGATCGTCAATACTCAGTAGGTCAGCTAATAATTTTGTACCGCCACATTCTCTAAATACGGAAGCATTTGAGTTGTTTTTCCCAATTACAAGATCCTTTACAAACTCCCAACACGCCGCCGCAATTGCTTCCTCACCTTCGTCAATCTTAATAGTCTCTAAAATTTTACTTGTATGGTTTTTCAGTATGCTTACAGCAATCTCCAAGATACCTAGCTCTCTTAGGGTATCAGAGTAGGTAGCAACACAGGGTGAATTTTCGTGAGACAACAAGGACCTTAGCCACTCTATTGCTTTTAATGATGTGCGAAAATCAACGTTTGATTTAATTACTATTCCTAGAGCGACTATTTCTTTGGAGGGGACATGTCGTAGCTCTTGGACAACAAAGTCCAACAGTTCAAAGAGGAGCACTTGAGAGGACGGGGGCCTGGATGCCATTTGTTCGACTAGTTGGGAAATAAGAGCTCCGTGTGGTTCAAGTACAAAATAATTGGCATGCTCTTGTCTACAAAGTGTCAAAAGAGCATCTAAAACGCAGCAGCAAACTCTTTCACTTGTAGTTCGACCCCACGCAGTTTGTAAGGCTGCAACTGAGGCTGCGTTACTTACTGTTAGGCCCTTTCCTGATGGTTGAGGCATCACAAAGTTGGGAATTTGAAATAGGGTTTCCGGTTGAGCTGGCCTTAGTGGTACCGATCCACATGTTGCTAATGAAGCCAGAAGCATTACTAAGGTTCTGACAGCCTGACCGCTTTCCTCCATTTCGTCAGCTGATCTTCTAGCATCACAGGCTAGGATAAGATCAACAATTACATTGTATCCATGGCAAGCTCGTAAATCTTCCAGCAGCAAAGGACTCAGTCTTGCTGAATCTTTAACGAAACCAAGTATAGTTATAAGCATCTCAACAAGATTTAATGGTCTCGATTTACGTTGATTTGTTTGAATATTTTTTAGAGCAACTTTGATGCAACTTTTCTTTTGTACATGATTTATGACATTTAAAGTTAGTGCATGTCTAGATAACGTAGCCATGACCTGGCTGGCAGCTACTCGCCACATGCTATTTTTTGAATCCTCCCACCAAGATGTTGCTGTATTGAAAAGAAGAATCATATCGTCCTTTTTTGCAAGTTCTTCAGCACAAGATGGTTGAGTTGCTAGTTGGCACAGTAATTGTGAGAAAACGCTTAACATGCCTCTTCTCTTCTCTTCATTTTCACGGGCAACAGGCAAATCGAAGAACAAATAGAGGCTCTTAACTAAAGTTGAGGGTAGCATAGCAGCAGACATACAATCGATTAAGCTTGGATCGACTCTTGCAAGAATTAAGAGGGTTCGTAAAAGAAGAGCCCCGCTTCTAGGGTCTCTTTCATCTTCTAACCAGTTAGCTATTTTAATACTTGCATCAACCGTACTGTACTTAGCCGCTCTATGCCGAATTTGATTTACCATCAATCTGGAGACATGATTGCAAAAGTTATGCGCATCCTTGAATTCTTTCATTACTTCATTAGGTGGGCTGTCTCGAAACGTTTGGCAAAATAACGGAAGCATTTTATACAGTTTATCTTCTAGGATCTGTTGACTTGGAACACCTTGGGTGCTGTCAACAGACGGTCTGCAGTAATCAGCAAAAAGTTTGCACAAATGAGATACTCCCAACTGGTTGCTCATCTCTAAATTATCGTAATTGGATCTATTATTATGAAAGATGCATGAAAAAAAATGTAAAGTCTTACTTAAGAGTTATAGATGTAATGAAAGATATCGAATATTTATTAGATCAATCTTGTAGAAGTATTGACAATTGGATAAGTGTTGTAAAAAACATATATAGAATAAATCGCCGATTCAATAATTGTGTTTTCCATAGTCGGCGCCATTTTGCAATTTGCATCATTTCATTTCCGTTAATGAAACCAATAGATGGCGCTCATGAGCTATTCAATATAATTTTTTTAACATATTTTTCCTGTAAAATTACCTTTATAAATCTTCAACTGCGACAAGCTAATATTCTAATATTAATTTTAGTTGCAAACATGCTCGTATCCAGGGCGTTGGCAAGAACTATTGCAACGCATGCGCACTATGCTCATGATTTATGCAAATGAGTTTTCGTACGCCATTTTATATTTGGAAGTTGTTGCATTGACATTTGAGTTTATCAGACATAGAATAAGTCGGATGAATCGGATAAGAGAACTTTTCTAGGATATATTGAACAGAATCGTAGGGCTGCCTTAAAAATGGCATCTACCGAAAGCAAGCTCCCTACCCACGAACGAATCGTGAAAAGTGAGTTCCTTTTTTTGCAGTGTAATATTCACCTCCTTGGGTTTATACTCAAATTATGTGCAGTCAAATTATTAACTATCATGCATAAATATGTTAGATCTATGGATTGCTGTAAAATAATTTTGAAGCATCGAAAAATTGCTATTTAGATGAAAATTTATTAAACGATAGGGTAAAAGAAAGCGGGTATTAATCATTTCGGCTCGAATTGTTGAGCAGCTGTCAGTTTTTACGATAGTTTAGTGCAGGTGATAGAGAAGAGAGACTTTTAACAGCGTGAAGCAGCTAAACGTATCGATTGCCGCCTTTGTCTACTGTACGATCATTAGGATCGCAAAGATCTATAAAGATCTATAGAATTTTTTATTTTCGTCAACAGGCGTTCCGTTCCCACCAACTTACCGACTTACTATGAACGAAGTTTATGATAGTCGAACGAACAAACCGAAACCCGATGTGCTCAAACACCATTTCGTTCTGGAAGGACGAGTGACCGAAGACGTTGCTCTTCGAATTATTAACGAGGGCGCCTCGCTGTTACGCAATGAGAAGACGATGATAGACATCGATGCACCGGTTACGGGTAGGGGCAGAATTGTTTATATTTTTTTTTTTTTACAGCTGCAAATTAACCTATTCTTTGCAGTTTGTGGCGATATTCACGGGCAGTTCTACGATTTGATGAAACTATTTGAAGTAGGCGGTCCACCACAAAGCACTAGGTACCTGTTTCTAGGAGATTATGTAGACCGAGGTTATTTTAGTATAGAGGTAAGTAGGTGACAATGGCGTCTTGCGCATCGATCGATCGATGATAATAGTTTGCTGAGTCGACATTTCACCCAAACAGTGCGTTCTATATTTATGGACATTAAAGATCATCCATCCGAACACGTTGTTCATGCTTAGAGGCAATCATGAATGTCGGCATCTAACCGAATACTTCACTTTCAAGCAAGAATGCAAAATCAAGTATACTGAACGCGTATACGACGCTTGCATGGAGGCATTTGACTGTTTGCCATTGGCCGCTCTAATGAATCAGCAATTTTTATGCGTACATGGCGGCTTATCGCCCGAAATTAATAAATTGGACGATATAAGAAAATTGGATAGGTTTAAAGAGCCGCCAGCTTATGGCCCAATGTGCGACTTGCTCTGGTCTGATCCATTGGAAGATTTCGGAAACGAAAAGTCGGCCGAACACTTCTCACATAACAGTGTGCGCGGTTGCTCGTACTTCTATAGCTATGCAGCTTGTTGTCACTTTCTGCAGGAAAATAATTTATTGTCAATAATAAGGGCGCATGAAGCCCAGGATGCGGGCTATAGGATGTACCGCAAGAGTCAGACAACCGGTTTCCCTTCGCTCATTACCATATTCTCGGCTCCCAATTATTTGGATGTATACAACAATAAAGGTGTGATTTTATTTTTATAATTTAAATAGTTCATGCACATTTACACTTTTATACAATAATTTTTATTAGTACTATGATAACTTCTAAACATTCATTTGTACACAGCTGCGATTCTAAAATATGAGAACAATGTGATGAACATCCGCCAGTTCAATTGTTCGCCTCATCCTTATTGGTTACCAAATTTCATGGACGTTTTCACGTGGTCCTTACCTTTTGTGGGGGAGAAGGTCACCGAAATGTTGGTAAATGTTTTGAATATTTGTTCTGACGACGAGCTGATTGAAGATCAGGATTTCGATGGTGCGTATAATGTTAGACGCGTGTATGCGAAAATGCGGCGTTGTGCGTGTTTGTTAACACATTTTTATCGATGTCTGAGTGAAAAAAACTTAAACATAGACATAGATTATATACGAGAAGAAATAATGAGAACTAAGATTTTTCATGAAATAATTTATATACAACGTTCGTTAGAGCGATTTAGCAAGGGCAGTAAAGGCGCTGCACGTGTCAGCAGTATTGAGTTAGAAGATCCAACAGGTAGATGTAGAATTTAAGAGTGCAAGAATTACTTAAAGAAAAAAAGCTAATAAGCTTAAGCATGGTGGCAGTAGCAGTTGCGGTCGATGTACGTACAGCACAAATATATCGTCTCGTATTCTGACTATTCTGCATGATTGGTTGGCTTTTTACAGGAGCCAAGAATGGTAAGTTGCATGCATATATTGTCGTTAACCTATCGCTATCTTCCACTTTCCTTAAAATACTTGACCAAAAATTTGACTAGAGCTATGAGCGATTCATACCTTGTCATATGTCGCGTAATTTGCTGCTACTGCCGATCGCTGCCTAATCGTGCAGCTTTTCTGTTTGTTTTTTTTTAATTAAGTTTTTTTTTGACCATTTCGCATTCATTTTTTTTTTTTACGTTTATAGTTGATAAATTTATAGCGTGGAGCTTTTTTTTTAATCATTACCTTCCCCCCTATCATTATCGCACAAGCTATATAAATTGTCTTTCTGGTGACAATTTAAATCGATATGCATCTAGTATGCCCTAGCTATTTTTCTAATTTTATATATTAAAATTGGCATGACCATTTGGGGTTATTTCGAACCAACCTGAACGCTGCGCGCTTTTGAATATTCTGTTTAAAAGGACAGCTGAGTTGACATTACAGATTCTCAAGTTGTCGCCCGTAAGGAGATCATCCGTAACAAGATTAGGGCAATCGGGAAGATGGCTAGAGTATTCCAGGTTTTACGCGAGGAGAGCGAAAGCGTATTACAGTTGAAAGGTCTGACGCCCAACGGTTTACTACCGATTGGTGCGTTGTCGGGTGGTAAAGACACTCTAAAGTCGGCCTTATCCGGTTTTTCGCCGAATCATAAGATATCCGGTTTTGAGGAAGCCAAGTTTTTGGATAAGATGAACGAACGCATGCCGCCGAGACGTGAAGATTCGTCTAATAGCAGTAGTAAAGCTGGAACTAAAAGGTAAGTAAGCAGTGGAAATTGTACTTTAAAGCGCTTAATTTAATTTCCTTCTTTCCCTTAACCACAGTCCGGCTCGAAAATAACTGCGAAGCCTGCATTATTCAAGTTCTAGTCAGAGACGTGAAGATCTGCCAAACACCGATTGATTTGGTGTGTGGCGCCCTAAGAACTGGTGCCTCATTCTCTTTTAACTGCTTACGGCTGGAGTATAGTAGTGAATTCGAAATCTTATCTTTTCCTCTGAAAAATATTTAAAATTTCCCGTTCTTCTCTCCCCTCTCTCCTCACTATAAAACTGCAGGTTGTGAGCAGCAGCAGCAACAATAAATTATGTAAGGAGTTTTCTTCAGTTTCCGTTTTGTTTCTTCTAAATATTTTTTTTTTATAATTTCGTTAAATCGTATAAAAGAAAAAAAACTTTTCGAGATTTTTGAATGTTGTGTTTGTATGCGCGCGCGTCACGACGTATGTTTGTCCACACTCATTCTTTTGTGATTTCTTTGCGATATGCAAAAATGAAGCGACTTTTAAAACTTGTTTTTCTCGACCTTATTCATTAGCCTCTATTTTTTTATATATGTGTATATGTAAGAAAATTATAAAGCAGCTCTTAGTAAGACGCGGACGAATTCTCTTCCAGACTAATCCGTTTCGTCCTCGTAATGATTTTTTTTTTAAATCTAAATCTACAGTATCTGTGTCGTCCTACATTTATTACTACAAAAAAAAACTTGCATGTTAATTTCGATTCAGTCTTTTAATGATAAAATGATACTTTTTGTGCTATTACAAAATACTACAAAAATAAATTTTTAAATTGTTAAAATAATAATATACTGATCTTTTTCAAGGGTCAGACGGTTTACGGGTATTCTTGACCCTAATTATGTAACTAAAATTCCTTATTAGTTATAGAATTTCTGGGTTAGATTAACTTTGTTAGTTTAACGATACAGATAAGAATTGCACTTATCTCCAGACAAATAAAATTCTTGCCATAGCCAGCAATTATGTCGATCTTTTATGATTAATGTGTATTTTATTCCTCTCGCTTGCCCTTAATAACAAGTAAAGAATAACTTATTTAATATGTATGAAGCAACTTTCTAAAAGGTTGTACGTTGATGCTCTGCTGCAGTTGAATAAATTAAAAAAAAAAGGTGTAACGTTTGAAGCATATATAAGTGTATAATTGAATATTTCAATGACTAAAAACAGGCGAATTTTCGAAAATAATTCTGACTATATATTAAAAATGAAAATTAATAAACGCACACAGACGAGTTCAATTAGGCTTCTAAAACCTCAATTAGATTGAAACAATTTGATACTTTTCTGCAATCATTTCTGCCTATTGTATTCTTGAGTATAAAACATTTTCTCTACTGCAGTTTATAATTTTAGGTGCAAAAATCTCATACAAATAAAAATAACTTTCATCATTTGCATCAGAAATTTTGGGTACAGTGTGGAAATTGTATAAAATACACATTGCAGTAGAGTATACCGTATTATCCTCAATATATATTACAAGTGGTTAAATAGTCGCCTTGAATAAGAAATTCGATCTCCAACTGCAAAAGAAAGCCTTATAAAATACCTATGTAAATATTGTTTAGTAATTATAGAACGCATCATCACATATGGAATAAAAAATTATAAAATATGAAAATCGATCAAACAATATACATGTATATCGATAAATTTCGTAATTCTTAAGATATGCCATTATCCTTTTCAACTATATTCTCTTGTATTATATTTTATATATAAAATTTATAAACGTCAATACAGTATATGTATGATTTATATATATATACTGCAATGCTATAAATATAATTTTTGTCAACAACTATACAAATACTTGTGTAAAATCTCTATCTCTATTAACCTAATTTTCTCTTTTTGTTACAAGAGAAACTAAAAAAAAAATTATTAAAACTAAACGTTGTGATAATAACAGATGTTCATTTTTTTTCAACTCTCTACACACTTTCTCTCTTTCTCTCTCTCTCTCTCTCGCTCTCTTTCTCTGCATGTCAATATTCTCATTTTCAAACCTAACTGATTGAAACATTTTTTTGCTATTGAACTGAAATTCTATCTGAGCCGACGAAATTTGTTTTCGTACGAAGATGTCTAGTTTTAGTACATTCATTGTCTTAGTGTAGAATTGGTACACTTCTGCATTGCAGCTAGTCCAACGACACCTATTGGTGGCGCAATCTGATCCGCCTTCTTTTCCTCTTTCCTTTCTAAAATCTACCATGAAGTTGATGATTGTCGACGCATTTACTGAAAAAGCCTTTGGGGGCAATCCAGCAGCCGTTTGCTTAGTAGAAAGAGAAGAATTGAGTGAAGAATTAATGCAGAAAATAGCCCAAGAGATGAACTTGTCGGAAACTGCCTTTGTCTTCGGAAACGATTTCGATGGACAAGATCAGTTTGATTTACGTTGGTTTACGCCCAAAATGGAAGTTGACTTGTGTGGTCACGCTACATTAGCAACAACAGCTGCATTACTACACGGCATCGGTAATAAGAATAAAAAACTTACTTTTAAGACAAGAAGTGGCCCTTTAACTGCTATATACGATGGAGAATACTTCCATATTAATTTACCATTAAATCCCCCTGTTGAAGAAGACCCCTCAAAGTATCAAACATTATTAGAGGCAGCCCTACCCCCTGATCTTTTAAAAACAATTCATTCAACACATTTTTCTAGTAAAACGGGTAAACTGTTGGTTCGTTTAGCTGACAATATTGATAGCGAGCGCCTGCGCAACTTGAAAGTTGACACTGTTAAAGTTGAAGGTAGCGACCAAACTGGCCAAGTTTCCGGCTTAATTATAACGCTACTTTCTTCCGGCAATCCATACGATTTTATTTCACGTTACTTTGCTCCCTGGAAAGGTATACCAGAAGATCCAGTAACGGGAGCGGCTCACACTGTACTAGCATCCTATTGGAGTAGAGAATTGAAAACAGATCGACTTAAAGCCAGACAGTCGTCACCCAGGGGAGGCGATTTATTGCTTGCCATTGAGCCCAATGGACGCTTGGACGTCGCCGGTAAAGCCGCCATCGTTCTCAAAGGAACTATCGACGTTTGATTCTATTAATATGTTGGTGCTCATTTGCTTATATAGAAAACAAAATAAACTCTCTTTAATCTTGCTGAATTTTTCCTAACACGTAAATTATAGTGACAATCAAACGCGCAATAGACCAGGTATCGGATGAATGATTGTAGGCCTAAATCATGAGTAATAACGCTTAAACTCTGATTACAAAATTTTTAACCAAATATGGAGAATATAAAACTCTCGAGTTGTGATTAGATAAACTATTTTGACCATATTTAGTAAAGTTAGGAGGAGCTATAGAAACGCCTTTATCTTACAGATTATATATAAAGGTGGACAGTCGCTTGCCTATTTATCGTTTAGATTGTAAACGTTAAAGGTATCACAGTCAAACATTAATCATGTGTGAAGACGATATTGCTGCTTTGGTCATTGATAATGGATCCGGTATGTGCAAGGCTGGCTTTGCCGGCGATGATGCCCCAAGAGCTGTTTTCCCATCGATTGTTGGCCGTCCCCGTCATCAAGGTGTTATGGTAGGCATGGGACAAAAAGACTCCTACGTTGGAGATGAAGCTCAATCAAAGAGAGGAATCCTCACTTTGAAATATCCAATTGAACACGGTATTGTTACCAACTGGGATGATATGGAGAAGATCTGGCATCATACTTTCTATAATGAACTTAGAGTAGCACCCGAAGAACACCCAGTCCTTTTGACTGAAGCCCCTCTTAACCCAAAAGCTAATAGAGAAAAAATGACACAAATTATGTTCGAAACTTTCAACACCCCAGCCATGTATGTTAACATCCAAGCCGTTTTGTCTTTATACGCTTCCGGTAGAACAACCGGTATTGTTCTTGATTCTGGTGATGGTGTTACCCACACTGTCCCAATCTATGAAGGTTACGCTCTGCCCCATGCCATTCTTCGTATTGATTTGGCTGGTAGGGATTTGACCGATTACCTTATGAAAATTCTCACCGAGAGAGGCTACACCTTTACCACCACCGCCGAAAGAGAAATCGTTAGAGATATTAAGGAAAAACTCTGTTATGTTGCTTTGGACTTTGAACAAGAAATGGCCACTGCTGCCAGTTCATCAACCCTTGAAAAATCTTACGAATTACCTGATGGCCAAGTTATTACAATTGGAAATGAAAGATTCCGTTGCCCCGAGGCACTTTTCCAACCATCTTTCCTTGGTATGGAAACTGCTGGTATCCACGAAACAACATACAACTCCATAATGAAGTGTGATGTCGATATCCGTAAAGATTTGTACGCAAATATCGTTTTATCTGGTGGTACTACTATGTATCCAGGAATTGCTGATAGAATGCAAAAGGAAATCACTTCATTGGCCCCAAGCACAATGAAAATTAAGATTATCGCTCCTCCAGAGAGAAAGTACTCTGTTTGGATTGGAGGATCTATCCTTGCATCCTTGTCTACTTTCCAACAAATGTGGATCAGCAAACAAGAATATGATGAATCTGGACCATCCATCGTTCACAGAAAGTGCTTCTAGACTATTTCTTATTATATTTTATTTTTATATTTCCTAAATGATAAATTTCATAAATCAATAAAAATTTCAATTAACCACAAGATAAAAGCCTTCGACTTAGGTACTATTACGTCTTTGTATAAAAAAAATGTGCACTAGCGTTGAAGCGGATGAACTTTTGATTGATTAGTTTGCCTGGACGAATCGTTTAAGCCTATATTCCGTATTTATGCTTGCTCAACCGATATAGATTTCGACTAGGCTTACATTTTGTATTCAAATTCTTTACGCTAGTTCCATCTAGTTACATTTAGCCTCAATTCTGTTAATCGATAAAAAAGAAAACAAAGAAGAGAAGAACATAAATAATAAATTACTCGTAGCGTGCGTAAAACAAGTCATTGCTCGAATAGACTATATATATTTCTATGTTATTTTAATCGTTCACTTTGCTTTTCCTTTATCTCTTTTCTAACTCACTTACTCGCTTTTTAATTCGCTTCCTTTCGAAATTATATACAGAAAAATGCAGGCAAATGCACTTCGCGCACGCACACTCATACAAACACACACACACACATACATACATACATACATACATACATACATATACAGTATATATACACATACACGCTGACTTATATTTAAATGTTATGTAAATCAAGGTGTATAAGCAAATATATATATGCTTGTAAATGTCTGTAGTATGCGAAAGTGTCAGTTTGTCTGGGTTTATCTACATGCACAGTATTTATCTTTATACTATTCAAAACAAAATGAAAAAGAACAAAAAAAAATATTAGATATTCATAAATTATACACTTATTTCTTTTTTGAATAACTGCAGTTCGTCGGACGGATATAACCGTCGTCACCGGATTCAGGCGTATGTTTTGCTAACAGAGCGTCTATTAATTTCAATCTATGTTTAGTTTGCTTATATCTTATTTGGGCGTCAGGAGGTGGAAATTGTTTTTTCATTAATTTCCGTAATTCTTTCTTAACAGCTAGTAATTTGTTTCTCTCCGTTGCTAGTTCAGTTAAAGACAGTTCGTGTAATTGGCTGTCATTAGTCGTTGGAATTAATTGAGTAACGTTCATATCCTCATAATCCAATGATGACGTTCTGTTAAGATTTATAGTTGAGGAATGATCCAATTCACCATGTTCTGGTAGGGATTCGAGAATTTGATAATTCTGTAACGCCCTCTTAACAGACCGATAATGATGATAGAGGGGTCTAACAACATCCTTTTCAGATTTTGAAGTAGGCCGACCAAATTTATTCTCAAGCTGCAAAAGAGCTTTCTGTACTAGAACTTTTTCTTCTCCAATCTGTATGTGCAATTGAATCATAAATTAGGATAAAAAGTCAAATCTATATGAAAACAGTAAATATCAATAAACATAAATAAATACAATACATTTTTTATACGGATATAGTAAACTATATCTCATGTTTATATAAGAATATAATAACTAATATATAGTATTATATCTATTATATCTAGTGGTCATTTATCATTATATAGTTTACGACAAAAAATTTAACCTCTTGAAAGGTCATAGAGTTCAAGTCAGACGTTCGACCAGCGGCATTACGTCGCCAAGCTAATTTCTTTTGTAAGGAATTAACCATTTCTTCCATAGTACAATGATTCTCCGATTTGGTTTGTCTCTCTTCTTTTGCTTCTAAGAAAAGAAAGTAATGAGTAGGATAAAAGAAGTATTAACAACTAATAAAAGCATAATGAAGGACGGATATGAATAGTGAGAATTATAAGGTTTACGGAATGAATAGGAGAGAAAATAGCTTGAAAAGGAGTGTAATTAATCTAAATCCAACACCGTTTATAGTACGCTCACAAAAGAAACCTTTATAAACAGGTGCTGTTTGAACTCTGCAATCCTCCGTTAAAGTAAAATTAAAAATGGTATCGTTTTTTTTAGCCGAGGTCGTTATCGCCAAGGATGACGACTCACTTTTAAGTTCCTTCTTTAAGACTGCTATTTCTTCAAGTAGATTAGATATTTCAGGAAATGTGCGCTTGTCTTGTTCTGATGGCTGGAAAACAAAAAGAGAAGGTTTATAGAACTAAAAAAATAGATTACACACTTAATGACCCAATCGTACCCTATAATTATGATCTTCTTCAAATGATTTTTCGAATTGTTTCATCTTCCTCTTAGCCGCTATTTAAAAAATAGGTATATTTTCATTATCGTTAGAAATTGCTCTTTGCGTCCTTATATACTTACAATTCAGTTTTTTTGTCAATGACTTTATGTTGTTCAACTGCTCCTCTTCAGCTTTTGTCGCATAAACGCTATGAGGTTCCAAGGGGGGCGAAGGAGGTATTTCTGTGTCTAGATTACGTAATTGAACAACGTTTGACCTTGGGGATATGATGACGGCTTCCGGTTTTACTGGTACACGAGAAATTGGTTCCACTTCGTCATTTTCGTGCAAATTGGATAAGTCAAGTGGTGGAACGTAATATTCATTATCATTAGTATCTGATTTGACATCGAATGCTATTTTAGGTTTAGAGACAAAATAATCGGTGTTCGAGTTGTGCCTAGAGGGCAGTCTCCGATTTTTAGGACCCGGTGCTCTTTTGTAGCAATCAAGTAAAGGTGTATCCGGAAGAGAATCGAGACCAGTCGATTCCTGAGTGCTTTCAATTACTTCCGGGTGATTTCGTTGCTTCCTACGAGGAGCAGCAATCGGTGACTTTGCTTCCGACTGGCCATGTCCAAATAATTCGTCAGCAACAATTTGACCGATAATTCGTTCAACTGGTCTATCAATAATAAAATAACTCAAAGTATTTACTCTTATAGTATATCAATTCTCTTATCAAATTTATCTACAAAAGTATGCATACTCGCTAATTTTCGTGTTATTAAATATCACTGGAGAGGGTGAAATCTCACTTCGATCACTAGATAGTATCAAAGAGATAGAAATTAAATTAGTATGCTATATTCAACAATTATTTAGTACATTTATATATGTATATACTGTATGTATATTTCATATAAATGTCTATAATTAACGAATGGATCATAATTTAATAAGATACCTTTCTAAACATAATGGCGATAAACTGTGAATACTTTCGTCGTCGCTTAAAGAACCAAATTTTACAATATCCTCCGTCTTTGTCATCTTAACATTCTTTGACTGTCGTTAAATTTGTTAGAATTAATAAATATTTTATAACAAATCCAATTTATAAGAGATAAGAGCTTTTTTGAAAAAATAATACACAGAAATTGGCAAGCGATCAAACTACACGACCTGTTCTAACATGATTCGCGCGACATACGAATTATCAATAAAATTAATACAAGAAAAAAAGGTTAGACAAGAATATTAACAATATTGTTAAGGTAGAGTATTCTAAAAATACCTTTCTTGGAGAAGGGATAGGAGAACTATTTTCTTGAAAATTTGGTGGTGGCGGTCTTGCAGGAGCAGATGATTTACCTTTGTCAGAGGTAGATGGCGGAAATAGCTGGTGAGCGTGTTCAATAAATTTTTCTACAACCGAATTAGTAATACTTTGATCACGTAGACCAGCAACATCAGAGGAAACCCTGCAACATACGTCAGTTCATCTAATAAAAAATTCATAAAGCTACGGGTAGGTATATTTTATTGAATTTTTTGATCTAAAGTAGACAACGTGTTCTATTATTCTTGTATTATCTCCAAAAAAGAAAAAATAATTTTACTAACCTGAATAATGATGGTCCAAGGACGATTCCTAATGATTTTTTTGTCATTTTGTTTGTTTCTTCGTTATTAGCAGTAGCCGATAGTAGATTAATTATACAACGCATTGTCAATAAATTGTTATTAGGTAGAGTATTTAGAGCAACTTTGGATCTTGATATGTAATCTTGGCAATCAGTTTTTGTCTTATAAATCTGAATAAATAACTTTGTTTGTTCGTAGTTCAACAATCCATCAGGTAATTCTCGTAGCCATAATTTTAAAAGCGATGCAACACTATGAGCATCCTTAGCTGTTCTTAGATCAGCCCAATTTTGACTTTCATATTGTCTTTTTAATCGCTCCGTTTCTTTGATGCTACCGTTCATGCGGAAAAGACCTTCCGTTTGGAGAGCATTTTCGAATAAATATTCACAAGTATCCTTAACCAGCCTTGGAACATCTGAATTTTCTCTTCTAGTAATTTCGTGTAGAGGTACCCCAAAGTAGTTTGTTTTTGAAGAACCGAAGACCGCCTTTCTTACACGTTCCATCGATTCTTCGTTTGTGGTTAATGTTATCTAAAAATGAGCAAAATTTTTTATTATTTTACTGGTATTAATATTCCATTATTTATTGATAAAAGATAAACCGTCGAATCAACGTTAATAGTGGTATTTTGTTAGCGTAGATTACTAAGAGATAGTGTATATATATATATCTCTAATGAAAAATCACCGTTTTCCATGCACATTTTATCCCTAATGTCTGAATTATAGTGATCTTTTTTGTATGAAGTACAAACCTTTATAGAGAAATCACTTTCTGTTTAGATTACAAGTAGTTTTAAGCATAAACTCAATATAGTTTATTCTAAGTACAATATGAATATTTCTAAATTGGTTGCATGTACAAACCTGATATTGAGTCATATTTTTTTACTTAGTTCTGAAGCGACACTGAAACAAAAAGTCATATATTCTTCTTTATCCTCATTATAAAGTTGATATTAAATAATATTACAAAAAAATAGTATCAATACCAGATATTAATTAATTATGGTTGTTTAATATTGCGAAAAAATATTATCTTCGTACCATGCATAACTAGAGGTGATTATATGTTCAATCCCAGCATCTGAATAAATGAGAAAAACAAACGAAAATTAACATCTGACGTGTTTCTATTAAAAAGACGTAAAATTTCGCAAAAGTTTTTTTTCAAAATAACTTGTAATTTGAACATTAGAAATTTAATTAGTAGTTTTTACCTTAGTGGGGTGTAATATTTGACTTTTTCAACCAAGTCGACCACTTTTATTCTGTAACTCTTATGCAAATAGTCTGCTATTGAATAATAGTGCGCCCCCTACCCTGTAAAATGTTGACAAACAATCGTAGTGTCGACAAGCTGTTACAGGCTTGATTTTATGGTTAATGTTTTTTTTGTTGTTATTTTTTAAATTTATTACTTATCATTTTTGTCTCTCTTTTTTTTTGTAATTATAAAATATTTAGTGCTGAAAAAGTGCGGTCCTACTCTCAATTTAAAAGGTTCTTTCGATTCGTGCGATAGAAATTTGATTAAAGCTAAAGAATCTGTTGTTGCAAAGCTTTCTTTTAGGAAAATCAAGTGAGATCGTTATTTCATAGAACTGTTTCGTAAGTTTGGTTTAGTGATAAACATCTGGTAAGGTTTAGTAATAAGATGTTTTGTGACAATGAATCACAATTATGATAGTTTGTGTTCATACAGTATTATGGAACAAAGTCTTGGTGAAACGCCTCAGCAACGAGTTTTAGCTATAAGTAATAAGGCTAGTCAAATAAGCATTGACAACACGATCCCAGTCAGGCGCTACTTGAGGACGTTAAAAGAAATGTCTCGCATGGCGTCAGAATACGATAAGGAAAAAGACTACTATAGTGCCTTTGTACTTTACAACAAATTTTTAACTCTATTTATCGAAAAGCTACCAAAGCATAGTCAATTTAAATCATTACAGCAGAATGATATTGAAAATCTTAAAGATTTGACTAAAGTTTGTTTGACTAAGGCGGAAGTTGTCAAAAAAACTTTGATAAAAATTTATGAAAAAGAATATGCAAAAAAGAAAGTAGAATTAATCGCAAAATTAAAGGCAGATGAAGAGGCGAAAAGACAAGAAGAAAAGGCTCGCCAAGAACAAGAAGAAAAGGTTCTAGAACTTCAGAGGAAAGCTGAAGCTGCCAGTAATGAATCTGAAAGAAAATCGGAGGAGGAACGTTTAAGGCGATTCAAGGAAAAAGCTGAAAGAGAGAGATTAGAGAAGGAAAGACAAAAGCAAGAAGAAATGAAGAGGCAAGAATTCTTAACAGATCCAACTCCTCACTTTGATAGGGCATTAAAACCAGTTCATATTTCTTCGAATCGCGGCAGTCATCTCAAGCAAATTTTTGTTCCTGGAGATTTGGTTGATAAATTTGTTTCCTTATCCAAAGAATGTACAAAAAAAGGAATAGAATTTTGCTCCTTTATTGGTGGAAAACTTAGCAATAATGCGTTTCATGCAACCCACTTAATAATACCAAGTCAGGAAGGAACACCAGACTCTTGTGCTGCAATAAATGAGGATGAAATCTGGGAAGCCATGAGTAGTAAAGATCTCCTGCAGATTGGTTGGATTCATACTCATCCAACTCAAACCGCATTTCTAAGCTCTGTAGACTTGCATACAACTTTTCCAAATCAGCAAATGTTAGCTGAATATATTGCAATTGTCTGGTCTGGCAAGACAGAGAATGCCAGATATTTAGCTCTTACTTCTTCGGGTATGAATACAGTAAGGCAATGCACAAAAGCGGGCTTCCACGAACATCCCGGAAGTGATCCTCTATTCGAAGATTGCCAGCATATTGTTGTAAATAATAAGTTGTCAGTTCAAATTATAGACTTGAGTTAAACAGTGACAACATAGATAATAATTTTTTTATATCGATTATCACTTGTCGTTATTGCCAATTATTTTAGATCTTTAATATTAATACGAGAATTGTCCGTCCGTGAGAATTTTCCGGCAGAAAAACAATAAGCGTTTTTTAAAAAAAGACTTCTTATACAAATTTAAAAACGCTTTGTTGATAATTATATTAAAATAAATATATTATAATTAATTTGATAGTTTAACTTGATAAGCAAAGCCATACTTACATTCACATGATTTATTTTTGTAAAAAACTATGGAAATTACGAAATTGAATGTGCTCTGCAGGCAAGATACAATAACCCCATAGTCACAGTGACGCATATATTATCAGTCATAAGGTTATAGATCCTTATTTATTGAATAAGGACTCCATTTGTCTTATTGTTTTCGTGTACTTGAACAGCTGACAATAATTTTAGCCATGATACTGACTATAAAAAGTCGGGATCATCTTAAAATTATCAGTGTCGAATTGAATATATTCAACATATTTCGAAAATATCTATACCATCCATCGTGGCGATGGACTTAATAAAATATCTACTTTGTATAGTCTCCCTACTTGCGGTTAGTGAGGCAAACTATCATGGTAACTACTACTGTAAAGACGGTAAGGATGTAATGGTCCATCTTTTCGAATGGAGATGGGATGACATTGCAAATGAATGTGAAAACTATCTGTCCAAGAACGGTTTGTATACTTTTAACAACATGATAAATTAGCACATATCCTTCATTTTGCCTTTTGAAATTCTTCTTTTGTCTAGGTTATTGCGGAGTTCAAATTTCACCTCCCAATGAGCACCGTATAATAATTGGTGGAGACGGTTATAAAGATTACCCTTGGTACCAAAGATACCAGCCTGTCAGTTATAAGTTAATAAGTAGAAGCGGTAATGAGGAACAATTCAGGAATATGGTTAAACGTTGTAATGATGTTGGCGTCTAGTAAGTAAACGCTTTTTTCGATTTTTCAAAGGTTTTGTAGCAAATATTAAATATCCAAATTCTTTGCATAGCATCTACGCAGATGCTGTTATCAATCATATGACCGCTGGGGGAATCGGTAAGTACTTAATAACAAATCTCACTCAAACTGTTTGCACAATATTTATTAAAACAATCGTTTGCAATGTTTTAGGCGTTGGTTCAGGCGGCTCAAATTGGAATGGAGACAATCAAGATTTTCCTGGTGTACCTTATAGCGACTGGGATTTTCACGGTCGTAATGAATGTCCAACAGAGGATTTAAATATTCATGATTATAATAATCCTCAACAAGTGAGATTCTGCAGATTACTCGGTCTCAGAGATCTTAAACACTCCAAAGATTATGTTCAAGAGAAAATTGCCGAATATTTAAATAACCTTATATCAATCGGTGTTGCTGGCTTTAGAATTGATGCTTCTAAACACATGGAAGTTAGTAGAATTGGAGAAATATTGGGTCGTCTTCGTAATCTTAACACAGAATGGTTTCCAGCTGGAACTAAGGCGTTTGTTTTTCAAGAGGTTATAGATATGGGAAGTGAGCCTATTAAGGCGGAACATTACTTCCCTAATGGAAGAGTTACTGAATTTAAACATTGTAAAGAGCTTGGAGATGTTATTCGAAAGAACAACGGACAGAAATTGAGATATCTAAGGAATTGGGGACCAGAGTGGAATATGATGCCTGGTATGGATGCAATTATCTTTACAGATAACCACGACAATCAAAGGGGACATGGTGCTGGCGGCTTTGGCTCTATACTTACTTTCTTCGAAGATCGTCAATACAAAATTGCTAATAGCTTTATGTTGGCCTGGCCTTATGGCTACATTAAGATTATGAGTAGTTACAGATGGAATAGACAAATTGTTGATGGTCAAGATAGGAACGATTGGATCGGACCACCAAGCAGTCCCCCAGGCGTTACAAAGCCAGTAGAATGCTTTGGTGAATGGGTTTGCGAGCATAGATGGAGACAAATTTCAAATATGGTAAAATTCCACAATGCAGCTGTTGGTACATCCGTTCAAAATTGGTGGGATAATGGAGAGAACGCTATAGCGTTTAGCCGAGGAAATAAAGCCTTTATCGCCATCAACAATGAAAATTTTGCAGTTGAGGAAACATTCCAGACTGGACTTCCAGCTGGAGACTACTGCGATGTTATCAGTTCCGAAAACAATCGACCACCCTGCAGTGGTAAACCTATTACTGTAAATGGTGATGGAACCGCCCGTGTTCGAATTGAAAATGATTCTGATCCAGTCGTTGCATTACATGTTTAACAATAAATAAAATTTGAATAATTATACAATAATTGCTTTGAAAAAAGTGACTAACAAGCAGTAAGCTTTCGTGTGACTTATTTAGTTTTTACATTCCTTGACTTTTCCCTCCGAGACTTTCCAGCAAGTGATTATTATAATTCTTCATCATACCGTTTACTCTACGTAGAATAGGTCTAGCGTCAGTTTCACTCGATTTGCTCGCAATAAACTCTTTCATAACGAAATTGTTTTGTTCTAAGTGCTGCCATTTTCTTTCCAAATTTATTAATTGCATATGAGTTTCATTTTCATTCATAGCCGATTTAGACATGTCATATTGTTGTGATACTGATGTCAACAGTATTTTCAGTGCTTCCCGTCTTTTGTGTAAACTTATTTTATCCTCTTGTAGTTTATCTTTTCTTTCTTCCGCTTCTCGTTTAAGACGATCTAAATCCTTGAATGTAATTAATTCATCTGCCATAGATGAAATTCTCTCTTTTAAAGATACCAGTTCGCTTGTAACCTTTCTCTCCAGCGTTTCAACATTTTCCAAATCAGTTTGCAAACTTTGACTTACTTGCATTAAATTATCAGCTGTTGTTTTTGATTTTTCCATTTCTCCTTGTTTCAAATCGAGATCACTCTTCATGGCTCCAAATTCATTGGCACTTGGAAGATGAGCATATGCTTGCAAGTCGCCTGAAATTGAATTTAGCAATTGAACAATCGTGCTCTCAACAGTGCCAGTTTTTTCAATTTCTTGTTTTTTAGCATCTTCAAATGTATTGAGAAATTCGTCCATAGTTTCTTCTCTTTTCTTTAGCTCTTTGTACTTTTGATTCTTCTCTCCCTGGCTATCTTCTAAATCCATATCTATTTGCTGCAATTCTGTATGTATATTTGCTAGACGATCTTTTATTTCCGCCTTTTGCCTATCCATTGACGCTATCTCCTGATTATCCTCTTTCACCTTAAGAAGTAATTTCTCTCTTTCCTCCTGAGGTGAGAGGGTATTGTTAGCCTCTGATATTAAGTGATCTCGCTTTTCTTCAAGCTCGTGAAGTTGTTCATATAATTTTACGGCTTCTTGTTTAACAGGTGAGGCAGCTAATTCCTCATCTAGTTCTTTTCGTTTCAATGTTAATTGATCAACCTACAAGGAAAACGTAATAAAAAAGTATAACTAAATAACAAAAAACGCAAAACCTCTTTCTGATCAATATTTAGTTGTTTGTTCATATGTTCATTTACTTCCTTTGCTTTCATATATTTCTTTTTCATCTCTGCGGGCATATCTGCTACCATCTGTTCTGCCATAGATTTCTCTTGTTGTAATTCAAGTTGTAACCCAGAAAGTTGCTCTTGTTTTTTTTGTTTCTGTTCAAATAAAGAATCCAAAACTTTTGCTTCACGATTATTGGCAATTTGTAGATCTTCATAATCCATTTGAATATCATTAATTGACTCATCAGTATTTAATTTATCGACTAAAGTGTTGTAATCTCCCAATTCTCTTTGAAACTGTTTAATTTCAGCTGCTAAACTTTCAGCTCTCTTTTCATAAGTGACATACGATGCTTGATTCTCGGATGTTTTTTCAGCTTCTCTCTGAAGGTTAAGGGTCTCTGCTGATAGCTCTTGGATCTTTGTTCTCAAAAGACCTAAGAAATATGTTCTATCCTTAACCAGTCGTTGATTCAGTCGAGCTCCAGCAGATGTTTTCATTCCACTTAGACCTTGTTTTGTCATTGGTCTGTCCGTAACTTTTAGTTGAGAATTAAGAGCAAGACCCCCTCCTGCTGGAACGCTACCACGAGAAGTTCCAGGTGCCTATAAATTAATTATTTCATTTTTATATTATAGTCTATGTCGTTATTTCTAAGCCAGATTTTTTTCATCGGTAGTTTTTAAATATTTAAAAATTTGATTCTCACCATTCCTGTAGCTAGTCTAGAGGCGGTTCCAGGAGGACGAGCTGAAGTTCCTCCTCCCCTTCCTGTACCTGGCCTACCCATACTAGATCCTGGACGGTTCCTATAAGATTAAATTTAAGTAAAAGAAATTGTTCTTTTATATAAAAGAAAATGAGGACAAAGTTTTCTTATAAATTATAAATTTAGATGAAGTAATTTTCATCATATGCACCAAATAATTCCTTTATATCAACTTTGTTTATGATATATTAAAGCTCTTACTTGAGTTTTTAATAAAAATGCTAGTTTAAAAATAATCTTTATTTGCAATTTACACTATTTTAAAGGAAATAAAATTATATTAGATTTTTTAATTTATAAAATGCCTATTTAATCTACTAGATTATAATTATTGTCAAATTGTAACAATGGTGATTTCTAAAAAGTTCTTACATGATATTTGAAAACCAGAAGAATCCCAAACCGGAAATTCCAATAGTATTGATCGGGAGTTCTAAGTATGTTCGTATTTTCTGGTACATATAATTTACAACAACGAGATTTTATCATTAATTTTTATGTATAGGATATTAAAAATTATAATTTTTTATTATTATATTATTTGCGACATTTCTATGGTAAATTTGTAAATATCCGAATTGATATTATTAAGTGTTCATTTCTTTGTTGATACGATGAACCGGAATCACTATCGGGCTTCGTTAGGCGCTGCACTTGACACATCAACGGTGTTAGATTTAGAAGGTAATCACGATGAAGATTTTCCACTTTTGATGAGCACAAAGCAAAGAAAAAAGAAAATTAAACAAAAGCAAAAGAACTTATCAGATATCAAATCAGAGAGGCAGAGATGGAACAACCAATTATATCTACACGATTTGGGTAGATATCCATCATTTTAAATGTCTTAGAAGGACCTTTTTATTAAAACTTACAAATATGTAGACTTCATATAGCTAGAAAAAAACACAAATATCATATAGTGAAACTACAATTACAATTGTTATCTTAATGCTTAACATATAAATTTATACATTTTAAATATTAAACTTAAAGTAAAGCTTTCATTAGTAGTAAAATGATGGAAATCTATTTAAGCAATGTTCATCTTAAATTACATCCAATTTATCGGTCTATTATTTGCAATTAGTGTAAGATGGCCTTGGCCAGAATCGGTAGTGAGTTCTGCTGCATGGTTAGCAGTTTTTAATTTGGATATATGGTTCGTCTATTTTGTTTATCAATCAGGATGGTACAAGGCGGCCTATAAATTGGAAACAAACAGCAGTTTAATGCCCTTTAAATATTGGCATTTAATGCTCGCTTGGAGCATACTCATTTTAACTTTTGTAATAGTTTTCGTTGTCGTATTCGTCAAAATTTGGCCGAAACATAGAGGACTATTAAAAAGAATTTATGTTTCCTTGACTCAGATTGTCGCTTTACCTCTATGCACTTGCTTTGCTCGAGTTTGGCAATGTAACGAAGAGTTGAATATGGAGGTAGAAAATATTGAAAATTGTTGGAAAGGACCACACGTTGCTTTTTATTGTGTACCCTCCTTGGTGATATTTCTTGTATTCATGGTGATAGTTCCATATGTCTTAATTAGTAGAGCTTACATTACGATTCATTCCTCTTCGGAACATCGCCATGAACAAACTCTACAGCAAGTTGAGTTGGAGAAAGCAAGTAACGTAAATGAACCTCCTATGCATTTTTATCTCGTCGGAGCACTTCGAAGAAAGGGTAGATTCTTCAAAGGTTCCCTAATCTTCATATTTGCTCTTTTTACTGTATTTTACGCATCGTTATTTGATAATGTCTATGGACAAGCACTTGCTATCACAATTTCCTTATGGTTACTCTCAGTAATTCTGATTGTTCTCAGGCCTTTTAGAGTTGCGATTTTCAACATTTATATTTTTATATCATTTATAATACCAGCTGGGCTTGGTATAACTGGTTGTATGCTAACGTCTGGAACATCGACAGTGTGGCTAACTCCGACTTATTTACACGCTATAATTACTGTCTGTTTCGTCATATGGCTTCTTGTAACTTTGGGAGTTTTCGCTTATATTATTATCAAGCTTTGTTTGGCAAATAGATTTAAGGATCCAATGTGGCCAACTATGAAGTTAGACGAAAATTCTATGAGATTCCTCGAATCGGTGAGATTAGCTACCAAATGTTTGAGTAAGTATAAACATTTACTGAATGTCTTAATGGATTTATTTGGAATTTTTTTTAGACGACTCAATGACGGTTGAGCCGATTTTGGCTCCTTCGCATGAACTCAGTCGACACATCCATATTATTAATGCTAATCTCAGAGAAGCTGAAGTTCTAGAAGATCCAATGAAGTTTACACTTTGGCGAACTCTTGACAGATTGATTCATTTTCACTCAAGAATAGCACCAAGATCTCTTTTCTCAGAATCTGTCAAGGAATCTATACGCCAAACTGCCAAGGATTTCATTATGATGAAGGCCAAATTTGCTAAGAGATTAGCTGCAAGAGATGTCGAATTCGCTCTGGCCAGCCCAGTTAAAAAGAGAATGATGCTGAAAATGTATTGCATTGCGATTTTTAACAGTCTTGGTCGGGGAAGATCTTTCTACGTATCGGCTAGTAGAGATACCAGTCGAGAACCTAGTAAAGCAAATACCGGAAGGAGTTCAGCCAACAGCGCTGGAAGTCGCGAAGAGGCCGAGGCTTGTCTTTAAAAAAAAAAAGCAAGATAATCTCAATCAACTATAATTTACATGTCTTCCTTTTTTTGTAGGTTGATCGTTTGTTGAATCTGTTCCATGAAATTTATTTACGACTTGTTTAATACTCAATTTCGAATACCTTTTTTGAGGTATTTTAAATTTCTCTCTCTCTCTCTCTCTCTCTCTCTCTCTCATTTACTGAAACACTCTTTGTACAAAACGATATGGTCAAAATTAAAAAAGTGATTTACATCATTGTCTTCCAATTATAAAGTATGCATTGTATTTTGTATATTAATTTTTTAACCTTGAGAATATGAAAATATGAAGAAAAAACTACTCCTTTTGTATTATTATTAAATCCAAGTAAAAATTAATGATAACTTTTCCAGAAGTAGTTTCTTTTCTTGGTAGATGTGTAAAAATAATGAAAGGAATGGTATAAAAATTTATTAGTATTTATTTATTCTTAAAACGTAACATTGATTCTTCAAATGCTCTCTCAGCATCCCTAGAGTTTTTTCTTATTCTCCTGCCGACTGGATCTAGATCGTTGTAGCATTTTTCAAACACTTCATCGACAATTGTAGCCGCTTGTTGCAAGTCTATATCTCTTACCATTAAAATTGACATAAGAGCTTTATTTTTTACGCAAGTTTCGTGTCTTTTTTTTACGTGTAACAAACCAGAGTCACCATCAACCCATGATGAGGAGAATGAACAATGCCAAAAATTAGCAGCTCTAATTTCTGTACAAGCTAAATGACGTAAATCTTTAAAATCTACTTTAGCCCGGCAGTAATCGTACATATGAGTCAATTCATGAGCTAAAACGCTACATGCCACTTGTTTATTTTTCGAGTTATTCCTGCAAATGACTACTTGATTAGCTTTCGGATCGAATCCCCCGTTTACCCTTGAATAGCAGTCCTCACAAGAAATATGCCTTTGAGGATTAATGGCACTGAAAAGGAGAATTCTCCCTAAGTAACGACTTAAGAAATTGAAAAACTAATTACCATCCTTTTTTCTTTAGGGCATTCAGCATTAACTTAACTGCTGGACCTTAAAAGTAGATTGTTTTAAAAGAAATTAATTGGAAAGCAACGACAACATGTTTTAATAAATAAAATATAATCTTACTATTCTCCATACACCAATATACATTGGATACACATGTAAGAGCCTGAGAGAAGGAGCCGCGACCTCTGAACATTTTCTCCATAAAAGTTTTTTGCTGCCTCCCCTCCCTTTCAGGATAAAAGTCATAACCATAACTTTCGGGATCCTTATTTAACCCTTCTGCATCAGTTGCGGTAGGAGATTTTGATTTATTTTCATCATTATTAGCTTTGCCGGACATTTCAGTTGTGTCGTCTGCTATAGAAGAGCGTACAATCTTGGACTACTTTGAATATTGGATAAAGTTTCGATAATAAAACATTGCTTAATTTATCAATAATTCTAATGAAAATACTTAATAAAAGCAAAATCTGTTTTAAAAGCCTATATTTTCTTTAGTAGAGCTATATTTCTCCTTTAAAAGCTTTTTTTGTGTGGATATAATTAGTAAACTTTTCAATAAACATTTGTGCAAAAACCTAGAAGGTAATAAACTTTTATTTAATAATTGCATTATTTAATATATCCTTTTTAAAAACTAGACTTTTAGAGGAAATTAGTGGAATTTAACCAACAATACTGTTGCTTGTCCTCAAAAATGAAAGTGGAAAAAAGAGAAGAAAAACTCTTATAAAAATAAAAAAAAAGAATATTGCACAGAACGCTTAGTTCTTTTTTTTGTCACAGAAGAAATCCAACATGAAAAGCAAATACATTTGTATTTTTAATTTACGCTAAATACAAACGGTTTAACGAGTTTTTTTAAAACAATGGAGTAAGTTTGTTATTGTTTCTATTGGAGTGAGCAGGCTCTTGACCCTTTACCTGGCTTTAGAGCGTCTAATCTTTCACATCTTCTCCTCATGGCTGATAAAGAATAAATTTGTGTAATTATTTTAAAACTATTTTCTGATTTAATATAATCTACCTTCTAAATAGACATTTCTATTACATTGTCCAACACAAAGCGGAATGTTGTCTTTACCAGGCCTAATTGTGGCGTAAACGACCGCTAATACAGGTTTGTGATCTGAGGCATTTACCTCATAAATGCTATCATACATTAGACAATCCATGGCACCCTTTCTCTTTGTTTTGTATAATATCCTATCCTGTGTTATGTTTGGAAAAACGGATTATAATATTTTATTTATGTGAATAGTATTGGTATAATCAACTTACGGTATAAGATGGTGTTCTCGTCTCAGCGTAACCTTCTCCTTTAGTGTTAAACTTGTAACTTGGAAGAAAATGAATTTGCCCTTCGTGATAGCCGACAAATATCTTTTCTGTTATTGAAGTTAGATATTAAAAGTAGGAATGGAAAATTGAAAGTTTTTAATAGATAACAAACCTTCGTTCTTATATTTAAACAATTCATCATACTCCTTTATATCTTCATAATCAAAATCTACTCTGGTAGGATCTTTTGACTGGCATAGTTTCTTTGCCAATGTGCATTGACTATCAAGCCGGACGTTTAAATCGCCCATCCAAATTACATAATCAAAGATATCAGTTTTATCCTTCTCTTGTTGATTGAGAGGAAATTTTGAGATTGGTAGTTGTTTGGGTAATGCTAATTGTGTTGAAATTGTTTTAATTTCATTTAGTCTGCTACTCCAGTTTTCTTCATGAGGTGATAAATGACAATTTATTATGAGAAACGAAGAGCCGAAAATCATAAATGCTAGACCTAAGGCTCCTTTTGTCTTTCCTGCTTGAGGAGCTATTCTTATGCTAACAGTTGCTTCTTCAACGAGCGAACAATACCAAGTTAATTGTCGTTTAAGAAATATTAATGTATATAAACTCCCAAATACGGCTGTATGATAAAGAACAAAACCAGGACCCAAAGCTTCCTGTAAGGCAACTTCCCATGAAAATCTGTCGAATTCGCATTCCTGACAACTAATAACAAAAACATCCGGTACATGTTCCAATTTATCAGGTAGCAATATATCTTCTAAGTCTTTTGGAATAGTCTATTATTTAAAGGGAGAAAGACAAAATAAAAGGAGGAATAATTAATATAATTAAGTTTTATCAAGCGAGAATTATATGTAATCGAATATTTGGCTTACCTTATTTTCCTGAACATTCCATGTTAAGGAAAACACACTTATATGTCGATCAGCAAGTACATTAGATAGTTCCTTTTCTCCCATAAGAGATGAAGAACCACTTGATCCAACAAGAAAGCTTCTGTTTTATTTATTACATATTATAAACTTTCATCTATTCGAATTATTAGAAATTGAAATGTAATACTTACTTCTTCTTCACATCCTCCGTTCTTAGAAGATTTACTGAACCAGTTGAATAGGATTTTTGAGATTGATCTGATAAATTTGATGCATAGCTGTCTGTTAAGTTCATAGAACTAAAAGGCATTCCCAATGATAATCTGGACGAATTTTTGTTTCCCTGAGCTTTGTTATTAAAATCCCTTGGTAAATCTTTTAAAGTATCGTACTCTTCTCGTTCAAGGTGGCGATAATATTCATTACGTATTCGAGTATCATCATCTGAAATTTCACCATCTGAGTGACTATAAGGCATTTTTTTCTTTCTAATATCTTCGCTGGAAGAATGAGCATTTCGAAGTGATCTTTTATTAGGCTTTTCCCTATCTTTTCTGTAGTATTCATCGTCTTCTGAATCTTTATATTTAAAATAGTTAGAACTGTTTTACTTGTTTTTAAAAAAATTTTTACCTGGATTTTGAAGCAAGTTACTTTTTTTATTATTTGAATATCCTCTGAAAGGAGCATCAGAATCTTCTTCATCATCTTCGTAATCGAGAGAATTGTCTCTTTTGGAATAAGAAATTCTATGAGAATTATTCGCTTTCCTTCTATTTGTATATTTAGATGTCATGATTCCCTAATTGTTAAATAACTCCTTATAGACGGTTTTTAACTGTTTTACAGCTACGTTGGTCAATTATTTGGAAAAAAAGAAAAGTTGTTTTCGGTTGCCATGCTATTCGCGGCTTTCGCGCATGCGCATGGTCAATACCTACGATTGTCAGTGCAAAGCAGACGATATCTGTGGCGCAAAACTGCCTTCGAAAAATTATTGATTTAATGGAATTTTGAAGGATCACCAGAAATTAAATATTGTAAATCTACTATTGGAATTAAAGTTCAATATTCCTACAGAGTATTAGCAAACATACGACAATCCTGTGCGTTTATGCTAATTTTGTTGCAATCTACCAAACTGCCAATCCCAACCCATCCTATAAAACTTACTTATTCATGTCTATAGTACAAACATTTAAAACAGAAATCATAAAAATTGATAAAGCAGAGATAGAAATATCAATTAAATAGACTGAATAGCGAATAGCAACGTTGACTTTTTTCTTACACAAACAGCAAATACTAAAGCCTATATGGATTAGTAGATCGCAATAAGCCTGCAATACATAGAAGATATAGCAATATATTTATTATGAAAACCTTTTCTATTTTTCTGCAAGGCGAGGGAATTTTTGCATACTTTTCAACTGAATAACATGGAAAATAGCCTACGCATACAAGAAAGACGGGAGGTAGGAAGGTAGGGGTGGGGGGGGGGGAAGGGGAGATTGATAGACAGAGAGATGATGGGAAAGAGCAGAGTTGTAGAAGAAGCTAAGGAAAATTAAAAAAACAAGTAGAAAATCCTATATTAATAAAACCTAAACTATAGAGATACAAATTAAAAAGAATATTAGAAAGCTTCCTAGGAGGAAGTTTATAGATTTTTTAATTTGCTCTCATTTTAGATAAATCACAATCGATTATATGCAAAATACAGTAGATATAAAAAATATATTTATATATATATAGATGTTTTTATTCTTTGCATCAATCCTCTATGTATATATATATAACAACAGCTCTGTTCATTATATGAAGGAAATGTTAATTTCACTTCCTCTATTTCATGGGTTAGTCATTCTGAAAAAAAAATGATAAATCAATTATTTTGATTTAGATTAATATCTTTTCTTTATCATTTAAGCTATTTTGGATGTGTTATATTTATCACTGTGTACATAACTTGATATTACTACTTTTATCTAATATATTGTAAATCAAGAATTTTCGGAACGAGTATTAAACTATTAGTTAGCTTCTTATGTTAATTTCCTGTCGTTATTCATAAATTAATTTCTATTAATATTTTATAATGTTTAAAGGCAGTACAAAAAACTATTCATTCAATTAATATTCCAGTAACGCCATCTTGTATTTATCTAACAGTTTAAAAGCTATGGTACCATTGTGAAATCAGAATAGCTTTTGCTGTTGACGATTAGTCATTCTCAGATATAAAGATGAGACATTGCAAACTGAAAAATTCCTATAAATAGAGTTCTTTTCTTTTTTGGCGAATTTCTAGTGAAAATTCAAGAAGCCTTTAAAGATTAAAATAATTGCGAATAATGTTTTTATAACCAGATTAATTAAATATAGCAGTCATTTCTCTATAAAAGATCCAATAATTATCAATTATCTACCCTTTTAAAGGAAGCTCGAAAGAAACTAAAACAATTTTAGGACATTTTATAGCTTTCCATAAATATATATATATATATATAGACTAAGGAGAAGTATTAGACCATTCTATATATATATATATATATTTATTATTATTAGGTAAATAGCTTTGAATCTGTGGTTTAGACAGTTTAAGGGGTCTATATAAAGGGAAGAGAAGAAAATAAATATAAAGTGTCTCGAAGGTTTGAGTCTGTAAAGTAAGTTCTTTTCTTTCAGATGAAAAATACTTGATCTTTATAGCCTTTTAAAATAATAAGTTGATTCGTTTCTGCTGATTTCAAAGGGGTCAATTTACGTTCATAAGGATTACAAACATTTTATTATCGTTTTCTATAAAAGGAACAAAAAAACAAGCCAATAAATAGAACTCTGTACATCATTTATTAGTTTGTTAAATATACAATTCATCATTATGATATTCTTATTTGTATGGTTTAATTACTAATACACATTTAAATGTTATATCTGACAAACATCTGTCCATAGTAAAAGAGCTATTCATAATAAATTAAAGGAAAATGCATGATTATTAGTAAGAAGGAAATTCTTGTATAAAATCACAGTGGGGAAAGATGATAAACGAGGGAGAAGGCAGTAATCCATCAAGGCAAATGTAGCATCAATGCTGCTTGATTACCAATTATAAGCATTTTTTAAAGCATCTGCCCGTTGGGTAGGGAGAAAAGAGCAGTAAAAATAAATTATATATACGTATATGCGTAATATATTTGCAAAATAAATAAAACTTGTTTTAACTAGAAGGAAACAAGGGCAGAGGAACTTTTTGGGCGAAATGAAAAACCTCTGGATAAGAAGGGAATAATGATGACCTTTTCCCACTACTATACTAATTGTTGGCTTGCTACATTTCGCTTTTAACAGCTCTTGACAAACAAACCGCGAATGGAATTTTCTTAGGCACTTGATACGATTGGTGGTGATAAATTAAATTTGCGAGCGTAGACTAGAGATGACAAACATTTCTTTGCAAATTAAGATGTCTGCGAACATTCACACATCCGCGTGTGTATTTGGTATGTATATACTATATATGAGAGTGAGAGAGAGTTTATGTGTGTGTGTGTGCATGTGTCTGTGTATATGTGTGTATGTATGTGTATTTGCACGTTTTTTAAAGAGTATGTATATGTGTATTTATGCCACCTAGGAGTGAGATGTGTTTAAGCGTAAACGCGGCTGTTTGTAAGCTAAGTTGATTTGGACTGTTATAAAGTAAAGTTTGCTTCTTCCAGATATATGTTACAAAGAAGATAGCTTGCTAACAACTATTACATAAGAAAGGTATTTAATTGCACAGTAAACTTTACCCTTTTAATGGATACCCTCCATTCTACGCTTATCTGTTCCCGATAAATCATCGGCATAAACCCATTAATTATTCAAGGATTGTAATTAGTTCCATAGACATTATAACGAGAGTCGCGCCTTACTTTAATTGCATTCTATTCCCATCGGAATGCTGTAGAACATACTGGATATCCTCCACACTTCCCTACATGTAGCCTACAAATTAGTTAGCGAATTTGCAGCTCTTTTCCTTTTCGCTAAAGAAAAACAGAACCGTCTAATTTTCCAAGTCAGACGAAAACAATGTCGAGGAGCTGGCGAATGAGCGTCGTGCAAACTACTACTTTTCAGCCGCGTGGCGCGCAGAATATGGGATAGTTTGTCAGTTTGGCGGAAAGCAGCAATCGACAACGGTTTTATTAATTCTGCAAATAAGAGCAAAGTCGGCAACTCTGTTTATTTTATCGGTTCTGTAAACAGGAAAAGAAAGTTTAGGATAGAGGTAGACGTATAGGTGAGTCTTATCAGAAGAAGCATTAAAGTTTTATTTTCTCTCTGTCCTCATTCCAAGTCTTTCTGTTGTTTAAATGTAAACGGTAAGTGGTGTATAATAAAAAAAGCAATAAAATCTATATGTGGAAAAATATTTAGACGCGTATGATTCAGGAGACGTCACTTTTTATTCGATCGATACATAAACGGAGTATGAACGCTCGTGCTATCGATTCGTTTTGGATGACAAAGAAAATACTATACTTGTTTTGTTTTTGGTCATGTGACAAGGCAAAAGTTTTATTTTATGCGGCTTGTAGTTGTAATTTGTAAAAGAGAAAGCCGAAATCAGTAGACCTTTGTAATACTTTAATATATAATTTATAGTCAAACTATAGTTCAATCGATAGTCTATGTCTATTAAGAAAAGAATGGCTGAGTAAAGAGTAGAATAAAAGAAAGAGAGGGAAAAAGAGGAGAATGGGTAATCAATTCGATCCTATAGATGGCATTCTTATCCTACTGTGATTAGATATTCAACGCTCCTTATCTTACACGCTATTATTCTTACTCCCTATTCGAACTGGCGTCGACCCTTTTCCAGATCTGCGACCCTAGATAAAGGAATGTGGCAATCTTAGTTAGGCAACTACTAGCGCCCTTTAGTATTCAATAGTGTTAGCAAAGGGCGCGTTGTAAAAAAAATAGAGACAGGGGGTAAAGAGGGCGAAAAGAAAGATATATTGATTATATCATTTGCACTCTACTATACCGCCTTGTTATTTCCTTTACGGTTAAATTTCTCGGCCTCTACTCTACTCGATTGCTTGAAACGACGGCTTTTTTCATTTGCTAGGAGATTCATTTATCAAAAAATGAGTGAAACAATAAGGAAATAGTAATTCATCGTTACAAAAAATAAGATTAATCAATCCCGCAAGAATTCTGTTGCTTATTTCGAGGAAGGCAGGGGGCAGGCCCTCTTATAGGCCGCCATTTTTTCTTCTAGAAAGATGGAGAGAAACAATTCTAGGTCATTTTATCATTTTTGTTGCAAATATTTTATACCTTTTTTATCATCTTTTTTTCCCATAGTATTATTAGTCTCTGCACGATCACAAAAAATAATCTTTTATTCCCAACCTTAAACAGTTCTCCCCTACACTCCATCCATAAATATTTGTGCTGCGTTATGCCGGTTCTGTCATCGCCCGCTTCCCTTCAGAATTTCACGGATGCTAGTAAGTTTATCTCTCTCTTTCTTAGATTCTTTAGATCATGAATAATTTATACAAAAAAGAAGAGAAAGTCTTCTTTTATCCATTCAACCTATTATGTTATTATCAAAACATCATGTTTAGAATAATTTTAAGACTAAGAGTGTCCCAATTGGACTACGAAGGCTGTAACTGTATTTCCAAATACAAAGATAAAACCCAAAGGGATATAAAAGAGAATAAAAAATGTAAGAACCCTTTTCCCCTAGGTGTTCAAAAACTACTCAACTGTCTTCAAGAGTTACATCTAAAAGCATCCGGGAATGAAATTGATCTACTTTTCTTAAGCAATCTACTTCAGGGCGAGGATTTCCAAGGGTTAATGAAGATCCACCAACAGGTTACGGCTCCTCAATTCTCCGAGCACAAGCCAACGCATTCCAGCGCGTCCAAAATGGTTGCAAATGTGGTGGAGGACCTGCATGCTATACCCCCAACTGCAGAGGCCAGAGAATTAATGACCCTCCTGTGCAGTTTCAGTTTTCAAGGTCTATTAGAAGCGCATGATGGCATTGCGGCCAAGGCATTTTCGCCTGTTTTACCGGAAATACCACATAAAGTCGACGAAGATGAAGTTTCCGTCAAAATTCTAAAGCTATTGAAAGCTCCCAAAGAGCCACTCGGTGCTACAATTAAGAAAAATGAAAAAACCGGCTGCATCCACGTGGCTAGAATAATGAAAGGGGGAGCAGCCGACAGAAGTGGTGTTATTAGCGTTGGTGACGAATTAAGAGAAGTGAATGATGTTTGTACGAGGAGTATGGATCCTAATGAAGTTGTCTCTTTACTAACAAACCCAACAGGGCCACTCATCCTGAAACTCATCCCTGCTGATAGTGATATTGCAATACGAGAAACTCATGTAAAACATCAATTAAAACAGTACATCCAATTTTTATCTATAATTACTTTCGTTAATTTAACAGATGAGAGTGAAGGCTTGTTTCGAGTTTGATCCTAAAAAAGATAGCACAATACCTTGTAAGGAGGCTGGTTTAGCTTTCAAGCGTAACGATATATTGCATATTGTAAGTCAGGAAGATGGAACTTGGTGGCAAGCTAGACTAGACAGTGATTCTTCAAAACGAGCCGGTTTAATACCTAGTATTAAACGTCTTGAAAGACAAGAAGCAGCTAAAACTTTAGTTAATACTCCCGAGTGCGAAAGAAAATTAAGTAGTAAGTCCTATTTTCAAATAATAAGAAACAGCTTCAAATTGTTTATTCGTTATTTACCAAACAGCAAAATTTAGCCCAAAAATTGGAAAGAGAAGGAGATTTAAAAAGGATCAAGAAGTTTCCGATGACGTAATCATACCAACTTTTTACGAAGAAGTTGATAAGTTTACACCAGAAAAAAGCAGAAACATCTTATTAGCTGGTCATGCTTTATCAGGAAGGGATGAGATTCTATCCCGATTACAAATCAAATTGAATAATAGTAAATACAAAATTCCAACCAGATGTTTGTATTCTTTAAAAGTAATTTTCAATATCTTCTTTTATCTTTATACTTCAATCGGTTCAGATTCCACTAATCTACAACCTAATTGTTCGATGCTGCCTAAGGAAGATATTGATCGATTGCAACAAGAAAAGCTGCTAATCGACTTTCTGGACAGGAAACAATACTCAATCTGCAGTAAACTCGAGGATGCAAGACAGATAATCAAGAATGGAGATGCACTATTATGCTCCGTCAATCAACAGGCAAGTAAAATTATCCAGATTTTTAAGCGATCATCTGTTTCTCCTCTAAACAGTCTCGTTTTAAATATTTTTCAGGGTTTGAAATTATTGAGAACGGCGGAAGTTAAACCTTTTGTTATATATATAAAACCGCATAGTACGGACTGTCTTAAAAGCATGCATAAATCAGTTTTACGAAGTCCTGGTGCCAAGAGGTTAAATGTAAGTTAATTTGTCTTCATTTCGTCCAACTTTACACTAACCTAATTAAATATTTTAGGATGATGGAATAGAAGAGGTCATGGTAGACTCATCCTTAATGGAAAATTCATATGGACACTTTTTTGATAGAACTGTTTTAAATCGGGATATTCAAGCCAGTACTGATGAAATTCTAAATATAATTAACCAAGCAAATACAACGCCTTGCTGGGTGCCTAGCGTATGGATGCAATAGACTGATAATTCATTGCAGTTGCAGCTTTATCCTTTCATATCGAATAGTAATTACTGAGATGCCAAATAAATTATAGAATCTTGTTTTTCTTAAACAAGTGGTATTCCTCTAAAAATTTATCTGATTACTTTTATAAATAGCTGAAAGAAACCTTTCTCTTATATAATCTATAAGTAAACTCTAACCGCGTACATAGTTCTTAGTTTCTTAATCTAAATTGTCGGCATCTCTATTAAAACTTAAAGACGTTTTGTGCTCTTTCATATTACCATAAAGACAGAAAAAAACAAATTATTAGATAATCCTTTTGCTTTTGAAAACATAGTAAACTTTAAAAATGACATATTACTATCTTTAACATAAAAGACACAGATAGATAGATATGTTCTTCACTGTTAAAATAAAATAGCCTATTTAACGTATTTGTCCATAAATTTTTTGTGAAATTCTGATCTTAAAGTGTCGTTTATAAATCCTCTCTCTTCCTTTTCTGATCCTTTAGCGCAATTTTTGAAAACAACATCGTCATCCCATCTTCTTTTAACCTACAGAAGAACGTTGTAAATAAAAATTTTCAAGTATATCACTTTTTACCGCTTAAATATTTTTACCTTGTAGTCAATATTTGTGTTAAGCAAGGGATTTCCTTTAATGATGTTATCGGTTCTTATACGTTCTTCTTCGGCTTTTTTTTCCTCTTCCTGTGCATTAGAAATAAGATAAAATTAGATATCAGATAAGTGTGTTTTGGAGATTGTTTACTTTTTTAAGTGCTTCAGTGGCTCTTTCTTTTTTAATTTTTTGAAGTTCGGCTAGGAGAGCAGCAGTATCATCATCATCATCATCTTCTTCATCGCTATCTTCATCCTATATATATTATACAATTAGATAACAATATTTACAACTTAATAGCGCGTATACATACACTATTTTCCTGCGGTTCATCAGCATCCAAATTAACAGGTAGCTCATTTAATCTAGCTCTTTTCGCTTCTATAATTTTAGGTAACAAAACGAATATTTATTTATTAATATTTAAGTAGCCACTTAAACTATAAAAAGAAATACTAATTTTGTATAAAGTTTACCTCTTGGGCCTCGCTCCTTTTCTTTTTTTTCTCTTTCTTTTCTTTCTTTTTCTTCCAATTCTCTTCTAAATTCACGTTCACGGAGGTCATTTTGGGAGCTTTGTCCACTTTGTCTACATAGCAAATATATGTGATCAAAGCTGCTTTTCTCGAAAATATTAAGGTCTTCCTTAAACTAACCTGTATTTTAATTTAGTGTGAGACGGTAAATCTCTGCTCGAATATTGTTTGGATAATGAACTGAGATCATTTTCGCCCTTTCCAGTTCCACCTCGAGCAGGCTCAAATGTTGGTCTCGCCGCTGTAGTCATACTCGTTCACTTCTAGCGACAAAAGATATTATTCATAAATATCATATAGAAAATATCATATCACTATTCGAGATTTAGTTAAATAGTACATACGTGTGGCAATTTAGTAGTAAGAGAGTGAAAATATCTTAATTCGCAATAACAGAAATATTTTACTTGTCAGAGAAACTGGTATAAAAGTACCAGTTTTCACGCGAGCTTTCCGGTAAGTTGAAAGTAGACTTTTCCTTCTAAATTATGATATATTGGGAAAGAACGACAAAAATATAGAGTAATAGATGCGATAAACGCCTAGAACAAGTTAACATGAAAAGCTAATAATGCACAACAAATTTTTTAAAAGTCAATAACTTAAAATTTGTCTCAAAATAATTACACCAGAAGGATTACTGGAAGAATAGTAACTTGACGCAAAAGATTATTTAAAATTAGCTAAAAATAAACTTTGAAAGTGCTACTGGCTATATCAGTTTATATAGTAGAGTTTAGAAGAAATATCAAGTTTTAAAACCACTACAGTTGGATAGAACCACTCTAGAGTGTGGATACAAACTCCGTCTGAAAAATAGTCGGAACTAATCTGGGAGGCGGTGTATTACGAAATTTTTGGTTTATTAAACTATATACATTTTTTTCTACTTGTATTGGTAAGTATATTAAATAGTTAACATTTATCAACGTTCATGTACAGTCAAGAGTCATTCTATCTTGGACCTGAGACAAAAAATATCAGTATTAGATAGTCACGAATATATACTTTTGAATATAACCTTATCGATTACAATCATCATAGAATTCTATCAAAATGTAGACTGTTTCTTTCAATTGCAGTCTGCTAGCAATTCCTTTAATAATTGCTTTCAGATTTCTTGACAAATTGTAAAATATATCGGTCAAATTATTCTATATAAACAAACAGTTTTTCCTTATGTTTATACTTATGGAAAGATAAATTTTTTTTAAAATGCTATTTAGTTTATCTAAAGTGAATAACGATACGAAATTTGTATTAAACTTATAGGAAAATTTGATAAAATACTCAATATTGTGTAAATTTTTTTGTTTATCACGAGGTTCGATCAGAAAGAAACTCAATAGAATCTTATCGCGTAATCTTATAATTTCAGTAATAAATAAGCATTTTTCAGATGAGCTATGAAGAGTATTAAGATAAAGAAACCAGATGAACCAAATGCAAAGCCTTCCTATACTGTAGTGAACGACTCAGCCCCCATTTTAGGCGAACATGACTTACGAGTTAGAATAGAGGCCTCCTGTCCCAGTATTCCACCAACAAGCATTCTTCATACTCTATATAACAAGAGGAACATGAATAGCATCCCTTTAGGAGGAGAATTTGTGGGAAAGATTACACAAATAGGATTGGACGTCAAGAGATTTAAAGTAGGCGATAGAGTTGCTGGAAGTCTTTCAATGTTAAATGAAACTTATTCTGTATGCTCTAATGTCATTGCCACATCAGAATACGAAGTAGCAAAATTAGACTACACAATTAACCCTGGAAAATTTGTAGCCACTTTATCGGAGGGCTTACGGGCTTATGTTGCACTTCATGTGTTAGGAAATGTTAAGAGAGATAACTCAATTCTTATATTTGATGGGATACGGCAGCCCAACCTTGCTTGTTCAGTTATTGCCAAGAAATTAGGCCTTCAAGTATTCGTAACCACACGTGATTCAGAGGAGACTGAAAAGGCAATAAAATATGCGCTGCAGTCCATCGAATCTTCAAAGCTTTCCGATGTTTCGGGTAAAATTATAGAAGAAACCGGTGAAATAGGAGTTGATGTAGTTATCGATAATGGTGTGGACGTTTTCGGCAACAAAGACAAAAGACTACCAGAGAAGATTGACATCATCCGTTGCTTAGGATTAAATGGACGATGGATTACAAGACAACACGATTTGCAACTCGATCCACCCGATAGTTCCCTACTTTATATGAAGGCAGCATCAATCTCATACATACCACCTTCTTCCTTATCATCTCTATCTGCTAATAAAGGAACTCAACTGCACATTTTTGATGAAATAATTAGCCTCTATCAAGACGGTTCTGTCGAGGCAAGCATAATGAAAACTGTAAGTTGGAAAGATGCATTAGAATTTTTCTCTAACGACGATCCTTTTGAAAGATTTGAGAATGTTGTTTTTGTATCTGAATAAAGTAATTTAAATCGAATAAAAGAACAACTCATAGGGAATAATCTGTATATTAGTGTCTAATGTCGTACATATTTCCTCCCAATTGTTCATTTAAAAGAATAATAAAAAGGAGCGAGAAGATACTAGCGTTATTGATTTATACTCTAAGATAAGCTTTAGTGAAATTTTACCGCAATTTGTAAACTTTTCAGTTAGGAAAACTTTAAACTTTAGCAGCATACCTCCTTTACAATATGACATGGATTGTGGTAGAATTTTCTGACTTTTATTCTTCTGTTAACTGATTACATTAATTTTTCTGTGACGTGTGTTTGTCATAACACGTTAAATATTCGCTTTCACTGGCAAATGCTCTTAGCATATCATTTATAAATCTTTACTTAAGAATTAAAATAGACAATAAAACCGATTTGATTAACTTAGAAGTTCTACAAATCATTTAAAACGTATTGGAAACAATTATTATTACTTCCTTTCGATCAGTGACTCTTAGTTCAGGTGGGAAATTCCATATCAAGGAAAATAAGATAAAAGTTTGAAAGACAAATGGGATGATAAGGAAAAGTATGAATATAGGAAACTTTATTCAAAGCCAGTACTAGAGCGTTAAGAGATAAAACTAGTAATTAAGAAAGACTTCGAGATTAAAGCTAAGATTGAGAAATTGTCATTCAGGATCAATCAATTAAGGAAATAAAGACTAGTGTGACATTTATTGTGACATAGTTCGGTTACTCTAGATAACAACAGCCAAATGAACAATAATAATTATTTCACGTGCCTTCCATTGTTAAACTTTCCTCCGCAAAAACAGAATAAGTCTCCAAAACAGCACATATCTTCGTTTGCTTTTTTAACAGCTTTTATTTTAGTATTTTCACAACTTTTCGAATTCTCAAATGACTTTCCTTTCCTTTCCACTAATCCAGATTTTCTGAACTCTCTTTGGATTTCAGGAAGAAATTCATATACGCTACTAGGCTTCTCTTGAGAATCACCCAATAAAATCAAAATGAGGAAGAGACATCCATAAACGCGAATCATATTAAACATAATAAAAAATTGGAATATTAAAGTTTCCTTCCGTCAAACTGTTTGTACACTGACAAGACCTTTTAGTCCGTCGGTAAAAAAAATTTTCAAACTTCGTGTCTCATTAGAATTGAGTAGGATAATTATGGTGTAATATTTAAATGATTTTGCCTATAGGTACAAGTTTTAACTATCTATTATCATTATAAGTAGGCAATTTTTTTAAAGTTGATATATCTAATCATATTATATTTTGGTATGCTTATGGTAAAGATATTTTTAAGGTCGTTAATATTTGGTGACTGAATACTTCTACTCACGCAATTTGTTTTTAATAATAAAGGATCTGTAGTTTATTTTTTCAAATTGTTTTAGCTTAGAGTTTCAGTTCATACTTCTAACGCAAAAATTCAACTAATAGGGCTTCGAAGAAGTTTCATAATCTCCCAAGAACACTTTTCTTTTTTGAAAGCCGCAATCATGAAAGTCGTTATCCTTTTTCTCAGAACCTTGAAGCCAACCCTCTTCACCCTAAACAAAAAGTTTTGAATTAGACTTAGAAAGTGAAACTTTTAAAACATTTGTGCAATCTCTTACATAAATCTGTGTTGGTTTATTTCCATAAACGTGCCAGCCATCAATATTAGTCCATTGATTAGGATTATATGCTATATTGTAATACATAGCACAGGCGACCACCCATCCTAAAGCTACCTTTGGGACAGCTCCTCTTAATTTTGTTGCCCATTTGTCACCCTTAAAAATGTAAACAGAAAATAGTATTAGTATAAGTATTATTATTATAAGTTGTAGTTTCGTAACAGAACTTTGAAAAACAGATTGGAGAAAATTAATTTACATACCAAGAAAGGTTTAATTGATTTAAACAACATGTTCCAGGGTGTTGCCAAGGCTCTCCTGATCGGATTTCTAGGGTTTAATTCAGCTACATGGACCGGTTCATTAGGACTTAGTCTTTGATCAAGAACCTTTATTTACAACGAATGTATTTCAATATAAATTTGTCGGAAATATTACGATCAAGATTTGTAAGACATACCCATTGCTTTCTGAGTGCTCTATCCTCACTTGACATGAGTTCCGAAAGACGTTGTCTTTCATATGGCATTGGTTCAATTGAAAACGGAGCAACTCGATTTCCACGCCAGTAGTATTGACGAATTAATATCTTCTCACGAGTTAGCTTTTCTGTTAAGGTTTTATTATACTTTTCGATTGCTTTCTGGTCATATTCATGCCAAGAAAGAGCTTCATTCGTCGGTTTCGATCCACCGTCCGCCATCTTTGTTTATGATGTGAAGGGCAAGGTGAAGGTTACCCGAGAGTGTGAAATTTCAGCGAAAAGAATAGCTTTACGTAATTATTAAAAATAAAAGAAATTTTATGTAAAAACTCAGGTAAAAATAATTTTTTTTCAACCGTTTCAAAATTTCCCTTCAGAGTAGCCAGGCTCCCTTCCTGACTATTTCTAACTAATCCCTGTGAACAAGGAGCTTTAACCAGTTGGCCATCTGACGGTACCATATAACACATAACACACGAGCTTTTCGCCTACAAACCTCGAAATTAATGCTTTTCGCTGTTGATTTTCGTTTCGAAAATTGTAGACTGTAGTACTTAACTAACTCAGGTATGTTATAATCATAAAAGTTACTTAAATCATTGTATAATATTGGAAAATTTAGAATAAACATTTGTGGAAGGGTTCGTAACAGGGCGTCAGCAGATGGTGTCAGACTTGCTCTAGATTTTTCAGTTCTAAATTTACGTGGCTAATATGCGTATTGTATACACTTTGAAAGATTTATATCTATTTCAGATGAAATCCGAAGTGGAACAAGTCAAAACCCTTTTAAAGGAGGCTGTAAAAATGATTTGCCAAAATTATCTGCCAAGTTCCCACATTAGTGTTGAAGGTCTTTTAGGAATCACATTGGACAAAACGGATGTTTTTCTTATTAATTTAAAGGAGGATATCTATTCAGGAGGAGTGGTAAATTCATCTTTCCGTGCCTTAGACCAAGTTCTACCCGAAAAAAAAAGAGGTAGCGCGAAAAGGAAATCTAGTCCCGTTCAATTAATACAAAAGAGACCAAAGGAAGAACCCGAAGCGTTAAATTTATGTACAAAAAAAGAAAATGAAAAGACTCTATTAAACGTTCCTGTATTTCCCGATAGAGAGCTACCGTTTTTGTACAAGGAAACAAATGTAAGTTGAATCTCGCTTAGAAAAATATATTGATTAGTTAAAGAAAAATTTGCATAGAAGCATATGTTTTGAAAAAGGTGGCAGGGCGCAGGCACAACAGCTGTTATTTTTACAACTCGATATGGCGCCGGGTTTTTCAATTCTTTTTGATTAAAAATTGACTATTTTTTTCTGTATTTGAACAGGCTGCGGATGTGGAGCCTAGGAATGGAGATGGAAATACTTATGGATCGGTTTGTTTCATCTTTCTTACTAATATTAGAAAGTATCATAAGAATTAAATATGTACTCAAAAATATCCTACAACTTCGCTCCTATAAATACTCTTCAAAGTTGTATTATTACTTTTAGTATTATATAATAGTAAGAGTTTAACAACTAAAAGGAAAAATAAAGGGGAGAGAGTATTATTATATTTTATACACGCAATTAATAAAACGAAATAATAATAATAAAAAAGAAACCATCACCCCTAAAGCAATTAATTAAATATTGTATTAGGAATAATTCACTGTTGCCTTTATGAATCCTAATTAATTGGAATCACTTTTGATATATTCTCACTTGATCCCATTAACCAGCCAATTTTTATTATTTAAAAGTATATTTATTTATTCAAGTATTGGTATATTTTTTATTATTATAAGACTTTTATATTAAAACTGAATGAAGAAAATATCTATTTTTTAAACTATAGCAATTTGTTTTTAATAATATTTATATTACAAGCATTATTATTATTTGTATTCCTTGTTTTTCTTTTTTGTCCCTTCTCTCTCTCTGTCTCTGTCTCTCTTTGTCTATTGGTTTTCTGTTAAGTAGAAAAAAACATTTTTTATCTGTTGTTTTTTTTTTATTTTTTATGTTTTAATGTTATTTTTTTTATCTAATTCTCTTCTTTCTCTTTTGACAAACAGACCGCGAATTCGGAATTCAGGAATGGAACAGATACTTTTTATAAACAGGTTTGTAACCACCAAAGCTTTATGTATACTAATACATAGTATATATATAAAGTTATATATATATATATACTGTGTATATTGCTTTTATGTTTTTTTTATATTTTTTTTTATATTATTTCTTTTTGGCTTGTTATCGACCAAAGTTGAGAGAATTATTTTTTTAAATTGATTAGACTAGTCTTTTCTCAAATGATTTATCTTGTACGAATTCTTAAGTACTAAAAATACAAGATGTTCACCAACATATATATATATATATATGTATACATACATACATACAAATACACTATATATTATATATACTGTATATATAATGTATCTATTTTGCCTTTGTTTACTTTTTACTTATTTTTCGAAAAGGATTGTAATAAAGAAAAGAAAAGAAAGAGAGGGAAAAAAAGCAAAAGGAAAATAGGCAAAAATAGAATGAGAGAAATGTATTATAAATACCGGCGTAATATGCATATATATATATATATATACTAATATATATGTATACATGTATAAATTCATAAACTGGAATAATATCTATTATTTTCTTTTCTTTCTTACCTATAAGTTTTAATACCATCAGGTTTAAAATATCAATTTATATATAACAAAAGCCCGAAACTACCTGCGTTTCATATTTAACTTTCCTTGCTTTGGATTGGATATAATGTTTTTTATAACAAAAAAGCATGATATGTTATTATTACGGGAGTTGTAGAAGAAATTTATTATATTGGACGATAGCAAGGATCTTTTATTAGCTATGACTAACGGTTGTTAAGATTTATTAGAATATTTTGTTTTAAGTAAAATTATACGGGTAGAGTAGGCTTAATACACTAGTATCTAATTGATTAAAAATTATATGAAAAACATAATAATAAAGTGCATTTGTGTTATTATATGTTTTTCTTCATTAAAATAGGTAACAAATCCTGAAGGAATAATGCCTCTTGTCCCCACAAATTCGAATAGTGAAGTTCTATACGGTTCTCAAATGAGTGAAGACTTGGATAAGAAAAAAATAAAAATAAAACCAGACGTTATAACAGAAGAGATGCTTTCCGGTAGACCGATAGGCGACGGGGTAAAGGATAGGAGGAGAGAATGCCCAATTTGTCATAAAGTAAATAAACATGTCTTTTTAGTATAAACTCTTCTACATAAACATAGATTATGTATATATATAAAATTTGCAGTAGGAAAGAGATCTTGTTTTTATTTTCCTATATTCCATTTCGATTGGGAAATTCCGTAATACTTTTATACTTATTTTCTAGAAATGCTTATAGGTAATCTATTGAATGGTGGATTCTTATTACTTATTAACTTTATTTGATATAATAACAATATAAAATATTATTAATATTTCTCTATATATGGAATATAGTATATGAACATCTAACAGATTTTGTCAGAGCCTGCTAAAATGAGACGTCATGTAGCGACTGTCCACGGTAAAGTCAGACATCAATGTCCTCTCTGCGCTGGAACATATACTCGGAGGGATAACATGCTGACTCATATGAGAATAATTCACCCAGAAGGTAAGTGGTAAATTCGTACCGAGCCTATAGGTTGTTTTCATTAAAGTTTATTCTCTCTCTCATTTTCTTTTTAAAGCTGTTCATCTGTATACAAAAGTGGATGATCGCCGTCTCAAAGTCGAAGAAAATGCAGAAGCTAAAACTTAGTCAACATTATTTAAAAGAACAAAAAAAAATGAAAGAAAGAAAAAAAAACGGAAAAAAAAATAAGAAGAAAAAAACATTCAAAAAAATAGTGCCTTTATGCATCGTGCCTTTTACTTTATCCTGCTTCTAAGAATTTTCTGAACTGCTTTTTTTGTCTCATCCAATGGATGAAAAAGTATTTAAAATAATTCATTGGATATCGTTCCAAGTTCGTCTGCTATTCAGGGTGCTCTTTCACTAGCGCCTTCTTGTGCTTTATTTATTTTTTCCTTTTTCTATTACGCTATCTTTGGAAACTGTTGGTGATATTGTTTTTTTTCGGTTATTGTGATTACTTTTTTGTTTCGTAAATTATTTTTGCTAGTCATGATTGGAGTCATTGTGTATTTTTTGTAAAAAGAAAAAAAAAACAAGTTCGTTTCTTGGTGCTATATATGCATTTTGTTTTTTTTTTTTCCATATGCATTCTGTGTCTATGATTCAGTGAAGTACTTTTTTGGTGTCTATCAGGGCCAGGTTGACATTTCTTTTAATAAAAATCTGCAGCAAGTTGGTACACTTTTAGCTAAGGAGAATAATCTTTAATTTATTCTTCCTTCTTTTCTTTACTGGGCTTTCGTGGAAAGAATATTTCTGAATTGTTAAGTTTGGAAGAGGACATTTACAAATGTTAGGTGGGTTAGGTGATCGTCTACTGACCTAATTTTTAAATCTAAAAGAGAAATACTCATTCTTAAGGGTGTTTCGATTATTCAAATGTTTTTTCCCAAGGTTTTCTTTGTAAATGCCTCTCTTTTATTTATTTCGCAATAAATAACACAATACATAGCTTTTAACCTTGCCTTTTTCCTAAATATAATCAAATGAATAAAAGTAACTGCAACAGCTTACTCCCTTTCTCTTTTGTTTTATAAATAGATACAATTGAACCCAATATTGTACAGTACTTGAACGGATAGTTTTTACAGACATATAAAAACAGTTAGGGATAGATTTTCATCGAATACTAATAAATTACAGTATGTGTGCGTGGTCTGTATGTATATATATAGTATATATCTGTCTGCGTGTGGTACCTCTATCGTGTTTGCTACACAAAAAAGCCCTACTGGCAACAAGTTTACCAAAGATCTCCTTTTTTTGTCCTATTTTTTCTTCTTTTCATTCCAAAATAAGGACTGACTTTTACGCATGTGTTCATTTTTCATCACGTATATGATCCATCTCCCCTCCCCCCTTTCTTTTTAAAACATGTACAGTAGGCTGATAAAATAACAAACAAATAAGACTTATTAATCTGTAAATGTTGTATACCTAGCTTGTTTTTTAATAAATTGTTAACGTTCTAACCTTAGAAGACCCATGTAAATATATTCATCTCTTTTTTCATTCAATGTAAAAACTTACTTACTAAATATTTATGACGCAGTAGATTTCCATTTATCCTATTGTACAAGGGTTAAATATAACTCAACTAATATGTACGCTAAGTATCTTGACACGATACATTTTTTACAAGTTTTGCAAACATCTCAAACTAGTTAATACTTCAATTGTTTATAAACATATTATTTCTATATTAATTAAATATTTTGCTTTTTTTTTTTAAGCTAAAACAATCACCTAACTCTCTATTCTCACATTCTCTTCTCTATTGTCTTCTCTCTCTCTCTTTATGGCAATTAGGCTAAATGTTTTCTTTTTTAACTTTTTACCTATTATGTTTTATGATATTAACTAATAATAGAAATATAATATTATATATAATATAGTTATTTAACTATCACTTCTTAGAATAACTAAAGAATATCTATTCGATGATTAAATAATTAAATAGAAATGGGAATATAACTATTTATTTTATGAAAATCTTATATTTAAAAAATTAAAGAATAATAGTAAAAACAATAAAAAATAGATTAATTTATTACAAGGGTAAGGTAGGTATTAATATAAGCCTATGTAGGATTTTTTTTAATATTATTTCAGGTTGTTAAATAATACATACCCTTGTTTTTTTTTTGTTTTTTTTTGAGGTAAGTAAATTCATTTTGTACTTAGAAAGAGATATTTTCTATCTGTCTTCTCTTTATATTCCCTCCTTTCCCCTTTCCCCTTTCCCTCCCTCTCTCCTCTTTGTTTATATAAAAGAATAGATACTAGATATAATCTACCTAAAGAAGAAAGACAAAGAAAGTAAGATGAACGAGAGGAAGCGGATACGGTTGATGAATATAAAAACATAACAGAGATTGCATAGTTATTATTAGTTATTATTATTGTTATTACTTAAAAGTCATTTAATATATATATATATATATATAACGAATAGTTCTCTGTAGAATGCTTTATGTATGCTTCTGTCTTTTTCGGAAGAATGTTTTTAAAGATAATCCTTTTATTCTGTCACTTCAATTTTTATCCATTAATCCATCCTATTTCCTTAACACTTATTTCCCTTTCTAAATTCTAAAACGTTAAGTTTAGGTGTTTTTTTCCCTCCCCCTCCCTCTCCTTATCTTTCTTTTCCTTCCTTCCCACCCCCTCTCCTCTCCTCCCTCTCTTTAAAGTAACAACTCTAAACAAGTACATGATTATCATAATTAGATTAAAGGTTTTAAAAGAGATGTTTATTCACTAGTTTTTTTTGCTGTATGCTTATCAATAAGACGATAAATTGCGAAAAACATTTAGATATCCGATAAAAATAGGTTTTAAACAGACATATTTGCTCCTTTTTCTCTGTTTAATACTTCTTCTCCCTCTAGATTCTTTTGCTATTTGTAATATTGTTATTGGTTCTTTGTATATAAATACCAAATAGTTATATATAGAGTGTAGTTTGACAGGAAAAATTTATTGTTTTTAGCCTAATTTTTTGTCATATCAATATTAATGCCTTGTGCAAAGCTTGTTTACAGTTATGATTATCAAGAGGCCAAAAACTGGGCCACGAGTACATTTTTTTCCAATTTGTCCTTTTATTTCTAATGAATTAGTTTGAGTTAGAATTCGGAGTTATGACCGGTTAATTTTTGGCTAAGGACGAGATATTTTCGTAACCGGAATATTAAGGTGAAGGTCATCGGCAGAAGTTACAGCTGATCTAGTTTATTTCGGTTTTTTTATATGATTGCTAGACCATTCATTATCAAAGAATTACGTTTACATGGCTACAAAAAAAAATAATTAATGCTACCAAACAATAGTGTAAAATTATTATTTTAAAGACAGAAAGATTGTTTTCTTGCAGTCTGAGCATGGAGAAATTTATTATGTGGAGGATAAGATCGTGCCAGTCAATACTACCAAAATTTAATGCAAAAGGATTTAATCAATCCTACTCAAGTTCATCTAGTAATTACAATTACAAAGAAGATTGTGAGCAGATCTTTCAGAAGGCTGTAGATGCTGTTTTGCCTCACAACGCAGTCAAGAAATTCCTACATTTAAATGATAATATTTTAACGATATCCGATCGATCCTACGAGTAAACTATAAAAATAATAACAGTATTAATTGTTGCAGTATGAAATATTTATGTTTTTTATTTGCAGACTGAATCGCAACGTTCATGTTATAGCAGCTGGTAAAGCAGTTCTGGGTATGGTGAGAGCCACCCAGGACGTCTTAGGCGATCATATTGTTGGCGGTATTGCGAGTGTTCCTTACGGCATACAAGAAACTCTAAAAAAGTCTGGAAAATGGTATATAGATCAAATTTGATTTTTATTAATTAATTAAAATTAAATGTTTCGTTTACAAGGGAAATGATACCAAAGGAACAAAGCTCATTTCAAATCTGTGAAGGAGCAAAGAATAATGCACCTGATACGAACTCACTCGCAACTTCCAAAAAAATCCATGATCTTGCCACATCTTTACAAGGCTCGGATATTATGCTTACTCTACTATCCGGAGGTGGATCGGCTTTATTACCTTTACCTAAACCGCCTATAACTTTGGAAGAAATGAGAGAGATGGTTGCAATTATGGTTAAACATGCTGCCACCATAAGTGATGTAAATACAGTACGAAAGCATACAGAAGTTCTTAAAGGCGGTGGCCTAGCTTATGCTGCAGGGAATGCTAGTGTTATATCTCTTATTCTATCAGATATAATCGGAGATCCAATAGATAAAATCGCATCAGGACCGACTGTAACTGATTTTTCAAAGCCAGAAACTTGTATGGAAATCTTTAGAGATCTTAACGTTACGGATAAAATTCCAAAGTCAATAATTAAAGTGGTCGAAAATGAAATTTCAGAATTTTCTGGACATAGTGCACTTCCTGTGATAAGAGAAATTTACGCCCATAATGTCATTGTAGGTAATAATAAACTTGCTGTGTCAGCTGCAAATAAGGCAGCTGAAGCCTTAGGGTATAGGACTTTTGTTTTATCTACTGAGTTATGCGGCGAAGCAAGAGATATTGGAGAAATATTCGCTTTTTTTGCCGGGGCTATCGTCGATGTCGTTAGTGGGGATAAAGCTAAATTTGATTCTAAACAAAGATTAGAAGATTCGTTTGGAATTTCTGAAAATGTGATAAACTGCGTCACATCACTGGCAGCCTCGGCTCTTAAATACGGTGAACGATTTTGTATGTTAGGAGCTGGCGAAACTGTTGTTAACCTTAAAGGAAATGGTAAAGGTGGGCGAAATGGTGAAATTGCTTTATCATCAGCTCTTGTATTTGATTTACTTTCCGAAAAATTAAGAGACTACGATATAAATATTCTATCTGCTGGAACAGACGGCCAAGATGGCCCTACCGAATCTGCCGGAGCTTTTAGCCATACTCATCTTATACAAGAAGCAAAAGAACAAAATATTGATGCAAATACTTACCTTGAAAATAATGACACTTTTCATTTTTTTCAAAAGGTCAGTAATGGCGAAAATTTATTTGTTACTGGTATGACGGGTACAAATGTTATGGACCTACACATAATGACTGTAGCGAGAAAATCATAATCGATTACTCTCTTTAAAACTTTTCTTTCCTTCATTGATTCAATCTTTAAACAATATTTTTGTCATGAACATTTATTTTCCTTCAGTTTGTGTTAATTAGTTAAACGTATAAGAGATTTACAAGATCGAAATTGCAGAGAATAAATATCAAATTTAGTTTCAACATACGTGCGAAGAAGTTCATTGAATAAAGTATTCATATTAGACAGATTTTATTCTCGTTTCATTGACATATTAAATAAAATAAATAAAATACAGGTTACTTTCGAAATTTTCATACGATTTTTATGTTTTACTATACAATTTTAAACGTATTACTAATTAATATACATATATATATATTAATTTATATATAAACTGCATTTAATTTGTGTATATTTGTATAAAAAAAAATTATTTTATGAAAATTTTTCAATATAAAAAAATAATAATAAAAGGAGAAAATTGTACCGACTGGAATTCTCTCTCTCTCTCTCTCTCTCTCTCTCTTTGTAGGTATATAAATATAGTATACCTCATTTTTTAAGTGTAAAAGGTAAAATTTTTTGCATTACAATTTGTTTTTTTTTTTTTTCTAATTTTGTTATTTTTTAACTTTGCAGTTGAAATGGTTAAATAGAATTAATCCTGCTAATTATTTAATCTTCTTAAGTTTTTAAATCCTGCTATTATTATCTTCTGTCTTTCTGAATGATCGTCTTTCATATTTCGGAAAAATGACTCCTTTTAAAGAAAATAATAAAATACTTTAAAATTGATTGAATATGCTTTGTTTTGTGTTTTTTTTTTCAATCATTTCATACAAGCAACTCAAATTAAATAATTAAAACAACAAAAGCAATATCATAGTTTCTAAAGTAGATACTTTTTATCATTTCTCTTCTTTGCATGTAATCAGAAAGATATCAATATTTCAATTCACAATTACATCAGTCCTTTTTTAAAACGTATTGATATATATGCTAATAATATGCTCTTCTATAGTACTTTTTTGTAAATACAGATCCCTAAATCTATACACATAATAGCTGTTTGGGATATAAAAAGAAATTGTCTGTTTAAATATCTTTACATAAAAGTTGATTTTAAAAGAATGATGGCAGTTTAAGTAATAAAGCTTTTATGCTTATAATTTAAAAAATTAACAACCCAAAAGACATCCTCTATCATCTAAGGGAAGGTGAAAGTTTCAACCGTTTTAGCTGCTGCAGAATATAAAAGAGGGTAAACTGATCTAAAGCAATAATCAAGAAGATCTCAATTACATATGTTTGCAAATTCTTGAATAGTCAACTTGCTTAAGCGAAATTTTTTTCAGAGATAAGTGACTTCTCTTTGTTTACCGGGTTTGGGCGATAAAGGGGGTTTGTTTCCTGAGCCAGGACTGACTGGTTTTTGCTGCTTTACACCAGCTGGTCTATTAGGTACAGGAGGTTTAAACTTTCGACTCTCGCCACTTTTTCTTGATGAATCAGAGTCCCTATCGTCTTCGAGACTAGGATCTGATGCTGGTCTGTCGCCCGATGACGCGAAATCCTTTCTCCTCCCGAACTCTCTTGAGGGAGGAGCAGGAGCTTTCTTTCTTGTCAAGGTACCATCAGTTGCATCAGCTTTGGGAGAAAACTTCAAGTTTAAAGACGGCCTTGCATCTTGCAAAAAAGGATTGTTAGAAGAATTTTTCGACTCATCAGATTGCTGCTCCTGGTGAAGCGGTTGAGTTTGAGGTTGCGGTGCTGTTAAAATAATTATCAAATTATAAAAGTTGTGTTGAATATATATATATATATATGTATATGATATTATAGTCAATTAATACAAACGTTTCTGAGTTCGTGGAGGTCGGGATATACCTGAAAATTTCAAGTAGAAAAAACATTATACGAGTGACGATCAAGTAACATAAATATAAATCTTACCAGGGGAAGGATTGTTGAAAAAATAACTGTAGTTTAATATAAGACTTTCGTTTATAGCAACACCTATTCTATTGCCTAATAAAACATTGTTAGGATTACTCTTATCCCACAATAAGTTAGGACCCATGACTGTAGCTATATTAGACGAATTCATTTTATTTTCATCTTTATGTATCTCGACTTGGACTAGAAAATGGCATAAATATTCCAAGTTTTTTCTATTTACTTCTGGTAATGAATCAACTAAATATTTGAGGCATTTTAATCTCTCCTGAGGATCCTTTGTATCTACGGCCTCCTCCCATTCAGAAAATTTCTCCGAAAGTAAAAGGGGTTCTGGTAACTCTCTTAAATAGATTTTTAAGGCGCCAGCAACAGTGTGAACATCAAAATCCTCCTCTGCCGCAACACCAATAGATGCCTTAAATCTTTTTAACCTAGAAGTGCTGGGGGCTAGTCTTAAAATTCCTGTTTCAGTGAGGCACTCTTTTCTCTGTAGAAACTCGCAACATCTTTTCAAGACACAAGAAATATTAGTCTCCTTATCGCAACTATCTTCAAGAGGATAACCAAATGTCTTTTCGCGTTGATTATTTTTAAAGAAAATTTGAATTTCTTCTGATTTCTTTTTTATTTCTTCCAAACAAGAAGTATGATAATCGGCCTGCATTTGAAGTAAAGAACAAAACAGATCGCAATGCTTGGATTCTTTGGCAGTAAACTCGTATAATTCTGAAGCTAAATCATTTCTTAGTTGTTCAACAACGCTAAGTGCCTCATCTCTCTCGCCTTCAAGAGGTGCTAGTTTTTCCATTGCTTGTGCTGAACTAGGTGAATTTAATTGTTTCTTTACAGAATTTAAATTATTTTCCGTAATATCCCAATTCTGCTGAGCCTTTTTCAAAGATAGCCTTGTTTTGTTTATGGGTGAATGAGTTTTAAGAATTTCATTCAATTCTGTTATTATTTTTTCGTTAATCCTATTCTCGAAATTCAATCGTTCTTGAGCAAGTTCCAGCTCCAATTTACTTATATGTTCGAAAACTTCTTCCAAAGATCCCTGGCAATTTTCAGAAGATGCTTTAGCAATCGAATCTGAACTTTCATGGAGAGCCAATCCTAATCTCCTCTCTGCATATTTCTTTTGTTTTTCTTGAGGTAGACTAATGCCATCGCATAACTTACTAAGAGCTTTTGTTATATTTTGATAGGAATTACAGATGGCATCTACCCTATCATTATAATATTTTAATTCCTCGGGTATAGAATCCTTTTTCTCGGTTCTAAAATCAGAAAATCATGAAAATTAAATAAAGTAATTCTGTTAAAATTTTGCCTACTCAGAATATAAACAAATAATACTCCTTCGTCAACATTTTTGTGTCAAAAGCTTTCAAATTTGGCTAAAATAACAAAACACCTTAAAGATATTAAAAATTATTTCATCTCCTTAATTTTTTGAAAATAAGAAACATAATAACCGTAGATTGTATAGGCTTTCAAATATATATATATATGCGTATTTGCTTAGGTGTATGTGTATAATGTACTGCATAACTAAGCATATATACAGTAAACATAAATGTAAGATTTTCCAGTAATTTACATACTATACATCATTTCATATTTTCTTCAACAATTTCCAAGTAAATTACAGGTGAAATACAAAGTATAAAACGAAAATATATATATACAGGATATATATATATTGCGCACAAGTATTTTAATATAACAATTATATGGCACACAGTTTATATATATTAGTATTTATTGTTAAAGCTAAAAATCTATAATGTCAGAGAAACATTATTTTTTTAATTGCAACAGTAAAAAATAAAATAAAAACACATTTGTTAAAATCCTTTTCTATAAACATTTGGTCAGAGAGAGATAAAATAATTGCATTATTTAATTTTACTGATATCTTCTCTTTTTAATAATAATGTATTATTTTCAGCATGTAGTGCATTTAGGTTGAAAGATTCTGTTGAATATCAATTAAAGTTTGTTCTATGATACAGTATTGAAACAGAGTTTAGTTTCAATATCATTTATCTTCTTAATAAGGTGCATGCCTTTTATCATTTTGTCAGAGAGATCACATATCGTTTTTGGGACGTTCTAAAATGCAAAAATAAGGTTTACTAAATACTAAAGATAAACTGATATTTAGTTCTTATATTAAATCATTTACTCTTTTTTTAGTTGAAATACACTGCATTATTATCTCTTAACGTAACCTCATTTGAACTGTTTAGTCTGTCATCTATAATTACTGAGATTAACTGTTGCATAATAAGCCTTTACGTCAACATAACTAACTACATTTATTAAATCATATAAACGTGGCTTTTTATAGGTGGCGTTATTTATTGGCATTTGCTTTTATAATCTTAATCTTATCATATACAGTATATATATATATATAAATGTATATATCAGTCTGACTAAGACTACAATTGTTGACAATTGAATTAGAATTTAATCATAGCCAATCTTAAAAAATAATTAAGCAAAGGTCAAAATTCTCTGTAAAAAGTATGGGATTAAATCACAACTCGGGAGGCCATGCATTTGTGATTTATACAAGAAAATTTCCGTTCTGTTAATACACATTGTCTTTCTAACAACTCAAATTCATACATTATAATGAATAATGAAAGAAAATCTCATGGAATCAACAAAATTCATATGATTCCTATATTAGATCAATACGCGAGTACTTAATGTAAGAGGGAATGTCGTGACTAGGTGAAAATGACAGTACATAATAGGCTTTGGGATATGGTACGAAATTAAATTTATAGACACAAAGAAGCGAACTGTTTTCCAGCTAAAAAAAAGAATTACTCATCTATTACCTTCCCAGGTTTTGATCAGCTATAAACTTCAAACGATTAATATTTTTCTTGACGTCCCAACTTTTTAACATCTTCTTCTTTTTATCTTTGAATTAATCACGATAATATTCTTACAATCATAACTTCCTAGAAGTCTTCGTGAAGAAGTTATAAAAGCACAGAAACTGCATCCTCAAAGGCTCGCACCGGCACAGGCCTAGTATACGTATAGGCCTAAATTAAATTATTTTTAAAACTAATAATTTTCTCCAATAAAAATAATATTAATTAGGAAATTTATAATTTTAGTAATTTAATTTTAAGTAAAATATTCGAAAAATTATTGTCGTACTTCCATTCCAGCTGTATTCGTTTCCGAGAGAAGCTTTTTCACGTATTATCGCTCACAAATGACGTCAACAGTTTATACTTATACAAAGTAATTTATCGGACGAGATCATCCAAATTAAAAGAAAACTTTAATAAAAATATAGCTTTTTTAATTTTCTCACATTTTCATTTTGTCAAATTATTTACAAATTGTACATTGAGTTTGACATTAATAAACAAAAAAAAGCTGATTAAAAACGACCTGTTCAAATAAAAAACATTCAAGAGTTTAATAGAATCAATATATTCATACAAAAATGAAATATCAAGTTTTAACTTTTGATTTTGGAATTATTCTCCTTCTTTTTTTTAAAAAAAATGTCCTGTAAAAAAAAAGAAAAAGACTTTCTCATTCTTTAAATGGAAAAACATGTATAGACTATTCCATTATAAAATGTAACCTTCCTTTTTTTGTTCAAAAATATAATAACAAACAGCATGCAAAAAGAAAAAAAAAACCAATGTAGAGATAAACTTCTTGAAAATCCTTCATGTTTCATTAAGCATTTCGTTTTTTTTTTAAAACTTCGTAAGAGTGTAAAATCTTCAGAAATTATCAACGTAGAAAACGAGAATATGATGTACATGTGAGAAAAAGAGATGTATAAACAAAAGAGTGTATACATATACATATATATATATATATATGTATATATATATATACAGATTGCATATAGATATTCAAACATATGTTTGCATACATTGAAAAGTTATAGTAGTGTGAATATAGCTTTTTCTCCTCATTCAATTCTTTAAAGCTCATTGTATATCTATACATCAAAATAGTCAATAATATTGTTGCTCATAACAAATCGAAACTTTTCTGACAGCTTATTTCAAGTTGATAATAACCAAAGAAAAAGACTTGATTTAAAAATCTGTTACTTGTCATAACATGGCATTTTATAATTTTGTAAACCTCGAGATTTCTGCTAATCTTGATTTTGATGAATTTTTTTTTTGTAGATTATCTGAGAATTATAGCATATTTAGAATATAATGGAAAAATTATATACAGTTTGTATATATTAATAGGCAAATTCTTTAGATGTGTTTAATACATTTCACTTATTAACAAAGGAAGAAGAGAATAAAAAAAAGGGATTATTTACTGAGAACTAGATACAAAATAAGCGTCAATTGTGCCAAAATGATAAGATTACCAGGCAAATGCTAACATAATACGGCCAAGAACTTTTTTCACTTACTGTAGAGGCTTAATATACAAGATTCAAAGATCAAGTTTTATGTTACATAAAGAACAAAGTACGAGGATTTAAAGAATATGCAAATAAACAAAATTAGTTTTGTTAGATGAAAAAAGCAGTTATATTTATATTTTAGGACTGTATTTTTTAATAAATAAAATTTATATATTTATATATATGGGATAAGCAATTGATAGTTCTCGAGTATAATTTAGTTAAGGAAACAAATGAAGCAACAAGGAGCTTGCTCACCTCAAAACTGAAGCACAATTTCCCCAAAGAGATGCTGGTAAAGGACCACCAGCGGCGAATAAATGACTGTTGAAAGAATTCCAGCGTTGCGTATATACGGCATTTATGCTATCCGTAGTTGAAATCATATCCCTATCATTGTCGCATTCCCTAACGTAACCATCATCCAACCTAATTCGTCTAACTGTATCGTCCTCGGTTGTCAAATACTTATGATTTCTCATGTCGAGAAAAGTTAATGAGTTTTTCCCCATACCTAAACTAACTAAATACTGTTTAAAAGCAATAGATCGAACGGCGATATGTTTTTCAGGTGTTGAGACGCTTCGCAATCTACCCCTTGATGGATCTGAGGAACCACAAGGCTCCCTAGGATCGTATAGAAAGATGTGGGAATGCGAACCGACTGCATAGAGATTCATATCGTCACTGTACTCAACAACCACATTCTCCTTATAAAATGGCAATAGGACGCTCCGTTTTGGCGCACTGACTGCTAATTGTACATCAAATAGGTGTAAATGACCATTTAAAGTAATAGCAGCAACCTCAGACGACATAACATTGTAAGCAAGTGAACGAATTCTTTGTAATTGGGTTTTTGACATTGTTTTACATTCTGTTGGTGTCAAACGCCTCGGTGTATAAGCATTACTCTCATTAACAATACTATCTGAATCTATGTGCCAAGTCGCTAAAACGCCATCACGGCCTCCAGTCATAATATTCCTATCATCCAACCATAAAAGGTCAAAAATCCAATCGCTGTGAGCTTCTTCGCCAACACATACAGGATCGAAGGACGGCAGCTGATAAACAGCTAGATTGTTCGGTTGATCTGCCCCAGTAGCCAGCATATTTTTAGAAGGATTAACGTCTATGGCATGAATACCGCAGTTTTGTTCTATAGTGGACGAATTTAATCTACTACTTTTAAGGCTTTCGATTGTTGCATCGACCCTCTGCTCTACAACGTCGATTATCAGCAGTCGATTGCATTTGGTTCCAACTGCTACATGCGTGGAATTAATCCAGGCGCTGGCAAATACCTTATTTACTTCTCCTAGATCGATCTTCCTATCCCGAAGCATATTTGGCAATGACTTAGCTTCAATATCTCTCAATACTTTAACCCTTCTCCGGGAAATACGCTGCCGAAATTGGCGATCTCTCAAAAAGTTTAACAGTTCCCCATGATATTTGCTCGACAGTGAAACTGTTTGCACCCCTACTGATTGTGAGACTTCGCATTTCTTCAGCTTTTTTGGGTCGCTTGGGGAGTAAGGATCGTCGTCATCGGCCTGTTTGTAACATACATGTATCGATCGACGACTGTCAAACCTTTGCTCACCTGATAAGTTTCCGTCATCGTAAGTCTGTCTTAAAAATTTAGGTAAATGTTGTTTTTATCGATACGTTTCCAATTTTTTCCTGACCTAATGCGACTAAATCACAAAGATGGTCAAAATCATATCTAATTTAGGGAGGCCTCTGGCGGCCAGATTATTTTTATATATGTAAGCCATGCTTGATCATTTTCACGGTAGAGGGCTCTAGTAGTTTTATATTACTCTACATCGTATAAAGAACTACTTTGACGACTTCCGGTTAAATTTTACGACCTCTGTTGTTTTGGTTACAGAAGAAGCTGACTGGTAGAACACGATGGAAAAAGATAAAGTTTTAGAACAACGCCCTCTCCACGATCCACCACAGGGTATGGAACCCTATGATATGAAAACTACTAGTGATCTCGGGGCCCTCAGTGACGACCAACAAGCGAAACTGAATAAATTTAAGGTTGTTTAAAATTGCGTAATTCGATTGTTGTTAAATTTTTTTTTGCAACAGATGAAGACAAGATTGGAAAATGAAAAATACTTGAGGCAACATCCAGAGGTTGAATGTTTAGTTGCTGGCTTCCTAGGGTAAATGAGATGCTCAATAATGTTTATATCCTATTACCTATGCCATTTCATTCTAGAGATATATTTCTGAAACGACCAGATAATGTACGGGACTTTGCTGCAAGTACGTTGACCTTTATGTATTCTATAACGAATATACATTCATTAACTCTTGCTTGCAGATTATTTTACGGACAAAGACCTGCCTAACAAAATAGAAACTATGCTGGAAGAAAGGCAACAGCAAATCAGGCAGAATAGAGTGCTCAGGAAATTATAGTATCAACGCGTTTAACATTAACAAATTGCAGTATTAATCTGTAATACGTACACTAGCCGTACATAGCACAAAATAAAAAAGAACAAGTTCGCGTCTACACAAAATTCAGTTCACAACAAATTAAAAATATATAAAGACGTAGTAAGAAAGAAAATTGCCAGATACATTTTTGTTCGTTACTTGGCTTCGCCGGACGGGCAATTATACAAAAATGTATTTTTCTTTTTCACTCGTAACGAAGTAATGTAATAGGAATTTTACAATGGCACGAATGCGTATGATAAACAATAAGAGAAATTTGAACAAACTAATAATCTTTCGTAGAGATAACTATTATTCGGTCTTAAGTCTTTTTCCGCTCGATACTTCCATATTTTCCGATTCTCTCTTCATTTGCGAATCAACTGACATAACTACTTGCGACTGTAATGAAATTTGAACTAATAAATAATTCCTATATGAATTTCATGAAAAATACAAACTTGATTTGAAACGTTTAAAGGAGTGACAGCATGAACGAATAATGGCGTTGGTTTGACGGCATTTTCAGGAAGATGCAACGTGACTGGTTTCAAGTGTTCGCCATTAGCCAACATGACATTATGTGGTGGAATCAGAATCCTAGCAGGCGACATTACTCTAGGAGATGAGGGTGCCGATGCAGCTGGAGGAGCAGATGGAGGTGGCATCTCGATTGGACTACCGTCTCTGGAACGTAAGTGATTCGGTGATGCAGGAGCAGAGCGCGAAGCTAGGCCCGGATAAAAAGGGGGATTACGGAAGCAAGGCACTCCTCTTTGCCTGCGTTTCCTGTACGCTTGTTCTACTAGCTTAGTTTCTGATGAAGGGTCTATACGCCAAAAGCTCCCCTTTCCTGGTTCGTCTTGATTTCTAGCAACTTTGATAAAATAGCGGTTTAGCGAAAGATTATGTCTTATAGAGTTCTGCCATCCTTTGTCAGCGGTTCTGTAGTAGGGATAGTTTTTGGTAATGTAAGCATATATACCAGATAATGTCAGTTGCTTATCGGCAGCCGATGAAATTGCTTGAACTATCAACTGAGCGTATGAATAAGGAGGCTTAGACTCTTCATTTCTCTCTACTTCTTCATTCTCACGTTGGTTAACGACAGCATAAGCGGCCGCCGGTAAGCTAGAAGAAAACGCATTTCGTATAGGCGGCTGACCAGCCCTAGGTGACGATGGGCATGAATTAGCAGCTGATAAAGTTCCTGTTGGACTGGGGCAGGCACTGGAGCTTCTCCTATTATCTGTAATAGCTATTTTCAGTGGTATTTCCTTCTTATTTAGAGGTAGCAGGGACATGAAATTAATTTTGATCGAAGTGCTGGGAAACCTTAGTATACAGCTGTTTGAAACAAAATAAGATAAATAGTTAAAAAAATCAAAAACAAATGTTGTAAAGGCTTACGAATTAGGTAGTTGTAGAGGTTCCGCTCCTTTCCTTTGAAAAACACCGTCAACAAAAACACCATTTTTTCCTCCACAAGTTAGATAAAAAATGTTATTTTCCATATAAATTTCCAAGTGTTTGCGTGATACAAAGCTGGACTGACCAATGTTGACGTCGATATCTACTGGGTTCGTACTACTATTCCGTCCTACAATTATCCTATTTCTTCTCATCAAATATTCGAAATCGCGGCATTCTAATCGCGCAATTGGTGCCGCTGTTTGATCGTTTTGCCATTGTAACGAGTTTTCATTAGCATTTATAGGCGATTTTAGCATCAAAAGTGCGAGAGCATCGTTTCTTCTTTCTTGGGACATGATAACATGCTCTTAAAATACGCAAAATGGCCGAAAACGAAAACAAGGTTATATGGCGCTGTTTACATTCATCAATCTTGAATCCATTCTTGCTCCTTGAACAAAGTTAATTTATTAAATTCATATAATTTTTTATTAAAAAGGTAGAGCTTACAGCTAAAAATACTTGAAAAATAAAAAATATTTTTTTTCGCTTCAGAATGGCGAAAAACTGTGGTTGATAATAGATGAATATATGGTACCCCGCACTGATTATATCTTCAGAACGGCGTGTTTGTCTATTGTATTTTATTTAAATTTTTGGATATATTTTTTCAATTATATATAATAATTGCAATTTATTACTACTAAAATCTCCACATATTTTATATCGTTTACGAAATATTCTCTTGCGTAATATTTTCCTTACTATGTGAGTGAGACTGTTTTTTGTAACGATTAAAAATATTGTCAACTGATAAGCACTCTTGATTTTAAATATTACATCATCTGATAATCATACAAAAAGTGCTTCCAAATCGAAACTTTCAAAGTGCAGAAGACAAAATATTCAATCGTAGCACTTGAATACTATGAGCGATAAAATGAAATTGTAGGAGTATTTTACAACCATGTCTTCAAATCAAGAGTATCAAAGTAAATCTGGTGAGACTGATTCTCCAAATATTAAAAAGGAATGTTTAAGCAAAGACTATGGAATTTCACAAACTGTAACTCAACTTACTCCCAGTCACACTCAGAAACATAATCCAGAAATTAATAAATGTTTCGCTGAGGAAAAATTCTTCAATACAACTACACCAAACAAAAATTGTGAATCAAGTCGTTCGCTTGAAGCTAATGACCAAGAACAAAGCCATAAAATGAGTAATCCGAATGAACTACACGAAAGAAACCAATATACTCTAGAAGATCTATCTAGTTTTATCAATGAAAATTCTCCAAGTGCTTACTTAAAAGAGAAATTTGAGAAAATATCAATAGAAAATACAGACAAATATCATAATATGTCCTTAGAAATAAAAAATTTAAAAAAGAAAGAAGAATCTCTTGTAGAAGGTCAGAAAAACATGAAACTAATGTTAGATATGGCTTTAAAAAACCTAGCCGATAAAGAGAGTTTAGTTAGAAATCTTGAATTACAATTGAAAATTCGGAGCGATGAATGCTTCACTTTAAAAAAGAGACTTAAGGATATAGTAAGAGGAAAAGTTTCAAATGCTATGGAAATTTCTACTGGACTAAATACAGATTTAATTATTGAAGAAGAACAGCAAGATATGTGCAATACAGGCAATCACAAATGCGAAGCAATTAAATTATTACTGCGTTTAATAAATATTTCACGGGAGTTAGGTCAACTCGGTGCTGAACATGAAAAACATTTAAAACTAGTCAAAGAGAAATTTAAGAGCAGATGTGAGCTATTAAAATTGCCATCAACGTTTGTAGCATCTTGTGGAACTGAGTATGAAAGAATGTTCGAGAGACAACAAGATTCTAGGAAAAAAGTAGCTACTTTGCAAACTACAATTGAGGAACTGCAAAAGTCGGCTAATTTCCAATATTTAAAATTAGCTATGGAAGATGGTGTCGATTTAAGAATTGAGTTGAGTGATAAACGTTTCAACGAAAAAAAATTGACGAAAATTATCGAGGTTTTGAAATATAAGTTGGCAGCCTTTAAAAATTATATGCACGGGACGGATGCTGACGAATCCTCATCCGATGAAATCGGTAAAGATTTTTATTCTCCCTAACGTCTTATGATGTTTTTAAATATATATATATATATATATATATATATATATACAGACTACAATTTTAATGGCTTATTGTTAAAATAGGTTGTGAGCTAGGAGACGGCAATGAAAAAGATGCAGTGGTAGAGCTATTAATGAAGAAAAACAAAAACCTATATAGCGGGATCAAACGAAACTCTGCATCTTTTGATTTGCTCAATAGATGTTTAAGTCTTGAAGAAGAAAATACACAACTTCAAATAAAAATTGATTCGTTGGAAGCAATAGCAGAAGCGAAAGATTCTCCAGAGATAGGCAATGTAACAGTAAGAATATTATTGCATAAAATCATTATGAATTATTATGTCTAGTTTCTAGAAACTAATATTTCTTTTTTCATAACAAGGAACATACTAACTCCAAATACAGAATGGATATTGTAGAGGAGCTTAAATGGGAAAATTATGAATTAAAATCGAAAATAAATGATATAAATAATCAACTTCAAGACCATAATAGTAAAGAGCGAGATTGGAAAAAAGAAACGTTTCACCTAAAAAAGACAGTCGAATCCTTGACTAATATTAACAGCAACCTAGAACAAGAAGTTTCACAGTTAAAAATATTGCACGATGAAGGTCGACTTAAATATGATGAATTGCAGTATTCTATGATTGACATGCAAGCTCAGTTGACCGCATATGAGCAAGAAAAATCCGATGATAAGAAAACTAAGAGCGTCGAATGCACGTCTGGATCGTTAAGTATACTTCTTTACACAAACTGTCAACGCGATATAAGTATCTTTATTTTCTTTCTAGCCAAAAAGAAAAATTCTCTTCTTAATGTTGCTAACGACTGGAAAAATTATTCCGAAAATAGAACTGTATATAAATTAAATATACAATTATGTAGAGTATAATGAAATTTTCTTTTATTGTTTTTAAATTTTTATCAGACTGAGTCTATATCTGACTGCGTAAAAGCTGCTGTAGAAGAACATATAGAACAAAAGTATAACGTTTACGACGACTCAACCTATCTCCAGAAAATTGAAAACAACGACGACTATTTATATGATACAGTCAGTTTATGTTTGCTTTTAATATTTATGTTCTATTTTCTTTTTTGACAGCAACTTGGTCTATTTTATGCTCCAGCCGTTGACAAGTATTTCCGCCATAATGCGGAAGACAACAGCTACTCTATGCTCCTTCCAAGCGAAGTTGGTCGTAAGGCTAGAGAGGTAAATTTCTTGATTCTATTAAAATATAAGGGGATCTAATTAAAAAGAAAATATTTTTAAAGCCTCCCGTGCAAGAAAATAGTGTCGAAGAAGACAAGGAAAGTGGTATAATTGAACGTGAACCGGTTTTAATGAGAGATTTACCAGAGAAAGAGGATAAGAATAAAAAAGAGGAGAAGGTGTCTCAGGAAAAGGAGCCTCCTGAAAAACGAATGTGCATTTCAGAAGAAGGTTGCTGAGAAGAAATTATTTTTAACTTTCAAATTCTAGCCTATTTTCTTACCAGATGAACATAAATGGCCTTCTTACGTCCGAATCATGGTGCATAAATCTAATGTTTTAGAGCTGGGGACAGTGATTGTAGTTGGTTCACAAGGTGGCCTAATAGGTAGTGGCGTGAAATGCATCATCCGACTCAAAGACATTGATGTGGTAAGATAAAAAGTGAGCATGTTCTTTTAGTGATTAATTGAAATACTTTTTTGGATAGGAACATCTTGAAATTGCTTTTGATAAACGCTTAAAAAGATACACTATGGTAGATAAAGGAAGCGATATTGGAACATTTGTAAATAATAAAAGATTAGGAGAGGTTATATTCTATAATTTTTATATAAGTATTTATTATAATGGCAAACATAACCCATTTAGTCAGGGAAAGTCAGTGAACCTCAGATAATAAGTAACAAGGATTTAGTGCAAATTTCGGACTCAGTCTTCGAATTTCATGTTCATTCCGGTAATATATTTGTTGATATTGAATTTAAGACTAAATTAAGATATTAACAAAGTAATATATTTTGTCAACTAATTCGTTTTAATTAGGTCCCAACACTTGTTTAGAATGCGAACCAGGTGTTGTACGAGCCTATTTGTTGGACAAAGAAAAAACTAAACCAAAACCTGGTCCAAAATCTGCAAGAAAAAAATTTTATCAAGAGATGAAAAAGAAATACGGATTAGAAGTATGATATTTATCATGTAACAGAAAACCGTAAAATATACTTAGTATTCTTGACTGTAGGGTTACCTATCGCCTGAAAGAGAAAAAGGTGACATTTACATTGATAGAGCACAGGAGAGAAGAAAGACAGTCGGGAGTGATAATCCCTATCAGAAGCTTGATGAAGAGGAAGCAGCTTCTGTCGACAAGTAGGTGTTTTCCCTTTCCTTTATCCAGTAAAATGACTAACAAAAGTGCCATTTCGTAGTCCCCTGCCTGACACGAACATTGGACGTAAAATGCTTTTGAAAATGGGTTGGACCGATGGGGAAGGTTTAGGTCAAAGTTCTAGAGGCGTTACAGAGCCGGTATTACAGATGAATTACACGGCTAATTAACTATTAATGCATTATTCGCTACAGATTCAGACTGAAAAAAGAATCTCAAAAACTGCTGGTCTTGGTTCAAATGACGGTAACAAATCAATTGGTAGAGACGGTTTGCCATCGTCTCAAGATAAATGGGTTAAGGCTCAAAACCGATATAAGTCGCTCCATGAGAATAATCGTCAGCGAGACGAAAATACGAGTGCTTTTGTAGCAGGAGAGGTTTTAAATCCAGCGAAAAAAAAAAAGTAAGCATATCGTACTCAGAAATGATTTATTCTACTTATATTATTGTATGACAATTGCCAACGTTCATTTTACCACACAACAGTTTTGTTACCAAAAAATTGAAGAAAAAATAAATACATTTAAGTTTATTATGACTATCGTACAGACTAATTTAAGACACCCTGGGGACGGTTAGATAAAGTAGATCAGTTAGCCTAAGTAACTTTTATTGATGAACTCTAGATGGCTCTGAATAAAACTTTTATGTGTTAGGTCACGACCTTCTTTCGTATCAAAAGCGTCCATCCGTTTAATAGGTATAAATTAAAGTAACGCGTGCGTGTTTGATAAAGATGTCGTGAGGTGGAGAAAGACGAACTTGATATGTTAGAAAATTGGCACGTTATTAAAACGTGTACAGGCAATGTATTATATGGTCGCCTACGTTTCGGTAATGTAATATATTAATAAGGTCATAAAAACATTTCCTCTTTTAAGTGTGTAATGAAACCATCTTAAATAGTAATGTACAAACGATTAAACAAATCTATAATGTCAAGTTTTTTTCTTTAATGAGTATTTAAACATTTCATTTCCACATACTTAAATTTTTTTTTAAGTATCTTATAGACAAGCACAAATTTGAACTATAAATAAAAATTGCAATGCCTTTAAATACACTATTCAGTAAATATATATATATATATATATAATACATATTGTATATGTATGTTATCGGATCGTTTAAGGCCTAGGCAATAACTAAAATTAATTGAAAAGTTGAGTTATCTTCTCAAGTGTGTCTTAATATATTTTATACAAATGTATAGGACACTTTGATTATCTTGTAGAGGAAGATGCGTTGGGTGGGTGTTGGATGGAAAGTATATGTTATATATTTTCTAACTATAATGTAAGTAAGCTTGAAACCAGTTCAACATAGGTCAGCCTCATACAATTATGAAACTTGTTTCATCGGAAAGTACCAAATATAAAATGACATAACATCTGTGACTGGGCAATTAAGATGAAAACAGAAAACATGCCATTCATTTTGAAGATATGAAAATTACCATAATCATTTTAATATATGGCAATGAAATATGTTCATTTCTGAAAAGTTATTACTGTTTTTATCTTTTTTATAGGTAGATTCCACTATTGTTTTACCATTAAATAATACTGCTGAGTTTCTGTTATTGCTAGTAACACATATATATATTTTATATATAAATTACCCTATGCCTGCCGTGTAAATGTTGGCTGTTATGAATTAATTATCAGGTCGTAGTGATTTACATTATATGAGAAGGGCGTGCGAAAGTGAGATATTCCGCACTTGTTTGGAATGGAGAGAGAGTAGAATAATCGTCCATCATCGATGGAGTAAAGTGTTTTATGTATACTCTGCTTTGAAGTTGGAATTAGAGGGCATGGAAGACCACCTGCTCGAGTAATGACTCTGACTAGGCAAACAAGAAGAGCCAGTTGTTGTCGATTTTATAGTGTCTTAATGTGCAACGCTATGTAGACGCCTTTAGTTCTATTGTTCACGGCAATTAACCACTAGCGCGCAAAGCAAACTGTAATATTAATACATGATTTATTGAATAAACAAGTCGACCTCTGACACTAGACTTGTGCCTGAAAAAGCCAGGCTCTTCCTAATCGCGTTTGTCGTTATGTTATTTTTTTTTTCACGCATTAAAGAGAAAAGGTTTCCTTTACGTACAGTAGCCTCTCTTTCTTCGCCCCTTTCACGTACATTAACGTCACCCAGTGCATCAACCTCCCATTTCCATTTTTTTAAAAGATTGGCATACTTTTTCTTGTTTTTTTTTTTTAAACAAATAGCGTACACACATGTAACAAAATGAATAAACATTGTAAATAATGTATATACTAATATATTTCAGTTAAACAGTTTAAAATATATTAACTACTATATTTACGTATACAAACTTTCAGATGTATTTATACATATGAATCTATAGATACACATATTAGGCCTATTAATTTTTTTACATATTTAATAATAAAGTATGTATTGTATTGATACAAGTTATTTTTTATTTGAGTTAATGCACGCTATTTTAAAAATCCCACGCACTCAACCGAAGTTGCGAGTACTTTGAAAAAGCGGCCGTTAGGTGTCGCTTTGAAAAGGAGTAAATTAGACTAGACGGCGGCGGCGACGAGGAAGAGGATGTCGACGACGAATTCGACGCTTATAAATACTACTCATGAATATTATCCGCTAGTGAAACAAACCGTTTCTATGATTATAGTATATACTATTGCCTATAGTTTGGTGTTTTTTATAGCGGTTGTTGGCAATACTCTCGTTATATTAGTCGTTTACCGAAATTCAAGGATGCATACGGTAACGAATTACTTCATAGTCAATTTGGCCGTCGCTGATATTCTCGTGACTGTTTTCTGCCTGCCAATCACGTTAGTTAACAATCTAATTTCAGGTAAGTTCCTAAACACGCTATATATAGTCTATATAAGTCATAAGGAAACCCTCCTAGTAACCCACAAATCATTTTAAAAGGTTGGAGGTTGGGTGTCGTCATGTGTAAGGTGACGCCTTTTCTACAGGGGACGTCCGTATCAGCATCGGTTAGCACGTTAGTCGCTATAGCGGTTGACCGATATATAGCTATATGCCATACACTAGAACTGCATATGACCGGAACGGTCGCAAGACTAATTATCGTACTCATCTGGTTGTTCTCAATGGCTATCATGTCTCCATGGGCTATTTACTATCAGATAGACTACCATAACTCTCCTCGTCAAACAATTCCAACGTGTGTAGAAATTTGGTCACAAGACCCTACTGCTGATAAAAGTAAACAGAAAGGCTACTTTCTAGGAGCAACTTTCTTATGTTGCTATACCCTCCCTCTACTGTCAATCGTTATCTGCTATACACTAATCGCTCTAAGAGTCTGGAGGCGAAATGCGCCGGGCGTGGCAAATACTAGTGAAGTTATTTTCAAATCAAAAGTGAAGGTTCTTAAGATGCTCTCCTGCGTTGTTGTCCTGTTTGCTTTTTCCTGGTTGCCGTTATATGCCACAAAGATTAGAATTTTGTTTGGTGGTTCTTTTTCGGGAATGGAGGAAAAGATTCTAATACAAACTATTCTCCCAATAGCACAATGGTTAGGAAGTTCAAACTCATGCATCAACCCAATTGTTTACTGCTTCTTTAGTAGGAAGTTTCGAAGAGGCTTCAAAGAGTTAACTCTTCGCTGTTGCTCTTCACCCCCAGATGGAAGGATACCACTTTCGCGACTGTCTTCGAACACATACTATCACAGCGTTCACGAGAGCGCATCGAAACATACATATACTAGTTTACGGGCTATAAATGGTTCCCTTGCTGGGCGTAAGTCGCCAGCTGCCGTTGATTTTAGTAATACGGCTTGTTAAAGACAAACGTTTTTATTTTTTACAGCTGTATTATGAATTTCTATATTCTCTAACTATTTACAATTATATTAACAAATTCTATATACGTTTTAAAGTTTTATATATATGTATACTGTATACATATGTATATGCTTATTTTTTAAGTCATTTCACTTTTAAATATATACCTATATTTACATTGAAAAAACATTAGAGGCGTTATTTCTGTTTTGAAATTCTATGCTGCTAGAAAAAAAATAACGTAGGGGAAGGAGGGAGTCGTCTTAAACAAATTACTCTTAATATTTCCGCTATATCCTTTTATAGACTTATATGTTATTAATTTTTGATGTACAAACACGACATTGTTAATTAGATTGCGCTTATAGGTCATAAAACACTAACAATATCTGTATGAACCGATTGATTTCTTGTCTTCACGTAGCGCATATATACTTAAACCAATCGATTTCGGTTCAATTGATATTTTCTACTTCTTCTTATTCTTTTCTTACTTTCTCTTTACTCTTATAACTTCTCGACTTTTTCCTCTTATATCTTTTTCCTTACCTTTAATGCTTTCCCTGAAAAGTTTCCCTAAACATACACTTTAATTGTTACGCTTGTTATTGTTCGTTTTATTACACATATGTCAAACATACAAACATATATATTTTCCACAATATATGTTCAATTCATTTTATTTATAAAAATTTAGAAAGAAAATATAAAATATCCTTTGTTAATAGAACGATTTGTAAGCTGTGTTGCATATTTTTAAACAAAACAAATCTCTCTAATATTTTATACACGACAAAGCAAATTATAAACTTGATCGAGGAGTATTCAGCCTGCAAAAAAAAAAAACATAAAAAGTTGAAAAAAGTTTAATAAAGAAGACTAAAATAGACAAACGATGCGGTGAAAAGATATCTAGTAATAGGGAAATGAGGAGGGGAGAAATAAAGAACAAAAGAAATATAAAAATACTTCTTAACAAGTAATAATACATTTATTTTTTTTTTATTTTAATTATCAAGATTCGTTTATGTATACATTAATGCACATTTCTTTTTTCAATCAGTAATTTCTTATTTATAAATTACATAGAATGTACTTTAGAAAAAATTGTTTAAACAATCGGTGTAAAGTGTAAAAGAGCTATAAGTTTCCTTTTCTTTATGTTATAAATAACCGAGTATGATAATTGGACTACATAAATGACTACACCTACTTACATAGACTTTGACGGAGGGAATTCTGTGTAATTTAAATTGTATCTCTTGTTAAATTATAAAGAAAGCGGTAATGCCATCTATAATGCTTACCATTTAATTCCCTTAATCGTCTTCGGAAGGATAGGTAGGAACGTTCCAAAGTGACACTAGCTAGAACCGATAGAATTGCGATAACGCAAGCTTGGGCTATTAGAATCCACCACAAATACGATTTACTTTCCCAGCTAGATGTCGTCAAACGCTGAATGCATCTCTGCAAAGAATATAGAACAAATATAAAATATTAACTATAAGTATCAATTTCTGTTTTCAATTGAAAGTTTTACATGAACAACGTGCCCTAATAATCAGTATTTTATTCTTTAGCTTCCGTAATTGTATACTTTAGAAGTAATTTAATGGAATAGCATCTACAGAAATTTTTTATGCTTTCATACAATGTGAAACTAAGAGACTAACCTCTCTTTTTATTACGTTATATTTCTTATAGATGGGCTTTAACGAGCTCTTTTCAGCGATGGATAGGGCGTCCGATAAGGAAAGAGTAACTTTATTCTTCACAAGTGGAACGCAAACAGTAGTTCTATCGTAATTAAAGAGAAGTAAAAACTCATAAGACTTTTGACATTATACATTAAAGCTAATAATATTTAGTATTGTTGTTATTGCTTATACTTGGTGTAATCATTCCTCGAGTGATAAATTTGAGCGTCTGTAGCGGAAACTGCAAGTCCAGTCTCAGTATTTTCTAATTCGCTAATGGAGAAAATTAAATTGTTGACATTGAAATTTTTTCTTACTATCTAGTTTACCCTACCCATTATTATGACAATTATTTATTAGAAACATTAAATTATCATTAACCAAAGCGGTAAAATATTAAGTCAATCATTTGTATAATATATTACTTTTATTATTCTCTGACTTGTTATTATTCCTATACTTTATTGTTATTATTATTATCGTCATTACTATCATTATTTTGTTATTATTATTTCTATTATCATTATTATTGTTATTATTATTATTTTCGTAATGTTATTAATGTAAATTACCTGAAAAAGTTGTTCAAGTAAGATAAAACATTTTCCGGAACGTCATTAAAGATAAACTTCACAGTTTCACTAGGTCTGTATATATGAATCTGCAAAATTAGTGATGTGAGTTAAAAATATATTAATAGTGATTTTTATTTAAATGTTATATAAGGAGATTACGAAATTATTAACTTACTGTTACTAAAGTCTTATCTGCACGTCCTTTTTCATCGATTACTTTTACTTTCACCTGAAATTCACCACCAGCGAATTCGTAGTAGTTAGCAAGAAGTGTATATATTTGACCGGTTTTCTCATTAATTCCTATGGCACCTTTTATCGTACGGCCATCGAATTTTACTTCCTCTATTTGAAATTTAGCTGAGAGAATTCCATCCTTATCGGAAGCTGTTAATTTCAAAATCTCCGTACCAGGAGGTGAAACAGCATTTAACCCCGTTGAAAATATTTCAGATTTATCAAATTCTGGACCAAATTCATCTATATCTTCTAAATTAATTATTAACGTTATTTCATCATTTCTTTTAACGGTTTTCGATGGACTTCCACCAGAAAAAGTCCTATTTGCATTGGGACTCACTTTTACGCATATTTTATAAGAGGCCTTATCCTCTTTATCGAGTTTCTTCAAATTTCTAACTACTCCAGTCGATTGGTCGACTTCAAATTTTTCTGTGTCTCCGCAAGTCATGTAATAGTAAATAGCATTGTTCGGTGCGCTATCAGGATCGCAAGCTTTTATTTTTGTGATTTCACTGCCCGGTGGCCGATTTTCTTTAACTCTAATATTCAATGGATCATTAACGGGAACACGGTCACACTCTTTAATAGAAGGAAAATTATCGTCCTTGTCGATAAGTTTAACCCAAAAAGACCTTCTGGCCTCCCTCTTCCGATTATCTACAGTTGTTGCAATGGCAACCACCTAAAGATTAAAAAGGATTTCTTCTTAAATTTAATCTTCCAAATCGATACGTTAAATAATGATTTATCTGATTATTTAATAAAACAATAAAATCACTTGAAATTCTGGGATCTCTTCTCTGTCGAGTAACACATTTGTAGTAACATGTCCAGTTACAGGGTCAACAATTACGTAGTTGTTTGAGGAGAGAATGGGTAATAATGAATATTCGATTGGTATACTGAGCCCATCGCTACCAAAAGCTTCTGCCTTCAGAAGTATGATACTAGTATTATTTTTTGGCTCCTAATGAAGAGAGTTTGCGTTAATTTAACTCAGGAAGCTTTTTAAAGATAAAGTAAAACAGGAAATCATATAATATCTACCTCAATTATATTTATTGTTTTTCCGTCAGACGGTGGGTTAATAAATTTCGGAAAGCCGTCATTTATTGCTCCATTACTGACTGTAACTTCCACTTCGACCACCGCAGATTTCATTGGTGTTCCCGAATCTGATGCTCGGAATTTTAATAAGTAAGGCTTAGATCTTGTATATGTATTCAGCAAGTCCTTCGTAGTGATCGATCCCGTTTGTTCGTTGATCACGACAGCCTCTCGACTAAATACTAGAGATTTTGAGGTTAAGAAATTAGTGACCTTCTGGGTGTTGAGAAAATTGAAGGTTAAAAATGCTTACTTAAATCTTCATTTGGAACTAGTTCGTAACGCACTTCAGCGTTTAATCCTTCATCATTGTCTGTTGCCTTCAGCTTTATTACTGTATAACCAATTGGTACCGTATTTACAATGAATACGGCATATTTGGATTGCGTAAATTGAGGAGCACTGAAAAGATTAACATTTAACTATAACTAGCTTCAAAGACAAAGAACGAAATAGCAACTAACTTGTCATTACTGTCTGTTACCTTGACAACCACCTAAATAAAAATAGCATTGTAGTATAGACAAAATGTAATATGATAAACGACATAATATGTACCAATACAGATGTTTTTCTTGTCAAAAACTCAGGTTGTTCATAATTATCGATTGCTTGAACTATAAAAGCATAGGAATCTTTCGTTTCTCTGTCTAAGCTAAAACCAGACTTCAAGAAAACAGCACCCTGTATAAAAGGTATTAAGAGCGTTATACTTATTTATGGGCCGATTTATTACAATTACCGTCAGCGGGTCTATTGCAAACTTCTCGTGACTATTGGCGATTGAATATTGGACCTCACCATACTTTCCCTCGTCCTTGTCGATTGCTGTCACTTTGCCCAATTGTAACGCTGATGAAACATCTTCTTTTACAAGAAAGACATATCTCTAAAAGTAGATGAAAGTAATCAAATGAACGTAAAAATAGAAAAAGGTAAGCTTCTTCTAATCAACAAACAAGATATGCTACTGTATTTTACATAAAACTCACATCTTTCGTAAAAATTGGGACATTGTCGTTAACATCATCAATGTTAACCATTATATTCGCTACGCCCCTCACTGTTTCATTTAAAATTTTGCCGTACGCTGATACTTGAAAAGTTATACGCTTTCTTCCTTTTATTTCCTCGTAATCGATTCGTTTCCGTATCTCTACTCTGCCGGTATACTGATCAATTTTAAAATAACTATGTGGATCAGTATCTGGTAAAATTTCATAAAGAAGACCTCCCATAGGATCCCCAATAATTCGAGCTGCTATTGTGAAAATTTCTGTTTTCAGTGGCTCTTCCTCTTTTATTGTATATGTGAGTGGACTGTCAAATATTACTCTTTTATCTTTGGGCCGTTCCAAAGACACGACAACCTTGGAGGTTGCAATCTGTTTTTCTGGTTCTATACCATTCAAATCCCTAGCCTCGATCAGAAAGGATATTTCCGATAAAGTAGGATTATTTAAATCCTCCTTTACAAATACCTGACCATTAGTACGTAACTCGAATGAGTCCTATCGTATAAAATAATTAATATTGCATGAAATAAAGGAGAAAAGTTAATTTTATGATTAATTACATAATTGAAAGGCAATTCGAATTCTTGACCATTAAGGTTCTTTGCACGAAATTGAGATGGTATAATAGTATACTGAACATCAGCGTTTAGATCAGAGTCGGTAGCAGATACAGTCGCCACTAGAGTTCCCTTCGAAGCATCTGATTGAGAATATCGATAGTATTACAAGTAAATTATATTTACAGTATTTGTATATATTTTTTATATACTACCTTGGGAAAGGGAAGAGAAGTAGATGTCCTGGGAAAATTTTGGAGCTTGATTATTTTCATCCAGGACTTGTATTGACACGGAAGAACTCGATGTCCGAGATGGTGAGCCACCATCCGTAGCAATTATCTATAAATAGTTAGAAGAGGAAATTAAGTACTCTTATAGTAAATATATGATTTTATATCCCTAACAGTTAAAATATATTCTTCTCCAAAGTTTTCTCTATTCAGACGAGACATGTCCGATACAGTCAATATACCAGTTGTGGAATTTAGCCGAAAGTTGTCTTTGCCTCCGGACTCAATATAATAGGTAACTTTTCCATCTTCTCCCACGTCATCGTCGCTTGCCTCAATCTGAATTACTGTAGTACCTATTGGCAAAATAGACAGTTTTTTGGTTATTTGGGTAAATGAAAAATGAGTACTCTGTACAGACCAGGTGCAGCTAATTCGGATACACTTGTTTGATAGAAATTTTTAGTGAAGATCGGTGAATTATCATTGACATTACGAACTATAATTGTAACATTTACGAAACTTGTCACGTTCTCAATTCCGTGACGAGCTCCTATCGTTATAAGATAGCTTCCGGTTTCTGGATACGGTAAAGGTGATGATATGCCTAATTCTCCAGAAGTACGGTTTAAGAAAAAAAAATCTCCGACCGAGGTTCGAAAAAAGTAGTTAACAGGATCTTTCTTAGTGTTTCTTTTTGATGCAGAAACGGTCACGGGAGGACTTAAAATGCGAGTACCCTCCTCGGCCGTTGTAAAATATGAATCGTATTCGAATTCCGGAGCCAAGGGATCGTCGATTAGGATTGTTAAAAACAATGGGACTTTTTCAGTTCTCCCCCCTCCATCTCTTGCTTGGACATATAAAATTGTATTCTCCAGGCCTTTTAATGATTTACTAACCAAAATTTCTCCATTTAGTTCATTTATTTGAAATAGATTTGTCAAGGGAGAAGGAAGAAAAGAATATGTAATTCTACCAAATTTTCCCTCATCCTTATCTGTAGCCTATAAAAAGAAAATGATTTTGTTTAAAACTCATTCTCTGTCATCTCTTAGCCTAAACGTACGGAAACTGTAATCAATTCATCGCCTTTCTGTCTATCCTTCCTGATCGATACTGAGTAGTTTTTAGCTGAGAATACCGGTGAATTGTCATTTTCATTAATGACATGAACGGTCACTATACAAGTTGAAGAGTATCTCTCTTTTGTATTTAACTCTCTTGCAGTCAACTGTTAATGGATGACATAGAAAGTCTTATAAAGTTATAATAAGAGTGGAAAAAGTTTCAATAATTCACTAGTATTGGTATAGTATGAGCTGCTCCTGGCCTTTCGTAGTCTAATACAGTAGGTCTAAACACCCTCAATGATATAGCTCCACTTCCTTGTATTATTCGAGGATATTCAATAAAAACTGTACTATTTCCAGAAATTTCGATTAAAGAGTTCGGGCCCTGTTATAGATAAAATAGGAGCTCATATAATAGGAATATGTAGAATTTGCTATTTGCTTGTAAATTGTTTTATATATACTAATATATATATATATATTAGTATATTAGCACACGTTAATAATATACCAAATTCTTTTAAAATTTTTTATGGTTTACGGCAGTATTTATGCAGCAAATAAGAAATGAGATTTAAGAAAAATGTTTACTTGATCTCGGTCGGTGACAGTTACATTTAGGTCGTTTACTGTGTCGTAGAGTTCCATATTTTCTGAAACTTTAATCTCCGTTTCTTTCTGAAATGAAAATTTCAAAGAATATAAATTTTCAGGGAAAAACTAAAATAATATCAGAAGCATGTATATAGCTTATACCCTATTGAATATTGGATAATTGTCGTTGCTATCAGTCACAAGAACAATCACTTTCGTGCTTTCGGATGCTCCGATACTATTACCTCGAATTTCTTGTGCCTAGATTTTCGCAGAACAAACATATACATTATATCAACAAATATATAGATTATATGAGAGAAAATGGACTGATGCGACTAACCGTAATAATAAAGTCATACACAACGTCACTCATATTTTCTCTGTCGAATGATTTTCTTGTCAATATATCCGCGTAATAATAATTGTCTTGAGAATCTTTTTGATAGGTGCTAACTTCGAAATGACCTTCTGAATCATCGCTGATGAAAAACCTTATAGCGTTAGGTTGATCGGTATCTTGATCCATTGCCATAATTCTTCCAACGCTAGATGACTAATGATGTAATAATTCAATATATTTTCCACCTTCTTAATACTTTTTTTATTGTATAAGTAAACAATGGAAAGTATTTTTAGAAACACGAGTGTAGCATACCTTTGGTAGATTTTCACTTACTATAAGTGATAAAGGAGTATTTAAGAAACGCGGGGGAGTGTCTTGCTCGTCTTGTACGTTTACTAGCAGCTCTATAGTTGTTTTTTGTGTAGGAGAGCCTCCATCCTTCAAAATAAGATAACTTGTTGTTAAAGACGAAATTTGTATATAGCTATTACGAATAAGACTGTTCTACCCTAGCAGTCAATTTTATACGATATTTTTTCTGTTTTTCATAGTCAATTTTTTTCCGAAGAATTACTGTTCCTCTATAGTCACCCACTCCTAGGCTATTAAGCTTCAAATCAAAGATATCACAGGTTGTATCTAAACGAGAATTATCGCAAGTTAATGTAATTTCAGAATTCTTTCCCTCGTCATCATCACGAATTCTAATCTCGGTAAAAACAGGGTCGCCCAAATCCATTGACTAAGTTTAAAAAGAAGAAATGAAAGAGAGAAAAAACGATAAAATAAACCAATTAATCAGAATTAGTTTTCAAAGAAATCGCAAAAGAGACGGCTTACTTCGCTAATCGACGTCGTGTATGGTGCACCAATGAAAGTGGGAGCATTGTCATTTTCATCTAATACTTTAATAGAATAAGCTACAGGTGAACGTAAACCATCTCTAGATTCAGCGAAAAATGTAACTGGAATTTCAGCTTTAGTCTAAAAAATTAAAGAAAAAAGTCTTTATCAAATAGTTCTGTAAAAAGAGAGCTTCAAGAGAAAAATTAGGCCTAACTTCTCTATCTAATTTCCTCAATAATTTCACCGTACCCAAATCTCTGTCGACGCTGAGTAGGTCGATAACATCAGCTGATATACTATAAAAGACCGGATTATCGCCCGCTGCATCTCTTGCTATTAATTGTCCTAAGACACTTCCTTTAGGCGAAAGAAAAGAGAAAATTCTCATAAGGTCACGAGTATTAAAAAAAAAGAAATAATAATTACAAAGAATACAACCTTCAGGCTTATTTTCTAATATTCCATTATTTTGAAGTTCTTGTTGTAAAGTCTCTATCCATATTGGCCTTTGATTACCTTGACAATATCCTCCTTTTGTTGATTAATTAATAAAATAAAATAAAACACATACTTATTAAATTATATTATCAATCTTAATACTAAAACTAGCAATCATACTAATAATACTAATAAACCAATATATGACTGGAATATTTAATCATTCTGATCAGAGTCGGGTTATAGCGGTAACGAAACGTTAAATAGGCAATTTAATGAAAAATCACATTATTAAGAAGAATGAAATGAAAGAGGAGTTGATAATAAGAATAAAAGAGAAATAGATAGAGGAAAAGAAGATGAATTACAAACTTACTTTGAGAATACAACAATAATAGGATCCGTAGAAATACGTGAACGGACGCGGCTTGAATAATGTATGTCATTTGCAGTAAATTAACTTTAATCAAGTTTCGACATTTTTCGTTGTTTATACCTTGATTATTCTTTTAAAAAAATTTTTTTATTAATAACAAATTTCATGCACTGCACGCGGGTTGAATCGATTGAACAGAGAGAGAGCTATCGATTCCAAATATACTCTTTTTTTCTATTTCAGACGCATTTATTTTTATCCTAACTGTTCAAAGAGGGCGTTGAAGTCATTTCATTCTTGTTCTTTTTTGGAACATTTTTATGAAATGAATAATTATCATCGAACGATACTTTTTTTTAAACTTTGGATAGAATTCGATTTCTTATTAATATAACTACGGAATGACGAAGTAAAAAGGACTAAAAAATAGGAAAATCAACGACAGATTTCTTTTATTGTTATATCGTGAACATATCTGTTCGTTTTGCATCATCCTATTTTCGTTCCTATCTTACCAAGCTTTTCTCTTACGAAATATACAAGACGTATTGTTTTCTTCAACAGTGAACTGTCAGTAAATACTGAGAGGACGGCCAAAATTGTTTATTGAACGTGTTTTAATATTATTTTAAGGGATACGGCAGATCCTTTGAAGTGACTTGTTTGAGCTTTAGCAAGTCAACTGTATAATTAATAATCATATTCCTTCAGTACACATAAATAGATCGAATCGGAGGGAGGAAGTTGGAAATGGATAAAACAATAATCACACTGATTTTTCTTAATAGTATAGGTAATTATTTTATTTAGTCTTTATAATTCTATGTATATCAAATACACTATAGTCAATTAACAGATATTCTCTTTAAAATTAATTTATACAGTATAAACTATACTTTATATTATTTTGATACAGGTGCTATATTTTCTCAAAACGAGGCGCCCAAATTGAAAAGATTTATGGAAAATTTCTCTCTCCAAGAGAATACAGAAATAGGTAATTTATCAGTAAAATAGTCTCATTTGTATTTTTCTAATTATCAAAAGAAAATCCTTTCTTGTTCATTTATTATTTTATTTTGTAATTCACTTATAATTTCCACCTTAATTTATTTCTTTCGATGTGTAAACTAGAGGAAATTATAGGAAATATAATAATAGCAATAAAATTGTACAGCAAATAAAATACAGGTCAAGTCTACGAACTAGAAGCGTCGGACGCTAATAACGACAAATTACAGTATGGAATTAAGTCATCTGTATTCGAAGTTAAACCTCCTGGATCCAGTCAAGTGTTTCTGAAGGGGGCGCTTGATTACGAAGTAAACTTTTTTATTTACATATGAATTCTTAAATTAATCATTAAAAAGCGGAACTAAACTTGTTTGTTCACTTTAGAAAAAGAAAGAATACTCAGTAACAGTGTGGGTGTCAGATGGCAAAATTAATGTAAGAAATATAGCATCTCTCAATATATATTGTACATATTATTTCCTTTTCTTTTCTTACATGTTTAACATCTAGACGACTGAAAATGTTATAGTACATGTTATAAACGTAAACGACGAATTACCAGTTTTTCAGTCTGATTCATATAGTATAGATGTCAGAGAAGTGAGTTATTCATGTCTTCCATATGAAAAAAGATCAATAAACAATGTATATAACAACGTAAATAAATTTTCAATCTAGGACACAGAGATCAATAGAACTGTACTAGCAAATGTCATTGTTAAGGATGAAGAAGAAATCGATAGTTTATTACAAGTTGAATGTTATCAACCAGTAAATATTTCTTTTATTAATTATGGAAAAACTAAGAGTATCAATTGCTTATTTGTTTGGTTAAATACACAACATAAATTATTTATAGAAGGAGGCGTGCGAAACTTTTGAAATTGTTCAAACTTCAGTAACAAACACAACATGGACTGGAGATATTCATCTCTTGAAATCTCTAGATTATGAGAAGAGAAAGTCATACCAGCTCGTTTTGAGAGCCACAGTAATAATTTTTTGAATTGTCCTATATAAACAAACTTATTAAATTAAACTATTAATATAGGATGGAATAAACACTCGATTAACAAGTATCCCCGTTCGAGTTCTAAATGTTCAGGATACACCACCGAAATTTCTTCCAATGCTTACATATGCAATTGAAGAGAATTATCCTGTAGGTAAATCTTTTATGACCATTCAGGCTGTTGATGGAGATGGCGAAAGACCAATTCGATACTTCCTTGAACCAGAATTCACTTGTAAGACATACGTTTATTTAAAAATTCTTACTTAGACTAAATTCGTTCACTACAATAAGAATAACTATATTTAAAGGTTTATATTGCTCTGAAATCATTCAAAATAAAGCAGGTATAACTCAGTCTCTTCCTCATAGAGGCAGCATAAATTCTGCAAAATATAGACTGTTATTATAGTATTTTTCATCTAAATCTTCTGATAAAGCTTTGACGCTTTTAACGCATTTCTTGTTAACAAAACATATCAAATATCAAACAAGCACTCAATCGATATAATTATTTTCACATTTTAATACAGTGGATATGTTCAACTTGGATCCAGTTACAGGAAATCTTAGTCCAAGAAGGCCGATGGACAGAGAAAATATAAGACTTAATAACGGATTTGTAATTATTCCAATATTAGTGAGTATTCTTTAGAGAATCTTTTTGTAGATAAAGGTGACTTTTTTCAAGGCTAGAGAAGTGCTTGAGGGTGGTGGCTTAGGTAATGATGAATTAACGCAAACCCGTACAGAGATCACTCTGACCATTGTTGATCAAAACGACAATGCTCCAAGTAAAAGAGAATTGATTTTAGCTCAAGAGATACATAAAATATTTATAAAATTCTATTTGATTACAGAATTTAAAAAAACTAACTATGAAATTGAGCTTGAAGCTAGCAAAATAACTGATGGTTATTTTTTACCCCGAGTCTTCCTGAATGTAACTGATCCTGATAGTTCTATTAATGGTCATTTTAAGATTTTCTTATTAAACTTTGATGACATGTTTCAAGTTATTCCAAACGAAGGAATAAATAACCTATTGTCAAAAATTCAAATAAGAAATGCTACAAAGTTGATTTCTGCTGCAAAATCTTATACGCTAGAATTAGAAGCTAGAGAAACTAAATCAGTTACTCCAATTTCTTCGCCATTGAGCAAAGCTACGATTCTACTTAAAATAAAGTCAGGTTTTCAGCAATTACCAAGTTTCCAGGAAGAATCTTATACAGTGGACATTCAAGAAAATGCAGAAGGGGGGTCTCTTGTAACAATTATTAAAGTAAGGAATTAATTCTATGATTTTAACTTTTCTTTAAATATTTTCGTAATAGTTACCTGTTGACAATGTGAAGTATGAATTAATTGGTAATGGTGCTAGCTTATTTGAAATTGGCGAAGATAATGGTGAAATTAGGGTAAAATTTTGCCCTTTACCAGGAAAATCGAATTGTATAGACTATGAGCAAAAGACTAGTTATAACTTAAATCTTATTGCAAAAAATAACAAAGGGCAATCTCAAACAACACTTCTTTTGATAAATGTTATTAACGCGAATGATGAAAAGCCAAAATTCCTTGCAACGAAATATACAGCTTACACCAGAGAAGGAACTATAAGACTAGATCCACCTCTTAATTTGAAAGCAATCGATAAAGATGAGGACAGCCAATTAGTATATTCGATTATAAATTCAGATGTGGCCAATTCTTTTAATATCAATTCATTAACGGGAAAATTGACCTTGATTAAACCTTTGGACTACGAATCATCCAAAAATGGAATGTTTGTAATAGATTGAGTTTTTTATATAGATTATAATTTAGAATGTTCTTTTTTATACATAGCTATACATTAACAATTAGAGTTACTGATGGAAAAAATGTAGCTTCGGCTTTGGTAGAAATTAACGTAATGGTTTGTAATTTTGCTAGCAATAGGGGATAATCTAAGAAGTCTCCGATTTTTAACGTTCTTTTGTCTTCTGTTTAGAATGTAAATGAGGCTGTTCCTGTCTTCAAAGACACTGTAATAAATGTTTTAGTTAATGAAACAGTTAATTTAGGTAATCATATTTATATAAATAAATCTGTTTTTTCATAATCTAATCTTTCTCATAGGAGAAAGAATAGCTCAATTTGAAGCCACTGATGAAGACCTACCAAGCCAGATTGATTATCGGTAATTGAAAGAATTTCTGCATCTATTTTTGTTTGTAATTAGCATAATTACTCGACTGATTCATCTATAGTATCGGAAATGGAAGCAGAGGTGACTTTAATATTACTCAAGATGGACAAGTTCGAGTTACTAATCATCTGGATTTTGATCGCAACAAAAACTACTTAATAACGGTATCTATCATTTTCTCATTAGCTGGATTATTAGAGGGTGTCTCAATAAATTAAGAACAGTTCCTAACATGTTGTGATCGCTTACTCTACAGATTCTTGCAACTGATAGGGGACAACCGCAAAAGACAGCAACCGCAACCTTATCAGTAAATATTCAAGATAGGAATAACAAATATCCGTATTTTAATCCAATTACAACAAGGATAAGTATAGAAAGAAGTTAGTCCAATTTTAAAGAGAATTAAGATTACCTAAAAGAGTAATTAACTTGCTATTAGGTATCCAAGTATCATCTGTTATTAAGCAAATGGAAGCCATTGATATGGACAATACAATTCTCTCTTACAAGTTTATAGAGCCAACACTGGCTTGGAACAGATTTGGACAACTTGTTCAAAACAACCTGACTCAAGAATATTTTAAAATTGATGAAAATGGACGAGTATCGTTAATAAAGAGTTTAGAAAATAGTGAAATTAGTCGAATTCGTTTAACTATACAAGCTTCTGACATAGAAAGAGAAGAACAAACAGGAATTGGAGTTTTAGATATAACGATAATAAGACGAAATGAAATAGCTCCAAAATTTCCAAGTCCCTGGACACCTACGAACCGAAATCTTTATTTTTCTGTTCTGGAGAATCAAGATGCAGGTTATTATGTGGGAACTGTGACTGCGACTGATCCATTTGATCACTTAGATTCATATAGAATAACTTTTGAGGATATACCTGGCTTGTTTGTGGTGGACAAGAATGGTATTTAAAATCACACAAAAAATATCGTTCAAAAGTATTCATTTTTGTATTTTAAAGGAATTCTACGCACTAGAACCTTATTAGATAGAGAAAAGATAGACCAATCTATTATTAGAGTTGTTGTTTCTGACAATGGTAAACCTCAACTATCTTCTACTGCTACAGTAACAATTAACATCATAGATATAAATGATCATACTCCTATTTTTGACAAAGTTCGTTTAGATTCTTATTTTTTTGTTTTTTTTTTTTAATCAAATATTAAACAAAACAATAGCAGATAAGAAGCTTATAAAAGAGAAATCTGTACCATTACTTCTATATTTATAGCTACTTTCCTTTTATTTCTCAGATAAACTATGATAAGACCATCGACGAGAATTTAGGGAAAAATAAGTTTGTTCTTCAAGTTGGAGCGACAGACGGAGATAATGGCAATTATGGGGATATTACATACACACTCAACGACGATTTAGGAGCATTCCAAATTAACCCTACAACTGTATTTAATAATTTTTGTTTCGTACGAAAACTCTAAAGTATTCTAAATTATGTTAATATATTAATTAGGGAAGAATAACTGTTAAGGATCCAAGTATTTTGGATAGAGAGCAAAGAGATGTCATCTATCTAACGGTTACAGCGACAGATAGCCCAAAAGACACCAGCGTTTCTCGATCTAGCAAAGTTATCGTTAGTAATTGCTATTTGAAATATGATATTCGATTCTGGTTTGTTGTAGGTTAGAATTTTTTTGCGAGATTTGAACGATAACAGACCAGTCTTCGACAAAACTGTAAGGGATAAAATAGATATTATTGAGACAATATCTCCAGATGAAAGTTTCCTAAAAGTAATAGCCTCTGACAAGGATTCAGGAGACAATGGTAAAGTTAAATATCGAATAGAATCCGGAAACGACGGTATTAATTTGAAATACTAATATTTTAAATGCAACACTAACTCTCTTTGACATACTCTTTGATTTTTCTATCTTAGATGGGATATTTGATATTGATCCAGATACTGGGAATGTTAAAGTAAAAAAATCATTAGTTGGTCAGTCAAACAATTATCAATTAACTATCGAAGCGAAGGACGAAGGCAAGCCAACACAACTATCTTCAAAATATAAAATCAATATACGAGTTTTAAAATCTAATAATAACGCGCCATATTTTGTAAAACCGGAAAATAATATTATTCAAACGCAAGAGGAAGAAGGTCCTGGAGCTCTAATAGTGAAAGTAGTAGCAGAAGACGACGATAAAGATGAAGTAACATATAGCTTCATAGAAGATGGAAAACCGTCACACGAAACCTCATTGTTTAAAATAGATTTGTCATTGGGAGAGATCTATTTAAAAGAACGATTAGACAGGGAAAAGAAAAGTGTCCACGTTTTAGTAGTGCAGGCCAAAGACAATGGTATTCCTTCGAAAACTGCAACTAAATACTTAATTATTAATGTCACTGATATAGACGACCATTCGCCCGAATTTCTTTCCCATAGGGTAAGGCTGCGTCCTATGCTCTTTTGTCAATAGCTTTATATGGAATATTTATATATACTTTCTTTCTTAGAATTGCTGCTCCATTCCATATAAATTTTACGTCTCAGAATCCATACAAGTTAATACATCTATTGGGAAAGTCAGAGCAATTGATAGAGATGAAGGAAAAAATGCCCAGTTTGAATACTTGTTAAAAGATAAAAATTTACCATTTCGTGTTGATAAATCTACAGGCGAAATAATTGCAATAGAAGGACAAATCGACTATGAGAAGCAATCTAAGTATGTCTTCGAAATACAAGCAAGTACAAAACCTGCGGAAGCCAGTTTAAAGTCAAACTGTAAATGCAAAGATAATTCGAAAGTTAGAGTAACGGTATATGTAAAGAATGAAGAAGATGAAGATATTCAATTTGACGACTCAGTTAAAGATGTGTGTGTAACAGATAGGACAAAAATAGGAACACCCTTACTAGTTTTAGAAGCTAAAGATCCAGATGATATGGATGCTTTAGAATATAGATTAGTCAAAAATTCGTCAAAAATTTTCTTTTCTTTAAATTCCCAAAGTGGCCTCTTATCGACCGCATCAGTTTTCGATAGAAGGCTTCAAAAATTACATAATATTACGGTACGGGCGAGTAATACTCTTAGTACATCATCTGCAGAACGCTATGTGAATGTTTGGGTAACTGAACACAGCAAGGAAAAAGTTGTAACAATAAACGAGAAGGAAGAAGTTGTCCTTGATAAACTTAACTATTACATGAAGAAGATTGCAGAGAGGAATGGATTGGTTTGTGTGATTCGTGTTGGAAAGCATGTAACAAATTCCGGAGAAGTTAACACTGATAAGTAAGAATAATCTTTAAACTGTTTAATCGAGATAAATAACGAGAAATACATCTTTTAGAACGGATGTTGTAATTCATGTGTTGCGAGAAGGTATAGATGTTGGAGCTGTGAAGGGAGAAGATGAGCTAGCCAATCTAGGAATTATATTCAAAGTAATTTCGTAGCTTTTGAAAATTTATCTTACTACTAAGAGTTATATCTTCTTTCTTTATTTCGTGAATAGAAATCTAAAACAGGTGCCGAACTGGAAATACTTTGGGTTCTTCTGGCGGTTATTTTAATATTTATAATTTGGACTCTTCTCTCTTTTATAATACTATTTTGCTGTTGCTGCTGTCGTAAAGATAAACAACAGCATGTCCTTGTGGACAATGTGAATAAGGGTTTCGTAAGTATTAATCTTTTCACTTCGTTAATTTCCTATCATGGATAGGATTGAAAAAAATATTTTTTCCGAGCAGGATATGCAAGAAGGACGAATGATACTAGACTATAGCGACAAGGGCTCTTCAAATTCGTTGAGGGACATGTTATCCGATGACGATATTTACGTGATAAATAGTCAATCGGCTAACGCACAGAGCTTCGCCACTAATCAAAGTACGACTAACGATTCCAAGCAAGTACGCATAATTGCCCCATTAGTGTCTCGTCAGAATGACGACGGCGAATCTACATTGCAAAATAACGCTTCAATTCCACCGCATACTCTGCAAATAACAGATCAACAGATTGGTGCTTATTTGAGTGATGGAACTACTATGAAATCAACTTCATCGGGTGGTTTCATTACGGTACCATTCGTATCGTTACCTTACAAAATACTACAACGCCCCACCAGTAGTACAACTTAGACAAACCGCTTATTTCTTTTAAACTCAAGCATTTCTTTCATTTTTATTTTATTTTTTACAAATTTATTTCGAATTATACAGCAATAAATATTATAAACCGCTTTAAGGAACCAAGACAGAAGCATATTTTCTTGTAATGTTTATCTCATTTTCCAAGTCGAAAAAAAATATAAAAGTCTCCTATCTTCATTTAAGATTCATCAGAATTCCCTTTTTCCTTTTCCATCTTCGTTAAAATAGAATTGTACTGGGAGAGTTGTTTCGATAACAATAAAATCTATTTAAAATGTAGCTAAGGAAAAATTGGTAATCATATTTTATGTCTTTTTGGTATAATTATGTTTACAAATCATTAAATATGATAAAAGGATACGATATTATTGTAATGCTCCAAGAGACCTTTTACCTCAGCTGAATAGTCATTAGCTGCATCCTGAAAATTTAGTAATTTATACTCTCGGTTATTAAAAATAAAATTATTCATTAAATTAATAGTATGCAATAAACCTTCTGCTGGAGGTGAACTACGCATAATTGATTTAGTTTACCATTTAGAGAAGAAACAGCTGTTGGAGGTAAATAGAAAATATTGAGGAAAAGCTGCGTAAAAAGACACATTTACTTACATTTTATGTGTTCACTATCTAGAGCTTTCGATAAATCCTTGATCTTCTCTAGATTTTCAGTACTTTGCTTCATTAATTCTTCCTCTATCGAATTCAATCAGCATCATTTTTAAATATATATAATTTTTTAATTTTCTACCTGCGACTATAATATCGACTTTGGTTCGATTAGACAACAAAGCTTTCTTTGAATATTCCAAACTTAAATAACTTTCTAAATCATCAACTGAAATAAAATTGAAGTTTTATTTTGGTTGTTTAGTTTATCTAAATCATACGTTGTTTGAACAAGTTAATAATTTTCTGCCTCCCAGTTAATGCAAGGTTAAGTTTTTCATTAGACTTTACAACAGATCCAATAATCTATCAGAAAATAAAAAAAATAAATATAAAATATTCTATAACGAATTTTAAGAACAGTTGAAAACAAGCAGATGTAGTAAGAGAGAAACTCACATCAGAATTCTCATTACCGCTACCTTTAGGTCCGAGAACTAAACTTTCCAATTTATCTAAACGCTGTTCAAGTAAGGTCACTGCGTCTAAGCTAGTTCCCATATTTTGGATTATTATTTCCTGTAGAATTAAGAAAGAGCGAGGAATAGTCTGGTGTTAAACTTATCATACAGAGGAATATTGCCTGTCTAATAAATTGTTGAAGATCTCTTGTGACTACGTACTGAAAGTGACCACACCGGAAGATATCGGCAGCGTGGATATTGTCGGAACTGAGTCTGCTTTATTAATTAGGAAATAACTGAATAATAGCCAACTTCAATGGCAAAGTTTGTGCCTCCTATTATTCAGGATAACCCAGACGGCTGGGGTCCGTGTACATTGCCGGAACAGTTTAAAGATATGCCTTACCAACCTTTTTCAAAAGGTGACCGTCTGGGAAAGGTATTACGTGTAAAATATACTGAGTATCAGCATATTTCTTATTTTATTGTTTTTCTCAACAGGTTGCAGACTGGTATGGATCAACTTATCAGGATAGGCGTATTTTGAGTAAGTTGTTTTTTTAATGATAATCTTACATATACTTATTGCTCTAATTTACAGATAAGTATCAATCCCAATTTGGTGCAAATGCTACTCAATACGCGTATTATCATGAGGAGGATGAGAGTTCCTTCCAACTTGTTGACACTACACGTCAACAAAAATCAATCTATCAAAGGAATCGTGTTAAGTATACGCAATACCAGAAAATGCGTAAGGAACGTGAAAGAAGACAATTGCAACAGCAACAGATGCAGGTTTTGACAAAATCTCAAAAGAGTAGAGAAAGGTTAGTAACAAATTTTACATCGTGCAAAATGCAATATTATTTTATTGAAATATTCAGAGATCGTCAAAGACAAATTCGCAAATGGCAAAAACAATATGGTCGGCAAATGCAAGATTCAAAAAAGAATTATGGAAAGCCACAGCAAAAAAATCGAGAGGCCTCTGTTCAAGTTCGCGAATCCTGGAAATTCATGGAAGATATGGACTTCCCTAGATTAGCTAAACTTTCATTGCCAACAATAAATGAACCTGAAGATTTGTAAGTTGAATCAGATTCTTAAACTACTAAGACATTAACCATATAATTTCATTTATGCCAGGAAATTATGTGGTTCGCTAGAGTTTTATGACAAGTCATATGATCGAATAACAACGAAATCTGAGAGACGTCTTAATAGAATCAATAGGGTATTCCATAAAGTTACAACTACTGAGGACCCTATTATAAGAAAAGTAGATATATTTAATCAAGAAGGAAATTTTCATTAAAAATGTTATTTTTTTATTACAGCTTGCTAAACAAGGAAATGTCTTTGCTACTGACTCTATCTTAGCAACAATTATGTGTTGTACACGTTCGGTATATTCATGGGATATCGTTGTCCAGAAAGTTAAAAATAAGCTCTTTTTGGATAAACGTGATGACTCTAACTTCGGTTTGTATTCATTTGTCTCTGAAAGACAATGTTTATATTTCTACCTCGATAGATCAATTGACTGTTAATGAAACCGCCACCGAAACACCCCAAGAAGAGGGTTTGAGCATCAATTCACCACATAATTTAGCTATGGAAGCGGCTTTCATAAATCACAATTTTTCGCAACAAGTGCTTAAAATGGTAAGCAGGCGACTTTTTTAACGCATTCTCCTGCAGTCTACATTTCGATTTTAAGTGTAGACTTTCATTTCGAATGCTATAAAATACTTACGTTTAAATATTTAATCTCTCATTTTCAAATGAAAGACATTATTTACCTGTAACACGCAATTATTACACTTTTTGTCTGACAGAGTGGCGAACGTCATCAATTTAAGGAAACTAATCCTTTTGAGGAGGAAACTGAAGGAGACATAGCATCTGTTGCTTATAAATATAGAAAATGGGATTTAGGAAATAACATTGAGCTTGTTGCCCGCTGTGAAGTTGATGCTGTAACGCAAGCTATTGATGGATCAATCCAGCAAATGAGCATTAAAGCGCTAAATGAATGGGATTCCAAAGCATCCAACGGCGTTGACTGGCGATCAAGATTAGATAATCAGAGAGGAGCTGTGTTAGCTACTGAATTGAAAAATAATTCATGCAAATTAGCTAAGTGGACAGTAGGGGCATTGTTAAGTGGATCCGACCAAATTAAATTTGGTTACGTTTCTAGGTAAAGAATTATAATATTTCTAAATTCTCAATCTAGTTTAAAAATAATTCCAATAGATTGAATGTAAGAGATTCTGCGAGGCACGTAATCCTCGGTACCCAGCAGTTCAAGCCGGCAGAATTTGCCAATCAAATCAATTTAAAAATGGATAATTGTTGGGGAATTCTCCGTGTTATTATCGACACCTGCATGAAATTGGATGACGGAAAATATTTGATAATGAAAGATCCTAACAAACCAACAATTAGAATTTATAAGATTCCAGCAAGCACCTTTGAAAGCGATGATGACGAGGACGAGGAAGGAGACGACGATGATAGTGATAGTGATGATGATAGCGATGGTGCCGATAGCGATGATAGCAAGAAAGACGGAAATTAAATTTAAACTTTGTTCTTTTTTTTTTGAAGTAATAAAATAAAATAATAGTAAACACGTAACCTTTGCAATACGCGGTCGATTTAAATTGCATTAATTGCTTGATTAAGACGCTATTGAAAGCACGCAATTCTCTTTATTATCACTTTAAGAGGCGTAGCTAGAGGCATTATTGTAAATAATTAATCTCTTTCATTCTGATCCTTGGTAAGTTTTACACCTTACCAATGCTGTGGGTTATCTCCTTGTTATAAAGCTTAGGACAGTATAGAACATTTTCTTTTGGCCAACCACAGAAGAATTTTTAGATTTCGAATCACCTTGGATCTCTACATGCGCTTACCTATTCATTTTGTTAAAAGCATACGATGGAGCTTTTCCTTATTCTAAGTTTAGTTCTGTCACCCCTTTACAGTTATCAAACTGACTATGAAAATGATTGTCAATATAAATTTCATGTTTGGAAACCAAGTGCAAATGCATTAAAGCAGTTAAGAGAATTGGAATTTTCTCTGAATATTACCCAACTATCTATTGAAAAGGAGGTGAGTAATATTTCTAATCATAAACGCAATTGAACTGAAAAATATTTAGATGCAAATGATAAGGAGTCAACTTATGAACGAGATATTATATAATAGGAATTTAACAGACAAGTTAAACGGTGCGGTAACTATTTATTCATTCGAAAGAAATAATATGGCCAGGTCATTAGATGAGAAATTTTTAAAGGTATCTATTGAATTGTATCCCCTAAAGTATTTGCTTTCAACATTGATTTTTTATTGCAGTTGAAAATAGATGTTTTACACGAAACAAGACATCATAACCGGGTGTGTTTAAATGCCGTTTCGAAATTTGAGGATAGTTCTAATCTAAAAAATGTCAAAGAGATAAATGAGACTCTTCGTCAAATTATAAAAGATGTAGAACAGGTTAAGGAAGATTCCTCCTATTATTGGGCCGAATTTTTATTGCAAATAAAGCAACTAAAAAACTCATCACTGTCGATTCTAAAATCACAAAAAGATATTAAAGAGATAAGGAGAGATCTGGGAAAGCTAAAAGTCAAGGTGCAAGCTTCTAAACGTGTAAGATAGTAATTTTCAATGTAAATCTAGCTGAAATTACTCCATTACATAAACGGAAATGATGTATTTTTTTTTTAAGGAAAAGAATGGCTTACGGCATAATCATTCATGGAATCGAAGCGCTTTATCGGATTTAGAAGCCGAAGTAGAAAGATTACAGAGATATTATAGAGAATTAAGCGCGAACACAGCTAGTTTAGCATCAAGCGTTAGCAGATTAAGATTATCCACTCAACAAATACAAAAGGAGATGATACGACTTCTAACCAACATAGGAAAATTAGACGAAAAGTCTGTAGAGGATTTTGTTAGAAATTTTGCATCATATAATACATTGGCAGGAATCAACTCGAAATATCCCAAAGATTGTAATGACTTGTTCACAAGGGGTCATAGAGTTAGCTCAGTCTATAGGGTAATTCCAGATAAACTTACAAATAAGTTCTTTGATGTGTACTGTCACATGACTGACACTTCTGGATGGACAGTTCTACTGAGACGTATTGATGGTGGTACTAGCTTTAAACGAGTTTGGAATGATTACGTCCATGGTTTTGGTAATCCGTACGGTGAATTCTGGTCCGGTAATGAATTTATGCATTTATTAACCGTAAATATCAAGTGTCGATTGAGGATTGATATGTGGGATTTTGAAGGCAATTATAAGTATGCTGTCTATGATGAATTTAGAGTTGACTCGGCTGAAAGCAACTATAGACTAAAAATTGGACGCTACACAGGAAATGCTGGTAATTGTATGAGTCTACACGATGGAATGATGTTCAGTACCGAAGATAATGATAACGATCATTCAGAAAGAAATTTGGCTCATATCTTAGAAGGAGGATGGTGGTTTAAAGATAGCTTCAGTAGTTTTCTAACTGGTTATTATTATACGAGTGGATATTACAATCCAAAAGACAAGGAGACCGACGGTATAATTTGGTATACATTTAAAGAGGAGGCGGGAGAAAGATATTCTTTAAAACGTGTAGAAATGAAAGTTCAGCCTATCAATTATGTTTAATTAGACACAAAGTTACACTAAATCTTTTTCTATTTCTATTATATTTTCTAGATTAACTTTTAATCACCAAATTATTTAATAAACTTTAATCAAAAAAAGAGTTTCCACTCAACCTTCGAAAGTTATTCAATTACTAATTCTACGGTGTCTCAATAGGGAAACATGGGCAAGTAATACTTAGTTGACTCAGTAAAACATTTTCACAAGATTATGCAATACTAACAACATCTTACTTTATTAAGAATTTGGTATTTTTGCAAGTATCAATAGTGTATTATTTTATCAACAAGAAGCAATTTCAACTAACCTTGAGCGATAATAGGATATAATAACACAACCAATATGCTTAAAAAGGATAAAATAGTTCAATTAAAGAATCCTATTGGAAAAACATTTAGGATAGTTCGAGAACAATATTTAAGAGAAGATATTCCTTGCCATAGTAAATTGTGTTTAAGCGATTGTATCGAGAAAAGTAGGTTTTCAAAATTCATACCAAACACAAAACTGAAACAATGCCAATTCATCAGGCAAACAAGACTACAGACTGCCAAACAAAGATAGGGCTAGTCATTATATAATTCCAGATTGTCTATTAGCCAAAAATTATATGGAACTATTGGAAATGCCTGAATTTCGAGGTATTATCTTCCTGCAAACAGTAACTTATTTTGTAAGTACTTTAATACGATTTCTATGAAATTTTATTGAATTAAAACATTCATTATCGTTTCAATGGTTTAGATACAACACGAGGGTAGTATGAGGCTTCATAAATCCCTCATGTCAATTGTTAATAATCCATTTAAAGAAAGCGCAATTTTTTACAACGAATTTCAAAGATATGCTTTCGTAGAACGAAAGAAAGGAGAAAGCATAATTGATTGGAGAAGAAGGTTAAATATAAAATCTTTTTCTATTCAATACTTATATTTCTCTTTATTTTACACAGAAGCGTCTACAATGCTACTGTATGGTATTACAATCATTTGGCTGGACAAACATCTTTTGTCATTTTAAGCGAGGATCCAAAAGTAGTAAACAAATATTTATTGCATATTAACAATGAACGTATTATTTATAGATGAAAGAACTATACGAAGGAGAAACTCCAAATATATTTGTTCTTACTTTTAAAGAATATCTAAAAACGTTTTTTTCTGAATGGGAAGGTGCTTTTAACCTTTACGAAAGTATAAAGGATGCTTTAGAGGAAAGATCGGAAACTGGTAACTCATCAATTCGATGTATAATATAAAGGTACTTTATAAAAATTGTTTACTTATTTAAATAGATGAAATAGCTGGCTATTTACCTAATGAAGTTCTTGAAGCGGGTATTAAGTCTGGGCGTTTTGTCGAGGGTGTATTAAATGTCAATAGGTACTGTGCAAATTCGGAAGCTTTTCTCAAACGATCAGGGTAAATTTTTCTGTTTTTGCAATCTTTATAAAAAAAATTTTAGCTATATTTGCTTCTCTACTAAGATTATCAAGTAAACAAGGAGGTGAAGAATCTGATATTCTTATACCAGGACAAGCTAATAGAAACCGAGCTATACATGGCGATAGAATCGTTGTTGAACTTTACCCGAAGAGCCAATGGAAGTCTAGAATATTTGTTCTCGTTAAGGAAAATGAAACAAGTAAGTAAAACAGTCTTTTATTTATTGTCGATTTTCCGTAATCATTAGCCGTTACTCTTTTATTTTAGAAGACGTCGAGGATAATTCCAGTTCAAATAAGATGCCTACGGGTAAAGTCGTAGGTATATTGCAAAGAAATTGGAGAGATTATGTAGCCAGCTTTGGAACAGATCAGGTAGAAAACTGCAAATGAAGGGAAATTTGTTTGCTTCATACTAATAATGATATTTTTATTTTTATTGTAGCAAGTAAAAGTTACGGGTAAAGCTGAGAAGGTTATTGTTCGACCTTGGGATTGGAGAATTCCAAAAATACGACTTAGCACGAAATTAGTGGGCGCATTTAAAGATCATAAAATTGTAGTTCGCATTGATTCGTGGGAAGTGGACAGCCAATATCCAAATGGTCATTTTGTCCGTAGTTTAGGAAAAGCTGGTGAATTGGAAACTGAAATAAAGACTCTATTAATAGAGAATAATCTAAACGTTGGTCCGTTTAGTGAATCAATTGTGGGTATTTTAATCGCATTGAAATTACAGTAATAATATCAATCAACCGTTACAAACTTAGCTGAAAGAAATGCCTGTTAATAATGAGGAGGAAAAGTGGACGATGACACCGGAAGAGATTAAGAAGAGAAGAGATTTAAGAGAATCGCATCTTATATTCAGTATTGATCCTATTGGTTGCGAAGATGTAGATGATACGTTATCAATTCGGTAGGAATCCGTTTAGCATTCAGATCAGCCGAGTTAGTTTTAACCTTTGTTGTACTGTATAGGAAAATCGAGGACAATAAACTGGAACTGGGAGTTCACATAGCCGACGTAACTCACTTTGTTCAACCGGGATCTCTAACTGATGTTGAAGCTAGGGAGCGTTCAACCAGCGTCTATTTGGCTGATAGACGTTATGATATGCTTCCGTCTGTTCTTAGTGGAGATTTATGCTCCTTACTTAGTGGTGTTGACAGGTATACATAAATAAAATTTATGAACCTTAATATATAATTCTACACATATTTAGAAAATTTTTCTTTTATTTATTAGATATGCTGTCAGCGTTATATGGAAAATGAATGAAAATTTTGAAGTTGAAGATGTTTGGTACGGAAGAACAGTTATAAGATCCAAATATAAACTTTTCTACGAAATTGCTCAAAAGATTGCAGACGGTTTAGATAATGAAGAAATAATGGCAAATGTATCCGAAATGGCTCAGTACGATAAAAAAGATATTGAATTAAGGTAATTTTTAAACAAGTAAAGAAAGGTTTTTATTTATATATTTATTAAAATATATAGAATTGAAGAATTAAGATGGTCTATTATAAAGTTAATGGAAATAGCAAGGCATTTTAAAGCAAAAAGAACTGAAGAGGGCGCAGTTGTTTTAGAAGGTTCTGAAGTAAAAGTTGAAATGCAAGAGGAGAAAATTAAAAACGTTATACCGAAAAAGGTTTGAAAATAAGGATAATGAAATATTTAATGACACATGTATATAGACATATTGCATTTTCTTAGTCATTGGAAATTCACGAAACTATAGCAGAATGTATGATATTTTCTAATCATTGGGTTGCTAAAAAGATATTTCAGTCCTTTCCGTCTCACGCTTTGGTAAATATATAATTTTTTTAATCTGCACCTTCATGAATACGATTTCATGTGTATTTTATGTTTATTATTAGCTAAGGCACCACCCACCCCCGCGGCAGGAACACTTCGATTCTCTCAGGAAATGCGCTGCCTCGCGTAATTTCACAATACAAACTGAGTCTAATGCAGAATTAGCGGCTTCGTTAGACTCCTGTGTTGACATAGACGATCCAGTAGTTAACAAACTTATGAGAATTTTGGCTACTCAGGCTATGTCTAATGCTGCATATTTTTCGACCGGATCATTGAATCGAGAATTATTTAATCATTATGGCTTAGGCCTTGAATACTATACCCATTTTACATCTCCCATAAGAAGATATGCCGATGTTGTTGTTCATAGATGCCTAATGGCAGCTATTGACGAAACTGGCAAAGATAATCTTATGAATAATGCTGATTTACAAACTTCCGCAGAACATATGAATAGCAAACATAGAGCAGCCCAACAGGCCCAAAAACAATCTCAGGAACTTTTCCAATCCTTATTCTTTAAAGAGAAATCTGATGATGAGACATGCGTAGTAGATGCTGTTGTATTGCAATTACGTAATAATGGATTTATAGTATTCATCCCACGTTATGCTATTAAGGGTGCAGTATTTTTAAAGAACAAGGAGAATCTGGTGGTCGAAGTTAGTAACAAGGGAGAAACACAATGGGTTGCTGGTACATTAAATTTAAAAGAAAACAGTGTCCTTGTACAAACAGGCTCAAAACGTCAAGAGTACACTCTCCTCCAGCACGTGACTGTACGTATTTAAAGCTAATTATATAGATAATTAAATTACAGTATATTCCATCATAGGTAAGAATAAACGTTGAAAATTATCATGGCCACGCTCTACAATTGAGTTTGTCACTCGTATCAAACAAACCGTTTATGCCCGACGTTGAAGATGAGAAAAACTCAGAAAATTCAGTTGTACAATCAAAGAGCGAATTAATCAAAGTAAAAATTTGCTTTTATATTTGCGACAAATGTTTAAATCTATAAAATTACATTCATATGAAATATCTTTCAGGCTGTTAAAGAAGCTAATAAATCCTTTTGGACTGACGATATTAGTTTAGGTCCAAATTACACTAATTGGAAAGAGGAATTCTCTCAAACAGAAGAAAGTAAAAGCGATTATCATACCTACTTAGCATTGACCGAATTAAATAAACTTGATATTTAAAACAACCCTTGTTATAAATGTGATGAAAACGATTGTTGTTGTATTTTTGAGCTCATTGCTATAAATGTAACTCATACCCAAAGTGACTTTAAATAGCATTTTTAATTATCGTTAGCCATCAATCGAAAACATTGTTTAACAGCTGCTTGACAAGAAGAATAATCTTTGAATGGCGGCGCTATAAGCTTTTCGGTAAGTTTTAAATGTTGTATCATATCCGCAAGAGCTGATTTTAAGTCGCCGTACGCTGCTCTTGTTAAGGCACTTGCGTATTTTTCATGTGAATCTTGTAATTGACCTAAATTTTTTACGACGTCTTGGCTTGTCTTACAAGCAGAACAGGTAGCAAATTTTTCGTCTGCTAATTCATTTATATTCAGTATTGCATCGCATTCGGGACACTTGAAGGTGGGCACCGACGATTCCTGATAATCAAATGTCGGCCAATTCTCAGAACAAGGTTGGCATTCGCAATCAAAATAGTATTGGCTAGCCAGAGCAGCTCTCCTTAGTTGGATTGAATCAGTTGTATAGACGTAGCCATAATCAAGACAGACCTCTTTGCCAGCTTTAATACTCCTGATAGCTTTAAAGAAAGCTGTTGATCCTTGAAAGATTATATCTAGATCTGGGTTACAGCTGTGATTGAAAAAAGACGCCTTTTTATAAAGCGCCACCCCAATATCCTTTGGCTTACTCTCCCTAAATGAATTGCCAAACATTTCACTTATACAATAGCTGTTACACTGGCAAATTTTCAATAAATTCAATAAGAGTTGCCCGCTTTTATCCCTTTCTTCTTCGGGTACAAAACTGCTCAAATTACAAATTTCCTCCAAGATTTTAGCCACTATCGTGAATTGCAACAGTACGTCTGATTGTCGTTCATTATCATGAACTATTAAATTACAAACGTCATCTAGATGTTTACATCTAATCGTCATGAAAACTCTGTGTGGTAAAAATTCATTATGTCTTAATAAAGCAACAATAGTATTACTCTAATGGCTTATATATACATCATCACAATTTACCTTAATGCTAAAAGACCAATACGGCTCATCCATGAATATGAGAGAAAATCCATATATTCGCATTCATATTTATGATAAAGATTCCAGGCATCTTCTTCGCATTCTGGACTGCAGTATACTATTTTTGCGCAACTTCTACACGGTAGAAGAGACGTAAATTTCTTTTGACAACCATAGCATCTTGTATCGTAATATTCTTCATATAGAACACTTGCTATTGGCTTCTCCACGCCCAAGACGTCTCCTATATCCATATCCGTTTTAGGAACAATATAGCGTCCCCGACTTTTCGATGTTTTAACAATAAGGTTTTCATCCATGGCTGCGTGGTGTTGTTTCTCCTCTTCAACTATTATTTCATCTTGTAACTTTTCGTTTAGACAACGACGTAAATCGTTTTCATACGACTTTTCATAAGAATCTCTTTCTTTCCTATCTATTGAAGCGTCTTTTAACGATTCTTTAAACTCCTGTAAAATGAGAAAATACAAACATTAAGATACTTTGACGCTAGATGTCACTTTTCTAAAAGCGTTTTAGAAATATTGCTATAAAGGAAAGTATGTAGTTTACCTTTAGACAATCGACAGATTTCTCAAAACTCTTTTTCATATAGAAACACTTGTATTTTCTATAATGGAGCTTATAGGATAAGGCTTTAGGATAACCCATACTGAGCGCTCGCTCAATGTCCTTTATGCATTCATCGTACATTTTCATTCTGAAAAAGACGGCCGAGCGATTTCCTAACGCCATAGTCAATACATCTCCATCGAATGGGGCATATCTAACAGCTAAATTATACTTTTGTAAAGCATCGTTAAACTTTTTAGCCTTGAACGATCCATTTCCATCGCCCCTGTATTGTTCAGATAATACCTTATCTTTCCTCTCAAATCCTTCTTTAATATCTATTAAAGAAGCAAAATTGTGAATATCTAGAAACTTTAATCTTTCTCCGTCTGTTGCTAAGGTTGAAAACTTTTCCAAATCATCCTTTAAGCTAATTTCAAATTTGTCAACTACTCCCGTTAAACAGGTGGTCTCTTTTTCAACTTCAAAAGATAACTCTTTCAATCTATTCATTCTTTTCTCTCTTCCTCTCTTTTCTTTTTCTCTTTCTACGCTTCCTCTCTCAATGAAATATAGCGAATTCTTTATCCTAATTCATAGATCTATTATCTAATTATAATATAAGATGTGCAATAATTCGAATATACAGATATATATATATATAAGACTTACCACTCTTATCCAAAGTGTATATTAGTGCAGAGTTCTATATATGTGTATATTTAGCGCAGACTGCATTCGTCCTAGATTTCCAGAGTTCTTAGTGTTTATACGGTCTCGCGTTACTTGGTAGAGGGTGCATACGCAGATGGCGCTTCAATAGGCCTATACATTCCACTCTTTCCATTTTAATACAAAAATGAACATTTTATTGTACTATATGGTTAAATAAAATAAGACAAACAAGAAATATAGACAAACTAGCTAACCAGCATATTTTCAACCTTAAAAAATGATTAATCTATAAATAAAATAGGTCATAAGTCTTAAAATACTAAAACTCAAAAAAAAATAACAAAAAGAGAGAGATAAAATCCCGAAAATTAAACAAAAATGAAAAGAAGATTTTAATCCTGAAGATGGCAATAGGAGTAAGAAAAAAATATAATAGATTAAAAGAATATTTTTCAACGTTAAACGATAAGATAAGAAATTATACAGGTTAATATTATCAGTAATAAAACTTATACAGGTTAGATTGAAAATGATGGACTATTTTACATTTATCATACTTTTTGGATTTATTTTACAATATTCAAGTAAATTATTAATTATCATTAATTGATTTTTAATTCATTAAAATTCATAGATTATTAATATATTCTATATATTTTTAATATATTATATAGATGTCGATTCGACTAGTATGCAACCTACCGTTAAAATTACCCAAAGTGATCCACCACATAAAAATCGATTAATAAAAGGAGAAATTGGTAAAGATGTCTGGATGCATTGTACGGTTGAAAATTTACCGAGAGAATCGCAAGTAAAACTATTTTAATTATCTTTAAATGATTCATTAATAATTGTTTGTTATTTACAAAAAAAAAACAAACAATATAGGTAAAATGGAAATATAGATATTTTAGTAAACAAGGCAGACCGGTAACAAAGGAGATTTCAAGCAACTTTCAAATTAAGGGAGATAATATGAAATGGGCTATAGAGAGTAATAGTGATTTCTCTTATAGATTGCGCGTAAAGGTATCTATTGTTTGTTTATTGTTTATTGTTTATTGTTTATTATTGTTATTATTGTAGGCTTTACACATTAACGACGAAGGTAATTATACCTGTTACGTCCAAATTACTGACCAACAACAAGAGGCTAGAGATACAAGAACTATTGTTGCAAGACGTTAGTAAACTTTCATTTTATTAAAATGAATTATTCTCTCATCTTCTATCTTTTCATTCATAGAAACACCAATATTTGACGGAGAAAAAACTAGTAGCGACGAGAACGTTGCAGAGGGTGATGAAGATGTTGTACTGCAATGTTTCGCTACCGGTAAATTTAACTAAGTGCACATTTTTAATGAAATAGCATTCTACTTTATTTCATCTATTAGGACGTCCCTCACCAACAATAGTATGGAGAAGGCAGGGAAATGCTGTCCTCCCTCCTCCCGGTGGTGTTGAGAGATTGGTGAATAATTAATTAAAATATTTCATAATCCATTTATAAAGTATATCCTTCTTTAGGGAAACAAACTATTGATTAAAGAAGTGAATTACAGAGATAAAGGAATGTACTTTTGTACGGCGTACAACGAGATGGGTGTTATTAAGAGAAATGTTGAATTGAAAGTTAGATGTTAGTATTTCAGTGTCATTCACCTTACAATCCGTCATTGGTTGTTTGATTAATTTCATTTGTCTCAAATATTAAATAGACGAACCGAAAGTAACTCAAGCAGAACTTCGAATTGGACAAGCTCTTGGATATCAAAGAACTTTAAGTTGTTTTATTGAAGCCAATCCCACACCTTCCACGGTTCGCACAGTTAGTTTTAATAGTTGAAATTGCTTATTTGCCCGTTTCAAATAGGATACAGGAACGTCGGAATTAGCCTGGAAGAAAGGCACTCAAATTTTAAAAACAAACGATCGTATGAAAACAAAGGCTATAGCTGGAGCGTATGGAAAACTAACGTTTGAATTAACCATCTTCTCTGTTGAATCAAGCGATTATGGTTCCTACGAATGCATTGCAAAAACAGTTTTGGGGCAAACTTCAAAGTCAATAGAGCTTTACGGTAAGTTTTAAGCACAATTACTTTGATATCTACGCTAAACATTTTATTACTACTATCCTAATAGAAACGACTGAACCACAAATAGATAAAGGTGGGAAGACATCATTTAGCTGCAGGGGGTCTGTGGTTAGCTCATTACTTGTATTTTTATCTGTTTTAATCTCTCTTTTTTACTAGTTTTTTGATCATTTTTAAAAGTTTTGTAATTGGTAATAAAATAAAAAATGCTTTTTAAGTAACTAATTTATAATAGTCCTTCATTTCTCTTTTTCAATCTTTCAAAAGCTGTTTATTATCACCAAATCAACGTTACAGTGACTAATAGTAGTGTTGTACTCTTTTAACACATCTTACCTTTCGTTAATCGCTACCCCTGTCGATACAAACTGAACATAGATGTTGAACAATATAATTCGTTATTCTTCGATGAGCTTGGCTATTCCAGTGAATTCCGTCCCTTTCACGTTTATGACTTTGCGTTTGCATAAAGTAATTGAGATCTAGCACGTCGAAACCATAAGTTGGAATAATTTGAGAACAAAAGTGATTGGCTTGAGTTGTTGAAAATATAAGGTCGCTATGTAGTTTTGATTTTCCCGGTAGTAGGAAACCACCCTAAAAAAAGATATAATGATAAATTGGAAAATGCAAAATAATGGAACATTACTCTTATTTCCCGAGATGTTTCGGGTGTAATCAACCACAAAAAGTGTTTTGAAGGTTTAAGAACTTCTTTCATCCGTTGCATTAGTTTGTTTAAGTTCGATTTGTATTCTGCAATAGAATTACTACCGTAACGGGAAATATCCCACAAAGTGGAATTCATTATGACAAAATCCGGTTTTGGGTCATCTTTAAAGTCCTTCAGAATAGATTCAACATAGGGACTGTGTAGGTTGTTCAACGTATATCAATAAACTTACATTAAATATATTTATATAAAAAATTTTCAACCGACTTGTAAACTCTTGTCACAAAATAGAATCTAACCACGTGATGATCGGTCCAATACTGTCGAACTTCCCTGTATGATCGTTTATTCGTCATTTCTCCCAATTGACCTCCTTCTATCAGTTGATCACCCATGTGAGAGTGTTCACCCTTCCAAGTGGAAATAGATTAATTAATTAATTAATCTAAAATAGTTAAATAAAAGAACGAGAAGATTATACCTTTCTTTTTAATTGATTTGCTTCAACATATTGATTTTGTTGCAAAAGACATATGAAATCTTTGTATATCGCTCTTGTGACTTAAAAACAAAAATTTTTAGTTCTACTTTTTACAACTGCATTAAAATGATTAACTAATTACCCGAATCCCCAATGAAGACGACATACTTATTATTGAATAAGAACTTTACTTGTTCGGTTGAAAATAGGTTCATATTTCTCACATCAACAACATATTGATTCCGCTACAAACATATATATATATATATTCGTATATATTTAGAGTAAAAAAAGCAAACATTCTATTTGAGTGCAACAATGTGCTTTTGATTTTGGTAAAAAAAAAACTTACACCACTAATACAAGCAACATTCGGAGAAACACTTCTTTGTTCTTTGTACTCATTGTTGCCAATTTCTTCCTAATTTAAACAAAAAACAAAATTCCATTTTTTTAAAGCAGGCGGCAATTATTTGTACTGATTTCTAACGGTATATGATAAACGGAAATTAATTTTTAAGTAAATTTTAATGAATTAAGTCTTCAAAAATATTCGTTCTAGCTGTCTTTAACTTGATTTTGCAATAATAATATAATAAAAATTTGTTTACCTTATGTTTCTTTGAGCTCTCCGCTTCCGCTAATCAAAGGAGGAAAAACACGTATTGCGTCAAAATTTAAAATTTTTCATTATTTTTTCTTTACTTACAATCTTTGTCAACTTCATTATAGTTTTTATGCCGTTTGCGCAATGAAAGATAGTTCTTTGAATTATTATCATGATAATTTTTACCGCTCATGTTTGCCCTATTGTTAAGCATGCCCACTTGGCCCAAGTCGTAAAGTAGTTTTACGTCGTTGTCCAAATAGCTTTCGTACTTTCCCTAATTTAGTACGAAGATAATTATTTGTCATAAGTCTTGTACCGTTAACTTATGCAAATTAGGAAGTGACTCCACTGCAAATGTACTCAATTGTGTTGTCTAAAAAAATGGTGTAATGTTTTCTTTCTTGTAAAAAACAGTTAATTGCTTCGTTTAAAAATTAATGAAATAAAATATTTTTTAACTTTGGAGATAATTTTTTTCTCAAAGTTTCTTGTAGTCGAACAATCAGAAGATTTTTAGTCGCTGGCACCAATTCCAATTTTATTTTAATCTTTAAAAATTTGCTTGTAACAGGAACCAAATTATTATTTTGCCGCTCTTTATTTTCAGCACCCATTGCTTTATTAACTATGGCTAATAATTTTGATTCCGATTCAAATGATGATATATTCAAAGGTTGCTTTGATTCAGAATCAGAAGAGGACCTCTCTATGAGTTTAATACCAAAAAAACGGAAAGAAGACGATTGCTCAACCGCTAATGAGGAGGAGTTTGATTCTTACATGCAGAATTTGACATCTGAATCAGAATCCGATTCAGAAAGCCAGAAAGAAGCTACTCTTAATAACATAGTTACCGAGCTGGTTGCTTCGCTTGAAAATTATGAACACTTTGAAACCTTAATTTTGAATCTTCCTGTTAAATCCTTTCAGGAGTTGGATAAATCTGACGCATTAAGAGATTTTAAATCTTTTGGTTCAAGTTTTCAGGATTTGGCAAGCAATTCCTCCATATCAAATCGAAAACTAAGCTTTGGGGATCCATCCTCATCATTATCTAATGATCAATCATGGTCAGGAAAAGCTATGGGCTCAACATTGGAGGAGGGTGACAATAGTGTACAAAAAGAAACGCCCAGAATAAAAATGGAACCAGCTCAGAGAAAAGCTACTGTATTCTCTAATACAAAATACAATGACGCGGGAAAATTTACCAACGTTAAACTAACTCGCAATACAACTGCTATCGTTCTTAGTTCTGACGAGGAAGATGACAATGGTAACTCTAACACAAATACTACTATCCAATCCAGAAATTTTGAAAATGACCAATGTGAATATGACCAGTTTTGTGAAAGTGATGATTTCATTTTTGGTTTACCAGTATTGGAAACAGTTAGTGTCAAGAAGCAGATTTTCAGCAGGTCTATACAAAAGGTAGCTGCTAAATGGGAAACTGACGAACTGTATGTGAATGGTAAAAATTTAACTTGTTGCACAAGCTTACGAAAAAAGTTTAACAATAAATTGCCTCCCTCCGTCTATACGCTGGAAGGAAATAAAAAAATTGGACTTATCTATCGAAAAGGAGAACGCAAAAACGACTTGGATTTGGTTCCGAGGACATTGATTTATGGTAGCAATAATGAAAAATTTCCCAGAGATCAACTGACGTTCATCGTTGAGAATGAAAGGAGAAAGCATGTTGGAGAAATCTTCTCGATTTTTGCTGACAGGCTAAAGGAATTATTGATAGAGAGAGACAGCGCGTTATCTTCTCTCTATAATATATTTGCTACACGTAAACAAAAGATGGATCACTCACATCGCCTCGCTAAAGAGCAGTGTGTGAAAGATTCAAGATATAATGCTAAGTTCAATTACATTCTATCAAACATGAGAAAGCAACATCAAGCCGAAACGGAGAATTTATCGGCTGACTTTGAATCAAAATTGGGTCATTTACGCGATCATTATCTGTTACGAATAAAAGATGAACGCCGTCGGTGCAGTGATATGAAATATGAAATAGATTGCTTATGCTATGAGTATAAGCAGACGGGACTTTCCCCTTTTCGACAAGGAGACAGCTATATTGCTAAACAGCTGCCAAAACATCCTAAGCAAAAATTGAAGGTTGGCGAAGCAGACTCCGTTGTTGTCTATGTTCCCTCTATACAGGGATCAATCATGGAGGAAGATAACAAATTGTACGATGAAAAATATGGATATAAATAAGTAGACTACTGATAGCGGTCGTTTGAATATCTGACGTTATTCAATACTTATTCTTAATGATTATCAGTCGATTCTTTTTTTTTTAAAAAGGTCATAATGTGTTTATGATAAACGGCTTGGTAACAATCTATTCATAAAGTAAAATGTTCATAGATACATTATTCAAACAAGATATAGAAAAATAAATAGTAATAATAGTAGTTTTTCAAGTTTAATTAGAAGAAAATGTTAGAGCTATCCTTTCTGACACTCATTCCAAATTAATTCTTTCAAATTTTCTAACTCTAAAGTTTGACTATCAAAATGAACTTCCCATATAGGACAATTATAATCACAATCTGCTACGTAGGTGGTCGCTCCGAAATACCGGAAACTGTCGTGTTTTAAGGCTTCTTTGGCTGATGGTCTATCATCTGGGTCAAACCTCAACATTGCTTGCAATAACTGAATAATACTTTCATGAACATGTGGAATATAATCATGAAGGTCAACTGGATGTCTATAATTTAGGCTTTTAATGAAGTTGATAGCCGATGGTATTTTTGAAAGAACTGAATCGTTTGGTGTTCCAACAAAATTAATGATATTTTTGAAATGCTCAATAGAAGAAGTTCCCTGGAAGAGAATTTGTCCTGTCAAAAGTTCCATTAGTATGCACCCAACACTCCAGACATCTGCGTTAGCTTTGTAGTAATTACCATTACACGTGATTTCGGGAGCTCTATATGGCCTGGTAACAACATACCCTGACATTTCATCACTTGCTGATCTGGAGAGTCCAAAATCAAATATTTTCACTTCAAAATTATCACTGATAGTTATGTTACTGGGTTTAAGATCTCTATGCAAAATACCCCCAGAATGAAGATAAGCCAAACCACTTAAGACTTGACTAGTAATTTTTAAGGCATCACCTTCATTATATCTTCCAACTTCTCTCAGACTAGCTGCAAGATCTTTACCAATATATTCAGTCACCAAATAAATATTGCGCAATGACGATGGTGAAGTATCAGTGGTGTAGACTTCCTTGAAGTTTATAATATGAGGGTGGGGTTCTTGTCGTAGACATCTTAAAATCAGTATTTCTCTTAAAGACCTTTTAGCATTTCCATTTGACTCCAAAGGCCGAAGTAATTTTTTGATTACAACATTTTTCGAAGTATTATCCTTTGCCAAACAGACAATACCTTGGGCACCACACGATATTTTCGATAAACCAGTATACCTATTTCTAACTATCCAAGGAAACTCATCTATCAGAGTTGAGTAAAAACCGTCTAGCAACATGTTTCGCTCACACATGCTTTCAGTCGACTGTGCTTTGAAAAGAACCTTGTGAGTCAGGCCAATGATAACTTCGTTAAACGTCAGAGGAAATCCCATATCTAATAAATATTCATAAGTTTACGATACAATTATGGTTTTTCAAAGTTATAAATACTGTTTTTTATATTTAAGTTTGGGTTTTATCATAAAGTGATGATAGTTTATTAAGATTACAGTTTCTTTCAGAAGTTTTCGATTTAAAAAGCTAGAATTATTTCTAACGGAAGCTATTGAGTCATTTCATTTACTACGAAAAATGATAAAAACCTAGCGCTTTCATTCAAGAAATACCAGATAAGCGAATTTTTTTGGTTTTTTTGCTTAACAGTTTACTTGTTTGTTATTTAAAACACTCTTATCCTATCGTGAGACCTCCTACACAAGATTTATTCTAAATGCAGTAAATTTACGTTTATAACTTTCGCTGACGTAATAAATATGAGCTTCCTATTTTATGATGGTTATGGTATTTCCTCCTATACGAATGTTCGAAACATTGCACAACGAATAGTTTAAACAAATTCAATCGTTATTATCTTATTAATTTAATTTGTCAGTTTTATCGTGTAGGTGTTATAGACCTATGAAATTATTTTGATATAATTTTACGGTATTTCCAGTTCATGATCTACATATTTTTAAAGTTTTCATGCTTAAAATTTCTAGACAGATTGGACTGTATTGAACATGATCAAATATTGACTTTGTGTCGGGTATATAGACAAGGAGTGGAGTACTTCTTTAAATATGAACATTTATCGATATTCTCATTTTCACTTTAGTATTTTTCTAACCTTTACGATTATATTGCAAAAGAACTTCGTTTTTATTGAAAATATAAATTAATAGGCTGATTTTATTTCAAGTTAACCGACAAATAAAGGACAATACAATTGATTTGAGTATTTGAAAAAATGGGTTCCCATTCCGCTTTCATTTTTTTTTCAATATTTCGCTGAGGGACAATTTTCCGATTACCTTGTAGTGAGATGGCGGACTAGGAGATTTTGTTTACAAATTAAAGAATTAAAAGGGTAGGAAATGAATAGTGAGGCACTGCAATCTGCCGATAAACTATCGGAAAAATTCGTGCAATCAATTAGAGTCCTTTTCGAGATATTGGATGAAGATAAAACAGGTTTTGTTCACGTTGACGCTATTTCCCCCAGATGGAATGGGGACAAAACTGTTACAATACAACTGCGAAAATTTGCTACATCTGCCGGCTTTTTAACATTTGAAAGTTTATGTAAAGCATTTAGACAAGTTGTATGCGCTAAAGAAGTTCATAAAGAGAAAATGATCAACGAAGAATCCAATGAACCGGTCAAATATGGATTTCAAAGTTTTCTTAGCGAATCTGATTTGGAAACGAAAAAAGCAGTAGAGAATACTTATGCACAAACTTTAAAAAGCAAAAGTTCTATGATCTACAGTAAGACGAAGGGTGGTAATCAATTAACTCATAATCATAGACAACGTGACCAAGCTACCGTCAACAATTTAGATTTTGCTGCAATGCCTCTCAACTCTCAGTTTGATGCCAAATTTCCTAAAACTTTAAGCATGAGTTCAATTAAAGTACCTGGTAAGAGAAAGAATATATATATTGATTTTAAGCATTTCAAACACCTTTTAAAGAATAAACTGAAATTTTTTCATCTTCAGATCACGCAATGAAAAGTACTCTACCTAGAAATAATTCCCGCAATAGCTATATGAATAGAAGATCACGAGAATCTCGGAGACATACCGTTGGAGGAGATGATTCAAATATCGACCATGGAATGGTAATATAGATAAAATGGCTTTGCTATTAAGTCTATATTAAGTACGTATAAGTCGTCTAATAAAGTGTGTATATGAATTTTATAGATAAGAAGAGCTCAATTACTTGATGAAGAACGTAGAACATTGGAAAAAGGTTTAGAAAAGATTGAAAAAGCAAAATCATGGTATTTATCAAAAATAGAAAATATTAAAAGTAAACAAGGTAGTCTTGAACAGAATAAGGTTTGTATTTATCTATTACAAAATTCAATTGCTTTTTTTGCAATTTCATTATGAATAGTTTCTTTTTATACTTTTAAATAGGAAAATTGGTCAATTGAGGCTTGTAGAGATAGATTAAAGTTACAGAATGCAAGAATTCAAGAATTGAATCAACAATTGGAAGCACTTGTACTAAGCTCGGAAAAGGTTATTATATCAATCTTCTTTCTTTTTTACCACTGGGTTAATATTTGATTCAATAGTTAATCGTATTAGATATTGAATAGGATTAAAATACTAAAATTTAAGCTAATAATAGGAAATCATGCATATTCATTTTATACTATAAGGAAATTTTTCTCATTGATATAAATCTCTACAATTATAAAATAAGAAAAATCTATTTCTCATGCTGACTAAAATACCTGTTTTTTTTTTTAATTCTTTTAATCAGGGTCTACCGTTACATATGAACTTAGCGTTTAGCGAAACACCGAACAAGGCCAATAATGTCTCAAACGATAATCATCATCAATATATAATTTTGAAATCTCAAAAAGATAAGATTGAACAGGTTTTATTCATTTTGCTACTTTTTATTAATTTCATATTTTAACAACTAATTTTTTTTATTAAAAAAAAATAAAAACAGCAAATGCAAAAATTGACTGAAAAAGTTGAACAGCTAGAAAATGAAAAACAAACTCTAATACGTGACGTTTTCGAGGCAAGAGCATGTAGTAGAAAAGGTATATTCTTAGACGATTCTACATTTATGTAAATTAGGTTTTTATCAGACTTTTTAAACACATTTCTTTAGTTTGTTTTTGTTAGATTTTATGAAATTTTTTGTCTGTTTTTTTTTTTTAAAATATCTTTTTATCTAATATCAATGTGTTGTTATTCTTTCCTCTATTCATCTCTCTCTCTCTCTCTCTCTCTCTCTCTCTCTCTCTCTGTCCCCTTATAATTATTGATAAACCATTCCAAACAATCAAGTGAGCAGATTTAAATTTTAAACATAACTGTTATTGTTCTAATATAAATACAATAGTTTTTCTCTTGTCAATTTGTTAGTAATCTTTCTTGTTTCTTAATGATTTTCTTATTATTTTATCTATTAGTGAAAGAGATTAAGGACTGAAATTTTTTATTGACAGATATTCCAAACTAGTTCTTTCCAGTCATCAATACTTTTAGATTGTTCTTCCAGTTGACAATCTAATATAGGGCAAGAGAAATTTTTAGTCGCCTGATAGGCTTTTGCTTTGAAATAGTCGAAGCTTTTATGATTAAGTGTATCGACTGCTGAAGTTCTTGTTTCGGAATCAAAGTTTAGCATTTCTTTGAGTAATTCAATTACAAGGTAATGTTTTCCATGAAAATATTCATTCATATTGACTGGTGGTTCATCGGGAAGTGTTTTTATGTATTCTCTTGCATTTATAGATATTATTTTAGAAAGTACTGTTTCGTTTGGTTTACCAACGAATTTTATAATATTTTGGAAATGCTTTACTAAAGTGTCTCCTCTAAATAGAATTTCGCCGGTAAGCATCTCAGCTAGAATGCAACCAGCACTCCAAACGTCTACGTTTGACTTATAATGCGTCCAATTGCATATTACCTCTGGAGCTCTGTAAGGTCTCGTTATTACGTAGCCAGACATTTCACTAGCGCTTGTTCTTGACAGACCGAAATCCAAAAGTTTTACATAGCAATTATCACTTATGGCAATATTACTTGGCTTAAGATCTCTATGTAATATACCTGCAGAATGTAAATAGGCCAAGGCACTCAAAACTTGGCCAATGATTTTTAAAGCGTCTGTTTCATCATATTTCCCAACCTTCTTAAGAGCTTGTTCTAAATCTTTGCCAATATATTCGGTGACAATATATACATTATTAAATAACTCTAGGCCTGAATCGGGAGTAAAACTCTCTATGAGACCTATGATATGTGGATGGGAAGATTTCGCTAAATGTTTATGAATAACAATTTCTCTCCAAGATCTTTTAGCACAGCTTTCCGAATCAAACGGTTTAATTAGTTTCTTAACAGCAACTTTACCAAAATGACCATTAGACGCTAAACAAACAAGACTTTGAGAACTACAACCTATTTTTTCTAAATCATAATAGCACCTCCTAATAGTCCATGGGAACGAATCAACAACAGTTGAGTAATATTCATCACCCATCCTGTAATAAGCAAATAACTTATTATATATGATATAGGAGAATCAAAAACAAAATTGTAAATTATATCGATAATGCTCCATTTTTTATTTGTACTGCCATTATAATTATAAATAATGATGTAATCCTCATTTTTACTTACTTAATCATTTAAAGATAAAAATAATTATTTACTAGTATTAAGACAAGATGTATTGAATATTAGGCCTACTATGGTTGATTGCTCAAATGCAGTACTGTAAACGTATCTTTGGATCTATTTCATTTCACTATTATTTTAATAATATATTTATATTTTTTTATTAAATATTTTTTAGCCTCTAAACATCATATTTTAAACATAAATATCTATTAGGGGGACAACAAAAGAAAGACGACCGTATTTTATTTCTATGATCAGGCCTAGATCGTCCCCATAACAACGCCGCAACTAACAACATGGCGATGAATTTTACTGGAATTTGAAAAAGATTGTTGATTATTTTAGCAATAAATATATTTTTCGAATAAATCAAACTTTCTTATGAATACTAAGAATATTTATGATTATCATTAGAGTTTTTTAATTTCGTTTATCAAATATTATACTCGTTATGTCTACTTTGGAAGTTGACGAAAAAATCAAATGGTTAGAGGCAAGGATAGCCTCTTCCCTGAAACCAAGGAATGAAGAACTTAAAAATATGATCGCTGATGATGATAATCGGTAAGGATATTATCAAAAATCTATACTTATTTAATTTTACCTTGGTTGTCATTAAAGTAGGCCTAAGTTTTATTTTGTAGCAGCCGAAAATTATAGACGGGGCACCTATGCAGTAAAATTCTTTAAAAAAAAAATTAAATTAATGAATTTACTAGTGAATACAGAATAATTGAATATTAAATTTCTAACTAATTGATTTAAATAAGGATAAGTTTATACATTTCTCTAAAATATCTATAAATATAGAAATATAAAGGGGAAAATAAACCTATTAGAATGTTAAGGGAAAAAAAATCGAATTTTTTGATTCTAAAAAAGAATACCTTAATTAAATCTAAATATCTATTTTTGTTATTTTTCATTCTGGTCTAAATAATTATAGATTTCAAGAAGATGGGGAAATGGACCGTTAATTATAAATATATAATTTGACTTTTATTTTATCAAGATAGTCAATGGGCTTTCATTATTTTTGAATTCAGGTTTCTTATTTAGATTATTAATTTATAGTAATTAAATAGTGACTTTAGACCTCTAGTCAAATGGCAAATTAGTTAATTCGGTTTGGGAAATAGATCTAATTGAGTTTAAAGTTCCTATTCCCATTGAATCTTTATTCTATCAAATTCAAATCAATGGGGACTTTCCTTCCCCAATTTTTACCTCTTTAATCTATCATCATATTTTAATGCAAATGTTCAATTTCACAGGTTAGCTTTCCATACATTTTTTACCAATGAAGACATCCGAAAACTATTCGTAGTCACTAGGCCTAATAAAAAATTGATAGCATCTCTCAATCCTCCAAATTCTATACAAAATAAGGCAATATTTTTCCTGAAAGCTAGTACAGGCGTTACTATTACAAAGCATAATTTAGATAATGAAATAATGTTTATGGACTGCTCACCTAATTCATTGGAACATGTCGAGATGCTCTGCCGTGAAGTATTTCTTCCACTGCTATGTTCGGATGCGAAAAATGCTAACGATCTTGGAGTTAATGCTGATAAACTATTAGATGTGCTTCATAGGCTTATGGCTCATGTTGAAATAGCCCAAGGCCATTCGTTGGGTGAAATCTATCTACCATTGCCATCCATATCCGTTCTTCAAGAGGCGGCGGCAAATCCGAATAGAAGACTGGCTGTTATCCATGTATTAGAATCCACAGTTATACTCTGGATGAAACAAATTCATGTTTGTATGAACTTAAATAAGAGTCAAATTTTAAAACAAAAGTAATATCTTTTGTCTATTGTGTTATACAGGCTGTATTGAAGCAAGATGCAGTCATGGAGGTAAGCTCAAAGCATAACTTACCAACAATTCTTGATGAGATTAGATTTTGGCAAAATAAATTACGTCTCCTGCAATCAATAAATGACCAACTAAAAGGATCAATGGGTGTGGACATTCTTCATAATCTTTTCCAAGCCCAGAGCGTTTACGCACACTCCTTTGCTGGAGTTCAAGAGGAAATGGAAGGGCACTTTCATTTTGTTACAGAAAATCTAACTCTACTCCACACCATAAAACGTTGGGTGCTTGAACTCGATTCTTGTGAAAATGTGGATCGATTAATGAAATTGGCGGCACCCTCAATGCATGTTCTTTTGTTAATTTGGCAAAACTCGCCCTACTACCATGCCCCCGAAAGACTCCAGCATTTGCTAACTCTAATCTCTAATCATGTTGTTATTAGGGCTAGATGTATCGTTGGGCAAGAAGTTCTTAAGGATCCTGTTACATCTCATTCCAAGTTGAGCTCTGCCCTTCGCGTCTGTGCTTCCTGGAGAGGTAAATACCTAGATGAGAGGGACCGAGCACATGAAATAAATGAACGAAACAAACTACAAAGAAAAGACGATTACGTATTCAGACCATCCCTATCTAGTGGCCTCTTTACAACCAAGATGTACGGACCACATGCTTATAAACCAAGCTTCAATAGCGGAAGAGGTAAAATTGAGTGTTGCTTTGATTTATCTATGATTTAATAAATATCGTGTAATTGATTATTTTCAGAGGAAAAATCAAAAACAGGAGACAATGATACAAAATCGGACTCTCCTTGGCCGCCAAGAAACGCCCCATGCTTCTCCAATCTCAACGCTTTCATGGAAAGATGTAATGACGTGCTCGAATTGGTTCAAACAACAAGACATTTCTCACTTTTAGCTGATGCTGCCAAAGTTGGAGGTGCCGGAAGTAGGTCTCTGGACGCACTCGTTAAAGAAATACATGAGAGATATGTCGAATCAACCAACGAGTTCTTCTCAAAAGTCGACGATGTTCTTGATACTTTTTCACCAACATTCAACAAAGCTTTCTTCCATTTACGAATGAGCGTTAGAGATCTAGAGAGAAAATTAGCCAGTGTTCTTCGATCAGCCTTCTTACACTGCCCCACTTTATACGCTCAACTGAGATTATTAGAAGTATTTGAAGGAGTTAGTGAAAGAGAACACGTTCGACTAGAATTGAAAGTATGTGAAACTTAAGAATTGGTATAATGTTAATATTTAATTTGATTCGATTTTTTTTCAGGATAAAGATGAAACACTTGCAAGAAGTTTAACAGATGAATTAATTAATGTGAAAGAAATGTTCCAAGCTAACAAAGATAATCCTCCTCAGCATGTTAACACGCCTAAAACCTCTTCAAGTTTACTCTGGGCATGGGCTATTAGGCAGAGAATTCAAGAACCAATGTCGAGAATGCGTCGTGTATGCTCTCATGTCTTAAATGGAGATTCGGGATGGGCTTTGCGTGACGCTTATAATGATCTTATCAATGATATTGAGAAATATGAAGCAGATACTGCAAAAGATTGGGAGGAACGTATTTCCAAGGAATTAGCTGAACGCCTTCGCGAACCACTTCTCCGTACCGACCCATTTGAAGATGATGAATTAGATCGACCATTAATGATTCATGTAAATCTTGATCCTACATTGTTAAAATTGTTGAGAGAAGTTAAACATCTGACTAGTAGTCCATTAGATCTAAAGATACCAAGACATATACGTCATCTTGTTAGAGATGTTGACGCATCTGAACTATCTTTAACAGCCACAAGACTACATACCATTTCATCAAAGTATAATTCTGCCATGAAAATGTTGACACCCCAAACAAAATCTTTGATGGAGAGGACATTAACGAAAATTGATGGAATCCTTGAAGACGGTCTTCATTCGTATACTTGGAGGACAGTTCAGAGTGCCGATTATATTGAAGATGCAACTAGCCTCGTTTGTCATCAATTTCATGATGTTTTGGATATAGTTGAGAGCAACTATGAAGCTGTCATCGACATAACCACCAGTTGGCTTGGATTATCTTTAGATGTTTTTAGTGATAGAGATCCTGAAGCTTTAAGTGTCGATTATCTTGTTTCTAAACAATCCCATATAAGCGATTCTGCAAGGAGTTCTATAGTTACCGGAGGTATGAAAATTCATGCCCTTCTTAAAGAATCATTTGAAGTAGTTCAAATAAGCGAAGCGTCTCCCGCGTGGCAAGCTTACGTTGATTTTATAGATACTCAGGTACTTAACGGACTAAAAGCTGCATGTGATTGTAGCATTAAAGCCATGATTACTGAATTTGCAATGTGCTGTGAACCTGATGTTATAGGAGCTCCAGTTATATCTATCAGATTAGAATTAATTGATAATCAGGTAGCTTTTAGACCTCCTTTGGATGTTGCAACTGCTTCAAAAAGTGTGCCTGAAACAATAAACTCTTGGATTGAATCCTACCTAGAAAGAGGATCATACGTTTACATGCTTAGTGACCGAGAACATACATTTGAAGACTTTATAAGACACGATTCGGATCTGCAAAGTAAGATAAGTCAAATTAAGAGAATTGTTAGAGACAACTGCGATGAATGCTCAAAATTGCAAGCAACATTCAATCAGTTTTCGTTCCTTTGGATGCAAGACGTTCATGAAACGTTCAAGGAATTCCTAAAAGGAGACATTCATCCAAATGTTAGGAGGGAAGGTTCGGCAAGAAGAGTACTTTCAGCATCTAGTTCGGTGAGACTTGCAGTAAGATCAACATCGTCAACTTCTTCTATTGTCGAGTCAGGTCTTATAGGTACAGGAGAACAAGCTTTCTTATCAAAAGATAATCCTCAAGTGCCAACTTTGGATCAGTTTGATACTGAGATAGATATGCATAGAACAGCCAAGGATGAAATTTCTAGAATATCTGATAGCGAATCTATCGGATTCATAGAAGTTGACATGAGACCTATAAAACAAGTCTTGTTAACACTAGCATCAAAATGGATGTGGATTTTTGTTTCTTATCTCGTCAATCAGGTGTCAACTATGCTAATGGAACTGGATGAATGGCTATGTAGGATAGAGCCAGAAATTGAAGCAATTTCGGGCGAAGAATCGGACACAAACTCTTTTATGAAACTAATGAGATTGTTCAATAGCGTTGCAGCAAAACAGGCAGATATGGATGCAAAATTTGCAGCAATGCATAGAACCGTTTTATTGGTGAAAAAGTATGGTTATCATCTACCGAAACCAACTTTTGACTTGTTTGAGGCAGCACCATCTCGTTGGGCCAGCCTGAAGACGAAAGTTTCTCTGGCCAAACAAAGACTTGGACCAAGAATTCAACAGCAATCTACAATCATTACGGAAGACTTAAATGTTTTCTCTGAAAAGCTAAAAAGTCTCCAAAGAGATATTTTAGCAAGTGACGTCTATCATCGAGAAATTCACTTTGATGATGCTTTGAAAACTGTTGATAGGTAATTAGATCATTTTATTTTAACATGATCATTGTTTTATCCTAAATTTTATCAATTGAATTATAGATTAACTATGAGAGCGGATCTCTTAGAAAAAGAAGCATCCGATCTGCAGGAATTGCAGCAATTACTTGAAAGTGATGTTGTAAATTTTCAAATAATACCGAACTGTTCTACCTTATTAAATAACTTGAGAATTGTATGGAAAAGGGTAAAAAGTATTGAAGAAGAGCAAAATGAATGGAAAAAATTACGTTGGACTAAAGTTGATACTCAACTATTGCATAATGAAATTACTAAACAAATGGAACTTATTCACAATTTACCTGATGATGTGTTTGCCTGGGACGTTTATGTGGGGCTTCACGAAAATGTTTCAAATGTTCATGCCGGTCTCCCACTTGTTGAACTATTAGGCAATCCAGCTATGAGAACTAGACATTGGAAACAACTTGTTCGAGTTACAGGAGGAGCTCTTCATGTAACTTTAGTACAATTTTTATATAGGAATATAATTTATTTAATTTTTGATAGGTTGACAATGAAAAATTGAAGAAAATGACATTTGGTGAATTGTTAGGTATGAATTTACACAGACATTCAGAAGATGTTCGTGCTATTGTCCAAAGAGCTGTGAAAGATCTCACAGTTGAGAAGACATTGAAAACGTATGAGGAAATTTGGTTAGGTAAATTATTAGAATTAAAAGAACATGCTAGAAATCGAGCACTTATTGCTCATTATGAATCGTCGACCAAAGAATCTAATAATAGAGAAGGTGATACTTTTAGTGAAGTTTCACAACCTGAGAGAGGATCAAGACAATATTCACGAATGTCTGGTACAACAGCCTCTAGAATGCGAAAGGCTTCTGTATCATCTTTACCTGCTTCTATGCTAAATGTTGACGTAAGTTTATAGATAAATCTCATTTAATTTGTTAAATTCTTACCTATCAATAATTTTAGGATACTGGAGCTGTATACTTACTCACCAATACTGATCCAATACTAGATGAATTGGAAAATCATCAAGTGTCTTTACAAGCTATGCAAACATCCTCTGCTGCTGGTAGCTTTCTTGATGAGGTCCTCAAGTGGCAACGCCGCCTTCATACAATTGAATCGGTACTTTCTGATTGGCTAAAAGCCCAAAAATACTGGGTCGAATTGGAGGAAGCTTATTCCTCTCAAGATGTTCGAACTGCTTTACCGACTGATTCAGCACATTTCGCAACAGCAAGTAAAGATTTTAGATTATTGATGAAAGCAACGGAAAAGAATTCGAATGTCTTACAATGTTGCGAACGTAAACATGTTGCAAGCTTACTTGAAAGGCTTGTTAACACTTTTGAAAAATGCTATAACGCTCTGTTGAGACATATCGAGAGGAGGCGTCAAAAATTTCCAAGGTTTTTTTTCCTTTCTCTTCCGGATGTCTTTCATATTGTTGCCAATGGTTATGATGTTTCCGAAGCTGCTAAATATCTTAACAAACTATTTGAAGGAATTGGTGGAATTGAACACGAAATTCTTACAGATGAAGATAAATTTGGATCGAAAATAACGTCTGTTTTATCTGCTCTTGGTGAGCGCTTACCCATAGAAAAACCAGTTTTAACTGATTCTCCAGTTGAAACTTGGTTACTACAATTATTTAAGGGAATGAGAAAGAGTCTTGTTGGCCAAATGGTTACAGCTCTTCAACTGGAACCAATTCCAGAATTTAGACGAATTAGACCTAAGAAAAAGAAAATAATTCAAACAGTGCCACCTCCAGCCATTGGCAGATCGAGTACTGCTGGAAGAGCAAGTACGGCAGCGGGAAGGAAGACTCCCGCAACTGGTCAAAAAACTCCAACAACTGGTCAAAAGACTCCTGCCATTGAGGAAAAAGAAGAAGAACCAGAAGTAGAAGAGGCTGGTTCTTTGTTACTAAATCATGTTACAGAAATTATATACCTCTCCAAGTTGATAGAATTATCTCAATCAGCCACCGAAACTGTGGAGAATTTGGACGGAGGTAAACCGGATAGTATTGATGAATCTTTAACTTTAGTTGAAGAGAATATCCGCCACACTGTTCTTATGCTTAAGGGAGCGGAAGGTGAAGAAGAGAGAGCTAAAAGGGAGCAGGAAGAGGCTAAAGATCAAGAAGAAAAGCAGGAAGAAAATGAAGAAAAAGAAGATCCAGAAGGTGAAGAAAAGTCTAAAAAGTCGCCTGAAAAAGGCGAAACAACTATGACTCTTACAGCATTAGAACCTCCTCTTATTTCTGAAAAGGACAACGAGGAAGAAGAGGAAGTTATTGATGATAAAGAAATTAAATTAATGCTATTGCCAGCTCAGTTACATAAAATTCAGTCCATAATTGCTTTATTAACTCATCATAAAAATCTCCTTGAAAGAATAAAAGAAGAACAAAAAGCAGGAAACTCAAATATAAATAACTCTTTCCTTTGGACATCTCAATTCTTGTATTCCTTCAACGAAGGAAACCGTTCAGTTGTCATTAGAGTTCACGATGTTGAATTAGAATATGGATTTGAATACATGGGCTCAGCTCAAAGGCAAATTTTAACTCCTCACACCGAGAGGGTGTTTCTTCATATGGCTCAAGCCATAGCAGGGCAACTTGGTGGACTGTTAATTGGTGAAGAGGGGTCCGGAAAGCTAGAAACAGTTACGGAATTGGCAAGATCTCTTGGCAGACCTCTTTATGTTATGAGTTGTTGTTCAGACACCACTTCTGCTCTGTTATATAATGTTTTCAAGGGTTTTTGTGGTGCAGGAGCGTGGATGGCTTGGAATAAAATCAATCTTATACCTGTTCCCGTTCTAGCAACGTTTGCCCAGTTACTTGATGCTATAAGAGAAGCATACAAAGAGGAAAAGTCAAGTGTCCACATTGAATCAATGGATGTACCATTTAATAAACTAGGAGCATGCTTCGCTCTTATGGACACAAAAAAAGTATTCGACAAATCATCTGTTCTTGGTCTACCACCTGGAAAAAATATTTCAGCTCCAAAAGTTGTTCCACTTCCAGCTGAGCTTTTGGATCATTTTAGAGTGGTATCACTTGTTCCGCCAAATCTACGACTATACACAGAAGTTCTTTTAACATCTCAGGGTTTTGAAAATGCCTCGCAATTGGCGAGAAAGACAACCAATCTATTAGAACTGATAAGAGACTTAATAGATGATATTAGACCGTCACAGCTAGCTCTGAAAGCAATAGCTATGGAAGCAGGTATCTTGTTGGAAGAGTTTAACGGAGAAGATGAAGATGAGGCAATAGTAATTGCAATAAGAAACTCATTTATGCCTTGTATTGACAATGAAAAGAATACACTCATGCTCATACGGTAGGTTTATATTTTAATGAAAACTTTATAATAAATCATTTAATTTACAAATAACTTCAACAGATTGATCAATGACATGTGGCCCAATAACAAAGTTCCTTTAATCTTTACTGGAGCAAGAGAACCCTCTCCCGAGGCAGATATTTTAAGGGTATCGACAGCTGGTAGCGTAATTCAGATAAATACTCCAATAGTTGGAGCAATAAATGAAAATCGAGACCCAATAGAGAAGATTGAAGATGCTATAGCTCTGTCCACCATTGGTTTAGGGCTTGTGTCTGGTTCATCTTTCGAAGCTAGAGTTCTACAGTTAGCTCAATTATCAATTGGTAGAAGAACTCTGGTTGTTACTGGAAGCGCTGGCTGCGGTAAATCAGAAATCATCAAAACGTGGGCGCTGGCTGAAAGAGATAGAGGAAAGATTGTTAATATCCAAAGTGTTTTTACAAAAGCTTTACCAGACCCAAGACAATTATTGGGATATTTTGACAAAGGGATATGGAAAGACGGTCTACTAGCCTCTTTATTGCGAAAAGTTTCATCTCAAATACCTCCAGCCTCAGAAGTTGACCTTTTGAAAGAAGCGTCTATTGAAATTGTACAATTGGACGGAGATATGACAACCAATCAAGTTGAATTGATAACAAACGTTCTTCAAAGTGATTCTACAGTCGTGTTTGCTAATAATGAAAGAATAGTAACACCTCATACTTTACGCTTTGTCTGGGAGACAACATCTCTTGAATCTGTTACCCCAGCTCTACTTGCTCATGTAGGTATTGTATCGGTTGGTGATGAGGATATTGGATGGCGCTTACCTCTAACGAATTGGTTAAATAGACGTTCAGATGGGGCGGAGAGAAGGATTTTGAACAATCTATGCGACATCTACCTCCCTATAGTTCTAGAAGTCATTCGCGAGGGTACTCGACCGGAGATGTTAGGAAAGAGAATATCAGATGATGTTCCAAGGCTCAAGACCAGCGTCACCCTGAATACTTTGGGCGTAATTCATACTTTTACGACCCTATTGGATGCCCTTGCAAATCCTCTCGGAGGACTAGGTCAAATGAGTGACACGGAAGTTGAAAGATGCTTCATTTGGGCATTAATCTGGGCAGTAGGAGGAACAGTTGAAAATCGCAAGGTTTTATCCTACTGGTGGAGAAAAACGTTTCCATTATCAGATATGCCAGAAGAAGATACGATTTTTGATTACACAATAGACGGTGAAACGAGAGATTGGGTTCACTGGAAACAATTTATATCCGCTTATAGTGGACCGAATCAAGAAGGTATCCCGTTTGATTCCTTCGTTCCAAGTATTAGAACAACACAGGTCTTGCATCTACTAAATTTATTCAGCGATGCATCCAAATCAGTATTACTAACTGGTGCAAATGGCGCCGGAAAAACTTCAATAGTAAATGAAAGAATAAGAACAGCGTGCTCTGGAGAAGTAGCCGAACTCTCCTCTTTAACAATAAATTGTAACATGTAAGTAAGACAACCTTTTCTTATAACCTCATGTAAAAATACCATTAATTTGATATACTAAAAAGAAAAAGCCTTATTGAATTTAAATAATGCAAAAGAGAATTCTGTTAATTAATGTCAAAACCTTAAGTGTGTAAAATAAACCTAACTATAACGATGAAAGCCTGAAAGAAAAGAAGTGGTCTACAGCCAGAGAAGAAAACGATAAGACGAACATTTGGAAGAAGAAGAAGCGAAATTTAATAATTTTTTTGCTGTGATAATATTTATTTTGATTTTTCTAATTTATTTACAATATTATTAATTTATTAATTGTTATTTTTAAAAGAAGTCACTCTATCTAACCTAAAACTTTTCTTTAGTGTGCATTTTTTTTACATGACTTTATACCAGATTGAGCGATTCAGAAATATTAACAAGAACCTTATATGAACACCTTATATATGGTTACGGAACCGACAGGTTTATATTAATATAAGCAAAAGCAATTAAAGCAAAACAATTTTGCCTCATTCCTTCCCTTCCACTCACCTATTTTTAGATTTTTATTAAACATTTTGCACGATTTGTTTCTTTCCCTCCACGTTTGTTGATTACAACTATTAATTATGATTATTTATTTAGACAATTTGGCAAATTATTATAGTAGTTAAATATTATTGTTTATTATTATTTGTATATTTGTATTAATCGTTCATTTTTATTATTTTTTATTTCACCTTCGTACAGTTTAACGAACGCTACAGTTCTTAACGATCGTCTTGCTGAAAGAGTTGAATGGCGACATGGCAGGACTTACGTTCCCAGGGCCAATAAACGACTTATGTTATTTGTTGATGATCTGCATGCTACTGGATCGGCTGCCGAACTTATTAGACAGCATATTGATGATGGAGGTTTTTATGAACCTTCTAATTTGATTTGGAGATATGTTAAAAACGTTTTATATGTTGCTTGTTTAACTCCCGGAGAAGTCCTGTCGCCAAGATTGTTACGTCATTTTGCCGTGCTACATGTACCTACACCAGAATTAGATGAGCTACAAACCATTTTCTCGACGTTACTGAATGCTCACTTTACTCAGCTCGGTAAACCAAATTTAGAGGAAGAACAGCATTATGCAAACAGAGATGAACAGGACAAATTATCAGCATCAATAGAAAAAATGATTAAAGTCAGCTGTGAACTTCAAGATAAGCTATCGAAGATGTTTTTGCCAACGGCTGAAAGAATTCACTACATTTGGAACTTACGACACCTTGCAAACGTTTTCAGGAATGTATGTTTGTCAGTTAGGTCGGGAGATCCACTTGAGGACGTTTTACTGTTATGGCGTCATGAATGTTGGAATGCCTATTCTTCGAGAATGATCAATGATGTTGATGTTGGACGCTATGTTGAGGCTTGGACAACTGGAGTTAGAAAGTATTTTGATGATCCTCATAGTTTACGCATATTAACAACCGAAGAGAATGCAGTATTTTCAAATATAGTTGAACATGATTCAGGAATCGTTATGGCAGGACCTTCAATACCTACTAGAAAAGATTACTACAAGAAAATAGAGAAAATTGGCCGTGTAAGAAATCTACTCCAACATGCTATTGACGAATATAATAAAAATCAGCCAAGACTTTCTCTTCGATTATACAAAGTTGCCATTGAAATCGTTTGCAGATGGGCCAGATTATTGGCAGTTGAACACTCGCACATGCTAGTCTTGGCTGACGGCTGCGCTGGTAGAACCAATGGTTTAATAGAACTCGCTTCATATTTAGCTGGCTACAACACAACCACCATAATGCCATCTAATGTTCTTCACTCTTGTAAATATTCTCTTGAATCGTTTAAAAATGATCTTGTTGATTTCTACACTCGAGCTGGAGTTCGTGGTGAAAAGTTGGTTCTTATCCTAAATCAGCATGATATAGTAGATGAGGATATGATTGTATTAGTTTGCGAACTAGTCGTTCATGGAGAAATGTCTCACTTATTTAATAAAGAACATGTGACCACAATTATTAATTCTGTCAGAACGGACGTTACGCAAGCTGGTTTGACTTATACCCATCAGGTGGCCTGGCAGCATTTTTTGAAAACTGTGCAAAAGAATGTTAGGATATGTGTTGTACTCGATGATATGAAATCTATAAACCCAAACTATGTTAGTCTGATGGCACAACATATGAACGTAAGTATTCGAATTTCTTAGATGAATGTTTTTCTCCGTTAAAAATAACATGCAAATATCTCTCCAGGTCTCTTGGCTTTCTCATTGGAACAAGAAGCTTTTGGTAAAGCATGCTTGTACTTGGTTACAATCCTTGAGTGAATTTGAAGATAAAAAGTCAAGGGATAATATTGCTCACCTTTTGGCACATATGCACTTAAGCATAAGAATGCAAGATGGTGCTGAGAAAACCCGAGGAAGTCATGGAAATTTAACTAATTTAACTTTTGAAAGATTCGTTGAACGATACACAACTATGGCCAAAGAAAGGCATGAAAGTGTCGAAAAAGAGCATATGATGCAATTAGATATTATGAGACAGGTTCAGGCTGAAAATTCTACAGCAAAATTAATTAGGAAACAATTGGATCATGAAAAGAATGTTTTGCAAGAGAGAAATGCAGGAGCAATTAGGCTCCTCGTTCAAATAGGACAAGATACAGCTATTACTGAGCAACAAGTTCGTATAGTTAAAGCTCAGATAAGAAAGATGGATAGACTGAAAAAACTTTTACCTGAATACCAAGTAGCTCACGAACGAGCTGTTTATAAGGCTGTAGCTATTGTAAGCGATACGAAAAAGCTAGTTAAAAGCATCTCAAAGGAGTCACTTTCAGAGCTCAGGTCACAAAATAAGCCTATAACGGAAGTTGAGGATTTATTAGCCAATATTATAACCCTTTTAAAATCTCCATCGGCAGATTTAACATGGTCTAGAGGTGCAAAGAGACTTATGGCCAACCTTGACAGATTTTTGGACGAGCTACAAACATTTGATGAAAGAAGCTTACCGGAGGAGACTCTAATACAGGTTGAGGATTTCCTTAAGAGGCCTACTCAAGACCCTGAAGCTGTTCGGTCCAAAACTAATAACGAAGCTTGCTATTCTTTAGCCAAATGGGTGAGCTGGGTTTGTAGATATCATAGAATTATGATATCAAGAGTGCGACCACTTCATGAACGAGTTGAAAAAACTGCTGCAGCTGTTGAGGAAGCCCAATTAAAAATGAAATCTCTCGAAAAGAAGAGGTCAGAACTAGAGAAACGTTTGACAGATCTCGCAAAAGGTTTTGAGGAATCTACAGTAGATAAAAATGAGCAACAAAATAAAACAATTGGAATGGGCGTTACACTGGAAACCGCAGGTGAACTAAAAAAGGTTCTAAAACGAGAAAGGCGAAGGATTGAACAAATTGTTGAATCCTTTATTGCAAGAAAAGCATCGGTAACCGGAGGATGCTGTATTGCTTCAGCATTTGCTTCTTATTTAGCTCCCTACTCCCACTCTTTCAGACGATCTATGTTAACTATAAATTGGCCAATATGTTTAAGAGAAAGGGGTATTCCATTAGTGATAGATTCCATCGATGAGATGAAAGGAAGAGTTGTTGATTGGTCCGTTGAAGCTCTCAAATGTGGTCCTGGAGGTTCAGGAATCGATATCGTGACTGAAGAGAGTAGCACAGATGAAGAGAGAATTGGACAGCTACCACCAAGGGAAGAATACGAATTGGATGAACTTGCAGAGCACGAGAGAGTCTTACTTGGTGCTGATAATGATGAAGATATAGAGGAGAGTGAAAATGACGAAGAGAAAGAAGGTCTTAGAATTGATGAAGAAGAGGAAGAGGAAGAAGAAGAAGAAGAAGAAGAAGAAGCTGAAGAAATTCAGAGAGAAATTCATAATGAAAATGAACAAGATGAAGAAAGTCAAGAGCAAGAAGGACTTGCTGAAGAGGAGGATATATTCGAAGACGATGAAACGGCAGAAAGCCTAGGCACATTAGACGAAGGTCAGATGTTACGCGATGCTATTCAAATTGATGTGGTGAATGACGAAGAATACAGCAAATATATTAATAGCATAGTTAAGCTTCTGGTCGGGGAGAGAATTCTTCATGAGTGGCAAGCTCACGATTTAAGTCTATCCTTAATGGAAAATGCTGCTATTATTGTTACTAGTTGGCAAAGACCTCCAATTTTAAATGACCCTTTTGATGAAGGAATCACTTATATTAGTTGGTTGGTAAGGAAAACATTCGAGAGGCCAATGACTATTGTTGATATGTTTCATCGAGGAGATTCATCTGTTGGGCAAAATCTTGAAAAATCCATTCTGAAAGGTCACACCTTCATTGCTAACAATTGTAGAACTGGTAGCTTGGACTCTGTTCTCTATTCTTCTATTTTGCATTCTAACAGCACTAAACTAGAAGAAGATTCGCCCAGAGTTATTAAACACTTAGGGAGACGATTGTTAGCCAAACCAACTTTTAAATTAATTATGGCGTCACATGAAAAACAGTTTAAACTCTGCCCGACGCTAGCATCACTTACCCTCCCAGTAAGCTTTGTGCCCACTTCACAATCCTTATTGGATGATTTGACCGTACGAGCATTGGCCAGAATAAAGCCTGAGTTATACAGAGAGAGAAGGAAGGCACTTTCTGAGTTGTATAAAAACAGATTATCAATGAGAGAATTAATGAATGAACTCCGACAAAGGTTAGGTAAAGAAACAATCAAGCCAACAGATGTTTCATCTATTGCCGATCTTACTGAAAAGAAAGTAGTTTTAGCTGAAAGAGAAGCAAAAATTCGACAAGTTTTGGATAAACTAAGTAGTTTACAAATCTCAGTAGCGCCATTAGCACAACGAAGTTTGCTGCTGTACAACGCTATTCGTTCCTTGTCGACTATAAACCATAACTATCGATTCACTCTATCGTTTTTTCTGAGAATGTTTGATGCTTCAGTAGGCACTGATCTTCCTCCGGAATTTGGCATGTTAGATGATATTAGTGAGATTGCAACAAGTTCAGATTCAAATTTGGCTCCCCCACCTGCACACGAAGAATTAAGCTCTAAAAATGGAGAAGAGGAAGAAAATCCAAAAGCGGATGTAGAAGAAGAAGAAAAGCCAGCAGAAGAAGCATCTGAGACAGCACCACCAGAATCCCCAAGAAAATCGGAAACGGCTTCTTTCGAACTTCCAACAGAAGTAGAATTACCAACTGAAGGAATTACTTATGAACCCGTATCTGAAGAGGCCATAAAACAAGCTATTGATACTTTAACAGGTAATGTTATCAGTAAACTGGAGCAATGCGTCCTTAAGGAAGATCGGTTGGCAGTGATATCAATGCTAATGCTACTAGTCCGGCATGACTCGCAAAAGGAGCTAAGCGAGGAAGAATTTTCGTTGCTCCGTCAAGGAAATCCGGGAATAGATGTACAATTGACATTAGCGGATTTCAATAGTTCAGACAAGACACCTGAATACATACCATATGCTAAGTGGCAAGATATTATGGCTCTATCAGTACTCCCCGGGCCACTTGACAGTTTCTGTACCAAAATTGCAGAAAACGAAGATTGGAAAGCATGGTATGAAGCACAAAAACCGGAAGAACAATTTCCTATTGAGTTGGACGAGTGGCGAAAACTTTTGATATTACGGTTATTAAGAGCAGATAGAATGCCAGTTGCCCTAACTAGTTATATTAAAGAGCATATGGACGATTCAGGAGTATTAGGAGGGGATCTTGTTCAAGCCATTACAAGTATTGATCTAGGTTTATGTGGTAATTTAATTTTAACTGAATTAAATATGAATATCGATGTTCACGTGACATTGAAAAAATTAGCTGAAGTTATGGGTATTGAATTAAAAACTATCAAAGTATCTGATGGAAACATTCAGGATGTGTTTGATACGATTGATGCAGCTGAACGAGATAATGCCTGGTGTGTCGTATGTGATCTTCACGTAGCTTCCATGAATTATTTTAGTAAACTTTATTCTCATGTGATAAGAATTGCAAGAACCCATCAAACTCTGGGTGAAGAGAAAAAGAAAGAATCAAATTTCTGTATTTGGTATACATCTCTCACTGATTTCGATCTCCCAACAGAATTTGTTTCTAATTCCATCATTTTCGCACCTGATGCTCTTGTTAGGCTTGATCCTAGTAAAGCAGATAAAAAACACTTTTTGCAATTTACCAACGTTGATAACCTTTTATTGGACAATCTCATTGAGACGTTGTCTAGTGTCCCTGACGAATCATGGAATGAAATAAGGCCCAAACAACCTCCAGTTAGACTAGCGGCTTTCGGTTTGTGTGTACTACATTCAATCATTATGAGTAGGCGCTACTTTGGTCAGCGAACTCTAACTCTCCAATACCCTTTGAGTTCTAACGTTCTCAGTCATGCTCTTGAGTCGCTTGCTTCCAGTGATGGAAGGGAAGAAGGATCACCCCCAGAATTGGATGATGTTTGTAGTAGAGTAGTTGATGGAGTATATGCAAATGTGCTGTATGAGGATGCTCAACTAATAAATCACATAGGCAGAACAATTCTCGCACAAACTTTAGTTGAACAAAAGGAGAAAATAAGCTTGAATGGAGCTGAACTCCCCGTTCCAAACCCTAGCATGGATCCAAGTGAATGGACTATATTTTTGACAGAAAATACAATAGAAGTAAACACTTGTCAAGCTCTTTTTATTCATCCGGACGTCGAACGTTCCGTAGATGATGCAAACGGAAGGAAATTATTGAATAAATTTGACAAAATGGTTAAACTAAACACAACTGAGCTTGATTTAGTTCCCGAAGAGGAAAACGTTGATGTACTAAAGCTTAGATCATCTTTGGATCTTATTTCAGATCGGCTTCCACTCCTGCTAGAATTAGAATCAACTCCGGAAAATTTAAAGAACATTCAATTATCATTCCCCTATCATAGACAGAGCATTATCAGTATGGCAACTTCTGAGGATTCGGACAATCTTCCACAAAGTCTTGCTCATGTTCTATTAAAAGAATGCTTAGATTATAATTCGTCAATGATGATAATTCGAGAAGATCTGTTTACAATTGAACGAGAATTAGTTGGAGGAATTGAAGGAATGCCTAAATACCTCCAATCAGTTGTTCAACAATTAGTTTATAATCAAGTTCCACAGAAATGGATTGGAAACTATCCATCAAATCATATAATGGAATCATGGCAACATAAGCTAAATAGAAAATATAACCAATTAAGTAGTTGGTTAAAGCGAGGCATTGTCAAGGAAGACCTCGATGACGCTTTATCAAAATTAAACAAAATTGATTTAAGTTTGTTAAATGACTGTCGAGCTTTTATATCAGCCATGAAACTTGAGAAGGCTGTATTGTCTAAGTGTCAAATAGATGAAGTTGATGTATGCTTCGTTCAAGAATTAGAAGAAGATGATATAGGAATACTTGTAAACGGCCTCCAACTTCAAGGATGTCAATGGAATAATGGAAAAGTTGAAATTTGTCAGGAAAAAGATATCAATCCTCTTCCTGAAGTATATCTAAAAGCAACAAACGACGTAAACAAGGAATGGATTCGTGTACCAGTATTCGTAAACGAATCAAGGCAACAAATATCCTTTAACGCCTTTGTCAAATCTGACGAATCGCTGGACGCTATTGCGGTTGGTGCGGCTGTAATTCTTGATGTTGGAACATCTTTTGAAGAAATATCCTATTCAAGATCGGCTTACTGCTTTACAAAGAGTTCTAGAACAATACAACAAGTACTAGGACCAAAGTCAGCCAAATCCACAGCACAGCATCCTCCATTTATTAAAAATGAAAGCGAGGATACTCATAGGTATTTTAAAGCTAGTTAATTAATCATTTCCCTAAATTTATTTTTACTTAAATAGATCCATAGAAATTAATATATATAAATATAAATTTATATACTATATATACTGTACATGTATATATAGTTACAGATAAATATTCTTTTGACATATTAATTAATTATCTAATTATTAAAGATTAAAAAAATTATCATATTTTCTATGGATTTTCTAAATGTTGTTCCAAAAAAAAAAATGGATAAATATTTTTTTTATTGGATCAAAGTACGTTAAAGTGTTTAGATTATGCGATAGATTTCTGTCGATCTTTCAGTGTCGCCGAGGCTAGTGAGCTTAATGATGCTGATCATTAAGGTATCCAAGAATAGATAAGCCTGATTGTTTCAATTGTTTTTTTTACGCATGCTTAATTAGCTTTTCACTATGATTACCTTCAAATATCTAGATTATAGGATGCTTTAGCTTTGTTTTTTGGTACATATTACGTAACAATCAATAGACAAAATATGCAAATCAAGATATGTATTTATCTATTCTGTACTTAAGAATATTTAAATATATGTAATGGCATTTTTATACAAACTATACCTATTAGTTTATTTTTTGATAAAATTATTGCACTATAAATATCCTCTATCTATGAATTTGTTAAACGTTATAAGAGTTTCAGATTGTAAAAGTGCAATAATCTTATCGCCTGCTCACTGTAGAACAGTCGAATGAAATCAAAATTTTTGGCATTAAATCAAAGTTTGACAAAACACTAGCATCCCAAAATCCGATTGTCCGTACAGTAGCTACAGCATTGTTTTTTTTTAATTTGCTAAGACATACTTTTTCCTTTGTCTGTAGCATTCCTTTTCATTTATAAATTTCTTTTTAGATCACAAGCTACCGATCAATCGAAATCGCAACTTTCTTATAAACCTATAACGCCAAAAGCTTCACCTCTTCCGCTTCACCTACAAATACAAAGGGGTAGAGCTTTAACCCCACGCTCGGGTAACGAAGATGACGCAGATGAGGACAGAGGAACAACTTCATCTCCAGTTAAACCTTGGCCTAAAAATTCGACTCCTCCAGAACAAATGTCAGATACTGGTGGCGACCAAGATCAGAAAGAAGTAAGTGGGGCAGAAAAGCGGACTTCGGAGGCAGGGGAAAAAGAGACATCATCAGAAGAAGTAACTGAATCGGAAGAGACTGAGTCAGAGGAAGAAAATAAAAACTCGAAACCGGTAGAAACAGAAAAGAAAAAAGAAGAAGAGGAAGAGGAAACAGAGACAGAATCGGAAGAGGAAGAGGAAACTGAGGAGGAAACTGAGGAGGAAACTGAAGAGGAAACTGAAAAAAAACCAACTACTGAAGATCAGCAAACAGAGAAAAAAGAGCCAGAAGAGCAAAGTTCCAGTGAATACGAAACAGATTCCTCTGAGGATATTGAGGAAAATAAAACAGAAGAAGAAGAGAAGAAAGAAGACGATAAAGAGAATGAGAAACAATCTGAATTGGCCACAGAAACGGAGACTGAACCTGAAGCAAAAGAACAAAAACAACCACCTGCCAATCGAAAACTCAGTCAAGGACGTCCAATAAATCCTTCTCCAGAGGGTTCTACAAAAGTCCCGACCCCAACCATATTTAGCGAAGCGGATGAAGATGCAGCCCAAAATGAAAACAAAGATGATATGACATCTGAACCAAAATCATCTGCAAGAGATACTGAAAGTGAAAAAAATCCAACAAAAGAGCAAACAACAACATCCGAACACGGACCAGATACTTTAGGAGGAAATAGAGGACCACCAAGTCCAGACAAAGAACCAACAGAAGCCGAAAACCAAGAAATGAATACGAAAGATGGTGCAAAGCAAAATGAAAGTACTGAAGAACCTGAAAAACCTGAAAAAGAGTCGACAAGTTTTACAAGAAAAGCAGATGATAACCCCGAAGCTTTAGGTGAGACTGCTGCCCCCGAAAGCCCTACAAAGGAATTAACAGGAGCTACAAGAAAGGAGGATGATAACCCCGAAACTTTAGGCGAGACTCCTGCCCCCGAAAGCCCTACAAAGGAATTGACAGGAGCTACAAGAAAGGAGGATGAGGACCCCGAAACTTTAGGTGAGACTCCTGCCCCCGAAAGCCCTACAAAGGAACTTACAGGAGCTACAAGAAAGGAGGATCATGAACCTCCCGTTTTAGGAGAAAATCAGGGACCGCCTAGTCCATATCCTCAAAAAGAACCAACAGAAGAACAAAAACCCGACAACGAGCCGAATTCAACTGAAAGATCAGAAGAAAGGGAAGAGAGTGTAAAAGCTGAAGAAAGTGAAAGGTGAAAAGAAGTTGCCAATTGATATAATCACGTGCCAATTGTTTGTTTTTATTTTTGAACGATTTTATCTCTTATTGCAGTGTTGAAAAATAAATAACTGCAATAATGTACATATTTTCAATTATTTTAGGTTTAACAATATAAAACATTAAATTTTAAATGTTTTTTTTCTCTGAGTCTCTGACACATCAAAACTAATTAGAAAAAGGAGGAAAAGGACAGAAATATTATTTTTTATCTCTTTTAATATGAAAATGCAAATCTTTAATAAAATAACTAGAAAGAATGTTTTAAAAGTTTTCTTCAGCATTTTTCAGTATATTTCTTATTTAAAGTAACAGAAGAGATAGTGAATTATTATTGGCCGAATTAATTAATTTATTCAGAATATTTTTTCAATGTAATATATAAATGCGGAAGAATAGAAACTATATTGCAAACTGGTTTAGTTCATAAGATTGACTGCACGTTTGAAGAGCTCCTTACATTTTAGCCATATCTTTCTAGAATAAAGCCAGATAAGTCTACTAATTGTTCATATTACAAATAAGGTATGCTTTTTTGCATTAAAATTTTCAAGTTAATATAGTTCCTATATATCTATTGTGATAAAAATATCTAAAACTGATTTTTCATGGTATTATCGCTCAATATTCTTTTATGCGAAATTACTAGCAACTATAGAAAATATGATTATTCTTTCAATGTATATAGTGTAAAAGATGTATTACTTGTTTATTATATCATGGGAAAAACTAAGTAAGAGATTTGTCTGACAGTTTGACTTGGTCTGAAAAATTTTAATGGAATTGTACATTGGAACCTTAGTGATAGCCTGTATCCCGGTTGCTCTTTTTTTGATATCAAGGCGATTATTAAAAAGTGTAAAAAGCGTTAAGGATAAAGTAGTATTGATAACAGGTGCAAGCTCGGGGTTAGGAGAAGGTCAGTGCTTAGAATAGTTAATTCCGCTTATTATATGTTAATAATAAATACATAATATTTATAGAGTGTGCCAAGGTATTTTACGAGAATGGGGCAGTGATTGTTCTTTGTGCTAGAAGGAAAGCTGAATTAGAACGTGTGAGGCAGTCTTTGTTAGATAATCCAAAGGTAGTATAACTCTATTTTTATTATTGTTGGCCGAAAGAATTTTTTTCAGATCACAGCTGATCCAAAAAGAATAATTCTTCAAGAATTAGATCTAGAAAAGTCTGGATATTTAAATACTATTGTTCAAAGAATTATTTCAAAAACTTCAACCATTGATATCCTCATCAATAATGCTGGAGTTAGCTATAGAGGAGTTGCTCATGAGACTGAGCTTTCAGTCTTCTCCAAGCTGCTGAAAGTTAATGTTCTCGGAACGGTAGAGTTAACAACCTCGGTTCTTCAACACATGATAGAAAAAGAATCAGGTCATATCGTGAATGTTAGCTCGGTTCAGGGTAAAATTGCTATTCCCTATCGATCAGCTTGTGAGTTTACGCCGGTGAAAACTAATTATACTTTCGAGCTAAAAGAATTAATGTTGCAGACGCGGCCAGCAAACATGCCCTTCATGCGTACAGCGATTCCTTGAGAGCTGAAGTATCTTCGAAAGGCATTCAAGTTTCGGTCATTGCTCCAGCCTACATTCGAACAAATTTATCTGTAAACTCTGTCACATCATCAGGCGAAAAGCATGCAGGTCGTTAACATATTGGAGCTCTTTTTCCTATTAAATATATATTCTGTATCACATTGCAGTGATGGATGCGACTACTGCGAAGGGCATGCACCCTCGGTATGTAGCTCAAGTTATTCTAAGCATGGTCAAAGACGAAAAGAGAGAAGTGATCCTGGCTCCCTTCCATCACAGACTAGCAATTATCTTACGAGCTGTCTACCCTTCTATGTATTTTCGAATTATGAATATGAGGGCAACAAAGGAAGAAAACAGCTATGCCTAAACAAATCGAAAATTCCATTTCCTAGAACTGCAACGTAATAATCTTTTTTAAGTCGTTGACTTACTTCGCATCAAGTTAAAGATTGACAATTTTGAAAACAGCTGTTCAATATCGTAAAAAGAGTATCATATTTTTACCAATAATATTCAAATTAGTGAAAAAAATTCTAATTAAATATTGTTCATAAAATGAATGTATTAATTTGGACAACGAAGATGAATACGATGGACCTACTGGAAACATTTTATGACTAGTTAGATTAGTTTTTTTTTTCTTATTTTGCAATAAATATAATAATTTTCCATTTATTAAAACCAAGACACTATCTTCAATTATTCTTAATTAAGGAATATATTAAATTACATTTGTTTATTGTTATCTAGATTTATTTCTCCTATAAGTGCAGGTAACTAACACCTCCATCTTCTCAAACAGCACTTTATTGTTATTTGCAAATGTTGATCGCCTAACCTAAAAGGTTTGCTTATAAATACATTTGTTTTATAAATTACTCACCTGACTCAACCCGGAAAAGTAAGTAAACAAGACCCAATTTAGCAAATTTAAAGTTACTTTCACACTAAAGCTTCTTTATGGAAGTTTTTCTTTCTGCCTATGTATCACTTTATCAACGAAGAGCAGTTTATAAGAGTAAATTGATTAATAGATCTAAGCTTTTCTATAGACAAAAGGGAAACAAGGTTTATTGATAAAGAATGTTAATAATAATCTTTGTTTATTGTTACCAAATCTGGGTCTGATTTATAACATGCAAATTGGCTATGTTAAGCGAATCTTTAATCAACCTTTAGTAGTCATACTTTTTTACAAGTGGTATTACTAACATGGTTAATATATTAATATATTGCATCAAATCTGCATAACAAATTACCTGTATTAGCATATCTTCAGTACCTATGTAACGATTCAATTTATATATATTAATATAAGTACAATACAATTAGACCATATACAACACTCTACTATATTCACTTCTTCACTCTAGCCATATTTAAGCACGCAGATTGTATACATTATGACAAACAACACTGTGACAACCTAAGGCACAGATATAGAAATGATTATGAACGAAATTAATACGGGATGATAATATTGATACGAGGAAAGATAGGCATAAAATTATAATAAATTATCCCAGAATACCATTTAATTAAAATCGTGTGGAGTTTCGTTTGTTTAAAATAATTGACGTATAGAGATACCTCCAACAAATAAAAAACCATAGAAACCAAACTCAAATATCCCAGCTAAACAAATGATGCTTTATAAGCATATCTCTAACACTGTCACGAAGAGGCCGACTCAAATCAGATTGCTTTTGATTTGGTATTTCCCAATCTCTAGATAAATTAAAAGAGAACAGCGAAAGCAATCTGCAAAAGGTAAAAGAAAGGGAAGTCAAGTCTTTTTTCAAAAAAACTAAAATTATCCAATATCCTGGAATTTTTTTTTGTTTTTTGTTTTTTCTTGCTGTTTTTAAAAAAGAACGAGAAAAAGAGAGAAAAACAAACAAAATAAAAAAAATTATCTAATAAATATCTAAATATCCCAGCTAAAGAGATGATGTTTAACAAGCATATCAAAAACTCCCGCCTTGATTTCGCGCATACGTTTTTGGATGTTTTTACGTGCCGAAAGTTCGCAATCTTCAGATAGGGCAAATGGTAAGTTGGCAAGTACCCTAAAATAAAAATTTGTTCACAAAAAACCAGACATTACAACGTGCTTTAAAAAAAAAAAGAAAAAAAAATTAGAGTTAAGAAAAGAGAAAGATGATAATTTTTCTCTCTCGAAAAAAATTGAAAAATTGAACCGTTAAACATACATATTAAAGAAAAAAGAAAGTAAATAAAGATATATATATATATATATCTTATTATTCCACAAAATTAGAGCAAAAAAGTTATTTACAACTTAATACAAAAGTACTAAAAAAAAAAAGAGAAACATGTTCAACTATCGATTAGCCAACTAAACAAATGGTGTTTTATAAGCATTTCTTGTACATTTTCTCGAATTTCTTCAATAATTTTCTTCTTTTTCGAAAGTTCCCAACTGATCGTCAAGTTGAAAGCGAAGTTGGACAGCACCCTAAAAAGGAAGGTAAGCATGCCGGATAACCAAAGATATAGGGGAAAGATTGTTCACAAAGATCATAGAATATAATAGCTAGAGACAACGTAAAAAAGATGAAAAGAACGAAGATAGAGAGAACAAAAAAACAAAAAAAGAATGTCAGTTCTATAAAAATTTTATAATATACTTGTATATAAATTATATATGCTATTTATAGTTTTGCTCCTTTTTTTGTTTAGTTGTTTATATGTTATTCTTACTTATAGAACAGTTAGTAAATTACCGTAATTCGCACTTAATTTGCACCCATCCAGGACTTCTCATAAAAGACCATGGATAATAGTATTTTTCTATTATCTCCGTACATGAACAAAGAGTCTCCAGCCAGAGATGCAAGACTTGTTCACTGTTATTTTAATATTATTTTGAGGATTAAGGGGGGAAATTACATAATACTATAAATATTTTATATTCATTTAATATATAAATACAAACTTTAATCCGCAGCAGATTAACGATCGAAATTTTACGTCCATTTGAGCATGTGCTACATCATGAGTTAGATTCACTCCTTGAACAGCTTTATATAATAATTCTTCAGGAGTTAAAACTTTTCCATCTTCATCTAATCTATATGTTTTGCATAGGACTAGTCTTGAGTATACACTTTGAAAATCTTTTTCAACTTCTTTAGTAGCAGCCTGCACATCGATTAATATTAATTGATTATCTATTTAAATTGTTGATTTTAACCTCTTCTACAAATAACCATGGATGACCTGGACCGGCTAATATGTACGATTTTTTTAATCCATGCTCAAATATAGCTTTAATAGCAGGACATAATCTATAAAAATAAAAAAGAAGGAACAATTTACAGAGTATATAATACTTAAAGGGAATGAAAATAGGCTTATGTACTAACACTCCTCTAACTAAATCAGTGATTGCCTCTGTTACTGTGTCGTCGCCGGCGCAAGAATAACTTTTACTTCGTTCATCTAGTAACTCAACGAACTTTGCAGGAAACCAGCCACGAAGTCCATTTAATTCTCCTATCCAACAATGTTCGTCTCTTTGGGAGATAATCTATTGATCAGAGAGAAAGATTCTATATTTTTCATTAATAAACCAAAATTGTCTATTTTACTGTAATTATATCATTTTTTCTGAATCCTAATTCATCATCGTCGTGTCTTTCAAAGTCTAATAAAGCTTTTGCTCGACGCCGTCTATTTCGTGCTACATTTGCATAATTTTCAAGATCTTTTGCATGACTATCCATTGTATAATCGGCTTGCAAGTTCTATTAATAATTAAATCAAATTAAGAGAAACGACTTTGAAATTGGGATGAAAGAAGCACAGACTAATTTCACATTTTTCGGATCCAAGGACTGAAAATGGCGGCCAACTTGTGAAATTGCATCTCGAAGATTGACCATTAATTCCGTTTGTTGAATATTCTTCGCTTTCTGTATTTCTTCTTCAGTTCCTGATCCTAGTAGAAGCGAAACTAATGACCTTGACCTTTTTAGTTGTCTTTTATTTAATCTCTATGGCACGAAATTTAGAAGGATGTATTGTTAACCAGTTCTTTGAAATAGTATATTGAATTGTTGTATAACCTGTTTTGGAAGATTCTTCATTGACTCAGGATTCACAATGGCACCTTGATCGGCCATAAGATAGGCCAAGTGTTTCCTTCTATGAGTATCAATAATGACATCTGATAGGGAGCCGGAAATTTTAAAGGTAACCTATTAAAATATGGACGATTCATTAAAACTAGGTTATTTTATATTGAAAAGATCTTAATAAGGCTGACATCTAATAATTCATCAACGTCTTGAACGTCACCAGGAGCATCTGATAACGAATTGAATATTTGAGCTGAATTTTCGAAAGATATTAATTCATCCTCCTAAGAAACAATTTAAAATTATTTTGAAGCAAACTTATTAAATGATCGATAATACCTTTAATTTTAACATTCCAATAGTGGCTTGGAAAAGAACAGTAGATCCTTCGTAAAAAAATAAATCCCATAATCGTAGAAGAACTTTAATATGTACAACACTTGCAAAAGCAGTTAGGAACCAATGTAAACAGATTAATGAAACTTCTAGAAAATATTTAAAGCAAAAACAACAAGAGAACTATATTTAGACCATAATGCAGTATATTTTATATTTAACCTATGTCATGACTTTTGAATGCTTCGTCAATTTCGGGTAAATATGTAACTATTAATTGCCTCAAAACTCTTTGATCAGCCTTTTTTTTTTTATTGTGATAATTAAATATATAAATAATATATGTTAATTATTGTTTATTTAATATATAATTCTTACTTGAACGCCAATAAGTGAACTTGAAAAATATGAAGCGGGTAATAAATCTTCAATTATAGAACACATCATCCAGAAAGCGTCTTCCTCTTCCATAAACAATAATAAACAAGCGGCTATCTATTTAATTAAATTTTGATCGCTCAAGTTAATAATGATAAGATAACAAAAATATTATAAATTCTTACCATTCCTGTGCCTTGGCAATAGCCAATATCTGGATATAACCAGGCAATACAACGTAATATACGCCTTAATCTAGGTATCCCTGTACTATTTATATTGCTGAAACAGGCACAATTCGGCATTGTCCTTAAAAGATCCTATAAATAAAGATGAATAATACAAATTATATTCGTGTGAGAAGCAATATGTTGAAAAAAAAAGGTTGATTCACCTTTTCAATTTGCTTTGAAGTCACTAAATGATCAATTGAACTGGCTTTGACCATATCTTTATAGGAAGTTTCCGGCTTTAATTTTCTATCTAAGGCTCCAGTTAACCTCATCCATATTTGAGGTCTCATTGAATGAGGTATACCCTGTTTAACCATACCCCTTAACTTTTCAGAGCGAGGTAGGCGTTTTTCAACTTTATCCCAAGTTAAATCTCCAATTTCATTATGCGTAAATTCTAAATAGGCCGTCCACTTTAAACGTTGTTGAGAATCTTCTATAAAAGGTGTACTTAAAAGTTTACTTGAATTCTGCTCAGGACCGTCTATTCAAAATATTTCAAAGTAAATAAAATAATCAATATTTATCCGTGAGAGGTGGATTTATATAAAAACCTTCTTCTTCAACTTTAAATCCAAATTCGTCATATCTATAATCGAGTTGACCCGATGCATCTTCAGGCTAAATATAGAAAAAATTTAGGGGAAAAAGAGCCTAAATAATAAATTTAGAAAGATTTTAAAGAGCATACAGTATTATTTAATCTAGATAGTATATCCTGTGGCCACATAGATGCTGTGAGAGCTGAGAATGGTCCCCCAGGTGTTGGTACAAATCCGTCGGAGCCCTCATACTGTAAAGGAGCAGACACACTTATTCCATCTCCTGTCACTATAGTTCCTTCATCTTCGTCTTCGGATAAAGTTTCGGCTAGATATAAAAGCAATTCAGTTTTAATATAAAATAGATAACAATAAAAAAAGAACTATTTATACGCCCACGTACGAATAGTTTAAACCCTTTTCACAAAGCTGAATATTTACAATATTTACACTGTAGAATATTATATTCTTGTTTATTTCCGGTCATTAATAAAAATAACGTGTTCTTCTTTTAGAAAATAGAGGATAATGTGAAAATTTCTAAAGTAAACAAGTTGAGTTTTGAAAATGAACTAGATCTGTATCAGTTCGTCACTTCAATTAAGTATCTTAGAGTCATTGCACTTTTAATAAGATTCGCTAGTCGCTGAGGCTAAAATATGATCGATTATTACATGGCTTCAATGTGTTTAGCTGACGGTAACAACAGCTGTCATACTTCTATTTATATACACTTAACTTTAAATGATCTTATCAATTTTAATCTAATAAATGATTAAAACTCACGTTGTAGACGTTTTGAACTGTACCCTTCTGGAGCATGAACGCCTAAAATGCTCTTAGCTAGATCCATTTTAAAGCTTTAATTGTCTTAGTTGAACATTTTCCGCGACAACGTGACCATGACCTTTCTCTAAATTTTCACAATCTATTTTCGTATTTTGTTATTAAAAAAGATAATTTCCATTAAAAACTAATTCAATTCAATAAAATTTTTAGTATTTTTCCTATTGAAAAGGCTCACTTTTATTTTCGTATATATTACTCTTACAGACATTCATTCAAATTTTACTATTAAATGCAATTCTATGAATTAAATTGTTTAAAAGGAGACGAAAAATAGTCATTGAATTTTTTCTATGAGCAATTATATCTTCAAAATTGAAAGAATATAAGAAAATTCACTTTAATAATCGATTTTAAGACGAAAAATATTGCACAACTGAACAACACGTGAAAATAATAATTTGATTCCAGTTTAACTCTACAATCACATTCTCTTTCATATAATAACATTATTAAAATAGCTAAAAAATGGAAAAACCACCAAAAGAAGTTACCGAAGAAGATTTAGAAAGATTAGAGGCCAACGTTCAAATTTCTGGTAAATATATATAGTATATCAGGTTTAGTAAACTGTCTTAACCTATTAAAATTAGATTTTAAAAAGAACAAACTAGAAATCGATGCTAAGAAAAATTGGGATATATTCTATAAAAGAAATACTACAAACTTCTTTAAAGATAGGCAGTGGACAACAAGAGAATTTGAAGAATTATGTGATGTAGAAGATGAAAATGTACGTGAACTCCCGTGTTTAAATTAAAAGAAATAAAATTTCAATCTATAATCAATATGTATATAGAAAGAAATCACTCTTCTAGAAGTTGGATGTGGAGTTGGAAATTTTGTTCTTCCGTTATTGGTTGGGTTCTTGTTTTCGCTTAAGTTCTTTTTGTATTGAAAGTAATATGTTCACTTTGCTACCCTTAGGAAAAGAATAAAAACGCTTTTATTTACGCTTGCGATTTTTCGCCAAGAGCGGTTAAATTTCTCCAAGTAAGTAATATACTATAAGTGAATCCTTGTGTATTTACTTTATATTACGATTTAGGATAATCCAATTTACGAAGCGTCTGATCGTTGTAAGACGTTTGAATGCGATGTCACAAAGGATAGCCTATCGGAAACCGTTCAACCAAATAGCGTCGATATTGCATCTTTGATATTTGTTCTATCGGCAATTCATCCTGAAAAGATGCTTTATTCTATAGAAAACATATATAAAGTTTTAAAACCCGGTGGTATACTAATCTTTCGGGATTATGGTCTTTACGACCATGCCATGTTACGCTTTGCACCAAATAAGAAACTAGATGAGAATCTTTACGTGAGGCAAGATGGCACAAGATCGTATTTCTTTACAACTGGTATTCTTAAAATTCTAATTCGATAATTATTGCCAAGGGATAAAACCTATCTTTTAATTTAATTTAGATAAACTGCAAAGCCTCTGCACAAGCGCTGGTTTCGAAATTATTAAAAATGAATATATATTAAGAAAAACAATTAACAAGAAAGAAGATATAGACGTCGATAGAGTATTTGTGCAGGGCAAGTTTCGAAAGATTTTAAATCAATCATAAATTATTTGCAGTAGGTTATTTTTATATTTCAAAATCACATTAGTTTCTTTCCAGTTTTACAATTAAAATAAAAATTGTAGAATGTTATAGACGATTAAAAATCAGTCAGAACTCTTTCTTTATCCATTTCTAAGGTTTATACTCGTAGGAACAGGTTGGCGGATAATCGCATCCAAAATATTTGATAACAATTGAAGCTGCATAGGCACCGCAGTCTACGCATTCTTCGAGACATTTACCCTGAACTAATTGACTTAGAAAGCCTCCAACGAATGCATCTCCACAGCCATTTGTATCACGTATCTCTTCTTTCTTAATGGGTTTGGGAGGTTGATAAAATATCTTCTCGGAATTGGCAATTACAGTCGAATTAGCCCCTCTTGTAAAGATAACTACTCGTTCTTTTGAACCAGATTTTGGAAGGCGCTGAACAATTTCAGCCATTTCCTCTACAGTCTTACTCTCGTCAAAATTCAAACTGCGCATCAAAGATTTTGCTTCGTCCTCATTTCCAACAAGTACATCAATGGAGCTTAATATATCCTCTTCAGCAAAATAATGACATAAAAATGGTGCAGACAGATTCATAACTAGAGTTTTATTCTTCTCTATTGAATGCTTAGCAATCCTCTTTACGGATTCCTTACAAGTATCGAAAGCAAAACCACCAATATAATATAAATTCGCTCTTTCGATAAATGAAAAATCCTCATTCAGGAAGCTATGATCAAACTTTAGGGAAGCTCCGAGATGGGTTACCAAAGACCTATGGAGAAAGAATTTTATCTAAATATTATGTCTCTATATACTGGTCCTCCCTCATAAACTTTTTTACGGTTTTTTTCTGTTTTTTACCTGTTTTCTCCTGTAATTAAGGCTGCACAAACACCAGTTCTCTCCTCTTCCGTCTCTAGAAAATGACATTCAACTCCGACCTCTTTACAGCATGATTTCATTATCCCTCCAGAAGCATCTTTACCAATAGCTCCAACGAATCCGGTCACTCCCCTTTGGTTTAATATCCATTGAGCAACCCTTATGGAATTTAGTGTGGCGCCACCTGCTGAATATCTGGGTTTCATCTCTTGAATGTCGTCAAAGAGTGCATCATGCTGAGGCGTTGCTAACCTAGCATCATTCTCACTCAGGCCGTATTTCCGGAGGAAATCCGGCGTTGTTTGTACTGTAATATCTAATAATGGGTTTCCTAGGCCTAAGATAGTTCCTTCCGGTAGCATTTTGCCCTGAAAAGATTCTTTGTCACGTATAGAATTACCATATAACGTCAAAAACGTGTAAAACGTACAGTGGAAATAGATCGAATTATATTTATCTTGTTTAGTATACTCTTTATTGAAGCAACTTGTTTGAGCACCATAGTAACCTCTGAAAAGTGAAGGTCACCGATAGATGTCACTAAACTTAGGTTCTGAAAAATAGCTAGGAAAAATAAATACTTATCCAAAATAGCTCAATGTCACGTGATAAAAGGTTTAGATAATATCAAAAATAGATACAAAGCAGCGTATCTAATGAAAACTTGGAATAATATTTAAGCATAAATAGACATTTCAACATTTTTTAACTTTTAAAAGTCATTTTATAGACAGAGTAAGAGAAAGAGAGAGATAGAGGAAAAGAAGGAAACTTACCAACATCACTAAAAGAAAAAAGTGATGATGGAGATGAAAAATTTGGATGATAAATTGGTTGAAAGTCGATGAAAGTAAACTAAAAAGTTTTCCATGTTGATAAAAAGCAAATCTTGCTTTCTTAGGCCTATTCTATCAAATATACAAGTCTCCTTGTAATCTTCATGAACGAACTGTTCTATAATACGTGATTGCGCATTAACAACAGCTATTTTTATAGATATTGTTTTAAATAATACAATTCATTCCTAGCTTTACTTAACTAGTTAAAGCAATTTTTATAACCAGATATAGATAAGATAAGAAGAGCAATTAAGGGTGTTTCCTGAAAGAAACTAATAAAAAAAGTTATACAATTTTTTATTAATTTAACTCTAAAAACTTATTTATAATTTACAGAGCAGCTGCAAAAAAGTCATAACTGAACATTGGTCTAATCTAATAGGTCTTTATACAAAATGGTTTTATTGCATATAGTTACAATATATACTGTATACTATAATAAAATAGGCATAGTTTTTTTTGACTTAAGTAAGAATTTATACGATCGGTGATAAGGCACAGGATCATAAGAATATTATATCAGTAAAATAAAATGTTCATTCCTTCTGAGGAATTTTTCACTCTAGCATCCCTACTCCTTTACTTTTTTGGCTAAAAACACTAAATTAAACAAGCTGGAAAGGAAAAGAAGTGATGGAAATGCAGGAATCATCTATCAATCATAGTCCTTTTTCCGAAGTTGGATACTATTGGGCAAAACCGATGCCGAAGGAGGATTGCGCCTCGTCGGGTATTGCTTCGAGTACAACTACTTATACGGAAGTTGATGTTGCCTCTGAAGCTGATAGTGTGGTAAGGGAATACAAGAGAGTGGAGGAACAATATAACAATCGCGAAATTAAATTAGATCAATATAGTGAAATGGCGGCTAGAGCAATCATTAGAAATCATCTTGAAGAATTGCAACACATTTATCGAAAACAAAGAGTTTGTTTCGTCGATACAAACTTACACACTGCTCTTCACCTAGCAGCTATGAGAGGCAGTCTCAAGTGTTTAAAGTAAGAATATAGTTTGTTCAGTTATGAATTTAGTAAATATAAGAATCTTTCCTATAACAGATGGTTGCTTAAGACTTCTCACATACCGGTTCGATTGAGAAATATTCGTCATGAGACATGCGCCCATTTAGCCGCTAAATATCAACATTTAAAGTGCCTAAAGTTAATTGTCTATTCAGGACCTTTGAAAGCTTTGACAATTGCATGCGAAAAAGATCAGAATGGTCTAACCATTCTTCACGTTGCTTCCAAGTATGGCCACGACGAGATCGTCTCTTGGCTTGTCGATGCTTTTGGAACAACTCTTAGCTTGGTAAAGAATAAAACAGGTCAAATAGGTCTTCATTACGCTGCTGCTAGAGGATTTTATAACTGCTTAGTTCCTTTATGCAAAGTTGGAAAGATATGCGTAAACGTCCGAGATAATTCTGGAGCAACGCCCACCTTTTATTGCGCTCAAGAGAGGAGACTTTATTGCCTTCAGTACTTGGTGAATGTTGCTCATTCAGATATCAGGATAGGAACAAATTCAGGTGCAACGCCTCTCATGGTCGCTGTTCAAATGGGTCATAAAGAAATTGTCGAATTCTTATTAAGCAAACTAAACCCCAGCGACCTCCAACATCAATCTTCAGATGGGACGACTGTATTTCATTTGGCTGCCGCTAATGGCCATATAGACGTTTTGGATATATTACTTAACAGGGAAGGTTGGCACGAAGCATTAAGATTAAGAGACGAAAGGGGAGGAAGTGCAGCCCACGATGCTGCTGCACAAGGACACGTAGCTTGTTTACAAACTCTCATCAATGCCGGCTTAGATATTCACCTAAGAGATTGTGTAAATTTTTATTGATTAATCTCCTAATACATTCAGATGGATTTCTTTCCTTTAACAGGATGGCCAAACTCCCTATGATCTGGCATTACAATGTTCAAATGAAGAATGCGCTAAATATGCTAAATCCCTAACAGGAGGTGAAGTTATTGACGTCACCTCTCTTATAATGTCGGTAAAAAGTATTATTGCTGATGGTATGGAATAAAATTAATAAATACGAAGATAGGGTAAGAATAATTAAGAATGAAAAATAAAAACCCCTTTATTCTATACAGAAACCCACGACATAAATAATATGAAGAGATCGTCCTCTGTTGAACCAAAAAGCAAAGGAAAGGTATGTATTATATAGCCGGTAAGGTTGAGAGAAATTGGAATAAGCAGATTTTATACAAAAAATTCTCTACTTGTTCCTTATCAATCTTTTTCTTTTTTTTTAATGAAAAGTATCCGAATTTAGTCCAACTCGACCTATCAGAAAATATTTACTTTTTGTTAATAACAATAAACAAACTGATTACGGGAAACAATATAAATAAATATAGGAGAGGGTTTGACGTCATTCATATATATTACAGGGCCTTATGAAGCTTTTTGAAAGGAAATCTTCTCAGGGTCATAAGAGAAAATCATCGGGAAAATTTGATGCCAACGATAAACGGGAAGTGAATCTGGTTCAAGCTCAGAGTGGAGATATTAGTATTAGGGAGCAAAGAGTCGTATCAACAGCTCACAGCAGATTATTTACAGATAGTTTGTCATCTTTATTAAACATTATCAGTTTTATAAATAATCCTATAAAATAATTTGACATCTTTTAATAGAATCCCGTAAATTCACTCTACCTTACCTACCGAAAGAGGGAAGCGAACAAAATTTTACACACCGGAATAGTGAAGATTCCTATGATGAATCTGAAGAGAATATTGATCTTACACAATTTGACATGTTTGTAAATTTTTGATAGACAAACTTATTATATTATTAATTAAGCACTTTTTATTTAATTAATATATAAATACGAAACGAAATATCCGAAAGAAAAGATCAAAAAAGTTATTTTCTATATCTACAGAGGTGAGTCTGGTGATTTAAACCCTTCTGGTGTTGTGACCGCTTTAAGGCAAAAATTCGAGTGCATGTCTGCCGCTACTTCCGCGTCAAATTCGACTAATAATATTTACAGCGAAGTATATTCATCGCCCATACCTAAGAGGAAAAAGTCTAAGGCTCCTCTTCCTCCTAATCAAACTTCTGCGAAAAAGGTAACACATTATGAAAAAAGGACTCAAAACACTCCTTCTGATAACCTACCCCCTACTACAATTCACGAAAATACAAACGGTAATGATATGCCAATATATGAGGATGAAATTACCAATAGAAATCCAATTTATGCTACGGAATTACCAATTGAAACAAAAGTTGAGAATTTTTTGAAATCTCAAGAGCAGTATTGTAACAATACAGAAAATCCAAAGGACAAGAGTTCAGCAACAAAATATGATTCCCAAAATGACTTTGAAGAGGACAGCGGAGCCCAAATTTACGAAGAAGCTTATCTAGAAGAGATAAAGTCGAATAATCAGGAACATTTAAAGAAAGAGGAGCCTGTTGAAGAGAATATATATGGTACAATAGATGATGATAATGATGATGATAATGGTGATCAATTGTACGCAACAACTATCCATTCAGAATTGACTAGATCAGAGAGCTGTGAATCAATTCATCCTCCACCGGACTATGTGGCTCCTATTCCACCTCCGCCACCCCTACCAGTAAGTATAAAACTGTCAATGTACCTATCGCCAATCCTCTTCATATTAAATCATACCGAAATAATTTTAACAGGATGCACTGCTTATATCTAACATTCCTAGAGCACCTACTCCTCCACCTCTACCGTCGGCTACTAAATCGAACAAAGGGAAACTAATATCTAATCCCTTCAAAAAATCAGTAGATTCTCAACCTCCAAGCAGCGGTAGTAATAGATTAATACAACGTCGTCGATCATCAAGAGTTGACGAAATAACGCAACATATTCAGCAATCGACTATGCTGGCTCCGTACGTAGAACAGTTTAATAGAGCAAGGGATCGCCGACCAAGTATATCCATCCAGGATCAGGTACATTTATTTAATAAAGAAAGAAACGAAAAAGCTCCTTTAAAACGACGACTATCGAGAGCCGAAAAGAATATATTTTCGTCAGACTTATTAGGAGAACTTGTCAAAAGAGCTCAAGAAAGAGCCCAAAGAGTTGTCACAAAAGAGCAGAACAAACCAAAACCAAACTATACTATCAAAGGTAGAGGCTCTGATGCAGATTATTCAGATTCAAATGATGAGGATGATGACAACAATGACAACGATAATGAATACAATTCTAATAGTAATAATAGTGTAGTCGGAATAGGACAAATTTCATTGCAAGAAATAACCGAGGAAAATACTGAATCATCTGTTGGCCCCGTTAACCAAAAGTTTGAAGGTACTGAGAAAACATACTTTAATATAGACCTACAAGTATCAAATATTACTCTATTATATAAATATGAAGCTTTGGAGCTTATGGATTTTGCAACAAAATACTCTTTTTAAGTACTTTGGTTGTAAAATCTAGCAGTTTCCCTTCTTTCTTCACCCCTCTCTATTTATTTATCTATATCTCTACCTCTACTCTCTGGCCCATTCTCTCACTCTCTCATTCTCTCTATATATACTCTACTCTACTCTCTCTTTATCTCGAACACAATTTTTTATTGATTAAGTGTTTCGAGGAAGGGAAAAACATCTTTTTAATTTAAAACTTAACAGAGAAAAGACACGCGTTGAGTCAATCACTTAAAGAGAGACAGAAAAGACCCACAGAATGGCCAATGCCTCCTATCACAGGACAAAGAAAGTATAAAGCGGATCCACCGTCAGAATTGGAAATGTATTTTAAGGTTTTTTATCCATGTCTTATATATATATAAATATAAAATGCAATCGCTTGTAACATCTTTTCAAATTAAGCAGAAGAGACAAGAAAATAAAGAGAGAACCTTAAAAAAGCAATCAGAATTAATGGATGAAAGTTTAATGGATGAAAACCAGCAGGATATTATAGTAACAAAGATGTAATCGGTTTTTCTCTTTCTTTCAAAAATAAACTAAAACCTTTTATTTTTATAACTACTCTGATAAAATATTGATATCTATAATAATATTAAACCGTTTTCCCATCTAATTTTGAATCTATGCAATATTGAGAAAATAAAGTCTTTATTTATACAGAAAATTATTCTTTCATTACAGCTTACATTAGGGCCATTATCACGTAATTGCTGAATGCAAAATGTTAAGTCATTAATTATCATGAATTATACAAAAACATTATATAGCCAAATAGATGTTACACTAAAAAATAATATAAAGAAAGTAATGAAATAATGGTAGTTTCTGAAGATTTTTCTCTCCCTGTATTACTCCCTGTCATTTTGAAAATTAACAATACGGGATTTTTAAACAAAAATAACACAACGTAACAAAGGAACAATATACAACAGTATTCCGAGACGGATAGCTAACTTCCAGTTTTAATTCTATATATACCAAGTTACCAAGTTGACTTTTTCCTATTCCTTCATTAAATTATCATTTGTTTTTATCATACATACATCTAAAAATACATACGCATTTATACAAATGTATAAAGATAAACGATTTAACACTTTATGACCAGTTACATTTTACTTTCTGGCATACGTACTTATCCATCAAGCTTAGATAGGATTTTAAAATAATTAGAAATACATTACTATTTGTAATATTGAGACCTAGTCAGAATTCGAGTTATTTCTTCGACGACGACTTAACTCCTCATATCTTTGCTTTGGTTCGGATTCATAAAGTTCCTTCCTTCTCTTTTGTTTTTCCTCCTCTTCCCTCTCTCGTCGTCGCTGTTCTCTTGACTCTTTTTCTTTCTTTCTCGTCTCATCCCTCAATTGAGCTCCTTCATCGGTTAAGGGAAGCCAGTAGATAGCAGGCACAGCTTGTGTTTTGTGGAACAGATCATCTAACAGTTTCGCAGGGGCATTCTGATGAATTTTCTCGTAGCGTTCTTCTCTTTCACGTCTTCTTGGAGACCGAGATCTTCCTTCATCTCTTTGAGGAGATCGCCGTATTTTTTCTCTATCCCATTCTCGGACATGGTCTCTTCGGGATCTGTCAACTTCTCTATTTTTCTCCCTCTTTTCATCTCTTAGACTATCCCTTGCATCCCTATCTGAAACTCTCCTCTCTCGTTCAACTTGCCTATTATCTCGACGCTTTGGTTTTTCTAATTTTGATTCATCAATCTTAAGCAATTTAATAGCATCGGGTTTGTCAGCAACTAAATGATTATAGACTTCTTGTTCACTTGAAAAGTCTACTTTCAGTAATTTTGGATTGGACGATGGCCATTTGGAATTGTCCAGAAAATTTCGCATATCCGAAGCAGCTTCTTCCGTTTCGTAAACAGCATAACAAAAACTCTTTATGTTATCAATCCAGAATAAATCATTGATAATTGGATTGTTTCTATTTAGAACGGATTTTAGCTGTCCTATTGTAAAGGGTCGTACTAAATTTCGCACCAATATTACACGAGAGGGTTGCTGTCTGGCAGGGGAAGCTGACTTCTCTCTTACTGGTCTAAGGGAATCATCCAGATCGATTTTAGATGCCTGTCTTGTGGTTGTGATTACACGCTTCTTTTCATTTATTTCTGTTGAAGGTGGTGAAATCAGCTTTCGCTTGGTTGGCTGAACTTCTCTTGATTCATTGATTATATTTTTCTCAGTGTGATTCTTTTCTGATTTTTTTAATTCTAAACCATCTGAATTAACTTCCATGGAAATTTCATCATTGTCAATTTGATCTTCGGAGAGATACTCGGGTTTTGACTCCTTTTAAATCAAATATAATTTTATTACTCAAAAGTGAAAAGAATAAAACTAGATTCAAACCTCATTTGTGTGTTCACTTTGGTTCGAGTTCGAGATAACATCGTCTTTTGCTTGATCATTACTCGGACTTTTACTAGGTGATGATGGTAAAAAATCTTCAGGAGTATCTTTTGCTTGACTAGATTTTGAAATCAGTCCTGCGCAAGTAAATAGTCTTTACAATCAAAATTAATTTAGTAATATAAATGCTAACTTTCTTCGGTTGGATCTTTCTCTCTTTTTTTGTCTTCTTCCATATTATCTTTACTGCTGCTACCTTCTGACTGTAATATACACTAGTTGTTTAAAATATAACTTGAAGTGAAGCAATATTATATTGTAATGAACACGTTGAAGCCCAACACTTCTGTACTAAATTATTGTTTTTTGTTAAAACATCCAACTAACGACATTAACCTGTCGTTGGCTATTTTATTGTTTCAGTTTTGCCAGGGTAACAGACATATTGGTTAGAAAATCTAGTAAATAACTCACTTCGGAGCCCTCGACTGAGCAATTGTCAGATTTTTTTGGTTCGTCATCAACTTGTTTTTCTTTCACAATCTAAATACGAACACTGTTAAATGGACTATTTTTGTATTTAATGAAATTACTTCACCTCTTTATCTTTTAGGTCATCTTTAGGATCATCTTCATTACTAGCAGGAGAGCTACTCTCGTCCTCTTGATTTGATGCTGTATTATCAATTTTCGAGGCCTTAGACTCTAATACAGGTTTTACATTACTTTCTACAGCAAGATCCGAATTTTCACTAGGTTGCTTGTCTGCTTCTTTTTCATTAAGTGGTAAGTTGATAGTACAAATAGGATATATATAAATAAATTTTAGAACAATCAAAAATGAAATACTACCATCTGCAATTTTATCTTTATTGGCAGGTTGAGATTTTGTAGATCGTAATGTCGGCTTATCTTCAATTTTTTCTTTTTCATGGCACATTTGCTCGTAGGTGCGCTGTTGCTTTTCAAGATATTGCTTCACAAAGTCATTTGGTCCATCACCGGAATCAGTAGCCTGAAAAAACAATCAATTAATTTATGAAAGAAACTAACAAAATCGCTTTAAAAGAGTGCATAACATATTATGCAAGCAGAAAATGACAAATTTTAGTATAATATTGATAAGACATCATATATCTGTTCAAGAGTAATTAATATTCTTTGCAAGAAACTGTCTGAAAGAAAGGAAACAAACGTTTGCATACATAAAAATAGATTTAATAATTGAACTGTTGCTATATTATAATAGTTCAAACACGCTTCTCTTCTAAATTTTTTTTTCGTTTTCGGCCTCTTTTCGAATTTTTTATACGAATATATCATGCAAAACAAAACATTTCATCACAAAATTTATATGCTTACTTTACTGGTTTGATTTTCATTTTCACTCGTATCACTTTGAGATCGCTGATTACGCATATACTGTAAATATTACAAAATTGTTTACCAAAGACAAAACACTCAAAATGGCGGCTAGAGTGATAAAAGGATATCTTACATTTTTCAATCGTTTTACCAATTCTATTTTGCTTCCACTCTTAGATAATTTCCTAAGTTCTAGCTCCTTTTTTAAATCAACTACTCTTAATTCAGTTATAGATTTATCACCAATCATATACACTTCTTTTTCCATGTTTGTCAAAGTTACACAATGGAAACCGATTCAGAACACATTACTTGAGAATCAACGTTTACGATTTAGACGGTTTTCAACCGCGAACGAGGAATCGATATGATAGAGATTATCGAGAAGGCTATACTATAAAAAATAAGATATTTTTCAGACTATGATATGGTCTAGCCTTATGTTAAGATAGGTATCTAGATTTCTATGTACTTTTATCTAACTTTTGTTAAATAAGAGGACAATTTAGAATGAAACGATAATGCAAGAATATCGCGATTCTACAATCTATTCCGAATTCTCGTACGCAAGGAATGAGTGCGCATGCGTAGGATTTCTCTGAGACGTCCCTAGGTAGAGCTGTGATCGCTGAAACTAATTTGTTGAAATCCACAAAATTTAATATCTTTCGACCCAAAATTCATTTGTAAAATGCAGCATGATGATGTAAGTAATCAGCTGTAGTTATACTTTTGTATTGTTTGTTCATCAAAACAACCAAGACAATTATTGACTATCACACATGTGATTTTTGAGCGACAATACAGTAATTTAAACTTTTCATCGTTCAGGTTATCTGGAGTATCATCAATAAAAGTTTTTGTTCTTTCAAGACACGGTAAGGCTAATGTCTAAATGATCAATTGCGTTAATTTATTTTCTTTGATAGTATGAAAAGTCAACACTTCTGTAGAAATGAGTACAGCCTTACTGGATTGTGTAACAGACATTCTTGTCCATTAGCGAACAGTCAATATGCAACTGTCAGAGAAGAAAAAGGTTAAATAAAATGAAAAGAAATAATTAAATCAGGCTAATTACGCAATAATTTTTTGTAGGTGAAATTTTTCTGTATATGAAAACCGTAGAACGAGCTGCGTTTCCTAGAAAGCTTTGGGAAAAAGTTAAACTTAACAGAAACCTTGAAAAAGCTCTTGATCAAATTAACACACATCTGGCTTATTGGCCGAACTATGTAAAAAATAAGTGTAAACAACGATTACTAAGAATTAGACAGTACTTGACCAGAATTCGAAGAATTACCTTGAAGCGTCAAAGAAAAGTTGTTCCATTGAGCAGAAAAGTCGAACGGCGAGAAGATAGGCGAGAAAAGAAAGCACTTATTGCAGCTAGACTAGACACAGCTATAGAAAAAGAATTACTCGATCGATTGAAAACAGGAACTTATGGTGATATGTACAATTTCAATCAGGCTGCATTTAATAAAGTTTTGGATAAAGAAGAGGAGGATGAAGATAATCAAGCTGAGCAAGAATACGAAGCTTCTTCCGACGAAGAAGAACAAGTTGAATACGTGGGTGAAGATGAATTTGAAATGAGCGACGAGGATATTGAAGATACCGCAATTAGAATACCTGGCGAAGAATCTGACGAAAGTTCTGAGGAGGAGAAACCTGTGAAGAAATTAAGTAAGAAAGCCAGAGTTGAAATAGAATATGAGCAGGAGACAGAACCTAAGAGGAAGATGAAGACTTGATTTATATATATTTATATATACATATATTCCCTCAAATATTTGTTTTTGAAAATACACTTCCCTTCGGTGAGGTATATATATTTTTATGGAGATTTCAATAAAATATTATTGTGAATACGTAAATTGAAATTTTAATCATAAAATATTTTCCCCAACTAAATTTTTTTCCAAAGAACTAATGAAATTTATGTGGCTTAATTTAGCAAAAAATGACTCCACCAGTTTATAAAGAGAATTTTGGAAAAATTGAAACTTGAATGTCTCTTTACTGATACTTTTTTTACAAAGCATTTATTAATAAAATAAGAACGTTTTTGAACGACAAGTAGCTTATTTTTAAGATTTCTCATTAATCGAAATTTTCCAAGACTCTTTTGGCTTTTCCATCACTTTTATCTGGAGATGGCGCCACCATTCGTTCGATGAACGATGGCAGACACGTTTACGAATGTATCTAGCTCTTCTGGGCACATTGACCCGCCAAATCCGTGTTATTACGGAGTCTTTGCGTATGTATAATATAATAAAAAAGCCATTTAACAAATAAGAATCCTAATTTTAAAATTTAATAAATAAGTATTAAATTCAAAGGTCGAAACTAAATGGAGATACTGATCAAAATCAATCGTCTGAAAATTTAGGACAATCTGTTGCGCAAGCACCAAGTAAAACGTTAAAATATTCGTACGTTCATAATATTAAATTAAGTGTAAAGAAGTAATGAGAAAAGAAAAAAAATCAACTTCAATTCTAGATTACAATTGATTGAAACTGATATCGATGAAAATGACAACAACCTATTGAAGTTGAAAGATTTTCTTGCCAAACGTTTGTCAAAGGGTTCGCTTGACGGAAAATGTAAAAGTGACGTTTCTCTCTTACAATTATGGTTGTATTTTAATAATTTCATTATATCATATTAAATAATTTAGTACTAATATATTTTTGAATATAATGTATATACTGTTTATATATATGCTGTATATATAAACAGGGATAGGGACTTTTGTTGCTATTTTGCGGATATAAGTACTGATGAAAGACTTACTAAGGTTATTTGTTTTCTTGGCGCTTCTGAGATGAAACTTGAGTTGTTTCAAGATGACATCGATGAATATGTCTATTCTATAAAAAAGGTAGCTGGCCGGAAGCTAATTTATCCATTTTATAAACCATCTATTTCAGACTGATGTTTATAGTAGCGAATTGGCAAACTGGTCCGATATTTGTTTGTATTACATAAGTCGTAGCCTAAGAGCTTTGAAAAACAATGTGCAATGTTTGATTTATGCCGTAAGAACTACGTGATAAATTGAAAATCATATATATTCTCTAAAGAAGGAAATGGCTATTTCAGGTTTGTTTGGATTATAACGTTAAGGTGGTTGGTGCTGATAAAAAATTGTGTAAGGATATCGAAAGGTAATATTTCTTGGCTAAAAATACAATTCTGAATCTATTTATAGTGTAATCTAAAGTTTTTTATGATACAGATTCGTGAAGAGCATCTCAGTAAGAAATTTATTCCCTAATGACGAAAGCCCTTCTACAAACGACAAAGTCTGTTTTGAAATAACTCTAAATGAAGAAGGCTGTACAACTAATTGTCACGATTCCACAAAATTTTGTAAACAATGGGCAAACCGGATGATACTTGATGGTGTTATTTCCAATCCTTCACTAGTTAAAATGATAGTGAACGATTACAAAGTCAAGTTATCTCATGATTTAAACAAACTTAACCGATTACTCAAGGCCGCGCAACTTGATTACTACAGCCTATACTCGTTAGTAGTCTATATTGTAAATAAAATAAGGAATAAAAATTCCTAAATAATTTCAGATGCCTGATATTCTTGAGGAACTCCGAAAATGCTTCCGTACTTTCCTATCTGGTAAGCGGGCAGAATAGTAGCAATGAAGACATTAGCAAAATTTTGGATATTCTACAATGTTATATATAAACTATGTTGTAATAGTTACTTTAGACAAGTTATCTGTTACATATTGCAGCGGTTAAGTGTAAACAAAACCTAATCTTATGAAAGAAAACTCTTACCAATTACTCTATTATTAAAATAATGAACCACAAAAGAAAAGCAGAGACAAGTATGGAATATCGATCATTGACATTCAATTTATTACGAACATGCAAATTATAAAATATTATCATATGAAATATTACATTAATAATTATAATATCAATAACATGATTAATCACATTTTATTTTCATTTAGTCATCTAAAACTGGTTTATTTGTTTATATAAGAGAAAAAAAACTGCTTTAATTCGGTAATGTCTAACTTAATTATCATTTTATCAAAACTAATCAAATTATTCAAGGTTTAATATACGAAATTGTTTTTTATTTCTCTTCCAAAGCTTTTTTTCTGTTAAATCTCCTATTCCATTCTCAAAATGGCTGATTGTTTCGAAGTCATGTTATTTAAGAGATGAACATCGTACTGTAATAGTGCTAGAGGTGGTATCCTATTAAAATATACCAAGTGGAATATGTTACTTTTCATTCACTGTAGTTTTTTTTCACTTATATTTAGATATTTACCCCCAAGCAGGGAATCCCCTTTGTCCATAAGCGTAATCCGATGCTATTAGAAAAGTAGCTATCTCACCTACTCTCATACTGCATATGGACTCTTTTAAACCTTTCAAAATAAGCTTATCGTCCAAATGTATAGTCAAGGGTTCATGATGAATTGTACTAATTTAATAATACATATACTGTATATTAAGAAAAAAAAACTAGGAAAAAGCATTTAGACAACATTACTTGTAAAAAGGTTTTTCACATTTTGGTTTTGCTATCCAACATGTTAAATGAATTCTAACAGTATCGTTACTTTTAACTAAATCTAAAGAAAAATTCCCCTCTCTTCTTATAGATTTCTTTATACCCTTATTGATTTTTTCAAAGTTTGATATATCGGATAACGACATAAATAATCTCTTTCTTTCGCCTAATCTCTGCTTCAAAAAAAGAGGAAGAAAATCTCAACAATAACAATCAACATTTCTTTAAAATTCATTTTTAAAATTCATTTTAAATTTTTTTTTATTATATAAATTTTTTTAAAACGTGGATAATGTATTATCTTCTCCATTTCAACTGATGAGATATTTAATATGGTACTCTATTGTTTGTTTTTTTTTTCTTTCCTCTTCTGTATCCTACTTATCAATCAAGAGAGATAAAAAAAATGGAATAAGGAAATGCTGAGCTCAGCCTCAGCAGGAAACTTTTCGAGCTGTTCCTTAGCAATTATCGACAAAAATTAGTGGATAATTGCAGAGTAGGAAGTTGTGTCTCTGCGAGAAAATAGGGAAAACGAAGAGATTTATACAATTATGAAGAAAACTTTATGAAATATGAATCTTGTTGAGAATACAATTATGAACAGTTTTTCTTATTAGGGTTTCTAAAGATAAAAGCTATTGAGGCTAGGTTAACGATTTGAATGTGAAAGAAGAAGAGATTTTATCGAAAAAATGATCCTGGAATCTTATCGGATAGCGAAATCCTTCTTCTTCTTCGTCACCACCAAAACAGCAACTAAGTAGGATCAATCTCATGTTTCACATTCATTTTGTCACTTACCTTGGGGATTTTTCTATTTCTTTTAAATAGGTTAAACTAAAATTTGATACATGTCTTAATAAATAGTTTAATGAATTCTTCAAAAGTTTAAAAGAAAGTCCTAGCACCTGTTCGCTCAACTCATTAAATACCTTTGCCAAAGAGAACTAATCAAAACAGAAAAAGGATAAAAAATATATAATGAGACTAAAAAAACTTCTATTTTTGTAGCTTTCGGAGACACTCCTCCATTATAGAAACATTGGAAGAAGCACCTTCAAATAATGACTTAACGGAAAGTAGCTTTGTAGAGCCTAACTGCAACGAGATTGCAATAGCTCTAAAATCAAGCGAACCGGTATTTTATGCATTATAAAACGACTGATATCTTTTATATTTTTTCCAGTGCTAAGTTTTATAACTGTACTGCAATTAACAAAAGAAAGAAAAATATTCATAAAAGACCACTCAAGGACAATGGGAAGGAACTATATTAAAAAGAGAGGGTTTTGGCAACGATATACTTGTTAGACTTTTTGAATAAATATATCAGAATATACTTCACTGACCTATTTTTAATTGCTAGACAAAAAGAGAGTGTAAACTTGATTAGTAAAATTTTATGAACTGTTATGAAAAATTCCTTTTAATAGTTGTTGGTAATTCCTTTTTCAATGACAATCATGATGTGTATATTGTAACAGAATATATGATGAATGGTTCACTTGACGATGTTTTGAGAGACGACACTAGAGCCAAGAGCTTAGATGAGGAGAAACGTTTAAATATTTTATTAAAGGTTTCCAATGTTATTTGCTCAAATAATTTTGATGGCAACCCACACGTTCACACAGACATTTAACAGTTATATACATGTAATTTATTTCTCTGTCAAGATAATTTGCATATTTACTTTTTATATTATCTTCTTTTCAGAGGTTGACATACTTTTAGAAGAGAAAAATATATTTTGGATAAACTACAAAGACAAATAAATTGCAAGTTGAACGGAAAGAGGTATTTACCTTACAAAGAAGATTGCAGGAAGTTATTGTTTTACAAAGGGAGAGACTCTATTATTGAAAGTTGCTTCTTATAAATGATACGTTTTGCTTTAGGGTTGTGCTTGTACAAGTTTTTTTTTCTAGATAACGTAACAACGTCAGTGACCCAATATGTAAATACGAATATTTGGAAGAGAATTCTAGGAAAAACAAGAGGGTTTTAAGGTACTTTCAGGTAATCGTATTACATGGAATAGAGACGATAAATTGCTTTAAAAACTATCTAAGTAGAGTTGAGAGCAGAGAGGAGACCAAAAAAAGACCTCTTACGAAAAGAGTGTCAGCATTATTTTATATTGCAATGTTCAACAATAAAGATAGACGAACAAATAAATTACTATAGTATAAATAAAGAATGCTTGTTCAATGTGTATCTTTTATATACCATACAAAGAGTGGTATTAAAAAGTTGATGATTCATTGTCAGGTGAAACGACTTATAGAGGTCAGTACTGTATTTCTACGTCATTTCCCCTCTGATTTCTTAACATATTTTAACATAAATAAGCACTTAGATTCGACATGGCGAAGTGTTTTTGCGTTGGTAGCATTTTACATTTTGTTATTGCTACAGGCCTGTTAACATGTTTATTGGTAAATGTATTCCAAATAACTGGAAACCAGAGCAAATGTAGACACGAAGATAATATTTTTGATATAAGTGAGGAGAGAAGAGACAATGATGGCGAACATTTGGAAAGAAAGTTTCTATTACCTTTGGCAAAACATCTGAAAGGAGATAAGATGAACAAAATGCATGAAAGAATGAAATTTGAAGGACTTGGTAAGGAACTAGTTGAACATCGTCACAGGTTTGAAGAGATGATGAAGAAATGCGCTATATCGCGTTACGACTCAAATCAAATCGAAAAGCATGTACTTCATTGGATTAGCGTTGCCCCGAGCATAGTTCTTGTAAGTTCATAGAATGAAATAGAGAATAATTTTTCGATATATCAATCAAATTACTTTTTTCAGACTTTTGTTGTCGGAATTTTGGGAAGTGGTTTTCACTGTTCAACCCTTGGTCATAGAAAATTGGGATTGAAGATTGCATCTATCGTTATTTTCATTATTCATCTTCTTTACCTTGTCCCATGCGCACTCTTTTCCCTTGGTGTAACTATTGGATTCAGATCTGAAAATAGAGAATTCCACGGATCCTACTACAAAGGAAGATGTATTAATGGTTTTATCATGGTTGGGCTATTGTTTTTCGCGTGGTTGGTCAATTTGATCCACTCATTCGTTGCCTGTTGCTGTACGCCAACTGAAGATGAGGAAACTGTAAGTTTATACTATTCATGTCGATGTATAGAATCTTATAAAATCTAAAATTAATTAACAGATTAAAGTTGTAAGAATGAACAAGAACACTTCTGATGATCGCTTGAAACTCGTTGATAATGTTGTCTTTGGAGAACGAGTCTTCGATAACGATGGAGAAATAGCTTGAACATCCAACTTCTTGATCTAAATTTTTCTTATCTATAATTTTAAGTCTTTAACTGTTACACACCATATTTTTAATCTTAACATTTCACTGTCAAATACTTTGTATTTAGAAGTTTTTAAAGAAAGCAACAAAAGTTAATTATCTGAAAATATGAATTATTCTTCATATGTTTGATATATTTGAATAAATATAACATAAACATTATATATACAGTATATACAGTATATTATTGCAATATACAGTATATTGTTATATTTATATATGTAGGGTGAAAGTCCAGTTTAGTTCTGTCATCCTGAATAGTATCAATCATAATACACAGAGACTCTCTTAATTGTTTTCTCTATGAAATATATGTAGGATCAATTATTACCTAACCTGTTAAATAGGCTAAATACAATATATACAATATTTATAATGGACCAGAGTAGTCTGACTATACTATTATAATTTATTCTGCTTAACCGTTCCTTCCATCATCCAATTATCGAAATTATTATCCTCTATGACAGCTTCTGTTCTTTTCCACAGCCTTTTAGATACTATACAATATAAGAAAAATATGGAAACAACTATAAATATCATTTGAATGAATAATGCAAAGCTTAGATATACTGTATATTCACTGTATGTAAATACATCTATATATATATATTGGCGTAAAAATAATCATATATCTATATCTGGACCATTTCTGCCCAATTTACATACTTGAAATAAGAAAAAAATGTCATTAGGAAACCTTTACCAGTAGACTTTGAAAGTCTAATCTTTCCTTTGGGTTCTTTTGCAGCCGGGTTTTGACGAAGGCTATAAACATTGTCTAGACAGACAAGGAGCCGGCTATAGATATAAATAAATTGTACTTTCATATTATGATGCTTTATGATTTAAACCACCTTGATGTGTTACTTATAAGGAATTGATATATATTTCATTCTAAGCTGCAACATAACGTTCTTGAAGGAGGTCACTGTCGTGATTAATATTTTTTTTGTCCTATTTCACTTCCAATACAATTGATAAACAGATTTTAGTACACGTCTGCAGATAGTTTCGCCATGGTAAAATTATGCATTTCGTAGTTACCATAAGAGAGAGGGGGGCAGAAAACGATTATAAAAAAAATAAACACCTTAGGAGAGCTTACAATGTCAAGTATGAAAGTGAATGGGAATATAAGGAGAGCATAAATAGAAACGGAAATATAAAACCACAAGCAGATTAAATGATGAACCAATTAAAAAACTTTGATGGATGGGAAAGGAGGATTCAGCTGCTAGTTATGATTATGATAATAAATAGATAAATACAAGATTATTGTTTTGCATCGATAAATTAAAAATGTGTAATAGATTTCTTAAGATTGGAAACGATTTGTTCTGTTCATCCATCAAATTAGGATTGAACATTATAATCGATATTTTCTTCATTCTATAGTCGTGTTTCTCTTTTTAACTTTCTCAGAAAACCTTTCCCCCTTCAGTTAAATATAGATTTTTCATAAATAGAAATAAAGAAAACAATTACAGCTACTATATGGGAAGAGTCGTTATTTGCGTTTTCCTAGCTGGTCTAATATTTTTCTCTTGGTTTGTAAATTTGATCCAATCACTTATTGCCTGTTAAATACTATACGCTAACCGCATCTAAAGAAACTGTAAGATCTATCTTATTGAACCTAAATTGTTACAGAATTTAATATAGTATCGTATCAATTCACAAACAAAAAAATTACAGGATTGAAGAGAAGTACTTTTCTCAAATCGATTGAAATTCGCTAACGATATGATCGTCCTTGGCAAAATTATCTTCAATACCGATAGAGAAACGGCGGACAATAACTTTTTGAATGAAATTATTAAACTTGAAATATTTCTCTTTTTCAATATTTTGTATTTGCAATTTTTAAGGAAAAAATATAAATATAAATATATATATATACATATACATATATATATATATATATCATTTTGTTATATGTAGTACAGTTTAAGATATATACTGTTTAGTATATCAATGATTAGCATGTCTTAGAGAATATATACATATAAATTGAACGTAAATAGAAATATATGTTTTATTTATATTAAACTTACATACAAAGTTTGTGTATATCATACGAAACATTCCCAATAATTGTTTCGGTGTGGAAAAAGAAAATTTACTTTTTAAAATTAGTTATATAATGTAAAAGTTATACAATAGTATAATGGGTGATAATTTTTTAACAGTGCAGTGTTGGAATGCAACAGTCTGTCTCATCTTTTAGGATTCATTCAGCTCAATAATTCCTCCAACCCAATTAGCGAAATTAATATCCGCCCAGTCAGTTTCAGTCTTTTTACACCATGCATGGTTCTAAATGAGAGGAAAATAGAAATAACTATATGCTTAACAAACATCGTTTGTAGGTACTGCGCAAACACATATATACACTTTATATGTAAATACATACATATATATATATATATATATTTGTTGGCGTAAAAATAATCAGTATTATATATCTAGATCATTTATGCAATATTTACATAGTTGAAATAAGAAAGAAATGTCATTAAGAAACCCTTACCAGTAGCGTTTGAAAGTCTGATCTTTCCTGTGGATTCTTTTGCAGACAGGTTTCGACGAAAGTTATAAACTCTGTTGAAAAGTACTGTCTAGACAGACGAGGAGCCGGCTGTAGATATAAATAAATGTTACTTTCAATGGCTGATCTTACAGGATTAAACCATTCTCAAGTGTCGCGTATAAAGAACAGATCCTTCTCTCTTTTTTTTCTTTTTTTTTTTTAATTATTCGATTCTTATAATTTACAAAATGCCTTATTTTACTCTTTACTATTTTGCGCATCTTGGAAATGGTTATATTGAATTAAAGTAAAATAATAATACAAAAAGCTTTCATTTGCGTGCTTTTTTTCTTTTAATATTTATAATTATATATATATATATATATATATAAATCTATATATAAATAAATATGTATATATATATATATATATATAAATATTACAATAATCTATTGTAAGTGAATAAAAAATATATACGGTAGATATATATATGTATATACATATATGTATATATACATATATTGCTAATTATGTGTCTCCTTCTCGTTGAAGATTCAAACATCTAAAGCGACATTACAACAAGTTACAAATTAAAAAAAAAGAAAAAAAAGCGAACAAGTAGTGGCCTAGTGCCTCTGTTGATAAACTCTGAAAATATCAATAGGTTGAGCTCATTGAGAATGGTATAATATGTGCGTATGTAATATACTAATATAAATTTATATATTAGTATATATATATATAGATAAGTTTGTGTGTGTGTATGTTATAAATGTTTCAAAACACTGTATATAAACATATGTCCCTAATACAGTAGATATGAATATATACAGAATACTTTTATAGTATTATTGTTTTCGTTTCATCTCTATTATTGTAAATAGTTTTTTTAAAAGATGTTTTAGTATTAATATACATTTTCTTTACCTCGTTCACAATTCTATCTAACAACTCAAAAATGGCCAATGGCTTTGTCCCATCTGCCCCATCACCCACAAAGGCACTTTTACCACCACCTGCAGCAAATAAAACGGGCAATTTTTTTCTAATGGATGCTCTTTTTCTTAAAACAATAATAATTAAAGAAAATTATAATAATGTGTTCTGGAATATATTTCATCTCTCTATGATTGGAGTTTGTTTGTTTCTCTTATTTCCATTAAGATAATCTTGAATTATTCGCTTTTTGACTGCGCAAAAAGGAGGATTAAGCCACGATTGCAACATTCGTACAGTCGCATGCATTTTAAAATTATATTACATATAAGATCTACATTCAAGAATAACCTCATTGACAATATACTCTAGCAGTTCGAAAACCGCCATCGGAAGAGGACCATCCCCCGTAATGACATCCACGTCACCTGGACAGCCTGCGTATACCGCTACATTTTAGAGATTTTCATAATTCAATGCTGAATAGCCACATTATTTACATAGGAGAAAATTCGCAGAAAAAATTGTTAATGGGAAATCCTGCACCTCTCTTACCTTCCAGTTTTCTTGGTTCTTTTGACGCCTCTAAATGTTCCTGGATTGCTTTTTGTCCAAAAATTTGTTGAAGTTCCTCGTCGGAGGGCGGCGGTATGGGATACTTTCCTATGGCCAACTCGACCAGAGACAATCCAAAACTCCATATATCAGATTGAACTGAATATTTTGAGCCCTGTAACCGTTCGGGAGACATGTAGGACCTAGTACCGACAAATGAATTGGCCATTGAATCGATTAACTGCCCACTAACTCCAAAATCACACAATTTGATTTCGCCACCGCAGTTAACGAGAATATTCGAGGGCTTGACATCTGACAGAAGAGGCATCGGATAAGAAAATATAAGTACAAAGTAGAGAGTAGCAAGTCTAATGACGTACCTCTATGGATGATTGAATGTTTTTCTCTCAAATAAATCAACCCTCTAAGTACAGATAAATTAATTTTTGCTAAGACGGGTTCGGGAATTCTTCCGGCTTTCTTCAATATTAAATCCAAAGAACCGCCATCCTGTATAAAAAAGAAAAGAACGTCTCTTGTTACCATTATATATTAAGTTTCAATAATTCTTCCGCGAACCATGTACTCCATGCAAATGTTAATTTCGCCATCGCTATAGAATGCGCCATAGTATCCCACGATGTATGGTGAATTACACTCGTGCAGCACTTTCAGTTCACGAAATATTTGGTTCCTAATGGCCGGTTTTATTTCTAGGTGAATTAACTGGGGAATAAATTAATCGATTACTTGGAGATAGGGACACTGACTTTTTACCCGTTTACAAATGTTACCTTTCTGGCCATAACGAGCTTACTGTTCTTGTGTCTCACTTTCCACACAACTCCACCGTTTCCAGCTCCTAACTCTCCCATTTTCTCAAAATCTTCAGCATTAAGGACCTCACCGATTTTTGCTTTGTCACTTAAAAAGTGTTCTAATCGATTTCTCTGCTTGTCATCCAAATTCAGCTCATCGAGTTTCGTCCTTAAAGCTGCTAGATTTGGGTTAGACTTACTGCAAAATAAATCCGTACATCTCATGTAAATAACTAAAATATTTTAATCAACCACTACTCACTTTTCAGCATCACTGTCTACAACGCCAGATTCTTGTGTAGGAGGTAATTTTAGGTTAAACTTATTCCTACTCATGTTTACGTTTCTAACAAGCTGTTTTCTCTAGTTGACTAGTTTTTTGAATTGAGATAAGGCTATAAATTATGAAAACAGTTTGTCACACATCTATACAATTTCTAGTAGAGGAACGGGTATGCCTCAATCCCAACAGGCAGTGTAAAAATATATAAACTGGTAAAAATAAATTTGGCGCGAAATTCTAAATTTGAGGCTAAAAACTTTTGCACTTTTTATTGAAAGATAAATTTAAGGCTATAGCTGTTCAATGGTTTCAAAATGATACAATGTATAAATAGTATCATGTTATAGAGAAAGAGATACATATTTTCACAGATTCAGAAAAAGGTACTACATATTATTTAACTGGATATGAGAGAAAGAAGTATGAGTGAGAGAACAAGTGAAGAAAATTAAGCGAGAGAAATAGTTTGATAACTTGATAGAAAGAGCGAAAGAGAGAAAGAAAGAGAAAGAAAGAGAGAGAGACAGAGAGTTAAGAAAAGTTTTACATAATATATAACTCATATAGATAAGAGATATTATACATCAAATAAATATATGTACAAAACAAAAACAATAAAGAGAAAATGAACACTAGAGAATTCTTAAACGCTCACTAATATTAGTATTAATACACATAGACGGAAATCAGTTGTCGTCTTTTGTAAAGATTTGCAGTCGGACGCGTCAAGTGGACTTCTGGCAGCTTTTAGTGAAAACTGTAATAACATTTGAGACAGATGTGCGTCTCTTTCGAGTGGCCATTACCACGAAATCGTATGATACACCTTCTGTTAACTTATTGACTAGAGCCAAGAACTTCTTTTTCGATTTCGCTCTCCAACATTTCATTCTCTTCCATTGGTCAGACTTAGGAGCTCGACAAACATTTTCTATCTGAAACGTCTTTAGGCTATAGTGCATGGGCCTCCGAGGCTTGCGACGAACATACAAGCAATAACGAGTTTGGCCCTTTCCCCACCAACTAAGTATAACTGTGACTAAACGTATATTGTCCTTTCGAACAATCTCACACTTGACGCTTCGAGCTATAGTTAATTTTGGTGTTGCTGGAAGTTTGGAGTCAACACCAAGCCGATAGATGGCGCCGGGAGGACCGTAGACGTAGACGAGACGGGCGCCCAATATTCTGTCTAACCCGGTCACGTATCGTCTGGCGATAAGCTCCGATCGGTCGTTGTAAATTTCAATGTATAATTCTACTCGATTGCAGGCTTGTATTTGAAGGACATCCCCAGAAATTAAATAAGCGTTACGTAAATTCCTTCCGTTCATCTGCCCTTTTATGCTTTGTCCGCTTCTCAGTAGAACGCGCCTTTCAACATCTTTCATTTTAGTTTGAAAAGGGCAAGCGGCCAGATGGCGAGCTATTCCGCTGGGTTTATACTTGATAAACAGGTCGACTGAATAGGTCTCGCCTGCCACCAGATTGCGCCATGTGTGGGTATTCCCGTTAGAGACGCAGTTAGACACGGCAAATTCGCATGAGTTTGAACGTCCTGCCGTCACTGTCGGACAATATGTAACGTTTACCCAATCGACATTATATACCTTCCAGACGGCCGTCGCTGAACGCATTCCCACGTTCATTACATTAAGATGAGCGTTGGCAGGAAATGGTCTGAGAAGATTTGTGGCATCTAGTTCTGAGGAAGTTACGAGCAACTGAACCACAGAGCGTCGAATGGCGAAAAACCTTATAGAGTAGTAGCTTGTGTTGGAAGTAGTTGGTAGGGGGGAATGGTAAAAGATGGCATAATCGTTGCCCTCCATTCCCGAACTTTCCAAGAGCTTGATACTGCGATAATCGCTTCCGTCTGCGTAGGCGAATTGATTCGATATCGATTATTTCTCGTATCTATAATATATAATTGACATACAACATACCGTTATTAACATCACTCCAATCGATTATCCATCGAGTAGTCTGTTCACAGGTCCACATGATGAATGCGTAACGGTTCTTGTCGTCGCCTTTTTTCAGTAGTAAGTGATACCTAGATAAAAATTAGTTGCCAAAAATTTTCTTCAAATTTTAAAACTTAGAAAGGAAAAAGATATAAAAAGAAAACTTACATTGGCGATGAATAGTTTGCTTCAATTACTATCCTCTTTCCTATTCCGTCCTCCAATAAGTTCGGCTGCTGTAAACTAAACAGCAGACACTGCAGCAAGAAAACGGCCAGCAGCGTAATCATGACTGCTGAAACAAGTATTCGATTGTGCAACGTCGCCGCTTGACGCCGTCGACGCCCACGCAATTCAGCGGCAGCCCGGCGGCGACGTCAACGTCGTTTTTTATTTCTTAAACGCCCTCGCAATTATATATTTATTCTGTCTACTGTTTTTATAGTCACATGGCAAACACGTTTACCTTCGCTCCTATAATTTCCGCTCGGAAAACCTTTCTTCTATTATATTTATGACAGTCTAAAAATAGTTATGAATTTATCTTATCGCCCCGCCAACAGTAATAGCAGTTGGCATCCATCTTCTGCCAAATAGCAAGACAAGAGAGAAAGAAGAAGAGAGAGAGAGACAGAGAGAGAGAGCGAGAGAGAGATAGAGAGAGAGAGAGAGAGAGAGAGAGACAGAGAGAGATAGAGAGAGAGATAGAGAGAGAGAGAGAGAGACAGACAGAGAGAGAGATAGAGAGTGTGTGTGGCTCGCGATCCAGGGCAACGATGAATGAATGCAGCTTGTGGCGCAGTTTGCAGTTTGCAGTACGCGCAGGAAATTTTCGTCTGTGTTCGCTGCCGGGTTTAGGCCTAAATAGATACTTTACTACTTTGGGACTCTCGGTTATATCGACAATAGTCGCATCTCTAATGTCAGTGGTTATAAGTTTGTAGCAAACATGCGCAATTGAGATAGATACAATAAACTATCTATGAATACACTTAGAAACTAAATGCCGAAGTCCAAACCACTGCCGACGCTTAAACGCCCAATAAGTGCTACCGCTCTAATGTACTTCATTAGCTGCGTATCCCGACAAATGCCCCCATTTGAATAACAATTGCTGATTGTCGATGCGTTCATAGCGCCATCTAGTACTAAATTTGTATTCTTTTTCTCAACTACGTACAGTTTTTTTGTTACTTTGCAGCACATTGTCAACTTTTAAAAGTAAAATAATATAGATAAAGCGTTTCTTTTCAAGCCAAGTCTAAAAGAAAAAAAAATTTGTCAAAATATAAAAATGTATGCACGTGTTCTAATTAGTATCTCTCTTCTTAGTGAATTCGGTTATAACGTTTTCAATTTGTTGGGAACATTCATCGGGTAATTCGCTTTCTTGTATTACATTCACGTCTTCTTGTACTATCGTTTCACCATCCCTAACTTGCTTTGTTACATCTCGCCTCAAAACGACTGTAGCATGATCCATTTCCTCTTCGTTATCGTATTCGACACCTTCATCTGTTTCAAAATCCCACAAATAATTAGTAACTATATATAACATCATAAATGCAGGTCTATTATAGGCAACATTCCAGATAGATTTAGAACAATAGTATACGTGTAATGAAAGCAAATATATAAAAATTCGGCTCAAAAAGAAAATAAGAGAAAGGAAAGAGAAATTGGTTAGAGCTTAGATGATAGACGAGTTGAACACCTTTCGGTAAATGGTCAAGGACAGTCCTCCTAGCGCTTCTAGAAACAGTTTTTTCAACTCTTCTTTCAACTGTTACACCATCTGGGAGATGTTCAACATTTACAGTTACTTCAGGATTTTGATCACTCGACCACTCATCTTCATAGGATTCTACAATTTCAGGCAAATCGGACTCGGGGCCATCTAGTAGGATGTGAGTGGTAACTAATTTTTCTTGTTTTTGAGTTACTACTCGTCGTTTAATAACTCGACCATCCGGTAGGGTTTCATCAAATTCTTCTATATGCTCTTCCACTCGTGGTTCGCCCTCAATGGTTTCAGTGTAGACTCTAATGCTATCTGAGCGGGTAATCCATTACAAGGCTGTTTAAAATAGTTAATCGCTTGCGCACGTGCGAAAAAGAGGCACGATAGGGAACGCACAAAAAAGAAACAAGTCAGGAAGAATAAAAATAAATCCAGGAGGAAAAAAATCGAAGGCAATAATTAAAAGTCTCCCACCTGTAATATTTTGGGAATCATCTCTAACATCGAAAGGAGAAGCATGGTCAGCCTTCTGTTTTGCTTCAGAAACAATTTCCTCTCCTAAAAGATGTAAAAATAGAAGATTAAACCTATTTATAGTATTTCTTGATAAATACAATTAAGGAAAAACATGAAAAGAGCATGCTAACAAGCCTTAACGAATAAAAAAAACTATAAATAGAAAGTCATATCTTATCGCCGTACCCCTCCCATCTCAATTTCCTTTATTAAATCTTTCTACCTGATTCTCGTAAAACCTTATCAATAACGATCCACTTAAATCCGTCCCATTCCTCTGATACTTCCCATTGGTCATCTAAATCGTTTTTATAGATTAAACTAAAGTTAGCGATAGTGAAGCAAATTGAAAAGTGAACAGTCAGTTTATATTCATAGAGTGAGATTTCGAAGCGGAGTGAGTGAAACTACCTGAAGTAGGTTTAAATATTTCTTCATCATTACTAGACATTGAAACCCTATCATCCATGCTTTCAGAGGTTGGAACTTTTTTCTCTTGACAGAATTCTACAACAGATGACGCTGTTTGTTCTCCAGTGATGGCGCCTGTATATATATTGTTTTTTTTTAAAAAAATAAATTGTTACAGAAAATTTTTTCTAGCATCCCGGAGCTGGAGTGCTGAAAGAGTGAGTGAAAGAGAAAGAGAGAGAAAGAGAGAGATAAATAGATAGAACAGAGAGAGATAAAGAAGTAGAAGGGAGATTGATTGGGAAAGAAAGGTAAAAAATTTACAGTTTACAAAAAATAATTTGTAGGTGGTACATGCAAAGGTGAAGGAATTCAAAAAATTAATCAATGGTAGACTAAATAAAAATAAAACAACATGGGTGATATGGGAATCATGGGTCAAACCATAGCTTCTACCTGAAAATGCCTCATTCCCCAAGTCAAGCTCTACATCAGTCATAAAACTAGCAAGTATGTCTCTGGCTTCTTCTTTCTTTTTCTCAATTTCTGGATCGAAGACTGCAGCTTCTGTCACTGCTGAATCGCCAGCATGTGATATTTCCTCTTCTTGAACAGAGTTTAGTGATTCCACCCCTAATTAAGTTCAAGGAAAGAAATGATGAAAAAGTCTACACCTGCTCCTTAACCCTTGGCATGCACTCAAACTGTTTTGATTAAAAAATAAAAATATAAAAAGTGATCTTACTGCGTTGAACGGTTGTTGTAGGAAAATGGCTGTCTACAATATCCTTTCTTTCAATGTTAATTAAGGCTTGTCGTAAATCTTCAACTGAAAATCAATAAACTGTTTGAACAGATTGAAAACAGCAAACTTTAATTCTTACTCTTCGGATCAGATTCCGAACCGTTAAACCATAAATGAAGGAAAACAAGTGCTCTTTCACTGGGAAATTGATAATCGGCCTTAATAGTTTCAACTTTATCATCAGCAGATAGCTCTCGGGCTAAGGATTCCCAATCTTCTGATAAGAGATCGGCTATGCTAGTTAGTTTTAACTCAGATGGTTCTATTTCATCTAATCCATCTTGGGCAGCATCAATCGAAATTTCGGGCACTTGCTTGGAAACACCTCCAGGCAATTCGAAAGTTAATGTGCATACTGGTTTGAGGGCTTCCCTTCTTGCTGCAGCTCGTGATTTGCTCATAAAGGTGAGGCATGAGGAAGCTGGTTGATTTCTATCTTTTAAGCAAACAGCAAAAGGAAGCCGATTCTCGCGGAAAGGACTGAAAGTCAATCCAAGTTGATCACCAGACTTCATCACGGGGTTAAGATTTCCATGGAATTCAAGGTAAGTTCTACCTTCTACCACTTCAACATCTCTCGACTTAGCTACTTCTTTGAAATTTTCTTGGGTTTCAAGCGTTTTTTCCATTTTATCATCAGTCACACAGAAAACTCTAACTCGACCCACATTATCTTCCATGGGTTTAGCAAATATAACGAAATTAGCCATATACGGCACCGAAAGTGTTTGCTTGTATAGTTCAGATGCTTTACCCAAAACTGCATCTCTGTTTCTGCAATCTACAAGCCAAAATCGAGCAGAAACCTTAGACTCAAAGGAAACAGAGTTGGGGCTAAACTGTAAGGGCTGTGAGTCTGTTATGTCTTCCCACTGGGTTGGTTGGATATCTCCTAAGCGTAAAAGATAAAATGATGATCTATTTTGTTATCGAAAGAATTTATACCCAAATATACCTGCAATACTACATAACAATCTTAATGAAGGAGATGGATCTCTTTGTCCTTTAGGAAGTGGTAAAGTTACAGTTAGATATTGATGGAACTTTCGTCTACGTGGTTCTATTGTAACGATGGGACTCGAAGCAAATTGACCATGACCAAAAATTTTGTTAACAAGATCATCTGGCGCCTCGTATACTTGTAATTTTAGCTTGGTCGGTTTATTAAGAGCACCTGTCAAAGAAGTTTTTTGCGATAAAAAAATATGATTTGTTGAAAATTGTTGTTAATTCCTCACCCGCAGGGAAAGCAACTTGAACTTGTGGTATGCTATGGGATTTTAGAACGGCTCCTTCTGCTCCAACTAATTTCGAGTCTTGCTTAATTCGCGAAACTAGAGCGAAATATTTGGGAAAGTTTGTTGTTACAATTCTGCTAATTCGTTTTTGATAGATTTTTTCAGCGGCTTCAAGCTCTGTTGAAAAGAGGATAAGTGAATTGTTTATGATTATACGATTTATTGGCAATTTAAGTATTACCGTCGAAACTGCCTTCTATTATCTTTTCCATTACTTCAGCCGTCGTATCTACACCATGCTCTTTCCAGGTCTCTCCATCATCACTCCTTAAGATGACTATTTCCCTCTCACCTTGTCTGAGTGAAGCAAAGTGTGGAATTTCGATAATAACATCTCTGTAAGTAAAAAAGAAATGCATAAATTATGTAGTAGAGATAACAGTTTTTTGCTTTACCCAGCAAATTGATAGCCACTAGGACTCATTTCCAAAATTCGGCTAGCCAGGCCTTCATTTTCCATCAAAGGTGGTGGAAAATTCAGTTTTTCTTTTTTGATTAATTTGCATATAATTTTAATTGGTGAACATGCTCTCCCGGGAGGTATAATAATGCGAATTCCTGAATGACGACATCCAGTCATTGCGCCCCCCACAGCATCGACAACAAAAGAAATAAGAAATCTGTAATCAATACGGTTAGGTTACTATTTACTTGTAATTTTTGTATTTATTAATCATTTACCCAGAAACGTTTGGTGGTTTGGTAACAACGTTATCGGGGTCGAAACTAGAATTGAAAGACATTCGCGAATATGAATTAGACATCAGTCTAGATTCGCTCATTGCTGCATAGTCCATTTGTTGGAAATCAGAAACCATATGGTCTTCCTAATATTGAAGATAAATATAGGTAAAAAATATAAAAGCAGCTAGAAATTTGCTATGTTTTTTCTACGGATAATGCGTGAAAAATACTACACACAAGGGGAATAAAGTGTTTCGCTAAAATAATAACAGACTTTACCTGTGGAAAAACTTCGTCATGCTCCGTATGGGAGTAAATAGAATCGTCATGATAAAAGGAGGAAGGATGGGATCTCTCTGAAAGTGTTCCTCCCTAAAAAGGATTAAACAACAGAGACGTGCAGGTTTCAGACTCACAAAATAGAAAACTACGATAATATATGCGTAAAAGCGTGCAATACAAACCCGAATTGGGGACATAGTTCCATACATATAGCTCATCTCATGTGGTTTAACTCCCGTGTCGAAAGCTGCAAGTGATTGTCATAAAAATGTAATTATCTTTACTGTATTAGATATGTATTATTTACCATCTTCATCGCCGTCCGAATCTGACATTTCACCATCTTCAGCCATTTCCTCTGGCTGATAGTGTTTATAGTAATGGTCGTCGGGATTTGCCACAACGCTCGTCTGCCTTTTCAAAGCTTCTATAACTGAAATATAGCCTAACTTTTGCGCTATCGAAAGTGGGGTGTGTCCCGTTTGCGAAACTGAGTCTGGGTTTGCTCTATATTTAAGCAAGTAGTTAATAACAAGGACATGACCTTGTTGAGCTGCCTGATGCAACGGAGTATAACCGATCTTCGTCGTCGAATGAATATTTGCTTTTTGATCAAGTAGAAATTTAATCATATTAATCTGTCCGAAATGGCAAGCAGTGTGCAAAGGAGTATATCCAGCTTTGGTTTGAGGATCTATCTGTGCATGATATTTAACAAGAACTTCGGCCACCGGTACATGATCTTCTTGTGCACATAGATGCATAGGACGAAGTCCATTGTTGCTAGCGAAATTAACGTCAGCACCTTTTTCTAATAAAAGAGCTGCCATGTCTCGATGTCCATGCTGGGAAGCTTCGTGCAGCGGGGTGAAACCGTTCTTTGTTTTAGCATTGGTGTTTGCTTTGTAATTTATAAGTATATTTGCCAGCGCCAATTCATTCCTCTTAGCAGCGATATGAAGAGGTGTCATACCGTTCTTAGCTTGAGAATTTGGAGATGCTCCACGTTCAAGTAATAAAACCTAACATAGTAAAAAGGAGGTTAATAGAGATCTTGTGTGGCTTGCTAAAACAATCTATAGTCCAACTAATGGCTAGAATTAACTTACAGCAACATCAATTTTATTATAATGGGCGGCTACATGGAGTGGCGTCAAGTTATTTTTTCCAACGGCGTCTACCTTTGCTCCTTTTTTAAGGAGTATTTTTGCTACATCTGTATGTCCTTTCTTAGCTGCCAAATGCAAGGCAGTAAACTTTTGAGATGTAAAACTATTAATAGCAGCCTTGTTATTCAATAAAACTTCAACTACGCGATCGTTTCCTTCTCTTGAAGCGATATGTAGAGCAGTGTAGTTACCATTTGTAACAGCGTTTACTGAAAAGTAAAATTAAGTATTTAAAGATTAAATCCCCATACGAAAAATATATTGGACTAGTATTTATTAATAGATACCGTCAGCTCCATGATAAAGTAAACATTCTGTCATCTCTGGATCGCCTAACTTAGCGGCAATATGAAGGGCTGTCTCGTTTTCATTAGCTGTGGCGTTCACTTGAGCGCCACTCTTAATTAGCAGCTTAGTCGTTTCTAATTGTTTTCCTCTAACGGCCATGTGCAAGCAGGTTTCTCCCCGGTTAGTTTTCTGATTCGGGTTGGCTCTCTGTTCAATTAGGTATGACACAATTTGGTTATGTCCGGACCAAGAGGCAACGTGCAAAGGTGTCAATCCGGTCTAATGGGAAATAGTTTGACAACATGAAATATCAGCTAAGAGAACAATATTCATCGTGGTACCTCAGTGGTGCTATCAATCATCGAACCATATTTTAATAAAAGTTCTATAATCCTTGGTTTATTCTTTTTACAAGCGATATGAAGAGGTGTGAAACCATTCTAAAAAAATCCCAATTTATATACAAAAAATGATTGATAACTAAAAAGTCATCCCTACCCTGGCTCGAGCATCAACAACGCATCTACTATCTAATAGTAGCTTTGCCATCTCATAACTGCCACAATGAGAAGCCACATGCAATGGAGTTAAGTAGTCTATAGTAACTTCCTCTATGGGTGCCCCTTTAAAAATTAGCAAGCGACCTGTATCATAATGATTTCCTTGGGCAGCCATGTGTAAGGGTGTTAATTTATTCCTAGTTCTAGCATCGACAGGTGCATTAAACTCTAATAAGAGCTCTACTACGGACGAATGGCCGGATCGGGATGAGCAATGCAGAGCGGTTAATAGGTCCTATAAAAAAACGATAATCTTAAAATTATATTTACAATTAATTGAACTTCTTGTTTATCATGATTTTATAACCTTAGTACTGCTGGAAATATCCGCTCCATTATCAAGTAAAAGTTTAACCATGCCTGCTCTGTTCCACTTTGATGCGACATGTAGTGGACAAATATTGTTCTACGGCAAAGTTAAAAAGGTTATCGTCAATGTACTCATCTGGTGCAATATTTTATTACCTTTGCTCTGTAATCGAGGTTAGCTCCTCGCTCAATAAGCATGCGTCCGACATCTTCGCTACCATAATGGGAGGCTATATGCAAAGCAGTGAATCCACCCTACACATGTGTCAAATTTAGTTTTTAACACCTGCTCTTTTATGTGCATTAACGTCGTTAATCATGTTATCATGATTACTCAGCTATGTTTGTTTTTATATGCAAAGGAATTCTAACATGCAGAAAGAGATTTTACCTTTGACGCTAGGTTTGGATCAGCATCTGGAGAATTCAAGAATAATTGGACAGCGCTAGTGTTGTTATTCTTTGCCGCCAAGTGTAAAGATGGCAATTTCACTTTACGTGATCTGTCGGTTTGAATGAGTTCTTCGACCACTTTTTTATGTCCTTGTTGCAAAGCAATAGATAGGGGCGTAAAGCCATTCTGGATACAGAAAAACAGAAATAAGATAACATCGGTACTTTAGGATAAAACTACAAACGTCTGTTGTGAGAGTAGGACTGGCCCCATTTTGAAGAAGTAGGGCAACGACAGCCGCATGATTTTCTTGGGCTGCCATATATAGAGGAGTAAATCCATTTTGAGATTGAACATTCACTTTGGCTCCATTTCGCAGGAGTGTCTCCACAATATTATGTTTACCGGCGAGGGAAGCAATATGCAGGGGCGTATTTCCTTTCTTTTTTTAGACCAAGGAAAAAAACAAAATGCAAATTAGAACATTGTGAATCGATGCGTGAGGCGCGTTGTGCAATTTTTACTCACTCTCGTAGGGGCATCTAGATTAGCCTTGCGGTTTAAAAGCTCTTCAACAACGGCAGAGTAACCTTCCTTTGAAGCAAGGTGAAGTGCGTTTAATCCGGTCTGTTTAAATGTTTAATCACTTGAATATGATTTGCCTGAAATACGACATGTATACTAACGTTATTACTTATGTCGACATCTATTCCACTGTCTAAATAGACAATTACTTTCTCCAAATTACCGTTACGAGCAGCTTTTAAAAAACTACTGACTCTATCAGCCTGCTAAAGATAAAAAAATTAAGTAGGTGCTTGAATGCATGCACCACGCCCACACATTCTTTCAGAGGATCCTGAAATTACTAACAAATATCTCGGCCAAGCCAAACAATCAAAATGAGAAATAAGGAAAATGTATACGCGGTCTCCTTCTTACCAAATTACTATGCGACAACAATACACAATTGTAAGTTTCATCTAACACTAATTGATCACTTAAAGTATTCACTCAAATAGCGATCATTTATAAAAAAAATGAACAAATTATTTGCGATTTTGCAGTTAGCCATGAAATTATCATTTTAAAGGTGAATTATATAATACGCTTTGGTATATATATAATTTCATTGAGCAGATGCAGATGCTTTTTTTACCCTGCATAGTTTATTGAATTCCGCATTAGTAAACATATGTCGACTTAACACACAAACTGCAAAATTTCTCAATAGACCTTCCTGTTTTTAAATGAGGAAATACCTAAAAAGTACACGAAGGTCTCTCATGCGTATCCTGTCTCAACAGTGTGTTACACAACATATTATTATCTTAGTAGTTTAACAACGGTCCTTTGATCATGTGACCTTCGTGAAAAATGCCTTAGACGGTAGGCTCTATCGTGAATTATTTATTATAAAGTTCGATTGAAAAATGTACGTGCTATAGAAGAATATACCACATATGTGTTAAGGTAATAAAAAGAATATGGACAGAGTATATGAACAACCGGCTAATCGTCTACATACAAAATTTACTTGAATCAAAGTACACTTTTAAGGGAAAACAAGCCTTAATATTCAACAAACACTCTCGATTTGCACAAATAGATAACATAGTTGTAATAAAATGCCTGACCGTAGGCGACTGCATTCTCGAACCTGAATCAGATTCGCCATTTACCAAATGTTTATGATCATTTATAGCTTCCATAATTGAAAGTTGTGAAAAGGTACTACATCCAAATATTCCTTGAATTTCTTAAATATTATAGCTACCAAAGGCGAAGATTACCGACCAATTTTTGTTCGAATATATCTAAGAATCGGATATGAGCGATGATGCAGAGAATTGGCGTTGTAATCTCAAAACAACGCCACCTATCGGAAACGCACTAAAATTCTGGAAGAGTTTAAAATACTAAGGAAGAGAGGGATGTTGGTTGGGCATATTTATTTTATTGTTTCTCAAGTGGGTTAAGTTTGTTTAGCACATAAAGAATATTGGATGACACGTACTGATTCAGGATAAAGGGAGAGTAAGCGAAAGTGAAAATGATAACAGTGTATATTTACTTCTAATCAACTCACTAATTAACGTAATAGTCTTTTATCATGGATTTAGTTACATATCTGTTTATTGTTTCTGGAGAGTTTGATAAGACAGCTCTGTTTTATTGAAACTACTATAAATGTGGAACAAACTAGAATATGGCAGAATAAACAAGTAGGTTTTGTTAGTCACTTTTGTTTTTAACTATAAATTGGATTTGAAAGTTGGTTATGAAGTTTTTCAAACGATCCAGTTTTTTTCCACAATATAAAACCAGCTAAACCCTTTAAATGAAAGATAATAATCATATTAAAGTTTTAGATTTCTATAATATATCTCACCTGTAAAACAGCAAAAATAGTCAACAAAATTGACAAACTGATTCCTGTCATGTCTTTAAAACCTGTGGTACTTAACCAAATAAACAAGGCAATTGCTGGAACAGCTACCAATAAAGTCATAGCGAACATAGAGATGCCAACAGATCTTACTTTTGACTGTCCCATATCTTAGAGATAAAAAACATCTATGGTTTAAATCAAAAGAAAGATAGCTTTTTTATATACAGTATACATATACATCAACATATATATATATATATATATATAAACATGGAGATGAAGGTTCAAATCTCTTTGAAATATATCCCTTACTTGATTAGCTTGATTTATTTATTTGTTCAACAGTTAAACGAGCAAAAATTCTATTTGGATTGTTAAAATGAAAGCACACGTGCTAGTGCACTGGGCAAACTTCGATCCTCTACAGTGAAATGGCGTCTGGTTGTGAACTTCCGGAAACATTTAATCTGGCGGTAAATTCAAAAAAGAAAAGAATTTATTTTGAACTTATAGACGTACTGATATGACAAAACAATAAGTTATAAGGTATCAACTTGACAGTAACAGATAAATACTGAACGTACAGGGTTGGTTGTATTTACATCATTATGGAAAAGGGAGAAATAAGAAACACAAGTGTGAATATCAATATGAATAAGGTGCTATAGACGTTGTGTGATGTCAAAATATTAGCGCTGTTACATTTATCAGTATTACAAGTGTAAATACACAACATTTTGATCTGTACATTGGCGGTATGTAATTGTCGGCAATCCTCTTTATGAGGTAGACTCACTGAGCACGACCGACTAGTTTCTAGAAGTGTATCTGTAACAAATTCAATAATCAGTTGACGTAAGTTTGCAAAAGAGTTGTGAAAATAAATACCATTTTCGCCCAGTTTTCTAATGACAAGGCACCTGATTTCACAATTCGATTTGCTAGTACGATTGCATAATGTTTCTCTATTGCAAGTTATAGGCTCAGGTAAACTGTGTCTATAATGGCAATTTCTACTATTCGTAGAGTTAGACGATATGCAATCGTAGCATTTCAAGCCATCTGAAAATAATTAAAATGAAAACAGAACAAAAAGGTGGAATTAACTGATAATTAATTAATTAATTAATTCAATAGTTGTTTTAGAAGTAACTATGGCTTATAGTTATGATAATAAATTCTATTTATAACAATAAAACAGTCTTATCGTACAATCTTGAAAAAAAAACACAAAAGAGCATAGCACAACAGAATAATTAGCAAATTAGGTTTTCTAAACTTAAAATTAAAATATATAAAGTATACACGGTATAAATTGGTATATGTATTGAAATATATAATATATAGTATATATAAACATCTGTTATTTTATTCTTATATGGCAAACAGATTGATGTTAAATTTGTTGTCAGTATTTGTGTAAACCGCTAATCACTAATTAATTAATTCATTTATTATTTAAATAATTCAATTTATTTTGTTCTATTTTAGAAAAGATATTCTGCACATACACACACACACACACACACATTCATATATATATATATATATGTATATAAATTTATACAGTATATATTTGTACACATTCTCTCTATTACTAATTAAAAGAATGAATATAACAAATTAATAATCAGTTTTAAAAATACAGTTATTTTCAATATTAATGCTTTTATTATCTTACTTGACTTTAGTTGTGTTACAATTGATTATTTTTTTAATTACCATAAAATAGCTATACTTAAATGAAGGTAATTGTCTGAACAGATGTACCTTTCAATCTATAGAGAAAAGAATGCAACCTATCTAACCGTATTATGAAATATTCCATGAAATATTATCAAATTAAAAAAAAAACAAAAAACAACATTTATGCTTTGTTTTACAAAAGTTATTAATTATTTCAATGTTAACGTACTATAATAATCTTTAATACCGCATATAATCTATGTATTTCATTTTCATTATATTGCGTTACCCTTTTATATACTTAAACATGTAGTGTACTCTATATGGTGTATATTTACGCAATAAATAAGCTCTTACTTTTTCATTCATACTATAAAAAGGCGTTAGGACCGTTAACCGTCTCCGCTTTAATCTACTACATATTTTTTTATATAGAGATTTCGTTTGTCATTGTTACTTACCAGATTTAGGGATAAACAAGGCCAATACAACTAGCCAAAAGCAGGTTGCAGAGAAGAAGCAGAAATTGATTCTAACAATCGAAAACATATTCTTATTTTAGAAAAAAACCTGTTTCGTTAGATATCAACGAAAGAAATTTCATGTGCAACAGCAAAAAAATGATATGCGGTCTCGGCGCCACCTGTAAGTCAATTAATGTTAAAACAAGCAACTATTTTATAGGCTTATATAAAAATCAGAAGTGATAAACAAGGTAAAAAAAAGAGTAATAACCATTTTTCGGATGCAGTAAATTGGTAAACCAAGTCAAAACTTCATTCATAACGGAAGATTAGTGGAGGATTATTTCGTCCGTTAATGATTTGACTAGAAAGCCTTCTAATGACCAACCTGTGAAGGTTGCTCTAGGCTTGTACTGAAAAGTGCACATCCATAATGAATAAGTGGAGTTAAATATTACTTTACTGATAAGAAATTTCACTATCTTTCATGTTCTGTCTCCAGTTGTTTTCCTCCTTTCCCATTATGCTTTTCATTTTTTTCATTAAGAATTATATTTCACTTATGTACCATCTTCTAGGTAACGCTTTTTCAAGGATTTATATCTCCTTCTCAATATTAGATAATATTAATATTATTCTGTACGAGGTGAAGGGGAGGAAAGTATGATTTGAGAGGAAAACTACAAAAAAAAATTCTCTCAACTTCATTCAACTATTTAAAGTTATAAACAATTTAAAATTATTATATAATATTACAATAACAATACGTATTTATATTATAATTAGACTGTATTTTTGATTCTGGTCAAATTAGAATATTTTATATTTCAGCTACAATCAAAATTGCAAGAGAATTTCAATCTGTTTTAGTTGATTAAGTACTTCATAAAACAAAATCTATGTATTTTCAAGCATAGTAAACAAATATAAGACGAAATTGATTTTAAGCAAAGAATTACTCATTTATACTAGTTTTTATCTCTCTCTTTCTTTCTTTCTTACTCGCACTACTCTCACTCTTTCTCTTCTTAAGAGCAAAATCCACATGATCTTTGGCAATTTTTCTTCATATATAAAACATAGGCAGCTGCATGACAATAGTTGCTTCTGGCCCAATTAGAACAATAGGTTGACAAATCTGTGCAAATCTTTTTTTGTGGTTTCTTTCCGGAACTGTTCACATTTGCTGTATTACATTAATTTCATGTCAATTATTCCGAAAGACTTTATATATATATATTTGATTGTTCTATTTATCAAACTTACCTCTTACGCACATTCTACAGGATTTTTTGCAGTTTGCCTTCATGTATTTCTTGTAACGATAATGAAAACAATATTTTTTTCTAGCCCAATGAGGACAATACTTATTCATATCGACACATTTTGGAATTGGAATAGGGCTTGCTGTATACACAAAAAAGTTTGGGAAAAGTGAATAGTTAACTAATATAAACAGAAAAAACAAATTGTGACATTACGTTTTGTTCCTGTACCATCTGAATCGCACGCTTTACATGATCTCCTACAATTTTTAAGCATAAAACCGGGATATTTATTACATTGTCCTTTGGCTGCCCAATAAGAACAACTTCCGTGCATGTCATTACATTTTTTATCAGGCTTTACGGACGTGTCACCACAAATTTTTATTGGAGAACCTGGACAAAGGCATTTGCAGTTTTTACCAACAAAGCCTTCACCTGGACAATCTTTTGCTTTCAAGTTACATTTAGCTCCACATTTATACATAAGATTTAAAACTTTAATGTCTCTAAAACTTAGACCCTTTGCAGTTCCAATCAGATATTGTTTGGATTTATCTTTAGTTATGATAGTAGGCTTTCCATTCATAGAAAAGGCCTGAGGCGAAAAAAGGATAATTATTATAATTTAATTTATATTTATGATATAAAATGATAAATTAGAGGTATAACTATATAACTATTCATAAGTATTCAATTATTTTGATATGTTGTATCTATAAATATCCAAAATTTAGTTCGTATTATTGACCAACTAATGTTAAAATACTACTGCCAATTCATACTTACGGTTTGGCCGTAATGCATGACAGAGTGATAATCGTAAGGAACGTTGTAGGTGTTGATTCTATCGTTACCGTGCTTGTTAAAGTTGTACGCCATTGATTTGAGAACATTCTGCTCAAAAGAACAACAGGAGATATTGTTATTAAATACGCATATTGTATAGAATTGTAATTGTTTTAATGTAAAATATGGAATATATTATAAGGTGTACTTACACCAAATCTAATTGTAATATATGAATCTCTATCGGGTCTTGATTGTTCATGAAACATACCAAGAGCATGACCGAATTCGTGTAGAATAGTAGATTTCTATTGTAAATATATATATGTGTGTGCGTTAATATAATAGTATATATTAAACTGCTAGATTCAGTTTTGAATAATACCCTTCTACATCCTCGCGCTAGAGAAATTTGTTGACCACGACTCAACATCCCTATATTAGACCAGCAACTATTAAAATATAATAAGATGATTGTTATATATTACAAAAATATTGTTGATGTTGTTTTTTTACCCTTGTCCACTTGTTATTCTTATTTTTCGTCTATCGTTGCCGTTAGCTCTTCGAAATTTTATACAAGTTAGACTATGGTAGTCGGCAATCGCTGCTCTAATTTGCGCCGCATCGCTCGAAGCTGTCAAAATATATATTTTGTATGTCCATTTACTGATTTTAATATATAATGTATATTTCTATGTAAACTATGTTTTTTAACTTACTAAAAGTTCCTGGTTGTAATTCGTATGGTACAACTCCGTTTGTCCAATATTTTGCAACATCTCTCAGCGCTTTTCTCTTCTTTACCCTTTGTAAAATAGTAAAATATGCCTAGCTTATCGCCTAGATTTTTACCGATTCTAAATTTTTATTACTTTCCACTTTCTTCCATACGTTCCCACTGTTGTTTGGTCAACCTCATGTCCATTTCAATCATTAGCGTGTCATTTGTACTAAAGAAAGACGTCTCTTCACCTAAACGAGATATTTTAAGGCAAATTTTATAACGTTAATAAATTGAATTTTCCAAATTTATTTAATTACTCTCTTCCTGAGACAATACAATCACATCATCGTTGGTTTGCGCTGTTATACAACCGAATAAAATGTATAGTGACAAACAAGTGGAGATAAATTTCATTCTTGGTGTCTAATTCTTAAAAGCAGTCTCAATTCTCTCATTCACTTGACTCTTCTTCCTTATATATCATATTCTCTCAATTATTTATTTACACTTGTATTTATTAGAAAGCCTATAATGGATAATTTGAAAATTACACAAATTCAATTAAAAACATATAATTTATATTAATTAAGTAAAATTATTATTTAACGGAGAAAAATAGCGAAAATGGAAACAAGTGTAAATTCTACATTGTTCTAAGCTAAACTAGTCTATTTATAACAAAGGATTTGACGGGCATTTTTTAAAAGAGTCAAATTTATGATAAACAGTTAATTTATTAAGTACTCAATAACGAATAGGAAAAAAAAATAGTCAAATGAACTAAAGCACTATAGCAAAATAGCAAAAGTAGTAAGTAACAATTCTACTTCTCTACTTTTTATAATGTTATAACAATATATTTCTTGATATTTTTATCATCGTTTTCTTTCTCTTGGTCATTTATCTATGATTCATTTATCTCAGAATTCTAATCTATTTACAAGGGAATTATTCTAAGTAATCGAAGTCCAACAACTAACGACAGAATCTATGAAAGCAAGTGATATATATACAGTATATATACAGTATATATACAGTATATTATGTTAATGAACAAAGTTTATTTAACTTGGACTACAACATTCAAAATCGAACAGGCTAAAGCTGTTTCAGTTCAGTAACCAATTAAACTAAGGATTGGTTCATAGCAGAAGATGTTGTTTACGTCGCTGTTTTTGATAAATTTCTGTAGCAAGACATCCCTTCCAAATCAGATAAAGTCAAATTTCAGTGTTTCAGATATCTAGTTTTTGAATATGCTTTACAATTTGATGATTTACGCGAAGAAGGAGGAAATTTTGGCCTAAACTAAAGAGATTTATTTATAGTAATGCATCTCTATATATTGAAGAATATAATATTCTACTTACATATTGCCCTTTATCCAGGGAGCTTAAATTCCGTTTAACAATTAAGGGAAACCCTCAAGATCTGCTGAAAAATCGCTACCTGATTTTCGCATGTAGTAAGACTTTAGGTGGGATCTCATGCTACAATCTAGCTTATCTAGAAATGTAGCATAAAATCTGGAAGGAAAAACTATTGAAGTGCTCTGTAGCATGAAGAGCCCATTAATGGACAAGATAAAAATCTCTAAAATTGTTCCCTGATTAATATTTGCAGCGTATGCCCCAAAAGAGGAGAGTACTATCATAATGATGCTACCAATTATGTTAATTACTAAGGATATAGAAAGAAATGTTGTCTCATCTAATTTCCTTCCATCCGTAACTGAGAAAACTTTTATCACCCAATCTGTATAAACCACTTGAAGGACGTTTATAGCTACTCCCCCAGTGATAATACCCATTAGTAGACAGCCAAATTGAACGACAACGAATGCCAAATGACGCCCGCCCAATGCTATCATTTTCCAGTTCTTAAGTTTTCTTCTGTCGACTACTCATCAATGAAATTGTATTTTTCTATTTTAGTATATGATGGTTATTAAGTTTCTAAATATAACTGACTCAATTGTATTTTAGGCTTCTCATGAGAACTATCTTTTACCCCATTATCACCTATCATCTTTCAAGGCGACCTAAGTCCGTTACAATAGAAATTAATCTCTCTTTTTATCCAAGTAAACAAAAATTCATAATAGAAGATTTCTTCACTTTTAAAATTTCAGAAATATACTTCTATTAGAATTTAGTTAAGAAATGATTAATTGCTCTTTAGAGAAGATGTTAGTGCTTCTTTTCCATTTTTCAAAACAAGTATTGAACTATTGAACAACAGTTTTTTATCACATAGGTAACATATTTTTCAGTTATTACTTTTTGATATATGCTTTCGTGTTTTTTTTTTTTGCAGAATTTCAATACCAACGCCATCTAGCTGACAATTAGAGAGTTTGTTATTGATAAATTGATTTATTATATTTAAATTTATGGATGTCAATCTACAAAAAAGACACGGCAAATAGTTTATACTATTTTAACGCATGGTTACAAGTTCTTCGGCAGAAGTAGGATGAATGGCTACGCAGGAATCGAATTGTTTTTTCGTTGCGCCCATTTTAATTGCAACTCCGAATCCTTGTAATATCTCATCACATCCATGACCAATCATATGTAGACCAATAACCCTTTCATCTTTGCCAATGCAAATTAACTTCATAAAAGTTCTAGTCTTATGAGTTGTAAGAGCGTTGTACATGGGGGTAAATGCGGTCTTGTAGATTTTTATTTGATCTTCTTGATAGAGACTTCTTACTTCCTCTTCAGATGGTCCAATAGTACCTGAAGGAGGATGAGAAAAAACAACAGTAGGTATTGCTGAATAATCCAATTTTGAATTCTTTTCCCCATTAAATATTCGATGTGCTAGCTTCCTGCCAGCGGCTATTGCTACTGGAGTTAACTGAGCATGCCCACAAACATCCCCTATGGAATAAAAGTTTGGAACGGAAGTATTCTGAAATTCGTCAACAACGATATTCCCTGTTAAATAGTAAAAGTAAGATAAAAATTCCAACCATAATAACAAAATGGTAATAATACAAACCTATTTTATCTGTTTTGATTCCAACTGATTCCAAATTAAGCTTCTCTGAATTTGGTCTTCTTCCAACAGCCCAAATAAGATTATCAACTTGATCGATAGTAGAATTATCATCCAGAGTGATTTTCAATTTATTTCCGTCTTTCACAACCTCAGCCACTTGACTGTTACGTTTTAGATTGACACCTTCCGTTTCTAAAGAGGCTGTCACTTCTCTACTTAAATCTCCGTCAAAGTTTCTTAAAACTCTGTCCTTTCTTATAACCAACGTTGCATCAGTTCCTAACCCATGAAGCATTCCAGCTAATTCTACTCCTATATAGCCCGCTCCAACAATAACTGATTTCTTGGGTAATTCTTCCATTTCAAAAAATCCATCAGATGTCATACCTAAATCATATCCGGGAATATTTGTTGGCAGAATTGGTGTAGATCCTGTAGCAATTATAATATGTTTTCCTTTATATATTTTACCATCAGCTTGAATGGAACCATCAGGGGTGATTGATCCATAGGCATTAACCCAATCGACATTTGCTTTATTCAAATTGGAAAAGTAAATAGAATGTAATCGCTTAATATAGTCGTCTCTTTTCTTCTTGAACGTTGCAAAATCAAAACTTTTGTACTCTACATGAAATCCATAATCAAGATTATTTCTTATAAAATCTGCGTGATTTGCGGCATAATAAGTAACCTTTTTCGGTACACAACCAACGTTTACACAAGTACCGCCAACATAAGCTCCATCAAAGATAACTGCTGATGCACCAAATTCTGCGGCTCTTCTAGCTGCTGCTAATCCTCCAGAACCACCTCCAAGCACCAAAAGGTCATAATTTTTGGTTGTTGACATGGCTCGTCTAAGCTTCAGGACTAGTTGTTGCCTATTGGCAATTAGAAATCTAAAGGTAGAAGCGTACATTTAAATGGTTCTTGCGCAGTTAATAGAATCAGTGACAATTTACGTCCTCACAATGATTTTTCAAAATCTCACATGTGATATGGAATCAAAACAAAAAATACCCTTCACTGACGAAGGTCAGTTATCCCACTATTACAATAAACCCTTGAATTATTATATCTGTAGAAGCGCCCTTATAGTGAGCACAGATATTTTCGTAGTGCTATGATACCAAATAGTGAACCAGGGGCGAAGTTATACTAATCAAACCTATTTCACAATATACGAAAATAATGTCAACAAAGGTGAAGGATATAGTATACACCGTTCAATTCACGACACTTGAATATTACGTTTCTTTTGAATAGATAAAACTAGACATATAGGCATATTTTGCTGATTAACTGGTTTTAAAGGAAGTTTTTTTTAATAAAAAAACTTGTCTTTCTTTCAAAGAATAATTCGTTTGAATAAAAACTAATTTTGTGAGCGATATTATAATGATATAGTTGAACTTCAAGTTGTATTCAACATTACAAGAGAATACTTGTAAGAATTAATCAAGTATATAGCTACTATTACCTCCTAAGAAATTTTTTTGTCTAAATGGTAATGTTAATATTATTTACATATGACTACCTTTATAGCAATACTCAAATAACGTACAGTTTAGTTAATGATATATTCTACTATTGTTTATTATTGCAGAAAAAAAAATATGGCAGATATTAGTCCTCACATTCAGCCTAAAAGCGAAATTAAGCATTTGAAAGATTTTGATCCTCCAAAAATAGCTGAAGAGCTTCTAAAAATAAAACGAGAATCAAAAGAACGATTGCATTATTCAGAAACGTTAAATTCCCTACTCTCCCTCTACGATGTCGACTTCGTTAAGAAACTACAATCAGCTCATTGTCAAAGCTCCTATGATTCAATATTTTTAGATGGACCAGAAATAGATGCTTTTATCGTTTTGTTGAACAATAGCTCAACCGGAACAATGTTCAAAAGATTAAAATGTGCTTCTCTGTTAGAAAAATTTACAGAACAAAAAAAGATTACTAATTTACTAGAAAGTATTGTCAACAGTCCAAACGATATTCAAGATTGTGTAATAAATCTTATAGGATCGTTTACATCCCGAATGGCAAATCTTCAAAAGAGAGAATTATCCGATCTTTTTGTTCCTTCAAATCTTGTTCCTAAAGTATGTTCATCTATATTAATAGTTATAAAACAGGGTGTTGAAAGTATTAAAAATAGTAAAGATTTTCAAATTCGAGCAGTTACAAGATTATTAGGTAAACTGTGTGTTATAGGATACGGAGACTATGTTTGGAAGACTATTTTACCTACTTTTGTTTCAAAGGCTGATGATGGCATCTGGAATCGAATAAATTATAAATTATTATCAACTTTACAGTTTTCCCAACAGGAAAGCTTTATTGTCTCTCTTCTAAAGAATGTAAGAAATGAGCGCCTTTTCTCAAGTTTTCTAGTTAATAGTGCTCTGGAAAATACCTCATTAAAGAATTTGCTAACAGTAAAATTACTACTACATCGAAGTGACCTTTCGCTCACTTCGCTGAATGTGCTAATCTCTCACTTTACAACATCACCTGCCAGGCTCACTCTATTTAAAGATGCTGTTAATAACTTACTCCGAATATGGTCAGATGCTAGCGCTTTACGTCATTCAACGATTCATCAAAGATTCTATATAACCAGAGCCCTAGTCATTTGCGCCATAAATTGTCCTCAACAAGAGTATTTTGACAGCAAAGCATTATTACAAGGCGTAGAAATTCATCTCGCTATCGAAGATAATGACCTTAGAACTATGGGAATGTGTTGTGGAGAAATTCTAACGAGTAAACTTAAAGTTTCCACTGATAAACTGGAATTTGAATATTCAGATAATGAATATACATTAGAGCTAAAGAATCTTGAGGAGAAGTTAGCTAAGAATGAAGAAGATATTGCAGAGATAATAAAAAATCTTAAAGTTGAAGAAGAAGTTGAAACTGAAGCAAATATAAACTCTGAAGATTTGGATAGTGATGATGATTTGCCAGCATATGATCAATCTAATGACCTTCCGAAACGATCTAACAAAGTACCCCACTACCTACGCGATTGCTTAGATGGTTTGATACAGACACAAGATGTCGAACTTACAAACACGTGCCTAGAATATGCTGTCAAATTGATTCAGAAAAATAAGTCAACTGTTGACGAAATGGGAGATGAAATGGCTAAAGTTTTACTTCATATTAGTCCTACCACAGAAGAAGGTGAAATTCATGTATTTCAGGCTCTTGTTGCTTTAATAGTGGTATCACCTGCTAAAGTGACAAAATATATGACAAGTCAAGTTTACGAATATAATTATACTATAGAGAAACGCTTGCTGATGTTGCACGCTCTCTCAGCAGCAGCCAAGTCATTGGCCTTCCCTGAACCAGCAAAAGCTATAGAGGACACCTCCAAATCCAAAAAAAACACTTTGCAATCGAATGTTACAGATTGTAGAGCACTTGTTGCGAATAGATTAGAGGCGAAAACTCGTCGTTGGGGATCGAAAGCAAAACAATGTGACGTGAGAGAAAACAAATTATCTTCGAGTGTATCTCTATTTTTTTATCCTCTTTTAACCGGGCTTGATGTTAGAAGATCTTATCTTGACTTATTAGGAAAAGATCATATCGTTTTAACCAGAGTCATCTATACCATATCGAGTATTGTCAATGTTGCAAGGAATGTTGTAACGTCGGATAAAATGTGTATTGACTTGCTGGAAGTGATATGGTTGTTAAGGTGGCACGAAGAACCAAGTGTCAAACAAGCTCTTTTATACGGCTTATGCGTTATTGCATCAGCTTTGAATCCTAATAATTTACTGACAATTGTAAATGCTACAGACGTAATGGAGTGGTTGAAAAAAGTTATGAATGAAGATTCGGATAAGGAATGTCGGGAGAGAGCTTCAACATCATTCTGCTTATTTGCCAAATCCTTCAAAGAGAATGCTTCTACATGAAATTTATTCAATTTCAGTATATATTGTTATTTTTTTACTAAATTGTTGACTGTCGTAAACTTTCGAAAAATATACTTTACTAAAGCCACTATTTCAAACCTGGCAGGTGGCGCCAAAATTATCGTCTGCTAGTTTACATTTCTTAGAAAATATCCAGCATTGTATGAGGAATTGTGATTTTTTGATGATTTAAGTGAAAATAGGTATTTAAAATTTAAAAAAATTAATTAATAATATTTTACCATAAAAAATTTGCATTGATATAAAGGTGAATAGGCCTAGATAATGACCCGATGTTCTAAATTTTCATCCCTTGAGCCTGCCAATGGTCACATGATTTTTTTTACAATGAGACCTTAACTTATCTGACAATCTTATATAGAACTTGAAAAGAAATGGTTTATCCTGAAACTCAAGAGAGTGGGATTTCAGATATCCGATCCTATAACAGCACGGACGAAGGCGAATCAAGTCCCCTTGTGAATAAAGATGATAATTTTCAGGAAAGAAAAATCATAAAACCTAAAAGGACATTTATCGTTGAGCCATTGATCATTATGGTTTTCGTTGGTTGCTATTCTACACCTGTAATAACAAATCAGTTCGTAAATTCGGTATTAACTTCTCCATCAAATTCAACAGAAAACCAAACATGTCAAAAAAATTACGAAAAGGATAAAGGTCAACAAAAGTCAGCTGAGTTTATGTTAGGGTTGAGTTTAGTTCAAAATATACCGGCTATGTTTATAGCTCTCTTTATTGGACCCTGGAGTGATCGAATTGGTCGAAAACCAATTATGTATATCTCTATGATAGGGGCTCTCTGTGACTCTTTGATAACTGTGTTAGTTGTATCACTAAAATTAAATATTCTATATTTATATATTGGAAAAACTATTTATGGTTTATTTGGTGGGAACAATGGATTAACTCTTGGGGCTTTCTCTTATATAGCCGATATTACTGATACTGATCAAAGAAGCTTGAAAATAATTACAGCTGAAGGTTTGATGGCTCTCGTTGCTGGAGCTGCTCAAATAGGAATTGGATATTGGATTAAAAGTACCAATTTTTCTCAACCTTTTTTCGCTGTGTTTTCTATTTATTTCTTATCCATGATCTACCTATTCTTCTTTGTACCTGAAACCATTTATTCCCCAAAAGGGACCAATAAACTCAAAGACTTATTCAACTTAAAGGATTCCAAGGAGGGATTTAAATTATTTCTTATGTCTGGTAGAAGAGGATGGGTGCTGAGATTACTCACAGCTGCCTTTCTTTGTAATTATATGGTATTCGTTGGACGAAACGATGCAAATACTTTATTTATGATGAGTGCCCCACTGTGTTGGAATTCAGTGGAAATAGGCATTTTCAGTGGTGTTACTATAATGCTCGTTATAATTTTAGGCATAGTGTGGGCAAAGATCTTTAGGACATGTTGTTCTCTACGTCTTTCTACAATGTCTCTTATTGGAATAATATCTTCAGCTCTAATGCAACTTGTGCAATCAGTTTCTACGAAGAGTTGGATGATGTTCATAGGTCATTACAAATAAATAATAAACAATATGTGAATATAAATAAGTTTTATTTATTCCTACAGCACCATTTATAGGCAGTGGGACTTTCATTGGGTTTCCTCTAATCAGAGGATATCTCTCACTCCTTATATCTAGATTTCACCAAGGTATAACTGAATCATATGAAGTTATTGAAAGCAGTGAATTGTTCTAATTTTTCTCTTGCAGGAGCTTTATTTTCAGTTGTCAGTTTCATAGAAGCTATTGCCCAGTTAGCTTCGACAAGCCTATTTGATGTGATTTATGCCAAAACTGTACATGTCTTTCCTGGATTTGTCTTTCTAGTAGCCAGTTTGTTTTGCCTTGTTGGAGCTGTTTTTATTGCGTAAGCCTAATTAAATATTTCACTTATACTTTATCGATTTATTCAATCACTTTTACACAGAATTGTTAGGTGTTTAGAAATTAATCATATGGATGAAATTCTTATGAATGAAGAAAATGAAGAAATAACTGTCGATGCTTGAATTATTAAGTTTTATTTACTAAAAAAATACATTTTTACAAACCATACAATAACTATGTTATATTTTAAGTTTTTGTAAGACTTGAAGTATATTTACTTTAGTTTGAAGCCAGAGTGAATAGCAGACACTCCAAACATGAGTTTCTCATAATGAACTTCTTGGAAACCGGCTTCTTCTATCATATTTTTAAAGTCATCGGCTTTCGGAAATTGTCTAATACTTTCTACTAAGTATTGATAGGACTTCCAATCTCCTGATAGTAGTTTTCCGGTTACTGGTATGATGTTAAATGAATACCAATCGTAAACATCATTAATGATGGGATTCTGAACATCTGAAAACTCTAAACACATAAATCTTCCGCCAACTTTTAATACTCGAAAGGCTTCTTCCAAAGCCTTTTGTATTCTTGTTACATTCCTAATTCCATAAGCTATAGAGTAGACATCGAAAGAATTTTCGGGAAAAGGTAATTCTTCAGCATTACCCTGAACCCATTTAAGTTCTAGACCATCCTGCTTCGCCCTCTTTTCGCCAACTTTCAACATTTCGGCATTGATATCACATACAATAATTTCACCTGATTGATGCTCATCAGGTAAGGCAGAATTCTTCATGTGTCTTAAACACCTGAAAGCAATGTCACCAGTACCTCCAGCGACATCCAGAAGGCGGGTATCGCTTCTCGGGCTCATCTTATTTACAAAATAGTCCTTCCAGACCCTATGAATACCGCCAGACATGGCATCATTCATTAAGTCGTAATATTCAGCAACATTACTAAAGACTTCGCCTACGCGTTGACCCTTTTCATTCTCTGAAACAGTTTCATATCCGAAATGGGTTGAATACCGCCTGAAACCCAAGGAAGACCTTAAAACACGGCGAAGAGCCATGATTGCAAGGTCAATTACAGATGGCGTTTTATGCTTTTAAAAATAGTGACTAAAGTGCCATCTGATGTGAAAATATTACAATATATTGTATAATACCGCATGTAGCGCACTTGTGATATAATTAAGGGGAAAATTTACCTATACCCCGCAGTTAGAGGGTGTCTTGAAAGGAAGACAGTTGAAAAATGAAAATAATAGCATTTGAGGAGGTAAATCTTTCTCTTCAACAGCGAGAGGGAGAGTTTAGGTTACAGAGGTATAATACAAAAGTAGTTGCTAAAGGGTTTTTAAACAGCTTGGATACCTTTAAATAACCCTGTAGGGAAAAACTATTAAATAGAAAGATACAACAAAGTTTTAGTTGTTAGATATATATGTTCTATCGAACAATAAAATACAATCGCTTACTACAATGTTTAAATAAGAATAAAAAAGGCATCAAATACTAATATCAGATAATATTGCATGACGTTCAATATTTAATTTATAAAATTAACGAAAGACTTAGCTCATCACTATCTTGCAGTTTTAATAATAGGTATATTTCTAAATCGAGTTGTATAAAATTGTTCAATTAACAGACTACTAATAAAAATGTTCTGTTTTTAGAATAACACAATTGACGCACCGTTTGACCTTCTTTCATTGTCGTTTGAATTATTTAGATTGCTATAAGAGAGCTAATAGCCGAAGTGAGTCTTATATAATTTTACGAATCATATTTCTATATATATAATTTATTGAATTTTAGAAACTTTGACTTGACATGAAAAGAGTGACCTTGACAAAAGAGAGAAAGGCTGACATTTGATCATTTTACGAGTAGGAAAGTGTATTTCTTACTTCACCTAAGCGAATTTAATAGCTCTCTTAAATAAATATTAAAAAGACAATTTCTCAAAAAATAATGGACTAGAATTTTATAGTATAAAAAAAATATTAAACTTTATTAAGAATATTGTTCGAAATCTGGAACAATCGAACGTAAAACGTTCGCCGTATATCGACCTTAATATTTGCCCGCTAAACTCCCGCTGTGTATAATTGACGTAAAATTTTTTTTCCTTTTCTGAATCCTGTGAAAATTCTTTTCTAAAAAAGACTATATAAATCTATTAAAAGGAGTTTAAAAGTAGTAATTAATCATTAAAAATGAAGTATAAACTATATATAAAAATATAGATAAGAATAATATAATTTTTTTTTTCTAAAGAAAATAAAAAACTAATTTCTTTCTTTTCATTAAAACAGATCAATTTCTTTTCATATAAATTTTACATAGCTTAAATTTTTATTTATATAAAAAAAAGAATGGAGACATGAAAACTCTAACAACTATTGTTGAAATATTTAAATTCTATAGATATAATAAGCCAGGGCCTATATACTTTTACAAAAGCTTCTTAAACGAAGTTAGAATGATATGTTGAAGCATTCTACCTAATAAAATATAATTGATTTTAATAATATTAATATATTAATACTCAAGAATGTAGACAGTTTTATAAAAAGCTTATTAATTTTGAAATTAATTCGCCCAACAGCAACATTTGATTCTCATTTCTTCCTTTTTTTATGACTAAAATCAATTGAATATATTCTTTATAAATATATATATTCCTTATATTTATAGTATAAAAAAACGAATAAAAGACAAGATACAAATATCTATGTATGAAATATAATATGATTTTTTATCTTTTACAAGTCGTAGAAAAATATGGAGAGAATTTAGGCCTTGATGGGCTATAATTCCGACTTTTTATAATATGGCGTCACGCTTGGCCGAGTGGAAGCGCCTTTCTATATCTATGAATAGTCCTCTTTGCTATATAAAAGAGGGACAACACCCCATAGGCGAGCAGACGCGTATTCAAGTCGCCGTTCTAGAGCCGTATCTTTCGGTGTACTCGCTATGTTATAAGAAGCACCGGTTGAACTTAAGATAAAACAATGTAAGTGGGAAAAACTTATTAAGTGTACATTTATTCATTTATTTAAAATTTAATGAAATTAATGCTATATGTTGAAATTAACGTATTTAAAAGGCTTGTACTATGCAAACAACTGCCTTCATACTTAATAAAAGTATAAAACCACAGGGAAAATATGTTGCTGTTGTTTATTTGTGCGTTTCTGTCATCACCTTTGGCTAGTGCGGTTGGTCAAAAAACAACATTTAAAGTTCCAAAATATAATCCCCTGCCAACGCAATTAAAGATACAATCTACTAAGTTGAAATTGAATATAACTCTAGGACTTAATGGATATGATTACAGCATTTTAAATACAACTGTCTATGGATTAAATTCAACTGAGAATATAGATTTAGGACCACTTCGTGCCAAGGGCTATTCACATCCTGAAACTGGAAGTTCAATTGTTGCCTCTGAAGAAGGACCCTGTATAAGACTTGTAAGTTTAAAAATAAAAAGCGGGGGCTGTTTTTAAAATAAATATTTACATATACATATAAATTAATCATAATTCTTAGGACGGTTTGGTGAGGAGACAAGACGGAAGTGGGCCGTTTAAAATTAGGCCTGTTAATAGTAATTGCGATACTTCATCTCTTGACTCTGGTGATGATTCCAGTTTAGAACATTATATTGAAGAAATTATAGTACCTGAAAGCGAAGCAGGTATATTAAAAAAAATTACAAGGCAGTTTTCGAACAAAGTTAAATAAATATTTATCTGCTTGTTCATATTCATTCCCATAGGAGATATCAAGGATTATGTAAAAAAAGAGAAATCCGACAATGAAGGAGGACCTAAAGTTAAAGCTGCCAGAGCTGGACCAGGCCAATACGAAGATTATCACATCGAAAGCCGAGTCTATACTGATTCTACAATGTATAATCGCTTCTTGACTCTCAATGGACAAGATCAAGCAAGAGCCTTATCTGGATTGAGATTGTACGTTGTTGCCCAAATGAATCAAGTTGACACAGTTTATAAAAACATTGATAGGAATACTTATCAATTTCAAGTGTCGGTTTGGTTGAAAGAGCTAATTATTATAACAAATCGTTTTAATCAACTTGAACAAGATGTTTATCGTAATGCCATACCTGAAGGTATTCAATCCACTCCTCAAACAACGTATATCGACAGTGAGAAGATGCTGAATAATCTTGAAACATTTTCAAAAGCACAAAGCTGGTCGGATTATGATTATCTGTTCTGGATAACTAAATATAATCTTGCTGCGTATGCAAATGGTCAAAGGATGAGTTCAAGTATAGTCGGACTTGCGCCATATGCTGAAAACGCGTTTGGTATTTGTGGAAACGATGGAAGACAGACAATTATAGAAGATGATTTAAATACATGGTCTACAATGGCTCATGAATTGGGTCATTCTCTAGGCTGTCAACATGATGGCACAGGTACCAATACATGTGATTCTAGACAGTCTTTCATAATGACTGCCGAAGGTGGAGATGGAAATTTAAACACTATCGCCAATCGTTATAGATGGTCCCAATGCTCTATTAATGAAATGAGAACTATTCTAAGAGGCACCAACTCCAACGGATACGAAAGAGTTTGTTTATACAATAGACCTTGTGCTCACGCTGGATTGGGTGGTGTAAGTCCAACAACAGGCTTCCCCGATGTGTCTGGGTTTTCAACAGCAGATGAACAATGTAGAAGACTAACATCAAATCCACTATGTCCTTTTGTCCAGGAAAACAACCCAGATAATTGCAAGCAACTTCAATGTAGACTGAGTAGTAATCAGTGTACTCTACACACACCTGGATTACTACCGGGAAGTAGATGTGGAACAGGAAACTCGAATTGGTGTCAGAATGGATTATGCGTCCCGAAGCAATCAACAAATCCCTCTTCATGCTCGTCAGTTAATCTTGATACAACCATTAAATCTTCTTGTCAGGTATACTCTTTGTGATAATATTTTGTATGCAGTTCTAAGGAGTACATTTTTTATCTAAATAGCAAAGAGATGATTCAAACGTTGTTGTGCAATTTAGTGGTCTACGCTGTCCTCAGCACTTTATTAGATTTCCTCATCATTGTATAACCAGAAATGATGTTGCTACCCTCTGTTGTTTTTCATGTCAAAGAAATGGTTGGCAAGCACAATCTACCAACATATTATCGCTAACTACAACAAATTTCTGTAGCCCTAATCCTTGTCGAAATGATGGTAGGTGTAATTCGCTTCCAACAGGATTTCAGTGTTCATGTCGACTTGGATACTCGGGTAACATTTGCGATGTATATGTTTGTTCTCCTAATCCTTGTTTTAGAGGCCAATGTTCTCCTCTAAATTCAGGCTTCTCGTGCCGCTGCGATCAAGGATGGTCAGGAGAAAGATGTGACCAACAATCAGACAACTGTCCTTCTGCAAATGTATGTAATAATGGACGATGTATTTCAGAGACTAATAGCTATAGGTGTGAGTGTAATGTTGGGTGGAGAGGCAATACTTGCAACGAACGCATAGACTATTGTCTCAACCATGGTTGTGTAAATGGACAGTGCGAATCTTTGGTGGGTAGCTATCAGTGTCGGTGCAATAGCGGATGGACAGGAAGATTATGTGATCAACGGTCAACTTTCTGTACACCGAATATCTGTAATAATGGACGGTGTATTTCGGAAGCTAATGGCTATAGATGCGAGTGTAATGTTGGGTGGAGAGGCAATACTTGCAACGAACGCATAGACTATTGTCTCAACCATGGTTGTGTAAATGGACAGTGCGAATCTTTGGTGGGTAGCTATCAGTGTCGGTGCAATAGCGGATGGACAGGAAGATTATGTGATCAACGGTCAACTTTCTGTACACCAAATATCTGTAATAATGGGCAGTGTATTTCGGAAGCTAATGGATTTAGATGCAGTTGCAATGCAGGATGGCAAGGTAGATTTTGCAATCAAACCCTTGATAGTTGTTCCAACAACAGATGTGTGAATGGGCGGTGTGTACCGTTGGTTGCAAGCTATAGATGTGAATGTAACGTTGGATGGGGTGGTACGTACTGTAATGAAAATCGACTTTGTCAAGCAAACACTTGTGCAAATGGTGGAACTTGTGCAGTTGTGAACAATGACCAAATCAAGTGTCAATGTCTTCCAGGATATTATGGAGCAAAATGCGAGAGCTATGCATGCGCTCCTAACCCTTGCCTAAATGGCGGAACATGTCAGCCAGAACTTGGTGGCTATAAATGTAGCTGTCTATCAGGGTGGGTCGGATCAAAATGTGACATTCGAGAAACTAATCTTTGTGCGAACAATCCTTGTTTAAATGGTGGTACTTGTTCTCTATCAGGAGACACTTTCACATGTCAATGTGCAACAGGATTCACAGGGAGAAGATGTGAAAATAAAGAAAACTTCTGCAAAGATTCCCCTTGCCTAAATAACGGTTTTTGCACAAGTTTGAGTACAACTTTCAGATGTCAATGCCAATCTGGTTTCACTGGCACCCGATGTGAAACTGTTATAAGTAACTCTTGTAATCCAAATCCTTGTCGTAACAATGCTAGATGCATTGATTTAACTGGAGGTAGTTACAGATGTGTTTGCGAAAGTGGTTGGACTGGTCAAACTTGTAATGAAGCAATAAATACTTGTGCTGGTGATCCTTGTCGAAATGGACGATGTATATCTAGAGCTTCAGGCTTCGAATGCCAGTGTTTTAACGGATGGAGTGGAACCAGATGCGACATTGCAATTAATAATTGCATACCGAATCCTTGCTATTATGGCCAATGCCTTGTTCAAACCGACTTGGTCAGATATCCTCGAGGCTTTACTTGCTCTTGCTCAAGCGGTTGGACTGGTGATTTTTGCTCTATAGCTACTGTTTGTAATCCCAATCCTTGCTTCAACGGTTATTGTAATGCCATTGACCGAAGTCCCGGATACATTTGCGACTGCTTCGCTGGATGGAACGGAACTAATTGTAATATTGGCCTAGTAGGAGTTTGCAATCCAAGTCCCTGTATTGCAGGACAATGCGTGGTAACACCCAATACTTTATCTGGCTATACTTGTAACTGTTTTTCGGGTTATACTGGACAGTTATGTAATTTAGGTAATACAAGGTCTCAATTTAATTTCCAATTACAAAATATGATTTTTTTCAATTTTAAAAAAACTAGTCATTTCTAATGCTTGCTCACCGAGTCCTTGCCGGAACAACGGTAACTGTGCCTTAACCGGAAATGGATATATTTGCAATTGTCCCGCTGGATATTCTGGAAGAAATTGCGAATATCGTAGTATTTTACATAAATTGCTAACGAGTTAAAAAATTAATTGTTTACAGGAATACGTAATTATTGTACTCCGAATCCTTGCCTCCATGGTGGCCAGTGTCGTTTGATTGATGGAGGAATCGACTTTCGATGCGAGTGTACTGCAGGTTATTCAGGGACATATTGTGAGAGTTGTAAGTACAAATTCAGAGCACTATTTTTTGAAATATTAATAAAAAAGAATTAATAGCCGCCTCAGCATGTCAAGTTAATCCCTGTCAGAATGGAGGAACATGCCGAGCCGAAGGAAATACATTTACTTGTTTATGCACTCCTCAATGGTCTGGAAGAACTTGTACGACAGTGGTATCAAATCCTTGTACCAATAATCCATGTCGAAATGGAGCTCAATGCGTAGTTGAATCCTCAGGCGTGTCGTGCATATGCACTACCGGGTGGTATGGACAAGTTTGTGATAGTAAGTGAATATGACTTTAAGGTGGCATTTGTACATAAATAATAATAATGTAATCTTAATATCAGGACGTGACTACTGTGCTGCTAATCCTTGTCTTAACGGAGGAGCTTGCACAAATCAGGCAAATACATTCTCCTGTACCTGTATAACTGGATATACAGGAGATAGGTGTGAAATCCCGCCAGCTGGTCTGTGCACTGACGGTAGAAATCCATGCAAACAGGGAACTTGTTCAGTAAATAATGATGGAACGAGCGTCTCATGTAGATGTCAGGCAGGGTGGCAAGGTCCTGTATGTGATCAGAGAGTTTTACTTTGTCCCACTTATGCTAGTTTATGCAAAAATGGTGCTGAATGCCGGGAATCTGAGATACCAGGAAGGATAGTTTGTATTTGCACAAGTGGATGGGAAGGAGGTTTTTGTGATCAGCGGGTTAACCAATGTAGTAACTTCCCTTGTCAAAATAATGGAGTTTGTCGAATTGATTCCGGTACTCAAAGACCTTTCTGCCAATGTGTTGGAAATTGGAGAGGAACCTATTGTAATGAAAGTTGGTGTACAGAATTTTTGAGAATATATTTACTACAATATTTTTCCAGCTACAGGCAATGCTTGCTCAACGATACCTTGCTTAAACAATGGAGATTGTACACTAATTTCAAGCTCGCCAGGCTATAGGTGCACTTGTAGTGATCAATGGACTGGAGATAGGTGCCATTTAAGTAAGTTCCAGTCTTTGTATTCGCTTATAAACAGAAGTGCGGAATACTCATAACGTTAAAGGATAAATTTATATATTTCATACTCATTTATGTGGCAGGAAACATGTGTTACAGTAATCTATGTTCAAATGGAGCAGTATGTCAACCAGAAAAAACGGGTTACCGATGTATATGTACCATGGGTTATGTTGGTCCTATTTGTGAGCAACGTATGTCCCTGAAGGACTATTTGAGAATAATTCAATTTATTATTCTCACACACTGCACAATAAAAAAGAGCCACTAGCACAATCATATTGTTATGTAAATCCTTTGCTAGGATTATCATACAATATGCCATATTTTGAATTTAAGTCTTAATATTGTTCAAGTGAGAACGAATTATTGTGTCAAGATATACATAATATTGACTGTATATCAGTAGTCAAATCGACGTCACATTTATAATAGGGTGCACGCTTAAATAGGAGTAATAAAATCAAATTCATTCTGATATTCATGAAAAAATTTTGAAAAGTAACCAACGTCACATTATTACAGGAAACTATTGTTCAGGAGTCCAATGTAATAACGGTCAATGCCAGAATCTAAATACAAATTTCCAGTGTGTCTGCAACCCAGGATGGAGAGGAACCTTTTGCAATATTGCAGGTGAGTGCTAAAAAATCATCATATTTTTTTGAATGATTAATTTAACTTTTCTTTCAGAAGTAACTGGGTGCAACAATTCACCATGTAGAAATGATGGAACCTGTATTACTCAAGGGAGCTCATACACATGTCAATGTACCCCTCAATGGACAGGACGGGATTGCACTGAAAGTAAGATATTAGACATAAATCGCTGGTAATTTCAATCTGTCTACAATTAAACTTCCTTATTAGGAAGTAGCTATTGCTCAGGCACAAAATGTAATAACGGTCGCTGTATCGATTTACCTACCACCTATAAATGTGAATGTAACAGAGGATGGTTTGGCGATTTATGCAATAAAAGTAATCCGTTGAAAAGATAATTCCCCTTTGAATAATTCTTTTGTAACTATAAAAAAATTTCCTAGGGGATTTGTGCTTTCCGAATCCTTGTTATAACGGAGGAACTTGTTACATGGGTGGCTCAACTTTTGGTTGTCGTTGCTTGAATATCTTTTCGGGTTCCCGTTGCGAATTTCGTGTTGTATATTTTTTGCTTTGAATGTAACACGTTTACTAAATAGAATAACAGTAGCCTGATTTTATAATTTTTAGGAGTGAATCCGTGCTCGGCTGGACCATGCAAAAATGATGGAACATGCAGACCATTGGTTGATGGTACATTCTCTTGCGACTGTCGTGGGGGTTACATTGGACTGACGTGTGAAGTCTTTGCACCATGCGAGTCTAGTCCATGTAGAAACGACGGAACTTGCTCCATTAGTGGCAATACCTATACATGCCGATGCCAACCTCTATGGGCAGGCGATGATTGCTCTGTTAGTAGATGTGTAATCGTAAACGGTGGTTGCGCTAGAGGATCCTGTGTTATTAGTGGTAACACTGTTCGTTGCCAATGCCCAACAGGCTATACAGGTGAAAGATGTAACATTCAAATTGGCGGTGTTACTTGCAATCCAAATCCTTGTCGAAATAGCGGAACTTGTTATATCGATGATGTAACAAGGGAAACAAGGTGTTCTTGTGTAGATAGAAGATGGGCTGGTCCTACCTGCAGTGATGCTGTTTGCACAATTCTAAATCCATGTGTAAGGGGAACATGCATACCACAAGGTAAACGATATAAAATATCTAAATTACTGAAAAAGCTTAAGAGTCATTGTGCTTTATTTTATATAGTAAATACTGACCCAACATGCCAATGTCCTTCCGGTTATGCTGGAAGTAGATGTGAAACTTTCGTAGGATCAAATGCATGTAATCCTAACCCATGTCGAAACAGTGGAATTTGTTCTGTATCGGGAAGTACCTTCTCTTGCGATTGTAGAGACAGACGTTACACAGGATCAACCTGCACATTGAACATTTGTGATGTTAACAATCCATGTATCCGAGGAACATGTATAGGACAAGGTAGATTGATTATACAGTATATAGCGAATAGCAAAATAACTAACTCGAATTGTAAATTGCAGTAAACGAGAATCCTAGATGCCAATGTCCTTCCGACTATACTGGAGATAGATGTCAAACTTTCATAGGATCAAATGTATGTAATCCTAACCCATGCCGAAACAGCGGAATTTGTTCTGTATCGGGAAGTACCTTCTCTTGCGATTGTAGAGATAGACGTTACACAGGATCAACCTGCACATTGAACATTTGTGATGTTAACAATCCATGTATCCGAGGAACATGTATAGGACAAGGTAGATTGATTATACAGTATATAGCGAATAGCAAAATAACTAACTCGAATTGTAAATTGCAGTAAACGATAATCCTAGATGCCAATGTCCTTCCGACTATACTGGAGATAGATGTCAAACTTTCATAGGATCAAATGTATGTAATCCTAACCCATGCCGAAACAGTGGAACTTGTTCTGTATCGGGAAGTACCTTCTCTTGCGATTGTAGAGATAGACGTTACACAGGATCAACCTGCACATTGAACATTTGTGATGTTAACAATCCATGTATCCGAGGAACATGTATAGGACAAGGTAGATTGATTATACAGTATATAGCGAATAGCAAAATAACTAACTCGAATTGTAAATTGCAGTAAACGATAATCCTAGATGCCAATGTCCTTCCGACTATACTGGAGATAGATGTCAAACTTTCATAGGATCAAATGTATGTAATCCTAACCCATGCCGAAACAGCGGAATTTGTTCTGTATCGGGAAGTACCTTCTCTTGCGATTGTAGAGATAGACGTTACACAGGATCAACCTGCACATTGAACATTTGTGATGTTAACAATCCATGTATCCGAGGAACATGTATAGGACAAGGTAGATTGATTATACAGTATATAGCGAATAGCAAAATAACTAACTCGAATTGTAAATTGCAGTAAACGATAATCCTAGATGCCAATGTCCTTCCGACTATACTGGAGATAGATGTCAAACTTTCATAGGATCAAATGTATGTAATCCTAACCCATGCCGAAACAGTGGAATTTGTTCTGTATCGGGAAGTACCTTCTCTTGCGATTGTAGAGATAGACGTTACACAGGATCAACCTGCACATTGAACATTTGTAATGTTAACAATCCATGTATCCGAGGAACATGTATAGGACAAGGTAGATTGATTATACAGTATAAAGCGAATAGCAAAATAACTAACTCGAAATTGTAAATTGTAGTAAACGATAATCCTAGATGCCAATGTCCTTCCGACTATACTGGAGATAGATGTCAAACTTTCATAGGATCAAATGTATGTAATCCTAACCCATGCCGAAACAGTGGAACTTGTTCTGTATCGGGAAGTACCTTCTCTTGCGATTGTAGAGACAGACGTTACACAGGATCAACCTGTACATTGAACATTTGTGATGTTAACAATCCATGTATCCGAGGAACGTGTATCGGACAAGGTAAAATGATTTTGTCAATATTTTAGCGGGAATAAGGATATCTTAGAGATGTCCTTGTTCTGTATATATATATATATGATGTTTACAATAATTTTTTATTCCTCATATGTAAAATTAAACATTGGGGTCAATCGGTCGCATGATGTAAATTTTATGGTATTCCTTACTTCTAACAGCATAAAAAAGTAGATGTAAAATTACTTATTAAGACATGCCGGTGTGAGGTACATTTGTAATCCACTGCTACAATTGTACGTATTATTAATGCATTCACTTTCACAAAGGCGTTGGAAATTGAATGGCTATATTGTTTCACAAATTGCTATCTTTCCACTTTGTGACTGCTTAGCAAAGCAAATTTAACTTTTCCTTTCATACTTTTTTCGATCGTCTCTCTACTTTCTTCTAAAGTAATTGTGGCAAATCATTAAAAAATGTACGTCTCTAATCTATTGTAATAGTGAAAGTGCTTCTCATCACATACTAATCTAAAATAGTTTATTCCTTAGCCGTTTGATGCTTATGAATTAGTAAGAGATGTAGTACTCCTCATTAAGACACACACAAATTATTTCATACATCGTAAAACAATTATAAAATGGGGAATTCAGAATATACATAACATATGATAAAATAACAAACTGATAATTGTTTATTGTAGTAAACGAGAATCCTAGATGCCAATGTCCTTCCGACTATACTGGAGATAGATGTCAAACTTTCATAGGATCAAATGTATGTAATCCTAACCCATGCCGAAATAGTGGAGTATGCTCTGTGTCGGGAAGTACCTTCTCTTGCGATTGTAGAGATAGACGTTACACTGGAACAACCTGCACATTGAACATTTGTGATGTTAATAATCCATGTATCCGAGGAACATGTATAGGACAAGGTAGATTGACTATACAGTATATAGCGAATAGCAAAATAACTAACTCGAAATTGTAAATTGTAGTAAACGAGAATCCTAGATGCCAATGTCCTTCCGGTTATACTGGAAGTAGATGTGAAACTTTCGTAGGATCAAATGTATGTAATCCTAACCCATGCCGAAACAGTGGAATTTGTTCTGTATCGGGAAGTACCTTCTCTTGCGATTGTAGAGACAGACGATTTGGCGGTTCAACTTGCGATAGAGATATTTGCCAAATCAACCCTTGCTCATCAGGAACATGCGTACCAGATAGTAAGCAACTTTGAATTATTAAAGCTATTTAAAAGACATCTACTGAGTGACGAAAATAATCTCTAATTTATGTTTTTCATCACGTTCTTTACCATTAATAATTGATGGGCATCTATTTTAGGGACAAACGGAGCAACCTGCATAACGCCTGGCTGCACAAATAATCCTTGTAGAAATGGTGGAACATGTTTGGAAACGGTTTTTCCAAAAGAGGAAGTGCCTTTTATATGCGAATGCAGAGGAGCTTGGAGCGGCCTTACTTGCGAAACACCAGCTCCAAGAACAGGCCCATGCCAAACAAACCCATGTAGAAATGATGGTCGATGTATTATTTTAGAAGACTCTACTTCCAGATGTCATTGCCAAGCCGGTTACTACGGGGATACTTGCGAATTGCGTAAGTTTTATCATATTAGATTTCTTTTCTTGATAAATTTTTGACTGAAATTTAATCAATGGAGTCTAATTAATATTCTCTTTCAGCTGCCTCAAGCACTTCATCATGCTTAGATGCTGGAGGTAGAGCTCACTGTGTATATTTACGAGAATCTGATCGGTTCAAAATATGTGAAGCGCAAAGAAACTCAGCATTAGAACGATGTAAATTTACTTGTAATTTATGTGGCATCCCATCTACAGCCGCAAAGCGAGAAAAAGATGACTAGTTGATTTAAATTTTTTATTTTCGTAAAACTATGAGAAAAAGTGTTTTTTTTTGTGCAATAACCTTATGCGGATTGTTAGTTTGCGTTTAGACGTTTTATACTCTGGAAAATACATGCTTTGGACAATTAGTTAACATTACCTTTCTAACAAGAGTAGAAACCAGACGAATACGGGGTTCTACGTTCAGTATTACATAAAACAATTAGCCTAATTACAGGCAGTGCCTTCACAAACTTTTTGGCAGACAACATATTCTCTATTACGTCCGAAAAAGCATGAAGATGGTAGATAGATGGGAGAACAACTTCTCACGAAAGATATTAATCGTTCCGATGAATCTTTCACAGATACGACAGCGCAATATTTCATATTAGCTCCTGTTACAACGTCCCTGCATTCAACGGGTTTTGGTGGATCGACAAGGCAGGAATCGCCGTCCTTTTCCAACGAACATACAGAACATAACTCACCATAACTTTCTGAATATACGAAAAGTCCAAAGTAATTTATTAGTACTTTCAAAAAAATTTTTTAAAAATCATGTTAAAAATAACGAAACCTGAAGCAAATAAGCAAACTATAAGAAAGAGAATAGTATATTTTCCTGTCGCCATCGCGCAGTCAAGAATAAACGGTTTGTGTGGCGCTGGTGTTTTCACCGAATTTCATTAAATCATCAAAGAGTTTCGTATTTATTGCTATGATTTTCTATACAACTTGTAACATGAGAAAAAAAGCAACCGTTTTTTTCATTTATAAATTACAGAATGCTGTAAAGCCAGAGTAGTCTTAATAAACAAATACAATAAAATTCTTAAAACAAATTCATTTCATAAAAATGAAAATCTATCCAATGAAATGAAATTTTCATTAATATATAAATAGGTATAGATTAATATATATATATAAGTATATATAATTTCGTGAAATATATATATATATATTTCTCTCTTTACGTATTGACGTATCTTTGTATATACTTTTATATATGCAGACACCTACACATACATTATTCCTTATTTATATATATATAAATATATTGATATATATATATATATATATATATATATATATATATGTATATATTGTATATATTAATATATATATATATTAATATATATATATATATATATATAAATTTATATACATATATACTGTATATATATATACTGCATACAAGCTAGTTAAGAGTTACATTGGGTCGTCACATCAATATAAATACGCAAATAAATGTCATATATACACTATATCCTTAATTAGTACACTAATTTTACCAAGCTATTGAAGGATTGGGCGCTGTTTTTCTAGATGCACAAGAAACTTGGGTTAAACATCTTGCGAATTCTTGGATAATTGCTAATTGTAGTTCTAGTAAAACATTGTCTAATTTACAACTTTCTTCTCCTTGATTCAACATACACATCATGATACAGTCGGAGACGTCGTTATCGCTCAATAATTCTGCAACAGGAACTTCTCTTCTCGTTCCAACTTGTCCAACACTTGCCGCCACTGGTCTTTCGGGCACAGTCCAATTATTCACACTTGCCAGAGGCGCCAAATCATCAGAATTAAGAGAATCATGAGAAAGAGATCGAATCAACCTTGTGCTTGCCGCCTCCTCACTATTCTTACATCCCACACATCTACAAGACATAGAGCATGGCACTTTCGCTTCGTAGCACTCACAATAATTTTTCAAACAGTTTGAGCGTTTACAATTACATCCCTTGTTATGTCTTCTGATTCCACCACCATTTCTACCTTTCCCTATTTTTGGATGAAAGGCAAGAGGGTTACGGTCTAAGCAGGCTTTTATGGCACGCGATCTTTCCTCTTCGTGATTTAAGTTATTAGCACAACTGGAGCAATTGCAATTCTGACAAAATTCTCCGTTGGCAAAACAGTCGCAGTATCTGGGAAAATTTAAAAAGTTATTGTATTATTTTTCTCGATTAAAATATGTGTTTAAAAAAATTCTTTCTCTAGAACTAACTCAAATGACAACCCACAAGCTTCGTTGATGAGAATAAAAGTATTACAATTGATCTATCAAAGGATAAACGAAGACGTGAATACTTACAGTTTCAAACATTGAGACTTGGTACAATTACAAGGTTTTCTCGGTCTTTGTCCACTGGTTTCCAAGTATACACTAGTCCTGAAGGATTAAAAATCCAATAAAAAGAATTATATTCCGTATTGACCACTTACCCATTTTCTTGTTTCCTAAAAAGATTTTTCATTGCATCATTATTTGCACTAGGTCCACCACTACTTGATAAAATGTGAGGTGATTGACCCTATTAAGGAATAAGTTTTCAAAGCAAATGTCGATTAAAGGTAAAATATCACACGATAAACAAACCTTGCTGGTTAAGTGTGTAGTAATTGGCTTTAAAAGACTATTTCCACTTGCAACTATTTGAAAAAAGGCGGATGATTTTTTTTAAATGTAGTAATGAGTTATTTACTCACCAGAGGAAACAGCTGGCTTAATAGCAATTGGGGTAGAGGCAGGTAAAAGAATTCTTCGATGATAAGACGTCGGCTTTTGAACAATCTGTTAATAATTTTGAAAGAGATAAGAAATTATGAATTTTTACTTATTGCTTTAAATTTCATTTTTTTAACAATGGTAAGCCAGAATAAAAAAAACTAACATGAATTTGTTGTGTAGCGGGCGCTATAGGTCTAACTGTCGAGGAAATACTCGTTGTCGGTTGGGAGGTTGTTGCCGTAGTAGACACAACTCTAACTAGTTGTACTTTGGAAACTGAAGTAGAAGATTGCGGTTGACCGACAACGGTTAAAGGTTTAGTAGCGAGAGAATCAGATGATTTCTATTTAATTCATAAAAAGGATATTTAATTATTCTTTTAATGAAATATTAACAGAAAGAGCACAGACCTGTTCTATCTGTCCTCCATTAATTGTCTTAACAACGACATTCTGGCCGCCTGTTCTCACTGCTGTTGGTCCCTGGCTTCTGACAACTGTAACTTTAGTTGGAGATCCGGTTATGGGAATTTGAGTCCTGGTCGGTAGAGCAGTTATTATTTTAGTTGGTGACAATAGGTATTTAGGCTGTTGCTGCTGTTGGGCTGACACAATTATCGGTTGACTGGTGGATACAGGACGAATTAAAACTTTTGGTGAAGGACCAAGCGAAGTACTGATTGCAGTGGTTCTCTTCAAGTTACTTCCTTGAGATATAACAGTGCCAGGTTTGTTTAAAACCCCAACAATTGTTGGATGTTGTTGCTGAGTTCCACTTTCGGAAACACGGTTAAAAATAATATTCGTTGATGGAACATTCGAACGCATTTCGAAAACCTGTTGCAAGGTTGAGAAAGTTGATCAGTTATACATTTATTTATATATAAAACAAATGTAAACACTCTAGCTTAATCGTCAAGAACCACCAATAATTAGCCTATTATAACAAGAAAAGGTCTAATAACTATTTTATTTGTTGATCGCTTCTTGTATCAATTAATAACTTCGAACGTAAGTCGAGCTTCCAGCCCTGCTTAAATGACCCGCCATGCAACTTTCAAGATGGCGGCCGTGGCGAAATTTCAAAACGCAACCAACGTTATATCGCCGTCTAAAGACGAAAAAAGGTCATCAACAATTCAAATCACTTTTTGAAATGTCCCTCTGTTAGCATATCATAAAGATTACTAACGTCGGTTCATATAAGGCAATGATCGACACAAAAGAATATTTTAGTAACAGGGTTTCCACGTCTGTTACTCTATGCAAATCTAAACAAGCTTAAAACAAGTTTTGAAAGAAAAAAGTGCTTTTCAAGTCACACAATGACTTAAACAGAAATTACGATATTTTATGCGCGTACCTCGAATAAAAGCGATCCAGATTTAGCGCAATCAAACACTTGACAATTCGTCGAAATTTCTTGTTCAAAATCACGCGCCCACCATAATGGATCCGTAATTTATGCGGGGTATGTCTAGAACAAGAACTTGACGGTGAGCCGAAAATTTTTATCAAAGTAAAAACTCCTTTTTTTTTGTAAATTAAATATAAACTAAACAACTTTCGCTTTTTCTCGCATATGTCTCTAAAATAGTGAATTGAAAGCGTATTGTAGTAAGATATAATCAACGAAATTGATTTAGAATTAAGTTTTTATTGAGGTCACACAATACTCTCCACTATTTAGTCGTATCGATCACGTGATACCAAGACTTCTCCTGTAGTCACATGATTTGAAACAGAGGCGCTCATTGGTTATATCGAAAAAAGTTTTGTGGTTTCGTATACTGTTCTTAAATATTTTAAATACGGCTATATTTCGGCATTTTATATTTATTTTAAAATAATACATGCTATACTTTGACTTTAAAAATAATATGGGTAATTCTTTGAGCAGTAATATTTTAATATAGTAAAATTATTAGGGATACGTGCAATATTTATTTCAAGACGCGTATTAACGTAAGATAGATATCAGAAAATTTTCTACGTACAGTTTTGTTAAGTATTTACGGTGATAAATTTATGTGAAAAAATTGGAAAGTTTGTTCGCTTTAATTCTAAATGGAATTGTTGTCGAAAAAATTCATAGCGTTTGTAAGTTGCGCCAGACTGATAGACCAATCAGCGATAGCTTACTGCACCCTTATAAATATTCATGTCACTTGGGCACATGTCTTTTCAGTTGGGAAGACTAGGCTACCTGTGTTGTATGGCTAGAACAAAATGAAGTTATTTAAGGTAAGCTGACCTAAATAAGTGGAAGTTCATATCAAAAATAGAAATTTTCAATATATTTACTTTATAGCATAATGAAGCTAGGCCCATAGGAATGATAAAGTAGAACAGAATGATGTCTGCAGACATGCCCACCACGTGGTGAAATTGATGGATGCTTTTTTCGTAATTGATTTAGAATGAGGTCGTTTTCTCTCTTAATTTTGAATTTAACGAACTCTTAGAGGACGAATAAGTATTTTTGCCAAGAAAAGAATCCTTGTGACAGGCAATAATGCAAGAATCAAAGTATTAAGGTTAAATATTCCAAAGTTTTAAAAATGTATTGTAGTTTAAAGATGATGAATTTTGATCAGTTCTGCTACTGATTAACTTTGACGACACTCCACAGCGCTCTGAAAGTACTTTCTAATAGCTGTTTTTATAATAAATTACGACATTTTATTTAAAGAATTGTCTTCAGTAGGTGACAAGTACAAGTGACAAGATGCAATGAAAGATATACATCTAGGTAAGTTGATAAAACAAATTTTTGAACACTTTTTTTAGGATGAACTTTGATCAGTTCTGCTACTGATTAACTTTGATGACACCCACAGCGCTCTGAATATATTTCATAGCAAATACCCAAATTAATGATATTATTTACGCAATGGTTTATTATTTGACAGGTCAAGAAAAGTCACGCTTTAGAGGAAAAACAATAATAGACAAGGCAAGTAATCAATAATTTTTATTTCATTCTAAGGTATAAGGATGAACTTTGATCAGTTCTGCTACTGAATCCTAGTGACGACATCTCACAGCGCTCTGAATTTAATTATTTTTGTAATCTATAGTTATAGTCTATAACCATGTACTAAGCTGTTTTTTTTTTAACAGATAATTGAACAAGGAACTTTATCGATGAAGAATCTAGTTTAGGTGAGTTTTGCATAAATTTTGTAGGACATTATTTTAAATATATGATGAACTTTGATCAGTTCTGCTACTGAGTTTTAGTGACGACATCTCACAGCGCTCTGATGTATAACTCTGTATTCTATTATCATTCAATGCAATTGCATAAACTATAGCACTGGTTTCAACTTTTCAGATATTTATATCAAACGTGAATGTTATAAAGATTTAAAGAAAAGCAAACAGATTGTGAATGGTGAGCGAATATCAAATTGGTAGTCCCTTCATTTATTTTATTGGTTTTGGAATAAGATCGTCGATCTTCTTTCCGGATTCCAAGCGCTTTTCCATTTGAATAAGTAAGTCAAGACCATCAATAACGCTTTGAACCAATTCAACTTCGGATTTTCCCAAACGATCGGCATTAGAGATGTCAAAAGTACCACCAACGGCTGCTGTGTCAACGCCTCCAGTTCCTCTCTTTTGCAGTCTTAGATTTTTCAAAACTTGTGAGAATCGGGGATCCTGTCAAGATATGACTTTATAAGTACATTCAATTTTTTTTATAAATACAATGTTAACCTTAGACAATTTCGGCAATTTGATGTGAACTCCACACCTTAGACCGGTACCCAAATTCGATGGGCAAGTTAAAACGTAACCCAAGTGGTCGTTCCACATAAACTCCCAACCCTTTGAAAGTATATTTTTTTCTACTTCTTTCAAACCATTGCAAAATCTCTCGAAGACAGCTTTCATGTTACCGCCCTTTTCCATGGAAATGACTCTGGTATGATCTTCTTCATTGATCCATACCAAAAAGTTCTTTTTCTCGTTATGCCAGATTCCTCTTGCATCGGGCCAATCTCTTGCCATTCCAGAGGCTAAAAGAAGTGGGGATACTGGTTTATCGAAGAGGAAGTGATCTTCAATGAGTTGGTCTTGCTCAGCGTCGGTCATCTTAGATAAAGGATAGTATTTGCCATTGAATTCACCACCCAAATTGGCCAAAGCATCGGTTACAACTCTTTCAACCTCCCTTCTCTCAGCTCTAGAGCACACAGGTGGCAAAGTTAAACCACGAATGGATCTACCTGTTCTTACTCGAGAAGAGAGAACATATTTTGGGTCGAGGTTTCCTCCACGGATTTTGGATGAATCCAAATCTGTTGGATGTTTTCTGTTGGGGCCATAGCCATTATGACGGTCATCAATGACCTTGTCAAAAAGTTCGCCGAAAACTTCGTACGACTCTTCGTCACCGGCAACCAGTCCGACTGTCATGATGAACGGATGTCCTGGATTGTCTACTCCTGTTTGAATGCATTGGTCCAATGTTACACCATTGGGAGTTACACGATCTCTAAGTTTGGCATAAAGCTGTCAATTCAAAGACATTGGTTATCGCTCAATAAATATACTTTTCAACTTACAGCAGGAGTTAGAACTTTAGCCATATGATTGTTGTGCTTGCTAAAGTCAGGGTAATTCAATGCTGGTGGATAGCGAAGGTGGACATTTGATGACCAACAACGAGCTTGTACAGTGGAATCGCTGTTCATGCGACTTGATACTGCAACTCCAGCTCCAATAACAGCTGCCGCAGCAACACTACCTCTGATTAGCATACGTGACATATCTGAAATGAACTACAGTTAACAATCACTTCAAATTTAATGATAGGAATATCAGACCAATGTCGATACAGTACGACGTTAGAATGACATTCTGCTGACAAGGACATTCAGAAATAGCGAATTATCATTTGAAAGTAAATAGCTGATGATAGATAAACTATCTGATATTACTTATTAATTACTAATATACTCCAGTACGAAGAGTTGGAATTTCAACATTTTCGTTGTGGAGCAAAAATTGCTTATAAAAATATTACGAAGCCATCTTACTTTACAAACCGCGCCGATGTTAACGGGAAGTCGAAATAACTTGAGAGACCCTTTAGCCTATAAAGTTATGAATGTGTTGATTGGTCGAACTTGAATGTCGGGATATATTTTTAGTTATTATTTTAATTTTAATTTTTAATAACTAACAAATTATTTTGTTAAAATTTTATAATTTTTTAAAGTAAAAACTTTGCATTTATTATTGACATTTTGTGACTTTAACCAGACCGGTCAGAAAAACCGTGAACGGTTGAAATATTTAAGCACAGCTTTTCTAGCAAAAAATAATTCAATTAGAAGTTTACAGTGTCAATAATACAATTTAGTTTCATATTCCATAAAATAAGCCATAAAAAAAAGAAAAAAAAATTTATTTTTTGTATATCAATGTAAAATTTATGAATACAATGCAACTAGTTTACTAAAAATGAAATATTACGGTTAAACAATTTATCTGTTTCAATAAAATAGAAAATATTCACATTTTTAATGCTACATTTTGTAGTATTAAGCTAACTTCTGAACAAATTATGTCATGGTTTTGCTCTACTGGCTAGCTGCTATAAGTAAAACAACAGGAACGGTTTTACTCTAAAAGGATGGGCAAAGATTATTTCATAGCTTTATCTTTTCCGCCTTTTTTTGTCCTACCAATAGAGATTAAGCTTTTATATACGACTGTCACGCCACCTTTCCTCGTGTATCACCCGCCAAGTCCGCCATTTTTTTCAGATCAAGTTTCGTATAACAAATAATTCGTGAAAATCTGAAAATCAGTCTTCAAGTTTTTAAAAATAGTATTCATATAATTTTTAAAAAATATATCGTAGACGAATTTTCGCGAGAGTCACGTGATATTTTTACTACTCGTTCTTCGGACAACGGAGGTAAGATGTCCTACAATTTCTTGTTATATACTTCCTAGTGATTCGGAATACATCAGCGAATGAAATTTTTTGATTAATGAATGTTTAGGAAATAATTAAACAGTTAGAATGCTTGGTCAGACGAGTAATTCTCGCAAAATTCCAGCAGAGTAGAAAACGTTTCGTAGGTGCTCCGATAACAATGGCTGAAATCTGTAACTGCGTTTTTGTCCAATGTACTTCTATTTTACCCAGACTTCACCCGAAAATCACATAAAATAGTTTTTGTATTCTTTATAATTGTGTTCCATTGACGATCGATTTTTTATTAGTGTAGAAACGTCGATTGTATGATAATGAGCATGCCCTGACTCATCAGACTTTTCCGGCTATAATCGAAACTACGGCAATCACTAATAGCATATTTTTGTGTCTTTCAGCGAACGATTGTAAATAATTAGTATAATAGTCTCAACTGTACAATATTTGTAAAGAAATGAGTTCTTCGAATAAGCCCGCCAGCAGGCACCGAAGCGATCGCACTACCGGTAAATCCACTCAATCCTCGCACACTAACAAATCTGATGCGATATCCAAGATGGTTAGTAATTCAAAATTATTTTTCGAGAATCAAACTATAATTTTTACTATTTACAGCCCCAAGCTACATCTGAACAGATAAGAATGGCCAATATGTCAGCAAACTCCGACGAAGAATCACAAATGAAGACTAAGCTCAGTGAGGTACAAGAAATCGTCCCAGGCATACCTGAAGAAGATATCATATACGCTCTTCAACAAAATGATTGCTGCGTGTCAACTACAGTTGCAATGTTATTAGAAACAATGGATGATTCAAAATTCGGTGAATGGCAAGAAAGTGGCAAAAAGAGAGGAAAGAAACCAAAAGCACCTGAAAATGAGACCCCAGCTGTTGAGGTTAATCATGCAGAAATGAGTAAACCTTCAAAATCCAGAGGTGGAAAAAAAGGAAATGTCCCTCGTTCACGACCGAAGGATAATCATGAAGATTCAGAACGACAAAATAATGATAGAAATCGATCAGACACTGGAGGTAAAGAAAGAGGAAGGGGTCGAGGACGAGGGCGAGGCGGCTCAACAAGAGGACGAGGATTCAACCGAGGCGGCGCTAGGTCTGTTAACAAGATTTCGAATGCTTCAAACGATAATAGTCCGAAACAGGAGATTGGTATGTGGGAGAATGGTATGGATACAAAGCATACATGGGAGGATGACGAATGGCAAGGAGACTTGAAAGATTCAAAAGTCTTCACGCCTTCTGTCACAGCTGTTTCAGGTAAATCCATGAAGAATACGGGTGCTAGCGGAGACTTCGGCGGCGAATTTTCTACACATCAGGCATCTCAACCAGATTCTAAAATTGGTAAGATACGGATGTTGCTGAATAAATCACCCAAATCAGGGGATAATACTAATTCGAATACCTTTAATACTGAAGTTTTCGACAAAGAGGCAACGGAAAACTTGAAGTCTGTGATGGGCATTGGAACGAATAGCGCCAAGCCTATCTCTGCTCCAAACAAGCGACCAGGACCACAGTCTGCTAAAGTAACACAGTCAGCCGTCGAAATGCCATCTGGGAACCCGTCGGCGTCGTATAATTTGGGCGTTTCTTTTGGATGGAGGGACGGAAATGAAGGAACAGCAACAACTGGTGGATTGACTTTCGGCGATATTGGCAGCGGTCCCATTATCAATGGAAGTGTCTCTCCGGCTCCCCAATCAAGAGAATCTCCAATGAAACAACCACCAGTAGTAACTCAAACGATGTTCTCATCAGCTAGCAAACCTGAAACATCAGACACGCGCGGATTCTCTTCTCCTTCAACAACTGCCTACTCGACTGACCCTACAATTTACGCCCAAACAAGTACTATATCTTCTTCGTATCAAACGTCGAACAATAGTTTCAGCTACGCTCCAACTACGAGTGGTACAACTGAACCTTCAACGGCTATGGCTAATGCTGTTTCAAAATTGAATGAAAATTTAACAAAAATGAGTGTTGATGATGGATCTGCGTCCACTTCAAACCGTCTGCATGCTTCAAGATCATCAAATGGCTATATGGGCGCAACTAAACTACCTCCTGGCGTCGCTATGCAGCCACCCCTGATGAATACAGGGTATTTAGTTGGACAACCAAATGCTCCAACAGCTGGTATACCCTACTACGTAAGCTCCATCGCTTTATCTATACTGATACAATATGTTTTAAACTATTATTTCAACATAACAGTCTAATCTTCATGCCAACCAACAAGTATACAATACGGCTTATGATAGTAACGATCTGATGCAGTTGCAGAGAATGCAGACAATGGTAAGTTGACGTACATTAATGTGAACAAATGGTGCTGGAAGCTGGTATGGCAACCGACGCAAAGCGATTCCCTTTTACATGCATGTTTAATTTTGGCATTTTTCGTGCTATCATTTTACACTCTTGCTAAAAAAAATTCATTCGCTTCTATATTTTACTATTCATTCTTGCTTTTCTAATCGTTTCGAAAGTGTTCAATAATTTTTGGGTACGATCATGCCACATCACAGCACTTTTTTGTTTCAAACAGCAGTACTATGACATGTCATTCCAGCCACGAGGCGAGTCGTCATCGCAGCAGTTCAATACCGGTATCATATTTGTTGTTTCTATTTAAATATAATTGTTGTTACATCAATCTATATGAGACATTAATGCTTTATATACAAATAATCAGGAGCCGCAGCTACTGCATCCGAAAAACTAAGTCGTCATGATTCGCAATCTCCGGCCATGAGTACATCAGCATCTGTACCTTCCTCGAGCCACCAACAACTGCAATATATGGCTAGCTCTGCTATTCCACCAGGCTATCATCATTATTACGCTCCAAGTGCTGCTGCCGGCTATGGTCCTCATTTGTACAGCATGTATAATACGCCAAATACGTTCAACGCGGCACCAAAACAATATTCCAATTATAATTCGACATCGACCACTTCAGCTGGAGGTGCTGGAACAGGGGGTGTAGCAGATCACTATGGAGGTTCAAAGAGCGCTTACGATAAGAATTTCCAGAGTTCGACAACTCCACCATACAACCTTCCTCATACCCATACACAGCTCCCACAAGTTCCATACGGACCTCCACCAGGCCAAATGATGAATATGATGATGGGAGTACAAGATCGTGTCAGTGCTTCTGGTTCGACAAAAGGAGGAAACTCGAACAAGTTCTATACAAACAACTGGGCTTAGACATATCCTGGTTGGTTGAATATTCAATTTGTGAATCAGTTTAGCGCTGTATTATAAATCTACGTTTAGTGGCGATATACAAATAATATAATATATTCGTGGATTTTCGTGAAGGATTTCGCGTCTTATGAAATTAATACAAATCTGTTATTTGTATATTTTTCATATAAATACATGGTTATGACGTGTATTATATTTCGCTGAATTTTTAATGTTTATTTCCGTTTTGAAATGTATATATATATATATATATATATACTTATATATATATATATATATATATATATATATACTTATATATATATTCTGTACTGATGTTTATACCATTAGTTGGAAAGCAGGCGTTCTTAACAGCGTTATATTCCAATTGTTTTAATTAGTTTACAACAGTTTGATGATTCAATCATCATTTTAAAAGATTCTATAAACTATTAACGTGATTTGAAAATATTTAAAATATACATTTAATCGTCAGTATTATACAAAGTAAAAAACAAAACAAAACATGACGACGGTATATTTATCAACAATTTCATCTAGGCCTAAAGTAATAGTTTTAATCTCTATCTCAGATAAACAGTATCACGTTTTATATTACTTTGTTGACGATAGGCTTAGTATATTTTTACGACGTATATTTTACTAATTACTAAAATGTGACTTTTTTTATTTCTCGTTAATTTAGTTGGAATATAAGGATAAGGACTGTTCTAATGATCTTATATTCCTGGAATGCAACCTGATCCGGTACTAATTTTTTTATATTTAGTATTCATGCTTTTCATATTGGATAAGGGTTGGAAAGGACATCTATGTCAGTACTTTAATCTCAATGTACTTTAGAATACATCGAAGAACGTTAGGACAACAAGCGGCATAGGATATTGTTCCGCTGCTGCATAAGAACTTTGCTGAGAGATAACCGCCATAAAATTATACCGAATATTTTACTTTCTTTAAAACACTCGTTGTATTTGTGTACATATGTAACAGTACAGTCTGATTTAATGGTTATATATTTCAGGAATACCTCTTACTATCATTATAAAAGACTTTTTACATTTACAAAAGGTTTACTTTTTTCATTTAAGGAAGAAACCATCTATTTTCAACAATCTCTCCCCCAACAAAAAACACGTTTTTCCACGCTTTTTAACCCAATGTGTTTTAAAAGGTTTTGCGCACTTTCCTCGAATAGATCAAGGTCTTAACAGTCAACAATTTCTCTTCTAAGGTTAGACCTTACATCTTCATCTCTCTCTCTCTCTCTCACACACACACACACACACAGACACACACATACCTCCGCCCACCTCTCTCCTTACAAATATTAAATCTTAACAGTCTTTTATTACTTTTATTTGCTTCTCAATATCATAAAAATTGGTATTCTGAGAAGTGAACGAGAATAGAGAAGATACACAGAGATGAAAAAGGGATTTGGCTGATTAGTACAACATTGAAGAAATCTCTCACATCTTAAATATTCTTTTTAAGATGAGTTTTATATCATTTATTAATAAGCTAATGAAAGATTATAACTGGATTAGAAAGAAAGGAAGAAGAATACGAGTTTTCCTTTACTGTATAGTATTTCGTCTTCCGGGTTCCTGTTGATTGATGGAAGGGAGTGGGAGGTTTTTTTTATTACAATCTGAAGGCCTATAATTCTGTAAAGCTTATGTGGTAAGCGAAAGAAATTCCTTCGTGAGAAAACTAGGTCGGCACCCGAGCATCCGCTCTATCTCTCACTACGCAGTAGCGCCTGATCGTTTATCACTGCACTACATTATCCGCCAGCTATAAGCGTCATCGATAGATATGAACCAAAAGAAGCACAAAGACGCTTCCTATCAACCTTCCTGCAACGTTGCTATATTAGGAGCCGTAGGGGTTGGTAAATCAGGTAAAAATTCTCATAAATAGAAAGGTTCCTTCCCTGGAACTAAAGACCTTTTGGCAATCTTCTTTGTTTATAGAAAAGAAAAGAGGATAACTTAAAAATTTTGTTTCTTTCCTTGTAGCTCTCGTCGTTAAATATCTCTCGAAACGTTTTATTACCGAATATGATCCGAAACACGAAGGAACATATAACAGGCAAGAAGTTATTAATAATCAAGAAATAACAATAAGGGTTATGGATACATTTGACGAAGAGGAATGTACGAATTCAGAAAGATATCTTGACTGGGCGGACGCCTACGTTGTTGTTTACAGTATTACTGACAGGAAGAGTTTAGCCAGCTCCCAAGCTTATTTAGATATTGTTTCTCATACCCAATGTCCGGTAACGTTAGTTGGTAATAAAGCCGACTTAGAATTTGACAGAAATGTTGCAAGACAATCAGGTGAGAGAACAGCTAAAGAATATTCCTGCACATCCTTTTTTGAAGTATCAGCTTGCGATCAATACTCAAGCGTCGCCCAGGTTTTCAAAAGTGTCGCCGAAGCGTCAATTAATTTGAAGAATATAAGAATTCAAGAAGATACTGAACGACGTCACATAAGTCCGTCGTTTAGAATATTTAATAAAAGTTTTAAAAATCTCATCTTCAATTGAACAACAAAGTTATGTTTCGCCCAAAGACTATAGATGGCGTTCAAAAGAATTTATTAGACCAGTACTAACAGCGTACTTTATTGACATAGTCTTCACCTTTATCGTATGTTGATTATACGATAATGCAGCGTTAACATTGACAGATTAAATCAATCTTTTTAAAGAAAATCTTATTATAACTTTGATAAAATCAGACCCACCTTTAAGAGGTTGGTCATTTTTTTTTAAAGAAAAAAAAACGACTTTTTCTATGATTTCTAATTAATTAATCAAAAATAGCAAAGAGAAGATAAAAGGAAAACTATTGACAAAACTCATAATATATTTAAAAACAATAAATGTAACATTTACTTTTAATCTTTTATGTTTTTCTTTTATTTCCTTCTCTATTTCCTTCCTATCTGATATTGTCTAGACGAACTACTCTTAAATCTTTCTTATGATTTAACGCAATAGCACAATGGGCGCAGGCTTTCCTATTACTTCCACCTAGTAATAACCAGATAAAACTGCAGAGTAAAATTGTTATTCCTAGGAGAATCATAATCAAAAAGGCTAGCTTTTCAATAGTTACAAATCTGGAAGATTTTAGCGACCAAGCTTCCCTTACCAATGGATTTTGCATATGTTCCATTTCCTCTTCAGTTCTACTTCCGCTAAAGGTTACTCTTTCCATTACGGAATGTCTTTTTGACATGGGGCATGAAAATATAAAGCAATTACATATATTCTTATTATTAGTTCGTCTACATTTTCTACGACAGTCCATAGAGAGATTTCTCATACAGGATAAATTACAATTGATACCGTCCATCTTCAATGGACATTGAAGGCATTGATAAATTCTATGGAAGTTTACGCATCTACCATAACAATAATTTGTACAATTTTTCAATTGACATTTTATTATTTTAAATAAAAGTATAAAAAATATTGAGCTTCTTTTCATCACTTTTTCAATTTTTTCGACGTAACGGCTGCAAAAAAATTAAATTTTCAAGTATGTCATTCTGAAAAGCTAGCTTTTTACCTTGAACATAGCATACTTCAGCATCTATGCCAACTGTCGAAAAATAATCTAACCATAGAATTTGCTTCGTAGAAAGTCTATCACCTGGACCTTTAACTTCAACTAGTTTCCAAATTTTCCTCTCTGGAGACCAAATAGTTAAATCAGGCATGCCGCCTAAAGTTCGCCTCACGTCTGTTATTATTCGGTGGAATATTGCGCTTAAATGCTCACTTCCAATACATTTGACTAGGCTACTGCAATGATCAACATTTTTAAACAGTTCCCAATTAGTATATATGCATTCCATATTTTCATGGTCGTTCCAAGAGTCTTTTAGCAGTTCTAGCAGCTTCTGAAATAGGATTATGTTGTTTCCGTTATTTTAATATTTGAATCGGTAAAAATAGAAAATTAATTACATCTTCTCCTGCGAACTTTATTTCTTCTATTCTATTGTCGATAAGCTCTTTTCTACTTTCATAGAAAGATGGTGAGTAAATGTCTAGAGGAAAGATCTGTAGAGGAGAATGGAATACGTCGGGCACAGGAGAAAATAAAATATCCCAAAAATATAGCGAGAAAAGAAATCTGTAAGGAGCTGACTCTCCGTGTAAGCCTTCCGAATATTTCTGAGTTTTATAGTGCTCTAGCGCAACGTCTTCAACTCTCCTGAGAAAGGTAACCTGATTCTCATCAGTTGAATCGGATGCCTCCTGACTAATCCAATTATAACCTACACCAGCATTCTGTACTCTGCTTGCTGTAATTGTAATTTCTCTAGGATCACTAACAAGGCGCAGTTTGTCTTCACTAAATTCTGTCCACCTTTTTCTTAAACTTTTCGATTTGGAATTGCAAATACGTTTTGCCCTCAGCCATATTGATAATCGTCGTCCAACCCTCACACCATCATCCTTTAGCGCGTCTTGACAAGCATTTAAAGCCTAAAATCAAAAGAGTAATAAGAGAGATGGTTTCTAAAAGATAATAGAAAACTTACATCTTCATAACGTTTGAGATGCTGGTCTAAATTTAATGTTAATCTTTCGTACATAGCTCCTCTAACGTGCCATCCGTAGGTACTTTGATCTAGAATACTAGTTATTAGTTTGACCGCATCTTTATACCGTTTTAAACGTTGTAATATTTCAACTCCCATAACCATTATTCTAGTATAGATGGTACCGGCGCTGAATACTCTTAAAAATACCGGTAATTTCTCGTCTAGTCTATAATTAATACATTAATCGATAGTACACTATACATATATTTGTTAACTAAACAGTTTTTACTTAATCATCTCTTTATCCTCTTGGAATAAGGTCTTCCATTCTTCGAGAACTTTAGAAAAAAGAGAATAAGCATCTTCGAATGCATTTTGTGAAATCAATTCTTTGATATCTGTTTCATGAGCTAAAGCTGCTTGGTAATGCTTTAAACATTGTCTGTTGTGAAAAATTCGACTACGCTTGACAATTTCGAACTTTGGAAATAAAGACTTGTTGATATCGCTTCTTAACATTTGGAAGCTGTTTTTTTTTTTGTTCGTAAGTTGAAGAAATAAGGCATATAGGCATATATAATAGAAACAAACATGAGTTGTTGGCCGGTCAAATCGTCATCGCCGCTCGACCAATGCGGAGCATAGAGTATAAAGCATCTCATAAAAACATCACTCGATATTTCATTAATTTTGTAACAGTCACCCAAAAGATCCTTTATTCTTCAGTAAATAAGAAATTTTAATAGAATCCTTCTTAGATTTTTAAATAGTAAGTTTACCGTCTTAGAATCATGTCAGATCGACTACTCTTGCCAGACGTAAAGAAAGAAGAAATCGAAGAGGATTTGGCATGTTTTATTATAGCCTTGTTTAATGACGTTTTACTTTCATTGTAGTTGAGTTTTAATGATTTTGCCAGCAATTTTACTTGACTACTTAACAAGCACCGAAGTCCTTCGTCTAAATTCGATAAACTATCGACTAATAACAAATAATGTGTTCAAATCGTTGAAATTAAGTCAATAAGCATAATTTTACAAACCATTGTATAATAAATTGACCTTGACTAATTCATTTAAAAACGATGTTAAATCGTCAGAGATATTGGCGTACTTAATCTTTTGAAGTGGTATCCACCTACGACGCCTCAAAAACAATCGAGCGTATAACTTTTTAGATTGTTCTGTTCAAGATTTGAAATACAATTAGTACTTGAAATGTTTAAAGTCATAGATGTACCTGACAATTCAAAAAATTTCTCTATAATCTTTAAATCTGGTTCATCGAATAAGTTATCAAACATGTTATCATTCTGAACGCTCTGAACTATACGAACGAAATTTTGGAGATAGTAGGGACTATAGTCATTTTCCACAACGCTATCTTCGTTATCTTTGGAAGTCGAATGTTCTAGATTATCATCATTCTCTTGAACAATCGATTCTCCCAGACTATCATTGTTATCAATTTCCTCTATTATAACTTTTTCCGCTACAGTTTGATTGTGTTCGGTACGCAAGAACAAATTTTCATTATCAGTGTCTTTTTTTGTATCTTTATCAAAACTTTCTGTCGAATCTCTAGAGCTACCGTCTAAAGTTTCGTTAGTATTATATAAATTTGAATCTTCTGTAGGGCATTCGCCTGTTTCGTCACTATCGTCGATAATAATGCAATCAATATCATTTATAGGTTTTTGTTTTTTTCGTCTTTTAACTCGTAGGGAGGATTGTTGTTGTCGGAAGAAAGAAATAATTGAAGCCTTTCCTGAGGCTTTTCGATCAAATTCAGACTGATTGGAAGAATTTCGCTTCGGCATAACCTGAGTGATAATTGATGAAATTTCTAATTTTTCCAAACTATTGCAGTTATAACACTGCTTATTTTTTAGAGTAATTGGTATTGTTGAAATTTAAAAATTTCTTTATGTTTCTACCAAGTTAACAATAAAAAGAAATAAATAGACTAAAACACTCTAATGACATCTTTATTTGTTGTAAAATAGTCCACTGAAAATACTAAACTGGTGCTAAATATTTCACGGGTGCTTAACTAGGTGTTGATTAGTAGCCCTGGATATGTTAATATGCTCATTAACGTAAACAAGACAAACTACTCATACATTTACAGCAATAAATACATCTTAAAATTATAAGGGTGAAACGATGTATTTCAATAATAATGATCATGAAGATTTATAACTCTAATAAAACAAGGGTCACAGGATTTGTTAAAACGACAATTTTCGAAGCTATAAGCAGAAATAAACTATATGGGAAAGGTATGATGAACGCTAACGTAGAAATTGTGACAAACACAGTGTTATTATTTACAACAATAAGAAGTAATGGTAGTTAAATGATCTAAAAGATTTGCATTATATGATATAAAGATTTTTTCAATTAATATAGCATGCCTTATAAAGTTTAACAACTACGCTATTCGGAATTTTTTTACGCTAAAACATCATGAACAGTAAACCAAATAAGCACATCACAAAGAGAATAGACGGCGATGCTGAAGTTGCAGTATTACATTTATCACCCTCACAATAACAATATTTAATTTTTACTCCATGAGTTCCTGTACGATCGATGCATCCATCTTTCCAACCATCAATTTTTGCTGCACATCCCCTAACAACTATACTTTGATCAGCAAACGACTGTACTGACTTGAAGCACAATTCAAATGGTTTATTCATCCAATTTTGTCCATTATGATTATGTGATGATGACGTGCAGACGGTAGGTGTTCCTTTGTCAATGGTATCAGTACAATTATTATTGTATTTGCTATTACATTCGTAGCAGGAAAAATCGTTTCCAGAAACTGAAAATGAAACACTTTGAAGGTCAGTAAAAAGATACTGAAGAGTAAAAGATAGCATATTTCAAGTTTTTAATTTTTACTGTAGATCGAATATGTATTTATATATACATAATAATATTAATAATAGCTTAAGATACTCGAAAATTTGTAGTAAATTGATCGATCATGCTTGAAAGCATGGTGTCGATCTGTGGCGCTGGGTAATGCATGATTGCATTCAAGCAATCAATTTTAATGGAAAGTTATTTTTTAACGTGAGCTCATTTTCGACCATAAAACATCGCATTTGTATCTAAATCAACTAAATACATAAATAATGTATGATATCTTACCAAGTCCACAGAAAGTCGTTGCTACTAAAGCGAGAAAGATCAACTTCAATCCGTCGGCGTCCATCTTGAAATAGCAGAGGTCGAATCCTTCAAGGCCGGCTTACGTTTAAATTATTTTCGTATAAAATCTAAATATGTAAAAATTTTATTATTTTAGCCCAAAAATTAGAGATATTTTTTAGTTTATAATTATTAACTTAACAAAAATTTCAATATATTTGGTTGAATTGTGGGCGGGGATTCAAAAATCTTCCTACCATTCATGATTGGTGGATATTTAAATAAGTTAAAAATATATGCATAGTTATTAAAATTTTTTTTATCTTGCATTGGGATTGTTCTCAATCTAAAATGTTAATATGGCTTATTCCACTCATAAATACCATGATAATCCTTTTCTTCTTTTTTCCACTGTTAAACTATTCAAACAAAAATAAATTTTTTCATGAATGAAACAGCCTATTTTAAAATGTAATTTATATTTTGATGAGACTAAGCAGATATTGGAATTTTTAAGGGGTCTATTACACAATATACATTTGTATATATATATATATATATATATATTTAACAGAGGAGAGGCTATTCAGCGTATGGTCGAATGTTCTAATTTAAATACGTACTTAAAAAAGAGCTTGTCACAGCTGAATATTGTCAGCCTGAGAATTGAATGACATTCTTTTGTTATATGTTGAGGCTAAGCCACTTTCTTCAAGAAGGGCTAACACGTTAAACACTACAACGCCAAATCTAAATAATAATTTAGGGCTATTTATGTCTACACATATAATTCATATTTTCCACCAAGAGAATATACTGCTTAGTTAATATCTAACAAGGGGAAAATTATCATAAAAATATTTCTATTCTATTAGATTTTATTACAGAAAAATGGGATAAAAGAGATAAGAGATGTTACAAGTGTGTAGAAGAAAGGTAACAGATCAAGTAAAAATATCACAACGTGATAATCCTACCCATTAGAATATTATCTCTTTCATTTTCTCTGTACAATACGATAAATTAAATTAATCGTTAGTCCTATAATCTTTCTATTCCGGAGGGAGTCGAAATAAATTCAATTTTATCGAGAATATTCTAGACCTAAATGACGTTTTTGGCTCACATATTTTAAGCCTATAATTTTAACCCAAATTGTTAAGCGTAAAGAGGACATAAAAATAATCGTTGAGAAGTAGTCTTGGCTTTTTTATATGTAAAATTTTTGACAATTTCGTACTAAATAAATAAATTCATTAAACAAATGTGAACACAAAAAATCGCGGTTACTATTGGTGAATGGCCTATAAACGAATAGAGGAAACATAAACAAGGCATGAAGATTTGTCATTGATTACAGTGCAATGGCATTTTACGAAGTGTAATAAATGAATAAAATAGTAATGTTATCCAAATAAAAGTGCAAAATGTGCTCTTAGGGTAAATGTAAAAAAGGGGTGAAAGAGAAAAAAAGCATTATAACAAAAATAGTGGAGTACAAAAGAAATCAGTAGTTATTAATATAGGGAAAAAAATCTTCAATTAAAATACATATAAGGCTTGTTGTAATTTTCTTCTGTTTAAAATATCTTTGGAAGTGTGATCTTTTTCCTTGTTCAAGTAGTTATTTCGACATATGGTGGCCAAACAGGACAGTATAAAAATATTCATTATTGAGAAGTATATGAAATTTACTAATTTCTAGTTTTGTTGACTATCTGGCAAGATTAATAGCAAATTGGTATTCACAATAGTTAAGTATACGTTAGTCTCTCGTCATCTAACACACTATACAATGGAGCCATTTGTAAAATAGTGTTCACAGCATCCTCTCTTCCGAGTTTTACTAGCTTTTCTATTAGTTTGGAAATAGTAGCAGAAAGTGGCTCATTTTTTACCCATTCGTCAAGACAGCGAATAGTTCTAGACGGGGGAGATTTTCCTGGTATCTTGTCTATTGATGGCAGAGTTTCTTCTAGTCCCAGTTCAACAGCTAGTAGACACCAATCTCTACCTTGACTATCCGGTGGATCTAGCAGTTGGGCTAATCGTCTTTTAGCTATTAAAGGTAAAGCTGAAGCATTCAAATGCACTCCAGGAGTTATTACTACGCTATCTCCTAGACAAACAACATGAGCGTAATCTTCTTCTATTCTGTTGTATTTTAAGACTTCTAAATCTTCTAGCTGTGCCTTGAGAATTTCAGATGTATGATAAAACTTGGGTTCTTGATAGTTTTTAAGAGAATGTGGTGATAGAGGATTTCTTGAGAGATGGCAGCCTGGACAGATAGACAGTATAGTCTTCTCAACAATTTTGCAAATGTCATCTAGGAAAGAAAATTTGTAATCATTGGATCTCATTTGCAAGTCTATTGAGTTGTTTCTAGATGTTATTAGCAATTCCACATCAACCGAAGACACCTTTGAACTATTTAACCATTGAGTCAAATCGAGGCCTGATGATTTACAAAATTTCCTTAGAACAACTTGTACTCGAGAGAACATATGATTTAATAAGACGCCTGTGGGTATAAGGCGCAAACCCCCGTAAACATCATATTGTTTTCTCTTCCATGTGTCTTCCAATCTAATGCATGAAGAGTTTTTATTGGGAAATTCGAAATTATCTTCAGAGACTTCGGCACAAAGTCCTAATATCTCAAGAAATTTCAAAGCTTTTAAATCAGTATGAGCGTCTGATGACAATAAATCACAGAGCCATCTCGGCTGAAGAATAACATAGTCATCGTCGTCTCCTTCTACATAGACGACCTCCCCAGCCAATTGCAAAAGAGTTACAACTTGTCTTACATGCTCTTCACTGGCTAAAGGGTTTAAATCTCTAGTCACCATAAGAAATTCGCTCCAACCATATTTTGATGTACTTTTTCTAAGAGTAGGCAAGACAGATAAGACTGTTTCGTAAAAAGCGTTTGGCCTAAGTATCAACTGTGTAATGTCCTCTTTCGCATCCCCAATATAAGTTCGAATATTCTTCAGACCTGGGGAATTTGCCGACAAACAATCAACCATAAAAATGCCCGGGTGAATCAAGAAATCGGCTGAATAAAGTCTGTCAACCGTCGATAAGAGATTTGACATCATTTGAAAAAGTACGGCTTTAGGTGCGGGTGAACGATCTGCGTGAGTGGCTACCAGCGCCACTCTTCCGCGTATTAATTGACTTCCGGAGTGTAAAATTGGTTGGAGAATTGGAAATCGAGATTTGATGTGGTCAAGCCAGAAAAGAACCTGAAGTACATAGTTTTATAGGTTAATGGGTTCTTGAAACAGATTTAATTCAGTGTTTATGAAAATTGGTTTACCTGTTTTGTGTAAATGCTTGCAGTATCCGTTAGCTTAAAGACGATCAAATGTACACAATTTGGATCTCCAATAAAATGATCATAATAATGGTAATAGCTTTCATTACCGGAAAATTCCCACAAACTTACATCTCCAGCACCATTTATTGAAGTCTGTTGGACATCAATTCCTCTTGTGCTTACAACAAATTTAGAGCGTCGTAGAAAACCAGTAAATAGTCCACATTTTAAAGAATCTATCAATGTTGTTTTTCCGACAGAATTATTACCAAATATTTTTACTTTTATTCTATTGAGAGGTTCTTTTCCAGGCATTAATTGACGTGTGAAATATTGCCTCTTCTCGATTGTATTGACCTTATCGAATAATTCAGCAATTTGTAATTCTTTTGGTTTTATTTCTTCTTCTAAATCAGCTGCTGACAAGAGGAGGCACCTAACAGCCTCAACATTACCTAATTTAGATGCAAGATTGAGAGGAGTTAGCCCTTCTTTGTTGCGAATATTTACTTTACACCCAAAAGCGCACATGGTTTGAATAACAGGCAAAAGATCTTCTTGAATAGCTGTAAATAAAGCAGATTCGCCGAACTCGCAATCAGAATGCAAAAGAGTCAACGCCACATTTACGTGCTTGCGATGGCAAGCTAAATCTAATGGCGTCTTCCCGTCTTCATTTGGCATGGATTTAGCTCCATTTTGAAGCAATACTTCGACACAGTGAACATTTCCCCTATAGGATCCTATGTGTAAGGGTGTCTCCAAATCTTTATTCGGAATGTGAATCTCCGCACCGCCTTTTATCAATTTCCTACAAATTGATGGAAGGGCATGGAAAACTGCGTTATGAAGAGGAGTCTCACCCAATTTATCTTGCTTATTAACGTCACAATCCGCTTCTAAAAGCATTTCTACGACATCAGAATGACCATATCTTGCTGCAACATGTAAGGGCGTCTCTCCAACATCGTTTTCTCCGTTCAAATCTACGCCGTTTTCTTTTAAGAATTTTAAGATTTCTACATGGCCCTGTCTCGCTGACCAATAGGCTAAATTGTCACCATTTTGATCACGTACATCAAAATCGACACCTTTCTGTCGCAAAAAATCTACGATTTTAACTCCTCCTGAGCTGCAAGCTAAATGCATAATGCTTTCGCCGTGTCGATTTTTTTGATGAATATCCAAAGAAGTAGCTGTCGCCAATAAGTTTTTTAAATCGTCCAAATTTCCTTGTCGCGCGGCGCTGAATAAAGCCCGACTAACTACGTTGCAGTCATCGTCGTCCTGTAGGAATGAGATGGGAAAATTACTGCGCGGAATTCTTTGCGAGACGCCTCTAGGCGTCTTTTTGGGCGTTTGCGACTATCAATCAATTAGGAAATGCTATACGACCGTATCGATTCCTGCCTCATCCAAATCATAGTCTTCTTCTTCCTCAATCACGTATAACATTTCCTTCATATTTTTAATTCCTACACATAGCTAAACAGGTGAATAATGCAGTATTCAATACTACTTTTAACATAGAGCATCATATTGAACAGAATTGTTTACTTGTTCACAATAATGCTTATATGATATTTGCCTCTTTTAATTCAGAAAAATCTAGATGGCGCATTTACCTAAATTTCCAAAATTCAGTTAGGAGATATTATAATAATTCTTCATTAATATATCCCAGATTATATGTATCAAAGTACCGTTAGATGAAAAATTCTAGTCTTCTGAAAGGCTTCAAGAAAAAAAACTCACATGATTTGTTTTCTTTTCCCCTTGCGTTTTACGAAAAACATAGGTATTTTGGTTATGTTAGCATCTTAGTTTTATAAATTTATTTATCGATTTAGATATACAAAATATCTACCGATAAAATTCTATATATATACTGTTACAGCCCAGTCTAAGATACATAAAATAAATTACACATATATCAGACAATCCGTCTACTATTAATATTACTTTCCCTCTTTAAATACATATATACATACTGTCAATAAAATAAAATAACCTCATGCAGCATGATGCAGGAATTTCACCAAATTATAACAACTAAAAGTTACAGAATACTAGATAAGAATTATGTATATATGTATTATAATTTACTTCTATGTTATATTATTAATAGTCTTTTATCTAATCCAGTATGATGAATTATTTTCAAACTAGGAAAGATAAAATTACCTGCACCAAAATAGAAGACTGATATCAAGAATTTTAATAGTAGAATCAGAGAGGCTTTTTGTAGCTAAGATTACAGAAACAAAGTTGGCTTTATTCAATTACTATGGCAATAATAATTGCATGAAATGCTAATAAAAAATTATGAAAGCGAATACATGTACAGAATATAAAATAAATGCTGTATATTATGTTAATAATATACTGTTTATATCGCAAACATGTCTATACCCTTCGAATTCAATTATTGCTTTTCAGAGTCCTAAATTATGGCGAAAACGTTCGTAATAAGATAAAATTTAAATTTTTTTAACTTACCTTATGATTTTCTATTAGGTGTGTAGGCAAACTAAGGCGTTTATTGATGGTTAAACATTCCCTAATGGAGTAGACAGCACTCTGTAAATATCATAAACATTTACTTTAATCGCTAGTAGTGAGAATGAACAAGTATAACAGCTATTGCTCATTACGATTAGCAATATCTTTTCTGATTTGACACGCTAAAAAAATATTTTCTACAAACAGTTGTGATGTTTTATAAATATAAAAAAGAGAAAACACAACCTTCCATCTTTCCTTAGCCATAAAAGATCGTAGATTCTTAACATTTAATTGAGAGCTACGACGTTTATGATTTGTCGGAATTTCATCAACCATCCATGGATGCTGTAAACACTCTTCAGCGGACATTCTATCGTTTGCATTTGGGCATAGGAGATTCTTAATAAAATCTTGTCCATTTTCACTGGTAGAATCAAAATATTCTGATTCTAAATCTATTTCTCCTTTTGTTATATTAGATGTAGTTTCTTGTTGTCTCGTTTTTAATGGCAAATCTTGATCAGTGCATTCGAATGGATTTACTCCAGTCAATCTATTAGAAAACAATTATATCATAATTAAGATAATCAATTAGAAAATGTTCTTATTCTACAAACAAAATGCAAGCAACAACACCCAAACTCCACATATCCGCGTAAGGTGATACAGGATCTGCATTTATTCTCTCAGGAGCTGAAGTACAATTACATATAAATCAAAATTAGGTACCAATTTATGTAAAAAATATAAAATACCGAAGTACGGAACTGTTCCAGCCATGCGATAATCAATATTTGAATCGTGTAATAAATCTCTAGCCAAACCAAAATCTATTATTTTAACATTTTCACCATTTTTATCTAGCATTATATTTTCTGGTTTTATATCCAAATGTATAATATTTCTTGAATGCATATGCTTGAGACCTGCCAAAATTTGACGCAAGTAATAAATAGCATCCACCTCGCAAGCAACTTCCTCTTCACATATTTTTTTAAATAGTTCTCCACCTTCTACCCTGTAAAGATATAAATATATGTCAGCGTTTCTTTGAAGATAGTAAATTACTGTCAAAAGTTCAAAGATTATTTTAAAAGAACTTGTCAAATTTACCAGAAATTTATTTATAATGAGATCCTATGAAAAAGAAAGGAATGACCTCAAAAGCAACTCCTATCACCTGTTCAATTAATATATAAAATTCCTACAAAGCTGACAAAAATTTTTATAAATGAAAAAAATAATTCATCCATGCGAGGCATTGAAAAAAAAACTCTCACTTTTCACATATAAAATGGTCCACATTTCATCTGTGACATTATGGAAGAAATTTCACACAAGTAACTAAATTCTTTAAAATGAACAATTTAGAATGTTGTAATTGTAGATAATATTACTTAGAGAACAGATATATTTTTGCAAATAGCTGCAGCATTTGCATATTTCTCAGTCAAAGTTCAACTATAAAAGTACCTATGAGAGTGCGTACTATATTGCCGAGTTGAAAAGATCAAACACTAGGCTTTTTGAGTAAATGTTATTCAAGCTAATATTCATTGCAGCGTATTTCTCATTTGTACAAATATAATACTATGCTATCGTGATTTACTTTAGTCTCCTAATTAGTCAGTCTATATGAGGCTTAAATATTGTGCTCAAAAAAGAATTCTATCAGAATCGATACGTTTCCTTAATTAAATTGTATTTTAATTTCCTAGTTGTTTTAAGAAAATTGTCCCATTGCAAGATGGAAATCAGTATACTTACAGTTCAAGGATAAGTATAGTCTCTTTACCACAAACTTTGCCATTTCTACCAATAGATTTTACATCAGCAAAAACATCGTAGAGCTTTATAATATTAGGATGATCTAAAGATTTTAACGTGCTTATTTCTCTGTCTATATCGGACTGCTGGGCGCCGGATTTAGATAAAGTATTTCTTGCATGTCGTATCCGTTTAGCAGCATAGAAGTTGTTTGTAGATTTCTCACGACATTTATAAACAGTGGCGAAATGACCGCTGAAAAATATAACAATCAGAATTATGAGCAATCGTATTATATAATAGCCTTTTTTTATCTATCAAATTGATATGTATATACATATACAATGCTGTAATATATATCACTAATAAAAAGGCAGAGAATTATTTTCATAAATAATGAGCTGTTTTATGTAGGAATACAATGAAAACAGGAATTTTTTTTCACATAACAATCAGTTAATGCTATTTTGGCCGATTTTCTTATATATGCATGTGATTTATTGTTGGAGAGAATCATACTTAAACCAATCCATTAATTTATGTCAGTTTTACTGCCGAAATTATAGTAAATACAATAAAAGTACACTCGTTAGACAAAACGATAAATTTAAATTTCAATACCTTTCACTTAGGTGCTCTCAATTTTTATAAACTAAAATTTCATTCGTGACTAACACATTACCGACTATTTAATTAGGAATAGATGCATTATAATAGTATCTTTTTGAACGATTAATCATGGAAATACCAAATTGTAATTTCTCTCTAACAATACCATTTTTTACACGTAAAAAAGAATAACAATAGAACACTTTCCAATATCAAAGTTATAGAGTTGTTAGCGAAAAAATAAAAGAATTTAATAGTTAATTATCGCTTCTTTTTAAAAATTCGTTCGACTATATGGCTTAATGATTTAATTTGATTGTAAATAAAGTAAAGTTACGGAAATGAATGTCAGTTATACGCGTAAACAAATGTTACGATAATATAGGAATATAAGTTTAATTTTTACTTACTGCCCAATTGCATCGCCAATTACTTCATATTTGTTGTCAAAAGAACTTTCTTCCATATCTCCTCATTTCCACAAGAATTAAAATGCTGTTTGTCCGGCGTTTTAGTATAACAACCAGAAGTTTATATGCGGCCCACCAGTCGGCGAACCCGTCCAGTTCACAATACGATTCGGATAATAGAATTCGAATTTGGTTAGAACTTGCCTCTCAAAATAAATTATTGACTGAGATAAAATTTATGTTTAAATTAAATATTCAACTGATAAATTTTTCTATGATTGCACCATTAACTCATATTGTTGAAAAAATATATAGACACGTTCTATTTACTAAGCGAAGTTTCATTGATTTTCTTTCTTCTCTTTTTCAAAAGAAACCGTATTGAAATTAAATACCAACTTTTTTGGAATTGTTAAGATTTTACTGATTAAATAGTATGATCGACAGCTTACACCTTTTTTCTATTAAAATTTTTTCCATGGTGATAACATAACATTTATATCCTTTTATAATTTCGAATTGTTCTATTCTACTACAAACTAAAAATTTACCCCACAACTATAATTATGTCTATTTTATGAAATATCATAAGAAGGCTATAATGACATATATACATAAGATGTAAGTCAACTAATGAACTTATTTTTGTATACTTTGGCTTCATAATCTGTATGCACCAAGAGTTATTAGTTTTCAAATTCTAAAGTGATGAATGTTTTTCCTAAGATTTACCAGTTTTTCTCATACAATCATATAACTCAAGTAACATAATGAAATCGTACAGTTAAATAAATATAATTTCAGTAATTTGTTTCGCTCCCTCAATGACCATCAAGTCATTGCAATCAACAATTACAAGGTTCATTCTGACAGAATCCGCTATTGCAAAAAGATCATTTCTAGGTGAGTAAAAAGTATTTAAATTTTATTATCATTTAAATTTGGATTTAACAGCCTGTATAACTTCTATTTCATATTTTCAGGGTGTTTTCAACGTCGAGTGATGTCTAGTGATACTTCGAAAAAAATTAAAGTATCTAAAATTAAATATAAGAAAATATACCATTATTTAAACTACGAATATCATATGTCGTTGTAGATATCAGTTGAGGGCAATATTGGCTGTGGAAAGTCCACTTTCCTCTCCTATTTTGATCGTTTTAGCTCTGTTAAAGTATATATTACTTGCTTCCTATATTTTACTACTTTTATCAACAAAATATTTAATATAGTCTGTAAGCGAACCCATACACAAGTGGTGCAATATAAAAGGACATAATGGTCTTGATCTTTTATACAAGGACACTCAAAGATGGTCTTTTACGTTTAATTACTATGCTTTACTAACGAGATTGGAGGCTCATCAATTGGAAACGGTAGTTTTTGCATAAATAATGATTTGATCTAAAGTCATTACTATATTATTAAAGAATTCACGGGTAATTCTGATGGAAAGGTCTCTCTACAGTACAAGATATATTTTTGTTGAAAATAGCTATAGAGAGTGAGTTAAACGTTTTTCTACTCTAATAAGAAATTAATTACATATTTATAAATTGATTCAGAGGAGATCTATCAGATTTAGAATTTAATATTTTAGATGAGTGGTATCAACAACTTGCCAAAGATAAACGAAATGACATCGATTTGCACGGTAAATAGTAAAACATCTATACTTAAAGAATTCTCTATAATAGAACTGTTTTGATTTATTTTAGTATACCTTCAAGCTTCACCGAAAGTCTGCTATGACAGAATTCTAAAACGGGATAGAAGCGAAGAGAACACAATATCATTATCATTTATCGAAAAACTTCATGATCTACATGAGGAATGGCTTATAACTAAAAAGGCTGAGGCCAGAGACGTTATGGTTCGTGTGTTTCATAATCTACTATAAAAATAATTAGGGGTTCTTTTTAAAATCGAAATAGGTGCTTGATGCGAGTCTGGACAAAAACGAAATAGTCAATTTATACGAAAGTCAAAAAAGTGAAATGCTTACTTCAATATGTTGAGCAAAACTTAAACCTTTCTTTGATACTGTATATCGTTCAAGCAAAATCTCATTATGAGTTGTTTTTTATTGGTTTTATAATAATAAGTATTTCCACAGCATTTATGTCTGATCGAACTGTGAAGTTGAATTCGTATTTTATATTGAACGAAAATAAACAAAAACCGTAAATAAAATAAATTAAACTTTTAACTATGCAGCCGAATTACCAAAGAAAAGCGGAGTAGTCTTACAAATTTTCTGCTTCAAAAGCATACATAATTAAAAAAAGTCTAAGCTGCAGTACTATTCAAATCACCCAAATCAACAAACACGCTTTGTTGCAGAGAAACAGTCTCATATGCCGTTGGATCAGTTAAAGCACTCGACGCCGTCATGTTTCGATAATTGTAGCGAATTTGAAAAGGGATCTGGAAAAAAAGAAAAAGGGTTCGTGAATATAAGGTGCTAATTCCGATAATTTAGCTCTAAACTCGTACCACAACTTTTGCTCCAGCGGCAGAAGGTTTTGGAGTGACCTTGATAAAAAATCCTAACTTGTTTGATTTTCTAAACGTCACCACACTATGGGAAAAAACATTATTAAGAAAATATTCCTTTTCTGTCAGTGATATAATTTCTTTATGCGTAAAAAGTTTCAATATTTATAATAAACTTTTTTACCTCGGGTCATCTTGAAAGTCTTGATTAGCTGCACAGTCGTCAAACTCTGCAGTTTCATCCCTAGCTGGCAGAGACAAGTCGCACTCGGGTAGAGACAGCTGAAGTAAATAAGAATAAAGATTAATAAGTTGTTGTGTCTGTTCTTAATTATTTAACATACTTCGGCATTGAAAACAGCTTCCTTTAGCTCATGAACAGTAACAGTTACAGCATAATCAAATGGATTGAGTAAAGTAAGGATAACTTGGGTTTCTTTTCCAATTTCTAAGTTCGGTTGAGAAAAAAGTCTAATTTCCGGCACGTGATAAATAGCAACAAGTTGAATTCGATATTTAATGGAGCAAGGATTAAATTCTGGCTTAATAACATTATGTTCACATTCTTTGCAGCGTAGCGATCTTTGAGTAAGAAGATTCTTGTGCCTAGGATACAATTCACTAAAGAAATTGGGTTGAAAATGCGGTGTAGCAAGCCTTTGTTTTAAAGTCGTCACTAAAATTGTTTGATAAAAAATTTTATAAATATCTTTTTGTTTGATACAGTTTCATTTTTGTTTCATTTACAAAACTCACTTTCATTTAATTTTAACGGGTTTTTTATAAATTCATCAGAAAGTTCCTCTATTTGTTCAGAAGCTTCGGCAGGCTCAATATCCATCACTTTGGGATTTTCTTTCAAACTAAACAATTAAATTTTTTTTTTTAATTCTAATTCATATTTTACTGAACATGTTTAAGTCAAGAGCTAAATTTGTAGAAGTGTAGAAAAAAAAATATCTAGTTAAAGTAACTACGACGCTTGAAAATTAGCAGAATCATTGGCAGTGATTATACAAATGCACGTTTATGTACATAAATATATTAGTTTCATCAATTCAATGCTTTATAAATATGTCATCTTTTATCATGCAAACTAATCTTACCCAAATAAATAATATTGTGATACTCGGCTGAAATTAGTTACAGTTCGGTAAGAGGTACAACACTTACTCACGACATCAAAAAGACTTTTCTAATTTATATCAAGCTCACAATTGAATAAATACCTTAAACTGGAGAGTCCTGGATTAATGCTGGCCCTCTTTCTGGTTGAAGACAAGCCGAATTTCTCCTAAATTAATTGAAAACATTAGAACTGTTACAAGTATTTCTAATAGACACCTACAGAAAAAGGTATAAAGCTTTTTCTCCTTATAAATTTTTTTTTATCTTTTTCTTGTTTCTCAATTGCAGCTAATTGTTGAAAATATTCCATAAGTGTGTTAATCTAAAAGAATTATCGGATTTTTTTGTTAATTTTAATGTGATCTCTTTATCTTGTAAATTTATTATTTTATTAGTACCCGCTCAGAGTTTGTATTTTCTTTTTCAGACCAAGCTCCGCTCCCTAAGAAAAAAAAACAGAATCTCCATCAAAAACAGCTGCGAATACTAATATACAGTATAACGTGATATGCTAACCAACTGTTTGATTGGGGATTCCGGCAACTTTTGTTGTCCATCTACAGAATCCACAACCCATATAATAAACTTTCCTTCCTGCTGGTCTTGAAGGATCATCACCCGGGTTAGGGGCTCCAGTTGCTCTTGTAGATAAAGTATGAAAGCAGCTCGGACACTCAAAACAACTGGCACATCTATAAACAAAACATTAGAATGAGATGTTTTATTTTTAAAGCAAGAAAATTTTCGTACTTGTTCTTTTTTAATTTTGCTTCAGCTGGTGACATGTTTTCAAAGCAATGGGGGCAGTAATGAGAATCGATCTGCAATAATAGGCCTAAAGTTTGTTTCTTTCTAAAAAATATTTGCCAAGGAGGCTTCTACATACTTCATGAGATACACAGTCAGTTGAACGGAGTTTCATACAATGCCTACAAAAATGGAGTCGACACAAAGGGGCTTTAACTCCTAAATCAGCCATATATTGCACCCTGTCGAAATCCACGTAAGTCGCCATCTTACAGAATCTTAGGACTGCAAAATAGAGTCGAACGCGGAACCATATTATTGTTTGAAATAAACTGGCCACCCGAATAATTTTCCACCATGTTATCGAACTACTTCCGGCTTGGCTATTTTTTTCGGTTTTTGCCTAGCTGGTGAAGTAAAAGAGTGTTACTGTCTGAGAGATTTTAGAGTTGGCTGATATAGATAAAGCTTTAAATAAATTGCTCTGGCTTTAATAGTAGGAGAACATGAGTTTAAGCCTGGCGGATGAATGCATAAAGATACTAGGTATAATCATAAAGATTTTGCAAGTATTTTACTATTATTGTGCATGATCAGCTTGTGACGCTAAGAAACCTATGGAATAAAAATTCATAGATGTTGAAAATGTTCACTTCAAATAATGTTTTGCAAACTAAGTTATGTCTTTGCATCTGATAATTATATGATTCTTGACGATTAATGTATGATGTTTTATTTTCCTATATCTAAAATTTTTCAAGTGAAATTAAGTTTTACTTTTAAGACAAAGAGCTCTTCTTATTTTATTTTCTACGCATTACACTTTTCCCTTCATTTCATTATGTTACCTTTTTTTATAAATTGAAAGTTGCAGTTGGTTATTTTTAGTAATTTTATGATAATACTTATTTACGGCAAAACATTTAAAGCGAAATGACAAAATCATAATAATTAAAGCACTTGAAAAAAAATAGAAACTTTATAAAAATTGTAGTTATAGTTGCTATTACTTTTTATTTTTGTCTTTCCATTTCATCCATTGTACAAAGATTTAATTATATTATTTTCTCTAGAAGATTCTCCTCGAAGAAATAGTCATAGTCGGAGCCCTTCAAGTGAACAGCAACATAGAAAGCGTAGCCGCTCAGAAAACTCGTCTAGATCCATTTCACCTTGTCGATCGCAATCGTCTTCACCTAGCTATGGAGGAAGAAGAAGATCAAGATCGAGGTCACCTCGTGATCGGCATCACGACGATAAACGAATGCGACGTACAACGAATGATACTAATAGCAATGATCCAAAAGATTTAGTTAGTAGAATATTTATAGGGAATTTAGCAACTGATCAATTAACAAGAGATGACTTGGAAGATATATTTAAAAAATATGGCTACGTTAGAGGAGTCTCTGTTCATAAGGGATTTGGTTTTGTCCAGTATAACAATGAAGGAGATGCAAGAGCCGCCGTTGACGGTGAAACAGGAAAATATATAAAGGGTGCAAAAATTGATGTTTGTATAGTAATTGAGGGAAAGAAAGGATATAGGAAAAAACAGTTCCCTAGAAAAGATTACGATGACTCTCAAGAACGGAAGAATATTGACTCTTATTCGTTAGTATAAAAAATTTTATAACGTGATAAAGTGATATTTCACTTTACAACCAACGCCTGTTGCTTGATAGGATTAGTATTGACAACAGATGTAAAAATAGTAAAATGTTGCTATAGAATCGCATTTCTTTCCGATTAACTCTATCTTAAAGAATAAGATTTGAAGAATATATGACATTAATACTCGTACGGTATATTTAAAGCAAATTCTACGTTTTCATTTAGATATTTTTTTTATTATTAAAAAAGTTTGTTTAGGCTTTGTTTTCTCAATTGGTATTGAGTACTTACTTCCATAAAATATTCATTAAGAAAATTTTGCATTCTTTTTATTTTTATCTAGACCCAACATTCCAATTAAAATGCCACCACCTGGATTTGATCCATACGCGTAAGTCTAACAATAATTCTATACCAAACAGTTTTAATTTGTTTTTATTTCTTCAGCGCTTACAGGGGAGTTCCTGTATCAGGCCACAACCAATCTCAACTTTTAGACTGTGAAGTTTATTATACATCTCATGAATTAAGGTGAATGGCACAATTTTATTAGTATAATTCTTTACCTTTTATTATTTTAATGACGCACTTTTTCTACCTTTTTATTTAAAAGAATTTTGATTTATATTCTCTTTTATTGATTATTGTTTCTCGATTATTAGGCGATATGGTGAATCAATCGTCGAACGACTATATACTTTAGGCCTCAGAGCTGTTGCGAAATTACTACCAGACGATATGTCTCCTCGTTTAGCTGTAGAGGGCGCAACGAGGCGAGGGTTATTATTTTGTTTAACTGTAAAAGAAGAAAATGAAATTCATCATTCGATGACATTAAATATTTGCCAAGATTCACCTCAAGGTAAAGAGAAAACAGTGGTTTTTTTTTCTTTATTGATACTCTTCTTAATTTTATCTAGAATGATAATATTTTTTTCTGAATTTCTTTTAGTTAACAATAATAATTTTTGTATGTTTTTTGAATGAAAACAGAACATAGAAATATGCCATTGGAAGCTGCACTAGGTTTAATATCAAGAACATTTGACGAACATGTCCGACGGGTAAAAGAACGAAGTGAAGGTAAATGAAGAAAGCTTTTTCCATTATTTTCATATATTAAGTGAACTTGATAGAAAATATATTTGTAATATTTTATTTTTCTTTACTAGGCTCTAAATTGCCTCAAACTGTAGGTGATTTCATACCACCGGATGAACATACAAAGTATTTATTAAATTTATTAGCCGATGATAGAGTTTTAACAGTAGAAGAAATAGATAAAGTTATGGAATATTTACAAGAACGTAGGGCAAGATTGGTAGCTAAAAATGGTAAGTAATATTTTTGTAAAGTTACGCTCTTGTTTCTTTGCTATTATTAAAAGAAATTAATAATAATTATAAAAAACATTAAGAATAAGAGAAAAAGTATTGCATACTAATTTATATAATTGGGATATTTTGGAGACAATCAGTTAATTACTTTTTTCAAAGGAGGTATCGAATCAAAATCTGCTCTACATCTACAACAACATATTTCAAGTCTATTCAACAATGCTGCTGTAAATATGCATCACATTCCTCAACCGGTTAACACAAATATGGAAAATGCTAATGTGCAAAAAGCTTTAGATAATCTTATGTCAACTGGACCGAATATTTTACGTAATATGACTCAAACTCAATCGTACGCCACGTACGGTAATTCAGCGCCACATTATTAAAAAATAAATTAAATAGTGAAAGTTAACTATTTAACAAACTTTGTTACAGGCTATATCTCTATGTTTTTTTTTTATCTGGTACTATAAATGTTAAGTGATTTATTGTATAGTTTAAGCAAAAATGATTATCTCTTCTGCTAAAGAGATATGTGTATTTGTTCACATCTGTAAATAATTTAAATCTATCATCTTATTTATTCTATCCTGGTTACTATGAATGTAATGTTTTATTAGTTTGAATAGCTATATCGAGAGTTTGTACAAAAAGAGGACCATAAAAAAAACAGAAAAAAGAGAACATGATTTTTTTTGGCCAGTCTTGTAAACTCTGAAGAGAAATACAGCAATGTTAACATCTCAAATACGAAATATTACATTTATTTCATAACTAAATTATTTATATTAAAATAAAAACAAACATTTATTTATAGGTAGTGTAAAACCAAGCAGCAGTATAATTGAAATTACTATATATGGAACATTAATATATATTTATATATATGTATGACCAATTAATATAACTGCTACGTTAAATAACTAAATATAAAATCTTGATATTTTATATATGTATAAGTTGTTTTCCTTAGAAATGTGCTATGTGTAGAAAAATGTAAAACAATGTCAAGTTCTGTAAAATCTATATAAAGTCTTTTAATTAGTTATAATAGTAATTATTTATTAATTTAGTTTGTCTTTTAACCTGTAATAATAGTTTGTTATTATTGAAAAACACTTGAAAAAATCACGTATCTCTTTTTCTGATAGAATCGATATTCGACTTACGTCTGTAGCTTCCACAAATTTTTAAGTTATTTTAGTATTATAGTTTAATTTTAGCATTGTTTACAAACAATTTTAATCGGGTTATAAATCTTTGCAATTTATAGAAAATGAATCTTTTACAATTTTTTCTGTTGTTTTTCTTTATTTTTGTGTAATTTTTATTATTTTCTACAATATCTTTTTAAAATATGCTATTTATTGTTTCCCTCTCTCTCTCTCTCTCTCTCTCTCTCACTCTCTCTCTCTCTCTCCTTCTTTCCGCAATTGTAATACTTAATGGAAACGCTTGTATAATGAATAAAATATACTAAATGACGTTCAAAATTTTGCAGTTTACTTTATTTATGTTATAAATGCAACGTTTGTTTGTAATTAATACATTATATATAGCACCCTGATTTTACTGTATTTTTAGAATTTTGTGTCAATTTATTCATTGATTTTAATTGAGAAAAAATTAGGAATCAATTATCTTGTAAGAAACGAGATTTAGACTAATTAATTCCTGCCAATTTTCCAAGAAGTCTTCTCTGCTAATCAGTTTCTTTTATTTCAAATCCCACAACTAATCTCTTCTTTTTTCTTTTTAATAAAAGAATAATTATGATTTAATCTTGATAACTGTCAATAGAAGAGAGAAAGAGATCAAGATATATCTTGTCTTCTATTTTATATTACGTGTTAGAAGATAGAGGATAGGAAAAAAATTTTTCAAAGGAGACATAGTTAATTCTATAAACGTTTCAGTTGTTTATCAATAACTCTGTCATTTTTAAAGGAGACGCCGAATAACACTTTTCAAGTAGAAATATAAGAAAAACAAAGGCAAGGTAAAGTGAAGTATATAAATTAATCTTAAGTGTTTATTAGTTTTATTGACTAGTTAGTTTACTTGTTTTCTATGATATTTATTGTTATTTACTGAATGCTAAAAGTTCCTATCTTCATCCGTTCACACGTATTCATGTACCACAATTAACTGCCAATCCAGTACCCATATCCTTCCTTTTACAGTCTAATCTTGCCAACATACTATTAATAGGCGGGAGTGCTAATATCGCTCATGAAAGTTTTCATGGTCAATTTTAGCAGATATAAGAAATCTTATAATAAAATCATTCACTCCCGTAGTCTTTTACAATATGAAAATATCCTCAATGATAAATTTTACTCTCTTTCTCTCTCACTTTGTACTTTAATTAAGCTTTCGTATTATGTATTAAAGTAAAGTGAGTAACTAAGAAACCCTACAAGGAGTGAAAGGAAGCTAATTTTCTGTAAGATATCACGAAAACAAAAGACTATATAGGCTATATGCATGCATATAAATTAATATACTGTATATACAGTATATATAACTAGCTTCATGTTCAAACAATAATTTCGTACCACGCCTTAGAGAAGAAAATGCAAAATCTTTGTTTTCTCGTTTCTCTACTTCAAGTTTAACTTAAGAAGTAATTATTTTTGCGAAATTTAAACTCTTCATAAGAGAAACTATCAAATTTGTGAATATAAGTATCAGCTGTAGTGTCTTCTTGTTTAAAAGAATGATGCAAATTTAGTATTCGTATCTTTCTTGGAATTATCTATGCGAGTAAAACATGACAGCTCTCTGTTGATTGCCATTCATTTCCTATAAAGCTTCTGCTATATGAAGAATTTTCATGACTGTCGTATTTATTGGATATTTTGTTAGAATATTTCATTCTTTTAACGGTGTTTTATAAACGTGTTTCCGTTTCGACAACAAATAAGCATTCTCCTTTGTGTCTTGTAGTTTGCCTTCTTTCTTTTCTCCGTTCCTCCCTCTATCTGCCTATCTGTCCTTCAATCTGTCTATTTCTTTCTGTCTCTCTCTCTCTCTCTCTCGCTCTCTCTCTGCCTCTACTTACTCATCTATCTTGATCTCCCTTCATTGTTCTATCTCTATCATCTAGTATTACAAGTAATCCGTGTTCATTATCAGTTTAAAATGATGGTAAGAGTGAAACATCATTATGTATTATCTCAATTAATTACTATTTATTTAATTACAGATATAGATATAGTTTATTATGGCCTGCTTCACCGAATAAGTTTGTTTCGGTAAGTTCTCTTGCTCTTCGTTAAATATACGAAAGAAATGATCTAATAGATTGACAAAGGTGTAAAATAGATTGAACAGATTTAATAGATTGTCATTAGCTTGTTAATCGCATAGAAAATCTTTCCAAGTAATGCAAGATATAGAAAGTAAATTTATATCAATTAATCATAAGAAGTATATTAAAACGATTGCGACAAGAGAGATATGAGGTTAAGAAATGTCAGCTATTAATACTTATCACGATTGATAAATGTTAATTGTGATATGTGTTTCGAAAAACGAAGTTCTGAGGTAAAATTTTCAAGAAAAAAGCGTTTGCGAGTCCTTTGAGAGAAGCTTAAATAATCAACTAAGATAGCGATTAATCGATGTTGTATAATGAAATTGAAAATAATCTGCACGAGGTCGTTACTAAGATTTAATAAGAAGAAAAACTTTATTTCAATTATTTCTTTCTTTGAAAAGTAAGAAAGAAAAACGAAATCAATTATACTTAAAAGTTGAATATGAAACGAATTCGTTTAATTCATATTATATGAATTAAATGTTTTCCAACAGTACTCATCTTAGTAGATTTGTTTACAGGTTAGTTTGTCATAGTGTTATTTTTTATCTTATATTTTATTTCATTTATTTATCGATAAAAGAAAAATTAAATTAGAAAAATGTTTTTGTTGAAGGGAATACAAAATAGTTTGTATCTAGAGAACGCCTTTAGAGTAGACTATATAGACGCTGTATTAGGTGGATAACCTCTATAAATAGCCTTGTAAGGTTACGTCATCTGGCTTTCATATCCAGGAAAGACAATCTGCTTTCCTCTCTCAATTTACTCTTCTTGCAAATCTATATAGTCGATAGCAATAAAGTCTATTTTAAATATCAAACAACTTTCCAGGTAAGGTGCAATTTAATGTATTTTCATAGTTTGCCCTTCAAATAGTAAAATACAATACATTATAAACTTTGGGACAAATTGACCAAGTTTCTCTTCTATAAGAGGATAGAAAATCTATCTCGACGACACAAATAACAAGTATACTAAAACGTATAACATAGTAGGGAAAAGTGAGTTTAACTAAGGCTAATAAATAAGCATCTCTCTGGTAAAAGTATCTTAAAAGACTCTCTAATATGATTTGAGGAAAATGTGAATAGATTTTAAGTAAATTACAAAAACTGTAAGAAACAATCTGAACGTGAAAACAGAAATGTATTCCTATTGGCATAGTTTACGTGTTTTCTACAGCTATATAAAGTTATCTTATGTTTAGTTTTATATTAGATTCTGGAAGAGAACGGCGGGAGCGTTTTCAGGTTTAAATTAGTTGTTTTTTTTAAGACCTAAGTTAAAAATTTGCAAATAGAACTTTCTGTTTGGTTGTAAAAAGATAGGCTGATTAAATTTATTTAGCTAAAGGATGTTAATAAGCTGTGTAAAGTAATGAAATTACACCCTTTTATGAGCCCTTTTTTCTGCATCACTTTTTTCAGTCCCGATATCGCCGCATAAGGCCTTTTCTATGATAGAATTCGAAATAGAACCAAGAGGGAATTCTACCTTCGTCGCTAAATTCATCAACAAAAAAAAGAATGAGGAACATGACGACGTCGGAGCTCTCTACTACGTTGTTGTTGTTATTTTGCTATACGCCTGTTCAATGATTATGATGATTGCATCCCACATTCGTAAAAATAAGATTGATAGAAAGCTAAATGTTTATCTAAAGGAGATGGCATTCGTTAGAAAGAGAGAGAGGCAATTACAACTTGTAAGATTATCTTTATTTTCATCAATTGAAACAAATCTCTCTATTCGGGAATATTCATTAAATTTTGTTTTTTTTGTTGCTTTTCAGTTGAATACGACGAATAAATTAGCTGAATTTCGAGGGACTGATGGAAGAGTTGTTAAAAATGCAAGAGTAGCTTTATCAGAACCAAACCAGCTTTCAAGTTTTGAAGATTTAGATGAACAAACGGAAGAAACATGCTTTATATCGCCTCGCCAACGTGAAAATATAGAAATTCGAACAACATCAATTGATGAATGTCCTTCGTCAACTGTAGTTTTAGAGTTAAATGATGCAGCTTCCGATACTGAAATAGACGTTTATGGGGAAACACCATAAACTTTAGATATTTTACAAATGTTTGGATACTAGATGGCGTTCGGGATGAGCTATAATTTTTTTTCTTTTCTATTTTAGACAATAAATCATGAATATTGATGTTTTGAGACTTTAATAAGAACACAATTAGTTAGAAAAAATCTCTCCTATCACTTTATGAGTATTAAATTAAGTTAATTTGTTACCTAATTTAATTAAAAAACAAATTCATTCAACTAATAATGCTTTGACCTGAAATAAATTATTCCCTTTTCTTAAATAGTTTAAACATAGTCGTACTCATCATCGTCCTCTTCTTTAACGGCTACTAGTCCTGAGAAGTTTGCTCCATAACTATTCTCCTCGGTTTCCGCATCATCTTCTATTTGTATGGTAAAAGGGTCATCTCTTTTCTTGTCCAGTTGGCCAATTTTCTCCTCAGCGCTCGTCGAACAAGTGACGGGTGTACATTGACGCTCACTATTTTCCTTTTTTTTCGATGGTGAGCCAGAAGCGATATCCTCCCAAGGGTTTTTCTTCCCGCCTTCTTTCTTAATCGGTAATATCGCTTGGGATGTTGATGACGTAGGCCTAAACGGGATTCTTCTCTTTTGCATGAGAAGGCGAGTTTTAAACTTCTCTTCCCTCTTTTCCAGCCTTTTCAAATTATCCAGATCAGCAATATATTTGTATATAGATTTATCATGTTTGCCTTTATTAATAACTGATCCAATCATCATTATAATACCAAATCCGTAAATGACAACGACCACACAAACATAATATAAAGCTCCAACAGCATCTTCGTTCTTCCGATATACATCATTAGTTAAATTCGAACCAGTTTGGAAAGAAGCAAGATAAGTTTTATTACCAATCTCTTGTATTCTTAATTCCAAACTTTTATCGCTCCTTATTCCTCCTAATCCAGTCTTTTTTTTTCAAATTACTTTTTTTTGTATTTTATCAAAGAATAAGAGACTTACCTGAAAAAGCAGTTTTCTAAATTCAGGTTCTCTTCGAACCATCTTGTTAAAAAATCGAAGAAAAAGTTTAAACAGAAATGAACAAGGAAGCGTTCACTGGCAGCACGAAAACTTCTGCAAATTATATAACAATAGACTACTAGGAGGCGTTAGAATAGAGAGTAGTCAATTGTGTTGGAATTATAATTAGATGAGGGGGGGAGGAGAAAGGTTTATTTGTTTTCCTTTTTTGAAGGATTATATAATCTACATAAACTATAGATTTGGATAATAACAATGAAATGACTAAGCTAGTTGTCCCGAGATCTCTATTAGCATTAAAATATATGGATATATACTTAATATTTTATAGAAACACACACACACACACATACATACATACATACACACATACACCACACACAATATAAATATATATACCTGTAGATAAGTATATAGAACCTGCATGTAAATGCATATAAAAGTCTAAAAATAGACTTTTTTTTATTATTATCTTATATAATATTTTCGAATTGAAAATATGAATAATTATTAGAAAATGAAATTGAATAGCGCATAATTCTTACCTGGAGATATATCTAACATTTTTTATAAGCCTAAATTATTCATATAAAAAAAGAGCATTAATAAGTTTGAACGACTAATTGATCGGTTCCGTACCATTTGGAAATATTTTAGTCCGTCTCTATACTTTTATATTCTCGTTTTTCTATGAATGGAAATGATTGGAGATTATTATTAGAATGCCAATTTCAAACACGCTTTTCCTATTCGTAAACGTTCCTTATGCCTTTTGGCTATTAAGGAACGAGATATATATAGAATGTTTTTCTCAAGAAAATACAAATTCTATAGGGAATTTCTTTTTGTCAAATGTGAACTATTGCGCAATAAATCGAATTTCTATAGTAATTTCCCTCCGCACAAAGTCACTTTTTTCCTTTTTCTTTTCTTTTATTATATATTCTTCAAATATGCAAAAATAGAAAAAGCAAAAGACGGAACACTCTTACAATGGAGGAAGATCGTGTAGTTTTAGCTAATTTTCAAAAGGTTAAGGGTTATTAACACATAAGATTCAACAACGTTCATCAAATAGTACTTTGATTATCATTGGTGGTGTATTCGTAAACTTTTAACCTATTCACGTCCAAAATCCACAGTTCGTTAGAGTTTCTGAACGTTATGTCAGACGGTTTATCCAAATCGTAAAGTTCCTTTGTCTCTAAAATTTCCCATACTCCATTATAATCGTAGCAGATAAGGATACTCTGTTTTTCCGAATCACTCACAAGGATATTATTATTACTGTCGATACAAAGTCCTTTTATCTCTCCGAATTCAACTTCCGTTTTGGATACGTATTCTCTGATTTTCTTTCCAGTCTGTTTAGAGGTGATATGAATATATTAATATGTCAACATGAAACTTAGATGAAGGTTTAGAAATTCTGGCGTAGACTAATGATATAAAATGACTCAATGTAAATTATTGTGTAAAGATGAAATAGCTTTTAAGTGTGGTAAAAACAAAGAAATATTCAATGAATCATATAAAATGGGGAATAGCATGTAAAGAGGAAATAAAGAGAAATCTATAAACAATTGATACGTTACCTGACTGTCAAACACCTTTAAACTGTCTTTCGCCCATCCAGTAAATACGGCGTAGATATATAAATTACTATCAATAGCTAAATAGCTCGGCCATCCACCTCCACCCTTAATCTTTCTCTTGAGTTCAAGAGTCTTAGAATCTAATATAAAAATATCTCCCTATTTTGAATAATTAACAAGTAATTAATTGAAAAATGATCCACAAAAGTTATAAAAAAACACGAAATTACCTCTCCTCTGTCTGAAACGGCAATTTCTTCGTCATTAATTTCAACTGCTCCAAATGCCTCTCTGAACGAAACGCAAGACTCTCGGATTGAATTTGATTCACTATACACGAAAACAGACCCTCCAGAGGTTACGATTAAATCTCCGTTTTTCATTGAACCAATGCATTTTGGAGAAAACTCCAAGCTAATTGCTTTAACGAAGGTACCTGAATTATCAAACACTGAAATTGATTTTAAATAGGGATCGGCGACATAGATACTGTCGTTCATAGATACAACCGATTCACACGATGCCACACCAAGAATAGAACGAATAAAACCAGGCTTGTTTTCCGTTCTGGCGTCAATTGTTTTTACAGAGTTTAAAGGATAAATCCTATGTGAATTTTCATCTGTTGATGTTGCATCTGTAGGTGTTGGAGGTGTAGTTTTCTTATTATCTTTTGTTGTAGTGGCATCCGATTGTTTGACAATTTCTGATTTAGTAACCTCTTCTTTTATTTCTTTTATTTCTTTTGCCTCTTTTGCCTCTTTTGTTCCTTTTTTTTCAACTGAATTCTCATTTAATATCAATTCTCCAAAAATGGATTTTTCTTCTAAGTTGGAACATGATCCAGGTATAAACTTATAAACTGTTGGAATCTCAGTTGACGGCTGCTTTTCGAAAACTTTTTCGTAGTTTTTCACTTTTTCCCAAATACACAAAATTGAATTATCAGCTCCATTTTTCAAAGCTTCCTTAGCCAATGATGAATTTTCTAAGACAACTTTAGAGATTTGTTCCATATCTTTTATTCCCAAATTTTCAATACTCTTCGCATAAAAAGTTTTAATTTTCTCCGAGTTCTTCTCATACCATTGATTTATCAAGGCTATCAACTCTGATCGCTGTTTCTCAATATCTGAGATAATTTTATTGAAATTATCATTTAACATTGTTCTTTTAACAGCTGCATCTTTAGAAGCAGTTATCAAACTGTCCTGTTCCTCTTGTAGCTTACTTAAATAATTCATCAATTTCCTTCTGACATCTGTTATTAAATCTTTAACAAAATCTGTTTTATGACCATCGTGATTTTCGAATTTACAACTAATGCATATAGCTTCTGCACATTTGGAACAAAATAATTCTTTTTCCTTATTATGAATCGCACAAATATCTTCAAAAATTTCGGAAGAATTAGAAAAATTCTCAGCAGATTGAAAAATATGGTGTTTTGTATTCTCGTTTGCTGCGTGAGTCGCTTGACAACTTGAACAAAAATAGAAATTACAATTTACACATTTATTGTCCGCTACAGGTGGAGATAAACCCTGAATTCGGCAAAGATCGCAAAATTTCGAACTCATTTTATTAGTTTCTTATCCGAGTTTCGATTAAATAGTACTAATAACTAGAAATGATAATAAGTTTTAAAACACCCCTCGGTGATTTGAGAAAAGACGACGTGGCGAATTCAATATGCTTTTTTTAAGGTTGCTTGCAATTGATCGTGTCCTACGCTTTTCTGTCATAGATGGCACTACTTTCGCGTTGAGAAACAATTTCATTAAAAATACATTTTATCTATTTGTTGAAGCCGGTTTATTTTTTTTTGTTAAGGTATATACATAAAATTCACACGTGTAAAAATTCACATATTATCGTTCATGTGATTGTTATGATGAAAGAAATTTATAGTTTCACCGATTTTCAAGGCCATATTAGAAATTTCTTTTTTTTTTGGAGGATATTATTTCCTGATACAAATATAGATACGATTAAAAGCATTAATCTTGGGCCTTTCTCCTACAGTTTTTAGGAAATATCGACATCAGAGAATATGACGATTACTATGTTTGCCCTTGCCGTGTTCCTTTGCAATGCTGTGTACCTGATTGGTGTAGAAGGGGAAAGCCACGAGGATAAGCACCTTCTCAAGTTAATGTCTGATTATGGAGTAAATAATCGAATGTCACCGTTGGGCATTGATAAACTATTGAAGAAAACAGGCGTTGTCATAGGCCATGAACCTTTCAATTGTTCTTTTGACAATTGTTCTTTAGATAAATGTCTAAATGGCAAAAATCTTTTGCAGTTATATTTTCCATCTCAGGATGACGTGGATTCGAATGGCATGAAAGCCCTATCCCCGGCCATTCTTTATCAATCTCAGAACGAAAAATGTAGATCTAAAGATGAGAAAACATCTCGAAAGAAACCATCTAAAGGAGAGATTTGGGGATATTCTATTTTAAGCGTAACTGTTATTAGTTGCGCTTCTTTACTAGGAGCTCTTTTCCATCCACTATCTAAAACAAAGATTTATAAGAAGGTCTTAGCATTTATGGTCTGTCTTGCTATAGGAACCTTAGTTGCTTCCGCCATTTTAGTACTTATACCAGAAGCTTTAGAATTAACTGAAGGAAGTGAACATACCGCTACCTATGAAAACAGATGTGTAGTTGTATTGGCTGGTATATATGGATTTTTTTTAGTAGAGCGAGCTTTAAAGTTTATAATGGAATGGCGCGAAAGGAAATATGCTACTGAGACGAACAGCCAAATAGATCCTGCAGAAAAGCAGCAATTTCCAATTTCCTCACAGCAAAGAAGCTATCATCAAAGCCAATCTAACTTTCGATCATATGATAGTCAAGCGTCGGTGAATTCAGGAAAGACAAATGATATGGTTGAAAAAAATTTTTCAGGCAGCAAACAAATTAAACCTGTAGCTTGGATGATTGTTTTCGGCGATGGAGTCCACAATTTTATGGATGGATTAGCCATAGGAGCAGCTTTTACAGGTTCAGTTTTAGCCGGTGTCTCCGTTTCAATTGGGATTTTTTGCGAAGAGCTTCCCCATGAATTAGGAGATTTCGCTATCCTTTTGAGTTCTGGAATGAAAATTAAGCAGGCAATGTTATGTAATTTTTTAAGTGCTTGTACTTGTTATGGTGGTATGATAGCTGGTATTATAGTAGGGGAAAATTCCAGTGGGGATGTTTGGATATTTGGTTTAACCGGTGGCATGTTTCTTTACATATCTTTAGTTGATATGCTTCCCGAAGTTAATCACGCTGCAGAAGAAGAAGCGTTGGAGCGGGGGAATCGTTCAAGTTTAATTACATTTTTCCTACAGAATCTTGGTTTAATAACTGGTATGGTTATAATATTTTTAATTTCTCACTTTGCGTCTCAGATTAACTTTGGAAGTTGAATAAAGTAGTCACAATGGAGAAACCATAGGAAAATAAGAAAATAGGGAAAAGAAATACTTTTGTCTCTCAAGGAAATTTAGTTGTTTGACCATAATTTCTCCCACCACAATAGAATTATTCTTTATTTGTGTTACTTCATGCAAACTGAGTTGCTATAGAAATCAAATAAAAAATATTTAATATAAGTACACTTTGATTCAGTTTATAAATAATATGTGAATACAACAAATTGATTCTTTGAAAGTTAAACATTTGATGATTTTTTTAAATTGAGTTGGAAACTAGCAATTTACAATTGATCAGAATAAAATGAAATCGGCGGGAATTTTAGGTATTAAATCACATTTTCTCTGCGGTCCTACTCTATAACAAATGGCGCCTAAACAAGTGTCGACTTGTGAAATTACTTGAAAATTCCTTTAGTAGATAGCCGATCCGACCAAAAGAACTTGGAATTTAATTTAAAATGTCACAACAACGTATGTATGAGTATTTTTTTCTAGTTTTAAGTTGCACAAATTTTATAAAATTTAAACTATTACAGTTTGGCAGCAGCCTTTTGTAAACGTCTTTCGGCATTTGAAGCAGACGGACTGGAAACGAGTAAAAATACAAGGGGATGTAGTAAATTCAATGGATAAAGATGCCAAGGGCTCAATATGGTCAATTAATGGGGCGATTCCGGCTGCAAACTATATGTTTATGCCCAAATCGGGCTCTTTGAATCTTATTGGGAAATATTTTTACATCACTTATAAACCAGTAGCCGACAAATACTTTGTATTCCATATTGATGTTACCACTCCCGATTGTCTCGTTGTACGCATATCTTTATCCAATATGTTTAAAGTTTCTAAGGCAACTTCAACTTGGATTCAACTACCAGTTATCAGTAGTTCTACAGTTAATGGAAAACCCACATTTAAAACTAGATGGACTATTCTATGCCTAGATTTATCAAATTTATTATCGAATTACGTTCATCGTACCTTCTCATCAACAAAATCTATAAAGATATGCGCGAATGTAGCAGTAAAATCGATCGGAACGTCTAATACATTGTACGAAGCTGACAAATTACCAAGAGATCTGGGCCTACAGCCTCCAACTGGTGTAAAGTGGCATGATATTTTCGATTTTATAAAATTTCCAGATGATAACAATTTCTTGACGAGTTATCCATCGAAAGGTTCATCGAAACTAGTTGAGGAAATTTCAGATTTTTCATCAATCTCAAATAAAAGACCAATCATCAAGGAACTTCCAGAAGTAAACGTTAATATACTCTCCGATGATTTAGCAAAACACGTTCATGTGTCAAAATCAAACGGTAAAAAGTTTGCAGATGTTGAGGAAAATGTGGAAGAAATTGGAAATGGATTAAAGCCGGATCCTATTCTTCGTTTAAAAAGTGTTGTTGGTCTTAATCCCCTTTTACTAACATGGAATTTACGATCAGACGAAATCGTCTATTCTGCCCATGCCATAATAATAGCCCTAAATGTTGATAGACGCGAACAAAGATTTTTTGTTGGTCACACAGGAAAGGTGACTTGCTTGTCAAGCGCAAGAGGCCTCCTAGTCTCTGCAGATTCCAATGGTTTGGCAAGACTTTGGGATTTGGATAAAGGAAAGTGTTTATCTGTAATTCAAGCTCCGGGATGCCGACTTTTGGATATATCAAGCGATGCAAAAATTGTTTGCGGTATTGGTCGTGACTCGTACGGTAAAACATTGGCAATGATATGGGAAACCTCGCAAGCAAAATCTGGAAAAGTCCAATGCTTAGTTAAAGCTCACACAGATGTCGATATAACGGCAATTAAAATTGTATCTCATTTATCAAATATCGTTCGCTTTGCTTCATGTGGAAAACAAAATTTAAGAATTTGGCGAATTAAAGAATCTTCGCTCAGATCCGCTCCAATTGTATTACCTGTCAGTGATCTAGATTTAACCGATGTTGCTGTAAGTACAGATAGAAGGCGGGTTTATGCATGCGCCTCTTCAGGTCATGTTTTAGAAGTTGATTTCGAAAGGATGTCTGTTGTTCAAGCCAGGCGTTTAGTTGCAAGTGGAGGAAATGGTCTGGAACTTAACTCCATTTCCATATCGGATTCGATGTGCGCTACCGCCTCAAATGATGGAATTTTAAGGCAATGGCCTCATGATTTTGCAAAGGTTCTACTTGAAGCTGATCTCGAGAATGAGGCAGTCAAAACTCTCTTTTCTCCCGATGGCTTAAGAGTTGCAGCAGCTACTAAATCTAGTAGCCTCGGCGTATTGGATATTGCAACAAGATCATTCACAACTCTTTGTAGAGGTCATGCTTCGAATATCAAAGATTTGAGTAAGGTTGGTCGCCAAATTGTATCAATAGGTGAGGATAGGACCATTCGTATATGGGATGATATTCAACAACTGTATGATTTCACTGCCCCTCAAGACGCTCCTCTAAAAGTTTCCGGATCTGTCAGAGAACCGTACTTGGCAGTTGGATTTAAATCAGGCGCAGTGAGAATTTTAGATATACCTCGAACTTGTATCTTGCACGAAAGTCGATCTTCCAAAAAACCCATAAGTGGTATAGCCTACGGTCTGTTACATATTTACGCCTCTGATGTAGATGGGACACTTACACTTTACGAATGTAACGGATTGAGAATTGTAAGACAATTACCTTTCGTCACAAAACAAACAGATTCCATTGATTTAGCTCTATCCTCGGATTATACAAAACTCGCTGTCCCCGCTATTACCAAAGGAACTCTGAACATCCTAGAAGCTAGTTCACTGGACGAACTCATTCGATGCGATGTTGGGGGAGATATCAACTGTATTAGTTTTCACCCTAATCAACAATATGTGTTAGCTGGTTGTTGTTCGAAAATCGTCAGAATTTGCTCTCAAACTGGAAGGATATTATCGAGCTTAGACGAAGCCCATAGAAAATCCGTCACTTCAGTTTCTTGTTGTCTATCTCCACATGTTCTATCAGGTGGAGACGATGATGTACTGAAAGTTTGGGGCTATGAAAAAGTTTGGAGAAGAAGAGATGCTAAATTCCAAGTTTTCATTGGTCATGGATCTACAGTTAATAAGCTCATTTTGTCGGACGATCAATTGACAATAGCGTCTTGTAGCTCGTCAGCTATCCTTTTTTGGGATTTTAACGCACCTCTTCCAACAATAAGCGATTTCTTAAGGCCTGAGGTAGAAGAAATAGCTGTAAGAGATGAACCACAAGATGACGTAAACTCGGATGATATAGACAAATTGAGCGAAATCGCTCGTGATCCCGAAAATTTAGCTGGACAGGATATTGAATCAGATCAAAATGAAGAATTAATAGAAACAATTAAACCCGAGTCATTAGAAAACCGTTTGTCCTCGTCATTAATTCAGCCAGCCATGATTATTGAACAACGTGAACCATCTCCTCAACGTGAATATGCTCAACCGTCAACGAAACGGCATTTTAGACAACGTCGAAAAGATGGTTCCTTAGCACACAGGCGGTACTTGCCCTCAGAGGAATCGGCTGGGATAAAAATGTCATATACTATTGGTTTTGATGGTGAAGGACGGAATAACTTGGCCTGGTCGTCTGAAAGTGGACTCATGGTCTATTCAAGTGGTTGTGTAGTCATAGTAGATGAGCTAGGTGGTGATAAACAATTTTATTTATGTGGCCATATGGAACAAATCTCAACTATTGAATTGTCTAATGATAGTTCTCAAATTGCATCATCCTCAAGAGGTCAGATATTCATATGGAATGTTGATTCAAAGAAAAAGAGAACTGAGTTAAGAGACCTAGAGAGTGAAATAGTAGCTATGAAATATTCGAATGATGATAGATTCCTAGCTGCAATAGGAGATTATACGGATAGAAGATTAATTGTTTTCACAACAGATCGTTATGAAATATATGCTAGCGCTACTTCTCAGCTAATAATGCACGATGTTTCTTGGCCAAAAGCATATACTGGTCAACTATTAACAACGGCTGAGAATGGTCTGCTTCTGTTTTGGACAATTGATGACTCAGATAAAACTCTAAAAGTTGAAGAAACTAGGGCACCAAGAGAACTTTTTGACAGCGATTTAACTTGTGTTGTCGATTCAGAGAGTATATATTATGTAGGTACTTCGAAAGGTTCAGTTAGCGCCTGGGACGTTAAAAGGGGAAATTGTGTTCTCCATTGGACTGCTAGTGAGAGAGACGAAATATTATGTTTAGCTTGTTCAAATTCACCAAAAAAAGTTGTTAGTGGTGGTAAAACGCTTCGTTTATGGTCGACTGAAGAAGCTCTTTCGCCCAAGGGAGATGCAAATGTTACATTACTAAGTGAAATGACTCTAGATGGAATCATAACATCGATGACATGGAACGAAACTCTTGAGATGGGTTTAGTGGGAACAAGTGGCAATACATTATGGTACGTTAATTGGCTTGATCAGAATAGCGTTCGTCTTGTTGGTGGTCATCCTAAATACGTAACAGACTTGATCGTTAGAGATGATTGTGTAGCTACTTGTTGTCAAGACGGTTCAGTTCGGGTTTGGACATCCAAAGAGTTAACTTTGCAATTCGATGTCAAAGCAAAAAATGTGAGTGCAACTAAGATGGCTTGGGAACGCAATTTTCTGGTTGTCGGCTATAGCGACGGCACAATAAGGATTTTTGATCTTCAGCTTGTCAAAATGCTATCAAAGATAGTTCCCCATTCAAAAGACGTGACAGCTATTGCCATAATGTCAAATATCGTCCTATCAGGTTCAACTGATGGCATAATTGCAGCTACTAGTTTAAGTACTGCTCTAACAGTAAGAGTTTTAAAAGCTCATTCCGGTTCTCCTATCACCGGTATTCAAGTTCTAGGTACCCGTTGGCTAGCAACATCAGAAGATTCCAGGATAAGTGTTTGGAAAGCTGATTGGTGTCAAGACAGATGCGAATTAGAAGATTGGATTACCTTACCTCGAATCTCTGTCAACAAAGAGAAGAAAGGAAAGACGTTAGCTTGTTTTTCTCAGGATGAACCCGATTGCGTAGTAATTTTTGATGAAAAGATCTCGGCCAATGAATTATCTATATACAATTTAACTGCTCAACGAATTGTGCGAACTTTACCAATAGTACATGATCTTGTTTGTTTTGATGTAGGTGGATCTCTAATTGGTCTGGGCTCTCGAGATCGGCTTTTAACCCTTATGGACTATTTCGAAGGGTCTTTTCAAGACTTTAGTCCTTATGATGATAGCATAACTGTTATCAAGTTTGACCCATCAGGCAAGCGACTGGTAACAGCTTCTTTCTGTTCAATTACTGTATGGGATGTAGTTCATAGCTAGGTGTTTTAGAATATTAAGTGCAACTAAAAAACAATTTCTCTTCACCTTTCTTTTTCTACTGAACGGATGTATATTTTAATTTAAATAAATATAAAATCTGTGTTTCTTTCTAATTCATTTATTTTATTAGTAAAATATTCAGCATTTCTTCTTTGATTAAAGAAATTCTACAGCTCAATATTAAAAATATATGTATTACTAATTTCATCCACACATTTCACCCTTTCATACCTAATGCAGTACCCCAACTATTAGACTACAGTATTAATTACAGACTGCTAAAAAAACAATAGTAGCCTACTAAAATCATATATATCTACCTGGCATAGTGATATCAACAATACATAAAACAGTTTTGAAAATGAATTTTTGTGTTGAGGTTAATATGAAAGAAGATGCAACACCTAATTTCAGAATTCCATTTTCCTAATAATATAAACAATTAGTCTATGTTTTTGTCGGAGTGGGAAAGATTTATGAAAAAAAAAAGTTTAACGACTCTATCTCTGTACTTTAAAGGAAACTTTATTATTAAGAACCCACAGAATTGCCTCTCTTTACGATCATAACTTGTTCAAAAGTTAATAATGTCTTTAAATAACAATAATTCAATGATACAAATCTTTAATTTTACTTTAAATTATTTAAATAAAATCTTTTAACAAACATTAATCATATCTTCATTTTCCACTCCTGAAGTAGAATATTTAAAAATAAAGTGAAACTCTCTCTTGAAAATTTACTTGCCTATCGTCTGAAAGTTTAGCGTTTTTCTCATCTAGAAAGAAATTTTGTGAAAAAACAGAATCTTGTGTTAAAAAATTACTATAAACCTCTTTCGCTTTCTTAGGTTTATAATCCATCTCTTCGCTAGCAGAGAATGCCTTCTCCCTATCATAACAAAATATATTAAGATTCCAATGTATAAAAATTTAGTTTACCGACAGCTTGTCTCCTGAGCTTGCATCATTGAAATCACGTTTAGTTAAACCAAAGAAACCATGTTTGTCGTCGATTGACTTTAAAGAGCTTGTTGATAACTCCTAAATTTTAAAAATGAAATAGCGAATAAGTCTAACATTATTAAGAGTAATATGTTATATTAATATTCTCGTACGGATCTTTTTAGCTTTAAGTCCAATTTTAGTTTTAGTTTTTCTTTTACGACCTCTGCTCCTTCGGCCGATAATTTTGAAAACTGAAATCACTTTATTAAAAATTTTTGCTCTATGAAAAGTAGAATATATAAACCGCTCTAGCCATTAACTCCCTATATTGCTTATTTTCGCTTTTTAAATAGATCAATTCGTCTCTCAAAGATTTTATTTGTCTGAAATAGCAAAAATTATATTCTGAATAATTTACTGTAATAATCCAACCTATTTTTCTCAATTAAAAGGTTTTCCCAACTAGTTTCAGCTGTATTATCCATCTATCAAGAGAGAAGCATGGTTGTTAGAAAGAACAAACTAGATAACCTCGTAGCAAACCTCCATTTCTTCATTTTCCAAAGCAACTTCTTTTTGAGAATATTTCATTTTTGATTGTTCTTTTAAACTATAGGATTAAACAAATTACATCAAGATTTCTACTTCTAATTTAGTTTACCTTTTTATATCTTTTATTAAAGTACAAGGCTTAATCTTTAACTCTTTACGATACTGTAATATATAAATCATGAAAAATATATTTGTACTTTTATAATAAATTCTTTCATTACTCGTCTGTCTTTCATAATAACATTAGGAGAAAAAAGTTTGTCCAATTTCTGAAAATGAATGCATTTTGTTTTTCAGTAAACTCTACGACAGACTTTCTTTTGACTTATTAATGACTATTATAAATATGTTACCTTCTCTGACCTTATCTTAATTTCATTAAGAATCGGTCGAATTTTTTTATTTTCTGGTTTTTTATCAGCAGCAGAAAAGTTAATCACCATTCTATCATTCTTAAATTTAAAAATATTTTTCAATATCCTCTGTTTTTTAATAAAAATAATAAAAAAGTAATAATTACTTTCATTAATCTTGTTGCTACTCTAGAGTGAACTGCTCTTTTTAAACAAATACAGCATCTATCCATTAAAACTAAAATATCAAAATCTTAAAATTTATAGAATGTCTCTGTAACAAAATTCTACCATTGTCTTTGCATCTATCGCAGAATATATGGGAGCAATCCATAATATGCAATCTAACAAATCTTTCATTACAACCCATGCAAACTAACCCTTCTTTGTTGTTCATTACTCAATTCTTATTTCTTTTGTATATATCTTGTTGTAATAAAGTTCTAAAACGTCAGAAAGAGTTCGATTCTTTATTTCTGAAATGTTCTTAGTATGGTGCGTATTCCAATTTCGAAGTTTAAGAATGATACTAATTTTTAAGCGTTTGTTGACAAGTATGTTTACTTAAAGAATTCCTTCAAAATCAAATATATCAGTGTTTATTAAAAAACCAAAAGTATAAAAACACGAATAAATGTTTCCATTTTATGTCAAGTTTTTTTTTGTTACCAATAATGTATTTAACCCAATAATAGAAGAAAAAATGAAAAAAAAATTTATTTTAGAAGTAGTTACAAAAGTCACTATTACGATAAGTTTAGCATTTTACCAACAAATGTACAAGAACTAAAATTTTAACTAAACCAAACAACAATCCCTTGATTTCTTAATTGCGCTTGTTTCTGTCGAGGAAAAGAATAGATAAGCTTTGCTGAAAATACAAGTAAACTACTTACCGCTTTTTGCTCGGTCCGCGACTGAAAGCCCAGTTAACAGCAATAGCTTGCCCCAAAAGATCAGAACCATTTAAATTGCTTCTGGCGCTATCAGCCTCTTTGAATGTTTCGTATTCAACAAGACAATATCCCTAATTGGTTAAGATGATATATACTATAAGTTTTCAGTAAATTGTAAAAATTACTTTAAGGAATCCGGTTCGACGGTCCAAGTTGACGTTGATGTTTTTTATATCTCCATACTCGGAAAATTTGTCAACAATATCATCCTCTTGAGCTTCTTCATGAATGTTGCTCACAAACAGAATCCAACCTTCGACGGCTTAAAGATAGAATTAATTTTAGTAAAAAATTCAACGTGATTACAGTACAAACTTACATCGTTGAGGTCCAGGACCTTCTTCTTCGTCGTCAATCCCTTCATATGATTCAATAGTAGGTCTAGTTGTTTCTACAAAAATTAATATTATATCATTTAGGGTTTATATGAATGTGTTTTTAAATATAGGGTACCTCCAAAACCTCGTCCACGTTTTATTGTAGCTTTCTCTTTTAGACTTTTGATTCCTTCTGAAATGAGCGATAATATAAAAATCGTGTTATATGACGATCTGAGCGCGCTAATCAAATTATGTACTATGCGTATAGAGAATCTTATACATTTAATTGAATAAATCTTTGTGAAAATAACTTACGATCACCATCTTCACCAATACCGAAATCTTCGCCTTCGCCGACATCGACTTCAATTACGTCCGCCATTTTCGCTCGAGATAAACTATTTTACGGAAACCTATGGAATTAAGATTTTTTACCCGGTTCGGAAAATGATTGTAAAACATTCACAGTTGAATACCACTTTTCCGTCAAACAGTCAAGGATGCTATCTAAGAAAATTTTTTCTAAACTTGTAAATATTTCCTATTTTTGTAATTGTTCCTATAGTTTTTTTATCAGTTTAAGATTATCAGTAATCAGTATTATTGTTAATATTACCTAAACATTCTTCTCTCTTTTCGTTTAATCCAAATTGAACTGACTAACATGTGTTCTGACCTTCACGCTATAGGTTTCAACAGCTTCGGCATGCAGTCGGAGATCCATGTCCGACAAATCTCGCCTGGTTACTCTAATTCCTGGTGATGGAATTGGACCAGAAATATCTAATTCGGTTAAGCAGATATTTGGTGCAGCCGGCGTTCCTATCACGTGGGAATCAGTCGACGTAAGTGAGGCCCGGTAATTGTTTATGATATTAATACTCTAATATCACTACTGTGTATATTAGGTGACTCCTGTTAAGGGCCCAGATGGGAAGTTTGATATTCCACAAAATGCAATCGACTCGGTCAACAAAAATCATGTTGGGCTAAAAGGCCCTTTGGCAACTCCAGTAGGGAAAGGACACCGCTCTCTTAATTTAGCTCTGAGAAAAGAATTTAATCTGTATGCCAATGTAAGACCATGTAAAAGTGTTGAAGGCTACGAAACTGCTTACAAAGATGTAGATATCGTTACCATTAGAGAGAATACTGAAGGAGAATACAGTGGAATAGAGCACGAAATTGTTGATGGTGTTGTACAAAGTATTAAATTGATCACAGAAAATGCTTCAAGAAGAGTTGCAGAGTTCGCTTTCAAATATGCCAGAGCAAATAATCGCCGTACTGTTACAGCCGTTCACAAGGCAAATATTATGAGAATGTCTGATGGCTTATTTTTAAAATGTTGCCGTCAAGCAGCTGAGAAGAACAGGGACATAACATTCAAAGAAATGTATTTGGATACTGTATGCTTAAACATGGTGCGCGATCCGACTCATTTCGACGTTCTTGTTATGCCCAACTTGTATGGAGATATATTATCAGATTTGTGCGCTGGTCTTATCGGCGGCTTAGGCGTAAGTGTTGACCGTCTAATTTAGTTTTCGTTGACAATCAAATCTTATCTGTTCTTCGTGCACAGGTAACTCCTTCCGGAAATATTGGAGAACAGGGAGCTATTTTTGTAAGTGTGCATAACTTAAGATAAATATCATGGTTCTTTATCGAGTCTTTTCTAATGATTTTATATAGGAATCTGTACATGGTACTGCTCCAGACATCGCCGGGCAAGACAAGGCCAACCCAACTGCTCTCTTACTCTCGGCCGTCATGATGTTGCGCTACATGGAATTTTATGAACATGCTGATCGTATAGAAAGAGCTGTATTTGAAACTATCAAGGAAGGACAAAAATTGACTGGTGATTTAGGAGGTTCAGCAAAATGTTCGGAATTCACGGACGAAATATGCAGAAAAGTCGACAACTACTAGAAAAAATTCGTCTCATGTACGATAGTTGAATAGTTTACTCGTTATCGGCGTTGTTCTTTTCGCCACTTGGCCCTCCTATTCTGAAACCAAATCTGAAAATACGATGTGCTTTTATTTTTCTATAGAATTTGAATGTTATTTAAATTGCCTGAATTCGATTTTCTGATATGTTCAGCCTCACTGCGAGTTCACCCCTTAAAAATATATTTGGATAGTGCGTAAAGAGGAAAACTCGTTCTAAATCTGCTATTTGCCACTGGTTGAACTGAATTCTGGATCTTCTTCCTTAACATATAGCACCTATCAGAATTTAGAATAAAAAGGATTATATTAAAGGCCAATACATACCACTCAAAATACTGTCTATACTAAAGTTAATTGTAGTTTTTGCACGCATGATCACCAGGCGACACCAACAGTTGTACAATTAGATTTGATAAATATGAGTGATTCGCTTGTCTCGCGTGCAAATACAATAATAAAGTTAACTCTTTTTGAACCGCTAAACGTTACCGCTAAGTCTGTTTTTAACGCCATCTGTGTGTCTTCTCATAGTTATTAATATGACATAGCCTAATACTAGCAGAGTTCAAGTACGTATAGACGAAAATGCAAAAATCAAATAGTTTTAACGAAAAATGTTCGGAAAACTACCGCTATTTCTTTGATAAAGATTTAATAAAGTACACAATTTTTCAAATAATCTTATTCTTATTCAAACTTTAATGCATGATATTTTAGGGGGAAAGTTGCCCTTATTACAGGTGGGGGATCCGGCATAGGATTCTCAATTGCCGAAATCTTCCTAAGGCACGGATGTAACGTTGTAATTGCTAGCAGAAATTTGCAAAGGGTTCAGCTAGCAGCAGAAGAATTGTCAAAAGTAAAGAGACCAAATGCAAAATGTTTAGGTCTTCAGCTAGACGTTAGAAAGGTGAATAATTAGAACTGACCATATCTTTAGTTATTGCTCTTATAAATACTTTATTCTTATCTAGCCAGAAAATATAGTTAATTTATATGAATCAATCGCAAATGAATTTGGTAGATTGGACGTTCTAGTAAACTGTGAGATGTTGAAATAAATTCCTTCCGAACGGTATTCTAAAATATACTCTTCTTTTTAGGCGCTGCTGGAAATTTCCTCAGCCCTATTACAGGTCTTTCGCCAAATGCTTATAGAACTGTATTAGAAATTGACACCATGGGTACATTTTTATGTAGCAAATACGCTTTTGAGACTTTCTTTCAAGTTAATATATTCATAAAGTTGAATTTTATCCATTTTCTAAAATTACTTATTTATTAATAACTTGTAGAGACAGAAAAGTGGAGTTATCTTAAATATTACAGCTACTCTAGACTATAGGGGAACTCCTTTACAAGCTCACGCAGGTTCAGCTAAAGCTGCTATCGGTTAGTTACGTATACTGCCATATTAAAGTATTTACGCACATTTTTTTTTAAAGATGCACTTACAAGACATATGTCGGTTGAATGGGGTAGTTCCAATGTTAGGGTTGTTGGAATTGCACCCGGAGCAACGGATGGAACTGAAGGATTAAGACGTTTAAGTAAATATCGATTATATATAAAACTTATCTTTTAATATCTTATTTTTAAATTAAAATCGTACAAAGGTAATCCTGAATATTTAAATACGATGTTGAATCAAATTCCATTGGGTCGTCTAGGAACACGTACCGAAATAGCAAACGGTGCGCTCTTTCTAATATCAGAAATTGCAGCCTACATTACTGGAGCAACTTTGGTTTGCGATGGTGGACATTGGTTGACTAGTGCATGGCAAGCAAATTTATAAAGATATCGAAAGTCGATTTTACATATATGATAAAACAGTAAAATAAATCTAATCTTTAAATTAATAATTATTGTATTATAGCAATATCTAATAAAGGATAAAGTAATTTATGAACTGTTGCTACAATTCAACTTTCTAAATAGTCAAAAGTTGAATATACTTTATAAGAAAAATCAACAAAAACTTTTGAAAAAAATTTTCAACGATCACTGAAGAATGGATTGATTTCCTGTTTGAAATTGTCTTAGCAATAGGAATAACATTCCTTCTGATAGAATTCAGATTAATTAGGTCGATTAAATTGCAGGATTGATTTTGTTTTAAAAAAAATATAAATCGATATTTGAAAGAGTGGAGGGAACATTAATCGCCTAAGCTCAAAATTATAAAATCAATTACCTAAAAAAAAACACATTTCTATTTTTTTTTATATTAGGACAACCATTTTGCGTATTTGTCCTATTTCTTTTCTTATCTGTTCTTCTAATAACTTCCTTTTTCCATCTAACACTTGCTTCATGTGATCAATTGCTTCTCTGAGAGCGATGAAGCCATCCCTGACCTCCCTTTTTAATTTCGCCATTTCCTCCTTTTGTAATCTATTTTGAGATTGTACGGAAGACTGTATTTTATTTTCCAGCTGTTGCACCAACAATTGCTGTCTTTCTTTATCTCTGGAGTTATCTTCTTCGAGTCTTGTCAATCGTTTCTGCACATTATTAACAGCCTCTTCGGCACGTTTTTGCCAGGTATCAACGCGAGAGTCTCTATCATGGTTTGATCGTTCGATAAGAGCCATTAGTCTTGCTTCTAATTTATCTCTTTCTCCGGCTTCCATTGACCTGTAGGTATTAACTTGAGAACGCGTTTCCTGAATCAATTGTCTTGTGTTTGCTTCTAAAGAAGATAATTGATGGGTTGAATCACCTTCAACTCTTCTTAGATGCATAGTTTGTTCACCAGTTATTTTTTCAATTTTGGCTGCCAGTTGAGAAATTTTTTGATCCTGTATATTAAATTTCTCTGCCAATTTCGCATTTGTTGTATTTTGTTCACTGTTCGTACTTCTTAGCTGATCATAGCATGTTTTTAAGTCGGTCGCCAATCTAGATATATTTGTATCACATCTAACGACTCTGCCTTTTAGATCGGTAACCCCAGCAACATGAGCCATTTCTAGATTACGAACAGCATTTTGGGAACCTTCAACAGTTCCATCTCTTGATCGAATTTGGGAATTTAGTTCTTGGATATCTGATCCTAACTTTCGTACGGCATCAGTGATTGTCCTGATATGTTCCTGTAGTGATACTCTTGCATTTCGTTCTTCTTGCCAAGTTCCATGACTGTAATTCAAGTTAGCGATGACATCTTCTTTAATTTTAAGTGCTCTGTCCAAAAGTGCTGTTGTTGAACGTTCAGTTGCAATGATTCTGTTTTCAAGAACATCTATTCTTGAAGGACCTCGCGAATAAGTTTCCCCCGAATAGCGTTCAACAGCTAAGTCATTAGTTCGAGGACTTGCCATCTTAATCTTACATAATATGTTAGCGGAAGACTGATTTTGAAGTGGAAAATGGAAGACCTCTTGAATATTTACGCCATTTGTAAACAACTAGTTAACAACGACCCGCCAACTTCTTAGTATCAAACAATAGATGGCGTTATCAACACCATTTTCAATCGATTCTTTTATTTCATATTCAAAGATGTCGCGGTCTCATCGAAATTCAAAACATAAAATGGCCATAAGTTCACAAAATCCCAGCGATGATGAATTCTATGAATCTTCGCAAACTCAAAAAAAAAAGTCACGAAATTTAACTGAAAGTAGAAAATGTGAACTAATCTCTTCGTTTTGCTGTTATGTGATTCATTCTTGGAATGGAATACCACTGAAAAGAGCAGATCTGATTAAGGCTGTATTCGGCGATGATGGTAGAAGTTTCAACATTATCTATCCAGAAGCCAAGAAGGAGCTCAAGAAAATAATGGGATTGGATTTGACAGAAATGAGACCGAATTTGTTTATTGTTACGAACAGTATTGATACCTTGCCAAATGATGAATGTTTGGAAACTTATGATCCCAGCAAATTAGCCTTGACGCATATAATTTTAGTAATAATCCACATGTCTGACGGTTCATTGATGGAAGAAAAGTTGTATGCAGGTTTAGCAGAATTACAAATTTCTCCTGACGCAGATATTGTTTTTGGAAGTGTTCGAAAGTTTATAAATAATGAATTAGTTAAACAAGGATACCTCAACGCTGTTACTATTGATGGTGAACCTCCAAAAACAATGTACGAATGGGGAGTTAAAGCCCATAAAGAAATATCAAAGAAAAATATTATCGAGTTTGTCTCTGAGATTTATGGTTGCAAACCTGAAGCATTTTCAAATTACAAGAAAGCTCTAAAAGAAGAAAACATCAATTCTAACACTGCTAGTGATGAGACTTTACAGAATAGCCAGATATAATAATTTGACTGAAGTGAGGAAAAATCTAAAAATTCATATCAACTGACAACTTTTCGTACTGATTCAAAATTTTCTATGTTTACTGTTGTTATATATGCAAGCGTCGTTTACAAAGTGAAATAAAGTATTCCAAACGAAATATTCGATATTATACATCCCTCTAAAGCAATATGCTTCGATAGATAGGGGAAGAAGCCTGAAAGGACTGACTTATAGTCGTATACATAAACTATTAGAGTCCTACAAAAAAAAATATTCGATAAAATATCCAAATTTAGCGCTAATAACACAATTTTTTTATGTATCACTTCATGAAATGTATTAGAGCGACTTTTAAACGCCAAAAACCAAATTTCGTCGATTGAATATGACCCACGTGACTACTTCTCCAGCACGCTCGTCGCCCCAGCTTACAATTTCAGCTTAGTTCTTCTCCAATGTCTTCTCTTGGAGTTGTAACGGATGGTGTTTCCAGTTTTCATTCTAACCCATTGTGGTACAGGGCGATTTTGCTTCTGTTTCTTAGCCAAAATACGCTTAATGCGGAAAGTTTTATGTGCGGCCATGTTCCTTTCTCAAATCGGAAACGGAAAAGGCCGGGTGATGAGTCAAATCGAAAAACTTCGATTATTAATCGACTTGAATTCGATTAATCGAATTTTGAAACGAGGCAAAATAGCAGTTGAAAAAAACGCGCTCACTTGAAATAACGCTCACTTGTTTTTGGTTTCGTCTATATTGATACTATTGTTTTGGTTTTTCTTCTACATAAATTTAACTTTCTCCAGCGTTAACTCATGTAATCAAGACATGATAACTGAAGAAGAGAACCATAAAGCGAAGTATGGCAGTAAGTTTAACCCAATTACTAAATCTTAATGCATTCAGCCTCCTGATATATGGATTATAAACAGAAATCGGCGAAAGACCTCAGCCGTCAGCCGAAGAAATGGATGTCCAAAGGCAAAAGAATATTGCCTACGAATACCTCTGCCACTTAGAAGAGGCAAAAATGTTCGTGTGTCATATGCTTACGCCCAACAGCGTATTATTTTTTGAAAATAATAACATTGAATTTTTCTATTTAGGTGGATTGAGGCCTGTATAGAGGAATCGCTGCCAGAGGTAACAGAAATGGAAGAAGTTCTGCGTAACGGCGTTATTTTAGCAAAATTAGCCCATTTCATGAGTAATGAAACAGTACCGTTAAGACGTATTTACGATTCGGATATGAGTAGATATGAAGTTAGTATTCTAAGGGCTTTAACATGTTTGTTTAGAGCTCTAATGAAAAAATATGAAATTATTTGCAGTCAAGAGGACTACATTTTAAACATACAGACAACATTAATTTGTTTTTGAAAGCTTTGAATCAAGTCGGATTTCCATCGGTAATTTCATGTTTACTTTATTAACAAATCAATTTAGAAATAGCTATAAAGTTATTTCGATTTCGTGGTCTATGTTAACACATTTTATTCCTATTGATTTAAAATTCCGAGGTATTGATTATAGGTCGTTTCTTTCCCGTTCAACAAGTTTACGGCTTGTTATTAAACATCCTTTTTGTGTTAGATTTTCTATCCAGAGACAACGGACATTTATGATCGGAAGAATATACCAAGATGTATTTATTGCATCCATGCCCTCAGCTTGTATTTATTTAAGTTGGGTAAAGCTCCATTGATACAAGATCTTTATGGTAAACTTACTTTTACTGATGAACAAATAAACGCTATGAGAAAAGAACTCGCCAAATATGGCATTCAAATGCCAGCTTTTGGTAAAATTGGAGGAATTTTAGCCAATCAACTTCCAGTTGACGAGGCCGCCTGTAAGCTTTTACTTTTTTCAATTATCATTGATGAAAAATGTTATGTTGACGTAAACGTTTCGATTTCTAGTGCACGCAGCTGTCATCGCTATCAACGAAGCAATTGAACAATCCATTCCCGAACAAACCATTAAGGCCTTACACAATCCGGCTGCTCATTTGGATCATGTTGACGACGATTGCGCTGAAATATATCAATTGGTTCTATACGATGCCAAACACATGAAATCTGAAGGAGCGAAAAATCGTTCATTGGATCCAGATTATGTGGCGGATGTGTATGATGAGTTGCTTACGCAAGCTGAAATACAAGGCTTAGTTCAGCAATCTAACGGTCAACGAGCTCTCTCTTACGTTCGGTCGTCGGTCGGTAGGGAGGACAAAGATGCTCTCTTAGCAGCTTTAAGAAATCGATGTTTATCCTTAAAAGATGTTCTAAGTGATAATACATCTGAATATTTACGATCTTTAAGTTCAATAGTTGATAATGAAGACTTCGACAGAGATAGCATACAAAAAGTATTGGTTTTAGTCAACAATGAATCTTGTCGAATGGCAAAACGTAAGGAATATGATAGGAAAGTTTTAATTACGACTTATTTCTATTTTTTTCAATCACAGTCGAAACGTTTGTGGCACAACTTAATACTTCTTTGATAAACGAAGACGTTACGATGTTGGAGAAGTCTTTTTCTAATGCCCTATTGTTTCTACCAAAGATTTACTTAGAAGCATCTGCTCTTTATTTGCAAGAATTAAGTTCTGCTCGTCAAGAAAAAAATGCTGACTTAGAATTTGATGAAATTTTTGGAGGGCTACAAGTTCTTTCGGCGGTTGCTCAAGTTAACAAATCTATTGAATCGAAGAACGTTGATGAATTGTATGGATCATTAATGGCCGAAGATGTTCACATTGTAGGTGTTGCAGCCGATTGTGTAAACGACTACTTGAAAGAATTGCGCTCGAGAAAAAATGGGAAATATTTGTCTCATAGCGACATCCAACAAGCTGTAAATTCTGTTAATAAACGAATATTTAGCGAGGCCAAACGTATGTATTTGTTGACATTCTTTTAAAAAACCAATACAAACAAATAGGCCTGTGTATTTTTTATAGGTATAGAAGCCGTTCATCGAATTAATAACGCAATAGACGCAGGTGTAGTCGCCGGGACTTTATCGGCTTTACAAAATCCACATATTCAACTAGAAGATGTGGATTCAAAGCAAGCGTTTCACTACCAACGTTTGTTAGCTTGCGCAAAGTTGGGAAAAGCTAAAACTTTGGGGGAAGAATCCGCTGAATTGTGGTATGAAGAGATTGCCAGAACTATTGATCTGGCAAATAGTCATGCTAACGAAGTAATTAAAAGTATGTTTATATCTGCTGAAAGAGGGGACTAATTGATATTATAGCATTCTAATTTAAACAATTTGCTTCAGTGTCTGCGGCAATATCGGTCGCCAATGTCGCTATTGACGAGAGAGACGAGGACACATTAATAAAATCCCTTTCAAACCCTGTTTTATGTTTGAAAACAATCCCAGAAACTTGTATCACAACATGTTTAGAAGCATTGGAAATTGAACGTAAAGATAACGTTCGTAAAGCAACCGTTGGTGAAATTGGAAGCGGTTGGACAATGAATAGGTAATAAATCGTTTTTTGTTAAAACATTTCTATACATCTTTTTCTATAGAACCAGAGATGGAAATTTTAAATTCTTCTCCAATGTCTACACTGGTGAATATTTATGGGAGAGACGTAAAGATATGCTAAAAGATAAAGCTATTCTGACGAGGGATCAAATATCCAAATGCATCGAACATGTCTTGTCTCAGCATGATAGATATGCAATGTTCAAAGCAAATGTATCATCTGTCATAGCAATTCAGGTGCGACAATTATTTTATTATAAATTTGTTTTATTGTGCTTTTTTTTTACTATTCAATTCATTTTGAACCGTATTTTATTCTTTAACCTCTTTGGTATTTATTCCATATATAGTCCATATTTCGACGTTATCAAGCTCGGAAGAGATATGTTGAATTGAGAGCTGCTATTAAAATTCAGGTATAGCTTACCATTTTGTTATATTTATAAATTAGCTATAATGTTTATTGAAATGCACACAATAAAGTCCTGGTGGAGAGCAATTAGAGAACGTAGGAAGTTTATGCAACGTTTAGAAAGTTTTCATTTCGCAAAGCATGAAACAATACTTGTAAGTGATTATTTCAATTACTGTTCACCCTCGCTCTTTTCACGTCTGGCTTTTACAATGTTAGATTCAATCGATGATTAGACGCTTTATTGCAAGGAGAAAGTACACTGCTAAACTTGATTATTATAAACAACATGTAAGTTTTAAGAGCATGAAATATCTATATATATATTTTTTTATTATATAAAAAAGACTTTGTTTTAATTTACTTTTTTTTAAAAAGGAATCGGCTGCAGTTAAAATTCAAGCGTTTGTTCGTGCCCATTGGATGAGAAATGATTACAGAACTTTGATGAATTCTAACAAACCTCCTTTAGCTGTTGTTAGAAAATTTGTACATCTCTTGGAGCAAAGTCACGTTGACTATGCCGAAGAGATTGAACTACAGGTAAATTTGCAATATATTTTTAGGTTGTAAATATTTAAACAATTTATCTTTTAATTTAAAGCGACTAAGACAACAACTTGTTTCCGATATTCGGACAAATCAAGCACTTGAAGCAGACCTTGATCAAATGGACGTAAAAATTGGTCTACTTATTCGTAATAGAACTTCACTTCAAGATGTTATTAAACATCATAAATCCTTGAAAAGATACACTCAAGAAAATCAAGCAAAAGGAATTAAAAGCTTGCATAAAACAAGCAGAGATAGATTGGAAGCATACCAACATCTCTTTTATTTGCTACAGGTTACTTAACAATTTCATTAAAAAGTATTATCTTATAGAGATATCCGTGTTAAACAACAGACACAACCATCATATCTTGCCCGACTAGTTTTTGAGTTACCTCCGACAACTTCTTCTAAATTACTCGAATCTTCCGTTTTAACTTTATTTAATTATGGTTCTAATCCTAGAGAGGAGTACCTTCTTCTTAAACTTTACGAATCCGCTTTAAAGGAGGAAATTAGGTTCGTCAAAGAATAGTTTTTGATATATGATTTTACATTCCTAACTATCTTATTTTGAAATTTTTACACAATCTTTATAAAATAGAAGACAGTAAGTAATAGATAATGTATTTAAATCTTTGGGATAAGGACTAGAACTTTCATTCTTTGCAAAATTTTTCTTATTACGTTGACCTAATTTAATTAATCGTTTGTTGGTGTTTCATTTAATGTTTGTTTTATTTTTTCCTAGATCAAAAATTGGTGTAATGAGCGACATTATTTCGGGAAATCCTCTTGTTATCAAGATGATTGTCTCTCTCAATCGAGAAGCCAAAGGTCAAGAAGCGTTACGGAACCTTTTGCAACCCCTTGTTACATCAATTGTTGACAGCAATGATTTGGACATAAATACGAATCCATGTGATATTTATAAATCATGGATAAATGAGAATGAGAGTGCAACTGGAAAGCCATCACCATTACCTTACGAAGTTGATTCTATCACTGCTTTGCAGTATGACTACGTTCGAGATAAAATTTCTGAAAATGTAAATGCTCTACAAGTTATAACGGATAAAGTTTTAAATGCTATTTTGGCGTCGCCGCATCAGCTACCATACGCCATGCGGTATATGGCTAAAGTCCTCCGACATGCTTTGCATGAAAGATTTCCAGAAGCTTTAGAAAAAGATGTTCTGAAAGTTTTAGGCAACCTTGTTTATTACAGATATATAAATTCTGCTATTGTTGCTCCTGATGCTTTCAATATAATTCAAGTTCCAGCTTCAAGTGGCTTGAAACCAACTCAGAGAAAAAACTTAGGATCCGTTGCAAAAATGTTACAGTTTATTGCTTCTAATAAAGGTTTTGGTGGAGAACATTCAGCTCATCTCACTCCTCTGAATTCTTATATTATGCAGGCACACGTTCGCTTTAAACAATATCTTGTTGATGTTTGCGACGTAGAATCGTTGGAAAATTATTATAATATCGACGAATGGACTGATGTGACACTTTTATCTAAACCGATCATATATATATCTATTCAGGAGATGATTGATATTCATAAACTATTGATGCAGCATGAGTCGCACATTACGGATGGCGCAGACGACCCTCTTCATGAAATTCTCGAAGAACTTGGGGATATACCCACACCAGAAGAAGTTGCGGGTCATGATGAGGAAAGTCGCTCTGTTGGAAGAACAGAAATATCTTTGACCCTTTGTAAGAAAAACGTCGATTTGCTGATGGATGATACAATTTCAGATGCAAGAACACTATTTCTACGCACAAAGCGTCTTACAGTTGATGTTCTCCGATGTCAGAATTATGGCTCGAGTCTTCTCCAAGTTCTACTGTCTCCCACAACAAGTGAGGAAGAGAAACTATACCAAGTAGTGATTGCTAGGAGACAACGTCTCGACAGGGATGCTGAAAGGCGAGGAGCATCCTTGGTTAGACACAAAAGCACTTTAACCGATGCTCGACTGCCTCTAGAAGTTATAAAAACTAAAATAATAAATAACTTGAGGGAATTAGAAAAACAACAATTGGTTTCAGAAGCAGATGACTTTCAAGCTATGGTTACATCAATTGCCAACGATATCAGAAGCCAAAGAGTACATAGAGCAAGACGTCGAAACGAGCTAACACGAGTTAGAATGACTATCGATAGACTGGCTGCTAAAAGAGCCTTTTCAGAAGAACAAGTTAACTTCTACACACAATACATAAAAACTTGTTTGGATAAACAGCAAGCAGTTCCAAGAAAACAGAGAAAACTATTGAAAACTAAAAAGAATCAAAGTATTAAATACTCCGCAGCCAAATTGAGAGAAAAAGGAGTTGTTCTAGAAATAGAAGGTCTACCCCACAATCAATTTAAGAATGTGCAATTCGAGATCAAAGCGGCCGACCAACCTGGTGTGTTCGATATCAGCGCCAAATTTATGGGCGTAGATATGGATAAAGTTCAACTAACGATTGACGACTTATTACAACAACAGTACGAAGGTGTAGCGAAAATGAATATGTTTGACAAGGCCTACATCAACGTAAATTTATTAATTTTCCTTCTGAACAAAAAGTTTTATGGAAAATAATTTAAATATTTTTTATAGAGTTTAGTAGTTTTTGCTTGCGATTATTTATAATTACAGTTAATTATCATTGTAACAAATCCAGTCTTCCTTGTATCTTTTCGAGCTGTGTAAAAATAATAAGAAATTAGACAATTGAATTACTATTGAAAGCAGAACGTTTTACTTGATCGTAAAAATCCTTTAAACTAGACTTATCGAATTCTATTTGAGCGGTATTACTATTCTCCAGTTTTAATTCTAGTAGACCTGTACCAATATTCTGTTCAGAAGCGGAGGAACTAGAAGCTGTAACACCAGTTTTCCATCTTATATCTTTCAGACGAGGGGCATTAGAAGACTTTTCTCTCATTTCACTAATTAACTGGCGAGAATTATCCGACCATGCTTTCGCAATAAGCAGTGATAATTCAGAGTTTATTCCTAATCTCTCTAAACAAGATTGCAAATGAACAGGCTTCGTTCCATAGAAGGCTATTACTTTAAATGAAGAAGTAAATGCGTGAACTAAATCTTTCAATTCCTGGTGCGATAAATTAAAAACTTTTTGCAGTTTGAGCATTTCGTCATGTTGAAATTTTTCTTGATTCTAAAAAACAGAGAAGGTTGAGAAGAAAAATTGTATGTTTGGAATTCAAAACCCTACGTTTAATTCTCGAACAATCCGGTTAACAAACGTTGTCAAATGACCTTCGTGAAATTGATTGATGAGAGCCACATACTTTTTTAAACTTTAGGAACAATTGGGATTTGTTTTATTGTTGAGGAAAGTTAAATTTTACAAAAATATACCTCTTTTCGAGTTCCTCCTCCATGCTTTGTATTATCGCTCAAATGTAAACGGGTACTGTTATTTCGCGTAAAGTTTTAAACATTTAATTGCAGATATTATTTATCCTAATTAAAAGTAATTTATCGAAAAGTGGCAATGTTCATGGACAATTAAAACGGTATTATATTAAAATATGGAACATTTTTTATTAAACTTATAATTATATTCAAATAAAGTAGAAAATGATAAAACAAGAGAATTCTATCAATTTAACTTGAAAGAGATTGGAATTGTTAATAGATAAATTGTAATTAGAATAAAAGAGTGTCATTGCAATGAGCAAGCTTGCGAAGTAGCAGTCCCCATATTGTTATTCTTCGCTTTCAAAACTTGTTTCACTACATTTGCAGCAGCTTTAAATTTATATCCAGCCATGATAACTTCTTCAATTTTCGAAATCTATAGTATTTTTAACGTAGATTAATTAATTTTGTACTTAATTCTATACAATCAAGATATTTACATCAATATCCTTTGCATTTTTCGATTTAGCATCTTCAACAATATTAGCAAGTTTTCTCTAAAGAAATAAAAGTATGGAAAAACGTAAAATTTTTTGTTGATGAATAAACAGAAAAAAAAATCTTACCAATTTCTGTTCAGCTCTTTCCATACGACGCTTATATGTCATAGCTTCAATGTTACTTTTAGAGCTCTGTAAGTGAGAAATTTTATAAATAAAATTGTAAATTTCAATCATTTTAATATTGATATAAAAAAGTATAAATTTACAGGATGTAATTTTGACAACATGTGATAAAGGATCAGTTCAAAATCAAAAAAATGGTGATCAAATTATAAATTAACAATAAAACGTGAACTTAATGAAAAGAGTCAATTAAAATATACACAAAATAATCTGAAGCCAATTGGTGATTAATCATTTTCTTATTGTGTCTTTTTTTTAAGGCTTCAGTAAAAAAAACTTTTTGCCTTACCGCATCATCTTCCTTGTCATCCTAATTGAATGAATATACAATCGATATACAGTATAGATAATATAGAAACTATTTTACTTTATATTATGATGTTAAATCTAAATAGAGTCTACTGGTTTAGAGTTGTATGATTGTTCTTACAAGAATCATGCTAAGTAAATAAGAATAAGGATAGAAACGGGTGGGGGGGGGGTACTTACAGCTCTAGCTCCTCCTTTTCCTTTTCCTGTTGCCTTTGCTGCCGCGCCTTTTCGGTCTTTCAAGCTCAGCTCTCTGGTACTTAATCCCGAATTATTTCCATCACTGGACTTTTGTCTTCCCCATACTTCAATTACTAACGTTTCTTGTTCGAGGTATTGTACAAGCTTTTAATTAAATTTTGGTGAACTTTTTTGAAAAGCGAATACAAGACTAAAAAAATCTTATTGTACCTGAGGAGTAGCTGGATCAAAAGCGTAAGCCTTAGAAAAATTAAAGTCAGGGTTAATTGTTCCTCCAACTTCCCTTGTTTGTTCCTTTTTATCATCAATGTAAAATTGATATGCGCAATAAACCTGTTAGAATATTTATAAATAGTAGAGTTGAATAAATATTCAGATATGAAGCATAAATCATATTTACTTGAGAATATTTTTTATTTATACCACGGACACAGGGAATTTCTAGTTTAAAATTTAAACAACAACCAACGAGATCACGAGATGGATCCTCTATTGCAATTTCATCTAACTCCTTATCGGAAAGAACTTTCCCGTTCTTCGAAGTAATTAGTAATTTGCAAGATAATTGACCTTGATCTATTCCTCTATAATCGGTAATTAAGAAAGTTTCATCTGTGTGAAAGTTATAAGCAACTGCCATCATATGAACATGAGCTGTTCCAATTAGATAAGGATTGTTGGGATCTTCCCAAAAAGGATCTTCATTTTTAGGTTTATCCCAATCAGCATCGCCATCGATGTAATTGTTATACATTTCTTGCATCATGTATTTTCTGTTTGTGAAAGTATTTTTATCCCACATGAACTCGTTGCCGGTCGGTAGATCTTTAACTTTAACTTTAATCTTTTGATTGAACAACTTAGTAAGTACTTGTTAAATCAATTACCTCTAACAAAATTACCTCAGTTCTTCCAGATTTCTTTCCAACAGCTTGGGGAGCAATCAACGCTATCTCAAATTTAACTTGTTTATCTAATTCCTCACTCATCATGTTCGCTTCGTTTAGCATAGGCCAAATTTCCATCAAATCTTGTTGTAGCATTTGGTCCACTAAAATTATTTTAGAAAACAAAATACACATGAAAAATTGTTATAAACAGTAGGAAAATATAAGTTTGTAGTGGTTTAAACCTACTCTTATCATCTAAGATCTTGTTGATTCCAGAATTTTGTGAAATTTCATCTCTGGCTTGTTCAAAAGTAGGTTCTGGAGGAACTTTCTTCTTCTTTGCTAGAGCAGTATAATCCTTCGGATGGTGGAATACGAATAACATGTTTGCTCCGAATTGAACTCTGTCGTTATGATGTAATTCTTTTTTATCCTTTATTTCATTACCATTAAGGCATATTTTAGCTCCTGCGCATGGTTTCAAAATAATCTTCTGATCTTTTGAGTTGGATATAACTGCATGTTCAGGAAGCATCCTACATAGAATATTTACAATTAACAACCCAAAAGGATAGATCGTAGTTAACTTACCCCATTCCACTAAGAATTATATCAGGATTCTTTCCCTTATTGTTTCCTATTTTAGAGTCTCCTTGTGGAGTAAAATGGCATACAATTCCAGTAAGAGCTGGATCTTCATTTAAATTCCAAAGATGTGGCATAACTTTTCTTTGCTCAGATTTCTTTTTATCTGCAGCAGCCTCTTTGGCTTGCTCTTTCGCAGCAGCTTCTATTGCTGCTAACTTTTCTTGATAACTTTTTTCCATATCTTCAATTTCTTTCTTATTAGCTTCTAGTTCTCTTTGCATATTTTCATATTCCTCTTTATTTTCAACTCCTGCAGGTACACCACCCTTACCTTCCACCATTTTCTTTAATCTCTCATTTTCTTCTTTAAGTTCCCTAATAAGCTTATCAGTAGGAGATTCGTTAATGACAGCTTTGGTTTTAATGCTCTTTGCTCTATCAGCTAGTGTGGTGAGACATCGTTATTATCATGTAAAGTAAGATGATATTTCACCTACCAAATCTTAGAGTTGACAAAGTTTCGTCATAATTAATATCAGCAGGTGATAGAGCAGCTATCATAACAGTCTTTGAATTTCCACCCAAAGCATTCTTAAGTAGTTTGGTAAGTGCAGAATTTCTAAATGGAACTATAAATATTGGGGTATTATACTCTTGTTGTACTTGAACGAATACGAAGAACAATTACAACTTACTATTCTTTTTATTTTCCGCCAAAGCATTTATACAATTTCCTAAATTGCTGAGGGATTGATTAATAGAGGCGCCTTCTTTCAAACGATCACCCTCTGCTCCCGTGGAATTTGCTCTTTCACTTCCGGCTAAATCAACTAGATTTATGACCGAAACCCTAGTCATACTCTGACCAGAAGCATTTGGTGTTTTTTGCGTAAATTTTATACCAATGACAGTATGAGCTCTGGAAGAAGTCGCATTCATGTTTGTGGAAGCAACTGTTCGATTTTTAGTTCCCTCTGTCATCTTTGATTCAATAGATTGATAGCTATTAACTGGTAGTTCTTTCAGTCCATCGACTACAAATCGATAAAAAAGAAAATACACAATGCAAATTAATCAGAACAAGATCAATCATTGTACAAAAAAACTCACCAAAGAAAAGTCCTTTTGTGGGATTTTCTCTCACTTTTAAACCTCCTTTAACTTTAAATGATGCTGGATTCAAAAGATCTCTTGCCTGTTCATTATAAATTTCTATCATAGAGAAAACAACTTGATATTCACTATCTTTTGCTTTCTCTCTCTTGCCTTCGATCTCTTGAAATAATTTTTCACAAACAATAGGGACAATACCTAAAAAACAATATATATATTTTTCCATTCGTTTAAGGACACTCAAAGAGAACTAAACAATTGATGTTGTTTAGATTTCATACCTTTATTATTTCCATATCCAACCATTGAGTACGATTTTCCAGATCCGGTTTGTCCATAGGCAAATAATGAGCAATTGAAACCACTCCAAGCATTTTCTAAAACTCCTTTACCCAAGTCATCAAAGACTTTTTTCTATAACAAACATTGATGACTTAGTCTATTGTTTGCAATAATCATAAATAATTCGATTATTTTACAATATAGCATTATGTATAAATGCAAATACGAAAAAGAGATATTTCAATATTTAAATATTTATCTTATAAGATTCATTTACTAGTCTTCTTTCTCTCTCGTTTTTTTCCGTTTTTCCTATTTAAATCAATAATTTTATGCCTAATTTTAATTACTTGTTTTCACAGAGGTAAAATCTATTTTTTTTTAAGTCTTTCATATAGAAAGCTTGTTGAACTTTAACTAAAAAAACAAAACCATTTTAATAATAGGCCTACTGAACAATTGACGATGACAGTAATATTTATAAATCTTTTATAAGCGAAACAAACAACAGACAATTATGATAGAAAAGAAAGTAAAGAATAAAACATACAAACCTGATCAGCATATGCAGCACTTTCTGGTGATAGATAACCATTTTTCTCCTCCTTGAAACCGTCATGAGACCAGTAAGAGTAATCGAAAGCGAAATCCTTTTTGTTACTTTTGTTGTTGGGATCCGAAATATAGGTAAGATTCCCTTTCATATCAATAACCAGTTTGGCATTTCGCTTTTTTTCGCGTTCATTGTAAGAATGCGAGTTAAGGAGGTTTTTGTTTAAATTTATGCAAATTTACTACAAATCATTGAATATATACAATTTCCAACTTTTTTTATAGACAGACGTTAATCTTCCCGCCAGTTGAATGAAGTTTTTTTAAGAACTAGTTGAAAGGCTAATTAACAGAATGCTATTACGTAATTTTAATCAGTAATTAAACTTTTATATAAAGCAATTATGTATAAGAAATATAAACATATAATTAATTTCATAAAAGGATATAAATGGTCGCACACGTACAGCTACCTTCACTCTCTCCGCCATTTTGGAATTCAACTGCAACCATACGAACCAATGAGAAGGCCGCTGCTATAGATACTACCAATATACAACTGCAAACAAATTGTTGACTATTTACGATTAGTAATTGTTGTTAATATTGAAGACTAATCAAATATAAAACGAAAATAAAACGTTTATACTAACTAACGTTTCAATTATTAATAAACTTAAAGACTTAATACAAGATAATTTAGTGATAATGCTAGATAGCTTTTACGTGCCAAAAACGGATCCTGGATGATATTAAAATTAACAACTTTAATAAATCTCTCAATTACTAATAGCATTCTAATGCTATTTCAATGTCTAAGCTTTATCGTCACGAATCATCTTAAATGACCGTACTCATAGATAAGTTGATTGTGACAGAGAACACATGCTATTTAGTGTTGTGTGGTATCGTGTCGTAGGGGTCAACCGTTTTATTTTAACTATTATTATTATTTTATGGGTTTATATGAGAAGAAATTTTTGATATAATAAAAGCTTTCATTCCATGCAAGATCAAAGAATAATAATAAGAGATGATGATGATTAAGATGGTGTGACGAAGAGAGATATTTTTTTAAAATGATACTATAAATAGATGGGTTCTCCTGTATATATATTTAGACGCTTAACGCAATATAGTTTGTTAAAATATTTTCATTGCTGAATACTTATGTATGCGAATTCAATTAGGTCTATGTATAAAGAATAAAAGTTTATTTAACGATGTTATTTCACTAGGTAACGGTTGCGAATGAAAATATGTGTAGTTTTTTTTTCAACCTCTATCTATCCTTGATACTTTCATTTATTAACAATGGAATTATTTAGTCATACCATTTTTAGCCCCCTACGTTTACTTAATAGGCTATTTCTATTGAATATCTACGAGATATACAATTTATTGTAATTTCTATGCCTAATATGTACATTTATATGATTTTTTTTAGATATTTAGTTTAGACCCGAACTAATTTATTTTTAACCGATTCCTTAATCTTGTTAACACTCTAACAATAAATTTATTATGATAAAGATTGAAGCCAAGATATAAACATTAATCATTTCTGGTTTTATTACTGAAGAGTTTTTACAGAGATAACATTGGAGTATCAAAAGTTATGATTCTGTATGGTATAAAAGTTATTAGTTAATCTTTGATATTTCTTTGGGTATTTGCATTCGAAGAATCCTATCATAGGCCAACTTTTCTCTATCGGCTACAAGGCAAAAACCTAATGATTCCATTAAAAGTTTATTCTGTTGACAGGCTTTACGAAAGTCTTCTATTGAGATTATGCCATCTTTGTCTATATCTAGCATTTTTAATATTATATCTACTAAATCCCTTACCGCTTCTTGCGGGTGGATGTCCTCTTCTTGGCAAGCGTTCATACAGCCTACCTTCCATAAAGTTAGAGATAAATATGTAATTAGTTTGAATGTCTTTTTTAATTAAATATCAATGGTTAGTACGACAATAGATTTATCTTTACCTTTTAATAGTTGATAAATTTCTTCTCTTCTTATCATTTTAATTCCTGAAAGATCGTAAACTTTGTAACAAAAATTCATCTGTTGATCAAAAGTTCCTCGTAGTAGTATATGTAAACCTTTAATAAATTCCCTTTCGGATAAATCCAAATCATAACGAATATCAATAACTCTAAATAGACGATCGATAATAAAGTCGTCGGTCATTTGAAGGTAGCTAAAGCAAAATTGGCGAAAAGCTATCCTATCAAAAGCGTTTCTATTAGTTTAAAACACAGATAAAAATAGACAATATTTAATAAAGGAGAAAAAAATTAAGAGACTCTTGTCATCTTTTCCATGATTTCTTTTCAACAATTGACCATCTATTTTTATCTATGTTCCTATTCCATTTTCTTATATGTTCGTATTGGTCTATTATTACTTTAATCTCATCAATTGTAAACTTTGTTTCATTTTTTAAGTTTGTTACTAGTAGTTTGTCAAGTCTTTTCTTTGTTATTCTAGAATGTATATATTTTCGAATAGGGGGTTCTAGAGGTGTTTGTATATTGGAATCTCTTCTCAATAGTAATCTTGGTATTTCTGTTCCTTCATTATTTGTAAATGATTTCTTTCCAATCAAAATTGATGTCTAAATAAATTAATACGAAATTATGCATTTCTTATTTCAATATTTCTCAAATTAGCATAATGATAAACTAGGTCAAACCCTTAATTTCGAATTAGTTCCCTTATCATTCTTAGTGTTTTTCGGCAAAAGCTTTCCCGAAAATGAAAACAACATTTGTTATTTTTTTATTTAAAAATTTTAATAAAGATGATGTCACAGTGTTCAGCTGTAAGACTACCTGTTTAATGGCTGAAAGAACAGCACCTTAGTCTAAACAGGTTTAGTACCTATCAAATAATTGATACGTTATTAATGTAGTGAGAACATTGTTTGTGCATATTTCTCTAAATGTACTGTGCTTTCAAGCTTTAATACTCCAAGCAACTAACCAATCAGCAATCGATTGGTTGCAACGCCATCTACTTTATTTTCTCTATACTACACGTAAACATGTCTGCTATAGTAAATGTAAGATTTAAAAATACAGAAGAAGGACTTTGTCCCCTACTTAAATTAGACGATGTTAATCTCAATGATTCTCTTGGGAAATTTCTAAACGATTTTCAAGAAAAAAATAAGACTCGAAATGGTATTTCAGGTAATTTTAATTTAACTCTAAATTTCTGCATCATCACGATATCTATCTGTCCCCTATTACAGCAGAATTAGTGATGTTTTCGGGTAGACTATTGAATAATAAGGATAAAAGTTTGAATGAATACGGAGTAGTGAATGGGTCGACAATTTATTTTTTATCACCACCTTCTACTAATGGTAAGGAACAAACAAAAGAATAAATTTTGTTGACTGTGTCAATAATTAAATATTCTTAACTCTTTATTTTTCAGATGATCAAACTTCAAGTGGTAACAATTCAGTGTCAAACTGCACAAAAGTGTTTCCACGAGCTATTCAATCTTCCAGAAGGCTTAATTCAGTAAGAAAAAACACTTCAATACTCTAATTTTCGTATTAGTATAAATGTTCTATTCTATTTATTTTAGATAACAAGTTCATTAGCAAAAAGTTCTACTTGGAATTTAATTTATTCAAAATATCCTAAAATTCAAGACGATCCAATTGCATTAGGTTGATTATCGTGCAATAAAGAATATCATTAAAGCATATCTTACTATTTTCGTTCGTTATAGATTATCTGAGAAATTCGAATATGCTAAAGATGCTAAGAGAACCGGAACTTTGCAAAAGGTAAACTAAAGCAATAAATATAGAAGAAAAATATATAACATTGAGTCAATTTTTAAATTCAGAGTTTTGGAAAAGCATCCCATTTTGGCTGATGTTCTTCTCTTGATAGAATCTCAAGATAAGACAAACACATCAACTGCTACTAATGCAAAACGTCCGACAAATTACTCTATTGATGCATTATCTGAAGAATCAGAGGATGAGGACGCAGAAGCTGCTGCTAGAAATCCATTTAACGCCGATCACGTTTCAAGGGCATTATTAGAAGCAGCTTTACAATCCAGCGATAGCTCCGCTCAAAACAGCCAGGCCTCAACATCAACATCCGCAATTTCGCATACTTTCTTCCAAGATGCAATGCAACAGGTTCTAAGTGGCGTATTGTCATCAACACCAGCTCAACAGAATCAAAATCCACTTCAAGCCCCAAATAGAGATCCTCTGAGAGAAGCTCAAGTGCGTCAAATACTTGATATGGGTATAACACCAGATGAAGATTTAGCTAGACATACCCTTGAAGCTACACAAGGCAATTTGGAATTAGCCGTACAGATAATATTAGGAGAGCAATAATCCTTCGAATAATTGAAAGTTTTAAATAGATATTTTGTGTCAAGTACTCCTCTCAATATGTAGGTTACTTTTACTATCCAAATCATTTTCACATAATATACAGTATATATAATATTGAAGTATTTAAAACTATGCAATGAATGTATTTGCATATTGGAATAAATATATATCTATATATAAATAATCGCTTATCATTTATATGGAATATATACAGTATATATATATATATATAGTAAAAGCAATTTAATGTAAAATAACATTCTTTAAATAGATCAACGCAATAAAAATAATTCAATAGATATTACTTTTTTAAGTAATTCAAAATTTTATTTATACAATTTTCGGTTCATTAAGTAGGTCACAATTTAATTATTTTTCTTATCAAATTTATATTTTACTACACCATAAAATTTTAAGTGATTTATTTAAACTTGATTTAAATGGCAGATCGTTAGTCTTCTGCCTCATTCACATTTCTTCCATCGTTCAAAAGGCATATATCGGTAGGATCACTGTAGAAATCGGAAGAAAAATGGGTTTGGATGAAGCACTCAAATCTATTTCTTCTTTTGGAAGATGGCAAGTTATAGTCTACAGTAATTACATTTTTTTCTTATTATTAAAGATCCGATTGATATCTTCTTTATCTTTTTCCCTTTTTCTGCTATAGTGCTTGTTGGGCTATCTTTTGGGCCACCAGCAATGTGGCAACTTTTTGCAATTGTTTTTATAGGTTATATAAATCCGCATTTTTGTAAGGCGGATGAAGGCTTTACCCAAGACCAGTGGAGTCCCAAAGAGCTCGATGATTTTGGAACGCTTACATATGCCCAATGCAAAAGGTTTTCAGAAGCGGGAAATAATAAATCAGCCTTGACCGATTGTTCGAAATGGAAATATGTGGATGACGGTTTCGATGAAAATGGAGGAACCATCGCCATGGCCGTTCGTTTTGGAAATAAATTAATAAAAATGATAACATAATGATATAATCTTATTTTCAGTGGGATTTGGTTTGTGATAAGGACACTTGGGTGGAAACTTCTCAGACAGTATTCAATGTTGGCGTCGTTTCTGGTTTTCTCATATTTACGCCGTTACAAGATACTTTTGGTAGAAAAAGGATCTTCTATTTTTGCGCTCTAATCATGAACTTATTCGGTTTATCTATGTCATTCGCTCCAAATTATTATGTATTTTGCGTAATGCAATTTCTTACTGGAGCAGCGGCTGCTGGTCTTTATATGTCTGGTCTTGTAATTTCTACTGAACTATTTCCGTCCGAATTCAGAAATATCATGGCTCCGGGAAGCTATCTTTTTTTTACTATTGGAACTTGTACCCTATCCTTATGGGCACATCTATTTAGGCATTGGCGAGATCTACAATTTTTAATAAGCTGTATCGGTTTCCTAAGCTTATTAACATTTCCACTCTGCCCAGAGTCGATGAGATTTTTAATTGTTAACAATCGATTAGATGAAGTTAAAGATATTCTGAGGAAAGGAGCCAGATGGAATAAAAAGGTATTTAAAGAGGAGCTTTTGGATGATGAAAAAGAAGTTCTAACTCTTTCAGAGTCCGTTAAATTTAAGCAAATGTTCACTAACCCCCGACCTAGAAGATATGTACTGATCATGATTTTTCTTGTGTAAGTCTTTCTTTTCATTATTGCAATAATAAAAAATATACATGAATATATATATATAGATTCGCATCTAACATTGCCTACTATGGATTATCTTTAATGACAACATCACTGTCAGGAGATAAATATATGAATTTTTTTATTGTTTCACTATTGGAGATACCAGGTACAGTTGTAGCAATAATTGCCATGACACTTATTGGAAGAAGATATCCTTTGGTCTTTTTTAATCTTTTTGCCGCGGTATTCTTGATTTTATCATCAGTTTTCACAACAGTTAAAAGTAAGGTCCTTTCTTATAATAAATCATGAAAATACGAGCAAAATTTTGATTAAATATAATTATTTTTAGTTAATGGAGAATTGAATGAAGATTTAATGACAAGTATGGCTTTAATCGCCAAATTTGGTATCTCTGGTGCCTTCACCATTGAACTTATTTACTCTTTGGAAATCTATCCAACAAGTTTAAGAGGAACAGGAACTGGTATTACAGTTGGATGTGGTTTCATGGGCAGCATTATGGCTCCATATTCTGTCTATTTGTAAATGAATCTGTTATTACTATTTACAATTATCGTAATTTTCTGTATATCTTTTAACAGATATAGAAAATATCCAATAGTCCCTGGACTTGTTTTTGCGGGTGTTTCGTTCATTGCTGCATTTTTATCTCTACTAGAACCGGAAACCTTGGGTAGACCATTGCCAAATACCATAGAAGAAATAAATGCATGGACTTTAACTTTGAGTAAGGAGGAAAAAGAAAACGCCAAAGAGGCTTCAAGAAAGTATTGAAATCATGTGAAATGCAATTTAACTTTTTATACTAATATTATAATATTTTCAAAAGGTTTAGAGCACTGTTTTCCTGTAAGAAGAATACTGCAGAGGTTGATGTACCTACAGAGGCAGATACACCTGCAGTAGTAGACAGTACTTCGGGGATTGAAAACCCAGCATTTGAACCTAATAATAACATTTATGATAACATTAATGGTGCTGACAATTCCAAGGAAAACGATGTGACATATATCTAAAGGATAGGTTTAAGATTTTGATGACTAAAGTTGAAGCAAAAATAACTTGTTAATTAAGACTGTAAATAAACAAAAATGGTTTAGTTTATTCATTTAAAAATGAAAAAAATTAACGAAAATACAAATTCTCTATGACAATAAACATGAAAACATGACAAAAAAAGCTGAATGAATTTATTCTGAAAAATTTCCTACGTATTAACTGTTTCAGCCATATATTCCTGCTCCAAATCCGAAGGCTTGCATTATTGGACGCCAATAATAATTTTTCCATCCATCAACTGTTCTCTCATAGTCTTCCTTTGGTACACCAGTTTGAGTCAATTGTAGTTCGGTTCCATCATCCTTTTGTTTTAAGTAGATAGAAACTGTCGAATAGTGAGCGTCTGGCCAAGACTGGAAACGCCACTTCATCACTATTTTCTCGTTTAAGACCTATCAAAAGAACTCAATTCAATAAGAATAATTTTGTTTCAATTGGTAGTGACTCACCAAATCTGTAAACTCTCCTTGGACATTACCGTCAAATAGTGCAAACTTTCCTCCTTTTTCAGCCTCTAAAATAGCCTTAGATCTGGTGAACATGGAGCTTTTACCCTGATCAGTTAAAACACTATATAGCTCACAAGCTTCGCATTTGAAAAATTCGGTAGACGATACTCTCTGACAGGGAATCTTAATGCCAACATCAGAATCTGAACTCACGATGGGTTTGTTAATTTCATTTTTGTACTCGTTAGTTGTCTTTTTTGCGCTTGTATTAGTTGATGAATTTTTTGTGGGTAAAATCAAACCTTCACTGTACTGTTCTTTCAACTGTTGAAGGTATTTTGCTAATTGTTCTCTAACTTTCACAGTTCCGGAATGTCTCATAAATTCTTTAACATCCCAAGCATCTTTAATTTTCTCGTCGTCGATACTAACATTTATGTCAATATCATTTATGTCTGTATATTCATCCGAAAGGTTGAGAACATCAAATTTTCCTTTAACTAAATCCCCATCGCCTCGTGAGCCCTTCCACGAGCACTTAATAACCCATTCGTAGAAGAAGATTAACCTAGCCTTTCGATTATTAACAACAGCTTCGCCCTCAACAGATTTGATTTCGGTAACAACACATTTAAATGGCCCTTCTTGAATCTCCAGATTTTCTAGGAGTTCCTTAATCTTAGTTTGAGACCAAGATGTAGCGTTCTTCTCTGTCCAGTGCCAATTATTTACATTTTTAGCATCAGCTCTTTCTTCTACAATCCATCGTGGATCACCTTCTCCCCACTTGGCCATAGCTAGGAGCAAAACAATTTAGACAAACGTCGTTAACGTATACTAAAGAAAGTATGCGCTTCACACTAGGAGTATCGTGAAATTTCTAGAAATCGGAACCGGAAACTTACTAGAAACTGATATATCTAAAAGAAGTTAGGAGTTATCATAGAAATAGTCTAAATTAGATATTGAATAGCCTTAACAAGATTTAAAAATTTGTAGCAACTACTTAATATTTATTCTAACTTACCTACTATTAAAATTTTATTTTAAGCTTTATTTTTTAAATTCAACTTTCTACTTTCAAACTTTTAGCGGTACCCGTTCGGAGTTGTATAATTTGTTGCCTTCTTATTACATCAATTCAAATGCAGATAAATCTTCCACAAAGAAGAGGGCCGCCCACTAGGGAGGAGTGTTAGTAATAATATAATATATGTGTTATTTTCGTTAATTCAGTGTACTCTTGTTTAAAATATCTAATCTATATTCTTTTCGCGCGGTTCTCACTGAACATTATTTATAAAAGTATTTTTCCAGCTCTTCCAACGGCCAAGCTCGAGCCTGTTGATCTCCAAAATCATAATTTTAAGAAACCTACTAAACAAATTACTTCGATCGATGATATAAAACATGTTTGGGAAAAGTCAGTTGTAAGTTTATGATATTTGAATAGAAAATTTATGATTCGGCATAGATCGAACTTCGTAAATACTGAATTAATTTAGATTTCATAAGGTTAAATTTTTGTCCTATTAGCGGAATGTTTAATAATATTAATTTTTCTAGGCGTATAGAGATCTTTTGGGATTTATAAGGGTTATCAACGAAGCTGTTAAAAATAAGAAAATGTCAGAAGAATATTACAAATCTGAGGTAAATTAAGGAAAAACACAGATAAATATTCATAGAAAAATACTTTTTATCAATTGAATGTTTTAGAATATAGAAAAACTTCTCACTCTACTGGATACCCTAAGTGTTTGGATAGATGAAGTCCCGCCAATTGAACAACCTCAGAGGTTCGGAAATAAGGCTTTCAGAATTTGGTTTGATCGATTAAAACAGGTAACGAATTTATTAGAATTAATATATTTTTAATACTTTATAATCAAAACTACTTTAGCAAACGGAGAGCTTGCTAAGAGAGCGTCTAGACGCTAAGTTTGAACCCGCTATTGAAGAAATTAGCCTGTATTTTATAGAATCTTTTGGTAATGATATTCGAATAGATTACGGGACAGGTAAACTAAAATAATTGTATCCAGGAGAAACCTTTCAACTAACATAAACTTACATCTTTAGGTCATGAAATGGCTTTTGTTACCTTTTTATGCTGCCTTTTCAAAATTGGGCTTCTCAATGAGAAAGACTATGTTGCCTGTTCGTTTGCCGTTTTCGAAAAGTATATTTTATAATATTATAACTAAATGAATTATTATCTTTAAATATTATTTTTTAAAAAAAACAAGATATCTGGAATTGATGCGAAAATTACAGCAAGTATATAAAATGGAACCAGCTGGAAGTCATGGAGTTTGGAGTTTAGATGATTATCAATTTATACCGTTTATTTGGGGATCCGCTCAATTTATTGGTAAATATTTTTTTTTCATAATACAACGATTTATTTAGTTAATTTAATTTTATTTCATTTTAGATAATCATAGACTTTCACCTAAGTCAATTGCCGATGCAGATATTGTAAATACGTTTTCGAAAGACTATATGTTTTTAAGATGTATTCAATATATTAATTCTGTGAGTAGGTTCAATTTAAAATAAGCTACTGTTGCTATTAATTCACTTATCTAGGTTAAAACTGGCCCATTTGCCGAGCATTCTAATCAATTATGGAATATAAGCGGAGTTCAATTATGGTCTAAGGTTAATAATGGACTTTTTAAGATGTATAAAGCTGAGGTAATAATCTGTCATAAACAAATAAAACAACAATTAAAGAGAGCATGACCGCGTTAAACTTTTCACTAAGTGTCTATAAAAAATCCAGCGTAGATTATGGAGAGATTGACCTTCCTAATATAATACTTAAGTTTTATTATATTTGTTTTAAATGGGCTTTTTATTATTATTGTTTTATTTAGTTATCTAAATAAAAATTATTACTAATTTTTAATTATCATTTACACAGGTATTAGCTAAATTTCCAGTTATTCAGCATTACTTTTTTGGATCTCTAATGACTACTGAATTGGCAAATGACTAGAGGGAGAATGGTTTTTTGTTTTTAAAACTATAAAACATAGAAATTGAACAAATATTATAAATGTTTCGTATAATAAACCAATTCTAGGATTTTTACAACATTCTATGATAAAGCATTGATATTGTGTAAACGGTATGTATTGTTCCCTAAAAAGGGTAATCATCAAAGATCGTATAAAATAAAAGAATCAAGTCTTGAATCACAATTTTATGGCGTAGATTTGCATTTTGGCAGAAAAAGAATGATAATCATTGACTGTCTGCTTTTGCATCATATAAAATAAAGTGTATGGCAATCATAGAAAGTATATTTTAAGTAGAGGCAGACACTAATCCGGCAGCTCCAAGACCTATTTGTTGTTTATTAATTTCACTTTCTAAAGGTTTAAATCCCAATTCCTCCGTTGGTATACCAAATTGAGATAATTTGGACTCATAAGTTCGCAAAAGGTCATTATGAGCTTTGCAAACTCGGGCAAGTTCGAATTGAAGATCCTTAATAGCAACATTTTTTGAATCAAGAACATCTTCTAGCTTCTTTGATACATTTGTTAAGGCAGTAGGATCAAGATTTGAGGCTGCAAGGACTTCGTTTAATTGAGCTTGTTTCATTTCAAGAGTTTCAGTTAAGGCAGTTAATTTCTTCTCCAACAGGAAGTTTTTAAAGTTACTCTTTTGTTGAACTTCTTGAATTCCTTTAATAAATTTTTCATAAATGTCATCTCTCTCTTTTTGAACTTTCTCGAAACGTTGTTCAAGAATATCCCTCTCCCAGATCAACTCTTTATGCTCTCCTTTTAAGACTTTTAATCGTGCTTTTGCAGATGCAAGAGAAAGTTTGTCTTTCTCATAGTTGGATAGCTGATGTTTGAGTTCTTCTAAATCTAATCGAGTTTGTCTTAAAGGTTCAACTAATTTCTTATTTTCACTGTTAACTTCTGCGACATGCTTTTCCATCCGTTCTTCTTTCTTTTTCATCTCTTCAACTTGTTCTTTTAGCGTGTTAATCAAGGCCAGATTATTTAGAGTAATGTCATTATAATAATTCTTTATATCGCTGAAGGCCTTTTCGTGATTCTTCATAAGCGTATTGATCTGAGAATTCTTTCTTTCTTCAATTTCATGAATTTCTGTCTTTCTTCTCAGTTCTAATTCTTCTGTTATTTGTCTCATTTTCTTCTCATATTTCTTCTCTATATCTATAGCATTTTGTTCATAGTTTCTTCTTAGATTTGTTATTTCTTCATCATGATTCAATTGTGCATTTCTAATTAAATTTTCTCTTGATAATTCTTCTTCTTTCATTTCAACTCTTAGATTCCTTTTTAGTTTTCTCAAGTCGGATTCTTCCTTTCGATGTTCTTCTTGAGTGATCTTAAGTGCAACTGCACTTTCGGCCTTCAATTCAGCTATTTTGTTTTGGTGCTCATACAGTAAGTGCTTTACTTTTTGTTTGTAAACTTTTATTTCTATATGATATTGTTCTTCCGCGTCTTCCATTTCTCTATCTTTATTACGCAATTCCGCTTTTTTTTCCTCTAATTGCCTCTTTGTGATTTCCCAGAATGTGTTTACCTTATCTCTTTCCAATTGAAAATAATTTCTCTCTTCTCTCTCCCTATCAACCTTTAAACGTTATGATTATTAATTTTAACAACTTTTAAGAAAGTTGACAAAAAATACTACTTGCCTCTTCTTTAAGTTTTCCGATTAACTGTTCAAGTTGTTTGTGGCTCATTTCTTCCGTTGATACGCCATCGAAAACAGCGGGATTGTTTCTTCTTGTTGTATTTCTACCTCTTCCTTGTCGTACAGATGTTGTTCGCGGCATAATAAATATTCATATATTCAAATAGAAATCGAAAGAAAAGTACCCTAATCCGTTGACTACTGTTGCTATGTACAGATCTTGAATCGTGCCATACTACAATTTTGTCGGCAGAATTTTCGTAATTAGATAAAAAATTAGCAAAATAATTTTTCTTTAATTATACTGTATTTTTAAAAATGTATTAAACGAAAAAAATATCTGTGAATTTTAAATATAGTTTCCGGTTCCGGTTATACACGCTACATTGCCAGAGTGCCACGAAGCAGGAGTCTGTAACAAATCGACACTAAAAAAATTATGGGAAACGCTAGAAAAGCCGATGCTAAGCTAACAAAGGAGGAGGAATTGCTGTTGCAAGACTTTAGCAGAAATGTCTCGACCAAGTCTAGCGCGCTTTTCTACGGAAACGCTTTCATCGTATCCGTTATTCCAACTTGTAAGTAAACCTTTTTATTTACTTGTTTACTAAAACATTTTCTCATATCAAAAGAAAGATTCAATTTTTATTGAAACATTTAATGCATTCAAATAGATTAATAAATAGTAATAGTAATGAAACACAGAGTTTAAAAGAGAAGATGCTACGTTGATATTTACAGGCCTATATATTTGTATACGTTTAAGTTATCCAACCAGAGGTCAAAGACCAGGTAAAATTAATTTTTGTTATTCAAACACAGGGTTATTTTGGAGGATACATCAAATGAATCCAATCAGTTCCGCAGCACTATTCATTGTAATGGTACTTATTAGCACTGGTCTGGTGGCATACGCTTACAAGAACGTGAAATTCATTCTTAAACACAAGATTGCACAAAAGATTGAAGATGGTGTATCTAGAGAAATTTTAAGAAGCATTGGAGATGACAAGAAAATGTCAAAGAAGGAAAAAGATGAACGTATTTTATGGAAGAAGAATGAAGTTGCTGACTATGAAGCAACGACCTTCTCCATTTTCTACAACAATGCGCTCTATCTTGTTCTTATCGTTGTTGTTTCATTCTATGTTTTGAGAAGTTTCTCGCCAATCGTTAATTATATTTTTTCAGTTGGTTCCACCGCTGGTCTACTCGCTCTGTTTTCAACATCTACCAAGTAATGCGTTAATATATTATAAATACAATAACTATTACAATGGTTGCAAACATAAGCGTTTAATATTTTTTAGAAAATCTGCAAAATCAATTATTTATTGATACCCTGCAGATAACAAACAAAAGTAATATAACATAAATCCTTATTCATTATTTAATAAAAAACTGAAGGTTCCCTTTGATGCATCAAATTTAGCCTTCCAATCAAAATTTTGATTTGACGCCACAGTTGTGTCGAGAAAATAAACAGCTTGTTTTACCCACCTATTCCACTTTAGGTACTTTCCCGTTTCAACTGTATCAAGAAGACCGTTGCAAATAACATCTTTATTATGTAAACAGACGTCCATCCAAACAACAAAACCGTTTGAAATCTCTTGATTAGCTGGAGAAATTGTACCATGTTTCTCAACTATGAGGTCTTGCTGAATATTTTTGCAAAAGTCAAGCTCCATAACTTCAAATTGATCACTCACTGGAAGGGCGGGATATTCCCAAACAGAATGGGGCTCCAGTTTATTGTCAACTTTCCTTGTGTTGACTTCAATTAAAGTACCGAAAGCATCTAAATTAAACCCTTCACATTCATAGACAGGCCATCGGAGTTTCATTAAATCGTCAAACTTGACAGCTATTGCTTTTATTTTCACCGACTTTATTAAGCATTTATGACTTTTTCCCAGCTTCTCCCTTAATTCACTTAGAGCATACCAATAATAAAGATTATGCCACGGGAGGTATGCCTCAATAAAATATGGTTCAGAGAGAACAACATCTATTGTGTCTGTACAATTTTCTATAAAAGCTTGGATACTTTCGTAAAACACAAGTCTGTTTTCAATATTGTTTTCGTTAGCATATTCTTGTAAGAAGTTACGATATATTTTTTGAGGTTCGATTATATTTACCACTCTTGCCCCAAGGTTTGCAGCCATAATAGGTAGTAGGGAACCATTTGATAAGGACAAACAAGCTGTATTTGGTTGAATTAGACTTTTTAGGGCTGATAAATATTGATTATTTAAGTCTTTGTCATTTAATTGGCCAATTCGAGGTCTGCTATAGCCCATATGAGAGCCACAATTGCACAACGGTTGTTCTATTTTGAGATAACCTGCTCTTCTCACATCAAACCAGAGAGAAAATTGATCATGGTAAGAGTAGAGAAAAACTTCTTCGTTCTTTTTTACATTAAGAGTGCTTTGTGTATAGAATATGGCTTGCATCCAATGATCCCTCCATTGAGGTCGATCGGAACGAGCCCAACTAGGTGCACAACTTAACCAAATTCCATCATACATTTCAGTATCCCACCACATAAACATACCATTTACTTTGCCATCGTTTTTAATAGTCACTTTATTACACTTATTTTCATTGTCAACAATGTCGGATTTTCCACTAAAGTCAAATGTGAATACTTGAACTGGTTCACTTAAAGGTGTAAATTGATCTTTTAAGTTTTCAAGTTGAATATCATGGAGTGATATTGTACCTGGGCAGTTAGGAACATTTTTTGGAGGTCTTAGAGTATCAATTGGTTCTAGATTTTTACAAGTATGTATATATTGGGAATCTGCTATTTGACAGAACATTCTTGCTTTGTTCGGTATCACAATGCAATCAGATTGTAAAAGGTACTTATGTGCATGGCGAAAAGTCTCAACGGCCCCTTCCCCTATCAGCTCTGTATCAAATACTTCGGTCACCAATATATTTGCTCTTTCTTCCAAATCGCCCTCTTCACCGACAGTTAAATCAGTGGAGCGCTTTGAAACTAATTTTATTCTATCAGAAAACCCATTTTTAGCTATTATCCTTAAGGCACAGGCAGCCATTGGCTCAAAAGCTTCGCAAGCTGTAACTTTATCAGCACCATGCCGGGCGGCTGAAACAAATCGGTTGGTATACTAATGAAACGTTTTCAAAACTTTGTTGATATACCTAGCATCGACAGGAGACCAGTACCAGTACCAATATCCAATACGTTAGCTTTTACTCCTTTAGAATGCAAATCTTTTATAGCTTTTTCCAGCGCCAAACCGTATTTAACATTTCTTTCAGTGTCGTGAAGCATATCTCCATACGAAGATCTAGCTATTTCCTGGTCATAATCATAATTTTCATTTTCTAAATGCCACTCAAGCTTTCCCGTCATTGTATTGACTTTTGAGATAAAAACACTCATATTTTGAGCGGCTATCACTGGTAGAATCTTTTTAAATTGTCTAACAAGTTTGCACGTGCCGGAAGTGGATAACTGTCGAAACATTTGTACTCAATTTCACTCAAAAATCTTTAAGTTATTGCATGTGAATAAATTTTAAAAAAAATTATTTTATTATAAAGTTTAAAGTAAAATCAGAGAAATATTTCGATATATTTTTGTTGAAAAGCTTCCGACAAATAACAAATATGGCGTCGCTGTGTCTTTCGGAGACAAATTTTCCGATTTATTCCGTGAAAAGATTTCATGAACGATATTTTATGGTAGCCGGTGGAGGAGGACACGCGAAAACTGGAGTACCTAATGCATTTGTAAGTTATTTAATTCTAATGCCTTTCGAAATATTTGATGATATCTTGTATTTTGTCGTCTGCTATACATGTGTATACTGACTTGTTGGCAGGAAATATTTGAAATAAAAAATGAATCGGGTAAATTGGATGCTCAAAGTATACATAAAGAACCACTTGACGGAGCGGTGATGAATTCGGCTGTTTGTGTTGACAATAAAAATTTCATTTGTGCTTTAGGATTAGATGAAAATTGTTTACTGTATGAACTCAAGCTTAAAATTGTAGCCCCAAAAAATGGAGAAAATAGTAAGGAACAATTACGATCAGACGCTATTTTTAAAATCTATTGTTTTTTTTCATTAGCTGGCAATTTACGTCAAAGAAAGAGCAATTTAACAACATCTAAATCGTATAAAGAGGCTTCTAAAAAAATAACCTTTGATGTAAAAAAGACACATTCCTTTAAAACTGATATGCATGGAGATGATCCCTTTCAAAAGTGTGTCTGCTTCAATTCAGACAATTCACTTATTCTAACTGGCGGAGCAGATGGTTATCTTAGAGTATGGAAAGTTAGCATTTTTCTATAAAATAATATTCAACGAAATATAAATAATTTAATAAAATAAAATAGAACTCAAGCAAAATTGAAATGCTTTACGAGGTTAAAGCCCATTCTAAAGAAATAGAAGACATTTCGGTGCATAAATCTGGCCATCAAGTAAAATTTAACAATCCATAAGTTACAAAGTCGCAACAAAATATTATTTATTCATTAGATAGCAACAGTGTCAAAAGATGGAAAATGCTACTTGTGGAGGACGGAAAATGGCTCTAAAATTGCTGATTTAGAAGTTTCAGGAAAAGATAATACTATGTATCTTTTCAAGCATTGTAGGTAAGTCTTAAAATCACATATGGCTGCTTGAATAAAAGTATCTTCAATATGTAGTGTTAATTATTTAAAAAGTTCAAATTATCATAAAATCCCTTGATAGATTTGCATCTGTTATTGATAAGCCAAACCAGCATCATTTGTTCACTTCCCATGTACCTTTGAGACGAACTAAAAAGCCAGCAAACTGCTTTTTGACTAAGTGGGATCTAGGGAAAAACCAACCCCTAAAATGTACGGAGACAAATAATGAACTCATATCTGCCTTTTGTATTAGTGAAGATGGATCATATATAGGAATAGGAACTATACCCGGAAGTGTCTCCATATATATTGCCTTTAGTTTACAGGTTTATTAATATTTTTTTTATTAATATATCATTTAATTAATTTTTTTAATAATTCCTTTAGCTATTGTATAACATCAAAGAATGCCACGGTATATTTGTAACGGATGTGGAATTTTTGTCCAGTTCTGATACTACTAAAAGAATTACCAATAATGATGATTTTACCCTACTCACCGTTTCTGCAGATCATAAAATTATGTGTCACCAAGTGACTCCTAGGCGTAAGTGAATTTACTGTTATTATACTATTCATATCTTGTTAATTTTATATGATATTGTATAATTCTATTTCAGGTACAATCAGTGCAATTTGGATTCTATTGCTTGTTTTCGCCTTAATTTATGGTGTTTTCTACCTAATCGCTTATTTAGGATTATAAAAAATTTAACCAGTTCCAAAATAACAAATATAGCAAAAAATCTATGGCTTTATCACGTCTGCATATTGAAAAAATTTAAGTTAATATAATTGAGATCATAACAACAAGTCCTCTTTTTCGAAGTTTTCTGTGATCGGAAACTACTAGTAGGATTTGGCTGACTTCTCCACTTAAAAAAATGGGCTCTTTCCAAAGCCTCCATTACTTTAACGAACTTTTTGTAACGGTCAAGCGATGTAGGTTTACCGGAAGTACGTCCACTAGCCGCTTCGAAAGACGGAACTAACTCATCAGTATGAACTTCTAAAGCTAATTGCTTTACATTCTTCAAAGCATTTTGAATGAAAGCTGCAAGTAGAGAGTCCCATTCATCACCTTCAATGTCTATTTTTAAAAAGTCGATATGATTATTTAAGTGACCATTTAATTCGAGAATTTTCCATAAAGTTCGAACATTCCTTCCGTCCGTCGTTATATAATTACTATCACCAAGAGCAATCCGATGTAGTTTTATTCCCTTCACGGTTGATGGGAGGCTAAGTATATATAGAAAATAGTTAAGACATGGTCTCTAAGCGAATTAGTATAAAAATGTCTTATACATACGAATAATCGTAACCTAAAACCGTACAGTTATAGATCTTCGAGATTTCCCGATCGAAAGTCGAATCGAGTCCTATCCTAATAGAATTAATGTTTACGCATAACTGGTGGAATAATCTCATCCATCGATTAAATTAATCTACCTACCCGAAGGAATAAATAAGGCAGTTAGAGTTCCTTAATTCAAAAGGACTATCGAAGCAAATACTATAGCCGCCATCTCCTTTAGCCCCAAGGCGTCTAATATCCTTACAGCCCACCTGCAATTCTTCTACGTAGTCGTAAAATTTACTCTCTGCTCTTGCTAATGAATTGGTAAATCTGAATTTATTTCGATGTGCTCTTAGTAATTTAAATTGATTGACGTGCCTGAAAAGTGGAAATGATTTTTGAGTATATTACAATGACATAAAGAATGAAGGGGTTTAATCATTACTAAGAAAGAGACCGTTCTATAGGGATTTAGGAATCGGGAGAAGAGAGAAGATTTTGAGAATAAAGGAAAATCAAGCTTATCTAATTAGGGCAGGATAAAGATAGTATATACTCTTTTTTATTGTGAAACTAACTCGAAAGCGTACCAACTGTTAATGTAATGTAATACGACGACCTCGCTAGAAGTGGTGACTTGCCATTTTCTTAAAGCAGTTCCTTCGATATCCGTTAGGAAATGAAATAGACGACGAAACTCTAGTTTTAGCAGTCTTCCAGGAATTATAATGAGTAATTGTTTGAATCTAATCTGCCTAATGCGCCGTCGGATCGTATTCCAGTCGTCGTTCAATCGTAGACGAATGCTTATCACGTCCTCCGTCTTTGGAGAAAAAGTGTCTCGCAAGCCAACGCTAACGGTGAGATTGCTATCAAGGAGAAAAGAACAGCTGAGAAAGCGAATATGAATGAGCCTGGCTTTGAATAATCACTAATATAAGTGGCTTTTTCCTTGACTAAAGCTAAAATAGGCAATCTGCAAAAAAAAATCTGCAAGACTCGAATTTTAGCCCCTGATGGTAAGTAGGCTACTTCATATTACAGCTCTGAATTCTCATAAATGCCCCCCTGGAGCGAAATAAATGCATACTCCTACCAATAATAATCAGCTCAATTACTTTTTTTTTAATATGACTAATGTATTATAAGTACGTCGCTAACGAATGCCGCTTCTCTTGTCGCTTTTCTTCTCTTGCCTATTTTTTCTTCATCTCTCTTTTCGCTAGCCTTTCTAACCTCTTATCGTGACCCTTCTCCTTTCTTTTTTTTCACATATTTTTCCTTGTCATTTTTATGCGACGTTTTATAAATTTAATTATTTCCACAACCTAATGGAAAAGATTAACTTATCCGTAGTCGTCTCCCTTTCTTCACCCTTTTTTACTACTATCACTTATCTAACCACTAAACGAGAAAGTATATTTCGTCTTCCCTTGGGGTGTTTCATAGGGCACAGTCTAGACCTATTTATCCTAAATGTCTGTAGAACCGTTCAAATGCGAACAGAGTGCTGTTCTTTTAATTTTTTCACAGTATATATACAGTATATACAGTATATATATGGCATTTTTACTAATATTTCACAATATTGTTATGTGAAGCACGAATATTCTCTGTCTACTTACCCGAACGACATCGCATTAGTCGAGATTTTATACGGTTTCACATCACATATGTCTAAATCGTTCAAGCGTCGAATCTTCGGGCATATTGCTCGTATTTGATTAAGAAAGCTAAAAGAATTGAGAATAGTGTTTTTTGAACCAAGTTATAGTTTGAAATCTAAGAGATAAAGAGAAACCTGTTAAAAATTGTGAAAGCCTTTGCCTCGGATGTTTTCGGCAAAATAGAATAAGTTGGTAAGTTCCTAAAGGTTATCGATTCTTCGCGTTCGTATGACGTCCGATTGCCGATCTGTTAAGTAAAATTTCTAGCGTAAAATAACGCATGTCACGCAATTTTGCAATCGGTAGAAAATTTTGTTTTCTTTCTTCTCTTTTTAGGAGAAGTAGAAGGAAGAGTAATAAAACTTAACCTCAATTGTTATCGCGGAATCCCAAAAGAGTAAGCATAGTATAAAGATGAAGGTTAGTAGGAGAAGTGAATAGAGTATAAAACGAGACTTCATCGTTCCTTAATTATAAAGGAAGAGTCGGTCATCATTTCCTCCCTAGAGCCGATTGATCCACTCACCAGCTACGCTCTCAAGACAGAAACTTCAAATCTAACGCTTTTGTACCGGTTATATACTTTCAATTTTCGCTTTTCAATTACAGATGATCGGAAAGGCGGCGGTGTATTCCAAAGAGCAAATTTAATCTAACGTTTTATATGTAAAAGTTAGGAAAAGCTCTAAGTTTCATCAATCCAATATTCTTTGCATAGAAAAAGTATACGGAGCGAATTATCCAAAATGGTAGTGTACGAGAGAGAATGATAGTTCCGAATGGTCTACAAGAGAGAGCCGATAGGTGGACTTAGTTGCTCTTCTAAATGTTAAGATTTTTTTTTCTGTTTTCTCCCAAGGAAGAGAAATTTATCAATTTTGTTATAATAATATTTTATGTTTAAAATGAAATGAATTAGAAAACACGCTTAATCGCTCCACAGAAATCGAAATTGCACTAAATCTAATGAAGGGTAGGATTTAATACATAACATACTGTATTTACAATTACAATTATCAATATATACGAAAGCTATTAGCAGAAACTGAACGAATCAAGTTTTAAAATACCTCCGACTAATTTCTATTAATTAATTTGAAATTGCCCTGGTTATGCACTCTTCTCCATTAGATACTGACCAAATCAATGTATCTAGCTCTTCGGTACTTGCAGCGGTTAAAGTAGTAGGAACTGTCAAGAAATTTCGTAGGTTTTCATTGTTTCCTTTCGAACGTTTCTTGATTACATGTAATTGATCAATTGCACGTCCAGAAGTAATACTAATACTTGATGGAACTTTAAAAAATTTGTAATCGACCAATCTCTTAAGTCGTCTAACCTTTTCCCTTCTCTTTGCTGACCTCTCTTCGATCTTTTTGAGTTTATCCATACGGTCTTGCACTAAAATGGCTTTCGTGCTGGATAATTTAGATGAAGCTCTAGTTATTTCATTTGCTCTTGAAATTATAATACGGCGTTTCTGTCTACATTTAGATAAACTACTATCTAAAGAAGACGCTAGTTTCATGCTCATAAATTGACTATATATTTCGCTTGACTCTCTAATATCTCTTCTCCTACGCAAAGATTGGGAAGATTCTAATCAAAGCCAATAGTTCATCTTACATAAGAGGCAACATTAATTTCTAAAGAGTCACTTACTTAACGAAGATAGAGAATGGACATTTATCGCTTTTTCTACGCTCTCCACAACTTTATCGATCTTTCCTATATCTACATCACAAATATAGAAAAGCAAAGCGAAAAATCCTACTGGTAAAAAAGTGATTATGCCAAATATCCACCATTTTTGCCTTGTAAATTGGTATAATGTATTAGGACCTGTTCCTATTAAAAATTTGCCGATTTTCGGCAATGGTCCGTAAGGTATTTGAAGTCTACAACGTCTCAATGAATCACAATAGCCTGCGGATCCATTACAGTAATCTCCAACTTGTATATTAATGAAATTTTCTAGTTTACTATGCTTTACTCTACTATAATTCATTAATTGAAGGGTATGATTGGACATTGGTAAACATCTATTACCTAATTTGCAATAAATGAAACATAACAATTCTGGGTCATTGTCAATATAGTCTGGTACGCATTGGGACGAATTAACCAGAGAACATATTGAGTCTAGACATTCTCCAGATCGACAAATCTTTGTTCGAGACGCGCAGACTAAGCCACTCGGTTTTTCTTTACCCAAAGGACACATCGCTTTTCTTCCGCTGGAAAAGAATCCAAAGTTTTACCTTGTATTAATTGCTCTTAAAACTAATTAGCCTAACTTGCATTGTGCTTCTTCCCGACATTCGGTTTCCTCTTCACAAGGAGTTCCCTTAAAGTGTTATTTACTATCACACAATAAATGAATAATCAAATTAAACTTACTTTTGGTTTGAAATTGCAGTTTATTACTTCACAACAAACTCCCTCTGACAAACTGCACATTGCTCCAGACTTCCTTTTGCATGAGCTTCTATTCGATTCTGTTGACTGGAAACTTTTCGGATGACAACACTGACTGTCTAATCCACATTCGTTATCATAGCCACAGTCACATTCTTCATCATTATTCCTCTCTACTATCATATTTCCGCAAAACGGCTCATCCCTATCTTTAAAACAATCGCTAGCCTCTTTAAACCGATGTTCTATTACGTTAATCATGTTTTCTATACAGCATTTAGAATAAATTGCATGATTCTTTTTTGTGCCACCCCCAACTTTAATAGACATTAGATATTGTCCATCTTCTTCGTTACCTAAACACTCACTTCGAACTTTACCTTTCTCATCGTGATCTATCCTTAAATAACATGTTCGAAAAGACTCTTTTCTATTAGAATTTATTTTATTTTAAAAAGATCTTACAGCATCCCATATTATGTCCAATTTCATGGGAAAATGTAAACGCTGAGACAGTGATTGGTAAGAATTTACTAACAGGTCCTCTGGTTGTTAACCCTATGTTGTTGGCCCTTTTAGAGCAGATACCGGAAGTAGTATGATTGGGATTTCCTATGAAAGCTATGCCTAAAGCGTTTTCGAATGACCGGGAAGTGAATAAATGTGCTAGACAGAATTCATCATGATTTATTTCGCTAAAAGCGATCAAAGTATTAAATGGATCCAAGCTCTTCCTACACAAAGTCATTGACTCTGGTCCCATGCAATTAGCCTCTCTAGTTAGGAAGTTAATATGTTTTATTCGAAATTCAAGGTTATGTCCTAAATTAGTCGATTTAATTATGTTGTAAAATCTGGAATATATAGATAATATGTCGGTTTTAATCTTCTGTACCGCCTCTTCTAATCTCTATTAAAAAGAAAGCGAAATAACTTAGCGAGAATAGCTCTCCTTTTGTGTGTATTTACTAATCCTCTATTTTTTATAAAGTCTTCTACGAATAATGGATCAACCGTCAATCTCATTTGACAGATCTTGACTAGTTTTTTCCCCAATATTTTTATTCTAGACCGTCTAAAGCGTCTCAAATATCCTTTGTCAAGTACATTAGTCTTTCAAAAAGAGAATTTTATTCGTAAGGAAGACAATCGTAGAAAAAATGTGAAAAGCTTGTTTATTTTAGTTAAGATTTAATTTATTTAATCTTTACTTTTGGTTGATCGATTAATATAGGCCTAAAATGTTGAGGAAATAAGCACTTAATTTAGAAAAAAGAGAGGGGGTGTTTCGTTTTCAAATGCTCACCGTATTCCAGTTAAATTCAATTGATCCGTTGAATAAACAACAGAATGGAATCCCTGTTGTTCCAGAATTGATTTATTAAAATAGGATAAGGCGTCATCTATAATCAAATTTTTTCCACTGCTTAACTTAATATCACCTAAGAATTTTTCCCCATTAAAAATTCCATTTACAGACGAGTATTTAATATTAAAAACATATCCACTTAAGAAACGAACTCCTTTAAAACCATTCATAATTCGTAATCCATCTAAAAGAATATGAGCATCTCTTGAAAAAATACCTGTCACCTGCTTAAACAATACAATATGTAAACGTCTATCAAATACTTTTAACTCTAAATGTATAGGCTGAGGTTTATTAGTTGTATAAATAAAACGTTTAAATCGATTAAATTTTCTTTTATATACTTTTAAAGAATTACTAATTCTGTCATAATTTAATAAAAATGGTAAATCTCTATATAGTCCATTAACAGATATTAAAGAACAAATCAATAAAATTAACTTCAATATTTGCATTATCTTGAAAAAGGAAATTAAAAACAATAGAATAGTTTTATTAGTAAGTTATTTTCCTATTTGTATACAAATCTTTTGAAAAGTAAATACAATAACAAAGAAGGCGTCACTCGTTTTCAACTCTTAGAAAAGTCTTAGACTGTCGATTCATAACGATAAATCACTTCTGTCTGTTGGGTTATTCGACTTATTTTAGAATTTAAAGAACTAACAGATAATTTATGAAACTCTTCATTTAGCTCTTTATCTTTTTCCTGATCATCTGCCGTTGTAAGATTTTCGTTTTTTACTCCGCATTTTAATCTTTCTCTCCATTCTAGAGGTAGGTAGCAACAGAATATATCGAATATAGGACAAATTAGCCTTGGATCTACTTCCGAAGGTGATTGGGGACCTGAAAAAAATGTATGCATAACATATTGAAAATACATCATTCATAATTGTCGATTTAGTTGAATTTAGGAAGACAAATACTACATACCTGTAATAAAACTTACGGCTAAGCCAATAACATTAACAACAATAACAGCAAAGGCACTGTACCATAAATAAGAAATTTCATAGAAACTTAATCCTTCGTACCTAAATAGATAAGTCAAAATGTTTCTGTTCTTGATGATGTTATAAAAGTTTCTTACTCTTTTGGTGTAGTCATACTTTGAGTTATAACACTCTGTGTTGTACTTATTGATGATTTATTAGCTATTTCACAGTCAGATAAAGATACAGGCTTAGTTTCAATAATAGGTTTATAAACATTTGCTCCAACGCCTAGCCACATTGTCGCAATCAAACCAACCACTAATCCTACATATGCTCCCTATTATTTTTATAATTAATATATTAATTTAGGTATTATATATATATTTACATTGTCAACTTACCCACTTGTTAGACCAAGGATATATTATACCTAATATGAATAGACCAAGTACAGGTCCTCCAATCATTCCAAACAAAGCTAGTGCAGCCTAGCAATATATTGAATATATTACGTGTATTAGTATATTTTTTAATATACTATATCACTATACCTGAAGAACACCACCCAATTGAGAAGCGACAAATGTTAACGCAATCATAATAATCCCATATCCTAGAGCTGTTGTTATATATAATTTTATATAAAATATAAAGTATGTATAGGAGTTTATTGAAAGTTTACCTAATAACTTTGTGAGAAAAGTAGCTCTCTTTTCTGTCAAATTTTTAAACCAAATCAATTGAAAAAGATCTCGAAGAGTTACAGCAGACAGAGAATTCAAGCCAGATGAAATTGTACTATAATTTCAAACACATTGCATTTAAAATAGAATAAATATCCGATGTTTAAAGTAAAAAAAGAATCTTTTAAACCTAAGTGCTCCACTAAACAGGCATGCTGTGAATAAACCAGCTAAACCTTTAATATGAGCTAAATTATCCATAACGTAGAGAGGCAAAAGTTGATCACGAGGAATATCATGAAATTCAATAGGATCGCAATTTTCATATTGAGCGTAAATAACCATTCCACAAAGTCCAGTAATTGTCAAAATTAATGTTAGTCCCGGAAAATTGATCCATAGTGCGCTAAAAAAAACCAGAAATATGATATAACAACTGTCTTATATAAACATGCTAACAATTGAGATTCCCGAAGAGTACGAGTTGTTAAAGCCCTTTGGACTTGTGCTTGATTCACACCATATATTGCTAACCAAGTAAATGCACCACCAAAAATTAGACTCCAAACTGTATGCCGTTTTAAAGGATCTGGATCAAAACTAGTGACAGAGAAAAGAAATGAAATAAAATTGTCAAGAGGATAATAATTATTCTATAAAATGTACTTGAAAAATTCAACTCGATCTCCTCTCTTATTAATGTTCCATATGTTGGAAAAACCATCAAAATCTATTGAACCTTGAATTAAAACTGCAAACAAACCAGCCATCATCATACACACTTGAAATGTATCGGTCCACATGACTGCCTTCATTCCCCCCTAAACAATAAAAAGAACTTTTATATGAAAGGGAACGACTACACGAGGTTATTAACTTTAAATATAGGCCTACTATAATTAACATCCTTTCTACTTACTATTGACGTATAGAACGTACAAACACAACCAACGCTCAAAACGGATATCCAAACGTTAATACCAGTTACGGCGTTTAATGCTAACGATGGGGCATAAAGAACAATTGCCAAGTACATAATCATTTGTATAATGAAAACTACTGCTGCAAATATTCTCACTCCTTTACAGAATCTCATTTCCAAGTACTGAAGCAAAAAAAGAATAAGAAAGAAGAGTTTTTATAAGAGATTATTAAGATAAAAAGAAAGAAGTTTAATAACTTTAGCTTTTTTTTTTTACCTCGAATACGCTTGTTAGTTTAAGCTTATAGAATATTGGAACGAATACGTGAGCAGCTAAGGGTATCATTATAAAGTACCCAATCCATATTAGCCAATATTCTGTTCCAAATACATAAATTTCGGCGGGCGTTCCTAATAATGTAATAGCTGACATAAAGGAAGCTAGTAAAGACATCGAAACTGGAATTATAGACATTCTCCGATTAGCCATTAAAAATTCTTGTGTGGTCTGTTGCTTTGATCCGAAACATCCATAAAATATTCCAATGGAAGCTGAAATTATTAAAACCAAAGAAAAAACAATATAATCCGCAATTCCAAACTCATTTTTCGTTTTAAGAGCCATAGCTACTTTGAGAGTAAGCTTGTCTTCGCCTTTAAATTTCAATGTGATAGATAACAGAGATGTAGATTTACATTAATCGAGATCATCTTACAAACAACGCTGCATTTACTTGTTTAGTATTGATCCACCGCCTGCTTTCATAATAACGTTTGGCAAGTTCAATACTGTTCTCAATTATCGCCACCTCCCTTTCTTACCCGATATTAATTGAAACTGGAAAGGTGTAGGTAATCTTAAAATCCATTAATTTTAAATGGAAATGTTTCAATTTGTACCAAATGAAGACAATCGATTAAATACGAGTGGGAGTGGAAGGGAAAATCGAAAAAAATAACCTTCTGTTTGATTTAAATAATATTATAAAAATAGTATGAAAGAAGAGAACATCCGCATAGAAAAAACATTATTTCTGGTGGGAAAATTTCCATGTTAAAAGACTTTGCAAACTGATTATTTTTTGTATTTATTGATTAAAGAACAATCTTCCCTTTTCTTTTCTATTACATAAAGAACGGCCCATTCGTGTTATGAGAGTTAATAAATAAATATATATATTTATATATATTAACGTTTATTAGTACTGCAGATTTTATCTGTTATGTAAAGTTGAATAAATCGAATATTAGCTAGAATATAAGATCAACTTGTGTATAGTTTATAGCACCAAACTACTCTACTAAAGTATTTATTACAAACTCTTAATAAAGTATTTTCATAAATAAGTTCTATCTTTTCATTTCTAACAGCATTGTAATCAAGTATAAAATTTATTGAATTGCTTAGTATAAAACCGCTAATCGGAAGAGTCTATTAATCAAATTTTTGTAAGTATGTTATTAATGATAATTATTAATATTACTCTCTTGTAGACTTTCTAGCGTAATTCATTGATTTGTAAACAATCGGTTTTTGTTTTTTATTTAAAAAAAATAGAGAAAGTGGTATAATTTCCGTATTACGTGGTGTTTTTTCACTTAAAAAAATGTATATATAAATATAAAATGGAAGCTTTTTCAATTTAAAACAGTTAAAGAGAAGTGCAGCTTATTTTCATCTTTACATCTCTTTCATTAGGAGTTTAAAAAGTTTAGTATCTTTTCATTTACCTCAGCTGGCTTTTCCATCATTACCATATGACCTGCTTGAGGTAAAATATCCAAATGGGACTCTTCAATCGTTCTCTGCATTTCGTATTCTTCATCTAATCGAACTAATTTATCAGCAGCACCATGAATTAAGAGTGTAGGACACCTTATCCAACTATGATAAGTTGCATTACCTTCTAACCACATTTGACCTCGCATTGTATTTTTTAGAACAAAAGTGGAAACGTCAAAGGCCAATCGACGATTCTTTAGTTTTCGTTCGTTAAATGCAAACTTATTAAAGACCCTTGTTAATATTGGTCGAATACAGATTAAAATCGATAAAGGAAGAGAAAATACTCCTGTTTGAGGTGCTAATGGCGTGGGTCCACCCCCAGAAATCATAACTAGACGAGATACTAATCGTGGACGTTGTCGAGCTAGGACAGCGGCGAAACAACACCTGTCCGTTACCATGGGATAATATAAATATGTACGTTGAGGTATTTAGTAATTAATGCTGAAAAGTAACATACCCGTACGAATGGCCTATAATAACATTCTTTTTTCGACATTTCAAATCGAAGAGTGTAAGGACATCGAGTGATATTTCATGAAATGTATAGGCTTCTCGTTTTCTGGGTGTATCGCTAAAACCATGACCAATCAGATCGAGAGCAATGACCTCGTATCCAATTCGTGAAAAAAAGTCTAATTGGCTTTTCCAAACGTAAGAAGAGCCGCCAACGCCGTGAATGAAAAAAAGAATTGTATCCTCTTTAGACCGAACAGATCCTGATAGTCTTAATCCTTCAAGTGATGATTTCAAATTTTGTTTTATTAATCCGTTCCTCAATAGCGAAACTTCTTTGCATAGCTTCTCGCTTCTTTCTCTTTTGTTAAAATGACGAACACACAAGTTCCTACCGTCACGAACTAACTCCAATGGAGAATCGTCGTTTTCTTCAGTAAATGGTAAAACTTGATTTTTTCTATCGAAACACAGACAACTCGACATTAAATTTTCATACTAACTTTTCTTGTTGGCGAGCTGGTGGCGTCTTTCAAAATGGCAAGCGACAGCAGCTAGGCCTGCTGCCCTGTTAGGCGTAAGATATATCTTACGTGTTGGCACGAAATAATCCAATGCTTTACTTATTTAAACCCGTTACTGTTTAATGTTTTGTTTCCCTCTCGAATTTATAAATATTCAATTGACGGCTGACGGCCAGGAAATCAATTTCATCGATAGCTTCAACAAAGCAGATGGCGTTATTAATAACTTGAGGACGTCTTTTTGCAATAGTATAAAGAGTAAAATGTAATATCTCTAAAATTGAGGTCGTTTGTTCCTGATTTTAGAAATTTCTAAGGAGTAATCGTGCTTAAGATAAACTAAAATAAACTGTGAAAAAGATATTTTTCAATTGCTCTTTAAATATTATTCCAAAATCTAAATTAAGTAATTTTCTTCCTAGCTTTTAAGATATTATTCTGCTGAATGAACAATGCCTTGAAATATGAAAAGCATGCAGCAAGTAGTTAATCTCTATTTATGTTTTAAGTTCAAACGATCGATAAATTCAAAATACACGAAAAAGCGGGCTTTTTATAGATGTCACTAGTAGCTTTTTAAATAGTCAGCTATGAGTAATAAATAAAAATGGCAACAATGTAATAAAAGTATATCGGCCATTTTGAAAATTTATCTCTCTTGTTCGAGTTCTATATCTGGAGAAAAAAATGAAACTACTTCCTTCTCAAAAATATCACGTAAGTACCAACACCATGAGGGATACTTGGATGGATTAATCTTAAAAAATCATGTTTGATTAAAATATTTTATTAATATTTTGTCGCTGAAAATGTAGTTTAATCCATCTGCTAGTTACCCCTTGAAGAATTTTTTCTATAAACACTCGATTTAGGGAATTTAACATGAATTTGTTATAGCAATGGCGGACGCTGCACCAGCCGGTGGTCGAGGCGGTTTTAGAGGTGGATTCGGAGGACGTGGCCGTGGTAGAGGCCGTGGAAGAGGAAGAGGCCGTGGTAGAGGTCGTGGAGGAAAAGAAGGAGAAAAGGAATGGACTCCAGTAACTAAGCTTGGACGTCTTGTAAAGGACACTAAAATCAAGTCCCTTCAAGAAATCTACCTTTTCTCTCTCCCAATCAAAGAGCATGAAATTATCGATTTCTTCTTGGGTTCTGCTTTGAAAGACGAGGTTTTGAAAATCATGCCCGTCCAAAAACAAACCCGTGCCGGACAACGTACTCGTTTTAAGGCATTTGTGGCTATCGGCGATAGCAACGGTCACGTTGGTCTAGGCGTCAAATGTAGCAAGGAAGTAGCAACCGCCATCCGTGGTGCTATCATTCTTGCTAAACTGTCTGTTATTCCTGTCAGAAGAGGATATTGGGGTAACAAGATCGGTAAACCACATACCGTACCATGCAAGGTTACTGGAAAGTGCGGTTCTGTAACTGTACGTCTTATCCCAGCTCCACGTGGTACCGGAATCGTTTCCGCTCCTGTTCCAAAGAAGTTGTTGTCTATGGCCGGTATCGAGGATGTATACACTTGTACTCGTGGTCAATCCGCAACTTTGGGCAATTTCGGTAAAATTTCACTAAAATTATGAAATTAAAACTAATAAACTGTTTTTTTCAGCTAAGGCAACATACAGCGCTATTGCGAAGACTTTCAGTTATCTTACACCAGATTTGTGGAAGGAGACCGTCTTCACCAAGTCTCCATACCAAGAATTTACAGATTACTTGGCCAAGCCAGCAGCTCGTGCTCCAACCAGGGAACAAGCCGCAAAATCTTTTTAAGCAATTTATGTATCTTTAAGAAATACATAATTGTGAAAATATTGAAATTCGTGTTCTTTTATTAGTGTTAAAAAACATAACATCAGTAAAAATAGTTAGTTAGAAGTACTATCATCCGATTCTGTAGATTTTGTTGACAGCATTTCCATCTCTCTATCACCCGAAAGCGCACTCTCTTTTGATCCCCAAAAATTTTTTAAATGAATTTGTATGTAGACGTTAACTTCCTCTGCTCGGCTAAGGTAAGGGAAATTTCCCCCATTCTTCAAGTGAGCTCTTCGCGCGCTAGGATAGCATTTAAACATATCATCTTTAACTGAAACTGATAAAGCACTGGTGTCCAATACATCAATAATTGTTACGGGTATATCGCCAAGTTTGTGCGCTTCAACATATGAGTTCATACAGTTTAAAGTCAGTCTAGACGCCAATTCCTGCTGTCCTAAACTATCCAAACTGTCAACCATAAAGTCTACTGAGGCGGCTATGCCCTTATCAACACGGCCTCTTTCAAAATTGCCCATAATCATTTTCTTGAGTATAACGCCCGGCAACATCCAATACCTAATGGGGAAAATGCAACGAAGTCTAAACGATAAAAATTAATTAGAATTTTATCTGACTTACGCCGGAGCAGAGTTACTTTGCTGGAAGATGCTGGTATCAGAGAAAGAGTTGCATAGTATTAGTGATTGTACCCTCTGAGCTAGGTAAGTGCTCTCAGCAAATTTTTGTCCAAGATAACCTCCAAGTGAAGCACCAAATATATGTATCTGTAAGTAGATGTGTAAAAAGTTTAAAGTATAATCAATGATTTGTAATCCCATTTTAACTTCGTACTTTATCTAGACGCAAATAGTCTATTAACTTGCAGAATCCTTCATTCCATTGTTTCATATTCCAATATACAGGATAGTCTAGAGCTATAACACGATAGCCAGCTGCAGAGAGTGTCAGCAGCTGCTTATAAAATACTGTAGCTCGACCACTGGCGGGAGGTAGAAAGACTAAAGGACATCTTATATTTCGAGGTCCAGCATCATATATCACCCAAGTTCTGTCTTCGTCTCCGTCGACGACAATTTTCTTTTGAGGAATGCTACTTCTGAAGCTATCGTATTCACGAGATTTAACAAAATCGCCCATTTTCCGTGTTCTGCAATAGATATTAAAAATAGATTAGAATACAAAACTGAGCGATAATAACAGAATATTACTGGAATAGATGCTATTGTAAAACTCTAAATAATTAAAGGCAAATTTTGTATGACATTTGAGAGTCAAATTGATAATATTATGGGAAAAACATTTTTTAGTCGAATCACTGGAAGATTATCCAACAGAAGAGAATAATACTAACGTTACGCCTTTTATCTACTTGGTTGTCACATGACACGTCACGTGTACCAGTATTATTACTTAAGAGGAAGGTAAAAGTGAAGTTGACGACACTAATTTTTGTGACTGACATGGTGTTGTTGAGTTACACGAATAAACTATCTATCTCATCGCTATTCCAGCGATTTTTGGTAATACTGTATTTACCAATTTTTTAATAGGCAGTAAAAAAGCCAATGAGGAATTTTAGGAATAATTGCGGTTGGAATTATTAGGCTAATAATGAGTTTGTGAACAAGAACGGGCGTGGTTAAAAGCCTTTACAAGAATATTTCTTTTTTGAAAAGAAATTAGAAACTGAAAGTTGAACTATTATTTTAAAAGTTATACCAAAAACCCCATCCGTTTTCGGAAAAATGATCCGGTATTATTAGTCATTAATCAGTTGAATTGCACTTAGTAGCCATACTACAAAGAACTAGATAAAAAAGACTTTATAGCCTATATAGTCAACAATGGCAAGCAAGTGAATGCTAAATATGTGATATCCAAGCACGTTGTCCCTCAAGTAAGATATCGAAGAAATCACCGCCGATGAATAATAATTAGCGCTGCTACGCATGTTTTGAAATATGTGCTGATCTCATTCTAACCGCTAGATGTCGAACGAGACAGAAGAATCAGGCACTGATGCTGCCGAGGAAAGAGAGAGTCTCAATCCTGAACCAGCACAGAGTCGCCCTCCTCAAGGGAACAGGAGAAGAAGGAAAAAAATTTATTATATAATTGTTGGTGTTATTGTGACAATTTTATTAATTAGTGTCGGACTTTTAGCGGTTTATTTCACTTTATTTCGAAAAAAAGAAAGTAAAGTTGTAACGGAACAAGACATTAACATGAAAGTTACAACCTCTTCAACAAATCTAACAAATCCAACAAATCCAACAAATTCAACAAATCTAAAAGTAAACTCATTGGATCAGTACTTTTTGGCTTATATGTCAGATGAACGATATAAGGATAACATATTTACCTCTAGGTCGTGGACTAAACATTTTGATAATGTTAAATACTACGTTCTTGTGTTCAAGAATGATAGCAGCTCACTCCTCACAGAGGCTAGCAATTATCGTATAAAAGTTGAAACTGTCGTATATGGTAAGTTATTATTTGAAGAAAATTTAGAGGTCGTTATTTACTTTAAGAATATTGGTGGCAGAAAGGATAAATGGTGATTAATCAATTTTCTATCACATATCGCCGCCTTGTATATTTAAGTAATATATATACTGTGTAGGCATATTCAGTTTAAAGACAAATATAAACTTCGACGTTTGGAATGTATAAACTTCTATATCAATAAAGTATACTCTTATAAAGTATAATAAAAGACTTTAACAGGTAAACGAAAAAATGTTGTAAAAAAAAAAAAAGTAATATAAGTAAACAGGTCGACGCTGGTGTCAAAGTAGTTTTTGCGATAAGACCTAAGGATATGAAGATAATCATTCAGATAAGATGGATCAGACTGTTAATCGTTATTGAGTTATTAAAGAGAAAGTCTTAAACCTTTGAGCAGTTGTCAATTTTTTAAAATAGCAATCGTAATGGAGACAATACTTTCTTTCTATCTTTCAATCTTTTTGTTTAAACAGACAAAAATTTATGGGGAAGCGACTTAAATCAAATTATGTATCCTATGTTAGCCGAGATGTGTGACAATGTTGATCGTTATCAGTGGTTTATAAGGGCTACCGAATATACCTACATCCGTAAAGATCATTTGGATGAAATATTTAAAAACTCTAATTATAAACTTCCTGTAAGATTTTATACTTCCTTCTATAATAGAAAAAAACACTAATATTGTTAATTATTGTCGAATTTAGTTAATGTACGGTAGAAGACAGTATTCTCTTGTTGACACTGATTTACAATTATTGAATAATCAACCAAACTGCAATGGCTTTAATACAATTATGTTTTCTCAAAAAGCAATGAAAGGTAGGTTTTAATTAAACAGTTGTTTTATTTATATTTAATATAAAATATCTTGGTGTCTCTCTCTCTCTCTCTACAAAGATTTCTGTGAAAATTTGGATGAGTGCGAGAAAGAGGCTCCTAAATATATAATTCCAGATGACATAGAGTTATCTAGATGCGCATTAAAAGCTAACGTTACCTGTCAAATGCCTTCAAATCTCTTCTTTCATGTCTATCCTTTTGAAAATCGTAATCTACATAAAAAAAATGTTCAAAAATTACTCATGTTAAACATACTAGAAATATTAGAAAGTTCAACTATAAACTATAAAAATTATGCAAGTTTTTCGCCTGCAATTTTGCCATGGATGATTGAATATTTTGAATATTTGAAGAGTCTCAATCGTCAATTAGATACATTATCTGTTAGTTCTATTTCAATTAATTGATTACAATATAAATTAAATGTTAGAATAAAAAGAAATTAAATGTTTTTTGCTCAGAAAAGTCGCACAAAATCGTTCAAGAATTGGGAAAGGTCAATGGGGGAAAATAGTTCAAAATTTCAGGGATACCTGCAAAAACTAGTTGACAGGATATACAAAGGAATGATAAATACGTGCAATATTTCTATACCAGATTTAGTAGGAAAATTATTGGTAAATAATACGTTTTATACTATTAACTTTTGATTTGATGAATATGAATTAATGCTAATTCGTTTTTTATAGGAGCTTTTCTCTTTCGATAAAAAAGAGGATGTTTCATTGGCGTCCGTCTGCTCAAACTTTTCAAAAGTTGAAAATCTTAAGACGTTACTAAATGATAAAAGTCATGAATTTAAGAAAAGAAGATTAAATATAAGAGTAGACATACTAATGGATTTGCCTCCAAGTTACCAGCAGTTTTACTCGTTGTTTATGTGGAGAAATATTAGTAAAACCATTAAGGATTATCACCTCAGCATTAGACTTTTGATGAATAATAATGAACCAGCAGTTGGAGGTGGCTTATTGAAAAATGTGAGTGAGAATCTCTATAGGAAATTTCAAACTGAAAAAATACATTTAAATGATGAAGCTTTTTATACCAAAAACCTATTTAATGGGTCAAACTTTAAAGGAGTAATTTTGGTAAAAATTTCTCAGATAGTAACCTCATCAGCTGTTCTGCGTTGTCTTTCATTAAGTTTTTTATTAAAGTCACCAATATATTCATCTCCAATTGGTAAACTTTTAAACGAAGATTCAAAAGCAGGACTTTTTTGCGCTTCAACAGACTCTCTACGCTCTTTACCTCTACAAATTTATACTTTTAATGATCCAGATTTATTGTAGTATAAAGTTCTTATGTACAAGTATAAGTGAGTAGTAAATTATAAAATATTTATGCTATTTTAAATGAGATAGATACCTCCAAAACTGGTTTTTTTTTAAAAAAGAAATCATTATACTGTATATATGAACTGTATCTTTCCTATTTGAATAGGGAAAAAGTTTAATCTTTTGCTCAAAAAGAGAACCTAAAAATTTTTAATTTTATTCTTTCTCTATTTATTATTGATAGTTGTTTTTCTTTAGAAAACTATAATTGTATATATCAAATTGACGACAAATTAGGCCTATCAATACAAATTCTTTTTTTTCATTTCGTTATCAGAAATTTTCTTTTGCGGTTAGTGTTTTAGTCATCGCACAATAAAAGTATTTTAGGATATAGTACAAGAAAGGACGGGCTGGGGGTGGTGGACAAAATAGATTGGAATTTGGAAGAGAGATTAGGAGACAGGGGAGTAAAAGAAAAATTATTCCAGCATTTTAATAGTGTAATTGTACTCGTAAAGCATATGTTTTCTTTACTTAAATATTTCCGGAAGTACTTAGGGACGGTATCGGATTAGACATTAATCCTCTACGCGATAAAGAAATCAAATATTACGATCAAAGTCACAAATTACAAGAATATCAGCAATTTTTAAAAAAGTATTCATAATCTACAGTTTTTAATCTATTAATATAATGTTTATTAAAAAGCAGACGATGTTTAATATAATGTTTTCTTTCTGACTTTACCCCCGTTTTGTTTGATTGTTATTTTTCAATTTTTTTATAGGAAATTGCATAGAAAAAAAAACGTCTAGATTAGAATAATCGATTGTTTTTACAATTAATTTTACATAAATAGACAATTTTTACTTTTAGTAAAAAGAGGTAGAAAGAAAGAAAAACTCGAATATTCTATTATTGAAACAATTAGTTTTGTACTTTCTTTTTGTATTGAATTCGAATAGTCAGTTAAATGGTAAATAAGTCAATAAATATAATATTATATAAATATTATAGGATTATATATACAGAATATATATATATATATATATATATACAGTATATAGTATATATAGTTATATTATATTAATGTAATTAAATTAATAACATGGAACGAGAATATATGTATAGTTTACGATTAAATATGACAAAATATGTTTTCAAGCCTTTTATTGTCATTCTACTTTTAGGCTTGATAAACGCATGACAAACTTAATTATGTTAGTGACATTGCAAGATATGCATTAATAGAGGGATTGTATTTCTATAATTTGCCTTTTAATGATGTAACTTTATGAGATAATAAACTTGGGATATTAAATTTTACACATTATTTATAGAATATTGCGACAAACACACTTTTTTTCAGATAACTGTTAAAATAGATATTTGTAAATAAGATATACACATTTATATATATTTAGAGTTAATCTGAGAAATTATAAATCCAGATACAAAACTTGCGTTGCTGTTATTGCGCCGCAAAAGCTCAGAACAGCTGCGCAAATGACAACTGGTACAGTCGAATTTATTAATTTCTCTAAGCTTCCCATTATTGCTGAAAGCAATAATTGGGCCAGAAATACCATAGAAGATACTACGGCAATATCAGTTCCAAGACCTCTAACATTTTTCTTTGTTTTCGATGATATTTCGGAAGTTTCTTCAAACTGTTTTAATAAGCATTAAAAAATTTATGTTTGTTTGATTTGTTAATTCCGAATTTAGATAAAAATTTATGAACAAAGAGGAGAGTTAACTTCAGGATAAATTGTAAATATGCTTTTATCTTGTAAAATCCTTACCGTATCATTTGAATGATAGTGGGCCACTAACAGATAAGGCATTGTAAATAGAGTAGCGTACATAACTCCGGCAGTTGGTGACAGTAAAATCACTGCTGCCTTACTTCTTGATATAGCGAGCAGTATCATACCACAAGTGTAAACAAGCTGACTAATTACATAAACGTTCCTGGCTTCTGCCAATTTCCGGGAAAAAAACATTATTCCACATTGAAAATTATAACTTTACTTAAGAAAAAAATCTTACTGAATTTTTTGACCAGCTTTTCTATAATTAAAGAATAGAAACTACAAGAAATCGAGTATAAGGACATTCCTAGACTACCCATTCTAACACCATTTTCGTATTTTATTCGTTTTTCCGAACCTTCTTCAGCTGATGGATCCCCACCATAGACGGTTTGTCCAACAAAATCGGTGAAATATAGGGAATAGCATACCAGTGACATCCAACAAAATAAATTTGTCAGGCAAAGAATAATCATGGATCTTGGCATTTGTATTATAGATTTCAAATATACTTTGATCGTTACTTCAGAAGGTAAATATTCTGTATTCGTCGTATTTTCTTCATCGTTTTCTTCTTTTGTCTGAAGTTCATAAAAAGTTCTTTTTTTTCTTAAAATTTCATTTTTTTTTCAATTTAACGAGTTTATTTATAGACATAAAATAATTTACCTGTTCTTTAGTAATATAAATAGAAATATTTGTGTTACCTACATCTTTCCCATCATCAATTTTAGGTATCTGAATATTATGATAATAAATATTTAGTTAATTACGAAAATATACAAATTTATTAGTAATACCATATGATTATCTGGAAATTTAATATTCTATAACTAATGAAATATTGTCTTTTACATCTCTCATTTAATTAATATTGGGATCGAGTAGAGAAAATGATGATTTAATTAATCTGATTTTGAAATAAAGATGGCGCCACTGCATGTTATAACTTAATTGTCTTTTGAAGATAAGGTATCGCTATGGCTATGCGATTTAGTTATAAAATACAAAATGAATAGAAAATAAGTAAAGATTTGTTTTTAAATATTAGAGATTTATGAGTTTCTTTTTTAATTGGAAGAAATGGCTGAAGGAATTCTACTCTTCTACCTTTCGTGACATTTGTGTTAATTACTTACCGGATTTACGTTATCAGTGGCTCCGTAAATGGTACTACCTTCAACATCATCTTCCTCATTACTAAATTTTCTGTATTTATTACCGGAAGCGCAAACTTGCACACACTGATCTTCAGACGGTGGAAGTTCCAATTTATCTAAAGGAATTTCTCTAACAGCAGTTATCGTTATCAATACGGCAATTATGTAAATGAAGAGAACTAATGTAAAGACAATGCTAACATCGGCTGAAAAGGAATTTGCTAAAGAGGCTTTTTGCCAGTCAATGCCGCCAATTATGTAACCTAACGATCCACCTAATCCAGCAAGTATCGTAAAGGTAGTTAAACCAATTGGATGATCAGCTTGTACCGTTACGTCTAAAAGATAAGCTCTACACGGTGACTGACAGCCATCGCAACACATATCCAACATAATTACTCCTAAGATTGTCATAAAGATACCTTTCGGTCTTTGATTGACAGGAGTTCGAATTGAGACCAAATGACTAGTCGAGTTATACGTAGTCGAATTGTCAGTCGAGTTCACTAGAATGTGTAAGGAGGAATCGCCTAAAGATCTTCCCCATTCTGTACCGTTAGGTACAAAGAGTAGCCCTAGAATAATTCCTATAGAAAGAATTAATATAAAGGGTCTACGCCTTCCGAGAGAAAATTTACATCTATCGCTGGCAGAACCGAGAATAGGAACAAGGAAGAATCCTAACAAGGGGCTTGCGCACCATACTAAAGTCATAAGGGCACGAGGAACTCCAATTGCAAGCAGTGTAGGACTTACAAAGGCAGTTTCGGCTGCATAACAGAACTCTATTCCACATACAGCAGCACTCAGACGCACCAGCTCTGATCTTGTTCGTCTAGTCGTCAGATGAGAATAGTCTTTAGACACGATCGAGTTTTTCATATCTTCAACTTGTGTTGATATAAAATTCAAGGCTCTCTCGTAGGGCATCTTCTCTCCGACCGTTTTTAAAGTTCGGAGAGAAGATGTCAATAGACCGATAGACATGTTTTAAAAGCGGTGAAAAACGCAGCCAAACTTGACGTCTGTAAAAACTTATAGAAGTATATGACGCTCGCCAAGACGTCTAACGGTGTTCCCAAGTGTAATTTATGCAGTATCTTTAATTTCTTCTCCACATTTTAAGTAGCCTCTTCCGTATTGTAATCAAACAATAATTCTTATCAAACATATAAATATAGACAAAAAAATTGATGATGAATATTCATATATTTTAATTAGTGAGCTGTTAAAAAACTTCTCAGTTTGCATTACTTAAAATATAATATCAACATCAATAGCATTACAAAATTATCAAAAAGAAATCAACACTATAAGCCTAATTTAAATAATTATAGTAATATGTTTATTGTACTATATTTGAAAAACATTTATAAATATATATATATATATATTAAAATCAATGAATAAAATAGTCTTATTAACCCTACCAAGCACACGCTACTTTCCTACAAGTGACGGCACGTGATCAAAAGCACTGTTATGGTCTCCAATAAAATAGTATCTTTACTTCGTTTCTTGTATTTTATTCGAAATATTTCGTATATATATATTTATATTAAACAAAAAAAGATGAGGTATTCAACAACGTTTAATCGAAAAAAAAAATTCTTTGCGCTCGACTTGGCCTTGTAGAAAGGAAATATAAAAAAAGAGGTTATAGGACTAGGAAAAAAGGAGGAGGAGCAGAAGAAGAAGAAGAAGAAGAAGAAGAAAAAGAGGATGATTAGTGTGGAAAAAACAACAAATGTTCCTCTTATTATATTTTCTTTATGTGCCATGTACTATTGAATTCTAGATTAATTAGAGCATGGAAGATACTGTTAAAAGCTTTAGTCTTGTTTCTTTTCTACCTACTTTAAAATTACTAGTAGAATTGAGTTAATTTTTATGCGAACTACTAATAACCTCGGGTTTTTATATTTTTACTCTGTTTCATCAATTCTTTTAGTCCCTTCTAAATTACTTTGGGTCTGTTTGTTTGAAATGGATTTATTTTATAGATAGAAATAAAAACATATTTACCATCATCCTGAACAATGACAAGGAGCGTTATATAATACTTTTGGCGTTAACAAAGGAAACCGTTTTTATATTGCATATATTGTCTTCATATCCAGATTGATGTTCGCATTAAAAATTGCTTTTTCCTACAAATTTGCTTTTTCTTTTTGTTTGGATTTTTATAGTTCGTTATCTTAATTTATCATTGTTTGTTATTGTGTCTTATTTGTTCTTATTATAGACGGAATTGAAATTAAATGAAAGAGATATTTGCAGTTTGAACTTGGATTTGTAGTCTATACAGAATGTCAGATATGCTGAAGGCGTTTAAGGACGTTTCTTAAAAAAAACGGATATTTGCATTCTAAATTAACACCTGTTTTGCAAATTCCCAAGGGCTATAGTATAGAAAAAAGCCTGTTTAGCTAAACGTAGAGCTAGAGATAGGTTTGTAATTGTCATATATTGTTGGCTTTGTTATTAGAGCAGATGAAAGACGGAGCGTGGAACGTATCTATCTGCTCAAGGATATTGAGAAGAATAGCAAACAAACAGGTTTGTATTTGGTAAATAGGCTGAATTGATCACGTTTTCCCTTTCTCAATGTACCGATTATATCGTTGTTGGTTATTGATAAAGTAACGAAATTTGGAACTGACGAAACATCCTGGAAGTGCCTCTCGGAAGAGAACCTGTCATGAGCCTAATAGGCCAGTTTATGGAGGTAATTCAGCAGTTTTTTCATGTTGTTATGGAAACGAGGTGTCAACTAAAACCAAACGTGGTTTGTCAACATAGCAAAATTGGTTAGATTATTCATATTAGCTAGATTTTTCTTTTTTTTATGCTGTTTCGCTATTTGCCGCCGGATTTACAGATTCTAGTCCTTGAGTAGTACTTGCAGTAGAGCGTTTTACGCGGAAAACGGGAGATGATGTCAATAGATGGCGGCAAGACTATTTATATTCTATTAAAAGAAAGTATTTGATATTTCATATTTTTACGTCATCAAGCAGATGTTGCCTTTGAACGGATAGTTTTTTTAAAATAATAACCCAACTAGCAAAAAGATTAGATTCTTCACTTTTCACCTTTTCTATTTGCTTTGAAAAAGTAAAATAATATGCTCTAGGGTTAAGAAAAGAGAGAGAGAGAGAGAGTAGGCTTACATGTTATACAGACCGCTAAAGGATTTATTTACTAAAGAATGCGTAACGCTTTTTAAAGTATTACAATATGATATTTATTTATAATATAATCGTTACAGTATGATACAATTTGTGGGCAGAGAAAGCCTAGTTAATTCCTTTTAATTTCATTTAGGAAGGCATTTCAATGGCTATTTCCCCTTAGATATTAATCATAATAAGGATAAATCACTATAGGCCAATATCATTTCAAGCTAAAGCTCAAATCCTCCTTGTCAACAAACATTCCTTTCACACGTGCTAATCGCGTATACTTTTTTTACTGCAAATGTCTGGAATACTACTACCAGCTTCAAGTCGCTTAAAGAGTGATTGGACCGATTATACGCTTATTATAGCGTCAAATTGCGTTGGAAACGTGGGACAATTATCAGCTGATTTGTTAATTTCAACGCTCTGGCTGAATAAAATAGCTTATTTGCATACTGATTTATTACTTCCAGCTGTTGGTAATGATCCATATGCAACAGGTAAGATCGAGAAAACTTGTAAATTAAGTACCTGTTGTGAACTATATGAAAATGAAGCCTTGAAATTAGCAATTATACAATTAAGGTCTAGGATAGCAAAGGGTAGAAAAGGAGAGTATGTAAGAAGATTAGAACATTGGATACGATGTTCAAAATTTGAAAATGTCATCATAGTATCTTCATCTAATTTACACAAACGGCAAGAGTCTGAAATAAAGGGCCCAACTTTCAAATATTTGATATCCGACACTTTAAAGGAAAGCGCCGGTAAAGTACTAAAAGACAGCCTTGAATGGAAAGAGCACGAGTACGAATCCATTGATAACGTTCAATTACCCGGTAGCGGTATAGCATTACCGTTATTCTCAAAGTGTTCAAAATTCGATATGAATATAATTTTAATCTTCGTATATACGGAAAGAGGAGATAATCTACAAAATGCTTATATACTATGTAACATGCTCAACGATTGGAAAGGTTGGTTGGATATGAAAAAAAGTGGAAAAACCGAAATTGCAAAAGGTCAATGGAAACCTCCAGTAAGTTGGCGATGGCGTCACGGTTACAAAAAGGATGATATGTATAAGTCTTAAACCAGTTGATTAGGATGAGACAATATTGTTCTCTTGTTATTTTTTACATTTCTTTTAGCTAACCCTGCCAAAGAAATAGTGTTACAGTAATATTTAAAGTTTAATACATTTTTTATGCAACGATTTCTCTTTTTCATTGAACGAATAAGACAAATTTTCTAAGTAAATAATCTCTTTTTATCTAATTATTAAACATTTTAAAGATTATCATTCAACATTTTCAGTGTCTTTTATTCATATGTTAATCCTTTGAGAGGTCTCCTCCTATTTAATCCTTGTCTTTTAACTTATATAGCTATTACTATTCAACGATTATAGAAATTGCTTATTGATAACTACGTACTATTTGTAATATACTTCTTTAGAGCTATTTCGTGAAAATCAATTCCATAGATAGAAAAGGAACATAGTCATAAAAACTTCCCCAAATTCGAGTGCTATTATATTCTTTGAAAGCTTTAATAAACAAATCATTCATAATAACTTTTAAAAGAATTATTATCAAATGTATTAATTACCTCTTTTCACCCTATTGTTGAAATCTTCCGTCAAATAAGTTTTATGTTAGTTTTATTGCGAAATAATTATTAATTTTAACGTTTAATCAATAATCTAGTTTTTGTTATAAAAAATTATTACATAAAAGAAGGAAAAAATAATTAAAAGCTATAAAATATCAAAATATATCCACGCTAGATGGAGCTTATCTCTTGTGTTGAAATTTCCAATTTTCCTTTTTTGTAAAACTAATATTATAGCGTTTAGGGCAAAAGAAGAGTCATCTGGTGATATTGGTATATATATTATATACTGACTATTCTTTATTGAAATAAAGTGCAAACCAAGATATAATAATCGATTTTTTTTTTCTATGTAAACTTATTTATAAAGAGAAAATGGCCATGTAATAATTCCAAATAGAAATTTCTATACTATTAGCAAATATTCTACAGTTCAATTTATTATTTCAACAGTCTTAAATGTTCGTATAGACTTTTAATAACTTGCTAGAATTTATTGTCTTTTAACTAGGGCTATGGGAATTATTTTATCGACGCAAAAGGGTTTAAGTTCGTTAAACAGTAAATTAATAGATGAATGATGTAGCTGTTTTATTAAAATTCGAATGTTTACACTTTTGGAAACTGGCTTTGAATAGTTTAGTAGGGGGAGAATGAAAGTTAGCCTGGTTACGTGGACCGGAACAGCAGATGTTCCCGCGAACTTCTAATTTGATCGATGATAGTCAGTTTGTACACAGAGACTCGTTCGATAAGTTTTATAATAAACGGGGATATTGCAAGAAACTTTTGTTCTTTGTGTCCAAAGCGCATATTTCCAAAATTTTGGATTAACATCATAAAGTAAGACTGAAAATTGAAATGATTTTTTTGTGAGGTCTTATCCGAAAAATATCTACATCTGCCACGGCAATTTCAACAATGAATATTTATTTGACGTGTTTACTATTTTTGATACTCTTTTTACTACACGATTGTCAAACAAAATCTGTTAATGTTGCCCTTAAGAAGCCAATAAATGCAAAAGTTACGTGTGGAACAGTCACTGGAGAGGAACCATTTTATGTTCATGCCCAAATATTCGAACCCACTTGGAAGAGAAAGGTATATACTTGTGTAAATGGTTCGCAATACCCTCCTGATACTATGGTAGACGGCTTGGTTGATACTTGGTGGCAGAGCACATCTAGATCAAGACTAATAAGTCTTGGTTATGGAAAGGATGGTAAGGAAATAGGTGAAATCACTATAGATTTAGAGCAGGTTTGTGTCAAAATTAAAAATAGATCCCTTTTCCAAATTTAAACTACTTTTTATATTCAATTGCTTAGGAGTTTGAAATTAATTCAATTTCACTTCAAATGGGTGATAGCTTACGCCCTAAGTTAATGTCTGTTAAAAAATCAACTGATGGAGTTACATATAAATCCTGGCTTCATAAAGTTACCGTTCGGGACAGCGACTGTCCTGAAAAATTTCCAACTGCAATCCTTTCGGATATACCATCAAATCTTTTTAGTATATTATGTCAACAATATATTCTTGATAAACCAGTTACAAACGAAATAGTAAGTATGAATTATTCATTATGAATAGTTGTATTGGTTTTTTCCCCCCACCAAATACTTGTACTTGAATGTGAATGTTCACGCAGATTAAATTCGATTTATCCGTTGTTCCAACAAATCTGGCTGTAAGTATTATCAAATCTTAACGTGTAAAACATAGCTAAATTATGTCTATCAACCCTAAATAGGCTTTCAAGAAAGCAAGATATTTAAAAATATTGTTCTATACTATGGAATATACACTTGGTTTAACTGGAGATAGATTTGTAAGTATTCCTCTATATGTGTCCTATTACATCTCTTTTGGAAACGAATGCTAATGAATGATTAATTAAATATATATATATATATATTATATATTTATTTATATGAGTGCATACAGTATATATATATAGTGTATATATATATATATATATATATATATATATATATATATAGTATATATGACTGTTATGAAACATGTGCGCATATTAAAAAATTCGTAATTATTTGCATCCCGTGATTATTGATTTCGGATGACTGGAGCGTGACTATTTAAAAAAAAACAACTGAATACGCACTCAAGTTAGATATTTGCGCTTGAACATTCAAACAGAAAGTGAAAAATCAATAATCAACTATCAAGACAGCATCTGCTTTTGTAATTTCATAAAAAATTGATAGTCATAGATTCGTTTTTCCCCATGAATAATTTTCTTTTTCTTAAATATTTCTCTTCAAAAGTTATTGATGATATATTAAAAATATATTTTACAGCAACATTTTACAGTTAAGGAATTAACTGTTATGGCCGAATGTGTATGTAATGGTCTTGGAACTGATTGCGTTAAAAGTAACAATACAGGGAGATTCGAATGTATTTGTGGGGGAAATTCTGAAGGGAGATTTTGTAATAAATGTAAACCTTTCTATAATCAACGAAAGTTTCAATATGGCAAAACTTGCGAAGGTTTTACTAATTAATTATTATTATCTATCTATCTAAAAATATATATCATTTACATATACATCAATTATTTTTTTTGTGTTCTTTAAACAATAGCTTGCGTTTGCAATAAACACTCTGAAGCCTGTTATTTTAATGAAACGGTTAATGCTCTAAATATGAGTAAAGATGCCACCGGTAAGATGAGTGGGGGTGGTACTTGTATTGATTGTCAACATAATACGACTGGTCAGTATTTTTTTATCTAAGACATAAACGTTTCTAAATCATTAATTTCATTTAATTTTACATTTAAATCTTCCCTTTTTTAGGTGTTAATTGCGAAAAGTGTATTAACTTCTTCTATAGACCTTTAGGAATTCACCAAAACAGTCCTAGCGCTTGTAAAAAATGCAGTTGCCATGGCCCAGGTGTTACACTTAATCCGGAAACTGGATTGGTTGGTGACTGTATTATGAATGATGACAAACCATTGCCGAGTGGGAAGGTAGAGTTTTCTCTCTTTCAAATCCGTTTTATGCACTAAGCTAGTAAAATGTATTTTTTTAAAATTTCATTTTATTCTCAGAAACCGGGCGATTGCATATGCAAAAAAAATGTTCAAGGTACTACTTGTGATCAATGCAAACCCGGATTCTTTAATTTAACTTCCGATAATCCGAACGGCTGTCAAGGTATAAGCATAAAGCATTCTATAACTTGAATCGATTTTTTTCGTTTTAATGTATTATCTTTTCTCTTCCTAAGATTGTTTTTGTAATCCGTCCGGTACTTTGGGAGGAACGACTGTTTGTCTAACGAACGCAACAGGAAGTTGCCCCTGTAAGAAAAATGTTATGAATAGAAGATGCGACGAATGTTTGGATGGTTTTTATGGACTCAATGAAACGAAAGCAGATGGTAAATATAAAAAAATTGACATTATCAGCAAATAGAACAAAAGAGAAACTAGAAGAAAGTATAAATATAAAAATTTGCTGATACGTATTATCAAATAATTCTTTACATAAAATCTTTCCTCTTTATTCATAAGGTTGTACAATTTGCGATTGCGACGCTGGAGGTTCATCATCCTCTACGTGTAGAAAATCTGACGGTCAGTGCCCCTGTCGGAAGAATGTTGACGATCGCCAATGTAAAAGGTTTGAATACTACTTTTGTTGATGAACAGAGTGAATAATCAATAAAAAATTATACATAATATACATATTTTTATAGTGTAATACAACAAACTTTTTATCCTGGAGCTCATTATTTCTCTTATCAATTTGAGGATGAAAAAGGAATGTGGGATAGAGTTCAGTCAGGTTTTTCAGGAATAGGATACGCATTGGTTAATGTTAATGTAAGTTATTTCCCTTTTAATTATACCTTAAACAAATATATAGTATATCTATATATATTTAATTATAATAATTAATATTGTCAGAATTCGGCAAAAGCTAATTTTAAGATACCTGAAAATAAATTATCTGGAGTTTATATTGTTTTGATAAAATATGTCTCCACCCTACATGCTACGGGCAAATTATCTATTAGCATACTTGGTTAGTACTACAATCACTCTTTGATAATTGAATATGTATTCATAAAATGCCCTTTTTTTTATACATTCAATTATTTTTTATTGTAAACTGCTCACAGCCGGTGCAAATCAGATGATAAGCTTGACTTTTAATCAATGCTCTAAAGATTGGTGTATAATCAAAGCGGAATCTAATGATAGAGAAAACGTAACATTAGCACCGAATATACCATACACAGCTACAATTTCAATTAATGAAGATCATAATGTTTTCTTTGTAAGTATTTATTTTCTTATCGTATTAAAAGGATTTATATATGTTTTCCCGGTAAATGACTATTTTTTGTGTCTGTTTTTCTTTCTATAATAGGATGAAATCATTATTCTACCAGAGGAGTTTTTCAAAACAGAGAAACTATTAGGTGTTGACAACTCAAAAAAGTTTTCAAGCACTTGTAACATAATTAAAAATGATCTAAAGTAAATTTTAATTAACTTTCTTTGATGTGTTAATTTCATTGTCATTTTCATATTTAGACTTAATTCACCTACTGACGGACCTTTTTGTAAATCTCAAATATTTTCTTTATGGACTAATTATTTAGATGGAGCATTACCGTGTGACTGTCATCCTGAAGGTTCTTTCAATAATACATGCTCAAACTTTGAAGGTCAATGCCATTGCAAACCTGGAGTGGGCGGTCGCAGGTGTGACGAATGTCTTGCAGAATTTTACGGTTTAGATAAAGATGGATGTAAACGTGAGGATCTCTTTTCGTTGATTTGGCAATATTTATTTATACAATATATTACTTAAAAACAGCTTGCGATTGCAAAGGTAAGTCTACAGTATGCGATCGGAAAACTGGCCAATGTGTTTGCCAACCGAATTCAAGTGGTCGTCAATGTGAGAAGTGCTTAGATAATTATTATGATTGGACAGCTGATAAAGGATGTCAAGTTAGATAATACTTGAATTATTGAATATATAATTCTAATACTTTTGTACTAATATCATTCAGGACTGTAAATGTGATGTGAGAGGATCACTTACACTTCAATGCAATATCACAAGTGGCATATGCGATTGCAAATCAGGTGTTTTCGGTGAAAAATGTGACACTTGCGCAGAAAAATATAAACTGTTTAGCAGCTCGGGTTGTTCATCTTGTAATTGCGATATGCAAGGAAGTACTAATGCCGTATGTAATGATACTACCGGTCAATGCCCTTGTAAAGTGAGTATTTCAAACTTATAGTAACAACATAACAATACAAAATATGTTATTAAAAACAGAAAAATACGGGAGGTTTAGTATGCGACGTTTGCAACGAATCAAGCTTTTATAATGATGTTTCTCACAAGTATGGCTGTTTGTCGTGTGTTTGTATGGGAGTATCTAAGAACTGTAAGAGTACTGTATGGAATAATGTTTTGGTAAGATAAGAAAAAATTGAATTAATTCTTAAAAAGCGGACAGTTAACTAATTAAAAATTATTCATTCGTATAGATAACTATGCCAGCCAGTAGTTCGTCTTTTGAAGGAGGAGTTCTCAAGCATAATCCAAATTATAATTTGCGAACTGAAACTACCGTTCAGGATATTAATTTTACCTTCCCAATCGCTCCTGATTCAGGCATAAGATTGCAACAGACGGACGTCTCCGGTACAGAAAGTTTATATTGGCAACCAAAGAAACAGTTAATCGGAAATCTTTTGACTATGTACGAAAATAAAATCTACTTTGATGTCTATTATAAAGAATTAGAAACTGGTGGTAAGAATAAAGACTTATCTGTTCTTCTTCTGGGACGTAAAAATGATAAATACGTATTTAATATTGATCCGGTTGATATTTTTTCTTTGTATTACTTTTAAACTGTCTTTAATCGAATAAAAAAACATTCTAGATTGACGGCGGAACTTTGACCAGATTAAATTTTACTTTATCGGAAGCAGCAGCAAATCAAAAGAATGGAAAAGATATTGAAAGAGAACAGTTTCTATTAGCTTTGACGGATGTTCAAGCTGTACTTTTACCAGCCGTGTTCAATGACAAAAAACATTCATCTGGGTAAGTTCTGGTACTCATTTCAAAAGATCTATAATCTAACAATTAAATATCTATTGTATAGTATTGGAAATTTGAAATTTGAGAGAGCAGATCCGTTGGGTTTTAGCGGTAGATCTTTGGGAGTTGAGAAATGCTCGTGTCCAAAAGGTTACGAAGGTCTTTCTTGCGAAGTATGTACTATAAAGCCTTTTTCTTAATAAACGTTTTTATGATAATGATGAACAACTATTCCAGAAATGTTCGGAGGGTTATAAGAGGGAAAATGTTACAACTCAAGGATTTTTAGGATTCTGTGTACCTTGTGAATGTAATGGACATTCGTCAAAGTGTAATGCAGATACTGGAGTTTGCGAATCCTGTTTACACGATACTGACGGCGATAGATGCGAGATATGTAAATTAGGGTTTTACGGTAATGCAACGAACGGTACGCCAAATGACTGCAAAAAATGCCCCTGTCATGAACCTCGAGTTCGTAACGATACTTGCCAATTAGTGAATAACAATCCCGTCTGTTCTTTTTGTAATGAAGGTTACTCTGGAGATCTTTGTGATAAGTAAATTTCTCTTAGAACCCTGTAAAATTCCATAAATATCTATCAATGTTAATGTTTTTTAAATAGATGCGAAAACTTTTATTTTGGTAATCCGGAGGTAATTAATAAGGGAAGTTGTAAGAAATGCTTTTGCAATGGTAATGCTGAATCTTGCGATAAAGTTACCGGAGCCTGTTTAAATTGTACTAAGAATACAATTGGTAAGCAATGCGAAAGATGTCAGGATGGAACTTACGGTAACGCAACAGTACCAGATTGTAAAGGTAAGTTTGTTTAATTAATATTTTATGAGAAATAAATTTTCCATCTACTTGGTTAGCTTGCAACTGCGACGAAAAAGGGTCAAATTCTACCGTTTGCCATCACTTTACCGGTCAATGCCCGTGCAAGCCTGGAGTTGGAGAGAGAACTTGTTCGAAATGCCTTACAGATTATTATGGATTCACAAATACTTCTTTTGTTGGTTCGTACTTTAAAGAATGACAACTTGCATTACTCTGTTCAATAAAAATGTAACTTTTGATAGGTTGTGTTCCTTGCAACTGCAATAGTGCCGGAAGTCAAACAGGTCAATGTAACGATGATGGCATTTGTACTTGTAAAGATGGCAATACAGAGGGAATTAAGTGTGATTCCTGTAAAAATAATTTTTGGGGTCTACCAAAGCAAGCTTGTTCTGGTAAATTAAGTTTTCTTATTGAATATATCAAATTTAGTATAATCATATCAATTCAGCATGTCAATGCGATATTACTGGATCTGTTGATTCAACAAAACCTTGCGATAAAGTATCTGGTCAGTGCGATTGTAAGGAAGGTGTCGCCTCTAGACGCTGTAACGAATGTAAACCGTTATATGTAAATTTTGGTGCTACAGGATGCACAAGTAGGCTTACAAACATTAAAATTCACTCCTAGATTGATTCTATTAATTTCAATTTGTTCATTAAGGATGCGGTGATTGTTCTTTTGCTTTGGGCAACGATACAAATAGGCTTACGGATAGCTACAAAGACTATTGGAATACATCTCAGGGAGTGGGAAAATTACAAGATGAAGATATCTCTTTACAAGTTATTATATTATTAACAAAAAGTAGACACTATTAAGAACTAAATCGTAAACTTTCAATAAAATTTTAGAGTCTATCGGCTGAGGTAAATTCAACCATCAAATCTTTGGGAATCAGCGGAAATCAACTAGATGTTTTAGAGAAGAAAGTGACTAATTTAACAACAGCTGAACCTTTATATAATTCAACAATGAAAAATTTTGAAACTGATGTAACTATACATAAATCTTTATTGAATTACTATCATAATAATTAAAATTGTTAATTTAAACCAAAAAAAAGATTGAAAGTCTACATTTTAAAACTGGAAAGTTATTAAATGATAGTCTAGAAGAAAAATCAAGGATAAATAGCTTCAAAAATCAATCAAATTTTGCTTGGACGAAAGCAAGAACAGCAAATAACATTGCCAAGTCTTTGGTCACACAAGTAGATAATTGGAATAAAACAGCTCACGGAGTAAGTACAAAACATTTCTTCATACAATCAATAAAAATATGAATATTCTCGTTTCTTTTACTAGTATCTACTTCTGGGAAATCAAGTTTCCAATAGGGTAAATAATACATTTACAAAGGAAAGAGAAGAAATATCTAAAACTCAGGCTAAAATTGATGCAACTGTGGCGATTGCTAACAGCTATAGTAACAAAGTTGATGTATTGGTAATAAATATTAAAATATTTATGAATATATTATAATTTTTTTAATATTCTCTATAGAAAAACAAAACAGCAGAGTTGAATAAAGATTTAATAGACAAGGAGAGTAATTTCAAAAAGTTAAAAAGTGAAACAGAAGTTATTAGAGGTCAAGGAATGACATTGAATAATACGGTTAATGACGTCTTTACAACCATTAACGCAACTCTAGTAATTAAATTTTTCTCTCTTCTTATAAATATTATAATTTTTTTCATTTAAATCTATTTGCAACACAGCAAAATCGACAAGCGGCAATCGATTTGTTTGAAGAAGGTATTAAAATATTTGATCTCTGCGATAAAATATTGGACGACGGTCAAAAAGAATATACAGATGGGAAACAAGCTTTAGATGATGTCAATATTGCCATTTCCGGTTCAGCTACAAAATTACCATTAACTTCTAATATGGATTTATCTGGTAACCTATATAAATATCTATTTCCGCTTTTTTATGTTCTTTTTCTATTAAATTAACTATTAATATAGGTATTGAAAATTATGAAAAGGGAGCACTAAAATTAGAAGTCAAAATAAACGATTCTATTAGTAAAATTGATGATTTTGATAAATTATTCAGTTCTGTTCGAGTTGTTGCTGATGCTTTAAAGTCAAATGCTACGAGAATAAGCGAGTTTGTAGTAGTTTTAAAATCTTAAAAGATTAAATATTTACTTGAATATAGAAAAAATACACATTATTGTTTTTTCTTTGAATAGAACCTTTAAAAGTGTTGAGACAAGAGGCGAAAGAGCGGTTAAAGCAATAAATGATTATGAAGAGGTAATAAAAAAGTTGAACGAGTCCACGAATATGGCTCTCGAAGCAAATACAACTTTAAAAGATACTTTAGATGAATTGAGTAAAGTATCAGCAGAAGATCTTCAAAAGCAAGCAACAACTGAGAAAACTGCAAGTGAAAATTTAAAGAAAAGTGTTGAAGCCAACTCAAATTTAAATACACGTAAATACGAACAATTATGTAAATTTATTCAAGAATATATAAATATTACATATTAAATAAATTTACAGAGTTGAATAACGATATAACAAGATCAAGAGCAGCTCTTAAATCAACAGAACAAGAATGGAATAATTTACAACCAAGTATTAAAGATTATAATAACAAAATTGATACTTTAGTTAAAACAACTAGTGGTTAGTAATACAATATAGAATGTTATCCTTTTTCAAGTTTTTTTAAGTGAACAATTACAAAACAGATACTAAAGTTGGTGAAGATAGTTCCAAGTTCTCTGTAACAGCTAACAATATTATCAGATCGTCGCAAGTGATTCTTGCCGAAGATTTAATAATAGCCGTAAGTTAAAGAGATTATCTTTTAGTACTTTAAATAGTCTATTTTTAATAAATATTTTTTTTAGAAAAATGTTCAAGTTGAAAGAGAAAAAGTAACAACTTTAGAGGAAGCGATAAAAAATTCAACTACAAAAGAAGAAAGTATAAAAAATCAATGTAAATATACTCATATCCCTTTAATCAAATTACTATTAAAACCTTTCATCATTTAGTAAAAAACTATAAAAGTGATTTGGACACAAAACAAAAGACCATAAAGGAAATTGAAGCTGTAAAAACGTTAACAAATACAACAAAATATGATGTTGAAAGTCGATTAAGCGCTTTGGAGGTTAAAGTTAATGAAGCTAGACTACTACTAGGAAAATTAGAGCAGCCGGTTAATTTTGAAACAGATGACTATGTTGAAGCTGTTAATCCTGATGCTGCTAAAAATAATCTAAGATTTAATGAAATATATCTAAAATTTCGATTTGAAAATTTCCCAAAAGGAGTCATATTTTTTGTTGAAAATAAAAAGAATAAAGAGAAATTACTTCTACAGGTAAAATTATTGATTAATTAATTAATTCTTTATCTTAATTCGAATATCTGATCTTATCTTTGCTTCTCTTAGATTGTTAATCAACAGTTAATGTTCGCGGTTCATAACGACGTTAGTGAAGTTAAGGTAATCTCTCCAACAACTTTATGTACAGGCTGTTGGTTTAGAGTAATTGCAACCAGGTTAATACTTAAATTGAAAGTACTAAATAAATTATTAACTTTATTTGTTGCTATTATTTTTCTTATAGATATACAAAGTACTGCCAATTAAGTATTACAAAATTGGATACTGGTGGAGTTGCCGTACATCATGAAGAACTTTCTGGTAGTAAAGAGACTATGACTCTTGACGGTAACATATACGTTGCTGGTTTACCAACTTCTATGATTGTAAGTTTATTTTGATAAAATAATATCTGCAGTGTATATATTGAAAGCCTTTCTCTTTTAGACGACTAAGATAGATAACAGTACAAGAGGATATAAGGGATGCATTCATGAATTATCATATAATAATAAACCAATATCATTATGGAATAGTATATTGTCTAATGAAAATCAAACATTAAAATGCTGCGGTCAGCCGCCAATACCTCCTTCCGCTCCTACTGAAACAGGAACAAGTTTTGGTGGTTTTGGAATGCTTCGAACAGAATCGTCCTCCCTTGACGTTTCACAATTATCTCGAATCAGTTTTGAGTTTATCACTTGGGATTCTCAAGGAACAATTTTATTAGTTGATGACTCAAACAGTACTCAATATTACGGGTTATTCATAAACGATGGAAATATTATTTATGAATTTGGTAACAGTGCGGATAGTAAGAGTGTTACATCTCTAAAAAGCTCTAAAAAATATAATGATGGCATGTGGTATGAGGTTTGTAATTAATTTTTATACTATTATTCCTATTATAATGTATAATTATGTTTCATTCCAGCTTGAAATAATGCACAATACAACATATGCAGTATTAACCATTGCCAAAGTTAACAAGACTTTAGATCCTAGTATGGATGTAAAATCATCTTCCAATTTACCATTGGGAGATTTAAAAGACCTATCGAAGAACGATATTACAATTGGAGGACAAAATTCAAATACAACTCAGACGTTAGTTTCCATTCAACGCTGATATACTAATTGATTTATTATACATATTTAATTACAATTTACAGAAAAGGACCGGTTACAGATAGTTTCGCCGGAGCTATTAGGCAATTTCAACACAATGTTGGCAATAATCTTAAACTAGTTCCTAGAGTTTTGAAGGAGAGAGTGATAGAAAGTTCGAATGTATTTCACTCAATTTTTGACCTTTTGACGAAGGGATTATGGTTTAACGGACCAAAAGCGGCTGCTTCAATCATCCTTTCTAGTACACAAAGATTTGTTAAAGAAATCGAATTTGAATTCATAACATTTCAACCCTCTGGAATTCTCCTCTACGGCCCTGGAACTAGTCGGGTAAAGTCCTTAATATATTTGTTTAAACTTATAAATATAATTATTAAACTTTTTCAGTCATTTTTCTACATTGCAATCTATAATGGTGATCTATTTTTACAATTTGAACAATCTCGAGGAAGACAAGCTCCATTGAGAAGTCGAGGAAAATATCTTAGTGAAGGAATTTTTCATAGAGTTGTAATCAACTTTGAATTTGAAAATAGGTTAAAATTACTAAATTTAATTTATCTACTGTATTATGTTATGAATAACAAAATATATAATAATATAAAAACAGTCCAAAAATGACCATTGACGGAGAAACTCATCACGGAGCAATAACTATGACGCCTACAATGACACTCGATTCTCCAAATATTCGATTACACGCTGGTGGACCTTTCGGTATTGAATTACCTAATGATTTACCAGTAACAAATAACTATATTGGTGGAATAAGTAATTTGAAAATAAATAAACAGTAAGTTTGATTCATTTATACTGGCTAGATTCTCAATTAATATACCATATTTATATAATTACCAAAATAGGTCGATCGACTTTCTGAGCTCTGCTGTTCTTAAAAAATCATTACAAAATAATGTCTTCCTAAGTGGAGTCCCAGGGAGTCTGGAAACTTTGCCACCTTTGCCATATGTTACAACACCAGCACCACCAACAACACCAAAGCCAACTTGTGCGATACCCAAACAAACACCTGGAAAAGTAATTGATGGAGTGAATTTTGGCCAAGAATCAGTTTCGTATCTATCATTTGATTTAAAAGGAAACTATGCAAATGCTCTTCGAAGCAGGTGAGATTTGTTTTAATTTGTTAATAAAACAATCTCTATTTAACGATTGTTTTCCTTGTTTCTTTTATATTAGCTTTACTATAGCTGTGGAATTTCGGGCTTTAGAGCCTGATGGATTAATACTTTATGCCGCTGATCAAGTACCAAACCCAAGAATGTACGTTGCAATCTACATGCATAGTGGATATATATACGTTAGCATTGATTCTGATACACCTACAAGCAATAGTGTTGGATCAAATGGTCATTCCCCAACTAAGTTACTCAAGTCTAAGAATAAGTATAACAATGGCAAGTGGGAAGAAGTAAGCCATAAATTTTCGTCATATCTTTTGATTGTTTCAATTAATTCCTTTATTATCACTAAAAAGCTAACGGTACTAAGGATAGCCGATTTCATGGCTTTGATCATACCTGACAGTAAGGATTATACAAATAATAGAATAAATGCTGTCGGAAATGCTTTTATTGATATAAAGACTCCTTTATATTTGGGTGGAGTCCCTCAAAGTGTTGTTGGTTCACCGTTCAATTCAAATAAAGATATTATAGTAAGATAATTATTACGTATATGAAGAAAGATGCTATAATATTCATTCATTCTCTTTTTAGATCGGCACTATACCTTTTAAAGGTTGTATCCGAAAGTTAACTGTGTCAACTAACGAAAATACTATACCATTTAATCTCGTGTATGTATCCAGTATATGTATACATATTACATATTATTAATATACCACAATCCCTTTATTTTTGAATAGGTCACCAACCGACAAGAAAGGAACGAATAAATGCTATGAACAAGTTATGGCTGGAACGTTTTACAATGCTACAAATGCTTATGCTATGATTGGTGACTCTACAACCAATACCTTTGATATTGGTATTAGAGGACGAAACTTCAATTTCACAGTGACCTTTCTTAGCACAGCTTTAAATGGAACGCTGGTCGTTTCTTATGGTACTTCTCAACAATACTTCTTAATTGATATAAACAATGGAGCGGTAAGAATAAGTTTTATTCTAATTATTAAAATTACATGCCAATGTTTAAATTTTTCCTGTTAAGGTACGAGTCTCATTGGGTAATTCTCAAAATGTTGATAAGCCATTTGAATATATCATTCAAGATTCAATAACTAATGGAAAGTATTCAGTATGCAATAATCAAGAGCACAGACTTATGGTGGATGTCACTAGTGAAGGCATAGTAACACAATTTGATGCAAAACCTCCTGTTGCCACCAAATATCCAGCTGGTTTTACTATTCCTATTTTAAACAAATCTGTCCTCTATTTAGCCGGATTAAAGAGTATGTAAAACAGTCGCTTTAATTATTATAAAGTAAGCAAAAAATGATGAATTACAGATCCGAATTGGATATTTCCGATAAAAACCCACGGAGAAAGCTTTACGGGATGTATTAGCAATGTTTATGTTAATGATAGAAGTTTTGCTATGAGTCATTCAAGCGATAAAAAGGGTCTTGAAAGCGGATGCCCAAGTTTTTAACAATGCATTTTTTCTTTTTCTTAAGTCATTACGGTGCTCGAAAACTTTTTATAAAGCTTTTTTTAAAATGTAAATATCTCTCTCTTTCTCTCTCTTTCTATATATATACCAATAGCTATAGCTTATATGCTACCGGATCTGGTTTTTAAACTTTTTAAATCAAGATGGATGAATTGTTTCCGGTTTCTTTTACCTTTAAGGAAATATTCACTGAATACACTTGCACATATTAAAAAGCTATAAATATATATATATATATATAAAAAATATGTATGTATATATGTATATATATATATACAGTATATATCATTCAACATAATGATACAGATAGCAGACATCAACATTTTGTATACTGTACAATAAATATTCGATGAAACCTCTCGTTAAAAAGTGAATATGCATGCTCTAAATAAATAATAATTTTGTATTCTATTAAGTATTTGTAAAGTTTGGTTCATTTGCAGTTGACCATACTTTACTCGTCATCATAATCCTTCACACCAATAATGATTTCAATAATTCAAGTTCAGTAGTGTTCAGCCTGTGTCTTCTTAGAAACATAACCTAAATTGTAATTTTCTTCATTGCTCGGTTCCACCTTTACACTTCTTCCACTAACAGGTCGAGGGGTTCCAGATCTGGATGTTGATTCTAACATTCCAGACATAGCAGATTCTGATCTCAATTGATCTTGCTTCTTCATAAAACTAATTTCTTGTTTACGAGCTGTCTTATACTTGTCTGTTATCCAGAAATCTAAAGATTGAACTCTCATGTCTAAAGTTTGCAGGTGATCAACGTAGCCGCTACCAATTTCTGAAAGTATATATATATTATATTAAAGATTATTATGTTGGCTGTTTTCAATATAAAACTTTACCTTGTTGGGGTTTATTCATTCCCATGAACTTTTTAATCTTAGAGAATAGTGTAGAGAAAACTTTGTATTCATCTTTGACACTATCCGGATTCAAACGAACCTGTATACATTTAAAGAAGAATTAGTTTCTTATATGTTATGGTAACATTGAATATACCTCGTAGAAAGCAGCTCCCAGAATACCCAAGAACATGTTGACTAAGACGAGATACATGAGAACCACGAATAAAACAAAGAAAGTTGGACCAAGAACGTGATCGGCCTGTTCCAGTCCCTTGAAGTCGAATTTTCCCAACAACATAGAATAGAGTGCTTCCAACGTTGAAATAAAAGTGTGGAATTGGTGCAATTTGACTCCAAATAACTTATAAGCGAATGTAGCAAAGGCCACAAATAAGACAAAGAATGAAAATCCAAAGCCTATTAATTCCTTAGCTGCGTGTTTAAGTGTGGCACCCAAGAATGCAATATTTTTGTTGAATCTCAAAAGTCTAAGGAATTTGATGTTAGCTACAAACGCGATAAAGGCTGTTACGTATTGTAATATTTCATCGTAGGTTGCCAATTGCATATAATTTATATAACTATCCTTATTATCTTTCAGATCATTCATAATCATTTTACCCCATATCTGTCTTGTTATGTACATAGCTGTAGCTCCAATTGACAATAGAATCAAAAGAAGTTCGATGTAATTCCATGGATCTTTCCAGTATGGTTTGCCTAACTTTTTCATTTCCAGTGCCTCTCGTACTATAAAGTAGATTATAACAATAACGTAAATTATCTGACAAACCAGGACAACTGTTCCCATTCCACCTACGCCGGCATAAATTTGGAAAGCTGTAACTCTTGGGTTAACAATAACACCACCTGATGCTGGAAATTCGCTCAGATAGTTCACATAGGCAAAGAGATTAACTTGAGGGTTGTAAATTGTCCATTCAGCAAAAACTGCTCTTGTATACTGATCAACCCACATATTTTCTTTCAAATTGATCAAAGTTTTTAGAGCTTGATATCTTGATGTTCCAAGATCGGCAACATATCCTCCACCGCCGTATGTTGCTTGAGTTCCCCAGAATGGTAAACCTTTGAGATCGTAGATGCTATTGTATTTAAATGAATCCTGTAATCTCTGCTCATATTTGTCAGCGTAAGCTATCGTTTGATTCGAATGACGAATTAGACGCCAATTTGATTGAAAGTGCCTATTTTCTTCAGTCCAAACGTTGTATGGTTCGTTACATTCAAAAACAAGATCTTTTACTATTTTACTTTGAATATCACACGACGCTGGTTTTACTCGGACTTGTCTTAATCTGGCTACCCCGACTCGGAAGGATGCCTGATCGTCCATGTACATCATGTTTCGTCTAGAAGCGATCTTCAGATTGTAATTTCTTTCATAGAACATTCCAGGTAAAAGAGTTTCGTTAGCCCATTGCCAAAATTTAAAACCATCTTGTACTTTGGAAAATCCGAATTCTTCAACTTTCGGACTCTTTATATCAAAAAGCTTATGAATTGAGCTATGAGTAAGGTAAACACCATATGATTTAGTTCCCCAAGCTATAAATGAAACGAGAAGCAAAAAAACAAAATAACTACATGCTTCCTGCAACATAGACATTGTTTTCTTTTCCTTCAATCTCTCAAATCTCATTTTAGCTAGTTTTTTCTTACTAGGAGGTTCCGGAGCTGACACTGACATGGCTTGTTGAGTTGCAAGGATTGGGTCATCTTCCAGCAATTCTTCATCATCATCAGCTTTGGCTTTGTGAGCCTTAGTTTCCATTTCGTCCTCATCATCAACCTTCTTGAATATGCAAGACATGAACATAGCGATGACAATTACCTTCACTGGTTGAATAAGCATAACGCTTTGGAAAAAGGACAAGAATAGGGATGACAGCCATTTTTCTGACTTAGATTTACCCCATTCTAATGAATAGAAGAGAACAAAGAAAGCAGAGAGAGAGCAAGAAAGGAAAGAGAGTACCCAACCAATATAAACACATTGATATGGCAGGGGATATCTCTGTCTCCAGAAAGGAATCTTCTTTGTCTCTTTCACTTCATCCTTTTTATCTTCTTCCTCAGAATCTTCTACTTTGACATCTTGTAGATCTTCGACCATCTTTGACTCCTTGTTACTCTTAGATCGATTGAAGAGGATTGCTCGAACTCTTTTATCAGCTTGTTTTAAAGCTTTCTTTTTCTTTTCTTCTTGCTGTTGTTTTACGTTAAATTCTACTTGATCTTTCGATTTGGATTTGCGGAATATTTGAACGATGATAATATTTATAGGCACAACTGTCAAATTGCCTATAACTGATACATAAAGTGTTGATACAGAGAGAATAATTGGACCTAAGATAATGGCTTGATCACTCTTAACTTGTTCGTCAGTTCTGTACCACATTGCGTTTGCAATCATAGTTGTAAGCAATAGAGTTAGACAACAAGTTAATCGTTGTAAACGAGTGAAGTTTGATTTTGTTGGTCTGGATACAACAGAAAGCCAAAGATGCTCATCGGATATATTTTTTCTTGCTGTTGTAAAGAACAGATGCTTGAATCCCTTAATTTCTTCTTGGTCAGCAACTGGAAGGATTCGCTGAACCTGTCCATCATCTTCCTCGGTGGCCAACCATTTACCACAAAGGAAGAAGTAGCGAGTTTTTGTCTGAATATCTTCAACAACTACTTTATCAAGGAACCAGGATGCATTATCTCCCTCGCCACTATTGTCATGCCATATACGAAGAAAAGTCAAAGCTCCTAGAGAATGATCAGCTGACATAATATAATGACGAACTGAATCTCTGGCTAGAGGTCTTTCCTGTTTATCGCTCATACTTCTGATTCCTGTATCACCAATATCACCAGATAGAATGAAACATACATTTGATTTTGTTCCTGCTCCAGCTCTTACACCAGTGTAAACAGAAACTTGATAATAGTAATTATGAAGTGGCCTATTATCTCTGAGAGGCATAGTACCCCATTTCTCTAAATCTCTCTTATCTCTTCTTCTAGTCCAAATACCAAGTAGAGTATACACAAATAAGATTGAAAGTAAAACTGACAATACAGTTGGATTAGCAGCCAAAAGAGCAGCAAAGTTATTAAATATTCTCTTAAAGTTTATCTTATTTACTTTGGGCAATGTTACACCTCCTGAAAAGGCTTTCAAAAACGTTGTAACTTTCTTACATTTACACTTAAGAGTGGTTGTGGTCGATGATTTATCAACTTCGCAACCTTCAGTTGTCCATTTTTTGGTTTCTTCATTCCAAGCTCTACATCTTGCTTCTGATGATTCAATCACAAATTGAGATTCAGAATCATTTAATTGAACTGGTGGTAAGTAGATCGATCTCTTTCTACGACTCTTAGCTGATCCGTTGTTATTAGTATTTGAGGAATCAGGTGCAGTGGGAAGTTGCATTGCTTTTACTCCAATAAATACTCCAGGTTGGAAAGTAAGTTTTGCAGGGATGAATAATTTCCAGTCATTATCTCTATTCACTGTTAAGTTAAGGTCATGAAAGGAACTATTTGGTGTATATTCAATAGTGTTTGAAGCATTCAGCTTCACAAGAACTTCCATGTAAGTGATTTTGTCAGAATTGTCTGGTCTGATTGAGCTTAATATTGCGGAATTATTTCTTTCCATAGGAATATACAGATAACGATAACCAGTTTCACTGTCTGACGTTAGATTTGATGTCTTTTCAACAGTTTGATTACCACCTGGACCGGGAACCTCGATTTCGAGTGCATTTTCTTCATCTAGATTCATTTCTTGGAACGAGCCATCGGATTTTTGAAGACTTAAAATTGTTACTCCGGCGTCAGATTCAACATCTTTTGCACTCTCGTCGTAACTATAAAAATTGTCTGCTGAGTTCATTACAGTTATAGCGATGGCGTCTTTGTCATCGGTAGAGTTGGGATTAATATTTGTGACTCTGTTTAGGGTATCTGCACTTGGTAGTTTGACTGCACCTCTTCCACCTGTTAATTTTTTACCGCCTAATTCATTTGGTGAATTTTTTTCCATCGCCAAGCTGATATTTCCTTTGGAGATTTGCTCAGAAGTACCTTTGGCCTTGTTCTTAGTCATTTTGTTGCCGAGAGTAAGACAGGTCGATACTGTTTGTTTGCTGGTTTGTTCTTGTTCTTTCAATTTTTTCTCTTCTTCTATCTTTTTAGCTTTAAGTAATGCGTCATGACTTGCTTCATCATTGGGCTCATCTACTTTGGGAGATGGCGCGAGTTCTTCATCACTTTTTGGTTTTTCTTTCTCAACAACCCCCATAGTGCTAGCTATCGCATCAACAGTATCTGTTGCAGCAGTTTTCTGTTCAACAGGATCATCAATAGAATCTATATTATCAGCAATACTCGAACAAGTCAATAAGGCATTAGTCTTTGTTGAGGTATCTGCTTCAGGATCAAGACTATGGAAGATAGCTTTGGCCATTTTAGCGAAGGCTTTTGTTTGACTGGGCGAAAGCGTGATCTTCTTACAACCAGTGTTGGTACTATCCTGACAATTTTCGCCATCGCCATCGCCACCGTTATTATCGCCTCCAGTATTATCCGAACCAGCAGGCGGAGTAGTTGATCCAGCGGCAGATATTACCTGAGATAATGTGTTAACCATACCTCCCAGGAGTTCTCTCTTCTGTTTGGCATTTTCTTCCTCAGCTTTTTTCTGTTCCTCTGCTGCTTTCTTTTCATGTTCATTTAGAGGTACCTTTGTTGGTGGTTTGGCAGTTGTTGTCCCCGGTTGACTTGGGCCACCAGGTGAGCCTGTTCCTGGGGATCCTGGCGATGCTGGACTTACAGGCTGTACAGTAGGCCCAACACTACTTATGACTGCCAAGATCTTGCTACTAAAACTGTTTAGGTTGGTAGCAGCCTGAGAAGGTGAAATATTTGTGACTTTCTTTGCTTGTTCGAGTTTTTTCTTTTGTTTTTTTGCTTCTTCTATTTTTTGCAAGGCCTCTAATTCAGCAGCACTCTTTGGTCTCGGAGTTGTCGTAGTTGTGGTCGTGGATTTAGTAGTTTTTCTTGTTGTAGGTTTTTTAGTTGAACCAGTTCCTGTAAAAGGAGCCTCTGTCACCGTAGTAGGAGCTTCAGTTGTTGGAGCCATAGTTGTTAAGATAGGCTTTTCACCAATAGGATAAACTTTCACAGTCAGGTATTTAACCGATGCACTTCTGTACGAATCAGACACAGATAATCCCAAAGTTAAATTATAACCCTTGTCCTTTTCTCCCTCTGGAAGTGTTATTACTTGCTTTGGCAATTCATTACTTAAAAGCTCTTGATTAACACCTCCTTTGACAATGAAATAAGTATACAGCAGAGGACTGTTTGGCACTGCGGTCAGTTTTTTTGCATCTTGAAGAGCACCATCATCTTGCCAATTTGGTGCGTTTACTTCAAAATCATCTAAATCTTCTCCAATAAACTTATTAACTGTGAAAGATCCCCCGAAAGGTGGGTGATTAACGAAAAAGCTCATTTCATCCGCACCATCAGCTAAAGCATCACTTGAAACATTTATGGCTATGGAATATCTTTTATTTCTCTGGAAGTTTTCACCATTCACAGATATAAATGATCTAAATTTTTCTGAAGAAAAATGAAAATTTAGAGAGACAGAATTTAATCAAGATCTGTCTTACCTTCTTCATTGGTAACTACATGTTTTACTTTCGACATATCTATTATTTCAGGGCCTTGAGCCGTTTCTTTGTTCATATCCCAGGAGTATCTAACTTTAGAAGATACAGCACCTGTACAACTACACGTTGCTTTGAATTTAAGTAGTTCCTGTGGATTTAATTTATCGCCTCTCATGCAGTTATTACCATCACACCTATTTAAAGACAGATTTATTGATAATATATACATTAGTTATAGCTTTTACTTACTCAATTATCACTGGTGGAGATTTACCAGCAGAAGTTTTGATAACTTGCTTGTAAATTTGCGTTCTCACTCCTTTTGTTACACGCAACCAAAGCTTATATGAATTAAGGGGACATAGAAACCCGGTATGCATTTTAAATTTTCCAACATCAGCACTTAGCTTTCCAAAACCTGTTCCGAACGGACCAGTTACACCCGGTTTAGTATAATCAGGGCAACCTGTTGGCGTTGCAGAAATGCTAGGGATTTGAATGATATTTGTCATATTCCAACTCAACGGTTCTGAAAGCAAACTGAACCACCATTCAAATTTCATTCCTGATTTATCACTGGGGTGCTTCGTATCAGGGTCAAAGGTGTTTGTAATACCATCAATGCCCAAACTTTCGTTGTAACTGACCAATATAGAAGTTTTGCCAATTATCTCGGCAACAAGGTCTGTTCTCTTCACCTCAAAAAAGAAAGCTGAGCTGTTTCTAAACAAAGATACTTCTGGATCGTCCTCCTTGTACATCATTACAGTGTAAACTATTTTATATGATCCATAGGCTAGTGTTGATTTCCTGAACTCTATACCTCCAGCATTTTGAATAGCACCTGGATATTTCGAAACATCCTCTTTTACCCCGACGTTGACATTTGTTTTGTTCAATTTAAAAAATTCCCAAGTTATACGAATAGCATCGGTTGCTTTGCAATCAACGTTAAAATCAAAGAAATCGCTTACAACTCTGATAGGATCTGATTTGTAGAAATTTCTCATTTTCTTTACGCTTGAGCCACCAACATTTGGGTTGATGGTAACATTAGGATTGTTACAAGGTGTGCTTTGTACTGCAACCAAAAATTCAAACTTTTCACCAGAAGATGTTTCAGTTAATGCTGTGAGAGTAATTTGCCAAGTACCCTTGATTTTGTAAGTGAATTGTTCAGTAATTGTTTGAGCCAGTATTATTTCACTAAATTGGCTTTCTTTAAATTTTGGATCTTTTTTACAAGTAGATTTTGAATTTCCTCTCCAGAAATATATATCATTATCAGGTAGCAATGAAGTAGTGTTGAAACGGAAAGCAAAGCATTGTTTTATACTAGCATCAGGTTCTTTATCAAGATTTATTGTGATAGTTTCTGGTACATCAATTGTCACAGTTCCGTTGAATGTCACACTTTCAACTCCAACATCACTGACTACCTTTATTGGATATTGAGCTTTAACAGTTCCAACATCATTTGAAGCTTCTAGAACAAGGGTATACTCGCTAGGTACACTAAATTTATGTGATACTTCAGTGTTCGTTGTTGTAATAGCATATCCTCCTCCGAAAATCCATTTGAAGGTAATATTTGAGCCAGTTGCGTAAGAGGCGGTAAAAATTGCTGATGTACCAACAGCTAGTGGTTTAACTGTAGTTGTACCTGAAACGTCCTCAAATGCAGGTGTAGCTATTTTGAAGGAGACGTCACTTATAACCTCTTGCGCTTCAAAGCTAAGAGATATAGCATCATAATCAATATTGTTGCTGATGTTAGCATATATTTTGTATAGCCCAGGTTTAAGGTATTTATGACCAGGCAGGATAAATTCACCTGTTTCTAATGGTGTACTTTGTTTTAGAAGAGGAGAGCCATCTCCCCAATTCAGAACAATTTGCGCAGAAGTGGGATAAGGTTCACGAGTAGCAATAAGAATCGGAACAAAAGTTTTCTGAGTCTCAATAACTTTTACTTCTTTCAATTTCAGATGATTTACTGGATTTTCAATAAAAATTTGATTTGGTGTAGCAATTGCCTTGCTAGAAATATCGTTAGATACAAGCAAGCTCATTAAGTAAACTTCAGATTTTTTTACAGTAAATTTTGCAGATATTTCTTTATCATTAACATTTGTATAGGATACCGTTTTTCTTTCAACTTCTACTTGGTTACTATCTTTTAATACAAATTGAGCTATTAAGTGGGATCCTTCGGTGACTGTTGCTGTAACAGTAAATTCTATATCTACTCCAACAGAAGCAGGGGTTTTCAATACTGGATTTTCAATTTCTCTTTGCAGAAGAAATGAATCTTTTATCGTAATATTTGATACTTTATTTTCAACTTTTAAAACGAAGTTAACTTCGCCAATAGAACCAGGACCATATTGATGAGATATTGGTATCGGGTTATCCCATTTATCAACGTACACTTCTGTAACACTCCCATCTCCGAAATTCAATAAAATGAAAGCATTACTCGGATCTAAATTTCCGCTCAATTTCTCGATTTTAAAGACAACGTTTCTATCTTTTGGATAAGCTACATTCTTTGTAAACGTTAGTTTTATCGCTTCTTTTATAACTTCTCTTTGTACTACAACGACAACAGGATCTTTTGTCCATCCAGCATCTTCAGAGCTTACTTTACTGACATCGTTCTTGACTTCAACATTGATAGTGTAGTTGTCTGCCGTATCATATTTGTGACTAAAATTTACAACTTCGCCAGAAGATGTTCCCAAAATCTTTTTGTTGGCCTCGTTACCATCACCAAATTTAATAATATAAGAAGCATCTGTTCCATCATTGACAGATACATCAAATACAACTTCCTCTTTAGTTTTGACATACTTTTTGCTTGTAGAGAATTGTAAATTTCCTATAGCTCTCATGACAGAACAAGGTGAAACGACAGTTTCTTCAGAAACCAAATTAGTAGCCTTTATTGTAACATTTGCAACACCCAAAGGTGAATTAAATTTATGATGTTTTTGAACTATTCCTCCAGTACTTAAATTTTTAGAATAAGACTTAGCTTCCGTATTTGAATCATCAAAATCCCATTCCAAGAATACTCCACTAGGCATCGGAAAAGATTTATTTAGTTGAACTACAAATTGAGCATCCCCAGTTGGAAATCCTATAGGGCAGTTATTTGTTACTATAAACTTTTCTATTGCAAACTGAACAGTGACATGAGTTGTTGGTTTTCCAACTTCAACATGAGTAAGATTGTTGGAAGCTGTAACAACAATTGTATAGTCTCCTTGATCAGTATACGTATGATTGATTAGATAGGGAGCTGAACAATCAAGTGGATTATCATGAACAAATGTCTCAGATTTGGTGTCATTGAAGTCAACATGAAGAATTGCATGGGAACATTTTTGAAATGTTACTTTAAACTGAACCACTTTGTTTACTCCTGCAAATTGTGCCATATTTTCAACTTTAATACCCTGTAGTCTTCTCTGAATAACCACTGTTGCACTGGCGTTTGCTCTACTGACCAAATTAAAGCATGAAGCTTCAATAATTTGTTCTCCCACGGAGCTGTCGTCGACATTTTCTGTTGTAACAAAATCAGTTGCTTTCTGTAGGGTAGGTGCCCAGTGGGTTTTTTCTGTACCACTACCAACTGTTATGGAGCAAAATGGATTTGTTGGTTCGAATGTTTCAAGATCAGGATATTGGATTGTTAGAGTCATCGTTCCAGTGGGGTTAACTTCAACAACAGATTCCGTTTTAAGAGTAATAGATTTCAATTTATGCTGAATTACGATGCTTTTATCCAAATCTGTAATAACTTCGGTTACCAGATTAGTGGAATTAACACTCGGAGTAAAATTTCCAATTTGTCTGTGAAAAGAAACGAATATAAATATAATAATTGAATTAGCGTTATTAAATCTCTTGAAAACTTACAAAAATCCTTTTACATTTGTACTAGCTGCGCCTTTTGAGAAGATACCACTACTATGAAGTAATACTGAACTCTTTTCACTTCCATAATAAGTTATTATATTTTTGACATTTGTTCCAGCAGTTACAGCGATCGAAAACGTAACATCTTCACCATAAGCTGCTAGGTATTTGTCCGCCGTAAATGTTAAACCAGCAATTTTTTCTTCGAGATTGATATTTTTAGTCTTGAACACACCCTGTGTAACTTTATTTGAACATGTTACTTTAATTTCGTGTGGAACTCCACAATCTGCTTGATCGTAAGTATAGTAAAATGACATGACTCCTCCAGTTGTTGAAGCAGATGAAATCCCTGGACTAAATAACGGTATTGTTTCACCACTTTTAACTTTGAAATTGCAAGTTGGATCTGTAGGGAGGGGCTGATCGGCAACAACTGTTACGTTTAGTTGTTCACCTGGATAGGAGATAGGAGTGTTGACAAAAACAGTAAAAGGTTTGATTTTAAATTGGCTGTGTATAATCATAGTCTTCCATGCAGAAGAAATCATATTTTGAACCGTAACATTTACAGTTAAATTTCCATCTATAGTGTAGTCATGAAAGAAATGTTCAGGTTTTGCTGGAGATACTATATGTGTATTATTCTCCTCTGTATCACCAAAAGTAACTGTATAGTTTACATGACTGCCAGTAGCCATTTCTACTCTTAAATCAAGACTATCTTTACCAATTTCCAGAATGTCCGAAGCTGTAGTCAAACTCAAGGACGTGATTGTCTCCTGAACCCAAATATATCTCGAATGGGTGAAATTGCTCACTAAATTTTCGCAAACAATATTTAAAATATGATTGCCAGGACTAATTGCTCCATATGTGTAGGTAAAGGTTTTTGGTCCACTGCTCAAATCAAGTGAAACGGCACTCTGAAATACCTCTTCCGCGTAAGAAAATTTACAAGTTACATTGGATGGTAGTGGTAGAGTGTCTTCAGCAATAATGAATCGTATAGTTCCTGAAGATTGTTGGTGAACCTCTGGACTGAAATCGCTTATGTTCAAGTTTTTTAGTGGATATTGAACATTGAATTTTGTTTCCTGGTACAAGTGACCAAAAGTATTTGAAGCGTTAACTTTTATTGGGTAGTATCCCACTGTTGAATACATGTGAGTTACTATAATGGTATCTGAGAGAGTCCAATTTGTATTATTTCTTGAATAGACTTCTTCTATTCCATCGCCCCAGTCAACAGTATAATTTACAGTGGAACCTTGATCAACACTTATTGATAATCTTGCCAGAGTGTTATTTTCTAGAAATTCATTTAAAGCTTTAATTGTTAAGGTATTCATTGAAACTCCAACTTTAATGACTTGTGTGAACATCGTTCTGGAGATGTGATTATATAATTTTGCTGTCATCATATAATAGCCATAATCGCAATATCTATATGTATGTGTATAAGGTGTTGTTGTATTTAGCGTTGAATTCATCGTTATTTCCAAAAACGTGTTTCCATACAGAAGCGTTATTACCAAATTTGTCGGTTGATTTCCTGACGTTTGCGTAAATTTGAAGAATACGTCTTCTTCCGGTCTTGAAACATTATTAGCTTGCATTTCAATATTTTCGACTGGATTTTCTATAAAGATCAATTTGGAAACTGATTGCTGGCTAATATAGTTGTAGCAGCGTAAGGTTACAGTATAGCTGCCGACTTCAGTATAAGTATGATTCCAAGATGATGATGTTTCTGGAAAATCGTCATAAGCTACTTGAACAGTACCGTCTCCAACAATCCTTAAACAATGCATATGACTGCCGTTGACTAATGTTTGATTAAACACCGTCAAATCTCCCAATTTTGTATGGGATACGTTGAAATCTAGACCAGAAACTTTATAATTTACAGCAGCAATTGTGCATAGTTGCTTGTAACCATGAACATTTCCAACTCGCAAAGTAACATTGTAGACTCCAGCCTTCGGATACGTATACATCGTGGTTGTAACATCACTATATTCATCATAGACTTTCTCTTCACCCATACCGTCGCCATATATCCAGAAGAATCTTACTCTTGTTCCATTGGTAACGTTTTGTGAAAAAGTTGTTGTTTCTCCGAATTCAACATTCGTTGCTGCGAATTCAACATCACCAACTGGAAAATCAATATCCACTGTACAGCTTGCAACTTCAAAAGAGTATTTGTTGCTGGCCCGTACTGAAACTGTATACGTTCCACTTCCGTTTGCAAAAGTATGAGTGAATTCTGATAAGGCTGATGGATCTGCTACAGTCTCTTCTTTCAAGTAATTGTCCCCAAAGCTATGGTAAGATAAAAGTTTTAAAAATTTTCATACCCATATGTAATAAAATAAACCTATAAAACATGGTGACTTCGGTGCCCTGTTCCATCTTTGGTGTAATTTTTGTAGGAACACCAGGTATACCAGGAGTAAGTTCCAAAGAAAGTCCAGAAATTTTAACAACTGTGAATAAGAATAACACCAGTTAGATTTTATATTGTCCATGTAGTCTTTTTCAATTCTTTTCTAAGCTAAATACTTTTTTTATTATATAGCATTTATATAGATGATGATTTTACATAACCTACAACTAACTACAAACAAACCAGTTCATCCGAAGCTGAAATAAAAAAAGGATTAGCATGAGGATGAGGCATGATCCTACGGGCAAAGTAGGATGATAATACGAAAAGGCCAAAAAGAGATGAAGATGATTCTATCTGATGATTTTAATGGCCCTGAGCTGTGAATAAACAATTTCAATTTCTATAATTTTGAAACTTTGCCCATTTTTCTTTTTAATAGTATATAAAAATTTTCTTCTTTCAATGAACGAAGTGAGTGCAAGTGAACGCTTATGCATGCTAGTGAATGCGTAAAAAATAGGAAGATATATTTTCTCCATCCATTAAATGCCAGAACATTTTTCAGTATTTGAAAAAAATAATCTGAAAATATGCTGAAAAAAGTAGGATTGAGAATAAAAGTATTGAAATTTTTTAAGATATGTTCGTTGTATTATGCCAATTATATTCTTCAGTTAGCTTGAATATTGTATAATTGAATGATTTCCAAGAAATCGAAATACAATTTTAGTCTTCTTTGAATGAAATATAATGGAGGTAAATATTAATATTACTGCCATAACGAAAAGCTCTTCAATAATCATTTATTAATATGTGATCTGTTATAAAAAAGTTATCATTATTAATTCAAAGCAAACAAATTTAATCCTACAGAGGGCGTTAATTCCCACTTTCTAAAATTGAACGCTAATAAGATCTAATTGTCCTGTAAAGTCTATACCCGTGTATAGACTTATAACCTAATGTGTATAACAGAAAAGAAATATAATGCTTTTTGGGCTTTCTTTTTATAGTTTAGCCTTAAGCAAATCGGATTAGGGTCTTATATATTTTAAGAAAGGCTAAGAGTATTCAGCATTCACTAAGCGGATAAGTTGAAAATATAATAAACAATTACTAACTACAGAAAATTTGAAGTTTATAAACATATAATAACAAATAAAAAAAGATATAAATACAACAAAATCGTCTTTAAACACATAATTAGTTATTTTACAGTAAAAAGAAAGAAACATATAACTTACCTTTGATTGAATGTTACTAAATGATATGCTCATTTGAACAGGTCGCTTTTTATATAAGCGTCATAAATAATCATAATATATGTTAATTATATGCATTTACCAGAGCAACAATGACGTTTTCAATAATTTTTGATTCTTATTTGTCAGTTTTTTTAAATTAATTACTTAAAAACCTCCCATGATCCATTGCAAAATTTAAATTAATAATGAACAGATATTCAGATATTCACCTGAATTTATAATAAATCCTCTTTTGTATTAAAAAAAAGAGCGATATTTTCATAAATTTAAATAGATAAGAAATTAAAAACGAAGAATATCTCTCTACTGAAAATAGATAATCTAAAGAAAAAAACGAAAGGAGAACGAATAGAAAGGAAGACAAAAGAAAAATGTTCCAATTTTTTATTGAACGCGTAAAAACGCTCCATTTTAGAATGAAAATTGTAAGTCTATTCTTAAAGAATAAGGAATGTTTTTATTCTTTTTGAGAGAATAGTAAAACAAAATTATGTTCCGTTATAAAAACAAATCAATTTCCATTCAAGATATACATAAAAAACCTTTTAAAAAATGTAGAGTATGTAAAATTCAGAGGAGATACATCTTTATAAAATAATAATAAGGGTCACTGTCAGCCGTTAGTAAAAAATGTATAACTAATAAATTAAGAATATCCTTAAGCATTGTTTAAAAATATCTAAACAACAGAGGAAATAGAAAAATAATAATTTATTTTTAACGCCTACGAAAGAATTACAGAAACAATATATAACAAGAAATTAAACTGTAAAATAAAGGGAAAATTAGTTTTAATCGTCTTGCAGTAAAGAGAGAGAGAGAGAGAGAGAAGAAAAAAATTATTGAATATAAAAAATAAAAACTGAGTATATGAACAGTTTGTCGACAAACTTATGTAAAGACGAGATTATAATTTATTCATCGTATCGATGAAAAATATTCCGTTCAGGTTATTGAACGATAATAACAAATGAAAAATGTACGTATGTGCATATTGATCTTTACATTGCTTTTGATATTTGTAATTATGAAAAACTCCTTAAATATTCTGTTCAGTTAATAATATTCTCTCTTCTGTTCTTTTATAAGCTTTGTCGATATTTAAAGTCTCTTCCATTTTTAACTATTTAAATCATATTAATTTTAAATATCAACCTTTCTTATTAAAATTTTAACTTTTTCACCGTTTTTTCTCTTTCTGCATAGAATGAAATGACAAAATTGATACATTTCCATAGAATTTTTTATATTTATATCTACAGTATATACAGTATATGTTGTTATAATAATATTCTTTCTATTCTCTTTCTCTTCTTCGTCTTATTCTATGTTTTCTTCTTTTCACTTTGCCACACACTTATGATTCGATATAAGACGAACATATATATTTTATATAGGCCTATTTTTCGTTAAAGTATCTATTTCTAATACATGAACAATAGGAAAATCACATGATTTTTGTCTTTTCTTCTGTATTTCTATGGATTTAAAGGAGAGACAAGCGCTTTTACCGAAGAAACGGAAAAGGAGGCGAACGAGGACCTTGACGGTTACCATCGAGAGGGAAGTTCGTCTTCGACGGCATATGTAATTCTCTATATGTTCATTTCGTCTACTTTTTATCATAAAATGAATCATTAGGCCTATTTATTGAATACCTTTTATAAATATCTAAGTGTTGATCTTCTTTTCTATCCACGAACAACAGAAATCTTCGACAAGCTATTATTATAATAATCGGAACGGTTATTGGCTCTGGAATATTTATTGCTCCAACAGGAGTTGTTAGAAATGCAGGTTCGGTAGGAGCATCCTTGTGTATTTGGGCGGGAACAGGTCTATTTTGTCTTGTTCAGGCACTATGTTACACCGAATTGGCTTGCGTCATTCCCAAAGCTGGAGGAGATTATGCCTATATTTACGATATCCTAGGTCCTCTTCCAGCCTTTTTAACGGCATGGTTAGAAATGTTAGTAAATTGCACTGCGTCGTTGGCAGTTCTTGCAAGGGCATCTGGTTTGTATCTGATAGAGACAGTTGATCTGGATTGTGAACCTTGGATTGTAACAGCTGCTGCCATAGTTTTGCTAGGTCGAAAAAGAATATCAATTTTTCTTATATATTTTATAATTTTCTTTTTATCAATTTCCAGCTTTCATAGCATTTATAAATGCATGGAACTTAAGATGGAGTACGAACTTGCAGAATGTCTTTACGGCTGCAAAATTATTAGCGATAATAGTTATATGTATAGTAGGACTCACAAGAATATTCTCTGGTTCTCATTGTGAAATAACATTGATCTTTCATTAAATTGCCAAATTTCTTTTAGGTCATACTGAAAATTTTATAAACGCGTTTCGTGGAACTAAAACAAACCCTAGCGATATAGCTCTTGCTGTATTGGAGGGGTATTTCGCTTTTAAGGGGTGGGAATTAGTTTGTACTTTACCGGAGGAAATGGTTAACCCAACAAGGTAATCGAAAATCGATTCTCAATGAGATAATATCTATAATTTTGTACTTACAGAGATCTTCCGTTTGCTATAGTTATCAGTTTATTGGTTGTAACTTTTGTTTATGTATTTATAAACTTTTCGTACTTTACCGTTTTGTCACCCGTTCAAATGATGACGTCGGTTGCAGTTGCGGAAGATTTTACTGATGCTACATTGCCATCATATATAGTTTGGCTTGTGCCGTTATTTGTAGCCTTTTCTTGTCTTGGTTCAATGAATGGTACGTTATTGAGCAGTGCAAGGTTCTTTTTTGCAACAGGTAGAAATGAACAAATGCCTCAAATTGTTGGTTATGTACACTACAAATATAGAACTCCACTTCCGGCTATACTTTTTATAGTTGTATCTTATTTTAAAACGTTAACAATTGACAATAATTCTCTTTTTTTGTGTGTACTTTTTATTATCTTAACAGTTTTTTCTAACTATGTTCTTCGCAATGTATCCGGATGTGGAAAAACTTCTACAATACGCGTCTCTCAGCGTTCAATTTAAAATTGTTCTATCAATGATAGCCTTATTTTACTTGCGGTGGAGAAAACCTAAACTGCACAGACCACTGAAAGTTATTATATCGATATCATAATGATATTGTTAAAAATATTGCACGTCAATTTTTCTTTCAGGTGAATATTATCATTGCAGCTATTGTTTTCATCGTTTTATTGATACTGATCGGGTTAACTGTTTATAAAAGTCCAATAACATTAGGAGTATGCTGTGCCGCTTTCCTCCTGGGCTTGCCAGTTTATTTTATAGTCGAAAGAATAAGAGTCGAAGAGATAGTAAACAAAACACTTGGTTAGATAGAATTCTATATAAAACTTGTTTTTGTTTTTCTCGCTTAAACAAATGACCTAAATTCCATTAATTACAGATTACATAACAATTATCCTCCAACAATTATTGCAAGTTGTACCTGTTCCTTTACCACCTGGTGGTGAGAGGACAGTTTTATACTCGGAAACTCAGGAGCACTTCTTCGAAGCATCTTACGGAAGCTCTTGTGAATTTAATAAATAATAGTAAATTGTAAAAATTAAACAGATTTTGATTATATGGAACAAATTGCTATTGCCTAATAGTTTTATACTAGTATTATGCTAAATATGTTCTTTATATTGAATAAATATGAGACGAGAAAATCGTAGTGGCATGCTGACAGGCCTTTTTTAAAATTGGAGAATAGCGAAAGGCCTGCGAGTGAACGAAATATTTGCGTACCAGGCAGTGTTAGACAAGAAATGCTCCGAATAATACTGTATTATGCTTTATACTCCTTAATAACTGTTGAAGCTTTTGCTCCTGGAACAGTATGGATGAGTCCAGCTTCACCATTATTGACAACACCTACTCCCCACCTTCTTCCAAAAATAGCAAAGGGTAAAAATTATAATTAGCATTAATAGATTATTGTTTTGTTCAATTACTAATTAAAAACTATTGATATGATATAAGCATTAAGTGACTTATCGAAAAAGCTCTTTCACTGAAAAATTATCCGAGTTTATAAAAAAATTACGAAATATAATATCTTATGACATATTGACTAGATATAAACTGTTTTTCTAAGTGCAATAAATGTTTTTCGGAACGAAATTTAGAACATCTAGCTGTAAATAGCTCTTCAAAAAGATCTTTTCTTTGCATTTCTTATATGCCTATTAATAAATATACAGAATTGGAGGTTAGGCTTATGAAAGGGAGGACAGAAATGAAAATCGAGGGCAGGGTGGAAGTAAGGCAAAAAGGAATAGGTCAATGGGGTACAATATGCAATGATAATTTTGATGATAGAGACGCCACAGTTATTTGTCGGATGCTAAATTTTGAATGGGGTGAACAAATTAATACAATATCTCCTGGTTCCAATGACCAAAGGATTTATCTTGATGAGCTTGAGTGTACAGGAGATGAGCCAACCTTATATACGTGCCATGCTGAAAAATGGAGTCATCACAATTGTGAGCATGAGGAAGATAGTAGCGTTAAATGCCATAATACAACTGGTTAGTTTCATACTATTCAACCTATATCTTTTATATGATCGCTTTTTTCCTCGAATTTTATAGTTCGTTTAAGAAATTCGAATAAAATCGTTTCTAGCAGTGAACTTACTTATGGTCGCTTAATTGTCTTTAAAAGCAAGCTATCATTGGAAGTGTGCTCATCAGCATTAAATGTTCAAGTAGCTGATTTAGCCTGCAAATTAATTTCGGAGGATTATAAATATTCCAAAATTTCTTCCAAAATATGGATACCTGTCGATGATTACCGCCTATCATATTCAGTATCGAAGATTACCTGCAAAAAGGATGAGCAATCCTTTATGAATTGTGAATTTACACCAAATCAGAAAAGTTGCCGATCAGTCTCAGTTCTCGTTTGTTCTAAATCTATAATTGAGAAAAGTACAATTAAAGTTTATCTTTCATACACATTTTCAACAGTTGTTATTTTTTCTATTTTTTAGATGATAACATTAACATGGCTTTTAAAGATAATGGTATGGTGAAAATTACAACTTCTGGTGTTGAAGCTGTATTATGTAATCTTTACACAACCGATAACGACGCAACCGTTGCTTGTAAACATGCAGGATACAACTATGGTAAGGTAATTGCTGCTAGAAATACAGGAGGAAAAGCCTACCCCTATGTGGGAGTGAACTTGAAGTAATTATTTTTTTTTATATTGTAACCTTTCATCATAGTCTTAAAAACTACAAAAAACCTAAAAACAGTTGTACCGGCCAGGAGACGTCTATTTTCGAATGTTCTGGATGGAAATCACCTTCAGAAATGCGTAATGATTGTACTAGATTCTTTCAAGATACAAGCGTTATATGTTATAAAAACAATTTTAAAATTAGTCTTGTTGACATAAGCAAAAAAAATCCTAACACTGGCGTTGTACAAATGGAAATTGACGGGAAATTCGGGACGATATGTGGTTTACATTGGGGTTCTTTAAATGCTAGAATTTTATGTAGGTCGATCGGGGGTGACAATCCCCAATTTATCGATGGCGTTATGGCCCCAGCCCTATCTAACGTTGGTAAAGGAGATCTTCTCTTAGAAAATGTTGTGTGTCGTGGAAGTGAAATGGATATCTTAAAATGTTCTAATAATGGTTGGAAGGTCTCTAATTCGGTTCAGTGTCGCAACCATAGATATGACGCCGCTGTAAAATGCTTCAGAAACGGTAATCTATAAATTAAAAGAAACACTAAATTATTCAGCAAAATTGCTATATTGAATATTTTTATTCAATATTAACAGTAAAACTCTACAGTCCAAACGGAGCTGATAACTCTGGTTTGGTTGATTTATATGATCACAATAGTAAGCGGTGGGCGAGAGTCTGTGGGATAGGGTTTACCGATGCCCACGCAAAGGTAATAAAAAAAAAGAGATTTCTTTTTTGCTTTAATCTTGTTCATATAAATAATGGATTTTTCTTTTTTATATCTTCTATCCATAGCTTGTTTGTACTCAATACGGCTTTAAAAATGGAAAATCGCTATGTTGTAGTGTCGAGGGCTATCAACCGTATAGAGGTCTTATCGCATCGAATTTCATATGTACAAATAATAGCACTAATTTGGGCTCTTGCAAATATCAAGTTGGAAATCAATATTGCTCTGATATTTCTCAAAATTATGCTTCAGTTGTTTGCTATAATGGAGAATCACAAGGCAATTAATAATTCAATTCTTTTTTTATATTTATTTATAAAAGCATGTACAGGCAGAAACTCTAAACAATTTAATATAATCAAATAGGTACAACTCTTTCACTTGAAGGCGGATATTATTCAGCCAATTATGTTGGACGTCTAAGGGCAACTATCGGGAAAGGAATGTCCGGTAGGGTCTGTAATGTAGGATGGACAGATAATAACGCTAAAGTGGCTTGTCGAATGTTGGTTGGTATTGAGAAAATTAATTTTTCAAACATATATTTCCTGCAATATCGATTTTATGCTCGATATCAACAAAATATCCTTTTCCCCTTAGAACTTTAAAAGTGGTATTGCCTACCAATACTTGTCCCTAGGTCGGGGGCCTTTCGTTATGACTGGTGTAAATTGCAAGGGAACCGAAGCAAATATTGACCAATGTGGGCGACTGCCAATTAGGAAAAGTTGCCATAGAGATGCTGGGGTTCTATGTTTTAACGATTCTCCACCAGAGATAGAGCTAATTGGTGGTCCTAACCAAGATTCGGGTACCATTCTCGTAACCTTTATGAACCAAACAGGCACAATATGTGATGAGTTGTGGAGTGATATCAGCGCGCGAATCTTGTGTCGATCGTTAAATGAAAAATACACAGATGGTAAAGCCTATATGTAAGTTGTCACGATTCAGACTCAATGAATTGCCCACGTATATTGTATAATCTTTTTTAGGCAATCGCACTTTGGTCAGGGAATAGGCCTTATATATTTTTCTGGAGCTTATTGTTCTGGAAATGAACTTTCTATCTTTCAGTGTTCAAATTATGGATTCCGAGCCACTACCAAACCAAGTTGTCTTAGTCACCGTTCAGACGCAGGCGTCAAATGCTACAAAAATAGTTTCGTATATCTAGACAAAACGATAATATCTATATTTATACAAAATTCTTCCAGTTCGTTTGTTTCCTGAAAACGAAAATCTAGTAAATAAAACTACTAGTGGTCAAGTTCAAATTCATACAGCGTTCGGTTGGGGGCTAGTTTGTGCATTGAATTTTGGCCAGTTAGAAGCCAATGTTGTTTGTCGAGAGTTAGGCTATCAGTATGCTAAATCCTTAAGAACAAACTTTTTCGAGGTATTTTCCTACGTCAATCTATTGATGTTTAAACGCACCTAAAGTTTACATTCTTTTTTATCCTTTATAGTCTGGATATAGAAGTTATGCTATAAGAAATGTTAGATGTGTGGGCAATGAATCGAGTATATTAAATTGTGCACACGAGAGAGATGGCGAAAAATGTCCTGATCAACAGTGGAATTTTGCATCTGTGGCTTGTGCTAACAAATCATTTGATGAATCTGTGGAAGTTTACATGGTTAAAAGCGATAGACAGATGAATTATACAGGATATGTGCGCATAAGAAAGTATGGTATTATTGGGAAAGTTTGTTATAAACAATGGGGAGACAAAGAGGCAGGAATCTTTTGTCGACAAATGGGGTTCAACGATGGTAAAGCATATAATTTCAATACGCAAAGCCGTATCCCTTTTTGGATTACAAATATAAAGTGTAAAGGCTCTGAAAAAAATTTACAAGATTGTGTTTTCAATAATGATCAACTAAGTGACTGTAACAGTGCTAATAGAAAGGAGGCTGGAGTGTTATGTTTTATGAAAAACGTAAATTTTCAGTTATCCGAAGGTTCCTCCGGTTATCTCACAGTTACTTATGACGGACAAGTAGGGCAAATTTGTGGCCAGGATTTAAAAAATGAAGAAGCTTCAGTTGTTTGCTCGCAAGCAGGATATGAAAAGGGTTTGATAGCTTATGGGCCCAAAAAAAACAATTTGCCTTTTTTTACGCAGGTCACTAAATGTGATGGAGATGAAAAAAGTATACTTCAATGCGCTAATCGAGGCTGGAAAAAGACTTCTTTTTGTCAGTTTGTATATATTCCGCTTTTCAAATGCATTAGAAATTTACAGTTGATTGGGTCAAAAAGTGTAAATATGGTGGCCGGAGCATTGAAAATAGCTGTTCAAAGTGGTACCGTTAGCAATTGGTACTCTATATGTGCCGAAGGATGGGATGATAGAGATGCGAAAGTAGCATGCCGACAATTGGGTTATAATAATGGACGAGCGGCTTATTCAATAAAAGGGAGATATGAGGAGTATATACGGTATATGCATTCTGAATACGAATGCAAAGGCTCTGAAAAGAAGTTACAAGAGTGTACATATAAAAAGTCAGATTGGGTATATGGGCTTCAATGCGACGCACAAATCGGATATGCGTCTGCAATGTGCTATAAAAGCGAACCTCTCGATTTCTTTATTGTAAAGATTTCGTCAACTGTTAGAGATTATGCAGGAGTACCTATCATAAATTATAGTGGTATTGATGGATTTATCTGCGCTAATGGTTGGTCAGATGAAGATGCTACAGTGTTTTGCAGACAAAAAAACCCTATTTATACTCAAGGAATAGCATATAAACACTATCAGTCAAGTCGGACAGCCATCTATTGGCTAGATAGCTTAAAATGTAAGGGATCAGAAACTTCATTAAATGACTGTCAACACTCAGGATATGGTAATATCACTGAAATGTGCAACTCTGGACCAGCAGGAGTTCTCTGTCTTGACAAAAATTCTATAAAGTTTAAGCTTAGCGACGAAAAGAATAGAAAAGGAAGGGTAGATATTACAATTAACGGTGAAACTGGAACATTCTGCAATCTTAATTACTTCGACAATTTAGAGGCTAGCGCCATCTGTAGAACAATAAATCCAAAGTTCACAGGAGGTTTGCGTGACAGGTAGCTAATTATTTGGACAGCAATAAAAATTTTTTATGTGAGTTATTCACCCTATGCAGGACAGAATACCCCAAAGGTACAGGACCAATATGGTCTATGGGATTGAATTGTCGAGAAAATGTCAAAGATATATATGTGGGTTAAACAGCAAATGATAGCTTCTTTAAGTTGTAACCACTCATATTTTTCTATTTTTAAAACAGGAATGCTCTAGTTCTGGTTGGTCGCCCCCCAGGCCCCATGACCCTTCATATATTACCTATTCAGCTTGTCTAAAACACAACAATGATGTTACAGTTATATGCTATGAAGATGGTAATTACTTTCTTTTAATATTAGCATATGTGACCTATCATTAAGATAATCTTCTATTATCTATTTAGTTAGAATATACGATGCTCGTTCGAGTGTACCAAATTATGGTCAATTACAAGTTTACCAAAGACCGAAGAATCAGTGGGTTTCTGTTTGCCAAAATGCTGTTGATCAGAAGACTGTCGATTTAATATGTAAAGAATTCGGCTATTCAAGTGGCCAATTGTTTTGTTGCAATATTCATAATATGAATAACAAAGCAATTACAAAAGATTCAAACATGGTTAAGAAAGTTAATTGTGTTTCCAATGCAAAAAAATTTAGTGACTGTAAACTTGAATATGGACAGTGTTCTGATTTCGTAAGCCTATTGTGTTCAAACGATATAAAAACTACGAAAGGTAATTTATTAAATTTTACGATAATTACATCAATATAAATGTCTTTTTTCATATAGAAATGAAATTGCACTTAAATGGACCAGAGAGTGGACCAAGTCGAGAAATTATTTCTGGAAGTATTGAAGTTGAAAAGAACGGTATTAAAGGTTATATATGTGGAAAAAACATGACTGTAGAAACAGCCAGTGTTATTTGTAAATCATTTGGTAAGAAGAGTACATTCGTATCAGGCTTCCCGTTCAGTTACCATGGGGCAAGACTTGGATCAGCGCCTTTTCTATTTTCTATTAATTGTACTGGAAAGGAAGATAATATATCTGAGTGTAAATTGTCACCGCTCGGACAACATACAGGTTGTATATCAAATGACAACGCTGCTGGAGTAATTTGCTCAACTGAAGAAACGGCTATAAAATATAGAATTATCTCCAAAGACTTCAAAAAGTTTGATGACACTTCTTATGGTAGAGTACAAGTTTATTATAATGGAATATGGGGAAGTGTTTGTGGTTCATCCTGGAATTACTTATCTGCAAAAGTCTTCTGTCAATCTCTTGGTTTCAGTGATGGGTCTGTTCATAAAGCTGATACAAACGAGTATGTATTTGAGTACAAGCTACAACTTATTAAAACTGTATAATCTTGATTTTTTCCATCTGTAGTCGAAATAATCCATTCTTCGTATCACAAGTATTCTGTAAAGGAAATGAAAAGAACATTTTTGAATGTCCAAACGGAGAGTTTTATCCAACTGCCGATACCTGCAGACAATATGGATCATCTGCAGGTGTTTATTGCTATCGAAAGGCTAAAATCGAATATTCTAAGCCTAGAGCTTTTGATAAAGTGGCTCATGGTCTCGTTAAAATTTATCAAGATTCAAATACATACGATAATTGGTTTAAAGTTTGCAATAAAGGTTTTACTAATAAGGAGGCTTCTGTCGTCTGCCGTACGATGGGTTTTCAGTATGGAATATCCTTTTGCTGTAATGCATATGGAATTGACACACGTGCAGGTTCAATGGTGAAAATTTCTTGCAAGTATGGCAATGAATCCTCACTCAGCAGCTGCAAGTTGCAAAGCTGCCAAGACCTTGAATATGCTTCAGTTGCATGTAGTCATAATAAAATTTTACCAACCAATGGTTAGAGAGAGTTGCATTTTTTGAAGTAAATTTTTACATGTTTCTCCTTTATATAGAGTACGAAATTAGGTTGGAAAATGGTGTTAAAGATCAAAGTACTGGAAAGGTAAAGGTGAAAATTGCAGGTGTTGAAGGTCGTTTATGTGCCGATGGGTGGACTGATGAAGATGCTAAGGTTGTTTGCCGAAGTTTAGGTTTCAACGGTGGACAGGCCTATCAACATAATGAAGAAAGTAATGTGTTTTATTCTCCATTTAATGGACCTTATTGGAGTAATAAATTTAATTGCAACGGAAATGAAAAAAGAATTGGAGATTGTAAACACATTGGATGGGGAAATATAAAGACGTGCAAGAGTAAGCATGCTGCAGGTGTAATCTGCTACAGGAATCACGGTGTTTACTTCAGGATAGGAAAGGGAAATTCTTCTCGTGGAACAATCCAGGTTGCTGTAGATGGAGTTTGGGGAACATTGTGCGATGATCTCTGGGGAGCTAACGATGCTAAAGTTATGTGTCGTATGATGGGTTACGCTGGTAAATATCTACTCCAAAATATATACTTGAATAGTAATATTCGATTTTTAAATTAGACGGGCGTCCGCTCTATAACAGTCACTTTGGCCCTGGTTCTGGACCTATCTATGCCAATGGTTTCAGGTGCAATGGCAACGAAACTTCACTTCTTCGGTGTTCAACAACCGGTTGGAAACCAGCTACACGGCTATTTTGTAGAAATCATGAAGAAGATGCTGGAGTTGAATGCTTTCATTCAGGTAATTTTAAATATAAATTTACGATTAATATGATTACTTAAAGTATTTCAATTGCTCTAGTTCGCTTTTACAAGTATACATCAAAGAATACATCAGGACCTCTTCAAATTTATACAAATAATACTTGGCAGGTGATATGTTCTGACAATTTTACTGATGAAATAGCCAATGAAGCATGCATTAAGCTGGGTTTTGACTACGGTTTGGCCATCTGTTGTTCCGCCTATGGAAATATTTTTCCTCGAACAAGTGTATTCTCAAATCAGTTAGATTTTAATCCAAGGTTACAAAAATTTTCCGACCTGATTTCTACTAGAAAATGCATTACTAATACTTATGCATCAGCGGCTTGCTTTCATAAGCGAAATTTAGACAATCCGCGTATGTTGAAAGCTTTTTCAATTTTCTTGATCAATTAATATTAAAATATAACAAATTTTGTAGAAAAGAAAATAGTTCTTGAAAAGGATAAGAGTGGAAGAGTATTTGTGGATTATTTAAAAACCAAGTGGAAAATATGCGGAAACGGTTGGGATGATGAGGATGCTGTTGTTGCTTGTCGATCGGTCGGCTTTACTCATGGAAAAGCCTATCGCCATATAAAATATTTTCCCTCTGATATTGAACACCCTTATATAATGAGCAATGTTTCGTGTCTAGGTATTAAAAGAGTTTAAGTATATTTCGTAAAGGAATTAAATAAGAATTTTTTTAAGGAACGGAGAAAAACCTTCTTGACTGTGAAAGAGGAAATAGATTTGAATTAAACAACTGCAGTGATCAACATGATGCCGCTGTTATATGTTTCAATGATACGAGTGAGAAAACTATAGAATTTTCCATAAATGGATCATCATCAGAAGGTAGAGTTATGGTTGAGGTTGGTGGTACAAGAGCGACATTATGCAATATTGCATTTAATCAAGTTTCTGCTAGTATACTTTGCAAGCAAAATGGTTTTAGCGAAGGTTTTATCCTGAAAGATACAACAGAATATGAAAAAGATACTGGACTGGACAAGATTCCTATTTGGGTACATAACCTAAAGTGTTCAGGACAGGAAAAGACTCTTCGTGAATGTCCCCATACTGGTTTTGATTTTTTTATTCCTAAACCGTATCCTAGTTCAACCAATAGTTTACCTAGCCAGAGACCGGCTCCATGCATGACTCATAAGCAAGATGCCTTTATCAAATGCGTCAATTCACGTAAGAATTTGAAATTATCTTGTTAAAATAGTTTCTTAAGTCTACTCTATCAATTTTTAGCTATTATTGGGAGAGATTATACTTCGTTTGAAGGGGCTATTCAAGCTTTCAATAAAGAGGATGGATCATGGCAACTTGTATGCAGTGATTCATTTTCACAGAGGGAAGCTCTCGTTGCATGCAAAACTCACGGTTTTAACTACGCAACTATAATAAATGGCTCGGCATTTCTACCTCTTTACATGAAGAAAAACAAAAAAGAGTTAACAGAGTAAGTAAACAAGTTATTAATTTTTCAATAAGCATATTAAAACTTTTGAATACAGATTTCATGATTACAACTATGCAAACGTAAAATGCAAGACTGGTGAAGAAACATCATATGATCAATGTAGTGTTCAATTCAAATATAAGGGTTGTAAGTCAAAAACTTACGCTAGCGTTGTCTGCTCAAACACGGTGACGAAACCATTAAGTAAGTGTTAAATAATAAATATTAAACATCTACTTCATTTCCTATATCATATATTTAAAGCAACAAATTGGTCGTTGATGAAACTTAAACAAAATAACTTGGCAATGCCCTATACTTTTATCATTGCTACGAAACGAGGAAATATGTCGCCAGCTGCGATATTCAACAAAGGCTTTACTAATAAAGAGGCGATGGTTAGCTGCAGAGAATTGGGCTATTCATCGGGTTATCACTATCGTCTTAGCCATTCGACTGATCTTCCTATTGCCTTTCACAACATTAAATGCACTGGAGAAGAGAAGAAACTTCGTGATTGTAAAAATATAAAAGAGGGAGCTGGGGAGCGAAAACTCGCCGATATTTATAATGTTAACTTTGCGGCTGGAGTCCTCTGCTATAACACGTTCAAATTAGAAATTACCTCTAATAACAGAGCAGAAATTTGTGTTGATGGAAAATGTTACAGCATATGTAGCCTCAGTGACAATTCAATAGCTGCTAATCTATTTTGCAAGATGAAGAATTATAAATCCGGTTTAAAAATAAAAGGTTCAGGTCTCCATACTGGATCAATGAACGGTTATTGGCCTTCATTTTTATGCACAGAAGCGGATTCTTCTCTTTTTAATTGTAATTCAGCACATTGTGGATACTATGGAATTCCATTATATGTTCACTGCTTCGAAAAAGAATTAGAAATAAGCAACATTGTGCTCTCTTCTAGTACCAATGAAGGAATAGTAACTATTGAGATTGAATCTTCTACGGAGAGAGGTTGGATTTGTGCAGATACTTTTGGTGTAAATGAGGCCAGAGTGATTTGCAATTATCTGGGCTACGAAAAAGGTCGTGTTTTAAAAGTCACCAACCCAATAAACGACCTCAGAAAATTTTTTAATAAATTTACTTGTCCTGAAAATGCAACATCCATAGATGACTGTGAATACTCCTTCTTTGATTCATACTTTTGTTTAACTAAACCTGGCGCAGGTGTGTCCTGTTCAGTCCCTATAATTACAAAACAGAATACTATTGAGACCACCAAAGTAACACCTACAAGATCACGAACTACCAAAGAAACATCCACAGGATCAGTATCTACCGAAGTAACAAACTCACAAACTACAGAAATAACATCTACAAAATCACGAATTACCAAAGTAACGCCTAGCTCAATAACAGCAAAGACCAAATCAACAATTAGTTCATCTACGTCAGCGCCAAAAAGCTCAACACTAAAATTAGCATCAACAGCATCCCCACAGGTTAAACAGAATAAGCAAAAGGATAATTCAATAAGCAAATCAACAATTATCGGCGTCTCTTGTGCTGTTGGACTGGTTATATTAATATTAATTGCCTTTTTCATTTGTTATAAAACAAGAAGAGAGAGATTACAAACTCCAAGACCAACTCGAATGTCAGAATTACCAGATCCATTTTCAGCAAATAATGATGGCTTACAATTTTCAAATAGAATTTACGAAAAAATGTCAGAACCCTCAGATATGAGAGTTTATGAAAAGAATGTTAGAAGTTCTGTATCTTCAGATTTGAATCTTGTTGAAAATGAAGAGTTTGACGCTTGATTAAAATTTTTAACTGTACTCTATTCAAAATTTCTAATTAAAAAGTATAAACTTTTTCTACAAATAATTTATATATGTGATATATTTTTTAAACTGTTTTTTTTATCAAAGTCTTTTACTGTTTACTGTGATATTACAAATGTAATAACCACTTTTCCAAAACTAATATTTACAACTATTTATACGCTTTACAATAAATTTAGCTTGTAATTTATACAACTCGATACTATACTTGTATAGTATGAAGACTACATATCTTATAATCTGTATAAAAGTATGCTAAATTGACATATATTAATAATAATATAACAGTTCTATCTAATGATATTCTTATCATAGATTAATAGTATTTTCTTGTTAATTTTATCAAACTTATCATATATCTCCTTGATGTTGAGTTTTTTTTAAATATATTATTTATTAGCAAATGGAAAATTTCTTTTAATTAGAGAAATACAAATAAAATCAATAAAAATACAGTTTGAACTATTACTAAAATTTTTCCATCGCCGAATAAACCGCTAAGTTCAGATACTAATTTTACTTCCTTCGCTTTCTCATCTTCTTTGACTTCGGGACATTGTGAATTTGGTTTGTAAGGACATTCGTGACCTTGAGGTTCACAAGGAAATTCTTTATAATAATTGCAAGAGAATTTTGAATAATTTATTAGTTCGTCAACTTGTATTCCTCTTCCAGCTTTTAACCACTGGACTAAGTTTGATGCTGTTGCAAACCACACGTCGTCTTTGTATATTTCTTGTGCTTTGCTAATGAAAGCTTCTAGGGCGTCTGCTATTACTACGTGATCTGATAGAGTAGATGCCTTCATATTGATAATTAGCGGTGCTCTATTAGTAAGATATCTTTGTTCTAAATTAGTCATCAGGATATCGAAAGCCGATTCAGCGTCACCATTTGGTGTGCAGAGGTAAGGCGAGTCAAATTGTTCGCAACCGTACATAAGATTGAAACCAACCGAATCGTTATGAATTACTTTTCCCAAGATATATTTAGGCAATTCCCACATCCCTTTAAAATTTGCTGTCTTTGGACAAAATTTAACATTATCTTCATTATATTTACATGGTAAAGCATCTTGATTATCTAGGGTGTAAGGCCAATAGAAAAAGGGTATTTTATCTTTATCCCCTTTTGACACGTATGATCCCAGTGGTTGTCTATCTATTTGAATTTCTCGATTAGTCGAATCAAACTCAAATCCTACTTCTTTAGCTGCTCTCATTTGAGCTTCTGTCGCTGTGACTACTCTAGACATTCGATAACCTATTGACGAAATAACACAGCTACACTAATAGAATGAATCCTAGTCTATATTGAAATTACCTTTTATTTTGATTTGAGCTAATTTCTCCAGTCGTTCCTTCTCATCTTGAAGTTTTATTCTCCACTTATCGAAATCTGCAGCTTTCCAATACTTGGCTACATCGGTTTCTTCTTCGTCTGCTATTTCTGATTCTCTAGTTTCCGGGTGAAGCAGAACATCGTATCCACGATTAGTAAGCTTCCTTAAAACACAATAGTCAGTTCCAATGTGATGAGGTACAAGAGTAATAGCAACAGGACACCCGTTAGGGTTTCTCCTTTTATGTCCCAATATTCTATTAATGTCACAGGAAACTTTAGTGGTAATCGGTCCTTCTAGAATTATTATGACAAATTGTGGCGTCTGTTCTTTTAACAAAAAATAAGGTATAGAAGTGGAGGGACAAGAGCAATCTGGATGATGACAGTTGTTATAGGTAACGGATATATTTTGATCATTTCTAGTCTTTTCGCATCTTCCAAACACTCTACCAGGAAATCTAACACCAGTTTTGTTAAACAGTTCTACTTTACTTTCTATTCCATAAACGAAAGTTGAAACAAGGAAGAAAATTTGATGGTAAAGCATATTCAAATGTGCAATTTTGTAAATATTCCTATTCAATTGAATATATTTATACTATATGATTAAAGCCTAATCGGTATTAAAAACTTCCTAATATAGGCCTATTATATTGATCAAAAAACTGGTAACAATAAAAATTGTAAAGAAACTCTTCTGGCAAAGAAAAAGAAAATCTCATGTGGCTGACTATAGATGACACTAGTTTAGACTAGAGACTTTATTATAAGAAAAGTCGTTAGACGGTAGTAGGCGTAATGGTTGTAATAGTAATAATGGCATCTACACTTTGCCTTTCATTACCAAAAATATCGTGCTGTTAAGAAAAAGCCTTTTGTTTGAAATTTCGCTTCCCCACAAGGAACATGTACACTTCCTGTCTTACCTTAATTAATAATGTCATAAAGCAAGCATTTCGTGACTTTTTCCAAAATAACTCTCTATTTGCTGCTTGAGTTTCTTCTTCTTTTGTTCAATAATATTAATTAAATAATTTATTTCTGCTTCTTCAACAAGACGAATCTGATTTGACTTGCTTTATTAAAAGTCTTATAAAAGTAATACATCATTTGGCCCATTGCCAATGGAGTTATTAATAGACTAGGTAAACTTCTTTCTATTTTATTTTGATGAGGAAAATATTCTGATCAGTTCCCTTAGAACCTAAAAGACCAAAGAGTCAAATAAAACTAGTACTAAAATGCAGTTTTCTTTTATTTAAAAGAGACTATCCTATTACTAATAAGTTATATTGCAAACTCTATTGAATATGCTTAAAAACCATTCCCATATATTGAAGTCTAAATAAAAACCAAAGTGTTAATGAATATGAATATAATAGTCCTTTCTTTTGTTTATTAATAAAATCGAGCGTGTTGTTTCAACAAATATTGATATTAAGGCAGAAAAATAATTTTAGCATATCTCTCTCTCACTCTCTATCACTCTCATCATCTCACTGTCACTCACAGTCATACAACAAACATCTCTACATCAAAGTGCACGTAGAATGAAAAAAACAGCGTCATTTACTGTCTTTTTTATATCCTTCATTCAAGCGGAAAATTAGTAAAATTAATTCACTAAAGCAAGAACAAGGGAGAAAACAAGTCTGAGTAAGCAAGTGCCGTTCCCAAAATGCACCTAACATCGTGTACATTAATAAACTCAGAATGAATATGAGTAACGGTATACTCTATATGTAGGTTTTTAATAATGAAAAGTTTAAGAGTGGTTATCAACTGATAAACAAGCTATTTCGCCATATCTATATTTTCAATTATATAGAAGTTATCAATTTTTTATTATTACAAAATAAAAAAGACAAAAACCAGACTACAATTTACTTCTTATCAATAGTTGCCATAGGTACGTGGCACTTGATAAGCTTTTTCTTTCGTAATTCAGGTTTCTAAGGTACGCCCATCTAATACAATGCGTGTCAATCAGTGGTCACGATTGACAGAAGAAATTGATGATTATGAAAGAGAAGCTTTGGAAAAGGAAGAGAAGGAAAATAAAGAAGAGACTGAACCTTCTAAACTTGAGCAAATAATCAACAATCCCATTGTTTCTAAAATTCTCTTCTTTATAGCAACAGGTTATATGGTTTTTTCATTAGTAACGGATTGGCTTTTAGTGAGAGATGTACTAAGAGCTCGACAGGGTCTTGTTTTTGGTCCCCCGTCACAAGCCTTACGAATAGCATTTGTAGGTATTATATCAGTTGGAACCCTCCTATCAATTTTGGATTTTATTAATCTCGTTCGTCTCGTTTTCTTTTACAATGGAGAAGAAGAAACCAAAAAAGGAGTTATAAGTGAGGACTTAGCTCAGGGTATTACGTCCCTCATCTATGAAGTCCCTGCAATAACACTGGCTCTTATACTGTCCATGTGCCGAGATGAGCCCTTCAGCATTTTTCAAACAATAAAAGCTGTAATAGCATTATTGGGGTCCTTCCTTCATGCTGTTTCCGTTGCTATTCACTATCTCCAGAAGCATGATAAAGGCTTTCGCGCTTATGTGGAGAGGGTTATTCTTTCTTTATCTTCTCTATATATATTTGCTGCTTCCTTAACTCTCTTTATATTCACGTATACACCAAAGAATCCTACAATACTGACTTCAACAATATCTAGATCGAATACTATTGATTCCGGAAGATATCTATATAAAGCTGGTATATTTTTCTCACATCCATCATTTACTTTATGCTCAATAACATCGGAGCTGAATTGGCTACAAGCGGCATATATTTACAATCTTACAGACAAGAACAATAATAATAATCCTTCTCACTTTACTTATTCGTTTAATTTGTCAGAAGAAGCTTATGCGTTTTCGGAAGGATCAGCAAATAAGAAGCCTCAATGCTACAATGTAAAGTTTATGTCCACTTGTTCCATTAACGAAGTTCAAGTAACGAATTGTTTCAACGCTCAAAGAACTATGAATACTATTTCTTTTACTTTTTTTCATGAAAAAAAATCAGTTACCTTACCATATGGCGACATTCGTTTCAACGGATTGAAATACAATATCACCAATCCTAACTGTGACCCAGTTTCAAATATTAATAATTCAAGCCTTTTTACTGAAAATGATATTAATATCGGAAGTTTGTTGTACTTGAGGACTACTAATGAAACACAATCTATTAAAATATTCGATGAACAAAATTCAGAGGCTACTTTCTATAAACTCCATGATTCAGTTAGATCAGTTCAACGGACTTGGAAAACTGGTTATTTCAAATGTCCAATGACTGGCTCATTATTGCCGAATTTGGATAAGGACTTAGAAGTTAAATACAAGAATTGCTTTTGAGCCATAAGAAAATCATACCCGTATGAATACTCATCCCATTGATGACTTACGATTTGTGTTTTAAGTGTGTGGTCGTAACGGAAGTGTAAAAGTTTATTGACCCCCTTTTTTTATAATATACTAAATATTATGTTTTTTGAAATATAAGGTAGGCATATTCAATTTCTTGCAATTTAGTCATGCATTTACGAAGGCCAATGCATTTGAATTACTCACCTTACAAAGAAAATTCATTGATGACGCAGTTTTTTAGCTATTATTAAAGGGGGTTCGCTTACGCATATTTCATTCAAGAAATATCGACGAGAAAATCGACGGCAAAATGGCAAAAAGTTTCATTGCACTTTCTATGGCTGTTTTAGCTGTATCCATTTCTTCCCTTCCTACGCCAAAGAAGTTATCAAAGTTTTCACTTGACGATGCCGAAGTGTATTTAGAAAAGTTTTACGACTATCATTTGCCATCAAATGAAGCAAATTCTTATAGAAAGAATCCGCTAAAAGATGAAAATTTTATTGCTGCGTTAAAAGAAATGCAAAGATTTGCTGGTTTACAACAGACTGGCAAATTGGATGATGAAACAATTGATAAAATAAAGAACGGTAAAAGATGTGGTTTACCTGACAAACAATCTAAAAAGTCACTGCTTAATTATTCTCTGCATAGTGAAAAATGGAATAAGAAACATCTTACATACTATATTCGTCCAAATCAGATGCCCTCCAAAATGACAAAAACGGAAGTTCATGAAACAATTGCAAGAGCTTTAAAAGTCTGGTCTGATGTTACTGAGTTAACTTTTGAAGAAAAGTTCAATATACCACTATCGGAGGAGTACAAAGTAGATCTTGTTATCTTCTTTGCAAAAAGACAACACGGTGATGAAAATCCTTTTGATGGACCAAGTAATGTTTTAGCTCACGCGTTCTTGCCAAGCCAATTCTCGAAACTTTCAGGTGATGCCCACTTCGATAATGATGAAGAATTCACTTATAAAAGTTTCGATGGAATAAATCTCTTTCAAGTCGCGGCCCATGAATTTGGACACAGTTTAGGGCTGGAACATAGTGATAATCAAAATGCATTAATGGCACCCTATTTTAACGGTTATCAATCTGATTTTAAATTACATAGTGACGATATAGCAGGAATTCAAGCTTTATACGGTGAGAAGAAAGTAGACGCAACTACTAAACCTAGTATTGAAACCACTACAGCACCCTCCTCAACTGTCTCTTTAAAAACTGCAAAGGAAGGTGAGAGCACTGACATGCCATGTACCTGTCCGACTCAAGTTCCATCTACTATTGAACCGGTAACACCTGAAGCACCAGACACGCCAGCAGATGTTTGTCAAGACGCTAAAATTGATACGATCTTGCAAGCTTATGATGACTCTATATATGCATTTAAAGGAAATTATTATTGGACAATATCTGTCTATTACTTCGAAAATCCGAAAAAGATCTCAGACAACTGGAAAGGCTTACCAGGAAATCTAGACGCCTCATTTTATTATGAGAAAACAGATACAACCTATTTCTTTAAAGGTGATAAATTCTGGGAGTTCGAAGGATTCAATATGAAGCCAGACTCACCTAAGATTATTGGATCTGACGACTTCCTTGGAATTCCAAATAACGTCGACGCAGCCTTCATATATTCCGAAGATGATCATTTGTACTTTATTAAGGACAATAACATTTATAAATATTTATTCAAAAGAGGAAAAGTTGCAAACAACTATCCTAAACGTCTTACTGATTGGAGGGGTCTTCCCGAAAAGGTTGACGCCGTTTTCCAGTTAAACTCTGGCTATCATTACTTTTTTACAAATCAAGAATACTACAGATTCGATGAAAACAAATTCCGTACACAGCCCTGGTTCGCAAGAGATACAGGATCCTGGTGGTTCGGCTGTTAAAATTATATAAATTAACTACACTTGACAGTACGTCTAATCAGTTTAAAGTTTGTTACAATTTATCCAAAGTGGCCTGAGTTATGAAATGCATATTCAGTTTTTACAAAATACAATTTACTTTTTACAAACAATATGAAAGTAGCAAAACAGGAAAATTATTAGAAAAGAAAGGCTTTTCTTATTGTCAAATAACCTTAGCCTTTCTCTAATAAGCACTTAACCGGAAATGTCATTAACTTGTAAGAACACAGATAATGAAACCTGATACTATTATCGTGCGTTTACAATCCAAATTCCAATGGGAGCGAGTAATATCTTAGGATGTAGCAAAAGTTGCTTAGAGACTTAATACGTTTATGATGCAGCTGGTGTCTACAAAACGTAGTAACTCTTTTAAATTAAGTATTCAAATTAGCAAAAGTATTAAGCCAAATTGAAAAGAATAGTAATATTTAATTATGTATAATTGATAAAAAATTCAATTTTAAACATTTGATACAATATTATATTAGATACATTATTTGACAAAATCTCTGGATTAACTTAATTAATCCAATTAATCCTTCCCTACATGATCCTAATAGCGCATATTAAATTCGCAAGAATATATTTTACAAAAATAAATAATAAAAATTCATAAGAAAGAATATTATCTTGAAAGCAAAATTCGAATTTAGAACTATTTACGTTTGATATAACTTGAACGGTTTGGGACACTGAACCACGCTGTAAAAATGGCGAAAAAAAATATTGAAGATATGCGAAACAAAGTTATACTTGGTGAATACGGGGTCTCTCATGTAAGATTTTGTTCTGAGAAATTTATAATTCAATAGAAATATCATAGATTCTTCCTTGTGTTCTATTTATTTCAAGACTAATACACTTTTCGTAAGTTTCATCAATTATCGATCAACACATGGTTTTTTACAGCCACAAACAAGCGATTTTCCTGGAAGTTATCACGACTACGACGATGCATGGAGTTTAAAAAAATTTCAAAAAGTTTGATCATTATTTTTCACTTGAATAATATTTTGTTAATTAGAGAAAATTTTACAGAATTTCCAAATAGATATTAAAGAAATCAGTAATAATGGTAATGATATCGAATTTGACATGGTACACATTGATTGCTCTGTAGCGAATGCATTTAGAAGAATTTTACTCAGTGAAGTTCCTACAATGGCAATAGATAGGGTGTGCATCCTCAACAACACATCTTTGATACAAGACGAAGTCTTAGCTCACAGAATAGGTTTAATTCCAATAAAAGCCGATCCAAGAATGTTTGAATATCGAAGCGCAGATGACACAGAACCCACTGAACACGACTCAATTCAATTTAATTTAAAAGTAAAGTGTACACGTAAATCAGATTCTAGTGGAGAAACTAGTGATCCTGATCATTTATATAATAATCATAAAGGTAAATTATATTGTAATATGTTACACAAGTCAATTGTTCAATAAGTGGTTACTTTTAGTTACAACAGCAGACTTTAAATGGAAACCTCTGGGAAATCAGGCGAACATGGTAGCTCATATATTGATTTCGGCTTGTAAGGGTTATAATTACTATTATTTATATGCAGTTTAAGAAGGGAGATATTCATCCGGTTCACAACGACATTTTAATTGCTAAGTTAAGACCTGGGCAGGAGATAGATCTTCAAATGTATTGCTTTAAAGGTTTGGGAAAAACTCATGCTAAATTTTCTCCCGTCGGTAAGCTGATAAATATTATGCATTTTAGCTCTAAAACTAAGGAATACAAATTTCCCTTAGCCACGGCAACCTATCGACTCCTACCTGATATTTCATTGTTAGAGCCAATAAAAGGAGAATTAGCAAAGATGTTGAAAAAATGTTTCGCTAATGGGGTCATTGGAATAAATGGTAATAATTTTCGAAAGATGCATTCTATTTGTTAACTTAATTACCAAATGACAGATCAAACTGGCGAAGCGTACGTTAAAGACGCTCGAAGAGACAACTGCAGTAGAGAAGTACTACGCCACGAAGATTTAAAGAACCACGTACAATTATCTCGTATTCGCGATCACTTTATTTGTAAGTCTTCATTATTAATAATTCCAAAAAAAAAATTTTCACGCATTATTATATTCTCTAATCTACAGTTAACGTTGAATCAACGGGTTGTTTACCTGTCTATGACCTAATTTGTCAAGCCATCGAAGTGTTAATGACTAAATGCAAGAAATTTATTGACATTCTAGATAACGTCGACAATGAGCCAGAGGACGACGATGATGAATAAAATTATACACTAATAATTATAACAACTTAGTATTTATCAGTTTTAAATGAAACCTGTAGGGGTTTATCATAAATGGTATATCCGTTCAGAGCTTGAATTGCTTGCACGGCCTGTTGATAATCCGACATTGTTACAAATCCGTAACCTTTGGATTTTCCAGTTCCTGCTTCCCTAATTACATTCGAATTTAATACGTTTCCGTAGTTACTAAATAACTGTATAAGAGCGGTTTCATTGTAATACGGTCCAATATTATAAACGAATAAACAAGGGGGCGGTGGCTGTGGGACCGGCGCAGGTTGAGTTTTTGCCGGAAATGGATTATAGCGATAATTTGCTTTAAGTTGACGCATAAGAGGACTAGGTGTTGGTCTGTTGTAGTTATTGAGCATCTCGTTCTTTTCTCTTTTTTCATTTATATCTTGTGCTAGTTTGACACACAGACTCTCACAAGATGCATCTAATTGCAAATTATTTAAACTTTCTATGGCTTGTTGAGCGCTTGAATATTTATCGTACAAAACAAAGGCTGTAGCTTTACTCGATCCAGACTTCTCTCTTAGGATGCGACATTGCACTATACTTCCGAATTGTTGGAAGAGAGAGATTAGGTTATCTTCACCCCACTGCTTTGGGAATCCTTTAACATACAAATTCCCAGATTTTTCGCCAGACGGCCTAGAATAAGCAACTTTAATACGTTTGTTCTTCAGAGCCAACCCATTAAGACGATTAATCGCCTGACTAGCATGTTGAGGATTACCGTATTCAACAAAACCGAAACCAAAGCTTAAGTTTGTTTTGCGGTCACGTACGATTTTGCAGTTTCGAAGTGGGCCAACTGTAGAAAATATTTCGGCGAGTTCGCTGTCGGCTAGTGTTTGAGGAAGGTAGTTGACAATTAGATTGACTTGTGGGCTTTAAAAAAAAATGAAAAATTTCGCCGTTATTACATATAAAAAAAAAATAATTAAAGACCAAACACAAATTAAGTAAAACGTTTTTCAATACATGACTCAACTTTTGCAGATTAAAATAAAAATCGATTCGATTACAGAAATACACAAAAAAATACGCGTATGTCAATAAAATATCAGAAGGTTGGCCATTTAAAACCGTATTATCCGATTGCGACAAATTTGTTCAACTGTCACCATTCAATAATTGCAAATAGAACAATTAAATTCATTTATTAACGATGTTTTTGTCACTACCTTGCGTGTTCGCCCGTCTCCATTTCCAGCCGGAAGTTTTCTGTGATAAATCTACATACCGAGAAAATAGCGCGGCTACCTGTCACAACCCTAACCTGGATACTACATTTAATTACTATAGTTCCACCTTGTTCCCTTCGAATGATGACTTGTAATGAAAAATTACCCTTTAGCTTTCATATTAGTTTGTTATCTGAAGCACTAATTGAGTTTCAAATGAAAGTACATGGATTCTTTCTCCTCATTACTATTTTTCCATGAGATCTAGAGCTCAATATTTCTTAAGCGAAAGCCAGTAGAATAATCTCATAGCTCTTATTATTCGTTATCGTATTCTTTTACATAAAAGATTCTTTAGTTGATGTAGAATAACAAATATAGGAAGTACACCATGTAAGAACTCCATGAAATTATTTCAATTTGATATTGTACATTCTGAGAAAATTGTACCTTGACGTATGGTAGGTAGTTAACGTTTACAAATAAAATACTCAAAAGTATTCAAATTCATTAACTAATATATTAAGATAAGAAAAACGAAGAATCCTATTTAATTAAGAAAAAACCAGCTAGTAAACAAGTGAGTTCAATTCAAAAAGTAACGATCGAAAATTGGCACTCAAAGTGATCAATATTTCGGATAATTCGGTTATTAGTTGTACAAGGAAATTTAAATTATTTTTCAACACTTTAACTTTTTCCAAAAAATATAAAAACGCTTTCTTATTATTTTTAATAATATAATAATATAAATATTTAAAAAATAATAAATAAATTTAAGCTTAATTCAGCCTAAATCTATATAAAAAAGTAATAGTTTTCATTAATTATCTCTGCGAATTACAAAGGAACGATGGAGGAAAACGATTACTTAAATAAAGACCATTCATCGAATTCTAATTGCTATTTAAAATTTACAGAGGAAAAACGTACAAAATGGTGTAGGATTTTGTTGGTTTCAACAAAACTATTAATAATTATCAGTATTTTTGGATTAGTTCATGGTACATATATTTTATTTAAGCATAGTAGATTTTCCGAATTTCTAACAACAAATACATCAATCGTTGTTAAATTATATGTTACAAGCTCCCTTTTAGGTGTTATTGTCAATTCTTTTACATTTGTTTTAGCCTTGATTTTTATAACTCCTTCAACAAGAGGGAGAGTAAAAACAATGGTTTTATTACATTTCTTTCTAACAACTTTAACATGGGCATTTCATTTCGGAGTTTCAATTATAACTGCGAAATACCTTTTCTTTATTCCAACTATTGAAGATTTTCGCCATAATCTCTATAATGCTATGCATAACTACGACAGGGAACCGACTATTAAATTACAACTTGACGAAATGCAAATACTTTTTAGATGTTGTGGCTCTAGAACTTATTCTGATTGGTTTAGGACTAATTGGATTAATCCGAAAAGTATTGCTAACAACAAAATTCAGGAGAACTATTTAATGAATAATAAGAACGTCCCATTTAGTTGTTGTAGTACTAAGTCTCCGCGTCCATGTATTAGTGAAAACGTAGAAACGTCTACTTCCCTATATGATTATAAAAAACATTTATCACTCTATAAAGAAGGTTGTTCTCAACCTTTAAGGGAATCAGTCACTTACAATTTCTTCATGGTTAACTTTATAACAATTCTACTAAGCATTGGAGACTTTACATTTGCTATTCTCTTTCGATTATTATATCAATCAATCGTAAATAAACGTGACCCTACTTCTACGGCTACTGTTCGATGTAATATATTCTATTCGTGGTTGGAAGATGAAGAAGTAAAGGAAGCTGTCGAGGAAGCGAAACGTCAATTTTTTGAGCGATTGCATAAAGCAGAAGAAGAATACAATTAAATACATATTAACTATATTAAGTAAAATAATAACTATTATTCCCTATAAAGTCTCCTTATATGTTTCTTTATTAACAAATAAATTGGAATTATTATTAAAAATTCATTACAAGTTTCTCATTAATCTATCTATTGTGTGATAGACATTCACATCCTCTCTTTCTCTCTGTCACATCCTCTTTTGTTACTAAATGAAAACTAATGAAAACTTGATAGTAATAATGAATTTTGAGATCAGTTTTACTAGTTTTATGAACGGGAATATTTTCACAAAGCAGGTAACCTGGTCTGCTGCAATTTATTATCCCAGTCATTTAAATATACTTGAGCCGCCATACCAGCTCGGAAAATATCCTTATTACGTCATTTAAGTTTCGCTTTTTCTCTATTTCCTATTAAGGTGAGAGGAATTATTTATTTACAAAATAATACTTTTTATTTAGCATATTTTTTGTAAATTTTTAATGGAATTCTCTAGCTAATTATTTTAATATAATACAGAGGGCGCCAGCTGCAATTGGAGCTGGGTTCCATACTAGTAAATTGTTTACTGCTCCGAGTTTGCCAAGAAACTATGTGTATTTTTATTTAAGTGTATTGGTTTTAGGTGTAAATTGGTCATTATAATTTATTAATACATTAATCTTATCATAAAGGTAATTAGCTTCTTATTTTTACTTGGATGTTATTGTACTGATCGCTTTACTCCTATGCATGTTCGGTCTTGTTGCCCGCCGTTTGGAATGGAGTTTTTTACATTTAAAAAACTTGCATGCTTTACATAAACAGATAATTAATAAGTTAAAAATACTGATTCACAGTTAGATCAGTCAACTGATGAGAAAATTTCAATGATTCGAAAGAGTCGAAGAGGCGGGGAGAAGGTATTTCGAACATGCATAACAAACTTAGTCAAATTTTTCTAAACAGTATAAATAATTCAACTTAATTGGCTTGATTGATTTAAATGCAGAAACTCATCATGACTGTTGAAAGAGGGGGAGCAGTCTCACCAGTACATGTGCATGTTGCTGAGGATACTGCTGTTCATGTACACGTAAAAAAAAGACTAGATTCATCCCATTCGAAATCTGACGTTCGAAGAGCTATAAAGGAAAGAGAGCATGGATGGATACCTCCACCTGCAAAGAGCTCTATACGATCTCGATGTTTAGCTTCGAGTGAACCAGCTCCGGGCGGTCCAAGAGTAGTTGAAGTCTCAACGGAAGAAGAAGATAATGTCCGAGTAAAGATGCATGAATACGAAAGTCGGGTAGGAGAATTGGTTTCTGAAGTTGGGTCTTTGAAAGCAGAGGTTGCTCTTGAGAGATCCTTGAGGAAAGAAACTGACGATGTCGCTAAAAGTAAGGGAAAGGAGGCTCTTCTCCACAAACTTGTCTCTGTTGAATTAGATGCAACAGCTTCAATTCGTCATGCCGATGGTCTTCGTGATGTTATGAGGAGATTTCGAGATGAGCGTAAACTATGTGGTAGCGATTGGAATATGATTAACAAGCAAAGAGACCTACTGGTATCCAAATTGGGAGATTTCGAAAGGGGAGCTCGAATTTTGGTAAGTTTACTGCATGAAACGCACGACTCTGAAGCTGCTACTCATCGCCTTATAGAGCAACGCGATTTACTTCTCCATAAGTTAGCGAAAGCTGAGGAAGCGTTGTCTCAACAAGAAAGAACTATGCAAGAAGTTCATATGACAGCTGAAGCCCAAAAAGATGAAAATTTAGCACTCTCGGGAGCTCAAACAGCCTTAGAAACAACAAGAGCTCATCTACAAAAAGCCTTCAAAGCGAAAGAGGCCGATTGCAATCGTTTAGCTGTTCAGGTTCGCACCCTCGAATCTGACCTAGCTACTGCCCGATTAGACCTGGAATATGCTCGAAATATGCTGGCATCAACACGCGAAAAGTATACAAAGAATAAAGAAGCTTTAAAAAAAGCAACAAGAGTACAAAAAGAAAGAGCTAATACAAGCGAGCAAAAACTGCAAATTATTAATGAACAAGTGACCCAAAGGGATGCTGATGTAATGGAATTAAAAACCGAAAATGAATTACTCAGGAAAGAAAAATCGGCTTTAGATGCTCAAGTTACCGCTCTACACAATCGATTGCTGAACATTGAACAAGATACCAAAGTTGATATTGATAGAATGGAACAGAGAGAAAGGGAGGCCATTTCAAGAGAGAGGATGTCTCGAATGGAGTATGAAAGAGCCGAGACTGAAATTCACAATGCCCGGGAAAGTCTTGGTCAGGCTGAACGCTTATTAGAAGAGTATAAACAACAGTTGAAAAAGGCCAGAGAAGAAGCTGACGACGCGTTATCGAGGCTGGAAGAAGAGCAACGTCTAACGGCGAAGTTACAAAAGGAGTGCGGCATAGCTGTGCAAGAGGTTCGTTCCCGCGTTCAGCAACGTCTGGCTCAGCTTGAACCTGTCCCAGAGTTGCTTAAAGCAACTGAATTAAAATTAGCCGATGTTTCACAGAAGTTAAATGAATCCGAAAAGAAAGAAAATGAACTGAAATCGAAACTTCATCAAACATCTCAACATCGTCAAATACAAAACGACGTTCACGTGCATGAACTATCAAATGTGGAAAGAAGGGTTCGAGAATTGGAGGCGAGGAATGTAGAATTACAGTCATCCTTGGCTCAAAGAGATGAGACGGTGCACAGAATCCAAGTTCAATTGGAGGAACGGTCAAAAGAAGTTGCGGGCCTTTCTCGTCAGCTTGAGACGGCTGTTACAGAATCAAGAAGAATAACTGAACAAGCTAGGCAAAAGTCCTGCGGAAAAGAAAGGGCCGCAGTAGCAAGAATTAGTGAATTAGAGGCTGAACTATCTGCTGCAAGGGCAGAAGTGGCCAGGGTTAGGAGAGAGAGAGATGAATCCGAAAGGAAAATGAATTCTAAATTATACGATCTAAAAGAAAGGTTGGAGCAATCTACTGCTACAAACAGATCTATGCATAACTATGTCAACTTTTTGAAAACAAGCTACGCAAACACATTCGGTGACATGGGTGGTGTCTCAGGTAACGCTTGTTACACACCTTCTCCAAGCACTTTTTGAAAGGAAACAATTAAGGGACACATATGAACATTGGGTATTAGTAGAATTTTATTGCTTTGGCGTCCGATCCGTAGAACTTACCTGTCTCACAAATAAATGTAATGAAACAAAATTATTAGATTTTATAATTGTATTACAGCATTTTGAAAATCCCTTTTTCCCAAAAAAGATACATTTACATTTTTTTCATTAGAATCATCTTTTTTCCAAAAATTTATCATTCTTCGATTTCTAACAGGAATAAAAAGAGCACCAGATACTACATTATTGCGCGTTATCTAAAGTGTTTGGGGTAGGCAAAAGAGGATTCATTGATGGCTGCATAAGATTAAACCTCTGCTTCTGCTTTCTTTGTTCCATCATCTATTCAATTAATCAATCAGTAAATTATATATTAACTTTTACAACTTTTTCAAAAGAAAATCATCTTACCTGATCTTTCAGTTCGTTCAGTTGAGAGCAAAGCTGTTTTACTAAATCTTTAGTGTCGTCCAATGCTGTTTGTAAATTTCTCAACTCATTTTGCTCTGATTCACCTTCATCTGCCGCTAATGACATGGCACGCATGCGTGGAAACCAATCTAGATTCTTTTCGGCTATCATAGAGTGCACAAAACTCTCTGGTCCAGTATACTCGGTTGGATCTTTTACTTTAATCAAAACAATGAAGTACAAATAGTGCCACATGTTATGTTCCGATTTACAATGTTCCTCGAAAGAAATCGACTTATTATCGAATGATGAACGATCCAAACCTGTTAAATGAATAAAAACCAAAAGGATATCCGCTTAAAAAAATAATTGCTTAACGATTTCCTTAAAAGAGAAAAAATTATTATAAGAGGGTTACAAAGGAATGTGTTCTTTCTTTAATAATTATTAATTTACACAACAATAAATTAACTACAAGCAAAAAAAAATTACTACAAACTAAAACAAACCACAAATAAAACAAGTATTCTTAAGAATTTCTTCTTTATTCTGCTTCTCTGTTCTCAAATCGGCAAACGTATCGATGATCACTCCAAAGATAAGGTTGAGAACGATGATGATTAATATAAAATAGAAGAGAAGATCGTAGATAACTCGGAATATGAAGAGGGATTCCTAAAATAATACAACATTCAAAAACCAAAAAAAAACAAGATTAATGAAAGTAGACAATCGTTTAGGTGAGTAGAATAGATGCGTGGCTGGGTAAGTACATCCTTTTTTTTTTAAAAAAAAGGTAGAAAAACTCTCAATTATTGCCATTAAAAAAGGTTAACGTTTGAACTACATAAAGTAGATCTAATGACAATCTATTGACTATGATTGCTTTTTAAAACGGATAAAACAGCTAAACAAAAGAATTATCCGTGCAGAATACGACGATATCTTAATAATAACCGCAAACGAAGCATGTATTCTTTAATATTTCTTCTTTATTTTGCTTTTCACTTCTTAAGTCGGCAAACGTATCGATGATAACTCCAAAAATCAAATTTAGAACGATAATAATGACGATGAAGAAGAAGAGGAGATCATAAATAATACGAGCTATAAAGAGAGGTTCCTAAAACCGTTTCCAAAATTTTTAATATTCCGATTAGTATGAATTAGTTAAATATAATATAAATAAAAATATATTAGGCATGGTAAATAAACGTTATTGTTTAAGGAGCGTAGCTTTAAATGTTTAATAGAACGTACCTTTTGACTAGGTTTTCTTAAAATGTCACCAATGCCGCCCCCGTTACGTAAACCTTCGTTTAGAGTGGTTACAATACACATAATCAACGAATCGCAATGCCTTTCTCGAACTTCGCTATCATCTTCGACTCCGTATAAGCTTGCTTCTGTCGATGTCATATTACACTCTTTCTCAGACGAGCAACTTTCAGTTTGCCCGAGGTTCGTCGCCATTTTAGCAGCATTTTTAACCAAGTCAGTGTTTACGATCGGCTCCAGGGGAGCAACCTCCATAAGGAAATCATCTTGGAAGAATATAAAGCCGATTATCGAGAACAAATATATCAGAATAACAGCAAGTACTGCTGTCAAGAGGATAGAGCGACCATTTTTTGTAACACTCCTTATGACATTTACTAGCGTCTCTTCACGATATACAACATCTAGCAAGAGGAGTGAAAAGAAGAAAGGATGAAAGAAAGTTCCACTAAGTGAAATGCTTATATAGCCGATATGGTAGACAAACTCGAAGTCGGTTAATATTTCTCTGAAACTTTTCGTAAATGTTCCACTATTACCCATCAGAGCAATCATAAATATAGTACTATTCAGAACGTGTAAGGAACCAATTATTAATAAAGTTGTCGAAAGACCAATCGAAAATATAAGCCGTAATATTACAGAAGCAACCAATGTCCGATAACCAATAGTTTTTGATGTACTTATAACGACAACCAATGACACAATCATAGCCATCCATATCAGACCCGATAATCTTCTATCTAAAGTTCCTGGTCCAGAAGAGAAGGGATAAAACAGGGCTACAATTAAGTTGCAGAGTATGGCCAAGTTGAAACTTATTCCACTCCAAAGTCTCATATGGGAAGATACCCAAAATAATACTGGATTTGAACGTAATTTCTTTTGCCATTTCATTTCATCAAACAAAGTTGTATGTCTCTCAAAAAAGTCAGTTACCTTACTACCTTGATCATCCCTTTCGGCTGTTTGATAAAGTTTTACTTTTGTTTCTGCTGTAAGGTATTCGCAAATTTCAGGTATGGGGAAGACAATCTGTTCCAGAGTTCTATCGTGCCTTACAATTTCAATTTGCCCGGTGTGCTTTGCGTAATAGGTTAGAGCCGGATTTGGAGGATCAGGATTCTTTAAGAGAGCTGCCAACTCTTTATTATGATGGGCTAATTGATGAGCCAAAATATAAATATTATGACCAACATCTCTAGGATTAATTTGATCATCATCGTCGTCGTCTTCTAAACAATCTTCTTCTTCCAACTGTTCGTATTGATTATAGGCTTTCACGGCAACGTCAACCTATAATTTGTGATGAAAAAACATTAAAATATAAAATTGAAATTAAAAAACTCATATTTGTATTTTTATTGGGGCAAAAAGTGTAAGATAAAGCGTGTGTTTTCTATATCATGCGTAACCTTTTCAAAATCTTGAAAACCATATTCCATAATTGAGAACTAAATACTGACATATCAAAAAAGGGAGAAACAAAGTATTTATGGGAGACCTGTTTACTTACTAATTGTTTAGGGCTCATGTTATATAGTATTCTTTCAGCGTTTTCCCCTTCGTAACGACTCTCCATTATGGCAAGTAACAATTTGGACGCGTTGTTCTATCGTTTCATTCATTTGTATTAAAACAAATAAAAATAATTAGTTGACGTTTTATAGAAAAATGCTATTTCTACCTTCAACTTCAATACCAAATCAATTCTCTTTTTACCAAGAGGATTTATATCATTTAATATTAAGGCAATTATGATATCAATACCATTTGATTCGTGTCTAGCAATAGCATCTTGGTTTTCATGACATGGTCCTATTTTGCAAAAAAAATGTATCTTATTAATAAAATATCAATAAAGTAAAAGAAATAGAACCTTGACAATATTCCGTTAAGGTTTCTAATGTTTGATTAATCAAGTCAACATTTTCCTCATTAATATATAAACCTAAAAGGCCTAATCCTCCAGTGGTAGATCCACAAATACAATCAAGAAATTGTAAAGATTCACAAACTAAGTTATAATTATTTTTGTTATTTTGAATTCTTAAGAAATTTTGAAGCTCTAAGTTATGATTTTCACAACACAACTGCAGAAATCTTAGTATTGGTTGCATTACTAGAATATCTGCAGACATTTTTTTTTCATCCCTGTGTTTGTCTTTATCCAAACCATCGTCCGTTTGAAGTTCATCCGGACTGCCGGTAGCTAGGGTATCTAGCCTCTGCTTTCTAACTGTAAGAATAGCTTTACTAGTGCTAACGGCAGCTTCATTCATTTCCTCTTTCATATTATGGCTCATTATACTCCCATTCGTCTGTTTGTACTGGTGTATTTGTTGTGTGACATCCTTTTCTTCATCCTTTTGTTCGCCAAGGCCATCGGATGTTCCAACATTAGAAGTGGATTTAATTTCTTGTTGAGCCAATTGCATTCTATCAAAGAAAACCTTGAAAAACTTTTCCGAATTCTTATCATTTTGTAATCTCTTCAATAAGGATTTTTGAATATCTCTATTACCACCTTCCAATAAGGCTATTCCAAGTTCAATTGTTTCTAAGAAGATTCGGTGGGAATGGTCACTTATAATTAAATCAACAACAAGATCAGTAGCTCCTTCCCGATCTAAATGGCACTGGACATGGTGAAGAGTCATTTCTGCCCTAGAAATGACATTTGGCTTAATTCTGTCTGCAGTAAAAGATATACTACTCCTTCTACGCGACTGTCCAAATCCTTCATAATAGCGTGTAAGGAGAGACTGTCTAAGAGCTTCACCCTAATAAAATATAACAAAAAAAAACATTCGTCAGTAAAAGAGAGCAAGAAAAAGCAAATTCTTTTACTCTGGAAGAGAAAAATAAAATAAAGTACACTGTTAAGTATGTTACAAACAGATAACTAGGTGTATATATATATATACATTTATATATATTAATATATATATATATATATATATATATATATATATATATACAGAATTAATACAACATATTTTCATACTCTTTGTCTCCCTAATTCCGAGAATTGCATACCAGATTCCCAACCAATTTTGTTCCACAAATCAATCTAAGGTGTAAATACTTTTACCCAGTGCAAAAAAAAAAAACAGACAAACAAAGCAAAAGTAAAAAGTAATAACTAAATTGCAATAAGCTGCCTTTCAACCAAAAATATTTAGTATAAAAATAAAATTAATCCTAGAAACGAATGGTTATTTGGGAGGATAATGGAAACCTATTTCTTTTATTCTATTTACCATACTTCTAAAAGTGTTAAATATATAATAAAAAAAAAATATGTTGGATAATCAACATCTCACCGCTTTGTGCGTGCTCGTTTCTTCAGTGATGGCCTATGATAAACGGTAAGAGAAAAAAAAATGCTCAATTTCAAGTGATCATATCGTGCTATAAATATAAAAATATTGAAAATACGACGATGTCTATAATTACTGCACCTCTGTACTCTTTTTTAAGGTTTAAGGTTATTTTTTGGAGGGTTAAAGGTAAAAAAAAGGGCAAAATTAAATGCAAAATTATTATTTTTAATTCTAATGTCAGATGAAAAAAAATATTATGTATAAAGAAAAGGTAAAATTATTATTTTAAAGGAAATTTTAAGCTTTTATCATTATTTATGATTGTTATCCTAATAAATCTATCCTACCTTTTCTCCGTAGTCTATATCAACTGTCATCATATCTTTTAAAGTTTGCAGAACTTTTATACATAGTTTCTCTTCTTTTTCATCCAACAATTGTTCCGTGTGTTTAATTAATCTGTTATACAAAATAAGGATATATTAAGAAAACAATAAAGGGCGTAAATACTATACCTGGATATGAAACCACCACTTTCGCACTTCTTTCTGCTATCAGTACCAGCGGGAAACAGTAGTTCTGGATGATGTAAAACATCTACTAGGACTGAAAGTTCGGCTTGCACAAGAGGTTTCAGTTGATCACTTAGTAGACTAACAATATCTTGTAAACCTTCCAGAATTGATCGATTACTCTGAGATAGTTTTAAATTTTGTTCCATTTTGCTTTTTATCTTTCTTGCAAATTTATCTGCTGCTAATTTGATAGCTTTAGTTGGTTTTTTTAAGGTTTTTTCAATACGAGCTTGAAGGTCAGGATTTACTGCTATATGTCTATCTTTGCCTAATATTTAAGAACATAATTAGTTAAAGTTAATGAATGAAAGAGAGTTTTTGAAGGTGAAAACAATACAGACCTACTTGATACAACAATTCAACACATTTCTTTGTTTCACTTAGTTGCGATTGTTCCAAAGATCCTAAATGTAATTGTAATATGTCAAAAGCCGTCTCTAATAAATGCGCAAATATTCCCTGTCTTGTTTGAACTTGCTCAGCGAATTTCGACGAAAAGAACGTCGTTATGACGCTTGTTACTGTGAATGTAACATAATTTTCCATCTCTATATCTTCCGGGGTTTTTTTTGACGAATCCATTGCAGCAATCTTCAAAACTTTATTCATATCTTCAATGAAATTCTCAAACAATTGCCACATATAGTTTGAACTGTATATATCTTTTGCTTCCATTTCGGTGTCAACATAACAATGATTTAGAAAGTTAATATAGGCTTCTTTAACGGCAACCAGGCAAGTATCGTGACATACAACTCTGACGATATCCTCTAGAGGAAGAAGAGATTGACATTTGATTTCGGTATAAACATTCTTCCCCTCTGTACAGCAAGACAGCAATTTCACCAAGTTAATATGATAATTTAATGGTGATCTATGATCGAGTAGTTTATTCTTTTGTTCTTCCATCAGCGTGACCAACTTGCCAAAATTTTGTTCATTATAGAAAACTAATACATCTTCCCCAACATTAATCAGCTAAAAAGAGAAGGGGAAAAAAAGAAATTCCTGAATTAAAATCAATCAAAAAAAAAAGGCTTAAGTCTAGCTTAAAATTTCTCCCAAACCTCTCATTTCCCCAGTGACATTACCCTCCCTCAACGTAAATACTCCTTTTTTGGTGTAGTCTGTAAAGTAAAATAATAATTGCTAATGTGTTTCTTTTTTGTGGTGAAAATAATACAAATCTTCTTTAGCTATATAAAAAAAAAACTACAAAATTGCAACACGATATATTTAATACTTTTGTCAATTCTTGCTACTTTCGCTAGACTTAAGCCATCAAATTTCTAAACCATTAATAACATAGTGACAAAATATATACATATATAAATATAAATATATATATACATATATATATATATATAAATATATAAATGAATGTATACCGTACATAAACGAAACGAAAAAAACAAAATAACTATAACAATAATAAATAAAAGAATAATCAAGTGCAAAAATTTCTGTTTTTTTTTGTAAAACGAAACAATAAAGCGAATACTCTACGATTAGTACTAACGGAAGCCATAACTAGATCTTGAGCTTTTCGATTATATATCACTTCAGCGTTGCGCTAATTCAGAGATGCAATAAGAGTGTTTTTAAGCATTCATGAAATTGTAATTAGTAAATTCATTAATGATTTTTTTTTTTGATTTTTTTGGATGAATTTCCATAAGAAAAAAATATTTTATTTCTATTTTTATGAATTAGTTTAGCTAATTAAATTGTAATTGTATGGTTTTGCGTTTTTGTACAAGTTAAAAAGATGGAGAGATAGAAAGAAGAAAATGAACGAATGATAAACTATAGCAAGAAAAAGTATATAAGCTATAGTAATTATTAAAATGAATTATTTTTAAGGCTTTTTTTAATTTCTTTTCGTAGTATTAAAAATGAAAAAGAAGAGAAAATTAGGAAATTTTGTTGAAAAAAAAAAGAAAGAAATAAGAGAGAGAGAGAGAGAGAGAAATAATGAAAAAAATTATTATGTGAAAATACCTGAGAATTTATACGAGAAATCTATTTTATAAGGCAAAAAAAAAAATGAAAGTAAACCAAAAAAAAAGGAAAAAAAAAACGTTAAATATAATAATAAATTATTTATATCTTATAGAATTAATAAAGATATTAATATTTTAAAAAAAGAAAAAAACAAATATAATTTATTCTTTTTCTTTTAGGCTGAGTCCTAATTTATAATAATTTAAAGTATGTCTTATTAAAAGTATAATAATTTACCAACCTCTGCCATTACTGCCGTCTGCGCTTTCCTTATATATTGTTTGTCACATTTGACAATTGTTTGTAAAAAATGTAGATATTCAACGTAAGTTCCATTCGTTTCAATACAATGGACAAAATGATTAACAACCTTCTCCGATACTTCGTTACATAGAGTTGGATTATCTTTAAATATTGCTTTAGCTGTTTGAGCTTCCAATAAACCTGGCGTTAAAAATAACTCTAAACTTCCAAATAATAGCTGTTGATTTGGGGCATTGCTCAGGCAGAATTTTTGTAAAAATTCATGCGCCTTTTGCATAATTTCAATCATTCTATGATCTTCGCTTTTTTCGTACGGTATTTGCAAAAGTTCCAAAACAACTTCATGAGCGTTCATATTCCTTAGCAAACGCTGTTCGTATACTTTAGGGGCTGCTGTTGCATCATTATAACATAAGGCTATAAATGTCTTTAATATCTCCTGAATTGACTTATAATTTTCGGCAGCTGTAGAATCAATTTTTGGACCATGATTCAAATCGATATGAGACATCCCCAAAGTAGGTGTAATTATATCTAACGGTCTCTTCTTCTCCTTTTTCTTCTCATCCTTCGAACTATCAGATTTCTTTTTCTTTTTGCTGGATTTATATACCCATAATTCAGATTTCTCAACCAAAATTCTTAGTTGATCAAGATTTGATTTTATAACTTTATAATTCTCGACGTCGTCGGCCTGAACTAATAATTGAACTTGTTCGAACGCTAAAAGAACTTCTTGCCTTTGAGAAAAATGTCTAAAGAGCAACTGTAGAGCCCCAGAGACTAACGGTGGGTAATTGTGCATAACCAAATTGAGTAGAACCCTCAAAAACATTCTACCCCCTTGTCGATCAAGATCCAATTCCGCACTGTAGTCACTATTTTATTCAAAAGTAAATATAAATTAAAAAAAAACAATTATATAATTGAAAATAATTAATATCGAGTACATTATAAATATACAGTATATGTGTATATTATATATGTAAATACTAAATAAACAACAATAATCTCAATTTTTCATATATTAAAAAATATATATAATGAGAAAAAAATGTTTTAAAAAACAAAAAGAAAAAAAAAAGTTGTTCGTGCGCCAAAATGTGCCCTAACATAATTTAATAATTACAATACCTTCTGTAGTTGCTGGACACGAATAGATTATTATTTTTTTTCATTTAATTATTTATAAATCTATTGTAAATTTTTAAATAATATTTAACCTACCTTCCGCCAAATATATCTTCGGCTTGTGCGGCTATACTCTCCAAATCCAAACCTAAAGTTGAAAACAAAATATATATTAATAAAATACGGATATTTAAATAATTTGTTTAAGGTATAAACATGTAAGGGTATAAGGTGAATTATTATTATTATAGATATAAGGTATATTATATATGTAGATATATACTGTAGTTATATATACAGTATACTGTATATATATATATATATATATATATTAATATATAATACAGTTATATATATATATATATCTGTGCAAAGACAGCACAATAGATTGATAGATGGATATAAGATAAATCAACATAAGAGCTCTTTACCACTCTATATACATTAAATTGTAAATTATAGAGACATGTAGAAATTATATAAATATAATATCTACATGCTTATACTCATTAATATACTTGTATAAGGCTAATCATATAAAGAGAAAAAGGCACAATAAGCAACTAATGTTTTCTATTTTAAATATAAAAAGGACTTTTTAGAATTATTATTCCTTAGATAATCTCTCGTCCCTTTTAGATTTATTTTCAGACATGACCCATTTATTCCTGTTTTCTCCAAGGAATAAAAATAAATTTTTTTCTATTGTATGAGAAAAAAGGTATACGTGCAGACATGCCGTTTTTTTTTTAAACGTGCAGGAAAAAATGGAAACGAAATGAACTGAAAATATCCTCCTCTCACCGTTTCCGGCTCGGTGATCTCGTTTGAAGACCGATAGAATACAGGAAATTCGAAAGTCCAATCGAACATTCAATATAAACTGTAGCAATTTTACGTTTTGATGTGTTTTAAAAAAAAAAAAGAAAAAGATTTTTCATTCAAGAACAAAAGATTATTAATACAATTAACTAATACAATTTTTCTTTTTTTTTCCACTTTATACTATCTGTTTGATTACTGACTTCTTTTTTTTAAACCTAGTGCGTATACATGAATAGTGTTTTGTTTTTTTTTATAAATAAAATCAATGAAAATATCGTATTAAGCAGATTAGTAAAAATTTAGATTAGCGTGTTTTTTAAGAATAGTGTTAATAAATCTAGTAGCGCTTCTAATTTTTTTAACCTGCAGATTGCATTGCATTGGCGTCGAATTCTTTTTTAAATATTGATAAGACGCACGTGATGCGATAATCCTTCCTCACATCCATAATAAACTGTCAATAACTTATTTGAAAATATGCGTCTTTCCTAAAAACTTATTGAAATATGTCCTAATAATTGTATTTATGATACTCACCTGTAGGATCTCTATTATTTTCAGTTTAGTATTCATTACAATAACGTCTTCTTCGTCAGATTTCTGAACCGTTTTTTGCGCTTGAGCTAGTACACTAGCTATATTATGTAAACCAGGTTTCATCATAGCTAAGGAATTAACATCAACTTGAGCAGTAGGAGCAGTACTATTAGTTACGCAATCCAAAATTGAAAGAAGTGTTTTTGTTAAATTTAATAATTCATTAAAAGAGTAGAATCCAAAATATATAAGATGTCTAGCTAATTTTACAACTTCTAAAGTTAAAGAATTATTGCCACTGTCCATACTTGATAAAGATTTTGCAGACACAGCAACGTTTGTCAAATATTCCTCAACGAATTTAATTGTTTTTTGAAATTTCTTTCGTTCTTCACATTTCTCTTTAGCTTTACCTTTTTCATAATTGTCAATTGATATAGTTGTCGGAATATCATCCCAAAGACGTGCATATTTAACTGGGGTAACAGTCTCTTGTGGATCTCTGTCAACGTGCATATGAATGAATAGACGGCAAAACGAAGCTCGTAAGTCATCCGGGAACTCTTCATCAGCAATACATCTATTTGTTTCGTTTTTTTTTAAATATTAATGCCTCTTAAAAGTATAAAAAGGATTTTTACCTTAGCATTAATTCGATTTTAAATTGAATATTATTTATAGCCAGGTACTGACGATCCATACACATATTGGCGAACAAGTCTAGCTGATGCCTGTATAGATTAGATTTATATATTTATAAATGTATAAAAAACAAGACAAAATAAAATATACAGTGTATACTGTATATATGTATATAGTGCATATATCTTTAACTCACTGATAATAATCTAATAGCTTCTTTTGCTTTTCGAATGTATTCGGATATCTTAAAATGCCACCTTTCACAACATCAGCAACTTCATGTAGCAATAGATTTGTTCTCGGTCCAGTGGGATCTTCCCTATTCGTAATCTTTATATAAATTTGTTCAATTTTTCCTTCTGACTCAAATACTCTTTTTTCAACACCATTCTCATATTCAGTTTGCAAAATTTCGGTTTTTTCTCTAGCACAGCTGCAACAGAAGAACATATATAAATATATATATACGGTATACATTTATAGTTAAATTCCTACAATGTATAAAATACTTAAAATAACTAATCTCTCTTTTCGAGAACATTTCTTACCTCGTATTTATTAAAATGTCCTGATTTTTTGGACACAAGACTGACTTGCAAATTAATTCTTGTGTACGAGCAATGGCTACATTGTTGGAGACGCACAAATCCGATAGGTAATCAAGAAATCTAAATTTATTTTAAAATGAAAAGAGATATAAAATAATTAGCTCTTTAAAAAAATATTTATCATTAAAGCTAATTATCTTAAACAGTTAATTTAAAAAAGAAAAAAAAAGATTAATAGTTGATAATTTACCTAGATTCTCCATTTTCCCTAACTAAGCTTACAAAAGTTTCTATTTCTGATTCATTTATATGTTTTTCTAGTAATTTTCTGTTGTTATGTAACAAGGCGGTTATTGTATCTTCTGCTAAGATGTCATAACCAATCTGCTTTTGCATAAAGGCGAAATGTTTTGCGATATATTCCTGATTTTTTCGATAACTTTGTTGTGATAGTTTAAGTATTCGATAGCATAATTTACATATATATTTATAGCCAGCGTGTTTATTTCCTTTTAAATCTTCTAAACGAAATTGTGGATTATCACCCTGAAATGGAGCTTGAAGAATCCTAAAAAGTTGCTTCAAAACATTTTGTTCTCTCAATAGCTTTGGGCGTTCCCTGTCAGGTTTAATGATCACAACTTCTAATGGATCAACCGTTGATTGTGTATCCAATAGGGCCACAAAGCATATTATTTCTCTCAGCAATTGTTCAATTAAACGACGTTGAGTTTGATTTAAATTCCCCCTATCCAACTCATTAGCAGCTGCTTGCAAAACTTTCGAAGCGTCATTTGCAAAATCTAAATCCCTTACTTCTTGAGGGGAAACGGGAACAATTGCAAAAGCTTCCTTGTCTTCTTTCGTTCTAGCACATCCAAGCTATAATGTTTGCAATATTATATTACCACCTTAAATATAGAATAGACAATACGTAAAAAACTGGATTTAAAGTCAATCTGTGTTAGATGTTATTTCATAATATTAATTTTGCATTAGATCCTATTTAAATAGATATAGACTTAAAATCCAGCAAAATATTAACGCTATAAAAATCATATTATGGAATGAGAATTAATAAGCTACAAGCAATTAGTAGTTACAGAGTGAAGAAAAATTAGTTACTACCTTACTCATAATAGGTTTTTCCTCTTCTTTATCAATCGGAATCGACGTGGAATGTACCCACGTATTCGTGAACAAATGTCTAAGCCTTACGAAGGACGATCTGCGTAAAAAAAACAAGCAGCACCGCAATTGCAAACAGTTAGTAATATTATAAACTGCCAATCGTTGTTTTTTTTTTGATTATTTAAAAAGTAGAATTAAAAAAAATCATGCTAATCGAAAGCAGTGTTGAAAAGTAATTAACGAAAAAGAAGCCCACAGCAACAGGTTCTACAGAATTCTTTTAAAAAAAATGTTCATAAGCCAAATGACCAATAACCTTATAACATGCTCTGTCGCCGTCCTGATTTATATCGAAATGATAATGCAATTGCAAATTAGTGCTGTGGACCCATAGCTCCGTTTCGTAGTGCCGTAAACGAACGTGACATTGTCTGAAAAATCATCATTAGACGACGCAGTTTACACTGCAGAACCTATTGCGATGGCATCTTTTTTTTGCATTTATAAAAGGTTATAAATCTTTAGTGGAAAGTACAAACCTTGGTACAAAGTTTTCTTGCTTTGTCATTGTTGTAGGATCTAATTCGAAGACAGAAGCTGGATCATTACCGTGGGGAACGCATACTAGATGAAGTACTTGGAAACCAGCCTTTAGCTTTGAACGCATAATATCTGGTGTTTCGTCGTTATCCACCTGTAATTGTAAATATTTTATGAGATTTCTTCAATAAGAAATAAGAGATATCCAAAAAGTTTCAAGATTCATTCTCTTTATTTACCTCCGCTGCCAAATATTGACCAGTTGCCAAATGCTTAAACCTGAACAACGACTTCCATTGTCCGGCACCTCCTCTACAAGGATCTAATTGAACAACTTCTACCTCCCAGAGAGCTTTTGAGGACGTAGCTGCTGTAGCTGAAGTACGCCCTGTAGTCCTAAGAAATACATATTGCTTTTTCTTGTATTCGTCCCCAGTGAGGAATTTTTCTTGTTCGGCGTGAAATAACCTAACAACGTCACCCCCTTTTAAATAGTCGTCGTTGTTTTCCTTATGATTCATAAAGAGGGTAATTTTCCAGCTTGTGTTGCATTGTACTGAATTTACTTCGCGACAACCTATGTAATACAATTAAGTCGCATCAACTGTCCATCTTAAGCTTGGTAATCTTTTTCAAACCAATTGCTAATTAATTTACCTGGGTTATCGTCTAGTTCCGCTTTACTAGCGTGTAAAGGTTGCCCAGCATTTACAGGATTTAAGATGACTTTATCTCCAACAACAACCTGTAGGATTCATATTAAAACCACACCCGGATTAAAACTGAATTCTAAAAGCGATTTAAACTAACGCTATCGCCTGGACTACGTAATTTATAGAATGGAACAATATAGAACCAAGATCCCTCATTTCCAGAAGCATCAAGCATTACCCTCATTGCATTCTTTTCCTTAAGTGCCGGAAGCCTTTTGTTGACCGTAAGATATTTATTTGATTTAACGTGAAGAAGCTGAATTATAAATGTCAATTAGACCATTGAATTTCGTAAATAAAAGCTAATTTTCTACCTGAATAACACCCCCATACTGGACAATATCACCCAATAGCTTCGTGTTTTCATTTTCATTCTGTTTCTTCTCCAAATCGGCAGCATGCTATGAAAATGAATATGAATATATATACTTATATAAATATATATATATACGTTAATTTCCACAGTGCTATATATATTTTATCAATTAATGCATAATTACGACAGAGTACTGCCATAACTAAATCTATTTGTACGTTGCATTTACAACGTTCCTAATTGACATATGAATTTCTATAATTTAATAATACAATTTCTCTCAAATCCAAATAAATTTTATCAAGAGAAATTCCTCATCAGTTACGATTCTTTACAGCTTATCAAAGTTTTAGATAAAACTACTTAAATTATAGATAAAATTGATGCTATTTGGAAAGCCAGGGGGAATTTACAATTTAACGAACCTGTAGTTTCTTCAATAATGTTCCGTCTGTATGGGGAGCATGTTGTTTCGTGGCCTTCCAAAATTGTTTTTGGGCCGAATAACGGTTCATAGGACATATTTTAAAAAGGCAATCTGCATTTGACAGATAACTGATAATCGATAACCTTATAAGCAAATAGAATGTTTTTACCTCTAAATTTTTTTGGTGGATTATTCAAGTCACCGCTACTTGGTTGTACTACACATCGATCATCTACTAATCTGCAAGCGAAAAGTCACAATTTCAGCGACTGTTGATTACGCAATTATAAAACTTGACATACCCGAGAGTTGACATAAATCCATTGCTGGAGCTCCCTTCTGCATAAAGAGAGACAATGTCTCCTATATGCAGGAATGCCGTTGCAGTATCAGACATTTTCTCAAGCTAACTGGTTTGTCATAGATATATCAAAATGTCATGAGAAAGCAAACAAAATTTGAATAGCCAGGAAGAGTTAATTAATTAAATATTGAATCATTTTATCCATATATCGTTTTAGTTTGATGGAGAAACTTAATGTGAAACGTAGACAGTTCGAGTGAAAAATGTGAATTGTAAAAAGAAAGACTAGTTTTAATTACGCTCCTCCTATTTCCGCTTTCAGTTTTTTCAAACCGGTCAACCGGTTACCAATAGATCGGTGAGAAGCGGTATGTCGTGTAAGTGTTGTCCCTTTTTTTGTTCAAAGCAGTTTTTAACAGTTTAATTGATTGACAGCTGGTGAAAACGCACACACTAAGCCTTTAATTGAAGATAATAAAGAGAAGATGGAGCCTACCTCATCAAAAAGTTTCAAAATAGCATCAGTTGTTGCTCTATACTGGTAAAATGAATTAACTTGAGTATTTTTATTGAAAATTCAATAAATTGACCTATTTTTCAGGTTTGTCTCCATATCATTGGTGTTTCTCAACAAGTACCTACTAAGTAGTCCATCTTTAGACCTACATTGCCCGTTATTTGTTACATGGTTTCAATGTGTCGTTACTGTTGGTACTTGTTTCGTCTTTTCTCAGTTATCTAGGGTGGCACCTCAACAAATATCATTTCCTGCTTTTGTCATCAAACTGGACATACTGAAACAAGTTCGTATCTTATTAAAAGATATATATATATATATTATTATTACTATTATTACCTAAATAATCTCAATCAACCCATTATTTTAAGATTCTTCCACTGTCTCTTGTGTTTGTTGGAATGATAACGTTTAACAATCTCTGTTTGACGTATGTTGGTGTTGCATTCTATTATGTCGTCAGATCTTTGACGACAGTTTTCAATGTGGTGAGTAAAGAAACTTTTCAGACAGTTTATCTTTGTTTTTAATATTTTTTATTAAGGAAACATTCAATATATCTTGTTTCTTTCCCTATTCTAAATCAATAGATTCTATCGTATGTAATATTACAACAAAAGACTTCGTTCAAGTTATTGATATGCTGTGGCGTGTTGGTTTTTGGTTTCCTTCTAGGCGTTGATCAAGAGGGTTTAGTTGGTAAGGATGTTTTTAATTTCGTAACATGTGCTCAAATAATAATTTTAAACATTAGGTTCATTGTCTATTTTGGGCGTGTTATTTGGAGTTGGAGCATCTGCATGTGTTGCTTTAAACGCTATTTACACCAAAAAATTCCTAGCTGTTGTTGATGAGAATGTTTGGAGGCTTACTCTGTACAACAATGTAAATGCTTGTGTTCTATTTTTACCCCTGATGATTTTGTCAGGGGAAGTTTCAAAAGTTATTCACTTCAACCAAATTACTAGTATATATTTCTGGACAGCAATGACTATAGCGGGTGTCTTTGGATTTGCTATAGGATTTGTAACTGGACTTCAAATAAAAGTTACCAGTCCTCTGACACATAATATAAGTGGAACTGCCAAAGCTTGCGCTCAAACTATCATTGCTACCTCCTACAATCATGATGTTAAACCATTATTATGGTGGGCATCTAATGCCATTGTTCTAGCCGCAAGCGCTGCTTACACATATTTGAAAAAGAAAGAAATGAACCAAAAAGATTTCGAAGAGAAATCGAGGCTTGAGGAAGTTGTGGTCAAGGGGAAAAATGGATCTGACCTGTCTAAAGTTTAATTGTAACTTTAGCGTAATTAAAATGTAATTCTTTCTTCATATCGATTATCTTTTCAGCATAGATGTGATAAAAAACACTTTGAATAGGATTTAATACAAAATAATTTTAGTCTCTTATCATTGCTAATAGTTTTATTTATTAAGAAAGAGGCTTTAATTTTCTACAAAGAAAATCTTATTCTCGCCTTCGAACATCATTGGAGGAACTATCGTATTAACAACATTTGGTTTAAGGAGTTTAACTATGTTAATTGCAAAATCGAAAGCAGTTCCTGGTCCTTTGCTGGTTATTAGCTTATCGTCCAGAACAACGGCTTCCCCATTAGGTCTCTCGAAATCTGAAAATAAAGCAAAAGCAGTCAATAATAGAATAAATTAAGATTTTTTAAAAGCTAACAAAATCTACTAACAATCTTTGAGATCATTGTCACACGAATCGTGGTAGGTTGCTCTAAACTTTCGTTCATCCTTTTGTTTAAAGAATTCAAACTCCTTTAAAACTAATGGAGCAGCGCAGATAGCTCCAATATATTTGTTAGCTTTTATATGAGTCTCCACAAAATTTTTCACTTTCGTAGACTGAAAATTCAAATGTTCAGATACAGAACTGTTAAAAAATTATATGAAATAAAATATAGAGTTGTTTTTACCTTTTTTAAATTCTGAGTTCCCACCAATCCACCAGGTAAGACAACAATATCAAATATTTCATTTTCAATCTCATTTAAACATTTATCGGCTGCAATACCAACTTTTCTGCTACACGTAACCATTTTTGCTTCATCAAGACTTACCAAAATCGTGTCGAACTGTTTAGAAAAACAGTTTAAAAACAGGAGAGGTCAAATTATGACATAAATATACCTCAGCCCTTTTTAAGACATCTTGCACAATAACTGCCTCCATCTCTTCCGCACCTTGTGGGAGTAAAACTGCAGCTCTTACCATATTTTTGCTTGTAATGGCAAACGAAAAGTAAATATAAAAAAATGATTTCTCTTTGAAGATCAAGGTCAAATGACTATCAAAAGTTTACCAGTTTTCCACTTTTTACAAATATTTTGATTGAAACGATTTGTAGACATCGGTAAGATCAAAGAAACTTTTTTCAAATATTGAATATTGACTTAATTGAATAATTTATTATCTATCAAATAATAATTGAAAAATGTATAATCAATGAACAACACAATACAATATATCTTTATACTGTATGCATAATGTAAGTACTCAACCTATTTTTAGATTAATAATGCCATATTCGCTTACCGAGAATCTAATTACTCTTAGATCTTCATACACAAAAAGACAATCATAGTTTCTAATTCAAAATTACATGCATAGTTAATCTTTATAAATTAGTAAAATAGCTACTTATCTAACGGGAATTTCTCAAAGAATATTCTTTTACAACTTGAATAAGAGAATTTACTAATGATGAAGTTTTAACTTCTCTATTAATAAATTGATGGTCTTGAAGTTCTATCTTATGTCTCTTAAATATTTAATAGTTTGAAAAGTCTTAATGAAGACAACCTATAGATGTCGCTCTGGTACTAGTTATTGCTAGTTATAGGAAAATTTTTATTTTGTTTGTTTGACGTATAACGCGAAAACGTGATTAAATATAATCACTGTGTTTTCTCTTGCTTAAAACTTTACGAATAATTGCTGATTGAGCAATACAAAAAATATCACGTTTCTCCAAATTATTTTGCATAACAATCGTTCAGATGTTGATCATCATAAACTTTACATACAGTTATCCTATGACTCATTTTAAACATCCTTCTTTGTGATACAACTAAGTCAATGATATTTAAGACAAGTTTTAACAAATAGCTTTAAACTTAATGGTTTTATAACGGTCGCATGGAACAAGAACCCAACTATAAAATCTGATAGAAATTCTTTGCTATTTTTTTGGCCAGACGGAGGCCTTCTAAATATAACAGGGAATGTTTACAGAGTAAATTTACAATTTTATTTTTTGACGAGAAAATACAATAAATGTTGTACTGCAACTAAACTGTTAAAATTAAAAACGACTTGAATTTTTAAAAACAGGCGCTCAAAACCCCCGTCCAATCAGAAATCCATTGTTATTATGCTTGTGGGGCGCTACCTGTAAACTACCACTTCCGGTTAGAACTCTTTATAGTACAACTAGTTGTAATAAATAGCAAAAAAAACAATATATTGAGATAACCAGCAACATACTTATCTTCATAGCCGATTTTAAATTGATAGATCAATTAACTTTCGTATTCTGGGAAAGGATAGTCCACAAAGTAACCATAATTATAGATATTATTATAAAGAGATACGGCAAAGAAGGTATTTTAGACCTTTTGAACAAAATTGTTTTGTTTTACAGAAAAATCTGCTACATTAACCTCAGAAGCAGGTGAAGCATGCCTACAAGAAGAGGTAGACGTAGATCTACTACTCCCGCTACTAATGGGAAGCTAAAGTGTGAACCCGAATCTGCTACATCTGAAGAAGAAGACGAAGATGATGATGATGAAGAGGAGGAGGAGGAGGAGGAGGAGGAAGATGAAGAAGAAGAAGAAGAGGAAGAATCGTTTAACGTAAGATCGCGTCCAAAGAGGTCTACGGCTGTAAGGAACAGGGTAAGAGCACAACATCTTCATAGATTTTTAATATCAGTGTAAAAAATGCAGACAGGAGAACAACAAACCGGTTTACATTGGCAAGAAGAGCAGCAGTTACAGAAAGCTCTATTAGCTTCCATCAATATTGGTAAAAAGAAACCCCCACCTCAAAAAAGTCGCAATAGTCAACAAACAGAAGACGCTGCCAGTCGAGACTCAACGGATAGTTCAATGTCTACTCTGAATAATTTTCGTATCCGTGCTCAGCGCAAATTTGCAGCAAATACAAATCAAAATTTACATTCAAATGCAAAAAGTCCAAGGAAACTAGCTCTATCTCAAAGAAAAGCTAAGACTGAAGACTTTTTAACGTTTTTATGTCTAAGAACTTCGTCCTATGATCTCCCTCCACATTTAGATTTCTATGCTGATGAAAACGCATCAGAGGAGTCTGAAGAAGTAGAATCGACAAGAAAGATTGAAACTACCAAAAATAATCAAAAAGTTAGACAGCAGCAGGTTAAAAGAGCTATTAAAACCGCAGCTTTGGCCGCAAAACGAAGAAAATCTGATCAACATTCTCCTTCACCTTCTCGAAGATTGAGTCGTCGCTCGGTCTCCCCTTATAAACGGGTTCGGAGTGTTTCCTCCTCTCCCGCTCCATCACCTATCAAACGTCGAAAGGAAGAAATTATTGAAGAATCTGATAGCGTAGATGGTAGCGATGAAGAATATGAGGAGGAAATTACAGAACGCGAGTGGCGTCGTAATATTGGCGATTCTAAAAACAGAAGGCTATTACGGGACGTGCGCGTCAGAGTAAAAAGATTAGAAGGTGACATAATACCATCTCCTCCTCAGCCAGAACTCAAACGGAGAAGGGGAAGACCCCCTGGAAAGTTGGTTCGCACCCATTTTACCTCACCTGTAAAACAAAACGGCTTACCAAGTATGGATGGAATTTCTGAAGTTCCAGTATATCATCCAAGCTCAGAGCAATTCCACGATGCTATAGCCTATATTGAATCCATAAGGCCAGACGCCGAAAAGTATGGTATGTGTCGGATTGTACCCCCACCCGAATGGCAGCCCGAGTGTACTATTGCAGAAGATTTACGTATTATACCACACAATCAGTATATCCAAAGACTTAAACTAAAGCATCCACCGGCTGATATTCGACTAGAGCAGATAAAAAACCACTATGAATCGACATTAAAGAGAAAAGCTCTGGATGAGATCATATCAAAATTTGATAATATTCCAACAATAGGAGGTGTTGAATTAGATCTGGTTACTTTGGGAGATTTAATAAAGAAAAATGGCGGAATGAATGATGTAATGACCAAAAGTAAATGGTCAAAAATTGCTCAAGGACTAAAATTGCACGCTACACTAAGTATTGTTGAAAAGAAATTATATGAAGCATATTGTACATTTCTTATATCATTTGATGGCCTCAGTCAAGAAGATCAAATTAAATGCGAGCAAAATATAAAGGAAAAGTTGAAAAAAAATACTATAGAAAGAAACGAACCCATTGAATGCGGAAAAAGCAAATCTTTAGCAGAATTTTACAAAATGGGACAAAATGTCTCCGCCGGTTGGTTTCCGAGTCAACCTCATCTTGAAGATGTCGAAAGGCAATTTTGGAAATTGGTTGATGAAGGAGAAAGACATATTTGTGTTCAGGGTGCTCACATGGACTCAGGTACAACTCAAAGCGCGTTCCCTACTAGTAAGTCGTCCGCTTTTGCCAAACATTCGTGGAATCTCCACGCGCTGCAGAATAGTCCTTGCACATTACTATCATATCTGGGCAAAGTAAGAGGTGTCTCTTCAACGTCACTTCACTTAGCAATGATGTTTACGGCATCCTGTTGGCAACGAACACCCCATCATCTACCATATATTCACTACATTCATACTGGAGAACCTACAATATGGTTTGTTATCGCTAATTAAAATTGATTCTTTTGACAACCAATTTTAATTTTCAGGTATTCTGTTCCGGCTAGTGAGGAGAAATCTTTCAAAGCGGCAATTAAATCAATAAGTCCACATGCTGTTATGGATGATGAAGCTCACAGCGGATGTTGGTTACCTGAGGACACTGTTATGGTTCATCCACAACAACTATCCCCAAAAGGAATAAAAGTGTATAGAACTGTTCAAAATGCTAGGGAATTTGTTGTCGTATTTTCTTCGACATTCACGGAAACTGTGAGTACTGGATATTCAATTGCTGAATCCCTACATTTTGCCACCCCGGATTGGTTACCGATTGGTGATAGGGCAACAAAGGCTTTACGTAAAGCCGGTGAAGAATGCGCTCTTTGTATGGAAAAACTTTTATGGAATATCGCTAGCTCACCGAAAGGTTGGTCTTTCTAGACTAAAATTTCTTGAAGGTCATATGCTATAATACCTTTTCTGAATTGCATCATTCTTTTACACAGCTTCTCCAAGTGTATTATGGGCTGCCAGTGCTTTATTTCAATCATATTGCGATAAAGAATTACAATATAGAAAGCAACTATTAAACATGGGGGTGTCAGATGGGGGAAAGATAACGAAAGAGGAACTATGCGATGTTACAAGTTCAATTTGTTATATGTCCTACATAGAAGATTGCAAAGAAAAACGAATTTTATCTTTAGAAGCTGCTCTAGCAGTTTGTTCGAAAAAATCTGTTGCAAGAAATAGTAAACTATATATTCGGCACAGCGAGGTAATTATCAATTATTAGCTTTCTTTTTCTGTCGGTTATTTATAAGAATGAATAATTGATTATACTAAAAAGTATATACAGTTTTTATATATAATACATTAATTTGAAATATATCCTTAAAGTATCATTTCTAATTTATTAAGTATTTTTCAACTTATTAACTGTTCTTCTTTACAGAAAGAGATCAAGTCGACCCTTCAAGATATGAGAAAAAGATTGCAGCGACATCACTAAGCTTATTAATGGATACAACTTGTCTTTTTTTTTTTAATAGTATGTGTTTAATGAGTTAACGATCTTTGATAAAGTTAATCTGTAAACGATACTTTTGTGAACAGTTAAATCTTTTATAGTCATAAATGTGATATTGTCATTACTCACTTATTATAGAAATTTTAAGTAATCCTGTATTTTTTAAGCATTCTATTAAGACAATATTTTACATTTATCCGCTTTTTAATGTGTATTTAGAACTCATTTCCTCAATTTGACTACGTCTATGCTAGTCTTCGGTGCTCTCTCACCCTCGGATAGGATGGATTTCTTCGTACTTCTTTTGAATTTCTATAGTTTTTTTTTAGAACAAATGATGAATTAATTTCTATTTTCATATACTGATATTGAAATTATATACCATGAGACTGTAACTCTTTCCGAACCATTATTAATAGCCTTAGCAGTTCTTCATTTGTACTTTCAATGGGTTTCGTCGTAGTAGTCCGCGACGTTTCTTCCAATCTCCTTAATATATCTTCCAACTTTTGCCTTTGTATCTTTTCAAAAGTCCTCTGAATTTCTGATAAAAACAGTGGAGCTAACGTAATAAAAGGCCTAAAAGGGACTTAACGGTAAAAATTCTATATCGCAAACAGGTAACCTTTTAACAATACTTTAAATCTTGAACTTAATAAATATATCAAACGCCCCTTAGTTAAACAAACCATGTTAGTCTAAAACGCTTTATGTTCAGCTTAAGAACTATTCCTATTAAGTCATCTTCACCCTAAAAAGTAAATATAACTTCACTGTATTATTTACCTCTTCTTTCTAGTAACTTCTCAGCAAGTTTACTGAGATCTATCGATTGTAATCCATGGAAAGATTGATCTATAAAATTGATAACAACAATAAACGTACGGTATCGTAAATAATTCAATGAAAGAATTTGTCAACGAACAATTGACAAAAATATTCTGTAGGTAAATAATTTGTCAAGTTGACAAACATACTAACCTTGAACGGCATTTCGCAGCAAGTTAAGCAAAAAAAGACTGATTAGAAAAAAAAATCTCATACTGAATTACTTGAGAACTTAAATCTTTATGAAACGATATATATATATGGAGCGACACCTGCTGACGACTTTATGTATATTGTCAGTCTCAAATATGCAAATGGCATTATTAGTATTGCTCATACCTAAGACCTCTGTCTCGCTTCTCTATAAAGGCTAGAAAAGCATCTAGTGCTCATAAAGTACTAAGTATGACTGAACGTGACTGACGATATTCCATTTATGATATTATAACGATCAATGTACAAATTATAGTGCATTTTGTTCTATATATCAATTTATTTCAGAGAACAAGACATTTTAAACACATAAGACCATGACAAGCCCAATTTACCATTCAGAATTAGGTAAATATTATAGATCAGGCCTACATCCAAAGCCGGGTCCTGTAGGCTTTGAGGAAAGAGAAGTTAAGCCCCCAGCCGGTTCACAGGAGAAACGATCAACAGCCCTAAGATAAAGTAAACGCACGTATTGTCATCGTATGTAATAAATACAAATTTTTTGAACACTTACTGTGGCCCTGGCTCAATTCTTTCTCCTCTTTTACAAGCTTCCAAAATCTTTTCTGTTGTCTCTGGAGTTAAATCTTCCTATTGATATAAAACATTTCTTTATAAATTATTTTAACTTAATCATTAATTAAAGAGATATAAAAAATATTACGTAATAATCGTCGTTAATTTGCATCATAGGTGCGTTGACGCAAGCACCAAGGCATTCCACTTCAGAAAGAGTGAATAACTTATCTGTGGACGTTTCCCCTGGCTTAATACCTAAATACATGCGATAAAAATTTAACTTTTTTTTTAAAAATAAGTACAACTTTTAAAATACCAAGATTTTTTTCAATAGCCTCTAAAATGACATCGCTTCCAGTTCCTCCCAATAAGCAAGGAGTACATGTACATAATTGTACATGATACTTTCCAACGGGGTTTCTATACATATAGAATTAAATTTCATATTTTCATTTTAAATCTGATTCAATTAAAATTTAGAATAATAGTTTATGATTTCCTTCATAACTAGAAATATATATATGTATATGAAACTGACTCGGATATTAATCCTAATAAGCTACAACGAAGTTTATTTTTAAATTATATATATAGCCCCCCTTTCCGCCGTATTTTGTGCCATATGAATTACCTGTTGAACATTGTATAAAATGTGGCAACTTCATAGACTCTCATTTTAGGCATGTTTAAAAATTCAGCTACATAGTTCATGGCCGATATAGGTAACCAATTATCTAAAGAGAAAAAAGGCAAATAAATTAATATTTCATTTGTTTTCATTAAATTTTGAAAACTTAATGATGAAAACGTGATTATGCCTTTATGAATCACACTAAATCGATACTTGAAATACGCCAATGTTTACAATAAAGTTATTTTAATATTTCAAATCTAACGCTTATACTTTATTCAACGCCCTATAAAAAAGTACTCTACGAACTATTTTTATGGCAGAACAATAAAACTTGTTCTTGATGGAAGAGATATTCGAATGTATTCTTAATCTTCTTAACAAATGCAAAACCAACAAAAAAAATAAGTAACTAAAGTTTCTTATTCTTTTCAAATCTACCTTACATATAAACCTACTACTTAAAAAATAAAAATCTATCTATGTTAGAAAAAAAGAGACCTTACTAAAAGTTCATTAGATTCATTCATGACTCCACCTAAAGAAGATTCCCTATCTGAGAAGTCATAGTGTATATTGAAATTTTATAATTCTGACTAAATCTAACGAGCCTTTGGCAATAATAGTATTAATTAGCTTTATGATAACGAAATATTATATATATATATATTACTAATATATATATATATATATATATATACAGCATATATAATAACTGGAAGAAGTTATTCGTGTTTCTTTGATTTTATTCCGTAGGCAGCGTACTTTATACAAATTGTATGGATATTTTATATATTATATAGAATTTAAAAAGGCCTACTCTTTAGAAATCTTATTTACATAAAATAAAATTTTTTTTAATAAGCTATTATTATTTTAATAAAATATCCTAAAATAGATCTTTCTAATCTTTATGTACAATATCTGTGTTTCACTTGTACTTACCATTTTGCCTTTGTGCTAAATCCAACACTGGGATACAAGCTCCAGCTTCGTGTCCCACGGGATATCTACTGACTATGTCCTTTGCTCTCTGTTTCAAAATAAAAATCATTAATTCGAATTAGGACATTAAGCAGAACGTTCACCTTCACATTTTCTGCCGTAAATTCAAAAGGTGTTGCATCATTATTTTCGGGTGTATCGCGATGCTATCAATAGGTATATTGTGTACTTGCTGTTTAATAAGTTAGACATTAACACCAACCGTAAACAAATGTCCTGCAGAAGCTGACCCAGAGGTATGGAAGGACTTGCTACTAATCTAAAAATTTAAGCATAGTTTAACTAGACCTAGTGAATCAAATGAATGGCATAATTAATATAAATACTTACGAGATTTTTTAGTGTTCCGGACCAAAATTTTCGTAGCATTATGATAGTTAATACGGTTTTCTCGAGTAGTAACTCCTATTATCGCAAACCTAAGGACATTGTGATACCGCATTGAATATATTTTAAAGCGCGCGAATTTTCAAAAAGTCTAAATCTTATACAATTTACTTCAATTACTTTCTTCCAATTCCGTCTGGTTCAATATGTTGTTGACAAATAATCTATATACTTAGTATATGTATTGTAATATAATACTGTAATACAAGAATGCTTTGTACAAATATATAATATTTAAAAATAGATGCATAATATATACATAAAACAGTATAAACAGTATATATAACTTGTATAAACTGTATATAATGTACAGAGTGATGTTGTCTTTTTGTTTTTGGCTTTTACCCAAGAAGGGAGGAAATTGAAAGTATCATACATAAATATATAAAATATGCATATTCCTTATTTATATACAATATAAATATATAAGCATAAATATATAAATATCTGACCAATAAAGGTTAGTTATCTATCGAACACAATTTCCTGTGTTTTAATGCTTCAATAGTCGTAAAATTAAATTCCTTTTGACATTTATCACATTCGAAATTTTTCCGAAGTTTTTCATGACCTTCTTGTCGTAGCTTATCTTCTAGTTCATTGCATGCTTCTTCTTCTTTGCTCTTACAACAATCCTCCTCATGACTAACCCTTTGAAGAACATTAAAAGCGAAGTCGTGATTACAAGATGGACAGGTCCATAAATTTTTCATGTAAGACCTCGTCAAATCAGCGGAGCTATTCGAATCTTCTAATAAACTATTAGACAAATATTTCCTTATAAGTAAATAATTACATTATAATTAGTTTATTACCACTTACCATGCGTGAGTCCAATAATCATTAACTCTAATTCCGCCTTTGAGAGGATGAATCGGTTTGTTCTCAGTATTGATATCAGAAAAGTCTGTAATAAAACATTAGTTGATTGAGATAAATATCAGTCATTGTATATAGAAGTGTTTGTTTAGAATACCTTCTTCCGGTCCTCGATAAGAGATTTTCAACTCAGCAACAAATACTCTTCTTATACAATAAGAAATATCACAAGAAAGGAAATCTCCTAATTTTTCAGTTAGAATTTCTTGTAGTTTTTTCATTTTTCTGTAAACTATAGTATCTTGCTCGGTTTTATTCCAAGCATCATCCAATTTCATTTGTATGAGTTTTAACCAAGTATTTCTCAATGCTACGACATTAGTAACGAGCTTCTGTGCAGCTGATACATCTTCAATTTTTAATTCCATCCATCCGTCACAAAGTATCCTTAAATACTCAATTTTCAAAAGAACTAAGGAAAAGACCTATTATACTCTTACCTGCTACAATTCGAATTTGTATCGATAGATGAAGCGAATAGTAAAAGGGTTTGAAGAGCTGGAACTCTCATGGTTCCCATTAGGTAAGGTTTAGTTGTTTCTAAGAGTGATCTATAATTAAAATTATATATAGAACGGTCGATTGCTAAGATATAAAAACCCACACATAAGCCAATAATTGATGACTATTACTATATAAATCCTTTTTGTTTAATCCTTTTTTTATGTCGTGATGTTTTAACTGCAAAACTTCCGGATTACTCGAAAATGTTCCAGTAGGGTGCAATAAAACAAATTGCTTGTTCTGGAAAATATGACTCATTATCCCAGTTTATATTTATAAATCATTACGTCTGTTTAAGGCTAAAAATAAAATACCTTAGTATGGAATGCTTGTTCACTATTTGGTTTGAAATTATTGTGGTTGTCAGCTATCGCCATCTTTTAAAAATAGAAAGTACAAGCGATTTTTTTAAACTGCGAAAAATTATACAGTATATTTAGATAAATATACTAACTTGAGGGTAAAGACCACTTGATATGATTATTTTCAATAAGTTGTAATCTCTTGCAGTTAATTTTCTTTTTCGAGCTGATGAGCTTTGCAATTTATCAAGATTATGAGTTAATCTAAATTCGATATCTCTTATATCGCCAGAGTTTTCATCCTTATCTCCTTCATTTTCGCTTAATTCGTAACGCTGAATTAAATACATTATATCTTTTAAACTTTTACTTAAAATAATTTAAAAAGACAAACATCATCCTCCAATTTTAATATTTTACGCTTTCTACTACTCTGCTGTTCTTTTCTCTTTAATTTATGTAACATTCGCCTTTCAGCATGTTTTTTTTTTCTCTCATCTGCTGTCATATACTCATTACTTTCAGAAATGTCCTTTGGCATGAGTTGATGGTCCTTCAGTAATCAATTTTGAACAATTTTTAATCATACTTATAGAAATTTAATGTGAAATTAAAACCTGAAGTAATTGCTGAAATTGTTTACGTAATTTACTTAATTCGTAAAATCTTTGTTCCTCAAGACCGCGTCGTTTACACCATTTTTTTGTTTGACTTCCTTCAGCTTTAATTTCCAACCAAGCGTCATATAAATTTAACAATACAAATGGATCACCATGATCAGATTCCAGGTCTTTCCTTGCTTCCTAAATAATTTTATTACTTTTATTGGTATAATATCTCATAAATTGAAAGTATTACTGTAGCTTCGAGATCGGTATGGGCCCTACTTGTAAAAGGGGACTGTATGCTCAAAGCTGCTGCGACTGTGAGAACTGGATCAATCATCTGTAAAGGTTTATTAAACTTTTATGTAAATTTTTATTTAAGTTTTAATTTAAGCTTACTCGAAATATAGAACCCATGATTAGCATTTTTCCCATTACAACATCAACAGGTAGTTGGGACAACATTTGTCCTATCGGTGTCAATACATCATTTTCCGTAAGGGCTTTCTAATAAAATTATTTAGAGACAATTGAAATTTATTAATTCAACAAGGTAATAGCCAAACTTACTTGTTCTTTTAAAAAGACTACAGAATTTTCAATAGAAGCAGAATCTGGAGGTTCTATGAAAGGAAACCTGTTTTCGTATGATATAGATTATACAATAAAACTTTTCCTATTAAGAATTAAACTTTTAGTTACTTGTGAGGATCTGTTAAGCCCATAGCGCACATTTGAAGAATCAAAGACTCTAGGGGGACTCGTCTAATTTCGGGAGTTGAATACTCTTGGAATGCATCATAATCCGATTCAGCATATAACCTATAGCATACACCTGGTCCAGTTCGACCTGCTCTTCCTTTACGCTACATAAATTTATAATAAGTCACAAAATAAATAAAACTGAAAATGATTGTTACTTGTTCTGCACTGGCTCGACTGATCCAAAATTCTTGAAGTTTTTGCATAGAACATTTTGAGTCATAGCTCATCTCTTTAACTTTACCAGAATCAACCACAAAGCGGACGCCATCTATTGTTACCGATGTCTCTGCAATATTGGTGGAAACGATGCACTTTCTAACCCCATCGGGAGCAATGTCAAACACTTTGTCTTGTTCCTCTATAGACAATGAACTGTGCAAAGGGAGAATAATCCATCTCTTATTGTGTTCTGAGTAAGCTCGAGCAGCCTCAACAACAGCCATTATTTCTGCCATACCACTCAAAAACATTAACAAATCACCTCTTTCATTTGCAGGATACTTGTGATCAATCAGTTGTAAAATACGAATATAAGGACCAGGATTGAGTCTCTCACTTCTGCTAGCTTTCTCTTCTATGCCAATGGGCTTATAGTTCAATGTTATAGGATATAACCTTCCAGGAACTCTTAAAACTGGACAGTCTTCAAAATAAGAACTAAATAAATCGATGTTAATAGTAGCCGACATTAAAACAATCTTTAAATCTGTTCTTTGTAACATGATACAGCGCATAATACCCAAAAGAAAATCAGTATGAATGTGCCTCTCGTGAACCTAAAATTTGAAAAGTTAGTTATAAAAATCCAAAATTTTTAATTTTCAGCTCACTTCGTCAATAACAACTACGCTATACTGAGATAAGAGAGGATCATTCTGAAGTTGGCGTAACAATAAACCTTCAGTTAAGAAAAGAATTCTTGTTGCTTTAGTTCTGCTTTTTTCAAAACGAACCTAAAATGATAAATAATATAAGCAAGATTTATCAGAGATATAGAAGATATAATTTCAATTACTTGATATGCAACTTGAGTGCGATATTCATTAAATGTTTCATAACCAACACGTTTTGATAGGGATATGCACGCAATTCTTCGTGGTTGTGTACAAGCAATATTAGAGTAACCAGCCTCTAATAAATACTGTGGTATTTGGGTCGATTTTCCGCATCCAGTATCTCCAGCCACCACTACAACTTGATTTTGCTTTATTTCCTCTAGGATTTTCTCCTTATAAGCAAATATAGGCAAATTTCTTTGATCTTCTCTAAGCTTTTGAACTTTTGCAAATTTTGCTTTTTGACAAAAATCCACATAATAAAGGAGAATTTGCTTAAACTCCTTAATTTTTTCGTCGGTTAAACCTCTATCTGAAAGAATTTACAATTAAATTTATAACTTTCATTATAACCCTTACCATAGTCTCTTTGGGAGACGGCTAAATATTTTAGCGCATGTCTTGATAGGGAATAGTTCATTTTGAACTTTTTTTCATAATTTAGAGGTAGAGAAAATTTTTTAGATAATTTTCTTGAGTTATCTTCATCTAAAATTGTTAATTAAATCAGTTTCTTTTATATTTTATATTTCTAATGAAATAATTAACCTTACCTTTGTAAGACTTGTTCTGTCCTCGTTTTTTTTGAAAAGCTTCATATTTCCTTAAAAATGCCCAGAAGTCTTCTTCTTCTTTTTCACTAAAATGAATTTAGAAAATTATTTATTATATATGTTATAGAGAACTTAATCATATTTACCCTGATATGATTTCACTTTCCGTAAAGAACATTTTGCGAAGAGAAGTTCTGTATCTGTCCCAAGAGCAAGGAATTTTTTGTTCTTTTTCTTGTTGCTTAGAAGAAGATAACGAGGATTTATAGTATGATCGAGGATCTTCAGTTGAATGATCTTGTTCATCGTCATCTTCGTTTCTATCTGATTTATTATCTTCATCATTTCGTTCGTTGCTTACTTCTTTCGCATAGTTTCTTGCCTCTTTTCTATATTTCTTATATTTTCCCATAACTCTTTATCGCTCAGCAGAAATTATACCATATCCATTTGTAAATCACAAAGAAGAATTAAAAAATCCTACCAAAAATTATCTAAATACTATGGGGTATTTGGTACGTGTTTAATAAAAGAAAACATATAGTTAAGTAGCATATAAGCTACAACTATTTAAAAAAACGATTTTGAAATATTACGAAACTGCCTAATATCGCTCCGGTAGATATGCAAAACATTACCGTAAAATATATGTTTCTTTAAATTTAGCGACAGAGTTTTCCTGTGGTTCTGTTAAATCGGAAATTTAAGAGTTTCACTTAAAATTCATGTAGTGTACACGCTGTAAATCATTCAAAATACATAAATTACAGACAGTTGCTTTTTTATGGTGTTTCATGAATTTAACTTCCAACGACGCATTTGTTAACCTCTCGAAAAAGCTTTCTTTAAATGGTGAGCGAAAAATAGTAGAAATCTGTTTTTTAGTTTTTTTATCAGTTATTTACTAGAGCCTAAATCTGACTCATCAGTTCTTTATAAATTAACAAAAAAGTTATACCAATAAGATAGGAAAGATTGCTGTACTTTATCCTTGAATAATGTTTTATTTTTCTGCTTTATTTCATCTATAGAATACCTTTAAACTATGTTATCTAATTAGTCGATCACACTAACTGTATGACAATGAGAAACTATAATTGCTAATATCATTATTTTCGCTCTTTCAGACTGAATGCAGCGACTACAAAACAAAGTATCATCAATCTTTTATTACCACGGTTTAGTCTGTGCCAGCCACCCTTTTGCTATAATAACATTTGTTATATCTATATTGCTGATTACTTGGTATCCCCTTACGGGGTTATCATATCTTAGTAACGCACCGTTGGAATATCAAACTCATATTGACGATCAATATCAGGGTTCTGGACCAAGTTGGTTCAATGGTTACCCCTATGTATATGCTACTCAATTCGTTTTCAAGACGACTGTTTCTCCATGGAATAAGAAACTCTTAGTAAAGACAGATGCTTTCAGAGCAACTATATCTAAAGCATTCGATATTCTTGACCAAATTCGTAATTTTCAAGCAGTCAACGCGTACGAAATTGTTCATTTTTAATTTCTGTCATTCTATTAACAAAGCAATATTATTCTGCAGGGGAAATGCTTCAACATTAACTTTATCTGACGTATGTTATCATGCCTCGCAAACTATAGATGCTATTAAGAAACTGAATATACTCCCAGAATCTGGATGCCTAATTCTTTCTCCAACAAACTTCTGGGGAAATAATAAATACAGGTATATTAAGTAAAGGAATGTCTTGTATTCAAATAACTATTTATACAGTATAACATTATAATAAAATAGGTTTATGGAAGATGCTGAGATTATTAAAACGATTTTTAATAATTATGGTAGCATTTTGGAAAATCCTCCAAATATCAGAGGTTTATTTTAAATGAATCAGTTATTTAGAGTAAGCATATAAAAGTGATATTCATTTTCAGACCATCTGTTCGGTTTGCCATTATCGGTTACCGGTATAAATCGAATATACTTTAGGAACCGTCAAAGAATCATTTCATTTGCTTTTACATTGTTTTTGAAAAAGCCAAATACCGAATACTTGAGACAATTGGATGAATACTTAAGAAAAAGTTATCCACTTTCTATATCTTTTAATCAATCCGAAATAAATGATGTCGTCCATCTTCATTTCAAAAATAAAAATTTATTAGTTGACTATACGCCCCTTATTCTTCCATATATATTCCTCTTCCTGTACTTATATTTCTCAGTCAGTAAGTAAAACTTTCAATATGAACTTTTATTAATTAACTTTAAACTGAAGATCAAGTTGAAGTTTGCTTTTTAAATGTTGTGTATTTATAATAGGTAAAATTGAGATGGTAAAATCTAAATGGGGTTTGGCATTTAGCGCTGTTTTTACAGTCCTAAGCTCTTTATTAATGTCAATTGGTATATGTACTTTTTTTGGAATGTCACCAACTCTTAGTGGAAGGTTTGTTGGATAAATTATAATGAAATAAATACTTTGTATTTATAATAAAATAATCATTCAGCGAAATCTTACCATATTTGGTCGTTATTATTGGAATTGAAAATACAATTGTTGTTACGAAATCGGTTGTATCAACACCATTTGATATTGAAGTCAAATATCGTGTAGCAAAGGGTCTAAGAAAGGAAGGATGGCCGATATTTAAAAATCTTATTATAGAATTAACAATTTTGGCTGCTGGTTTTGCAACATTCGTACAGGCAATACAGGTACTAACAATAATATCGTACGATTTAGTTCTAAAAATATCCCTGTGTATATTTAACACAGACTTCGGTATTTTTTAACATGTTCCTAAATCTTATCTATTTGGTGCACGTGTAGAAATTAAGTAGGATAACACTCGTATTTCTAAAATGATTAACCTTATCAAGAGAATGAAAAATTTCGAAAAGATGACACTATTTACCCATGAGTAATAAAATATCTTTTTTTTCAGGAATTCTGCCTATTCGCCGTTGTTGGTCTGCTTACAGATTTTTTTCTGCAAATGTTTTTTTATGCAACTGTCTTATCTGTTGATATGCGTAGACTTGAGGTAGAACTTTTGGCTAAAATTATTTGAGCTAATTAGCTTACTGATAATATTATTTGTTTAGCTTTCCGATTTAGCTAAACATCAAACCGAATTAAGAGTAACCAATGAAAAAGATGATCCATTACCTGTGTTTGAATGTCCCGTCAAATCCATATTTGGCAGTTCATCAGCGACCTCGCCAAGTGCGAGACGACTTTCAAAATCGTCAAATTACGTTGGTAAACAAAGCGGTCCACAATTTCATTATGTACCTCGTCAAGCTAAAAGAATACGTGTCATGGACTTTTTAGCTAGAACTAGGCTTATGCAAAGAGCTTTAATGGTTTGCTTCATAGTTTGGGTGATACTATTTTTATATAAGAGTGGTCTTATGGGGAAAATAGCGGGTTTTATATCTGTTGGTCCGGACTTAAAACCTCAGATAACTCCTGATGACATCCTTAAACAACAATTGACCCATTCTAACTTCGAACAGTGGCGTTCTCTATCTCATAATCATTTCCCTGGTTTATTTTCATATTATAATATTTCATTAGATGGTCGCTATATATCCGTTTTGCCGTCACGCCATTTTTCGGTCATTCAAACACCTAATGAAGCAGTTGAATTGAGACACCAAGAAGAAGGAAGATCTGAAACTTCCAATGACGATAAAACAGAGAATTCAGAAGAAGAAGATATGATACGATTTTATCCGAACACTCAGAAGGAACTAGTTGTTACCATCGTTTTCGTCATACTTTCGTCGGTAATAATAGCTTACATGTGCGCTGGATTATGTCGCTTTATGTGCTCCAGACGATATGAAAAATCCCAACGTGATTGGTGGTATGGCAAAAAACCAGTAGATAGAAATGTCACTCTAAATGGAGAACCAAAAGTCCTTATTAGTCACTCATGTTCAATAGATTTAATGGCTGTTGATGGTACTTTTATCTTATCCTGCTGTCTCTCTGGAAAACTTGCTTTATTCGACTCATTGGCTAGTCGTTGTTTGAATACAATTGATCGAAAGACTGTTGTTAAACGGCATACATCATTTCGAAAAAGACCTAAACCAGAACCTGCTTTAGATGGAATTCATTATGACTTTAACGTTACAAATGATAATGTTCAACGACTATCACGAGAATTTTCAAACTTAAAGACTTCTTCTTCATCTGTTCTGACCGAGGAGGAAGACTCTTGTAAGTCAGCTCCTAGTATATGGTGCATTGACTTATTTGAAAGTAAAGCGGCCGCAGGTTGTGAGGATGGAGTCATTGAAATATGGGACATGATGAGCGGTAATTTGCTGTTTGAGTATTCTGATAGCAGATCCGGTGTTACCTATGTATCCATAAGCAGCAAAACTTGCTTAGCTGCCAGACTGAATGGCACAATCACTGTTTTTGACGATAATGATTGTCACAAAACGATACAGGCACATAGGACTGAAATCACTTCAATTTCAAAATTTCGCTCTCATCTCCTTACTGGTGGCCGAGATGAAGCCGTTAAAGTTATTCATCTTGATACCTTTAATATTAAATTTAACCTACGTGGGCATTCATCTCCTATTACTAAAGTATATCTTGATGAACATGGCGCAATGAGCATTTGCTCCGATGGCCACATTCGTTTCTGGGATGTGTCAACTGGAACATGCACCAGATGGTTAAGGAGTACATTTTCAGGCTGTATTTTACATATATCTGCTAATCAAACTGCTATGGTCATTGCAACGGACAAAGATAAAGTCTATGTCTGTGATAGAGACACAGGGAAAATTGGCGAATGCGCCTCTTCAAATGAGATATCTTCTACTCTTCTCTCTGCCCGTTTTTTTGTACTAGGATTTTGTGAATCAATCGAAATCTGGGACACTGCCTCGGTTAAATTCAAGATGGGTTTGAAATTTGATAACTCTTCAGAAAAAGTTACTAATATTCAGCAGTTGACAGATGGATCAATTGTATGTTCAATTGGTTATCAGCTCCGGGTTATCGATTTGCCCATTTTGAAAACCGAATAAACTTATATTATTTTGTTTTTTTTTCTGTTTTGCCTTATAGACTAGAATTTTTCATGTGTAAGAATTTTCTTTGTACAATTAAATTAACTCTTTTTCTAAATTATATTTTATGTACAAGAAATCTACAACTTTAACAATTAAGTTCTCTTCCAAAAATTTGATTTTCCTCTCCCTCTAGTAAGATGGCCGGCCGATCTTCTTATTTTCTGTCTTTCTTTTCGATGTTCTCGCAAAGCTTCTTTCTGCTCTTCATCCTTTTTATTCTATAAGCAATTTGAAAAATTATATTAAACGTATTCAACTAAAAGTTTGTGAATTTTTAAGTACCTTTCTTAACGAAAATGTCATCTCAATATTTCCAGACATGTTTCTTCTCTGACTAATCATACCTCCTTCATTCTCTTCTTTCACCAATTCTCCTAAAGTTTTCCTAAAAAGAAATTAAACATTTTGTGTCAATGAACAATTTTCGTCAGAATATCAACTCTTACTTTGCAAGCTTTCTTTTTCGCTTCGCTTCCCGACTGTCAGTTTCAAAATGATTATCCTTTAGTGACATAAGTTTAGTTTTCCTTATTGTTAAGTCTTCGTCTCGTAAATCATCTCTCTCTCTCATTTTTTCGCCTTTCTTCGCTCTAGCAATCTCTCTAGATATATATAAAAAAAATAATTTTGTTAACTTGAGACGATGAAACATATATAATTATTACCTGTATTGCTTTTTAACTTCTTCAGTCCATTGTCGATCGTCATCAGAGCTCTCAGATTCTGATTCGTCTTCAACTTCTTCAAATTGATCCTGCAGCGTACTCTTTTTTTTCTTTTTATCTAGTTTCGAAACTACAGGATTCAATAACCTATATTCTTCCGATTCTTCATCAACTTGGAAAGCAGGATCTTTAAATATTTTGGAGAAACGGTCGTCTTTAAGTAAAGTTTCAGCTCTCTAAAATAAAATATATTTTTAGTATCTTTTAGTATCTTAATTATAAATTAGAAGAAAAATATTAACCAATTTCTCTTTCTTGCTTCCTTCCTGTTCTGCAAATGTTAACTTTTCAGCAAGAGCTTTGTTGACATTAGGCAGTTTCTGATTTGAATGCGTTATGTTAGTTTTCTGTGATGTTCTATTATTTAAAAAAACATATATCTTTACTTACCTTTACTTTAACTCTTTCTTCTCGCTCTTTCTCAATCTTTTCCTTAATCTTAGCTTTCTTGTATTCAGTATATTTAAATGGCTGAATTATTGATTTGGCTTTATTGTATAGCCTTAGATCCATAAAATAACCATGCATGTAGGCTCGTAACATTTTAGAGCCAATTAAATGACTTAAATGTAATGATTCCAGTTCTGTTCTGGTTACAAATTTGTAGTCATCATAAACTGTAGGTTCTGGATCTTCTTCTAGTTCTTCTGTCAAGTTGTCTAAGAAAGAACACCATTTGGGAGCTGCTCCTAAAGCCTATTTGTAAAAAAAACCTAGATAACTATAATTAAGCCGCTTTAACTTAATAGACAAACGGGAATATAATAAGCCAAAACTTTCGGAGCTTCGTTTGCCATAAAAATAAGACCACTATCGGGAAAAGTACAGCAGGCATTTAGATTACTTCCCGGTTCAATTGAAGTATATGCTTGACCCTAATATTAATAGAGTGATTAAATATATTTGATTTACGATTTCATTTGTGACTTACCGTATTTCTATGCCATAATTTTAAAATTTTCGTATCAGAAGACAAAACTAAATCTGGATCACTCTTAAAGTTGATACTTTTAATGGGCAAGCCATAGTTGTGATCTTTTACCAATAAAGGTTTACTAGATCGGATATCATATAGAAGAATGTGACCGGTCGACGTTCCAACAGCCATGTTTAGTCCATCTCGATGTTTGATATGAGTAATCGCCGGAACTTTCTTTGTGCTAATATTTTTGGAATTTTGAAGAAAAATTTGATTGAAAATAAGTTATTTAACGTACTCAATATCGTTTTCCATGAGAGTACTTAAGCCGCAATCAAGTTTAGCAGCCCTCCTCCTAGTTCTTGGATCCCAACATTCAACATGGCCCTTGTATAGGAAACACAGAATTAATAAAAATCCTAATTAGGCTTATATAAAAAAAGAAACCTCTGTTGTTCCACAAGTAAACAGATCATGAAGAGGGTTAATATCACAACAATTTATATCTCTAGAATTTTGAAATATATAATTAATGGAGGTATTTTTGGGATTATAACATATTCAATAGTTACGTAGCATCTGTTTGTAATGAAGTAACAAATTTTCCTTGTTCTAAATTCAATCTGTATATTTCGTCGCTAAAAAATAAACAACGAACTTGTTTAAATAAATTAAAAAAATGTTGCTAAAGGTTCTACCTTTTTCCTACAAAATATAAATCACAACTTGGTTTATGGTATCGAAAATCTCTACAAACTCTTGGTAGTCTGAGTCTATAGTATTTAGCATCCTGAGCATGTATTTCAACAAATCTATCTACCTGTAGAAATACCATTTTCGAGTAATCTTCTGATATTATTTGAAACTGAGCGACTTCTTCGTCCATTCCTCGGTCAAATTTCAAAGATAGTTGATTAACATCATAACATTTGACACGAGGCTTATATATCCCTGGATTTAGTTAGAGATAAGGAAATATAATTAAAGTTTAGGATATATTACCAGTCACTAGTATATATTGTTTGTCTGGTGTGATTTGGATGCAATTGCTAACTGTAGGCATCTCAAAATCTTGAATAAGTTCAATACGTCTTCTGACATCTTCATAAATATAGGAATATGAAAATATTATAGAATTGGGTTAGCATTATGCATTATATAGGATATTTACCTATATCTTTTTTTAATAAATTTCTTTTAGCTCTATCAGAAAGCCACTGTAAGTAAATTCACTCTATTATCGCTCTTAAATTTAAAAAATTGTCATTTACCTCCGGTAATGATTTTCCAACGCTCAGATTATATATTTTTACATCGTTTGGATTAGAGACCTGCATGATGGATCAATTATCGTACCAAAGTGCGACAGGATCTATGATTTAATAAAGACTATTAAACGTGTGTGCTAACACGCTGAAATTTTCGAATTACCAGTTTACACTCAATATTACACAATTAATTTAGTAATACAATGACATGCTTCAGAGTTTTTCGCAAAAATTGCACAATTTTTATGTTATTTTTAGGATTCTAAGGCATGATTGTTAAACAATGAAAACTACCAAGAAGTTTTTATTATAGAAAACAGCACGAAATGAAGATATTAATTTTCATCAACTCCTTTCTAGAATTCGCGTACTTTAAATAGCTTATATTGATGCTTAAAATTTTTTTTAGAAAAAAAAAAACAATTAACGTTCCATATAATCATTAATAAAGTTAATTTTTACTTATTATTTACAATCCAAACAAAGACAACTATTGATTAATTAATGGCCTTCAAAATTTGATACAGGAATATTGAACTGAAGATAAGCAAACTCCTCTAAAGGTAATTATAAGTTGACAAATCCATTTGCTTACACAATTGTATAATTGTTGAAAATATTGAAAATATTTATATATAAAGCATTTAATTCGTATTTAAAGTTAACACCTAATAAAATATGTAGAAATAGATACTTCAAATACGCTGAAAGTTTAACATATAAAAACAAAAGGATCTCAATAAATTATCCTCAAATACTGATATTTTTTTTACCAATTAAGATTTAATTAAATCAATATTAAATAGACAATAGATATTTTAATTTAAAAAAAAACTATATATATATATATATATATATATATATATATGTAGTTAAGCCTACAATATCCAATATTCATTAAACAAAGAAAATAATATAGTTTATATGTTAACATCGATTTTAATCGAATAAGTTATTCTGAATAGTTACAAAAATTGATAAAAACAGTAATAAAATTCTGTTATCGTAGATGGCGCTTTATACCTTTAGAGTACTTTTGCAATAAATGCTAGATGGGAACAATGGGATAGTTTTTAGGCCAGTATTATAGACTAGAAATATATATATTTGGATATTTAACAAAGTTGCGCCTATAACAGACTTTTTCATTTTTTGGTTTAGGCTTGAAGAGTACACCAGTAATATGGATGTATGGATAGTTTATTTTTTCCTTTTCAAGATATTCTTCATATCTGAAGCTACCATTTACAAACCCGGTGCTGGCTGCTTCTGTAATTTACAATCAACTGACTCGATAAAAGTATTGAAGAATCCTCAAATGTTATTTATAGAGTGTTTATGGCCGTACTTAACATTTGAAAAACAACTAGAGATGCTTGGCCCTGATGTTGTAAACAAGGGTGAAATAGAGAGAATAAGAGATGGCTATGGTGCGGAGGAAAAGGATTTTCAAAAAGTGAAAAAATGCGAATTCAATCAAAATAATAGAACTTTACTTGGATTGGATATAAGATGTGTAGAAAGTGAAATATACACTTTGAATAAGAGGTTTTATCAATTTCCTGTTTCTCTTTATTAAAATGCTTTGAAAATACTACTTTTTTCATCATATAAATAATATGTACAAATAACAAATAGGCTTAATTTTTTTCAGCTCCGAACAACCTGATCATCTTTTAGTAAAGAATTTAATTAAACCGTCAAAGGTCACGAATGCAATGTATTGTAGAAATTCTCCCCCAATTGCTATAAATGACTGTAAGAGTGATACATTGAGTACTGTTAATTTAGAAATGAATATTTTATCAGTTCCTTACTTCAAAATATATCGTTCAACTTCTGCGCTTTGCAATGCAAATTTTAAAACTGTGTGCTATTTAGAAGTGATCACATCGGATGATGATACAGGCGTAAATTATTCAGTGGATCAGTTATTTAACGGACAAAAATGTAAAGTGAAACCGAAAATTGAAGTTGTTAAAATTGCTATATTCTACTTCACTGGATATGATCAGTTGACTGGAAAATTACCTTTCATAGTTTCGGAACAACTAGAACTATCATCTTTAATATTTAAGAATGCTACGATAAATCAATTATCTGAAATTGAGAGCTATTTAACTGATACACCTGGGAAACTTATTATACAAGCCTCATGTGATTGTCACGCATTATGGTTGCTAAACGTATATCAAGTGAGAGCTAGGAAAGGTTATAGCAAGAGATTGGATACATTGAAATTCTGTAGAGGGCATGAGCTGGAAGGTGGCAGTCTGCTAAAATTGACTTTACGTTATTTCAACGAAATTGAACCTGAAATGCCTTCAAATCCAAAGCTAAAGTTCGCATGGGAAATCTCACGAATGGTCAATAGTGTAAAGAATATCGACTTTAAATCCAACTGCACTGATTTATATCAGCTCTACAATAACGTTAGTGCTGTCTGCCAAAATTATACTGCCATGTTTTTAATTATATTATTAACAACTCTGAATTATTTCTAAAAATTTCGAGATAATTAACTCTGGTGACTTGTTATGCGATTGTTTACGTAGTAAACTTTAATATTTGTGATTTTAATGCTCTCGCTGAGCAAAAAGACGTACTAGTGAAAATAGAATTCAGCTATATATATATATATATATATATATATATATATGCAGATTATTCTGAAGTTCGTTCCGCTTATTAAGACCGTCAAGAGCTGTTTCTAAATACAAACTAAATTATATATTAAAGTTTTCATGTCTGAGGAACAGTTATTTAACTTATTAATAGTCATCATTGTTTGTACAATTGCGCCACATAGCGCAAGAGCTTTTGCCTGGAGAAAAGAATTCAGGAGTTTTTGGCTAAAAAAGGGTTTTTTTTATTTTCTTAGCTCATAATCATTTTTAAAATGAATTCTACATATAGTCTTTCAAATAAAAAAAATAATCAGCTAAATCAGGACAAATTTGTTCAAACAATAAAAAGTTTGAAATTTCCCGCCAAAAATAACAGGACCGCGGATATTTTACCAACCGGATATACATTCGTTCCTTACCGCTTGGCTTGTGAAACGAGGTAGTTGCTGATCAGCAAATCTAGGAAATCTGAAAATATCTTCCGAAAATGCTTGTATACCACGATTATGTCACTGGTATGGTATATTTCATGATTTTATCTGTTGAAATTTTCCAAAGTTGTTGTTAAAAGAAATTTTAATGGTATTGTTTTAAAATTTTTAGGTGACGAAATTATGACTGATTCCTACAAGGTTACTGAAGATTGGGATGGTCTAGTATACAAAATTGTTGGAAAGGTAAGTGCTGTTTCTATTAAATATACTTTATTAAAACAACTGGAACTTTTTAGTATACAACCGAAAGTGACGCTAACGCAGTAGCAGGTATTGAGGCCAACGAAGAAGAATGTGAGGTAGCAACAACAACAGGCATCAACTGTATTTTGGCAACAAGACTCCAGGAGACATCTTTTGAAGACAAAAAGACCTTCAAGAGATATTTTAAGGATTACGCCAAGGCAGCACTTGAGAAAGTAAAGGAGAAGAATCCTGAAAAGGTTGATGCTTTTAAAAAAGACTGTCAAGACTTTATGAAGAAAGTTATCGAACATTTTAATGATCTTCGATTCTTTCAAGGTAAATATCAAATTATTCCCTTAAATATTATATAGTAATATGCAAATACAATTTTAGGAGAATCATTTAATCCTGACTCCCTCGTTGTTCTGGTTATACATGAAGAGATTGATGGCTCTGATACACCAATGTGTTACTACTTTAAAGCCGGCCTATATGAAGAGAAACAAGTAAGTAGCATCTATAATAGTTCGTTAGAAATAACTTCTTTCTAATGAATCGCTAATGATGCAAAATTAAATCTAAATCGCCTATCGCAAATTTAAAATTTAGCGATCTGATATTTAAGAGTACAAAGTTACTTTTTTTTACAGTAATTCTTCAAGAACTGGAAATGGAAGAAATTAGCGGACAAATTCTATACTTATAACTGTTTATTGATAAAAAAATGGTGTCATTTTGTTATATCAATAAACAATCTGTATTAAATCCGCCAGAAACTGATACAATATTCAATATTTTGTCTTTTCGTCATCCTCCTCCGGCTCTTTTCTTCTCTCTTGATAGCTTGGAGTTAGAGGAGAATTAGTTGGGACAGAGTCTTGTTCTTGTTGCAACAGTTCAAATGAGTTTGATATATGAAGAGCATTGTGCATCGGAGCAGTGAAGTCTTGGCTGCTTCCTTGACGTTGATAAAATAGCAAATAGGCATTATAATAATCGTCATCTTGAGGTTCCTTATAATTCACTCTTTCATCATTGTACTCAAACCAAGAGTTCGTTATAGGGTGCTTAGCAAAGGCAGTATAATGACCAGCGTTGACACCTTATAACAATTTTAACTAAATACTTAAGATACATCTATGAATTATACCCACCTCCTGTATGACACACACATCCGACTAGATCATATTGCATTGGTTTATCAACAGGGCCACATTGATAGTCAGTGAGATCCAAGTCATCTTTAGGAAAAATAACTTTATTTTCCAATTTCGTACTACTCAAATCATGAAACACAAATCTAAAAAAAAAACTTTAGACTGTTATTTTTTATTCTGTGCAAGGGTCAAACCTCTTTAAATGTAATATTAAAGTATCAGGAAATCGCCAGACAGATATCTTCTTATCAGCACATTGATTTTTATCACAATTTGGACAAAACCAGGGATTGTTTTCATCTAATATCTCTGTATTACTGAAGGCTCTTAGGCATGAATGGATAGTTAATTCTTCCGTCTTTCGTCTTTTACTTAAAGACTCGTGTTCCACGATATTGAAAGATGGTAATTCATCAGTGAACCTAACAGTGAGAGTATCTCTTGACGACAATGAAATGTCTTGACTACTGTTGTCTATACAGCAACCAAAGCAAGAGGCTTCACAACGAGAACAACTTTGATGCTAAAAATGAATTTTTTTTTTAATTAAGAAAATAAGTAATTAATTATATTATTTAAAAGTACCTCTCTATTCGTAATAAGAATATCATAACTTAAAGAATCAGAGAATTTATAAATAGTCCTTATCAGATCATGTATTCTTTGGCCAGTAGTCAGAGCGGGAACAGAAAGCAAATTAGGATAGGCACATAATGCAGTCCGATACTCTTTTGTAAAAGGTTCTGTATGATCAGTTCTAACTGCTACATGAACTTGAAGAACTTGAATATCAGAAGGATTAGACGATAATTCGGCGACAGGAACAAAATCGTCCTTTGCTACTGAGAGATCAACTTGACAAACTGGACACTTGTGGAACTGTCTTTCAAGATTCTAGAAGAACGTAGCAATTAGTATTAGCAAAGTTATATTGGTTAATTTTCGACTAACTTGATAACATTCTCTACACACTATTCCGCGACATTTTCTATGTGCACTGAGCACGTCACTCTCCTTGTCCTCCAAACATATTGTGCACTGCCTTACATCGATAGACATGGGGAAACGAGATGTGTTACCTTTAGTATCACCAGTCGACAACCAATCGCCTCCACCTCCCATTCTATCAAAGTTCTCAGGCCAGAAGACAGTACTATTTTCTCTTGGCTCTATTACGTCTAAAGTCGTTTTATCAATTGAAGTATCAACGACTGGTGAGTTACGTCCTTCTCGTGGTAAAAAGTCAAATTCATTATCCACTGAAGAAAAACAGTTTGTTAAATTGCTATCTCTGTCTTGATCACCAAGAGTGTTACTCTGTGACGGAAAGTTGAAAGACTCTTTCTGAGATTCTTCACCATCTGCACTCATTGGAGACACTGTGGCAGAAACGGAATCATCCGCCATAGGCGAAGAGAATGAAGTATTTCCAAAATTTTCATTTCCATTATCTACTGAAACTTCGAACACATATATGTAACGATACATATCGTTAAGATTTCGCAATAATACGTAATCATCCAATACGCGAGATATCTTAAAATCGAATACCTCACAAACGATTACTTTGATATTCTCTTGTAAATTCAATAGAGCTTCTAAAGCTGTTTTTAGCTTCTTGACATTATCTTGAATATGAAGATTTAGGAGGAGTCTTATCGGTGAACCTTTATCAGTGAGAGGAACGAAGACAAATTCTGAAAATAATTTTTATTACAATTAAGTGACAGATCTAAAAAAGACATAAACAATCTACTAACCAACTTGTTTATCCATTGCATGAGGTAAAGGTACAGACAAGTACATTAAAGGCTCATACATCACAGACAAATGGCCGCAATTTTTGCATTTTACCTAAAATATTAATATCAGTTAGAGAAAGATAAGTATAATAATGTTATTTAATTTGTAAATCTTACCCTACTCTGAAATTGGCCCTGAAACGTATCGACAACAACGCTTTTATTTCTAAGTAAATACTTGTTCCAGTCATTCTCTGCTTGTTGAATTTCTGATTTTGTTGGTATGTAAATTTCTTCATCATCGCTTTGGGATGGTTGGTATTCTTTTTCCTCTATTCCAATTGCACTATCAGGTGTTGTTTGAGTTGAAGTTATTTGACTGATATCAATAGCAGTTGACGTAGGAGCTGAATATCCGTTTACTTTAGTTATATTTTTATCGGTATTCACTTTCATCTTTGCTTGCATTCTAGCATTTTTGTCACTATCTGATGATCTTAGACTCTTTGTATTATTTCTTTCTTCTTCTATCTTGCAAGTATCATAGTTGTCCGTTTTGTCCAAAACAGAATCAGGTAACAATTGTTTTGATGGTAGATGAGAGAATTTTTCATAAACACAAGATGTTAAATTAGTATTTCGAGTGGTCAATTCCTCCTTTGTTATGTTAGCATTATCCAGCTTTGTAATAGTTTGATCGTCTGTTAAATAAGTATCAGCTGTGGCAAACTTTTCGCTGTCAGATTTAGGTTTATCAATGTTTAAAATACCATCGACGTTCGTATTTGAGGTTTTTGTATCTTTCTTACAGAGATCATCTAAATCAATTTCGGGTTTTATACAATCGCTTTCATCCATGGTTTCCCCTTCGATTAACATTTGGAGATCAAGTATATTAGATTCATCTTGAGCTTTGGGAGAAATATCGGGCGCATCACTACACTCCGAAGTTCCAGATACAAAAGGGCTATTTCTTGTTGAAGAGGCCATTGAGTAAATATCTGGTGAAGTTTCTCTTCTCTTTTTAAAAGCGGGCGAACTGTAATCGAGGTCCTCATTATCGTCATTACTGCACTTTCTACTGGAACAAGACCTTATTGGCACACTGGTTTTTATTAAATTTATTTCATTTGTTCTAGAGTTACAGAGCAATTCTAAGAGTTGCTGATGAAGAGCATCTAATAAAATTGCCAAAAATTCTTGACAATCATGCTATAAGAAAAGATAATAAAAATATTAATTAAAATTTCTTCAAATTTACACCAAACAAATGCATAATTATAGAAATAAATAGTACCTGTCTATAGTCTAAAAATTGAGCGTATGAAAGACCCAAGACTTTTTTAAATTCTGAAGGAGAAAGGCTCCCTGATCCGGTCCATACTTTCTTTACAAGATGCGCAAATTGGCCACACAATGTCTCAGGTGAACAAATATCATATTTATAATTTTCCAAAAAAAACTTTGTAAGATTCGAATTATTAAAAAGACATTGTAAGCCAGAATTCATGAAACACGTATTTCCTAAATTACGTAGGCCTCTTGTTCCTTTTAGACAAAATATAGGAAATAGAAGGATTGCCTTTAACATTATTCATAATTAATAATTAACTATTAAAAGATTACCTGTAGGAAGAAGATTTGGATCTGAATGATTCAGATCACTGAGAATCGGCTCAAAATTTGTTGGACTCGACCGCGGTGCAGCTGAAAGAGACTGTGCTATACCTAATCCTTTGTTTGTAAAAGAAAAATCTCACCAGGAACTGTCATTGTGGTAAATGATGGCTGATCTGCATTCTCGCAAGTCTCATTTGCGGAGAAGTTTTGATCAGAGTCTTGATTTTGACATTGGTCAACCATATTTTTTCTTAGTACGATTGAGCCCTGAACTAACCATAGGCGAAGAGAAATTCACTAAGCGATAAATACTGAGGATATACAATGAATATTCTAATTTTACAGAACGTTAAACTCAATTTATTAAAAGGAAATATTGGTAAAATACAGGAATAGCATTGTTCCTCATCATTTCTTTTACACAACCATTTTTTCTGCTCTCACCGGAAGTTCCGTTTTACCCGCGCATGCGTACAAATAAAAAAACTTGAATTAAATATTAAATTAAAAATATCTTTTAAATTTATTATGTAAGCCTAAAAAATAGTTATATAAATATTTTTTCCCAAAACTTGTACATTTTATCATAATTTACTTATTTTTTTTATAAGTTTTGAAGAAAGACGTTCGTTTTTTTTTTTGTTACTTAGATTTAAATTGTAAATGAGGGATTTTGTAATTGAGTTTATTAAACAAAAAGAAAATTAATGATGTAGAAAAGCAGCGATAAATCGGATGATTACTAACCAAAATTATTCATTTGTACTGAAATAATTATGAAACCGAAGGATTTTCGAACGTGCTTAATTTCCAAAGCAAAACGCTAGACTTTATTTTTCTTAACAGATATTAGTACAAAAAAATAGAATAAATACATATATAAAATAAATACTGATAGTTCGCAGTCTTTTTCATTTGATTTCATCTGATATTCATAGTTTTTCTTTCTTATTTTCTCTTTTTTATCTTTTTTTTTTTTTTTACACAAAACAACCGAGAGTCGTATAAAAATCCCTTAAATAAACAACGACTTGACTAAGTGTAGGTCGGTCCCGAGGTTCAGCCGACCAACAATGTGCCATGACTGTAAACAAATGGTCTGGGCACAATGTTGGCTGCGATAATCTGTAACCGGCCTCTAAGTATTCACAGATATCGAATGGATTAATGCCGGGATACGGCTGCTGGCCGAGATTAATGATCTCCCAGATCGTTATTCCGACTGCCCAAGCGTCGCTGGCCCCAGAAAAAAAGTTCTTTTTAAGGCATTCTATAGCAAGCCATCTGATTGGCTTATCAGTTTTGTCCCCTACGCGTTGGTAATCGTCTGGAAAAAGGTCCGATGAAAGAGCGGGGTCAGCTATCTTTACTTTAAACTGTTCGTCTATTGTAGAATTGCGAGCCGCTACATCTTTGTGGATAATGCCCATTTTGTGTAGGTGCATAGCCCCTCTGGCTATTTGTAGAGCTATATACACAACTTCTGGTGTGCTGAGAACCATAGTTTTTCTATCGAGAAGATAGGTCTTTAGATTTTGAGTATGAGTTGAGCGAGCGTAGACTAGCATCGGAGGATCTAAGGATACCCCAGCCAATTTTTGAATGTTCTCATGCAAAACGTTCCTCAATAAGCAAGCATCCCTTAGGAAGGTTTCAACTTGATCCGATTCAGCAGCCTCTGTCATGCTCTTTACCATGATAAAGCCCATTTCATCCGTTTCGCAATGAACGCTTATAAGACCGTGGGAAACACGACCGAAAGTGCCTTCCATCAGTACTTGTGTTAATGTCAGACGAGATTTATCGATCATCAATTCAGAAAGAGCGGCTCGGACTTGGGTTGGAGATAATTGCAAGCTATAGCCAGTACTCGCATGACTATGAGAAGAGTCTGATGTATTATTTTGCAATAGTGCTTGCGAGTATTTTGATCCGTTCTCACTGTAAGAATAGTTGATTTAGTAAGTCTTTAAGCGATTACATATAAGCTTTACCTTGCTCTATCAGCAAAAGTTTGCTTTTTCTTTGGCCTGCGCGACCTAGCGAAGCAAACAGCTATCACTGTTGCCACTATTATAACTAAACCACAGAAAAGCCCTGCTCCAGAATAGAACCATATTTTTTGTTTTTCTCTTCCTTTATTTTTAGTTTTGTGAACATCAAAAGCATCAATTGACCTTCGCTCCTGGGGTAAACCGTATTTACAATTCTTTGAACGTTTCAAAATCAATTGAGTTGTTTTATTTCGTTGAGTAAAATTGACGGAAATATGGAAAATTATTGATCGCTGTTCCTTTCCGGTGCACAATGGATCAATGGCGAAGGCTGTTGGGAACAAAATGGTATTGTTTATATTACAAATAAAAGAATAAAGGGAGAAGCGTGACATACCGGAAAGCTTGCGCGGAACAACTCCGGATCTCAGAGATTTATCGTAAAGTATATTCAATCCATGATTGGGTCCTCTCGGAATTCTAGTATCTAACTCGTAGAAAATATCCTAAATTGAAAGAGAGAAAAAAGAACACTTGTTAAATTCGCATATATCATAGCAACAAGTTGGTAAATATCTGGAAAGAATTTTGTTCGGACAAGATCTGTCCGACACAAGTCAGTGAAGTGTCAATTATGCAGCTGCTTTGGATTTTTAAACTTGTAAAAGCCGATGAAATTAACTCTGATACTTCGTAAAGAAGGGAGCCGGAAATTAAATGAATTGGGGATAAACTCAATACACTTACTTGACGGCCCGTATTTTGCCAATAAAAGTTAAGCCTTCTGGTTTCATATTGTATAGGAACTTGGAAGCGGAGAGAATAATCCTTCTTTGTCCCGTTGGCGACGTAGAAGAGATCGTGAAACGCTCCTGTTAGAAGATTAATAATGAATATCAATCATAATCATTCACGCCTTGCTTCTCTAATGATACGGGTTTCAAGTCAAAGGTCGGTGAACAGCAAACGTTCCCTAGAGTAATTCAATACACAATTTTACACAATTATTGGCGAGGCGTGATTTTGATTAATAGCCGTCGTCTGTTTATTATTTAAATAAAGAGACGGTCTCCGTTAGGAACACGTGCGCTCGTAGACGGCTAAAGTGGATCGCAGCGGGTTGTAACAATTGTGTAAATAGTCCCTTTGCAAAAGGGGAACGGTTCCTAACAGTGTTAAGTAGGTAGTAGAAAGAAAATTTTTGCGCCTTTGAAGCAATAGCATAGGATTAATGAGAACACGTGACGACCTCATAACCCCTGATAGAATAGTGCGAATACCTCAATCTATCAGTCGAATTAGTGAATTAACCTTTTTTTTAGGAGTGTTAACGGCTATTAGTAGTTATTAGTTGGTAAATTTTGGTACTTAGTATACTATATATTATTTTTTCTTTTAAAAAAAAATTCTATCAGATTCAATATTTTAAAAGCCTGTCAATGGCAATTCATCAATGCCATAACCGCCTTTTCAAGTATCTGGACTTCATTCACAAATTATTGATATCTTTATAAACTCAGTACAATATTTAAAAGAAATTATCGAATTATCGTATTATTGTATTGAATAGCGTCTTCTGGCGATGCCTTTCTGAGCGTGATTTTATAGTCATGTTTAATCTAGAGTCTTTCTATTAATAGTTAGATCAAAATCTACTAATTTCTATATAATGACGTATCTGTAATTCAACAACTAATCCTACTCCAAAGAATTCTTTTTTTGTATACTACGGAAACAATGATCCTTTGTAAGCTGTTTTATCTTGCAGCAGTCGGAAATTGAAAAAAATAAGAAGAGCGTTTAGCGGTCAGAGTGAATGAGTGAGAGAATTACGTGTTTTATACAAAGCTATATATATATATATATATACATAAATTCTTAGTGTTGGCGGTTATGTTTTTTATACTGCAGACAATTGCGCCTCTTTCACATCCTTCAACAATATGTAAAGTTGGCAAAAAAAAACAATTTTAAAATAACTCTTCTATGCAAATGTGGGCGAATAGACTGAAAACGACTGATTGTATATCAATCAAAAAGGCAAGAACAAATATTTAAACATTTGTTCGCTTATCGACACAATTCTCATTTTTATCAAATTGTAAATATTATTCATAAATATTCAACCACTTTACAATGCGTCCTTATATAGTTTGACGAGTAATCTATTTTTTTAAACACAGTTTATAGAGTAAAGGTTCAAGTTTGCTAGAAAGAATTTTCCTTTGCCGCCTTGCATCTAAAATAAAAAGACAATTACCGACTGTTCGATTCCACTCTTCTTTTGTTATAAAAAAGTTTAATCCAGTTAACTGCGACCGGCAAGTCACCAATAGTATGACGAACCAAATGCAACCATAAATTTTCATCTCTATGGTTAGATCCGTGCTCTGTAGCCGATAAAACCGTTGTGATGCGGACAAGCTGTATCCGAGACAGCCATGTTGGGGGATCAACTATTTTATCAGTTATTGTTCACAATACTGGTCAATAGTGGCCAATAAAAAATTTCTATTTGTCTTATAGATAATAATGATATGATAAAATAAATTTACGAATTTTTTTATCCTTAAGCTACATACTAGCCGATAAACTCTTCTTGAAATAAAAAATGATCCCGAGATAGTACTGACATCTATTGGGGAGCGCAGAATTCCAACCTATTTAAAATTCTATCGAGCTTTGTCTCATCAATCTGAAAATGTACACCCAGCACTTGTTTACTCTTAGAAATATACCTAATTTAAGCTAACCTCGTATATTTAGTGTCGTTTTACACCCTTAGACGTAAACTTATTGACTTTAAATTATCCAAATTGATCTTTATCATTATGCTTTCTGAGGATTGCGATTTCTGCTATGCCATAGTAATCTGACCATCTCTACTGTTATCCTACATCCCTGCAGTGGAGCGGTAATGAGCAGCAGCCTGCTCAAATCTTTAACCAAGTGGTTGCTCCTCAGGTATAGTTAGGATTTATCCACTTCCCTCCTCTACGCCCACATCCCCTCAAAAAAAATTACATGACGGATGAATAAAGAGCAATTAGTTAACAAAAAACCGACCTTTCCCTTTTCAAATGTTCTCTCATGAACCATGAGCCCAATTTCACATTGTATAAGACGTATTATTATTGTCAACTGCCAATTTAATTAAAAGAAATGTAAAAAGAGATCTTAATGAGTTAAACATTCAGTAACTAAACAAATAAGTTAAGAAGGTAAGTCAAAGCGACGGAGTTTGATTTACAAAATATTTACTCCAAACTACCCCAAGCAGAACGGTAACGTATACTAAAGGATCAAAGGCCTAATCAATTTCAGATTTAAGATAAATAAAATGAAAGATATTGAAGCATTAGCTCACTGATTGACCATTTCCATTAGTCCAATAGATATTGTAACCTTATGTTGTAATATAATTTTATTAATATACCATTTACTGTGACATTGATTACATAATTTTATTTTAATCGGACGGAAACGATTAAAAACGATATGAATGAACGAATATTGTTCTATTTTTGTTTTAAGAGTCTAGGTTTCTATTCAAATATTTATCGTGCTCCGTAACTTTTCGCAAGTTCTCAGCAAGAACCGGCTCCGAGCACATTGGACAACGATCTTCCATCTCTAGGATACTAGAAATTGAAAAGTTTACAGTTTAAAATTGATAGACTCGATGATGGAAATTTTAGATGTTATTAAACTACTTACCTCCTAAACTCGGTTTCTATTGCAGGAAAATCACATACAGGACAGGCGCATAAATCCGATTTAATCAAGTGTTTTCCTATAAATTTATTATTCATTGAATTTACCATCAATTTAAATTGAAAGGTATTAAAGGATTTTACCTGAAATTATACAATAGGGAATTGTATTCTTACATTCTGGACACATCAACTCCATGTCTGGCAATTGAAATTCGCAAAATGGACACGATGAAGTAGTTTCGTCTTCTTCTGTCTTATCAGATTTTCTAACAATCCCTTCAATCTTCTTCTTATATTTTACATCAATCTTATCTCGATATTCGGGTCTGTAAAGCATAGCGGCATAGCTAAAAGCTGAATTCTTTAGCCCGCTTCTTTGACACTCTATTACAGTAGATGTTAAGATAGGCACAACGTGAGAAGGAAATTTGCTTATATTATTGGCCACACGAATAAGTAGGCGAGCTCCTTTCAAATGGTCTCCCTTTTTCACGTGAATCTAATTTGAATAATTTATTCATTATTCGTTTATTTTACTAACGACCAAGATATAATCGTTTACCCTGACAAGAATGTAACTATGTAATATCATGAGATTATTGGCCATCTCTGCGGGTATTTTGATTTTGTTTTTCTTTAATTCTTGATACATACTAAATAGGACATCGTGAGCGTTTTTATAATTACCTATACAATATTAGAAAGCGATTAAAACAAAAAAATAAATAACTTATTAAATTCATTAAAATTTTACCGCCAATTTGTTCTTCTCTAGCGATTATTATAGCAGTTCTGGCTGCCTCTTCAAATTGATTCAAGGCCATATACAATCTGAATAAATATTTTGCATCCTGTGGATAAAAAATTAGGTAAATTTTTATGGAAACAAAGAAAGAATATTTCTAGGTTAAAAATTTTAAGCAGTTTTAAAAGAATTAGTTCAAGCGCTCTTCTTAGTTTTTTTTTAGCAGTGAGAGAGAAATCTAGTATAGTTTATCAAATAACTATTCTAACTATGAATTAATAGAATGCTTAAACATATATTATATAATTATTTTCTCTTTGTTTTAATCTTTATAATTTCATATTCTTAAGCGACAGGAGTAACGTAATTTAATGACTTTTCTTTTAATAATAATATACTTCTGCTTATAAAATTATCATTATTTAAAGTCAACCTTTGGAAGTCCAGTCAACTCTCCCATTAAATATTCAATCACATTGTGAATTATTATATCATCTTGACTCTTAGAAGCTGTTTCTATTATTAGAGGAACCAAATTAGCGTCTTCAACCGTTTCACATTTGAAGAGATGAGATAAAGCCTAATTAATTTGAGAGAAAAAGCATGATGACAGTTTTTTGATTAGGATTAGCAGAAAAAGCAAACAAACGTGAAACAAAAAAAACATCAAATTTGAAGTGAAAAATTGTTAAATCTCTGAAAGAAAATAGGCGAATGTTGTAGCTTTTTTAAAACCTTCGGCTCGCCGTCTAAATCTCCCATTAAGAAGTCGATTAATTGTCTTGTTAGTTGTTCATCTTGAGCTCTTCCTATTACGTCGATAGCTAGATTTATTGGTGCACCGTCTTTAGTTTCGTTACACGACAAAAGATGCTTCAAAGCCTAAATTAACATTTAATGAAGATTTATAGTGTATCTAAAGGAAAGGAGCCGTAGAAAACAATATATAAAACGACATAGACAAATGATCTTTAAAATATAAAAATAGAACTTAAAATTAAAATAATCATACCCTCTGGTACTGTCCAGCATAGAGAAAGAATTTCCCTGCCAGGAAGTGATTCTTTCTATTCTCAAAAAATAAGGCAATAGACTGGTAGTCTTGAGGAGTTGCATCTTCACCTATGATATCTGCATAAACTTCCATTTTGTCATGAGCTTGAGCAAGTTGGAATGCTTCATCGTTATGTCTGGATATAACCAAAAATTGGATAGCCGATCCGTAGTCGTTTAACTTCTGGAAGAAATTAGCAACCATTTTTGCTCCATCTGTTGATTGACTATGGCGTACAATTCTGACGGCTTCTTCCGGGTTATGTAAATGGTCCAATTGTAATCTAATAACGTCATCCCATTCTTTGGCTGTCGTATAAGCCTGAACCGCCTCTTTGTAACGTCCTATTGAATAACAAACTATGGAAATGAGGAAAAATAATTAATGGTATTTATGTATACCCTCTGCCTCCTTAGCTCTTGCGTATTGGCCATGTATTTTAGGGGAAGTGACATTCGGTAATAATTCACCTACTTTGGTCCAATTTTTCGATCTTATGTAAACAGAAGCGGCTTTATCAAAAAATCCACCCTTTTCGTACAAAACTGCTGCTTCGCTCCATTGCTTCATACTTTCTAATATAGCAGCACAATCTTTTTTCAAAACCCGACTCGGCATTTTAGCCGCCATACCTACTCCCCTTCTTATGTCGCCCATTCTTATGGACATTCTTGCAATACCAGCAGCGCATTGCTCATTATGTTCTCTTAAAGAACTATCTTTAATTATTCCTTTTTCATAATGGGAGAGGGCGTTCATGTAATCTCCTGTGAACTCTAATTGCTGTGCGTACTCTTTCGATATATAAGGGATCTGATCAGGAGCTAGAGCTTTTGCTAACTGCAAAGCAGCATCCCAGTGCATTAAATCTCGTCTCATTTCTAAAGCAGCAGATGGCTTCTCTGAATTGATGAATAACTCTTGGGCCATATCAAACTCATTTAAATACATTGATATGTAACCGGAGAGGAGATTCTTATCGTCAATTCCTTTTATATCCTCTAGTGAGAGGACCATACCGACGTCTCCCATTTGCCTAAAAGCTCTTGTTGCAGTTTCAACATCTAAATAAGTCAAACAGTGATCTCCAATTTCTTTCCAAAATTCTTTCTTATCTAATGATGTTGCATAGGTAATGGCTGATTTATATCTGCCTAATTGGATACATTTTCTCATAGCTTCTATTTTCTGTTCTTCCGTTTGGACTATTGATAGTTTAATTTATTCTCTATTAAAAAACTTTCTTTAAAATTCATAAATAACTCACCTTCATCTTCCGAAACGTGAGTATCTAGCGTACTCGTGATTACCTTGCCACTTGTTGTGTGCAAATAAATGTCACCATTAACTAATAACAGTGGAATATGTCCAAAAGGCAACTTGGTAGTTCCGATCAGTTTACAATCAGGGCCTTTGATTGAATCTCGACTATAGAGATACGTATAGATGAACTCTTCGTCCCAGGATACAAAAACTCCCTTGTCTAATTGCCACTGATCCCAAAGAATGCCAGTAGTCTTGGCAGAGAACTGAGGCACGGCAACCTGTTCGTCGTTTACAGGATTATAAACAAAAGCATCGGCTTTATCGTCAATGAAAACTAATCGAGTGCCGTAAGGGTCAGATGTTAAATAGGTTATGCCAGTGATGTGCTTAAATTCGTTGACATATTGCCAATCTTCCAGATAAAAATAGAAAATACCTCCAGTCTAATTATAAAGAAAATTGTTTAGCAAGTTTGATAAATCTTCTTGAAAACTTACATTAGTTGCAAAAATTAAAAATTCGGGTGTCAGATCGTGGCAAGTAACTTTGCAGTCTGATTCATTCTCTGGGAATAGGCGACTCTCTCTTTCGGGATTATTTCCTTCTTCTTCAATTACATGCAGTTGGACTCTGTTTTCAAATCTTACTGCACAATAGTCTGCGTTTAATTTACAAACTTGAACGGTTCCCAAATATTCGCGATCTCTCACTTTCTCTGGACCTAGATAACACATAGAATAATATAAAAAGAGATATCTAGAATTATATACAGAATAAATATATATATATATATATATATCTACATATATATAATTATAAATTACGACAAGCAATGAATAGGATAAGCTTTACAGAAATCAAATTTTTCATAAAGATCAATCTTCAAAAGAAGAAAAAAATAATCATTTAAGCCATGCTAAAAAGGAATACGACGTACTCGATTCACTGTAATACTGTGATGGAACATTCATAGCTTCTCCTGTACAGATTTTGTGACAAAGTAACAGATAAAACACTTAAAGTGAACATAATTTACCGAATCTTAAGACTGTTTATAGTGGAAGATTCGTGAATTTAAAGAAAAATGGCTTAGATATTATAAATAAATATTATATTATTGCGTGTTTGTTGTTTGAATAAAGTTTCTGACGAGTTCCAATAATATTATGACAAATAAGACTATCAATAAATATTAAAGATGCGAAAAATATGATTTAGGAACACAGTGAAAGTATTACAAAGATCAAAAACATTGTAAAATGTCAACTTATGCCAATACTTTTCGGCAATATTCATGATAATCTACCATCTTTTGTTTTTAAATAATAAACCAATTGAAAGAAGTGGATGCCGCCAGAAATTTTCTATTTTTATTACAAACAATAGGGAAAACGTACCTGAATCTGCCATTATATAGAACCAAGCTCTATTATTCATTCCCACAGCAACGTGAAATGGTCCTATGCCTAGAAAAGATGGCTCTATATCAACATTTAATAGCTGAGAACCATCTTGATTCACATCATCTTGAACTGTAACCTCCAGGAGAGAGGTTAAATATGCTAGTCTTGTTTGATAAGCTGCTCCTAGTTGGGGTAATTTAGACAAATAAACATTTAAATTTCCTTTAACCGTTGAAACAGCTAGTAATTGCCCATCATCTGTCCAATTGATTGAATCAGGCCTTTCCTCCAAGTTTATAATTGCACTGATTTCTTTCATATCAGTCATCTCATAAACTTTGACAACGTTATCCCCACCAGATGCTGCTTTCAGGGTAACATAGGATACTGTTAAGCAGGTTAACTGATCTTTATGATTTCTAGCCTACAATTGAACGAAACATTTTTTCAATTGTATTAATGCACTAATAAAGCTTACTTGGAATAACTCTTGACCAATTTCTGACGAGTGGGTTGATATTGATATTATGAAGCCGTTTGAAAAACCTATTAAGATATACCCATCACCATACCATTTATATTCTACAATCTGTCCGTAACGGCCTTGAAAAGCCAATTCAACAGGATTTTCTGGATCATCCATATTTAGTAGCAACAAGGACTTTTTTCCAACAATGCAGCTAATCTAGAAAAGTATTTTGTTAAATTAACAAAACGAACAAAAACAACAAAAGTTTTCATTACCGTGTTATCACCCGTGGCGCTTCTCTCATTTAACTTCATTTCGGAGAATTGAATATCCGTTGGAGATGCGCGTAATGATGTTTGATGGATAGTATCTCCCTCAGTATTTGATACTGTTATTGTTTTGTCGTCTGATCCAAGGGCAAGTAGGTTTTCTCTGGACCAGCAACCGCACGTAATACTTCTCGTGTGCTTGCCAAGGATTGGAATTTTCCTTTAAAAACGTACAATTTCAGAGTTATCAAGTTAGAGAGTGTGTGCTTACTTAGAAGTTGTTGGATTATAAATAAGGAGATTCCCTTTTTGCGTTCCTATACCGAGTAGATGACTATTTTTAGCCCACGAAAGCACGGTCAATGTGTCTCTGTTGTAGAAAACATTTGATGAAAAATTCACTCATTAAGAATACAATTTTACCTAAAACCACTGTCGATTTGTTGGATTTTGGATGAATTTGTACTCCATAAAAATATAATTCCACTCTTGTCAGATATCATTGCAAGATTGTCGCCATCCTTGTCCCATCCCAATCCAGAACACATACCGGGCAAACTAGGGTCTTGAAGTAGATCTCCATGTCGATCATAGATTCTGACAATGTTGTCGAAACTAGAAAGGAATTTTTACTAACTATTCAATATCAAATGAATTTGTTTTACCTAGTTGTTGCCAGGTAGTTTCCAAGTTTCTTTTGCCAGCAGAAGTAGATCGAAGATTGGCCATGAATACTATTAGGCACTGAGAATACTTTCTACAAAAGTAAATGAAAATAAATATAACTTGTAAAAAATTTCTGTATCTAACGACGCCGTCGACTCGAATAAAAAGAACTAGTTATAAATAGGCAAATTTTCGCAAATTGTAGTTATTTGTAAGCTGTATTATTATAGTTTTAGTAAATATAAGAAGAATTACCTTCATCTCACTCATCTTGGCTGATAGTAAGAGAAAGTAACTAAGTAAAATTAACTATTTTGTCAAAAACCGTCTGAGTAGTTCAAACTTTAGGAATTCGACAGTGCGGATGTTCCACAACAAAAAAATCAATGATATTTTAAACTAAAGAATTTTGTGCAAAAAATTCCTGAGAAAAAAAATTAAATATGAATTCGATTAAAACAAAAATTTTCTGTCCTATTAAGTTACATTTTATTAACATTGTTTTTATATGAAAATTTTACAATTCGAGTTTAATTGACTAATTAAAACTTTTAAACTCAACTTTAATAAAGATATTCACGATAAAAAATAATTAAAACGTCTAGTATCTCAATTTAAGAGTTTTAATATATTTATCAACAATTTACTAGAAAAAGTTTTGGGAAATATAATATTTTCAATTTGTAGAAGATTTAATAACAAAGTTCTTAGAATTAAAATGATAAAAATTATTAAATACATTTTATCTATGAATAGAAATATCTTAATTATCTCTAGAAAGAAAAAATTTGAGAAGTAACGTTTTTAATCAGTTTGGTAAAACATACATTCGCAGGCAAGGCTATATCAAGATGTCTGACAGGTACGAATTTATAACGTTTATAACTGAACAATCAATAGTACTCATATATTTTATAATTTTTTTTCACGATTATTATGTTTTATTGTAGTGAAAAGCAGGAGAGACCTCAAAGTGAGGATGAGCCTGATGCTAAAAGACCTAAGTTTGATCGAGTTAAAAAGCCGAGCGATAATGCGAACGTTGATGGCGCATCTGCCGAGAAAGACACAAGCAGGCAAAATGAAAAAGGAAAGTCTGATTCTATTTATACCAAAACCGGAGGAGCCTACATTCCACCTGCTAAGTTGAGAATGATGCAGGAAAAAATAACCGATAAAGAATCAGAGTCTTATCAAAGGCTAGCATGGGAGGCTCTTAAGAAATCAATTAATGGATTAATTAACAAAGTAAACACATCAAATCTTGGCCAAATTGTCAGAGAATTGTTTCAAGAAAATATAATTAGAGGAAGAGGTCTTTTTGTAAAATCAATAATCCAAGCACAAACTGCTTCTCCAACTTTTACAAATGTCTATGCTGCATTAGTTTCAGTTGTTAATACAAAATTTCCTCAGATAGGAGAGCTACTGCTGAAGCGTCTCTTGATTCAATTTAGAAAAGGTTTTCGAAGGAATAATAAAACCATGTGCCTTTCAGGATTGAATTTTATTGCTCATCTTGTAAATCAGCAGGTGGCGCACGAAATCCTGGCCTTAGAAGTATTAACTCTACTTCTTGAAACTCCAACAAATGATAGCGTTGAAGTAGCAGTGGGATTTTTACGTGAATGCGGTGCAAAACTCACCGAAGTGTCTCCTCGTGGAACTCATGCAGTATTTGAACGTCTTCGGTACGTTTTACATGAAGGTCAAGTTGAGCAAAGAATTCAATATATGATTGAGGTAATGTTTGCCACTCGTAAGGATGGTTTCAAAGACCATCCTGCTATACAAGAAGATCTTGATCAAGTTCAAGAAGAAGATCAGTTCACACACATGATGACTCTAGAAAGTAATATAGAAGGAGAAGAGATGTTGAATGTTTTTAAATTTGATTCTGAGTATACGATAAATGAAGAAAAATATAAGGCACTCAGTCGCGAAATTTTGGATGAGTCTTCATCTGATTCCGGATCGGGAGATGAATCTGGATCTGGATCTGGATCTGAGAAATCAGAAGAAGAAAAAGAAGAAGCACAAATTTTGGATCAAACTGAAACTAACTTGGTGGAATTACGAAAAACCATTTACCTAACAATTCAAAGTTCTCTTGACTTTGAAGAATGCGCACATAAGTTATTAAAAATGGAGTTAAAACCAGGTCAGGAAAAAGAAGTTGCCGGCATGATACTTGATTGCTGCGCTCAGCAACGAACATATGAAAAGTTTTTTGGTTTGTTGGGGCAGCGTTTTTGTATGTTGAAACAAGAGTATGTGGGTCATTTTCAAGAATTGTTTAAAGAGCAATACGGAACCATTCACAGATTGGAAATAACAAAGTTGAGGAATGTTGGCCGTTTTTTTTCTCATTTGTTTTTTAGTGATGCGATATCTTTCGAAATTTTCTCAATTATAAGGCTAAATGAAGATGATACAACATCTTCAAGCAGAATCTTCATTAAAATACTTTTTCAAGACCTTGCTGAGCATATGGGCTTGCCTAAGCTATTAACCAGACTCCACGACGAAACTCTGTCAAACAGTTTTGAGGGAATCTTCCCAAAAGATAATCCAAGAAATACACGATTCGCAATCAATTTTTTTACATCTATTGGTTTAGGAGGCCTTACTGACGAATTAAGAGAGTTTTTGAAAAAAATGCCCAAAATGCAACCTCGAGTTTTAACACCTATATCTTCAGACTCGGATTCTTCATCATCTGACTCATCATCATCATCATCATCATCATCGTCGTCGTCATCGTCGTCATCATCATCATCGTCATCATCGTCATCATCGTCATCATCGTCATCTGGCGCAAAACGTAAAACTAAGAAGAATCGTAAAAGCTCGCTCCGGAAGGAAAACATCAAATCGCGTCAGAAAGAAGATCGACCTGAGAAATCTGCCTACCGTCAGAGAAGGGCAATGGCTACTAAACAGTACAGCGACAGTGAAGATGAGCAAGTTGACAAAAGGAGATATTCACATGATAAACGACAGAGAAAACCTAGTCGAGATACTGACAGGCGTAGGCGAGACAGTGATGAAGGAGGGGAACGTCATAGAAGAAATTACTCGGATCAAGGTCAATTAGTAGACAAAGATCACAGCAAATTAAAATTTGAAAGTGAGGATGAATCAGACGAACCGAAAAACGAACTTCGAAGAGGACGGGTTGAACTTAAAAAATACGACAGGCGAAAAGATGATTATGACAGTGATTCTGATGATAATGGGAGAGATAAGTACGATGGCGGCAAATATGATAAAGAGAGCAAAGGGTCTACTAAGAAACAAGTCGATGAAGAACGAAAGAATACTAGAAGGGATAAGAGATACGAGCTCGATAGACAATCTTTCAAAAAGAGAAACGAAAGTGATGATGAAAATGATCGAAGAAATACCAAGTCAGAAAAACGAAAGTACGTGGAAAAAGACAAACAGCGAAGAAGACATGTCGACTCCGACCAATCTGACCGAGAAGATAATAACCGACGAGAAAGTAGGACTAATAATCAAAGAAGTGATCGTCGTGATAAAGATGTTGAGAGAAAGAGATATGATAGCGATTCCAACGATGATCGAACATTTGATAGAAGTGAAAGGACAGATCGCAAACACCACGAACATTACAGCAGAGACAACAGGCGAAGAGATAGCGATACAGATGAAGATAGAAGAAATCAGAGAAATGAACGAACAGATCGAAAACGATATGAGCATTATAGTAAAGAAAACAAGCGAAGAGATAGTGATACAGATGAAGATAGAAGAAATCAAAGAAATGAACGAACAGACCGAAAACGAAATGAGCACTGCAGTAAAGAAAGCAAGCGAAGAGATAGTGATACAGATGAAGATGGAAAATATGATAGAAATGACCGAACAGATCGCAGAGGATATGACATCAGCAATAGAGACAATAAGCGACGTGATAGTGAAGAAGCTCGAAGAGAAAATAGAAGTGGGCAAACTGATAGAAGACGTGATCGGCAGTATAAAGACAACGGACGAAGAAGAGATGATAGTGATCGTGAAGAAGAAAGACGAGAGAGTCGAAGATACGAGCAGAAAGATACAAGAAAAAATAGAAGGTATGATAGTGATGATAGTGAAGACAAAGAACCAGAAAGTAAAAAGTCGGAAAGTCGTAGACTTGAAAGACGAGAGAGGCGGAGATATGATTCCGACGATGACAGAGATAGAAAAGGTGAAAGTTCTGATAGAAGGAGTAATTATCAAGAGAAAGCTAGAAAATACTCATCTGATGAGGATAAACCGAGGAAAGATAGTTATAGTCGACGAAATGATAAACATGATAAAGAAAATAGAAAAAGAAACGATAGTGACAATGATTCAGATCAGGATAGAAGAAATTATCGCAGGAAAAGATCCGAAGAAAGGAAATATGCAGACGATCGCAAAATAAGGAGCAGACGTTACGATGAAGGGCTTAGACGTTGATAAAAATCTAACCACTGAGAACCTATCTGTAGCTATCTGTAAACTTTACATAAATATAGGTACCAAGGGGTATAGAATGTAAATAATAATAATTCAATAACCCATTGTTACTCTTGTTTTTAAAAACTAAAAATTCATGTCGATAAGGAGAATTCTTGAGTTAACGTTTTCTTCTCTTTTTACGCTAAATTAGCATTTCATCCAGTGGAAAGTTTTGCTTGATATTGTAAAACAACCTTGTATATTAGATATTTTATATTCAAACTTTGTTAAAAGATATGTCCTACATGTTTCTGCAACTATTTAAACTGAAACTCTTGAGTTTGTACTTAACCAAAATACATATGATTATAAGCTTGAGTTTATTTCACTTTTTAAATTTATTCAACTGGTATTCATTAACTTAGAGTTTAAATTCATTTTTCATTTGTCTCAGCTTGCCCATAACTTTAATAGGGTCTGTTTCATTGGTATACTTTTTAAGTCTCTCTTCTCTGAAATTATCAAAATAACAATATGGCAGATCATTTCTAGAATTAATAGAAGCGTATTTACCTAACTCTCATAAATGGATTTATAAGCTTTTCCTCACCGATGGAAGAAGGCATAGTAAATTTATCCTCAGCTTGGAGTTTCTGAGCCCAGAGGAGCTTCTCGGCAATTTTCTTATTATTTGGTTCAACGTGAGCGGCGTACTTCAAATTATTGACAGTATATTCATGACCAACGAAGACTTTTGTCTCGTCTGGTAGAGATCCTAGCACTTCTATCAAAGCTCTATACATCTGGTCAGGGGTACCTTCAAAAAAATGACCGCAGCCCCCACTGAATAAAGTATCGCCAGTGAACACAACATTTTCTCCTTTTTCGACACTTGAATCGCTTGAAACGAAATAGCAAATATGACCTTTGGTATGACACGGAGTATGTAGACAGGTCACTTTAAGATTTCCCAAATTGAAAATGTCACCATTTCCAACCTATTCGCAAAATCAAATTATAACTATTTATAATAAACTATTTTTAGCTAAATATTAATACAAACTTTTTTAGTCATTGCTGGAATTCGATCATCACCTCCAACAATCTCTAGACCAGGAAATAATTTAGACATTCTTTCATTACCAGCACTATGATCTGCATGATGATGGGTTGTCAATAGATGGGTTATTTTTACTTTTTCTTCAGCAGCGGCTTCTTCTATCTTATTTGGAACAACTGGATCAATTGCAGCAGCTGTCTTTGAAGCCTGATCAATTAGTAAATACATATAGTTTTTCCCAACTTCCATTGCCGGTACAATTCTCACTTTCATCTTCAAAAGGTTTACAATTTGTCCTACGGACTATAAAAGAAAATTAAGCAGTTAAAGATATCAATGCAATTGTTCAGCCAAAAGTAAATGCGTACCATTTGGTTATAATCTATATAATAAAGGTTTTTGCGAAAAAAGGTTAGAAAATTGTACGACCGAATTGTTGACAACTTGGATATGACTAAAACACCAAAGGATTAAAACTTTAAAAGTAAAACTGAAAGTTGATCTAAAAATTTTCAACCTTTTAATAGATTTTAATTGATATTAAAGCCAATCTACAAAGATAATGTTATAAAAAATCTGTCAATTTTATCTTTTACTTTATCTCTTTAAATTTATATTATTTTATTGTAGTTAATTGGCTAATTTTAATAAAAGATTCAACGAAAATTATAGTTAATGATTACTATGTAGTGTGGTTATACAATTCACAAAATTGATTAATTAAATTTTAAATATTTCTTTCACAAAAAAAAAATCCATCTATTTGGTTGTTTTCTTAAATCGAATAAATGCAACATATAATAGTCAATACATGTCAAATTTAGCCATACCCATTTTAAAAACTATAGTTGGAGCAATGATGAAATGACATAAAACTTTCCACTTGTTTTTCGATGTATTCCGACGCTTAAATAGAATGAAATATTTTATAAATTTCAATTGATTTATTTAACAAATAAATTAACTATTCTAAAAGTAAATCAATGGTGGTATAGTCCTATATAATAAAAAAAAAACTTTTCTCCCTAAAAATATAAGTCATGCTATAAATTTGAATGATATTTTTATCAATTTAAAACATTAAGAGAAAATAATTCGAACAAACAAATTATTGGAAAAAGAAGAAGCTATTAATCAATTATCAATTAAAGAATGATAAAGAATAGATATAGCTATATATAATGAGAATAACGACATTTTCTACCAGTGACATGTTAGTTTGCATGTTTATTAAACTTTTTAAACTAAATATATTTGAGTATTAGATTTTTATTAATATGGAAAAATTATAGATTAAATGAAAATCATAACAATGTATCAACATCAACAACAACAACAACAAAAACAACAACAACAACAACAATCACCACTATTAGGAGACAGACTTTTGCTGATAGATTTCCTCGAACAACGTCTTATATTATTGATAATTCTGAGAATGAAGAACAGAGTATGTTTGGGATTGTTCTTATTATAGCATCAGTTTTTTCAGTAATTGGTTTAATAAGGTGGATTCACAATGTCAAGATACTTGTTAATAATGATTTATACAAACATAACTAGTATTTTCATTTGTCTTTGTGAGCCCACCTTTCTAGTTTACTTGTTTATATTGGATATAAAAAGAATTGGTTAAAATTTCTTTTAAATAATGACAATGAAGTTAATCAACAAATTAATATTCAATCGTCGCAAACTCCTACTTCGTCTCGTGCTTCTGTCTCTCAGACGGCTCCTTCTGTTACAAGAGTAGAGGATAATAAGACTCCACAACAGCCAAAACAACAGCAACCGAATCAGCAACCGCAGAAGCAGCAGCCAATTGCACAAACTAGATCAATGCAAAATGTACGAAAGACATCAGAAGAGCTGGAAGATGAGAAAGTAAGGAAAAATACCATGATGAATGTAAAAATGTCGGCAAAGAGGAAGAAGATAGAGGAGATAAACCAGATGCATCGATCAAATTCTGGTGAAAATTTGTTGGCAAAAAGTTTGATGAGTATGTCAAATTTGTTGCAAAATCAAATGTCAATACAACAACAAGCAAGTCAAATGAATTTTATGGGTATGCCTGGTATGATGCCACAATATCCTAACCCTAGTTTCTCCCACTTTGGAGTTTCACAGTTAGATCCCCATTTACTCCAATTACAGTTACTACTAGGATCGCAAGGTGGAGGTCTTGTAAATATGCCGGGGACTTCAATGATGCAATTGCCGATCGTACAAAAACCGCCAGAAAAGGGTAATCAAGAACAGCCGGCGAGGAAAAAATCTATCTTAAAAACAAATCGTATCGAAGTGGAAGATGACAGAAGTTCAAAGCTTAAAAGTAATCTGAAGGATAGAAAGAGAGGCGCAAAAATTGCTGCAGATCCCCAAATTGATAGTTCCGCCGACGAAGATTCAGAACAAAGGCAAAATTCAAATTCAGACAAGGAATCAGTATAGAGGAAAATGTATTATATATTGAAAGCTTAACAGTACAGTTTTCTCAAATTTGTTATAAACTTATTATTTATTGCTTCTTAGGACGTTTAAGGTGTTTTCTCATACGATTTTTAATCACTCTTGAGATCGTTTTATTTATCTTGTTTAATACACGTTTCTCAAAACTGGGAAACTGCTGGAAAAGAGGTTCCATCTTCTCAAGAAATTGAGATATGGCTTCCATGAGGTCGACTGCAAACAAAGATAAAACAATAGAAAAAATTAATGAAATATTTATATAATTACATTTTGATTGGTTTTCATTCTCAGACTTTATGTTTCTTTGTATATTATTAAAGAAATTGTAATTATCTAATTTCTTATCATCCAGCTGCTCAACGCTCGATTGACTCATATGTTGGGTTATTCTCAAGATCAAATTCTCACTTTTATTGTATGTAGGCCAATTAGCAGGTACGCTATGAGGTCCTTCATTTGGATTTCTAAAATTATTCATTTAGATTACTCAGTGCTAATTGGAAAAGGTTATTGAATATGCTAACCCAGTTTTAACAAAATTTAACCAATAAGATCTAAGATTTTTCGTATATTGCTTGTCTCCTTCACTCCACTCTTGTTGTTCCAAGAAAGAATGTCTCATATCAAGGAGGAAAGGCTCTCCAAACAGAGGATAGCAATCATCCAAGTGAGAGCCATTTATATAATTTGGATATTCCAAAAATGACATGTCATGCTGTAAGTTAAACATATAAGATCCTACATCAGAGTGCATTGAATGAGCTCGTGCTTCAAAGTTTGATCCGCTGCCAAATACCCAATCTGTTGCCAAGTAAATAGTTGCCAGTGTTCTTTTTGCCATATCATCGTCATCCATGCCAGGATATCTTTTCCAAACCTCCTTGCATACATCTGATGAGTTTTTTGCACTTGAACAAAGACCATTCACGAAGGCTATAGTTCCATTCTTTGTAGACGTTATGCTAAGAGCGTCTCCGTAGGGTAAACCTGGTTTTTTTTAATTTTTTTTTAAAATATGACAACAATTCTATTGTATTAATTACTAACCAACTGGATTTAAAATAATTAAGCCAGCCATGTCATGATGCAAATTACCGGTCATAAATCTTACTGATTTCGCGGCTCCTTCCGACCATAACTCGCTTGGATGTTTGGTTAAAAATTCACCATCAACAACTGGTCTCCAACTGCCACTTCCACCCATAGTAATTAAACTCCATAAATCCAAGTCTTCAGCATCCTCCTCTCTAAATTATCAAATGATTTGAATAATGCAATCGTTTTATGCTGTAAGTTGTAAATTTTAATTACCTTAAACAGTCAATCATTTGCACATTATCGTCATCATCGCAACCGAAGCTTTCGGCTAGTCGTCGAGTTAGTTCAGTCATGTCACGCTCAACGGAAGCAGATCCACTATGAGCGATAGCTGATTTAAAGAGAGAGTTCGTTTGCTGAGAAAGAGACAGTAGACTAGTAGCAGAACCTCCAGCAGATTCGCCGAATACAGTAACTTGATCTGGATTACCTCCAAAACCTTTTATATTATCTTTAATCCATTCTAAAGCCAGTTTCATGTCCCATAGAGCCCAGTTGCCTTTAGCTGCAGAATCCATCGTTGAAAGAAATCCTAAGGAACTTACCCTAATGAAATTAGACATAAGTTGTCAATCGAAAAATATTACAAATGCATTGTACAATGTAATTTAAATCTAACCTGTAATTAATATTTAAGACGATTACATTCCCATTAATAGCCAAGTCTTGCCCGGGATACATTTGACCCATTCCTAGTAAAAAAGCACCGCCATACAAATACATCATGACGGGAAGATTTTTTGTCGAATCAACCTCTCCGGGAATCCAAATGTTCATCGATAAACAATCTTCACTAACTTCGTCACTATAACCAATTAAAGGATATAACATTGCAATAAGTTGAGGGCAATGTGGACCGAATTCCGTTGCATTTCTGATGCCATTCCATCTTTCAGGTGGTTCTGACTTGGCAAATCTAAGTTTACCAGTTGGAGATTTACCATAGGGAATTCCGACAAACTCTGAATATTTTTCATTTTTAGAAGTTAACTTTACAGATCCTCTCAATAGACCACTCTTTGTTGCTACAACAGTATCGGAGGAAGTTGAATCTCCATTAATAACTACACTAAATAAAAATACAATAATAATGAAAGACAATGGTATTTTCATCTTCTAAGCTTCTCGTTAAACTAAGTTAGCCACCAGAAATCTCCACTTTTGAATGCTTTATTATCTGACATTTCCTTTAGATAATGCCTTCTGACGTACTGGATATTATCACTAATGAGAGATTATAGGTAAATCAGAAATCAGCTGATGTACCTTCGTCTGATTTGAAATCTGACCATCAAAATTCTGAATAATTGATTTACTAGTCATTATCATATGTTTTCGAGGATATGATTAAGCTTAACTCTAATATCGAAATATATTGAATTTAAATTACAAACAAAACAACAAGAAAAAAAGACTACAAGGCATATTTTGATAAGCTTTATGAATTTTTTTGAAAATGAACTAGTTTTCGTCCCCATTGTGTAACGCCTAGGCACTTTTTTTTAATAAAATTTATATTTTCACACAGAAGAATATCTGATATATTCTTATCTGGATTTTTTAATTGTAATTTATCAAATTGTGAGAAGTTATTGCAATCTAATTTCTTCATTCTTCTACGAGCGTTTCTGTAGCACTTCCAAGGTTGAATTTCGATGAGAATATTATCTGATAAAAGAGAAATATTCCGAAGAAAAATTTGAAGTATTTCATCACCATGATTTAGATGAATCCACATAAGTACGGAAAAACAGTTGATAAGATCGAATTTATTAATATTCTTCTCCTTCATATAGGATAATAGTCTATCGTATTCAGATATAATATTTATTGTTTGAAAGTCCATATTCTCTCCATTTTCAGCACTTGATTTTGCTCTTTCTATCAGAGTCTCATCCAGGTCTATACCAAGAATTTTGCATTGATATTCTTGGCAGTAGTTCTTATAGAATTCTCTAGTTAAATCCTAAAGATAAAAGAGATTATAATTACTAAAGATATTTTAAGAATATAATAATGAAAATAAGCAACATACGCCTGTATTACAACCAATGTCTAAAATATATATCGTTTTTCCTTCATTAAATATGAAATCTTTTAAGAAATCTTTCTCTATTAATTTAAGCCTTTCAGATGGTGGATTGAATGAATAATAGTTGATAAAATTTCCAAAACGAGCCGAACCAGGCTCTCTTTCTTTTTCCATTATTAGAGTAGAACGTTATTTAAGAACATAAGAATTTAAAAAATTTGTACACAAGCATGCTTTCGAAGGGGGTTTCCTAGTGGGAAATCCTTACTTCAATTTCTTGTTTCCTTTATAGATGGCGCTATGGTATATTTAAATGATTAGTGATCAATCTTAAATATCGCTAAAATCTTTTACTGTAGATTAAGCATTCCCAAAGAAGATATTTATAAAGTATAAGAATAAAGTCTCTCAAGTGTAGATTCTTTTTATTACTAATCAGTCGTTTATTTTGGACAAATATAAACTTAATTTGATAAAAACTGTATAATTATGAATAGCTATTGCCAAATAAGGAATATACAGTATATATATATATAGAAAAAAAACCAATAACCTGCAGAATACGATCACTAGACAATAAAATCCCAAAAAAAGGGGGGAAAATAGTAATTAACACCAGTTAATGAGTTTTTGGTGATCAAAGGGAAAAAAAGAAAAGTGATTCAAGATTTTGCTGAATGTGGGAATGAATTGATAAACTTTTCCAACCTATCCGCAAAGTTTGATAACTTGTAGTATTTCACTTCACTTAATATTTGTCTTAATACAGAAATATCTTGTGGTAATGTTCCAAGATCTATTGTTGAATCTCTTAAGTAATTTAGGATATAACGGAAATGAACTCCGTCCCTATCTATGAAGTAGACTCCATCTTGATCCGGTTGCAATTTATGACATCCACTAAACATCGTTGCTAATAGTGAATCCTCTTCTTTTGTTAGAGTATTAAGGGAAGTTGAAAAAGATTGTCCTCCTACTTCTAACTTTACCTTTGATTCAAGAATTTTATTTAAATTTATAATCTCTTCTTTCTCCTTTTCAAATTTATTTTCTCTAAAATCGATTGTACTTTCCCTTTGTTCCAATTCTTTTAATTTTTTACTTAACTTCTGTTCCCTTTCGTCTATATCGACTTTTTGTTTCTTAATTTCAGATAATTTCTGTTCGTATTCTTCCATTTTGTTAAGAACTTTCTTCAGTTTTTCATCCAAGTTAACTTCTTTCCTTTCCATAAGTTGTTGAGAGTTTTTAACAACCTGTTCCGTACTCTTTCTAATAGATTCCGCCATTTCAGCAGAAAGATTCTTTAAAAGTTTATTAATTTCACTTTCAAACGCATTAGTACTAGGAAATTTAAATTGCACAAGATCCGAATATTTCTCTAGAGAGCCCTTAGGGGCTCCCGGTTCTCCTGTTGTCCAACGATTTTCATTCAATTCTTCAATTGCCAATATGTACGTTTTATCTCTAACAATGCAATCATTCAACATTCTAAAGAGTTCGATTTGGCTTTGTTAAATGTTTTTATAATAATTTTATTAAAAATTATACCTGGATCTTGTCAATAATTGCCTGAATTTGGGCATTTGCCCTTTTTCACTTATCCATAATCGGGTCTCCTTAGTTTCAAGAACTTGAAACATCTGTCTCATTTGAAGTTCTACCCAGCCAATCTCTTCGAATCTAAAGTTCATAAGTAGGATTGTTCACATTTAATCGATGAAAATTCAATAAATTCAAACCTATTAAACTTCTTTACTCTGTGTTCAGTAATTCCAGAGAAAGGTGTTAGAATACAAACATCAAACACCTTCTCATCCTTGAAATATAAATGTTTCCTGTCCAAATGATGTAATTTGTTTACGCCGTACCATTTAACAAACATTTTCCACGCCTCCTCGCTAATAAACTCATTATTACTTTCGTTATGAATATCCATGCAAATTGGTCCAGGAATCGGATATTGAATTGAAGGATCGTAATTTGACGATATTCCAACATAATCTTCCCATTTCTTATACCAAGACCGAGAAACTAGAAAAGAGGATAAAGTCTATTTAACTTTGTTATCAAGATTATTTACATAGTTAGAAAAATGAATCAAGTAAATCAAATACATTTATTTAAGATAAGAAAAGGAGTATATAGCAAATCATTTAATAAGACGATAACAGTTATTGACCTCCTTTTCATCCTCCTAACTTTAGTCAAAAAGTAACTGAAGAGAAGAAAAGAAAAAAATTAAACTTGAAAAGAGATTACTATAGATAAATATAGGCACGTAATGATCTATTTCAAGACAATATCTCTATAAAGAAATACTGTCTGTATACAGCATATCAAACATGTTTAAAATATTTTCTTCAAGTAGCGGTAAGGTGAACAAACAAAATTCCTTTACAGTGTTTGCCACATAAGAAATTTTACTTTATAAATCAAAACATGTTCTCTAATAGTTAAAATAATTATGAATAATTAACGAAAAAATAGATATTATATCATTAGACGTTGTTTTGATTCTAACGATTTTATATAAGAAGATATTTTGATTTTAATCTTTCACTTCTCTTAGATGACTTCATTAATTGTTTAATACATTTTTAGTTAATCTTAAACAGAAGGATATTAAGATTGTTTACCCGCATATGAACAAGTGCTTTCATTATCAATTGTTTCGATTTCCCGCTTTTGTTGAATGGCTGAAGGAAGCTCATCTTCCTGTAGATCAATTTCATTTTTAAATTCTTCCATTGGAGTGCAGTCCTTTTCCGGAATATCACCCATTTCCTTACTCCGGAACTTTGCGAATGCGTCACTCTTTATCACTTTCTCTGACCAGGACTTATGCCTTCGCTGTAAGAAATTCTTTCTTGCGATCTCTCTATCGGCCATGTTATTCATACAGTTCAATAAAACTATTAAAAAACAGCGACTGGACAGGTTTAGACTAGAAAATTAATAGATTAAATGTTTTATTGTCGTTGTCAATATAGTCAATGGCGTTGTTGTGTGAAGAATTTCTCCGTATTTATTTATCTTGAAATAAAATTTAAAACGAAAAGTATTTTTCTCCATTATGTTAATGAGTATATTAAGAGTTCATAAAAAATTGATACATCAATAATTCACATATTACAGATGAATATGCACATTATATAATGCAATTTACGGACAATTTACCGACAAACTGAAGCCTATGTAGATTGTACCTTTCCTTAAAAAAATGTCTATAGTATTAAATCTCTACTCTGTATTGACATTTGTTGATATTTAAGATGAAACTAATAATTAAATTAAATAACAAGAGATCAACAGCCAGTTTCTCTCTCTCTCTCTCTCTCTCTCTCCATTGTTTATGTTGTTTTGTTATATGTTTTTATTAGAAATCTATTAGGTTTTTTCTTCCTAATTAGGCCTATGTTTTACTGAATTTATATTTTATTTTAATCAAATTCATAATCGATTCCAACATAAAGATACTTATATCATTAAAAAATTTTCATTATTTGGACAAGTTGTTAGCTTTGTGTTATTGGATAAAGAATTAAAAGAGTAATACAGGAAACGCCTTTCCAATTTTGTATTTCTAGGAAGCAACTGCCCTACCTTGGGCAGGAATAATGAAAAAATGGATTAGTCTCTCTCTCTCTCTCTCTCTTATGTTTTTTCTATATACCTATGTATAAAAAAATTCCCATACTCTACAATAAAAGTGAATCTAATTGAATGAATTGAATAGTTGTATTCTACTTCATTCTCTACCTAAAATAAAAAATATCCTAATCCAAATCCATTTATAATCTACATTTATAGAATATTTCAATAACTAATTATATTAAGAACTACAATTTCAAACATTCCTACATTTATAAGTCTTTTTTTAAGTCCCTATATATAAAAAGAGAAGTTTACACAGGCTATTTGTATGAAAAATTGGTTAAAAACTTATTTTTTTGATAAAATTGACAAGTATACGCCTAATTTGTTCATTTTATGTTAATTATTGTATTTGAAAAATGCGGAATGTTTTATATGTATCTTGCTTTTAGTAGAATTTGTTATAGTTACTATTTTGTGGAAAAACTATAGATGTCGCTAGTGTCTTGTAAAAATAAATTATTTTGTTATTCTTCTTACTTATACTAATAAAATTAGTGTTTTATGGTTGGTTTGAAATATTAACAATGTTTTATTCTTGCTATAAAAAACACAATATGAAGAAAAAAAAAATACACCTCGTAGCAGAGCGTGGTTTCGATCCACGGACCTCTGGGTTATGGGCCCAGCACGCTTCCACTGCGCCACTCTGCTCGGTTATTTTAACTTCGTTTATTAAGGGATTATAATCTGAAAGGTATGCATATATGTAAGCGACAATTCGTGTTATAGCCGTTCATTATTCAATCCCCTTACATAAAAATTGAACAAGTAAATGTAGAAACAATAAAAATTACAGTTACACAATAACCTTGAATGAAAGGAAAGGTGTTATATTCAAGCAAATAGTTGGAATAATAACAAAAGAGTAAATAAAGAAGAATAAAAGGGAAGAGGGAAAAGGGGAAAATCATAAAAAATGACTAATTATCCATAGAACAGTTCATTAATAACATCGTTTTTTACGATTAGACTTATTAATGAAACAATTAATATTTGTTACAATTTATTTTTTATACGTTTAATCAACTTGTCTTTCATTTCCTCTCTCTTTTTTTTGCATTTATCCTACACTTTTAAGCTGTAGTTCTCTAACGGGCTATTTTCATTTAATACTAAATAAATAAAGGATTGACTTAGGTAATTAATTGTTGATTATTTGATTATATATCAATCTATTGATACGTAAAGAAACTAATAGAAAACAATAGATTTTATATAAAAAAAGTCTTTAATGTTTGTTAAATCGACGATGTATATTATACAACAAAAAATTGCTTTATGACCCAACAACGTACTTATAAATATTAAATAGGCGAATACCCAATCAGCATTTTTACAAGTAGGTATATAAAATTGAGTTGTTCCATAGTATCCTTCAACATAAAAAAATATAATTGATATGAACCCATGATTTTTGAATTTATAAAAATATATTTTCTATTCTCTACCTTATTCTGCAACTCTACTGCAATAAGAGGTAAGATATCAGCATTATTGTCTATTTTCTAATAGTATTAAACTAGAATTATTGCATGAATGTAATGGAAATGAATTTAATACTTTTGTACTTTTAAAAAATTGATTTGGGTTTTTGTTTCTATTGCGTTCTTCTCATCTAGGAATTACTGTAGTTTTATACAATAAGAGCAAAGACATTTATAAAAGGAAAGAGATAGATGTATAAAATAAAAAATAACCTATAAATAAGCAAAAAACGAACGAGAAAGAGACAAGGAAGAGAAGAAGAAGAATATTTATGAAAAATTACAAGCAAATAGATTGAGAAAATTATTAATAATATATAAATATTGCATATTTTTTACTTAACAGAAAGGCTCAATAAATAAATTTTTAGTGACCATCCGGCGGAATTGACTTTAAATTATTTTTCAATTAAAACGCATCAGTCGCGTAGCACTTGCTACATAAAAACTTTACAGATTGTTTATTTGGAGATATTGTAAACTATAGATATATTTATCTTTTCAGAAATTCAATATATTCGGATAAAAGAAGGAACTAGCCTAATTTTAAAAACGGATGTCGATTTGACAAAGTATGATACTATTATCTGGTTTAAAGTTGATTCCGTTGGTGCGGATGAATTGACCCTTGCTTCTATTGTTAGTCAGGAAGTTACTATTTGGAAGACGCCTAAGGAGCAGAGAATTAAGATTATAACTGAGGGTAATAGGATTACGTTCAATTTAGAAAACTTTGAAAGTTCCGATGAGGGATTTTACCGATTTGAAAGATTACCGATGGATCATAATGGCTCTGTTTATAAAGTTACACTTGGTAAGTCACGTTTCCATCTGGTTTAAATTATCCCAATCCATATCCTTATCTTTTTTCTATGATTGTTTAATATTCCATTTTATAGCGGCTATATCAACAGAAAGGTCAACTAGTAGCTCCGAAAAGATCTTACTCCCACTCATTATATGTGTAACAATTGTGCTTGTTATCTCGATAATTGCTCTCACAATCATGTGCTTCTTAAAAGCAAAGCGTCAGAGGCCTCAAGAAGACAATATATCAAATTCTCTTCAACTCACTGGTAAGTAAATATTTCGTTTTTTATTTTTTTGGGGGCGTTTGATTAATTATCGGATTTCTATAATTAACTCGTTAGTCTCTCCAACAACACCAACTTCATCTGGTGTTTTTTCTACCGAACTTTCAAACTCAAACGGATTTTCATCACTTTCTTCTACAAGGATGACGCCTCTACAACATTTTGATGAAATTCCACCATCAATTGTTTGAGTAACTTAGATTTTATACTTAGGCTATTTTTTTATCTCTTTTTCTTTTTTTACATTTTCATACGTTTTGATAAAAAGCATTGAATTAGAAATATTTAATTAAATAATCTATATATCTATATTCTAGTCTTTTGAGGAAATAAGCGTGCAAATGACAGAATATTTCCCCCTTTTTTTTTTTTTACTTTAGTAAATATTGATAGGTTTTTTCAACATTCATTTCAGTATCGAACGTTTTTTTGTTCTATTTTACCAAGTGCACTCTTCACCTTTTCTAAAGTGACAAAATGCGCAATCTATATACCGTATATACTAATATACAGTATATATACAGTATACATTCTTTTCTTTTTTATTCTTTTACAATTGCAGCAATATTCTTTATCTAACTAACTTTTTGAAATGTTAGATAAGGCGTTTCGGATAATATTTTTGCTTTTTAATGTATTATTCTGTGCTAAATGAACCAAAATATGATAATTAATATTTAATAAGAATAGTTTTCTATTTGCTTGGCATTAACCTTGTTTTACCTCTCCTAAGAAATAGGTAGTAAAACATATAAAGTACAATTTTGCATGTGAACAATGATTTATTTCGACAACAAATTTTTTCAGAGATAGATTAAATGTATTGTATTTAATGCTCACTCAGAATTATAACTTGATAAACAACTTTTCCCCTTTTCCAAGTGTTTCCATTGAATAACCATTGAATAAATTTGTATTGAATATTATGAGGAAATCTTCTGTAAATGGATGACTGAAAATGTACATCAAAGAGTAAACTGTAAGTGCACTTGTTTTAGGTTATTCCTGATTAATCTCTAGGTTGAGTCAGCTTGTAATTAGCAGACGGCTCACTCCTAACATCTAAAAAATATCTGTCCAATACACTCAGTTACATTTCATTGGTTTTCAACTTTTGTCCATAATTTTTTTAATGTCGTGTTTCTCACTGTAAACACGTCATTATATACAAAAAATCTTTAACGTTTGCGTTTTTAACTGCCAGCAGTTGGAATCGCAAAAATATTTCAAGAGGTACAAAAAATATATAATTTTAGTATGATAAAAGATTTAAAATTTCATTTTTATCCTATAACGATTGAACGCTTTATAAAACGTTACTATAGAAGCAAATTTCTGACGAGGCTCTTTAAAAGCCAACATAATTTTGGACGGAATAAATATGTGCAAAACAGCACGAGATTCTCACAGTTCGAATATAAAAAAGCACCTGTTTGATAAAATATTGAACTGTCGTTTGGAAAACGTTTGAACGAACGTTCATAGTCATAGAGAGATAGATATACATAAAAATATGTAATTCGTAACCATATGTAAAAAAAAACTTGACTCGTCTTATAACGTTTGAAAGTTTGTAAGAGAAATGAAGCAAATTGTGAATCAGATGCTTAAAAGGCAACAAATTCGGACGGAATAAAAAAAGAATATAAAAAGCACCTTTTGATAAATAGAGAACGGAACTGTCTTTTTAGAGAAACGCCTTGACAAACGTTTAGAGAAAAAACTGCAGTTTTTGATCAAAAGTGTTTGTCAATCATACTTGAACTCTTTAGTTGAACGAGCCAATAACGAATGTATGCACTAGTCTTATAGCACATAGCCAAAATACTAAATATGTTTGGCTGAACTTACTGGACCAAAAACCAAAAGGTTAGAGGCCGGTGTATTTGGGTTTTTTAAATTTTCGCCTATTTCCCCTTTTTCACCGACCTCTAATATCAAATAGATAAATATAAAGAGAACGGAACACGGTCGTGGAAGTTTAACTGTATATATAAAGAACACGTCGTGGAAGAACGAAGTTTACTTTACTAATCACTAATGAATATATATATATAGCCATATATATATAAATATATATATATATATATATGTATAATATATAATATGCAAGAAAAAAATACACACAACCACACATACCCTGTACAAAAAAGGATGATCTTTTTACGTGTCTAAAAAAAGGAAAAAAAATAACAACAAAAACTTTTTAATAGGGTTTTCCATCGTTCTTTGGCCTCTTTAGTTGCACTTTAAGTCGTTTCTGACCAATTTGAAAACCATTCATTGAATGAATTGCTGCTTGAGCCGACATAGGATTATCATAGCTAACAAAGCCAAAACATTTACTTAAGTTCGTCTGTTTGTCGATAAAGACTTTCGCTGATACAACATTACCAAATGGTGAAAATGTCTGCAAGAGATCAGAATCCGTAAATTCAACTGGTAGATGGTAAATGAACAAATTTGCGCCCTCTGGTCCCTCTGATTGTCTGTAGCCTCCATTTTGTTGGGGGGGCTGTTGCTGCGTGTACTGTTGTTGAGCAGCAGCATATTGTTGCATACCCGAATACGCTTGACTTAAAGCATCATTTCCAGTAGGATTTACCTGTCCTCCAGCTCCAGTTAACATCTGAGAGATCATACCCAAAAGATTTTGTTGTTGTTGCTGCGTAGCAGGATTACTCTGCTGCTGATTAGCCCCATTTAATAGCGTTGACATATCGACTCCCCCTCCTATTACTTCATTCGTGTTACCTAAAGCAAGATGACAATAAACACAAATGTATACATTGTTCAAAATGCGCCTAAAATGTAAATTTTGCTGATTAGTAATAAATATACGGATAAACTTATGACTTGAAAAAAAGACATTTAAACAAAGCAATGATTAGAATATACATTAAGAATATACTAAAGCACCTAATGCTATTAAAGCTCGCTATAATTAAATTGTTTTATTTTTGATTTATGGTTGGTTATTTAATTCTTTTCACATTTTTTTAGCCAAGCGAATTAAAAATAAGCATGGTCTATCTTCTAGAAAATCTATTTACTTATCAAGCTAGAGAAATTTTTGCGCTACATTTTAATAGCAATACAAGTTAAATTTGCATACCCATTACTCCCAACTGTGACAGAGCGGTCATTATCGCCGGATTATTAGCTAAAGAAGCAGCAGCTTGGATGATTTGCTGAAGATTGTTGATCTGTTGAGTTTGTTGCGGTCCGATTTGTTGAGGTTGCTGAAGTACATTTAATAATTGTTGAATTTGTTGTATATATTGTGGATTTACATTCTGCATTTGTCCCATCATGCTGGGTGCATTATTCATTGGGTTACTATGAGGTTGCTGAGGGTAGACGTTCGCGGCAGCGGCGGCCTGTGCTGCAGCCTTCTTCGCTTCCTTCTCTTTCTGTGTATCGGCAAGTTTGACAACCAAAGGTGCTCTACAACCTTCCATTGTTTGACTATTGTGCAACGCTCTCATAGCCGAATAGGCTGATGTTTTCGTTGTAAATAGTACGAATGCACAGCCCTTACTAACACCAGCCCCCTCACGCAGGACTGTGCATTCTTCGATAGTACCATAGAGTTTGAACATATCTCTAACATCAGCTTCATTCATCTTTTTGGAAAGCATTCCCACAAATAATTTCCTCTCTTCTGCGTTCCTGTATGATTTGACAAGTAAGAGAATTACATTGCATAGAATTAAGTATGTTATTTAGTTCGTATCAAGCTGTTTAATATCAACTGCTCAGTCAATTAATGCTTGAGAACTGTTAGTTTATATAATTCACAATTAAAGAGCACCTATATTTGTGTAATATAATGGAAGATGTTACGATAGCCTAGTAGTAAATTTTCTGCAAATTAATTAGCTAGATCGTTTGGTGACGGAGTGTACCGTAACTATTTTTCTGACACTGTGGACAGCGTATTATGTAACAAAAAAACCTACCTTTTTTCGGAATCGGCGGGCTTCATCTGTATTGGGTGAACCATACCCGGTAGCGTCTTCACATTGTGCAAAGCATTTTGTGCGTCCAGAGCAGATTTTCTACTGAAAAATGTAACGAAGCAGCAGCCTTTGCTGACGTTCGTCTGCTTGTCCCGTAGCACGCTTAATTGAAAGATCGGCCCAAAAGGTTCAAATAGTTTTCTTACTTCCTCCTCTGAATACGCTCGCGGTATTTGACCGACGAACATCTTAATAGCATCTTCATCGGCTTTAGCCATTCTTTCTATTTTTTCCCCGGTAGTTTCAGCGATAATCAGTATTTTCAAGATGGCTGCCGGCTTTATTTAAGCGCCGGATGCGTATGAAGTCATAGAACGCCACCTAGATGCCGGGTACTACTAAAATCCACAAGGGAGACTGTGATCATTACGATTTCATAATTGGAAAATAACTAACTTATAGTAAACTATCATCACTAGACATGCTTTTAATAACCACTGTCTCTATTTAAACGATTTGCTAATACATTGATCAAGATATTTTATCATATGAATATTCAATTTGTTTATTATTAATTCAATATCATAACAAATATATTTTTTATGTAATCATTTTAATTACTATCGTAACTGGAATATGAACTATCTATACCTAGACAAGATTTGTGATTTGATATACTTCTATGAACTCTTTTACTTATAACTTTTTCTAGGTAATCTGTTATTAGAGCTGCCCTTTTAATATCGTATTTCTTTGATGCCATTTCGGCTAATTCGGGAGCAGAAAACATGATTTCTTCTATTGAAATATCTCTCTGTGATAGACTTTTTAATTCAGCATTTTTTAAACGTTCTACTGAAACTTTTCATTTAGATTATTTAAATGGGAAGTTTTTTTTAAAAAAAATTTACAAACCAAAAGTTCTTAAACTACTGCTAATGGATAAACTAGAATTTGTAAAGGCGATATTTAAAGCTAAGTCATCTAATAAACCTATTCGATTATCGCAAAATACCAAGGTCGCACTGAAAAAGACAGTCGGTAAAAGGCCTATGATGAATAAAATGTACCATCTCTGCTTCATAAAAGCTTTTAAACTATGTAGGCCAGAACCAAATATATAAGAGCTTATTTGTTGTAGTGGACCATCAACAAAAACTTTTCTACACCTATGTAAACTGTCGCAAAACCCTTTTCTATTATCACATGCAGCACCCACAGGAAGAAATTGTGGGGAAAAGTCATTTGCTTTCGATCTGTAAGTAACATTGCTCATTTGCCAGTTGTAAAGTATTCGACATTTATTCTTCCCTCTCAAACAGGATATTACGCACTTTCGCTGCACGCTTCGTACATTTTCTAATTCCTCGTCTAAGCTACAAGGAACAGAATCAAAATAAAAGCAAATGGATTCTATACATGCACCATTCTTGCAAACTCTCTTCTTATCTTCACCACAAAGTGTCTTATAGTCTGGCTTAGGCTTGCGCTTTGGGCACTTAGGACTAGTTTCGCTAAACAATTGAAATTATATAAATTAAATAATTATATCTTATCATTTATAAACAATTAGTTTACTTGCAATAAGAGGAAAACAGGCAGTCAGTTTCATCTGCACATATGTCTAAATTTGTTTTTAACGTACAATTACGTATATTACAGCAAGGGCCTTCCGAACCACTGCAAAATGCTCCAGATTTCTTTTTGCAAGCAAAGTGGTCATGTTGATGGTTAAATATCGCCCGATTTCTATGTCTAGTTTTAGGAAAGCAACAATTAATATCACCAGACTCTTGACATTCAGCATAATCTCCACAATCGCATTCTTCTCCTTCATCAATTATTTTATTCCCACAAAACGAAAAGTTTGAAGATTTAAAACAATATTCTCGATATTTATTACTCTGATTATCTTTTAAATTGAGAACGTAATTAACTAAATCGCTTATACTCTTTTCACTACACTCTGAGAATTTAGAATGAGAGGGTATTTTACCATCCACAGCAGTTTGGGACATAATATACATGTTACTTTTACAATTCACTGAATTATCATGAATAGCACCAAAAGTATGACCAATTTCATGACCAAAGGTTATAAAATTATATATTTCTTCAACAATCTCTCCTCTAACATTACGACTGATTACAGCTGTATTAGTGGATTGAGTCTGTCTATTTTGTTTTAGTAATGGTAAACTACATATTCCGCCTGAAGAATTTACATAACCTTTTTTTATTGAGAAAAAAAATCGATATTTCAATAATTCTAAGATAAAAATGTTATAAAACATTAATTAAAAGTGAATAGTTATCTTAGTTTAACCGATTTTTATCTCTCTATCCCTGTATATGCTATTCCATTTGCGTCCATTTGTTTATAAGTAAATAGAATTCCAAGACAAAATTGGGAAAAGTCAATTAAGGAGAACTTTCTCAACGAAACACCTGAATTGACGTCATTCGTACAGATAGATTGCAAAATTTTAGGATTTTTACACATATCTGGGGTGATAACATTAATTAGAGCTTTTATCTTTATATAATTTACTGTGGATAAGCCCATTTTGAATTTTATTGATCCAAACATAGAGTTTACCATATCGACTACCCTCCTCAGATAACCATGAATATAGGAAATAACATCTCTACGGCCCTTCTATTGTTAACAAAGCAAATCAACATAAATTAGTGATCAGATATCTGATAAACTTACAGATTTCTTTCCAGTTTTCTTCAGTATATAATTAAAAACATGATGATCACTAATTATCTTTATATAGCATATATTTGTATTTATTAGAAGTTTTCTATTCGATTTGTTTATAGATCTTTTTATTCTTGCTTTTGAGAATGAACAATTTGCTTGTTTAACAATATTTGTAAAGATATTTTGATTATCTAAATATTTATTTGAATAAACGATGGAATGAAAACTTTTACTAGACTTCGTATCATCAACAAAGAATGTTTCATTTAGATAGGAAATTCTTCCCAAAAATATACCACTATGTAAATTTCCATAAACTGATGATACAGAATTTTTATCATAACCTTTAAATTGAATTGAATAATCTAAAGAATTTTCATGTACTGAATTAATCTCAAAATCCGATACGCAATCTTCTCTTCTTAACAAAAGGTGAAATTTTCTGAGATAATTAGAAAATGTATCATCAAAAGTGCAAAAATAACAAGGGAACTTTATACAAACCTGCTGAAAGCTGAAAAGATAACTGATATTGGAAGTGGTACTATATTTCTATACAAATATCTTTTGTAAAGTAAATATTTTCTATGAATTACTCTTTGGGAATAATTTAATTTATCGAAATTAGTTGTAAGCGAAGTATTTTGATAAAAATATAGAAATAAAGTACTAATTAGATAATTAATTTGTAGATTATTCATGATAAATTGATAAGAAAATAGTTTTTTAAAGTTAAACTATGACAGAAATTAAAACGTTTAAATGAATTAATCTGGCAAAGGTTTTTTTTGTGTTTTATTAGCAATTTTTTCAAGATGTTTTTTTCTTTTTTTTTTTGGCCTGTGTAGGAAACTTTTCAAAAACAAAAACATTTTAATTCTTCACACGCACATGGCACTCAATTTCATCTCGGAAGAGTGAAAACTAAAAAAACCATTATAAAACGGAAACATGAATGAACAAATTTTTTCAACAAGAATAACAATGCAAGTCAGGCTTTACAGCACTCTAAATTTTCTTTTTTTATCTTAAAGATAATTGATTAAATTGAATCGATGTTTAGCTCATTACAAGAATAAATATATGGATAAAGATCAAGTTAATTAGTGCTAAAACTGTTAAAACTTCATTTAGTCTAAATGCTTAAGAAATTGAATAGTTAAAGTGTAAAAGGGTGGAAAAAACTTGATATTTTTTTCTTATTTTTAAGAGCGAAGTTTTCAAATTGGTTTAGTGAAGTAGGTTTGTTCAAATTGGAAAGAGATGGAGATGTATGGCACACAAATCATGAAGAAAAGCATTTGAGCAAGTTGAGTAAAATAAAAGACGAGTTAAAGTAAAACATTGGCTAAATCCTGACTTGTTGATAAAAAAAAACACATTAAAAAGGCTTTGAAACAGGGTTGAAACTTGCCCTTCCTTCAAATCCTCTACCTCTTGTGTAAGGATGGCTGCGACCAGGTCTACCTCCTCTTCTTACATCAATGGAAGTGTCTTGTTCATTAGGCCAACAGCCACCATTTTCGTTGTTTCCACCATAGAATTGTGAGCCTGAGGGTGCTGCCGCTTGCAGAACAGCTGATATAAAAGCTAGTGGATTGGGTCCGTTACACCCTCTCCCCCTAGTGTTGTGAGCTCGAGGACCGAAACCGCGAGCTTGTGATCTTGAAGGAGTAGAAGGTGGTGTACAAGATGGCAGTAATGGGTCTTTCCCGGCAAAGAGATTTGCCTGTGTTCGTTTGCAGGTAGCCGGATGAAGGAAGTGTTTAAGAATGTTTATGGCCATTGAGATTCGTCTATATGCGTTTTCAGCGAGATCTAAGCATCTGACTTCTAAATGAAGAGGGCCCAGGAGTTTGTCAGAGTTTCCTTGCTTCTTGAATAATTCCTCCTGTAAAATTCCGTAATTTTCATAGAAAGAAGTTGATTGCATTTGACAAAAACCTTTTCTTTATCTTTAATTGATCCTTCTCCTAAAATAGTAATTTTTGTACCGGTCTGGCGCTGAATTTCTTGAAGAGTATTCCCCCTTTTACCAAGTAGATTACCAATGTATGGAAACTGTATAAAAGACAATACGATATTCAAACAGTATGTAACAAATGATCGAATATTGTAAATCTTTTTTTTATTATTGTTAGGAATATCATAATAAATATAATTTTATTACTCAGTCAATATTTCGGTCAAATATCATCATCTTATCAATTCTCTCTAAGTACTTTTTTATATGACACTTTACAGCTGTTTTCTTACAACATCCAAATATAACATACCTCAGGATTTTCCTTAATTGGTACTATAATACAAACAGAGTGATCATGCGGTTTATCGTTGTGCAGTTCAACAAAATTATTGCCTTCCGTAAGTATTTTAATTTCTGTTTGAATACATTTCCATTAAATTCAACGACTAATCAATCAATGTGATCTTTTTCAAGTATTAATTTGCATATATATTTATAATCTATATATATATATATATATATAATATACAGTATATCTTATTTCAGATATTTAACATAAACAGAGTCAATTTAATTTGTCTTTAATTAATTTCTAAGGGCTATTCACTTAATAAATGATGACAAGAATTAGTCAAATTGCTTATAAATAACATAGCAATCGTCATCTCTGCTTCTTTTGAAAAAAGAAAACACCAAAGCTCTAAAAAGAGGTCAAGGCTTCAATCTGACATCAGTAAAATAATGTGTAATTAGACTAGAATTATGAAAAACCTTAGTCTAAGGTAAAAACTTTTACACGTTCTTTTTTTTACTAGATTAGATTGGGAATATCAAGACAAACATTCCACGTTATATCCTTGATAAAATTATCATTAAAAATTTAATTATATCATTTAGGGTAATGTTTTGTATATTTTGAATAATTAAAGAAGAATCCTTTAAGTGCATGAAATTTTTAAATAATGTTTAAAGTGAATTTATTTCAAAAAGCTTTTACAGGAAAGAAACATTCGAAAAATTAGTGCAGATGCTACTTCATAATTAGGTAATACAAGTTTTATAGTTATTATACAATATTTGACTCTGTATAAATTAAATAATGTCTACGTTCTTTTATGTTTTGTAATAGACAATAAGTTTTCTATTTCTACTAAATTAAATGTTTTAGAGGAATATATTACCTTTTTCTAAAAGTTGCTTCGCCAGCGGAAATCTATCGTCCAAAATAGATAATTCTGAACGTATTTTCTCAATTTGAATTTCAGTGAGTGTTTTCTTAGTCTCTTCTGCATCGATATCCATTCCTTCATCTTGCTGACATATTCCTTCTGTGGGACAATTTTGTTCTTTTTCCGACATTGTAGTTACATCAGTGCACATGTCCCCCGACGACGCCATTTTGTTTACGCGTGTATTCTTCCGCCGACTAATTATTTATGTGTATGCTACAACATATCAAGCTGTTAGTATTTATTAAAATATCAAAGATCTATATATGTATTTAATTGCTATCAAAACTGCCATTGATTTCAAGTATAAGTAATTATAAAGCCTAATATACAAGAGAAGTATATTCTATAGTAAAAGCCCGCCTTTTAGAATGTTTTGACGTGGGTGTAGCACAAATATTACTCTTTACTTGTTTACAAAAAAAGAAATTTCATATGCATAAATCCCATTTGTTTAAACAATTAACAATAGTATAAATAGTAAAAAAATAGTTGGTTTAAATATTTCAATGTATTGTTTCATTCTGATAATACTACTTCTTTTTTTGCGATAAATAAAACCTTATCGAATCCAATATGTTTCTTGTTAAAAAATAAAACAGTTCATATAAGTATTTCAGATCAAATGTAATACTAGGAAAACTGGTTGTTAAGTCTTCATTGAAGAAGTATCTTACTTTATTATTGAATAGTTTTGAGTTTGTTTAGAAATAAAAAGCTTTCATTTTTTGTTTGTTTAATAAGCATAAAAAAATATAAGTGTTTTTTGTAAACAAAGAAGTAAATAATGAAACAAAAATAGAAGAGAGTTAAAAAGGATTCAAAGGATTGTCTATGCGGCATTCCACCATGATAATAATCCTAAACCCGGTTCACAAATAGATCCCTGAAAGAGCAACGGTTTGATATTTTATATTTAGGATGCTTTTAAGCTATTAGACTTACTATAATTTCATACGGTACTCTTGAATCGTTTTCCACTCTTTCTTTTTCATTATATTGTGGTCCGCTAGGAGAGAGATCTACGAATTTCTCACTAATTACTCTAAATCTATGAGAATTGAAAATGGATATTTATTTCTTCTATCGATAAAAATACTTGTATTAAATTATGTATACCGAATTTGTTCTCCAACATCCATAAATAAATCATGTGCTTGTCCTCCATCTTCATACTGCCAAATCCACACTTGTTCTCTGCTGTCACTAACAACAACATGATTTGGGTATTAATGAAAGCTTTTGAATTATTAAATGGATTTCCTTCTTAGGATCCTTATTTACTATTGGCAACTCACAATTTGGAATTTTCTTGTAAATTCTCTGGTGGTATGAATATATCGTCAAAACAACCAACACTAACTGGGAATAAACGAAGTAAAGTTTGTTGATTAGTCGTAAACTTAAGTATTGTTACCTTGAACGCTTTCTTTGCTACAGGACTTTATTTTTCCAACTAATATTTCATCAACAAATGGTCGAAGTACCACAGCTCTGAAGGACACTAAAAATAGAATGTTGATTTTGAGTTTTAAATATAAATTAAATTTTAGTACACAACCATTCGTGTGCGTTGCGCCATCTCCTGGAAGAATACAGCTATCGTCGATTTTTAGAAGATCCCAAACAGTTAAGCACATTCCAACATCATTGATAACCTATTAACAACATAAATATAGATTATAAAAGTAAATCAAACGTCCGATTTTTATAAACAAAACGAATATTAGTACCTTGTTTGATAATTTATTATTTAGAGCATCTAATATTACACCTGTCCTCTTTTTTCCAAAATTCCAAGGTTGTATTTTTATAGTATCTTTTAATACAACTAAAATAAACATACTAGCATTATATGATTAGTGAAGTTGCTCAAAAAATAATTATTCAGTCTTTCATATTAGTTATTTCGAATATTTCGCTTTTGTAACCATTTTGTGAAAACTGGTAGGGACAATCGGCGGGAACTTCTAATTTTATTAAAAACTAAATACTGTCAGAGATATAGGTTGAAAATAGCTTTATAGTTGTCTTGAAAAAATCTCTTCTACAACATTTCTCAGAAATAATATAGAATATTATATAGAATATAAACATATTTAGATATAAATACAAATGGAATTGTTTAAGTTAGTTGAGTCCTCAACATACACTCTTCATCTTTTTTGTTAGAATGACATTATTATTACTACCAAACGACTTCAAGAGTACTTTATTAAACGTAAATTATTACAATATCAAACTAGATGGCGCTTAAATTCACCAGGTTTCATAAATTTTAAAATTTGGGTATGAGTATTTTGCCTTAAGGAAAGAAATTGGATAATTTTACTATTATTATTGTCTGTTATTGTCTCGTATCTTGACAGTAGGACTACGGCTATATGATTATCTCTACAACTACTCTCTTGGCAGATCAAAAGCTCTGAAATGGATATAGAGTTGTCATTTTGGAAAATTTTGCTTATAAAGATAAAACTATCTGTTATTAATTGGTTTGGGAGATTTTGTGAACAATTCGGACTAATAATCAATCCTTTAACTTGGGACGATATTCTATCGTCATTCGATAAAAAGGTATCGATTTCAATACATAGGTCTGCTTTAAAAAACTCGTAAACAAATAACTTGCAAAACTTTTATAAAGTTGATAAATCTATCGATTTAGCACGTGTTGATTATTTTCAAGTCAAATAAATAGATAAATATAGTTAAATATTAAGAATATTAAATTATTTCTTCAAAATTTAGGATCAAAAAGGTGCGAATTCGGATGTTTTTTTGGAAAATCAAAAGAAAATTATAAATGAAATTCGACTAGTTAAAAGTAAAGCACCAGTAAGATTTCGAGAAGGAATAAAATATAATATAAGAAGAGTAATTAAACAACGTTTATTAATGAATAAGTTAATACTTGAAGATCCTTCTATTTTTAAGGTAAGACAAAACTTTCAAGTATTTTAAGGAAAATTCTATACAAGTATATTTAAAAAAGATAATGAGTCAAAGTATGTTACTTTTCTAACTGTATAAACAAAAAATAAGTCTATACAGTACATATATTACAGTTTATTTAGTATATATACAAGTACCCAAAGTTATATTCAAAAACTATTTTAAAAATTTGAACAAAATCAATCTCATTTCATTAAAAAAAGCAAAAAAAGAACATTAATTTAAGACGATTGATATGTTGATTGCTTGGTGGATCAAACACTTTTTATCTTTTTACTCTTTTAATGCTATTGTAGATAATATTTTTTTTTTGATAGAAAAGCAGTAAAAACTCTTATAAAGCTGGTAGTAAAATAGCATATAATTATAAATTACATGAAGATAGTATAAATATATATATATAGTTTAATTTAAATGAATAAATGTTCTCCATCTTTGTCCCTTTGTACCAGTTCCGGTTGCTGACTCTCGACCTAAAATCGAAGTTTTAGTGATAATTAATACTTTATACACATATTTTTTTTGAACCAAACCTAGTGTAGATGTTCTTGAGGCTATTTCTGATTCGGTTTGTTCAGCGGCAAATCCTTGATTGACTTCGCCAATAAAGGAGGTTCTTGTTTGTTTTACTTCAGAGATTTCCGTCTTTTCCTTATATATCTAGAGATTATTTACAATTGTTAAGTAAATAATATAAATACTAGATAGACTTAAATTCGTATTTTAAAATATTTTAAGCATTTGCCCACCTCAGTTTTACTTTGCCTTTTAGTAGAAAGCGTTGTGTTGTCATTATTCAAGTTGGTTTGAACAGGTACGTTTTTGTTGGAGTCTGCATCAATATCGGATGGAGTACGAGTAGATTGTGCTTCTGTATCTTGCAATTGTTTCTTGTCGTCATCCTCCCATTTACGATTGTAGTAGGCTTGTCTGCAGAGCTATTTTAAAAGAAAATATAGCCAAATTTTGGAGAGTGTTAAACGGATTGTGGAACATACCAATAAAATCTCCCATAGTAGAGGTACCAGAAGAATGAAAATCAGGGCTATTATACCCCAAATCAGTCCAAGACAAAGCCAGTTTTCAAAAACATTGAAGCTGAAAACTCTAGCAGTAAGCATAGCTGGAAGGAGAAGGAAACATTGAATTAGAACATTAAAAGATATCTGATTATATTGATAATATTTACCAGCTGGCCAAACAAGTACAGCCATAACAGTTAGGAAGACTCCGAGAATGTAGGAAATGTACTCACTCCACTTAAAAGTTCTTCTGACGGTGAAGAAATGAGGTCTATTTTGTCTTCCTAATTGAGCTTTCTTGATATTTGGAGCATACTTTACTGACCATGGCATTATAGGATTATCCAACTATAAACGGATTTATTTTTATAGCTAACTAACAATAATAAAATTAAAAAATTTAACTAATTAGGAAACATACCTGACGTGTTTTCTCCCAAGTTTGCTCCTCAGATAAATTCTTATCACATCCACCGCAAGGTAAACTGACAGCGACGCATATGATTCCTCCACTGATAATCGTTGTTACTAAACCTATTGTCATACTTATGGGATGACCGGTATCGTCTCTGAAATTAAATCCCTTCTCTGAATTTCCTTCACCCGCCGCGTAACCCAACCAAACAGCAATGCCTATGACCAATCCACCAAATACGCCAGAAATAACTCCACTACCAGTAATTCTATGCCAAGTTATAGAAAGAGCTATGGGAATGACGCAAGACCCTGTTATCAAGGCTGTAAATTGAAGCATCCAGGGTAGATCCACTTCAATAGCATTTAAAATTAGAGAGACTATTAGAAGACAAATTGAGCAGCTAAGTACAACAACGTGCTTGACTGTTACGCATCGTTTGTCATAATGAGTAAATTCTTCGTTCTTTATCACATTTCTTGTTTTCATCTGTTGATAAGTGCTTATATAATTTATGATTTCAGACGGAAAAAAGGTTATTTATCATCTTAGAAAAGCCTTACTGATTGATCTTCGTTCGTTTTACGTGATTTAAAAGAAGCTATATACGTCATGTAGAAATCGTAGCAAATTATCGATGACAAACTGAGGATTTGAGTAGCACAGATGTAGGTAACAGATAGCATTGTCATTACAAAGAATATAAAGTCTCCAGTGTTATTGAGCATCTTATGAGCAGAATAGGCTCCGAGAAAACCATCTCTAATATCCGAAGTACTTAGTATTTTACCTTCTGAAGCTAAGTAATGAACTCCAAAAGTTAATCCGGTCATGAATGGAATGGGGAAATAACAAAGTCCGCCCAAAATAAAACTCCATACGCCTATTTATACAATAAATATGTGAAATATTGTTATTTTGTAAAGTGAAAAGAGGTAGTATTTTAATATTGAAAATAGAAAGTACAGTAAAATATGTCTTACCTTGTTGTGGTTTAGCAGAGATACCCGCCTGCCAAAAGCTCTGGTTAACGAATATTAACGCTATTGAAGCTGTAAGATAGGAAAAAATTGTAGAGTTTTTCTTGTTATTATCATTGGCGGGGGTTCTTAGTATCTTTCCTACTTTTTGTATATTTTTTATGCGTTTTTTATGTACTTACTTAAAATTTCAACAGCTCCGACATAAACAGCATCGGGAGTAATAAATGTCAAATAGGAACATTCTCTATTCTTCGATACATTTTCAGCTACTCTTATTGAATTCGTTAAATTGTATATTTCTATATTGTTTAATTGGGTAAAAGAGATTATTTAGATACTGTATTATAATTTTAAATCTTACTCTCTCTATCTCCGGAGTGTGAAAAGCCGTTCTTATCCAACTTATGGTAGAAAAGATTAGTGTACAAAATAAATTGTAAAATAAAGAATAATCCAACAGAGAAATAAGCCAAGTAGAAAGTTCCACCAACACCGCCAAAGATAGTTATTAGTGCAACGACTATAGCAACAATCACTGCTATTGGATATCCCGTTAATCCTAGATCATGTTTATAATTATTATATCTTCAATTTTATCCAATTATTAAATTATTTATAAATTTACCGTCACTTTGAGCACCGATAATTCCCATTCCTTCTTTGCAGACTGCTCCCATAATAAGAACATTAGCCAAAACAGCAAAAATCATTAGTGTTATATGGGCTGGAGTTCCGAATCTTTTTTTGATAACCTTTTAAAGATATTTAGGCATTACTATCCGTTAACATTTCAATATTTTCATCATTAGATATACTGTAAATTGATTCATTTTACCTGTAAGAAGGTTTTAGCTCCTGGAGCCTTTATTCTAATCTCTGCAACTACTATGGCAAATAGAAATACACCGATTGTAGAACCAACAGCATGCCAGAATTGACCAGCAATACCGTACTATATAAAAAATTATAAAATAAATACAACTAATTAACAAAAAGTCTGGATTGTAGGCTTGTTGAATTATTTACCGTAGCTGTGTCCGCAGCTGCCTTCGTAAAAGATGTTGGGAGTAATAATCTTGCAATAACTCCAATAGCAACTAAACCGATGTTCATATCGCCTCCAGCATCGAAATAAGTGTCAAGGAGATACGCATCAAAATATATATAAGTTCTGAAAAATTAATGTACATAGATAAGCTTGTTAATTAATTAAGTATCTATTGTAAAATAATCAAAGGAATCGTTGTTTCATAATATTATTTAATTTAACGGAAGTTCTAGGAAAAATTTTTGTAGTATGAGTAATAAGAATAAGGCGGGGAGGGGAGGGGGGTAAAGACCACCGCCCACATGTATACAACCTTAATTGATACCAGACCATATATTATGATAGATTTTCCATTTAGAAATATTACTAATTGTTATAAATTTTTAACTTAATTACTTGTTAATTTTATAACTAAAGCTTAAATAGAGTAAGAATGATATAGTATCAATAAAAAGTTATTCTTCCTTTCCCTAACCGCATTACTAACGAAGTATGAAAAGCTATTGACAAACATATTTATCAACTAATTAGCATATCTATCATTAATATCTATATAAATACATACCTAACTAGATACATATTTATATTAATATACGAAATATTACTAACCTAAATATTTTGTAGATTAGACAGATAAATATACCGAAAATTCCATAAAATATTAATAGTAAGATGGCTTGCCAATTATCTATCTCATCCTTAAAATCATTCTCCACTCTTGTTGTCATAGTTTTTTCTTTCCTTATTTGACAACCGAATTCATGTTCACTTATTTTCGCTGATTGAACTAAACATAAATAAACTGACAGCATGGAGATAATACATATAATTTTTAACGCCATTTTTTTATTCTTTTATCCTTCTCCCTTTATTTAATTGAGAAGAAAAACAATGTTAAATTGTAGATAAAGTCGAAATGAGTTGAGAAAGTTTTAGAGTAGGGTTTTTCAAGGCGGAAGACACGCCCGATGGCAACTGCTATACGCACCTTCGGACACCTTTTCAACTATATTCAATATGCTAAACAGCCTTGAATAAATGGAATATAAGAAAGGTTTGGGCCTTAACGCAGGGCGTATTAAACGACTCACTCAATCATATTATATTGAATATCTGAAAGTCTTCGAATAGCTTATTTATACTTTTATTTAAAAAAGCGGGAAAATAGTAACTATTCATCGTTGATACTTGAAAAAGTTATTATTTAAATATTGGGTTTATTCGTAAAGACGTATAATTATCGTATTAAATCAGTAATATATTACAAAGTTTGTATAGTTTGTCTTTTTCAAATATATATGTATATGTATATTTTTGTCTTTACAGATTCCAATAGTAAAACCAGTATTTATTATTGGTTTACCGAAAGCTGATACGACCCTCTTACATAATATATTTGGTTTGAATGCGAAATTTCGTGTCCCTTTAGCCTATGAATTGAGAAATTATAGTGAAATAACAAGTCTAGCAATAGACAAAGATCCAGTTTATCATGAATTAAATAGGCTAATTATTTGTTATAAATCTTGTATAAGCTCAAATTATTGTCAAATGAAGAATATGAGAGCCGATAAGCCAGAAGAATGTCACTTGATCTTTGAGCATTTGGGTTTAATTTTTGAATACGTCTACGCCTTTTCGCCTAGTGACATGTTGACTTACAAGAAATTTATGAAAGCCACTCTAAATGATAAACCATACCAGTTTGATATTTATAATTATTATAAACAAATTATACAAATGATTCTAAGGAATGATCAAGATAGAACAAAGAGATTTGTTGCTTCCAGTTCAATACATCTTCTCTATTTACCAATATTAGTTAAACTATTTCCCGATGCTCATTTTATACTTATACATAGAAATGTTTATCAATGCATTTTATCGCTTTGTTTAGAACTTGAAATTTTTCTTAAAGAAGACTGGATGATTAATAGTGATCATATCGGTAGGAGCGTTTTAGCACATTTTTCTGATTATTCAAGAATAGGGTTAAGAAATCGGCGATTCCTTGAAGATCAAGGTTTAGCAAATCGATTTATTGACGTTGATTACGAAAATTTAAAAAATTGCGATACAAACGGGACTATTCAAGAAATATACAAGAAACTAGAAGAGAACATATCTGTGGACGATATGGAAAATCTAACCAATTTTATGGAAGAATATAAGGGTAAGGACGATGGTGTTGAAAGTTCCTCTCTTGATAAATTTGGATTGACATATGATAAAGTTGGATCAGAAATGGTCGAGTATATTGATTTTATGCAGAAGTTATGTCTAAATCATTGAACATTCGTGATAAAAGTATGTAATGATTACTGTAAGTTTGTATAGTTATGAACAGCTTAGTCTATTTATACATTTAATACAATACATAATAGAAAACACTATCGAAGCAAAAACTGAGAAAGTGGTTGAGAGGATTTAGCTGAAGAACTCACTGTAAGTCTCAGAGCCGGTGGAGGCTGAGCGCCAACAGCCCTTTCTATTGCTCTTGGATTCATAGAAACTGACTTCGAGATGTCCTTACGTTTGTAAATTCCAACTAATCTGTCAGCTAGTTCGAAATGTTCGGGTCTGAGTGTTATGACGATAAATTGAGCATTTTTCGTTCTCTTCCTAATGTAGTTTGCTATAATGGACACATTCTTATAATCCAGGGCAGCATCAACTTCATCCATAAAATAAAGCGGTGTTGGTAGATAAATATGTAAAGCAAATACTAAAGCGAGTGAACTGAGAGTTTTTTCCCCGCCAGATAAGTTTAGAATTTCTTTCCACGCTTTATTTGGTGGTCGCACGCTATTAAATAAAATGTATTTTTTAATGTACTATTTATTAAGAAGAATATGCAATTGTCCACTTACTTGAATTTAACACCATCTACAAAAGGATCATCCTCCGAACATTCCAAATCAGCATCACCGCCATTTGTTATTAGTTTATACATTTGTTTCAAGTGGTTACTTATACATCTGATACCATTCTAATAAAATGAAAATAGTGTAATTAGGTCGTTACTATTCATATATACGGTTAAATACCAAAAATTCGTCGAGTCGCTTTGTTTTTAATTCTTCAAACGCTTCAGTCTGCTCGTTCAGAACGTCCACCACATTATCAAGTTGAGCTTGCATCTTTTTATATTCAGTATTCTTTTCTTTATACTTATGAATTGACTGGAAGTTTATACGGCCGTCTAATTTGTCTTTCTCTACTTCTAAGCTTTCTTTTTGATTCTAAAAATATAACGAAGTAAATATACGTATTTTGCTTTTAAAATTGACTGGAAAGCAAACTTTTATGTCATCCAATTCTTCCTCTACTTTTAAACTATCCAATTCCTCCTCGGAGATCTCTTCGAAAGCGGGTTCTATTTCATCATCAGGTAACTTTCCTAAAGTTAGTCCCTCTTTCTAATTTGTTATTTGCAATACAAATAATTGTTTACTCAAGACCTTAGAAAAAGTAAATTTGAAAATATGAACCTCTTCTTCGTAGTGCTTTATTGAATTCTTGATACTTTTGACTTTATCGAGGGCCTTTTTACACATTTCGGCAATCTCTGTTAGTTTAATACGACGTTCGTTATAATCTTTCTTTAACTCTGATTCTGTGCTTTCTTGTTTTTTATATTCAACTTCCATTGCTTCAATTTCCTCCTGTAAAATGAAAGTATGTCAATAATAGGATGATCATAGTTTTATTGTAAATTTTAAAAAAATAAATCGAACCGTTAATTCATTTATTCTTTCGTTGTAACCAGAGCATTCGTTAGCTATATCTTTTCCTTTTGCAGATATTTCAGCATTTCTTACACGACACTCTTCAATTCTTTCTTCAAGCGCTTTCGTTGTTTTAGTTAATTTGTCTCTCAAGCTTAAATAAATAATAATCAATTATTAAATTATTTTATCTTTGTTGAGTTAACGGTAACACCTACCGTTCATTTTTATTTTTTTCTTTCGTTAAGACATCGATAGAATCTTTCATATTTTTTAATTCTTTCTTTAATTCATTCAAATCTTTTTGAAGTTTTCTAGCAGCTCCATTCATTTTTTCGTCAATATCTTTCTTAATTCTAAAATATTTAATAAAATTTCACATTTTAAGTATCTTTCTGTTTTTCTTATTTACAAACTTACAGTTCAACTTCCTCTCTCAATCCACTATTTTCACCTTTCGAGCTCTCGTATTCTGACAATTTTAATGAATCAATTAAAAATTAACATTTCTCGTTAAAAGTTAAATAACAAACCAGCTTTCTGCTTGTCACGAACTTTCATTAGCTTTTTTAATTCAACTTCGTCAGGGGTTGCCTCCTCTAATCTCTTTTCTTTCTCAGTAAGTTGACCACTCAACAGCGTTTTCATCTTTTCGTGTCTCTATAATGTGTTTAAAAAACATGTTAAATGAAATCAATTCTTATGCTAGTCTGTATAATAACATTAAGCTCGGAAGTTAATCGAGACATTTCTTGGCTTAATTTCTTCATATCATTTTGTCTTCTTCTTATAGACTCTTCTAAATGTTGCTCTCGAATAGCATTGTTTCTTCGCTCTTCTTCAGCCTATTATATAGTATAGTTAAAACAGCTGATAAAGGAAGAAAAATAGATAATTCGTAATGTACCTCTTTTAAACTTTCACGTATACTTTCAACGTCAACAGACGCATCGGAACTTATACCCTGCTCTCCCATAGCTCCTCTTCTTCCACAATTTCTACCAGCGCGAATACTACCTGAGAAAAAAAACAATAAAAGTAAAGCAGCTTAAGATCTCTTTTTAATAAATTTACCGGAGCTATGAATAAGCTCGCCTGTTAGACAAGCAACATCATATCGACGAGAACTTTTGAAGGCCACAACCTTTCCTTCGTCTAAGTTTTTTGCAACAATTCTATCATGAGTTGCAGCATAGAAAACGGGTTTATATTTATCATCAATTGGAGTAATTAGATCGAATAATCTTGGAAAATTGCTGTCTGGTCTGATGAACGGGTTAAGATTAGTGTAAGTAATAAAGAAAACATTTGACTTCAATATACCCTTTAAATGGCTCTCTGCACCGTTGTCCCCAACGACTCTTTTGACTATCCAGAGATAAGAAGTTATACCTTCCCAGATTGTACTTCTTTAGAAAAGCAATGCATGCAAGGACATCCTTTTCCGTTTCAAAGAGTAACCTATCGAGCATACCACCGCAGGCTGTTGATATCGCGACATCATATTTCTGATCAATTCCTCCCAGATCTCCTACTCTTCCCAAGAAGCCAGATACTCTACCATTTCTTTGCTCTTCAAAAAGCCTCTTGACGATATCTTTTTGTTTAGCTGCTCTCTGCTTAGAGCTTGCAGAATCAACTGTATCCCTCAATTTTAAGATCTATCATTTACAAAACGTAAGGAAAAATATTACGCATTAAAAATTTATGCAATTTAACAACCTTTTCTTCTAATTTAACTTTGGCATTTTGAATATTTTGAAGTTCCTTTGAATCTTTTTGAAATTCAGCCTTCATACTCTCGTAATTAGGTCTGAATTCTTCAACTTTTTTTTCACACAATTCAATTTGTTCTTCATTCTTTAAGCAGGATTCTTTTAATTGCTCAAACTCTTTTCTACAAGTTCCCTCGTCTTTTTGCATAACATGAATCTTACTTTCAGTCTCACGCCAATCTGCCTCAAATTTCGTGATTTTCCTTTCTTTCTCTATAAGTATCTCTTCCTTCTTCGTAAGTGATTCTTGTAATTTTTTCATCTGTAAATTAAATAAGTTAACTATTAAAACTTTTCGTTTGTATTCGCGCTTACCTCAGAATCATTTTTATTTTTCGAATTTTCTTTATCAATTTTTGATTGGATTGACTGGATCTTTTCTTCAATATTTTCTTTCTTGTTCTTTTTCTCAGTAATTTTTGGACTGAAGCTAGGTAGCGACTCTGTAACCTTTGATAATTGCTGCTTGTCTTTCTCCAAATCATTTTCCATCTTAGCCTGTTCTTGTTTGTAATGTTTCCTTTGTTCTCTCATAGTATCATATTGCTTTTCCAATTGTTGAAATTCTTGTTCAATCTTTTTCTTCTCGGTTTTTTTTTCTGACAATTTTCTGATAAGAGGAAAATGTTTAGAATACGTCATTTATATATTTATATCTGAAACGTACGTTTTTATCTCTTCAAACACACTGACATTTTCTTTGAGTGCGTTTGAAAGTTCTTGAAATTTTTTCTTGAAAGCTTCTTCCTCTTCCATCTTTTTCTGATGATCAGCATTTGCGGTAGAGAGATTTGCGCTCAGTGCATATCTGATAAGAGATGACAACAAAGTTTAGGTAAAATTATATGCACTTAAAAATACTATATAAAATTTCTTATACATTTTAACGCAGCATCTCTTATGATCAAGTCGAACTAAGTCATTGCATATATTATAGTAATGAATTGCTTCATCGCGATCTTTTTGTAAAAGTTCAACTTCTTCATGTGCACTCTTAACTTGAACCGACATTTGTTCTCTCATACGTTCCATAACCATTCTCCTCTTGAGCGTGGTTTCTGTCAGTTCGATGTAACGGTTCGAACCAATAATATCTTCTAGATATTCTAACATTCCCTCCTCCCCTTCTTTTTGACTTTTGTGTTTCATAAGTGCAATTTGTTCAACTTCTCCCTAAAGAACGATTTCTTTATAACTTTTAATTTTAAGCTTTTAGTGAACTTACTTGTAAGATAAGAAATCTATTATGTTCCAGATCTATTCCAAAACTTTTTAATGCCTTTGTGATTTCGGTATAATTTGCAGGGTTCCCTAAACAAATTTACAAATGAATGTCTCAAAGACTCAATGATTCTTGAATTAGGATACCGTTATAGAAATATTGGCTTTTACACTGGGTCCTCCTTTCGTCAGTGTAAAACGCTTTCCTCGTTATGTTAAAATCAGAATTTGGAACAGTTTCCCATTCTTCGTACTAAAGGAAAATCTTAATGTTAAAAGATATTTTTGAGGATTTACTCTTCTTTTAACTTACTGAGATATCGACGATTTTTTTGAAATTGATTGTTACTGAACATTCAGTTTCATCTGGATAAAGAGCACTTTGATGAATTAAACTAGCTAAATTTTTAGCTCTGGTTTTTGTTGCTCTGAATCCGAATACAAACAGCAAAGAGTCTATTGTGTTAGATTTTCCTGAACCATTCGCTCCGATAATACAAGACATATGCTGTACGAAATAGCTATATTAGATAATATATTTATAACTATTATAAAATATACCGAATTAAATGGTCCAACTACTTTTTCACCATGAAATGATTTAAAATTCCGCAGAATAATTCTATCGATGACAATTCTGGGTTCTCCCTCATCATAGGAAGCAACAGAACGAACTAAAACTGGTGCTACGAGTTTGTCATAAACTGCAAATAAAATACAATATATGGTGTGAATTCCTTTTTAATTAATACGTACAATATTTTCCATTTTCATCAAGTTTGGGCATATACTTTGCGCTATCCATGTAGTCCAACTCCCCACTTCTTCGGCTTGGTGACCTTCGGCTGGAAATTTCATCGTCCGAAGGCATTCTTACTATAGAAGAGTACCCAAGTAATATTTGTAACTACATCTTAAATTAATAGCATACACAACTAAGAATATCACGAGAATCAGTTACAATCATAAAGCACCGCGCGAAAATATATCAATTTTTAGTATTAAGCAAATCAACTAGATTGATTGGGTAAAAGTTTAACTTCAATGATTTTTTATTAGGAGGTTTTAAATTACAGATCAATAATTGTGTTATAAAAATACTAATTATGAAAAATATTACAAACTTAGAGCGGAAATGGCTGTGGGATGGAAGCGCCGTTATTATTCAAAAAAGTCGAAGTGCGCATGCGCGTCTTAATACCGCTAGATGTCGCTAGTACATTTAGAATGAAATATCGAAGCTTTCAGGAATTTTTCCCCTTTTTATTTTTTATTAAAAAATGATACATCATGAAATAAATTACTTCAAATATATTCATTTATTTATTTTTTAATTGAACAAGTAACCATTTCAAAAAAGTTTTTTTAATTTTTTATGCTAGTTTTTTTCTTTATGTTCTATAATTTTCTTCTCAATTAAATCTGGTATTTCTACAGCCAGCCAAGGTCCCAATCCTAAAGCCATAGCATGAGCTATTCCAAATTTAGGAACATTTCTTGCCCATAAAGGCTTGAAGTGATCTGTTAAACAGATTTTTCCTCCTCTGTACATCTTAGCTGTTTTACCATCTAATTCAGGTATAGCTATTTCTGGAGCAGTACTTGGATAAGTTACAGGAATGTCAAACTCCACATCAAATTCATAACGCAACATTTCGTGAATATACCAGCACTTTCCAAACCACCTAGTACCAATTTCATTAGATTCTAGCATGAACCAGTGATTGTCCTCTTGCTTGTTTTTGTTTACATACTGAAACAGAAAAATTAATAATTACTTTAAATGAATATATTTATATTTGATTAGTTTATTTTGCATATAGGAATAATGACTTTTTCATGTTTTCAAACATTTAAGATAGTATTGTTTTATTATGACTGTTTGATCTATTTTATCAGACACGTTTGTATTATAGTTGCTAATTTCTTGTAATATTGCTCAGAGCATATGGGTAGGTAAATAGTCATAAAATGTTAAAAACTCACTTCAATCAACGCTTGATATTCTTCTTTCAATCGTTGCCTCCACAAGTCTCCATCTCTAGGACTGGCTTTCGTTTTCAAAAGGGGAATTTGAGCTAAAGTTTTTTTTGTTCTCTCGTCTGCCATTCTAGCTATACCGGTTTCTTTTAACTAAGACCAATATAAACTGGTGGTTTTTTTCGTACTACAGTATTTCTTAATGTGAAAGAAAATATAATGAAATTATGTGAAAAGTAAAATTGAGTGACAGAGTAAGAGAATTTTTCATAGACATATTAACAACCCGAGATCTTGATATAAGGTTACGTATTCCTGTTTAGTATCATTAACATAGCATTTCTCATTCATAAAAAGGATATGCTGAACAGGATAGAGTACCAGACTAGCCGAAAAAATACATGCGAAGTTGAAATTGAATGGGCGTCTTGCAACATAGATTCGACATTGAAAAGGAAAAAAATACTTGAGTCAATTATTTAGGTAAATAAATTGTTTCTTTTAAGAACAGTAAACATGAGTGAGGAAGCAACTAGACCAAACGCTCCTCGCATGGATAGTGAAGGTTCAGGATTATCTGGGATGTTTGATTTGAAAGATGAAAAACAAGCTCAAGAGTACTTAAAAATTATAGAAATTGAATACAAATTTCAATGCCATCATGAGAAACAAGCAGATGGCTGCCATAGATTGGCAGATCTATATGAGGCTTTTAAACATGATTTTGCTTCGGCCAGAAAAATATTTGAGGAAAATTGCGAAGAAGCGAATCATGGTTTATCATGCTATAAGGCATGGATAATTGAATATTTAGATTATTACATTTTTTATTATAATATTTTTTCGTCTGCTTAAAAAGTAATTAAATGTATGGAGACCTATTGTAATAATCTCTGTATTAATTTATCCATGCAAAAAATAGGCTGGAAATTATAATCTTATAGGAAAGGCAGGAGATAAGGATTTGAAGAAGGCGTTTTCGTTGTTTTTTAAAGGATGTTCATCAAACAATAGACATAGTTGTTATCATAAAGGACTTATGTATAGGAAAGGCCATGGCGTTGAATCTAATCAGCAAGAAGCTTTAAATTGCTTTGACAAAGCCTGCTCTATGAAGGATCCTGATGCCTGCTATTTAGCTTCTGCTTATTTTTTATCGGAAAAATTTGGGAATATGCCACAAAATTTAACTAAAGCTTTTGATTACGCACTTAAAGCTTGCAATTTAGGTACAGTTCAATCACCTCTAAAGTATTTAACGACTCATAGCGTAACTATTCATATACAAAAACTTTTTTAAGCACTTTTCGGCAAAAATTGACAATGAATCAGTAAGTTATGATTGTTCTGTATCTAAAAAAAGGCCATTTTCAATCATGTGCGAATGTTAGTATTATGTATAAAAAGGGAGATGGTGTTGAAAAAAATCAAGAGAGAAGTCAAGAGTACAAGGATAAAGCAACGAAAATTAAAAAAGATCTCGAACAAGGAGTATCAGAAATAAAAATGGGGCAATAACCTATTTGTTTTTATTAACTTGTTTGATTTTTTTTTATTCTTCTATCATAGATCAATAAAATGAAGCTCAATTGAATGTTTTTTCTTACCTATAGCTATCATGAGGCTAGTCATCCTGAATAATTATGATAAGGCCAGCGAATGGGCGGCCAAATACATTAAAAAGCGAATAAATGATTTTAAACCGAATGAAAAACGCTACTTTACTTTGGGATTACCCACGGGTAGGCTAACGTAAAAAATATAATATATTTTAAGGTTTAATTGGCCCTTTAATAGGTAGTACTCCCCTGGGTACTTATAGAAAGTTGATAGAATACCATAAGGCTGGGCAATTATCTTTCAAGTATGTTAAAACCTTCAATATGGATGAATATGTGGGTCTACCTCGCGACCATCCAGAAAGTTATCACTCTTTCATGTGGGACAATTTCTTCAAACACATTGATATTGATCCGAATAATGCTCATATTCTAGACGGTAATGCAGCAGATTTAGTTAAGGAATGCGAAGCTTTTGAAGTAAAAATTCTGGAAGCCGGAGGGGTAGAACTATTCGTTGGTGGAATTGGTCCAGATGGTCACATTGCTTTTAACGAACCAGGATCAAGTCTGGTATCAAGGTCAGTAAATAAAACTTTTCGCCAATATTCATCAAGTAATAGCTATGCTCTCAATATAGAACGAGGGTGAAAACTCTTGCTCTCGACACTATTCAGGCAAATGCGAGATTTTTCCAAGGTGATATATCCAAAGTACCTCATATGGCTCTCACAGTTGGAGTGGGAACAGTAATGGATGCTAGAGAAGTTATGATTCTCATAACTGGAAGCCACAAAGCTCTAGCGTTACATAAAGCTATTGAAGAAGGTGTTAATCATATGTGGACTGTTTCGGCCTTCCAACAGCATCCAAAGACAATTTTTGTTGCAGATGAAGATGCTACACTAGAATTGAAAGTAAAAACAGTCAAATATTTCAAAGATTTAATGACCCTTCATAACAAACTCATTGAAGATGTCTAAATCCCATGCATCCTATACGCTATTACTATTAGTATCTTATTTTATATTAGAATATGTATTCGTCATTGTATCCAATCAACCTAAACATTTTTTGAGATTGTGATTCTATATAAATATGATCAAATGATTATTTTAATGATTTTCTGTCTATGGAAATAACTATTTATGATTTTGAACTATGAAATTCAAAGCTAAGTTTGCTTACATCAACGTGATGCAATAAAAAGTCAAAATAAGAAATCCTGGATTTTTAAAATAGACAGATGTCATATAGACTGCTTCTACGCATTCCTTTTAAATTTATTATTTAAAAACATGGTTTACTTTCTGGACAGACAAAGCAATTCCAAATAACATTTTGGTTATACAGTATATGCCTATATTGTGGTTTGAATACAGGAGAAAATGTGTTATTTTTTTAAAACGCCATTTATTAGAGTATTTTCTTTAATAATAAAAAAAAAGCTAGAGAAGTCTGGGATAGAGTGAGAGCAGATTTTTGCATTGCTATATATTAAAAGTTTACGGGTAAAAAGGGTATCTGGCCCGCATGGGGGTCGAACCCACGACCTCCGCGTTATCAGCACGGCGCTCTAACCAACTGAGCTAACGGGCCCAGAACGGGGATGGGCTTTGGAGGACTAATGTAATCGAGAGTTTACGTATCGCCGTTTGCAATTTTTTGATGCTGGTACTAACTCTTGTAGATATCTTCTTTTAAAAGGCCTATACGATACATACTCTACAAATAGATTGTATTTCCAATAATATAAGTTGAATAAGTCAGTTAACATTTGCTTTGATCGTATTTTTTATTCTCGTATTTTTTTTTTTGCAAGACCCTCAAAATAAACAGAACGAAACTGGAAGAAATCAGGTTATGATAAATTTTACAAGATAAAATAGATTATGTCTAAAAAAAAGAAAAACACTTAAGAAAGGGTTAGCCACAATGCAAACATGAAAAAAAAGTAGTAGAACCAACTGTTACGAGATGGCGTTCCGTTGGAATGAAGATAGAAAATTACCTTCTATATTTAAGAAGCATGCAAAGTATTTGTTGCTAGTATAAAAATGGAGAGCATCTTATCAAATAACTTTGACATTCATGGAAAATCTTTTGACGTTGATCTAAACGAGAGTAGAATCTTTTGGAGATCGGATCACGAAGGAGAAGAGATTGGCGAGTGAGTATTAATTAGAGTATATAAGTAAATGCATAAAACAATCATATATATTTTTTAATTATTATAACAAAGAAAAAAAGATTTATTCTCTTTACAACCTTTGTTTTTGTTACTTTTTTCAAAATGTCTTTTATTTATTCACTTTGTATTCATTTTAGGAAAGTTATTATTGAAAATATTTTATCAGCTGACAGAATTGATGTAACCAAATTCATATTACACTATATCGTTCATTTGGATGAAAAAATACATAAATGGGATGTAGCTCATGTGCAATTTTCCTGTCATTCCTCAGATGTTTGTAAACTTTGGGTTGATTCTTTACATAACATTGTAAAGAAAAAAAATTCTGGTATAAGACCTAAGAATCTGTTAGTTTTTATAAACCCTTTAGGTGGTAAAGGAGCAGGTATAAGGGTTTATGAGAAACTTGTCGCACCACTCTTCCGCTTGGCATCCATTAATGCAGATGTAATCGGTAAGTTTTGCTAAAAGGTGGAAGTAAAGGGCAGGGGGGAGAGGTTTGGATTAGGGAACTGGCCGAAAAAAGCTTACCTTTACATTCTATTCATCATAGAACGATAAAAATTTCCTTTACAACCGCTAACAGTATGTTATACATACTAAAAATAATAACTTTTTGGTTCAATATGTTTAAAATGTATATGTAAATTAATAGTTACAAGATATCGAGGTCATGCTAGAAAGATGCTACAAGTTTACAATCTGGATGCAGTAGACGGGTAATTGACTTTTACTCTAATAAAAGGATAAGCCAGATCAACACCTATTTTACTGTATTTTATTCACAGAGTTGTATCTGCTGGAGGTGACGGTTCTTTTACAGAATGCTGTAATGGTTTAATCAGCAAAGCCATGATTCTTTCGAACAGGAATGAGCACCATTCCGACGTTGAATTCGTCCAATCAAAGGTTAAAGTTGGAATAATTCCAACAGGTGTGAAATGTTTACTGTATAAACTAATACGGGGTGAATTTTTCTCTTGTAGGAATCTTTAGTAATATAAATAATGCACAAAATATTTTTCCTTACATTCTTTCATTATATCATTAATGATAGAACCTTTAAAACACGTGCTATATCTTTTTTTATCTCCTTTCAAACTGCCCTAAATAATTCAAGTTTATCTTTAGTAAGACGAAATAATAAGTAAAAACAAAGCGATAAGTTGTTTAAAAGTGTACTTAACCTTATTTTCTTTCTATTCTATAGGAACTAAACAAGGCTCTGTCAGAATGGCTATTGGTACAGATGACCCCGTTACAGCTGCACTTCATATAATTAAAGGTTAAAAATAATTTTATAAATATAAAATATTGTTTTAATCTTTTAATTGTTTTATTTTCTTTAACAGGACATTCATTTTCAATGAAATCGTATACAGTTCATAATGATGGAAAGTTAATAACTTGCGGTAATTTAATATGCGGTCATGGCTTTTATTCCGACTCAGTTTTGGAATGTGAAAACAACTTGTGGATGGGCGAGGCAAGATATCCGTTTTCTCGTAATTAATTATTACTTGGCAGTTTTTTTTTTTTTAAAAAAACAAAAATTGTTTAATTTTACATTTTCAAAAGTTTTCAAGACCATAATGAATCATCGTATTTTTCCCGCTGCTCTTGAAGTTTTACCGGTTAACAGTAAAGGTAAATATGCTAATTGCTTTATTGAAGATATTCAACAAACTATTTCACTTTTACTTTGAACGTAGACTGGTTGAAAGTTTCTGGAGAATTTATTAATATAGAGATGGCAGCTAGAGATATATTTGGTCATAAGGAATTGGAGACGGCGCATGGAGAGCCAATAGCCTTTCTCCACCTGACGAGAAAGTGCAGTAGAATTCAACAACTAAAGCACATATACAGAATGTCCGGCTTTAAATCGACTACCGTTAGTTTACCTATACTATTTATTATGTCGTTTAATCTTTACCTTTCAATTCTTTCTTTCCAGTACGATTTTCCTTTCATTGAAAGTCACGATATTGAAGCATTTAGAATGCATTTAACACCAGAAGAGGATGGTCTCACTGAATTTTTAGATTATATAAATGTTGATGGTGACGCCTTTCGTATCACTCATCCAATAGTTGATGTAAAGTATGTAGAAAGAGTTACATAAATAATCTCTGAGAGGAAGTAGTAATTTTTTTCTTCTTTCTTTTTAAGAATTCATGGTAATCTTATTCAAGTTTATGGTATAGGCTTATCGGCTAAGGAAGCTATTAAAGGTCACGTGATGGACCGAGTTACAACAAACTGATATTTAACAGAATTTTGTAAAGCAATTAATATTTCTAATTACAAATTACATTGAATAAAGATTTAGTAATGATGTTTTTCAATTAAACGCTGAAATTTAATACTTTAATGTATAGAAGTTCTGTTTACCGCAGTTGTGAATAGACAGATGGGTATATTAGAATACCTTCTGTATACATACGAATATATAGAAAATAGGTGGCAGAGTAGCTGTTTTACAGCTAGAATTTCCAAGTAAAATAAACGAAAAAACCTGCTAACTTCTTCCGGGTTGAGAAAGCAGAAGATGGCGTTACTGACTGATCGTTAAAATCTAAACGAGTTTGCATATACAAAGATCCAGTGCGTGGTATACAAAACAAAATAACTGCACCATCCGCCTACTACATATACAGTCCTAACAATAAGAAAAATGGAATTCAGCCCTAAATCGGCTTATATATATCAAAAGTTTACTTCAGAATTATTACAATTCGTTGATATTGTTGAATTAAAACAAGCTCTCTTTAAAGATGACATATTAACTGCTTATGAATTTGACATGATTATTAAGAAGAATACTACAAGAGCCGAGAGATGTCGATCCTTAATATTGGCCGTAAGACAGAAAGGCTTCCCACCCTCTGTTTTAAGCGATATTTTAGATAGGAATCATCCTGACCTGGCTGCCCTAATTGAAAGAGATTGGAATTCAGTCGAAAGTATGGATGAAAAGTCGTTTATGGACATGATTAAAGATGAGGAGAAGAAAAGATCAATTAAAGAAGTTTCCAGCGAATTAAGAAAGTTCTGCCAGGTAATGATATGAAAGAGCATTCCCTCCTTATCTCCTTTTGTTTATCGTTTGATGCCTTAGAGTGGGAAATGTCTGTTTTCGTTAGATGAAGCACATTAAAAGTGTTAGCCTTAAACATTCTCATTTATTCCACCCTTTTTGTTAACCCCTCCCCCATTTCTCACTCTTCGAAACCCATCACTAACAATAATGAAGAATAGTATGAAAAGAAAGAATGTTTAGTTTGTAAATTATAACTACACGGGGGTGATAGCATAAGATTTTGATAAACTTTTACAAAGCTTTTACGCATGTTTGTCTTGGCGTATTCATTTGAGAAAATTGTAATAAAACTAAGTATTGAAAGTTTGCCTTGTTTCTTAATATTGTTTCACAGATCGAAAATGATATGCAGCAGGAATTGCGCGAATTAAGGGAAAAAGTTCGTACTCTATATGAAGAACATGATGAATTGAGGGTTAGTTTGATTAATTAACGTTTATCAAATTAAAAATTATTTACAATCTACCAAACAACATGCAAGTATTCTCAGGTATTTTATTTCAATTGATGTTCTATCCATGTTATGATGTTTTTCTCTCTGACCTTTAAGCTTGAATATCATAGTATCTTTTGATTAATTTACAGTAGTAGAATTGATTTAATCAAGCTTTAGGTCATCACTTATCTTTTCCCTTATGGCAGATGTATGAACAAGCTCAAATAGAATTAAGTGAAATGAAGCAAAGGCAGAACACGAAAATAGAGAATTTAGTTCACCAACTAAGCATGTCGAAAGAGAAAATAGACAAGATACCAACTTGCTTGTTATTGGGTGATTGCCAGACTGGGAAGTCTAGTCTGTTACAAAGGTTCTTCTACGATACTTTTGACCAAATCTACATTCCAACCGTCTACGACGAAATGACTGTTGAGACAACGATTTACGATATTGAAAGACGACTACGTATTATTGACATGGTAGAGTACTTTAATTTCTAGTAGTTTTAAGGGATTTCATCTGTTAATTGAAGTTTCTTTATTCTATTTTAAAAAAAAGGGTGGAGGCGATCGTTATTCTGCGTTAAGGCCATTTATTTACGAAAAAGCTATTGCTGTAGCTTTGTGTATCGACTTAACAAATCCAACTTCTATTACTCAAATTGTCCAAAAATGGTTGCCAGATTTGCGTTGTTACAATTCTCGAGCTGCATGTATGATCCTAGGATTAAAAACTGATTTAAGAAAGGACGAATCTGCTGTTGAGCGTTACTGTCAGTATTATGGCTTAGACACGGAGGAATTTGAAACTCATCAAAGGCATATTATAGGAAAATTAGTTGGAAAAGATGGTGTTATTAGCTACGTTGAATGTTCAGCTCACGATTACGAATCTATATCTACAGCTTTAAATAATCTCTTTCAAATAGCCGTAAATTTTCACGATTCTTCCGACGATGAAATTCGTTCAAGGTTTGGGAATGCTCTAAAAAGAGTATCGGACTGGATTACTGTAGTCAAGAAAAGATTTCAGACAAGTTTCGAAAGATTACGAGTGTCGGTTAGAGAGAGAATGGGATGGCAACCAGAATGGGTTTAGTCTATACTTCTAGACACTTGAAAAAAAGTATTATAAGTTAGAAAGCGATATATTTTTAGGCTGACATCATTTGAACCAAATTTTAACTCATATTTTGCCTTTTCTTTTCAGCTAAACAATTAGGAGAAGAGTGAATATTTGCAATATTTTAGTTCTCAAAAACCCTCTTCTTTTCTTTAATAGTTTATTTTTATATTATCATTAAATAGCCATAAACTTGGCATCACACTACAGTATGAGTAATTTCTATTTCTTTCACAGTGAAGATTATATAAATAAATAAAGTCTATATATTTATAGGCAGAGTATACAAAACACTCGATGGATCTTGTAAAATGCTTATGTATTTGGTAAAAGTAAATACAGATTTTTTTTCGATTAGGTTAACTAATAGAAAACTAATTAAAGCAAGAGGTAATAACAGACCACTAGGTGGAAACGCTTTCTTTTTAACTGCTGCTAGATGGGGTTCCTTAACTAAATAGAAAATTAGAAATCGAAAGTGCTGTTTGTTGCCAAAGAGAAAAAATGCAAGATTGTTGATGTGTAAAAAAAGGGACACCGTTAACTAGGCTTTTATTTAAATTGCGCACTTTCATAAGATACAAATAAAAAACTGACTTTTTTTGTGAGAGACTATCGGCTTATCTCAAGTCAGATAGTCTGCTAATTGGAGGGAATCCATTGTATATATATTCTTTAAAAGCTGATTAAAGTCTGGAGTAAAGTAGTCCGATTGCCTTTGTTTCATCGAATTTGTATTTAAAGAATTCATTACATGATAAAGTTTTCCAATATCTTCTTTAATTACTTTATATTCACTCAATGAATTCTCTAAGCAATCTAACAAGAACATATAATTCGCAAGATTATCCGACGATAGATTATTTAGAAATACTCCTGTTTCGTTTGCATTCTGTTCGGAATATTTCACATCAGCTATAAAATCCTCTACGTTTATTAGTTTCATATCGTTTTCCTTCTGTACATCTTTCAACTGATCTTTGACTTCCTCTGATAGTTTCAATATTTCCGCCTCATGCTTAACCGTCTCTGTACTACTCATTACTTCTTCAATATTTGTTATCAATACTGCAATTATTAGGTTACTAATCATAAATGCGCCAACAACAATCACTGAACCCAAATAAATATAGGCAATATATTTAGTCCAGTTCATATGAATATCAATACGAGAGTTCTTTATTTGATCTACAATTGCTAACCAACCATCTTGATTGATACAAATAAATAGTGAAAATAGTGAAGTCCCTAAATTATCGAAATAGTCAGGTGACATATCCCTAAACATTATCGTACCCATAACTCCGTACATAACTATTATAATTAGTAGGATAATTACTATTTGGAACATCTGCGGTATAGAAACTAGAATTGTATATACAACGGCAGATAATCCAGCCAAAGCGTCAATACTACGTAACGATCTAAATGCCCTAATTATACGAAGAACTCTTAAAAGTCTTGGTGAGTTGATAAATTGTCCTACTGATATCAATAGACAAAATGTTATTATAAAATCTAAAACATTCCATCCAATTTTCCAGAAAACAGCAAAATTATGATACCATTTTATCAGTATTTCAAATATAAATACCGAAATAACAATCCTATCGAATATTTCAAAAGTTTTCGAAGAATATTTCTGTTATATTTTTTTTTGTTTTGTTTTTGATAATCTAACCTAATTTAAAGAAATAAACGGTTATATGATATACCTCTAATCCGGACGCTTGTAGGCCTATAATTAACGAGTTGACAACTATCAACAACATAACTAATAAACGAAACCATATAGATTCAACAAATCGTCCAGCCATTTCTCTAACAAGAACATTTTCAACAAAATAGTCATCACAGTCGATAATTTCGTCATAAGATATTTCGGGCGCTTCGTCCAATAGGAACAATTCTTTAGTATTACCTCCACTTGTAGCAGCATATTCGTCAAAATTAAATCTGCGAGCAAGCCTTAAATCATTACCTTTTGATGGAGATAATACCTGTAATTTTCTTAAGTAGGCTGTATAAGAGTTTATAGTGTCTTTCGAATATAAATCAGTATCATTAATTTTTTTAATATCAGCTTCCAATAATTCATCCTGTCCATTATCATAGAATTTCCGTCTGCAGATATTTATAGCAGTTTGAAGTAGACCTTTATGAACTCTTTTAAAAGAAGTCTTTTTCTTTGAGTTTACCATAGTTTGGCAAGCAGCCCCTCTAAAGATTGGCATTATTGTAATAAATAAAATATTTTGAAATTTTCAGACCCATGAAGAAATGTTCTTTTATTTACGAAAATTTTGTAAAAAATAGGTGTAATTTTCATTCAAGAATGACATCATTAAAAGTTTTATATGTTATTCAATATAACGAAAATTCAGTAATTAGAATCTAATAATTTTAAAACTTTTAAATACTAAAAAAGTTATATAAAAATTAGGTCATGATAAGTGTTTTGAATTCCTTAATTGTTACAAATTCTTTGTATTTTATAGCCGTTTTGTATTCTTGTCTTTTCAATACCGTTTCTGTGCAAACAGATTACGTCTAATCAACCATTAGATAATCGGTTTTACTTTTTCATATAAAGCGGTTTTATATTCGAGTTTTTGCTCAATCATTAAAGGTATTACGATCGAGATTATCTTCATGAAAATCTACTTTTCTTCCAGTGTTATTTTCATATTCTTGGTAACTTTACTAGACGGTAATGTTTCATAAATATCGCATGATCATAGTTGCTTGAAGGAAAAATTCAATTTAAAGGAGGCTACGTTCCATCTAACCGATGCCCATCCCACTGTAATGAAACTGGTCACTTTAAAAAGGCAGAAGAATGCGGGTCAACGTATTGCTGTGGAACAAAATATTATATGAGATGTTGTACTCATTACTTCGAAGCTATACAGGTTTAGAGGGTATAGCTTAAATTTATCTCCATCATTCTCATTCTGAACTTCTTTTAGGTTCCGGAAAATGATACTTTAGAGATTGATTGTGAGAAGAAAAGAGATGAAATTAGAGTGATAAAACACAAAAATTATGCCATACGAAATTTTAATGTTTCGAATTTTCTTTTATTATTTCCTATAGTATTCATAAATGTTGAATTTCTGATTCGTGTATAAATAGTTTTAAATTCCCCGGAATTGGATTCAACCGGAAACGGAAGTCTTCACGGCAGTCTAAACTGGTTTCACTTACCGAAAAATTTTAAATTTTACAAGGCGCTTGAATCACCGTTCATATTTTTATTGCATTTTACTGCTTCATTAGGTATGAATTTTATCATGATTTTAATATGTTAATTTCCTAATGAGTTTTTATATTAAAGTATTGTTTTATTTGTAAAAAATTACTGATCGAAACGTTTTTCTCATTTCACTTAGGTGAAATTTGTATTGTCGCTCATTCTCATAAAGTTTATTTTCCTAACCCAGCCATCGGGAAAGATAATTATCTAACCAATATGTTTTTTTTCCGAAGTAATTAGTATTTCATTAAAAGATAAAATCGGAGTGTCTCTTCAAACCGTTAGGATTTTTGAATAGGCTAGGCCTATTACAACTATTATAAGGTTTGAATAGTATAGAAAATAACCGTTAATTGAATACTGAATAAAATATATTATGTAACAAGTTAATTTTTGAAGTGTAAAATTCTCTAAATTTCCATCATTATTTCGTAATCGATGGTGTTTGTACATTAGCACGATTAAGTTAGAATAATATGTAAAATAAATAATTGAAACAGGGAATAACACACCAAGATTTACTTAAAAAATACAAGTGTGTAGCATGCTTTTCCTGGTAATATAAAATCTTTTAGCCTGAGAATGACATGTAGAAAACTTGTTAATGACTTTTTCCTATAAAGTGAAACAATATTAATTAGGGAAATAAAGTACAGGAGTGACGATTTTAACATGGAAGATTTTAAAACACCACCAACTTCCCCATCTTTTCATCGCAAGAGGGAACCACTTGTGGCCATAGAGAACAAAACGTTAAACATTTCCGTTACACAATCCATAAAGGTTTGTTGTAGAAAGACTTAGATTCGTTCTGTCGCTACTTAGTTTGACTAGTAACTGCTTTTTACGTTTTGGAAAATTCCCCGATGAAACTCGCGCAGGAAAAAAAAACACTTCGTTTAGCCTATATATTACATCCAGTCTAAAAGTTGTGTCTAAGCGCGCAGGTAACTCTGAGAAACCCCGTAAATTTGCGCTACGAACGGCTTGTGTTGTTTTTAGCGCTGCTAGTCGCTCGTTATCGAAAAAATAGCCTGTTGTATTTCTGGGGAGAAAATGCTGGATTCTTAAGGAATTATGGGACAGAATCAGAGCTCAGATTCTCCCAATGATCAGAAAGCCAAAGCTGGACGTAAAAGGTTAAGTTTAAGTAAGAATCCCTCAGTTACTAGTGTACCTGGTATTTGCTCTCAAGAAGTGGAAGATAAGGATATATCATCTAAAACTACATCAATGGGAAAGAAGAGAGTTCCACAAACGCCTAAATTCTTTAGTAAACCAAAAAAAAAAGAATCGAACAAGGAAGAAATAAATTTTCGTACTCTACCTGGACTATCCTCAAAAGATAAGGATAATTCGTCTTTTGATAAGAAAACCCTTGTTCAAAAATATACTCTGCCGTTTAGACCCAAACAAATGCTTAATAGCTCATCTGATTACACTCTGCAAAATAAATGTAATAATCAACCAGATATTTTGCAATCTGCAATGTCGACACCAGTTTTGAATGAATGCACTAAAATTCCAACAGCTAGAAGAATGCTAAAAATGGGTGTTAGCTCTTTAAATAGAAGCTTAGCAGAAGTAAATGACGAAAGTTCATCGAGAACAAGCCTCATTGCTGTTGGCGGAATGGTTAAAATACCATCAGAGGGCGTTCAAATCTGTTTTCAAGTGTGCCAATATGATATTAGGCCCTATGCAGAAGCAACAGAAAGCTTTTGCCCAAATTCATCAGCCTATTCGATAACCGAAATCCTGCAAACAGGTGTGAAAATGTCGGTATCAACGAAAAGCAACCCGAAATTTTTTCTGACTGCTCTGCAACGGGTCTCTGTAGGCCTGTGCAAGACTGTTGATCTGCAAAAAATAGATGAATTGCCTATAGCACAAGCTCTTTCGAACGTTTTGGAAAGCGTCGGTTTTGTTTGCGTGGACCGCGTTGCGATTTGTTATCATTGCTGTGCAGCGGCGGTACCGACTATTGCTGTATCTGCGGAAAACGTTCTTTCCAGCCATTCTATTACCGAAATAGAATACGAACGTTTCGTCGCTATTGAAAGTGACTTAAACAACGAATTTCTTGATTTTGTTCTTTTATATCGCGAATTTAATTCGCCAATTTTAGGTCTTTCTTATACATTGATCTCTACTGATTTCGCTCTTGCAGTAGAAACAAAAGATAACTTCGATTTTGATATTTTTGAGAAGCTGAAGCATCATAGACTCTCGGTTTCGGATACCAGTTCAGTTATAGAAATAACTGAAAATGTTACAGCAGAGGAAACTGTTTCATTGAAATTGCTACTAAAAGACGTTGATATTGATGAGACAATAGATTTAGATTTAAAGGAAGACTCTACAGACTCAATGGATTCTATTTCTGGTAGCGATGAGCCAGAAGATATAACTTCTCTTTCCAATCGTACTAGAAAAGATATGCTAGGTATGAGCTGCGATCTAATGAATAGGGCAAATGAACCGAAAGAATCTAATGCCAAAGATACATGGATGAGATGTGTGCAAATTGTACGTCGGTCGTCTGTGGATGTCAATCAGCAGAGGCAATTGTTGGAATCTCGAGGTGGGTGCGTTTCCATTTCGTCACATCGAGATCAGGGCTTTCGAAAATGGGTGGAACATGAACGAGTAGAGCCAGATGAATGTCTTCGAAGAAACTCTCTTAAATCTCAGGAAGATAGTTCAGATGGGGAATTCAAGAGGCAAACACTCTTACCAGATATTGTAATTGATCATATGAACGATAAGGATTCCGATACAGATAGTGTTTTATCGCTCATCATGGAATGTTCCGTAGAAGATGAAAACTTCTCTTCAATTAATGATGACTATGATAACAATAAGGGAACTTGTATGAATACCAATAAAAGAAATGTTTGCTCTCTTGTTCGACCAAGGTATAGAAGCATTTCTATAAATAGTTACATGAAGAAAGATGCCGCTATAGATACATCTTCACTTACAAACGATGAGGATTGGGTTTTGTGCCTTGAAGAGCTATCCTCTTCAGAAGATGAATGTTATAACAACGATACAAACAATCTTAGGAGAATCTTCTAGCTATTTTATTACTATTTCAAATTTTTATCATTGCCTAATTGATAAAATTGTTTATTGAAATCAGTAAATAATCTTGAAAATCCCCTGGGGTCTTTTTAAATATAGCAAAACGGTCTAACTAGTTTATTGCGCAACAAACGTCTATTTTCGCTCTCGCCATAATATACAGCACTTGTTTATATAGTTAGTCTGTGCGCAAAAATTTCTCTTAGAAAGCCTAGTAATGTTTATCATACGCTTAGATTCCTGCAGTACCGTTTCTTTTATACGCTTTGCTAACTCTGCGTAGTGCTTTGACTGTAACTTAACACCTGTTTTGATTGAATTCAGAAAGAATTCTTTAATAGAGAATGAAAGATGTTTAAGAAGCTGCTTAAGTCAGTCTTCAATAATAAAGCAGAGGAATTACATAATGAAGTAAACTATTGAGAAGTATTTTATTTTAGCAGGATGTAAAAGAACAACAAATTCACATATAGATGGCGTTAAATTGCTTTAAAGAATTCAATTTATTTTTCTTTCTTAACTTTTTACTTAGCTTTCTTAAGCCTGTTATTTTTCTAGACTAATTGATTTATTATGAAAATCAATGTTCTAATAACTACTATTTATTGATAAAATTCTATAGATTTTATATTTCTATTATTCATTCTTTAGACATCACCTAAGGAAGATTCGTTATCACCAGAAGAAGAGACAGATACTCTGTATAATCAAGAAAAGGAAGAAGAACACACAGCTTTAGATAACGTAAAAAGTATAGTAACCGAAATAGTTGATCAACTTCCTCTGGATAAAACGTAAGTTCAGCCATAGCGTATCTATTACGTAACATTTTACAATTTTTAGAATGTTCCATTCTATGCTAGATAGAGTAAGAGTTTTTTTTAATAGACCACGGATAACTTTAATTAGGGTTAGTTAAACTTCAGTAAACGTTTTAGGCTAATTATTTCGAAAGGGCGTGAGCAAATTTGTTTACTATGGAAAAAGCCTACAGCACTAGGGTTTAGTACCGTGGGCCTAACGTGCTGCAGCAGGCCGATTCGTGAAATATACTGTGCTCTTTTTTTATACTGTAGTAGTATAGAGAATATAGCTGTGGAGGCTTCTGTTTGTCAAATTAGACAGTAATTAAGACTTTAAATTATTCGCTAATTTAGACGTGTCATTTGCCGAATTGTAGCTCAAAGGGTCCAAAAGAGGAAAAGGAAGAAATCACAGAAGAAAAAAGTGCTAATTCGAGTTATACTACTGCTTTAAATAGTACATACGAAACTGATGACGAATTGTCTAAACGCCTGAACGATTTACTCGGTAAAGTTGAGTGGGAAGACAAGGAAACGGAAGAAATTATTCAAACACCTAGTAACACAAAAGATTATTTTGATAACAGTGCTCAAAATACTGTAACTAAACTCGACGTAAAGAGCGAAGATCCGCATACAGAAGTCGAACCTTTAGAACAACCTAAATTTGATGAAGATCCAGCTGATATGAGCGAAGAGCAAGAAGTTCCAGTTCAACGAGGGACTTACACCATAGATTGGGATAATCTTGAGGCCTTAGATCCATTTGGTGGACAGCCAACTAAACCCAAAAAGAACATTATTAATGATACAAACAACACTGTAGTAGAAAAAAATGTAGAAAATTGCGAAATTGAGCCCGTCTCTCACCCTTCTCCTCCTCCTCAAAAAGAGTAAGTAAATCTTATAACAGTGTAAAAAGAATAAAGAATTCAGAAATCCGTAATATCATCTATGTATGTAATAACATTATCTATTGAACAGTAACAATACAGAAGAAAACCGTAATATTGGTCAAGTTAACGATAACGAGAATTGTGAAAATGAAAAAATAAACAATAACGAACAGTTAAATGGTAAAGTTGAAAAGTAATTATTAAAATAGTTATAGAAATTGCTATTATCTTATTATTAACACTTTATTTAACTTGCAGTTGCACCGAAAATAACAAGAACAATGCAAATAAAACTGAAGAGAAAGAAACAGTTAAAGAAAAAAAGTAATAATAACTTAAATATAATTGGTAAATTAATTACTTTTTTTTATCTAATAGGCCTGCTAAACCAAAAGCATCAATATCTAAATTTAAGAGACCAGCAAAACCTCCCGGTGGATTTCAACAGGTGTGTAATAGACGTCTATTTTTGTAATTAAAGGCTAATTAAATTATTTATTTGTTGTTTATTTCTTTAGATGGATGATATTGTTATATTTGCTTCAAAATCAGAAAATAAGAACTCCAGTGAAGAAACCGAAGTCAAACAATCACTGCCCTCTAATGAAAATGTTGAAAATGAAGAACCAGTAAAAGATGATGAAAATAATATAATTTCAAATGTAGCTAATACAAAAACTGATGAGAATAATAGTCAAGAAGAATCTTTTGATGGTAATCAAACATTGAAAGAAACATCCACCATTCAAATGAATACATCAGACGAGGATAGAGCAATGATGCCACCCCCACCTTCTGATTTTTTGGCCGCTGATGTAAATGAAGATTTCACACCAGGCGAAGGTAAGCTTATTTTTTTTTCTTTGGCACATATGTCAGGTAATCGATACAGTACGAATTTCATCTCAGACTTGTTGATAGAAGTCTAATCTTGCGAAATATATTGATAAAGAATGTACTCAAAAGAAAAATCGAAATGATTTTTAATCTATATTTAACAATTATTGTAAAGGTAAAATTGGCTAACAACTGAAGAGGATTGCGATAAAACCAGCGTTATAAACTTTTTGACAATCAAAAGACAGCCTTAAGGGATAAAACCTTGTAGAATATATAATATTTATATTCATATTGGGTATTCATATACTAATAATCTATGTTGATAAACAAATCAAAACTTTAAGAGGGACTGTCAAAAATGACTTAAATTTAATTGAATAGGCCTAGACTTGTAAGCCGTCGAATTAATACGTCTATTGTAGTGTCCATTGATTAACTCGTACTTCTAATCGCTCTGACATTCGAATGAATTTATTGATGAATTTTGTCGTCTGTAAACATAGGCCAAGTTATTGAATAGCCCCTCCACTAGGCTAGCATTCCATTCTCTTGCCAGCAAGCGAAATCGTCTATTGTTATTTATACACGTGCCGGATAGAGCACCAGAAAAGAGTTTTCTTATATTTTGAGGTATACAACCCATATGAAAACTGATATACAATCATCGGACGAAGGATTCTGCGATAGTCCATCGTTTCCAGTAAAATGTCGTTCGCCAGCGTTGTTACCGGATAAGTTAAGATTAAGACCGAAGAAATTCACTAAAGAAACGCTTATACCTAAGAGAGGACCTATGAAAGGTATAATAATTTATAAAGCAACATTCTTAAAAGTATGAAAAATTATCTTATATTTATTATACAAGTGCGAAATCGTACAAAGATATAATGCATTGAATTCATTCAAATTGCTTTTTCTTGGCACTTTGACGATTATAGACAAATTTTTTTCAATGCTCCATTAAGTTTTATTTGCCCATTTCGATTGTTTGTAGATACTTGTTGATTCAGGCCTATTAAGTTCTTATTTAGATGGTTTTAAATAATATATAATTATTTGCTTTACTACTTAAATCTTTAAACCTTCGACTTTTGACGATAAATCCCTATTTCTAATAGAATCAGACCCATAATACCATTAACTAAAGTATCTTTAAACATTTTCGTATTTTTCTTTTACTTCTGTTGTTATTTTTTAAATTTTAAATTATTTAAAGAAAGAAATATATAATCAATGTACAATAAACATTTAAATAATATATATAAATCTTTAATTTCACATCAAAAAGACAATTAACGAACGGGAAAAAAAAAGTAAATAAAGTTACATATTAACTTTTAAATTAAGACGCTTATAAACTTGAAATAAACAGGCTATAAAGATTGTGTATCACCTAATTTGTTATAATAAAATAATATTATTAGAGAGAGAGAAAGAGATAGAGAAGGGTGAACGAATAAAGGAAATCAACTAGATTTCTATGAATTACAGTATAAATTTACAAATATCTAGCGCGTTGTGATAGCTCTGCTCAGGTAAGCCATCTAGTGGTATGTGTCTAAATTAGAAAGGTCTATAAATCGATATCATGGCCACAACGGATATACAACGTGTTCCACTGGAATATTTTATTTTTCTTATTAAATAACCTCATCCAAGGTTAACGCTCTTTCTTATATTTATAGAATAATGTTAAAAATTAAATTATTATTAATTCCGTTGTAATCGTTATTCTCTTGTTATTGATCAGCCTTAAATAGTCTCCCGTGATTATTATTCGACTTTATTTTTATTTAATTCTAAAAGATAATGTGATTTATTAATTCAATTTTATACTTATAGCTTGGCAGGAAGACGCTTTTGAACTACTTGAAAAAGCTGGTGGACATCAAACAGATAATCTATCGGCTTTAGCTAAGGAATCTTTATTTATACGTTTTGACCCTCTTTTACAAGACGTTGCAAGTCCCCTCTTGAAAGAACGTGCCCGAAAAGCAGCCGAAGCTTTAAGAGAAGAAGCAGCTAAACAGGACAAAGGAAGGGAGGTTGAAGATATCGAACAAGATTTAATGTCGATGTCCAGTCCTGCTGGAGTTGGAGACGCTACTTTCGTCAGAACTAAAAAAGCTCCAGTATCGAAAAATCTCTTATCACAATTTGGAGATTCGAATACAGTAAGTTCCTTATTTTCGTTTTCGTTTATTTTTTATCATATTTGATAATATAGATAAATGTTTTAAACATATCACGTTTAGTAGGTAGTTAGTTATATTAAGTAATTCCAACTTATAATTCAACCAATAGACCTTAAATTTTCATATTTAAGGTGAATTATTATATCATAAAAAATAAAAACCGAATATTCTGTGTGAGAACTATAAAAATTCTAGTCATCAATGGAGTAATATTATCCGTATGAATGAAAAACAGCAGTCCCAGCAAACTGGTTCTTTGTGTACATCATGGTTATCAAGTGTTAGTCAGTACAACGAACAGGATATGCTCTCGTCCAGGGATTCATTAGAGGACACCAATGTTACCGAAAATGTTAGTGGTTCGATCGTTGTTGAATCTTTTAAACAATTTTAGTTTTCTAGACAAATTTATTTTCATAAATTGCATCTCTTTGCCTTTTTTTGTTCCTTTCTCCTATTTCTCTACCGAAGGTGGTCTTTCAAAGCTATATCTGTTGTTTTAATATATACAGTGATTGTTGTTAGTTTAATTTATATTCATAATTTTTTTTTGGATATTTTATATAGAAAATTTGAAGATAATTATTGAAGGTATTTTGTAATAATTGTGTTTGCATTTTTTTGCAATTATATAGACTATTACGCAATCGAAAAGTGATGACAGCGGTGCTATCGTTGCTACTCCAAATGGTTTAAGTCAAGTTGACATTGATAGAGTACGGCAGGAAGTTATGCTTGAAATGAAAGGCGAAATGTTAGCTCAGACGAAAGACTATGAAAGCGTAAGTTAATTAGAACGACCAATTATTTTAGTTACAATATTTAATTGATATTATCAACGTTAATTATTCTTTTTTTTAGAAATTAGAGGAATATAGAAAAAAAGAGCAAGAATGGGAGTAAGTACTAAGTCTAATTTTTTTTTTATCGTGATATCTATTAAACATACTATTATTTTACTATTTTTTTTTTCAGCCAAGTTACAGAGTATCAATACAATGTTTTAACAAACTTGACAAATGCCTTAGAAGCTAAGGATGCTGAGGTTTTACAAGCTGCAGAAGATGTTCAACGGTTTGAACGTGCACTCAGTGAAACAACATCGTTATATTCCGAGTTAAAATTGAAGTATCAGGATGTTAGTATGAAAAATATATCGTTAACAGAACAACTACGAGAATTGCAAATTCTATTGCAAGAGAGAATGAATAAATACGATAAATTAACTGAAGAAGCTGATGATAAAGTTAACCAAGTCCAACAAGACTTTGAAGCATTAGAAAGTGATAAAAACAAGGAGGTAATATGTTTAAATAGAGAATTTCTACGATTGCTGCTATAATAGTGGCGTCATTTATAACGCAAATATTTTTATGTACATTTTTATTTCATCTACTAATAATAGATCGAACTCCTAATGAAGAAAATTCGAATGATGGAAATGAAAGAATCTAGTTTGCAAAATGAACTAGCTCAAAAGGTTTGTACTATTTTTCATTAGGCCTAAAGGCTTACAGAATAGCTAATTATTTTTTTTCGATTTTTGTAGAAAAAGGATTTAGACGAGCTAGCTAGAATTTGTGATGAACTGATTTCAAAAGGAAGAACGTCCTAATTTTGCGCTAAAGTTTTTATATTTTTTTCTTTTGTCAAATTCTGGGCATGGTTCATTGTTTTTTTTTTCCCTAAATACTATTTTATCTACATTTTGCTTGTATAAATGTAAATATAAATAAAAAATTATAAGCAATTTTTATTGTTATAGAAACTACCCACAAGCTATAGATATTTTATTTAAAACAAAAGTAGATAAACAGTTTTCGTATCAAATTGCCACGAAAATTTTAGCCTATCTACGATAATTTTCGCAAGTCCACTAAAAGTGTGCTCAAAGCATAGTTAAAGCAACAGATGGCGTAACTCCAACATGACTTTTTAATGGAATGCAATTAAGATGATCAAGTGAAGCAGTTTGCACTATACAAGTTGAAGCCAATATGGAAAATATTGCCTTTGCGCCTTTACCGCTTCCCCTGCTCTCTTAAAAAGTCTCGAGAGAAATGATCTGCTTTTCTCGTCGGCTCAGGTATTCGATACTTTATACATTTCATGACAACCCATTTTGCAGTCTCGAGGCTAATCCTATGTCCTTGTGAAACATAAATTGGATTTGGTGCGTCATCGCAACTTCTCAACGCCTGAAATATACCCATTTTATTATTAATTACACAACAAAAGTTACATCAAAACCAACCAAGCCATAAACTCTGTTGAATTGCCCAACTAACTCGAAAGAATCCCCACCTCTTTCCATCTGTTTGATCTGTTGTTGAGTCATTATAATTATAAGGTAGATTCTTAATAATGATGCTACTGTATTACCTTATCTTTAAACTCGACATCTCTCTGTAATCCGGGTACATGTAGAAGATTCTTTGCTACACCAATAAAAGGCATATCTAAAATTACCCCCATATGACATGCTAAACCCATCTCTCTGGGATGTAATAAACCATTCCCATCTACTAAAACTACTTGAGGGAATATTTTTAGGTTATCTCTTCTTAGTTTCTCTATTTTCTCTATCAAAAAGTCAGCTTCTCTAAAAGCCAAAAAGCCAGCAATATAAGGTTTCGTTAGCTTTACCATACTCAAATCTCGATGAACAACCTAACAATAGAAAATCCAGTTAAAGTAAAAGAGAATGCTTTCAAAGAAAAAAATTACTTTCATATCAGGAAATCTACAGACAACGAAAGCCGCACATGCGTTTACGTTGTCATCCTTTATAAAACTGATATCTACTCCACCGACGTATTGCAAAGACTCTTCTCCGGGAAACCCTAAATCATTTTCAGCCGTAATTCTCTTTGTCTGCCATGCTTGAGTATCTTCTAAAATTAATTTGGATTGTAGCTCTAATTGTTTCTGTGCCCACTCTTTACGTAGTTCTTCAGTTACCGACTCCATAGTTTCTTTTCGTAATAAAACAATATTTATTTGATTTCTGGTAAAGTATAGTAATTTGCGCACAATACAGACAGGCGCCTTTATATATATATTTGTCTCAATTTCGAAATAATTGATATTGTTGTGTATAAAATTGTTCTAGAATGTTTTACTTCGATTTCACAACTCTGATGTGAATTTCACTATGGTAACATTCAAGTTGAAACATCTTTCCTAAAAGCTATTATATTTTTGCAACCAGTCAACCTAATGAATTAGCGATTGTATCCAAAATCTAAAAGTAACAATAGTTTAAAGCAAAAAATATCGATTAATAGTTAATTGTAACGAAAACAAATTCAATTGGGAGAAATTGCAAAACACTCAGTCTTCGATATATCACGTGATGAACGCAGGTCGACTTTTTTAATATCGCTCATTGTGTTCACTTTTTAGAAAAGTCACTCTAAAATGCAAGAAGCTGTCAGAAATAACTTAGAAAGCGTTAAAAATGTTATTCTCGTTCTATCAGGAAAAGGAGGAGTTGGAAAAAGTACAATTTCAACGGAAGTAGCTCTAAAACTACGTAGTTCGGGAAAGAAGGAAAGTTCTCGCGTATTTGTCGATAATTTTAATAATCTTTCTAAAATTTTTTAGGTAGGACTCTTAGATATCGATCTTTGTGGTCCAAGCGTTCCCCGCATGCTAAATATCGAAGAGCAAGAAATTCATCAATCTAACGCCGGTTGGGTTCCCGTTTACCCATATGGGGATGCCTCCCTCGCAGTTATGTCAATAGCATTTCTATTAAAGAATAAAAATGATGCTATTGTTTGGCGAGGTCCAAAGAAAACGGCTATGATTGGTCAATTTGTGCAAGACGTTGTTTGGTCAGATCTCGACTATCTCGTGATTGACACCCCACCAGGAACTTCAGATGAACATATGAGTATTGTGGAACGCTTGTCTAGTCACCCGGCGACTAGTGCAGTAATTGTCACGACACCACAACAAGTAGCCGTTGCAGACGTTCGTCGACAATTAACATTCTGCAAAAAGACTAAAGTAAGAGTTTTGGGTATAATTGAAAATATGAGTGGATTCAAATGCGAACACTGCGGAGAATGCACAAATATATTTTCATTCGGAGGTGGTAAAGCTTTGGCGGAGCATTTTGACATTAATTTCCTTGGTTGCGTACCTCTTGATTCAAAATTTACAAAAGCTATCGAGGGTGGCCGGCGTTCAGATGAAGAAACAGAGAAGTCCTCAGCAGGTGAGGCAATAACAGATATTGTTAAAAAAATTTTATTAGGTTAAACTAGAGTCTGTTTATCTGGTGCGACGAAACTGTAATGAGAAAAAAAAGAAAAGAATAAAGGACTTTTTACATAATTATTTCGTAAAATTTATAAAAATAAACAGAAAAACAAAATGAAAGAAATTTTAATGAATTTTATAAAGATACGAATATGTTTAATGGGAAAAAGAACAAAGCTTTCATTCGATACATATTTTTTGTTAAACAATAACTTACGTTTCCTTAGCATGACTGGATTGTATTACTCCAAGAGAATAATACTTGAAGGGGAGTTGGGGATCGATTAAATGTGAATTTAAGCGTAAAAACTCCTCAAAAGTTATATCTGGGTGACCATAGCGATTAATAGCTTCTGACACATGAAAAATGTAGAACTGGGTTATTGTTTCATTATATCCGTGCTTAATCTTTAGATAAATGATGAATTATTAAATATTTTTTATCATAAGGAGAGAGTATCAAAACTGACTTTATCTTTATTCTCTTCGTTATATCTTTGTATTCCTTCTCTAATTAAAGGCGTAGCTTTCTCTTTTCCATATAACCGAATATAATTCCAGGCTAATCGTAAATGACCTTCATGAGTCCAATCTTTAAATGGTAAAGTTTTATTCTCAAAAGCTTGCATAAAAGCTTCATCTCCAATCGAGTGGAAAGATCTAAGAAAATATGTAAGATTTGTTACTAAATGCAGTTCTTTCTACTTTATATGTATATAATAATATATAAAAAAGAATTTTCTTTGAAAAACCTCGAATAATATAAAAGAGCTTCTTCAGATTGATTATTTACAACTGCATTGCGTACTAAGCCGTACCATACGTGATGATCACCTTAATTTAAAATAAGATTTAAAAAATAGTATTAAACGATTAGACTTCATTTATTACCTATTGTTGTCACCGAATGATAGTTACAGAGCAGAACTGCGCTTGTATTCTCAATTATTGGCAAATTCTATGTATGTACAAGAAAAAATCGACTATAGAATATTATCCTATATAAGCGTTGTTTCAGAATGAAAGAAATAAGGGAAAAAGCTTGCTTGTTTATTGATTATATGGGGAATTTCTTCAAATTGGTTTTTTCCATTCAGAGATGCTTTTGAAAAATGTATTCCATAATCAACTTGGTCCTTAGCCAAAACGTGTACGGCAAATAGCTCAGTTTGTAATAGTAAATCGTGCATTCGGCTTTTGGGATTGGACTAATTAAATACATTTCATAGAGAAAATACTAATTAACTTACCTTGGCCTATTCATGCAGAATGATATGATTGGCGGCTTTAAAGATACACTTGTAAAAGAACTACAAGTCACTCCTCTTTTTATCAATTGATCATCATTTGATTCTTTAGCAGTTGTTACAACTACAACTGGCTGTGGAACTTTACTCATTACATACTTAAACTTTTTCTCTGCTTCGGTTTCCACAACGTGACTTTTAGACTTTTCAACATATTCCACTGGATGATTAGCTACATAAAAAACCATAAAGTATACTTGTTTTGCAATATTCCTAGAAAGAAATAGAGGTAAGACTTACTACTGCAAGCTCTTTTTATAAAGCAATTGCATCGATTGCGATTCCAGAAAATTACTGATGCAGTGAGCCTCAAAAAACTACTAGTAACCATTTTAAACCTATATTAACTTAACAACTCATGGAAATAATTTCGGGTCACAGAAATTGACATTGACCTTAACTTGCGCAATTATCGGGAGAACGAAACAATTTCCTAAACGAAACCATGGTATCCCTTTGATTTCGGTGCGTTCATTTTTTTCGACCACATGTGATATGAAGTTTACGAGAGTTCTTTTTAAAATTGTGCCAAAGAATATAAAAGGAAAGTCCACTAATGAGCAACGTTGGTTGAAGAGACAATTAAATGATCGTTACGTTAAGCAATCGAAAACTGATTATTATAGATGTAGAAGTGCTTATAAATTAATCGAAATTGATGATAAACATAGAATTTTAGAGCCAGGATTCTCTGTAGTAGATTGCGGAGCGTCTCCAGGCTCTTGGAGTCAGGTGGCTGTTAAAAAAGTGAACGCAGATGGTTCTATTCCTAATGCCAAAATAGGTCAAGTTATTGGCATTGATTTAAAGTCAATAGAAAAAATAAAAGGAGCTACTTTTTTCAGCTGCTCTGATTTTACTGAGGCTGTAGTTCAGCAGAAAGTATTAAAAACTCTTAATTGTGGTAAAGCAGACGTTGTACTAAGTGATATGGCACCCAATTCGTCTGGAGTAAGGAGTCTTGATCACGAAAACATTATGGTTTTGTGCGAATCAGTGGTAAAATTTAGTATAAACGTTTTAAATGACGGTGGACACTTTCTTGTAAAAATTTTACAAGGAGAAAAACAAGATTTACTTTTAAGAGGTTTAAAAACATGCTTTGAGCAGGTAAAGTACATTAAACCTCCAGCTAGTAGAAGTGATTCTACTGAACTATACATCATTGCAAAGAATTTTAATAAAGCTTCTTAATGTAAATAAATTTTTTTGATGAATACCATAAACGTTCTCTAGTGTTCTTTTCCTGCTTTCATTTTATTCAAAATTCTATCCATGTAAGTATTAAAGTCGGTCTACGCCCTCTTGCGGAAGTAATAATCTGGCCTTAGTTGTCATGAGAATTTGTTATTCTTTCCGTCTAATTCTGTATCGTGTCAACAGCTGAAGAAGCTTTTAAGTAATGAAGAAGTCAGAAGCTCGCAAATTATTTTCTGAGACAGTTAATGATATTTGCAAGAGTCTGAGTTTAAATGACAAAGAGGAAATAAATAGTCTCTGCGAATATGAGATTAAAAAACAAGAAAACCGGAAAAGGAAGTTAAAAAGATTATGCTTGATTGTTCTTTCATTTATGATTGTACTATGTTCATTTTTAGTTGAATACCAATATGAAGTTACAAAATCTGTTAGAGAATATCTCCGTTCTGAAATTTGCCTCGTAGAAATTAATTCGATACCAAGCGAACTTATTAGGCCTATTGTTAACTGTTCAATTTGCTCTGATATTCAAAATATACCAACATTCGACGGACATGTTCCCGAGGATGAGGCAGAGAAATTAGCTTATTCAATTGTGCCTTTTCTTGTCAAGAATGCAACTAGAAAATGGAAGGCTTCGACGGAATTCTCCTATGAATTCTTTAAGCAGTTTTTTGACAATGAAACTGTTCTAGATTACTTCAAAACATGCCAGTTTCTAGATTACGGATCGGGCTTTCTTAGTATCAAAAACGTCTTCAATATGCCAAAGGAGCGTGCGGAAACTGGTAAGCCTGCATGGTACATAGGCTTTTCGAGTTGCGACGATTATGTAAATAAGAATCTTCTGCAAGAATATTTTATAAGCCCAGAATTTTTACCAAAATCGTTAAATACTCAACAAGTTTGGTTATTTATGGGTTTTGGTAGAAGCGGCGGATCTGCCGCTCCGGTTCATATAGATCAAGTTGGCGTTCCTTCGTGGCAAGCTCAAATTATTGGTAAAAAAACATGGCAGATCTATCCAACTTTTGAATGCGAGATGGAGTGTAAAAATTTCGATATAAACCTGGAAGCAGGAGATATTTTTGTGATAGATACAAACTGGTGGTACCACAATACAAGAGTGGAAAAAGATTATTTTAGCCTTACCATTGGCTCTGAATATCAATGAGAAAAGGCAATGAACCATTAAATATAAATATATATATATACATTAAATATATTAACGTTTTCATATTTATGCCCTCTGTCTCTTTCTTATCTATCTTATTTACCCAACGAAAGGAAATTGTTTGTAGTTATTCATAGAATTAAGGAATAGGTAACGAGTCCTAGTCATACACTAATAAATATTTAATTATTCTTATTCTTTTAAATTTCATTGTTTCTGCTGATTCGACAATATCATCAATTTAGTTGATATTCAATTTGAAGAGTACAGCTTAAATGTATACAATATATGATTTAAGGATTACCAATAGAATTAATTAATTTTATATATCTTGTTAATATTTTATGAATTGATATGACTTGCTTTTTTTTTTCTTTTTTTTGCATATATATAAACTGTATGCCACATTTTAGTTCCATCGTCAATATCACGTCGTACTCTTCCGGTACCTTTATAGGTCATTGCATACCACTCTCTTCCTAAAATGGAATTATCGTTTAGGCGGGCTATAGGATAATATTTTCCCATATATACAGTATTTATATATACATATATATATATATATATATACAAAATAACAATAAAATGGCAGTGATAGAGTAAAAAGAGGAAATTTTATTAGAGTAAAAAATTGACAACATGAAAAACGATATATCATTAATTATGAAATTCTAAAATTACCTCTGTAGAATTTCGTGTATGAGGTTTTAATTAATTTTTTGTATGGTTCTATTAATTAATAGTGTTAATGTTTGGTTATTGATCTAGATATTTCACTTAGTATTGTTTATATTTAATTGAATATGTTAAATATTGCTTATTATTGTAATATAAAGAATTTTATAGTAATTAGATAGAAATTTTTTAGACATTTAATTAATATATTAATGAATTTTGGAAATTAATTTACTTAGTTATTGTTTAAATGTTTAGTGAGGGGATGCGAAGAATTCCTAAATATGAGGCTTATAATTAGATAATTTTTTCTCGCTTAATGAACTTTACGTTGCAGTGGTGGATGATTAGATGCTCGCTTTATCTATTACCGAGCATTACTTACCAATCCCGAGGGTTTGATTCTGGCTTCAAACAATTCAAATAGAGACCTCTCTTCATAATAAAGTAGAAAAAAACGAGAAGGTAATTAATCAGTTTACCTTGGAACGAGACCTTAAAACTACTGATACGAAAGAAAGCCTACAAACAATGCATAAAACTAGAAAAACTAGAATATATGACAGAGTTTAGAAATCAATGTAACCAACAGGTGGCGTTTTTTTTCAGTCTGCAGTCTGATTGATTTTCTTTCGAGCTCCAGACACAGCTCACAATACGGCGGAAATCGGTCTGCGGACATCTAAAAGAATTGAAAGTTATGATTTCATAATATGGAATTATTTTCACTGCTACTTATCACCCATCTCTTCCTACCTACTTTTTCAGGTTACCCGAAAATTGATGGAAACAGGTAACGCCTTTCAATCCCTTTAGACTCTTCGGAAGCTTTTACGAGAGACTGGCGCACCTAATTTTATATAGTGTAAAATTAAAAAGAAAAAGAGAGGCTTGCACTGCAAGAGAATTTACTATTACCTATAATATTTCATTGATATTCTCGTACTACTTCTATGGCTGTCTACAGCAATTTTTCTCCTTTCTTTATCAAGGGATAAGTGACTTTATCCTCTTTTAAATGTGTTTTCCATTTCATATCTTTAGGGCTCGCAATATAGCTGAGGCATGGGGGAAAAAGTTGGAAACTAAATTTGACACACTGACCGCCATACACGATGTTAAAACGGTAAGTTTTGTTTGTGTTTGTATGTTGTATGTTTGTATTGTAAAGGCCTATTTTTCGGGATCGATAGAGCGGCGTCTAAATAATAGACGGTCTCGTCCAGAGAGGAAAAAATCGGAGAATCGATTTTGAGTCGCTGTTAGCAACGGATTATTAGAGATTGTTAATATGTTTTGCGGTAATATAGGAGTTGAAAATTTTATGAGATAAATTTACCTTTAGTGCATCCTGTTAACGAGCCTCGTCGCACAAAAAAAGCGTCTACTCGATTTCAAACCAATCGGCGGAAGTGAAAACTTTTTCCCGCTTAAGATTCCCTGAAGCGTAACTTTTGCAAAAGTTTCTCTATAAATCCCATATTTATATTGCCGACTAAGAGATTGAAACTCTTAAATAGTAACTATGTTATTAGCTAATCAGTATTTTAATTCGCTTTCCTGCCTTTCAAATAGAATTTTTTCATTAAGAATTCCTAATTTAGTTTTTAGTCAACGTATTATCAAAGGATCGGAAAGGAAACACTGTAGTTGATATTTTAGGAAGAGAGCTAATTTGATTTACTCATTGTAACGGGCGTTCTATTCAATTAGTATAGACGCAATGGACGTCATCTACGTACTGCTGCTCATTTAACTAAAATATGTCTTAAAGTTTACGCCTCTAGACCTAGTTGCAGTCTCATAAATATTAATAAAGGTGTTAATGCAGAAATGTCACAAACAATTTGCAAACATGAAAAATATCAATTCCACAGACTTACAACATATATTATACAATTTCAATAGATTTATATCTAAGATGTAATAAATAGGAAGTTTTCGACGTAGGTAGGATTCCTTTTGTATTCGTCAATTAGCTTGTTTCAGATAATACTCTCCAGAAAGTATCACAAAAGTCGTTTTAATGAGGAAAATGGCTTGTGTAAAAGCCCTAAGATAGAACGGAAGTATAGTTTGTGGGTGGTGACATTTATTATTTATTAAATATAAGCTTACGGTAAAGAGTAGATAAACTAGAGCAAGCGAAATGAAAACTTGAGTTGTCATTTTCTATATCGTGATGGCAATAGAAAAATTGTCTAGCATTTCACTTGGAAAAGTAGCGAATGTGTTAAATTTCTTTTTACATATCAACTCTACGGTAAAAGTGTCAAAAATATTCAATTCCAGCTAAGATAAATTTTTCCTTATATAAAATATTAACAACGCAAATAATATTAGAGAAAGGGGCGTGAAAAGGGCGGTATGGGAGGAAGAAGAGAAGATGGTAAAAAAAAAACTGCGAAATAAACCTAAAGGAAAATAGTAGGTTAAAGGTTGTTGTCATCACCATAAAATAAGGATTTAAGTACAATAGCCCAGTCTAATATAATATTTGGTACGATTAATCATTCTTGTCACTCTTGGGAATGTGATTTATTCTCACGAATTGACTGATATAATATTAACCGAAGCAGATTTCTCTTTTAGAACGTTATTTCACATTTACATACCAACATTGATTAATTATAATATTAAGTAAATTCTAGGAAGAGCAATTATATAAAAAGACTTTCTTTTTTTAAATTAAACCTATTTTCTCTTCTTGAAGAAGTGTAGGATTATGTAAAGAGTTAAATATATCTTATATATGTTTGTATATAAATATATATACTGTATATATATATATATATAGTCTGTATGTATGGAATTATACAGCTAAATTAATACATTTTATATACTTTATAATGTATAGATTGCAGGCAAATATGGGCAACGCTGTGTATATTAGCACTTATTTATTGTAAATATATATGTATATACATACATTTTAAGTATATATATTCAGTACAGTGTGTATAATTTTAATTATTCATTCATATTTTTTCTAATGCTTTTTTTTAACTTTTTTCTCCCTCTCTCTCTCTCTCTCTCCACTCAATTTTCATCTTAAGTCTTTTCTTGTGGATGCCACTCTCGGAAAGAACATTTTCGGAGAGATTGATGGAGAAAAATTGATAGGGCAAATGAAGAAGAACGTGGAAGATATGCTGAAAAATAAAGTGCAAGCAATAGAAGATTTGGTTAAGGTCGCTGAAGAGGCATTTGCAAATCACACTGATGGCGAGAATATTGATCGAAACTATCCGAAGGCTAAGAAATTAAATGAATCTGAATTTGTAATGGAAGAGAATGAACATTTTAATAATGTACAAGTCAACTTGAATAGAAGTTCTGTCCATGTACCAACAAACGTGTATGATGAATGTAAGTAAACTTTGTTAAAATCAGGATAATTAAGTTAATTTAGAGTATTAAAAGGGATGTCTGGCAAATGTCATGCCCACATCTACGTTCCTATGTCAGAAGCTCTTAATTGCAAAAAGCATTTTCACACCACCCAACTATTAAATCTTAATGAGCTAAAAAGCTGTCGTCATTTTACACACTATTAAACATTTATCCTTCAGAATTTCAATGATATCGTAAACTTTTAAGTGGGTCAATTGATCTTTTTTTAAAAACAGCTGATGAAGTTCTAAATGGAGTAGCCTGGAGCGAAGCATTGGATGAGCAATTCCGTAAAAATTACGACAAAGATCCAACTCTAACGTGGCAATATTTTGGATCAGCCACCGGTTTTTTTAGGAATTATCCAGGTATTTATCTATTTTTCTCTCTTATCACCATCTCTACTCAAACAAATAAGATAATATAAGATATATAGACATCTTTGATACAGTATACATCTATATACTATATATAGAAATTTATATAAATGAATTTTACCACTTATATATTATACATACTCTTATTTATATAAGCACTAATCGAATACTTGAACAAAATGGAATGAATAGACCATTCCATAAGAGAATTTTTAGTCAATTTTTCCAAACTTGTATCAAAAGCAGACTATTCAGTTTTTTGAATTACAATCACGAACATACAGATTTCGAACGAATGGGCTGAGGGAGCGTCATTGACGTCTACAGGGTAATTTTCCACCGGAAAGCAGTAATTCCGTATCCAAGTCAGCCCCATAAAAATTCATATAATTTCTCCTTTTTCTTGTGCAAACAACATAAAATCAGAGGAGTAGAATAAACGAACGAACGAACGAACGAACGAACGAACGAGCGAGTGAGAGAGAGAGAGAGAGATAGAAAGAGTAAGCTCTCACAAGAGATAGAAAAAAATCTATTTTGAATATAGATAGAGAGACAGAGAGTGAAAGAGAGGAAAAGATTAGAAAAAAATGAGAATAAAGAAAACGATAAAGAAATAATATAAATTTATAGACAGTATATAATATCAACATTTTAAAGATCAAAAGTTTTAAGTATTTTTTTTTACCCATTCGTTCGAATAAATCTCACTTTTGAAGTCTTACTATTTCCTTAGCTTTTTCGATCTGAATAAGGTTAGTCGATACTTTAATTACGCGTTAATAATAACAAAAAAAGCAGAACAAAATCATATCATATGTCCCACTCTTAACCTAAATTTATGCATAAGTATATATATACAGTATATATATATATATATATACGCATCGTAGGAATGCGATGGCAATTACCAGACAACGGAGTAGACCTATTCGATTGCAGAACTCGCGGATGGTGAGTTTTAGTAAACAAAGCCACGAAAAAACACAAACAATAAAAATCGAATGTTAGCGCGAATGTTGTCTAATTGATCGATAGAAAGGTGACGGGCACTTAACCTTCCATAGTTTTCGAATACATATAGTATATACGGAAATATACGCAATATTTTTATATATTTATCACAAACCGGTGTATACTATATTGTTAAAACAATATCCGTTATATATGTATATAAAAGGTATATATACATACTGACATATATATATATATATATATATATATATATATATATATATATATATATAAATTTATATATATTCTATACAGAAAAAAAATCCTTTTTAAGATGATTATAACACAATTAGGAAATGAATTTTGATAGCATCTCAGAACCAGGTATATACAATATACAGTATATATATATATATATATATATATATTCTTTCCGTTTTCAAAAAACTTTCCAAGAGATAGACCGGAACATGACATATCCATTTGACGAAAGTAAATGCTATTCATAGTATAGCCGAGATACAGTTTATACTGTATATAAAAATTACGCAGGGACTAAGACACATATGCCATATATACATATATAATTCATAATCTGTGGGCTTTTATCGACTCATTTACATATATATATATATATATATATATATATATATATATATATATATATATATGTAAATGTATTAAAAATTCTTTTTGGTTGGTCTTCGGTTTGTTGTTTTCGCACCTTGTCATGTTTCTGTAAACAAAAACACAGGGACTAGATGGACCCTTTACGAAAATAAACGGGTAGACGTCTTCGATTGTAGACATAGAGGATGGTAAGGGGAGAATATGATATTTCACTTTGTTGTCTGTTCGTTATTCTGTCAAGGGAAATTTGAGAGATAAAAACTCATTCGTGTTCTTTTAATATTAAACCTTTCTATTATAATCCTTTGATGTATAATTTTATACATTAAAGAGAAAAAACTCGGTTTTTTCACTAATAAATGAAAAAAAAGAATGAAGAGAAAAAGACTTAAAATTCTTAAAGGAAAAAAATAGAATAGTAATCCAAAAAGCTGAAATGTTTAGATAGGATATAAAAGAAGGCGATAGTACAATAGCTGATATATATGTAAGATCTTCCTTTATAATCTGGGAGGATAGTATTCTTTATATCTTTATAAATATATAAAGAAAATAGAATTTAAAAGTAATATCTCTCTAATTTCATTTCTTTCTCCCTTTTTCCCCTCCCCAAAACTAAAATAATTGATTTAAAAATTGTACTTCTCTCTTCTATAATGCATCATTATCGTCTGTAGTGTGTTTCTTCCAACACAATACCCTATTTCCATGCATACACCTACTTTGTTTTTATAGCATCTTATCCCAAAGACTATAGACATCGTTGTCGTTTAATTTATTTTTTGTTAATTGCAATCCTATTTTTTGCTAGTTCTTGATTTTCGCATGACAAACTATTAGGAGTGTTTGAGAATGTATGTATGTATATGTGCATGCTATTGTTGATGTTTTTCTATAGACTGATATATGTAGTAAACGTTGCTTTATGGGTGATTATAAAAGATTACGAAAACGTTTCGTTCAACGTACTTCAAAGGAAGCAATTATTTACTCTGCACTCTATATAATAAAGAAATTTTTTTTGGTTAGACTAGGAAATTGCTGTCTTTACTGTCATTTTTTTCCAGTAACAGATTATTGCTGCAGTTTTAGGGCGATTAAGACAAAACGAACAGCGAAAAAAACCCTTGAGGGATTTTATCGACAGGCGAACTTAGGTTTTGTCAATTTCTTACGTCTCCTGGTACAGATGAGTTCAAAGTTGCTCCGGGGAAAAAAAAGAGAATTTAAAACAAAGTAGTTTCATAAAAAAGGATAAGAAACTTTTAAAATGACAGTTTTCATAGGATATAATTCTATGTTTCTGTAATTTACTCAATCAATGTAGGAGATTGTCTTCTTTTCCGATATGTAAATCTCTGTCATTTACGCTGAACGATACTTTACGATTTCAGTAATCACCCGGCTGTTTAGATCGTGTTTTTTTTACCATCATAGTTTATAATGTCTAAAATCGTGTTTCCTTTTCTAGGTATATACAAGCCGCCACATCGCCTAAGGATGTTGTAATCCTAGTAGACTCAAGCGGCAGCATGACGGGATTAAGAATGGCAATAGCCAAGGCAACAGTAGAAAAAATCTTAGACACACTGAGCGATAATGACTTCTTCAATGTTCTTAAGTTTGCTGAAAGACCAGAGTATGTGGACGAGTGCTTCAACGGAACACTTATCCAAGCAAATGCAGATAATAAAAAGAAATTAAAAGACTCAGTAAAAGATATAACAACTCAGAATATCGCTAGATTTGAAGATGCTCTGATTGAAGCGTTTTCTTTATTGTCTAATGTAAGTGTTATTGGATCGATTTTTAGAGTTTTTATTTGATTTTAAGCAGCTGTATAGAACTTATTGATGCGTAATGTTATAAGGGTATATATTTTTTCATCCCAAATCGATCTTTAACGATCGAAAATTCAAATTTGAGCAACAAATAATATAGACCAATCCCTCTTTTTTTCTCTTTCTTCTTCTTTCTCTCTCTCTATATATATATATATTTCTTTCAATATAGGTATATACTGTACATGTACTATATAGTTTTTTTTATATTGTATTTTCTTTTGAAAAGACGACAGCCTCCCTTTCAATCTTTTTCTTTTTTACTTATCTAAATTCAATAAGTTGATTAGACTAAAGAAGATATTGTAACTCTCGAATGGACAATTCCTTATTGAAATTGATCATTGATCTCACTTTTTCCAAGTTTTCTTTCTCCTTTCTCTTTCTCTCTCTCTCTCTCTCTAATCTCCCTCTGTTTTTCCTTCTCCCTTTCTTAATATCTCAATATTAACACACATCGCGTTCTATAAATCGAACAAAAACCTACCCCTATAATCCTTTTTAAGGCGATTTAGACGCCTGGGCAAACCTAATCTAAATAGATTTTAAGTTGAAAGCTGATTTTTTTAATGAAAAAAAAGTGATTAGAATTAAGAATCGTTAATTCAGGATTTTACGCAGGGGAAAGATGCTGATAAAAATATTTACAGCACTGGGAATTAACGATATAATTTTCCTAATAGGCAAATCAAACGGAAAGAACCACAAACTGCAATAAGGCGATTATGATAATAACAGACGGTGCTCCAGAGTCATACGAAGATGTTTTTGATAAGTATAATTGGGCCCCAAAAGCTAACGTAAGTTGATTAATTTTCTTTCATAAACGTAATTATACAGTATGTAAGAATAACTATAGGATGTTGAGCTTAAATACTCTGAAGTTTAATAAGTTAAAAACCATCTTATTAAAGTAATCATCTAGGATGAAAAGGGAAAAACGAAGGGGAAAGGAATTGGATTAAAAGATAAAAATATTCATGGGATAATATACTTTTATTAAGAATAATTAATAGGGGAGAAAAGTTGTGAAATTTTAAAGCTGATTAACATGTCATGATATAGTAGAGAGTATATCTATCCGTCGTAAATGAATTTATTATAAAAAAAACGCTCTATATATATATATATTTAAAAAAAAGAGAGTTTTTATTACTTTCAAGTGAAAATTAATGCATTGGTAGAGCGAACACGAAAAGAAAAAAACTCGGATGTTTACAGTCGATTGATGAGGATGGTGTAGAGAATTGTTTCTTTTAAATATCTAATTTCCCTGCCCACTCGTCCACAAGGAGAAAGGGGTGAAACATTAAATTTATTGAAGAGTCCATAGGGATTAAACTAGCATATTGGCATTCTTAATGGACTTTGGATGATGGAGAAAATATCCATTTGGGTGACACTAAAATTACTAAGTCAATTTTTTCGAGTTTTCAATCGATTTCTCTTTTTTCTTTTAAAGTTTTTTTTTTTTCATTTTTTTTCCCATTTCAATGCCGAAAATTTCCTTCCTTTTTCCCTTCACAGCTCGGGGCTCTATGTAAAAAGCCCTTAGTAATTTATCAAATAGCCGTCAATGTCTCTTCAATTTACCCTAATATAAAAAATAGTACTATTGATCGTCGAACGACGCAAACTTACAAGTTTTATAGACTTATAAATATTTTAATGGTAAATGTGTAATGATATAAAAAATTAGAAATAAATGAAGACAAAGCCGTATAAATACACCAAAAGCGTTATTTTCCATTTATTTTCTTGAGTAGTATTAATGAAAGAATCAAATGATTTATTAATCGATATTGGCAGGTCCGGATATTTACGTACTTAATAGGAAGAGAAGTTGGTGATTCGAAACACGCAAAGTGGATGGCATGCGCTAATAAGGGATACTTTTCCCATATTTCAACTTTGGCGGACGTTCAAGAACACGTTCAGGTTGGTGCCTTTAACATCATTTTTTCTCATTGCCCTAGATAAATAGCCAACAGCTTATTTATAACTTATTGACGATCAAGACTTACGGAAAAACAAACATTATGCATTTGCTAGCCTATTATAAAATATAGGATGTATTTTATATTATTTATATGACTATATCATTTTAAACCGATAATCATGAAAGAAATATTATCTTTTCCTCTCTGTCTTTTACAAAATCTTCTTTATTCTTACTTTATCATCAACTTCCATCTTTGCTTCTCATTCTTCTTCTTTCTCCATCCCCCTTTCAATTTTCCTTTTCTTCTTCTTCATTTTCATATTTCTATATCATTTTCATAAAATTTCTGTAATATTTTAATTGAGTAGACATGTTTAACAAAATGTTCAATAGTAAACGATAGTAGTATTTTAATTGACAATTGACAAATCCCAGGATTACGTGCACGTCCTAAGCAGACCGATGGTAATCAAACGTATGAATCATACAATCTGGACAAATGTCTATAACGATGAAGCGGTATATATTATGCATGCAAAAATCGATGTCTTTTTTTCAACTTTTATCCCCTTTACTTCTATATTTCTTGCAAATCATACACGTTTGTTGTTCTTATAAGAAAGCACAATCTCTTATATATATACTGTATATATGTATATATTTTTTTTTCTTCTTCTTCTTCTTCTTCTCTTTGTAACATGCACAAGAAGAAAAAAAAAATACAATTTTCAATTCTTCTTTCACATTTTACCTTTTCTTTTTACCGTCACGAAAGCAAATCCTTTTATTTCTGTTATTTTTTTCAATTTTATATTATACACTCTTTATCTTTAAAACAATTTCTATATTTTCTAATGTTTTTCTTCTATATTTCGTTATACGTTGTGTCTTCTAATTGGAACTATAATTCCGTTCTGCAAAGAATAGATACAACAGAAAAGTCTAGGTAAATGAACATGGGAAATGTTATAATCTAGCGAAAACAAAGAGAGAGAGAGATAGACAGATAGATAGATAGATAGAAGATGTATTCATTTCAATCGTATCATAAAGCTTTTCATTAAAAACTAGCTAAAGAAATAGTAAAAGAGACATGTGGATATAAAGCAACATACCATGTTATTTTGACTATATGAAAAGTACCCATTCATCAAAGGATTATAATGATAATTCCTATTTAGTAGGATAAAAGAATAATCGACCTGTCTATCTATTTATTAAAAGCTATAAAGAAAAGTGATTGTTCAATATTTAATTGGTGGATTTCTAACAATTTTTCTCAGTTACAAGTGACCCTTTATTATACTTTCAGGGTTTAGCCGCCCAACTAATTAGGATGGCTTTGTCAATTTGCACTAGCATTTTGCGGTAGTAGTGTCGTATAGAAAAAAATATACAGTACTTATTTTAAATCCATCATCATGTATGAATTAGGAAAGGTGAAAAACACATAAAGCATTTCCTCTTCTAGATGTACGTTCGAGTAACTAGCAGACCGATGGTGATAAAGCAACCAAATATTGTTATTTGGACTGAAGTATATTTATCAGCCGGAAGTGAACTAGAGGTGATTCATTAGAATTAGTAGGTGAAAATTGGGAAAGACAAGAAAGAAAAGTGTAAAAAGTAGAGGAAAACGGATGATTGCCTGTTGTATTTTTCGTTTTGCTTCTCTAATATTTCTTTAACAACCTTTATCTTTATTCTTTTGATTTAATGTGATGTTTTTTTCTGAAATGAAGTTAATTATGTTGATTAATTGGTGGCAGAGAAAAAATAATACTTTTTTTTTTATTCCCTTACCGCTTTAGCATTTCACCGAAAAGGTTGGTCCCCATTCAGTAATTGAGCATCCCCTCCCTCATAAATATTTATTGTTCATATACGTTTTAAAATAGGGTATAAACTTAATGACAAGCGTCGCAAAACCAGTGTTTGACAAGAGAAACCGAACAGCATTAGAGGGTATTCTTCTTGGTGTTATGGGAACCGATGTTCCCTTAAGCGAATTCACCAGACTAACGCCTATCCATAAACTGGGCCCTAATGGTTATGCTTTTGCTATTACAAATAATGGCTACGTGCTATTCCATCCGGATTTCAGGCCAACCTCAAAAAAGAATGGACAGGACATTATAAAACCAAATTATAATAGCGTTGATATAGCAGAAGTAGAATTAGAAGTTGTGCAGAGTGAAAGGATGGCTTACGAAAAGAGCTTAGCAATACCAAATTACAATATGGAATTAAGGAGAAAGATGATAAATCGAACAGAAGGAATGGAGAGTATGAATGTAACAGTTCACTTTGATGACATGGTAATTAAAATTCGTTACAGAAGTAGCATCTTTCGCATATTTATACAAAAATAATTTTATCACAGAAACGCATCGCTGTTAGGGAGCAAGACTACTATTTTGCTCCTATTGAGGACACTCCGTTTAGTTTAGCTATTGTATTTCCTAAGAATTTAGGAAAATATAGTTTTAATGCTACCATGGATCCAGAAACTTTTCCAATAACAGACAAGGATGAAATGAATCTTAGGGAAAGAGGTACCCGTTTAGCAGATTGGATGTACTGCAGATTCGACAGGAATGAGAATAAAACGATTTCTAATTTAATAAAATATATGAAATACGCTAGAAAAGGTGCTAAGAAAAGCGAGAAAGAGAAATTTAAAGCAAGATGTGACGTTGAGCTAATAGGAAAGTTAAGATACGACGCAAATATTACAAAAGATTTTCCTGACAAATGGAGAAAAGAAAATCGAGCCGAATCAACAAACGCTAAAGAAGCAGAATCGTATGCTTTTCTCTGTTTTCTACGTTTAATTATATATTTACCCCCTTTTTTCTACCGAAACAGACTAGGCTTCCAATACATTTTCCTGGCAACTAGATCTGGCTTAATAAAAGAAATAGTATTAGGAAATGAAACCCTAAGAGATCGGTACAATAATTAATTACTTCTTATATTTTTTTATAAAATATTTGCTAAAATCCTTTTAAAGCTCTTTGAGCGATGCCAAAGGAACTTTTGAAGAGGATTATTTTAAGAGAGCAGTCGAACACCCAAATAAATGGGTGCTATCAGTACCTTATAAAAAGAAAGAAGAGAATAATAAGGAAAAAATCTATTCTTCTGTTCTTACGGGCGTTCAAGCTATTATGATAAATGATTCCAGTGACCAAGGAAGCATTACAGCAGCTGTTGGTTTCCAAATGAAATTAGAAAATTTCTATGATCTATTATATAACGATTCTGATTGTCAAGAGTGTTCTTATTGCGAGGTCAGCTATATTAAAAAGAAGAATTCTTTATTTAATTAAAAAGAGAAAGTCGAAACTTATTAACTCCATTTCCATTTACTATTTTCTATAGAAAAATGAAACTGAATGTTATTTGGTAGACAGTCACGGATATATTGTTTTCGCCTATGGTGAAAAACATTTAATTGGCAAGTTTCTAGGAGAACACGATGGTAGTTTGTATAGTGCACTTACTCGAAGAAACGAATACGATAAAAAAGATGATTACATCTACGAAGAGTTCGTAATAATTTATATATTAATTACCTGTATAAGTGTATTTCCTTGGATGTTTTTTTTATTTTGTAGAGTTCAATTATTAGATTATCAGGGTCTTTGTGAAAAGTTACTTCCTGGCTCTTCAAGTGCTTCTTTTCTAATATCCGATGTAAGTTGCTTAAATGATTATGTAACTTAATTAAGTAATATATAAATACTCTAGAATATGATTTTTCTGTTTGTTCTTCGAGTTTTATACATTAACAATTATCTTCTCTTTCTTATACTTAGCCTATTAAAAAACTGTTTACCTCGGTCGTGTGGCTTTTACACGGCCTAGGAACATTTATATTCGAGTTTGGCGTTCAATCTATTTGGAATACTTGGTCGAGTATCGAAGGTATTTATAAAACTTTAAAGAATTGTTGTCAATTATCGAATGAATTACATTTTTTATCTGTAAATCTAATATATTTTAAATCTAATTCAAATTGGAGCATGAACTATTTTCTTTTTTATCTTATTATTTCTTCTTTTCTTTTTATTTTTGGTTTACTTCTTTGCATGAGAACATTTTTTATTTCTACTAATTTCATTTTTATTAAAAACAAAATCTTTGGAAGATTACTTCTTGTGCTTATTGAGGGAATCTTCTTGAGGTTAATTGTTCTGAGAGGTCCTCCACCATGTCACTGGTCGCTTCTGGATATTTTTTATTTTCTCTTGGGGATTCTGCTGTATTTTGTTTTTGAACACGTCTTGTTATACTTATATTTTTCTAAATCTGAAAATTATAGCATCTCCTAAGAATAGAAGTGAATATCGAATGTGCACCACTAGTAGATTATTACTGCATCAGAGCAATCTTGACAACAATGGATTAAACGAATCGTAAGTTCTAAAGGTGACTTGTGACATGGTGAAGGTTATCCTTTACAAATATGGGCGGTGGATCGATCCTTGTCCCTTTTCAATGTTCCTCCATATTTTGAAGGTGAGACCATGAAGGAGCCTGATCGAAAAACCTTGATAAATAAACTCTCTCCAAAAGAAGATAACTATCTACGGAAATTATTAAGTAGTCATCTCAATAAGCTAAAAGAAAATAAAAGACAGATACAAAAGCTGCAAGCTTACGGACAGGATTTACATAAACGAGAGAACGAAACTTATGGTCAAGTTTTAGATTTTCTTGATGATTTGACATCGAAAAAAAGTTGGAGATATATTGATTGCAAATGTCTTCAGCTTTATAGCTTGTCAAAGCTAAATGAGCAAAAAACGTTCAGACAACTTAAAAACGTGTAAGAGTCTTTTTGAAACAATTGTACGGCCAGCATCATGCAGATCTTCTTGTTTTTACTAAAAGAGCACGACTTGTTTAATTTTGGGTTCACTAACCTTCTTATTTCGGTAGAATGTTTTGTTTTTCTATTAGATAATATCAAATTCAAAACAGGAGATGAAGTAATCATGAGATCGTCTTTTATCATTGTCATATTTTAATCATTCCAAAAAGAGAATCATGATTATTTCGGAAAGTTTGAAATTGAAAAATTATCTAACGAAATTAGTGCATGAAAATTCGCCAAAATTTAGTAAAAGTTTATAGTCTTAAAAACAATTCCTCCTAATGGCTCAGCTGGAAAGCTAGAAGAGGCCATCTGTGATCCCGAAAACCCACCAGAAACTGGTAAAATTCTTGAGAAAATGAGCGATTATTTCGGATCGGATTTTGCTGAAGATTTTCATACAAAAATGTTGACTGCCGGAGTAGACTACGTTGAAAAGAGTGACCAACATTGCAAAAAAGCCCTTTCTCATATCAGAGAAACCAAAGGAGATATAATAGCAGGAAGGGAAGAGTGTATTCAGCTATTACCGTTAACTAGACAAGTTGGGTCAAAAAGGCGGGGAGGAAAGCTGAAACCTATTTGCGGACCTGCTGATGGCTGCTTAGAGTAAGTAAAAAAGTGCAATATTCGAGAAAATTTTAAAATTCCTAAATACAAATTAGATGCCTATCTGAAGAAGAATGTCAGGCATGTTATGATGACATGGCCACTGCTCAAGATAAGTATAAAGAAAAACAAAAACAAAAAAATCTAAACTGAAGCAAATCAGTGACCGAAAATTTATCATAGTTATATCAAGCTTTTTATTTGCGGATTGAACGCTGCATGGTGTTGGTTAAGGTTCCCAACCTCTATTCCTGAATATCTTTTAAAAAAATACAATAATTATATACATATATAAATATATATATATATTGTATATATATATGTTTATATATATATATATGCATATAAATTATGTATAAAAAATAAAGTATAAGAGATATAAACTATCTTTTTATGCTAATTAAATGACAAATACCACGCGTATACATATGTATAAATTTACATATATATATACCATATTTATACTGTATATATGCATTGGTATTTGTAACTTTTAGCCTAACTTGCTTAATAGGGTAGAGAAAAGAATTGTATCAACTAATAATTACTAATTAGCCATTTCCTTTTCCACATGTTTGTCACAGGTCTTATCATGTTGAAGAGATACCGAGAACAAATTTAATGTTAGTAATTACAAAGCCTTGCACGGGAAAACACTGCAATTCCGATATACAAGTTTCTTTGAAGCCAGTGCAAATTAAACTAAATGACACAATAATGTGCCAACGATTGCAGTACGATATATACCGGAGGAGACCGGAGCAGTGCCATCCGCATCATGACAGGGTATACCCGATTATTTTCAATGACAAATATTTTTTTTTCTTCTATTAATAATTACTAACGTCAAATAACAGGAGAATTCAGAGGAATGCGGTCGATCCTCGGCTTTACTTCCCAGCATTTGCACATTATTTGCAGCTGTCTTTTTGCCGGTCTTTTTATTAATTACTTAGTCAGGGGACCAGCCAACACAATCTTGGTGCTTAACCGTTCATACCTGAAGAAAAAGTAATTTTTAACGTCCCTCGTTCAAAATCAAGCCAAAATTAATTAAGCAATTAACATTAAAGGTCTATTGCTGTAAAATTCTCAGTAAAACTTTAAATACTATATTGTCTATGAAAAAAAAAAAACAAAAAACAATGAATGTCATAGTCCTGAATTTATCATCTCCCCATGTTTAAATAAACAAGCATATATATATCGTCATAACATAAAACATTCCTAGCCCTCCAGACCCTCTTTGCTATGTTATACCTTTTTGTTGTATATTGAAGAGGAAAACAATCTGTGATTTTTAATTATCACCAATAATTAAATCTTTGTTTTCTGCGGAGTTTTATGCATTGTTTCTATGTGGCCTTATCCATGTACACTTTTATTTGATCGCTGTATATTATTGTTTACTGCAGTGTTACATAATTATATCGCAATGTTAACTGAATTAAATGTATTAATATATGTATATATATATATACAAACATTATTGTATATATGTATATATGCAATATATATTTATAAATTTTTTGTTTCCTCGAATTGTCTTAATTTGTATCCTTGAAAAAAAAACATTCAATGTAACTGAAAGGAAAATAAATATATACCATTGAAATAATAATCTACTTGCCAAATAGTCTTTTTATGATAGAAAAATAAGTAATATAAAGAATTTAACACATAAATAAAATTCAATTTCATATATATGTATATATATATACAGTATAAATTATACATTATTTCAAATATATAGATATTATATAGAATAAAATATAAAACGATCCATTTATTGATTTGCAACAAGTGCTTTTTTATTGATTTTAAACTTTCTAAGATTACATTTTCGCTTAGTTTGTTAACGTTAAATTGAATAATATCTGACGTTTATCCAAATTGATTTAGAGTTAATACAATTCTACATAAGAAGTATCAAAGTCTCATTCTTTAATTAATAAGAAAGAGTATTGAATGTTTTAATAGACTTTTTTTTAAGTTGATTAGTATTTTATATTCATATAATTTCCTTACTTACTTACTGAATAAGAGAAATATAAGATACAAAGAGATACCTAATATACTTTAGATACTTGAATAACATCTAAATAGAAGTTTTATATATCAGATATATTTTTCAAGTGAGATTTCATATAGTTTATTTTTAACCCTCTGTTTAAAACCAATAAAAAAATTCCTCTAATTTATGAAAGAGTATTCCAGAATTGCTCGAACACTCTACTATATTCTAGAACATTCTAGAAAAAATACTCCTGTTCCATTATAAAGAGTTGACTTGTAAAAATAGCTACGGAACAGGACTCCGTACTTTTACAATGTTCTAGATAAATCCCGCAATTTCTTGAATCTTTCTTCAAACATATAAAACCACCTCAAAATTGCATGTCTGACATCAACTCGAAAGAGAAAGTTACACAAAGACTGAAAAACCTTTTTGCAACTGAAAGTTACCGACAGAAACTATGCCAGCAATTGGAATAGATTTGGGCACGACTTACTCCTGTGTCGGGGTACTTCAGCACGGAAAAGTAGAAATTATTGCTAATGATCAAGGAAATAAAACTACTCCCAGCTATGTGGCCTTTACTGATAGTGAACGTTTAATTGGAGATTCTGCAAAAAATCAAGTGGCATTAAACCCACAGAACACAATTTTCGATGCTAAAAGATTAATTGGAAGGAACTACAAGGATCAATCTGTTCAAAGTGATATTAAACTATGGCCATTTCAAGTAGTTGAATCTGATGGAAAGCCTAGAATTAAAGCTGAATATAAAGGAGAAAGTAAGCTCTTTTATCCGGAAGAAGTTTCATCAATGGTTTTAACAAAGATGAAAGAGACAGCAGAGTCATATCTAGGAGAGACTGTGACAGATGCAGTAATTACAGTTCCTGCTTACTTTAACGATGCACAGAGAAGGTCAACAAAGGATGCTGGAACCATCGCTGGCTTAAATGTATTAAGAATAATAAATGAACCCACTGCCGCAGCAATAGCTTACGGACTTGAAACAAAAGCTAATAATGAAAAACACGTCCTTATCTTCGACTTGGGTGGAGGAACGTTCGATGTCTCAATACTCGCAATAGACAGTGGCCTTTTTGAAGTAAAGTCCACAGCTGGTGATACTCATCTTGGAGGAGAAGATTTCGATGATAGACTGGTTAAACATTTCATGGCAGAATTTAAAAGGAAACATAAGTTAGACATAAGCGACAATAAGAGGTCTCTTAGAAGATTAAGGACTGCCTGTGAAAGAGCAAAAAGAGCTTTATCTGCCTCTGTTCAAGCGACGATAGAAATCGACTCTCTTTATCAGGGTATCGATTTTCATTCAACCATCGGAAGAGCTCGATTCGAAGAACTTTGTGGGGATTTATTCAGAGGAACCTTAGAGCCAGTAGAAAAAGCTTTGAGAGATGCAAAACTTGACAAAGGAAAAATCGATGAAATAGTATTAGTTGGTGGATCAACAAGAATACCTAAAATTAGACAACTATTACAAGACTTCTTTAATGGTAAACAGCTAAATCAATCCATCAATCCGGATGAAGCAGTAGCCTATGGAGCAGCCGTTCAGGCAGCTATCCTCTCTGGTGATAAAAGTGATGTGGTCCAAGATGTTCTTCTTATTGATGTTACCCCATTGTCACTTGGCATAGAAACCGCTGGAGGTGTTATGACACCCCTAATGAAACGAGGTACTCGTCTGCCAGCGAAAGAAACTCAGACATTCAGCACATATGTCGATAATCAGCCAGGAGTATCTATTCAAGTTTTTGAGGGAGAAAGGGCAATGACAAAGGATTGTAATGCCTTGGGAACTTTTGACCTATCGGGAATACCACCAGCTCCTAGAGGCGTCCCGCAAGTTGAAGTAACCTTTGATATTGATGCCAACGGCATTCTCAATGTAACTGCCATCGAGAAGGGCACGATGAACTCCAAGAATATCACGATAAGTAATAACAAAGGAAGACTCTCCGAAAAAGATATAAAGAGTATGATAGATGACGCCGAAAGATTCAAAGACGAAGATGAAAATCATAGGAAAAGAGTAAGCTCGAAAAATACTCTTGAATCTTATGCATATAATATGAAACAAACTATGTCGGATAAGAAAATACAAGACAAAATTAGCCCCCAGGAAAGGGATCAAGTAACGGAGAAATGTAATTATGTCATTGAATGGTTGGATAACAATCAAACAGCTGAAAAAGAAGAATTCGATCATCAAATGAAGGAATTGGAGTCCTTTTGTAAGCCTATTATAACTCGAATTTATCAAGGAGCAGAAACAAATAATAATGAAGGAAACGGTCCAAATATAGAAGAACTTGATTAAGCTAAAATACTATACAGTATGATACTATAATGCATAAATAACATATTTTTCGTATATATTTGAGTGGAAGCCTCTCACTATTTCATAACGTTGTGCAATATTTAAAAGATAAAATGTTTATGTCTCTTTGTACTACTGCACTCTTTATAAAATATGTAAATTTTAGTTATATGTATGGTCTTTTTTTTTACATTTTAAACAATTATCTGTTTTTAAATGTTCTATTTATTACAATAAACTATTAAACCTAATTTCAAAAATAAAACAACTCATAACTCAATAAATTTTATTTGGAGTCATTTAATTGTAGAACGAAAAATTAATACATAATTCATTTATTAGGCAGCTCCCAAAGTTGTATTTCTCTTTTATTCAAATCCCATTAACACAGTACATACACTAAACTTTGAAATTTATCAAAGTGAACTAAAGCGAAATCATATCTAGAAACAAATAATAATTATATTACAACCTAATTCAGCTGTCAAGTAAGTTTTCCACTCCAAGAATTCATTCCAAATCGATTACTTGGGGCGGAACCTAGTTCTGGAAAATCTAATTGATCACTTGAGTGTGATAATTCGTGATTACGTTTATCACCAGTTCTTAAAACCTGTTTGCAATTTGGACAAGTAACCAATGAATGTTCATTCTTTTTCCAGCTCTTGCGCTTACTATCCTTGGCCTGCATCGTATTGAAAACGGATAATAACTCATTTTGTTTACTTATATCTGGCAAGAGAGCTATTAATTCTTCAACAATCCCCTTAAATTCCTCGACACCAATCAACTTCTGACATTCTATAAAGTATTCTTGGCCAGTTAAAAGACTTTGCCGAAAGTTTTGCGCTAATTCCTTGAATTTTTCAAGTGAGTCTGAAAAATCGTGCAGATAAGTTGTAATTTTTTTCTGTAACTTTTCATTGCGAAGATGGAAATCTTCTACGGGCAAGTAAAGGATAGCTGCAGTCTGTTCAATGTTAAGACGTCTGGGAACTGTCTCAAATCCGGGTGGTGGCTTCTTTAAACTTTTCACTTCGTTAGTAGATTTCAGCGATGTGTTTTCATCTAATTTTTCTAATTTCTCAGTTGCTGAACTTTCTTCCTTCTCTTTTAAATTTGCTTTTACAGTTCCTTCCTTCTCTTTATGATTTGATTTTCCTTTCTGCTTAGTACTTATTATTAAACCGGCAATTTCACCTAGTAATAAGCCCGGAATTGGATCTTCTTCTGGTTCTGGTTCAATTTTTTTCTTTTTTTCTTTTTTACTTTGTGCTTTCCATACGCCTGGTGTGGGTGCCTTTACATTAGCTTTAGGCTTTCCTAAAGCTGGAAAATCATCAGTATTGGAGACATCAGGCCGTTTATATTGTGTAACATTATAAGTTGCTTGTGAATTTCTTATCTCCGAAGGGTTTGTAATCGAAATTTTCGATTCCGGAGCTTGGGATAGCACGTTTCCAAATGGTATATGTTTACTTTGAGGTATATCAGGGAAATCATCATCATTAATAGAATATGCAGGGGTTTTCGGTTTTTCTTTAACTACTCGAGGTTGAGCTGGTGCAGGATTATGTGCTGGACGGGAGGATAAAGAAATTGGTTTCTGACTCTTTGGTAATTGTGGAAAGTCATCAGAAGCGCGTGATTTTGGCGTCTCTTTCTGAACACCTCTAACCCATTTTCCCGAATTATTGCTAACTCTCGTTTCTTTATTAAGAGCAGGAAAGTCTCCCATTTCACCTTCTTGAACTGACTGACCTGTATTAAATGCAAGCCTGCGAGCCATTGTATCTTTGGACTCCGAGCCTTTTTCTTTATCTGAATTTGAGCCGCCTAAAACTCTGCCATCTAAAGTTGGAAAATCCTCAGGATTTTCGCTGAATTTCTGTCAGCAAATGCAAATGTATTTTACAAAATATGAAAATATGAAATGACTTTGCTATTCAAACCTCAGGTTCTTTAGGCTCCTCAAATGAGCTATTTAAATTATCGTTTACAGGTTCATGCTCACTGGTTCCTCTTCCACCGTAACGTCGTCCTCGTCCTCCTCTATAGGAAAAGTCAATTCCAAATGTTCGTATCTGTTTCGCTTCTTGTTTGCTCATTTTGTTTGAATGATTTCTGGCAATATGGGCTCTATAATCCATGTCTGTGCGAAATGCATTTGTAAATTGCGATTTTTGACATTCTCCTTCTTCACAAAGAAAGTGCTTAATTCTAAAATGCTTCTTCAGGTCTGGATACGAAGAGAAAAATTCATTTGATATTTGATCGGCCTCGCAGAAATGGCAAAAGTAATGTTCTGTCCGCAGATGACGAACCAGAGCATCATTATCGAAAAATCTCTCATCACAAAATTTACACAAAGGATGACCTCTATATGATTTATCATCAGCATCACCCTTGCGTCTATGTGTAGCCAAGTCGGATCTATTATATAGCTTTCTTTCGCATGTGAATATCTAAGAGAATGAAATCATATAAGGTTATTAAAAAAATAAGTAAAATATTGTTAAGAATACCTTCAAATTTGTCAAACACAAATCGCAAAAGAATACTTCATGCTCCCTTTTTACATGAATGTTCAAGCTAGAAAAGCTATCAAACAGCTTTTTACATACTTGACACGGATTCAGTAGTAGGTCTTCAACTTCTATCTTAATTGAATTCTCTTCGAAGAGTATACCATCATATTCTTTATTTCGTAAGAAATTCGTTGTATCAACTTCTTCAAATCGACAAGGTTTCTTTGTGCAGAGAATCTGACAATAAGAAAGACAAAACATGATCTTTTTATTTAAATTTCTCTTTAAATCAGCTTTTTGAAAAGTGAAAAAAGCACCGATTCATCTTTAATTCTCTAATAATCTTTATACCTTGGGTGTTGAAGCTCTGCAAATAGAGCAGTAGGTTTGCTCCATTAAAACCCTCATCCTTATAGCACAAACGAAGCAGGTAGGATGATTACACCGAGAAACAGCATAAGCAGTGATCTCCTCATGACAAATAGGACACGTGTCGTGAGTGCCTGAAAAGGTTCTCCTGTTTGTTCTCTTATTTCTTGCTGCGTTAGGCATTCTCTCATATGGTATAGTAACAATATTTCTTATAGAAATAAGTGATTGAAACCAACTTATATATTGAACAAATTATTGCACAAGCAATATAAATTTCGGAAGTAAACACAAACCACGTTACCGGAAAGAGAATATCATACATAGACACCGGTCGCCAATAGAAACCGGTTACTTTTCATAAATGTATAAACTCCATACTTAAAGAAAGTAGCAAAGATTTTCATTATTCTGAAATTTTTTAGAAATTTTAGAATTCAGTTTTAATCTCCTTGATAAATTAAATCAAAAATCATAAAAAACGATTAATATATTAATGCAGATCATAAGATTACTTCGTTATTATGGTCCAAAATTAGTTAAAATAGTTTGTATTTACTGTAGAGTACATTGTTTGCAGTTATTACCGTTTTTTGTGATATATTGCTTTATTAGAAAGTATTATACTTGTATATTTCATTTAGTAATATTGTAGAAAATAGTTATCCATTTTAATACTTTAAAGTTGATTAACATTAATTTTTATATTTATTCCTATAAATAGATAATAATTTCGTCTTTGGAGATGCTTAACTAATTTTCATTACTAAAATATATTTGTTTATTTAGTATTTTTTTAAATAGAAGTTATCCCTAATTTTATCAAACTGAACGTGTTCAGACAGTTACGAAATAACAAAATAATGAATTACAATAGTTCAATTGCATTATAATAGCTACATCGGAAGATAAAGTAACAAGTGTTGTTCACTGGATGAAGTTTAATGGATGAATATTGATATAATGTATCTTTTAATGAACTAAACTCATTTATTAGTTATTTGGAAAGATAATATTCAAAATCCGCGCCTATGAGAGGTTTCCGCTCAGTGCGGGACTGTTATTGGAATTCTTTTAACTATGGCATTTACTGGTGAGTTTGAAGAGTTTTCTTTAATTTTTATGCAGCTCTGCTCATTTTAATTTTTGCTATATTAAGAAAAGGTCTTAACAACTTAAAGCAATTAATATAATGATGACCCTATGCTTATTTTATAAAAATTATATCTAAAATAATCGAATCATTTGTTGCTAAACACACTGTTGTTTTATTTCAGGTCAAGGAGTTCCAATTGTATCTTTTTTCATGATAAAAATTGCAATTAATTTATTGTATAATGTATTTTGTTATATAAAAAATTTAAATATTTAGTTTAAGAATTTCCTTAACTATAAAAGCGATCTTCATTGCCGTATCAAATTCTCCTATACTTAAATGGTTGGTATTTTGGTCTCTTTTGGATATGCGAGGCTTTAATGCTTGTTTTTAAAGGTTTTTATAATTCAGAATTGTATTATAAACTAACATATTAAAATACAATTCTGCAGGTGAAACACTACCGTTTCCTAAAGGTAACTTAGCATCAGAAATAGTACTTCTCTTTCTTTTAGCCGGCATTGAAGCATTTCGACTTTATTTCGGTACAATATACTCATTTATTTGTATTATATAATATGTATACAGATATATGTAACGATGAAATTCACAGGTCAAAAAGGAAATTTAACAGAAAGAGTACCGTCCGTTTTTGTCTCAATTATTCTTAGCATTCCAGTAGCAGTCCTTGTAGTATTCTTTCTAATTTGGCAAACTTATATCCTTAGAGCAGAGGTAGTGACATGTGCTATTTTATTGGGTTTTGTTGGCCTGGAACTTATTTTTGGAATTATTTCTCTTATAACATTTGGAAGGTAATTTAACAATAGAATTTACGAGACAGAAAATATATGTAATTTATTTATTTTTTAAATAGGGCTACATCATAAACTATGACTAGATCTTTAAGAAATTATCATTTATGTGACTTTTATTTATTTTTTGTACGAATTTTAGTTGTGATAATATTCTAACGCTATCGAAAACTGCAGTTTTTCTGATCAATAAATCTATAACGAATAACTAGTTTCATCCATTTTTTTGTAAATAAATAATCCATTGATTTAATTGAATAATAAATTGTCAATTTGAATAAGTATATTTTGAATATTGAAATTTAAAATTCAAAATTATGCACCTATGGATCATAGAGAAACATCGCAATTTCTGAAGAATTGAATTGAACTGGAAAAAAATGAATTTAAGTAGAGCAGACATATGTGTTTTGAATGTGAAAAGGGAACTGATTGATAATATTCAACATACTATATATTGTGGAGAGCTTAGAAATCGAAATAAGGGAGAAATTATTGGCTCATTTCAATTAAATCTTAGAAATGATATATTAGATGCAAGAAGTTCTTCTGAATCTTTAAGTGAAAATGAACAAAGGGTACCAAATATTGGAAATATTTCTTTTAATTCTGAAAAGAAAAGACCATCATCAATTCTAGCTAATAAACTACCCCAGAGAAGTTCGTCTAGTGGTCATCTTGGTAGAAAATTAGATTCGTTGCCAATTGTTAATAAAACTGCCTCAATTGATCTTGGTAAAATTAGTAGAAAAATTCCAAATGATGATAGAATTGTTGACAATCTACTAACAGATAGCTTCATGTCAGAATACTCAAAAAAATCAACAGACGCATTGAAAAGTGATAGAAGCGAGAAAGGGACAAATTCCTCTCAAACATCTAATAGATCAGCCAATTCCACGAAATATGAGGAATTATCATCTCCTAATAATTTTAATATTAATTATGATTTCAAGATGAAAAAGAATAAGTTTATTCTAGGTTGTATGAAATTCCTACAAAAACAATAATTGTCATTAAAATCCTTTGAAAATCTTAGAAGATAAATCGTCGAATGAAATGGAATTTGAAGATGGAGAACTGCAATTGAACGGCCTTCATCAATTAAGTAATTACGAACAGGTAAAGCATAGTTTGTAGCAGTTCCCTTAAATTATTATTTAACAATTACAAAGATAACGAAAATAATAAATCAAGAGAATGCCGAAGATGATCCAATTGTGCATATAGGCCCAAACTTTTCTGAAGAACCCCAATATTTAAATGAGAATTTACAAGCTCTACATAATCCAACATTAGCTGAAATGAATACTGAAATACTCAGATACTCCCCACGTAGCCCTTCAAATGAATTATTTAATGAAGATAATTCATCGTATCACATTCAAGAACATTGTATACCTAGTTTAGTAAATTTCAACAGACAAGGACAATTAAAAAAGTTAAATAAGAAGCTAAGTGACTATAATGTTACTGCTGAAAAAATGTCTAAAACTTCAAATGTAAACATTAATGTTAATCAATTGAAAGAATGTAAAAATTCTCCTAACAACTCAAGTACCGTTCCAAGTCTATGCAATGGAGGTGATAACCTAGAAGACACATTGAATAATATGAATAAATTAAATTCAAGTCTAAAGTCGGTTCCATCAGTTATTGTGGAAAGCTACGATAGAATTCCTACATATAAATCCAACAAAAATATTCAACTACAATCATTAAATAAGGCAGAAAAAGCTTTTAGCAATAAAAGCAAACAGTGTTATCAAAATCGAACTGCACAAACATCTATTGACTCGGAATTTCTCAGAAAAATATCAAATGCTAAGAATACGAAAGATAAACTTCATCATCTTAAGGATTGTGGTTCGTTGGACGATAATTACGGAGTTGATATCGCTCTCGGAGGGGATATTATAAGTATTCGTAGAAAGAAGAAAAAGCAAAATCCCTCATGTATTTATAGAGATTATAAATTTTTCCTTCGTTCAAAGGCACAAAATACAAATTTTTCATAATTTTACTTGTTCATAGTAACGAAATAAAATCTTTTTTTAACTGTCTTTCAGTTGTGAAAGTTTAAGTGTTGCGCAATGCATACTAATCCCAATTGTAAAACGGAAAAATCTGAATATTTTGCATAAGCCCGCGAAGATGGCGGTTCAGTCAGTTGAAGAATTAAAATTAGGTTTTTAATATCAGCTTTGATATAAAGTTCAATCTAATATTGTTTATTATTATTATAGATGGTATACAAGAAAATAGCTTTCTGACGTTTATCAAAGGTCTTCCTGAGGTAAGGTCTTGTGAAATGCTTACAATAACTCTAATTATCGCTCTTCTTCCAGAAACCTCCAACAACCATTCGATTCTTTGATAGATCAGTTAGTAATTAGTTTTATATAATTAGTATATATTATCTTTCTTCATATTAGTTGGATTAATTGAAAAAGAGTACTTTGCATGTTTAAGTATTAACATTTATTCTCACTGTTGAAAGTCAAAATCACTCATTCTTGAAACACTTTTGAATGAGTAGATATGCGACCTAAATGATTTTGAAATGTCCTGAAAGAAATCTACTTAAATGTACAACTGATTTCCAGGATTTCTACTCTGTACATGGAGATGATGCTATTTATACGGCAAAAACTTTCTTCAAGTCAACGGCCGGATTAAAATATTTAGGCTCAGGAAAGAAGACTATGCCTTCAATCTGCTTAGGAAAAGCGAAATTTGAAGCATTTATTCGCGAGTTATTATTAGTGAGGCAATACAGGGTTGAAGTTTTTGAAAATAGTGCAGGAACTGGAGCAAAATGTCAAAACTGGAAAGTCACCTTTAAAGCTTCTCCAGGAAATCTTACTCAATTCGAAGATGTTTTATTTGGAACAAAAGAAATGGATTCGGGAGCAGGTGTTATGGCTGTTCGACTCTCTACTAAAAATAACAAGCGGATTATAGGGATGGCAATAGTAGATTTGACTCTGAAAACATTTCAAGTCTGTCAATTTTCTGATAGCGACAAGTTTGGAACGCTCGAAGTAATTCCCTTCGGACACTATTTTACTGTTGTATTAATTCTCTTTATTCCATACAGGCAGCCGTAGTGCAACTTTCACCTAAAGAGTGTGTAATTTGTCCAAGTGAAGCTGAAATAAAACCCATCTTTGAAAGATCGAATATTTTAATAAATGAGCGGAAGAGAGCAGAATTTAACCCGAAACATATTGAACAGGACATGAACAGACTCTTGAAAAATCAGAATGATTTTCTCTTACGTAAGTACCTTACGTGTCTTTTACAGAATACATTTTTGATACTTCAACTTACAGCTGATATTGATCGTGAGCTTATTTTATCCTGTTTGTCGGCTCTTATCTCCTATCTAGAGGTTTCAATGTTGTTTGCTTTTAACGGTGTAGTGTACTAAATGTCAAAACTTCTTTTTAGATATTAAATCAAGAAGAAAACTTTCAGCAATTTACATTAGCAACAGTTGATCTAGATCAATATATGAGACTTGACTCTACCGCAGCAAAAGCTTTAAACGTTTTGCCAGAAAATCAAGGAGTTCAATCAGATTCCCTATTGGGAGTTCTAAATGAATGTAAAACGGCCATGGGTCAAAGGTAATCTGAAATTAGTTATTCCACTATCATGAAATTCACTATATATTTTCCAAAAGACTATTAAATCAATGGATCTTGCAACCACTTAAGGATGTTCAACTTATCATAGAGAGACAAAATACTGTATCTGTATTTGTTAACAATAGCTTGATGAGAAGGACTATTCGTGAAATATTAGCTACTCGTGTTATTGATCTTGTAAGAGTCTGTGGAAAATTTAATAGAAAGTTTGTATTTCGATTGCATTTTAACATTTTCAAATCGTCTATCCTTCGTATATTCAATTAATTTTCAACAGGAAAGCAACTCTCGAGGACTGCTATAAAATTCAACAATGCGTTAACAGGTTGAGCGAAATTGTCACGGCGTTAGAGATGGATGAGAGTGAAGAAGGCAAAAGAGAAATACAAGCTAATTTTGTTGGACCACTTACTGTATGCAATAATCCGAATAGCAAACTTTTTTCTTAAGTAATCTCTTTTTAGGAGCTAGGATGTGATTTGAATAAATTCGATGAACTCATTACGGAAACTCTTGATCTCAAGGCTGCTGAAGAAAGTCGAGAATATTTCATTAAAGCCGATTTTGATTCTGAATTGGAGGAGCAGAAAGGACATTTAGATGAAATTAGGCAGGACATCGAAAATCTTCTGGAAGAGGTTTAAAGAAATTTATGCTATTTGTTATTTTTCCTTAATTGAAGTTGCATTTCCAGGTTGCTGTGAAACTTAAACTAGAAGCAAGGAAAGCACTTAAGTTAGAAACTAATTCACAATATGGATACTTTTTTCGCGTAACGAGAAATAATGAAAAAACTATTCGAAATAATAAAAGTTGTATCATTATTGAGACAAGAAAAGATGGAGTTAAGTTCCGTACGGGAAATTTACAGGACTTGAGTAAAGAATACGATTCAAGTGCCAGAAAATATAAAGAAATGCAAAAAATTTTAGTCGAAAAAGTTTTAACTGTTGCCGCTGGATACGTTGACTCGTTGCTTAATCTAGCTGCAACGTTAGCCAAACTTGACGTTTTGTCAACATTTGCCGAAGTTGCTGTTGGGGCTCCTATACCATATTGTTGTCCAGAAATTTTCGATAGCGAAGAAGGAATTATTGACATAAAAAATTTGAGACATGCTTGCGTAGAACGTCAAGATGACGTTGCCTATATTGCTAACGATATTTTAATGAAACGAGGTAAGAGTTAAAACTTTTTTATTTAATGTATGATAACGCCATCTAGAGTATAAGCTTTTAAAACACCTTTCTGTCATACAACCTATAATAGCTTTCTTGAAAGAAATAGCACTTATATAGTTATATAATTAACTATTTGTTTAATTGATTCTAAAATTTCAATATTTAAACAAAACGTTCCTTTTAATATGCTTTTGAAATACTAACAAATGTATCGTAGGCATATGTTACTTTAGTGCAAACAAGGCGACATATGCTGTGGAAACTTTCCCGCTCATAAATCTCTCTTGTCTTTTTTGTACCAAAGCTTCCCTGAAACCATAAATTAGAGCGTTCACACATTACAAATTTCATACTATATTAGATTACCTCTATTTTCAGGTGAACAAATGCTAGTCGTAATTACAGGACCAAATATGGGTGGAAAATCTACTTATATAAAGTCAGTCGGGGTGGCTGTGTTACTCGCGCAAATTGGATCATTTGTACCTGCGGAAAGTGCAAAGATTTCCGTTACAGATGGCATATTAGCAAGGGTAGGAGCTGGCGATTGTCAAATGAAAGGAGTCTCTACTTTCATGGCCGAAATGTTGGAAATTTCATCTATTTTAAGAGTAATTTTTCTCATACATTCAGCTTCTTTACAACACCTCATACCCAATTGTTCTCGCCTGCTTAATTTCAATTCTGTTTATAGTGTGCTACGAAAAACAGCCTACTTATTATAGACGAATTAGGACGCGGAACTTCAACTTACGACGGTTTTGGGCTGGCATGGTCCATTGCTGAGTTAGTAAAACAATTTTTAACAAGCCTTTTATCAAAATTTCTCAGTTGAAAGGTTAATTAAGGTTACCAAAATCTATTTATGCACCGAGTACAATATTAACCTAATGTTACACCAAAGAAGTTTTCTTTTTTACAAAAAAATCAAAGAAAAAAACAGTAAAAACTGTCAAAGCAATATAGAGAAGCTTTTTTACTTGCCTTATCACCTTTCTTTTCTGTTTTAGGAAGGGACAGAGTACATAAAATTTATACATTTTAATGAACTCATTAAATTTAAATGAGTTTCGCAAGCTAAAACCGTTAAAGTTATTGATATATTTTACAGATATATTGCTAGTAAAATAGACGCTTATTGCTTATTCGCCACTCATTTCCATGAATTAACTGCCCTAGCGGATGAAATTAAATCCGTAAAGAATTTTCACGTTGCCGCTCTATGCGAAAATGAAACTTTAACCCTTTTATATCAAGTCCAAGCAGGTAAGCCCATAACTGACATACATTTTATTTAAAACTAAACAAACTTTATTCTCATTTGAAGGTGCCTGTGATAGAAGTTTCGGTATAGACGTTGCTCGAATGACAAATTTTCCGGAAAGAGTCCTAGAGGTGATTGTAGAAGCTAAACTACGTTTGATCGTTACGACAGCAATGTAATGTTGATGCCATAATGATCAAGAGAAGTTTTGCGCTTCCAGTTATTTTCTTATTAATATTTAAGCGTTGTTTTAAAAAAAGTTGAAAAGCCTAAAGTACTTCCATGCTATCCGCCATTGCTGCCTTTAAAATTATTGGCAGCAGAATGGCGGTTAACGTGTAAGCACGTTAGAGTCTTGTAGCGAACTGAACGCCCTATGGGCTGGCATCCGTTTAAAAAGCCTCGCGCCTCGTCGTACATCATTTTTTTTTATACTTGAACGTGATGGGGCACGTTGAACACGTTGCGAAAATATTTTAGTGTAAAAATAATTTTAACCGTTATACATAACCACTTGAATGCGGTCTATCAATTATTCATTATTCAAATTATATTTCGCAATAATAACTAATAACACTTGTAAAAACGTAATTTTAACCTATATACAGTATATATACTGTATTATAAAACGACAAAGCTATTACTATCTTTATTACTATTAATTATCTAAACAAGAATCAAAATAAAATATTTCTATAATTTACCAACTATAACTTGCTATAAAAATGCTTAGTTTATATACTAATACAATATATAGTGTATGCATTCTCCATCTATGTATATATTATATATTGTATATTTATTTGTATTTATATATTTTGACACAAACATTAAATTTACGATCGCTTCTGTTTTAAGTACGCCAAAAAACGTGCCGAAGATCTTGAAGATTACTCAGGATCAGCTGACGATAGTGAAGAAATTATCAAAAAGAGAAGAATTGACAGAAAAGTAATATATTGCATATCAACTGTACAGTTTAGTATAATTAAATCTATTTGAATTTTTTAATATTTCAGGGTGGTGAAGATAAGATTGAGCAACTTTTAAGAACGTTAAAAGCTAATTGTAATACTCATGATGACTTAAAATCATCTGCTGATGACTTCAAAAAAGCTCTGACAGAATCAGATAATGCATATTTAAAGGCTGTCTTCAAGTATTAGGCAACGAACTAAGTTTCTGACACTCGTTCTTAATGCTCTATTTTGTATTAATTAACTTCATTTGTTTAATCATAGTACTACTTTTTTTTTAAAAAGAAACAAAGAAAAAAAAGCCTATGTTTTTATCAAACCAGTTTTTATATACATTCACCATATTTGTTCAATTTCATTTTTAAGTAAAGAATTATAATAAAAACATAGTTTTCCATTTAAAATTAAATAAACTAGTACTACATTTTCGTGTAATAGTCTAATATAATAATAACTTGATACAAATTATTCTATAAACAGTACGTTATTTCTATTGAGGTTAATTAGTTTTTTTTCTCATTTTCGACTCTAGCATTTTATAATAGGCTAATAGAATTCAAAAGAAAATGAATAAACTATTGAAATTATCAATTTATTTTCTCTCTTTTTTAACTTTTTTGTTATTCTTTAACAAATATATTAATAACTTATCGATAATTATACCTTCCGTGTTGTTTGACTTTTTCAGATATTAATGTTATAGGCCTACAGTCGTAGGATGACTTATATCCGTTTACCAGAAGAGATAAAACATTTTGGTAAAGATTTCTGAATGAGTTGTAGCGACATCTATAGTATAATTTTTCAATTGTGTTTAGCAGACGAACTTCGGTTTACATATATAAATATATGCGTCAAAGAAATTGATTGTTTACATTGTTTTATCATGATTTTTGGGCAAGTGATCATCGGTCCACCTGGCAGTGGGAAAACAACGTATTGTAAGGCTATATTTGATCTTCTTGAGGCTCTTGGTAGGAAGGTAGCCATTGTAAATTTGGACCCGGCAAATGAGTTGTTGCCTTACACATGTTCTGTCAACATAAATGAACTGATAAAACTTGAAGAGGTGATGGAACGATTAAAACTTGGACCAAATGGTGGTCTTCTATATTGTATGGAGTATCTTGATAAAAACTCAAAGTGGCTTTTAAATAAAATTGAAGAATTAAAAGATAAATATCTGATATTTGATTGTCCTGGTCAAGTGGAACTCTATACTCATTTACCAGCCATAAAAAATGTAATTACTCTTCTGTCAAAGAATATTCGATTGGCCGCAGTTAATCTTATAGACTCTCATCATTGTTCAGAACCAGGAAAGTTCATTTCAGCCTTATGCATGTCTCTATCATCAATGCTACATTTTGAATTACCCCACATCAATGTATTAAGTAAAGCAGACTTAGCGAAGAAGGCTAACTTGTCATTTAGACTAGATTTCTACGCCGATGTCCTAGATCTCTCTTACTTATTGGAACAAGCGGAAGAAGCCGAAAGTTTTAAGAAATATAATAAATTAAATAAAGTTCTCGCGGGTATAGTAGAAGACTACAGTCTAGTATCCTTTATACCTCTTGATGTAACGATGAAAGAGAGCTGCCTCAGAGTAGTTAGAGGAGTTGATAAAGCGAACGGCTATATTTTCGGAGCTGAAGAGGAATCAAATATTCAGACTATGTTGTCTTGCGCAGTAAAAGCTGAATGGCAAGACGATTTGTACGGTATGATACAGGAAAGATATCTAGATGAAAGAACTTCCGATAATGATGAATTCGATGATAATATTTAGTTAATTGAACTTATCTTTATCTATATTGTTTTAATACTATCCATCAATTTAACATTGATATTTGAATTATCACCGCCGTCAGTCAAATCCATATTCACCGATGAACATCTACTCGAACGATTGTTCTCCTTAGATTTCTTAATAATCCTTTTCGGCTGATTCTTTACAAATTTATTAATAGTTTTCATTCTAGGATTTTTAATTTGGATAGAACAATAGCTTTTCAAAGATTTGATTAGTTTCGCCAACCAAAGATGATGATTGCCATCTCTTTTTCTTATTCTTACAATAGTTTCTTTTGGCTGTGTTTTCATTTGCTTAAATGATTGGATAAGTAAAAAATTTTCTATACAAACCCTATCGCTTAAATGATCATCATCATCATCATCATTGTCATCGTCACTGGAATTTTTCTCTCCTATTTTTTCAACCTTTCCGTTTAGATGAGAATGCTTATTTGTCTTCATCTTTCCTGTATTGGAAAATAATGAAGATTTTCCCCTAATTTCATCGTTTTTCTCCTCTCTTAATAGATTAATATCCAAGGAGACCCTCTTCTTATTTTTTAAATCCTGCTTTATCTCTTCCTTGTCCAACTCCTCATTAGTGGATTTTCTACATTTGTCATCTTGACTATCAATGATATTTCTCGTGGATTGATAATCTTCAACATTTTTTAACAATCTTCCATTAAAGTAATGATTTTTAGTATTTAAATGATTAAATAAATACTGATGTATTTCAGATGATGATAGTTGCCTTCCCCCTAGATTATCTAACCCTAAATTTAATGTAAAATTGATTTGTTCAATAATATTGCATAGTAGTTGAACATCAACTCTAAAGAATTCCTCCATATTATCATCAAAAAGTGTATTGATACCAGTAAATTCTTGAACCTTAGAATGTATAGTCGCATGTTGGAAACAGGTGAGTTTCGGAATAGTCCAACTACTGGAATATTGATCAATAGGCCTTAATACTATATTTTTTAGTTCTATTTTATTAATTATGGTATAGGAGTTGTGTAAATTTTTAAATATTTCAGCTAGAGTTATTAAGATTTCAATCCATTGTTGATCAGTAAGATTATCATTTGACTTTTTCGATCTTTTTTCATAATCCAATAGAATAATTCGATCTAGGGAAATAACTTCAAAATTAAGAGGATCTCCAATAAGATGACTAACAATTCCTATTTCATAATAGAATGGATTTAAAGATAGTATTACTAGTCCAACTAAAATTGGACAAATTGATGAATTATTAGTATTTAAGTAGTTTAATATTATTGATTCTTGGATAATCCTACTTAAGCTGTTATCTTTATCGTCTTTCCTAAATAATTTCAATACTACTGCAGCTTCTCCTCTCTCATTTGAAAAATTTAAATGAATTATCTTATTTGTCCTGATTTCCCTATCATTCGGTACTTTACATAAGTAATTCTTTAAATATGAAGCTACGTAAATACTCTTTTGTCCTTTTGATATTACTCTTACACCTTTCTCCTCATCATCAACCAGAATTAAATCTTCATTATCTAAGAAGCGAAATTCTTTTAGGATAGAGTCAATATGATCAATCTTATAATTATCGTTGCATTTCTCATAGGCGCTTACTAATCTCTTCATGACTGCTTCGTCCTTTGATAATATCTTTGGAATTGGAATTTCCGAATACTGTTTCCTAGTGTTAAATGAGCCAATGGATGATTTATTATACCAATCTGTTTGTCTTATTAATTTCCATATGAAATTACTTCTCTTCTCATGAAGATTTTCAACAGTTGGTTGAGAAATGATTGACTTCAATTTTATGGTATCTTCATTATCTTTGCAATTGTTCATCTTGCTTAAATGTTCATTTCCTTCCCTACTTTTATCATCCGATATAATACGATTTAAACTTTCATCTAATAGAGATTCTCCTGTTTCTGATAGATAAATTTCCTTTCCGAGGAAATTATTCATTTGAAAGTTTTTATGATTATCAGCTTCGAAGGAAAATGGATCTTTATTAAGTGGAAAATCACCAATTTTCTTGTCGAGGAACTTTCCTTCGTCAATCTCATTAATCTTGTTAATTAATCGATTCTGAGATTTATCGTTGAGCTCATGCTTTCTCCCATGACTCATTAAATGTTCATTAGAAATAGAGTTGCTTTTTCTATTTAAAGAGAATCTCGACATACTAGGCCTAAATTTGTCAAATTTCTGATACAGACAACTCTTAGAAATAGGAGTATCATTTAATAGATTCTGAAGCGAATCGGAAGAACTCAATAATCCTTTTAATTGATTTGTAATAAGAGATATTGGAGTGACGTCAGGCCTATTTAGATTTTTGTATGTCGGTCTATTTTCAGAATATGTCAAATATTCTAAATGCTCCTTGGAATTGAATTGATGATTCTATAATTTGTTGTAAAAAATATTTAATATTTTAATTATGTTAATTAGATTCAAATGCATATTAATTATGTGTTTGTACTTTCTTCTTTGTATTTGAAATATTAAAGTTATCTCTGGATAAGTTGGTGACGGCATACTTTTTTGCGTAGTTATCTATTAATAGACTTTCTTCCGTAGGAAATCTATTATAATCCGAAAACGTTGATGGTCCCCGAAAATCTGAGATTCTTTTAGATTTAAGTCTATCTTCTATTGTATTTTTAATAATTCTAAAGTTGGGAATATGCTTTTGGTTACTTCTATCGAAATCTAAAGTTCGCCTTTTCTTTGTAAATTGAGAGTATGGTTTGGAGTTTGTCTCATGATAACTCTTCAAGATATTATCTTCTAAAAGAAGTGGATTATTCACTTGAACGTCGGTCTTTTCATACTTTGGCTGACATTCCTCTGTTATGGTTAAATAATTGATAAAACCGTAAGAGCAAGAAATGTCATACCTTTTATCAAATCGTTTTCTACGGGCGATATAGGGAGCATTTTCTCTTCACAATGATTTTTGAGCTCACTGCAATTATTAGTTTTCTTTAAATGATCTATATCTGTCATCTTATCTATCTTAGAGTGTTGAATAGAATAACCACTAGTTTTTCCATCGTCTATAGTATTGTCAATCCCGGAATTTCCTTTGTTTTTAAATGTTCTTCTGGTTAAGGTAGGCAATTGGCGAGGTTTATAATCAGGACTGCGAATACCTAATTCTTCTTGTAATTTTTTCAATTTTTTATCTTTTCTAGATAATCCGTCGTACTTATGAAATATAGTGACGTCATTCTGTTCTTGTATCTCATTAGTTTGAGTTGTCATAAAATGGTTTTTCTTATTGTCTGATATTTTTTTAAAAAATTAATGAATTTTGATTTTTAAAGTTTCATGATGTGGAAATTTAATTTCTTTTAAAAATAGTAAATTCTCTAATATTATGAAAGTGAATATTGTAAAAAATAGAACAATATAGAAAAAGAATAAGCCATTTAAATTGTTTAATGAAAAAAACAACATATTTTTTATTATATGTTTTACACAAGCATTTGAATAGTATCTAACAAGAATTAATTTAAAATCCATCAAAGTCATCATCAGGCATATCGGCCGCAGCGTCAATTTCGTGTTGCTCTCTTTCCCGTCTTTGTTCAGGAGTTTCCAAATTGCGCTGATATGATTTTGGCGGATACCTAAAAAAGATCAATTTTTAAATAAGAGAACTATCTTTTTTTTACAATTGTCAAGCTTTACAATCTTTAAAGCACAAAAAGGTGGAATAACAGTAGAAAGAGACTAGTTGTTATTGGCAAAAAAATATTTTAAGAATATTGAAAAACAAAACTAACTCGTATAACTCAGATTTTTACAAACCTTAGAGCCTTTACGCATTGCCTCTGTAATTTCAGACAGTACGACAGTCGCGTATCAAAAGCGTAAGTTGGCTCCATTGTTATATATACATCAGCCGGATGTCGCGCATCCAAAGTTCCAAATTCGTGGTCAACACTAGTCGATGTTGGATCCAGTACCTTGTCGCGGATCGCTTTAGACACAATGTATTCAGCGTCCTCAGGAGAGTCTAAGCCCAATTTTGTAGCTACATCAACCAAACTAATTCTTGAGTAAGCACTTGCAATTCTTCTGACTCCTGCTTTAATTACATTGTGTCTGATCCTCACTGAAATTAATTTCAATGTTAACAGTCGACTAGGAATTAAAGAAAGGCAAAAATTACCAATTAAAGTGTAAGTAGCGTGCTCCTCAAAAAGTTTCTCGTGTTTCTTTAGGCAGTCTCCAAAAGCATCTAACCTTCCAGCCCTTACAGCTCTTGTTAACTCCAAGTAGGGCTCCAATGTATGTCTCATACCCGATGCCCTAAAGGCTGCACGCTCTGGTATGTCACCCAAAAGTAGTTGGACAACTACAGTCAATCTAGCTACATGTTGACGAAATCCTAGAGCACCAATTGACGGAGCTTTTCGAGAAGCAGCAACAAGATGTTTGTAAGCTGAACTATAATCAAGTTGGATTGCGCGCAGTTTCGCAACGTAATAAAGATATCTGAAAAATAAAATAGATAGTCATTCATTCTACATCAAGTTAAACTAGTAGTTAATTCACACCTAGCGTGTTGGTTGGATGATGCATTTTCAGGCATAGTAGTTTTCGATACCAATTTATCTGCTTGGGTATACAATTTCGCTTCCACGTAGGATCTTAGAAGTAGAACTAGCAGTGTAGCTTCTGTTTCAGCATGTCCCTTAAGTGTTGAAGTCCTCAAAGCAGCATGAAGAGTGGGCCGTAATGGTTCCTCTGGCTCTTTACAAGCTTCCATACTTCTTGCAGAGTAAAAGAAGGCTCTGGCGGACAATGAATCGAGAACCGAATGACTTGTTATCTTGTCCAACAAGTCTTTACCACACCGTAATAATATGGTTTTTTCTACTTTCTTCTTGTTGAATTCATCAAGTAAATACATGCATAACAGCATGTGCAAGTAAATTTCGCATTCAAATGCTAAATTTTGAGGGGTGGACACCTTGTCAAATCTTTCAGTGCCTTTATCACTCTCAGGGATATAACTTATAATTGTTTCCTTAGAAGATGATTGGCAAAAATTTGTAATAGCTTGTTTAAGAACTCCAGGGTTTACCCGTCTTCTTAATGAGGGTAAAGCTCTTAAACTCCTAGCCGCAAATCTTCTTTCTTTAGTATGTGCTGCTTTGTCGATGTTTCTTATTTGATCTCTTATATCTAATGTACAAAAGGAAAAAACTTTTTAATGTAAGCTATCATGCATGTAAATTGAGGTCTGATCAAATTTACTTAAGATAAACGGCAAATCTGAAATATTATTTTCAATGATTTAGATATTTTCTGTTTGTAAATTACTTAATTTTCATGACATAAACAAAGTATAGTTGATATGTCATGTTGAATTTCGTCGCGATCCTATAATTCGCTGGGTGATTCAGCAAATAAAATATTTAAAATTTTGATTCTGGCTGCTTATAATATAAGAAATACACTACCTTCTAACGTTAACAAGTCTGGATCCTTTGTTTCTTCCACTTTTTCCGTCTTTTCGACATCTTTCATTTCGACGTCCTTAGAGGCAGATTTCGTTTTTTCCATTGTCTATGTTGGAATCAAATAATCCAAGCTTACTGGAATTTAAATTATACTAACAGACTGATCTTTTTCCTAATTACTTTTAAGAATGAAATGTTAATCCAAGTAATTTATAAATGGAAACGGAAACGAAAGAGTTTTACGGGTATGCAGTGAGGCCGGTTGCACTTAATACAGGACCGCAACTATTAAAAATAGTTCCGCACTTTTTTTCTAAACATTTTTCTTCAACTTTCAAATAGCTAGTCCCTGAGTGGACCAGGAGCCCCATCCCATACCTTAGAAATTGTACTTTTTAAAATTGTCACATTTGTACCTTTTATTTGTTCGTAGAAATTCTTCCTTCAAACATGTCATGCAGTATTCAATTAAAATAAGACAATATCAATTATATTATCATCTACATCAGTTTAATGGAAAATAAAATTTCGAAAATTAAATGATGAAATCGTGTGAATTTTTAGATATAAAACAGAAAATATGAATAAAATTATACAATCAATAACGCTTCGCTTTATTGAAGTCAGATGGTATTTTATCTTTTATACATATATGAAATGTAAAAATGTAAAGAAACAAATTAAACTTTTTCCTTTTCTTTATAGATAAAATTGATTCAAGAATTCTCTCAGTTTATGCAATAAGTTAGATGAAAAAAAAACAGTCCTCTCATAATCACGAAAAGTAAATATGATTCTATATTTACATAAATTTTAAATATTGGAACTAAAATGCAAATGATGGTGTACGAAGCAAGCCATTCAATTCCCTCATTCACCAAGTTTTTTATTCTTTTACATTTCATCAATGAGCAGCACCAAAATAATAAACTTGATGATTTCTCAAGTTTTCCTTTTATGAAACTTAGCCGGTGATTTATAGTTAATTTCATTTAGAACATGTCTGAATAGAAAAGAAGAATATTAGGCGGAGATGAGGATATTATAATAGAATTGTCGGGAAGAAATACTCACTTATTTACATAAAAGAAAATATAGCCGTAAGTTTGACACTCGTTTAGCAGTGACTTTTCGTCCTGATTGTAGAGACTCGTAACTTCGTTATCGTTACATCGATACCATTTACCGTCCGATGATCGTAATACACTGCAAGTATAGTGCCCACCATGCGCACTACCAGAATGGGAAATTATGGAGACGAGCCGATAAGAAAATCCAGGTTGTGTTTCGTCATCATAATCTTCATCATCTGTTATGCTCTCTAGTTGCTCTAATTTTCTCTGTCGTTCAGCCTCAGCTTCATAGAGGCTCTTTTCTAGAGCTTCCTGTAGTTGTTCCTCCTCTTCCTGCATTTTACTTCTCCTTTCCTCTTCAAACTGGAGTTTACTCTGTTGAATAGCTTTTTGTAACTCTTCATCGTTTTCGTCTAGTTCACATTCTTCGATTGTGGCCTGACTTTGTACATCTGCCTCAGATTGTTTAACCGCAGGACTACCACCTAGCAATCCACAAGAGTTAGTAGAACTGTCATCTTGTTGTAATGAAAATATTTCCTTTCTCCTTTCCAGCGAGTTATTTTCAGAATTACCTCCCAAAAGACCATTCGGAGATGTACCAAGTCTATCATTAACCGGGAAATTGGGAATTTCTTGATTTTCCTCAGATCCACACTTCACTGACGATGATGAAGTCGGTTCCACGGTTGAATTCATAGAAGTTCCGCTGTACACAGGGCCATCATGTAAAAAGCTATTGGGAGATGCTCTTTCGTGCCTAACGCTTTCATCTAATAAATCGTCCCTTCTGTCCTCATCGCAGCTAAAATCTAATTTTTTATAAGGACCTTTTTTACCAACGTCTTGACTATCAAATAAATCAGCTTCACCATCATCATACTTGTTTGCATTAACATTATCCATCAAACCATTTGAGAACTCTTCTCCATTACTGGGCTTGAACCTTTTCACATCTTTAGCAAAATAACTTGAAGAATCCGATAGTAAGGTATCGGCAGGTTTCTTTTTAGTACTCTGGAAACGATTTTTGAATCTTAATCTAGTTCCATTCATATCACCACCAGGAGAATCAGGAAAATTGTTTAATTCAGTTTCTCTGTTATTTTCCAAGTTCCTTTCGAATTCCTCAATGACATCTCTCAGAAAGTTATCACTCGGAGAAATATCCGAAGACAAAGAGGGTGAAATTGTTGTTTCATCGCAATAATTTGATAGATTTAGGTACCTTGGTATCATAACAGCGGATCCTTTCTTCTCCAATTTATTGTATCGTTTCAAATGTAGAATCAAGACTCGTGGTAGTCTATAAAATTTATGAGAAAGAACACCACTTTTATTTTCGCATTTCTCGCAAGTATACTCAACTTCTTCCTCGCTCATAAATTGTTTTAGAGCTGAAACGAGGCTAGGTCTATCAGGCATGAGGAGACTCATCTGCATATTTGATTCCTGTTTAGTTACTAGATTTCCACATTTATTGCATCTTATGTTTTCGGTTGTAACTGTTTCAAAGTTGATTAGGACTGAATTTTTATATTGTTCAAAAGATTTTTCCTTGTTGATAGCCAATAATTCTTCTCTTAAAATATCTAAGAAAAATGTTAAAAATTCCTGAGCATCATGCTGTTGAGTTCCAGCAAATGTTTCCGCTTTCTTAACAAAAGCCTCTTTCACAGATTCTAAATGACGCCTCTCTACTCTCCTTAGCTTCATGACGCTAAAGAGATGGCATACTGAGAGAAGCAAGCAGCCTTGTTTAACATCTTTGTCTTTAAGAAATTGATCATAGTTGGCTAAAAATTCATTCCGAAAACATTCAACATTAAAAAGGCTTTGAAGAATTACATTCATGTAACACGAATTTCCAATATTACGCAACCCTGTAAACAATTATCGTTTAGAATATATTCCATTTTGAAGAGGCGTTATATGAATATTTATTACCCGTTATTTCCTCACTGTTATCGAAATTAACACTTCCACAGTTATTTATCTCTTTAACAGTTGCATGGCTGATTGGCGCTGAGAGTACGGAAGACGTTGAAGGTTTCGAAGTTTGAGGACAAGAGTTCCGCAGACCATTTGTAAGAATAGCTGGTTTCCTCGATATTCGACATGACGTAGAAATACTTCTTGGGGGTGTACATTTTACAGAGCTAACAGTTATATTGGAATAAAAATTTCGAGGTGATATTTCACTTTGATTAGGAGTTTTCTGTTGTTGTCTATCAGTTAAAAATAATTAAACAAATGAAAAAAAATGATAACAAATTCAAATTAAATTCTCACAGAGTTTTAATAGGAGGTGTACTGATGGTGGTTTGTTGTTCATCCTCAGAATTTTTTTCGAAATCCTTTCGGATCTTGTTTGAACTAATAAATGATCTCTCTTACGAATTTTTCAATAACAACTTTTTTGAATAATTTACCTATCTGATGAGGAATTAGACAGAATTTTTTCAGGAGTAGTTTCTCTTTTCAATCTCTTTGGTTCGTCTAAAATGCTTGACTCTACATCAGATCCAGATTTCGAATCATTCAAGACTCTCTTGTTTAATCTAGAATTAATAAAGGCGGTAAAGAATCTATTACATAATATAAAGTAATCAATTTTACCCAATATTTTCTTTATTGCAATCGCTAAGTTTAAAAGACTTTGGCAATCCTTCAATTTCAGAAGAACTTTGTTTTAAGTACTCAATGTGTTTCCAAGACATTTTTTCCAACAATTTCTCCGCCGTTTGACACATCCTATCAAATGCACCAACTTTGAATGTTACTGGCAATTGTACATGAATTTTTTTTGGTTGTTTCAATAATTCTAAAGATCTTGTTGTCTTTATGTATTTAAGTTTCCATTTATCTTTTCCATCCAACTGAAGAAAGCGAACATTAAACAAATATTTAAAAGTAAATAATATTGGGTAAAAGTATATAATCCGTTGGTAAAGAGATAAAATACTGAACAGAATTTTAACAATAAAAATGCAATGAAAAAAAAATAAGAGAAAAATGCTTTTAAAAATAGGAAATATTTCAAAGTAAATTGATAAAACTGGTAAAGGAATAATTCTTTTTCAATTTCACCAAATACAGTATATATAAATATATATAATCCTAGATATATTTCATTATGTTTTAATATGTTATATTAACTGGGAATCGAGTTAAGATTTTAAAACCATTTTTAGCTATTTTAATATTATATTGCCTTCTGGTAGGTTTGAGGCGTGACAAAAATTTCTCAATACCTAAATTTTTATAGGATTTTCTCATAAATTAATTTATGTTACAAACTAAATACTCACCAAAACGATTTCCATATGTCCTGATTCCTTCTTTTCGATAAAGAAGGCAAAACTATCGCAGGAAACAGCACATAATCGAATCTTTCCATCTTCTTTTTTCCCGCGACTTTGTATATCGCGATCATAAAATTTCACCTTTACATCGAAACTGTCGATTTCTACAAAATCCTTCATCTGGTCGAAAACTGCAAAAACATGAGTAAATTAATGTTATATAAAGGGGTTTCATCAGTACGAGTCGAACAAGATATTTACAGAAAAAATTATCAATAAATACGTTCAAATCGAAAAACAAAATTACAGGAAGATCAACATGGAGACGTAACGAAAGCCGATTCCATCAAATAAGTTTCCCGAGAACGGATTGCTCGCATTAGTATTTACGTTGCAGATCTCCCATCATTACTACACAATATAATAATTATACGCTTACCGACTTAGCCGCTTTTTCGACGTACTTGCTGGTGTTGATACGCAATTTTAGGGTAGAAAAATGTTCCGTTAAATTGGCGGAATAATATGGTGTCTTTTTGTAATATCACTCAGTAAAATACCGCGTGATGTTTACAAAGCTAATTTCCCGCTTGTCAACTTCTGGTCAATGTGCTAAAAGAACATTTCTGAGAAATTACTCAACAAAAGGTTTAATAGTTAAAAAGAATTTACAAATTAAATTTAATTAGCTTTTAAAATTACATTTTGAGCGATATTATAAGAAGTTACCACTTATTTACTACAGATATCAAACGCTTCTACAAGAATGTTACAGTTACCCAGGGATCTAATGGATATGAAATAAACTTAGATCAAAGGAAATTAAAAACACCTGGAGGAAATTTATTCATTGTACCAACGGAAGCTTTAGCCTTGGCGGTCCTTAATGAATGGGAATCACAAGAAGATGTTATCAAAAAATACAATATGCATATATTAAGTATATTTTGATATTTATAGAAAAGGATATTCACAGGGCAATATTTTTCTTTCTAAAAAATAGACATCTCTCTGCAATATATCAATTGATAATCCAACTCATCGGGATAAAGTGACAACGATCAATGGGATGTTAGAGTTTTTGGATACTGATACGATATGGTTAGCTTTCGCTTATTTCTTTAAATATTAAATATCAACTGAACCAATTCCTTAGCTACAGAATGAAAGAACCGGAAGATTTAGTTAAACTTCAAAACGAAAAATGGAATCCTATAATAGAATGGGCAAATGAAAGGTAAACTTGTGCAAAAAATCCTTTTTTCCGATACAATATAAAAAAGGCTACTGATTTTTCTAGATATAATGTTGACATTGGTTTGACATATGGTATTGGTATGTTGAACATCTCAAAGGAAACGAAACAAATATTCACTCAACACCTTAATTCTTATAATGAATTGGCTTTATTCGGTTAATAATTAAAGAAATAGCATAGGATGTTATAATTATAAGACGTTTATTTTTATTATCTTTTCCGCAGGATTTCAACAAGTGATTGAGACGTTGAAGTCTTTTATTTTAGCACTTTCTTTAGTGGATAAAAAAATAAGCGTGGAAACAGCAGTCAGTTTATCTAGATTAGAACAGGATTATCAGGTAGATAATTTTATATTTTTTAACGCAAGATGGTATCATTTATAACAGTTTTTCTATAATAAATTTAATTTTTCATTTCTTTTAAAAGATACTAATTATTTTAATTTTACTTTGTAATTAGACACAAAAGTGGGGGAATGTCGAATGGTTTCATAATGTTGAAACATATACAAGTGAAGCAAAATTGGCTGCAGCAGCTTTGTTTGTCTATTTAACTACTAATAGTGAAACTTCCAATTCGAAAAGGATAAATAGAATGACTTAAATTTATATTTATATGAATCTGAATAAATTTACACTATCTTAGCGAAATAAATGAATGAATACTTGAAATTATGAATTAGAAAGTGTCCTTATCTATAGCTTCTATTTTCATTGTAAAATTCGTTAATACTTTAATTGAAAAATTAAACTGCTAAGGCGTTTGGTTAGTACTTAAATTTCTCAACTTTTACCCAGAATGCAACTTTGTTATACTACGCATGCGCAATGCCTATTCGGAAACAGAACGCTTTATGTCTTGTTCTGGCGAATAGCACTCGAATTGTCAATTTACTTCTAAACTATGCCTGGTTTGTTAAATATTACTCCCCCACTACCGGCAAACTCTAAGCAACCGGGGGTTCAAACGACGAGATTATATTCGGGTGCAAAATTTTCCGGTGCACAGACGTCTAAAGGATCGACGTACGAAGTTGAAGTTACAATCCAGGTTTGATCTTCTTTCGTATTCAACTCTTGTATCCATTAATTCAACTATATCTAGATCACTGTCGTACAATTGTAAATTGTTATTTTAATCCTATTTATATAATTGCAGTATGTAGATTTAGAGCAAAATTACGTATGTGGCTATTTGAAAATCAAAGGCTTAACAGATGAATTTCCAAATTTAACTACTTTTTTTGATGGTGAGATTATTAGTGAGAAATTTCCTTTTTTAACTCGGCGTTGGCACGCGAAAGAGGATACCGATAAAAAGCATTGGGTGAGTATTTATGCCTAATATGGGTGTGTTCGATAATAGATTTATGTTACACGTTTCGGAGCTTTTAAACGTTCTTTGATACTAGTTATAAATAACGTATAATGAATTCTAGAGAATTACGTTTTTCCCCTATCATTATTAAAATCTTTATAAATACTGATTCTAAGACTTATTGTGTTCTTCTATATACAAGTGCTTTACTTTCTTATAGAGTAAATTTGAATCATTTCAACCCTACCGCACGACATTTAATTCGGATGAATTCGATTACGAAGCCCTAAAATCAAGTGATTACATTTTTATGAGATGGAAAGAACATTTTTTGGTGCCTGATCACAAAATAACCGAGATAAATGGTGCATCGTTTGCTGGATTTTATTATATATGCTTTGAAAAATCTAGTGGAGACATAGAAGGCTATTATTTTCATACAAATTCAGAGCAGTAAGGATTTTTTTCCTTATTATTATTATTATATTATAAAATAAAATTTAATATTTTTATAGGTTTCAAGAACTCCGATTAGACTATGTTGATGAAAGATCCATTCCAATTTACGAATTTCGATGATAAATGGATTATCAGTATTGTCTATGCAGTTAACTGCCACCCAATGTTTTCATTCTGATTTAAGACAATTACCTTTCTGTTTCATAATTGAATGTAGTACACAACAAAAACTATACTACTAAATCTGATAATGAAAATTTTGAATTTATGTTTTATACAAATTTGATGGAGTTGGTGTCGGCTATTTCTCAATTATAAAAAATTACTGGTTTATTTGCAAATTTTTTGACGTTGCCATGTTCTTTGCTACATGTAAAACTAGATAATTATGATAGTAAGAACGTAAACAAATATAAAAACCTAATTAAACAGTATATACTTTACATTGTATTGAGAATACACAATACAGTTCATGTATATTCTGTATGAGTTTGTTTATGACGTATTTTCAAGTATACAGTATATAAACAGTATATATATATATGCACTGTATACTTTGTTTTCAGTATACCCAGTATGAAGCGTATATTTAAGTTATGGCATATTTCAAAATATAACTCTTTTATTATTTGTTTTGCTATTTTGTATAAGAATATATATAGCATTATTTTCCTGGAAAATAACCTATTTTTTTGTCTTCCGTTGGTCAAGCATGGCTGAAATATTCTGATAATATTGCCTTCAAACTAGCATGTCTTAGAAGATTATAAATTTCTTATACCGGTAGTGAGCCATCAACTTAAGAGGGATCCTTCACCTTCGATACGAACAGGAAATATTCAATCAATAGCGTCTCCTTGATCACAAAACAAACAAAAATTGGAAATGGAGTCTAAGCATGTTATGTTATCTTATCAGCACGGAATTCAACCTATGGTTGAAATAATTTATAATGGATTAGAGAAATTAGGTATATCAGTATGGATGGATATAAAAGGTGGAATGACGGGAAACATAAACGAAAGTATGGCATATGGTGTGGATAATGCTGCAGCTGTTTGCTGCTTCATGACCCATCAGTACTCGGAATCAAAAAACTGTAAAAAAGAGCTAAATTATACTGATTCACAAGATATTGAAATTGTTCCTGTCATGGCTGAGAAAAGTTTTAAAGCCACTGGATGGTTAGGCATTATAACTGCCGGCCTGCTATGGATAGATTTTAGAGAGAATAATAATATGGAGAAGAGAATACAATCGCTTGCCAAAGAGATTGTACATAGAGTAGGCGAAAATGTTACCAAAATGACTAGACCCCAAAAAGCTGTAAGCGCTCCACCAGCCGTAAAACCCGGAAGAGCTTTCAAGCATAAATTACAAGGAAAGTATTTGGCCGAAAGTGGAGAAGTAAAAGTTCATGCAGCTTCGGGCAGCAGAAGCACTCTGACCTTGCGTAATAGTCCTGAGGCAACGAGCTTTTGGATAGAAGAAAGAAAAGAGAAGAACTCTCCTATTTACTTCTATAAAAATTACAGTAGTAATGGATATTTGGGCTATGATCCTAATGGTAATTACATTTACACGAAAGGACAACATTACGGAGCAGAGGAATGGCAATTAATCGCTGATGAAACTAGTACAAACGGAGAAAGAGCCGTAATAATATTTGCTAATTACGGAAAGAAATATCTAGCCATCAGAAATGGAAAGTTAACAGGTGTTGCAGACAAGCAAGATGATTGCATTTGGTACTTGGATTAATGATATTTTCAAGTGGAAAACCGACAATTTTTAGATAGATGTTTTCAGACAATAGTTATCTATAAATATGCATATCCTTTGAGGCTCACCTTGCACACCTTATATGTAGTTTTTGTCAAATTCTGTTAAACTTTTCAATTATAAAAATGCTATTATAAACTTTAAAAAATAAAATCGCACACAATGTTGACAATTAGAAAGTTAATCTTCGTCCAAGTCTGGATTAGCTTGAATTAATCCATATTTTCTGGCGTTTTTTAATCCTTCCATTGCACATAATTTTGAATTCTTTCTATCTGGTTCCTCTATCCTAGAGACTGCTTGTAAGGCTTCGAATAAAACGCTTTCAATTACACGTGAGCAAGTTTCTTTGGAAGACGACGTTAGATTTTGAATAATAAATAGACCTCTATGTTGAATATCAGGTTTAGGATGAGATGCAAGAAGCCCAAGAATTTCGATCCACTGCTCTGTACACTACAATAGAAAAGCAAGATATAATTAACAAAAGCAAATTTTCCAAGTGAAAAATAGACATATTGATATTTACCGAGACAACTCTCCTACATATTTCCTCTTCAGAAGTTAACACTGCTAGAGCACCAGATGCTGCTCTAACCAACGCTTCATCCTCCTCGGTACAGTAGAGAAGGAATAACTTTACTCTATCATTTTCTCCTAGAAAAATCTTCGCAACCTATTAAAATGTCTAAATAAATAAACTTATTTATTTATTTACAGTTGAATACATACGTCTTCATACTGAACTAAATTGCAAAAGCATTCTACGGCAGCTCTTCTTAACATATCGTGTTCTTCGTAGACATAATGTTCAATATATGTTAATCCTTTTTCAGATACAATTCGCTTCCTATACAAAAAAAATGAATTTAAATAAACTGTTTCAATAATCTGTCATACAGTCACTTACACAATACTGTCATCGTTCATGCTCGCTAGATTAGTTAGTGCCATTAAGGCCTCAAAATTTTCTAATGCTGTATTATCTATTCCGAGAAGAGATATTAATGGTCGAACTACTTCAACCATTCTCTGACCAGGAAAAGCAATTTCCGGGTTAGTAGTTATAGCAATTTTTGCTAGGGAATGAGCGGCTTTCACTTTCCCTTGCTTCGTATTATCTTTGTGGAGATTAAGTAAAGCCTGCTTTTTTTAAATATTAAGAATTTCAATGGTTACGAAAAAGAAAATCGGATTGACCTTTGCTCCGCCATGTTGAACTATTAATCCTCTATGTTTGATATCCTCCGTGCACGCTAAGAACACTCGCGCTATTGCTTCTCTTGTCGCTTGACTTTCGGTGGAACTTAGAGAAACTAGAGCATTTGTTATTCCAAATTCAACTAGTTTCTTTATTCTATTTGAGACAAATTTAGCACCATCTTTTTCATGTTCTTCTGGAACATGTTGCTTTGAAAATTTAGCCAATTCTATCAATTCCTTATCTATTTCTTTTTTATCAAAAGCATTTGTCAAATTTGTGAAAACTTGAGATATTGGATAAATAGAAGATTTATCTTGCACTCTGGCAAGGGAAATCAGAGAATGAATACACTCTGAATCTTCAATGAGATCCTCTTTAATATCAGCGTTAAGAGATAAGAATGCTAATCCCTCTGCAGCCCATCGCCTTAAGTCAACATCTTTGCTGGGATTTTTTAGAAATCTGAGGAAGTTTACAAAGTGAAACGTATAATTTACAAATTATTTCTTTCCAATATTTTTACCCTCGACATTCATCGGCGAATTCGTATTGAGATCCATCACTGAAAGCTTTAATGCTAGCATCAGATCCTCCAAAGGAAGACAATTTACACAGGCCCTATTGGTGGAATAAATGATTAATTTTAATTACATTTAGACAATTGTTTTGGAAAATTATTGAATAATTAATGCCAAAGCTAAATTTCCTTACCACAAGAGCTCTTACGCGAATATTCTCATTTCTGTGTTCGTATAATTTACGTAAAATTGGAGCAGCTTGTTCAATAACTCCACTACATCTCTCCTTCTTTGAAGCGGAATGAACAAGAGCTTCAACAGCAACTTTCTATAAGAAAATATATATCGAGTTACTCATAATGAAATAGGTACTCTGTCTCTTCAAAGTATAAAACTTACGATGCACTTTGTCTCAGATGAATCCGCAAGAGCTAAAATCAATTCAATTACTCCTTTTCTACCTAATATATGATTTCCCACTTCGTATGGACCCTTAAAAGTACAATTCGCATTATTGCAACTAAAATACACTGTATACTATTATGCTTACTTGTAAAAGAGCAGCAAGAGTAAGTAACGCTTGCAATTTTGATTCCATGATTTCATCACCAAACATATCTCTGTTAATAAGATTGAAATTTGAGATCTTTACTCAAAATATATTCAGGTTACATAATACTATGTTCCCTTTTATGTTTAAGATGAAAATTTTATATAATCCTACTAATAATCTTCCTCTCAACTAGTCCTTTGAATAAAATAGTAATGTTAATCAATAACTAACGTGAAATAATCATCAGCAATTTTCTTGTACATATCAAATTCGCTTTCTCCCCACAGATCATCATAAATTTTGCTCATTAGAAGAGTTGTATGCATTCTTGTGTTGGTTGTACATGGTACGATAGGTTCGTCTGGAATACTACCACTAATTTCAAGCAATTTTTGTAAACCATCCAATTCCATAAACTTTCTGGTCCACCCTAAGCAGTTATCCTTCCTAGTTATAATTTTTGAAAACAACTCTAAGACATTGTCCCGTGATACAGCTGGAATTTTGTGATTATTTATCATGTTCATTAAACCCAATAAAATTTCCTCAACTTTTTCAAAGTAATTTATATCTATTAATATAACGATATTATTAATAAAATATAATGCAGTTTACGTTTGGAATAATTACCAAATTTCTCAAAGACATGGCCAAATGGTTTAATTGTAGGGTTCTCTTGTTTTTTCTTGTCGTGTTCTTCCTTTTCTTGCCTCCATTTTTCTAATTCAATAAGAGAAGTTATAATTTTTTGCGTAAGAAATGCTGCTGCCGTCGATATATCTTCATTTTTATGAGATATAAGATTAATTAACAATTTAGCTGTAAAGCATTTAAAGATTTCATCGGCCTAGAAATAAAAAAACCAACACTAAAACTAAATCCAAGATTAATTAATTTGTGTTTTTTACCCTTTTCTGGTAATCTTTTACTAAACAAGCTAAAACACGTATACAACTTAATTTAACTTCATCGTCTGTCGATTGATTAATAAGATTTTTCAATTTTTCAACTATTCCTGAACTCAATAGTACACTTCCAGTAGAATCTTCTCTGCTCAGTACAATTAAATTCGATAATGCTTGTTTTTGCTTTTCCAAATCATCCGATTTGGGTGTTGAAAAAGCCAAAGTTAGCATTTGTTTTATTTTATTATCAGTTGATAATTGTTCGTCAACCTAAAATGATAAATAGTTCCTGTAATGTTTTATACTGTTGATTGATATCAATTGTTTTTTTTTTACCTTATTTTGAATGATTGGATTTAACTTTCTGAGAATAGGCTGAATTGCTGAATTCTTTGGTTCAACTTTTAATAGTAGCATAGCATCTCTAAATAATTGCAAATAGTTTAAAAGAGATTAATTAAATAACTTTGTTATTTTACTTGTAAGAGTCTTCATATTTCTCTAAAGCTAGATATGATTGACATCGTCGAAATAGAGCTTTCGCGTCATTACCTTGGAGTTTTAAAGCTAAAATAAAGAGAAAGAAAGATTTTAATACAAGTAAATAGATGATCGTGTTATACCTTCATTGCAATCTTTTACAGCCTTCTCATATTTATCTAATTTTAAATAGCAAGCAGCTCTGTTCTTAAAACAAGCTAACTTCTGTTCTACTCCATTTTCATCTTCAATCACTTTTGTATACAGTTTAACAGCTTCCTTATATCTAAAATATGATTTAATAAAACAATTGATCTTACAATATACTTTTAAAAAGATACGAACTGCTCTTTCTTGAATAGATCATTTCCCTCTTCTTTCAATTGAACACATCTTTGAACAGCATCTTTCTGAAACAAAGCAACTTTTCTTAGAGATATCAGAAGGGATTCTAAAAATAGAATTTGTATGCAGGCATGCTATGTATCAAGTTACACTGTATAGAGTTGTAATAAAAGTTTTCACGCATCCTAATTGATGTTTCAAATCTATACCATTCGATATATAAATTCATGTTGAAGAAAAATGATTAATCAAGAAGAGGATGAATTATCAGATTATCACCCAAACAAAAAAGTTTAAACCCCTGATCTACTTTAAATAAATCATAAAACAAGTTTTAAAGTTGTAAAACTGTTCTATAAGAAGTTTTATTATGTTTAGTATCCATTGATTTAATTAACAAAACCATCTAAATCGATAAATATAACTTACATTCACAACTTCGCCCATTTCGTTTCTTCTAATGGGTTTAACTCAATAAAGGAAGAAGTGAGATTATTCGGCAAAAGTTTAGCATTTATTTCAACGAAATAGAATTTTGTAGCAAGAAGATCAAATTTGTAATGACATATTTTCGATAAAAGTATTATCACATTATTTCTTCAATAATTTCAGATAATATTATCAATAACAAGATTCTTTCAACTATTTCTCTAGGACTGCGACATTCTAGGTCATATTTTAGCAAGACCCTTGGTATAGAAAACATCGTGAAAGCCTCTTTTAAAAAAGCAGACGATATTGAATATTCATGGTCACGTGATCCAAAAACCTTAGACCGTGATAAAAAAGTAGTTTTTTTTCCATAGACCCCAACAATAATGTCAAGATTTAAAATAAAACGCATAAAGCAAATATCCAAATCTTTTTATTGCAAACAAAAACTTCGCTACATACAATATTTTACTTACCACGTGGTCAGCCCACTTCAAATATCTCATCTTTTTTTCAAAAACAAGCTATAGTGAAAAGATATTTTCAATGAAATACCGACAGATAGCTTCAATGTACAATTTAAAACCAATTACTACTTGTAAGAAAGAGGCAAAACAGAAGTAGGCGAATGCTAGCGTATTATAGATGAAGGTCCCTATAACTCTTGAACAATGAATAAACTCCAATTTTTTGTCTAATGTATTTATGTAATAGTCTATCTAAATAAAGTATGTATTTGTTAATTATAAAGTCATTTCAACCCTACTTACGTAGTTATTAAACACCACTAATTAATTCCGTAAATATCTTTAAAAAGTAGTTTTTTCCTTTTTTAAAAATAATCATTGTTTAATTAAGTCCTGGATTACAGGTATGTAGTGCTTTTAGGTGAATAGCACACAGCAAAATGTCTTAAATTGTAAAAAAACTTTAGGTATTTGAAATTGGCGCCAAATGGAATAGTCGCGAAAACTGGTGACACATAACACATAACGGAATGTCATCCGCAAATAGTTCTTCAAATAATTTATATTATTAAGTCAAAATCTTGATAAAATCAAGATTTTATTTCAAAAAGAAGCATAAAAAAAATATTTAAACATTTGAACATATTTAATTACTGTTATAAAGCTGCCATTTAAGATAGAAAATTCTAGAAATTCTCTCAGCGTATTAATATCATGAGAAATAGCCGGCATTTTCCGAGAGCGTGCATTCTCGAATCTCGTGTTGTTCAAGATACAACTCCGTCACTTGTTGAAAGAGAGCCTTTTTTGACATTTAAACGTCAAATAATAAAATTAACTCAAGGTAATAACCTAACAAATTCAATTCGTATAAAGTTACTAAACGAATGAAATTTTTATTCGACTTTTTAAGTTCCACGTGCTTGAATATTCTAAAGTTTCTTTTTACTTTAACAGCAAAAATGGAAGAAGAAGCCGAAACCTTCGCTTTTCAAGCCGAAATTGCTCAATTAATGAGCTTAATTATCAACACTTTCTATTCCAACAAGGAAATTTTTTTGAGAGAATTAATTTCCAATTCGTCCGATGCTTTGGACAAGATAAGATATGAAAGTCTTACTGATCCTTCAAGGCTGGACAGCGGAAAAGACTTGTACATCAAAATTACACCCGACAAAGCCAACAACACTTTGACAATTATGGACACTGGTATTGGTATGACTAAAGCAGATTTGGTCAACAATTTGGGTACCATTGCAAAGTCAGGAACCAAAGCATTCATGGAAGCCCTTCAGGTATGTATTGTTTCTACATTTTTTACACAGTTTGAACAATGATGAAAATTCTTTCCCCGTCTTAATATAATGCAGAACGCTGATTAAACCTGAAAATTTATCATATATCAAATAGGTTTCAAGTTATAAATCTTCTTTGTTAACGAATATTATTGTTTCAGGCTGGAGCTGACATCTCCATGATTGGTCAATTTGGTGTAGGCTTTTACTCCGCTTACCTTATAGCCGACAGAGTAAGTAGTTTACCTTTCAATGAGGCCGTTTCTTAAGTATTTTCCTTTATAGGTTGAAGTTATTACCAAGAACAATGATGATGAACAATACTTGTGGGAATCTTCAGCCGGAGGATCTTTCACTGTACGATCAGACAATTCTGAAATGCCTGGAAGAGGAACAAAAATCATTTTGCACATTAAGGAAGATCAAACTGAATACTTAGATGAAAAAAGAATCAAAGACGTTGTGAAGAAACACTCACAATTTATCGGTTATCCAATCCGTCTTTTGGTGGAAAAAGAAAGAGAGAAGGAGATTAGTGACGATGAGGAAGAAGACGAAAAGAAAGAAGATAATAACGAAGAAGAAAAGCCGAAAATCGAGGACGTGGAAGATGATGAGGAAGAAAAAGATAAGGGCAAGAAGAAGAAAAAGATCAAGGAAAAGTACACTGAAGACGAGGAGCTCAACAAAACTAAACCATTATGGACCCGTAACCCAGACGATATTTCTCAAGCTGAATACGGTGAATTCTATAAATCACTGTCCAATGATTGGGAAGATCATCTTGCTGTTAAACATTTTTCTGTCGAAGGGCAACTGGAATTTAGAGCTTTGCTCTTTGTTCCTAAACGTGCTCCTTTTGACATGTTCGAAAGCAAGAAGAAACGCAACAATATTAAATTGTATGTTAGAAGAGTTTTCATAATGGACAACTGTGAGGAGTTGATCCCCGAGTTTTTGGGCTTTGTTAAGGGAGTAGTGGACTCTGAAGATTTACCACTTAATATCTCCAGAGAAATGCTCCAACAATCCAAAATCCTTAAAGTCATCAGAAAGAATTTAGTCAAAAAATGTCTCGAATTGTTCGATGATATCGCAGAAGACAAAGATAATTATAAAAAATTCTACGAGCAATTTGCCAAGAATTTGAAATTGGGCATCCATGAAGATAGTACCAATAGAAAAAAATTAGCTGAATTCCTACGTTATCATACATCGTCATCTGGTGACGAAATGTCATCTCTAAAGGAATATGTCTCTAGAATGAAAGAAAATCAAAAAGATATCTATTACATAACTGGAGAATCTAGAGACTCTGTCGAAAATTCAGCTTTTGTTGAGAGAGTAAAGAAACGAGGTTTTGAGGTTCTCTACATGATTGATCCTATCGATGAATATGCCACTCAACAACTGAAGGAATATGATGGAAAGAAATTGGTATGCGTTACTAAAGAAGGCTTAGAGCTTCCAGAAGATGAGGATGAAAAAAAGAAATTTGAAGAGCAAAAAGCTCAATTCGAAGAACTGTGCAAAGTAATGAAAGATGCTTTAGACAAAAAAGTCGAAAAAGTCGTTGTATCCAACAGACTTGTGTCATCTCCATGCTGTATCGTTACATCACAATACGGTTGGTCCGCTAATATGGAGCGTATCATGAAGGCTCAAGCTCTACGCGATACCAGTACTATGGGATATATGGCAGCAAAGAAACATTTGGAAATCAATCCAGAACATAGTATCATGAAAACTCTAAAAGCCAGAGTAGAAGCTGACAAGAATGACAAGTCAGTTAAGGATCTTGTGTTGCTTTTGTTTGAAACTTCTCTGCTATCGTCTGGATTCTCTTTGGAAGATCCTCAGACTCATTCGAACAGAATCCACCGCATGGTGAAACTTGGTTTAGGTATTGATGAAGAAGATGAAGTAGTAGCTGATGCAGCAGCTCCGGAAGAGATGCCAAAACTCGAAGACGAGGACGATGATGCATCTAAGATGGAAGAAGTCGACTAAATTTAAAAACTCATTTGTGTCATCGCAATTTTCGCAACATTCTTGTAAAAACGTATCATTTTTGTTACTATCAGTTTTTTTAATAAGAAAACTTCAACCTCTATCCCAATACTCTTACGTTTCCCGGTGAGTACTTTTGAAAGATTTATCAATAAAAGTGCTGTGACCAAAAAGATTTATTATTTGCTTACTACACATTGTAGTCTATACAATATGATTTTTATGATATTAGGTCCCATTTTATTTACACGACTATAAAACAAATACTGTCGAACTGAACTTTATAAAATGAAAAATTGAAGGTATAACGAAACGATAACTAAAACATAAAGAGCTCATAAGCATCATAATTAAGCAAACTGACATCATCGTCTTCCAGTTCATCATAGTCTTCATCGTCCTCAGAGCGAGAAAATAGTCTTGTTTTACAAAGATACGTTTTTTGTTTGAATAGTATTGGACAATTTTCATCTGATGAAACACAACTTGGTAGTATTTCTGCTAAGTCTATTAAATATTTTGGAAGAGTCATACATCTTATTAATTCACCATATTTCAGATCAATAACTGGCAGACTTTTTACCCCATTATCAGTTATAGCTCGTAGTATTGGCAATTTTTCGGAATGAAATGCATGACAGGCGAAAGTGACACCATTAGAGGCAAATATTTGGAAAGTTTTTGCTGCCTCGATGATATATTTTGGTTCGTTATGAAATGACCATGTTAGAGTTTCTAAATCCAATTCGTAGATTTCACACTGGGGAGAGTTGACTAATTTACCGACAATGTAGATTCTAAAAAATTTTTGTGTAAGAACTTTATATGAGTTGTAGCTATTTTTCCTGGTTAAACATAAATCACGACAAGACATGTCAGAATTGACGAAGGCAGTATTCCAAGGGGAATGTTCAGCTATCCTTTCTTTACAACGGCAGGAGGGATAGGGTAGCTTTTTTATCCATGATGGATCTTCATGCTTCCTGAGATACATATATCTGTTAACTGTATATGATGGATCGTTCCATAATTCAGAAAATATTATCATATGATTCGGCCCACTGATAAAAGTTGGCTTGTTCATAGATTCTAGAATTTTGCCACCTCGCCAAAGAACCCATTTTTTTTTATTTCGTGATGGAGTTTCGGAGAATTGCCAAACCCTAGTTTCTACGTTACTCTTTTGTATACATATAAATTCACCGTTAGAAAAACCAAATTTAGAATTTTTCCAAGTCTTTCCCTTATAGGGAGCTCGAACTGTATAACTCCTTTCTGGATTTCTTATATCATATGCATAGTATAATGCCTCATTCTGACGAAATAGCATTTTTCCAGATTTTAAAGTGCCCAGTATCTCAGCTGTACTTACGGGAAATATTTTACTATGAGACAGTTTTGCAGTTCCACGTAATTCATAAAAATACCATTGATTCTTTGATGGTGAAAAAAACTTAAAAGAAACATAATTTTCCAAAACGTTACTTCTATCGTCGACTACAATCATTTCTTCGTTGTCATATCTTTGCAAAGTTTTAAAGGATTCTCTATCAGACCAAGATTTCAGAATGTCAATAATATTATCCGTACCGCACATTTTACCAAATAATTCTTTCACTCGGGAGATCAATTCGATAAGTTGTATATCATTTAACTTTACCTCCGCTAACCACTCGCATATACTTTCGTAGGCGAACTGCGGACATTGACTTATCCAACTTTGATTTAACATCCAGATCATACCTTCGAAAGTTAACTTTGAGATTTGGTTCCTCAAACAGGGGGAGTAAAATACAAACTCCAGCGTATTCATTGCTGGCTTAAGGAGAGCTTCTAGATCATAAGTACTAGCCAAGGCAGTCATTATCAAACAATTACTTTTTGTTACTATATTTGTTAAGAAATCGATGCAATGGGTAGTAAGCTCGCTCACAAAAAACATTCTTGCCATTTCTAACAGTGCAACAACATTATGCAAAGTAATTTCTATACTCCCAGTGTAAAAGAATTGTAAAAGGCTGCGAAAAGCTGAAACATCGGGAATACTTTCACTCAAGTCTACTTTATTCGATAGGTTTTCAACCATTTGATTGGCAAACATAACGTGAAAATAATCACAAGCTGCAGACAGGACGCATTTATGAGCTTTTATTTTGAAACTTCTTAGTGTGGCGTTGACTGTTAGTGTAACATCACACATATGTGATTCTGTTTGAACCTGTTGAAGATCATTTGCTTTAATTCCAAAGACTATATTATAAATCTATAGTTCTTTCGATAAAGATAATAATCTCATCCAAGATAAAAAATATTCAATGTAATAAGTAACTTAGGTGTTGTGGCAAGTGTATATAAATAGATAAATCATCAAAAACACTTACCTGATTCCACAGCTTATTATTTCTATGATCTACATATTTGTCTTTTTGTTCTTTAGGAATGGTGAGTTTGTATGAATTTTCTGAAAGCTGTTCAGAGGCCACAATCTAGTGAAACAAAATCATTATTTCAAACTTACGAAATAGTCAATGTGAAAATATTAATGGTTTTCTTGCAATCAATGATCTTACTTCTGCAAAATTCTCGAACATCTCAGATGTCATTTTTAATTATGCACAAAACTCATCTAAATAGGTTACTAATATGTATATCATAAGGAAATTTTAGGTGTTAATCACTATGGAATCAAATTTCGCTCATGGCGGAAGTAGAATAAATTTCCTCGAATTATTCTATAAAGTATAAATTGTAATTTATTTTAGATTTACGCTTTCCATTGAAAAGAAATATTTAAATTTTTTCTATTATTCTTAAGCGTATTTACTCAAATACGTCTTAATCAAGAATATTTTAACCTGTTTTTTTTTAATCATCAGATAACAAATTTAAAGCTCATTTAGGATTTAATATTTGTAATATTGATCACATGTGAATACAAAGTCTTTATCAAATTTAATATAATTATTAATGATTGTCTATACCAAAAATTCTTCTCTGAAGTGTTTTTTTCACCAAGTGTGATCATTTAGCCACTAACTCCTATTATCGTCCACTAAACTATTTACAGGTGAGTGTTTAACTTGCTTTACTAAAAATTATTTTGTTTTTCTAACAGTATAAGCTAAATAAATTAAATTATGGCATCTAAAAATAATATCATTATATTTTTCCGTTGTTTTCTGTACACATTTTATTTGTTTTTAATTGGTTGATAAGTTTCCAAGACGAATGTTACAATGTTTGTACTGACATTAATGTCTTGTTAGCTTCCTGTTTAAGTTGGAAAAAAAATCAATATAAATAAAAATCATCGGCAAAGAGAAAAAAAAGTTTATTTGAACTCGAATTTACACACGAAGAAAGAAAATATAAGGAAAGTCGATGTATGTTCTTATAATTAAGATTTGTAAAACGATCTATCTAAAAATATGATTTTAGCTCTGAGCAATATTTTTGGATAAAATTTTTCGCTTTTAATAACTTTTCTTGGTGTTATAATATTTCTTGAATATCCTTGTAATGGTTTATTTTAAAAGTAGATATACTGTATATAATATATATATATTCTATTGTTTATCAGTGTTTGTTTAACAGCGGTAAATTTGTATCAGTTTAGAGTGGTATAAGATTTTTAAGAGCGATATTGCAAATCCTTGAAGGCGCTTGTATAACTGAATGTATAGTATTCTAATATTACCAGAAATAAATATATAACATCAGTCTCTCTTGGTGTTAGCTTTTTCCAAATCTTTCAATCAGGACTGCTTTAATCAGAATGTGAATAAATTATTTGCTTGCCGATCACTTTTAGAATAATTATTTCCTGTTTTAATAAACTAATTCTCTCTACTCGCTGTTGTCTGATAAATTTTAATTCTTCTATGCTTCAACAATTTAGACCTATTGGCAATCAGATACTATTATTGCATTTATTTCATTAGTCTATGTGCACAGTCGACTGATTGCTTTTGTTTAGTATGTTCAAATTGAAACAAAAAGACTCGTCTCCTAATACTTATGTCAATTATGCAGCTTACATACCGTGGCTTCGATCAAAGAGTAAGGAGAAAAAGATGGAAGACAATTCACCTGCTACTGTGGAAAGACAGGTTCTAAAGAGGTGTCGTCTTCAAATTATTAAGAATGTTGATAGTCAGAGTTTGCTATCGTGCCTTCCAAATGGAATTTCTGGTTGGAAGATAGAAGGAATTTCTAACGAAGATAGTGTCGCGGCGTTTTTAGACAGATTGGAATTAAGCGAAAATTATATTGTTCATAGTGTTTTCGAAGAAATAAGAGCAAAATTCCCCGAATTGAAAATGGTTATAGACGATTCAAGAAAAAAGATTGAACATCACTCAAATATTAGAATTGAAAGTAAAGCATCTAGACTGCCAGGAGATGCAATTAGAAATGTACTCTATTCACAAGATGAAATAAAACACGAATACGTTCAATGTTATTCAATTCCTAAAAATCTCAACCATCATTGGAGTGTTTCAGAGCGCTCTCTTCTTACTGATGAAGAATCTGATGATAATGAAAACGATTTAGAAGTTGTCGTTTTACAACGTGATCTAGTCTTTAAAAAAGTTCTTATATCCGAGATTGATGATGATACTGCAAAGCCTCGAAATGAAAGCATTCCTGTACATGTTGTCAGTAAAGTAGAAGAAGTAAACATAAAACCAAATTCTCCTCCACCTCTACTTACAGAAGCAATACTACCACCTACTGATAATGATGACGGACTTTCGTCTTTACATACTACTCAATCGTCTAGTAATGACAGCTATCCCAAATCTCATAAATTACCCCCTCCGCCCATTCCACCTAAACCTACTAATTTACCGCCGATCAAAGTAAATACAAAATCCGAAGACGGGCTTTGTCCCCAAGTACCTTCATCTTCTTCACCAAATTTACCTAAAGAAACATCGGAATCAAAGGAAAGTGGACTTGAGGAGACCAATTTAGACCTTGTACTACCGCTAGAGTCAAGAAGTCAAAGCGATTCACAAGTGTTCAATCAAACAGTAGATCTAGTCAGTTCGTCGGATGAAGGTGATGAATCATATGCTCAAATCGGAGATTCAACCGTTTATATACCACCGATTGATTACAAACATAGCGAAGTAGAATTAGAGGAAAAATTTTACCTTAAGAGAAATGAGTTCGTTTTAGCTGAAACAGAGTTTGCTAACCAGAAAACCAAGACTCGTTTAGCCTATGACAAATTAGGTTGGGCGTATTATATACCTGATATATATTTGAAGAAGCAAGGTGATCCAACAAAAGCAGACTGGTTTTATCCCATTCCATTATCTGCTAAACATGCTACGGTGCTTTTGCGATCTGAACCTATTGATGGTATTTTCCTGGTATACGAAGTGCCAAAGCGGCGATCATCTGCTCATCTATATAATCTTTCTATTGGAATGTCCTCTAAACAAGCTTATCACTATCACATTATTAAAAATGGATTGCATAATGATGTAATGATAGAGGGGCATTACAGATCTTTTATGGATGTAAATGAATTAATAGAATTCTTTAGCTTGGATAAGGATGGTCTAGTATGCAGATTAAGACGATCATTAAAATGTGCGAGGAATAGAGAAGAAATTTTGGAAAAATGGAAGATTGACAGACGTGTATTGAGCATCCAATTTAGTAAATTTGTTGGAAAAGGAGCTTTTGGAACAGTATATGAAGGTTTATATAAAGGTATTCCTGTTGCAGTTAAAGTTGTTGACAGACACGAAGATCATCCGGCTGATATAGATGATGTTATGGAAGAAGCAAAAGTAATGATGCCTATAAAATTCGAGCATATTGTAAGATTAGTTGGTATTTCTTATGTACCAAATTCTACATTTTATCTTGTATGTGAGTATCTCAAACACGGCAATTTAAGAGATTGCTTGAAGAAGGAAAAGCTCTTCCCTCCCGACGATATGGACTCGAAAATAGATGTTATAATGCAAATTATGGCTGCTTGCATGTATTTAGAGCAACAACGTTACATTTTACATAGAGATTTAGCCGCAAGGAATTTTTTCGTTTCGGATAAAAAAACAGTTAAACTTGGAGATTTCGGACGAGCAAGATACGTTAAGGATGACCACTATCAAGCTGCAAAAAATGAGAGTATTCCTATAAAATGGTATGTAAACGACAAAATTAATTCTTATCAATTAACTGAATGAAGTTAATTTGCTTTTCATTGATACAAAATAGGTCAGCACCGGAAGTTCTTCGTCATTCAGTATATTCGTCAAAATCTGACGTGTGGTCAGCGGGTGTATGTATGTGGGAAGTTTTGTCTGGAGAATATCCATTTGGTCAGCTAACAGTTGAAGAATCGATTTTGGCCATATGTCAAAAAGAAGTTAAGTTATCTAGGCCTGTTTGTTGTTCAGCCGACCTATTTGCAATTATAGAATCCTGTTGGCACCAAGATCCAGCTGATCGTCCTTCATTTCAGAGACTTTACAACAGAGTAAAGAGAAAATCTAGTATGTATTATGGGACAATACGAAGGGTAAGTACATACATCTCGGAAAAAGGGAGCGATCAGAGATTAGACTACGGGCAAAATACGAATTTTTTCGCTTCCTCTTCATCCGATATAAGTCAAATCAGTAATTTGCATACGCAACCATCTTCGGGCGTTCGAAAAAGTTTAAGAAAGATATCGAAGTTTGTAGCAAACAAGAAAAAAACGAAATCTAAATCTGCTATTAATTTATCAATGGATAACGGAAAATCGACTGTTTAGTTTAATTAAGTATAAATGTTGTATAGATGTATTAGTAATTAACATAATATACAGTATTTTCCTAAAATTATATATGTACTATATATATATATGGATTAGTAGACCCTTATTATATACTCCTATGTATATAGTATACATGTGTGTACAGTATACATATATATATATATATGCATACATTTACAGCTAGATATATATTCTGTATATAGCATACTTACAATGTATCACATTTTTCAAATTAGTAGTTCTTTCTTATTTATGACTTTTCTCTTCCTTTCTAAATACGTGCCATATATATAAATGTATATACAGTATATAGATATATAGCATATATAAATTTCTCTCTTAAAAATAGAAAACAAAGAAAGATAAATTGAAAAAATAAAAATTCTCTCTTTAAGAGAATTTGACAAAAATATTATAAATAAAAATTTTAAGAAAAACAAATTCTCTTCAACTTTTAACAACAAATTGAAATGAATATTGAAACAAATATATCAGGTGATAAGACGGTTTTTATTTGTGATAGTTTCTATAAGATTGATAATTTAATTAATTTTTCACTAATTTCTTTACATACACCGTTTTCTTTTTCTTTTTTGCCTTTAATTTTTACTTTAAAATTAAAAATCTGTAGTTTTGTGCTTCTTTTAATTATATTTCTTCACTTTTTCAATTATATTATTCAGTTACTTTTCTAACAATTTTTGTTTAAAATTGGCTTTTGCTTTCACATAGATATCCCATTTGGTTTAGAAATATGGACATAGGAAAATATATTCACTCGATACGTTTCCCATTAATCCCTTCCCTACCCCAAACCCAACATTTTTTAAGAATTTCTTCTTAAAATATCAAGGATTTCTATTTTCAATAAATAAAATTCCTATCATATTAGCTATATAAGTGGAAAAGTTCAACATTAGAAATGATCAAGAAATTATGGACATTCTATAGCTTTTTTAATTGCTTTATTTGGTTATTATTAATATTTTTTAACTGATTAATCGAATAAACAATCGCAAGCACTTGCAGTATATGATTTAATAACTCATCACTGATGACAAAGTTTTGTAGTTTTGAGCGTTGATAGACCTGAACAAAAGGAATGAATGTGAATAATTATTTAAATAATTTAGAATTGTTTAGCGTGCAAGTTTAGACTTACCTTATAACATTTTGATTGACAACCGAGTTTACAGGTGTGCTCTTTGGGCCCTGCGATGGTACAAATACTTTTCCGTGTTTATTTCTGACATCAACTGGTCTTCCAAATTTGACGATCTTGTATTTATCTTCAGAATGTGTTGGGTAATTTGTAAACGTTCCTGCATGCATATTGCCAGGTTTCTTTGCTGGAGAACTGGGTTTAAATGGTTTCAGATCTCGTTTCAGAGTGCTTTCTTTTCGTGTACCACTTTGTCCCTTATCAGATTTGAATGGATTGTCGTCGAAGTAGGCTTTCGGATGCATATTCAATTTGAATGCTGATCCCTTAACTGATTTTTTATGGACTTCAACTTCTTTCTATACAGCAAAAAAAAAATACACAATGTATTAATTGATAAGTAACACTCTACTGTATAAATTACATTTATCCAGATAAATTGATACTTACTTTAAACAAATCTCCTGCTCGTCCATAGCTATCAGCTTTATATTCTGGGAATTTATTAATAGTCACGTTACTGTATCCAAAACCTGTTCCTAATTTTCCTGGATTTGTTACAATATTCCTCTTCTCTCCCTTATTAGATTCGTAGGGTTTTGCATTTGGTTTAAAGTACTCAATTGGTCCTCCCAATGTACCATAATGATTACCCAAACCAGACCTATAATGCACATAAAGAAGTTTGAACAGCATAAGCCAATTGCAAATAGTAAAAAAAGTTTATTGCACGTATAATCGTGATACTGACGGTTTCTTTTCTCCGTTACTAGGAAGAAATGGTTTCCCTATGTTTTTCTTCGATTCTTGAATACGGAATTGTCGTCTTGTTTTTATTGGATCGCTTTGGATTAAAGACGTAATAATTTAGTTTAGATATTACTTTATTTGTTATTTAGAATAACAGATCAATAATCTGGTTAGTTTTTCTTTATGCAACTATATTTATAATACCTATAGGATTCTCCTTCTAATATCCTTGAAAATTTATCGGTAAAATATCCATCTGTTTTCGCAGATCTTTCCTTTGATCCACCGGGAAGAATTTGCTTCCCTTTACCGGCAGCAATATTAAAAGCCACTGGAAAAAGAATATTACGTTTTTCATAAGTATTGTTTAACATCGTCATATAAGTTCTTACTCGCTCCGGCAGGTACATATTTATCTCCAATTGATATGTACTCCATCTCCTTAAAGATTCCCACTCTTTCCATATCGGTTTTAGTTCCGCCTGCCATGATTGCAGTATTCTAGTTTCCTATTCTCGGACAGTCACTTGTAGTTTCTCCTTAGCAACTCAGAAAACTGGTAAAACTTTTATTTGGTAAAATTGTCGATAACCGCCAAATTTCTTAGTAAATTCGCAAGAGAGAATGTATTTCTTTATCCATTTTATATAAAATTTTGATTTGTTACTGAAAAAACCATATTTAATAAAAAATTATGTTAAAGGTTAATCTAATGTACTTTTCTTCACTAAAAGTAGCAGATTTTGAATATAAATTTAGTTGGTTGTCGATTCAAAACACTAATTCGAATATAGATTTTCTTTGTTTATAAGAATTTAAAATTTAAAGAATATATTTTTTCGTTCCAGAACATTTTCAGTTTTTTGCTGACGTTTCTAACATTTAATTATATTTATAAGTTGCTGACCGATATTTACCTTATTATCTAATTAACCTTGAAACATTTGACTGCAACTATGTTAGAGTGATAACAACTGGAAAACAATAATTGAATTATTCTGAATAATTAAATTATTCTGTATTTTGCTGACGATCTTTCAAATACAAGTTAGAATTCTGGGCATATTGTCAATCGTAGTTTATTTTATGTTTTCGACAATTTTCTCATAGGACCGGGATACTCTTCATCTGTTTTATAAGAAAGAAAATATTAGAATGTGATATCCTATTCATTTAAAATTTACCTAGAATATCAGCTATGACACCCCATCTATCGGATCCAAACACTGTATGCTGTTTGCCATCTTTTCCATGAATGACAAACCAGGGAGCTCCAAAAGCACCTGAAAGAAAATTGAAAGCAATTATCATTCATGATGAAAATTTTATGTTTTATGGATGAAATTAGGATACCGAGCTCTACTGCTTCTTTTGTGAGACTGGTTAGTCTTTCTTTAGTCTCAGAAGAAGTAGCATCTTCAAAAGCCTTTTCTACTTGTTCTTTGTTTAGTCCCGCTCTCGTTGATGTTTCTCTAATTACGTCTGGCTCTGTTATGTCTTGAATCTGAGAAATTAGTTAATTCCTTGTTTAAGAAAATGACTTAACATATCAAATACTCAAATATCTACTTTACAAAAGAATGATATCCAAAACTGTCTTGAGAGTTCCTCGGTAAATTGAGGATAAGCCATATCAATTGCCGTAAGATATCTCATGGGTTTCAGAGTTGTTTTTTCAAAGGCAACTTTTGCAAAGTTCTAAGTGCATTAGCTTAAAATATTATTTTATATTTGCAATACAATGTATTAGAGTACCTCGTGATCAATTTTGACTGGTACATTGTAATGTCGTGATAAATTTTCTAAATCTTTCATCATGTAAATTCCCTTGGTTTGGCATTGAATGGCTGGGGGAGTGTTTCCAGAAGATTTCATAACACCGCCCAAAAAAAACGGTTTTAATAGTAAGTTAATCTTCCAAGTGTCTCTAAGACGACATGCCATCTACATTAAAAATGGACATTTAAGCATAAATAAACAAAAATTTATGTATTTTATGCAATTTCTTGATTTTTTTCAGGTTGTACATTAAATTCTTCCTACAATGAATATTAACCTCAAATCCAATGAAGGAATATGGTGATACAACATCGTAGAAAATTTCAAAGCGTCTTGCCATAGTGTCTAATACACAAAACTGCCTCAAAAACAAGTTTCTTCTGACCCGGCCTACATAAGGGTCAAGGACGAATGAGTCTAACTAAAAGAACATTTTATATTTATAAGGCATTTCACTTAATTAGAGATTGACTACTTGGATTAAAATTAAATTAGATAAATAAGAGTTGTCTTTCAGACGTGTTACAGTTTATATTTTTATAAATATTAATTCTTTTAGTTATATTAAATGTTATTTTATATGTGTAAATATGTATATTCCGAAGATAAACATTATAAAGTAGTTACAAATGTGAATTTTAAGACTTTTAATATAAAACTGTTCTCTTCTGAACAGATGCAATTTAAAAAAGTGAATCTATCAGTATAATTAAATTTGTTGAAAAGAGATATTTATTTCAAATTTTGTTTAGCTACTGAAATATGAAATTGAATCTTACATAAATCGATTAAAGGCAATCTGTCATTTATTATTTTACATTAAATCTTATTAATTTAATATTATTTCTATTTAAATCATATTTTTATAGTTTAAAAATTCTTCTAATTGATAATATACCAGTTTAGCTGTGACCTAAGAGAACTTTACGGTTTCAAGGACTCATTCATTCTAAACTTTGTAAAACTAACGAAAAAAATAATATTTAATCTTTAATGGTAAGTTGAACTGATATTGGATCACATTAAACCTTCTATGTTATGATTATTAATTAACTAATAAAAGTATATTTTATATTTAGAGTAGTTTGTTTCAAATATTGAGCGAAAATAGAGGACGATCGAAATGACATCTCACGTAAGACAAGTTCGCTTTTTATACAAAAGCATTTTACGACTTCATAAGAGTTTACCAGAAGATTTGAAATATTTAGGGGATAAATATGTAAAAGAAGAATTTAAACTTCATAAAAAGGCAGAAAAACCCCAAGTAGATGTTTTTCTGAAAGCATGGGCGGTAAGTTAAAAGTATAATGTAAATTAAGATCAGAGTAAAACAATTAGTTTTTTAATATCTAGATTTATGCTCGAGATCTTGCTGATCAAATGAAATTGAAACAAAAAAAAGTTAAACCAGATATTGGAAAAGGTTTCACAGAAAAAAGCCTAGAATATCTAAGTGACGATCAAGTCGTTCAACTCTATCAGTTATTCGATGAAATAAATGCAAAGAAGACATAATCTGAAGACTTTTATAGGAAAAAATATGACTATTTAGTTTCACAATACTATGAGAAATGTATAGAAAGTAAAGAACAGACGAAATTGAGAGAAACTGTAAAAAAATAATATAATAACACGTATTGAACTTTCATCAATTTAATTCGTTTTCTCTAAGGTAACATTAGAAACAAAGTCTATATCAGAAATTAATACTCTACCTGATACTTTTCTACCCGGATGGGAGCATTCAACGCTATCAGAGTCAATTGTTTCCGGAAACATATAAACGACTTCCCCTTTCTATTTAAAGAAAAAAGTTGAGGGTACGATAAAGGAAAGTTACTTGTAATAAAAGATTTATCGTACTTTAAGACCCTTTAAGAATTCTTCTCTATGATACAAATACTCATCTATAACATCTCTTTTAATTAAGACTAATGGATTGGCTCTTCTCTTCTGTTCCTATTGATATGAGTAAATTAAAATCTACCTAATTTGCTACTGTCTAATAGTACATTTGAAGGATTATTTAAATTTTCCTCCTGATATCTTTTTCTTTGTTCTTGAGAACTTTTATACTTTAGACGATAATTCATACTTTGTCTTTCATCCAATAAATTTTCTCTCAATCCACTCAGTAGCTCCTGGCAAAGATGCTGAGAAGATTTCTGAGCATTTAAACCTTGATCATTCAAAGTCCAATTATTGTTATTCATTTGGCTAATGTGTAATAAAGAATTTATCCTTACATATCAATTAAATAAATTACCAGCAAAGAGTACTCACTAAATCTCATTGGCCTTTATCTTATTTAAATTGAGAACTCGTAATCAATATAAAGAAAAACGAACTTTAAACATTCTCTCTCAACGTTATTGTACAAGGAAAAAAAGAAAAACTGGCCTATCTTCTCGCTCTCTCGTATATTATATCTTATATATTCATCATTCTTTCTTTCTCCCTTTCTCTATTCTATTTCTCGTGTTACATCTTCAGTTAAATTGTATGAATCATTTCATTATAGAGCGGTTTTATTTTACAAGAATTTAATTTACTTCAAAATTTTCGGATATTTTTATAGAAAAGTAATTTTAAAGGTAACAAAGCAGTTCTTGTTTGTAATGATGGATGGAAAAGGTCTCTATTTTGCTTTTTTAGTTGTTTAATATATGATTCGATGATTACCTATTTAAATGGATAAAAAATAAAATTTAGTTATAATATCAATGAGCATGGTGTTATGTTATTTACCGCTGGAAGCATAGCATTTCTAAACTTTGCATCGCAGTTTTTTCCTATTGAACGAGCCTAATCGAAGAAAAAATATATATGTATAAGTTGGTATTAAAAGAAATTTTAAGTAATTTCTTACTTCTTCCAAATGCTGATTGACAAGATTAATAACTTCTGAAACAAGGTTTCTTCCATTATCGGTTAATTTACCTTTAAGAATTTCTTTGTAACTAAGATTGTACTGAAATTATCTATATATAATATAACTAGTGTTGTTATATGCTAATAGCCAACCTTCTCAAACAGGTCTTTTGGAAGTAGAATCCTTCCACAGGTTGCGTGAAATGGGACCGCCCTCAACATTGTTGTTAAGCCTTGAGCTTTTCCGACACATTCAGCCATTTTTTTTGCTTCGTCATTAGGGCTGCCTGTTGATTTTTAACCACTTGAAAGAGAGGCTCATAAAACATAAAGATGATTACCTAGTATCTCTAAGGTTAGTTCCAGTAGATTAGAAGTAGTATTCTTTGCATAGTTTTCAATATCAGCTATAGTTTCAGGTAGCTGGCTTGAAAAGTGTATTTCCTAGAACAAATATTATCTTCTAGTTGAATATATCAATAAAGAATGAAAAAGAAAACTAACTCTTGCGGTTACAAGGTCGAGAAGACGATCTTCGGGTAACTTGTAGCTTGCTAAAACTTTGGATAGTAAAGATGCTACAGGAGTTTTAGGTGGTTTACCCTTATGATAAGAAATGAAAATACATACTTTAAGTTAGGTTAATTCATTGAATAAATATTAACGAACCTGACTTGTGCTCTTGATACAATTTCCCCAAAATATTAATCTAGTTTTACCAGTGTTTTTATCTGTAACAGAATCCGGCACCTTACGAATATTCACCAGTTTTTTAATAAAGCATATTTAGTAAATATTATTGTACATACTTTTGCTATTTCAACGTTTAAAGCTCTTAATCCAAATACTGGAATTCGTGCTTCTTGAGGCAGAAGTAAGGTTGTGATATAAGTCTCATAATCGTGCTGCCTGTTCACTTATTCATTATCGCTCATGAATTACAAAATTTTCAATCTTACTTTACAAGGTCAATGCAATAATCTATATCTTTCTTTAGCCAAACTTTAGTAAACGTAGATTGGCACCGTCGGCTCAATAAATATCCTGTTTTCTTTATTAACAACATAATAAATAGAACCTCTGCTATTTTAAATGTGGATAGTGTACTATCTATTGGGCATGTTTCGTTTTGTGTAAAAACTACCGGCAGCGCGTTGAGGTATAAATATATCAAAAATGTAATAATGAATGACTTTGTTTAATAATTTAATCCCTATGTGTGAAGGCAATGTCAAAAACCATCAAATTAGCTCTTTTAACACCTAGACTTCTCAATGTCTTAGTCATAATCGAACGTTTATTTCAAGAACTTTAAATACGGAAAATATTTAAAAGTTTATCGCTTGCCACCGACACGAGGAGCGCTCTTGGGTTGGTTTTTAGCGAACTTCTGTTTCGGCTGCTTGGTTGCCTGTAATTAGTAGACAAATAAATTGCTATATTACATCAGACAATGTTAAAAATTATTATAAAGATAATGTTAAGTATAATTTATGATTTGTCTATTTGTTATATCATTTTGTGATTGATTTAAAAATGTACCTTTTGTGTGGCTTTCTTTACTTGCTCCTTAGCTCTTTGTTTTTCCTTTGCAGCTCTGATGGCTTGTTCTCTTTGAGCTTTTCTTACTTCTGGCTTCTGATTACGCTTAGCCATGATGTCGTTAAGAGTAGCTCCTGTAATAGCTCTCTGGAACTTTTGAGTTCTGCGAGTTCTCTTTTTAGATGTCTCTTCGCTGGCATTCTTCTTCATTTTACGTCTGTACAAGACAGTCCAGTTGATTTTGCGTGGGTTACGCTTCAATTGTTGCGATCTTTCGCATTTTCCGTTGATGAAATGAAAGACCTACGAAATATTCGAATTAATAGGGACTCCAAAGGAGTATGAAACAAGCACCTTCCCATCTATTTTCACGACACGTTTGCCGTGGCCGGGGTAGATCTTAAAACCACTAAACGCGCACAACTCGGTCCTGAAATTAATTATGTGTTTAGTTAATATTATGATCCTTTCAAAGCATGAGGTTTAATTTATTATCCGAGATGATTATACGAGATTTTTAAGGATCTTTGCAATAAACACTCACTTCATAATGACGGAAGTTCTGAAAAGGAAGTTGCAGGCAACGGAATTATGGGAGTAATATATTTTTTGTGAAAAATAGAAACCGGTAGTTATTTAAAGATGGCGGATAAATTTGAGCAATTAGAACAGCAGCTAGAACTTTTTATTGAACATTCTCGTCAATTAGGAATTATGGTGGCTGATTTTCAGCCACAGAGTCAAGAAGTATTAAACAAGAAACTGTTTGTTTTATTTTATCTTATTTCTAATTATGTATCTCAATCTTAACTTGTTTGATTGCAACCCCTCAACAGAAATAATATGATAACAGTCATGAAAGACTTAGATCGAATGAGAGGATCAGTACAAGATGTGCAGGTTCCAGTGGATGTTTTTGAGTACATTGATCAAGGTCGAAATCCTCAACTATATACTAAAGAATGCATGGAAAAATCCAAAGCAAAAAATGAAGAAGTTCGTGGAAAAATTGAGGCTTTGAATGTAATATATATTATATATAAGAAAAATATATTTTGATTAAATTACTTGAACACATATTTCAAATATCACAGAAACTTCGAGGACATCTTATGGTTGAACTAAACAAGACATTTCCTCACGAGCTAAATAAATACCGAGCGATGAGGGAAGAGAGACAGTAGCAAGTGCAAGATTGTACTTAGCTCTTTTTAAAGCATTTTTGTAATTTATGCATTATTTAATTTAAAACTTCTGTAAAAAGTTGTCTAAAAGTTCAATTTGTTCATGCTTCATTGATTTCTATGGTATGATCACCGCAAGCCTCACAAAGTAGTTTTTCTTGGCGAATCAAGGCTTGAAGTTTTGATATCTCTTGCTCCAATGGACGCTTTTTTGGTGTTGTGGAAGAGCATTCTTTAAACAAAATTCCTCTAAAGCTTCTTATTATTTCAATTATCTTTGTGAAGGTCTCTTCGCGAAGTAGAGCTACATTAACTGGAATTTTACTGTTGTCTAGGAGGTCTGAGAGTGAATTTGATTCCTCCTTGATTTCTGGTGTCTTGCTATCATCTGTAAATAATTTTATATATTTCATTTGCTTTGGAGTAACGTTAAATTCTAAAATAGATATTAGTTGATAGTATTATTGTTGAAAATTATATAGTAACTAATGAAATATTCGAATGCATATTATATATAATATTACTGATTTGCATGTTTTCAATATCAAATTTCATGACGAAATCCAATGTATTTCGAGTTGGAATTTCTTCACACATCTTTTTTGACAAGTCTAGAGGTTCTTGTTGGTAGTCCATCGGTTCCTCTCTATCTCTGCAAATTATAAAATACACTAAAATAAGATAGTAGGGAATTTCGTAAGTCGAACTGTAATATTTTGCACTTTTGTAAAATGTTGTTTCGGCGGATTCTTTTGGCGGCACACTTTACATCCTGACATTGTCTGACAATAGCACGAACTTCATCCTCACTTAATCCGAACTGGTACGAGCCCATGGAAATAGACTGGTCCATCTGTAAAGATATATATTGTTATAATACGGAATCAAATTATTTGAACGAACTAACCGTATGAAATACGGAACTAGCTGATACATGTTTATCTCCTGGTAAATAGTTTCTTGAGTGAATTCTCATAATTTCACTGATGAGATCTTCTCGACAGAGTACAATTTTTCCCGATTGAGCATGTATTAATATCTCATTTTCTACTTTCAACTTCCTTGCCCATGCTTTAAACTTTGATCGAATACTTTCTTTAAATCTGGATGTGTTTGGCTCGCTTTGAACAGTTAAACCAGCTTCAATTAATTCGTCAATCTTCGGCAGTGGCTCTTTCTGATCTTTTTTGTTAATATAATCAATGAAGAGCGAATGTAGACGGCGACCAAAAGTACCCATTCTTGTTGAGGCGCTTTTTCTCGAAATATCCTCTAGTTTCCCCAACAATAATGGTGATGATAGATTTAAATCATTTTCCCTTGTCAATGTAACTGCAGATGTACTCTTTATCGCCCTGAAAAAGTTGAAACATGATTTTGAAAAAAAAACCGTTTTTTTTCAAATGGGTAAACAGTTTTTGTATCAGTTTTAAAAAAATTCTTCAAACGCTGACGCCGAAGAATTTCTATTAACATTTTAAAAGTTTGCGTAGAGAACTCACCCTTCATGATTGCTGTGTTGGATTTCCATAACGTTTATATTTAGTCCGGAGCTTTTGAAAGTAAAAGATTTTAGCTAAAAATTACCAAAGTTTACTTTTTTTGACTTCGGATAAGGGAATTTAATAATTCAAAAACCTAAAGTAGTTTTAAAAAGTATTCAGACAACTGCTATGTCGTCAGTGTTTATTTTAATCTTATTTTAAACGCTTTGGCGCTCCTTTGTTACCAGTTTCTATTACAATTGGTCAGAGAATTTTTCGTCTTAAGTTGAAGAATTCACAATAATTTAACTGTCGAGTTTTCAAAACAAAAATTTTTCCATTTTTCAGGTAAAAAATGTAGTCTCATTTTTTATTACTTACTTCTTAATACCGAATGTTTTTGATTAAGAACCACTTATCAGAAAATGTTTATATTATGATATTTCACAATTTGTTCTTTCGCGCCAGAAGATTTGCCGGAAGTGATCTTTCATTAATCGTAAATTTTTATATATTTTTTGATAAAATATCATACTTATGAAAATAATTAAAATTAATTATTAAAAGTTTTTTATTAATATTTTACGTCTACGAAAATCTTTGGAAACAGATGTAACTTCCTTTTTCCTGTTACCTCACGTGTAGTTATTTGGGCTCATTGTAAGTAGACAAAAATCTAAAAATTTCGACGTTAAAATGCTAAATTAGCTCAATCATTTGTTAGGCTCTTGTATATAAATATTTATTCGATGTATCTTGAGCATTATTTTTTCTAATAGGAGGACATCCGCTATTAAAACCATGTCTGACGCGGAAGGGTATGTAGTCTCTATAATACCATCAACTAAGTTTACATTTAACTTTATAACTTCTTCAGAGATGATGTTCCCATGTCGCCAGCGACTGGAGATTCTATGAACGTTTACACAGCTCTACAAGAAGTACTTAAAACCTCCCTGGTATCCGATGGCCTTGCCAGAGGATTGCACGAATGTGCCAAAGCATTAGATAAGCGTCAAGCACATCTGTGCGTTCTTGCAAATAATTGTGATGAACCCGGATATGTTAAGCTTGTAGAAGCTCTCTGTGCTGAACATGGCATCAATTTACTGAGAGTAAGTGAATAGTAAATAATTTGCTGTTGTATGCTTCGTATATTTGAGCATGATGAAACTTACATGCGCCCTCTTCATATTATAATGATGAATGCATCTGTCTGATTATATTGAAACATTTGAAGCTTAATATGTATTTCTATGTGTATATGACTAACTTTTTTCTACTGACAGGTTGATGATAACAAAAAGTTGGGCGAATGGGCTGGATTATGTAAAATTGATCGTGAAGGCAAAGCCCGTAAAGTTGTTGGATGTAGTTGCGTTGTTGTCAGAGATTATGGTAAAGAAACAGAAGCCTTGGATACCATTAATCAGTACTTCAGTAAGAAGTAGACTAATGTATATAACGTTTTTCAACAAATAAAAATGTTGAAATTGTTGGAACTGACTTTTGCTTCTCTGGTTGTCGTAGTTTTATTGCATTCATTATAAGTAGTTTTAAATTTACAAAACTTACGAGATGGTAGCATTATACACACAACTCTTCAAATTGACGATCCATCAGCAAAAAATAATTAAGTTTCTCTCTTAACAATTTTTCCATTGAAACCAAAAAATTTACAAAAGTGCTATATAAAATTTGATATTAACATCAGTGAGAAACAAATTGAATAAACATGCGAAAATTCAAGATAACGCAACTGAACTTAATCATTGTCGAAAACGTTTCAATTGTTTAGCGTAGTCCAGATATTCGTTGCCATTGTAAACATCGATAAATTCATATTGAATAGAAGATTAAAATCGGCGTTTTATAAAAAGTCGATTTAACCAGAATGGATGAAGATAATATTGATAAAGAAAAATATCTTCAGAAAGCATCACATATATGGTCAATGCTAAATGACATGAGAGAAACGGATCCTGCGAAATACAGGCGAGTCTGATCATACAAAAATTTCTTCTAGTCCTTAAGAGAACCGATCCTTTTGTACAGAAAGTTCATAGATGAGCAGTTAAAGGCTGGAAAAGAAATCGTGAATTCAAGAAAGCCCATAGAACCCCACATGTGTTTAAAAGTACAGTTTAAGGTAGTCACTGAGCAGCACAAAAAAATTCGTACAATGACAAAAACCTAAGATGTTTTATTTTAATCATAGGACTTGGATGAAAAAAAAAACCTATATATAAATTTCGTTACATGGAATCGTCTTCCTGAACCAAAGAGTGAAACACACCCTGTACCAATAGCTGGGGGACCAATTTACGATATTTCCAATGATAGTAAATCTATAACTGTAGCATTAAATTCAAAAGTTCTCGAAGAAATGGGTCGAAATGGTTCACCAGAAAAGCGCGAGTGCTTAATAGGATTAACAATTTCTTTTATTGAGGAAAATCGTAATGTAAAGTTGAGAATAAATTATGAAATAGAAGGTGACAATAAGCTATATCATGGAGACTTAAAGACAATAGTCAACTCTTTGCTAAAAGCTTATAATCAAAAAGCAGATGATAGCATGGAATATTTGAAAGAGTTTGCGCCAATAGCTTCTTTGTTACCTGAGCATAAGACAGTAAATGAAGTTACAACTGAAGATATCATCACCCGTAAAAGTTCAGATAATGAGAATCCTGATATCATTATACCAGGTGTTAATGAGAAAGCAACAAAAACATGTCTGATAGAAGAAGTAGCACCAAAATATTTGACTCCTACTTATAAAATATCTGATGAAATAAAAGAGGGAGTACCAACTTACTTAATGAAAATATCTCTTCCCGGTGTGAAAGCCTCGAGCTGCGATTTGGATATGAGTGAGGTAAACTATTAGAAATTAAATATTTCTATTAACTGCCCTTTAAAAATTGTTTTTCCCATCTTGCAGACAGATCTAGTTTTAAAGGCAGATAATTACGAATTGGAATATAAATTCAAGAAAAATATAAATTGGGAAAGAGTGTCTACGAAATTTTCGAAGAAAAACAATCTTTTAACTATAACTATTCCACAATTAGTTTAAGATTACTAGATATCAAAGAATTAATTTGTTACTTTGTTAACTTTTGATAAAGAAAAATGACGACGTTTGACGGAAAATTTTTACATTATTTATTTTTATTTTATCTTAGGTAAGGTGTTATATGTCTGCTTTCATTTGAGTATCGGTCAGAGAGACTTTTTCACCTGGCTTGAAAGCAGGCCTACCTAGATAAGGGCAACTTGCACACCTAAAAGCATCGCCTAAGTAACAACTTCCGCAACTTGATTTCGGAGCTGGTGCTTTTGATTTTTCTTCATTTTCCAACTCTTCAGCAAGCCCACATGTACAATTTTTGCAAGCTTTCTTCTTTTTCTGTGCATCTCCACATGATGCTAGAATAAGTTTAAATAATTATTTCATTGAAAAATCTTTTGAAGTTTAACTCTTTGAGATTTTACCTCTAAGGGATTCAGCGTCGGGTTTTTTTAAGTCTGCATCATCAAGTAAATCATCAGTGTCAATAATGTCCATATCATCATTCGCATCGTCTGCGTTTAAGGCCCACACAGTTTGTTGAGGAGCTGGAGCTAAAAATACGTATTTTTGGGAGGATATTTCATTTTTATTGAAAAATATTAAGTTCAAATAATACCCTACCTGTCATGCCAGGTAATTTCAAGGCTATTTTCGCACCAATTTCGAAATTGGGCTTCGAAGAAGTGAATAGATTTAATGACAGGTTGTTTGCTTTTAAATGTTCCTGGTAGGCTTTTAAAAGATTTTCTTCAATTTTTAATGATTTCTGTAAATAAATTGCGTCAGACTTAAGTTGAATTAGCAATCTATAATTATCTTTTGTATTTGTGCTTTACCTTTTCTATTGATATGAAGCCTGAAAGTTTTAGTGAGGACGCTATTTGACTTTCTGTTCTTGAATCAGTTATAGCTTCAACGACGTGTAACTTTCCACCTGGTTTAAGTATTCGAGCAATTTCCTCCAAGAGATCATTACTATGCACAGTAAATGAAGGTAAAGGGAAACCGCTTATGGCCAAATCGAAATTCGATGCCTTGTGATTCGCTAAATCATCGATAAAATAATTCATCAACATGTATTTTATATAAAATCTTACATTTTGTCAACATAGACACATTTTCACATTGAACACGACCCGATTTTCCAACTCTATTTTCGATAAATTGTACAATCTCTGGCAAAGCAGACGCTTGCAGAGAATCCCATAAGAGTAAGACGCTCTGAGAAGACTCAAATTGTAAGTTTTCCATTCTGTAAGAAATAATTAATTTTTTTCTAACTTTTTAAATATAAAATAAGACGAATTTCGTTAAAGATAAAAATGAATTACGTAGGATATATTTTAATTGTGAACGATTCTTCTAGATTACAAAATTGACCTTGACCAAGAGAACTCTAAACTTGTTCTAGAATATTCGGAATTTAAAAGAGATGGCGCTAGTTATTTCAGTAGTCGATGTATATTTTATACTTTAAAAAGACACATTTCTAAACAATTTAGCAACATTCTTTAATTAGAAGTCAGTTTTTAAAAAAAATTAATGAGTTTGAATGCAATTTGCAAAAACAATTATTTATTCGTCCAGCTCCCAATTGGCACTCATTGCGTTTGTTTCTAACAATATCGGGAATTCATTAAAATGAGATCCGAACGAGAAGTAGTTGCCCCCTCCTCCAAATATATATATATTATCGTTGACAAGAACAGAAGCATGACAATGGAAGGCAAGCTATAGTAAAGAAAAATAAAGACTGTTAATAATATTCTTCAACGTAATATCGTATATTTGAAAATATTACCCGAGTATCCTCTTCTGCTTGTAACGTATAATTACTTAAAACGCTTAATCTATTAAGACAAACTACACTCACATCGGGTAATTGTGAGTCATAACTTACACCTCCAATTATTATTAGCTTGTCATTGAGGTAATGAACGGTATGTGAAAATCTAGTTATAAAAAGGAGTAAAAATGTATAGATTAATCGCAAATTTCATTTCTACAAACATAAAATACCTTGAACAAATAGAACGATCGAGAATTTTTTCGTACGTGCTTTCCTTAAAATTTAATCGATATACTGCAGAAGAAGATGTTCCTGATTTCGCCAAGCCGCCAATAAGTACGGCTGTATCGTTGGATATTGCAGTTATGGTATGAGAATGAAGATAAGGTAACTCAGTTTTAAATTCAATCTAAAGCAATTGATAATATTTAAATGTCTGGTAATAATAAAAATATAAATTAACACACTTTTTCAATAGAATAATTGTCTAACCAAACAATAATGGGATCACTTATGATTTTACCGTTTCTTTTCCCGCCATGGATAAATATTCCTCTCCTTCCTATAATATATCAAATCGTATTAATTAACATTATGCTATGGACAAGAGTTTGTTTTTTAAATTTTTACCGTTTAAGGTTATAATATCTCCTGCATGACGCCATCTCTGCAAAAGTTCCTTGTGACAGTTGCATTTTATCTCCGCAATGTCAATCTCATTTTCTTTCATACTCTCTTTAATGAGGTAGAGATCTGAATTAATTTGTCGGGGAGATTTCCTACCACCGATACAAAGGGTTTCAGTGTCACTTATTGAATGAGATGTGTGATGCATTAGCTCAAGGGGAATTTCACTAGATATAGGCTTGAAGTTGACGATATCTGGATGGAAACATTTAATGTCTTTAACTCGGCTATCGCTACCGTCAGGTGAACGACCAAATCCTCCTATTAGTAAAACATTTCGACCAAATTTTGTTGCCGAATGTCCGTAGCACATATATGGCTTCATCGCAAGTAGCTTCAAATCGAGATTACCACTAATAAAACTCTTGGGACTTGGAACGAAACTTTGAGGATATTCTACCATCGAACACAATCCTTTAGTTGCAATAAAGAGTATGTAATGCCAGCACTTGAGCACGAATTCTTCGTGTTCATCGAAAGGTTCTAATTCATCAATTCTATCCTAAAAATAAGTATAAATTATATATATATATATATATTGTACATATTAATATATATTTATATTTATATATCTTTAAATTACATCGTGAATTTTATAATAGTTTGTTAGGCAAATAAATATTTAATACATTAATTAGTAATGAAAAATTCTAAACCAATAGATCAAATAGCAAACTCACTAATTCCTCTTCGTTTAGATAATGTTTAATGTATTCGTTCATGTTGCAGGTGAAAAACTTGTCGCATGCACTCTGTAAAATAAAATAAATATTTGTTTAACGTGTTTCTACTCTTAAAATAAGATAGAATGTTTAATTACATCATATTCAGAGAATATGTTGAGGCGTTCAGCTACCGTTGGCCACTTTACTATACTTCTTAAAGGAGTTCCAATTGTTTCGAAATGTTGAAGCCTAAAAAAATTCCTTTTTTAAGTTGTTCAACCAGATTCATCTTATAGAAGAATGGTTTAAAACTCTTACATTACATTGGTGAAGCAGTTTTCTGTCAATACTTGCTCATATGCAACAAACGCTAGGTTGGGGAATATTTTTGTGATGTTATTTATAATTAACTCATATCTGTTGGAAAATGAAATAGAATGAGAGGAGCATTTCTTTGAGGGAAGAGAGTTAATAGTTACTTATCGCTGTCCAAATAGGGTAAGACAACTTCGCAGAGCACAAGGGTAGGAACATACCTACTCATGCCTGCCCAGTTTAATATTGAAAGGAAATTTTTCAAGAAATTAGGTTGGCACATATCGAGGCCAGCCAAAAAGTAGTTTGGATCCAACCGATGTTTATCTTTTTTAAAAGACATAACAGTGATGTGCTTGGGAACAACATTAGCGATATTTACTTACCATCATCTTCACTAATAATTTTATGATTTCGTATGGCACTGATACAGTTGACTTTCCTACTTATTACGGTTGGGAAATCGACCTTGAAATATCAAATGTCACGTGCGTTAGGAGTGCATTATATGGATAACTTACGTCCAAGAAAGTTAATTCCTGTTTCAAGTCTTTTTCCAACAGACGAAAGTATAAGGTATCAAAACCAGCACCAAGAGATATAACCTATAAAAATCATGTAAAATTAGTTTGCAAAGATGAAAGCTGCATTAAAACAGGAAATAACTCCACCTGCTTCTCGATGCCGGCGAAGGTTTTAGTATTTAAAAACTGAATTACAGTATTTGTAACAGCCTCTTGCCTTATGTAATATCCTCTGGAGAGAAATCAAAGAAACTTATAGATTACATTTTATCAAATACCCATGTCGTTACCTATTAATGAGTGGAGATCGACGAACTTTTTTTGAAGTAAAGTATTTGATATAACTATCTTGAAAGTAACCTAGATTGGCGGCTGAGGCTTTACTTAAACTACTACTATCATTTGTTCCTTGTACAGCATTGTCACTTGAAGGCATAATGAACACGCTAAATTCAAATTAATATTGAAATGAGCGATAGCAGAAGTGATGCGACAATAATGAATATTTCGTCGAATTAGTTTCTTTCTGATAGGTGTTCCTTGTACAGTTCAACCAATTTTTTGGAAACGGAACACTATACCACTTTAATTGTAGATTTAACCACGTTGGGGAGAACTTAATGAACTACTCTAAAAAAAGGACACTTTATCAATAGGAGAAAATCTTACCAATCAGTTTAAAAAGACGAATAAAATATTGAAAGGTCAAGGATATATAATATAATAAAATTTATAATTAACGAAGCTAGAAGTGGACGTCGGAAAGTGTTTAGAGTTTAAGAGTCCTTAGTAAAGAATCTAAGTTTAGCGATAGAATAAAAATATATTGCAAATAAAATATTTTTCTCAAACATTATACATAAAATATATTGCAAACAGTTAATGCTTAGTTTGAAAGGTTGGTTACTTGATTACAGGAAGTATAAATGCAGAGATACACAATATATATATATCAATAAATGGTTGATTACTTCATTGTTTATTAATAATTTCGTTTTACTATTGTATGTTTTTTGAAATCATCATTGAATAATTTCTATATGGTTGTCAGGAGAGAATCCATCTTCAGATTCCATTAAAATATTTGTTCCTTTCATTTCATCGTCCTCTATATTGTTCAAGTGTTCGTCCTCTATCAAGTCTTCAGGTACTTCATCTTTTGTGATTTTTTCGTCAAACGAAACACTCCTTCTTTTACGTTTATTAGAAGGATAAGTCATTCGGAATCTTGTTGTATCGAGGGTACTCTGCAATAAAATAAGAAAATATGTCGAGTAGAACCCTATTATAAAGTGAGAATAATTTTAAAAATCTTACAGAAACTATCTTCGGTTCCCCGTAGACTTTGGCGTTAAGTTTTTTATCGCTTTTATCATCGATAAACGTTACTATATTAAAAAGTTAACAATAAAGCTCAACTAACTAATAATAATTCTGAAAATACAAACTATTAGTATTACGGTCCATATTAAAATGACTTTGCATATATTGTCGGTGATCAAAGTCTTCTGCACTGGCGTCTTGCCAATGAAGATCAATTTCCGCCGTGGGTATAAAAATATTGTAAAAACGGATCTATTAAATTGATTAAAAAATTCGTCATCATCAAATATTTCGTGTATAATTAGATGGGAACTTACTTCATCTAGTTGACCTTTATAAAAATCTTGAGAATCCGACCCAATAAGAACGGTATTATTTGTTTCAGTCACGTTGCCCTAAATAAATAGATATTAGTATCTTAATCATAATAATTGAACTTTATTATCTTCAATTACCCAGTCATATATTGGTACAGCTGTCTGAACCGCGTCCGTACCCCCACTTGTTCCGTTAACATAAATTTGTAGAATTAACTCTATTTAAGGAATAAATAAAAGAATTAAAAGGATGCTTTCGTTAATTACAGCAAAAGATTTTACCTTCAGCATTATATTGGAAGGCTATATGAGTCCAGTGATTCTCCGGTATGATGGTGGCTCCAGTTATTTTTGCATCTCCATACTGGGCATTCAATCGGTCATTTTCTACCCAAATACAGAGTTTGTGATTCACTGTACAAATTATAGGATTTGTTGAATTAACCTTCGATATTGGCTTTATCCAAGCCTCTATAGAAACGCTGGAGAATAGTTAAATTTAATGTTAATAAGATACTAGTATGCAGATAAAATTTTCTTGCCTCAAGTTGAGCTTAAGATCTATAATGTCATATAATTCAGCATAATCATTAACACCGTCCAGGGACAAAGCCATATTTTCCCTATAAGGAGTATCCATTAAGAAATGACTTGTAGATTTTATTATTTGTTTTTCTCACCTATCTGTACACTGGTATCTCAAATACGAAAAAATTGCACCGGGTTGATTGTGAACCAGTATACCTACTCTTCCACCAGAAATCCTAGTGTCGTATAGATCTCCGGTGTCGAGTATAAGGTCTTCGTTCTCTTTGATAATGACTCTATATAACATCAGGAAATTAAAAATTTTAATTAGAGTGATATTGATTCTGTGAACCTTATTAAGCCTATATCCGGTCTGTGGGTCAAATACCATTTATAAGAAGTTTTACACTTCCATCCTCTTAGCTCTGGATCATGCCATATTACATTTAGGATATTAGCCGTATCTTGGACATGCCATAGTGCTTCAGCGAAGTTCTGATTAGGTGTGATTGTTGAATCGACAAGCTAAGAATAAGTATTACGTAATAACTCGTTAAATAAATTAGTTAAAATATTCAAAACCTTTATTTGAAGTCCTCTTAAGCCAACGCTATATGGAGTATTGCCATAATTTAAATGCATGTGTCGCCATATTGCTACATAAAATCGTTTATTATTTTGATAACCGAAAACGAAACCAATGTAGCCGTGACAAGAATCAGCGTTAACAAACATAGTGCCTTCATAATTCATTTGACCTAGATTATCTCTGGCTGAAAGACAAATTCCGAAATAAATGAATGAACAAATGAATAAATTAGTGAATAAATAAGTTGAATTGAAAACAATCATTAGTATTGTTAATACCTATAAACATTGATGTTGCGTTAGTGTTGACAATTTGCCTAACTTCCTTTCCGTCGTTGAGAATTAGCCAACCAGCATTTGGCTCTGAATCGGTAGGATATAAGTCAATGACAGCAGTGCCATCCTTAAAATTGGTTTTCTGCACATGTTTGTTCTTAGGGCAAACGTCAAACGTATCAATGACACCATCGTTATCTAAGTCATTTTCACAAGCATCTCCCAAATGATTGCCGTTGGCATCTAATTGATCTATATTCGGTACGTAAATACAATTATCTTTAATATTTTCTATACCATCTCCATCTACGTCATCGTCACATTCATCCCCTGGTTGGTTTTTAAAAAAAATATTTAAAATTTAAATCCTATCATCGGTTTAACAATCAATAATAATAATGATTATATTAAATTACCTATTCCATCTCCATCCGTATCAGATTGGTCACCATTAGGTACAATGACGCAATTATCTTTAAAGTCTAATACTCCATCACCGTCTCTGATTATAATTAATGATAAAAATATTGTTTTATTCATTTTGGGTTTTACTTACTTATCTGTATCGTGACAGCTATCTCCTATGCCATCCTGATCTGTGTCAGTTTGAGCAGAATTTGCTACCGTTGGACAATTATCGCATACATCTCCTACGTTGTCGCCGTCTCCATCTTCCTGCCCTGGATTTGCGTGCTGTGGGCAATTATCTGCGGTGTCTATTAATCCGTCACCGTCAGAGTCTGTTTCACAAGCGTCGCCAATACCGTCATTATCACTATCCGTTTGAGTTGGATTAAAATCATTTATACAATTATCGCAAGCGTCACCAACTCCATCATTGTCTACGTCAATTTGTCCTATGTTACTCACAAAAGGACAATTGTCCTGTTAAAATTATATACCATATAGTATTTCTCTTAAATTTTAATTTAATATGATCTATTAGTTTACCATAAAGTCAAAAACTGAGTCGTTGTCATCATCGTCGTCACAGACATCACCCAGCCAATCTTTATCATTATCTTCTTGACCAGAATTTGGTACAGTTGGGCAGTTATCCTATAGTAAATTTAGCGAACATATAGTAGAAAATTAACAATTGTACCTAAGTATACCCTTCGACAAGCTCTTTCATTACAAGAGATCGGAACTGTGACAATTCCATCTTGATCAGGATCTAAACCACAGAGAAAGCCGTTGCCCGCCCAACCGTTGTTACACTAGCGTAAGAGTAATTATTTTTATTGCGCTCAATTAATTATATCAGAATTTTTAATATAGATACCTCGCACTTGTAGGCGCCAGGACCGGTATAAAGACACGTAGCGTGTTTGTGGCATTCGTGTTCTCCACTCATACAAAAATTTCCCGGTTTGCAACCGTAAAAAGCATCTCCAACCCAGCCTTCCTTACAAGTGCCACAATTGAAGGAACCCTATTTTTTAATGAAAAATTTGAATAGGCAACATTCGATGAAATGTACTTACAATAGTATTATAACAATAGGCATTCGGATCACATCCTCCGTTGTTGGTTTCGCACTAAAGACACGCATTGATAAATAAAATTTAATGCATCTAGTCTTCAACTTACTTCGTCTATGTCGTTACACGACTGTATTACTATTTCGTCGTGTTTCTTATTGCAATCGGCAAAAGTTCTTTGAAATATTTTATTTCCCATACCATCCTCGAAACTACCGGTATAGCCAGCACGACACTCTTCACACTGATAACCTGGTACTGTGTTCCTACAATCAGTCTTGTTCCAGCAAGGCGATATTGTAGCACACTGAATATTATATTATTTTGTTTAGGTTCAAATTTTTATAAATTTAATAATCTTGGTACCTCATCTATATCTGTACACGTAATTCCGTCACCCTCGTATCCGGGTGGACAAGCAAGGCAAGCAAAGCTATTCGAACCAGTGTTAACGCACAAGGCGGAATGATCTGACGTATTAAAACAAGGCGATGGGGTTTTCATACAAGGACAATCCGAAGGCCCTGTACACGCTTGACAATTTTGCCCAGTTCCATCCGAATAAGAGCCAAAAGGGCAAGGATTACATCTATCCTTCATTTTGGATGTTGTAAAGCCTTTTGGGCAATTTAGACATTCAGTTTGGCCTGTCTGATTTTGATACGTGCCCGGACGACACATAGTACAGTATTCTGCAAATAAAGAGTCGTTATTGGAAATAAACGTATATTATATTTAATTGCCAGATTAAAGGGTTTACCTTGTCCTTCTTTTGAAAACGTTCCAAGATGGCATTCGTATTTTTTTCCTCCTCTACAAGAATACCCTTCTTCGCAAATCTTACAGCTTTCTGGACAGAAAGTATCATTGCATATTGAATAATATCCTGGATTACAAGGCGTTGCATAACCTTTTGAGCATTTCTGAAAATTTGTTTGATTGTTAATATTTTATGTAAAAAAAACCAAACTAAAGATAGTACGAACCCATCCAAAAGGACAAAAGGTACATTCTTCAGCCATGCCAAACGAATGTTCCGTTGGTTTAACATTACAAGTTTCATTTTCTGAGCATCTACCACACGGCCGCCTAATTCCATCACCTAGACAATACCACGTTGCTTCGCATCGTTTGCAAGAAACGTCGTGAAAATGTTTCTCTTCTTGTTGGCACCCTATTAATTCGAATCGCATGGAAGGTACATTATTCCATGTTAATGGGTGAATTCTTAGATATTGAGCGTAAATGGGCGGTTCGAAAGAGATTTCTGTAATAGTATCTCTATCTGAGGTACCGTTTAATTGGTAAAAACACGAGGAGTTTGTGCAGTTAACAGGAGGCACAAAACCATCAATAGCAAAATCTTTCCAAATGACATTATCATCGCTATAAGTGACTCTAAACGTAGTAATCCAATAATCAGCGCTATCTTGGCCTTGTAATTGAATTTTTCGGATGATATGCGGAACGCTTAGACTGACTTGAATCCACTGATTTTCATCCTCTATTTCGGGCGACCATCCTCCAGTGAGACTATCGTAAAAATCTAAATAATAGTAATAATTATAATAATAATAATTATATGTCAAACATGACTACTTACCACTAAGAGTTGTCATATTCAATCTTGACCTTCCCGGTTGGCTACGTCGTTTAGACGATGATGCCGATAGTAGAGAGTCAGGTATAAAACCCTTTTGCATTCCAAGTATTTTCAGACACTCTGAAAGATTAACATTTTTATATTATCCCTATTATTAGAGGATTTTATTTCTTCTTACCAAATGCTCTATGCCAATAGCGAGGAATTCTTAATCTTACATCTCCTGTCCTATTATCAACATCGTAATTATATTCAATCGGATTATAGAAGACATCCACTAGACAGGAATTACTTAGTTCCACTGTAACATTGGCAAAAGTACCTCTAGTTGGCTGTCCACCGTCTGTTACTACTACTCGGAATGTCATATTTGTCGTTCGTACATATATGACCTTTCGTAAGTCCAGCGTTTGATTCAAATCCAATGGTGGACTGCAAAGGAAACAATTTATGCATACTGTATAGATATATCAATACATAAAGCGAGTCTATCATGTGTTTTATAAATTCTAATCAGGCAAACTTACTCAATAACTACATTACTTCGACGATAAAACAATTCCTTATTTATTGTACTGTCTTCATCAGAAGCGTTAAGGGCTACAATAGGGGTTGGCTGAAGAGCTGGATTTGCAACGTAAAAGTATTCCCTGGAGAAAAATAAGAGTATAATTTTAAGTTTTCTGCAAGAGCTTGAGGAATAAGTTGCTATACCTATTTGATAAAATTGGACAATTATCATTTACGTCCTGCACCTTGACCTAAATAAATTAAACAAAAAGAACAAATATTTAAAGACGTCTAATGATGGTGAATAGAATAACAAATTTTTGTGTTGCAAAAGAAAGATGTAACACGTAGCCCTATAATCATTATCCAGCTGATGCTGATACGTGTGCAGTCTGTACTTCAGCAACAGCCGAATCCTGATCATGGTTCTACGCAGGAAATTATCTTTTCTGTTCTCCTTTGTTAACGACATAGTAAGCATCGGCTATAATTCACGCTTTATTCACCTTTAATGTAACTTGGCCAGTTAATGGTGTAGCTTTCAAATAATCGATTACTTCTAAGATTAGAGTATACTCTTTTTCAACTTCATAATCTAGAGTATTATTAACCGTTGCGATTAAGGTTTCTGTAGCAATTGTAAACTTGTCTACTGTTGTATAATTTCCCTCAGGAATCTTAACAGCAGGACCAGAGCATTCTGTTGAAAAGAATAAGGATTTTAGTTATTGAATTTTATATTATCAGTTTGTAACATTAAACGATAGTTACCAACAAAATTTATTCCATCGATATTTGTGTAAACTGGTGGTACTACTGGAGGGGGAACTGCGGCTAATTGATTAGCTGCATTATTATCTTTTATTGTAAAATGCCTTGCTTCGTTCCCTTTTTTTAAAAGAATGGCAAAAAGAAAGTCGTTATAGAAAATAACATTGCGGAAAGATGTATTTTTATATTAATTACCCCTTATTATATTAACTTTGAAAGGTGGACCTGCTGAGAAAGTATCTGCCAGGAAAATAGTTTCTACTATAGCATGCTCATGAGCATCTTCTGCAACTTTTACAAGATAATCCTTGGGAGGTTCTTCAATTGGGTCTAAAATAAATTGTACGCTCTGCGTTTCGATGAATAAGTTCGATTTGCACATTCTTCGTTCCGTATGAAAGATTGTGAAATGATAGCGTTCCGTAATCTTAAAAAGGAAAAGAGTTTTATTTATTTATCTAGTGAGGGAATCGGGAGAAAATTTTGTCACTTACATCAAGATCTAGATGAACCTTTTGGGATTCAACAGGTCCAATTATGTTGCATACACCTCCAGTAACTAAACCTTCTTCTGGTATAATAAAGCCACCACCATTCTATTTTATTTCATGTATTATATAGAAGGTTTTAATAATCATTCTACGAACGGATGAAAGGAAATTTTAAAATACTTACAGCAGCCGCTGGAGACAAATTAACTCGCATACATCTTATTGTTGTATCTAATGCTGGAGTCTTAATTTGGATAATTAATTTCCGATTTAAGTAAAGCCAAATTTCTTCTCCTCCGCCAATTGTTATGTTCTCAATACCTTTATACACAAATCCAGTACGAATAGCCGATGTAAATCTACAGTAGTAATAAGATACAATAGTATAGTACGAATTCGTAACTTCAAAGTTAAGTAGTGAATTTGCGTTGTAATTCTGTCTTACCCGAAATTATGCCTATTAGTATCGCAATCCCTTTGATTTTGGTCTCCGAAACCAAGACCATCGACTGGGAAGAATGCACTGGAAAAATATCTATTCGTTGGTAGAGTAGTTGTTAGACCTTCTAAAAGAATAGATCTTTTATATTCGTAATTTGTATTGATTTTTCTAAACCAGTCAGAAAAACTATCGGCACTTGGAGTATTTGAAATTGCAAGCCAAGCTCCATAAGGACTGGGAACATACTTTGGATTAGAGAATGTATCTGTTCCAATATTGTTAAAGTCTTTGTGCAAGTAGCTATTCAAATATTTGTATTGTAATGAAATTATTTCTTTTAAACGTGGAAACAATCTTGACTTACTCGAAATCATAGTAACTAACTGGTAGGATGATGTCGTCGGCTTTGATTGTTGTATTAGCCGCAACAACTGGAGCTAAAGTAGTTATTATTCCAGGGTAGCTGTAGCCACTAATTACAGGCCCAGGTAATTCGAGAGCGACACTACATCTGTATTGGATATCACCCACAACACCGTCGCTTTTCTGTAGTAATACTTGCGTATTACTCGTTGTCGTCGTAATTGTTCCCGAAACGTCAGATTCGCATTTCACATGATATTGCCTATTTAATATAATTATTTCATTAATTCTTTGTCTTCCTCTCTTCGAGTTGTCATTTTGAGATAATTGCGTTTCCGCAAAATGTGCAGTATAATGCTTACCATCCATCGGTTACTGGATCGCCGGCAGGCCCATTATAGTATGCTGTAGGTGGATGATCCCATTCAACCAGTATTTGTTCGTTTCCAGGGGCTGATGCGGTGACATTACCCGCCGCTACAGATAAACGATAATTTTAATGAATTTCAATCCGTGCCATTGGCGAAAGAGAAACGAGGAAGAGTAGAGAGATTAACTAGGACTTACAGCATGAGAATAAATTATCATTTTTCTTTTGGAAATACGTAGGACTATTTCGGCTAGTGTATGAGAACACAGTTCCAGTTAGGGCTGTAGGACTTGAACATGTAGCTCCCTTTATGGCCTCTTCTTGATCCAGCATAGCGCTATACATAAAACAATCGCAAGCCAGCGGATTAGATGTTAGGAATCTATAAAAGGGAGAAAAAATTAATCAATAGAAATAATTACATCTATAAAACTATCAGTAGTCTTCAAAAGAAAGCGAAGACAGCTAATTACAAACTATTACTTACAAACTATTAAATGATCCGAAGTGATTGAGATATTCAACAAAATTATATGCAACGGAATTTATTCTATTATATCCCAAGTTTAACGTTGTTAATGAGGTTAAATTTGGAAATTTCCCAATGGACGACAAATCATTTCTACTTAAGTCAATAGACGTAAGCTTAAACAATCCTTCAAACATGTCAGTATCGATGAATTTTAGTTGGTTGCTTTGAGCTGAACTATTTAAAGCCAAAAGGAATAAAGTTTTCATATAAAAAAAAAACACTAAAGAAATTAAAAAAGCTACTTACAAAGTTTGCAAGTTAACAAGTGGTGCTAACGTTTCCTTCGGTAGAGAAGTTAATTGGTTATTATTTAAACTTAGAGTTAAAATTTGAGATTGTCCAACAAATTGGCTTGGTAAAATTTCGCTGATCTGATTTCCACTCAAATCTCTTAAAAGTCAATATAACCTTAATTAATATTCTGATAATTATGTAAATGTAATAATTAATAATAAAAATATTTACATATATCTTAAAAAAAGGGGATTTAAAGCTTCGGGATAGGCGTATAATTCATTATATCTTAGATCTCTGAAAATGGGAAAAAAGAGAAGAAAATCCCTTTAAAGTTAAAAAAAGTCTACTCACACATTCCCAACTGTTATACCTGCAAAAGCGTTTGCTGGTAGTGCTTTTAGCTTATTGTACCCCATATATAGAGTTCGGCCAACAGAACTACCAGTAGTAAACATTTGACCTTTAACATGCTTCAATCCGTTACTATTAAGGTGACTTAAAATAGAAACGTCGGTTTAATTAGAATATTTAATGTAATTATAGTCTTTAGATGCATACAGATCATAGTTGACTCGACCGTCAAAAGCTCCTTCTTCAATGTATTCTATGTTATTACTTTGCAAATAAAGGAAATTTATGCTCATTCCTCGGAATACATTCTTTGCAACATGGGTTATTTTCATGTTATTCAGGTATCTATTTAATCAATTAATTACATATGATATCAGGACAGTATTATTAATATATAATAATTTACTTACAGTATTTGACATCTCAAATTTATGAAGGCGTACGGTTCAAGAGTATTTAGTAAATTATTTCTCAGATAGATATGATACGTCACATAGACGTTTACGAAAGCGTACGGTTCAATAACGGATATACGATTTGATTGAATATTTCTGTTATTTTTTAAAAATAAACAAATATGCATAGTTTATCATCTTAATTGGCATATTTTAATTAATTACAAGTTGGTTTATGTTTACTTACAGATGATTGGTTACCCTGTAATCTTTAAATGTACCACTTTTTATTCTTGTTATACGATTATTATCAAATACAGGGCTATAATGAGTTACATCATAAAAATCTCCTCCCCTCATAAGTTCAGTTAACTTATTATTACCAAAGTAAAAATAGGTTATTGATACAATATGACTGAATGTTCCATCTTCTATATAACTGATATCATTATTGGATCCCTCGAAAATAACTGACAAAGGGCAGTCTTGAAACTGATTTTTCAATAATCTCTTTACTTGGTTATTAGTTATATACCTATAAATGTATGTATACAGTATATTGTATAATTTGTTGGTTTTATATATTTCCTTATACTTACATATATGTTAGAGCCGTACAACCACTGAATGCATTGTCAGGTATAACGTCAATTCTATTGTCAGATAAGTTAATAATAATGACTCTGCTCAAATTATGAAATGGTGATGTATGCGTAAATTTAAATCTATTAGAGTTCAGGTAACTGTTGATATAGAATTCATTATTTAAGTATTAATTATTAATATTTATACACAATATACAGTAATACGTACAGTCGATAAAGCGCCTGTGTTGGAAAGGAGCCATCTTCTGCAGTCGTTATCTGGTTGGATTGCAGGTATCTTTCAAAGGAAGGGAGGTAAAAGTTATTCTTATTATCGATTTAGAAAGAAATATTAATTATATAGGTCAACTTACAAATTTTGAAGAGTAGAGAGTTCTGAAAAATCGCCCTTTTCAATATAAGTTATCCTATTTGAATATATATGTAGCGTGAGAATCCTTGGCAAGTTGTCCCCGCTCTTTACTGATAACGGAACATTTTGAAACCGATTAACTCCAAGATTACTAAAAGAAAAGAAACAATATCAACGTTATTCAATAGTCAGGTATAGTTTTCATTAGTCAAAGACTTGTTAGTAAATTTTATAGTAGGCTTACATCTTAAATGATATTCTTCAACAAGAAACTTGGTAATGAATATCCCTAAACCGGACTAAAGAACGGCAAAAGTTTTCCTTTAATCTACTCCTATTAGACGCCTTTTATAACGTACTTTTAAATGTTAAACCTTGTACAATTCCTTTTCTTCACCGGTAAGTAGGAATTACTTATTTCTTAGTAAAATACGATCCTATTCTTTTAAATAGTATAATATATATATATATGCAGTATATAGATATATCTTCTACGTAATAACTAATAACTAATTAATAGAATTTTTTCGCTTCTAAGTCAACATGTTAGCGTGTGTTTATACGGAGATTTTCTCCTACAAATGAAACGAGTAGAAACACAACGAAATTATCGGTATAAACTTACAGATATACAAGATTTCTTAGACACGCAAAAGCATTTTCCGGAACTGTTGTGTCGTCTAGAAGATTCCCATCTAGCCATAAATAATTTAAATTTATCAACTCGCAGAAATCATCAGGTCCAAGTTTAGTCATTCCATTATAACTGAGCGAAAGTCGGCGTATCGTATTATATCTGTTAACTTCCATCCATTTTTTCCAAAATTTTCGTCGGCCTTCGTATGTGCTACCCTTAATTGGAAAACCATCGCTTCCGTAATGTAGAGGATCATTAATTAAATTACGATCCGCCCAGCTTAAAGAAAGATAGGAAAGAAAAGATATCAATTTTACTTTCAGGCTCCAAGTTGAAAACCTCAATGATAATTTTACAGAGTTTTAGTCTAAAGACGCCATCTAACGTTTTGTATAATTTATTTGAATTATATAATGTAGTCTAGGTGGCGTACAATTCAATCATCTAAGATTTGGATACTTACACTGAATGTAAGTAGATATATGGTTGGTGAGAGAGAACTTGATGGGGAAAACTTCTTAACCTGTTGTCGCTAACCCATCTGTAAAGAATACATAAGCATTAATAATACGAAAGAAACTAACATCGTATGGATGACTTACAGTTCGTATAATCTTGGAAGATTATCGAATGCGTTATAATAGATATTAGTTAAGTGAGGCCTTTGAGTGTGTAGTCTCAATTCCCTCAATAGAGGTAAATCAGTAAAAACTCCCTGTTCCAGTATTGTTAGACTGTTTCGATGTAAACCACTGTTTGTCGGGAGGGAGAGTTATGTATTTTAGATAATAATATTAAATAGTATACTCTACAAACATGTATACAATATTGGTAATATTCTTAAATACTCCGTATTGAATTCTGTCCAATTTGTTGTTGTGTAACTCCCTAAAAATAGAAGAGAGAAAAGAGAGGAATGAAGAAAGCTTAAATTATAGAATATTTAAAATTATTAATACAATATCTTTAAAGTTGTTATCTGCGACAAGGCTCCAGGTTGAATATCGTAGATCAGATTATTGCTGACGTTTCTGATGGGAGGAAAACGTTTATAAAGGAATGTTAATTTTAATAAATTATCCGTTATATATATAATAAATGAAACAAAGGACTAATTTATGTTTTTTGTTCGATTTTCTTTTCTTTATACAATATAGATATACAGTTTATGTTCTTTTTTCGGGTAGATCACGTAGAGTATACAAAGCTGAATGGAATTTTTCTAACACTAATAAACTACCGCTTGCTTACAATTATTGTCAATAAAACCTATCCATTCCTTTTGTATAATTAATTAAAAAAAAATAAACTGTTACTTCTAACTAAAAATAGAAAAGAATATGCTAGAAGTTTTGACTTACAGATGCTGAAACACCGAACCAGAAAGAGCTCTAAGATGGTTGCTTGATATGGTTTTAATTTCATTTTCGCTTAAACCTCTGTTTTTTCGTATAAGAAGAGAAAAATACAATAAAGTGTGTTTTAGTAGTTTTATGAGTATATTACAAATATAATAATTCTGGCATATCTTCAACAGCTTCCGAAGGAAAATACCATATTTTGTTTTTTGACAAACCCCTATATTTAAACGATAGAACAACATCTATAGCATATAAAAAAAGTGTACATAAATACCACTTACAGGTATTTAATTTTTGAATTACTAAACATTCTTGGCGGGACCCAATCAATTTCGTTGTCGGCCAAATTTCTGAGCGGAGAAGGCAGGTAAGGGAAGAATATATTGAAAATATTATTTATTTTATTATTATGTGTACAAACATGTTTGTAGTTTCATCAGGCCAGATAAAGTTTGTATGATTGCCAATGAAGAATCTTATTTTATTTTTCATTAATAATCTAATTGATTAATAAAAGAAAAATATCTTTAATGATATAGATAAATGAATGAAGAAAAAGAAAAAAATCATACAAATCAACAACTTTGGTCCCCTGTATATTAGGAAAGTGAATTAAACCTGTTCGACTTATTGATCTTTAATTAAAAGCAGAATAATTAATTATTATAATAATAATAAAGCTTATATAAATATACAAACATCGTTCGTAGATTATTTAAATGAAGGAAAGTTGCATTTCCAAATCCAACAAAATCAGCACAGAGGTAGACAGAGCTATTAAATTATACAATATTTACAATCTATATTTAAAAACAACGAGACCTACTTACATTTGTTGTACTGAATCCCTAAACGATAAGTCTGTAAAGTTATGAAAAACATAACTTCTTATAGTAACACTTGTTGAATAGCAGTTTTTAACGGAAAACTCTAGTTCGTTACAAGTACATCCTCCACTACAGGTTCTCGAGTTATAGACACTTGGATGTGGACCGTAGTTTTCGTAACGATTACCGGTATGCGACCACATTCCAGTAAAATGAGAGTCTTTTATAAAACGAAAAATTAGATAATGTCATAAAATACTTTAGTTGGCATGTTTTCTCCTTTTTTTTTAAAGAAAAAAGTTCTTTTCTTTTACTTTGAAATTTTAAAATTTCATTTTTTAATTGACTATTCTACTTTATTTGAAAATAAAACAAAAATGGTGATTTTTAACTTACTTGGATGGTTTATCCCCTGAGCGCCAAATCTCGAATTCCAATAGTCATGTGCGTACCATTGGGAGTATAATCCGGATGGAAGACTTAGGAGTATTAATACGAAAATCATTTCTTGGGCTTATCCATTAAAGTTATCTTTGACTGTAAAACAAGAAATATCGCAAGAGCGAATCGAGAAATCAGACTGAACAAGGCCGAAAAGAATTGTAAATGAAGTGTTTGCAGTAGCTAGAAAGCGAGCTTATTATTGACTAAGTAGTCCGGTGAATAAGACGCTTAGCCATCGGTTTTGTAAGAGAAGTATAAGCCGCTGAAAACTTTGCTCACGGCATTGACAATTGAATATTTCTTTTTGTAAAAGTTTCTTTATTACTAGCTATTTGTTTTGGACAGCCTTCAATTTCACGGTAAAGATTAAAAGTTCTCTTTTTCTTACGAAATAAATAAATGAAAATAAGAGAAAGAAAACTTGTTTATAATTAAAATCTTTCTTCCGATTTTAGTTGATAGAATGAAGAAAGAAGGAAAGAATACAATTATTTATTTACAAAAATAATAAATAAGACGCATAGTAGAAAGTTAATAAAATTCTTTCTAACCATTAAAGGGTATGAAAACCAGAGAGGCCAAGATAAAAAACAATAAACTATTTCTTATCTTTTAAATATATCAAATATGTTAATAATTACTTGTCAGAAAAGATTAAACACTTTGCTTCGTTGACTTTAGAGCGAGTTAACATAACAGAAGTCTTTATAAAATATATAATTAAAGATAGATTAAATTCTGACTTAGTTTTTTACCGACAAGTGTATGTGTTGTAAAATACAAAATGCTGTGTGCTCTTTAATTTCGTTTGAAATATAACTGAGATATAATTATACCTTTGCTACGTATCTTCCACCGGTTGAATTATAAGTAATTACGAAGCTGTTGAACATAATCCTATAATAGATATATGCTAAAGTCCTATATCGTTTAAGAAAGTTTAGTGAAATGTAAAAAAATAGTCTAGTACTAGAAAAGTAGAAAGGCAGTATTAATATTTAGGATTAATTCATAAAGAATAAAATTTACTTGCTAAACACTGAAGCAAAACTAAAAGGCTTCAACATTGGGAAAGTAGAGCGAGAGAGAGAAAGAAATATTCTCATATTACAGTTGTTCAATAATTAATCCTAATATACTGTAAATATTTCTTTGAACTTTTTCCTAGTATATGAAAGTGATGTTGTTTTCTTTCTGTTTTTCCCTTCTTTATTAGTTGTTTTACTATTTCAATTTATAGAGGGATTAGATTTAGAAAACTTATCAAGTATTACAAATTACTATCTATCTTCTTGACTCGCCTTACTTGGCTCCCTTTTTAGTTGGCTTCTGGAGGCAGATAGATAAATAATCTGGTAGAAAAATGTATATGACGTATATATCAATGGTTTCACTGGTGAAATTATTATTTTCACACACACTCTCTCTTCTTCTTTTACTTCTTTATTTGTTTTTCTCTGAGAGAATATAAAAGTCGTAAACTGAGATTCATAAGTAGGTTTGACACAACCTTAATTAGAAAAAGAAACTTATCTCCGTTTGTATTACGTATAAGTATCCTTTTATACCTAATTATGACAAACTATCAAATGTTTATAAAGTATGATGTATTATATTAAATTATAAAAGGAGACAGAGAGAGGGGTGTAATTGCCCTTATAATTTATATATACAGTATACATATATAGTATACTGTATACCCTATATACTTGTTGTTTCATTCATTAAAATAACAACAACTAGAGTAGCTAAAGATGTAGACAAAATTTTATTTTTTTCACTATAGATGGCGTTATCGTACAGTTGCCATTTTGGGGAAATATTAGTCGTCAAAACGAAAAATACATAAATACATTCCACAAAAACATCATCGATATATTTGAAAAATTAAAATAATATAGAACAAGGTAAATATAAAAAGGGGAGAATTTGAATTCATTTCGAGAAGTTTTGAACTTTTTAACTAAAAAGAAAAAATGCTGAATGTCCAGTGGAGAGGAGAATTGGACTACTAATTTATCCAATCAATCATCATCAATAATCGAAATAGAAGAGAGCTCTTCTGGTTCTATAAACGTCCTAATTATCTGTTTTTATGGTATCTTTCTCATGATAATTGCTTCATTTGTCCTAGTAAAACTTTTAAGAAATGAAGCGATCTATCGAGTACCAACTCCGGATATAAGCTACGAAGAAACTGAATGTTTTAGACCACATAGAACAAGTTTTAAAGAACATTCTGCCCAAACTCTCTTTCAAGTGGAAAATATAGAAAAACCTGAAAAAGTTGATGCGCAATTACAAGTTAAGTTAGAGAATTGCGATTTAAAATTATTAGATTTATTAGAGTTGGAAAAGAAATATACTAGTTTTAATATCATTAAAATTATCTTTAATATTAATTACACATTAATTCGAGCTGCACTTCTAGCAGGGGACACACCTTTTTTTTTCTATTTTACCTCTGCTTGTAAAAATTCCATTCAAAAAGTATTTTTTCTTTTCTATTCAACTCTATAATATAAAAAAAAATACAGCGCAAAACCTGAAGTTAAATTTGTTGAGGTTATTAAAGAAACTTCTTCTCTGTCGAATAGTTTATCTCATTTAATCTCATTTGAAGATGAAAATGAAGAGATCAATATAGTTTAATGCGTAAACACGATTCTTGTTGAAAAGGAAACTTCAAGTAAAAATAAGGCTTGGTAGTCTACGGTGTACAATGACAAAATTATCAACTTGTTGGTAGTTTTTAAATATTTTAAATAAAATTTGAATATTTTTAATAATACTGTATTATAATATAAAATTTATAAAATCCTTCAATTCTGTAATTATATCTAGGTAATACAAACTACAATAATCTATTTGATTCGTCAAATAGATAAGAAATAAAGACATAGTTTTGAGTTTTTCCTTGTATATTTCTGAAGAATAAAAACAAAACTGAAAAACTTAAATTGTTATGTCAAATAATAAAAAAGAAATAGATTAAACTGTTCGCGAATCTAGAGAAAATAACAACTAAAGAAGAATAAGAGTTTTTCCCGGATCATCCAACTGAGTTATGACGGTGGGAGAACTGTCTTTAGTAACTATTTATGATGAGTTACGAGTTATTGCCTCATTCTGAGTAAAGAGTAATCACAACTTTTGTTTGTTTGCTCGCTTGCTGGCTGTAATAGTGTGCTTGGGGAAGTGGGAAGGGAGTATAGTTTTGATTATTTTGTTATTTTTTTGGTAATTACACGTTTTTTCTCTCTAATCGAGTGTAAAAAACGAGAAATCAGTCAAAAATCTACAATCGTTGTCGGAACATTCGCAAATAAGTAATCATCAGGTGTTGTAGTAGTTATAGTGTTTGAATTACCCTTTTTCTGAGCTGAAAATTTATCACGAAGAAAATAGAATTACAACGATGTTTTGCATAGGAATGTTTTTTATATATTGAAAAATAGACAAAAAATATATATAGAAGACTCGACTTTTCGTAAGCATCTCTTGATGATGTTGTTCTGTGTCAGTCCAACAGGCAGGGAGAGCATAGTGAAGTCGAATTTCTATTACATATCTGCTTCTATTTTTTATTAACATGTTTGAAAGAATTAACTTACTGCAAATAATTGTTTCAGAAACAGTTTGCAATGTCTTTCCATTGTATGGATCATTTTCGTTAATTAATACTCTAAACGCAAGTCTAACTTTGTTTGATTTTTTACTTGTTAAGTTCCTGCTGTTGCTGATTGCGTCCCGGATTCGTATTTTTAAGATTCCAATAAAGTCGACCCTGAAGCATCATCTAGACAAAATGAAGTTATCGGAAAAACTAGAATAAAGAAACATACTTGGCACGATAATTATTGGAAGACTTTAATTTTGTCTCCAAGACGTTTGTATCTTGAATAACTTTAGTGATACAATCTCTTCGGCGGCGTCCTTTTACTATGACAGCTTGATATAATCCATGAGGTTTTACATTTCCCGTTTCGTTGGCTAAGAAAATTTGCAATGTTACAGTCGATGAACCAAAATAACCTTGCAATTGAATTTCTGGATACTCAAAATGTTCTCGACCTTTAATTGCTCCACGGCTTCCTTCGGACGGGTAGCGAGCTCTGTGTTTTTCACTCGGTTGACTTATAATAGCCAGTCTAATATTCTCGTCGCTAGACAGGAGTGACGGGTGATTTAATGCAGGAGGTTTATACTTTTTTCCTGGAAAAAGTGGAAAACCCCTAAAAACACAAAGAGAAATTTTTATCTAATTATCACTTTATCGTTTAAATGCTTACTGTTGTTGATCTCCAGTGGGAGAAACTATATTTACAGTTGAACCTTCAGCTCTAAATTGATCAATATATTCTTCGGTTTGTTTCATTAATGGAAGAAATTCCCCTATTAAGAAATCATCTTCCAAATTCGAAGGAAGATTCCCTTCCGCAAAACCGTCTTCCTGGATAATATCGTTCAACAATGCTGCAACATTTTCACTATCTTCAAATGGAAAGTTTGAAATTTCTGGATACATTTACAGTGATAAGAAATTTTATTGTATTTTTAATTTGAATATTCTCGGTTAATATTCACAATTTAAGTAAAATTCTCGTCTCTGGTTGGTTAGTCAGTGAGAGCCAATACGCAACTGGCAAATTGTTAGAGATCGTTGATATTTTATAAGAGTATCGTGTGACGTCATTGCAATGACTAATTCTTAGTTTTGGAATACCAAACTATTTATAGTAAACTAATGAATATTCAAAATGGCAGATTTTATGGAAAGTTCTATTTTGAATCGCAAATTTATATATTTGACATTGATCCCTTGAGAAATTCTATAGAAAACCTCCTGTCTGACAATGAGAGCTGGTGAATATTAGTACAAAAATAAAGCAAAAAAATCAATATTCATTTGCATATTACGTATGATAGTAAAACTAATGTCTCTTAAAATAGACGTCTAAGAATAAAACAATAAATAATCGTATATTTATATATTTTTATTACTGAAATACGAGATTATTCAAAAAGTAAAATGGTAAATCGCTATTGGGATGAAAATTAATTAAAGCCAGTGTCCCTCTCTTGGTATTTTCCCAGATAAAATTTAAATAACAAAACATTTATTAAATTGTCTTTTTTAGGGACTTTTTTGGCACAAAGGGAAGGTAGAATCACCTTATTTGCCTTTCAATGGACTTAGCCTAATAGGTAGGCAATTGGATTTTCCCTTTACCCCCAGCAGTATTGGTCTTTAGAACGAATACGCTTTCTACCAATTTTGAAGGGCAGACTGTCAACAAACTTATTCTTTCGGGATGTATCGTCGACCTTAAAACGTAGTCGTAACTTTCAAAAGTGTAAAATTTTGGCATTAGTGCCAATTTATTTGCCATTATACTACTTTAAGTATGCGTTTAACAACAGACATACGTATGTTTCAATAAAGCATTACATAAGAGCAATAATTTCCTAATGAAACATCTAAATTACAATTAAAAACAATTTTTTGAATCGAATTTGATCAAAGTTAATGGTTTTCTATACATTTTTACCGAATGAGATTTCAACTGTATTTGAGTTCACTCTTTATGTAGTTGATAAGATAATACTTTAGCCTTGAGTTTTAAAATAGATACGAAAAATTCCAGCTACAGTTTTGCGTCAACAATAAATTGATGGCTTTAACATAAATTATGTTTTATTTCGTTAATGAAAATGTGCTTTACAGTTTTTTCCTAATGATAATTTATTTTTTAATATAACAGCTTTGCTAGAATCATTGGTATTATTTTGGAAAATTCCCAAGCTCTAAAATCGTCTATTTCATTCTGAAATGGAAACAGACCACTCTGCTATTGAATATTTATCCTTCTTATTTGTAGTTATCCACTGATATGTACTGACATATGTACAAATACAATATGTATTCTATTAGGCTAAAGAGCGAAAATGGTTGCTGGATCAATTTTCAACATGGCAATTGCAAAATTATTACCAGCTACGCCATCTGCTTTTCGACATTACAAGTAACATTTCGAATCATTTATTTCTATTGTTGAAAATGTTCAAATATTAAACAGAAAAAGGATACAACTGCAAAATATATGATTAACTATTGCCTTGTTAATTATTATAAATTTAATTTATAAGAGTTATATAAACAATATACAGTATAATAGACCTTTTTAAATAAGATATTGACTATATAGCTATTTAGTATTTTTTAAAGTTGAATAAATGTTTCTAGTTCAAATTTCTCCTATATACAAAAAATTTGTCACAGATTTTTGCCTTTTTTTTTAAAAAAAAAAGAAAAAGGATTAATATATGCTATCATCTTGTGATTTGATAGTAAAATATTTTAATAAAGACAAATTACCATAAAACTGAGTAAGTAGAGAATAACCAATATCTTATAGATATATATATATACTAATATATATATACTAAATATCTGAAAATATACGATAATTCTTGAAACAACCCATTAATATTTAAGATAAATGGCTCTTGTAATAAATCGTTAGTATTCATATACATCATAAATCTTTATATATTTAATTTATGTGTAACAATTGCCACATGGATAATTAGTAAATCTGTTAAAGAATCTTATTCTTATGAATAGTCAGCAGTAAATATCCTACTAAAGATTTTAAGACAAGTAAGAGAATAAATAGCGAGCAAGCGATCTGAGAAAAAGTTTTTTTTTTTGCCCTTTTTTTTTAACCATCTTACTTTGTATTATGAAAATATGTTACAGCGTACTTTGTAACATAGAGTAAAATTTCTTTTTAATTAAAAAGATGCTGTAGATATATGCCTTTACACTTTGTTTTTGTTTATACTATCTTTATCAAAATTTCCTTAAATATTTAATATTTTCATATATTTTATCGTATCAAAGAGTTGTTACCCTCTACTAATCGCTAGATAGAAAGACAAAGAGAATGAGAGACAGACAGACACACAGAGAGAAACAGAGCGGGAGGGTGAGAAACAGAAAATACTATAAACTCTTTTAACTCAAATAGTCATCAAAAGTTCTATTACCTGGAATCTACCTTATTTTCTATTGTTGAATACAACGTCGGCACAAGTAACACGTCGCAGAGAAACGATGGCTGTAAACTCATTGTCTCTTTGCGAGATGTAAATTCCACCGCCGCTCGTTCTGTAATGCCTCTTCTGAGTAATGAGTTTCATACAAAAATGTTTTCCTATGTTTTTAAGGCCTACAAAGCAGGATACAGGTCAGCAACAATACAGTAGGCATGACAAACGCGATAAGAGGCTCTCTGTTTAGCATACTTTCAGTGAAATTTTTTGATTCCCTCTAGTGAGCAATAACGATATGAAACCGTAGTACAAAAATTCCATCTGATAAGTGATATACTATTTGGTAGCGATTTTTAATTAAGCAAATCTAGAGTATATCGTAATCGCATAACTAAAATATTCGTTTACTCTCTCTCTCTGTCTCTCTCTTTGTTTCCATCTAAATGCCTATGATCGTTCGTTTTATTTCCGTTAACAAAATACATAAATGCCTCTGAACAGAAAGAAATGAGTTGACTTGTTATGCAAAATATAAAAAAAGAAAGATTTTAGAACCTGACCCTGCACATATATTATCGATGCTGAACTGGAAACTTTGCATATCGAGGCAACTGCATTCCAATAAATTATCATGAAAGGAATAAATCTATTCTGAAAAAAAAACTAAATTAAAGTAATTTAAAAGGATTCCTAATCACATTTCCAGTCCTGACCTAATAAGATCTTCAAATATTACACTTTATGCCATTTGAGAAGGAATCTAAAAGCCAGGTAGTTTAAAGGTTGTACTGTTCGTAATACAGGCCTTATTCTAACCTTTCAATATTGTAATCCTGTAAAGCGGTGTACATCTGATACGTTTCCGTTAAACGCCGATTACGTACTAGCTGTTTGCTTACTGCTAACCAAAGGCAACATTTCCAAAAGTCTGTTAGGTAGGATTAAATACAAGTTTAAATTATGAGTTGTACTTAAGAGAGAGTCTATGCCTAAATTATTCTTTTACAATAGGACTGGCAAAGCCACCAAAGGATTAGATAAGTCTTGTGGATTAGGCTAACAACGCTTTAACTACAACATTTAATAGTTTTTCCTTTAGACGAAAGGTAAAGACAGAGAGAAAAAAAGGGTCACATTAACTTTTTATTACTCTTTTCATTATAAAAACTTCGTTTTTAGACATAAAAAAGAAATTCTTATTACCTAATTTTGACCCTTATATAGAAATTTAATAAAGAATAACACATGACAAGAAAATTAATAAGTTCTAGCTTATAATTAAAGAACAGAAAAGGTCTATTATAATAAAAAATCCTATAGAATCCATAGATTTACTTAAAAAATAACCATTTACTATAATAAATCTAGATTATTACGAAGACTATGGTCTCTTTAGCAGTAGGAGTATCGTGATTAGTTTAGGAGCAATATTCAATTGTTTAACGTTGGTGGGAGGATTTTTAGCTATAGAATTTTTTTTAAAAGACAAAAGGTGCGACTTTATTAATTTGATTGGCAATGATAATTCGCTTATTATTTGATATTAAATTAATAAATTACTTACACATCTCATTTATACTGCTTATTAGTTTCTCTTTAACTTTCTAGTTCAACGAGGAATGAGAAAAATTCTTTAGCTCTACCATTAAAGATACCATTTTTCTTACTGATAGTAGTTAGAAGCTGATAAGTATCTTAATTGTTGTTGATCTAGTGAAATATTTTCTCTTAAATAAACAAACTAAAGGCCTAAGCCTACGGACATCATTATATAATCGGAATCGATTTAATTTTTTAATACTCTACAACATTCATTAGGTTAATTTTTTCAAAAATAATAATAATAAGCAACATTTTAATATGACTAGACGCTCTTTCTTATTTATTCATAGATGAAACACTTCGACGAATTCCGACACAACGAGACTATCTTCTTCAATAGTGTAAAAAAAAACTAAACAAAAGAAAAATAACGAACAAAAGAACTTATTAACATAGTTTGAATGTCATAAAATATCTTCAGAAAATACAGGATTCCTATGTCCTTCAGCTCTATGTGTACTGTTAGAAGGTGTAGTTTCATCCAAGATAGAGACAATATCTCTTTCTGTACCATTTCTCTCTACCTTTCCAACGATAGTAAAAGTTGTTCCACCTTCTTCTTGATCACTTCCTGGTAAAGTAGTCAACGAAGTTTTTTGGCTCAGACCTGAATGAGTATCCGAAACACAAAAGTTATCTCGAGACCCTCCGTATGTCGTTGTTCTATTTGCGTAACTCAACGATAGCGTATAGAATAATAGAATTATTACCATGAATAAGCATATAGCTGCAACTATAATCATTAAAAGCTTATATCTAGCTGAACTTAATGTACCCTTGTCTTTAGACATACGTGAAGTTGGTGTAACCTTGGAGGATGGAGGTAATGATTTTTCTGTTCTAGTCCTTGTTGATTTCCTTCTTGTTGACAATGTAGTGTATGATAAAGTGCTTTTGCTGGTATGTGTATTCCTTAGTGTGCTTAATACTGATTGGGTCACAAAATTTATCTGTGTTGAAGTTTCATACGTTTTCGATGAAATCTCACTTGAAGTCGATGATCTTGTTCCATCATAGTCTGAAGTAATAGTTACCCCATCTACTATTTGAGAAGTTCCCATTGTCTCTTGGGTATTTAATTCGGATGATATTGTCGTTTTATTATTCTCAGATTGTGAAGACAAGAAATTGATTGTAGTTGTTGTTTGACTACTTGTTTTACTTAGTGTTGTTTTATTCGATTCTGTGTTATTAGCTCCAGTTCCACTAGTTATTGTACTGTTATCATTTCTCTCTGTGCTACTGAAATTAAATTGTTTTGTTGTCTGGTCAAAACTTGTAGCATTTTCTGAATTGGAGGTTGTTGATTGGAAACTAGTATATAAAGTTACCGAGCTACCTTCCATATCAGAATCGGTAAAGTTTTTAGTTTGTTCCTCCACTTGAGTTGTTGTTTTAGAATTTAGAGTTGTAAACTCTTGAACTTTACTCGTAACGGTAGAGTCCGTTTGAGGAAATACTGTTGTATCCCTTTCAGTCGTTGTTGGTAGAAACTCTACAATGAGTTCAAAAGTAAAGTTTTTGCTTAGAACTGAATTTGATGAAATAATTCTATATATTCCTTTAGATTCTTTCGAGCCAACGAATTTTAGAGGTATATAGACTTGTTTTGAGTAAAATTCGTATAAAAGGTTAAAGTTATCATCTCCATCTATAGATATTATTTCAACAGTGGTTATTTCCGGATTTCCATTTATCTCTATCATAATATATATTTCATTCCCTTCCTGAACGGTATAAGTTGAATTGGCTATAAAGTCAATACTTGCTGTACTGCATCTTAGCTGATCAATATTATTGTCCTTAAAGTCCCCATAAAGTTTTTTATTTTTAAGAGAATCGGGAGATGCGCATATTGGACTATCAAATTCACTCAAGGCTACATTTTCATTAGAATACTCGGCAAGCCACTTAATTTCACAGTTACAATGAATTGGATTATTCGTTAACAGAATCTTATCATTTAGATTATAGCTTCGTAGTCTCTCAAATATACTCTTAGTATTTGGCAGTATTGTTTTTATTAGGTTACTTTTCAGGTTTAACCTTTGCAATTGCAAATAAGGATTAAAATCGTATCCATCTAAAATTTCAATTAAATTCCCTTGAAGGTTAAGATCGGTAATATTTGGTGCATAATTTGCGTGTACTGAACTCCAAGCAGTTAATTTATTATTTGAAATGTCCAAATAATCCAGTTTACCATTATTTTCGAATTGTCTATAATGCAAATAATCGATCAAATTTGATGCTAAATTTAGATGAACTAAATTTGGCATATTTCGAAATGATCCATAGTTTAAATTAATACTTGTATTTTTCAATAAAAGATGGGTTATTGATATAAAATTCGGAAAGTCTTCAAAGGTTACATTTGATAGATCATTATTGGCTAAATCAACCGTTTTGGCAGAAACGTATTTAAATGGATCCAGATTACGTAAATTATTCATGTCTATTTTAAATTCATTGAAGTGAATTCCTCCAAAAGCTTCCCAAGACTCTTGTTTATTAAGTGAATTAAAGCCAAGATTCAAATTAGATAAATTCATCTTTAGATGGTCGAGAGAGCCGTCTTCAAAGCGTTCAATTCTATTATGCCTTAAATCCAATGTTTTTATTGTTGTATTCTCAGCGAAAATACCTTTGTCAACTTTTAATAAATTACATCGACGAACATTTAAACTATCTAATTTTAGATCTTTTAAGAAATTACTTGGTAATTTTTGTACTAAAGGATTGGAAGATAGTGTGAGCTTCTTTAAATTTCTTACAGGATAAAACCACTCACTTCTAAAAGACTCTAAAGGGAAATTTCCCTCTAACGACAGTTCAATTAGATCATCTAGTCCGTTAAAAGCTCCATCTTTTATATCGGATAGTTGATTATCCTTTAAAATTAAGATTTTTAATTTACTATATCTAGAAAATGCAGCATCTGGAAGAGTACTTATAGGATTGCCGATAATAAACAAAACTTCAATATTTTCGTTCAAATTTAAAGGTATTGTAGTTAATTTCAAGTTTCTACAGACACACGATGTTCCATCACAAAAACATTCATTAGAAAAGGTAGGTGTGGCTATTATTAGTAATAATAAACCAACTGATATTTCAAGTTGATTCATTTTAGTCTTTAACGAATTTTCAATAAGAAATATCCAATGTTTTTTATAATCATCCGCTCGTCGATAAGAAGTTAAAACGACGAAATATAAAAGATATCCAATATAAAATTTTTTATTAGCTGAGAAGAGAAAACAAGCCCGTAACAGGTACTACCATAGAAAATATCGAAAGTATTCAATCTTAGTGTGGTATGCACAGCATTGAAATCTCTAAGCTAATGGCCTATCTAAATTTTGGCCAAATTTGGTTAACCCTTTTATTTCCAGATATAATAAAATAACGTAATAAAAAGGTCAAAGTGTATGTATAATCATTTGTAACTAGATGATAATTTCTTCAATTTTCGTTACACTTTAATAAATGTTTATTTACCAAAGTCATTCTTATTTTGTAGTGTTTGATTATTGATTTTTTTTTACTGGCATTCCTTCAAGCATATTATAAACACACACAGACACACACACGCGCGCATTTACAAATATATATATATCTATAGACAAACGATAGAAATATTCCATACTTCACTTGTTTTATAGCATATTTATATTTTTTATTTATACAAAATTGAATAAACATAACCTTTTAAAAATATTAACCTTAATGATTACTTTTGTATTACGTGACTAATCAATATAGGGACAATTATCCTCCTTAAAAAATATTTGAACAATTCGCATACCTTTCAAAATATTTCATCATAATATTTTATTAGAAAGGCTTTCTTATATATTTCGCTTTCTCTCTCTCTCTCTCTGTCTCGAACTCTATTTCTAACCATAAACATATATACATTAGATGGAATAACAAATTTTACAAATTTTACTTTCTTTCTTGCATACAAGGCGTTCCAACACATCCATATAATATTTTAATAGGTGCTATCAGTTCAATAGTAGTGGATTGTATATTATTATTCTTAAATATGTCGTGTTTTGCCCTATATATAAATAACGTACTCAATGAATAAACTTACTCTTTCCACGAATTCATAAATGTTAATAGGCAATAAACTATTGAAATATTCATGAAAACCTGAAGGGAGAAAATAATCTAAATAGATAAAATTCAAGTTTACCTTAAAGATATTTTATGTTTGCATTGAAAATATTTAGATTTAAGAAGGACTAAAAAAAGAAAGAAATGGAGTGGGAGTAAAGGGTAAAGGAAGAGGAAATTGAAAGGAGAGCTGTTCAAGATTGCTAAAGTAGATATAATCGCATTGTTGTTTTTATTGTAATCAAATTTCTTTATTTATTATAGAAAATTTTGTTCTATATTTATATGATTCATTTAGTGTTCTTTTTTCTATACGCCATTTTCTAACGATGATTTCTTATGTAAAGCTTTTTAGCATAAAATAGTTTGAATGTTTTGTAATATAATAGAATATAATTATTCTATTATTACGTAGATAGTGCTTTCTATTATTAGTATTGGTATTGTTTTCTTTTATTTTTAAAAAAGAGCCAATTTATCATTTAGTTTAACAAAGATTTAGAAAAACAGTTTCATGTTGAGTCTTTTATTAATGAAAGTTTATTTATATAAAAAAAAATACCATAACTATAAATATTCGACTTTTAATATTGATATAATAAATTTTAATTAATATTGAAATGGCTATTACTATTTTTTTCAAGTCTAATAGAAAGTATGAAAAGATTTATTTTTAACAGAGATAATAAGATTTTCTATTGTTTGTCTCTTTATTTTTCGACACTTAAGTCGTTTCTACATCGTTTGAAAGTTTTAACTGAAAACTATAATTAAAATCGTTGAGAACGTAAAACATAACACTTACCAGTTTAGCGAATTCTATTCAAATAAGAATTAAGTTATGCTAGACTTTTAACTTTAGAAAGTTATCGAGTATCTATATTGAAATTGTAAAGCTGTTTTTTGTATTTATTCTTTTAACTCTGTAAGAAGATAACTATACTTATCCGGATACAAATCTAAACAACATTGATGTATTATATTATGCTTGGGCGATAAAACAGTGATGCAGCAAAAAACTATAGAAGCGGGAAAATTTCTGAATAAAACCTACTGTATTCGACCACCTGAAGATTGGCTTGAGGCTTGCGTCAATTGGATGATAAATGAAGAGTTTTCTGTAGCTATTTTAGTAACTTGTAAAGCTATTTACAACTAAAATAATTCTTGTTTTTTGTAGAATGATAGTCTAAGTCAGAACGATATCAATACTAATGTAATGGAACAATGGTTATCGTGTGATTTGAATGAAATAGGTAGCTGTTGTTTTCCGGGCAATCTAGAAAATATAAAACAAAGTTCAAAGTCATTTTTGAAGGGGACTTTTCCTGTTCAAGTATGTTATTATTTGTAATAGTTTAGAATACTCAGCGACATCTATCATATTATGTAACATAATGGATACTTTGATTAATTCTAATAGGCAAATTCAATGATTGATTGTAGTAAACCGTTTTACAACCAAACCCTTAAGTTAAAGAACATGAATTTTGAAAACGCAAAAGTTGGTGCATTTGAAAACGAGGTATTGATCTTAAAAACAATCAAAGTATCTTTTCAAAATGAAATATACTCTTTACAGAAAGAACAGTCAAATAAAAGAATGCTAAAATTATTACTAACCGATGGACAACAATCTATTATGGCTATGGAATATAATTCTATCCCCGCTTTCGACCAATCTCTAAGTCCTGGCTTCAAGGTAGTAGAATAAATATTGTATATCGTAGCTAAAGAAGTTTTTGAAACTTAGATGTTACTGAAAGGAGATATTCTTTGCCGAAATGGAGTATTATTTCTAACTGCCGAAAATGTTACAGTTTTAGGAGGAGAATCGGAAGTTGTTATGGAAAAAAATCTAGTAGAAATAATAACGGAAAAATTGTATATACACAAAATATATACAGTATATATATAAATAAATATATATATATATACTAATTTTTTTATTCTTGGTTATTTATATATATATATATATATAGAACGATATATATTTTCTAGAAATGGAAATATCACTCTACGGCAAGATCGAAAAGCTCAATCAAAGAAAAAAGAACTCTCAGGAAAATTTTTAAATAAAAATCCGAAAGGCTTTCGTAAAACTGAAAGCACTGAATTTAAACCATCTATGTCAAATAATCAAACAAGAAATTTTAAAAATACTATTACTCCAAGTTCCAATCTGAAGAGATTTAGTACGGAAGATTGGTCTGATGATGAAATTTTTCAATGTAAGAGTTATAATTAATATTTGTATAGTTTAATAGTGAAATATTGTAATTCTTTATACAATTTTTAACTTAAAGCGATCGAAACGGATCCTCAGCCTCTTACCGATTCAGAAAATAAAATACGTACTGAAAAATCTGCAAATACAAAAACTTTCTTTGACATGGAGGACGACGATGATTTCGAAAAAAGTTTACGTGAGTTTGACGAAAGTTTTGAAACTTGTCCAAGTCCAAAGAGACAAAAATTATCCCAACCTAAACAAGCAAACAATTCTAAAGATGTCAAGACAACCAGTCCTCAAGAGAAAGTCGCTAGAATATCGGACTACGATGACATAGAAGAGCTTACTGCAATGGTAATTGTAGAAAAAATATTCAACTTTTAATTATATTGCATTATTTTAGGTTCAATCGGAGAATGACATCAAATCCAGTCGTAGTTGTTTCAGTGATCAAAGAGGTTTCAGAAAAGTAGGTTGTCATATCTAAAATTTGAATTTAAACTTTTATCTATAATATTTATCATTTTTGAAGGCTTCTGAATTGAGGTTTGGTAATGATCGTGGTACAAAGTTGGCAACTAGTCCAACCAAAAAATTTTCAAATAACAATTCAAAGGTAACATTTGCTAAAGTTTATAGCTGTCTTCTATTTATAAATATATAAGAGGAATTGTTTGTTTTTAGGGCCCGCACTTGTCATCAGAGCAGAATTTGGAATTAATATCACTTAGCACATTAGGTAAAATGAAATTATCCAATGCTATGCCTGATATCGTCTATGTTAGGGTAAGTTTTAACTTTAAACAAAAACAAAGTCTCTGTTACTATGAAACATGAGTTGAAAATCTACTCATTCCTTACTTATTGTTAGATGGCACCACTTTGTTCAGAAAATGTTTTTTAATATGGTAATCTTTTATACCTTATTAGGGATATATTTCAAGAATGCTGGGTAAACTAAAATTAACCAAATATGGTTGGTCAGTTCCTGCCAACCTAACTGACGAAGAAAATAAAGAAAATTTAGAAATTCTATTTAGTGACAAGGTAAAGTTTCTCTTAACATTATTCGCATACTGAAAATTTGTATAAAATTGTGCTACCCAACAGCTTTTAACGTCTATTATTGGAATTCCCGCCTCGGTTAGTTATATTATGATATGTTTGTTTATAATTCTAATATGAACATAATTTTTAATTCATCGTAGGAGGTTCAGAAAAAGAAATTCGAGCCCAATTTCAAAGAATATATTCAACAAGTAAGAGAAAATGTTTATTTTTTTACACTTGAATTTAAATTTGTCTTTTCATACATTATATAAAGGTTATTAAAGAAGGTTCTTCAAAATTGGCTGGATTGAAAGGAGTGTTAAAAATACAGATAGACTCAAAATTTCCAAAACCTGTATTAGTTGAGAAAATATCTGATTAAATTGGTAGTTATTGTAAACTAGCCAAGCAAAATAAAAAAAGTTTATCATGTTGATTTATCGAATTATCTTTGGGGAGGAAGAAACAAAGTAAACTATTGAATAGTTAACCGATCTTGTTTCAAACTACACTTATTAGACAAAAGACTGATCGATATTAATTCTTAGTAATTCTTTTATCTGAAAAAGTGGAATGTAAATACACAATATTTGACGAACAATAGATAGTGGAGGTGATTTTATTTGAGTTACTTTCAACAGCCAAAGTTTACATGATTCTCTCAATCTAAACTGTTAAGATTAATGACGTATCGAACAACCAATAGAGTAAAAGTCAATTGTGTGTTCATCAATATAAAAAAAAATGAAAGATAACTCATTGTCCAATTTTTTTTGTCATGGATTTCGAACGAGAAAAGACACTTCTCAGCAAAATATTCTAAACAAAACTTAATATAAGACAAATAGGAAAAAATTGTATTATAATGCTACAAAGAAAAATCTATAAACGCAGTAAATGAAGAAACTCCTCTATAAAATATCTCCAAAGGTTTATTAATCAAGTAAAGATTACTACACGGGCTATTATCCCGCTTTAGTAAGCTATATAAGGTTATACATGCCTTTCTCTGTATTGGACTAGGCTTATTGTTTGTATACTAATTAATAGATAATGCTTTACACTGTTTAAGTTTCGATTACACGTTGGGGTTTGCTTTATAATTATATTGTATGTGTATATTTACTATATATAATGAATTTGTCCCTAAATGACAGGGTCTTTCTCGCTCTAGTTCTAGTCATAACTTAATGATTCGGATGTTTGACGATTAAATCTTAACAATTTTCAACTTCAAATTAATTTTAATCTGTAATTTAATAGTACGTTTAATAAGAATGGAAATGACAAATAGACCTATATCACTAAATATTATAATGCTGTATGTTAAATATAAAAACTGATTTGAAGAATTGCTGTTGACAAATGATATATATATTGATATATACATATGTAGATTCATAAAATATATTGCTCATGTAGCATATGGCTACTTATTTAGCAGTTAGATAGAAGAAAGGATATGTTCGAAGAATTCCGAGTTGAAGAGCGACCTTCTTTATCTTCAACAACGAATTTAGTTAGAACAAGTAAAGAAAGAACACGTGATTTATTTAAACGTAGACTCATATATACTGATTTACATGGCATTCATAAAGTTTTCGATAAAAGGGTGTGTTTTCTCAGAAGGTAAAACTTATTTGGTGATGTAACATCGCTGTTTGATTTTTCTCTGTGAATATCCAATAATGAGTGATCTTTTTACAGGATGGCATTTGGAGTAGCTATTATATTGCTACTAGGACTTCTAATTCCACTTTGGATTGGGGTTGTTAAAAAATTATTTTATCCTCCAATTAAAACAAGTAGAAGTTTAATTGCTTTATCAAACGGAGAAAGTCAAACCTTCCCGGCTATCACAATTTGCTATTACGCGCAATATTCGTTAGAGTAAGTAAAGCTTGTTAGTTTATAAACTTATGGATTTAAGAAGAGGGAATAAAATGAGTAAGGCAACAATTTAATATGTTTAATTAAATGTTTATTCAGATTTATTAGAAACTACGGGGAATTAAGAGGCTTTGTAGCTGAATCCTGGCCGGATATCAGATCTATCGAATCAACAGTTGATGAACAGATAAATTCCTTTAATATACATAAAAACTTTTCTGATCCGGAAAATATACTCTCAGCTGCAAGTGACTTCCCCGGTGACCATTTTGTTGAATGTCAGTTCAACAGTAACAGATACGCATGCGGTAAATTTCTGAAAAGAGTTTTAACTAATTTCGGTTTTTGCGTCCAGTTTAATTATGATGGAAATTTTTCGATTGCCTCATCAGGTCTTGTCAATGGGTTACATATATTTGCTTATATAAGCAATTTTGACAGTTATTTTGGAGCTAATTATGGTGCTTCCGGACTTAGAGTCACCATACACAGACCCGGAACTGAACCGGATGTGTCTAACTATGGGTTTTGGATATCTCCAGGTTCGGACACTCAAGTGGCTTTGACTGCAACAACAGTAAGCTTTGTTCTACGTATATTTTATTATTGATTATCATTACATGGATAAAATATTTCAACGTCTAGACTCTCCTAGTAGAAAGAAATGGTTGCAAGAATGATCTACCAACTTTGGAGGAGAACAAATCATATACAATGAATAGTTGTATAATGAATTGTGTACAAAGTTGTATTACTCAGAAATGTTCTTGCAAATTGATATTTATGCCTGGTAATGTCAGTGTTTGTAATAGTATTGAAGCTGTAAGATGTGCATACGACGCCAAAGGTTTTCTTTTATTTTACAAGTTATAAATTATTAATTAAATCTTTTTAATTGATGTATAAACACAAAGATAAAAATTACTCCTAAACAGATGTGTGCCATAAAAGTAAACGTCCTTGCAATTGTCCTTTTCCTTGTTATACCAAAGGATACGACTCTTCGATCTCTGTCGCGAAATTTCCAACTAACAATTACATTAATTACTTAAAGAAAGTATCGAAAGTTAACGCCACTTTAAAAGAAATTAAAGATGGAGCCATAAAAACTAGTATATTTTTTAAAACGACTAAAACGTTATCATTACAACAATATAGCGACTACAATTGGTTAGATATGTTATGTAAGTCAAATAATTACAATTAAAATATATTTAACCATTTAAACATGAATATTAATTAATGTACTTTAAATTTTTCAAGGTGAACTAGGTGGCCAACTAGGACTTTTTGTGGGTGCAAGCATATTAACGGTGGTTCAAATTATTGAAGTTATTTTCTCTGTAATATTTTACTTTATCAAAACAAGAGGAAAAAAGATTAGCCCAAAGAAATAAATGGTTTATATCATTGTTGTTATATAATGAACAAAAATTGTACAGAATACTATAGGCTTAGTTTAGGTAATAAGCTAAAATGATGAAATTATCTCAAGTACAAGATCATGTAAGGAGTGTTTTTTTTTGCTATATGCTATACATATTCGTAGATATTTTTAATACGTATGTATTGTGTTCATATATGTGTACTTGTGAATATATATTTATAAATACAATAGCTCATTGTCTTCCTATTATCGAATAGACTGTGTATTGATAGTACCATTGACTCTGCTATAAAATTCTATCAAGTTGTTAAAGAAAGAACTCTTATAAAATTACAGTATACTGTATCAATTTGATATTTTTTAATATATATTAATATAGTTTCAATTATTAATAATCAATATTTCTATATTATTCTGTTTTCCTATCTGAACAAGCTTAATCATGTAAAAAATTTTCACACTTAGATTACTTAATTAGGATGTGAGTAATAAATTATAAAGTATGGAAACTATGGTCTGTTTTTTTTTCTATTCCTTTTCTACAGTTTTCAAACAGAAATCACTACTTACATAGATGACACGTCAATACCATTTGATGCATAAATACTTTATATATATATATATAGTATTGTTTAAATATGCTGTACATGCAAAATTTAAGGTTTAAACAAATACTGTACATATGGAAGATTTCTTAGCCTTTTGATATTATTAACCTTCCTTATACAACTTTATTCTTAATTAAGTTGAATAATAATTTAAAGGGGAAATGAAAAATTCCAATTATTCTATATTCCAAAAGTTTAAATGTAAATAGGGAAGGGGTTTAAGATAAATAAATGTGAAATAGTCTTTATTGAGGATCTCATTTAGGATGTGAGTGAAAAAAAAGGGTACCGGATAGCCGATTATTAGTACTAGTTAAATAGTAACTTAATTCTCTTTCAAGTATATAATTATCTTTTAAACTATAGTTCGATATATTATGAATACAAATAAATATGACTTTTAACAACCTTATGTAAGGTTGTTAGGGGAGGCAAAGTACAACAGTTTGTCAGGTTGAAGATATATTTTTTCAGTTGACCTTATTTCTGAAAGTAAAAATCCATAAGAAAACTTTATTTAAAATTATTAAAAATTTGATTTTAATTAGAGTGTTTAGTAATTTATTATCGCAATCAGTACCGCAAGTTCAATTACTAATTATCTGACCGACTTGGCCAACAATCTACGCTAAATTTTTTTCAATTAAGCAAAAAAGGATTAAAATTTACCTGCATATCGTTATCAATGATACTAATTTTCGTATAATCATAAAGACTATTTGCTGTATTGGATTCACAAAAATGATCATGTATTGCGGTTTGATATCTAATCCTTGAAACGTGAGTAAGTAAGTACACCTAACAATACTTACATCAGCACCACTGCAGAATTGATTATAAACAGTAAAAAGCCAAATAAAAATACATTAACCAAATGACCTTTAGCTATCTGTTTTACTTGAACAGATCAGTTATAGTGTTGAAAATCTTCAAAATTGATTAATAGAAAGCATGAAAACATACAATTATAAAAAGTAAATGTTGTATATCGTTGTAAAAAAATATTTGAATACATTATCCTATGAATGATCTCATTTTTATTCAAAACAACTGAATTTTCTTTTATTATTTATTACGAAATTATAAGTCAATGGAATCGATCATAAGGAAATCAATCTTCCTTCAATTTAAAAGTAACTTTTTCACTGGGGATTTTTTGTGTCTATTATATCAAAATGTATGTTTTTTTGTTTATTAGCTCTATATATTTGGTTTACTAGAGTTGTTACATTTGAAAAAAAAAGACGAATATGATTATATAAATAGTCAGACACTTTTGAATAAAGAGAATAGGATAAGGACAATAAGTAAAGTAATCGATAAAATTGCAACAATTGTTAAAACCATGAAATTACAATATCCGTTACAAAAAAGAAGAAAAAATTTTTCTAAAATGATCTATCTTTTGATGTTTTATTCTCTCTTGGTAAACTAATGATAATTTAGAAAAAGCCATTGGGAGATTTGTTAAAGATTATTATACATTATTCTTTACAAAACATGACACAACATTCTCTCTGGACTTTAGTTTGACCTGTCTAGAATAATAATTATATTAATTCTAGTATAGGACTTCCAATAGATGTCGATAGTGTGTTTTTTTGTAACATGTTATACTTTGCATTATGTAATAGGCTAAGTAGTGGACGTAAAAAAAAGAACCTAGAAAAGGTCATTAATTGTTTGCGATATTTTTAGCCTTTTGTTCTAGAATAGATTTACTGTTTTATTAGTATAAAACTTGATTTTGAATTGGATAGAGTAAACGAGACTGTTTCTGGAAAAGTAACCTTCAACGGTCAATTGTCAACAAACTAGATACTCACAACAACTACTATCATCTGTCGAGTTATAGTAGACACATTAATAAAATACATCCGATAGTATTTTAAAAAAGCTTGATAATATTTCTTCCTATCACATTTTCATTAAATATGCAAATAGACTGTTTATCTAACGTAATTTTTACATAATATTAGAATAGAAGTTGAAAATTAATGATTTTGTACAACTAATTTACATAATGAACTCTTCAAGGATTTTTCTTCTTAATTTCTTTCAATCGATCTCGTTTTCTAAAAAATATGAAGATTATCTCAATTTTCTTAAAATACAATTAAAAATAAGGTAATTAACCTCATTACTTTTTCTTATTTTTTTAATCTAATTTAAAGTATTTAAAGATTTGGCCTTTTCCATAATACACTGTTCTTACAATATCGCTCTTAATTCTATTGTGGTGCCATTAAGGAAAATTTTCTAATGTTCTGTATGAAAAAAGGAATTTTTGTAAATGAAAATTACTGGAGTTTGTATGAAAAAAAGGTAAAATATAGACAACAGAAAAAATATAGAAAAGATTCTTGAGGTGGTACTGCAAGATCGTCGTTGCTAGTCTGCTTAGCTTTCTCTCTTCCGTTTCTTAGAAGTCATTCAAATCGATTAAAACGGCGCAGTTTTTCGAATTCATCATGGAATAAAAAAATAGTACAAGAGGAAAAAAAAAGGACGAACAATAAAAGAAAAGAGAGAAGAAATACTGATAGATAGCTAAAAATGGAAGAAGCAAATGAATTCTAACTTACACGCGCATTTTCTTTTTATCTCATCATCACTTTTGTATCAGCTAAAAGTTTTTACTTTATTAAATTAATATCCTGTGTTTTTTTTTCTTTTGCTATTCAAATAAGGGCAATAAGGGTATCTGTGATTTTTAATAATTTTCTAACACCTATCTAATCGGTCGATTAGGATGAATATAATTAAGAGTTTTAATTTAATTATGATTATAACCCTTTGCAGTTTTTCTCTCTTATTATCATTACTGTTATTTATTTAAAACCAATAAATTATTAAATGATTTCTGTGAAAGGTAAAATCTTTGATTTAAAAAAAAACGATAAGAAAGAATTTTTAGGTATTTTAATATTAAATGAGAAAGGAAATGGGGAGAAAAGTTTTATTCGAAATCTTTACTCCATGCCAAAGTCCATGATTTAAAATGTCTGAGTACTTTAGTATCCTCTTTTTTAGCTATATCAAGTAAACTCATTGCTCTTTCTACTCTTGAAGAGACTAAAAGTCTCCTCTGATCGTCAATGCTTGATCTTTTATTTAATAATCTTTTCTCATTCTTAGGTTGATTATTAGTTGTTGATAATTTCTCACTGATCGCCTCCTCATAACACATTAAAGTAACTAATTGAGCTTCCGGTGATAAAGTGGCTGAAAAACGAGGTCTTGGAGGCAACTTCGGCAGGCTATCCTCTTCAAGTACTTCATTTTTTTCTGTTGTTGTACCTAAAACTCTATTGAAGTGTTTCATACTTGCTAATCGTACAACATTACGAAAATCTACGCCTTTACGTCTATATAATTGTTTTCTGGACTCAGTTCGTTTTGGTGTAAGAGGTGTTTTTGGAGTTTTTGGCGATTTCGGTGAAATATTCTCAATTTTCTATAATTTAAAAAGGTTTTTTTCATATAAAACATAATAAAACAAATAAATATTTAATTATCTTGTCTATAGTTTTTATATATTTGTATATCTGTTTACTGCTATATACTATATATACTTATATAAATGAATAGCAATTTTATATTAATATACTACATTAACTTGAATGTTTTGCAGAGCGATGCGTTTAATTATAAAAATGCTACTTAGAAGTACTTATTTATAAGATCTGTTGACACATTACATTAGTTATATTTTAGTCTTTAAATTAAGTACTCAGACGCGTTTCCTATTCTAAAGATAGATTCTCCCTTTTATATAATAATTAATTTATTAAGAAGCTAGACAATACACGTACTTGTGACGAGGAAGTTATCTTCCGTTTTTCTTCCTTCTCTTCCTCTACGTCAAGCTTCTCTCCTGCCATAACTTTGGCAAGAATTCTTAAAGCAATACCATGGAATTTACCTTTCATTCTTCTTTCTTGAATGCTTGAACCTCCTTTTCCTCCTTCTCCTCCTCCTCCTCCTCCTATTCCACTATTAGTTTCATCTTTTTTCTGAACGCTAATAGTCAGTACTTTATGTTCCATTAGTACAAAAATCCAAAGCAGATATCGTTCGAAAAAAAAAAGTGCTAATGAAGTTTTTTTTCTAGTTTTAGAGCTATACTAATCAATTCATCGGCCAGATTGTGAGTGGCGCTAGAAAATTAAGCACGCCTGGTTAAATATATAGATAATAAACAAAAAAAAACGCCGTAGACGCCTCGACTGTACGCACATATATTTTTATTGTTTCGGTTGTCCTGGACACAGTATACATAGAAATCGACCGAAAATAATTGACCTGTGCATAATCCATAAACGTTAACGCTTTACCGTATGTTTTTGTTTAATAAATTAACTGTTATTCTCACGTATATACTATTTTCAATTTATCAAAGTTTATTTAAAAGGTTCAATTAAATGTCCTTAATTAGATAGAAAGTTTCATCTAATGGCATCTCTTTTTACTTTAATATATATAAATATATTTATATTTTCTTTTCTATTGAAATTGTTAAAAGTAATGCGTTAGGATCTAAACAGTCTCTCTATTCATTAATATAAATTACACATGATGGTTAATGTTCGATAGCCGACTCTCCGCTTACACAAGACCTGATTAACTAGTTAGTATAATGGGCACTAGAGGGCGATGATACCTTTGCATCTTAGAAGTTTTGCTGAGTGTGATACGTAGGCGACAGAAAATGTTTGTTTAGCGATAAAAAAGGGAATAGGAAATAGGCTAAAGACGTAAGTAAACCTGGTACTTAATTAAATGATAAACAACTTGACATCTAATTATATTAATTAATAAAAAGAAATAGAAAAGTATTTAAAGAAAAGTTCGAGTACAAGAGAGAGAGAAGGCGGACGATAGAGTCAGGTACCAGGCTACACAGGCGTCTATTTCATTTCGAGTCAAAGGCGCGAAACTGTCACAGTCACTTTGGACGATGTCTAAAACTTCGGTTATTATAATCCTACTCGTTTTGACAGTTGTATTTACGCAATCAAGGTAAGTGCTTGAAAAGTTACATTAAATATCCCTCTTTTAATTACTTTCTTACTGGTTTGTTTTTTTTGTAAGATAGTTAAATAGATAATTTATAAAGAAATAAATCTAATAAAACTGAACTTTTAAATTCTACATTACTTTCATATAGTTTAATAGGAGTGTTGTGATGTTTTCTTTTTCCTTTTTACATTATTTAGATATATTATATTATGCATTTTAATTAGAAAATAGACTACGAATCTTAAATGTCTGAATACATGATACCCACTATGGTTTTCTTTAATTTGTTGAAAAATGATTATTTTTTTTTAAAGAAACAAAAAAAAATGCTTTTGTTGAATTGTTTTTAGTGTTTTCTTAGTAATGTAAATAAAATGTTAAGATGACAGCCTAAACTGGTAATTAGAATTCGTATCATTCTATTTGGGAAACAATAAAATAAAGGGTTTATAATAGACTTACAATAGCTTTTATAAACAAATACATTTATATAAATAAATCTAAGTGTTATATATAAACGTCTTTACGATAAATACAATCTATGCTGTCATTTTCACACTCTTTTTAAATCGGTTTCTTGGTTAGACTCTTTATTTAGAGGGAAAAGAATTCTTTGTACTACTACTCATATTCTCTTTCTCCCTTTAACTTTCCAATTCATATTGACCAATGAAAATTACTCTTTCGTAGTAATTTTAAAGCCGAAATAGAAATACATTCCTCCTCCCCCTCCCAATTGATTAAACACAATTACCGCCTCTAGAAATTGATAAAAATAAAGGTTAAATTAAAGGTAATAGTCGCTGAACAATGATCAACTCAAGGGGAAGTGGACGGATCAAAAATCGCGTGACCAAAACATTTTTGTAAAAGAGACAACATGAAAGAAATCTAGTTTGGAATTTTTTTTTTTTTTACTTATAAGGGATTTTTATGTTTTTCAGGTTTATTAACTACGGAGGAGGTTACTACGAGTACGATAAAAATCAAGATTATTACGGTTCCTTATTTAGGCCCAATGCTTTCTACCGAAAACAATCGATTTACGGAGCGGATACTGATTCCTACGACCGAGTCCCTTTCTTTAAACGTTTCCGTACACCGTATTATGGAGGATATTAATTGATTAGATTCTTTTCTGTAAACATTCTGTCGTTCTTGTTTTCTTAAAATCTTAATTATATACCTAACCAAGCATCCTACATATTATTGCGTTAAAATATTAATGACCTTCTTAATTGAAAAAAAAAGACGAGAATTTTTACGATAATTTCTTCCAAATTAAAGAAAATACTTTCAAAGTCTCTCTTTTGTCTTTTTCCTGTAAAGAAAGGAGTCTTCAGAAAAGGACGTTAATTCAAGCGATTTATAGTTGATATATTCATCTACGTGAGACGACTAGGGATTTAACGGATGACAAAACCTTTTTTTGACTACTTTCCAGGGTTTTTTTGAGTTTTTTTTCCCAAATGAACATTATTGCTCTTTATTTGAATATTTTTCTTTTATTTTTTTCAAATAGGATTATTAAATTCATTTTTTAAATCATTTTTTCTCGGCTTTTCTATTACTAGAAATTAATAAAATCATAAAAATCAATGCTATCGATCCTTAAGTGTTGACAGGATAACGATTGCAAAGGAGAGTAATCCGAATAATCCGAAAGGAATTGCACTCAAATTAGAATCACCTAAAAAAGGAAAAATATAAAAAAGATTTAAATAGTAATTCTTCTTTCAGCAAAATCTGTTATTTACCTAACCTAAAGTACCGTTACTCTTCTCTTCCCAATTTAAACTTCGTTGAACAGCTTTCTTCCACTTAGCGAACCTTGTGTCCCTTTCTATTCAAGGAGCATAAAGAAATAACATTTTTTCTTTTGGCGAAAGGCTACAGACCTGAATCAGTTATTAGAGGTTTAAACGTCTCCATGGTAGCTGAATTAGTCTCTCCGGCCTTCCAGATATTCAAACAAGTACCAGCGGCAATAGCTGCCCCTAATGCAGTCGTTTCCGCCATTGATGGTCGTGCTATAAAAGAAAAAGAGTAAATTGAATTTCTTTCCGTTTTCTTTCTACCTATACCATCCCACTTTCGCTTATTTCTATTCCGACTACGACTAGCTACAAATTACACAAGTTCCATCGAATAGAATAAGTGTATTCATTGTTTTTAAGGGGGCAAGAGGAGAAGTAGAAAAGTTAATTCAATTGATGGACTACTTGATTAAGCAGTCGGTTGGTTAAATATTATTGTCAGTTTTTTTTCGCTAAGAGGGGAACAACTACATATTTCTAATATAAATATGACCGTTAAATTAAAAGAAAACAACAAGAAATAAAACTAAAGTAGAAAGATGAAAAAGAAAAAACTACTAATATAAAAATAGTTTTAAGTTTCTGTTATTGAGAAGTCTTATACAAACCTACTTCAATTCCGCTTAAATCGGCTTGTAATTGCATAAGAAGGTTATTAGATGTCATACCGCCGTCCACTCGTAATTTCCTATTAGTCAACTCGGAATCTTCTTTCATCGCATCTAATAACTGTCGGAGAATAAATAAAAAAGTCGAAAGGATAGGTAAACATTATAAATTTGATTAATTTATTAGACGAACCTCTCTAGTTTGGAAACATACAGACTCTAGGCAAGCTCTTGCAATATGAGCTTTAGTCGTATACTGCGTCAACCCACATATTATTCTATAGATAGATGCAAATAAGTTATAAATGTAAACGGTTATTTATATCCGTCCTGTTGCTATATTCTATGCAAGATAGAACATGGCTAGACGTCTGTATATATCGAAATACCTACCCTCGGGCTTCCGCCTGCCAATACGGGCAAAATAAACCGGAAAAGGCAGGTACAAAATAGCACCCAGCACTCGATTCAACTGACGACGCTAGCCGCTCTATTAGTGAAATATAAGAACAGAATGAGATTTGTTAAGATATTCTTACGAAAAATCCCTACCAACATCTCTAGAAGACTCTATAATACCCAAATTATCTCTTAACCATTGAACAGCAGCTCCGGCAATTGCTATTGAACCCTGTTTAAAATAGAGATGAAAAAACCAAATAGTGTGAAGAAAACAAAGAGCTTTATAAAAGTAAGTGCTTTCCCTTGATTTACCTATGATTTCTACAAAAAATTTTTTTGTTATAGACAATCATGAGTACTTTAAGTACATTATTAGAAAATATACTTTCCCAACAGATGTCACTTTTTTTTAATTACTAATTGAATTAGTATTAGATTTCATTAGATTATTAAAACAGCTCTCTCTTTGAGACTGGTATTTAAATAATAACATAATACGTTTTTTAATTTACATATTTTCTATATAATATATTAACAGTACATACACTTGTCTAAACGTAATATATACATTCTATTGTAATTTATTACTATTTGGGACAAATGATCAATATTAACTAACCTCAAGAGCATAATATACTGGGGCTTCAGCACCAAATTTGTAGGCTACTGTTGTTAATAGACCATGTTCAGAACTAACGGCCTGTTTAATGAATGATAATATGTGAGTAGCATGTGAAGAAAAGGAACTAAATTTACTATAAATTGTGTTGTATTTACCTGTTCTCCAGTATTGTATAAAAGGAAACAGCCAGTTCCGTAACTGTAAAAATACAAAAGGTTTAATGGGAAAACTGGAGGGCTTGTACAACTAACGTATTTTTTGCTTGACCTTTGGACATGCATCCCTGACCAACTAATGCGGCTTGCTGATCGCCAAGAATCTAGATTTTAAGTTTATTTGGGTAAGAGAAACTCTTGGATGAAATTGAAAGATAAACTTACTCCAGCAATCGGTTTTCCGGCCAGTGGTCCACTATCTATTTGACCATAAATTTCTGCCGAACTACGAATTTCTGGTAAAGACGATTTAGGAACTTCAAAATAACTGTTGAATAATAATCGTTTATTAAGAGAAAAAATGGTTGGCAGCGTATAAAAATCGCCTCTTCTTTTATGACATGTTATGTTATACATTATTTAATACAATAATTTTCTACTTGAGCTAGCCTCAAACGACTTTACCCAGCCCTCCTCAAAAATTCTTTCATCTTGAAAAGAGAGAGAGAGCAAATAAATCATTTGTAAAGAAAAAAAACGAAAAACGATTTTAGAAAAAGGATAGCTAGAGTACGCAATAATCTTTAATCTTCAAAAACGCTAAGTATGTAAGATAGAAGAGAATTCTATGCGTCATGTCATTTTGTTTTCAGCATCATCAAAAAAGAGAGTGAAGGATGTTGATGTTAACTCATCCAATTCTTCTAGATGTTTATTGGGTCTAAAATATACGCTGTTATAGTTAGACTATGAAAAAAACAAGTTATTTTTGTATAAAATAAAGCGCTAAAAAGGGGAGAAAATGAAAAATTTTATGCGTAAGCATGTTCTTGATTTTTTTTTACTCTTTTTACGTTTAGCTTGAAAAAGACGTCGCTTTGATTTCATTTAAAGATATAAAGAAAAATAGATAATCGGATAAATATGAATAATAATTATCAATCATCTTTTGAAGAATGTGTTGCTATGTTGTATATATAATTGATTCCTTTTCGTATTTTGGTTTTTATTCAATTTTCTTGTATTCTCTTCTTTTTCCCTCTCTTTTCCTCCCTTTTTACTTTTCCTATACTAAGAGGTTTTGAGAGAGGAAGGAGAGAGTAGAAAAAGAGTTTTCGAATAATAATCAAACAACAAAATTTGTTTACTTACGAACACAACGAGTCGTCCCATTGCAAATTATGAATATTCATGAGCATAGTTCTACTAGCATTTGTAACATCGGTTATATGTACATGTTCTTTTGTAAGTTTCTAGATCAATAGAAAAAATATTTGTATAAATTATTAATAAAATAAATTAAAGGTATTTTAAGTAAATAAGTACATAGAGTAACCAAGAATCGACTGTACCAAAAACTGCATTTCCATTATTAATTTCTCTTCTAATCGTCTCGTTATTATCTAGTAACCATCTCATTTTAAGTGCACTGAAATAAGTTGATATAGGAAGACCGCATTTTGACTGTAAAATATTATAGCGAATACAAATTAAAATAAATCTATAAATAGATAAATTTTATATCAAGATTATTATAATATTTAAAGTAATTATTAAGTTTTTCTATTTATAGATATCCTCTTCTAGTAAACTTTAAAATAGTTTTTTGTTTGTTTATCTTTTCTATAAGAAACTTATTATATATAGTGTATATATATAGTAACGTACCCTTATATAATCCTTATTCTGTCCTGGAGTCTTTTTAAGAATTTTATCAACCGTTTCAGCCGTCCTAGCATCTAGCCAGACTGATAAGGGAAGAAAATTTCCATCAATATTATTATCTCTTATTTTGAGTAGATATTAAGTATAGAAGTAGATTAAGTAATCTAATGATTGCTAGTATTGTAATAAATACGAAAGTCGTTTATATCAGTTTTTTTATCGTTAATCATAAAAATATTATTCCCAGAACAGTTTTCTAAGCCGATAGATGGAGCACAGTGTATAGGAATTCCGGGATGTGTCTACTCACCTACTGCATTAAACAGAGGTTCACCAGTTACTTTATTCCAAACAATAGTTGTTTCTCTTTGATTTGTAAGGCCAATTGCTATAAAAGAAACGTAAAAATTCAATTAAATATTTCGCTCTGTGCATTTTTATTTTCATTTATAGACATAAAGATTTGTTTTAAAATGCAAACAAATATCTGTTTATCATCGTATTTTTTGTTTATTTATTATGAAAAAAATTCAACCTTTGATATCGTCCTTATCATATCCTAGTTTTTCAAAATTATCGCAAGCACTTTTCATACAAGTTTCAACTGATTGCAGTATTTCCATAGGATCTTGCTCTACCCATCTAAACAATATATAAAGTAATTAAATATTCTTGTAGAGTTTTATAGATATCGTAATGTCATGAAAATTTACCCTTCTTTCGGATAGATTGGAGATATTTCTACTTGATCATAAGTAATTAATTCTCCAGTGTCAGCGGCAAATATCTTTCAAAAAATTAAGGTTATTTGGAGATAGTAAATTTTTTAAATGTTTATTTCCATACCAAAAATCTAGAGCTACTTGTTCCTTGATCAATTGCACCGATAAAAGGTCGTTTACGGGATGTATCCATTTTAAGTCGTCTGCTCATCTGTTAGTCTAGGTCCTACAGATGGCAATATATATGTGTATTTTTTTTCTGTTTGGAGAAAACGCCCTCTACAATCGTTAAACTACTTTAAAGTATAGGAAACTTATTTTAAACACTGTCTGCAAATTCCATCTTCAGATTTATAATATTTTGCCTGAGGATTAATAATTTTATAGAGAACAAATATAAACTAGAGGTCACCATCTGAAAACTGTTCTGAGTACATATTCACCGTTTTATCAACTTGTACGCATGCGCAGATTTTTAAAAAACTGGAAAACGATATAATTACTGATTACAGCTAAATAGTAAATGTATGAAGAAATTAATTAAAGAAAGATAATTAAAAGCATCATAAAAGAAAATAGTAGAAAATTGTTTTAAACTATATTTTTAGGGTTGAAGAGCCTCAAAATTACAGAAGCATGCAGGAATCTCTTTGGTCTTTTGTTCATATTTCACCAAATGTAAGAAATATAATCATATTTTAAATAATAATGATAATAATAATAATAAAGACAGTACTTCCAATTTATTATTGAAGAATCGCTTTAAAAGAGTTCCTTTAAAACGAATGATTCAGGAATCACGTCTGGTAAACTGATAAAAGTAAAAAAAAATCAATGTTATTAATTAAAATGAATATTTCTTCTTCAATAAGAACACGGCACTAAGAAAAATGTATAAAATGTAAGAAAATATAAGATGTAATTATAATACTAAAATGGTAAAATTAATTCCAGTTGTTCTGGAAAACTTGGCCAATTACTGTTGATAAATTACTTTTTCTCTTTGTAAAAGATTCAACTAGGTTAAGAGAAATTTGAAAAATTCAAAGACGAAGAATAGCTCTAATTATTTTATACTAAACTCTGACGAAACGAATAATGATCTATATGAAGAGTTCGAAAAACTGGTGAATTAATAGAGATTATTCCAACTTCCAACAAAGTAATTTTCAATAGAATGTAATTTGCGAAAGAAATTAATTTTTCAATAAATCTTTCAGATCTTGTCTTCAAAGATCGACAAAATCCAAAAATCAAACAAAGCGAGAGAAAGAAATCTTTCTCTAGCAACATTAAGAAGTGTTTCCATAGTATTAACAAAAGAAGTTGCGGCTAGCTAACTTAAGCTCGGATTTAAAAATCTAGGTAATAACATAACATAAACAGAAGTTAGAACGTCAATTATTAAAAGAGGAAACTAATAATATTTACTATAGAAAGAAAGAAAAATGCTTACATTCAAACTGAGCTTAAAAAACGATGGATGATATGGAGACATTTAAAGAATTTTATTGATATTTAGAAATATACGTTTGATGAAAATTGATCAGCTGCTTATACAGCTAAATACAATTTTAGTCTATTTATCAGCATTTCTTTTTATTATGAAATGGAAGATGATCTGGTTAAAATATTTTGTTTAAAAAAAAAACAAATTTATTTGTTTACGTTTAAGAATGATCTTTTAAGAATAATTTACAGAAGTTTCAATAAAACAACAATTAAAGCAATTATGTAACAACAAAGGTTCTTCCTGCACATAAATTTTATGACGATAGTTATTTAAATGTAAAAAAAAATGAATTTAGACAAATAATTGAGCAGTTTATGGAAACCGCCAAAATTTCTAGCACCAACACTGAGGAATAAATTCACTAGTTTTGAACTTCTTTATCATAAACTTCGATCTTTTTTCTTTTTATCTTTTTTCTTTTTCTTTTTCTTTAAACTCTCTTCTTTAACTTTCTTCTCTTTCTTTACACGCTTCTCAGTATCTTCATCACCGGTTGAGTCTCCACCTCTTTCTTTAGGCCTTTTCTTTCTTTCATTACTCACACTACTCAAACCTGATACTAAAGTCTTATATGTTTCTGGGAGCTGTTAAGTAATCAATGGTACATTCATTAGTCATTTGAAGAGAAATAACAGACGTAATCAATAAGCTATTACTTTTCCTGGATGCAGCTTGAATCCTATAAGTTGGCTTCCAGAAAGTGGTCTAAATTCTTTTCCAGTTATTGGAGGTTTTTCGATAATACTTCTTAATGAGCTATACAGAAGGACAAATTAGACTATTAGAAATTAAATTATTGTAATAGCTTACCTATTATCAAGGTTTCCCGGCATGTTTACATCTCCAGGTAGGTCAGGTAAAAAACTACTTAATTTTTCCTTTACCTTTTTACCGCTCAACTTTTTATAAGAATGTTCCAAACCGTAGTGAGCTATAAGATCTGATGCTCCATTAATACTACTAGATTCTAAAAACATTAACTCGCATAAAATTAAGTAGTCGAATTTCAAAGAATCAATTGAAACCTGGTAAATCTCCCATCATATAAAAGGATCGAATAATGGAAGGAACCCGTCCTGGTTGCAAGCATATCTTAGTTTTTAATGTTCCAGTGGAATCAGGTTTTTGAACAGCTGGAGATGTTTTCGGAGATATTTGGTCCATTTTTTTTTAAAATTTCGATTTATCGAAAACTGGTATCTAGTCAGATAGAGACATTTGGAGCATTTACCGAGTTGTAGACGCGAACCAGAGTTGCACTCTCAATGCGCTTCCTCATTCGTCAACTGTTGACCAATCACAGCGATGTTTACAGATTTACAAAAAGAGCGACAATGGACGAATCCGTAGTTTTAAAGAAATTATTTGATTTAAGATGCATTGATAATAAAGATCAAAGCTTCTCTGACCTAAGTAAAGATGACGTTCTGAGGATTATCCATGATCTCTTTGTTGTCTACGAAACTTCGTGGCATTGGAATCTAGAAGACCATCCAAAAAGAAACTTTCATATTTTGCTGAGGTCTGACAAAGACTTTCATTTTTGAGTGGTTTTATTTATTATTCTTTTTGCACTTTTCATAGAAACATGCGAAAATTGTACTTAGGACATTTAGTTAAGAAGGAAGAAGAACTTAAGGGTAGCTGTCCAAAATCAATTGTTATTGTTTCAAGAATTTTAGAAACTATTGAAATTAAAAAAGGAAAGAGTATATACAAAAGATATCAAAAAACACCAACGAAATTGAAGGTATGTATATATGTTGATATTTAGAAAGTAAATATTTTCTTAAATCCGTTCTATTTACAGGGTGAAAACAATGAAAATCGAAGAAAGCCTCCCGTGCCGAATGCATATCGAAAGGCCTTATCAAATATGACGAATGTCGAGAAGACAGCAAAGGTATAATCTTTGATATAAATCACTTCAACGTCTGAGAAACGTGTAATCTTGAAATTCTTAAATAGACAACTTCGCCCCAAGCGGAAAACAATATTTCACGGAGAAAAATATTTAACAGTCCTGAATCAATAGGATTGGATAGATCTAAATGTTTTACACCTTTAGAGAAGGTAAATTAATATAAAAATGGTAGAAAACAAAAATATAGAGCTAATTAGCATGCTTTGAATGTTGTACCAGAATGAGAATCCAGCTAGCTTTCACACACCGATAAATTCTTTGACCGATGGAAAGATTTTAATGACACCAAGCAAGAGTCCCTTTTATTACACAACAAAACTAATGGATGTAAGTAAAAGCATGATAGGGAAAAGATTAAATACTTTTTGAGGATTACTGCTCACCTTCGATAACTATAGCAAAAACTATGATGAATAAATTGTAGATAAATGTTGTTTAATGTTTCTTATCGATAATACTAATGTACTATGAAGTGTACGATCGCGTATTTCAGGGAACACCTATTGAAGCTGGATGTGAATTACGTGGGAAAGAACTAGTGAGAACACCACCTCATGCACAAGCTAGCAAGAAAACATTACCTGAATCGCCTCTTGCACGCACGCCTGAAAAATACCTTACATATCTCATTGACGAAGAAAAAACGCCGAGCTTAAATGGATCATTTACCATTAGTAAATTAGAAGAAATTAAAGAAGAACAGGAGGATATAATAGAAGAGCAACAAGTAGTAGCGGATGATGAACAGGACGGTAGGCAGTCAAAGGCTACAACAGTTTGGGAAGATGAATCAAGTCAAAAGTCTTCTTTGAATGCATTAGAAAGTAGTTTGACTAAAATAGTAGAAAACGCATTCATTGAAGCTAAATCGGGGGAGAGTGAAACAGAATGTTCTATATCAAAGAAAAATACTCCAATTACAGAAGCAGTTATAGAGTCGAAGCTTTCGAATTTGGCTTCACCTAAAAATATTATTGAAAAAAGTTATTATCATCAAGATGTTTTACGCGAAGATGAACTCTTCAAAAGAATTCGTTCGAATGAATCGAGTGGAGTTAAGATATCAATTACGGAAGAGGACGATTCAGCGGCTAAATGCGCCGACACAATTGTAAGTATATTGTTTATTTATAGCCATTTCGTCTGCTAGTCAAATAGAAACTTTTGAAATGTTCTTTTAGTGACGATACTTAATAGATATTCTTTAAATAGGTTCATCAGGAAATAAGTATTGTTCAAGATGATATTATAGATTTTACAATATCGTCGCCAAAACAACAATGCATGTGCAAACCGAAAATTAGAAGACAAAATCCTTTTTCAAAGCTCTTAAGGAGAATGAATAAGTGTTTCAGAAGGAAGTCGTAATAGGTTTTTTTTTTACATATATTTTAAACTCTATAACAATACTTATGTTTCTATAAACACAATTTTTGTTCGGGAAATAGTTTCTTTTTGTTATTAATAAAAGTAGACGTTATTAAAAATTGCCACTAGAGCGAGAAGTAGAGTGAGAATCAGAGATAATTTTAAAATATATTTTGATGTTTTTGAGCTATTAAATATTATTGTTTATAAACTTGTATTTATAAAAGGCATTGTCCATTACTACTCTTTACAATGTCATTAAATCAAAGGGAAAATAATTTTTTTAAAACAAAGCATTTTTAATTAGTTTGGGACATTTGCAAAAGATCGTTAATTGCTCGATCTTTATTTCCTTGATTAGCGTGAAGTACTGATTTGACAACATCTTCATCTACTCCAGGGAACATATCTTTTAACTGCAAAATTTTAAGTTATACAATTTAGAATAAAATCATCTTTTGTAAGGTGATATTATCAAACACATTTAGGTGTACTGTTATAGCTACCTGTTTGATATCTTCTTCCGTGTATAAAGGACCTACTTGTTGCTGTTGCTGAGGATGTTGCTGTGGAACCCCGCGAATGACTTGTTGATGGGCTTGAAGTACATCAAATAACTTAGCCGTGTTTTAATGATTTTTTAATTTAATAGCAAACTTTGTATACCAATTTGAGGTGGGAAGTATCCTCCTTGTGGAATAACCATTAATTGTGGAGCGGGCGGATAAGGCATTACATTTGGATTTTGTGTCTTGAAATCAAGAGAATTATAATTATTTTTCAACTATTTAAAAGAAGATACTATTCTCACCTTGCTGATGACTAATTTGATATTTCCCTCTTTCTTTTCTCCTTGCTTTCCACTTAAAGGATACCAATCATCGATTGTATCCCCACTTACAGTTACTCTTTCTGGAATAAGAACATGAGCCCATGCAACTTTATCGTCAGTTGAAAAAAATGTTCTCTCCTCGAAAATCTCTATAAACATAGAATCTACACCTTGGGGGACGAGACTGTCAAAAAGAAATGATAGAATCATTAATATATTATTCTCTTTGTATTTATTAGAAAACTAAGCAAAGAAGGATATTTATAGTGCTTCTATTGAAGTTTTGATCAAATATACCCACCAGTGGACAGTTTTATTCCATCTTGGATTTTTTCCCGCACTGTTATTAGTATGTGTTTCAAATACAGAATGCCCAATTCTTAATCGACAGTATAAATCCATCTTTGTTAGTCCGTAATTTTTAACCAGTGCTGCCTTTTAATAGATTTGAAAATTGAATTTAGAATATTGATGAGCAGTTTCTAGATTTTTAAGTCAAGTATTTAACAACATACCTCAACAATCGTTACGCTTATACGATTTTGAGCAATAGGAGCAGCTATAGGGGTTGTTGTATAACCAGCGTACTGTGCCTGAAAATGACAATTCAGATTATATAATGATAAATTATTTACCATTTCAAAATAATCACTTGTAACATTTGTGCTGCTTGTTCGTCAGCTGCCACTTGCTGATCTTGTCGAGAAACGTTGAATCTCAGAAAGTCAGGAGGTAATTCTCCTCTTATAATCTGTTGCTGTAAAATTTTGAATTATAAAATTGTATGATAATGAGTCATTGTTGATAAGTATAAATCTCTAATTTATAAGAAAATTATTTGATATCCACCTTGTAGTAAAAATGTTCTAATTTATAATAGTTTTACATATTAGTATATTTTAATATTAATATTTAAACATCCATAAAAGTAAATAAAAAACCTGATTTTGTAATGTATCCTCTTTATTCGCCATTTTCGTTTGCAATGTCCACGGTGGAATAACTTTCGATTTGTGTTGACCAGGCGGGAAAATTTGTTGTGATAATCAACCTTTACAATCTGATAATCATATCAAAATAGATAAAAACTCCATGAAAAATTGGAAAAAAAAGATCAGTAATAAACATTTCAATTATTGTTATTTAGTTCCTTGTTTAAAATCTGTGGAAAGAGAATTGAATATGTTTGTAAAATGAACAGACTAAAAATAGTTCTATTGTATGAACAACGCTCATCGTATGATAATCATTGCAAACATTTAGAGCTATTGATTATATACTATTTAGCTATGGCTTAAATTGTAAGCCATTTAGTTTTTTTTGTCTATAGTATACTTATTCAAAACACACATTTGGTAATTATTACTAATATAACCTTACTTAAACACTATCGAAAATAAAGAAGGCGCTCTAATCGTCTTATATGCTTTACAATCATATATTTTTAGTTTGAAAAGACTATTTGTATTTACTGATAAATTATCATTAACGAGTTAATAACTAACTGTCAAAAATGTTAAAAGATAAGATAATGGTATATCTATATTATAGATTTGAAAAAATCAACCACTCGCCGCTTGGTATTTAGTAATACCAAATAAAAAATTTCCCTAGAAGCAGTTTATTTAAATAATAAGAAACGATGTTTTCATCATCAAACAAATTGGTGAAAAACGTATCGTTCAGTACTGAAATGGTTAGTGCAACAATAGTTCGTTTTTAGATCAGACAGTTTAATTTAATGTATAGTTTGTTTTTAATAATTGACTTGTTATCGGAAAAATGCATGTTTATACTTGCTTTAGAAGGTTGAAGATCCCGAAGAAAAAGCTCTAAGCGAAATTCAGAAACATTTAAAAGTTGCTGAAAAAGATACTCAAGATATAGCAGCTGCTGTGGCTTCAATGACAGTGAATTCTGAGCAAACAGATCCTTCGATTGTTGAGAGAGTTTGTAAAAGCGAAAGTGCAATCAGAACGCTAAGATCCTCTTTAGATCAATTAAGGTAAAAATAAATTTTCTTATATAATAACAGTCTAAAGCTGATTTTATTGATCACTTCTACTGATTAATCGTTCAATAAAATGAAAAGTATTGATTGTTCAAGTTTATCAAATAAGTACTGGTTTTCTTAATTAAATAATGATAGAAAATAGCTATTGATTTTGTTATTCAAAAAAGATCAGAAAAAAGTGCCTTTAAGAAGAGAAAAGTGGAAAAATTCTCACAAGCGGCTGATGCTTATGAAAAAGAGGTTGCCAATTTACAAAGAGATATTGTTGTTCTTAAAAGGAAGTTGAACAAAGCAGAAAATGAAGTTGAGAGTGCCAAGTTATTGATTTCAAACAATGATGCCATAAAAATAAAATTACAAAGGAGAATTGATGAGCTTAGAGCTGAGTTGAGTAGAGAAATAAGCGTTAGAAAAAGTTTAGAGGAGGCTCACAGAAGTTCACAGAAGAGGTTACAAGAAATGGAATGCTTTTCCTCTTCAGAAAGAGACAATCTGTCCAGTTTAACAGCTAGTTGCTCTAGTCTAAAAAAGGAAATGATTCAAATACAACATGAAGCATCGACCGAGAGACAAAGGAGAACTGTCACGGAAAACACACTAAAGGCCATCAAAGCTGAAAGAGGTGTTTATCTTTCAACATGTTTACTTTTTAACAGATATACATCTTTAAATTTACTTTTTATCTTAGATGAATTTCAAAGGAAATTCGAGATTACCGACGGACAGCGCGACAAGACTATTAAAGAGTTGGAAAAAATGAGAATAGACTATTCTAGTTTAATGGAAAAGTTAGAAAAAGCTCAAAAAGCCGGTGCTGTATCTATGGTTAGAGATGAACAACTTCGAGAAGCTTTGAAAGAAGCGGCTGCCCATAATGCTAAATTACTTGCAGAGTGTGAGGAAAGCGCTGACAAAGCAAGGTTTTGTTTGAACGTGTTTTATTTAATATATATTTTATCACTATGATGTCATATTTAGAGCCCTCAGCCAAGTTTCAAATAATGAAGAGGCCTTAAAAAAACAACTAACTTTAGAAGCAAGATCTAAATGTGAACTCAGGAGAAAACTTGAAGAGTGCCAAGCTGTTTTAAACGAGAGGAATCAAGAAATTGAATTACTAAGGGCTGAACAGGCAGCTGCTTTAAAGGAAAAAGATAATCTACTGGATGAAGTTAATGATGCTTTAGACAATGTAGTGGAAGAGCGGAAAAATGTTGAAAGTCAATTGGATGAACTTGTTGAAGAATTGAAGAAAGTTGAAAAGGAAAGAGACGAATACAGAATAGAAATAGGACAATTAAGAGAAAGAATAGCTAGTTCTATGCAACATGGAAGGGCTCAGCAGCAATTGGAACGAACTTTAGCTAATTTAACGGAACAAAAACAACGGCTCTCTTATGATAAAGGTCGCCTCGAGTCTAGAGTAGATGATTTACAGAGAGAACTTGAAGATAGTGGTACGTATTTTCTGCTGAAATTCAGAAAGAATAATTATTTTCTTTTCAATTCTGCTCTTGTTAAGGATCTGCAAAGGCTGAAGCTGTTAAATTAAGGGAATTAGTAGACGATTTGAAAGACTCGTTGACAAAAACTGAAAGAGATTACGATCTGGTTAAAGCCGACGAAAATCGCTTACGTAACGAGCTGGAACTTGTTAGAGAGTCATGTAATAGAAAGGAAAGAGATTTTCAAGAAGCTGTTAAATCTCGAGACGAATCTCTGTACGAGTTGAAAAAAATGAAAGAAAAAGCAAATAGCTTAAATGAAAAAAGTCGGGTTGCCGAATTAGGCTGGAAAGAAGCTTTAGACGTCTCTCACAGAGAGAGAAAACAACTAGCTACTCAATTAAATCAGGTGGTGTCAGCTCACTCTCAACTCCAGAGTTCGGTTGATAAATTACAAATTGAAATGGGGAAGAGGGATGACAAGTGTTGCAAATTAGCTGATGAGAATGAGGAATTCAGGAAAAAAATTGAAGAATTAGAAAAAGAAAGGTTGGAATGGGCTCTAAGGAGTGAGGAACAGGCAAGAGCTTTAAATAGTTTCACTAAACAAGTCAGTTCTGTTAGGGAAGATGTACAGTTATTACGAAATCAGCACTATCCTTACTCCTCGTCTAGATTTTATATTGAACAAACTGATTAATTAATACTTTTTTTTACCAATGCAATGAACAATGTTTCTTCCAAAATTTACATATATCAGCCTATATAAATAAATATATATAAATATTCTTTTTTATATACAAAGAAAAGCATCTAAAACCCTATTTTTTATTTGTCCAATTAGAAATCTTTTATCGATTTGCTAAAGATATTGAAAACCTTATAGGATCATTTTATAATCAGATTTTCTGATTTCAACTTCTAATGAATAAGCATTCCTTGATATTTTTAGCTTCATGTTGCCTTGAGGATGAAATTCCAAGGCAAGAGGCTATACTTAACAAAGTAAATAAATAAATAGCTACGATGGACAGAATAATCGTGAGAATCATATTTAATTTTCTATCTCTCTAATAATTGATTGATTGAGGTATCACAAATTTTAGATTTATAAATCTATTTTAATTTTGTAGATGAATAGTAGACAAGCGCTAGATGGAGTTACTACAATGGAATATACACATTGTATCCATGAGGGTTAAACTTGTTCCCCTTTGCGTACATGTAGTGAATATATTTTACGAAGCATTTGCGGTAGATAATCAATTATGACAATATACTAGTGACATTTATAATAAAGCGTATCAATTTTTGCAAATTAGTTCTTGATAAATATGGACAATATTTTATTACTTAATCTACTCTATCACTCAGTAAACAAATATTGCCATAAAATAGATCAAAACGATGCTTAATTATCACGGCCTTAGGCTTCGTTGAAGATGAGCCCTTTAATGCGGACAGTCTGTAAGGGTCAAGGGGTCATATAATTATTGTGCAGCGGCTTCTATAATTGTCTTTTCTTTTGCGACCTAACAATCGCTTTTCCTTTAATGTTAGATTTCATCTAATAGTTTTAAGCTTTTTACAGATTAAGGCTTAAATAGAGCTGTTTTTCTCTGCCTTTCGCTCCTTATTAAGCTCCTTTTCCGACACTTAGTTCAGAATGGTACCAATCTCTTCTCACTTAAATCTTATCTACGAAAATTGCGATTCAATGGTGACTTTATCGATAAGTGGAGCGAAATCATACTAGAGCTATTTTAATAAAGAGGAGGAAGTACATAAAAAATCATTCATGTGACCACTGGTCTGTGCGCTAACCAGCCAAGCGTTAAGAGACACCTTATACTTGTTTTAGCGGGTCCAAACTACCATGCTGTCTGCTTATTGAGCCGTGGAATTCTTGTGTAGATTTTGATTTTTGTTTCATGCCCATGAGACGCTCTCAGATCAGTTTTTATTTAATTATTTCTTGCTGTGTAGCATGGCCTTGATTATTTTTATATAGTGAAGCATTTTCAAGTAATTCTATGAAAAAAATATAAGAGGAATAGAATAATGAAAAGAATAGATTTTCGACGTTGGACGAAAGTTGACGTATAATTATTGAAAAGAGTCATATTAGCCGTCGAAAGTATTTTGTTCAATAAAAGAAATAATAACAAAAGTGTATAAAAAGGATAAAACAGGGCATATTTTTTACTGTTTTTATCTCTCTTTCATCAAATAGTAAAAAGAGAAAAAGAAAAGATTTCCTGCTAAAAGCTTAGAAAAACTTTAATAACAAAGAGAAATAGGGAAATGGATGCTTGTAATTGGAATTGTTAGTTGGAAACATACTTGTTAGCCGCTGAGATTTACACACCTGTTACATCCGCTTATTATATATTTGAAGAGGCGAATTCTAAAGCTGATACCCTTCTCTCGACACCCTAAACAACCATTAAAAATTAACAACACTAATAACAATTCTGCCCTGCTTAATTAAGCCCACCTGAATTTTTAACATGTTTAATCTACTCATATCTGCTTTTGAAGAAGGTAAAAATTTAATAGTAAAAGGAAACTTCAATCGCTTTTCATATTATTTAATTATAGAAGGGTGTTAGTCAGAATCTAAGGTTTTGTGTTAAATAACCGCGATAAAATTTCTTCATAAGCCTCCCTCCTACCATCTAGAGAAGAAGAGAATGAGAAACTTGTGAGGAAAAAAGAAAACGAATCACGCAAAACGAATTTACGTCTTGCGCAACCTCAATTGTACCTAGTTAAAACGCTACATTTAACAAATTATAACAATTTTGATGACAATTTCCTCCTTTCCTATACTTTTCCAAGGTTTGTTGAGTTATTTGGAATACAATTAGAATTTTAAGAGAATCCTATCCCTTTAGATCCATTATCGAGAAATAAATAGAAGAAATTAATTAATTACGAGCTATTATATAGCCAAAAAGATTAGATTCATTTTAACATTTAGGTACCCTATTTACCCAGTGGAGCCTATACAATTCCAATTACGCAATCAAACAGCCGTGTATTAGACAAATCACGGCATCAGCTTTCAGTCTTTATATTCACTTTAGACACTTTGATGTTATTTCTTGTTTTCTAATATAAAAATGCGAGTCCATAACCTTTTTATACAGAAAACAAACGGAACGGATTACAGTTAAAAAGCATACTTAATAAATTGTATAAATGCCATTAATACTCCAAAAAAAAAAAAAAAAAAAACGCGAATTCCACTTATGATACACTTAATATATTAATTAATGATCTTTACTAATCTATGCATTTATTTTATTTATTTGTTAATAAACCGACATTTAGCATTATACTTTCATAATTATTTAGGCAAGGAAACATAAAAAAAAGCATTATAAATGTTACAATAGGACTTTTTCTGTTTGTTTAAGTGATGCGAAGTTTCTCTATTATATTAGAATTATAACTGATTAAAGATGGAAAATATTTAAAGTTGTTGACATAATAAACAATTTTTGATAGACTTAATGAAAACTAAAAAGTATTGTTTTAATTGTATTTAAACAGTATGCAAATTAGGTTCGTTTTTTTCTTAATGATAATATAAAACGGAAATTATTTGGTATTTAAATTAGAAGAATTTTATATAAAAAAAAAAGAAAAGTATATTAGTGACCTAAAAATAAAGTCTTTATAGTTTTATAAATAGGTGGTAATGATTATTTAAATAATTATTTATTTTGTTTTTTTAAAAAAACAAAAAAAAAGGGAGGCTATTTATCCGAAAAGAGAAAATGAACATTTTATGCAGATTTTATTACTTAAAAGAAATTTACTATTCATACTAACATATATTTTAATAATAGATAGCAATATAGTTGTATTTTATGATATATAAAATAAACTGGTAAATAAACAATAATTTCATTATGTTACATATAATATATTGTATACTGCTATAACAATAATAAATTCAAATATTTGGTATACTGTACAACTTTGCGGTTCATGTAGTATATTTGTTTTTATTTCACAGTATTTAGAGCACTTAATCTTTCATGACATATAACATAATTCATGCTTGATATTTGCGTATTGGTATATTGAATATCTATAGGCTTAGAAAAATTGCTATATATTGCAGTATTCCAAATAGAAAAATAAAAGGACAAATATTGCGTTTTGTATGTACAAGACAGTTTTCTTTCTTTTGTATCTCTTTCCATATTATTTACATAAGACTGCAATGATATCTTTCAATAAAGCCCTAATAGGATGATATATAAGTGTATGTATAAAGCTATATATTCATTTAATACATTGCACATGTTGGTATGTACTGTAAATGTATAGATGTTTGTATATAAGCATTTTATTTATTTACAAACCAGGAAAGTCTTAGGCTTTTGGGTGGGCTCATTATTGCTTATTAACAACTTTAATAAGGCAATTAAGATAGTATAAGTGGAATTACCTTATTATTGTAGTCTAAATACGTTTTGAGCGGTATTTACCTTTGAAGAAGGGAACAATTGGCTTTTTATCAAAAACATAATATCTAGTCGAAATTATCATTTTTATGTTACTTTCATCATTAAAGGAAGATATATGAAGTATTATAGGTTACAGGATGTAAAAGATTCAACGGAAAGAGCTCCAAGAGGAGTCAACCTTTTAAATGTATTATCACTTATTAGTTAAGTATTATTAGTAATTAATTATAAAATCATATCTTCATAAAAGTCATTAGACATAGAATACTTATTTAACAAAAGAGTGGAAATTGAAAATATATCATCTTAAAAGCAGCGAATTTTCATAAGATGATCAAGTATACAGTATACAATTTCTTGTCTGTTAATTTTGGGATTTCGTAGCTAAGTTACTTTTTAATTTCTTCCTTAAATCCTTACTTTGATTCATAATGAAGTTTCATCTTCCGTTGTTGTTTTTTTGTTTTTTTTTTTACTATACTTTGTCTAAATTTCCGCTACGAGTGAAAAGGCTGCTGGATTATACAGTATATAGGAAAGAAAAACGGAATAGACCGCCTGCTTTCTTTCTATTACCATTCAGTAATGTTAGCTATTTTCAGTTTGAGGATTTGTCTTCTCTAATGTTCTGGCGTAGCGTTAATCTGCTGACACATCCGTTATATTTCTTGCTTTTAGTAATCGTGCTGTTATTTTTTCTCGTTAACAGACATTTCTTTGGAAATTGTTTCTTTTATCAAAATGTAATATGTTGGCAACCTTACATATGCAATCAAACTATTCAAAGAACTTTACATGTAAACTATTGAGTGGAAAATTTTTTAGATTAGGGGAGTAGGGGTATCATCTTTAGAAAGAGAAGTGTAATGATCCACTTATATTGCTTCTTTACCGTCTTTTACAAAAACAACCTAACTGACTAGCAGAAGCTCATATTCTCGTCTGTGAAGTATAATTTTTTCTATTGACGATAACAACAATAAAAATGAAATGAATCTAAATGGTGACTTATTTCTCATTCTTCTTTTATACATCATCAATTTAAGTTGATACTATTTTCCACAAAAAACTATAGCAATTTCTATAGGGCAACATTGACATGAATCAGCAATCTTTCTAATTTTCGTATATAGTTTATTACTATGTTGTCTTTTTTTTAATTACGTATTTCTACGGCTAAACATAGTAACGACTAATTATTCAACGCTACATGGACGTAATTATTAAGATAATCTTTTTATATTGAATAATAAGATCATGTGATCAAACGAAAATTTTAAATATGCAAGAAATATGATCACATTCTTTGCAGTTTCAAAGGTTTTCAGTTATTTTTATTCTCTTTTTGGACAAAACGGAGTGCTTACATGTAGATCATTGAGAACAAACCGCCGTAAGGTAAAAAATTACATTATATAGGTTTAGAGAAGATGAGATAATTATGGGAAATGATGCTGAAAGATTACAAAGTCATGTGGCCAACCGAGAAGCATATTATTCTTGGAATGAGTGCACAGACGGTCAGGAAGGACTAATGATGGACAATTGATAACTAACGTTTCCCAGTGAATGGAAATGAACGAATGAGGCTTTTAATATTCCTTAACAATTAAATATTGGTTGTTGAGATCGAAATAGAGCAGATTCTCAATTAACATTTTGATAAGTAAGCAATTAGAGACTAGTGTACAAAAAAGAAAGACTAATTTAAGACAGTTGTGGTACTTGATATGATCCATTCTTGTAAAAAGGGTAGAGTACTATATTTCTACAGGTGACGCATACTCCTCTATTACGGAAACGGAAGGACGCTGATGCTCGAGAAAGCCTGTACTATAGCTTTAATTGTACTTTCTATTTAAGTGTACTTTGATTGCATCAATATCTTTGTTCACTGTACTAATTTCTGATTTAAAAGTGCCTAAAATTGTTTAATCCAATGGGTTATTATTTCATCATTTTAAATTAAACCATTTCAAAGAAGACTTTTATGCAATTTGAAACGATTTAAGTAGTTAAAATGAGCAGTTTCTTATTCTAATAAAGTTTGTTTTTCTCCTGGAACACTACCCAGCAAAATAAACCATTACATTGAAAATTTTAGGTATATTTTTCCTCCCACCATAGAATCTCTGACAATTATCAATGAAAGTAAAATTCATGTTAAATATCAAAAGCAATTAAAGTGAGTACACATAGGCTTGAAAAACGCCATCGAGTAATCAAGCAAAATGACTATAAAGCTAAAAGACGCCCTCAGCCAATCAAACGCTAATTACCTCCAACCTGTGACGCAATGCATCCTTACTGCAAACATGCCTAAGGAATTGTTGCAGATTGAATTGACAGGCAGCCGACTTCTTATGTTTTTTTTTCCCTTTTCGCATCCGTGAGAGAAGTCGCTATAAATTTCCGCATGACAGACGAAACGGTATTAATTCTTATCTAAAGAAATAGATTTATGAGGGAACCTTACTATAAATAGAGGTTCCTTTGCAAATCATATGCTTATTTATTATTTATAATATTCCTTAGAATTATCAAAGGATAAAAAATTTTCCTTATAAACAGTATATAGTATCTATGTATAGGTATATTTGGATAGTATGTAAAATATATGACTAGGTATATGGTATTAAATACATACGTTGTGTAAATACAAACTAATATACAAAGAATTATATCTATATGTATATGAATATATGTTCTATATATATATATATACTAATATATACTTAATACAATATATAGCATATATATACTTTGGATTGTTGGTATTGTACGTAATGTTTATGTCTATGTGTCTAATATAATATTAGATAATAATATTCATATAATACAGTATACATTTGTATACATTGAATGGTATAGAGAAATTTCCAAGAAATGGCCTTTGGGTATATTCCAACCTGTCGTATTTGTCTGTAACCATCTATGCAACATGGTATATATATTTTCTCTATAAATAGAATGAATTGAAGAGTAACCGACGATATAAAGACCGGGGAAATGTTAAAAGAAGAAGGGAAGAAAAAAGGGCAGGAATAAAAGGGGGAAGTTGGCGTTTTTCCAGTTCCATTTTAAAGAATTTTTTATTCTAGAGATAATGTATAAGAAGGTGACATTACATCGACTAATCAAGACAGTAGGAAGAAAGAATCATACTTGATCAGGGAAATATATTTTCTTATTATAGGCCTGCTGAGTGCCGATAATAGACGTCTACATTATTGCCTATTAGGCGCGGATGCATATCGGTAGAAGCCTAGCGGACAAAGAGGCCTTTTGCATGATTACTTTGCCTAATTGATTTGTTAGACGCTGTAACAATGCACATGAGAGAAGATGCATCAAAATATAGTTAATAAAAACTTGTTCGAAAACTTTTTAAGCCGTTTTCCGTGTTCTTCAGCTCTTCCTTTTACCTTTCATTTATCCATCGAACAATTTATTTATTTTAGCAGTTCCTCTTTTGTCAGTTATTTTCTTTCTTTATTCTAGTTTCATTAGAACCCTTTTTTATCCCCTTTATCTCCGTTTCATTGTCTCCTTCTCTATCTCTCACTCTTTCTCTCTCTCTCTCTCTCTCTCTCCCGCTCCTTCTATGTCTCTTCCCCTCTTCACTTAATATATCTATTTATCTTCCTCACTCAAGGTCTTTTTTTTTATTTTCATCTGAACCGATATTTTTTATTCTTCCATTCTGTTACCGCAAAAATTCATCAATACTATTTTGTTTACGAAAATAAAAGAGGTACTCATTTATCCCCCATTCGATAGTTTTTTAAAGATAGAAAGCCGATATTTGTAAATTTTTCGTTGTTTTAACGGCTGCAATTATTCTCGCGCTCTTTGTTCTTTATTGACAACCGGCTACGCTTCATTTATTTTCTGCGTTTGCTCTCTATAAAGTACACAAATGCACTCGTCTGTTGACGAAACCTTTTTTTTTATTGTTTTCTACTTTTACACATTTGTGATGCTCATAATATATAACATTACCTATTTACACTACTTTTGTGTACTCTTTAACCTTTTATTATAAATTTTTTTACACAAAGTTACATAATCCTTTGTAATGAAAGCATCTGGCGCCATCTTTTGCCTGCGATTCTTGGGAATAATTTTGATTAAGATAAGCGATAGAGAACATAAACCACGTGTTGGACAATATAAAGGAATATCATATACTTCTATTCATCTTGGTAACGGTACTACGTAAACGAGTTATACAATGAAATTAGGCCTACGTATTGATTACGATCAATTCAGTAGTCTGAAGGGGCGTTACGGAAATGGAATACTATTACTCTTTTTGTTATTCGTCTTCACTTGCGATTTATTGGAATCTGTTTCGATGACTAAAAAAATTTTTCCATTAAAACGATTAAGCTTTACGGTGAATAAGGATAACATAATTTCTATATTGTTCTTTTGTATAGGCATTTCTTCTTAGAACGTAGACCGCACTTCCTAGTTTCTAATCTTCTAAGAAGATTCGCAATTATTTAAATAGAAAGCATATGGAAAAAGGTAAGTGGCTAGGGCATAAATAATAGCTCCTTTAAACATGGATATACTATATATTTCCTCAAACTCTTCCTTCCAAACCCTAACAAAGGGAGGACATCAGAGGAGAAAATGTTTGGCAAACTATATGATAGACTTCAGTTGAATGATGACTAATACTTGCGCTTACTTTTACAAATAAATAGAGGGGACTGTCAGTCTAAATGATTTGCAGGAAGGAATGGAAGCTGCTGGACTAGTAACATTCCTGTATATCAATTTACTTTATACATTAGATAAATTTCTATTAGAAACCTATTAAAATCATTAATTTTTATTTAATAAAATCAGTTACAAATCAAAAGGAATACTAGTTATTATTCGTCTTTTTTAAATTTCATGTTAAGACGCATTGCGTAGATGTAGGCCTGGATGGCATAATTGATCACAAACTATAATCATCTTATTTTTTATATCTATTTATTTTCGGTGGTCATCCGTATCTAAAGCACATATAAGTTAGCTTTAATATTTAATGCTGAAATGTGTAAATCGATAGAGTCGTAGACAGAAACAGAATATTTATGGATATTCTATATCTTTAAGATTTTTCACTCTGCTAATATTAAGAATTTAATAAGTATAGATAGATTTATTCCCTTTTATCCTTTTCATACCAATTTATAACTTTGCTTCGAATACTTTACAATGAAAATACTATTATTTTATTCATAAAAAATCAATAAATATACATTTAAACGTATCGGACAAGTAGTTTTTTGTAATAAATCATATATTATGCTAATTATGATGAGGAGATTTAAGACTTTTGTTTACTTACCACTCTGCTCTTTTCTCCTTTCAAACAGTTTTTTTTGTTTACAAGATCCATTAAGTGAAATACTTCTACAATTACTTAAACTCGGTTATAGAGTCGAATCATGTGATAAACAAGAAGGGAAGAGAAGTTATTACTCAATCAGTCAAACAGTTCTTTTCCTTATTTTCCTTTCAAATTTACACTTTGTTTCTAATATTCCTTTACTTATTCATGATAGAAGAAAGTGATTGATCAAAACTACGCTTTATGTCATGGGGCCTTCTGGTAGAAATTTCGTGCTAGAAAGTTTTATCTATTTTCACCTCCCTTCGCTCATCTTCCATTCCCATGTCAAAACAGACCGCAAAAAACAACTCAATTAGACGCCTCTCGCCAGTATTACCTTGTTTGCCAAAAAGCAATGCAACAGCAAAGAAAACAGAGAGAAAAAAAAGCCACCGTCCAATCAGCTTAATCGTAGCGATCACGTGATCTATCCGTACTATCTCAATCAACTTCGCCTTTCATTCGAACGCTTTCGACGCCTAAGTAACGGTCCAAGATCATACGGATCTGAAAATAGAAGAAAGGTGACATTAACTACACTTTCAGCTCCTCTAGTCAAGTAAGTTCTAATTGTATAAGCCTATTTTATTTTTGTTTAAATGGTTAACAATTCAAAGAACGAAAAATAGTTTATTAATAAGGAATTTCAATGAATATATGAATGCTGAATTTTAATTTTTATGCATATATGATATAATAGACAGAATATATATATACATATATATATATATATATTTAATATTTATATGTATATATATATATATATATATATATATATATATGCTTGTATATAATGTATCTATAAGAACCAGAATCAATCTATATGTATATTTCCAACAAGCTAATTCATATTTTACGTTTATTTCTTTCGAGTGCATAAACACCTATAAATAGAGATATAATGTAAGTAGGCGTATATATGGTGTATATTAAATATATAGACAAATGTATATGTATCTTATCTGTGGTACAGTATATAGGCTGACGCAGTTGGCGTTAATTTCCTAGTATCACGCAAAAGGCGACCTTTAACGACTTACAGGTGAGCGATAATGACGATTAAAGATAATTTGAAAATGTTTTAGAATAATTTCGTAAGCTATTATCGAAAATCCATTTGGAAAAATGTTGGTCTTACTTTTATGACAAATTTTTGACGTTCCTTGACGAAGTGTCTAATTAATTAAACTCTCTCTCTCTTCAGTTTTTAACTAAACTTCGGTATCTTCTCTTTAATTAAAATATTAGAGAATCAATGAAAGTATTTGTTTTCTTCTTCTGTTTATTTGGTGAATTTTTTAGGCGTTTGTAATAAGGAGAGAATGTCAAAGTAGGCCTATTTACAAAAAAAAAAGAGAAATACAAACAGTTTCTTAAAGGATATGAAAAACTTATGAAGCTTGAACTTGTTCTTTTAGATAAAAGCATTAAATAAGTAAAAATAAAAAACATATAACTAATTCTAAGCTAAGAAACTTCTTAATGAGTTTAATTTAAAAGGAGGAACAACAACGAGTTTTCAATATATCTTATTGAGTACGAGCCTTTTAGGCATGAAAGAGAAGATATAGGATTATTCTTAAACTGTATAAGATCTCAGCTATTTAACGTAAAAAGTTAGGAATCTTAGTTCTTCTCTTATATACCACCCTCGCCTCTTCATTCTTCTCCCCCCTAAGCTATTCAAATATATAGCTGTATAAATATATTAGACGAGCATCAAAAGAGTCACTTTCAGGCCCCTAAATTAACTTTTACTTGTGTCTTAAACCATTTAAACTTTTTTTACTGTTCTCAATTGAAACGATTGAAATTTGTGAAAAAGGAAATTAATTAGTAGTTGAAGTTAAACTATTAAAAAAACACCTATTTATCTCTTATACGTTTCATCTCTTTTCTCACACCTATCAACTTACACAGTTTGTGAGAGACAAAAACATAGAATTTGCCCCTTCAAATTTTCTTTTCCAGCCGATTAGCGTATATTAGCCCGAGGAGTTTTTCTACTAGATTCTTTAATAACTAATCCATTGCAAGCCGAAAAGCATTCTCCTGTTACAAATTGTAGGCGGATTTTTTGACGAGTTTGTAATCTTGATTTAGTTATTGTTCTTTTTTTAAACTATCAAGGAAAAGAGAGAGAAATGATTTTCATTTTGTCATCATTATTCTATGGTACTACTATTGACTTTGAACCTACATTCCCTTCTATCTTTTTCATTTTATCTCTCTTCTCTCACTCTTTCTCCTCTTTTACTTTTCTTAAGAATCTATTGAGAAATTAAAGGGATTTATTTTTAGAAGAGAGGTAAAAGTTAACACTGGGATAACACTCGAAATGTTCTCTCCCATAAGATAATTGGAAGTTCTAGGAATCCGATTGGATTCTAAGATTTAAACTGTAACCAATTTCTTTACGGATGTTCGAGTGATAATTGACGACTGGTCACAGAACCTAGTTAGGCAGCAACTTTATTACAAAATCCTTAGCTAATTTGTCCATACGCCGGTAGCATTTTAGCCGTAATGCAGTGCCGACCTTACAATTTAGCAGTCGATCGTTCCCCTTTTCCTTATGTAGAATAATAATAGCTTATAGCTATAGAAAGAGGTTAATAATAAAAGTCGGGCTTTTTTAGTTTGCACCCAGCGAACTGCGGAATCAGCACTCGAGAACGATGCGTTTCATACTGCACTAATTCCACAAAACTGCACAATAATTCTTTTTCGGTTATAAATTGACTACCGACGGCTTGCCTATAATAGAAAAGGAAGGTCGGCTTGATTTAGTTTTGGTATTGGTCGAACAGTCGTTTTATCATTCTAGTCTTAGAATAAAAAAGGAAGGATAGGAGAAGAAAAAAGTAAAGAAGGGTAAAATATATAAGGCATACCGCTAATTATCCGAACAATCGCTAAGCTACACAATAGTGAGCACTTAAGGAAATAATTGTAGATTGTTTGTCCCGCTTTAATGTAAAATTTAGGGGGAAAATAGCATTGTTTACAAACGTAAACTCTATTCGTATGACATTTTACGGCTATTGGTGAGGCTTTTTTTTGTTTTATTCGACTAAATCAAACATTTTTTGAGGTTATTTGTTTTCTGTCTCTTTTTTTCTTTTCCCTAAATCCGTTCCTTTTATATAACCGCTTACTGCCAAATAATGGCCCGCTGCCACGGCCGCCCCCTTCCCCTTACTTCAATCCTTTATCCTCTCTCTACCTTTGAAGCGTTGAATCTATCTTATTGTTTCTGTTCTTCAACTTTACCGATTGAATTTATAAAAAATTCAGGCTAAGTACTAATTGAAAATGGCTAGTCAGTGAAACAATCGGGAGAATTATTGCCTTTACTTGTCGAACGGGATGAGAATGAAAAATGCAGTGAATCAAACAAAAAGGTATATAGTTAGCCTTAGGATAAATTTTGATGAAGAACAGCAAAAGGTTGACTTTGGTTTTCCGTTTTATCCTCATGACCTATTTAGAATATTTGATTCAAAACTTACTAGATAAACAATTTATCAATTCAGTAAATTATATTGTTATATAAGATTTCATATTCTTATTCTTTTTCTATACTATGATTTCTTAGAAGAAAATGAATGATATTTTTTCAATATGTGCAAATCCAGTAGGTAACTTAACCACATTTCGTTCAATCCAATCAAGACAAACTCCTAATACTCACTAATACTCTGCTGGAGCCTCTAAAGGACAAAATCGTTGCATGCTTATTGTGCATAATCATAGTTTATGGCCTACTCCAAAAGGTCAAATTCTTCAATAATTACCGTCTTCAATGTATACGATATCTTTTCGATAATTATAGTTTACTACAGTCACAATTTTCTCTTTCCCGACACATTTACATATCCAATACGTTATAAAAAATAATTGAATGTGCAATGAAAAAAAATAGGAACTTGAATAATCCATAATAGTATTTCTTTTATGTTTAATATGTCTAATTGCTATGGATCTTAAAACAAAAGATATAGGAAACATACAGCTAATTCTTTCGAATCTTCAAAGAATTAATAATAACCTTGAGCAACGTCAATCGAATATCATCTGGGGGCAAAAATATATTCATATGGAATAGAAAAGAAAGAATTACCATGCGAAATTGAAAAGGTCTTAAAAAGTCCGAAAAATAGGTAAAAGAGATACGAAACTGATATTTAGAAAAAAAAGACAGTAAAGTCAAATTTTTAATTCTATATTTCCTCTTTGTCTTTACATTTTCAACAATTGCACTAGCTAATTACTATTGGGTGAAATCTAGTTTAATGAGGGTTATAAGTCCTTTCTCCCCTTGGGTATCCGTGATATAAAACGCCTAGTAAAAAAAAGCTTTTACTTCCATACTAGCCCATAATGGAAGTTCTTCTGATTCAAATGCCACTTATAACCATTGACCAACCTATAAACTTGTCTAATAAATATAATAAACTTCTTCTATATTTTGTTTCATTCGAGTTTTTTTTAAACAGAATCGGATATTAAAGAAAATATACAGGAAAACTCGTTAGTATATTGAGCAGTAATTATACCATCAAAAAAAACTAAAGAGAAGGGATTGTGGCGAAAACGAGCGTGACTTACATGAAAATCCTGAAGGATGAGGATCTATGTGACGCAATCGATGAGTCGATTACGTAATGGACGCCATTAAATTTTGCATAATCCTTTTCGTGCCATTGGCCAACTCCTGGCAAGTTGGTAAGTAAATTTTGTCCGTTTTTACGTTAGGGAAAATTTGCAGTTTGTCAATAACATAAGGTGCGTCAATTTACTGGCGTTAAAGTGCCTTTTTGCTTGTCACCTTTTTCGTTTTTTCTTTAAACTACTAACGCCCAAAACTCCCTACAATAAAACTACTTAATCGATCATCTGGACGTCCATTGACCGTAGACGGTTTCCCCTTGTCGATGTCTATTCCTTGAACGCCTTTTTTCTCTATTTTCCCTCGCCCCCTCCCCCCCACTGTTAACCCATCTTTATTCTCTATTCTGATTTCTCTTGCATTTTTGTACCAGTGCGTGACGTTAACGATCCTTGTAAGTCACGTTCGATCCTGTGATCTTACGTTTTGCGCACGTGCTAATATATCTTATAACTAGTTAAGGAAATAATCAGGGTCCTTCTGATTGTGGAACATAACGTATAAAGCCCAATTACAACATTTATAATCAAACGATGCATGCGTTTTGATATATATACAAAGAGGTTACTTTTTTTTGAAAGATGTATATATATAGCGATATTTAGTACTTGCTTTATAAATAGATAACTCTATATATGCAATGCATATATCATAATATCGACCTTCTTCAAAGGGTCGGCTAGACATCTCTGCCGGTTACTGCTGTTAATAGGCCTGTAAAGTTAGTCAATTTAACGTAGGGTTGCTTCATTTAAAGAAGAGGAATTATAGCGAAATCCTAAAAGTATTATGTAACTTTGATATTGAAAGATGACTATTAAGCAATTTGTTTACATTGTTAACTAATTATTATGATATTATTAAGAGTAACTACCATAAAAAATATGTGTTAAATAAGGCATATGACAGTAATGTATCGTCTATATATATAAAAGCATAATTGATAACTATTCTTGTCTGTCAAAAAAAGGGATATTATCCTTCTACATTCCCTGTATGACTCAATCAAACATGTAAGTTGTATGAATATTTAATTATATGAATATTTAATTGTTCATAATGGATGTAAAGCATTACTATAAGTAAAAAAATCATGTTGAAATCCGCTATAGTAGCTTTGCAATTTATAGTAGTTTAGCAAAGTAAAAGTACTATACCTTCAACTTCTAAGTATATACATCTCTGTTTGTTTAACCAATATATATATATATAATTTAAAGGCAAGTAAAGAGAAAAAACCACGTTTCTCTATATTATTTAATTATAATACCAATTATCATAATTATCTTCACTGTAATTATTTAAAAAAGGAGGATGCAAACTGAGAGAAAAGGATGACGATGAGAGCAGGATACAAATCACGCTATCTTCTCTCTTTCCTCTCTTTTCCCTCCCTTAGAATAAGAAATTAACCTTGACACGGAAGTTTTTAACAAGAAAAAATAAGTGTTTGTAATTAAATTGATTTTATTCAATCAAAGAAATAAAACAACATGACTTAGCAAGATAGTATAAAAACATATATATTTATATCTAAATATCAATTTCTTTCTTAATCTTTTATTTCTTCTTTTACATCTTTTATTTTTACTTTTTTCCTATCTTTCTTCTTGTTATTGCTACATCTATTTACTTTGCTACTTAATCTATTTATACTTAAGAACGAATAAAGTATATTACGTAGAAAGGTTCTAGTAGAAAATACCAATTAGTTCCTTTTTTATAATATTTACATAAGTAATATAAATTTTTAGTAGATAATTATTAATCTTTTAAGATAATATTAATATAAATTGCGTTATTCCTTATATATACAGTATATAATACATACATGCATGTAAAATGAACAGAAGATAGAAGAAGAAAGAAAACTACAGTTTTTTTAATTATTCAAACAAATTTTTGAATAAATCTTGATAATAGAATAAAAAAACATGTAAGAAAAGAATATTTCAGGGAAACTAATTAATCAAATATATTCACGAACGTGTATTAACCATTGTTATAGTTTTTATAATGAATAAAAAATAATATAAAACCAAGTTACGTCAAATAGACATACATTTTACATGATATAGTAAATGTTTGCAAATTCCAGGCTCTAAAGATTACGTTTTTTATGCTTTTTATTATATATTCATGAAAGGCTTGTTGAAAAATTGTTTAATTGTAATCAAAAACTTGGAATAAATTATAAATCTTTTCTATTTGAGAGGATAATTCACAATTGGTTTTGAATACTTTTTCCTCTCTTGACTGAATAACTGAATATAGTGTTTTTTTCTTTAAAAACAAATCAAACAAACTTTGTAGAACAAGATAAATAAATAACGAAAATATGCACTGTAAACTATAATTGACAGAAAGAAACTAACGTAGACGTTTCCTTCTTCTTGCTTATTTACATAGGCGTTTTTTCCTTTTGCTGTATGTTAGACAGTGTAGAATTACCGTTAATCTCTATTCCATTAATCGGCTATATACTGCACGTTCGTTGTTTACTGGTCGAATATATAGCTAATCAAACATTCACGTTTTATTGACTGATGGATTTGTAGACGAAATGTTCTTGTAAACAAAAAAAAAGAGGAAGAGGAATGCATAACGATAATAATAATTTTGCAACCTATTTCTAGTTCTCCACAAAATTAATAATAAGTTTTCCAGACTATACGATTGGTATGGTTTATTCAAAAAGAGTTTGAAGTTATCGAGGAAGGTTACAATATAACCTGCGCGAAATTATCCATAAAATTGAATATTTTATATTTTTATGACACAAACGATGGTGGATAGAGAACGTTACTTAAGACAACTATTAATCAGAGTGTAAAAGAATGATATTATTAAACAAAATTACGTGTCTATAAAATCTAAGGAATGATTAGCTGTTTAGCTTTTTATGACCCCAGGTGCGTGTTGTGGAATGATAGGATATTACTTGTATATACAACTGGTTATTTTTATATAAAAAACGTACAGATAAACCGGGGTAATTCTTTACTGAAAAGAATACTTAAATTACATTGCGGCTAGGAATAGAAGGATAAGAAGAATACAGGAAAAAAGATACTGTCTAGCCCTTCAAATAATCAATTATGAAAATATTAGTTATATTTTCTTAGTTGAGTGAAAATTACAATAATAATGATATAAGTATTCTATTTTAGCAGTACTAAAAGGCAGACTTATATATATATATATATATATTTAAATATAAGAGGATACGTAACTAATTTGATGATTTAAATAGGCTTAAGTCGTATTAAACTCGGACCTATTGGATATCTCATATAGTGTATCAATCAACTGAACGAACAACTAATTAATTTTAGTCTTACAAAAGACATTTAAACTGAATATACTGATATAGATGTAAACTGCAACAGAAGAAATTGCGTATACGCTATACAATAGATGTCTTTAAGCTCTTCTATGTAGTTGCATCTATATATCTCTGATACATAAAGTATATATTGATATATAACTATATATTTTTTATATTAAAATGTTCTATATTCTCGTCTATAACTAAATAAGCGTAAGGGACATCTCTATGGGTCTATTTTGCAGTACAGTCATGTTTATCTCACTGCTCGTATTAATCAAGTAAAAAAACGACTTGGAAATTGGGTAAGAGGGAAAAATAAACAAGTTAAAAGGATAAAACCATCTAAAATATCTCTGATTACCTATTTTGTACGTATCAGAATTACTAATAAGTTAATTAGGAATTAATTTGTACAAGACCAAAAGATAAATGATAAATATGTTGTCGCTTTAGATGAGACAGTTTGTCCATGTAAAAATTGGTTCTATTTGTAGCACTTGTATTAATCAAGTATAAAAAATGACTGTTTTATGCGCGAAGCGTCGCCTTCTGCCACCATTATAATCGTGGCGCCACTTTATAAATAGATTGAAGTGACCAGTTTGTCAGTTCCCCCACGAATTCATAGTGTCCTGATTGAAAGCGAGGACATTTTTTACTAGGTTAATCTATTTGTATATAGTCCGACGAACCGTTAAATCGTATTACAGACTTTTTCAGTGTTGATTTCTAGCCTCAAGCAGGACTGCAAAAATGCTACTGCAACATTTTCTGTCTAATTTAATTTTCGTTTATTTTCTCTAACTAATATCTTTAGTATATTTACACTGACGGATTCTGACATCTGGATTGTGTCTTATCAACCCTTTCATTTCTTTGCTTAATTTTTCTTTTAAGTAGTTTTTAAGAATGGTGACAATTTCACTCTATTCGAGTCAATTTAATTGTCTCCCTATTCACGCATTGATATCAACCGTGTATAGCTATATTGATGAGTCCCGACGAGTGAGATGTTTCTACCATCATTGTTTGCCCTCCATTAGAAATCTTACAACTCTATTAAAACCAAGCTGCTTTTTTTTTCTCACGTCGTTTCCTTACCCATTAATCTCATCTCTTTCGTTCCCCTTCCGTCCGTTCTGTCCACTTTAAGTACCTAATACGCGCAAAACACAGATATTAAATTGCTTCAGGTGTTTGGTCTAATATTACAACATTCCCTCCCCATGGTCATTCTTTCTCTATCCAATCGGTTCCCCACTCTCTGTTCGCACTTGCAATTGTTTTGTCACCCGCTGGAAATTTTTCTCCAATCGATCCGCAACTTGTAAGACGGATCGATAAATCGGTATATGTGTACTGTATTAGCCACCTGCAAAAAAAATTTTCACTCTCCGGAAAATTTCCTAATTCAGTGGTTGATGGCGAATATTTGAGGCCAATTCCGCACAGCAAAGGCTATTGTCAACCGCAAAAAGCATTTGGACAAAAATCCTTTTTCCATAAGCTCTTCTCGTGAGAAATCAAAAGTAAGATAGCAAGGGGAAAAGCGGCAGTGCAATTCTTTCCCGTCTTGTCAAACTTATCTTTCTAACTATATAATATAATATCATTTTAATAGGGAAAATTTTTTGTCTTAAATTAATTATATTAATAAATGATATAAAGGATTATCAGTCTAAATGATGATGCTACTGACCAAGACTTTGCTCTAGTTCGCGTGTTCCACTTAATTGATGTGCAAATTAGTTGCAAATTTGTTTCTACCGTCCTCCTAATTAAGGATGTGTTTAGATGTTACTCTTTTCGGGTATTTACACGCCACCTATCGATAAAGTTCTTTTCTTTAATTGAAAGGAATCCGCTTATTCGAATGTAAAAGCGTCTGCTTGTCATAATTGGAAAAAAAGTATAATAAAGAATAATAAAAAAAAATTGAAATAAAAAAAAAGAATTATAGATTACTGCAAGTGAACTCGATCAACAGTCAATCATATTTGTCGAAAATCGATTTTCATTTAAAACAAGTGTTTTAATATATAGTGTATAGTATATTATGAATATTTAAAGATCTTTTTTTTCACTTTCAAGAATCAGATACTAGTGTAATAATTCTTCATTTATATCGTTTAAATTAGGTTTTCTTCCTAATTTTAATGATTTAAGTTTGAAAAAAAAGCAAGTGTTGACTTAAAATTCTCCTAAATAGAATTGCTGAAAAGTTTCGCCACTAAGTAAAATACTATGTATTTGCCCCTTTTTGACTTTAGTGTAAAAATTGATACTTAGCCCCTTCCTTTACTCCTTATAATATGTCAAAGGCAGTCGAATTCAACGGCTAAATTAACTTAGACAGTCCGTAAAAAGTCAGCAATTTACCCCATACGATATGACTAGATTTAATGTGACTTGTAGAGTAGGCGTTAAATTACAACCGACAGGCCAATTAATTAACATACGTATACTCGACAGGTCCCTGGTCCGATTGCAAGGGTGTGAGATGTGGTTCGGGAGGGATACGCACAAGAAAAGTCTGGTGTAATAACCAAAATTGCAATAAAAAACTTCAACCCGTTTCTCAAAAGTCCTGCTTTAAAATATGCTCAGAGTTGGAACCCCTTCTTTATTGGCAAACATCCGAGTGGTCTGATTGTCGTTCGACAGAGTGTAAAAGTTTTCGTCAAACCAGAACTGCTCAATGCAGGTTAAAGTGCCAAAAATCTCATGTACCTGAAGAAATATGTACGAAATTTTACAAGAAACCTAAACTTACGAGACTTTGTAGAAATGAATGTCCCACTGATTGCGTAGTATCAGAGTTTGGTAATTGGTCTAAGTGTGATGTCTATGATACAAGTTTACTTAAAAATATAACGAGATGGAGAGTAGTCTTGGTCGAACCAAAGTTTGGAGGTAAAGATTGTCCAACACTGGAGGAAACGAAAAGATGTTTTAACTATTCAAAATCAGTTACAATGATGAACTACAAGTATCGATACGGAGAGTGGAGTGAATGTAAGCAAATCGGCAATAAGAATTTTGGTCAGCAGACGAGAAGTTATGAATGTATTGATTATACCGGTTCGAAGGTCGATATTGGGTAAGTTTGAGATTGATGAGTTGATTGCATGTCGTATTCAATTAGCAGTCAATAATGAATTGTGTTTGAACAATGAGCTTAAAAGCAATATTACACGCTAACGGAAACGCCACGGGCGCCATATATATCAACGAATTCAATTTGTACATCAATAGCATAATAGGAACGCTCTTAGACCGATGACCGAAAGATTTCTAAGCTTCAATGAATTCGAATAGTCTCGAGTATACTCGAAACACGCTAATGGTCAATTGGTCAAGGGTATGATCGGCGTTGATCAAACTCGCAAAAGAGTATAAAAAATATAATTTTCTCTGCATCTGTCAACTCATTTTTTTCTTTTGTTAAGCAAAGAAGTATATATAAGTGATAAACAAAGGAAAGAGAGGGAATGAACAATAGCGGAAAAAGAAAGCTGATAAAAGAGAGTAGAGAGAGAAAGGCAAAAGAATGAGTGACAGAGAAATGGGGTAGGAGTAGAGTATAGACAAAGACAAAGGAGTATAGATACAGCGACATAGAGATAAGTAGAAATATGAAAGAATAAGAAATCCGATAGTCTATTACTTGTCTTTTTACTAGGCACTAGGAAAGTTTCGTAGGTGAGACTAATGTTCTGAAATATAGATACAACACCTTAAAGAGAAAAAAAAAGTGGTCACGTGCTTTTTTTGTCGTTATCGAGTGCACAGCTAAAAATAGAGCTCATCTTTTCAATATATATTTTTAGTTTATTATTAAAGGAAGCTAGAATCTAAATTAAAGGAATATTACAAAAAAAATGAAACAAAGACTTATTCTCGAAATATATTTAAAAAAGTACTAAAAAAACTTTATCGAAATTTTTATATACGTAGATTAGTAGTGCTAATAAGAATACATTCGAGTATAAAAATTAGAGGCGGTTATAAGCTTTAGCAGAAGGTTATTCCCTGCCTTAAATTATATTGAAACCTATACTTTACGCCCTTCGATGATGGTTCGGGTTTAAATTTTCAGATGCAGTGCCAGTTTTCGGACATTTTTTCTAACATATTTCATATTTCTATTTAAACCTTTGGAGATTGGATGTCCTTTGATGTATTGAGAGACTGATAGAATTTATCTCCAAAAGAGGGATAATTAAATCAATTATATGCTTACTTCAATTTTTTGGCAAATATCTTGAAGAATTATGAATTTTTAGTTATTTCGTAAGCAATTAAATTTGAGAGAGATCTAGTGGTTTTAAATGGTTTTCATATGGTTTTCAAATCAAATTGGTTTAACTAAAGAACCCATTTGATGTTTAATTTGATTCAATTAAAGTTAATTAAATTCTCGTACTGTTGGACTGGTAAAAAAATCCATATAGCTTCAATTTATCAAATGTAAAAAGTTCAGATAAATCGATTGGTCTGGTCAAACCAACATTTTTTTTTTATTTAAAGTAGCTAAATTATTTAGAGTTTAAGATAAAAAAGTAGGAAGAACGAACATAGCAAGAGTTGTAATTTTCATTAGTATTCTAGGAATTATATTGATTTCAAATACCAATATTTCTTAATCAATAATCGATCGTTCCTTACAAAGATTTGTTTTTATGCAATACTCATATTTGGAAAAGGGTTTTTTTACTTATTAAAGATCTTTTTTTCTTATTAATGTATACTATGGTTTTTACTCTCCTCCCACTCATTTTATCAATTTATTATAAAATTTTTATAAAAAGCCATTCATTCAATCTTTATTTAGTGCAAACATCTTACATTATAAAATATTAATATACCCTTTAAATTAAATCCTCACCAAATTGGATAGTTTTTTTCTAAAGTTTAAGCCTATAAACATGTATAAAACATGCTTGCGATCGCATTTGAAAAGAAAGAAAATTGCTACAATTGAATTAAAAAAAAAAGAAATTTTTTTCTGTTTTTCTTTTTTTTAACAGTAAAAAGAAAAGAGGGAGGAGTGGGTGGAAATAGGTGGGAGGAATAAATTTTTTGTTAAAGATAGGAGTCTATGACTTTGAATATTCTAGTTATTGTTGTGTAAGGTACTAAATAAAGTAAGAATAGCAAAGATAGGACAAAAAAAAAACATTAAAAAAAGGGATGACATATTCATGAATGTAACAGGAGCTTTTTTTTTTTACTAAATTATTTGTAAAGAAACGAACAGTGAAAATAATTGATTAAAGGAAAAGAAAAGAAATTACATAATAATAATAATAAAAAAAGGGATAGAGAGACAAAAATATACGAAAGAGAAGAGAAGGGAGTGAAAGAGGATGGATTTTTTCAAAAGAGATTAGCGTGGGTGTTTATTTTTTGCGAGTACAGACTGGTATATGAAATAGATTCCTCGAATACTTTTTTTTTATATCCTGGTCATTATAATCGCTAATCAATATATGTTATATATGAAGAGAGCTTGTCTAGCAAAACAGTTGGAATTTGTTGACTTGCGACGATATAGACGCTTAAACTAACAATACTAGCTAACTAATTATTCATATTATTCCTATTTCCTTTTTGATACTGAAAATAAGTCTTTATTTTACTGAAATGAATACTAGATTAGTTGAACAGATAATGTCGACTTTATTGGAGATAAAAATGATTTTTTAATAGTTTATAGGATTACTTCGAAAATATATTTAAATATCCTTTATTCATTATATTTGATACTTTAGCATTAAACGTTGAATTATCTCTTACATGGCTTATGCGAAATGATATATGATACTTACACGTATACGCTTATATAATGTTATATTAATACATTAATATTGTATGTTTTATTCTTCAGCCACTGTTCAAATCATAGGGAAATAAGATCATCAAAATACTGCCACTTAGATAACGATTGCCATTTATCGTCTTGGTCGAGTTGGTTTATTGCCGAAACACGCGATCACTTTTTTAGGAAAAGGTCAATACTTGAGATGGGAAGCGGTAAGAAAAAGTGTGGAAAATTAGAGCAAAAACGTTTAATTACGGATGAAGATATAACAGATGGATGTGGAAAGTAAGTTCCGGATATTTTAATCTTGTAGAATGAAGTGATAAATAATGTAACGTTTCAGGTATAAATGGATATCCGGTGCTTGGTCTAAATGTCAGTTAATACTACCAACTGATCGCTGCGGCAATGGTCTACAAACTCGTTCTATCTTATGCGTTCGAGCTTCTGACGAGCATCCTGTACTGAAGAAATCTTGCAAAAGTATTGAACCAGTTCATGTCAAATTATGCAAAGTAGAGTGCATAGATGATTGTATACTATCATCTTGGTCCACTTGGGGACCGTGCAGGGGCAGTTGTGGAATAAAACTTCGCCACCGACAACATTCAAGTAAGTTAACCTTATTTCACATTAGAATTCCTTTTTTTCAATTGACCTACTACATTAAATATTTGCACACTATCGCCATCTGTGTATAAATAAAATGCAATTTAATTAAAGGTAACCTTAAAAAAAATAACCGTCTTGACTCCTAATTTAATCTAATTACATTTGATATTGAAATAAAAACGTCTATTAATAAAATTAAGAGAAAGTATACTATATTGATTGTCAATTTAATCTAATTCTTTCATACAGGGTATCAGAAAAGGGTTAGAAACGTCATAAGGGAGGGCATTAATTGTCCGCACAGAATAGAAACTAGGCCTTGTAAGGACACTCGGTGCTATAGTTGGAAAGTTTTGTTCGAGGACGAATGTAAAGCTAGTGATCGCAATGAGCATGGAGAAAGGTGTGGCTTTGGTTATAGAAATAGAACTATACAATGCGTAGACTCGATGGGGGTAAGAGGCAATTTTATACTCCACTTTTTGGATTAATATTACAAATTCTAAATTTATAGTTTCAACTTCCCTTCCATTCACAATTTTTTAATTCTTATTTACGATTACTCCTTATTATCCACAGCTTATTGCGATTTCAAGAGATCGATGCCAATTAAGTCCACCTCCAACAACGGTTACTTGCCAAGTACCTTGCAATAATGACTGTGTTTTTTCAAATTGGTCCGAATGGTCTAAATGCGACGATAGTTGTTCCAATTCTTATAGACCTACACTCAGACAAAGAACAAGAGAAATACTATCCTTTTCTAGTGGTTAGCTAATAATTTATGAAGATTTTTATAGGCTATTAATGAAATATTATATTTTATCAATAAAAAAGCGAATGGGAAAAAATGTCCGTCACACTTACTCCAAGAAAAGAAAGAATGCGAAAGTAAATGTAGAACTTATAGATGGAGGGTTAATCAGTGGAAAAAGTGTATACCTCTCGATAAGACCAGGTTGTGCGGAGAAGGTTATCAAACTAGAAATGCTTATTGTGAAAATGATTTAAATGAGAAGTTAACCGAAAAGGGGGCTGCCAGGTTAGATTTTAACGAAATGTTTAGCATTTAAGTGACTTTAAGTGAGTTACTGATTGGCCTTATTATAACATTTTTAAAAAAAAAATGAGCCAGTTAGATGACAGTATTACTTAATCGTTGACTGTTACTGTCATTCTCTATTTCATATATTTTGTACTAAATATTTACAATTACTTTTAAATATCGTCGTTTTATTTTTTCTATAGGTTATGTGTCCAAGAATTGAGGCCAGTCTTGCAGCAGAATTGTACTATTCCCTGCCCTAAAGACTGCCTAGTGTCAAAATTCACAATGTGGACAAAATGCAGTTTGACTTGCAGATCAAGTAGAGACAGTAAACATTTTCAAGTACCTCATTTCGTGATCGCAATTTGTTTTATTTATAGGACGATTGGCTCTGCAGTACAGATTTAAAATAGTTCTCCAACCACCTACTTTGGGCGGTAAAAGATGCTCAAAGGTAATGAATGAGACACAAGTTTGTAGGAATGTACCAAATTGCGAGGATTATCGTTGGGTAACTAGCGATTTTTCCAAATGTCTTTTTCCGCATGGACACGTCAAATGTGGATTAGGATTAAGGACCAGGAGTAAGTAAAACCTTGTAATAAATGAAAAAGCTTATATTAATAGTACTATACACGCCATTCATAGAAGTAGAATGCAAGAGCAGATCTGGAGGATTAAGAAGTGATGCAGTTTGTAAGAAGGAATTAGGGCCAGCTCCAAGTAGAACGGAATCTTGTTTTATACATTGTTATCACCATTGCAAGTTAGTATCACTACTTCAAACCTAATCGAATTTGTCTTTAATGATATATTGAATTATTTTCGTAGGATTTCCAGTTGGTCTACGTGGAGTAGCTGCACTCATAGATGCGGTGGCCATAAAGTTAGAAGAAGACAACTTGAATGTATTTATTACAGTTTATTAACTAGCTACTAATTTTAGAATGAATGAAAGTAATCGAAAATTTCTTGATTTTACAGCCGGAAATGATAAATGCAAGAAAATTTACGCATTAAAAGAAACAAAGACTTGTTCATGTATGCCATTTAGCACTGAAGGTCACGGTTTATGGTCGAATTGCATAAAAGAATGGTCAAAGAAACCGAAAGGCGAAAGTAGTGATTTCGGTGACTTTGTGTAAGTGATCAGAAATTGTCTTTAAAAATTGTATTTATATCTCTTCTTAAAACAGCGAACCATCTTCAGAAGATCCGTACGAACTACATAAAAAAGAATATTTTACGCTCTTTAAACAAACATCGTGTATTGTTGGTCATTCCGGAAGGAGAAGTAGAACTTTGAAGTGTATTGACAACGTTCGCCAATTATCTGCATCGTCTATAATGTGCAGTAAAACTGGTATGTTAAGTGGCACGTTATAAAAAGTACTTAAAATTAACATTAGGTGGCTCCATCTAGTTGAATAAAATACATTTTAGGTATATGATACTTTATATAGAGGACATTAGATAATAATTAAATGAATTTTGAGTAAAAGGATTGTTATATAAGACCATAACTGACTACATAATATAAATTGACAATCTTTATTAAATCTAAAAAGGCTTGGAGGATGAAATGTGCTTCATTAACTGTCCTAGCGATTGCATAATGTCGGAATGGTCGGCTTGGTCCAGCTGCCGGAACGATAAATGCGGTATATCTCATCAAAGAAGATATCGTTATTTAGACAGTGAGGATTTTGGGGGCGGAAGACCCTGTCCAATTCCCAAAAATCAGACTAGGGTTTGTTATATTAATAATTTAATACTTAATTAATATTTCCCACCTCCCAAAAAAAGGAATATCAAACAAAGCCTTGTTATACCGAATGTGTGTATAATTGGGTACCAGAACCCTGGAGTAAATGCCAAAATGTTGGCAATTCATGTGGTAGATTCAATAAAGGAACAAAAACGAGGAAGATTAAATGCATATACAGTGTAAATGGAACAGAAGTAGATGCTTCGAAATGTGACCCGGAAGAAGTACCAATACACAGAGAGCAATGCACTTTAGCTTGCCCAGAAGAATGTGTACTTAGTTTGTGGTCAGAATGGACTATATGCTTACCGGTGAGTTGAATAATAAAATATAGAGATATATTTAGTACTAATTGGAAAAATTCTACCAGCCTTGTTCATCCAGAAAAATGAGAACAAGGCACAGATCAATATTAAGACACGGAAAATTTGGTGATTGTGGCGAAAGAATAAATACTGAACCTTGTGAAGTTAGCAATTGTGGCGTTTACAAATGGAAATGGTCAGAATTTAGTTCTTGCATTTTGGGAAAGCATCAATGTGGAATTGGAAAAAAAATTAGAGTTAAAGAATGTGTCAAAACAGGAACAGAGAAATCAGTGCCTTATTCTCAATGTATTAAAGTATGTTATTTTTAGTAAATGCTATCATCCTATTTATAAAACCTTTAACGTGTTTCTCGCTTTCGTTTAAAGTACGGTGCTATAAACTTAAAAGGAGAAGCTATGCAATCTTGCCACGTTCCGTGCCCATTAGATTGCGTTGTTTCTGAATGGTCCGAATGGTCTGATTGTTCCAAAACCTGTGGATATGGTAATTGTTGTTTAACTAATTATATATATAGTTATATCATATATAGATAGATATATTAGAATATTATATTTCAATGACCTAAAATGAGATTTTTTTGTCTAATAGCTCAAAAATTTAGAAAAAGAAGAGTTCTATTTGAAGCTAAGCACTTAGGAAGAGCTTGTCCAACACCTCTTGTTCAGCAAAAGCCATGTGCTTTTACAGAATGTCATAGATGGGCTTGGTCTAGCTGGACTTCATGTAAAAATGATGTTAGTGACTAATTTCAGTTATAAGCTATTTTTATATCTTGATTTTTCTATCCTTAATAATTCAATTTTGGATAAAAGGTTGATTCTTGTGGTTCTGGTATGCAAAGTCGTTATTTAAGATGTGAGAGTACTGATGGAAAGCTTCTACACGATGCCTTTTGCCCTAAAAAACCTAATCTTCTCCGATTGGGACAAGTAAGTAATAGTAAAAGCGTTTATTAGGAACGCTTATTTTTTTCATAAAAGAACTATAAGACATGATTGAAAATTAAAAAGGAACACAGAGAGTGTTATAAGCCATGCCCTACGGATTGTGTACTCTCGGAGTGGTCATCATGGGGATTCTGCTACAGAAAATGTTCCCACGAAGATCTTGGTAAGGAAAAATCATCAAGATATTATTTCAAAAAGGAAAGAGAGTATATTATTTTCTTTTTTGTTTTCGTCAACAGCCGGGGTACAGACAAGAAGTCGAATAGTATTAAAAAGCGCTTCGAAAGATGGAAGGCCTTGTTCTACTTCAAGAGTTCAGAGCAGAAAATGCATCGCACAAACGTGTACGCTATTTAAATGGAGAACTTCACCGTGGTTGAGGAATGATACAAGAAAAGTTTGGTGCCAGACTAATCATGGGGATAATGTAGTCAGTAAGTAAATTTTGAAGTAATGTTATTGCCATATAAATATATAATATATGAAATTTTATTATAGATAATATCGTTAAACTCATGACCAAGAAATTTCATATATTAATTGAGCTAATAATAAATAATTTAATGTTCTTTTGTTTCAAAGATGGCTGTTCGTTCGCATCTCGACCTCCTGGTATAAAGGAGTGCAACCCCCCTTGCACTGTAAAACATTCTTATTGCAAAGATACGAATGAATGTGCCTGTATGCCGGGATATTTTATCCAGTATAGTCTTCACAGAACTATTGCTAATTGTAGTCCGCCAAGTTCCAATTTTAGCAAGAATGCCATAGATACGGAATCAGAAGAAAGTTTGTACACAGGAAATAAATAAATGAACAATTTAACTGTCAAGTTACTCTTATTAACAGATTCACCAGTAAACGTTTGGATGTTTATGGTCATTGGGATTGGTCTTTTTGTAGTGACATCAGTATTTGCTACGCTGTATTTTATATGGTAATTTATATTTGACAGTTTTAATGATACTTTATAGTTAAAAGAGAAAGCAATAATAATTTAACTACTTTGACAGTAAAAGGGGCAAAGAGAAGAAGAAGGCTATTTATAATCGAAACAATTCTTTATTGTCTCATCAACCTAGTATGAAGGCTCCTTCCACAGCCACAAATAACACATATTCATCTTCCGGAATTATGTCAACAACACAGCCGTCTTCTTGTTCTGCTTCTACTAAGCAGTGAAAAAATAATACATGTATTATATATAGTATATCTATTTCCCGTCAAATTCTCTTTCTCCTTATCTTCTATATTCATTTGAAAGAAAGAGATATTAATATATGCATTTTATGTACGTCATTATAAACATTAATTTATTTAAAGAAAAAGGAAGAAAAAAGGAAGAAACAAAAATTTGAACAATTAAAGGACATTGTGCTATTTTTATACTTGGAAATTTATCCAGCATTTTCTGTTTCTCTATTTAATTGTTAAAGAAAAACAAATTACTTATACTGTATATATATATATATATATATATAATATTTTAATATGAATATTAGACTTGAATGATTTTTCTAAATGAAGAAAATTATAATTCTTATCTCTTTAAAGTAATGATAATTTTTTTCATATTTAAATACACTAATATCTTAAAAATTAAGAGTTATCTTCCATATTTTACAATTTAAGATTTATCTTCTATATTATCTTAATATTCTAATATAAATATAATATCTTCAAGATGAATAATATTATGAGAAATAATTACCAGAGTTTAGGAAGAGAGCTTTGAATAGATGCTTTAACTTTCTTTTCCTTTTGATTTGGACAAAAAAATTATAAAGAAGATATAAAAGAGAGAGATAATTACAATAATTATAATTTTACATTTCTTCTCATACTGTATGTTTTTTTTTCCAGTAAATTATAATACTAGACTATTTCTATTTTACATTGAAAAGAGAGCACAATTTCGAATTTTTATAATCTGAATTGTATATAATCCAAAGTGTAGAAACTGTCCCTTTAATTAGGCTTAGTAATCAGCAGTGATTTTCGTATATACGTCACAATCTAATTTCTTTTTTTCTCTTTTCTTCTCACTCTCTTTCTAGTCTTTTCCATTTTATCATTACTATTTTAAATTTAGATTTAATAAAAAACAGATTTACAACTTTTCCTTCTATTAATTACTCTAAATAAGAAAGGAAAACAATAAAAAGAGATAAATGTATCGCTTTTAATTAATAATCAATTCAATAGATAAACATATGGTTTAATTATTCAAAACGAGACAAGGTTTGGTTAATACGAGAATCCTTTTTAATTATTAATATAAAAATTGCTTCAAATATCAAAGGATCATCAAAAGTCTATAAATATAGCAAGTTTATTTCCAAGGAGGGTCATTCAATTATAAGCGTCTCTTGGCGCTCGCTATACGACAGATAATAGAGTAGTAGCGGATTGCGTATTTTTTAGAATGATGCATAAAGTTTTTTATGGGGTTCTAAGCTCAATTTTATAATTATTTCCCTAAAATTTCTTTATTTATCAACACTTAAGCGATTTACAAACAAAAGCAAACAATCACAAGCGTAGGTGGCGTTGTAAAAACTATCGAGGGAAATTTCAGACTTGTGTCTTTACAGAGCAGATTCGTCTATTGCTCCTGGCAAAAATGAATAAGAATATGCAGCCATAACAAAGTGTAAGTATGCATTTATGTAATGTATATATATAAACATATAAATACTATATATATAGATATATCTATATTTTATAAATGATGTAATAATTTAGTTTTTTTATTAGATTAAGAAAACATCATAGATGCTTGAAAATTTCCTTTTTCGTTTGTTTATTTTCCATTTTTGCCCTTTTCGCTCTATTAAGCAATTTTTATGTGCTTTTATAATTTAATTTCAATTTGAAAAGGTTTATAAGGATATTTTTTTCCCTTTATTTACCATCTACTTGCAAGAGAGATCATTTTTTATACAAATATTCCATATTTCATAAGCGCGATAATCGATTACATTTCACTTCACCTTGACTGTAAGCTAACTAGGCCTTAAAGTGTAGCTACAAGATTCGTTTGGGCTGTAAAAAGGACCCGTAATCAAGTGTCATTTGCGATCAAACGCAGGCCCTTCAAGCATCTTAGGATAGTGTAGATTTGTCTTGCCGGGAAAAACTTTTTTCTTTTAGCTTTTCTTTCAATTATTTATAATTTTCAAATATATGTTAAGAGTTTTAATGTAAAAAGAGAGATTATTTTTTTAGTCTTTTCTTCTTTCAGAAAAAACTAACGGAAGAGATTCAGTGATGCAGTTATGACGTAAGCGACGAGGATGAGAACCTTTATCATAGTTTTACTTTCCGTTCTCCTTTTCTTCTCTTTACTATTTATCTCTTGCAAGGCCTGCAATTATTTTCGAGTAAGTTCGTACAAGTAAAAAAAATAAAAACAAGATTACTTGCTTAAGTAGGTTTATATATACATATATACAGTATATGTATTTGATATATATATAGATTAGCTGACGGCAGTAACAGAATCAAAATTTCGAAAACTTTAATGTAGAAACAAAAAGAGAAAAGGTGAATTAATTAACAAAAGAAAAAGGAAAAAATAGTAATAAAAAAAGAGGTGGAGAAAAAAATCAATCAATACGAAAAACGTGAATTAATTTCCCTTGTTGTTAGACAGTATTATAATCTTATGGAGTTTTTTGTTAAGATTTATCAGTTTCATTAGTAAAATAATTTGCTCATTTAGTTTTTGTTTTCTATTTCGTTTATTTACTTTTTTTCTTAATGAAACAAAAGAAAAGTAATTTTTTTTCTTCTAGTTAATTTCATAGTTTTAATATATTTTATATTTTATTTCTATTGTTAAAGCTTTATTCGTTTAATAAATAAATAGATACATTTTAAAAAACATGTCACTTTTTGAGTGAAGGAAAATGAATAGCTAATCGCTTTTATCCGTCTATTTCTTTTCTATCTTATTCACCTTTCTTTCTTTTACTTTGGACAGGCAGTTCAAATTACGTACTCCCATGATAATCAATATAATGAGTAGACTTTTTCAACTAGGAATATTGCAGTCTCTTTAAAATTTTACCCTTGCACGTATTACGCCACAAAATGAGTTGTTTCATAGATATTGGGTTACTATTTGTAAATATTCTCTAATTTATTATTAGTATTACGTTCTTGAGTTAAGGCAAAGTGATGGGTAAATTGCTCTAAATTCACCATAGAAATTTTATACTGCTATCTAATCTTTTAAAAGAATAGACGAAGGCTAGTGTTATCAAATGAGAGAAATAATGTAGAGTAGACCGTTGATTATTATATTTTCATTGGCAGACAAACGATTATATTATAGTACTCAGTTTAATCAATAAAGTTTAAATGTTCTTTTCAAGCTGATAACAATAACTAAATTGTAGCAAGTCTAATTGTTTTGATTGATTTTTCTCTTGTACTTAGTATAAAACTAATTAAGACGAGAAAAAGGCTTATCGGATAAACACATGTAAATTGATTTACATGTTTTTTTTGAAGATTAATGAATAAATAGAATATTTTATATTAATTCGAAAATTAGTAAAAGATAAATGATTAAAGTGCTATTACTTATCATTTTTACTGTTAAAATGATTGAAATATGAGGAAGTAAGTAAAAAAAAATGCAATATCTCAAGTACCTTACAACTAAAAAAATATGGTTTGTTTTAAATAGAAGAATTGAACATATATTATCTCTGGTGTGATTTTAATATATTCAAGAAATATGAACTGGTGATTTGTCACAAAAGGTGTTATTCTATTTCTAGAATGGAGCTATGTATTTATCATATTACTATTTTATGCATTACAACAGTATTCTAAGAGAATGATAGCTTATTAAATCTATTCTTTATTATATAATTGATAATGACCTCAATGTATAGCATACTGTTGTTGACAGTCAAGAAAAGAAAACTAGAAATAGAATTTCTTCCTTTTTTTTGTAAAAATATATTGATATACTTCTAAAGATTTCAAAAAATATATTAATCTATGGCCTTGAGAGTATAATAGCTTTTAGAGTGAAGGCTCTTTCTTTAACTACAAAATCGATGAATAATAGCGTGTAGGTTAAAAAAATTCAATTTATCTGAATAAAGAATTTCTTTTTTACCTGTTCATTTAACCTTGAAGAAATATGCATTGAATATTAATGTTTATATTACAATGTAAATCCAACGTTAATCCTGGTTTTTTACCTAAATGATAATTTCGTCTTAAATCCTTAGCATCCTAAATCTGACTTGGTATTTAACTTTATATATGAATAAATATCCCAACTGTAGCTGTATATTTTAAATTATATACGATAGTATCATTCTCCTTACAGTATGCAACGTCAATAGTTTCTATAACCTGTACAATAATTTTAATGAAGGATTTATTTAAGAATGTAAATAGAGCGAAATTAAATGATTTCATATATAGAAATTGTGAATTTCTTTCAATATATCATCCATTCTGTAAATTGAGCAATTACAGTAACGGCCTCTAGCATATACAGTACTTATGTATTATTTATAAGACTAATCAGTACCAAAATTAGAACATTCCCGATCTAGTTCAATAACTTTTGCCCATCTGAGGATCTCCTGCTTTGTACAGAAAAGGATAAACAGAATTTAATATAAGCTACTTTTATAAAAGGTAAAGCACCGAAAGAGATATTTGTCTATTATTCAAAAACGATAAGAGAAAGTATAACCTATATTTGTATCTTTAAAAACTCAGATATTGAAATGATTATGACATGTGAAGATGAAGTATAGGAAGATTATCGATATCGTTGTTAAGAGTTGTTAAGAAATGAAATAAACGATTACAAAATTAGTCTTGATAGTCTGATTATTTTCACTTAATCATACTAACAAATAAGTTTTAGGTTATGAATATTAATATTATGCATTGAGCTATGTTTGGTAATGCTGTATTGAAAGTGATAAACAATTAAAGGAGCCGTAAAATTTAATACATTTCTCACAGATTTTCTTTCTTTTCAGTGCTTAAACTGTTTAGTAAAGGGAAACGATGAAAGTCAAGACTTTATAGACTGTTCGGAAGATGATGAGAATTTATATTACATCACTTCTGACGAGAGTGAGCCTAATGAAGAATCTCTGCTGTAATCAATGTACATAGGGTAATGGAACTGTCAACGTTTGTTTAATTCAGGATTTTGAGATAAGAAAAGAAAAGGAAAAGAAATAAAGAAGACAAAAACTAAAAGGTGATATAGAAAGAGAAAGAGAGAGATAGAGAAGGAAGGGAGGGGGTTGGGGCAGAGAGAAAATAAATGAATGAAATTAACTCTTGCTCATTTATTTATTCTTAAATAAAGTTTTAGCCTTTAAAATTTACATGAGACTTAAAAAGGGAATGAGAACAGCAAATTGAAGATTTTTGTAATATTTTCAATCTACTATATTTCTTGAAAAACCTCTAACAATAAATTAAAACAATATATTATTTTATTTTGTTATAAAAAGATATGAAGAAATTTCAATATTCATATAAAATAGCTATTGTCTTTCTCCGTATAAACATACGTAAATAATATTAATAAGTTTTCACAAGTACTATATACATTATCCATATTACATACAACATGTAGACATTTTTACTATCTAATATTTAATTGTAAGGAAATAAGACAAAGGCAGAATAAAACGGAGAAAATACGTTTGTTTGTTTGTTTTTCAACATAAAAACAACGTACAGAGTTAATAAGATACTAGAACTGCTAAATGGCTCCATAAATTTTACTATTGAAACTGTTTTCTTATAATTCTAACACTCTTCTTCAAAATCAGGTAAAGTTACAATCAACGCAAGATTAACTTTTAAAAAAATTATTTATACTGCTAGAGATATTTTCTTTCAAGTGATTCACTTTTGATGTGTAAGGTTGCCTAATTATGATAAAGTATCACCTCTCGATTCTGCTATTCGTCATTGTCCACTTCGTTAAACAAAGAGAATCCTATTTGTTTTTACAAATAAAATTTGTCCCATCGGTAGGCTGAAATGTAAACAGTTTCGTCTATCTTCTAGAATGCATTGCCAATTCTTTAGAGCATCTGAGACTGCCTCAACCATATTTTCATCGATTGTAGATAACATAGTTGGGATCGCATGTCTATCGTAGTAAATATTGTACCCATTAGAGGATTTTTGAATGATCGGTAAATTTCTGATATTCTTTCCAACCGTGGATAAAATATGGAATGAATCTGGATAACGTGACTTTAAAATATCAGTTACCCATAGTCCATCAACAAGCTTAAATGTTTCTTTGTAATTTTCTGAAATGTGCGCTTGAAGCGTATTCGCAGCGAAACTCTGAACTTTCCCAAGAAGATAGGATAGACCTTCTTTTTCCTCGGGAACGTTTTTTAATGCACAAAACCCATACTCCTCAATATTCGATTCGAGTTGATCAAGTTTCTCGTAGTCGACGTACGGTACATTATTGGTTTGAAAAGTCATACGATTCCAAGGTGAATAATTACTTTCTAGTTCATTTAAATTATAAATTCGTCGTAGACCATCCCACCAAGTCACCATCATTGTATCATTGGGCAATAGTTGAGCTTTCTTAATCTTTCTAGGCTGTTCAATAATTTTCTCCATATAGGTTATACATGTATAAAATCTCTTTGCAGCATAAACAGTCTTCAATTGTTTGATTAACATTTCCTTTTATATTTTAGTAAGACTTATTTGTTCAAATTATATAATACACATAAAAAAATAGTTAACAATTGAATATAAACACGAATTCTTATTCTTTAAAGAACAAACAATGGAGCTACTATATCTGATCTTGTAGATTTTCTCCCTCTTTTCTTTTCAATTGGCTTTCAAACAAAACCGACTGTGGGCTTCCCAAGATGAGTACTGAAATTAGGATAATTTGGTAAAAAAAATAAGCTCTAAATGCACTTATATAGCTTTAGAATGAAAGTTTTTAATATTTGGATAAAATATCAAATTTGCGATAAACTCGATTTTTTTATACTGATACGTGAGATAAGATAACTGAAGCGAAATTTTAGTATTCATACAGGACAAGTTAATAATTTTTTAAATCTTAAATGAAAATGCTTACTTGACACGTTGAACTGCAGTACCAAATCTTTTTACAATTAGAACACAAATAGTTGGCTTCTTTGTAGCATCTGTCGCAAGCAGGTTTCTTCTTTTCTTCTTCGCCTTCTTTGACGGAACGGGATTTAGGCGATTTCATTTGGGGATTGGGTGGAAGAGATGAGTGATTTGTTTGTGGGTTAACTGCAGAAATCTGATTGATGTTAGGTTGACCAGGGCGAAAATTTGGGGGAATGGAAGCTTGTGGTATTGAAACAGGTACTTGATTAGTTAGGTGAAAAGGTGGGATTTTGATACTATTTTTCAACATTTTTCTTGGAACTTGTTGAGCAGCTAACGCTGGTGGCATCCACTGTTGTTGTCTCATAGCGCCCAATGAATTTAAGTTGGGCATAAAATGGTCGGGCATCATTGGTTGCATAACTGGAACTCCAAAATTTTGCATTCGTCTTCCTTCTGCGGCTTTAACAGCTTCCTGAACTTGCCGCTCCTTTGTTACAATCTCTTGATTAGGTAACTTTTGCTGAATATTTGCTAAGCCTGTCATGGCTTCTGCTAGTTGTTGCTGAGCAGTTGTTGGAATCGAAGACGAAATAGGAACCCCTGATTGAAGCCTCTGAAGAGCAGGAGAAGATGTAAAATTGTTTGAAGAAGATTGTGTGTGGGTCGGGGTTGCATTATTTTTCTTAGCAATATCTTCGGCAGCAGAACTTTTTAGCCTTGCCATTCTTTCCTCGTGTTCAATTTCCATATGCCTTCTCGATGCTTCAACCTTGTTAAGTACAGCCAAAGAATCTTTTAATTTCTCCTCTGCCGCAATCAATTCCATTCTCTTTTTTTTAACAAACTCCTTTCTTTCAGTAATTTCAAAGATTAATCCCTCTTCCCTTTGTCTTAAACTCATATATTTAGAATTGAAATGTTGAAATTCTTTAGATCCTCGTGCTTTATCAAGTCGATCCAAGTTAGCGGCACCTGTCGGATTTAGACACTTGTCAATTTTTACGTTACTGCATTTTCCATATAATACAGTATATAGAACTTTTAAATATCCTACGATTTGAATAATTAATACCTATTTAAATTTTCATTGGATGACAAAGGTTAAGAACTTCTCAGAATTAATTATAATGTCCATGAATGTATAATTGTGCATATATTAATTAACATCACGTGAAAGAATCAAATTAATTCATTGTTTAAATAAGAGATTTTATAGAAATTAACAAGACTAAATACTTTTACTGTTAAAAAATTACAATGATCATTAGGTGCTTAATTGATTAATTGAATATTGATTAACTAGCCTAAGACAGCCAGACAGTCAGTCAGACAGATAGACATACGCACACTCACACAGAAGGAGACATACAGTTGGACATTGACGGAGTGTCTTTCTTTGTCATAGAAAAAAAAAACTATATCTAAACTGTACTCTATTATACTAAATTTTATGTATGATTTCCTGAGAACGATATAAATAGGTTAAATATGCAAAGAATAGATAAAAACAACTTTAATATTCTGTTAAGAAAACATAAAAGAAAATAGTCTTATTTCTAGGGTGAAAAAATTACTTCTTAAATACTTATTTCTCTTATAAAAATAAACTTTTCTTTTTATTTCTTTTGTATTAGAAAGTCAACAGGGAAATTATAAAATTTATATAATAGATTTCCCATTATTTTTCATTTAATTGTTTCGCTTAAAACATACGTTATTATTTCCGGTTTAATATGATAAGCCTATTTGAGTCTAATAAAAATAAGTCTTAACCTGTTCCCTTAACAAAATGTTATAAAATTTTTGACTAAAAGAGAATAGGCATTGTTTGCCTTTGAATAGAAGATAATCTATACGCAAATAATTTACAACCTAAGCTGGATTTTCTAAATCAGGCCATTTAATACTTCTTAGCTGGAAGAATTTAGTATTTTTTTCATTCTTTTCTTCTTTTTCTTTCTTTTTAAGGCAACTTAATCCTGTTTTCTTTCGTTCATTCTTGCCTTTTATATTTTTCATATTAGTATTTTCTTTCATACCCTCCCACGTACAATATTCTTTGATAGTTTATGAATATTAAATAACGTTTAATTAATGATTAAAATATTTATACTATAACTAAGACAAGAGAATAAGTTTTATATTTGTATGGTAATCTATGTAAATTAAATTAGCAGCTATAGTTAATTTTTAATATAAATAATTTTTTTTTTGTGAGAAAAAGAAAAGACGATTTCCCCTTTAAATAGAGTATATACACACAACAAAAAGTATGCCTTTATTCCTCTTTTACTTAGCCTTTTGTTGCTGTTTTTTTTATTTTTGAAATTTAGACAGATATATCTTTCATTTGTAAAAACCAGATTCAAATATATATATATATGGTGTATACTGTATAAACCTTTTGTGTCATTTATTTATATAGGCCAACGCAAAGAATGCCTTTGTAATGACTTTGAAGGTGGGAAGGTAGTTCTTAGGAAAGAAAGATCTGCTATAATAATTGTAATAATAGAATAATTCATTTCTATTGAACATGTTTCTTTTTAGTAGATAATATGAAGTAGATGAATATTAATAGTTTTGCTATTTCTTTTCTAATAGATTATTTATATTAAACTATATGTGGGAAAAATAATATCATCTATTATAAAACACCTACAGAAGCGCATTTATAAGTAATATATACTGTTTCTAAACTTAAGATAGGATGCAATGTGATAATCCTATTATTACGGCGGAAAAGAATGTTGTTTTTGTTGGTATATTCTTTAAAAGAGACAAAGTCCGTGGTAGATAATGAATACGTTTTCACCTATCTGTACTAATTGTGCCGTAGCTGTACAGGACTATTAATACAGTAAAAACAATACAAGATTTAATAATAATTATACTTTCTAAAAAAGAAAACAAACTAGGTCAAGTACTCTGTTTTTTGTTTTATACAATAATATAATACCCATCTTACTATGTGAAATTATTGAGTAATCTTAATACTATTGGATATTAAAGTATAAAAATTAATGTTCTATGTACTAACACGCTGCTTGTACACTCCACTATAGAATATATATTATTGAAAAAGAAAAACAGAATAGGCCATAATTGAAAAGTTTTCGTAGATTTGATGTGTTAAAATAAAGATGAATAGGTAATCTATTTTGATTTTTTTTCTTTTAAATTAAGTAAATCATACATACCTCCTTTATCACGATCACTCAAACAAATAACATCATTACTCATATCCACAGAGGCACTTTGGTTTTCTACATTATCAATTTTCGGTCCGTAATTATCTCCAGTAGTTTGTGGCGAATGTATTCTTTCCACTTTTTGGTAACCGGGCTCACCTGCATTCAGAGAAAAGGGACTTTTTCTTTTTCCTAAAATGTTAGTTTTTAATTGATTTTCGTCGTCTGTGGAATGAACTTCACTTTCGATTCGCGCTGTTCCAGATAAATTGATTGCTGTTTCGTGTTCATTTTCCAGATTGTTTAAATTCTTTTCTTTAGTATTTGATTCTTTCATTTCTAATTTATTGTTTCCCTTTCCTTTAGAATATAAATTTGCAGTGTCTTTATGATCAAACAATTCTGAAGATGAACATTGCTGATGTTGGGTTGAATCCGGTGTAGAATTTCTAGGCATCGAATGCTTTCCCGTCTAAAGACAAAATGAAATATTAGAAGAGTATAAATGTATACAACAATGCTAAATTTTATCTTTTAAGGAAATAAATAAGGAGAAATAAAAATACAGTCAAAGTTCAAATCTTACAGCTTGAAAAAAATAATGATAAGAAAGTAATTTTCTTAAAGCTAAGCTTCTCCCTTCCTCTGTCTCAGCTCAAGCACTACAGGTGTAAATAAAACTCATAATGAAAGAAATGTTTTCTTCCTATACAATATAACGCAATTAGCAATACTGCCACCTATATTTTTACGATTTCCAATTGTTCTATAAATACAAACATAGATGTATATATTCATTGTCTTGTAGGCTATTCAATTATTAAATAAAGTGAAATATTTTGTGAAAGATATTACCATTATGAAGAAGAAATGATTAATTTTATAGTATTTAAAAAAATTGATCATTAACAATTTGTATAATCATTCATAAATGATTATCACATTGAATAGACTATATTTATCTAGTCCTATTGCATAAATTAGTAGCAGTTCACCTAATTAGTTATTCTTATTACATATACTTGTATTAGTGTATACAGTATATATATATATATATATATATATATATATAATAAGAATAATACTACTACAGTAGCACTTATAGAAAATACTACTGAAAAAGTTATTGATATCTCTCAACTTTGATTAACAATCAAGAAAGAAATTACCACTGCATTCAAAGAGGAGATCAATTAGAGATTAAATTTTTTTGGGTTGTACTAACTGTTGATCAAAACCTTAAAATTGGACAAATAGCAAAGCAATATTTATTCTTTTTATCAGTGACTATTGGTAACCAGTTGTATTCTATAATTGTTATATTTTTTACTTGATTTTTTTATGAAGTCTATTTTTTATTAAATATAATAAATAGAGAAAAAAAATAAAAGGTTAATTATAATAGTTTAACAATTGAATTGTTAATAAATTTCGTAAAAAATTCTATTTTAGGAAAATTAATAATAGATTATGGGAATTTTATATTTTTACTAGGAAATCAATTTAATTAAACATTTCATTCGCATAAAGATAATAGATAGTATATACAGTATATATCATTTCTAATATACTGGAATTTATTTACGGAATAACTCTAATTTTCTATTCATAGTATTGGAATTTGTCAAATACTTTATTATTAAAAATATTAAACTCATTCAATTTTTGAACAGCGTATAGAAAAAAATCCTTTTTATGTTATATAGTTTCAAACGTAATGTAGAAAATATTTCTCAGGTAAACTTCTTTCTATTAGTCTTCGGTTAAACAATTAAATTATTTAAATATTTAAATATAACATTGTCCTACTTAAGATAATTAGTAAATTGGTAATCTATAGGTCAAATAAATGAGAAATGTGTTGATGATATTGGATCATTTTTGTATCCAATATACTGTATATATATATATTAGATCAATTATATACAGCACGTAGGATATAGTTTATAAATTGATATAAAAAGTACATATGGAATTAGCAAAGACAATTTAAATAATAAAAAAAATATAATGGTTAGTAAATAATGAACGACTACGATATCAACAAATAATATTATTTAAGAATTCTATAAATTAATAACGTCAATATATTGAGTTAATAAATTAAAATATAATACTTTAAGGTATCTAATTAAAATAATACGAACTATTTTATTCGCCACCCAATTATAACCTGGTAGAAATTCTTCTAAAGAATCGGCAAAATTCGATGTTTGTGAGCTAGTTTTCTTTCTTTCTGTTTAAGATACAAGATAAATAAAGTAAAAAGAATAAGAGTCTTAAATGTGCACGTGAGTACGTGGGCGTGTTTTTTTTTAAATAACATTTAATTTTCGTTTATATATTAAAAAATTAATTAATTATTCTTACCTCCTTTAGAGTTATTCTGATTAAATCCTGTGCAAGAACGTCGAAGACCTAGTTTCTTGAATAATTTTTCTTTCTTCGATAAACACTTAGTCTTCTTCTTTATCATAGCGAATGCTTTGCGACTGAAAGGACAGGTTCTTTTTATATTGGATATTCTCTTCGTACGTCCAATAGAAAAGTGCCATATATATATATATATAAATATATATACCCATTTAACAAGTGTATACCTTGTCAAAACCTTTATTCCTAAATTCAACAGAATTTAGTTGTTATCTTTTCACCCTTACAGCTAATCATTCAAGCAGAACTGAAGCAATACTACTTCTTTGAGTTAGCATTTTATTATATTATACAATAGTATACTTACATTGTTCAGTTTAAACTCGTTCGATTTAGCTTAAGCAATAGGCAATTCATTATTTATTGAATTCAGCACTGCTTTATACTTTGAGAGTGTATTTTTAAGTTACAAAAAGTTGAATAATCATATAGCTTTGTATAAAATATAAAATTTTCAATTAATTTCTTGAAAACTAAAATTTGTCTTCAGTATTCAAGTTGTTTTTTTTTTATAACCAATTATTGAACATTTGATGACTTGATGTTTTGAAACATATTCAGCTTTGTTGAAAAAAATACATAATTCATTGGCAATATGCTTTATATCACACAGCATCTGCTATTAATTGTATTTACATTTTCATCTTTGTTTTCTTCCACTCGATTATTTTTTACATTGCAGAGTTACTGATAATAAAAATGTAATAAAATTATTGAAAATTTTTGAATCCATATTTGAACGAATGCGTGTATTAGTGTAATTAATTTCACGAATTCCATTATATTTATATACAGTTATGTTATATAAATCTATAGTCACTGCAGATGCTACAAAAGCTATCCAAAGAATATAATCTCTATTGTCTATTTTGCTGTACTTTTGATAATCAGTGAATTATGTTTTATGCATAGTTGCATTATATATTGAAAGAGAGGTGGAGTAAAGGAAAATTGAAATTTTTAGGAGAGGAAAGCCATTCTTGAAAAATTAGCAAAAAGTATTTGAAGAAGCAAAGTTACTATTAGGGAATACTTCAAAGATTCAGAAAAGACTAGAGAGTGTGAATGTAGTAGGGGAGGGGGCGAGGAGGGGGAAGAATCTATATCAAGATTCAGAAGAAAACAATTGTTGATTTTTCACAAAACAAGTCAATATCCATTGAAAATAGAAAAAGAGGACTAATTCTTCCAAGCTGCATAAGCATTATCCAAAATGTATTGAAGGGAAAGGAAAATGTTGAAAAAGCCAACATCAACTTGTAGAGCTATTGATCAAAGATTGACTTTCTGCTACATTTATCGTGATCTCAATTTTTGGCACAAGATTATGTTCAGTGATGAAGATAAATTCAATTTAGACAGCTGGGCCTATTACTGGTACGATCTGAAAAAATAGAACAAAGTTTTCTCTAAGCAGAGAGGTTTCTTTTGAGAGTAGAGAAAACTTATCTTTTGTCAAGCATAGAATGAGGACTATAGAGCTATTCCAGAGGAGACACTGATTCCAACCTTTCATTCTCTATACAAAAAAGACATAAAATGGTCCGCCACTTTCCCTCACTTAAAAATAATGGAAAATATAAGGAGGGGAAGTTTATAAGGATTATTTTTAAAGATGAAAAATATTACCAAACTGTTTGGGCTATAGATTGTCAAAATAAAAAATTTGAGATAAATAAATAAGTTAAAAAAATCCTTATAGGATGTAGGTAACAAAAAGGAAGGCGGATCCATAAAACACAAAATGCTTAAAAGTTAAAAGAAATGATTGACTATTATATATTTTGCGGTAGTGTTTTAACATTAACGATTCTAAAGCACCTGTAAATTGTCATATTACACTAGAATAAACACGTTTTCACCTTTACACATATTGAAAAATGTTCACTGTATTTTTTGTCCTTGTCTACTTTAAAACCTACGAATTAAACTGAATATTCTACTTTTTAAAGCCTTTTCATACGGTGAATATTCTACTTTTAAAAGCTTTTTCACTCGGTGAATATTCAATTCATTCTCTTCTTAGAGAGAATCCAAAATTTTGGCCTTTTTTTATGATTAGATCGAATAGAGCGATTTATTTTCATACAATTTACTGTATTAGGTCCAAGCGATTTTCTCAGAAAAAGAGAATGAAAATATTCTTATAAACTGTGATATAAATATTTTCTATATTGAATACGATTTTTTGAAAATGAATGACATATTATATCTCCACCCAGTATACTCTGACTCTAAAGATTCAACTGTTTGACTAGAATACCTTGCTCATTCTATTCTTAATAACAAATAATTCATGAATGATGTTTTCACAATGAATAACAGTTCCCTGAGAAAATTTTTCAAATAAATTTTTTGAAAAATTTTTCACTCATCTCTTTAATCCAACTCCAAATTAGTATGGAAAATTATATAGCCTATATAAATATAAATAAATTAGTATATGGTTGAATCATTTCAAAAGGAATCCTATAAAACTACTTGTTTGATACTTTCAATCAATCTATCTCATTGATCTTTTCTAATATTAATAAATTTGAAAAATAAGGAGAATAAGCAACTTATCATAACTTATGTACCTTTCATTAGTGTCATATTGACGAAGACTTTTTTCTTTGGTGAAAGTTATATGTACGAGTAATAACATAGTTTTATTATATCTAAGCCTATTAGAATATGAATACAAAAGTTTCATTTAAAAAATAAAAATAGTTTTATTTATGAGCTAAGTATTACATGTACCTATATTCTGTAATAGTTTTCATGACCTCTCTCTCTCTCTCTCTCTCTCTCTCTGTTTTACTCTCTCACTCTTTTACTCTCTTGCTAATAATAGTTTGCTCAAATGTTTTGTATATTATAAATTCTTGTTCAACACGCAATTGCAAAAGAATCTATTCTAGATCTATTGTAGTAGATAACAAATGAATTTGAAAAAAGTAGATCTTTGACAAGAAAATATCTATCCTCTGACATATTTTATTTATCAATTATGTTTAAATTTTTGTTGGCTTTGAAAGGTTGTAATTAATTCTTAGTGCTTTTTTTGTTATTGATCTTCTATTTATGAAATACTGAAAAACTGAAAGTTAAAAATACCAATGAAATTTCTCTTTCCTGTCTGAAATACAGTATAAAGTGGACTTCATAAAAGAATGGACACCGTAAATTTTGATAGGCCAACTTTTAATTAACGGTTAAAATTGTTTTTTCCCTGTAAATTATTTTTTTTGGTCTAAATTTCTATAAAAAAAGGGTTATATTTACATAATATTGAAAAAAATTGACAAAATGATAATATTTATGAATATTATAAGCAAAATATTTTTGGTCATTTTCATCAATTTTTTCTTTATTTGGCCGCACTTCATAATTATTGGAACAGTCACT